AATGGGCAAATAACGACCCATATTTCGATCTTTTTCGTACAGTTCCATCAGCTCCGAACCTGAAAAACTTCTTCTCGATTCAATGGGGCAAATCTGAACTCGTTCGGAGGCAACGCCTCATACACAAAAGGAGGCTGAATCGTATCGAGGTCATGAGTGCCAATCGCGACAAGGGTCCTGTGCCTTGCGAGATTTTGATGAATCTTATCTTGAAGATCAATAAAGTTGTCATAACGCGCCTGAGTGAACTTGATGTTACGCAGTATAGCCCCGGCGAAGTACGGGCGAATCTTCGCAGTATCCGGCGATAGTCGAATGGTAACAAGCTCATTTGGAATTGACAAGCGATACATAGGAGGCTCTTGTAGTTTGAGGAACACCCTCAGCGCACGCAAGATACCCTCAAAGCACAACAAATCGTACCTATTTGCAGGAATATCAATTTTCAAGGCTGGGCGCTCATCTGTTCCTGCCACCTCTTCCGTTGTATCATCGTCGAGCTCAATTCCAAATTGGAAACAGAGTTCATCAAATTCTTGAGTGGTATATTCATGTCCTAGGCCTTCAAAAAGAAGTGCCTTATCTACGCTGACTGTCGGCATCTGGTGAATAGGAAGGATTGTTCATTGACTCAAACCTCGGTATCGAAATCGACACGTGGTCCCGGCCGAGTTCAAATACATCACACGATCTGCACACATGAACGTATCACATTTATCAACAGTACGTCATCTATGTGAGAGAGTATTTGGGACCACCACCTCCTTCTGGCACGGTCCAAACAATAGATTGGTCTGGCGTCTTGATAGAGCAAGTCTTGCAGTGAATACAGTTTTGGCTGTTGATAACGAACTTTTTGCCACACGCATCTTCATCACCGTTCGCATCTTCTTTGTCCACGTATTCATATACAGCGGCTGGACACACGCGGCCTAAAGGACCGTTAAACGTACCCACATTGCGTTCAACGTGTCCTTTATAGTCGCCATCCTTGACAACCAAATGAACGGGCTGGTCTTCAGTGTGATTAGTACCAGTGCGAGACACAGACGTCAAAATATCGAATGACAGCTTTCCATCGGGCTTTGGATAATTGATTGGCTTGCATTGATACTCAGGCTTTGTGTATTGGTGATCTTCTTTTTCGTGGTGGAACGTCCATGGTACTCTACCCTTGAAGAACAGTGTGTCAAGGCCCGAGTAAAGCAAGGCCCCGAGGAAACCAAACGCATGGAAGCTTGGTCGGATATTGCGAACCTCATATAGCTCAGGCATAATCCAACTCTTGTCAAGCTTGTTCTTATACTCAGATATGTCAATTGGTTTGTAAGGGTCTTCTTCACTGCGGTTGGTGAGAGCTTCCACAGCCGCTTCGGCAGCAAGCATGCCACTCTTCATGGCGTTATGGGTTCCTTTAATCTTTGGCACGTTCAAAAAGCCAGCTGAACATCCAACCAAAGCACCGCCAGAGAAGTGAACCTTAGGAATAGATTGGTAACCACCCTCATTAAGCGCGCGCGCACCATAAGCAAGGCATTGTCCACCTTCAAGAACCTTTGCAAAAAATGGATGATGCTTCATGCGTTGAAACTCCTGGTACGGACTCAAATATGGGTTGCCGTAGTCCAGTCCAACGACAAGTCCAATCGAGACCATGTTGTCCTCCATATGATACATAAAGGAGCCTCCATAAGTATCTAAACTCAAAGGGAAACCCATAGTGTGCGCAACCAAACCTGCTTCATGATTTTCAGGTTTGATGCGCCATACTTCTTTGATACCAATGCCATAAGTTTGAGGATCGGCGCCGGCTTGTTCCCTGAGATTGAGCTCTTTTATCGCCTGAAGCGAAAGCGAGCCATGCGCACCTTCAGCAAGAAGAGTTATAGGAGCCCGGAATTCCATACCTGGCTCGTAATTATCTTTAGGTTTACGTTCCTTGTTAAGACCGATGTCGTTAGTCACAACGCCTTTGATTCCTCGTTTCATGCCGTTCGAGTCCTCGTCCCAAACGATCTGAGCGCCTGCAAAGCCTGGATAAATTTCTACTCCTGCAGCCTCAGCTTGCTCTCCCAGCCATGCTGCAACACGTGAAAGTGATACGATGTAGTTACCATGATTGTTCATCTGTGGCGGATGCGGCATAGGAATAGCATTTGATTCAGTCAAAAACACCATCTTGTCATGCAACGCAGGCTGATTCAACGGGGCACCCTTCTCTTTCCAGTCTGGAATTAATTCATCCAGCGCATCTGTTTGAATTACGGCACCGGAAAGAATGTGGTTGCCAATTTCTGCTCCTTTCTCGAGCACGACAACACGGATGTCTTCGCCCTTAGCTTCAGCAAGCTGCTTGACTCTAATTGCAGCACTGAGGCCTGCAGGGCCACCTCCAACAATAAGAACATCGACCTCGTCTACCACACGCTCATCAGTTTCCACCTCCATAGCCTCCTCCCGAAGAATGCGGTCAGTTTGGAAGGACCGGCAAGGGGTTAAGTGCGGCAAACATTGAAGTTTTACATCCTTAGAATAACTTCCATAAAAGGCACCCCTGAAATACGATGTACTAGGTTTGACAGCGTGTCGTAGAGCTGATGCCCGTGATACACGGACTACTTGTCGAGCAAGCATGATGTTGTGAGTTAACCTCCGGTCGCGGTGATGAGACCGGTCACTGGTCCTAGCTTCTGATCTAACCAATCACAACATCTTGTTTCATCAGCGCAGCTCAAGCTTTGATTTGATGCATTACAGCAGCTTCATGTTGTCAGCAAACTCCGCAGTAACTGCTTACAAATGCATGACTTGCCAACGAAGATTTGCCTATTGCGTGACTATACACCAGATTAGTCATTTCCCCACAGGTGCGGTATATTAAGTGACCTGCTATCTCATTTCAACCAATTTTTAAAGCAATACTCAAAGTAAACCAAGCGCATTTAAAATCTATGAAACCGTAAATATATGTTTGTCTGAACATCACTGAATGGATATGAACCGCACACGTATTTGGGACATTCAGGTCCCGAAACGAGCGTTAATGTGTATAGTTCGGTGATATTTTGTAACCCCTGCCTTGACCCAGTTCCGCAAAGAGTTTCGGTAGTTCAAATTTGTACTTATGAGAGGAAGCTCCAAGAGATAGGGAAGATACCAGAATCCATATCACCATCAGCTAGCAACGAGAAGAGACCCTTGCTAAGATCGAGCGAGTTTGGTTCGCATGAGGGACACGAGTCGGCGACAACGGCGTGAATGACCTTCTTGTTCTTTTCGTTCACAATACGGATAAGACGACCACAGTGCTTACTGCGGGTGTCTGTGCTTCCATACTGATGAGTGTTTAAGGCAACGATGTGGTCAGCATCAGTGCTCCACCAACCGCAGTTCCCTTCGCTCATCTTTGCCGAATACCATGTAGCTTTTCCACCGAAAATGTTGCGACTTTCAAGCTGTGTTGCGGGTGCAGCAATAACAAACGTAACGAGCGTAGCAACAAAGGCAAGGAATGAGAACTGCATCGCGAAAAAGGAGAGGTTGAAGTTATCTTCAGCTTGAGTTATCCAAGCTTACCTTTTATAGTTCAACCCTCGCGATAACAATTTTCTTCGAAGTACCCGGTTCCATGCTGCCTATCCCCTGAATAAGCTACATGTCGATAAAAGGGCCCTCGAATACATGCAGTCGTTCATAATAATGCGTCCGGGTTGTCACCACACTTCTAATATCACCACCCCATTCCCGACTTATCACGTAACAAAAAAAATAAAGGCCCCACACATAGCTTCATACTGGTGCGAGATTCATGGCACCGTGCATACAGTCAATGAAAACACCACCCCCGTTTCAAACCCCTCAGCGGTCCTGGAATTCCAAGGATTGGCTCAATTCCAATCCTTGTTTAAGGAATTCCGAGAATTGGCCCCTGAATTGACAAAAAGGGTGCATCTTAAATATATGATGACACATTGCCACGTGATACTCCTGTTGAACTTAGATTGTGTGTCGTTGCAGATCTGTTACGTGAGCAACAGACATGGCGACAGATCAGATCAAGTCCATACTGCCGCGTTTTCAGGAGATACAATCCGGTATGAAACGTTATTGAGCGCTAATTTGTTCTCTATCTTAGAATTTGAAAATGCAGTAGACACGCATCAGCAACTTCTTTCTCAATTAACGGAAAATCAGCAAGTGCTGAAGGTTAGTGAGCAGGATTTCAGAGAGGACTCACTCACTTAGGAACTTGGAAGCCTAGAACCAGAGTCACAAGTTTATAAACGGATTGGACCTGTCTTGGCTCGACAAGACATCGCAGAAGCTAAGGTCAATGTTCAAAAACGGATCGAATTCATTATGGGGGAATCGTGCGTAAGCTTTTGTTTACTGACGTCTTGAAGCGATCGCGTCGACAAATTGATTGAAAGTCTGGCATCAAAGCGTGACGGGCTACAGAGTGAAGTGAGTCTATTTTACTTAACATGACAGGTCTTGAAGCTTCAGCAGTCGTGAGTAACTATTATGTTTGAACTGAGTCGATTTGCGCCTCATGCAACCTAGCGATCTCTGATCGAATTTCATTCAAATTCGCTTGCAACGAATTGACATCATCCAAATTGCGTGCATTTTGAGCACTTTCAATGTATTCCATCAATAGCATCTCTTGTGTGCCGAGGACTTGCAATTGTTCTTGTATATCGGGGGGCATCCTTAGCGTTTGAACTCGAGCTAGGCTCTTGGATTTGTGCGGGTTGGAGGAAGGCAGGTTCTGCAAAGGAAACATCTGTTGGGAATAAGCAATGCGGAAATGTTTGAAACGTACGTGTTTTTGTAGGAAAAGTGTGGCTCGCGCGAGGATAGCTTGTTGCAACCGCTTTTGTGTGGGTGAATTGATGCCATCGATCGTGGGGGGTAGAGACGCTATTTTACGAGCCAACTCTTCATACTGCATAAATCGAGCCAAAAGATCTTTTCTAGCTTGAACGGCACTGGATTGCAAAGCTTGACTGTCCTGCGCGGAAGAGGCGAGCGACATATTTGTATCATTTTTCCTGATTGTTAAAAGCCAGATATACAAGCGATGGTCACGTACTGTAGCCCGAAAATCATTTCATGAAAGTCCGGAAGAGCTTCGTGAATTTCTCTTTCCAACAAAATCAATTTCTGCGGGTAAGTGTTAATTCTGACATCATTACATACCTCATAGAACAGTTCAGGTGTAGAAGTACTTTTTCTTCGGTTTCGGAGCATGATTCGATATATTTTAGTTTTACAATCTTTACAAAACCGTATCGAGAATAGCTCATCGTCTTCGAAAGCGCGCCATTGGTCAGGAGACGCATTCATCGTAGGACGAACAGGAAACTCACGGAATTGTCTGCTAGATGCATCACACACCATCAACGAACTGCAAGGCTCCCATAGATTTAATTGTTCCGCTTCTTGTGGCTGTAAGAGATTCGGAAGGTGTGGTGATGAGCATATTAGTCGGCCACATAATCTGCAGTGATGTCGACGAACAGCCAAAGAAAAAGGTGTTTGACAAATGCAACAGTTTGGTTGCTCGGCATCTTCCTGCCATTTTACAACATTTTGCTCAGCAGGGCGCCTAATAGCTTGCAAGCGATGCAATCTTTGCTCGTGTCTAGAACGAAACATATCCCAAACTTGATTACCTCTTAGCAATAGACTTGAATGTTCAGAGGAAAATTCGTTTAATTTGAACGAAGAAAATTCAGGCGAATATATATAAAGAAGTTTATCAAGACGTCGTTCCATACGCTGATCATCTAGATCCATTGCATTCGATTTTTTTGCTCGAAGCACTTTGAATTCGTCTGTCCGATGACAAGAAACACCTTTTGGTTGATACAATGTTCTGTAATAGTGTTTCGGAGGAAAATTCTGAGTATTATTTCCCATTTGTAGCGACACCATGGATTGTACAGGTTTTTGTGTTGTAACTGGACCGCTTGTTAGTGTAGATATCTGTGATCTGGGTGACCAAAATTGCTGTTTATCCATATTTTTGAATCGGGAGGGAGAACTAGAGTAAACCATCGAAGACTGGTCTGGTGTATGTTTTGAGACTGGCCGATGCAAGTCGTTTGCTTCACGACCGATCCACTTCAAAGGAGGGGGAGACTCGGCGTTGATGTTGTGCCCAAGCATGTTCAATGACCTATCTTTTTGCAAAACAACATCTGCACTTACGGTTCGATTGCTTTTACTTTGGGAAATGACGTGCATTGTCATTGTAGATTTCGGATGCTGATGTTGTAAGAAAGACTTACTTTTTGGTGATCCATCTTTGCTACCATTCGCGATGACTTGATCTCCCCTATGATTGAAATTACCGCCGCCAGATTCAGAACAACTAACTGTTCGAAAAGGAGATTTTCGCTTCTGGTAGGGCTTATAATTCAAGTTTCCAGAAGTCGAGTTTGATACGTTGGAATCTAGATGCGTATTTTGCATGTCAAACGGCATCACCGCATCCGCGTTATGCAATGTATGACGAGGGCTAGTTGCCATGTGTGGAGAAAACTAATTTGAAATCTATAGTTACAATGCTTACACGGCTTAAAGCTACAGTATGATCATCTTTGCATCTCAACCCAAAGCGTACAAAAAAGGGCCTCAGGTATAACCCCGTTTGGAAATACTTTTGGGTGTATCCATAACCAGTCTTAAAATTAAAGTCTTCGGAGTGCAAGCAATTGCACTTCGAGCTCACAATTTGCCAGAGGAAATGACTCGGGTTCGTCGATTCGAGAACGCAAGACATCCCATAATGAATCCAAAATAAATTCCACAGCACCCTTGCTTAATTGTCCACGCTCTCTCAGCACAACTCGAAAATGCCCTTCATACAAATTTTTGAACATGTGAATGACGTGCTCATGATAAGCTGCATGTGTAATCTTCCCAGCCTTTAGTGCTAGCCAAGCTGGTTGAGGGAGGCGTAATGCGTTCGGCTCACTTTGTAATGTGACTACACCACCCGTGTCCGTCACAATCTCATTCAAGTCTGACTTTCCTAGCCCACAACTCCAATCCAAAGACCAGACGTTGTTGAATTTTTCCAATACACGTAAGGTTTGGGAGACAGACCTTGGGTGCATGGGCAATGTTAGCATCTGACGAGCAACATCGACTTTCATCATACCACATGAAACAAGTCGCTGGAGACACGGAACAATCATGTCTGACATTGTCGCCCAAATATCTCGAGGGTTCGGTTCCATAATAGGTCCCTGGATGCTCGCAAGGCGCGATCCATCTTGCTCTGAGATGGCTGCTGGCGAATTCGACACACGTTTCGCTTCTATCGCACTCGCTCCGAGCTCTGATCTGACGTCACTTTTTGAGTTCTTGGTGCCATTTTCGTCGACTGCTGTAACTTCAGATCTCGCAACAAATGCCAATATAAATATACCCCCGCGTCTGAACTCGCGCGCCCGAGCGTTCAAGCTCATAGTCAGCTCCGCATGAGCCATAGAAGCGATCGATACATTGTTTGTGGGTGCATGTGTCCAGTGCATGTCCATCAAACTGAATCCAAGATGCAAAGAATCAGGCGGCACAATCCTTGACCCAAAGGGGCGAGTCGCAAGTGTAGAGAAAATTGCGTGTTGAAGAGATGGACTATGCGACGATTGCCATAGAGGATCCAAATACGAGTCCGGGTGCGTTTCCAGCATGTGTTGGAATGAACGCATTTCCGATTGATTAGAGTCTTCATGAATCACCATAAAGTTGACTATATCCGCCGTTTCCTCCGGGAATCCATTTCTTGAAGCACGTTGCGGTTCTAATTGTTTCTTTTTCTGAAAAGAAGAGTCATTCAATTCCTTTTCCATAACGCGAGTAACAAACTTCTCAATGATTGTTCGAAACAAATGGACAGCGCGCGAGTTCATGCATCCGTACTCAGTTATGAAAATGGTCCTGCTCCCCGACAATGGGATTGTTTGAATCAGACTAGGCAATACTGTATTGAGTTTTGCGCGTACACCAGGACCAAACTGATTATTGTGGGCATTTGACGCCAAGTCTGAAAAAGTTGAAACACTGCTTGACGAACCAGTCTGGGCTAATGGTGGTCTTTTATTACTTTCGGAGACTTTAGAATGTGGTTGTGTTTGTTTCTTGTCATAATTAGGGTGAGTTTTGGTTGCTCCGAAATACGTTGATTGGTTGACTACATTAGTCGATTGACCCCTGTCCGTGCCTTCGTTCTTTTGGTTCTGAAGTGTGTTTTCAGTGGGAGCCACTTTTGATGATGCAGTGGTGCTTAAATGGGGCGACGAAATATGGGAATCAGCCCACGTATTCTCCGGTACCTTCTTACAACTTGACCAGGTGCTGATTGCACTTGAATCATCATATGGGTTGGGTGTCTGCGATAATTTCTTTTCCGCAGCAAGTTGACCTGAGAGCTTTTGTCTGATTATTTCACTTGATTCGAGAAAACTGTAAGCGACAGGCAACTGTGAATGAAAGTAATAATGCCATGGAGCATCAGATACATGGTCCATCGGAGAAAGGGTATCAAGATTAGCAGACTTTAAGGGAAATTGATTATATTTAGTTTTCGAGTCGTGGTGAACGCTTGCATCACCTCGACCCCCCTGATTCCAGAGAAGCTCAGCACTGTGCTGAAATGTGCTTCCACCAAGAGAATCAGAAATTTCCGCAGTAGCAGAGGAGAGTGTTGACTCAGTCCCAACGGATGATTTTGATGGAGGTTGAAAAGGTCCATCATTGATAATCAAACGTGACAACTCTTTCTCTGTACTAACATTCGGACTTGAAGCATCCTTCTCTGAATCTAGAACTAGTTCATTTTTATTCATTACAACTTCGAAGCAAAAAATGTCCTGTATATGTTAAGACTTGAAGATACACGAGATAAGCCTGTCGAGTTTGAGTTTCGGCAATAACAATATCAACACAAGCTCCCAAATCTTTTTATTTTCGTTCCTGTACAGTCAATCAAAAGATACACTCTGCTCTCACGCCTTCTAAAGCTATGAGGCCTCAAGAAACGTGAGGGCAGGCTCAGGCAAGTTCAAAGGGTATGCTGTCTAATTTCAATAGAGAACGCATCGTGGGCGAATCTTGCCGATGGCGCCCAACGTGACCATTCACGTGATTTACTCGTGGGGAAGGTCGGTCGGCTCGTCAGAAATAAGGTCTAAACTTTACAGGTGATCCTCCACATTATGGCATGTCACGAACACCTTGTGACATGCGTTTAAATTTATTGGACATCCAATGGACCGGGCAGTCAGCGATGGAATCGTACTTATCCATCGATACGATCCTGTTTTAATTACAGTCTGATGGGTTCTCATTGTCCGTTAGCTCTCCTGCCATTCTAGAAATGATTGTTGAATTATTTTGATGGGAGCAAGAGACGTGCTTAAACAAATTATCTAATGAACTGGCTGATAGCGTGGGCAACTCGGGTAACCGCCTGCAGATGCAGAAATGAGACCAAGTCTTTGGTTTTGTACACTGGGTCCTCTATGTGAGTCTCTTCAGCTGCTCCAGTACAGTTATAGAACAACATGTGGAAATTAAAGTATACGGATTCGATTTCATACATGAAAGCCCTGCTCACGAGAAATTTTGAAATAGCAAATTGAATGATGGTGCATGCACACACGACCCAGCCTCTTGAAGTTTATCGCGAATCATTATAAATTTTAGGTGAGTATGAACTGGACTTCGTCTAGGCTGAATCCGATTATCAGCCCTTAGTCCCATGGATCGGCGCGCTTTGCTACGTTTAGACCATCCTTATTCAGTGTTGTCTGTTAATTGTGGTATCTAAGTTCTGTATTGTCGAATATAGGTAAAATGAATATGTTTCTTGAATACATAATTGCATTGTGATACGACTCTGTAGTCCTGTGTCAAAGTTTCGCCTTGTGCGGGTCATAATGACTCAGTCTGAGCTTAATATGTCTCCAGCGCACAGAAGCTATTTGTTGGAGCAATATTCCTCGCATAACGGGCCATCTGTATCGACCCGTGTCAAATGTACGGTGCGAGCTGGTTTCTCAAATCATTCCATAAACTATTACTCACGCAAAATTGAGTTTGCAGCTGTTGAAACATGCATTAGGGGACTATCTATAAAACACGATAATGACCAAAGGCCGAAAACTAAAGGGTCATTGTCATTCAAGCAATAAACCCTACGGTCTTCGTTAGCTTTTTAATCGAACTGTCATTAAGAGAGTACATTCCAAAATTGGGACTTGAAGAGGGAACCATAGCCATAGTTGAGTACAGAGAGGTCCTTTCGTACCCTGCCGAAAAGGCTGTCACGAAACACGATAATAAATTCGTTTAAACAAACATCTTGCGTGCCTCTTGGGCAGCGGCCACCATGGCCTTGAGCTGTGCAGTGCACTCATCCCAAGTACGCGTCTTGAGACCACAGTCTGGGTTCACCCAAAGCAGCTTAGGGTCAATGAACTGGATCATCTCCTTGATGCGTTGGGTCATCTCTTCGATGGACGGAACACGCGGCGAGTGAATGTCAAACACACCAGGACCAATCTCGTTAGGGTACTTAGTAGATTGGAAGATCTTGAGCAGCTTGGCATCACTCTTTGAGTTCTCGATCGAGATCATATCAGCGTCAAGCGCAATGACTGAGTCCATGATATCGTTGAAGTCCGAGTAGCAGAAATGGCTGGCTGTGTTCATGCCATTGGAGGCACCGCCAACAGCAAGACGGAATGAGTCGACAGCCCACTTAAGATAGGTATCCCACTCCTTGCGACGGAGCGGAAGACCCTCACGAATAGCAGGCTCATCAACTTGGACAGCACGAATGCCGGCCTTTTCAAGGTCGATCACCTCGTCGCGGAGAGCAAGAGCAATCTGGAAGGCCTGTACATCACGTCCAATGTCGACACGTGGGAACGACCAGTTCAAGATAGTCACAGGGCCTGTGAGCATACCCTTCATGATCTTCTGAGTAAGGCTCTGGGCGTAAGATGACCAGCGCACAGTCATAGGGTTCGGGCGTGACACATCCGACACAACAATCGGAGGGCGGACGTAACGAGAGCCAAAGCTTTGGACCCATGCATTTTGGGTGAAGACGAAACCGTCAAGCTGCTCGCCGAAGTACTGAACCATATCATTGCGCTCTGGCTCACCGTGAACAAGCACGTCAAGACCCAAGGCCTCCTGCTTCTCAACCACAGATTTGATCTCGCTCTCTAGGAACTTTTCGTACTCCTCCTGAGTGATCTCGCCCTTTGAGAAACGAGCACGGTACTGGCGAATCTCCTTCGTCTGGGGGAATGAACCAATCGTTGTCGTTGGGAAGGGAGGAAGCTTAAGGAACTGGCGCTGCACCTCGCGACGCTGAGAGAACGGAGACTTGCGGTTAAAGTCTTCAGGCTTTACGTTCGACACGCGCTCACGAACAGCGGGGTCAGAGTTCTTCTCAAAGTCACGACGAGCGGCAATGCTCTTCGCATTCGCCTCAAGCTTTTCTGAAGCAGCACTCGAGTTCTGAAGAGCAAGGCCAATGGTGGCAACCTCACCACACTTTTCCGTGGCGAATGAGAACCAGTCGAGCACTTCAGGCTTTAGCTTCTTCTCATTAGCGGTTGTAATTGGAGTGTGAAGAAGAGATGACGATGTAGCCACCTGAACACGGTCAGCACCGATGCTATCCACAGCCTTCTGGGCAAGCTTGAGCGCAGCAGCCAGGTCTGTCTTCCAAATATTACGGCCTGAAACAAGACCAAGAGAAAGACCGATCTTGGTAGAGGAGATCGCGGACAAAACTGGCTCCAGCTGCTCCGGAGCACGGTCGAGGTCGATATGAAGACCAGCGATGGGCAGCTCTTTCACAAAGTCAATGTTGTCCTCGAGGCGACCGAAGTATGTGGCAATAAGAATGCTCAAACTGGGCACACTCTTGTGGAACAGTTCGTAAGTTTCCTTGAACTCGTTGCTGAGTTCTTTGGCCTTGTCGGTGACAAGAATAGGCTCGTCCACTTGGACCCATGTGGCACCTGCAGCTGCAAGCTTCTCGAGCAACTGAACATACGCTTGGTTGAGCTTCGAGAGAAGAGTAAAGCGGTCGAAGTTAGGGTCCTGGGCCTCTTTCGAGACTTTGCCGAGCCAAAGAAGGGTGATCGGGCCCAGGATAACTGGGCGAGGAGCATACCCGGCTTCCTTAGCTTCCACGAAATCATCCACAGGCTTGGTGTCGTTCAGCTTAAACTCCGACTTGTCCGAGAATTCAGGTACGAGGTAGTGGTAGTTTGAATCAAACCACTTCTTCATCTCCGTAGCTGGGAGGTCGACGCCATTCTTTTGATGGCCGCGGGCCATGGCAAAGTACGTGTCCAGCGGAGAGAGGCCAGACTTCGCGTACGCTTCCGGAATAATACCAAAAGTGTTCGAGGTATCGAGGACGTGGTCATAGAGCGAGAATGTACCAGTTGGCACAAAGTCGACACCCTGCGACTTAATCGTCGCATATGTGTTAAGACGTTGCTCCTTGGCGACTTTAAGGAGATCCTCAGCAGAGGTTTTGTCGCCCCAATAAGCCTCGAGCGCTTTCTTCACCTCACGCTGTGGGCCAATGCGGGGAAAACCAAGAACGGCAGAGGTACTGGGCATGTTAGTGTGGAAGATACAGGAAGAGAACATACGCCATGACTGAACTAGTAGTTTGGCTTTGGTGTAGGAAAGGGAGACTTATCGAAAGCTCTGAATGATCTAAAAGTACTTTCGTGGCGGACCACACGGTCCACTTTCAATCTTCCACGTGCCCGAACATTTGCATTAGAAGTGCCAGCGCATGGGCGAGAGCTGGACTGGCACAGCCAATAAGAGTATGCCTTGGGAGCAATATCTCGTCCGACACTCGTCCACAGGCCTTGGTGGGGAATGCGATGTAGATCGGGTCGCACGCATGACGCATACGCTTAACATCTCTTGAGCTGGTGACGTGATGGAAATTGCTTGCATTCAGTACATACTTGTTGCGAAGTTAGAAATTTGCACACATCGCGCGTAACAATTCCTACATAGATAGAATCAATTCCTGCGCTACTTGAGTTTAGTGTGTAGGCAGTCGTGCGGAACTTTGGTAGGCGCTTAGTCTTTTGTCGCTAGTCTTTGACAATCTTATACCAAAAGGTTAGAATATGGATCGTTAGAGTGGGGGCGATATAGCAGAACGTGTTTTCAAGCACGAGACAGAGTGATTTAACATGTAAAGAGGCATCATGAAGGACATGCCTTTGTTGTTTAGCGATCAATAGCAGTGTCACGCCTTGACAATATGTCATTAAGTCGTAACACCTCGCACGCAACACTAGCAGAATCGAGATGTCTACAGACCGTCCGTTTGACCCACCTTGATCGTATGTTTTGTTTCGTTGAACAGTAAGTCCTTTAAATCAGGAGGATAACCAAGAAACTTTTATAACTTGAAAATTGATTCTAAACAAAGTCCCTCAATTCTAGCTGCCTATGATCGTAACAGAAAGGGGGCGGTGTCACAATTATCGCTTGAACTGACAACCATCAACGAAGAGAAATTTACAAGAGTTCGAGCTTAACCTAGCTCCATGAAGAAAGAAAATGAACAAGATCGACAAAAAAACTTAGCAGTCGTACTTGCCGGGGATGACTGTCTCACAGCCAGCCTCGTCTTGACTGACGTCGCAATCGCTTGGGTCATAGCAGCAACGGATACAGGCACGGTTACCCGCAGGCTCAACCAGCTCGACATAAGATGAATAACCCAGACACACGGAGCCAGCAGGGTTGCCACGACCGCCTTCACCACCGTTCGAGTCATACTGGCCACCTTCATCATTTGACAAGAGAGTTGACTGCACGTTCGGGTTGATGCAGCCCGTAATCTGGACATACTTGTCTGTCTTCTTGAAGTGGGCTTTAGTCCAGAAGTCAGAAGCAAGCTGACCTTGCTTCGAGCTGTATGGCTTTGTGCAGAAAGACCTCATGTTGCCGGGAGACTCGCTGTCACCCACACTCATCTTATGGCGGGGAAGAATAAGGCAGTGGTCCGCTACACTGGTCACCCAAACCGTGTTGTCAGGGGCAGCCCGTCGCTCGAGAGCAGATGGGGCTGCGAAGACGGCAGACGCGAGAGAGGCAACAAATGCAGCTGAGAAAATGTTGAGGGATACCATTAGTGGTAAGAGAACGAGAAGCTTGCTAGTCCAGAGAATTTAAGTGGCCTTAGATTTAGGCCTTTAAGTATATTTGTTTCCAGCTGCCAGAACAAGTAGAAACTGCAGGTTAAGTGTGGAAGTCCGTTGTTACCTAGTCAGCTTACATCGCCAAGCGCGCTTCTATAGCCGCCTTGAAGTGATTCCGCCAATGGCCAAAGGTTGTGTGGAAAATCTCTTAGAAATTGGCCGATTGTTCCTATCGGACTACCGCGTATAAACTCTTCGTCGAACGGCTGGGCAACTTGGTCGGCGAATAACTGAATTCGATTTGTGTGGCAGGGCTCGGGTATTAGCGGGCTGGCTGTTCGTGCTACCATCCTTGCTAGTGCTTTTACACATAGATGACGTAATGAACACGAGATGTTTTGCGACGAAATGCAAGGTTGGTAGTTTAGAGTGCCAATCCCGATGCACCAGAGATGTTGGCGTGCGTTGGGTGACAGTTCTATGCAGCAGGGTTGCGCAGACCTTCAATTCTTGGGATGGGGGTACGTGTTACGTGCGTCCGAGAAATTTGTGTGTTCTGAAACATCCTCTACTTTGATACCAACGACTTCCATCCATGAAGACTTCAGGCTTTGTTAGTACCGGTCTAGCGCTCATTGCCGCATATGCCGTTTCTGTTTCGGCCGCGTTGCCTGATCAGATCGACGTGCATGTTAAGAATCTTGCCCCCGAAGACACGATCTATGACCGCACTCGGTCGCTGTTTTATCAGTCCAACTTGTGGAAGGGTCTGATTGAAGTCTGGGACAACAAACGCAAGACTCACTTCAATGTTCGCATCGATGGTGTCTCGTCTAGTGGCGATGGTGATCAACAGATGTCAGGTCTCTCTCTTCTGACCCACGACAACGCAAAGCGATTGTTCGCTGTCGCTAAGAACTCTCACTCTTTTGACTTTGGAAACCAGAAGAATGACGGTCCAAGCTCATTCCATTGCTTCAAGCTTCCCTTGTCTCAAGACAGCAAACCTGAGTGGTCTGTCGACCTTCGCGGTGTGCAGGATGAATTTGTGAGGCAAACCGGAACTCGTCCTTTCGGTGTTGTTCAGTCTGCTCAGGACCGTGATGGTAACTCTTACATTGCCTTCGCGCTAGGCATGCCTGCCGTGGCCAAAATTAGTCCCGACGGTAAGAATGTAGAGGCCTGGGCCCACGAAAAGGGCAACGGTGGTCAGCGCCCTGGCTATACAGGAATCACTTTTGATCCCCACTCTAACCGTATTCTTGCCTTTGGAGGTCCTCGTCCTCTGACTGTTTTCAATCTCAACAGTAGAAAGCCTAACACGCCTAAGGCCGTGAATATCAATGGCCACTTCGGTAAACTCGATGGTACGGAGAAAATTGTCACGATCCCCGTGGATAACAAGAGTGTGCTGGTTGGTGCCCGTGCTCCTTATGCCATTTCATTCAGCTCAGATGATGATTGGAAGTCCGCTTCTATCAAGAAGACAAAACGCGAAGAACTCAGGGACAGCGGCTTCACCGCTGTTACGGACTACTACAGCGGTAACGAACAGGGCATCTACGGAGTCAGCGCGTTTTTCCAGAATGGTGCACACGGAGGCCGTACGGATTGGCCCATGTACAGGCTCGATTCTGACATCCTTCATTTCTAAGTTCGCATACATCTTGGACTCGCAATTATCAAAGTATGTGTTTTATGTAGTGGTTCTTACGAAGAGTTGAGTTATGTTGATTTCATCTTGTCCCAGTCGATATAGTTATTGTGTGGCTTGTTTCTATGTCGGCTGTCATCTCCACAGTCCTCTGCGATAGCGTGAATGTTATTTGGGATAATTGCGAAATGACGCGGAGGCGTGGGGCTTTTGACCACTTCGGGGAAAATCGAGGGTAATCTCATCAGCGTCGATGTCATCGCTAACGATCTCCTTCGGTATGATGGGTGTGGCTTACCTATACCCTCTGTATGCATCGTTCAAAGCATTAACTGCCACAAGCCGTCGCGGTTCAACTCCAGGCGCGTACAGATGGCATGGTTCTTCTTCGCGTCATCACTTGAGCGAAGAAGAGGCGGCGGAGACAGAAGCTGCTGCAACTGAGCTGAGTGAGCTTGAAAACTGGACTATGTACTGGTGCATCATATCCGTGTTTTGGATCTTCGACAGATGGCTCGAATGGGCATTTCGATGGTGCGATAAAAAGTTGCTACACATTTTCACTCACACACCGCCACAGGGTATCCTTGTATGCGCATTTGAAGCTACTGTTTTTGTGTTGGCTTGCATTACCACAAACTCGCGTATGTATTTCTAATCGAAGGATGTCCTAACAACAAGGGTGCGACCATTCTCTACAAAAATTACCTGGCGCCATTCCTAGAGCAGCACGAAGGCGAAATTGAAAACGTTTTAGACACTGGGCGGGATCGCATTGTAGCCTGCTTGAATACAACAATGCGAGTTATTGTGAATATTGTCACCACCGAATTTTTAAGCAAAGAAACAACAGTAAGTATCAAAACGAGCGGCTCAGCGGCTTATAATAAACAGCAACCTCGTGAAGAATCCCCTCCAGACTATAGTACAGTAGTGGGTGGGGACACGAACACTCCAGCTCCTCAGACATCGGGGACTGCACCAGCCATGAGCTGGCTTACAAGCGTGTCCGAAATAGCTCATCCAGAGCGTAGCACGAGTGATTCTTCACAGCAGAATGAGCGACATCTCCGGTTTAGAAGGCATGAGTAGATCAGCTAACTTTTTATACCCCCTTCTCAGAACGGAGTGACCCAATAGCATGTGCCATGGCAAGAAATTGACCCACAGACTGGACACTGCCGGGTCGGAACTTGCGCATATGGGCCGTGATGTTCGCAGTCGTTTCTATGCTTGATTGGTTTGTTGAGGATAAAATAGGCTCTTCTTGTGCGAAAAGGGTTCCGATAAGAGTACCTGAGCGTCCAATTCCTGCCGAACAGTGAACCCAGATGGGCGTTGGTACTGCTGAAGGTTGAACTGCCCGGACTGCCTGAATCAAGGCCAGGAGGTGCAATGGTGCTAACGCTCCATGATCTGGCCATCCAATGAAATGCAGCTGCGTAATCTCATGCTCTTTTCTTTCCTTTCCCATGATTGATAGCAGTTTTAGCCGTCGAACGCGTAGATCAAGGAGAGAAGCAGCTTCGGCGTATTGGGTTTTATCAAAAGCATCCTTGGCGGGCAGATCAGACATAAGAAATACGGTCCATTGTCCATCAGGTGAAATAAATGGTGTCTCTTTATCTAGTGGCCAGTAACGCTCGCTTTTGACGATCCCATTCTCCTCTAGCGCCGTCAGGTTCACAATGACTTTCGATTTTTGGGCGTGGAGTTGTTCGAAAAACTGGCTTAGCGTTGTGGCCAGTGGTGCCTGAGATGCGACACATGAAGCTGAGTTTCTATTTCCTGAATATGGTGGAATAAGCGACGCATTCTGATATGCACCCGGCAACAGAGCATGGTCGTAGGGAATGACATTCAAGTAACGGTTGGCATCAGGCGCCTCTTCGGCTTTGTGACGACTGAACTCTGGGTCTTCCAAGCGCAATTCGTCAAGTGCATTCAGTTTTATGAGATGATTCGTCGCTGCTGCAATCTCGTTTTGTAAGTCGCTGTTTTCCATCGCACGAAGTCTCTATTACAGGCAGTGCATAGAAATTATGGACTTCGTGGGACGCACCTTCAAGGCTTGGGCGTCTCGCCGCCAAGCTTACCCTACAATAATAGTGGAGGTGTTACTTATTCACGTCCCGACGGACGACATGGTCTATTCACCGCGTATTGCGTCTGCATCACAACCCAGCGCCATGCAAGATACTGACCTCGCCCTTACAGAAATGGAGTTATTGGAGCAGAATCAAAGGCGTCTGGGGAATTTAACGGGTCGCATGACGACAATTCTGAATGGCTTTGACCGGCGTCTTATCCGGCTAGAAAGTAGCATCTTACCGATCCACAAGAGTACACAAACTCTGTCACGCATCAGCTCTAGTATGTTCTGTTACGACTAACCATGTGCTAGATGTAGACGCTGTTCAAAAAGACCTTGCTCAGAATCTTCGCCATTACGGCGTCGTTGTGGGTGATGAGCCAATGATTCAACGAGGGTGCGTGATAAAACGACTAACCCTTAAGACCTGATCCTCATAATCCATGGCCTTACTTGGATGCTCTTCAACGTGTTTTGCGCGATGGACATTCATCTTCGTCTTCAATGTCAAATCAGGAGCAATTACGCAGTAAAATGCTCTCACTTGCCGATCTAGGCGCGCAAAAAGTGGTGAACCTAGTTGTCCAATATGCATCAGCTGAGTCAAAACCGATTGATCTACTTACGTACATGTCTAGTGGGAAGCGTGTGCTGTCGCTTACAGAGGAATGCATTACCTCTATTAAAGCTCTTCTACAATTCTTGTCGACGATGCCAGACTCACAGAACAAGTCGGATCACGCGTTCATTCTGGCGTTACAGTCCTTTGCCCAAGTCCGTGCGGCGTATTTGACATCTTCTATGGAGCCAATAACTAGAGCGGTCGTTAATTCAGCTAATGCTGTGCAGCGCATCTCAGTGGATGCACCACGCGAAGCTCATGCGGAATATCGTCGTGGCTCAGCTCCGTTTGCTGACTGGTTTAAGGCGATGATCAGCACAATTCAAGCAGAACAAGAAGCAGCGACAATGTTGTTCCAGGGTATGAGCTGGAAGAATATGTACAGCAGCACAATATCAAACATTCTTCAGCCTTTGCTCTCTAGCGTTCATGACCAACTTCCGATCATCCTCCCCAGGCTTGAGCATGGATTAAAGGCTCATCGCTTCCTCGTGCTCGACTTCCTTAGTGCAAGTCACGCTGTTCTCGGATCTGACTGTCGAAATTGGGATTCTGCGCTACAATACACCTCGTGTTCATCATCCGTTCTAACAAATGCGGTTGTCTCGTCTCAAAAGACTGCTCTTCTTTTTTTCCCAGAGTTTCTTCGTGACATCAAGGTTATTCCTGTACAGCGCGAGCATGATGTGTTGCAGGTCGGCGTAAGTGGTATTGCTCGCTTTGGTATGAAGCTTTTCCAGGGCCTTTCCGAGTATCCAGACGTGACTCTCAGGCTCATGGGTCTACTTGGCTCGAAAAACTGGACTTCGGATGCGAGTGGTGGTCAAGGACTTATGGTACCACAAGACCTGTCTCCAGCGGAGAACCTTCAAGTTGAATATGCTCGTGACATGTTGGCTTCCATGACGTCATCCATTGAACGTACGTTGTGCTTTGCATCTTACTCTTTTTAGGTGCTGTCGCTGGCCATCCTCAGCCGACCGTTGCTTGTATTTTCCTCCTCAAGTATGTTTGTAAGGATCCTAACAATTACCAGCAACTACACCTATGTTCATGTGGTGCTTCGTAATATGGTCCCGAGCTTGGGACCTATTATTATGTCTATGTGTGAATCGCTACTTACTCAGGCGCTTCGTTTCGCTCGCATGTCTTACCTGGAATCGTGGAACATTGTAGTTCAGTCTTTGCAAGATGGCACTTCTGTTCCCCGTCCCGTGCCATCCCAGCAGCGCTCTATGCTTTCAAATCCGTTCTTGTACGTGGGTGCTGCTGTTTACTATGTCACTTACTTTCAGGAAATTTTTCGAACATTTAGACATGATGGACAAGGTCCATCGTGCACATCCACTTTTACATGAAATGGACCTATCAAAATCTATATGCGAAGACGTCACACGGTATGTGTGGTACAGGCCTTATGTTCCTAATTCACAGCATCGTGAGTCCATTATACGGTATTGTGCTTGCCAAGCTTCAAGGCGATCTTTCATTAGGTACGTACACATTTGATTCACTTAACAGGCGCAGCTCAGGGCTCAATTTTGTCGGTCCCAGAACTGGAACGCACCATTGCTCAGATGTATGTATAGAATGTCAAAATTGTCATACCCTCAAAAATTAGTTGTGTGGATCAAGTCCATCACCCAGGACATCTGCCCGCTCATTCTGTCACGTCCCAGGTGGTGAGAACTTCATTTCTTTTACTTAGATTGGTCGTTACGTAAATTCTACTCTCCACACATTAATCAGTTAGATGCAGATGGACAACTTGGGTTTGACTTGCTGCACAAAAGGCCGTGCGTTCTTCTGTCGTCGCACTACCTTTCCCCCTTCTCATTGTCCCACCCTTGTCCCTCGTATCTTTAACGTGTGCAAGCAGGTCTTGTACATACCAGGTTCCTATCCCTATCTACTGAATTTTCGGTCCCCTACCCCCAGATCCTTACATGCCGTGCCCCACAAGAACCAACTTGAGCCATATTTCCGCTGGTCGGAAATATATGGTCTTGTCAACTCTCGTTCTTATCGCCATACATCTTGTTGTGCAAGTGGACGGTGTTCCGATCACTCCTGATCATGTATTACACACCAGACATCACGTCCGCAACAGAAGAGGAGCCAATGCAGCAAGTACACCCCAAGAGCCACCGCCTTCGCAATCTGACAAGAACAACGTCATGTCGCCTAAAAACGACTTTTTCCCCTTCATGATTGTGATATTAGCGTTTGTCGGGCTGACACTTATCGGCGTGCTTGCAATTGTCCTGTATCGCACATGCTTGAAGCACAAGCTTGTGAAGACATCGGTCCATGCTTCAAAGAACTCGTCGAGCGAAAAGTTTGGGCACATGCGTCCTGCTGAGATTCGTCAACCGCCCAAAGTGTATCCAGTCATGTCTAGTGTGCCGCGCGGTACCCGGGCACGGTACTCTCCTCAGTTCGATGCGCCTCAATACTCTTTCTTGGACATGAACGATGACAGCTTAGTCACGCCAGGTGTATCCAACTCTGATGCGCTTAATGGCCACGAAAAGTCTGATGGATTCAGTCTCAATGATGGTGAATCTGCATTTTCTATCGATGTGAAAGATTCGAATGATGCTCAAAGTTTGCGGCAATGCGACTTGTCAAAACCTTGCGTGACTCACGGATCTCCTGAATGGGTCATTCAAGCTTATGAGGAGATTCCAGAGGACGAGCGACAGAGTCGTTAACTGATTTCTGCGAAGCATCCATGTTCTTTCATTTCATTTTGGTTTGCCTCAATCCCCACGCTGATATGTTAATTAATTGTCGAGCCCATCATAGCTCATCCTTCGTAGATAGCGAATGGTTATATGCACGTGATCATTTGTGGTACGGGGTCAGACCTCCATCAAGCCGAAGTCGAAGCCTCAACACTGGGTGCGCGCCAACCTTCAACATGGACGCGGCGCTTCAGGATGCTATCAAAAAAGGCAAGACGCTGAAAAGTGCGTGATAAGGAATGAATCAACTCACACTATATTAGAGGTCCAAACAAATGATAGATCTGCTCCCACCGTCGGAGGTAATGTTTCGGGTGGGGGGACTTCGTCGGGTGGGGTCACTGCGTCGGTGCGTGCTAGCGCTCCACGACCTCCTTCTGCACCATCACTTCCCTCCAGCGGACCACCTGCTGGCATTGGAGATATTTTTGCTGCAGGAAGACCCAAGCTACGCTCTGTGTCCGGTACAACCGCACCGGGAAAAGCAGGTACGTCTTTCCACCTAACCTACATCTTTAACATAAGCGCCTGCAGCTCGTCCTCCAAGACCCCCGCCTGCTGTACCTCCGCACCCTCTTTCGTCAGCACCCCCGCGTGCACCTCCGCGTCCCCCACACCTTCCTTCATCAAATGCAGCTGTGCGTCCACCGCAACCGGGTGTAAAACCTGCCAAGCTTCCGCCACCAGCTCCTCCTCCTGCTAAGCCTGCTTCATTAAGCTCAAAGCCAAAACCACCTCCGCCTCCGCGTGGTCGTGTGTCCCAACAATCTTCGTCTGAGATTCAATCACCTCCCCCACCTCCCCCGCCTCCGCCTCTGCCATCAACCGCATCAGACGTGCCCTCTCCTCCGCCTGCTCCTTCTCCTGTCCCTGCTCCTTCGAGGTCGGCACCAAAAATTCCTATTTCAACGACTCCGGCTGCTCCTACGCGGGCTGCACCTCCTCGTCCACCAGTGTCGGCTCCGCCTCCGCCTCCATTGCCATCCTCCGCTCGCGCTCCTCCTATCCATGGCAGTTCGAATGTTTCATCTGTTGCGTCTTCGAATCCAACTTCTACTTCACAACCGCCTCCTGTTACGAGCACTTTTCCCTCAGGTTATATTTCGCAACCACCGCGACATTCTGACGTTGAGGCTACTTTACCTGTACGAACAAGCATATCTTCAACGCCTGCCACTTCGTCTTCTGGAACAACGCACGTTGCGCGTTTTGGATCGCCGCCACCCATCTCAGGGACTTGGAAATTTCCCACATCATCAGACTTTCCGCCCCCGAGATCCTTTCCTCGCACAACACATCAATATCCTAGTGGAGCATCCCTAGGTAGCTCGTTCGATGTCGCCACGCTTCTTACGTAGTGTATGCACACCTTGAACTATGTAAGATTAGTCATTAACCTATTAGGCATCTTTTGGATTGTTTCGTCGCGCTGGCGTTGGAGCAGAGACAATCACACCCACGGTAGAATTTTACATAGCTCCTAAGCACTGAAGACGACTCTCGGCAAGAGGAGCGCTTCCTTGCTTATTCAATATTGAATCCATGGCATCAGAATCATCTGTCACTTCAACAGCTAATAAGAGGCCCATGAAAACGGGAGAGACTAGCTCGACAACCAACAGTCTTGCAGCTGATTCAGAAGCCGCATCTAAATCGACGCTGGCAACTGTGCAAGATGAGAAACAGGTACCGACGTCTTTGAACACTGAAAAAGATGGGGATGAAATACGCACTGTGTTTCAGGATCCTGTCAAATTTAATGTGAAACATCCATTATACAACGTGTGGACTTTGTGGTTTGACAACCCAGGTCACAAAGGCTCTGGAAGCGCGAAGGAGCGCCGCGAAACTTGGGGTGCTAACCTTCACAAGGTCGTGGACTTGCAAAGTGTCGAAGAATTCTGGGGTCTTTACAACAACATCGTGCCTCCATCACTGTTGCCACAGAGTGCTAATTACTATCTCTTCAAGCAAGGTATCCAGCCTGCATGGGAGGATCCTGCCAACGGTGGTGGTGGTAAATGGAGTCTCCAACTTCCACGCGAAAAGCACCGTAACCAAATTGATAAACTCTGGCTCTATACCATGCTATCCGCCATCGGTGAGATGCTTGAAACGCCTGCACCTGATTCAAAACTGCCTGAATCGCGTGACGACGAGATTGTGACAGGTGTGGTCCTTCAGGCTCGTGCAAATTATTACCGTATTTCTGTTTGGACGAGGTATTCGGACGAGTGGGATACTGAACTTCCAGAAGGTTCAGAAGCATCTGAGTCACTCATGAGGGGCCGGCGACTTATTGGGCTGGGTCGCTTCTTCAAGACCGAGGTTTTGGGATACCCTCTCGATGCTAAAGTAGGCGGCGGTTTTTCGTCTGAGGTCGAATTCCAAAGCCACAAGGACAGCGAGAAAAAGCGCGGCAAGCGAAGTGTGACATAATGGGATGTGTTGGTGTGAATCTGCATGTACGTATGTCATACACAGCGAGACAGGCATGTGAATTTTGAATGATAGTGTGAAGATTCAAATCTGGAATTGTTGTAGTCGATTGTCTTCATTGGTGCAGAATGTATCTTGTGCGTACAAGCAAGTCGAGACGAAAGGGTGCTAGAACTCTATACTACAACTACTGCGGTACGGCGCTAGGAACCTGGCCAAACCACGGATCCTTCATGATATCTTCAGTCATACATCGCATCTTTGGGTCAGGGCACAGCATTTTTTTCAACAACGGGCGGCATTCGCGAGGTGAGAGGTTGGGCAGGGGACGTGGCACAGAGGTACACAGATACGATTGCACAAATTCTTGAAATGTAGGATCAGACATTTTGGCTACTCGCCATGGAAGCTCCTGGCATTGCATACAGTAGAACACGATGGCAATGGCCCAGATATCAACGAGGCGTGCATCGTACTCTTTCTGCTCAAACTCTTCGGGAGCGATGTATGGCTCAGATCCACAAAGGCCTTTGCTATAATGCGTTGACTTTTCCCAGCACATACGGAATACATCACTTACACCGAAATCGGTGATCTTGATATGCCCTTTTCCGTCCAACAATAGGTTTTCCGGCTTGATGTCACGATGGGCCACACCCATGGAATGAAGATAGTGAATACCATTTACGGTCTGTTTGAAGTATGATTCCATTTCAACTTGTTTCATACCGCCTTTCTTGATCGCAGCATACAAGTCACCACCAGGGCAGTACTCCATGACTTCGCACCAGTGGCGGTTTTCATCTTGCACCAAATCAACAGTCTCGACGATGTTAATGTGATGCAGGGTCGACGAGATGCAAAATTCAGACGTGAGTTTCTTGACGTAATCCTTCTCAGACTCGTTTTTACGCCGCTTTCGGAACTCTTTCACAGCGTACATTTTCTCCTTTGATTCATCTCGTTTGTAAGCTACACGTACGACCGCCGTGGCACCTTTTCCAATGGCGACTCTCTCACAGGTACCATACTTCTTCATCAAACTCGCAACCTCACCTGTGCCATTGACTGCGCTTGATGCACCACGTCCTTTTTGCTTCTTGCCTTCTTTGGTACCCTTGCTAGAAGTGCTTCCGTCAGAGCGATGCGATGCAGAAGACCCTTTGCGAGAGAGCACGGGATTGTTCATGATCATGTCACGAAGCGTTGAACCATGGCCCGAGTTTTTGCCCTTCTCGCTTGCGAACGAATTGCTGCGACTCCGCGCATCCCAATCTTGAAGTGCCTTGGCCGTTAAGCGATTGTCTGACGTTGAATCGACAGTACTAGTCGAGTTTTGTCGGTCGCGGAATTTGAACGAGGATGTGCGACTCAACGACTGGCCGGAGTTGGGCTTCAGATGCAGGCTTTCGATTGAGTCCGACAGACCGGATTCATCGGGATCTCCGCGTGCCATCATCAGCGAAGTTTCCCTATGATGGGACGAGTCTAGCTTGGGTGACAGCGGGGGGAGAATGTTGTTTCTTTTGGAAGCAAGACTGGAAGGTTCATGCGAGGCAGCCAAAGCGGAAGCCGAGCTATCGCGTTCAATTGCATAGCTAGAACCTGGAAGCATCCTTCGCAATATGCGCAAGCTACTATTCTCTTTCACCCTTTCGTTTTCAGCCGAAATTGGATGTTGTACGGCGGTGGGTGAAGTTGGCATGGACTGATGACCTGTCCCACTATAAGCACCGGACGATCGGAAATTGAACTGTTCCGGGCGCGCAATCGAAGGTGGCGGTGGCATTGCTACCGCGCTGCGATCTTCAGCGGCATTCTTACCCGCAGACGAAGCGCCGCTGCCTTCCGAGTTCTGCATCTGACGCAAATAGAACGCACAAGATACTTAGACCTCTGGTGCGATTGGTGCCGGCAAGTATATTGTGGGTATGTTGAGCGTAGCTCTAGGGTCCAGCGGTCTCTGTGCACTGGTGCAGATCAGTTTGCGTTCGCGCTGTGTGGCGGCGAATGGAATGTGATTTGGACACTTGTCGTTCAATACCAACTACACAATTTTGGAATCAGTTTTCTGGCCACATGCAAACCTCACAGAGCGTCGCGCGAATGGGCCCGTAAACCCACGTGATCTTGGCATTGAATCGAAACGATTGCGAGGGTCACAAGTGTCATGTGTGGAGGCAGAATGGTCGTGGTGATCGACGCTAACATGAACGCCGAGTACGTCGTGTGGATGCGCGATGAGTGTGACTAATAATCCAGCACGATTCTTCATCCGAGTATTCAGACACCTCTCGGACGTGAGCTTCAATGTCAAGGAAAGAAGTTAACGAAAGCTTCCCTCATGTATCCCAGTACGTATTGCTGGTGCAGTGCTGATATCGAGTCTTTGTTACGGACGAGCCTCATGCTAAGGCACCACTCAGTTCCTTACCCAATCAGTATCGATGGGGAATTGAGCGCCTGGGAGAATTTCTTGGACCATTGGTGGAACAGGGGTTGCGCTCTGTGATTCTATTCGGTGTGCCTACCAAGAAAGCAAAAGATGAGTGTGCCACTTTAGCTGATGATGAGGAGGGTCCCGTGATCCAAGGGATCAAAAAGCTTCGTCTTCTATTTCCGTCTCTTTACATTGCCGCTGATGTATGTTTGTGTGAGTATACCTCACATGGTCACTGTGGTATTTTGAACGAAGACGGATCAATCGACAATCAAAAATCAATTGCTCGGATCGCTGGGGTCGCAGTGGCGTATGCAAAGGCGGGCGCACATTGTGTAGCTCCTAGTGATATGATGGACAACCGTATTCGGGCTATTCGCGAAGGCTTACTTCGGGAGAATCTTGCGAATCAGACGACCATTATGTCCTACAGCGCCAAATTCGCTTCAAGCATGTATGGACCTTTCCGGTACGTGATGCCAGAAAGTAAGATCAAACTAATATTGCAGTGAGGCCGTGGCATCGGCGCCCTCCTTTGGTGATCGTCGCTGCTATCAATTGCCGCCCGGTGCACGTGGATTGGCACGAAGGGCTATCGTGCGAGATGTGCAAGAAGGAGCTGATATTGTGATGGTCAAACCTGCTATGCCGTACCTGGACATGCTATCAGATGCTCGCGAACTTGCACCTGACCATCCTCTCGCTTGTTACCAAGTTAGCGGAGAGTACGCGATGTTGCATGCGGCTGCGAACGCCAAGGTTGGTGATCTTCGAGCGATTGTAGAGGAAAGCATGACCTCGATGCTTCGTGCAGGTGCATCGTTGATTTTGACGTATTTTACTCCTGAACTTCTCCAGTGGATCGATGAACCTAGATCATAATAATCATGTCAAGTCTGATTCTTCTTGCTCGATGTCTTTTGGCTCGATGGGCTCCTCATCTTCACCATATTGTAGAATGTTATCAATGCAAGACAAGATGAGGTTCAGGCTCTCCTCGTTTGAAAGGTCCAATGGTAAAAATGATACCATGCTGTAGTCTTCAACCTTGTTTTGCGTTAGTAGCCCATCATTATGCGCAATGACATACAAGCTGAACAATGGCCTGATTCAGTGCATGAAATCTTGATTGGTTCAAACTGTCATCGTGATCCGCGAAAAGAAGAGGATCGGGGTCCATATAACGCTCGACTTCTTTCCGCTGCGCGTACGACAAACCATCTTTTTCGTGCTGAGCGACTAGATCCATCTTTGTCATAATATTAAGGTGCGATATGTCAAGGTTGATCATCGCGCTCATTGCGCTCAAAACACCAGCAAAGTATTTGGCCTTATCGTCCATGAAATGCGAGTCCAGCAGGTAGGTTGCACATACTCGAAAGTTAAACTGCTGCTGCATGAGACCAGCAAACCTCGATATAACGGGAAAATGCGTGTAAAGCTCAATTTGCCCAGGACAATCAATGACTAGGTAGTCATTATCGTATTCACCTAACTCGTTCTCAAGCCAGTCGAGGTTATTCAACAAATAACTAAAAGAATAAGCGAAATGTGAGATTTTGTTCGACGACACGTACTCAAAACAATAAATGAGACCACCATTCGGCCCCAAGTCCATCTCCTCCATGACATCCTCGAGCGTGATCAATTCCCGAATATCAATAGTCGGCTCGTACTCAAATTGTTCAGCAGCAGGATCCAAATTGAACAAATGAATGCTCCGCCCCAGGCTTTGTGCATGCGACATAAGCGCTGCACAAAATGTTGACTTTCCAGCGCCTGCAGGCCCTTTCATGAGTGTATTCTTTTTCACATACCGGTCACAAGCACAGCGTAGCGGCCCATGCGGAAGATGCGATGGAATCAAGAGGTTGCTACGATACTTCTATTCGGTAAACGCTCCACACCACGTGGTCAGGAACAAATTGGAGTGGCATGAGGACATTATAGTACAGAGACTGCGCCTATTTGATATAGCGCTGCTTCGTTAGCTTGACACGACATACACTCATAAACTTTTTGTGAAATTCGGTGCCTGAGGGTAAGCATAGCATTCGACGTACGCGTAAGATCATTCACAAATCCACGCTTGCTTAGATCATTCCCTGTATTTGATGCTTGGTTTCGGAAAATGAGGTCGTCGTCCCAGCGTGCTTGTTGGGTCGAGATCGAGGGTGTGTGTGACATGCGTCCATGAATAGCTTGCTCCAGATTTAATAAAGGATTTCCGCGCGCAATTTCCTCTTCGCGAGTGAGTTGCTCCTTAGCATTGGCAGTCTGCTCAAGGCGTGCTTGTTGCTCGCGTCGTTCTTGCTTCACTTTCTCAAGCTCGCGAAGAAGGGCTTCGGTGTCATCCTCATCTTCGTCTTCATCCTCTTCGTCGTCCTCCGCCTCATCCTGCTCGTCCTGCTCTTCCGCATGATTGTCGCCGCGGCTCTCAGCTCGGATTTCTGTTTTGTCTTCCTTTAGATCCTCTTGATGCGGCGCCGAAAGCTCATCATCATCAGCGTCTTCATTCCAAGAAACCAGTTTCACTTTTTTTTCTTCTGGAGTCTCTATTATTTCTTTGTCGGGATTCCGCTCTGCGAACGCGCGTTTCTCACCTGCTATAAGTTGGTCCTTTAATTCTTGGACGCTCCTTTTTTGTGTGTCTCCCGGTTTTCGAAACTTGAGTCGGGTTTGTGTAGGTGCTGCGTGTTTGGATTGTACCTGTGAGATATGTGACAGGTCAGCCTTGGCGCGCGCTGGCTCCCATGTTGGGCGATGCGCCGACGACATGAAGGATCCGTGGCAAATTGTGACCTGGGCGACCACTCTCCACCGAGATACTCACGTGAGAGGGCAGACGAGTACTTGCTACCTCCACCCCAACCTTCCGCACGACCTGACCACGTATGGCGGCGGATCGAGGCATAGTATCGCATTTCGTGAGTCAGTTTCATACAGCGTGCAATGATGGTCGGGGGGATTTGATGCATTCTTGTTTTTCACTAGACGAAGCGAGTTTCGTTATGCTACAAATCTCTCTGAAGTCCGAGTCCATCATGCATGTGTGTGAGAAGGTCTCATTATTTCCTCACAACAATTCACAAGCAAAGCGGTTCAAAACCCTCTTACAAGACTATCTTTTGTATGTACAGCAATATCCTTGGCCTGCAAACGCGTATCAATTTACGGGTACTTATGATGCTTGGGTCAAGGTGTACTCTGCCATGATAGCATGCTTCACTCTGCCTGATACTGTATGGCTAGTTCGTGCACTTAAATATGTGGCCATGCAGCTTGTTTTGCTAGCCATTCGTATTGATAACGAAAATACCCAGAAAACATTTAGCAAGACGATTGATGCAGCGGGTCGACTCTCAAAGGGTGCCGGTTTGGCTGCGAATGACAGGAGCCCTTCTCCAGGTGTTCAGACCAAACGCGCTGCTGTTCTGAAACTTGCGAATCTGAGCTTCCGAGCATATTTCCAGCTGAAAAATACACGACTATGCGAGACTGTGCTTGGATCAGTTCACAATGCACTGCTTATGAACCGACGGAATGATGAGTCCACTATGTCTGGGGAAGAGCTGTATCCCGTATCAGAACGTGTCACGTATCATTTTTATGTGGGTCAAATTCGATTATTTCAGCATCGCATACAAGCAGCCTCACAGCACCTTCGATGGGCATTTGACAATTGTACTAATGCACATGCTCACAATAAGCGCAAAATCCTCATTTCTTTGATCGCAGCGCACCTTATTCTTGGGCGTTATCCAAAATTACCTTTATTACGCGACTACGACCTAGTTCAACAATATGCAGAACTTGCACGGCAGCACCGTTTAGGACACGCTGCACGTGTAATGGCAGAACTAGAGCGGAATCGCGATTGGCTGCGAGCTCGTGGATTGTATATGATTTTAAGGGAAAAACTTGCGTTAGGCTTATGGCGTAACTTATTTCAGCGATGTATGCGCCTCATTCCCGATACCAGCGGGACATCGAATGCACCGCCTACATTACCACTTAGGAAACTTGTGCGACCAGCGCGCCTGGCGTGGAATGACAATACACTGTCACTGGAGGACTTAGAGTGCATGGCGGCGAATCTTGTGGATCAGGTAAGTGGATTGCAATCAGAGGAAAAGCCTTTTAACACTGCTGAACCAGGGCCTTATGAAGGCATACATCCTCCATTCAAAAGAAATGATTGTGCTGCAGCGCGGTCCTCATCGAGGTTTTCCGCCCGTGAAAGATGTATACCACGGCTAGCCATGTTTTCGCTACAAGGATGTTCCACATTCGATACTCGCACTTTCGTTGTCGTCCTGGTTTGAACATTCAACTTCGTCCTTCTCAAGCTCATTCCCAATAACTGTATCGAATTTGCGAGTGGGGAGACCGCGCTTGAGTGCAGCTGTCCAATCGCGCGTTTCGGTCCATCCTATAAGAATGGAGAACACTTGATTAACTGTCAGTACTTTTCGTGCTTGCATCTTTTGACCATCTAAATAAGAGGGATCAATCGGAAGCCGTGCAACAGACAGTCCAAGAGCTTCAGCCTTTTTAGCGCATAGGTGCTTGTACCTGTTTCGGTCCACGATACCGCCAATCACATAAACTTTACCGGGCTCTAGAATGTCAATCGTGTTGTCGGTATCGGCTGTTAGGTAGACAACGTCCTTCTGTTCGCATATTGGCGGCTCGCCCCCCATGCCCTGCCAAATTGATTCCAATCCTCCGTATTCTTGTAGTCTTACGCGCTTCCATCTATGCCACATGCCAACACTCTTGTGTCTCCATGTGCTTACCAACCCGGTTTTCATAGAGCGAAGCTTCCCCTGAGCTTGCGCGAGCAAATGTATTAGCCCCGCCTTGTGGCGGAGAGTACCCCAAAGTCTGCCCAGAAATACGCCCCGCACCAGTGAATACAATCTCCTGAAATGGATGCGAGCTCGTGCGATTGACTCCATACAAATATCCAAGCTGAGATGCGAGAGATGTGGCCTCATCCTCGGTCATCAAGTCGTCAAAGCCAAGATCGACAACGACCCGAGCATTGAATACTACCGGCGCTGGTCGGGGCTTTTGCTGGACAGCAACCAGTTCAGGATTGGTTTTTTTTGCCGCTTGCACTTCCTTCCGCCGTTCCTTTCTGCGAGCACGTTCTCGAGCACGACGTTCATGTTTGGTCGCTTCTTTCTTTTGCTCACGTTTTGTGCGTCGAGCGATTTTCTTCGCGGCTGACTTCGTCATGACTACTGTCTTCCCTGTGACAGGATCCACCACTTCAACGGGCGGTGCCGTATGATGTGCCATGACATTATCTGGGGACGATTCTGACACTTGCTCGTCTGTCTCTTGATGTGACATCCAATTATGTACAAAACTTTCTATCACCGACTCCAACACATCGTGGGATACATTCTAACATTATGTCAGCAGAATGTAGCGTACAAGAAGGGACGTGCCTAGGGTACGCCTCCACCCTTCGTGCCAGAATGGACCATACGGCGTCTTGGGGCGCACCGTCTGGTGGTACATCATACGGGTTGGGGAATGGTATGACCTATCCTCATACGAATCATCCGGAAACATGTACGCTCCATGTGACTAACAAACAAGCCTCTCTATCGTACGGACAAGTTTTAGCGCCTGAGTCAATCGACCAGCACGCGACACAGCCCACGAATTTGCCTGCAGCACAAGAAAAAGACTACGTTTTCTTCGAGCGCGACACCCGCCAAATGAACAAAGCCACCATTGATGCGGCAAGAAGTGCGAAGATTCGTTTGGAACACTCTTACCGCATGGCGGTGAATCAGGCCGTCGAACGCAGCCAGCGTCGAACAGAGTTGGAAAAGCGATTGTTGAATCCTCCTGACGGCGCATTAGTGTCAGACGAACGTAAGGCGCGGCAGCTTGCTCAGCTTGGACGAAGAGAAACAAGTTATTTGCGCTTACGTCGCACGAGACTCGGGTTGGCCGATTTTCGTACTGTCAAAGTTATTGGCAAGGGTTCATTCGGTGAGGTTCGTGTGGTACAAAAAGTCGATACAGGCAAGATCTATGCGATGAAGACACTACGGAAAAGTGAGATGCTTAAAAAAGATCAGCTTGCACATGTGCGCGCTGAGCGCGATGTGCTTGCCGAATCAAATTCGCCCTGGGTCGTACAGCTGTATTACTCATTCCAAGATACGGCATACTTGTATTTGTTGATGGAGTTTTTGCCAGGTGGCGACCTTATGACCATGCTGATCAAATACGACACATTTTCGGAGGATGTGACCCGCTTTTACATCGCAGAGTGCGTCTTGGCACTTGAAGGAATACATCAGCTTGGATTTATTCATCGAGACATTAAGCCAGATAACATCTTAATTGACCGAAAAGGCCACATCAAGCTGTCTGACTTCGGTTTATCTACTGGATTCCACAAACAGCATGACAATGCATACTACCAAAAGCTGCTTGAGGATCCTCCTCCACAATCATCGTCTCAATCGAATAGAAACTCGGTGGCGGTGAACAGTATCACACTCACGCTCAGTAACAAGGATCAAATTGCCACTTGGAAGGCGAATCGAAGAAAGCTTGCTTATTCCACTGTCGGTACACCAGATTACATCGCTCCTGAGATATTCTTACAGCAGGGTTACGGTCACGAGTGTGATTGGTGGAGCCTTGGTACTATTATGTTTGAGTGCTTGTGCGGATACCCACCATTCTGTTCGGACAATGCGCATGATACGTATCGAAAAATCTTAGCATGGCGCGAGACACTTCAATTTCCTGATGACATTCATCTTAGCCCAGAGGCAGAGGACATGATCCATCGACTTATTACCGCACCTGAGAAGCGCTTGGGACGTAATGGTGCACAAGAGATCAAAGACCACCCATTCTTCGCTGGCGTCGACTGGACAACGATCCGTCAAATCGATGCACCGTTTGTGCCTCATTTGTCCAGCATCACAGATACGAGCTACTTTCCTACGGAAGACTACCAAGATGTGCCAGATGTGCCAGTTGGAGCTGATACTGATGTGGGTGCAAAGGACCTGGCTTTCCTTGGTTACACATTCCGTCGTTATGAAGCGAACGAGAATGCTTTGTGAAACAAATTTTTTCGATTGAAGAACTTATTTGCTACCGTAGAGATCCTTGAATATATTGATGTTGCTTCAATATTTCACAGAACCAATGGGGAAACGACACCCCACGCGAGCTGACACCGAATGTACATGTGTGTATTATGCCTCTTATGGTAGTCGTTGTCCGCCACGTGATTGGTCGCGGGGCTGCAAGAGAGTAGAGCCACAAATTCAGGGGCCCCCAGCGCATCTGGGCATGCATGGATTGCAGGATTTGGGAAGTGAAATCCCAAGCGCTCTCATCGTTCCCTACCATTCATGTTGGCGCTACGCACCGCAACAAAAGGCTGCGGCGTATGGGGTCGATGCCTGGTCCAGGTATCACCTGCTCGTCGTTTGTTGACCACCGCGTCATCGAGTAAACGCGACCCCTTTTTCATGGAGACTCCACGTGCGAGGGATAGCGTGTTCACAGCTCAGGACACTTTCTTGCGTCGGCATGTGGGCCCGCGCCCTGAACAGATTGAGCACATCCTCAAAACGCTTGGCTACTCTTCTGTAGATGAATTCGTGTCTAAAACGGTACCGGAGGAAGTGCTTCTTTCAGAATCCAGTTTTGACGAAAGCGCCATGCCTGCTCTATCAGAATCTGAATTAGCAAGGCGCGGTCGAGAACTTGCGAGTCAAAACCAGGTATTTCGATCGTACATTGGCATGGGGTATTCAAACACTGAGGTTCCTCCTGTTATTATGCGCAACGTTCTTGAAAATCCTGCGTGGTACACAAGCTACACGCCATACCAAGCCGAGATTTCCCAAGGCCGTTTAGAATCCTTGCTCAACTATCAAACACTCGTCAAGTCGCTCACAGGTCTCGATATTTCCAATGCTTCTCTGCTAGATGAGGGTACTGCTGCCGGCGAAGCGATGATTCTGGCACTAAACTGTGTTAAGGACAAGAAGCGCAATGTTTTCCTCGTAGATGAGAATGTGCTACCACAGACACTGGCTGTGCTACAAGGACGAGCAATGGGCTTTGGTATTGAGGTTATAACATCAAAATTGCACGACAATGGCAAGGCTGCACTTCCGCTTGAGCATAAGGAGCGGATTATGGGTGTGCTCGTACAATACCCAGATGTAAATGGCACGCTCGTTGACTGGGCACCGCTTGCAAAGGAAGTGAAAGAACTGGGCGGCCTATTGATCGCTGCCACTGACCTCTTGGCATTGACGATGATTAAGTCGCCTGGTGAGTGGGGCGCGGATGTTGCCGTTGGTAATGCTGGTCGTTTTGGCGTCCCTCCCGGCTATGGTGGGCCCCAAGCGGGCTTCTTTGCCGCATCGGATGCGATCAAGCGTCGTATGCCTGGTCGTTTGATCGGCGTAAGCCGCGATGCCGATGGTCGTCCTGCGTATCGCTTGTCTCTCCAAACACGAGAACAACATATCCGTCGTGAGAAAGCCACATCGAACATTTGCACAGCTCAAGCTCTCTTGGCGAATATGTCGGCCATGTATGCCGTGTATCATGGACCTCGAGGTTTGCGTCGGATTGCGGCCAAGGTCCATGCGTTGACCATCGTACTCAAAAAGCAGCTTGAGCAACTTGGTGCAAAGGTTGTGAATCGGGACGGCGCTTTTTTCGATACTCTTACAATCGAAGCGCCAGCATCGAAGGTCCACAAGGAAGCTGCAGCAAAGCGCATCAACCTACGCCGGATCTCTGATGATCATGTCGGTGTAACACTGGACGAGACAGTAAGCGTGGAAGATATGACTGATGTGATTAACTCCTTTGCTCGTGCAATGTCGAAACCAGAGATTGCCGCTCAAGACCTAGTCGCGTCTACCATGGAGCAGGGTCTTTCAGCGGAGTCGCTCGATTCACTCTCTTTTGATGCGAACTTTGCGCGCACATCGCCGTATCTAACACAACCTGTCTTTAATTCGCACCATTCGGAAACTGCATTGTTGCGATACATACACTCGTTACAGAACAAAGACCTATCGCTTGTCCATGCTATGATTCCTCTCGGCTCGTGTACGATGAAGCTGAATAGCACGTCGAGCATGAATATGTTGTCGTTCCCCGAGTATCACGCAATCCATCCATTTGTGCCTCTAGACCAGGTTCAGGGATACCAGACATTGATCAAAGAACTCGAGGATGATCTTGCTAAGCTAACGGGCTTTGCAGCGGTATCACTGCAGCCGAACTCTGGTGCACAGGGTGAATTTGCCGGTCTCTCCGTGATTCGTGCCTACTTTGATGCTCAGGGTCAGCAGCACCGACATGTATGCTTGATTCCGACTAGTGCACATGGAACAAACCCCGCTTCAGCTGTCATGGCAGGTATGAAAGTTGTATCGGTCAAGACGTTGCCCGATGGAACGATCGACTTGGATGATCTGCGTGAAAAGGCTGAGAAGCACAAGGATGTTTTGGCTGCAAGTATGATCACAGAGCCTGGTACCACTGGTATTTACTTCCCAAAAATCAAAGAAGCCATCAGTATTGTCCACGAGTTTGGTGGTCAGGTGTATCTTGATGGTGCAAACCTACAGGCACAGGTTGGTGTCACTAATCCAGTTGTGATGGGCGCAGATGTCACCCATCTCAATTTGCACAAGACCTTTAGTATTCCGCACGGTGGTGGTGGTCCTGGAGTGGGACCCATTGGTGTCAAAGCTCATCTTGCGCCCTACTTACCAGGTCATCCTGTCGTCAAGACAGGTGGCGAGAATGCCATTGAGCCTGTTTCTGCTGCACCATGGGGTTCAGCATCGATCTTGACGATTGCGTGGGCTTATATACGTATGCTAGGTTGGCATGGCATCCGGACTTCTACCGTCATGGCACTCCTAAATGCCAACTATGTCAAGGAGCGGATCCAGCACAAGTACAAAGTCAAATATGTCGGAAAACACGGCAATGTCGCCCATGAATTGCTCGTGGATGTTGCAGAATTCCAACAGTGCGGTGTACAGGTAATGGATGTTGCTAAACGTCTTATTGATTATGGTTTCCACCCCCCTACCTGTTCGTGGCCTATTTCCACTGGTCTTTTGATCGAGATCACAGAAAGTGAACCATTTGAGGAGATCGAGCGTCTTGTTGACGCCCTCCTGCATATCGCTGATGAGGTGCAAGAAATCAGCGAGGGCAAGCAGCCCAAGGATATCAACCTACTCAAGATGGCGCCACACAACCATTGAGTCGCTCACAGCGGAGAACTGGGATCGCCCGTACTCGCGTGAACGTGCTGTTTTCCCTGTACCCAAGCTGTTTTCGGAAGAACAAGTTCTGGCCTCCTGTATCCCGTATTGATGATGCATACGGCGATCGAAACCTTGTGTGTGAGTGTGGCACAGTTGAGTCCTACTCGTCATAATCTAGCTATTGTCGTTTACCGATGATTCGATTGCGTCATTGAACGAACTGAAACGATGTAAGAAAAAAAAAAAAAAAAAAAAAAAAGCGTTCGCGAAGTTCAACCACGCGGGCATATAGAGAGCGGTCATGAAAGTGTAAGGCCAAAGCAAGTAGATCTTCAACGATGTAATAATGTCATTCTTTCTAGACATGCACAAGGTGACCTTCTTTCTTACGCGCCGTGGTCATGGCTGCAATGACGGCAGAACCAGCACCTGACCCGTCTTCGGCTTGACGCGTCTTGATTGACTTGGCCTTAGGACCAAGAATGCCCTCAAGTGCTTCATGCAGACGATCAGAGAAGTGAGGGTACTTGGAGAACAAACTGCCATCAATACCAACCGTGCAACCTTTCTCGAGCAAGTTTTTCTTCGACACAATAGCGGCAATACCGCAAGCACTCAAGCGCGCAGACCGTGTGCCGATGAGCTGCGCAAGGCGTCGGAAAAATTGACGCTCATCCAGTTCTGTTTCAAGACCGAAAAAGTACTTAAACAAACCCATGACTGTGAGCAACTCATCCGTAGGGTCAGTTTCGAGAAGTGAAAGGAATGCTGTATCAAATGAAAACGGCTTCTCAATCTTGTATGTTTCCTGCCCAAGGAAAAGCACTCCTTCATATATAAGCTCGCAAACGATCAAGCGGAAAATCTCTCCGAGATACAGACCGGCGATCATCTTCTCGAAGGCTTGCTGGTGAGGCTTGTTGGAAGTGAGGTCAATTTCCTCGTCGTATTTTGTGCGCACAGACGCCAAGTACTTGTGGTCGAAGGAGTCAAATGCGCCATACTCGCAGTTGATAGCCATTTTTTCATTGGGAGGCAGGTTTAAGTGTGCAAGCTTCGGGATTTCTGAAACATCTTCCATGTAAGCCGCATTACAACCAGTGCCAAAAATGCACGCAATTTGAGTATCAGGTTCCACGTAGTTCGAAGCAATCAAAGTCCCTGTCGTGTCATTGATGATAGAGCTAAGCTTTACGGGGACGCGAGCTCTTTTCAGACTTTGCCGCAGTAGATCGGCGCAGTCATGCCCTTCTGTGTTAGGGTTGCCAAAGCCCTTAGTCCAATGCGTGAGGACACCATGGTCGATTTTTTTTTGCACGGTTGGGTAGCTGAATGTAAAGCCCAATGAAAGATCCTCGCTAATGTTATCACAAGATCCATATTGTTGCTCAATGAAGTCACGAATACACTCGGCAAAGTAATCGAATAGTATCTGGCCATCCACGTGTTTGTAAGTCTCTTGGATACGGAACTTGGACTGCGTGAGCTCAAAAGTCCGGTCTCCCTTTAGTCTGACCAAACAGGTTCGAATATTTGTTCCTCCCATATCCAAGGAGAGAAAGTCACCCGTCTCTTTACCTGTGGGCCAATTGAACACGAAGGTCGGGAACATAGGGACAACTTGATCCTCTTGCTCCAAGCCACGAGACAAAACTTTGACAAAATTTCGATTGATTTCTTGGAGCGTCTCATCTGAGACGGAGAGAAGTTTCTCAAAGTGCTTTTCCTTCTCATGTAATACGTTCTCCTTTGCACCCGGTGTCTCGAAGCACATGCTGTCACGACTGAACATCGTGACCTATGCAAGTGTTAGCACAACTTATCCAAGGCTTCACTTACATTTTTTTCATTTGTATGCTCAGTATAAGTCATGGTAAGTCTAAAGTCGTTAAGCGCGTAAGGAAAGGCGGCAATACCCTTTGGTTGGAAATAAGGAAGCGTCGGGAGCCAGATTGGTTTCAACTTGGCCCCAACGCCTAAAGTTGCGTGCTTAAAACCTTATGTTGTCCGTGCGTAAGCCGCGTACATGACTGACTAATAATAGCCGACTTCTTCTCCACAACAATCAGCATTTCAGTGCCTAAATAAAATTAATGCGATACCGCTAACTGACTATAAGCGACGCTCAACATTACGACGACCATTCACGAAGTCAGGCGTCTCGAGCGTAACTTCTGGGCTGCCAAAGAGTGCACGATCAACAGCTTCAACTCCAAGCATGAATGAGTGATCTTGGTTGCCGACCTCATACTTCCACGACCCGAAACGACCGCGGCTCAAAATGCCATACTTGTTGAGCAAAGGAGGCAGGATCTCTTGCAGGGCTGCATCACGATCCAGACTAGGGGTAGGGTAGCCTGGCGTGAACTTACGGTGGTAAGTGCTAACAATTTCGCTTTCTGGTAAAAGAAGTTGAGTGTTCACACAACCACGTATTGTGTCTTCAAGGACCTTCTCATTATCAACTGGCTTCAGATGCGACTCAGATACCTCCATCATAAGGGACCAGTACGGACCATCCTGAGGTTCCGAAGATGGAGCACCTTTGGAAGGATCAGCAAACTGTAGCGTCGGAAGCTTGGCACCCTTCTGAGGACAGTTGTTAGGACTGTAGTTCGAGAAGATCGTCGCGCGGTAAAAGGGGCAATCATCTTCAGGGAAGTAAAGCCAACACTTATCTCCGATACGGTTAGGAAGCTCGCCACGGATACCAATACCGATTACGTGAGTTGAAGAGTAGACAAGCTTATCGCTAACAGCTTTTTGGAGTTGCTGCTTCAGACCGCTGTCAATGCCCTCCATAGTGTTGACCAAGAAGTCCAAGCCCATGGTTGAGACGAGATGGTTGTACTTGATCAGAGAACCATCTGAAAGGTATGCTGTGTGTGCCTCAGCATTTACCTTAACCACCTTTTTCTTAAACTGCAAGTTCTCCTGGGGCAGGGTCTTGGCCACAGCTTTCCAAATACCACCGGTGCCACCGCGAGCGGGGAATTTGAACGTTGCATTCGGACCCCAGTTTCCAGCCACTTTTTTGTTAAGAGTGTTGGATACAACCATCTTGAGATTGGGTGCAGCCACACGCTCACCTAGCCATTTGCATTGCATCATCGTCGTGGGGACTGCCCAGACCTTGAAGTTGTAAGGGCGCATGAACAAGTCTGCGATGCCTTCACCCATCATTCGGACAATCCATTCATCAAATGTCTTAGGCGGCTCCTTGGCACGGACACGAAGCTCGGCGGCATCAATCATGCCATCAATGGCCTTGACTTGGTCTTCTGTGGGGAGCATAGAGATGTTGTTCTGGTACGGGTCTGCACCGCATTAGCATTTTCTGTGGTACTGATGAACAAAAACTTACAGGGTACCCAGACATTTCGACTACGCACGTATGAGATACGCTGGTGTTCGTACCAGTCGTCCTGGTTGGGAAGAGCCTGGGCCAGCACATCGTCGAAGTAGGCGTAGTGCGAAAAGATGACGTGTCCACCCACATCGAAAAGGAAGCCTTCTTTGGTCACATCAGTCGATGCCAAACCACCAGCCTCTTCATTGGCGTCGATAAGAGTCCATGAGCCGAGGTTCTGTGGTGAGATGCACACGGACCACGTACAAGTTGGTTCAGGCGTTTGGCAGCTCCAAGGCCTGTAGGGCCTGTATTTTTGTCAGCTCTATTCGATTTGATACAAGAAGAGCGTTTTCACTTGTATTGATAATGCACTAACATACCTGCACCAATAACTAGAGTATCGACTTGTTGGGTCGACATGATACTAGGGAAAATATGGTGGGACACCCGCCGTGCGTATTCAATTCAATGCACATTACTGCAAGATGCACATGTGGATGTATGCACGTGGGTCCTCTTGATTCGGGGCAGGCGGTATGTCATGCGACCGGGTTGAGGCCGAGATGTGCAGCCAAAATTTGTCAGAGCAACAGACGGGTTCCTGCCACACACAAAACTGGAGCCGCTATCCACCCATCTCGCTGGAACTATAAAGATCACGTGAGCACGTGACACAGACCGCAAGCCAGAGGACGACCACGAGTATGCCGCACCGCTTCCTAACGCCTCGTCTTGCAACGATCCGTCAAGAGTACGTGCCTATTTCGCCAAGAATCACTACTAACATTTGTTGAAGATGGTGAACATCCCAAAGACCCGCAGGACATACTGCAAGGGTAAGACTTGCCGGAAGCACACGTACGTGTTTGAAAGTGGTATATGAGGACTAGTCCTACTGACACTCTCACAAGCCCCCACAAGGTGACTCAGTACAAGGCCGGTAAGGCGTCTGAGTTCGCTCAGGGTAAGCGTCGTTACGTTCGCAAGCAGAAGGGTTACGGTGGTCAAACCAAGCCTGTCTTCCAAAAGAAGGCCAAGACGACAAAGAAGGTTGTGTTGCGTCTCGAGTGTACGGTGTGCAAGTATCGCTCTCACCTCGCGTTGAAGCGCTGCAAGCACTTCGAACTTGGTGGTGAGAAGAAGACGAAGGGTGCTGCTTTGGTGTTCTAAATGTATGCCCCCTCACTTGTGTGTATACATGAGCGCCATACATGCTGGCAAAATGTGTGTGTGTGTGTGCGTGTTTGGGACGGATGGCTACACATTGATACTATAGTTTGTTTGCTTCTTTCGTTGCCAGCAATCAAAAAAGATATCATGCACTGACATGTACTTACATACTAAAACGTGTGATGCGATGTGTTAACAATGCTGTTTTTTCTTGTGCGTGCGATGGGGTATAGGTAAGGTCTATTTTGGAACAAAGCCTAATAAGGTCTTGGGGGGGCATTGCCACGAGGTATGCTTGGGTTGTACCACCCATAATCCTTCTGGCGTCCGTACCCTGTTCCAGACGGTGGGGCAGCAGGAAGCCGAGGCAGTGGTGGATAGGCGCCATTGCCAGAAGACGATAGATGAGCTGCTGGCGGTGGTGGTCTCGTAGTGACAGGTACACCTGGCATCATAGGTGCATGTGGCAAACCAGGCGCCATCAGCATCGGAGGACGTGGCATGATCGAAGGACGCACACCAGTGTTAGGGGCAACGTTGGGATTCATTTTCCACTCGCGCTTGTTGCGGTCGATCTCCTTCGACGGTAAATATTTCGGAAGAGAAGCTGGATCAGCTGGATATGGTTTTGTCCAAAACCATTCATGCTCAAGTGCTTCTGCCGCTGTGAGACGCTTGCTTGGATCGAGCACAAGAAGTCGATCAATCAGATCAGCACATTCGCGTCCACAGTCGATAACGGTGGTAAAGTGCTGTCTTATGACACGTGGGTACCGCCCGAAATCATGTCGACCTAGGACATTCGGGTTATTGTCTGGTCGTCCTGAAGGTGTGGCATTTTTCACGCCAGGCAATTTCGACCATCCAGGGAAGTTGTCATCATTCGGTGAGCCACACAAAGCGGAAATGAGCTCCAGCTGATTGATTTCGGATGTGCCTTTGAAAATTGGTTTGCGCGTTATCATTTCTGCAAGTATACATCCCACCCCCCACATGTCGATCGGCGGCCCGTAATTTCGCTGGCCCACCAAAAGCTCAGGAGGGCGGTACCAGCGTGTGACAACCATTTCAGTATAGTTGTGTGATCCAACCCAGCCACGCGAACGCCACGCTTCATCAGGATCATGGAACGGACGCGCGAGACCGAAATCGGCAATTTGAAGCTGGCCTTGATTGTCGATGAGAAGGTTAGCGGCTTTCATGTCTCGGTGCATAATGCGGTTCTTGTGCAAATATAGCATACCCTCTAGAAGTTCCCGCATATAAAGCTTGATTTGGTTCATCGGCAGTTGCACACTTGGATTGTCGAGCAGGCCATTCAAGTCATGATCCATATAGGGTTCAACCATGTACACTTCGCCCATCTTTCGTCGTTCCGTAGGTGGCCTATACGCCATATCAATGACTGGTACGATATGTGGGTGCTTCAGGGCCTTGAGCAACTTGATCTCCCGCAGCGCAGTAATTGGCAAACCATCTTTGGCGTCGTATATCGTGACTTTCTTTAATGCAACACTGCGCCCTGTTGAAATTTGCTTTCCCTGTTTTACCTCGCCGAAGGTGCCCTGACCAAGTTTCACCGACACTTCGTAGGCTTGAACGTTACTACAACCGACGAATGTCCGTTCGCGAAGCGGTGCCGGTTTAGGCCGCGCACGCCGAGCCAGTGTACCTGGTCGCGGCCCACTGCGTACTTTGACAGGAGTCTGGAGCTGAGGACGTGGCAATGGTGACTCGCGTCTTGGTGGCACCATCCGCAGGACGGAAGCCGTATCATCACGTCGAGTCTCGCGTCGAAAGCTGTCCCGACGTTTGTCCTGACGCGACCATGTACCTGATTCATCACGAAGGCGTAAACGCTCTTTTCGACGGTCCCAATCGTCGCGAGACGTGTCTCTAGCATCATCCAGGTAGTAAGGGGCGGGACGTGGACGTTCATACGAGTACTCGCGCCTAGGGTGGGCACGTTCTTCCATTTGGTCCCATGTCCGGATGCCCCTCTCGTCTCTTGATTTATCTACCCAGTCCTCGGGCCGCCTGCGCGAACCTTCTCTAGCTCGCGTAGACGCGGGAGCTCCAGGTCGAGTGGGCGAGCGACGATCGTCATTCGTGCTGCCGTTGGCGCCGTTCAAAGATGGTCTATAACTTGTACCACGATAAGGTGGTGATATTGATTTTCTGCGTTCCTCATAAACGCGTGGCGAAGATTCCGCTCCTCGGGACTGCCAAGCGTCTCGGCCAGAGTACGATGGCTCCTCCCGGGGCATGGTCGTCGAGCGTCAAGAGGGACGAAATTCACAATCACGTGTTGATGTGGCACTCCACCTGTGTACCTGGAGATGACGCTGAAAAATAGGGTGCGGGTGCCTACACTGCTTTGTGTCTTTGGAAGGTGTCGCCGCGCTTGTTGGCTGACAGCTGTCGTAAGAGCTGATTCGTGTGTGCCGTGGTAGTAAAGGGAAAGTAGTGCAAACTACGACCGAAGTGCGCGGGTGCGTGTGCAACGTTGAGCAACGGCGGTATTGGGTGTGATGTCGGATGACAAGTTCCGTGATGCGTTCCGACCGCGAGATGCAGATGGAGGACGAAAAACCAACAAAGCACCAGTGCAAGAAGTGAATCCAAATGTACCTTTATATATGGCTCAAACGCCGTGGTACTTAAATGTGGGTGGCAATGCATCGTTGGAACATCAACGAAAACCTGCCCAAACCAAAGCGGAAGCGGGTCTTGACGATTGGTACAAACGCGGAAGAACGGCTACGACAGCTACGCGTTTTCGCAAGGGCGCATGTGAAAACTGTGGTGCCATGACGCACAAAACCCGGGAGTGCATGGAGCGCCCCCGCAAACGGGGTGCCAAGTGGACTGGGAAGGATATTCAACCGGATGAAGTGCTAGAGAGCCTGGAGCACTTGGAGTATAACTACGATGCTAAGCGGGACCGATGGAATGGATACGATCCAACAAGTCACAGAGCTGTCGTAGAACGATATGAAACAGTGGAGGAAGAACGTCGCCGGCTGCGGGAGAAGGTGCTTGATGAACAAGCGTCTACAGAAGTACATGCCGCAAAGCTAGAGGCGAAAAAAGAGAAAAAAAGACGCGCACGAGAGGACGATGATTTTGACAGCAGCAGTGATGATGATGACGATGACGATAATGAAAAGTACGCGGAGAAGGCCAGCATGGTCGGGCAGAAAATCGATTCAGACAAGCGAATTACTGTGCGCAACCTCCGTATCCGCGAAGATCGCGCGAAGTACCTGTACGATTTGAATACAGAGTCTGCAGCACATTATGATCCCAAAACGCGATCTATGCGAAGTGCGCCTAATCCTGATGCATCTGAAGATGATGCCTTTGTGAGACCCCACGCTGGACCAGCGGATCTCACCAAGATGCAAATGTTTGCTTGGCAGGCCGAGCAACGAGGCGATACAATGCTGCACATGCAAGCAAACCCAACAGATCATGAACTCCAGTTCAGGCAGTCACAGCAACGGAAAGAACAGGAAACGAAAGAGGTCAAGAGCAGCATTTTAGCGCGCTATGGCGGAGTAGAGCACCTTGACACTATGCCACCTGAGCTACGTACCGGCCAGACGGAAGCATATGTGGAATATAGCCGCACAGGCGAGATCGTCCGTGGGCAGGAACGTGCAAAGCCTCGCTCTCGGTATGAGGAGGACGTCTTTGAAAACAATCACACTAGTGTGTGGGGCTCATGGTATGATATGAACCAGGGTGTGTGGGGGTACCGTTGCTGCCACAATACTTTGCCACGATCTTATTGTACGGGCGAAGCGGGTAAGGCGGCCAATGCCGCTGCATCGGCCTAGAGCGATAAACGCTTGTGTGACTCTGCAGCAACCTGTTCGAGAAGAGCCGTGTGTTTCTTCGTAATCTCTTCCAGCTGAAGAATTCGTTAGCTTGCTGTCTCTTGCACTGTGACAAACCTTTTTTGACTCTTTCTGTGCCTCGTTCTTACTCAGGATCTTGTTGTCGCTGTCGTGCTTCATGTGTTTTTGCGCAGATTGGCGTACATTCCGCAGCATCGTTTTTGCATGGTCACATTCCTTTATGCATTTCTGCAGCAGTATCTTGCGCGTTTCGCCAGTTGGTCTGTATGTTAGGTAGGAAGTAAATGTGTTTAACGAACTTTGGAACATGTACAATCATGACACCCTCTTCATCGTGCATAATCTGTGGTGCAAGATCTTTCCCGACTGCATATATGGCCTTTTCAATGTGCTTCAAGGTCTGAAAAGTGAGAATCACACTTACGCACCTCAGGCTCATACGCTGTGATTACCAACACATTGTCGCGCACACCAACAGTGGCAAAGTTATGTAACGGTATAGGCTTGATGCCCTTTCCAGTAGACACGCGCACATCGTCCAAAAGTGCTAATGTCAGTGGGCACCCGTTAGATTGCACGTACCTGCATCAACCCGGCCAAGGGATCCAACAAGCGTGCGTACATGCTCACTGCAGCGTGCCACGACGCTTTCCATTTCCGAAGAAGTACCATTTAAATCAAGCTGGGGAGTTGCATCCATTGGTTCTGCCATCTTCTCGTTCACTGCACCCTTGTTCTTTTTCTTTTGAGGCATGTGCGTGGCGCTAAAAGTACGCGAGGTCAAGATGATTGGCGAGAAAGGAGCTGCCTTGGTTGCGAAGGCAGGGATGTTCGGCAAGAATCTTGGTGCATATCGTGGAACATTCACGATATATTGCATCCTTCTAGTCACCATAGTGAGTGTCATGACGTGGGCAAGCCAAGTCCCGTTCGCTTCGAGAGATAAGAAGTATTCTAACTTTCTGTTGCTTTTCGATACGTGACTCAATTTATGTGCCGCACCTAAGTATTCGGCTATCCCCACTGGTAACTGACACATGACTCAATAATGGAAATCCCCACACGCTGCCGACGGTATCAACAAGTGCACTACGCACTAATCTAAGCACAAATTTGGAATACTAGCAGAAATTACACGAAGCCACATGGGCAAGGGTATATCAGGATGCAGAAAGGCCAAAACAGTTTCCACCATCCGCATTAATCATAGTCCTCATCCTCTTCGAGAACACGCTTGACTCCATGTGATTCGTTCTCGTCCCCGTCAGCCATGGGCGTGTCTCCAGCCCCACTTGGAACGCCATCCTGGCGAGATTCTTTCGGACCATTTGATGGTCGAACAAAGGACTGTCCAAACTGCGCATCGGGGGGGGGATCCGGTACAATAGAAAAGTTGACATTTGTGAGACAGTGTTCCGGCGCGGGAAGTCGAATGCCGTAGCGATTAGAGACAGGGGGAAGCGGCACACTGTTCAGAGACGAAGCCAACGACAGTAGCATCTTCCGTATAAGAAAAAAAAAAAAACTCTAGCCATCTCGATACGTACCTCCTTGGGCGGTGGTTGCGTGAAACTATAGTTGACACGACTCTGGATGGCAAGTTGGACATCGTCAAACGACACAGTACTACCACTTTGGCGCGAGGATGCATGATCTGCATAAACCAAAGCATCTTGAAGAACTTGCGTGGTATAACCTGGGTGTCAACGATGGGTCACGTATCACTTACGGTGAGCAAACTCGAGTAGCTGCACCAATACTGCCGGCTCTGCATCCTCGACACCCATACTGGCTAGGATGAGCGAAACAAGACGAGCATCACGAGGTACAGGCGCTAACGATGAAGAATCATCCTCCTTAGATAGAATGTCAGTTTTTGTCGCTGACATCCCTGCACTACAAGAGGGACCGACTGAAGAGATTCAAGACTAATGAATATCGGAAATGGTCGAGCTTGGCGACCCCCACACACGCGCTTAATTCCGCGAACAACTTAGTTCCCCTACACCTACAATCCCTAATGAATCAAGTAGTTGTCGGCCACCAGCACTGCCTCATGCGAAAAGTGCCGAGGTGTACCGGTTGGTGCATCGAGCACATTCAGTACTTCCAACGGGAGTAGCGCACTGTGAGCAGAAAAATCGACAGAAACAGGGAAAAAGACGTCCACCGAATCTACGCCGCTTGAGACAGAGAACTCGAGACTTGCGGACGCGTTGGCATTCGAGATGGCGGCGGTGCGCCAAACGACCATATTGTTAGACGAATCGATTTCACAAGAACCAACTTCTGGCTCAGAAATATCAGGTTGTGTACCAGAAGGCACTGGAACAGCAATCACCACATCCGTCAGCTCGAGAGACGAATTTTCCAGCTGGTATTCAATATTGACATCACATGCGCCATCACCCGACGGACTGACCCATACAGCGATCGACAATGGGAGAGCAGATTCATCTTTCGTGACACACCTCCAGCGAAGCACCCCAACTTGCTGGTTCAATGGAAACTCACGCTTCGGATCACGAAGAGCAATCTTCCGTTCTGCCGACCAAGGCTGCTTGTCAACGTGAGGGTGAGTGCGGTATTGTACTTCGGTTCCACCAAATTGCTCACTGGCATTCATGAGGATGCTAAGACGTGTAGCAGATGGATCTGTGATTTTCAACAATAAATCGCCCTTGATTTCAAGAGATTCAAGCCCACCATCGCGGTTCCCTGTGACAGATACACGTTCTTTCACCGTCAGGTGCACGTTTTCTACCGCATGTTTTTCAGCCGGCATCGCATCCAAAGGCTGAGCTGGTGCAGGCTCATTCGATGAATCCGGGATAGAAGATGCCATAGTAACCAGCTGAGGTTGATCGTGCTGGGCAGAAGCAACAGATACACTCTGCTCAGCTGGTTCAGATTTCATCTGGACGCCTGGCTCGCAAGGTTCTTCCGCTGGCTGTGTCTCTTCGTGTGGGTACAGGTTGTTGGGCTGCGATGTCTCCGTGGGTTGATGAATGTCTTCATATTGGTGTGCATCCTCAGGCTGAAATTCTTCTTCCGAACCCAACGTTTCCTTTGGCTGATGAAGTTCTTCAAAACCAAACGTGTCTTCCGCACTGTGGCCCTGTTCAAGGTTTAAATCATGTCCAGCTTGGTGCGCTTCTTCAGGGTTATAGTCTTCTTGTTCATAGGCCTCTTCTGGGTAGTAATGCTGCTCTGGAGGATAATCTTGTTCAGGGTGAGGCGCTTCTACAGGCTGAAATGCGTACTGGGAATTGGAATTTTTTTGCGGCTGGTAAGAGTCTTCTTGGAGGTACGCATCTTCTACTCGAGCAGGTTGCTCAGATAGTGGATCCTCGAAGCCTTGCACACGCTCTGGATCAAATGTTTGCTCAGTGACGCCATACTCGTCCTCACGATTATTCACGCTTGGCTCTTGATGAAAGTCACTATAAGTGCGGTGTTCGTGGCTGTCTTGCTCTTTGAATTCAGTATTGGATGTGCCGAGTTGTTCGGGGTCATGGGTCGCCATTTCCCACGTTGAATGTGTTACGACTGACTTGCTCTCTTGGTTGGGAGCATCTTGTGCAACTAACGTTTCTTGCATCGCAGATTCTTCGGTGACAGGTTGGTCCATTAGATTAGGAAGCTTCACTGTTGATTCATGCGGGACATCCTCGACAGAGTCAATCAAAGCGGCTTCGGTAACTCCAGATTCTTGCTTTTGAACAGGTGATTCTGCTTTTTTTTCAGTGGCTGGAGCTGAAAAAAGTGTCTGTGATCCACCTACCGGTCGACCACTTCCTGATTGTGGGATAGACACTTGAGCAGGCGCGGGAGCAGGCTTGTTGGTAGGTCTAGAAGGGGGCTTTGAGACATGTGAAGGCCGAGCTGCAGCACGAGCCTTCGAAGCGGCTCCTTGAGCTGGTGCGACAGCAGGCTTGTGCGTAATAGATGCAGAGCCTGGTGCGCTTTTTTGCACCGAGCCCAGTATCGCGGACCCTTTCGGTTTTTTCCCGAGCTGCATGCCTTTCCCTTTTAGAGGCGTTGTCTGCGCAGTTGTTTGTGCCATAGAATCCTGCATGCCATAAACAGGGGCTGTTGGTGTCGCGTCATACGTGCGAGAAACCGAACCAACATCGCTACCAAAACCTGCATTAGAACGTCTCGAAGCATCACGGCGCTGCATTTCGAGCTGACGAGCACGGCGTTTCAATTCTTCTTTAGCTTCTAGTTCCTTGTTTCGCTCGATAATTTCATGGATCCGTTCTTCATGACTGTCCATTTCAAGCATAGTGCGGACCTGCGAAAGAGTTACGTTCTCTCGATAGCCCATGGAGACGATCTCATCAAAAGCTTCAAGAATTTCAAAGCACGAGAGAAGAATCTCTTGCTCATCAAGCGAATGACATCTATCACTGACGGCGCGCGCAAAGAGATGCAAAGAGTCAATGTCCTGGAGAATGTTAGAGTTCTTGGTCGTGATGAGTATCATGTATAGATCCTCCAAAGGTTGGTAAACGAATCGCACAGCATCTGTTTCCACGAACGTATGCTGCGACCCAGAAGTGATGAGTTTCGGGAAAGAGGCTAGCAATGCCTCGATACGAGAGCCAGTCATCTCTCGGAATTGACGAGAAATGACCGCTACGCCAGTTAGTCGTCGAGTCGCAGGACGGATGCTTTCAACATACGTTTTCCACCACGCGTAGTAATTGAAGCCGCTAATAGCACCTTTTAGAGTCAATATCACCGCTTGCATCATGTTTTCACATACCATTCTCCTTGTCTGGTGCTTGAAGCGCACACGCCGGTCAGTGAGTTCAGGATGGATACCGTGTGTCGAAGTAGTGCGTCACCCGCGCCTCACGTGACGTCTGTGCCACGCAGATGGGACAGCCCCAGGTCGTTGGATGATCGAAAGGCTCTATGGTCGGCGCTCATGGGACTCTAAAGCGACGCCAATTGCATTGTCTTGAGTGCGTGGCACAAGAGAACGGGGAACCAATCGTGTATTATAACGTTACTTCATGTACGCCATCTCGAGTAATGACGCGCACGTTAAAGTTGTTAACATCTATGACAAATCTCTTGCGCATTTCCTCAATGCATTGCTTCAGCAGTTTTAGACCTTCATCCAACGACATATCAGGCCTGTGATAGCGATCCATTGTAGATAGCGTCAGATATGAAGCATAGCCATGAGCCGCGAATGGCACTTGGACGAGTGTACCAAGATAGTCTACCCAATAAAGAGCAGGCTCGGACGTAGGTTCATCGTAGCCGCCCAAAAGCAGGTTCACTTGATAAGGATGGCGCGAGCGGATTGCTTCAGCAAGCTGAGATCGAATCCAAGATGCAGCTGCTTTTGGTCGAAGATCAATGTTATTACTGAGCATTAGCCTTGTAGAGCAAAAAAGTTACATACCGAATGGAGTATAAACGCATGTTCCGTTCGATATATTCCGCAAATTGAATGGTATCTCCTAGACATGAGTTAGTCATGTTTGTTTTCAGAAAACCCAAGTATTATCACGCAGCAGAGATTGCGCAAGCACCATTTCTTTTAAGTTACTTACCAGACTCACCAGCGTATGCCATGACTAGACGTTTCGACAAAACTTTCTGTTTGTCATCATCTGACTTCATTTTTATAATCGACCGAGCTGCATTTCCGTCTGATGCGATGATGGTGTAGCCTTTGCCCGTGATTCCGAACAAACACTCCATCGTCACGAACCAAAGCAGACGAATAGATGTGTAGCCAGGCTCAAGCGATCTATGATGACGACGCTGCCTTTGTCACGTGATCGAGAACGATGCGCGTGTCAACCCACGCGCGATGGACGTGCATTCATAGATTTATGGTGATCGCAGTTGCGTGGAGAGACAGGGGCTACCGACAAGCGCATGATGAACGAGGACGCAGGCTCGGATGTGGAAGCAGCACGAAGGCATCTTATACTGACGGAGGTATTTGGAATACATCCACGCGCTATTGTTGATGCTTTGGTAGTTTCAGCCAATGAACACTTATATATTCAGGGCCAAAAACTTGAAGAGACTGTTTGTGGTCTTTTGGGTGACACCGAACAGGCAGAAAAATTGGCCGAAGAGAGCGTGCATTCCGTCATGACGCTTCTTGAACATGCTATTGATCACACCATGGACACCTTCGAGCTGTATTGTCTGCGCTCAATTTTTGTCGTCACGCCAGAACAATCACAATACATGACAATGGCGCACCATCGAGGGCTGGATCTACGTCCTTCGTGTTCTTCTCAACTTGACCCCACGCCCGAAGAAGAGCACGCATCGGATGAAGTTCCAATTGTAACTGACATTGAAGACCAACTCCTTCGTCGTATTGCCTGTGTACGTAAATATGTTGCCTTCTCACACCTACAGGCTCGTGCCACTCAACACCGGCTAGCTCAGGCGGAAGCTGCAGCTAAAGTTCGACTGGAGCGCATGAATATGGTTCAACGTACATATGAATTTATCCTTGAAGGTGCAGAAAAATTGAATGCCGGGAACGACGGAGATACGTCCTCGGCTGTACTTAATATTGCTGATGATGTCATGTCTCAAGTGTACGGGGTTATGGAAGCATTGGACACATTGATGGGTGCTGAACCATTTACTGCTACGCTTTCTATGACATCAAGTGAAGCTAAAGACGTAAGTGAGCGTGAAGGTATGGTTGATGCGAAACGTGAATGGGAGAAGGGGCGCGATGAATACTTGAATTGGGAAGCCCAGCGCATCATCGCAAACATGAAACGGTCTCCTACGTAAATTTTCATTTCGTTTCCTTTGCTTTTTCTTCGCAACTAGCCGAGGCGCATTTGTCGACGTATACCCTGATTACTCTGTATTGGCGATGTGCTATATCATCGATTACAATGCATGAGTACAAGAAATCTTCTCTTCATGAGACCTGTGGGCCAGCGCCACTTTCACTGCTGTCAATAATGTTCGTGATGTGACTGATGCTGCTGTTGCTGAGCCAAGGCCTGTTGGCGATAATACTCTTCCCACTCTTTCGAGTAATCACGCACTGGAGCGCCATCCTGTTCAGCATTTCCACTTTGTTGTTGCTGAGCGGCTTGTGCAGCATAATATGCAGCCCATTCAGCCGTGTAATCACGCTGTCCTTCAACTGGCTGTGTCTCTGTGGCCCATGCACGCTCATTAGAGCCAAGCGAATTCCAGCCGCCTTCGGCATAGGAACTGTCCGGAAGAGAATCGCGATTGCTTCGACCGGGTCCAGGTGCATTCCACACTTCCGGGTCGCGCCAAGGAGGAATTTTCTCACCACGCTCATTTCTAGGTGGGCCCGCGTAGCCAGACACGCCTAAATACCCGCTTGAATATCCACCTGGCTGTTCGCCTAGTTCTGCCATCAAAGTAGCATACTCTGTGTCGACATGTGAAGTGGCCGGGTCCATCATTTCGCCGGTATTTTGCGGTGCCGAGAAGCAATCCCGCGCTACGTGACCGCTTTGACCGCATTTATGGCAGACAATATAGGTGGTCCAATTCCGATCATGGGGACATTCGAATTTGCGATGTCCCTTCTCACCACAGTTTTGACAAACCTGATTTTCGTCATCACGCAGCGTTCCATTCAACACAGCAAGCTCTCGTAGCTGACTGCGCTTATGATCGTTCTGCGTCTCTGGCGTGGAGGCTGCTGTGGCCACCACTTCGTTGATCAACTTAATACAATGTTTTATAGATCGATCATTGTCAGCGGTTACAATGCAATGCATGTCTTCCTCTTCACCATCTGTCGACCCCTTTCCGTGTTTGACACTTCCACGTCCACGAATATGAATTTTCGCGCCACTCTGCCCCTCCATCTTTTTAAGAGTATTTCCACGCGGCCCAACAAGCAAGCCAAAAAAGTTGATTTCGGGAAATTCACGAACAGGCAAATAGACCTTTTCGGTGGGTCTTCCAGCTTTCCGACTAGCATGAAAGTCTAATGGGGGGCGATACGATGGATCAAGGCGCATTTGTCGCTCAACCAAGCGTGTGCGTTCTTCTTCTAACTTGCGTCGGTAACGAATTTCTCGAGTATTGTTCCGAAATCCATGACTGTCGTACGTAGGCGGTGGTGATGGTGATCTTTCGCGCTCGGGCGGTATCACATCGCCCGTGCGTAACTTGCGATTGATCTCGTCCATGCGGACCTGAACAGCATATCGATCCAACTCCTGACCGGAAACATTGCCGGGGATAGCAGCCGATGATACATCCTTTCGATCAGTTTCATTCCCCCAGCGTGAACGACGCTTGCGCGCGCCTTCATGAGCAGGTTCACGAGTCATGTCATGGTTGAACGATCGTTTAGGTGCCTCGCGTTCGTAACCGCCAGCGCCACCACCACCGCTAGAAACCGAGCTTGAGCCCCATCGTCGCGTACTACCGAGCGGCTGCGCATTCATGCCTGTTCTCTGGGCATTACTTCTCCACGACATGTTTTGCGCGCTGCCTTTCTAGCAAGCTTGGTCACTACACTCTTAGGCTTGGCTAGAGCAAAAGCGACGCCTCACATGCGCTGCGTGAGATAAACGGGGGCAATGTCGTTGCAGCGAATGCCACGTGGATCCACGTGTTCGTGTGGTTCTTTGACCCAAACTCAATCGTCAAGATCCTGATTGAATTAGAGGCTGTGGATCCTATGGCTAAAGGTTCAGGCGGGTCATCGCATCGTCGAGCCCAGAAAGCTCGGCAACAGTCCAAAAGCACAAGCCAGGCAGATGAAAATTCAGGGACTACCTGTCACTTACAAAAACCTGACCACACTCGTGCGGCCCATTTGAACCCACAAGATGAATCGGATGCTGCCCAACAAATCAATGATAAGTGCGAGCCCGAGTTAGATCGAGAGAGAGGTATGATGCCGCAAGATACAGAGGAGAAGAATTCAGGCGTAGATTTCGAGATACCAAAGGAAAGAGTCATGATGAATAAACATACCATCACTCAAGAACCCCCAGAAGAACATGGTAGAGAACAAGAAGCAAACGTGCAATCCTTGCAAGAGGAGAACGAGGCATTGAAGAATGAGATTGAGTCTATACAGCAGACACTTCAAGAGAGTCATCAGGCATTTGCCCACCAAATTGTCCAACTCTCAGTGAGTCATGATCAAGAAAACGAGGCCGCGCGAAAAGCACTATTGGACAAGCTGGAGACAACACAAGAACTTCTCTCAACGTCACAAGATCGTGTCCGTATACTAGAATGTCAAGTTAAGGAACAAGAAGAAACTATATCCACACTTTCTTCATCAAATAATAAAGGTTTGGCACAGATGGTATCACTGCAAAACCAAATCACTGTACGTTTTCTTCAAGGTGATCGAAAAGGGTTAAGCTTACTCTGCAAGACGATATTAGCCAATGCTCCCGAGCCCCGCACCGAGTCATTGGCTCATATTGCCAAGGAACTAGGATACACGGAATCATCTGATTATGTGCGTATAAACTCCTACGTGACTAACATTTCTAGTCGTTTTTGGAAAAGGTACGAATGACTGCATGCTTGGCTTATTCATGTACTACAGTTGCATGCGGCGCATCATGACAGATATACCAGGCTGCATAGTTCAATTCAAGCAAGATACCAGACAGCAGCAGACAAGTTTGCAGAGGCCCTTCGTCAAATTGAGAAGGCTCTTGAACAATCGGCGCCGTCAGTGTCTCAGGGCATTCTAGATCCTTTGTGTTCCTTTCAAACGCATCTCGTTCATAGTCTCGCGTTACCAGACGCGTCGCCTTACTCGGCCGAGTGAGAATGGGATTTGGAGGTCATCTACATTTGTGCAATGACTTTAGGACTCGAGTCCGGCGTGCCAAGACTCTGTGGTACAATGGTCGAGCCAGTCCCTGGAAAGAAGGCGCCATTTGATCGCACGCATCGTTCCAACTCATTCGATGCGGGAGGTGCTGTGTTACATGCGCTTGCGCGTTCTCCGCATTACAATGAGAATCTGCATCGTCAAGGTGACATGGAACCTGTGCCCGGGTTAAACCTCGACGCGGGTTCGGGAGGCTCGATGTACGAATTTTTCGTTCACAAGTGGGAGATTCCTCGCAAGCTGTTCCATTGTGTGACTGGATTTGTCGTACTCAATCTTTACAGGTTGAATGTGGATGTGCATTTGATCGTTAAAGTACTGTTTTACATTTTCCTTGTGGTTGCCTCAGCAGACCTGCTTCGTTTGAACTCGCCTTCATTTGAGCGTTTGTATGAAACTGTTCTTGGTGTTCTTATGCGGGAAGGAGAAAAGGAGCGTGTCAATGGCGTTGTTTGGTACTTGGTTGGCGTCATGATGAGCCTGCATTTTTTCCCGGAGGATATTTCTAGCGTTTCGATCATCATTTTGTCTTGGTGTGATCCTGCAGCATCTACTTTTGGTCGCCTTCTTGGAAAACATACTCCGTCACTTCCGAGTCGTATTTTTGCCCGTCGTAAATCACTCGCTGGTTTTGTTGCAGCCTGGATTGTCGGTACTTTTATTGCATATCTATTTTGGGGCACCGGTATTGCAAAGCGAAGTGAGCGTGCTTCGGGCGTGTCCTGGATGCCTGGCGGATACGCTACTTTTGGCACTCCTCTCATGCCGATTCTTTCCGCACAGCCTGGCATGGTTTTGCACATGGTTTGGCAGCATCGGATCCGGGTTTTTCTGAGAGACTTAGGACTATGACGCAGACGCGGGCGCCTGCAATTCCTCCTATCGTAATGTATCTCTCATGTGGGCTTCTCGCTGCTTTTACCGAGGCGCTAGAGATCGGGGGTATGGATGACAATGTTGCCATCCCCATCCTAAGTGGCTTTTTGATATGGTTCATGCTCTGGCTTTGGGGTTGGCTTGTGACAAGCCTTTAGAGTGAGTTTGTATTCCGAGGGCTAGTTATTTTATTTTATTATTCTCATATATACATAACTACCTGTCGTATAGTCTGTCGGTGCTCGTGTTCGGAATCTCTCAGATCGCTTTTCAGTTCACGTTGAACGAGTTCTTCGTATAGGTGGGCGTCCATGCACGCGCTGGTACAACATGCCATGGTATTTTCGGGTTTGGTACAATTGCCGCCATATGTAGATTGTTAAAGCGAAAACCACGATCAGTACATTCAGGAGCTAGCGTTAGTGGACATTTCGCTTCATCAGGACACTTACCACAAATTGTGAATACTTAAATACTTCCGCATGAACAAATTTTCCGCATGCACTCCATCCCTGCACCTGAGCATTAGTGCCAGTATGTGTGCACTGTACTTCCTGTCGGTTGTTGTATGGTCGGCAATAAGGGTATGCTAGCTGTTGTTAGATGCTGCACGAAACACACGTTATTCTCTGGGCATGGCTTGCATTCGCCCATTGGAGCACATATGTATTCACTGATTTGGGTGATTTCTGTTTGATCGAGCCACGTCGAAGGTAGAGACATGCCCGAGTCTACTTGCACCTGTTCGCTGGTAAAGGCTGACGGTTGTCTCTCCACTGTGATCGATGGACCGAGTTTCTGACGCAAGCCAAATTCATTAAAGAACGCGTTTTTAAATCCCCGTCACAGGATGAGGCAAATCCCAACACTGGATTCATGGACATTGGATCAAGATCAAGCTCTGATTCTCTACATATGTGATGAGTCTGCCGACTGTTGTGCATGCCATGCACGCGCCATCTGTAACAGTTTGTGTGCAGGCTTATTCTGTTCCTCATCATCAGGGAACGCAAGGTCATAATACTCTTCCATTACCCCTTCTCCGTCTGGAACCTCGCGACGACGCTTGATTACACGTGGCATCCTGGCTTGCACAGAGTCAACACTAGCTGAATCACCATGCTCGACTTCAAATGCTTTCCATGCTTCTAGAAGTACCACACGCTCCTCTTTGACGCCCTCCTCCTTCAGTCGCTTGTAACCACGCTCAAAGATGGATCGAGTCTCCTTGGCTGCTTCCTGGTGCGAGGAAGCGCGATACGCTAGTTGTTCATCAGATAAGGGTGCTTCTCGTCCCTCCTCTTCAGCTTCTGCATCTTCATCTTCTTCCAGGGCGATCACTGCAGCCATTTTTCCGAGTGCGTAGCTAATCCATACTTTAACATGGCTAGTCTTTTCGAGCAATCGCTCATACAGCGCGTCTACACGCTCCATCTCTCGTTCGCCGAATTCAAAGTCAATGTAGGCCTTCCATAGTACTTCCGGCATATCGAGACCACCAAGCTCAGAATCGGCCTGACTAATCCCAAGCTCATAAATGGCACGAACCCTCTCTAGATCGAACAAGTTCTGCTCTAATTCGGCAAACTTGACCCACGTTGCTGCACTGCTAGGGTCCCATTCGATCCATTTTTCGTACAACTTGCGTACCCGGTCAAATTCTTTTAATGCCATTTCAATTTCAATGTAGCCTTTGAAAAGTTTCGGTTTGGGTGAGAGTCCAACAGCCGTCCCAAGGATCTTTCGAGCCAGCGCTAGATCTAAACGGCGAATCTCGAACTTTGCATAATTGAGCCACAGTTTTGCGAACGTAAACTTTTGGTGCGGGATGGCGGATATCGCAGATGCATACACTTTTTTTGCCCGTTCGAGATCCATTGAATCTAACTCCTCAAATAGTGCATATCGAAGCCATAAATATATATAGCGACGCCACAAACGCTTTTCCGCAGTCGGTGGAGTGATCCGTATCCCCCGTTCATATACATCACGGACTTTATTGCAGGCGACCTCTAAAGCAGAAATAGGAGCACCTTCTTCGACAAGTGATCGGTACGACTCTTCTTCAAGGCGCGCGTAATCGAACCACGTATCGTAGTTGCCGGTCGTTGCGCCATTCGCCGCTTCGATTTCTTCTTCGTACTGCAATCGGCGTTTTTGAGTAACGGTGTCTTCGACCCCTTTTATACTACCGAATTGTTTTTCAAATCGGGTATAACTGGTATAGATGCCTTCGCTTCTGGCGCGAGGGATGCGTTCTAGGGCGTATTTATAGATCATACGCGCACGATCGAATTCACCCTGTCGGGTCTCCATCTTGGCAAAGGCAGTAAATATGCTTTGTGCGCGCTCGAGTGCTGCTTCTTCTTCTCCAAAAAAGTCAAGTGCCATGTGAAAAACTCGCCGTGCATTGTCTAGATCATCTCTGTCTTCCTCGTATTTAGCCCATTTGATCCATTGCTTGGGCTCGGGATGGCAAGTTACTGCTCGCTCCCACACAGCACTAGCCCTGTCAAATTCATGATACCGAACTTCGAACGCAATAAAGGCATTCCATGCACGTTCATCGGGCTCCCATGCCATCCAACGCTCAAAAATTTCACGCGTGCCACTTATGTTACCCAACAGCTCTTCCACATGCACATATTTATACCAGAGCTGATCGATGCGAGGCAGTATTGATACAGCTCTATCAAACAAGTTTCTTGCATGGTTTATATTTCGCATTTTGAGCTCCTGCTCCGTATATCGAAGCCAGAGGGGCACATGATGAGGGTCAACATCAAGTGCACGTTCAAACACCGAGCGTGACCGGTCCATTTGACCTTGCGTAGCTTCCCACGTTGCGTACCTTATCCAAGCAGCCATCTACATGTAAGTAGGTCAAATTACGTACGTTCCCTCTTAATCGACGGATAGCATCCTCATATTCTGTGCGCTTTCTCGCTCGGTAGTCCTCGAGTTCCTCGTAACTCTCAATTCGCAAGCGTGGTGTCTTGCGCTTCGGTGCAATCTGACGTTCCTGTGCCTCACGCAAGAGTTGCTCCGCTGTGATCTGAATCGGCGCTGGTGCGCGGTTTTTGATTCTCGGCGCTCGTCCATCCCCCGACATGCTGCGTGTGCCTATCACTTGCACGTTGGACGACCGATATGAAAGCGTGGCGTTAACAGTTGCATTGTCACGTGATGGTGCTGTGGCTGATGTGGTCATGTCCGATAAATGAACCAACAAAAATGCGCAACAGAGGGAATATTGCGGATGCCAAGACTTGGTACAGCATTTCATGGACTCAATGCGCAATATGAAAAGACGGACTTTCGAAGTCCTTGCACTGGAACCACTAGTTGTACAAACATGACTGCTTCAACGTCCCGGAGCCCTCAACATCGTCCTGACTCAGAAAAACCGCTCAAGCTTGCGTGTGCTACTTGTATTCAGGGTCATCGCGCTTCCACATGTAAGCACCAAGATGGATCCAAAGGCCCTCTGCTGGTAGTGAAGCGTCGTGGTCGGCCACTCTCACAGTGTCAAGAGTGCCGTGAACGCAGGCTTCGTACCGGAAGACATACTCGTTGCGACTGCAAGAACAAAACAAAGCGTTGTTCCGATGCTTCGACAGAACCACCTGCCAAGCGACAAGCTACACATACCTCACCGAGCCGTGTCACTGAGACTCCTTCTTTTGGACGTGGTCCGCTATCCTTTGAATTTCTGCTTAATCCTTGTAATTGCGAAAATGGAAAGGTTTGCATATGCTGCAAGTACCCATTTGCATGCCCGCAGACTACGTCCTCACGTTCAGAGTCAATCCAATTGCCGCCCATTGCTCCGAAGGCATCGAATGGTGAACATGAAAGACATAAATCTTTGCTTGAAGTGACACCATCGCATTGTTGCATTCCGTTGTCGACCAAGACGCCAGTGGATTATGATCGTTCCATGAAGTTATTGGCACGGGCAGCAGACATGTCTCGCTCTTACAAACCCGAATGTCAATGCATTGGTCTTTGTCGCTGCATTGGCTGTGCAGCTCACCCTCTGAATGTGAACAGTTCAGCAGATCTCAATGAATCCAGCTGCATGTCCTGTGTCTCTTGTGATTTATCATTGGAGCGTCCATCAGGGATTGATCATGTTGATCGATGGGCTCGTATTAGGCCATCTCTATGAAGCTCACTTCCTCATTCGCTGTAAAATATTTTTTCCCAGCATGCTAAGGCGCTCTGGCACGATGAAATCCCCTCTATACTGCGATGTAAGATTCCCATCCTAGCGGGTATCCCTGCCGGCATGTTACCTGTGATACTTCTCGGCTTGGATGGTCGCTAAAACTAAACTTCTTTTCCCATAGACTTCAACACAGACATTAAGAAATGTGCTTTTCTTATTTCAACGCAAGAAATGGTCAAAATTTGACCAACGAACAACTCCAGACGGTGACTTTAGATTGATGAATTTAATCTATAATGTAAGTGGAGAAACACCAATTATTAATCAAAAAAGAATACTGAAAATATTCATCTGATGCAAAGAAAAAGCTGGGCCCAACCGGGAATTGAACCCGGGACCTCTCCCATTTCAGGGCTCCCCTGAGGAAGTAGATTGATCTACCCGAAGGGAGTATAATACTACTATACTATTGGGCCATCGAACTTACTGTTCGACTTGATTAGAATGGATATAAAGTAAATTACAGTACACAAATTCCAGTAATGCCAAATATGCTCGTCGTTTGAACGGGAAGGTGGCGTTTTCACAGTCTCGCCCAGAAGTAGAGCATCGTGAGCCAAAGTGCATGTCAATCTAGTGCTAGAATCTACCAAAGAGCGCGACGTTCTGCGCGTTGCTCATGGGCTACACGCTTGTTCATACCCCATGTCGCTCTTTTTAGCTCCGTCTCTGCCTGACGGGCTTTGCGGACATTTTTAGGAGCTGGCGCGACAATACTCACAAACGTGGGTGAGCAACCAAACATCTTGGCTAGCTTTCCAGCCGTAAACTTGAAGGGGTCCTGAGCTCGGAGCTGCTGCAATTCTGCAACTTTCTCAGGAGACAAGACATTTGTGGCAAGACGCGCTTGTCGGTGGTGCTTACGGAGAGCGGGTGGCAAGCCAGCAAGCTCAGTTTCTGAGATGGGAGCAGGCGCTGCAAATAGAGTTTCAGCAGCAGGCACGGACATGCGACTCGATGGTTGGGACGGTGCAGGGCGAACAACGAATGTTTCACGTGTTGGTAAGGAAAAACGAGAAGCGTGAACGCTTGTGTCCAGAGGGTCACGGGGATGACGGGCAGGCGTATTACGCATCTTGCGAGCACTTGAAGAGAAGGTGCGAATGGTGCCCAGGAAACCCTTTGGACCTGCCCAGGTACCTTTGACCATGTTCCGGTAGTACACCCAAGGGAAGAAGTCCTTCTTGAGGTAGTAGAAGGCGCGCTGGGGTTTGGACTGATCAATACCATACTTGGAGAACGTTTCGTTAAGCTGGGCGCCGTACTTGAATTCCGCCAAGAGTACTTTGCCATATTCAGTGAGAAGTGGACAAGAGGTGTAGCCATTGTATGTGGCTGTAAGTTCTTTGCCCTCCAATGCGCTAAGCAGGTTGGCCACGAGGACCGGGGATTGACCAGTGATAGCGGCGGCGGTCTTGCTCGTTGCAAGTGAGCTCGAATCACCCAAAGACCAGACATTGCTGTACTTCACGTGCTGGAGCTTAGCCTGATCAACTTCGGCGTAGCCTGCTCCGTTGGCAAGAGGCGATTTCCTGAGGAACTCAGGAGGACTCATGGTCGGAGTAACGTGAAGAAAATCGAACGGCATCTTCACCTGGTCGCCATTCGGGCGTTGGAATACAGCTGTTTTCCCTTGGTCTTCAATAGCCACAAGGTTGTGTTGGAAGAAGCCCGAAACGCCACGTTCCTCACGCAGCCCATCCAGTACCTTGCTGTAATGTGGCACGCTAAACATGGTCGGCATGCCTGTAGCGAAACTAATCTTAATGGGCGAAGAGGCATCGTGTTTCTTGTACAAGCCAGCCTTGGTCCATTTGTCCAATGCAAGCCACATAATCTTTTGTGGTGCGCCAGCACACTTGATGGGTGATCCAGGCTGTGTGAAGATTGCCTGCCCCTCCTTCAGCTTGTCAATCTTGGGGTGCACATGCTGGACCGATTCGTACGTGTAAATGGAGCAGACAGACGAGTTCGGGTCGTGCAACGCCTCGCGAAGGCCTTTGATGCCATCAAGAGTAACAGTATAACCAGATGCAATGACGAGGTGTTCATAGTCAAGTTTCTTCCCTGAAGCCGTGGTCAACTGGCTCTGCTCCGGTGAGATGGTCGTTACTGCATCCTTATACAGTTGGATCTTAGAGTTCACAAGTGAATCCTCGTTGCGGCGCAAGCTTTCGCGCGTCTTCAAGCCACCACCGACAAGCGTCCAGCCGGGTTGGTAGTCATGAAAGTTTGATGGTTCGACAATGGCGATTTCATCTTGAGCGAACTTGCCTGTGTTCAGAAGCTGGTGCGACACGCTGAGGCCGGCCGTGCCGCCGCCAACAACGACCACTTTGTGCGCAGCATCAAGCACACGGGCAGAAGTAGAGAACAAACTGACGTTTCCAATGCGCTGTGGCATTGCTGCCTTGCGCATGACTTGTGCAAGCATCATGATGGAGATACTAGTACCAATGTCGGCGCTGAGTACAAGGCAACGAGAAAGGCTCTATCCGTTCCAGCACGACTATCGCGACATCCAATGTGGGACCGCTATCACGTGATAAGACGTCACAATGGTGTGCTTCGACTGCCGCATCCTATCTGCACGCCATCCGGTTTCATTCTCAGCACAACCGCGTGGAGACGAGGCGAGCTATTTGTGCGGGTAGTCATATTTGCATTACTATACATGCCCTGGCTCATTGCAGGTATCCCCATATACTAATATACTACATGGCCGTAGTACCTCGAGGCTCATACGGGAGGAATAACATTAGAATGGCCGTAGCGACAAAGGCGGAAGCCGAGACAAAGATGGGTGGTTTGAACCCGTTTTTAGAAGCAAAAATTGCTACGATGGTGGCCACAATGCCCATCACACGTTGCACACTCATTGCAAGACCATCGCCTGTGCCACGCTGGGGCGCAGGGAATACTTCATAAGTGATGGCATAAAGAACCGCATACATAGCATTTTGTGTGAGATACACAGCACAATTCCATCCCAAAACGGCATCGTTGGTCGTAGCTGTAGTAAACAAAAACAGAAAGATACCCGTGAGGAGCGTGAAGAAGGCCATAGTGCCGCGTCTTCCAATGACTGGGAGTTCCACAGCCGCGGCAGCAAAAAAGCTACCAGGTATGCCACAAGCAGCGAATATGACAAGCTGCCGATACTGTTCCGACAGACTCTGGTTTGCTTCCCCAGTATGGTTCATCTGTTTCAGATATGTAGGAATGAATGAGTTGTAGAGTGGGTATGCCAGACCCACCAAACCCCAGCACGTGGAAATCAAAATGGTATTGCGCGCCATCCGGGACGACGCGAACAGTGCAGACATGGGTGAGTGATGCATATGTTTCAATGTTTGGCGGATTCGGTCTGGTCGAAGACTGCTCGTGCCCCAAGCACGATCAAACCAGGTATTTAAATGCGATTTAGCGTGATCAGGCTTGATCTCGTCAGGCTGTTCGAGCGGCGGATCGTGCTCCTCCACCAAGGCAGGCTCGGCGTGAACGGTCGTTGAATACTTGGCACGGCGTAGCTGCTCATATGTGATACTAGGCGCCTTCTTGTTCTCTTTCGCGATGAAAACGAGTACGTCATAAGCTTCCTTCTCACGCCCAGCTGCTAGTAAAAACTTGGGCGACTCTGGCACCGGGTACACAAGGAAGCGAATGAGGAACATGATCATGACTGTCCCCCCGAGCAGGAACCACGAGTATCGCCAGCCCCAATTGTCCGACTTGAGACAAGGCGGGCGCATAGCAGGGTCTGTGCCATCCCAGTTGATGTTGTCTTCACAATAAAAGTTCGTAATGAAAGCCCAGCTGATGAGCGTTGCATAAAGCTGTCCTACGCACCAAAAAAGAGAGAGGAATGTGAGGATCCATTGTTGTGCACCTGGGATGTACTCAATTAGCATAGCACCATCAACAGGAAGATTCCCACCGAGGCCAAGACCCAGCAGACCGAGCAAGACACACATGACTGGGAAACTCGGCGCACCGCCGACAGCAATACCAAATGCTGCGGATAGGAAGAGAGTTATGTTCCATGACGGCCGGCGCCCGATAACGTCTGACAAGAATCCCCATGCAAGAGATCCAATTAGCAAGCCCGAGTATAAGGAAAAAGTAGCCCACTTTGATGATATGTCTTTGGCTGTCAAATCCCATTCCCCATCAACGAGTGTGAGGGTCATACCAAGAACAGCAAACCATATGTTGTCCGCAAGCCAACCAAAGCCAGCGAGAAGAGTGAGCTTTATCTGAAATGCACCAAATCCAATATCTTCGTGGATGGCTTTGTTCATTAATATGATCTGGCGTCCGTAGTCTTCGCTGACACCCACTTCCTTGGAAAAGAGCGCATTACTGTCAATCGATTCATAATCGGCCTTGGCTTCCTCATCCACCCATGTCTGCGTCGTGTGGTCTATATGTTCCTCTTCAATAGTCACGCGCGGAGTGTGAGCTGCCGGCCTCCCCCTCATTTCAGGCACTCAGGTACCGCTGAGGAAGGTATGAGCAGTGAACACCGATAAGGCAGGACGCGGTGCCAATTTCAGCGCGCTCATTCTTGCTATTGCCAATTAGGTCCAACCGCCCGCGTGCTTTAGCATTTCCAAACCGCTCGTCGTGTTCACGTGATGCGGAGACAGGACCGGCAACGCGTGTGACACAACCAGCACAGAGTGCATGTGGCCGCTTCCAAGGTTTCTGGTCAAGCAGGGTGGAGTGACTTATGTCATAGTGTGGCCTAACTTCTGTGCATGCATGGCAGGTGCTTAGTTCTCCGTCGTGTGTAAGGCACCTTGAGCATGCTGGCAAGAATGTCTAGGCGATGGATTTTTCCGATAATTCCTCAAACGAGAGCAGCCTCGTCATACGCACAAAGGCCTGCTGCGAGCGCAAGCTCTTTCGCTGATCGCATGGCGTCTGCCACCCGAACAAGAGCACCGGCGCCATCGTCGTCGTCATCGTCAGCGACAAATTCAACAAGTACAGCGCATAGCTCAGCGGCTATCAAAAAGACAGAAGAAGAGTCAGAAATCAACAACAAGAGCTCGTTGGATGTGCGAACTCCTCTCGGAGAGGCTTTTCCTGCCGTGTCCGAGTGGCATTCCGGATACCAAGGCATTGGTCTTCGTCCATTTCCTGCACAGGTAGCACATGTGCTTTGTGAGCCAGTCGATAAGAACGACGTTGAAATCAAGCCGGATGGACTGCTCTACTTACCAGAAATCAAGTATCGACGGATTCTAAATCGTGCATTTGGCCCGGGTGGATGGGGTCTCGCGCCTCAAGGAGAACCCGAGGTTTCTCAAGGTATACTCAGTCGTGAGTGGACACTCATTTGCTTAGGACGCTTTGTTTCGACAGCACGAGGCGAACAGGAATTCTTTAAGCCAACGGGTATTCCAACAGCCAATGAGGGTGCAAAGTCCAATGCGCTTATGCGGTGTTGCAAAGACCTAGGCATTGCTTCGGAGCTGTGGGATCCACGTTTTATCCGACAGTTCAAGGCCAAGCATTGTGTGGAAGTTTGGTGCCAAACATCCGATGGAAAAAAGTACGTATGTGGTGTTTGCGTGAATATGTGTACTAACAGACGTTTAATAGAAAGCGGTACTGGCGCCGGAAAGATGACGAGCCTTTCCAATACCCCGCCAAAGAAACAGGCTTAGTTTCTCGAACGTAATGTGCATGCGCACGCGCGCACGCGCGTGTATATGTGTGTGTGTATGGTTGCTGTATTTTTGCTATCTTTGTTATTCTTTTTTTTTTTCTATCCACATCAATCTGGCGGCTAGCCTTTCAGCGTCTTCGCTTACCATCACCCCCAGCTTTGGTAGCTCTACTACGGTAAGCGCCAGCCTCGACGGTATCATCGTCACGGTCGCGCTCATCTTCCAAACCCACTGCTTGCTTCCGCTTTCGTCGTCCTGCACCACCGGCATTCCCAAATCCCTTCTCTTGCAGCTCGCGGATCGCAGCTCGCTGTGCCTCACCTACCCGCTCCGAAAGGAGCATAATCATGTCGCGATCGCCCGCTCCGGGGAACTCATCCAACCTTTTGCCGATGGCCGCCTCGATCCGCTGCAGTAGCTCCACGTCATACTGCGTCACTAACGTCACACTGCGCCCTTGTCTTCCCGCACGCGCTGTGCGGCCAACACGGTGAATATAGTCTTTGGAGTGCGTAGGAATGTCAAAGTTCACGACCAAATCAACAGCTGGAATGTCCAACCCACGGGCTGCTACATCGGTGCACACCATAATGGAACGACCGCCAGCCTTGAACTTGTTTAGTGCACCCAGACGTGCCGTTTGCGAAAGCTGGCCGTGCAGTGGAATTGCTGAAAAGCCCAACAGGCGCAACAGCACAGCGAGCCGTTGTGCATCGTGAACAGTGCGAGTAAATACAATAATCGAGTGCCCTACCTGTTCATTCGCGAGATGAACCAGGTAAGTATCCTTGTGAGCAAAGGGCATAAACAAGTAATACTGCTGCAGTGTCGACACAGTAGAATACTTGGTGCCAATTTCTATGCGCACCGGATTTCGAAGGCTTGCCCGCTGCAGCTTTGCAACTTTCGTTGTCATAGTCGCGCTGAACAACATGGTCCGTCGCTCCTTCGGAATGTTCTGCAACAGTTTGTCAATGATAGGCCCAAAGTCTAGGTCAAGCAAACGGTCCGCTTCGTCCATCACAAGGTACCTGAGACTTCGTAGACTGAACCCTTTGGTATTTTCCAAATGATCTTGCAATCGGCCAGGTGTTGCCACAATCACATGCGGACGTTTCGATAATGCAATCGATTGTGTCATCATATCCATACCACCCACAATCGTCGCGCATCTCACACCAATCGTAGCTCCAAGAGCCTCAATTTGCTGGGAAATTTGATAAGACAACTCACTGCACACGCGTGTGGGTGTGCGTGTTAGTATGTCAATCTGACAATGCACAACGTCACGAGCCGATGGGTAGTACGTACCGAGTGGGTGCCAAAATACATGCGAACAAAGGCCTTGGATCATCCCAAAGTCCCTGCAGAATAGGTATACTAAAAGCTGCCGTCTTTCCGCTGCCTGTTTGAGCGAGTCCAATGACATCTCGACCCTGAAGCGCGTGTGGTATGGCCTGAGCTTGAATGTCTGTCGGTGCAGAGAAATGCAGCTTTTCACATGCCTCACAAATAGGCTCAATTACACCCAAATCACTGAAGGAGCTTGCTTTTTCATGTTCTTCAGCATCAGGAGCGTCAGCGTGCGGCGTTGCATGTGCTGTGTCCTCGCTCGACATGATTTTGCCCGTAACGTACAGGCTTCAAGATTGTTTCCAACAAATTTTTTTTGGCTTCGCCACCTCCACCACTAGCAAAATGCTAGAGGAAAAATGTCCTGACGTTTGGCGTCGTGTGGCTAGCACCCACGTGACCCAGTCATTAGAGTGGAGTGCACGCGACAAAAGACCCAGCGCATTTGTCAGAGCTTCGCTCAGGCACGGAGAGACACAGAAACGCGCGAGGGCGACGACCTAGACTTCCGAGTGACCATTCTACTATCATGGCGCCTTGGGATCAGTGGCGTCACGATGTCAACAACAAGCTCGACAAATGGGGAGAAGAAAAGCTTCATATGCCTGCTCATAGCGAAAAAACATTCGGCAAATCGTTTGGCAAGAAGCGCAACATGTCGTATGAAGAGCGTCTGGCGAGTCTTCGGTCGGGCGGCGGTGCTATGGGTGCCATGGAGACTCAGCCGCGCCCTCGCGCTGTGCCACCACCACCGCCAGGACACCAACCTGATTTTTCATCCACTTACACGTCCTCACCAACGGCATCTCAAGCGCCACCGCCGCCGCAGTCAACTCGGTCTTTGTCTTCAGAAACCGCATCGACACCGACAACGGCATCAACGCATGCGTCTTTCTCTACAGGCGCAGGTAGCGGCGGTACAACGCACATTGAATTCTCTCGGTTCTCTGAATCGGATAAGCAGGCTTTCTTTGCTCTTCTAGATGAATATTTTGTCAAGCGCTCATCTGGTGGCGGGGACATGTGGTACGTGTCGATCATGACGTATTAACGACTAGCTAGGCTTGACGACGCCGGATTCGATGATTTCGCAATGCTTTTGCCAGTAGGACATGGTCTTTGCTCATCCGTTTACAAAGCACCGATGCATGGAGCACGTATCATGGAGCGGGAAGGTGGTGTGCCGAATTTTGTCTGCATCAAGCAAGTGGATGTTGACGTCCAGAGCGCACCTCATAATGTGCAGCGTGAGGTTGCTCTGCTTCAGCGTACTCGGCATATGAACCTAGCCTTGCTTCTTGCTGTATTTACTGATTCGCCTGACCATTTTACCACAATCTACAATGTGGTCATGCCACTTTATCCCATCCACTTGCCTGACATACTTAACAGTACTTGTGCGCGTCCCTCTTCGTTATCTATGGCTGAATTAGCCGAGCAGGATGAACCCTGGCTGCATGTCCTTGGCTTCCAAACGTATTCCTCGTTTGTCTTGTCGTCTCTTCGACAGCTTGTCGAGGCTGTTGCACATCTGCACCACGAACAGATTGCGCATCGCGATTTGAAGCCATCCAATATCATGTTTGGTATAGATGGCACGCTCAAACTAATTGACCTTGGCGTAGCGTGGGAAGTCGGTATGCACGAGACGCCTCCTTTTGGTCGCCGTCCATCTGAAGGTAGCACCGACTGTGCAATCATCAGCGATGTTGGTAGCGGTGCATTTCGTGCACCGGAACTGCTCTTTGCGCCAAAAAATGGCTACAATGCATTCCAAGCGGACATGTGGTCGCTCGGTACTGTATTGGCAGGTTTCTTTACCTCGTTGGATGAAGAACCAGTACAGTCGCTTGGCGCCGACTTCTTGCCTTGGGAACGCGAGCTTTTCCCTGACCGCCCCACACACCCGGAGTTGTCCCGTCTTCGTCCGCGAGCGTACCATCGAGCCACCCTGTTCGATTCGTCCAGCGGCGATATCACACTTGCTTGCGACATCTTCAAAGGTTCTGGGGACTCCCAACGAGACGAGTCAGACTGGCCTGAAGCTGCTCATTTCCAACCTCCGCTGCATGATTTCCCCTTTATGCACGGGCCTGCCAAAGAATCTCTGCTTGATCGATTGCCGACCTGGGCACAACTTTCCGAAGTGGATACATCGCAAGCATCTCAGTTCCTGAAAACGTTCCTTCCGTATTGGCTTCCTCGTCTTCTTGAGCTCTCTGCTGCTCGTCGCCCGTCCATCGATGATCTGTTAGAGCATCTTCGTCATCCAATTCCATAAGAACGGGAGACCTGCTATTACAGTACGAGCATCGACATTCTCGCAGGGAATTCGTCAGACATGCAGCATTCTCATGTTAATATTGCTTTACTAGGCTGACGCCGAAGTAGAAATGTTATTTCCCCTTCCGACACTTTGCATAGCTTGCAAAGCTTGGACCGATGAACTGCAATGATTTGCTTGGTATATACGTTCGGCGTCGGGGAGCCATGCTTCAATATTGGCAATCCGATGCGAATTTACAGGGTGAGTCGATAGTAATTGTTTCGCCGACTCAGCTAGGCGACCATCGTGAGTCTCGTCCGCATTCATGCGTTGCCTGCGTCAGAAAGAAATGCATATTAACGTACCAAAACCTGGAATTGTTAGCTAAACGGATAACAAAGTGAAGAACAACGTACCTGACAGCTTGCCTCGGATCATAACATGCCTGCGACATGATGCGCAAGCCTAATTCATCTGCCTCGCTCTCGATCTTGCGCGAATTCGGAAGAGACAGCATCAAGTTAAGCAGAATCTGGCTCAAGCCGATATCAAAGCCTATCAAGTTCAACACAAAGGCGCCAGCCATCAAGATCTTGGAGCCCGCCATCTTTTCTGCAGAATGCCGTGCAATTTGATGCGCAACTTCATGAGCCATAACCGTCGCGAGACCTGCGTCATTTTCACATACTGGCAAAATCCCCGTGAATACAAATATATGCCCGCCTGGCAACACGAATGCATTTTTTTGACGAGGCTCATGAACCACATGCACGGTCCATTGCGACGGTGGCGCTCCTTCGGCTCGTTGTGCATCCATCGCTTCGCATGCTCGAATGATGCGCTTGGCCACTCTATTCACTTGAGTACTCGCCGATGTCCAAGAGGGCAGGATCTGCCCACTGTATTGACGCATGACACTTTGGTATGCTTCCTCGCCCATTTTCCACTCTTGCATCGGCGACACATCCATAAACCGCCAACGTCCCGTCGATGGCACTTGCTCTAAATGCAAGACGTAGTATACACCAGCCCCACCTGCAGCCAAGCCCACAAGCACAATACGTGGGTGTGTCTGTGTCCAGGACCCATTTTGCCATGCGCGCGACTCATTATGAATGAGATCAGAAGTGCGAGCTTTAGAATACTCAGTTCGTACAAAAGGTTGACCTCGACGTACAACACGTCGGTACGGGTATGGTTTAGCCTGTGGCGAGGAACGCCCCAACTGTTCTTCCATGCGCTGGCGGAGCAGCTCGGCAAATTGCTGGCCCTGCGTCCGTGGATACTGTCGACGAGCAAAAGCAGACTGACAGAAAGAGCGTACACACTGGTGATACGGGTACAGAGACACGCGTCGTTGATACATGCGCCACACCCCACATATTTGGCGCGCGATATAACGTTGCATGGGCATGGCGCCAAGTTTCATTCAAAAAAACTTGAACGCAACTAATCAGTCTTATGCATAATGGAGGGGACTTTTCTAGGCATGTACAAATTGATGTTGCTTAATTGAATCGATTAGTACATCTATCGCCTTTCAACAAATTAGAATGCATTGTTTGGGGGATAGGCGGTTTTCCTTGCGTCGTTAAATTTTTTGCAACTTTCCTTTTTCTGCACAGCAACCACCATGAGTGCCGTCGATGTGAAGAAGGACGACAAAGCCGATTTTGGCGACGCCAACCCGCGCGTGGTCACAAAACCTGTCAGTAATCTCGGTGACGAAGTTCTGGATGACGATGATGCGGCGCTTGCACAGCGTGTCGGGCATCGTTCAGAATTTGCTCGTGAGTTCAAGAGCTTCTCAACTATATCCTTTGCGTTCGCCATTATGGGTCTTGTCTCTTCTATTGCAACCACGTTTGCTAGTCCCTTCACGCTCGGTGGTCCTGCAAGCACGGTCTGGGCCTGGTTCATGGGTTCCATTTTCAACATGACTATAGGCACAGCCATCGCTGAGCTCGTTTCGGCTTCCCCTTCGGCCGGTGGTCTGTACTCTGCAAGTGGCCTTCTGGTCCCCCACAAGTACCGCGCCACTGTGGCATGGGTGACTGGTTGGCTGAACCTGACTGGTCAGATTGCCGGTATTGCGGGCACAGAGTACGGTTTGGCTCAAATGATTTACGCTTGGGCAAATGTGATTTCCGACGGTAGTTTTTCGGCTAACAGGCATGAAACCGTTGGTCTGTACTATGCACTTCTTGTTATTCACGGAATCATCAATTCCTTGGATTCAAAAACTCTGGCGCGCATGACAAGTGGCTATGTAATCGTGAACCTTGGCATTACGTTCGTTATTATCATCACGCTCCTTGCTACGACACCACTGCATGAAATGTGGGGTCCTTCTTACACGTTCGGAACGATCATTAACCAGTCTGGCTGGGAAGGCCAGGGAGGCACAGCGATTTCTTTCTTGTTTGGTCTCTTGTCTGTGCAGTTTGTTATGACCGACTACGACGCTACGGCTCACATATCAGAAGAGGTCCACCGCGCCTCCATCGCAGCACCCGTGGCTATCATGGTAGCTGTTGCAGGCACAGGTATGGTGGGCTGGCTTCTGAACATTGTGTTGGTGATCACCTCCGGCGACGTCGTACATCAAGATGTGGATGACATGCCAGGTGGACTTCCAATGGCACAAATCATGGTGAATCGTATGCACAAGGTCGGATTCCTTGTCGTTTGGCCTTTTGTTTGTCTCGTTGCATTTTTTGTTGTGACCACAGCTATGCAAGCGAATGCGCGTTCCTTCTATGCTTTTTCGCGTGATCATGGTCTTCCTGATAAAGGCTTTTTCGCCAAGATTTACAAACGCACTGGCACAACAGTTAATGCCGTTTGGCTCGTTGTGTTGTGCTGCATTATTCTGGGTTTGCTTGGCTTCATCTCGCAATATGCCATCAATGCCATTTTCGCTTTGGCTGCGTTGGGTATGGATATCTCATATTTGATCCCGATTGTTTGCCGGCAAATTTTCCAAGATCACCCAGAGGTCATGTTTAAACCGGGTCCATTCACGCTTGGACGTGGATTTTTTGGACGCCTGATCAATGGAATTGCTATTCTCTGGACCATATTTGAATGCACAGTTCTGAGTATCCCTCAAGAGATGCCAATTGACGAGAAGAATTTCAATTATTCCTGGGTCATTATGCTTGGTGTGCTATTCCTCTCTTTAATTTGGTATGTCGCGCATGCACATAGGCATTACCATGGACCTCGCAGCACCATGAGCCCGGAACAACTTGCCAAACTGGACGAAGGGGTAAAGGATGAGGAGAAGTAGCCAGAGGCGTCGTCCTGAGCGTTTGAATTGGCTGCATCTAAGGACTCAGGCTCAATGGGGAAGAACGCCTGCATCCCTACAAGGTGAGAGCCTTCCTTGTCTATCTTTCGTTCAAATCACAAGTGCTTTGTTCTTGTGCAATTATATACCCACCTACCCCCTGTCTGCTGTTGTCGCAGCATTACCTTGTCTGAGCAGGTCCAGCGTGTATTTTGTGATTCTTTTCCTATTGGGGTTCTACGACAGTCAATGAAAATAGTGACGCACATTAATATAATTATATAGGGTCTTTCAATGCGGTTGATCTGGTCAGCAAAGACATCAAAATACGAATGTCTTCACAAGCGCATGGGCAGCGCCTTAAATGCGGTGAATGATGACATTTATTGGGCTGAAGGGACGTCCTTTATGAGAATGTATGCGTTACTCATGCATTTGTGTATCGAGACGTGCCTCCATTTGCTTCAGCCGGGCTTCCATCTGAATAAAGCGTGATTCCCACGCTTTCGTCTCCCGCTGAAGACGTTGGTCGACAGCCTCTTCAAGAACCTCACTTGACCGCTGCAGAGTCTGCAGGAGGGTATTACTTGCCCGAATTTGGTGCTCTAATGTGGCTTTCAGAGTTCGACTGTCTGACAAGGAGTCGAAGAAGTCAGAAAAGAGTGACAGGAAGTGAGCCTTTTTCGAGATTGGCGAACGAGGTCGAGCAGTTCCGAAGTCAGTTTCAGCATGAGGATCGGAAGCCCGGCGTGCCAGCTCGTATTGAATGCTGTGGCGCTCCCGGGTTGAACGGGCAGCGTAAGGGTCTATCCGAGACGTGTGGTAAGCAGGAGATGGGAGCGCACTGTACTGGGGACAAAAAAGACGGGGCGTACCGCCGGGTGTCGGCAAATATCCGTGAATTTCGTGTGGCTGATATGGTAAATGCCGGTGCTTTTGCAGCTCCTCATTTTCGGACATATCCCGCTCACTGGCCTTGAAGAGAAATGAGGGAGGTGGCAACCGTGCATCGGGACCGAATTGGCGCTGTTGCGGAGGTGCACTGCGAATCGCTGGTTCAGGCACATCATGATCATACAAGGTTGAGCGATCGTTACTTTTAGACGATAAATACAGGCTGGGAACTTTGTTGGGTGCTCTTTGAGCTCGACGCTGACCAATAGAGGCGTGCGGGGCTAGAGGCTGGTACTCCGACATTATGTCTGCATGCGAGGAAGCGCGTGGCTCTAATCGAGGACCTTTTCGTGGGGGCTCAACAGAGTCAGGGGAGCTAGAACTAAGACCGTGCAGACGGCTGGAAGAAGGACTCCAGCTTGTTGAGCTGTGAGCATCAGCAGCCGACGATGGCATCGACGCGCTCAAACCCTGGGAAAAGCGTGAATTTTCCACGCCTGGTGCATGCGACTTTGGTGAAGGAGGGCGGGCTCGCTTCATCCTTTGCGTGTCCTGAACTGATGGCGGTGCAAGTCTCTCTGAGACCTTGCTTGCGTCTGGCTGTGACATGAGCCACTATGGCTAGACTTCGTACAAAATGACGTGTGCTGGATGAAAATCAACAGCAGCAATCATCGGCCTTTGGTCAGCAAAAATCATACGTGTGCTGTTTTAAATTTAACTCCGCTCTATTTCCTATGTCTTGTCCGTGCTGATTATGATTGCACCGCTGCCGTTTAGGGCTTTCGAAATTGTCATTCTCTCTTCTATGCAATTTTACCACGTGGACGGACATGCATGAAAGCGGCGAAAAATCAAACTGTCCTTGATGCCGCATTATGTAAATGTGTCGGTGACTGCAGCGGTTGGAATAATCAAGGGCGTTATTTAGCTCCCAGTTCTGCCGACACCGAAGGCACACTTGCATAAAGGCACACACACGAGGTCTTTCCCATGAGGATGGCGCGTGCGAATGTACTCGAGCCTTAGAATGCAGCCGTGTTGCTGGATGCTGCATCGATCGTCCATGGGTGGTCGATTGGGTCGTAGTCTGGCGACATGATGATGTTTCGCCATATCGAGTCCCAGAACGTGCGTTCTGAGTCGTCCAAAAACGCCAGATCCTCTAGCACGTGCAGAATACGCACAGGCTCACATATCATGGCACGATACGCTTCGGACACTTGCGTGAGTGACCAGATGGAAATCAATGCCATGTGAAGTTCGCGATCTGCTTGGGCACTTGGCAGAGCAATGCTCCGTTTCCATAGCGCACGCACGTACTGCAACAAGATACCAGTATCCTGAGACAAGCTTTCCCAGCCACCGTCCGGTGGCGTGTGCGTTTGTGCAGCGATGCTGACTTGGCCACGATTTGTGGGTCCATCCGTTGTTTGACACATCCATGCCAAACCGTCATCGACAAGTGCTCTGCGCGCGTAAATGCGTGCATGATCTAGGAGCTGGCGTCGCGCCTCAGATGCAGGCGGATAGAGAGCAACAAGCGTCTCATGACAGCGGGTGAGTGAGATTCGCGAGAGTTCGGTGTACATAGATGCACGATGACGGGTAATGCTCGTGGATGTGTTAGAGACAAGTCCCCTGGCAGCATCTCTCGAAGCCCAGCCTGTCGATAAGCGGGTACTTCGCCCGATCGGTGGATTCGGCGTCTCCAACGCTGCTGCGGCCGCGCGCATACACTTGGCAGCACAAGTTGCTAAAAGCCAAGCGCGTTCAGCAGATGATGATGACGACGAACACATAGAGGAGGCCTCATCATCGCTACAAGAAGCAAGTTGGACGCGTACTCGCGCAAGTACATGAGCATTGTCTCCTAAATCGCACAAGCGAGAGACATCTGCTTCATACTGTTGAATGCGGGATTCAGCTTCGGCACCAAGACGTACGGCAGTGAGAGACTGCGCAGGGGGAGCAGATGCAAGGATTGAGGATGCACGTTCCATCACGGCGTCTTCGATAGCTTGCAGCGCCTGGGAGGAAGGCCAAGCATTCCATTCAGTCGCTTGCTCAATGGTCATGATTTGTAGAGAGAGTGCTGCCATGTCAAGAGCGTGCATTTGCTCGTCCCATGCTCCCGTGGGGCTCTGCATTGCACCGTATCCGGGTGGCATGGACTGTACGAATGTCTCGGCCCGGGAGAGTAGATGTCCCACGTCATTTGTCACTTGATCAAGAGAAGTTGGGTCTTGTGTATGAGGAATCAGCGCGAGTTTGCTGTTGATCTGATCATACAGCGACTCGAGCAAAGAGGCAGGTGCCACGAGAGAAGTCGTGAAGACAGAGTCTTGTTGGTCCTCGTTGCCTAGAGAAGAAGATGTGGGTGGTGCCGCAGGGACCGACTCGGTCGACGATGCGCCACCTGAGACCGTAGCCGCTGTGGCAGCTGCCAGCGATTGATGAAGTACCAGACCTTGTCCCTGAGCCACCTGATCGAACCACAAAGCAGCTGCTGCGTACAACGCAACAGGCAGTGGTAGTTGCTCGACACCTGCTCGCTGAGCAGCCAATGTACAAGCCGTATCTAAGCCATAGGTGCCGCATTCATCGACAAGCTCAGCAAGTGCGTGAAGCGCGTATCCGCCGTTGGATAAGACGTCCAGTCTTGATGCAGAAGGTACTTCATCTTGCGCAAGAGGAGCATGTTCTAACGCCGCTGCGTACAAGTTACACGCATCAAGAAGCACGGCGTGTGCGCGAGGCGGCAAGGCAAACTGTGTGCCCACGACATAGTCAACGCGTGCGCTTGGTACATAAGTCAACTCCTCCCACGTTTATACATACGCATTATATAAAGCATCCACAGAAGATGGATCATATCCTGCTGCTCGACGATACAGGTCCAGAGCCTGCAGGTAATGGCGTTCGGCTTTGGCGCCTAAGGCAAAACGTTCCCCACGTTCCTCTTGTTCAACGCCTGCATCCATACACGATTCGAACGAGTTTGGCGCAACCTGCTTATGAGCTGCTTTTTTACCTGGTGGCATGTCTGACAGATGAAGAAGCTTTCTCGGCAGTACAGAGATGGACGGGGCAGAAAGGCTCCGTCAACACGTAAGAGTGTCTGGGCACTCGTGGGGCAATTTTAGTATGCTAGAGTGAGCGCTTCTGACAATGAATGGCGCCTGCGTCGTAGCTCTGCAATCTAGGTAGGTGCATCTGGGCAGAATTGGGCCCATTTGCACTTTCTTCGATGGCCAACCGCGTTCACTTTGCGTCCTCCTTTCCATGCTAGACCCTTTTGGACGTAGTGGAGGTATTCTCCACATGAATAGGCTCAACCGCACAGGTATTAGAAACGCGTGTCCGTTGGGCCCAGGCTAGTTTGACTACGGGCGGGGGAGTCGACCTCACCACTGACACACAGTTCTTGGTTCAGGTGTTGATCCTCCCCCATTTCCCAACAGGGGCGCGCATTACCGCTCCGCACTGCATAGCCAGACCTATTCGTGATAGGGTATTGGCATGCAATCGGACCGTGACGCACGAAAAATATGCTATGAGATTAGTTGCTACTCGCATGCGGATCACCCGCTTCGGCGTGTCGTGCTGGGGCCTCTCCCAGCAACATCCGTGTCCGATCAAACATTGCTCCATGAAGCTGAAAGATGTGGTATCTTACCCACATCAGAGTCGCCTGACGTGCCAGCCTCCCCGATGAGCTCTGCTGCACCTTCTATCTTATCGCGCCGACGGAGCTCGTTCATGCAACGTCGATCAGGCAGACGTCGTTCTCTGCGCCCGCGTCTCAAGCGGACACAAAGCACATCATCCTTCTCACTGAACTCGTTGTCGCCTCTTCCTTTCGCATCGCCATCGAACTTGGCCTCGATTCAAGAGGATCCTCTGGACTGGGTCGCGGACCAACCTTCCTACGATGCACACGCAGACCAAGCAGAACATGCAGATAATGCGGCAGTGATGACGCCAAAGACGCCAGACCCCGTTACCCCGCCAACTATACCACCGTCACTAACTCCATCATCGCCACTATCGCCAGCCCCACCACCACCGCTACAGCCAGTACGGGCTTCGCCGTTAGGACCACCGCCACCAGCACCACCAGCCACATCCATGAGTCAGCCTGGACGCAACATCACGCCCAGCATAGAATCACGCACTCAATACGACGATTCAGACTCGATCTATTTGCGTCGAAAACTCAAACTGTGGCAGCGACGGAACCGCCAGCGTCGACGATTACTGTCGCCTCATCCTATGGCCGCGCCTTTCATTTGGGATACGCCATTTTCAGCGCCCAGACCTAGCGAAGATGTCGAGTTGACGGAAGAAGAGCGAAAAGGACTCATTTCTAGACTTGAAATTTCGTTCGTACACCAAAAAATGGTGGGCACCTCATTCGAGGTCGGCAGAACCTTTTTTGAGCGTGTGTTGGAAGAAGAGCCAGAAGAGGAACGTGCATATCCTGCATCAGCACCGTCATCCATCCGTCTGTCGCCTAGGTTATCTCCGTCCATCCGTCGTGGTCGGAGTAAGAGGAACCAACGCGTGCCCACATTGCTGTCAGCCATGAATAAGCGTGCCTCGTCGGAGTCACGCAGTAGGAGTGCGCAACCACACGTGAAATTTGCGCTGCCACCGAAACGCGACTCGAACGAGATCGAGGATCGCTCACGATGGGACGAGACGCGGTCTCAACTGGAACACGAGGGTCCAGTATCGATCCAAGTGGGGCGACCGTCGCAAACAATGCTCGCACTTGAGCAGGAACTTGTGTCGAAGCGGGCTGAACTGACCAACATGGTGAGCCAGCCATCATCGGCGCCTTTACCACTGGCGCCACAGGCACCAGCGGGGGCAGGTGAATCCATGGCCATGCATACGCCGCCTGACACGCTGCCTGACACGCCGGCACCTTCGAGCAGCCAACATTCCGGGACCTCGGCATTCCACGCTCTGTCCCGATTACACATACCCAACGAAGCAGAGACATTGTCACCTGCACACTCAAACAAGCAAGGTGCGCGTCCCCCTATGCATATTGATGAGTGTTCGCCGCATGCGGTTATGCTGTCGCCGTTAGGATCCGACACAGCTTCTCCGGTGCCATCACCGACACCAGCCGTTCCCGCATCTCCGGAGACGAAACACCATCGCTATCACTGGCATTTGAGCCGTCACGAGCATCCGTCTGACGGCACGAAAAAACCACATGAAAAGCGGCTGAACCTACATCGACACAAGAAACGAGACCAACCTGTTCCTGAGCCTGCACCGCCGCGGCGACGCTCCGCATCCATGGCGTCACTCGAGTCACTTGAGGCCGAGCCCACGTCAGACGTGCGCGTTCATAGAGAGTCGGAACGGATCACATCCGAGACCGTTGTCCACGCTCCACCGTCGCCGTCCAAAGGGTCGGAGCCGTCTGTGAACCTGCTGAAAACTCCATCGCAGACGCACAACGACCTTCTTGGCTTGTCGTCCGCGCTACCTGTCAAGAACCACATCACATCTTCGAATCAGATTCCTGTCGGCCAAGGCGACCTGTCGCCCCCGCCCGTTGACGAAGTACTGTCTCGCGATACAGTGGCTCCCGTGCCCGCAGCTGTACCGGTCCAAGCGGACTCATTTGCGATTTACAAGCGCGACCGCATGCTTGTCAAGGTGCAAGTGGCATCGAATGACGTCAGTGGCACCGACTTTGATGAGTTCGAGGCCCGGCGCTATGATATCCGTTCGTACAGATGGGCCGAATACGTCGTGGTTCTGCGGCCTGGGCGTCTCGAACTGTGGAGCGAGGCCAGTATCCGTGGGCGTCTGCTGGGCGATGCCGAGCGGCTCAAACCGCGGTACACTGTATCACTACGCCCGGGCGAATCGTCGCTGTCCTTGTATTCAGAGACGGACCGACTCTTTTGCCTTGTATGCCCGCGGTCCGAGAGCACCGTAGGCCGCTTCCCTTTTCGGAGACATGGCTCGACGATCCTCATCTTTAACGCGCGCACGTTCAGCATCTCAAGTGACTGGATGTGGCTTCTTTGGCGAGAAATGGGCGGCACGTTGCCTCCACACCTCTTTGTGTATTTGCCGTCAATCTCGATGCGTGTGCGAATTCCCATTCCGCCGCTGCCGGACATTCGCGGTCCGTCGCGCGAATATGACGTGCTGCTGGATGTACCCCGCAACGAACAACTCGAAGAATACGAGGGATATATGGCGTCGGCACTTATAGGTGCGGCCGAGCGTCTCGTCAAGGCGGTGCCGCAGTGGGCCTCGCTCGTCCAAGATGTGCGCTCGCGCGGACTCAAGCCCGCTTTTGTTTGGCGCTCTGGCACAATGTACAACTGGGTCCAGTACAGCGAGACGGCTGATGGCGCTCCGCGCTACTGGCACGTCCTCGCCGGCACCTTGCTGACGAATCGGCGACGTGCGCCAGTGCTTGAGCTCGTGATGAACAACCACTATCCGACTCAAGTATTGCATCCCAGCGGATGCGCGTTGCGCGAGCCATGTGCTGTTGAAGGCTTTGTGGGCCGCCTGCGTCGATTGTCCAGTGCCACGTCGCGCGTCTATCTAAGCGTGCACGATGGACTGATCTTCTTGCTACGTGAGTCCAATGCATGCGTGCCGGACAAATTTGCTGGCGTGCCGCTCGGCTCCGTGCAAGGCGCAACGCGAAAAGAGCGGATCTATGAACGCATCCAGCAATTCTGCAGGTACGAGCGCACGCGTGAATGGCAGCAGATTCGCTTCAGCGAGGGATTCATCGATCTGCGCGAAGTGTGTGCGATTGGTCATGTCGGCACGAACGTGGTCTTGTCCACCGAACTCCAACGCCATATGGTCCACACAAATCGCGAGTCCGGCGTGTCGTCGTCGATGCCGGAAGTCGAATGGGTTCACGACTACGACGGCACGCGCACGGCCATCGAAAAGCGCCTTAACTTTTGCGATGAGCAGCTCGACCCCGACTTCCTGCTGAATGATCGCTCCGGACTGCGCTCCATGCGCCAGTTCCATCTGTACTTGGACAATGGGCGCGAAGTCATCTTTGAGTGTGCGAGTGCTGCACTGGCTCGCGAGTGGATCGTCCACTTGTTCATGCTGACTGTGTACTGGCGATGCCGAAGCAAGACGGACATCCGCATGATCATGAATGCGTCCGGCGGCCGTCGGAATCTCATCTACAACTCCAAAAAAGCCGAAGATGTCTCCCTCTTATCGCTGCCGTACCTATGGAACTGGTGTCGCATGTACGAGTGTCGTGCAGTGAGTCTTAGTGGGCACTTGTTTTGGCGGACCAATGTGCGCCACCCTTTCCGTCGCCGCATCTTTGTATTGTGCAATGGCCACATGTACGGTTTCAAGCTTATGTCGTCCACGCGCTCATCTTCCTCGCGTCAAAATGCAGGTATCATGTACCGCCGCAAGGGCAGCCCCATCATTCTCCGCGATGCCTATGTATATACGGGCCAACTCGGCGATCGGTCCTCCGACCTCCTTGACGACGAAGCGCCTACACTTCGCACTGGCGCTCATGACATCCACGAAGTCCACGAGCGGCTCCCGCGCTTGTACCGCGATGGGCTCACGAGCTCCGAGTCGCATGAGGAGTGCTCGTTTGTTCTGCGTGTGCGTTCTGTGCCAGATCCAAATCCACCCAAGCACTTGTCCGGCCATTCTGCCACTCCTCTTGCTCGTCGTGATTCTACCGAATACACGTTCCGCGCTCGCACTGTCCTGGAGCGAGATTTATGGATTCGTCACATCTCGACAGAGATCGAAAAGACAATGCGCAGCCAGCCCGAGCGCGAGAGCTTGTTGCGCCACTTTGGTCGAGTATATTGAGCTAATAAAAACAAATCGCACTTCCTACATGCGCACTTCGTAGACCTATGTACTTAGATGGTTTCTTTCGGTTTCTTTGCGCCATACTTGGACCGTGACGTCGTCCGTCCTACTACACCGCCAAAGTCCAGGGCACCACGCACAAGTGTGTAGCGCACACCTGGTACATCTTGCACACGGCCGCCTCGCATAAGGACCACACTGTGTTCTTGGAGATTATGTCCTTCACCAGGAATATACGCCGTCACTGTACGGCCATTCGTCAGCCGTACACGCGCCATTTTTCGAATCGCCGAGTTTGGCTTCTTCGGCTTCGTCGTGAAAATTTTCGTACAGACGCCTTTCACGAAGGGACATCCTTCCAATGCAGGCACTCGATTAACTGGTGGTCGGTGTGGTCGTCGCGCCCCACGCATCGCTTGTTGCAGAGTCACATTCCATACAGGCGTCGTCTTGAGCGTACGCACTGGGTATACTTGCATGGTCGCCATTGCAGGCGCGCGGGCCCATGCCGCTGTGTGAACGAATCCTGATGCGATGCCTCGTAGTGCTCGCCACATGTTGATTCACACACACCCAGAGGCCACAAGCGAACGAGCGAACGAACCAACAAGAAGCCTTGTTCACTCGTCTCTTCCGAAGGATTGACGCCTGTTCATGGATGAATGAGGATGGCGTGATCACGTGATGACATCCACACCCACATCTACACGCACACGCGTGCCTGCACTCATCAGGGCTCACCGTGAACTTTGGTGCAGTCCGCCTTTCTCTTTCGTTGAAACCTTTGTGCAGGAAAACTTCGTCCATGCCTTACTATGAGTGCCGGAGCGCGAGAAGCCGCTACTCATCGCCCTGATGGTGCTATCGCTTACGCGTTGCAGAAGGATGCGATTGCGCGCTCATTCGTCCACATTGCTCCCAATCTGTCACAACATCATGCTTCTTCATTTACGCAGCTTTTGCCGCATGTGGCACAGGTGGGAGACGAAGCAAATTTCGGAAGGCCTCTTACGCTGCTATGGGGCAACGACTCACACATGTATGCCAGTCCATCTTTTATCACTAAGAGCTCGCCGTCTTCATATCTCCCATCTTGGTACAAATTATGCAATCCTATCTGTCCGCAATGCCACGTTCCTCTTGTCATGGGATCTACTGCTATTTACAAAAGTCGCCCTCGGCGCGCGCGGCAGCAACAACGCAATGCAAAGTCAATGCACTCGACTCGCACATCTTTGCAATGCACGCTCTGTCAATTTCAGTGCACTCGCACCAAACCGCCAAGTGCGCGTGCATTTCCCAGTGTGCGACACAGAAATCGTAAGCAAGCCAATATATTAGCGGGTCGCATCTCTGAGCCTCTGTTCAGAACCACTTTAGGGGCACAAGTCTCGTCGAAGCCGTCTGTGCCCTCTGGCAATAGAGCAGCCGTATCGACAAAGACTGGAAAATCGCACAAGGCCCTACCAATCTCCGTCATCCACAGCAACGAACAAAGTTCAGCTCGTTTAGCTTTACCACCGTCTGCAGTATGCGCATCCAAGCGCACGCAGTCCGATAACAAAGCTGGTCTACGTGCGTTGCTTCAGCAAAAGAAGGAACAAGATAGGCAGCAGAAACTTGCGCCGTCGAAACCGAGGAGCGGAGGTCTCGCTGATTTCCTCCAGCAGCTTTAAAGGCTCATGGGAAGTAGTACCTTAGCTCATCGACCATCCGTCATCACAATATACATGATTGAAGTGTAGTTTTTAGAGAACAACGCTATGTTGCTACTCATTAGCATTGAATAAGAGAAAATGTGAACTATTTAGAGCTTCTGCATAGCAGCAATGTCCGAAGACTGAACGTAGTCCTCAATCTCCTGCACACGGTCTTGCAGGTCATCCATGGACACCTTGTCGTCTTCAACAACGATCGTGATTTGGAGCTTGTTCACACCGTAACCGATAGGCACGAGCTTGCTGGCACCCCAGACGAGACCGTCCATCTCAATCGAACGCACCTCCTTCTCGAGAGCCGTCATGTCCGTCTCGTCGTCCCATGGCTTCACGTCAAAGGTTACAACACTCTTGGCTGGAGGACGAGGGCCCTTCGCAGCCTTGCGCTCCTCGTATTGCTTCACACGCTCAGCCTTGACGCGCTCAGCCTCAGGGTCGACCTCGTCTTCGTCAGAGCCGAACAGATCGACCTCGTCATCATCACCGCCAGCGGCAGCACCGAAGTTCAGAAGCTCAGCCGCCTTCGACTTGTCGCCCTTGAGGTTGGCGTGCTCAGCCTCGAACGACTTGATGTGCTCTTGCCAGCGCGACACATTAGGGAACTTGTTGCTGTCCACTGGCGACTTGATGGCCTCATACACGGCCACGTCAGCCTGCGAAGGCTCGTGACTGTCTTCAGTTAGTCCCCGATCCATGCACGCAGACTACAATACAAAAGGCGGCTGCGGCTCTGTTGAGCGTCACATGTACAGCTGGTCAGAAGGCTTGGAAGAATTGTGTTCGTCAACGCAAGAAAGAGTCGCGGTGTCTTACGCCGCTGGGCTCAGCAACACGGACCAAAGCACGGTTCATCCCACCGTGCACATGTGACGCTCATCGCAGGCAACAGCACGCACTTCACCAGTCACATACCCATCAATGTACGACTTCGAGGTCAGGAACGACTCGAACTTCGAGAGCGTGTCAGCGTTAGAAAAGTCTGGCAGGGACATGGCCAAAAGGTGTGAGGTGAAACCGTATGCTGAACTGCGGTTCTCGCCCTTTTGTGGGTCTTTGTCCACGTCAAAGTCTGCCTGCTCGGCCGATCGTACCTTGCGGTCAACACGTGCTGGCAGCGGCAATTCATTGGCCGTCAATGTCGAGTCTCCACCATGATGTGGAGAACCAATTTGTGGGCTACCTGCATATATGGTGCCTTGGTTCTGATTGCGTTCGCTACCTGGTTCTGTGAGAAGGACTTCTGTTGAGCTCAGTTCAACCACCTTCTCTTGGTTCCATATCATGATGCCCTCTGAATACGCGGGAATGTACGGAGTTCCATCAGGGATGCAGCCTGGCATTTCAGGGACGCTGGACAGTCTTCACCCCTTTTTTTCCCAAGCTCGTGTACCTGAAGCGCCTCTTACCGAGGACGACCTTGCTTTGTTTATGCTACTCGTAACTTATTCTGATGCACTTGATGCACTTCCCATGGAAACCACGCGAATTTTTTCGGATCTCAGAGAACTTGATGCAGTATTAGGTGGTGCGTAAATGGTTTTTCATTGACAAGCATCAGTTCACTTGGGCTCACTGGCACACCGGCTCAATCACCTTGCATCCGTGATCGAGAACCCAGATGTATCTCCTGGAGAGCGTCTTCTGGTACTCAAAGAGGCGGCTGATGAAGCTCGGGCATACAAAATGGGCGGCGAAGATAAAATTCGCGTTGCTGTCAACACTTGTGATATGGTACGTTCGCTGGGTCACCCTCTTCTTCAGCCCATTAACGCATTCTTGCAGCTAGCTTCACACACCGAATACATTGAATCTATTTTGCGCTCTCTCACGTCTCTATCAGCACTTGCGCCATATGTGCGAGAAAGTCGCGCCCAGTACAAACACCTATCTGACCTTTCTGGTTTCCCAAATCATGGCGAGTCACTTGCTGGACCAAGCGCTGTGAATCCCCCTGTTGATATGGCTTCTGCATCCGCCTCATACCCATTTGCACCGTTTCCTGATGTGTCTTCAAGCCGCGCGCCTGTCGAACGGGACTCTCAGAGTGCTGTTCGGGCTGGCAAGAAGCGTAAAGTTCCACCCCACTCAGTCTCTTCGCAGTCATCTACGCGTTCAAGCTCAGAAACGCAGAGGAATAACGCATCAAACCCGCACCCGAAGCGGCGTGAAATAGCCAGTCGACATCACAACCATGAAGAGACCGATCAGGGCGAAAGCAGTGACGAGCAAAGTGAATTGTTCGTTACAGGAAATAGTGCCGATCGACTCGCACGCACACATCATCGCGCTCGTACTCGTGGCACTGCCCTACCTATGGAGCCAGTTGCTCCATCGAAAACAACGTCTGGGAGTGCGACCTGGAGTGGCCGTCGTGTTGTGGATGCGTCCGTGCCAGTGGACCATGCCTCCCAAGGCGATGCGCCACGAACCACCTCCCGCAGCCGGATCAGCAAAGCCTCAAGTGCAGGATCAAATCGTGACGACGCGGACGATCAGAGGTACTGTTTCTGTAATAATGTGAGCTATGGCGACATGATCGGATGTGATGACGACGACTGCGAACGCGAATGGTTCCATCTCGGCTGCGTGGGCTTGTCCAAGCCACCTCAAGGCACCTGGTATTGTGATGCTTGTCTAGAGCGACGTATGCAACAGTCAAAGAATAAAACGAAACGGAGCGCTCGACCAACTCGCGCACCTACGTCGGGCGTACCGCCCGCCACATCTGATGTCCCGACGTCTGCTCGGCGTGTCGCCAGCCATAGGCGCTAGCTTCTACCCATCTGTCTCTGTATCGCGACATAGAAATTGTAAACAAGTATGCACCAGAAGAGAAGAAAAAATTGAATTAGGCTTATCTAGGACCCCTATGCCTTACCGTTGATGGCAAGCAGTTCGACCTCAAACACAAGCGTCGAGTTTGGTGGAATAACTTTGATCGTCAGTAATTTGTACACGTACTCGGAGGGAATCCGCGAGGTCCATAAGCATAGTCAGGCGAGCAGATCAGGTTTGCCTTTTGACCAAGCGAGAGCTGGGGCACACCCTCGTCCCAGCCGCGAATCACTTGGCCGACTCCAATCTTTGTGCGGAACGGTTGGCCACGGTCACGCGAAGAGTCGAACTTGTTGCCATTGGACTGCAGTGTACCAATGTAGTGCATGTCGACCACATCTCCTGCCTTAGGGAAGGTCTTGCCATCGCCTGGCGAAATCGTTTCCACATTCACACCCATGCTGCTCAGGATCTAGTAGTAAGTGGGGAGAAATGGCTTGTGCGTTTGGGTCTGATTTTTGCGCGCTCAAGTCCCAGCTTTGGATTGCCGCAGGTCCTGTCGCGCAGCCCATGTGCTGTGCACTCCCGTGGTCAAATGACGTGTCGATTGATACTGACGTAAGCAAAGAAGCGCATAGAACACTAATGGGTGTCGGCACTTGCAGCAAGTAAACTAGCTGATTGGCCAGCGGTCAGCTTCTAGCAGACTAAGTTGGTGCATTGCTATTGCTGCCACAACTACGTGGTAGAAGTCAAGCTTAGGTTGTGTAGCTCTCGCGAAAGAAATCCTCGACAAACGCCCAGTGTCGCATAGAGGATCTAGACCAGCAAACAATCTTGACATCGACTTTACAACTAACCATAGTTCAGACTATCCATAATGTGAGTATTGGTTCGCCAGGATCATAGTTAAGTCCACGTACCGGAAAATGTCGTTGAACACATAGAACGAGCCACCCTCGGGAAGTAGCGTAAAGGACTAGACATAAGTCACAACGCGCATTACATACCTGGCTGAACTTGAGCGGATTCTGGCCATCATCCACAAGAAGCATGCCCGTCACAAGGACAACGAGACTTTGACCGTCGCCAGTCGGCTGCGCATCGCGTGTGTCGACCTTGTGCTGCACCTTTTGGAAAGGAAGGCTCTGACTGGTTAGATGACAGATATCAGACGGTTACTTACCACGAGCTTTTCAACAATAGCTTGCGCACCCTGCGTCTGTGCGCCCTCAAAGGTGAGCATCGAGTGGGGACGCTAGTACAGGTCAGCAATGGTTCTGGTGCACATACGTAAAGCGAGCCCAACTGCGAGCGATCCGTGTCAAAGGTCGAGTAATAAAAGTCTGTGAACTGATCATACATTAGTTCAGAGCATTCTTGGAAGCATATAAACACGCACCTGTTGAGCTACTGCTTCCATGGTTGCAAAGAGAGCCGGTCTAAGGTTAACGGTCTATCGGACGTTCGATGAACTAGTGACTCTTTGCCTCGGCCGATAGCACGGCCCATCATGTTGAAGTGGAGACATCATGCGTGCAGGAACAATAAGTGTTACAAATGATTTATTTTGGCCCTTAAGGCGCCTCCAACCCTAGCACATACAACGCATATCCACATACGACATTGTCATCCTACATACGAATATTTGAAAAAAAAATAGAACGTGAATGGTGTGTAAATCACCCTCATAGTAGATGCTTAGACATCCCACCCGAAAAGCTTACGTGCGAGCTGAACTAATGCTGGTGCTCGGGACTGCTACCAAAAGGACTGCTAGGCCTGGCTTTGCAATCCCCATGACAAGCGAGGACAGGTTTTCTGCGCGATTGGATGTTGAGCGAGAATCTCAAATTCATTTTTTTTGAGCCACTAGGAAAATTCCTTTTTCCAAGTCCTCCATGTCACATAGATGTTTGTTCTGTCCATATGTACATCATGGATGACTTAGACGCTCTGAACGGATATGATTGCACAAATGATTCTTTCATACGGTCGCACGGGTCAAGCGAGTGGAAACGCGCTTGTCGAATTCGACTATGAAATCGGAAGAGCAAGGCTGATCCTCTTAACCTCTCTCACCCACCACTTACATTCCTTACATTGTTTCCCAAGTCCCAACGGATCTTCAAGAAGTGTGCTTTCGTGTTTGCGTGTGCACCCTTTCTAACATCCTTTGTTTCTTAAAGCGCTAAACAACTACATTCATTCCTTTGTTACTGACTTTATCCGCTCGTTCCTCCTCAGGTATTCGCATATTAGCTAACGTGACAACAGCTTTCCATTTGATTGCACAGATGTTGTTTCGTCTTACTCGTCCAGGAACCTTTTCTTTTTTCGTTGGGATTTCGGTGCTTCTGCATGTGATTTTGAATGACCTTACAGGATCCTCATCAGTTGCGCCACTTTTTGCTAACGCAGTACCTATGAGCTCCGATAATTCCACTGACACGAAGTCGAATGGCATGGTCCATTTGCTGCTTTCCTCCAATTTTGAGGAGGAAGGTGAACAGTTTGTGCACCCGTGGATAAAACTTCAGCAGCACATTAACCGCAGCAAGCGCCGTCTAGCAAAATTTCAAGGTACTTCTGCACCATCGGATGACGAGCTTCAAGCGTCTATCGAACGTCGCAAATCGAGCGTGAATAATGAAGCTCAGGGGCCATCGCATGCCATGCTCGAATTCCGTCCCCCGCGAATCAAAAGTCGACCTCAGTCACAAACGTTCGAAGATTCGAAGCCCAAGCGACGTCACTCTCGATACGGAACCACAGAGAAGAGCGTCAAGCCCGACCTGGTACCTCGCGATGATGATGGATACTCGTCGATGGAAGCCAAAATGCAAAAGTCGTACTCCGTGACAAATGCTCCTGGTGCTTCTGCTCGAAATTCAGAGGGCTTGGCTATTGAAGCAAATGACGTAGGCTACTTTGTCGAGGTTCAGATTGGATCCTCTGATACGAAGTTCAAGATGCTTGTGGATTCTGGATCCTCTGACACTTGGGTCACTGGCACATCATGCAATGAGTGCGGGTCGTCAGACCGTCAGAAGCTCGGAAAATCTGTGTCACAGTCACTCAAGACCACGAATGACAAATACAAAATTTCTTATGGTACCGGCTCTGTTAGCGTTGCGCTTGCTACAGATTCGTTTCAGATTGCAGGACTTTCTCTCGACAGCTACACCTTTGGTATTGCAAGCTCGGAATCAGACGACTTTGGCGCGGACAAGATTCCTTTCGATGGCCTTCTTGGTCTAGGCGGCAAGAGTCTGAGTATTACAGGCAAACCGACGATCGTGGATGCCCTTGCTCAGGGAAACAAGATCGACAAACCGATTGTTGGTGTTCGTTTGGGACGTGCAGCCGAAGGAAGCTCAGGCAACAAAGGCCAGATTACCTTCGGTGGTGTAGATCAGTCTCAGATCGACGGGTCACTGAACCAGCTTGATAACCAGTCAAAGGATGGTTACTGGGCTGTGTCGCTTGACAGTGTGTCGATCGACTCGGACCAGGTGAGTGGTGGCTCTACTGCTGTGCTCGATACAGGCACGTCGTTGATTGTTGCCCCGAAATCAGCTGCCGATAAGATCCACGATGCTATTCCGGGAGCCAAGTCAGATGGTCAAGGCGGCTACACCATTCCATGTACAACAAGCAAGACACTCTCGTTTACTTTTTCGGGAAATACGTACTCGATGGATGCCCGCGACTTGTTGTTCGCACCGAAGGACCCGAACAACTTGAAAGGCACCTGTATCAGTGCTGTTTCTACAGGATCAACTATGGACGGTGCTGACTGGTTACTAGGCGCTGCGTTCTTGAAAAATGTCTACTTTGCCACCAACTCTGATGCGAATAGTATTGGTCTTGGCAAACTTAAGCAATAAAGACAACATGGCGACTTGACAATTTCTCGCCCCTTGCACCAATCCACATACATCTTTTTACAAGGATTCTTGCACGAAGATCTCACTTTGTTTGGTAAATACAATATGATAAAAGACTCACATATCCTCGGTAGATACATAGATAGTTTCTCAAATTATGTGTGCGCACCTTCAGTTGCTGCTCCAAGTCATTTTTTGTTTTACTATTATTTCTTCACCGCTACGTTGACAGCAAGCACATACTATCCCAACGGGCAGTCATAGGTGGGAATAAAGTGCGCACCATGTATCATTGAGGTCTACTTTCTGCTGCGGTTTTTGCGGGTACGCGGACGCTGTTGCTGGTTTTGAAGTGACTCAGGGATCCAGTCCTCGTCGTAGGTTTTACCATTGGAGCTCACAGCGACAGGAGTCGTCTTGGCATCTCGACGTTTTGTTGGCACAGTCTTTGTACGTAGCATAGGAGCAATGTAGGCGTTGTACATCCAGTAGCCGACACCACCGAGCAGGGCAAGGACGATCGCGTAAACCGAGAGAAGTTGCCAATCCCAGAGGCTCTGCGGGGGTTCTTCCACTGTGACGGAGCCGCGATACAATAGGACATTGTAATTGTTTGATGAAGATCTGTCAGAGACCATAGCTCGGAATTCAACGTCAAGTTTCTGCGGCTTGAATTCGGAATACACATCGAAGGGCAGCTGCAATGGCTTCCCGTCCACAATTTGAATGAGCATGTCATCATGCATTACTCGTGTTGTCATGTTTCGCAGAACGCGCCTTTTGTGTCCATCTTGGCGCGCCGGGTCGAGGAATGCTCCTGTCAGAGAACGGACGGATACGGCGCGGTCAGCACCGCGGGGCTGACTGAAGGTGAACACGACCCGGGTAGCCTCTCCATTCTTCACAATGTTGAATGGGTTGTTGGGAAAGGTTGTTGCCACGTTGATTTCAGGCGGGTCCTCATGAGACTGAGCATGTACAAGCGCACAGAAGCTCAGAAACCACAGGCTCAACACCAACACAGCAGCGTAACGCATGGTGGAATGAGACGAAGACGAAATCGGTGCTTGGCTGCACGTGGAGCGGCGTAAATCCTCTCTTCTATTGCAATCCGAAAAATAGTCACAAAAATTTCTACAACCGAAAGGATGGTTATGAATAGGCTTTACGCAAGGCGCGCAACTCCTGTTGGTATACCTTTTCAAATGCCCGAGCAATGTCGCATACGACTTCGTTACCTGCATTGAATGTGAAGCAATTAGAAAGCATCAACTGGATATCAGCATCGAGTGCGTCAATGCTATCGTATCGATCGGAGCGAAGCTTGTCGCTGATCAGCGTCAAGTCACGCGCGTTTTCCTGGGGGATCACATCAAAATACGTCGGTATACCAAGAGCCACAGGATCCACAGCATACAAAAAGAGGCCACCTGTCGGATGCTGTTTAAGTCGGCCCATCATGCTCTGCAGCGATCGCTTGTGAGAGTACTCGAGCTTACGGACCATGGCGCGGCTCCATTCCCGCCGCCATACACGCGACACAGCTTGCTCCATGATGGCCGGCTCTGTGCCCGGCGGATTAAATTGCCGGCAGTTGGCGAACATAAGGCGCATGTCCGCAGCAAAGTCACCCATCGTCTTGTACTCGCCGGCCTTGAGCTTTCGATCGATCTTGCTCAGATCCATCGGGTGCTTGATTTCTTCGTAGTACGTAGGAGCGTTGTCGCGCACAGGATCAATGGGGTAGTAGAAGATCGCTGCTTCTTTGGTTCTGTAAATAGCTTGCAATACGGAGCGGACCTTTTTCATGTGAAGTGGCGTCTCTTGTTCTCCTGGCAATACCGGGTCTTCACTCGCGGACTTGGCCTTGTCGGGATCAATGGTTTCCGCCATCGGTTCTTGCTTGGGTTCAAGCGCAGATGGGGCTATGGCAGACGGTTTAGTGGTGTTTTGTGACTTGGATTTGGCTGATGACTTTGAGGTGTTCGACGACGGCTTGGCACTGGTGGAGGATTTGACACCGGCGGATGACTGTTTTATGCTTGCAGATGATTCGAGCTCACCTGGCGCTGCTGTTGCTGCTGCTGCTGCTGCTGCCGGTGGTGGTCGAGGCGGCGGCGATGAAGCCTCAGAACGTGGTCGCTTGACTTTCAGTGTAGGCCGAGGTGGCGCTTCACTAGCTGTTCTTTTCTCGCCCTTACCGACATTCAACTTGATGGTAATTTTCTTCGGTGGAGGTGCTGAAGACACGGGATCAGAAGTGTCGGATGTAGTACTACCGTTAGGCGCAGTAGTACAGACAGACGTAGGAAGGATTCCTGCTGCTGCTGCTGCTGATGGTGGTTGTTTTGGTGCAGAAGCTTCGTCCACGTCGTCGGTGGAATGTTTTTCGGCACGAGCTGCGGCTTGTTCCAGCGCTTTGCCGATGCGGTTCCACAGCTGGCGGAACGCCGACTCCGAGCGAGATGCCTCGTAATGGATCCAGGCTTTCGGGTCTGGCGTATATGTCTTGGCATTCTGGAAAATTAAGTCGACATCATCTTTGAATTGGAAGCGGTCTTTGTACTGGCCCGACTGCAACTTGTTTGACACGGAGCTTAGATCCATAGGCTCTTTGATTACGTCAAAGTAGTCTGGGGCTTCGTCGCGTACTGGATCCACCGGTCGCGTGAAAGGCTCGCAGTGCTTATTGGCCATGAGTTTCTGGATGCACATGCGGCAGGCGCTAAAATCTGATGACGACATGCCCAATGCCTGACCAGGCTCAGGCGCCTTGGGCTTCTTTGGCTTCGCAGTTTTAGGGAGCACCACACGAAGGGGATGCGATGTCGATCGCTTTTCTTGCTGGGGCGCATTCTTGATCATGAGGCGGATGCGCATTGCACCTGTCTGTTCACCAGCAGGCACTGATACTGTTGTCTGTTCCGTGGGCACCTTGGTATCTTCGACCGGCTTGAACAAGAGCTCGGCCAGCCGCATGAGTGCCCATCGCGCAACCGCTTGGTCTTTACTCGCACGGAAAGCCGCGAGAAAGCCATCTCGGACTGAGGCAGAGCGGCCGATTTCGCGACGTAAAACTTTGATCATCTGCTCGTTCTGTGCCGCTTCATCGGCGAGCAAGGCTTCTTGCTCAGCCACATTCCCAAGAGGATCGCCTTCCTGTAGCATCTCGTGCCGTTGCCGTGTGATGCCAAGCTCACCTGTCGCAATCGCAACGGCTAGCGCATCACACAAACTACGAGCGAGATGCATTCGAATGACGTGATCCTCGTCCGAAGCCAAGATGGCAAAGTAGTACCGTGTCAACACCTTGTGCTGAAGTCCTCGCAACAGCAGCAAAGCATTCAATGCAGCCATACGCACGGGCGGGAAGTTGCCTTCGCGCGTGTACTCGAGAAAGTGCACAAGCTCCAAAGGACGCAAGTTTGCAAACACCAACGCTTGGTGAAAATCGAGCGCTGCGATCGTTACGACGTTGTGGTACGATGGCACCAGGCGATCTAGCACCTGCAGACGCTCGACTTCTTGTATGGCCACAGCACGCAGCTCCATCTCCTCTGGTGAATACGTCTCATCTGCATGCGTCGAGTAGCCAGCACTGTCGATAGGGATCAGTGTGCCTGCAAGGGCATTGATGATGCTCGCAAGATAATAGTCATCGACGAATCGGTTCGTCGAGTTGTCGTTGTATCGGAGCAGGTAGATCAAGAACCGTTGTACAATCACCAAAGCACGCCCCCGGTGGTCTCGCACCCGCGCAATCGCATGGATGAGGGCACGGCGAACGAAGTAGTCGGCCATGTCGGAAAAGTCGTTCGGTTTCGGAATACACGGTGCTTCCAATGAGGTCGAGTCGCCTTCGTGCGGCACATCGAGGCAGTAGCTGGTGCGGAAGAGCATGAACAAATGGAACAGACCGAGCAGGTCGAGATGCGGCAGTGCACAATTGGCGAGGCCGTAGGCAGCTTCGGCGCGAATGCGGTAAAAGTACTTTGTGACAAGTACCGTTCGTGTGAGCGTGCTGCTTGTTATGAGACTGGGCATCTGGCTCAGAGCATGTACTGCGGCGAGCTGTGCCACCACGTCTCGGTCTCGCTGCAGCTGCGAGACCCACATGTAGTCCGGCTGTTCAAACTGAATCTGGGCCATCCATTCAAAGTCTGCATCAAGGCGGATCCATTCATACGGCGCCGACGCCATGATGGCCTCATCTTCTTCCGTCCAATCAGCGACGCGCCAGCGCTTCCGCTCGTCCTCATCCTCCCACATTCCGAGTCCAAATCCCAGATCGATCATGCCGATTGCCTCAGCAGCATCCTCATCGCCTGCAGCGGCCGCAGCGGCCGCTGCCTGCCGAGCCTGGAATCGCTTGGTATTACGCCGTACACGCTTGTATTTGGTATTGAACGGCACGTCATACCGCTGGTGCTCGTTCTTGATGTCAAGCACATGCTCGTACGGCGTGCCGTCGGCCTCGTGGATCCGCACTGTCATTTGGCCCTCCCACAGCGACACGGGATTCGATGCAAGTGCATCCTCTGGATGTGCTTGCGCGTAGATTGCTGCAGGCGACTCTTGACGAACATGCATCTCAATAAGGAGTTTCTTTCGGTTAAAGGTCGCGGGGCACAAGAAGCGCGGGCAGCCACTCCCGTTGATCCATTGATCGACAAAGAGCCGGAGATCGGCCCCACTGACCTTCTTGCACGTGCGCAAAAAGCTGTGAGTGCCTTAGTGCATTCTGTGTCATTTCGCCCGTGATTGCCTGCAGGAACAGCTTCGGGATTACACGGCCCAGACCAAGCGATGCTCCCATCTTACAAAGCCGGCGGTCCAGAAGGTAAAGGACAAGTGGCGCTTTCAGATTCACAAATGGCAGTAGCTGGGGGTCCAGTGGTTCTTCACGGCCCACCTGGTACAACGGCGGCATGCCAATGTCCCACAGGCACAAGCGATCACAGTCTTTTTTCATGCGGAAGCGGTATTCATTGTTACCAAGAAGCCAGCGCAAGAACATGGACGCCAGGTACTGGCTCAAGCCATGAATTAACCACGTATCGGCCCAGGTCTTCTGCACAATGTTAATGCCAACCCACTGGAACGCGACAGCATGACTTAGGATGTGTCGGTTCTCGAACGCTTGGTCTATCACGGACGGTGGATGAAGCAAATCGCTCGAACATACGGCCAGCGTACTCGCCGTATGACAGTCGACCAACGCGCCATCCACAAACACAAGCTTGAAGGAACCAAAAGGGTATGATCCGTACACACTGCTGATATATTCGATGGCCTGCCAAGCAAACTGTGTTGTGGAACGCAGCTCGTGCTCATGCTCAGGCAGACAGAAAGCCAAAGCCTCGCAGGTGCCAGAGCCTGCGGGCGAGAGCCGCGCCAAGACAAATGGCCCCGCACAGAAGGCCACATGTTGCACGGACGTGGCCACCTGCTGTGTGTAGTAGAAGACCGACTTGTCAGGATCATGCGGGTGCACAGCATGCTCAGTGAGCTCACCGGACGAAACGACAAACACCTCAGGAGCATCGTCGTCCAAGTCGCCGGCATCCACCGAAAGCCGCCGGGGTACGACGAACTCGAGCTCCCATGTGCAACGGTCCCACAACGAATCAATGCACGGCACCCAACAGCGCGAACTGTTCATTCCTAAGGGCCGCGTGTACATATGAGGCACGCGATACGGCGCATCGGCTGAGGGACGAACCACCTGAACCGCTTCATGTGCATCTTCTAGCACATAGTCAATCCGTATAGTGATCATTGCAAACTCTTCTTCCGTGGCCCCGCCCTCTGATGCCGGGACACCAGAGGCTAACGGCTCTGGCCGTACGCTATCCGGCAGTGTGATGCGAAGCTCACCTTCGGCGCCCTGGCTCGCGGCGGAAAAGAGTTCGCGCTTCATCTGCGCGTGCGCATGTATATCGAGGAGCTCTAGCGAAGCCATAGGATCCGCATACTCAAACGCAGCATCTTGGTTTTGTATTTGCACGCGCTGGATATCCATGCATCGTGCATGAAGGTAGACATGTCGGAGAGCCGAATTCGTCGGCACAATCGTTAGCTCCGTATACCCTGCGAGGACTCCACTGAAAGCGAGTTCTAATGCCACCTTCTGGTGGCTCAACGAGAAACCGCGATCCGGCTGCATCGCGGCCAGACGCGCCTACTCGTCCAGCGGTGGGAGCGTCCAAGTCGTATTGACCGATGTTGCTGCGTATCGCTGGGAGGGCAACGTCACCTCACGCACGCTTAGCGAAGACCCTTGGCAATGTGGATGTCTGTCCAATTTTGCTCGTCTCGTCTCGCCTCCCTCCTCTGGCTGCGCCGTCCCTACCCAAAGCGAGATTGGGGCAAAAGGGTGGCGTCCATCACGTGATCACACCGTCCAGCAGCGTCGTCTTCGCATGCGCGTGGATGATGGTTAGGTGGGCATGCGCGTTGTACACGTACGGGGGAAGTGGAGTCCATCTTGTCCCAACACCACCCGTCGCGGGCTTTGCTGCTAGTCCCCGCATCGACGTGCGTGTCTGTCAGAACTCTCGCTGTCGCATCCCGCCGCTTGCATGGATAGCCAAGCAGCTGGCAATGCGCCTGCGGCATCGGAGGCACTAGCAAGTACCTCTGTCTTTCCGCCTCCGCCATTCATCTACCGACTATTTACGAAGCAAAATCTCGCTTGGTTCGGCGTCTTGAAGGAGCACAAAGGCGACGTTGACTGGTCATCCTTGGATGCGCGTGGTCGATTAGATGCACAGAATGCTATTCTCAAAAATGCAGTTGAAAATGTGCCTGACTTGAAAGAGCTTGTGCCTCCCAATGTGGATTTGGAACGAGAGCTTTCCCCGCTTCGCATAGACTGGATTGAGCAGGATGGTGGCTACCAGCTGTTCGGCCAGCGATGGCCCTATCCCAGATGTCACACCATCGTTGGAGGAACTAGGAATTCCGCGCTTTTTCCCCGCGAGTCACGAATTAGAGCGGTCAAAAGTGCTTCAGACGCTTCTTCACACGCTCTTACAAACCTATTTTGAATTGGTTTGCGACTTGTTGCGGCCCATCCAACCATACGACGTGGAGGTTCCAATGCCTCATACCGAAGGGCAGACGACACTCATTTCCTCGTCGCATCTCAAAGACCGTCTGCATCATATGGAGACGGTCGTCATCAACTTCCAGTATGTTTTGAATCAAATGCGACCCCTTGAAGCTCGGGCCTCGCTGCAATCACTCTTACGGCATCAACTTACCGAAAGACGTCAAGCCACTGAGCGCCTTCGCTCTAAGTGTGCAGCCATCCGAGAAGAGATTCAACAGCTGGGCATGTAGTGTCTGGGAGAAAACAACTAGGTGCGAACGAGCAGGCATTGGCATGGGCATGCCTATGTATAATAGTATATATGTACAAACATGTTGTTCTTCATGCTTCCCTACCCCCTTCTCCCTATTATGTTGCCCTCGTCTGCCTTGCACCCTGCTATTCATCTGTCAGGCCGTGTTCATGGAGCACCTCTGTAAGCACAGGTCGACGAACTAGCACTCCTCGAGCTTTTTTCACCGGCCGTTGCCGGCGTGGCGACATTCGGCTTGGGATATCGATGCTCTTATGCGCTTCCTTGTGCAAGGAGACAATCACTTGCTTCTCGTCCAGCAATCGAACCAGTTCTCGCATGGGCGAATGCGATGCGTGATCCGCCGCCATAGTCGACTGACTACCGACCAAAATAAGCTTTGTCTTTGCGCGAGTTACCATCACATTCACACGCCGCCGGTCGCGCAGCAATTCACCGGCCACATGTGCTGTATTTGATCGCACGAGCGACACAAGCACTACAGGCCAGTCGCGCCCTTGCGCCTGGTCAATTGTCAATACTTCCGTGCTAGCGCATGCATCTCGAAGGCGTTTGCTCTGCTGTCGGTATGGCGTCAGAACACCGACATCTGTCCCTTGCACACCGGCCTGCCGAAGTGCCTCAATTATGCGCGCCACCCACGCTGCTTCCGCCTCATTTTCTACCAGTGTATCAGTCCGAGACTCCTCAGCATGTACAGGGTCTGTGTCGACAAACACACATGGTCGAGAGGGATCGATGATTGCTTCCAACATGGCTGCAATGCCCGCTTCATTGTCCGTGGCGCAGTCTTTTTTTTGATCGCAGCTGGGAATAATTAGTCGAGCACACGCAACGTCTTCACTGCCACAACTCAACCGCCCCTCATACACGAGCGCATTGCTTAGCGCCATGATCTCAGCATTCATACGGTATTGCATACACAGCATAGCCACTGAGTCAGGATGCGCTTTACACAGCCGCTGAAACAAACTCACGCTCATGCCGTGCGAGGCTGCATCCGTATTTCGCACTACGGGCGTCAACTGGTGGTGATCGCCGATCATGACGAACCTGTCTGCTAGTCTTAAAGGACCCAAGCATGTCGGTACGGTAATTTGACTAGCTTCGTCCATAATGCACACGTCAAATGTACGTCGTGCTAGTGCTGCATCGTTTGTCGCTAGGCACGTAGCCGCGACGATCTGTGCATCTTGCACAAGGTCGACCAAAGCCTCGGCACTGGCTTGGGGTCCCAGCTTGGTCGCCAAAGCGCAGGCATGGACACGTGGGTGAATGCGTGAGAGGGGTCCTAAGCGGAGTACGGGTATATCTAGCAGCTTGCTCACGATCGTGTCGACGGCCGAGTGCGTGTGGCTGCAGAGCAAGACACACTGGCCCATGTCGGCAAGAATTCTCACAAGCACCGCAATCGTCGTTGACTTGCCTGTGCCTGGCATGCCCAAGATCAACGTATAATCGCGCGCACACAAAGCACGCTCTATTGCGTGGCGCTGATCTGCATTGCAACTGGCTGCATGGCGCTGGACAAAAGCAGCCATCTTGTCGTTAATGCATGTCCATTGCGGCGTATCCAGATGGACAACACGGCGGCGAAGCATGGTGATTTGCGGCGTCACCTGCTTGTAGAACAGACACGCAAGATTATAGCGTGGCACGCCCATGACAGACATGATATCATCCAAGTCTACACGAAATGTTTGCGGCTTGCCGTACTGAGACTCGTACTGAGTAAGCGCCAGATCCAGCGAAGACTCAGGTCGCACGTGGAACTGTGTCGTGGATGCCACAACACGTCCACGGAGAAGAAACGCTGTTACCGGCGTCTGCACGGCAATACAAACAACATCTTCAGGCATGAAAGCGACTTTCGAGGCCGGAATGGAAAATGCACACAAGCCATCCATCTTTCGTATCATCATTAGATTCGGCACACACCGTCCCGTGGCAGCACGGGCGTCGGCAGGCATCGTCCAAAGTTCGTGCTGAAAACGCAGAAGCCCACGCTCTTCATGCGAAAGCAACGCATCCCAGTGCGCAAAAAAGGCCATGTCCTCAGGTGTCAAGTGATCCGTCGAGTCGGCATACAAGTCTGCAATGGGCGACTCTGTGTCCGAGACATGTTCGACAGCGCGTCGATACAACATGCACGAGTCGCGAGAATAACACCGCTGGCACTTGTACTTATTGTCGATCGTCGCTGGAAGAAATCGCGGGCTTACATCACACGCTAAGTCTTCTAGATCAGCTTCTGTGAGATCGAATTCAAAGCTGTCTTCAGAAGCAGGTGTGGGCACCTCAGCCGGTTCGGAAGGTGCAGACACATGAGCAGGGTCTACGCTTTGTTGGGGTAAAATGTCGATGGTACCTTCTGTTGGAGAAGGAAGGAGCGCAAGCTGGACTTTAAACGAAGCCATTTCATTGCGCGCCATGATCAAGCTTCGGACTTCTTTTGTGTTGCAGTGAACGGGTCGTATTTCACTATTTTGGACGTAAAAAAGTAGTCCATAGTCGACGCTCACACCATACGCGTCGGCTAGAATCATCGTATAAAGGCTCGTTTGCGCAGTGTGTTCCATGCTTGAAGTAATACGACCCGTCTTGACTTCCATTGGCAGGATGCATTTCCTACCACCGGCCGACGTTTCGATCTCTGCTTCCAGACACAGGTCTAAGCGTCCCTTCAGGCCATACATCGGACAAAGAATATCCGATTCAGTCCCAATGATGCGTGTAATGCACATTCGGATATGCGCATTCATGCGAGTGTCATGGATCTGAGCCATAGCCTTGCGCCTGGAGTCATCGCGAAAGGATAGAAAAGTCTCGGCAAAGCGTACAAGGGACGGAACGGCAGCAATAAGATCCCTCCTTGCCGTGTCTGTCTTCGTGTCGACTAACACCAGAGCCTGCTGAGCCTCTTCAAGCTGTCGCTCGATCTCGGCTGTTATAAATGCGCATGAGAAATTGCCTATACGATCCCATTTGGCCGGTGCTGACACTTCCGGCGAAGGCGCCGGGCTCTCGTGCATGGGATCTATGCTTCCAGTCAAGCATGCTTGCAGCAACGAGTGCACCATCGTACCCAAGACAGCAACATATGTCGATTCGGTCGGTGATCGAATTCGTTCTTGCAGCATCGATTTTCGCATGCATGATGCCACGCTGGCGAGTCGAGAGGACGATATAATAACATCTGGATGAACAACAAGCAAGCGCACACTTTCTTTTGTCGAAGAGTGCGAAAATGTCGAGAGGATCATACATGGCACACCGTCTTCGGAATCCCATTCGCCTATCAAATGGACTGTATCATCTGGCTTAACAAACGTAGATTCCCATTGATCACGAAGTCGCGCATATCCATGCACGGCCGGAAAATGATGCAATTCCGGCTGGAAGTACATGCTTTGGCTCAGAGGGGAAGTGCATTTGGTCGACGGTATCAAACCATGCGTGATGTCTAGCTCCAGTATTTTTTCGATTTGAATGCCGCGGATACCCGAATATTCATTGGCATAAACCTTCACGACGCGTGCGCGAGAATATGCTCGCGTCGCTAGCATTGCGCGGTGCGACTGCTGGTTCAGGACAGGCACATCTTTTTCAGAACATGCCTTTGTCAACGACGGCAGCTGCTGACTCAATCCATCTGCAAACGCATCATGCGGTGCGTTTCGGATTGAACGAGCTGATGAAGATGGGCCAGGGAGACTGTCTAGCAATTGATGGAAAAACTCCTCCTCAACTCCGTCCATTGTACATCCGAGGCCCTTAAACGAACGCGCTCTTCTTACATTTCACTCGATGCACGCGCGTCTTTGATCTAGCAGCAACATTCTGACTAATCGCTCACCCATGAACCGAGTGGATCAACTCGAGCCGGTATTGCACGCGTTATTTTCGATGCGGGACACTCAAAATATGGGCGCACATAATTTCCGTTTCCAGGGTTTCCCCACGTTACTACAGGGCTAAATATACAAGAGTGGGCGCAAAGGTACAGCGATAGAGTGCGCACATTAAAAAATGAACGACAAGATCTTTTTGTACAAAGGAAGAGAGCGCTTCTCAGCCCGCTCTTGCTCGAGGACTTCAAGAGGCACGGCTTCACGACGTCCGGTTTGCAAGTCCATGTCCTCGATTCGAACGAGTCTTGTTCGGTGATAGATTTTATAGGCAAGAAAGAAAACAAGCACAATCACCAGCGACAGCATATTCTCGAAAAAGGCGTAGGCGCGATCCTGGGGAGTCATTTTGCCCTCGCCAATTGGAAAGGCTGAACGGTAAAAGTAAGCAATCAGCACAAGCAAACTCATGAGCAAGCCACTGTACGACCCCATAATGCCTAATGGCGAAGTCCATGGAAGCTCCGCAAGTGAATTGCCTTGGCGCGTCCACGCTGCTCGAAAACGAATATGGCATAAACAGATAGATCCCCAAGCAAAAATAACAGCCAAGCCACTGATGCCCAGGAGCCATGAAAAAACAGTGGATTCTTGCGTTGAGTAGATGAGAAATCCGAGCAAACCGAAAAGCAACGTCAAAATCACAGCGGGGAGAGGTCGCCCAGCGCGATCAACGTACTGGAAAAACTTCGGTGCAAACCCTTGTTCGGAGAGAGCGAGAAGAGTACGACTGCTGGCAAAAACAGCTGCATTGGCAACGGAAATTGTCGAGAGAATGATGACTGCATTGACAATGTGTGGAAGTACTTTGATTTGTCCAATCTGCAATGCAATCACAAATGGTGACTGCTTTGGATCATAAGAAGAGCCACTGTCGTCATGAAGTTTAGGATGATCGTAGGGCACAATTAATGACACCAGAAAAAGCGAAACGATGTAGAACAAAATAATGCGCAGCACGATTTGCTGACAAGCCTTGGGCAACACCTTGCGTGGTTCCTTGTCTCCGCGGCAGCAAGACCAACAAGCTCCGACCCAGCAAAAGCAAAGGCTACACCAGCAAATGATGCACAAAAGCCTTTGAAAGAGTTGTTGAATGCACCAGGATTATGCCATGTAGCAGCACCTAGATACTTATTGCTAGGCGTACCACCACAATCAATGCAAATCATCACGATAATCAAACCAATGACTGTTATTACTTTGATCAGCGTAGCAATAAACTCAAACTCGGCATAGCCGCGCACCCCAAACAAATTTATGACGAGTAGCACGATGAAAAAAATTGCGATCCAAACACCTCGAGGAACCACTTCTTTCGTATCCCAGAACTGAATCATAATGGAGGCTGCAGTAAACTCAATCGGCGCTGTGACAAGCCACTGCAAAAAGTAGTTGTATCCCATTGCAAAACCCCACGCTGGATCGATAAATCGCGTGGCATACGCAGAATGAGCGCCGGACACCGGAAGCACAGAGGCTAATTCGCCAAGGCTGAATACAACACAGATCAGCATGAAACCCATAATGAAAAAGTTGAGGATCAGACTTGCTGGTCCTCCATTTGCAAGTTCTGATGCAGATCCAATAAAAAGACCAGTTCCAATACCGCCACCAAGTGCAATGAACTGGACGTGCCGGCTATCTAGTGTTCGTTTTAGAGCAGATTTTCCCGGCATGGCCATCACGCTGTGGTCATCTGTTTCGTAGAATTGTTTCGCATTTTCATGCTTTTCTTTCTCAAAAACCTCTGGCTTTCCTGCCATATGAGTATCAATGCTGTCCGCATATGAAGTGTCTGCGGTGTATTGTTCTGGCGCATGCCTAAAACTGTTGACCCAGCTCTCCAGAACGGTCATTTGCGAAGGGTATCAGTGAACAGTCTGGGGTATACCGTTCGAGCAAGTCCTCTTATTATGCATTGGATAGAGACGCATAATCTGGTTCTTATCTGTATTTCCAGCATCCTTTGGAATTCCTCCTGCAGCCTGCTAAATCAGAACGCGCCATTCCCCGCGTGAATTGCTCACCATTTTCAACTAGACCTCATCGGACACTGCAACCATTTGTTTCCATGCGTGTGATCTGTGATTTTTGTAATAAACCCGATATTGCGGAACATCTCGATCTAGCTTCTGATAGCGTATGCTCCAATCACATTTCTGCATGTCACTAAAATTATGGGGAAGATTCTTGTTCCCCGCTTTTCTAGATTAATTTGCCTTTCAAATCCTTTCATTCGTATGCCACTATAGATTTTTTTTTTTTTCACGGTTGATAAGGGGTAATGATAGCTACATGATACAGTCAATATTCAACCCCTTATCATCCAAAGGGCTCATAAAAACGTGTAGGTAATTAGACATTCATAATTACGATATCGTCAAGTGATATGCGTGATTATTCAAAAGAAGACCTCGAGAATTCTTCTCCAGCGTGGCTTCAAGTAGTCAGCCCGAACTTCAGGCTCTGTTTCAGAGTCCATGTGAGGATCGCGACGGCCTGTATGTAAATCAATCTCATGGATGCGCACAAAACGTGCGCCAGTGAAAAGCTTATGCGCAAGGAAAGCAACTATAATGATCACCACGGATAGATACGACTGGAAAAATGCCTTTCCTCGTTCATATCCATCCATTTCTGCTTCTCCAATAGGGAATGCAGAAATGTAGAATGTGGCCATCAATACAAGGATGTTGAGAATCAACGCAAACCATGAGCCCCATTCCCCAAGCGGTGAAGTCCATGGCAAGTCACTCACACGGTATCCAGCCTTTTTCCACGCATATCGGAAGCGTACATGCGCTAGAGAGATACACATCCAGAGCAAAATTACTGACATGCCGGAAATGCTTCCCAGCCATGAAAATATCTCATCCTCTGAGCTCGAATACACCAAGAAGCCCAGAAGTCCAAAGAGAAATAGAAGAGCAAATCCAGCCATAGGACGTCCCTTACGGTCAGAATACATGAAGATCTTGGGTAGAAAACCGCTCTCTGCCATAGAGTACAAAAGACGACTTCCAGTATACACAGCTGTATTTGAAACCGAGACAACAGAAAGCAAAATCACGGCATTGAATATAGCAGGGAGTGCGTGAATTTTTCCGCGTTTAAGCGCGAGCACGAATGGGGTGGCACGCGGCGAAGAACTTGATCCGACCAGATTTGGTTCGTCATAAGGAACAAGCAATGTCACCATAAAAAGCGACAAAATGAAAAAAATTATGACACGGTATACCACGAACTTAGATGCTTTAGGTAGTTGTTTTCGTGGATTACCCGCTTCACCCACCGTCACACCAATCACTTCAGTGCCTCCATAAGCCAGTGCGGCAAAAGCAAACGCATTTGAAAACCCTTTGAATCCATTGTTGAACGCGCCAGGATTATGCCAAGTACCTGCTCCAATATAATGATGATTTGGCGCTCCACCGCATACGATGACGACGCAACAAATAATAAACCCGACACAGGATAGCATTTTTATTGTCGTAGTCAGCATTTCCACCTCGCCAAATACTCGTGCACCAAACATGTTCACAGTTAGGACACCTGCCACAATCAATGCTACCCAAATACCTTTGGGAACCACTTCATCCTTGTCCCAATACCGTATAATCATACACGCAGCCGTGAGTTCAGTGGGAAAAATGATCAGCCATGTCATCAAGTAATCCACTCCGACTGCGAACCCAAACGATGGGTGAACAAATCTTGACAGCATATGAGAGTAGGAACCTGCAGAAGGGAATGTAGCCACCAACTCACCCACGGCAAAAATCACTGTAATGACCATGAGTCCAAGCAGTATGAAACCAATCATCAAAGATCCAGGGCCACCAGAGCTGAGGATATTCCCTGAACCAATGAAGAGACCAGTTCCAATACCGCTTCCCAGTGTCAGGAAACAAAGATGCCGCATGTTGAGCTCTCGGCTGAGTTCCTTCCTCGGCACCTGCTTATCAAGGTAGGCGTGTGACGAGTCATTCTCGTAATTACCTTCTTCGACTGAGGCAGGATGTGTGGTATGACATGATACATCAGCTTTGTCTTTATGTATGGTGCTTTCACCAAGCTCAAATCGATCCATCGTTATGCCATCAAATAGAATGCTGCACAACTTGAGCAGACTCACAAGGTCTACTGCACTTGTCGATGGACTAGCTCCAAGTCCTGACCAAGTAACTTGAAACTTCGCGAACGTGGGTGTGAGACGGGCCCGAGATCACGTGATCCTCATACGACGGCGCCCCTCACGTGCGATTGTTGAGCAAGGGCCTGGAGCCACACCACGCGGTGTCACGGATCGTAAGTGGATTGGCTATGCTAAAGATGCGAAGGGGGAAATATAGGAAGGAATACATCTACTAATATGTCGTCGGAATTCGTAAAACTGTTCAGAAAAGGGTGTTCCAGATTTTCAAGTATACAGGTTTGGCGCGCCATTCTGCACGTTCCTGTTCAAGAACCTCTTCTGAGACTGGATCACGACGACCCGTTTGAACATCAATTTCATCAATACGCACGTGTCGCGTCCGTCTGATAATTTTATGCAAAATGAATGTCAAAAGAATGATAGGAAGCGAAAGCATGCTCTCAAAGAAGTTATTCACACGATCACCTGCGGTCATTGTTCCCTCTCCAATAGGCCAAGCTGCGTTGTAAAATGCAGCTATTAACACAAGGATGTTTAAGACAACAGAGAAAATGGAGCCCGGAATGCCAAGAGGCGATACCCATGGCAGTTGCTCTAGCTTATTTCCTTGTCGAAGCCATGCTTTTCGGAATCGGATATGTGCGACACAAGTAGACGCCCAGGAGAAGATAACAGAAAGTCCAGAAATACTCACTAACCAGTTGAAAATGGTGTTAGGGTTCGAAGCATAGATCAAGTAACCCAGTAAACCAAAAAGCAAGCTTACGCCCATCGCAGGAAGCGGACGCCCTTGTCGATCAACATATGTAAAAATCTTAGGCGCCATGCCAAGCTCGGCAAGCGAAAGCAAAGTGCGGCATCCGCCATAAACAGATGCATTTCCAACAGAAAAGGCCGAGATTAAAATTACAGCGTTGAATATCTGAGGCAATGCATGAATTTGACCTGTTTGAATGGCAAGAACAAATGGCGAGTTACTGGGATCATTACCGTCTCCTTCAAGGTGTTTGTTCGAGGCAGGAACAAGAAGTGTTACCATCAACAGGCTGACAATATAAAAGATAAGAACCCGCATAATTACTTGCTTCGCCGCTTTGGGAATATGCTTCCGTGGACTGCTAGTTTCTGCTGCAGCAATGCCCACAATCTCTGTACCCGAATAAGCAAAGCATGCTGTGATGAAAACAGAACAAAAGCCTTTAAAACCATTCAAAAAGGCTGGGTTTTCGTGCCAAGCGTGTGCGCCAAAGTATGTTTTAGCAGGTGAACCACCCACATCAATAACGATAGCACAAATAATAAATCCAATACACCCAATCACCTTAAGGGAGGCGGCAATGAATTCAAATTCACCATAACCACGCGCACCAAAAATATGAATGAAGGAAATAGTAAGAATGAAGATTGTCACCCACACACCGCGTGGCACAACCTCGTCTTTATCCCAAAATGAAATCACAATAGTGGCTGCGGTGGCTTCCAAAGGGAAGGTTGTCAGCCATTGGAGCCAGTAATTCCAGCCCATGGCAAAACCCCATGAAGGATCGATGAAACGCACCGAATATGTTGAAAAAGAGCCAGATATAGGTAAGACAGCTGCCAGCTCACCAAGAGAGAAAATGGTAGATATTACCATCACAGCCACAATAATGAAGGCAAGCATGAGTGATCCGGGCCCGCCTGTGGCCAGTGTGATACCTGACCCAACAAAGAGACCTGTTCCAATGCTACCGCCGATAGCAATCAGTTGAATATGACGACCTTCAAGCGAGCGCTTGAGACCGGTTTCTTCAGGTATCAATGCGACACCACCATCTTCAGTCTTCACCGCAACAGTGGTGTTGGTAAATTCATCTTTTCCTAGCGTGTCCTTATCTTTTTCTTTCGCATCAATGTGACTATGATGCTCGGATGGAAGTTCACCCATGTAGTTTGGCTCCTTGCCTATTCCACGTTCGGCAGGTTTGAAACTATCAAACCACCTCTGAAACACGCCCATAGTAGTGGCGTATTTCTGAAGGAATGCGAAGTGTGATGCCGTTTTCCTTGTGTATGGGATTTTCTCGCTCTGCTTTCACATGTGATCTGATAGTCGACAATCATTGGCCAATTAAATAACTTAACTAACTGAAGCCCTGTTCAAATCGAGAATCTTACTAGGGAAATAAGTGCTGCGCACCCATACGACATTGCAACGTATCCCGGGTAGAGCAAACAGGCTGCGAGTCCACCAGCCAACTCGTGACTCTTAACAACAGCGGTCAAGGCGTATGTGATTTTACTTGTATACCAGCAAACATACTATATTCGAGGCAAAGAAACAGAGACAAAACGAGACAAATGAAAGACAGACATGCACACTAGGGACATGTATGGTGCCACACGAAAAACTAGACACCATATGAGTTCGTGAAACTAGAATACAATGGTATACAATTCGTAGCGCTGGTTCAGTCACTCAGCCGAACTAGAAAAAGATGTGAAGCAACCTTTTTCCCAGAGGTAGAGACCGTATTTGAGCGCGTTCTTGTTCTAAAACTTCCATAGGCTCGACCTCCCGCAATCCCGAGTCAAGATCAATTTCCTCTAGCGGAACGATCCTGGTTCGTTTAACAATTTTGTATGCGAAAAAGAAAACCAAGAAAACAACCAGTGAAATCATACCCAAGAAAAACTCATAAGCGCGCCTGTCAGATGTCAGATCACCTTCATCAATGGGAAAGGCAGAATTGTAGAACTGTGCAATGACCACTAATACGTTGAAGATTAGTCCAATGTAGCTTCCATACACGCCCAATGGTGACTGCCAGGGAATGCCAGCTAATGGACGACCCTGCCGAACCCATGCAGCACGGAAGCGTATGTGTGAAAGACAGATAGAAGCCCAAGTGAATAAGATAGAGAGACCGGAAATGGCCAAGAGCCAATTGAAGACCTCAGCGCCATGATCATCACCGACATAAACCATGAAGGCCAGCGCGCCGAACAAAAGACTCAGTATGGCAGCTACCAATGGGCGACCCGCACGATCCACATACGTAAATATTTGAGGTGCCATTCCTTGACCGGCAAGAGCATGAAGTGTTCGGCTGGCAGCAAAAACAGCCGAATTGGATACCGAAATGGCAGACAACATGATGACTGCATTCACGATATCGGGGAGAACCCTGATTCCACCGGATTTGATCGCGAGAACAAACGGTGAGCTGTTCGGGTTATTCCCACTCTTTCCGACCGTTAGCATAGGATGATCGTATGGTACAAGCAGCGTGACCATGAAGAGGGACAAGGCATAGAAAACGATCACACGATACATAACCAATTTGCATGCACGTGGCATGAACTTTCGAGGATTGCTTGACTCAGCCGCCGCAAGACCCAGCACTTCTGTTCCTGTAAAGGCAAAAGCGGCCGTTGTAAGCACACTGCAAAATCCCTTGAAATTGTTATTAAAAGCGCCAGGGTTGTACCAAGTACCGGCACCCCTATAGCCACCGTTCGGCGCACCTCCGCAATCAATGACTGCGGCACAAATAATGAAGCCGATCAAAGTAAGCATTTTCAATGAGGTCGCACAAAATTCAAACTCAGCATAGCCTCTCGCACCGAATAGGTTCAAAATGATTATGAACACCCAAAAGATTGCCACAATGGCACCATTGGGCATTGATTCATCCTTGTTCCAATAAGAGATTACAATAGTAGCAGCAGTGAATTCCAATGGGAAGGTAGCTAGCCATTGCATAAGGTAGTTGTATCCAATAGCAAAGCCAAGCGCAGGATCAACAAAGCGTCGTGAGTATGCACTAAATGCACCAGGGAGAGGGTATAGAGATGCAAGTTCTCCCAGCGCGAACAAAACAGTCAATATCATAAATCCCATCAGTGTATAGTCAATGATGATACTGCCAGGTCCGCCATGGGCTAAGGTGGAGCCAGAGCCGACGAACAAACCTGTACCAATACCGCCGCCGAGCGCTATGAAAGCTAGGTGGCGACTTTTCAAACTCTTTTTAAGAATAGGCCGCTTCGTGGCTGGTATGTTTTTCATGTCTTTCGAGTTGACAGAATCGGAATTCTCGCCTTCGTAGCTCAAGGTCGATTCATGTCGCTTCTCGTTTTCGGACTGCAGCTCATAATCTTCTTCAGTAATGGCGGGTTTGAAGCCATCGACCCAATTTTGCAACAGCGTCATAGCTAATAATGTGAAAGTTGGGCGTGGCAGCACCGAAATTAAGGTGCGAGGTGCAAAACCAGATTCGAGGAAGGAACGCTCCGACTTGGTTGGTGGACGCAGATACACCCTGTTATCTCAAGGAAAGCTGAATTGAACTTCAGGAGCTTTTTTCGGTCTGCTCTTCCTGGGGTCAGGTACACAACTCGGCCGGATTCTCTCATGCCGGACAGAAAAATTTGATTTCGCACCTACTACTGGCATATTTTGGCCGTCAAAACAGACTAATCAGAACCGATAATAATGATGCTGGCACGTGGGCTGTGCTGTCAGGTTTGTATAGCGTCTCCATATATTCAATGAACTATCAACCAATCAAAGGTGCTCGAATGTGCTTAGCTGGAAGTCTTGAACCACTTTCAAGCTTAGCTCAGGGCTCTTCAGCTTGTCGCTTTACCCCGCGTTTCGCATCATCAAGAAACTTGTCAATCGAAAATGGATCATTCGTATCCTTCTCAAATTGCACAGGTCCGGAGCGTGGCTCTTGTGATTGCGCGCCGCTGAATCCCTTCCTCGCACCGAGCCCGAATCGGTCGTGTTGGAGCTCATCACGAATACCACTTTCAGTCCCACCGCCATACATATCGTCTGCGCCACCACCAGATCCTGGACGACTGTAAATAGCCGCAGCAGCGGACGAACCCTGGAATAATGGCTTATCGTATACATTATAGGAATCATCATCACCAAATGTGCTCGATAATGCTTCCCGGTTGAAAAGTCGCGCATCCGTCATAGACTCTTTGCTCATAGTGGGCTTGGCGAGACCAAGAGCTACTTTTTCTGAGATGTCCCGATTTTGCTCTTTCGCAAACACACGTGCGCGTTGCTCCTTGCCCATATTGCTCATGCGCATTTCACGCTCACGCTCACGCCGACGCTCTTCACGCAACTTGTTTCGCTGAGCAACCTCTTCTTCGTCGTCTTCTTCATCACTCTCACTGCTACCATATGCAGTCAGAGAGGCTGACTGGACACTTCTCTCATTCGAAAGACGGTCTCTTGAAGAAGACGAAGCTGAGAAACCTGCTCGCTCGTCGCGAGCGCGCTGTGCAAGCATCCGTAGGCTTTCTTCCCGTGCAGCTTTTTCTTGGGCAGCAATCTTTTGCTGCATGAGGTTTCTCTGTCGAACTTCTTCACGCGCATGACGATCAGCCAAGTTCAGGGCCTCAGAAAACTGTGCAAAGTTGTCATTCACATGTACATCTTGCATGCCACGCCCACTAGCTGCCAGACGCTTGTCTAATGGAATCGTGTAACCTTTGTTATTTTTCCAGTTAGAGATACAAGGTGGAATCATCCATTCTTTTTGTTCTTGCGCAGTCACTTTTCGCGGCGGACTTCGTAGTACAGGTGGCGGTGGACTAGGTGGCCCGTTCGGAACCTTTTTGAACATATGTCTCGGTGGCTCAAGAGGGTCCTCTACCACCTCTGTCATTTGTATGATGCGTTGTTTTTTCCCATCAGCGTTCTGTGATGCTGGTGTGTATCGCAAATAACTGATGTTGCTGGATGTCCTTGACACATTCTTTGGTTGCGCAGTTTTGACTTTGCCATGCACGATAGCTTCTAATGCCTTTCGTGTGGATTCCGCAGTCGACGACACTTGTTCCTCAGATGGACGCTCAATCGATCGGTTTCTATCTCTCACGTCCTCCCGTTCAGAAAGAGGCACGAGGTCTTTGAATTGAGATTGGACACGCTGACCCTCACGACGACCTTGTTGGACGATGGCATCATATTGGGGCTTCCCTTCTCTATCGACTTGAAGCGTCAATACTTTTCTTGCACCCTAACAATGTGAGTCATCGAACTGCAATTTTCGCAACGTACCAACATACTGGCAAGTATTGGCCGCTAAGACCTTTGCTTTACGGTGTGGACGCTATCTTGTTCGATGACGATACCTCCTACTTTTGTGGTGGCGATGTCCTGGTCACGTGATACGCACGGTCGTAGCATCGCGCATGTTGCTCGTGGTTGGTGGTGTTGGTTCTTGGTTGAGTTGCCGAGCTGGTCACAGCATGACATGACTGACACGTGTGAATCTGATCAGCATCGATGTGAGGCGAGAGTTGAGAGTATATTCCAGGGTCAACATACTTTAAATACTCGTCCTGCACCTTGTGTCACATACCGACACTTACTCAGCTCATCTTTCGAGACTACGTACGTCGTCTTTCAACTAAGACAGGAATCCATTACGAGTTATTGCGCATTGTGATGTTGATGCAGCCTACGCCCAATGTATGCTGTCTCCGCGATATATTCTTTGTGTCTAACATTTAGTTGAGGCCTCTCGTCTTGGGATAGATGAGAAGAAGGTGCCTTTCGCCGTGTTACAGTGGAATGCATTTGTAAGTGAAATTAGCTAGACCATGTCTAACCGCAGATTGCCGTGAATTATGTGGCGCGAAAGTATGGCATTAATCGATTCAATTGCACAGTGGAAGAGGCAAAAAAGCGTTGTCCTAATCTCGTGCTTGCACATGCGGCATCATATGGAGTACGTGTCATGATTCAACTCACAGGAAGCCTGGCGATAAAACGCCACAGTACTATCAAGATCCAAGTCGCGAAACGCACAAGATCTCACTTGATATGTACCGTCGGGAGTCAAGAAAAATCATGGACATTTTTCAGCGACGGCTTTTGCATGACCGTGTAGCAGGTGATCATGTGAATTTCAAACTAGAGCCGATTGTTGCAGACGGTTGGGCTCCTGCAATTTTAGAAATGATGAATGATTCAAAAGACCACGACATTTTGTTTGAAAAGGCATCTATAGATGAATCGTATTTCGATTTATCTGTTTATGTTCGAAAGCAATTGCTTCTTCGTTTTCCCATGCTTAATATTCGGGATGATTTGAACAAAGCTGACGCTGAAACACGTGCATTAATCTTGGATAAGGAACTCCCGGCTGTTCCCGCTTACGTGCAAGACGATATGCGCATTCGTGCGTGGAAAACAGTGGGAGCTTGGTGGCCAACTAATGAGCATCACGACGACAGTGACGCTTTATCACTAACGTGGATTGACATGGCTCTCGCTATCGCAGCTGAGAGAATGATCTCGATACGACATCATATAATCCAGGAACTTGGGTATACAACGTAAGTGAACGTGTTCAAACTGATGGATTTTTTCTCAGATCTGCTGGTATTGCGACAAATAAAACTTTGGCGAAGGTATGAGCGTTGATTTTTTTTTTTTCTAATCTACAAGCTTTGTTCATCGTTTCATAAACCGTGCGGTCAAACAGTATTGCTTCCCAGATTCACCTATGCATTTTTATCACCGATTCCATTCAGGAAAATTCGCTTCTTGGGTGGGAAATTTGGTGCCAATGTCGAAGAAGAGTGGAACCAGACAAATGTAAGCGATTTATGGAATGTATCTCTTGATAAAATGCGTGAGCGATTCGGCTCGGATGGCCAGTGGCTTTACCAACTACTTCGAGGAATCGATTCGTCTGCTGTTCAGCAGCGTTCTGCGAATCATTCAATGATGTCAGTCAAGAACTTTAGGCCTAGGTTGACCTCATCGAAGATGGCTCTCTCGTGGCTTGCGGTATTGTCGTCTGAATTAAGCAAGCGTCTTCAAGAGGAAAGAGAAGACGACCCACGCATGTTTCCTCGCACGCTAGTGCTAAGATACCTTATTTCTAACTCGTCTGGAGTCAAAAGTCACCAGGTCCCATTTGGACAGATTGCCAACGAGCATTTGGACCATGAAATATACACTCGTGCAGAAAAACTATGGCACGAATCTATCGGTCGTGTGATGCATCGCCCTGGCCCTAGTCGTGTCGAGCTGAGTCTTTTGGCGCTCTCTTTTGCCAGTATCGACCGCACTGTGCGTGATCAGCAACCACTGCACAATTTTCTCTCGCCTCAGGTTCATAACAAACGGAAAGCGGACATGAACCCAGAAGAACGAATGTGTTCCAAATCGGTTCGCACTACAAAATACAACGACTATGAAGTCGTCAAAGATGAAGCTTCTCTCACAGACATGGCACAATGGACTTGCTCAATTTGTTCGCACACATTACACGTGCCTATCTTTGAGGACCCCGAGTCACATTGTGATAACACTGAGCCTCCCTCTTTCTTACAAATCCTTGCTCAAGCTCGCATGGAGCACGAGCACTGGCATATGGCTATGAAACTGGCAGAGATGTAGGAAGATTTCTCGAATCAACAACCTCGGCTCATCTAGTGTTCTACCTCGCGGGCCTGTCCCACCTATCCCTCTTATGTTTGCTTCATTCCACGCTGACTACTTGCAAACAAAAGCGTTCGAACTCTAGTCTTCTTGATTAGTCATCTTTGCATGGGGCACCGCGAGCTCAGGACCTGAATGAAAGAGACGGTACCTGACCACGCCACTTTTTCCTTTGTCTTCCGTCCAATGTTCGCATATAGTATATTGCGCTCAGCTCGCTCGCAATTGCGAGTCCCAGTTGCACTGAGACGAAATGCTCGCACTATAATGCATATGTCAGCGAGACGAGCAGCAGCATTTACAGGAACTCCTGCCTATATCGCCAAGACAGTAGCAGTGGCGTCTCTCACTGCTGCCGCTGCCGTGACGCTCACACTTCAAGGCAACTTGGCTGGTAATATTGCTGAGTGTGATGCTACAGCTTCTGTTAACAAGATGACCAAGGTCTCAACGAAGCCCGATATTTCAGCCCTGGATATTAGCGTGTTGGACGACACTAACGTGCCCATGCGCAAGCGGATGGAGACGTACGTCAAGCTGTTGCAGCGTCGATTGGTGGATGATATAGAAGCGGAAGAAAATGCTGGACGTACATCGCATGAACCTAAGCATTTTACCGTTGAGTCTTGGACCCGCAAGGAAGGTGGAGAAGGCACATCATGTGTGATTCAGGACGGTGAAGTGTTTGAAAAAGGCGGGATTAATGTGAGTGTTGTATATGGTAATTTGCCGCCTTCTGCAATCCGACAAATGTCTGCAGACCACGGTGGACTCACTGAACGTGTAGGATATAAGATCGAGGGTCGTGACGCCGAAGTGGATGGCTTGCCCTTCTTTGCGACGGGCATTAGTGTGGTAATCCACCCCAAAAATCCCATGGGACCTACGGCGCATTTCAACTATCGATACTTTGAATTGATGCATCCCAAGACACTCAAAGATGGCTCACCTAACCCGCGCTATAAAAAGGATGAGCCTGTAGCCTGGTGGTTTGGCGGTGGCGCTGACTTGACACCGATGTACCTGTTCCCTGACGACGCAAAGCATTTCCATGAGATTCATAAGGCTGCCGCTGACTCTCAAGACGCTGCCTTTTTCCCTGCTTGGAAGCGATGGTGTGACAATTACTTTTGGTTGACACACCGTGGCGAGAGTCGCGGTATTGGTGGTGTGTTCTTCGATGACTTGACTTTGCCATCATGGACAAGCAACAAGGCGACATTTATTCCACTGGTCGATGGCTCAAAGAATACAGACCGGCAACTTGTGTCGGCTAAGCAACATGACAAAGAGTCACTCTTCCGTGCTGTCCGTGCGATGGGCGATGCTTTCATCCCCGCATACCTACCGTTAGTGCACAAACACAAATACGACAAGTTCACATCTCAAAACCTTGAGTGGCAGCACCTGCGCCGTGGCCGCTACGTTGAATTTAACCTTGTGTATGACCGTGGCACCAAGTTCGGACTCATGACCCCGGGCGCACGAATTGAAAGCATCCTGATGAGCTTGCCTCTCTTTGCGAGATGGGAATACATGGAAGGAACAACCGGCACAGGGCGTCAAAACTCGACAGCTGCCAGTATGAATGATATTGATAACCAGAAGAAGTACCCGGAGGAAGAGATGAGGGCCCGTGCAGCTATTCAAGACGTGCTGGAGCATCCACAGGACTGGTTAGCCTAGCTTGTGAGCATGGGGTGTCTAGTCAAGCACTCGTGTCCCAATAACTGCATAGCGGCACGCGTCCTCCCGGCGAAGTGATCGAGACAACGGCTGTTCTATTCGCACTAGGGCCTTTTATCACCCATCAGGTTGTCAGTAGAACTTTTTTTTTTAAATATACCACCTCTTTGATTTAACGATTAGTTGCGTGAAAAAGGTTCTGACACTATATGGCCCGAGGTAAATCTAATAACTGTAAATCCAATTCTTTGTACATGCGATGCATATTCAGCGAGGGGGCGGGGGTGGTGCCTGTTGTGCGTGAGAGACAGAGGCTGGAGCGCCAGAAGTGTAACTCGACCCACTAGCATAGGGCGTTTGAGAGCTGGAGTCGGGATGGCGGGCAGAAAAGGTACCAAAAAGTGATTTCCATGGGCTCTTGGATTCGTACTTTTGGGGCGGCACACCACCGTTGTTTTGCAGGTTTTGTTGACCGCGCTCACGCAGGACTGATTTGTGAATAAGCAAAATCATTGACGTACATTTCTCCACAAGGTTAGCGTTGCGAGAGTTGGTCTTGAAAGTAGCCACGCAAATATCGCCTACAAGAGGAATCAGTCCCACACTCAAGGAGAATGCATTATTAGCAATCATATGACGAATGAGTTCTGGCGGAATACTTCACAAAGTCAGTTAAACTTGGGTAGCCCTAGGACGTACTCTTCAATCTTCTGCGCTTTTTTTACAATCAAGTGATGGCTCAACAGTGCATCGGTTACGTCACCTGCGATGGGGATCAATCCAATAATGAATGTCCAGCCAAATCGGAGACCACACATGTTGAAACCTTTATCTAGTGTATGTGCCCGTTTCTTGAGTTTTCGCAGGATCTTTTCATCATGTTTCGATAGGCCGGGAGGGACTTCGCGCTGGTCGAGTAAGCAGGAAAAAAATCAACATACTTTTCGGCGCTTTTCTTTTCCATCTTCCATATAGTATTCATAGTAGGGATCCTATAGCACAGTTAGCGAACAAAGCTTCAACGCACATCAGGCTCAAACTGCTGTGCCCATTTCTCGAGTTGATTCGACGCCATCATTTTTGCCGCTCCCGTGACAACGGACATGCTGGCTGCTAATGTCAGGTGGCTCGAAAAGTCAATTAGATCCAATCGTTACCTACAGTAGGGAAAACAAAGTTGTCAAAATCACGTGGAATGACGAGCCCCTTTGCGCCGCTTTAGAGGTTCCTGCACGGGCCATATTAAGGCTTCGCGAATTTACACCGTCAAATCACACACAATATGCTAATCCTAGCCCGTCATTGGCCACCCAAGCCACCATCAAAACGTTTCCTACACATGTGCAAGAGGCACCTGCACTGAGTCCGAGTTCACCCATCACGAACATATTTCGTGTACATGCGGCATTCTACTCTATTAGTTTCATCGAGACAATGAGAAGCTCCAGGCACAAGTGTATTGTTAGCGTATTTGCTGAAGATGGTCGCGGGTGAAATTCAGCGAAGACGACATCAAAGGACAGCATGCAATTGAAGAGCTAAATAGAGTAAAAGGAATTGAGCAGAATTAAATGAATGCTTCACGAATCTGATAAAACAATATGTCGCACTTGGAGTAGAAGGTGGGAACACCAATTCTCATTTTGCGATGCTGACTGGACACTGAAACTAACTGCATTGATGGCTTGCATTGGAGGTGTCACTGCCGCGTAGGCGACGTAGCAAAGTTTCTTATCACATTCGTGATAGATTGATTCACGCATGGCTTTGAAAAGACTGGTGTGATGGAATCGCACAGGACCACAATGAGTCAAAACCGCACGCATGTTCGGCAGTTTTTAAACTACATACTGACTTTTGTGAGATTAGGATGGGAAGCAACGTCCGATAGATGTCATATTATTTGTTCTCTATTCATTACTGAGTGCACCAAACATCGCAAGAAAAAACGATAGCACAAACTGATGGGTTTACAACGTGATGACCACATAGCATACTATTCTTGATGTTTGTTTCTTTTGCGCCTGCCTTAATACCATCTTTCGGTGAAACACACTCTATGTTTCGCGGCCATTTCAATTACATCTCACATACCTCCATGCTTGTGTCAGGTCCTCTTGTTCGTCCATATTAATCATAACAAGGTTTCTATATCAAATTTTATAAATCCGTGCTGTCGGTTTATATTCGATGAACAAGATTGAGAATAGACTATTGAATGAGGGGGGCAGAAAATACACGTTCCCAACATGCGGTGTATTTCTCAAAGTATTCTTTGAAATAAATCTGGTACACCAAGCCAGGCAACATTAGTATCACAAAGCCAGATCTACTGCCCTTTCCATAGAGTTGCCTTTCCTCCCCTACGATAATCTACTCCCCCCCCCCCACCCTCCTCCCATCTTCCACATAGCTCAGCCCAAGTTGCATGATATCCTGGGGAGCAACAGGATTCACATGATCGATCAGTACGTACAACTTAGGCACACGATATACCATTTGTACCTCAGGCACAACTCCCATATACACAGAATGATTTTCGCTATTGGACAGCAGGCTGTGACTGCAATGATTCCAAAATACTTTGTACCCAAAACGGAGCATCGCCAGCAGGGTCTTCAAACTGCCATTGCCTTTCAGGCGTTTGCAACACAAATCCACGTTGCCCGCGCAAGTCGACCTGCACAGGCCAAGAGCCGGAGGCATCACCTGAAGCAGACATGACTCGGTCTAAAGGTTTGACACAGTCGTTGTAATCATCCTCCTGTTTGGACCGGAGGCCAAGCGTACGTGAGAGAGCTTGCATGCGACTTTTGGTTGAATGTGAGCGATGCAAGCGCGATTGACTTTGAGCACTTCGACGAGACTCACTCCGCACCAGGATCGTGGGTGGGCGTGTTAGGTCAGAAATGGGGGGTTCTTTGGAAGGAAGAGACTGAGGAGGACATAAAGGAATATCGGCGAGGACCTGAACGGAGCGAGAGGTTTCTTTTATACAACACAGTCGGGGAAGGGTCGTTAAGATCATTTGGCATTTTCGGGCAAACATGCCAGTGTTAGCAGAGCGTCTTAGAAGCATGGGGCTAGAGAAGACAACATCCTCGCTTGGCAGTAAAAGATCTGTCCAAACTTGACCTTTGTGCTGCAGGCCTTTGGCACGGGAAGAGCTAGAAGTCGATCTCGATGGCGGGGCCTTTCGGCCAGGGAGCTCACTGCTGGAGGCAACGGAAGAGTCGTCTGTGACACTCGACGGCTCCAGTGAGGCGAAAGAGTCCTCGCGCTGACAACCAAGGTCGTTCATGCGCTCATCAAGCTCGGCCAAGGCCCGCGTCTCTGACTCGTCGGATTGGGGCCGCTGCATGTAATCGGGGCGGATTTGGGGAGGCTCGATTGTCCAGAGAGTTGCGAAGTCGATGGAATGGAAAATCACGTTGCGTTTCACATCTTTGGCCGTCGCGCGCACGTTTGGATCGAGGCAAAGAAGCGCATCGATCAAAATGCGTGCGTCAGAGGGAAAATTCACGGGATAGGCAAAAGAACGATGCAAGATCTTTTGGAATGTCTGGTACTCGTTCGCAGCGCGGAACGGTGCATGCCCGGCAATCATCTGGAAGAAGACGCAACCAAATGCCCACCAGTCAGCGGGCATGCCAACGACCTGATCGTTCAGAAGCTCAGGACTCACATACTCGGCCGTGCCAACGAAGCTGTGCGTTCTTTCGTCCGGCAACGAGTCAGCTGAACGGCCCAATACACGAGCCGAGCCAAAGTCTGTCACGAGAACACGCATATGTCCGTCTAGCAACACGTTCTCTGGCTTGATATCTCGATGCACAACGCCAGCGCGATGAATACGGTCAATCGCATCAGCAAGCTGTGCACCATAGAACGTTGCAGAATCAAGATCTAGCGAGCCATACTTTTGTACATAGTGCAGCAGCTCGCAATTTGGTGCAAGCTCTAGCACAAAGTACAAGCTCTCGCGGTCTTGAAATGTATGATACAGAGTCACCACACCAGGGGTGTTGACAAGCAGGCTAAGGGCCTCTTTCTCCACCCGCACATACTTCTGCTTCTTTTCCTTCAGGATGTGGACCTTGTCGAGTATCTTCACGGCATAAGCTTTGGGCATGTGGTCAGATACAGGCATAGAGCCAGCTTGACCAGCCGCAGCATTGAGCGCAGTGGCGCGTGCCACAAGGACCTGCCGCTCAGCATCGGGCCAGTCGTGTACATCCCATGCCTTGATCACAGTCGAGTAGGAGCCCTCTCCGAGCACCTCGCCGAAGACAAAGTCAGATGTTGTGCGCCGACGTGATGATGCTCGTGAGCTGTCTGACGTGCTGTGTGAATTGGATGTGGCCCGCGAGAAACGCACGTCTTCGGCAGACTGCAACTGCATGCACCGCATCGGTGGCGTTTCGAGCAGGACCGACGACGTGTCCGAGAGTGGCACACGAGGTGATGGCGACCGAGGCATGAGCGTGCAAAGAGACGACCTGTTCGAGTGGCGAACATGTGAGGTGCGATGGGTATCGTCACTGGTACGTTGGCGCTCTGGCGACTCGTCGCCATGGAGACGCTGATGCTGTTGCACATGTCTGAGCCAATGCAGTGCTCGCGCGTGCGAGGAGGAGTCACGGTATAGATAGTGCTGAGATGGTTTCTCTGTATCGACACTCGTAGTACTTGCAGCTTTGGATGCAGGTAGTAACTCAGAAGGACCCGACTGGGCTGCCAACGTCGTCAACGAAGAGCTGGACAGGTGCGACCGCGCGTCTTCATCAACCGATCCTCCCGACAGCGCTGTCACCTCCGTAGATCGCTGATGGGTATCTGATACAGAGGAACGTTGGGATGAGGAGCCATCAGGCACGGCAAGTGAGTTGCGCGACGACGATCGAGACATCTGCCGACGTGCGTCGTCATCCTCGACGGGTCCAAGCATAGGCAGTCTTCGTGATTGCCCAGGCCCATTGCGATACATCCAACGGTCTGTCGGCTGCTTTGGTAAGACCCGTTGTTTCACAACAGGACCAGTCGGCGAAAATGGCGGTGGCGCCATGTCGTGGCCGCCTGCATGCCGTCTCGTCGAGCCTTGAGCACTATCTGGGCGTAGGATTGGTGTGCGCGGATCTGGACGCACATCAGCTGAAGCTTGTGAGCCATTGAACGGTGTCGTGGGTAACGCTTGTAAGCTGTGGTCACTCAGGCTTAACCTTGGTGATGATGACTGAAAGACCGACGGCGATTCGACTCGGATTGGAACCCACCGCGGATCTAGCTGCGGCCTAACATTCCCACAAGGCGGTGCACGAAAAGGCACTGCCTCGATACTCGATGTGCTGTTTGCGGAGCTTATGCTGCTGACAGATTTGGTGCGCCGCCCATCCACGTCACTGCTGCTGCTATTCCCCTCACCGCCGTCCTGGGGTCCAGGATTGATGCAGGTTGACGGGTCATCCACCGTCTTTATGCCAGCCTGAGCCACAGGCTTAGCATGTCTTGGGGGCTCTTTCACTGGTGTCGGCGGAAGTGCGCGGTCCACTCGATCCATCACCACCACACGCGCGTGGGCTGGGAATGTCCCTCCTAGCTTCGCACGTACCACGCAGTCAGACCCAAGTGAGCGGTGCGTTGCACACATGTCCCGACTACGTTCTGACGCTGCTCAAGCAGTGCACGTGACTTCTTGAGCTGCCGCACTCACAAGCCTATTAGATGCAATTCCATGCCGTTGGAGCGCGTCGAAGCGAGCGCATGGATGTGACCCACCGTTGTGCACGACCCGACGCGGCTCAGTTACAACCTGTCTTTTCCATCGTGATATATGTATGTAAGGAGAATCGTACGAAAAGACGGCTAGTTGGGATCCATAGATAGCATCGAATACAACGATGGCTCATTTGCCTTCATCCGCCGATGTTTGTGACTCAGTCTGATCATGCGTATCAGAAGAATGTGTCGCAATGTCTTTGCTGTTATCAGCTTGGCCAAACGAGATAGGTGTCTTTCCAAACTGAAAAGAGCCCCCCGTTGACACGCCTGTCGTATTAGCAAATGATGGCCCAATGGCAGCTTTGGTGAAGGATGGCGACGTCGACGCATCTGTGCTGGAAGGACTTGTGCCGAACGAAAAGCGGTGTGGAGCAGAAGGAGACGCTTGTGATCGCGACGAGCTTGCTGAGCCGAATGTGATGGGTTTCGACGTCGTGACCGCCGGTTTTGATGGGGTCTGTGGCAAATTGTCGCTCTTTTCACTGGTCTTGGAACTTGGTTCAGACCCGTTCTTTTCTTTCGCTGCCGTGTCTGAATTCGACATGTCGGACGCAGCTTTCATATCCAGCTGTGCCTGCTCCTTCTTTTCAGTAGTAGAGGGCTTGCCGAAGGAAAAGCCACCTACAGGCACCTGGAATGTCGGTGGCTTTGTCTCTGAGATCGGTTGCACTGCTGATGTCTTTCCGTCCAAAAACGATCGAGTGGTTTTGCCAGCAAATGAAAAGCCAGTGCTGGGAAGCGTCGGGAGTTGAGGCTTACTCTGCAACTCTCGTGCTGACCTATCTTGCATAGAAGTACTCGGGTCCTTTGTTTGAGCCTGTGCATCACCTGCTGCTGGCTGCTCATTCGTATGACCAAGCGATGATTGTGTCGGCCTGTAAGACTCAGCTTCAGATGATGGCTTCTCAGTCGTTAGAATTGAGGCAGATGGAGTGCTCGCAGAAGGGTTCTTCTCCGGCTGGGATGTTGCCGAAAATGAGAAAGCTGGTAGACTACCCGAGGCATCGTTGGCTTTGGACTTGGAAGAAGCCGAGAAGGCAGACACGATAGGCACGTCAGCTGCTGGCTTGGGCATTGCGGTGAATGCCGAGCCGTTCGCTTTCGGGACTGAAGCGAAAGAAAAGCCAGAGTTGAATGCTGATGTTGCTGGTTTTGGAGGGAACGTACTTGCGCCGGCAGAGGTTGAAGAAACAGTAGCATCGACACCAGTGTCATGATCTCCGTTCTCTTTATTGGACTGATGAACCTCTACCGCAGCACCATTCGTAGGTTGGCTCGTTGGATAAGGAGAACTAGCCGAAGGCTTCGCAGCTGGGGCAAATGAGAAACTGGATCCAAAAGCCGTTGATCCTTTACCCGAAACTTGGTCTTTGCCTTCGCCGGTGCGGCATGCAGTGTTAACAGCAGAGTTGTCTTTATCACCAAAGCTTGAATTTGCCTGGGTACCGAAGCCGGAGCTGGTAGACGGCTTTGTTTTGAAAGAAGGCGAGAAGCTTGTGCCGAATGATGGATGGCTCGTCAAGCTGGAATCCGCCTTGCTGTCTTGAGTGGACTTGAGAGACACTTGCGATCCACCGGCAGACTTGTCAACCGGGCCCATTCCTGGCGCTGGTTTGTCCACGGAAGCAAACGAGATGAGTGACGATGCAGATCCAAATGCACCAGATGGAAGTGTGCGTGTCGAAGTATTTAGTGAGGGTGCCAACGACGCGGGAGCATGGGAGTCTGGCAGCGACGCGGTAGGTGCTGACTTCGGCAAGGGCGCCGATGCTGATGAAGTTGCTGTCTCTGTAGCTGTCGCAGTGGTCTTGGGCGCACTCTCGTAAGACGAAAAGACAGGAGGTGCCGAGCCCAAGGTAAACGATTGCGCATCATTCTTTTGCGATGCTGCTGGCTGCTCGATCTTCGGATCAGATTGGGAAATAAAAGAAAAACTAGAAGAAGGCGTGGAAGCTTGCGATGATCCGGCGACGTTTGATCCAGCTGGCTTGAAAGAGAACGTAGGCGCAGTGATAGAAGATGTACTTAACACAGACGAGGTCCCAGAGCCGAGACCCGCAAACTTCGGCTTGTCATTTTGAACAGAAGATGTTGTGGAGATGCTGGGTTGAGGAGGTTTCGCTGCGTGGCTAGGAGGATTAAAGGAAAAACTCGAAGTCGAGGCAGGAAGTGAAAAAGGAGCCGTTTTCATTGATGGTTGCTGCGCAGGTGTCTGTGTTGGGAAGGATGATGGAGCTGCTGGAGAAGTCGTCGTGGTGTCGGCGCCTTGTTGCTTTGTGTGGGGAAGCCACTTTTCATCAAGCTCGGCATGGAACTTGACATACGTCTGAGTGAATTGGACCAGGACATCCTGCAAATTGGCGAGCTCATCGGACCTGTTTAGTACATTCACAAGCTCCTTGACAAGCGACCAGTTGAGACCACGCACGTTTGTCCAATACTCGACAGGCACACGTGCATGTGAAGATGCCGTCGCCGATATAGACGAGCTTGTAGACGAGGCTGGCTTTGAAGACGAATTGCTTTGCCCGAAGGACGGCGGATTGAGGGGCGAAGTTGACTGCGATGAGGAGGGTAGTTTGAGCTCGACGGACGCAAACAGCGAAGGTGCTTTGGGCGGTTCCGCTCGCGCTGTAGCGGGCATAGACGGCATCGACAGGCTAGGGGATACACCTTGACCAGTACCCGCATTTGGACCTGATCTCGCGGGCGAGATCGATGGCGATGATCCGCTTGCGAGCATGGCGAAAGGGTTAGACGGTGGTGTGCTGGCAGCTGCCTTCAGGCCCTTGCGTTTCGGCAAACCACGGATGACGCGCGGCTCACGCTCTTGTGCATTTACTGGAGCCACATTATCAGATCCACTCGTGTCGGGGCCAACGGAGTGCGGGTCATCGCCGTCTTCACGCTGAATCTGCCGATCCGCAATGCGCTTCATACAAAGGAACGTGTGGCTGGACGACAGACCACCGGCCGAGGCGGAGGATTCAAAACCAGACGAAGCCGCCTAGCTGGGCTCTCCGCCCCCTGCCTTGCGCATCAGGCGGCCTGGAACGATACACGCCTTCATTGAATAGTGTCAGCGCAGTCCTGGCCCAAAGCTTGGTTCAGGGCTGGCAGCCTCGGCAGATTCGGCACGCGTCGGTTCAGTAGTTGCACGCGAGGTTGAGACACGGCAGCGGCGGTGGCAACCAACGCGGCCCTCACACGATCAATTGTGCTTGCTTCGCCCGGAGCCCAACGTGCGTACCGAATTGAGTTTGTCCGTGTAGCGCAAACACGTACCGCGCAGCTACAGAACCCCACGGAACGATGGGACGGCCCCCTGCATACTTGGACGTGTCTGATGCCCAAGTACATTTTGATACACAGAGCAAACGTTGGATCTGGGAAGACGACAGTGGCATTGAGTACGAATGGCATGGTCAGGAACCTTCAAAAGAGGCTGCGAACGACGCACGAATCACGGCAGGTGGATGGGTCAGGGTAATCGGCGATGACGAAATGGCGAAGCAGCAAGAAGGATATCGTATGGACGGCGTGGACGAGCATGTGGGTGTTCCTCTACGTGTGCACTGACTGTAGACGCCTGCGGCACCTGTATTAATGCGACAGCAGGGAAAGAAGCGGAAAGAGACGCAACGCACAGCGAGCATGACTCGAGAAGCCACAGCGCCTGGCGCCCCGGGCGGTAACAAGGTGACGCGTGCCGAGGCGAGCGGTTCAGGCACTCAGGCTCGCCCAAACTCTGCCGTACAGCATCCACGCTCGGAGGATGTATCGGCATCGACGGCTCCACCCGCGAAGCGTGCGCGGCCCAACACGTCAGTGTTTGTAAGTGGCCTTCCGCTGGATGCAAGTGCGGCTGAGATTGCTGAAGTCTTTGCTCGATACGGCGTCTTGTTGGAGGACGACGATGGGCATCCACGTGTAAAGATGTACCAGGATCCAGAGACGCGTGTCTTTAAAGGCGAGGCACTTGTCGTTTACTTTAAGCCCGAGAGTGTGGATTTGGCAGTCCAGCTGCTCGACGACACGTACCTGCGTGCGTCCAAAGGCATTTTGACAGGTCCATGTATGAAAGTGCAGCGAGCCGAGTTTCATCACGATCCAGGACGCGAGAACGACGAGCGACGAGCGCCGCTCTCTGAGGCTGACAAGAAGAGCATTCGACGCCGGATGAACCGCATGCACAACAAGATCAACGACTGGGACTCGGACTCCGACTCAGAACGGCGTGCAGCTGCCGGGCCCGGACCATCTGCACGTACTGTGGTCTTGAAAAAGATGTTTACGCTTGCTGAGCTGGATGCGGACCCCACTCTCCTGCTGGATCTGAAGCAGGATGTGCGTGAGGAATGCGAGACGCTCGGCGATGTCACGAATGTCGTGCTTTGGGACAAGGAGCCTGAGGGCCTCATTAGTGTCCGGTTCCGTGAACCGCATGTTGCGCGTGCGTGTGAGCAGCGAATGCATGGCCGTTACTTTGCAGGACGACAGATCACTGCTATGCGTGTGGACGGTAAGCCAAAGTTCCGCCGATCAGCCCGACATGCTGGAAGTGGAAGCGGCGTTGGTGACGATGATGACGACAATGAAGATGAGCGGCATGACGCTTTCGGCGCATGGCTCGAGCAGACATAGGTCATAGCAGTGCTTCAGAGTTCTCTGGCGTGTCAGGGAAGCAGAAAGCAGTTGGGGTGCAAATAGGCATTCGCTCACCCACCAACCCCCCCCCACCCCCACCCGTCCGCATCCCCCAGCCTTTGTGTCTATGTTGTCATAAAACAGGCATCCGTTTCGACCTTGGCTACACAGGCATGATCTACTTCGCACGTGTGATGATCTGTTGATTCAGTGTTTCCAGAGCCGCACGCGCATCGCTGGGCGGCAGCATCGATAACGCGTGCTGAGCAACGTCTGCGTGGTATCGGGCGAGGGCCGCCGTCCGTTGCATCCCTTCAGACTTGTGTACGAGCGAGAGCGCTTGCTCAACATCACCGGGCTCACTAAAGCGACGTTGCACCATCGTGCCGAGCGGGGAGTCCGGGTACTGCTGCCAAGCATACAATACAGGCGCCGTCGCAAGACCCAGCTTGAGATCAGCCCCACCGGACGGCTTACCAAATGCCTCGGTCGTCGCATGGAAGTCTAGCATGTCGTCCACGAGCTGGAATGCAATCCCAACATTGCGTCCAAACGTATAGGCAGCATCACATACAGTGGCAGCATCGGCCCTTTGCTGTGGCGTCATGTCACTCTGTTGATTCGACCATGTACCGCAGCCGCCCAGGACCGTAGCTGACCGAGCAGATTTAGCGATAAGCGAGGCAGTTTTGAGATATGTTTTTTGCAAGTAAAACTCGAAAAGTAGAGCGTTCGGCGCTCCTGGCGTGCTCATCGCCGACGATGACCCTTGATCATATGCGAACCAAAACCGCTCCATCACCTCGTTGGAAGGACGCGCCGACTGCACGTCTGTAACGGGCACTTGCTCTGAATCTGTGGCTTTGAGCTGCATGACCTCGCCTTCCACAAGATTCGCAATCACCGTCGACATGAGTTCTGTGACCTCGGGGTCCCGCAGGCGAGCTAGGGCAATAGACGCGCGGCCAAGCAAAAAATCGCCACCCAGAATGCTGAGTTTGTTCCCAAACGTCGAAGGCGCTGATGGCGCACCACGACGCAAGGGAGAAGCATCAATTACATCGTCGTGCAAAAGAGACGCCACGTGGATCATTTCCGTGATTTCTGCGAGACGCTGTTGCGTCGGAAGAATCGTCGACTGCAGTGCCGGCTCATACGGATGGGTACTTGCTTCAGCGGCCTGCGGGATATGGGGATTCGTTGCACTTGGGTTGGCATCGTTCAAAACATCAGGACGACTCATTGCCAAGTCGACATGCTCACCAACAGCCGCGACGCGGTGCGCTTGCCACGCGGGCGAAAGGCCATTCGTCGCCTTCGACATAAGCAGCACGATCATCGGACGCACATGCTTGCCCTCTGCAGCGAAATAGTACTTCGCAATCTTGTCAAGAGAAGGATGTCCACTTCCCAATAGAGCTGCTATATTGTGCCGCAGGGACGACAGGTCCTGGCCAACGACGTCCAACGGATCTCTTGTGAGAGAAGCGAGAGCATCATCGCCGGAGATGGCCGCTTTCGCCTTCGACATGACATCTGTCCAAGTGGTCGCGTGCCTGCGTGCGCACAAACGCATGTATTGGCTATGCCACGACACGCATGTCCGCCGCCACAATGCCGCCGCCATCCTTGCTCGGGTCACTAACGTTGCTGGTGCGTGTGTGGGCTAGAAGGACAAGCTAAGATACTCGTCGACACCACTCGCTCGTGTGATGCTTACGTCACAGATGGGAACACGCTGAAGGGGCGCGAATGCCTTTTGCCAGTTTACGTTTTGACGCGGCGATCGATTTGATCGCGCCCGATCGTCCTGGAGCCGAGGCGCGCTATCTATGTGCGCTTTTTCCCTCTTAACCCTTTCTGGACGTCGCCTCCAACACGTATCATTAGTCAGCACACACCGACGAGGTGATGGCGGTGGAGAACCCACGCCAACATTCAGACTGATCAAGAAGTACGTAACGTGTGGAAGTTTGCATCCTTAGTCTTGGCGCGACGTAGCTTTCGAGAGCACACCAGCTTCCGCAGAGATCAAGCTAGAAACGGCACGTCTGGTCGCTTCTTTCTAGATGTTTCCGACTGCTTTGCCGCCTGTCACGCATTCAGTCGTTAGACTGAGTGCAGCGGATCGTCATGTTATACGACGTGCGGCTGTCGTTGTCGGTTTGGGAAACTACACGCACCCGAAAACGCGGCATTCCATTGGTCAGTACTGCCTTTCGCCTCTCATGCGCCTCGCAGAATCGCATGATCAGGCATTGCGACGCGAAATTGCCCGGCGTGTCTCTCGCTTGCCTCCCGATGCACCCACCTTCGAGCTTCCAGAGACCACTCCTCTTCAATCGTTCCGTCACGTACGCGCATCGAAGGGCTGGCTCGCCTGTGTTTCTGTGCTGCTAGACTCAGCACCATCCAAAGGCTCTGCATTGCGTCGAGCGCCAGATTTCCGCTTGGGCAAGTATCCGTATGTACTGTTTGACCTCGTGTTCTATATACCCCGCGTGCTCATGAATGTCAACGGCACGGGCGTCGCCTCTGCATTGCGCATGTACCCAGACGTGACACTTGAGCATGCGATTCTTGTACATGATGAATTGCAACGGCCCTTTGGTAAAGTAGCATTCAAGGCTGGCGGCAGTGCTGCTGGACACAACGGCGTGCGGAGTGTGCAGCAAGTGTTGCGCTGCAGTGGCCGCTCGATGAATCAGCCTGACATTGCGCGCATTCGTATCGGTATCGATCGTCCACAAGATCCTAGCCACGATGTAGGCGCTTACGTATTAGGCGCCATGCCCCCAGCTTGGCTCACTGCGTGTGACTTTACGCCGGACGGTACGCCTGGCCCTGTCTTGCAGCAACTATGGCAAGTCCTACATTCATGGTGCCTATCACACATAGCGCCTTTTTGTGAGTGACATTGCGCGAGAATGGACCCTCTGTGTGTTTCTATGCGTCAGACGCAGCTTTTCCACCTGTGTCATCACCTCGCGATTTGCGAGCGGCATTTTTGCCGCCGCCGCCATTGCCAAGGTTGTTGCTACCAGCGCTCCCATTAGCGCCTCCACGATGCGAAGCCGACCCACTCCGTTTCCTGGAACTAGATGAATGCATATTGGCATAAGGGCCCATCGGCGGCATGCCGTGGGGCGCTGGCGTTGGCATACCGCCGGGTGTACCGGGAGGCGCAAACGGCGCCGTCGGCATGGGTGGCGTAGGTCTGTACATGAGAGGCGTCCCGTGGGGATCGGCCGGTGGCACGTATGATGGCCGCGCTGGAAACCGATATTGACCAATAGGGTATACCATGGTGTATGGCTGCTGACCCACAGTGTGCGGGCTTCCCGACGGCGGCGGCGGTAACATGATTGACTGTTGGTGTGGTGAATGAGGCGGCTTGCCATTCATCGGGCGCGGCATCGTCGGCGGTGACGATCCATGTGGCGGACCCGTCGCAGGAGTCGGTATATGCTGCATCGCTGGTGACAAACCAGGCGCATATGCAGCAGCCATCGGGAACATCGGTGGTGGCATAGGCGCAGCATTTGCGGCTGCCACCGCAGCGGCTGCGGCAACCGAGGCTGCGTCATTTATAAAAGGCGGCGGCATGAGCGGCTTGTTGGCATACACACCGCTCGCAGCCATCAGCTGCCGGTATGGTCGGCCCGTGTAAGACCACCAAACGGAGGCCTTGCTTGCTTCACCAAGCTTCTTTGTCTTGGGTGCACGGAACTCATCCATAATGCGCATTGACGTAGTACTTGGCCTGTTTGTCAGCTCGCGCTTCCCAAAGAATGGCAAGTCAGGCACATCCAACTTGGCTGGCGTCGCCGACGCCTGCGTCGGCGTCACTTTGGCGCCTGGAGTAAAGGTAGCCGCTTGCGGATTGAAGGCCGATGCCTTTACATTTAGCTTTGAAGGTGGCTTTTTCTCTTCTGGCTTCTTGAATGGCGGGATGGCAGGAATGGTCATAGAGGCAAGCTTCGATCGCACTTCTTCCATATCAGACTTGCTCTGAGACGACGACAAAGGCGCCCCAGAAGCATTACTTGAGCCTTGCCATCCTCCAGCATACGAGTCTCTGGATGATAAGGAAGGCTTAAACGATGCGGATGATGACGTAGAACTGGTGGACGACATAGAATGATTCCGTACGGCGCCAGTGGGCACATTCAGACCGCCCGTTGAGGTCGAGTTGGACATGCCCTTCGTCGTCGGCGCCGCATATCGCCTCATGTTCGCCACATCCTCCGGCACAGGGGTCTTGAGTTGAAACGTTTGAGCCCAGACTTTCAAGTCAGCAAGACGACTCTGCTTCTCCTTTTTTGCCAGCTCGGCTTTGCGTACAACGAGGCGCTCGCGTTCTGCCGAGACGAACTGCCGGAAATCAGCCGTCAGCTCCTTGTTGGGTCTGCTGACCGCTTCATGCGCCGCGACAGGCGTAGAAGCCAAAGAAGGTGATGCCCCTGCAGACTTAGCTGACGCAATCCCTGTCTTTGGCTCTGCTGACTTCGGCGGCTGAGGCGGAGGCTGCTTCGTCTCTTGTTTCTGCTGCTGCTGCTGCTGCTGCTGCTGCTGCTCGCGAATCACAGCGCCATAGCGAGCCTCTTCATCCATTTCCTGTGGGTCTATCTGGTTGCGTTCTTCAGCCACGTGTGGATTGCTTGTTGAGCCTTCCAAGATTTCTTTCGCCAGTCTCTCAGCCTCTTTCTCACGAGCCTTGAAATCTTTGCCGGAGCGATCCAGTCTCGTAGTGTACATTGTCTCTTCGTAATTCGACTTGATACCGAAGCGAGCTTCGTTGGCGGCAAACTGATCCCAGGGGCCCAGATCAGTCGACTGCTCCAATGACGAGGTTTGTGACGATCCATTCGCACCTGGCACGGTGCCGTCATCGGGTCCGTCGTCCCAACGCTGGAGCTTTCGCCCATCCGAACGGGCATTTGATCCCGCACTGATCTCTGTATCTGTACGGAATCCTGAACCGCGACGCTGGGCCGTCTCTAACTCAGCCCCCGAGCTGACCTTTGCACCACTCACGTCAACCTCCAAGATTTCGGCACCGGGCACAACAAGAGAAGGCATTACTTCTCCTAGTTTGATTCCTCCATCTTTGTTGCTGATAGACTGAGCCAACGAAAGGACAAGTGCCACTTCGTCCGATACCGTCGATGCCGCAGACAAAACACCCACGTAACGCTCGCCTCCCCGCAGACGAACGACGACCATCTGACCCACTAACATGTCAAGGAGCATCCTCAGACGCTCATGCATGAGTTCTGAAGCACTTTGAGAGCTTGCGGATGATGATCGGCCGCTTGGTGGGGCATGTTTCGATCCACTGCCGCCTCCTCCTCCTCCTGCGGAGCTGTGGCGTGCATTTCCAGAGCGGCCTTGGCTTGAACGGCCGGTGGTCGATGCACTACCATGAGCTCCGTGAAAGGCTCCACGTCCAGAGCTTGGTCCATTTGTACGTGAGACGTTGCTCGAGTTCGTAGAGTGCCGAGCAGGCGGCACGACCGGGTTCTGTGTCATAAACGACTATCAACAGAAGCAATGATGCTGCCCAATGCATGCGTCGGAAGGTCGTCGACGAATGAATGCACGTGGTATCCACGTGCGCTCTGCCGCCCACGCGGGGCGAACGCGCCAGGAACCGATGGCCTCCATTCCCTGTGCGCGACACCAGAAGATCGCAAGGGATACTGCACTGTCACGCCCCACACCCTCATGAACTCCCTGTGCATGTTTTGCAAAACACATCCGATATGCGACAGCGCTTGAGAACTTGACATGCAGCATATCCTCAGTGCCTCAACTATACAGGAACTAAACAAGTGATTGGGGCGATGCGCTTCACGACCGGATCGTAACCTTGAAAATGTTTGCTTGCGCAAGCGTGCTGTGCTTCTTAGGAGAACCATTCTTGCTTCCATTCCGTCGGTATTGGATTCCATTTTTTTGATCGCGACGTAGGGGCCGTGATAGATGTAAGCCAATCGTCTAAGCCAAGCGCATCGACTAAGTTAGCCACGTCGTCCTTGGCTTGCCGCGTGCGTTTCTTTGTCGATGATCGACGCTTCTTCGTCTTGCTACTTTTGAGTATGTCTGTGACAGAGCGCAGGATTGGCTGCCACGTATCAGGGCGCTGCGAAAGCTGCCACAACAATGCACCAATAGACATACACGTATCTGGATGAGTGTGAGTAAACAAGAGACTATGGAAACACGTACTTTGAACCACCTTGTGTGTAGCAGAGATCCCATCATGCATGGCACTTTGGTTCGTATGGTCCTGCGTGAACCAGAGCCAAAACCAAACAACGATGTAAATTAGCATGCCCCACCGGATCATAAATGATATCAACGACACAGTGCTACGCAGGGTACGGTACGCTGTGCGAATGGACAGATATAAAGACAATACAATTAAAGCACCCGTGACAGCTTTCGTTGTGATCGACGATGTTGTCTCTGTGTCAGTCCTGCATGCATTGTTAGCGCGTGGGTCGGTGGATGAGTGTTGTTTTCATCACTGCAACGTACATGTCAGACCAGGACATGGTGGAGGTTGGCTTCCATGCGGTAGGCTTCATGTCGCTCGTGTTCATCGCATCCCATTAACCCTCCACGCCCTGAATCGTGACTCTGAAAATCACAGCATCAATTCACTGACACACCGACGCACTGGACGATTGTGTCGAGATTAACTTGCTTTGTGGCGGCTTTCATCAAGGTATCATCAAAGTTTCGGGCACGGAATCGGTGAGCTTCTTTTTTTTTTCGTTAGCCACGATGTCGGAGCGGAAGGTGCTGCAAAAGTACTACCCACCAGACTTTGATCCGTCCATCGTCAAGCGTCGTAAAACCGGTGGTGGTCGGCAAAAGACCGTGCGTCTCATGGCACCATTCAGCATGCGTTGCAATACATGTGGCGAGTACATTTATCGTGGAAAGAAATTCAACGCACGCAAGGAGACGGTGAATGACGATGACTACTATGGCATTACCATTTACCGCTTCTATATCAAGTGCTCACAATGCAGTTCGGAAATTACATTCAAGACAGATCCAAAAAACTCAGACTATGCAGCAGAGCATGGAGCCTCGCGGAATTTCGAGCCTTGGCGCGAGCACGACAAGGAGAAAGAGCCAGAGTCGGGTTCAGAGCACGAGCAGGATGGCGACGAGCCTGATGTCGACCCAATGAAGGCTCTTGAGCAGCGTATGGCCGAGTCACAACGCGAAATGGAAGTGATGGATGCACTTCAAGACATTCGGACGCGGAATGCACGCTTCGAGCGCATGGACACCAGCACGGTCCTTGGAGCGATTGATGAAAACAAACGCAAAGTCGCGTCGACAGCCGAACGCAGTACCAATAGCAGACGCGAGGCAGATGAACAAGAAGAGGAAGAAAAAGAAGAAGAAGCACTTGTGCGCAAGTATTTCCGCCACGAACAACCCAATGATGTATCGTCCATCACGGCGACGGCAGCATCAGACACAAACATACCAAACACGTCTCACTTGCTTAGTGAACGCACACGAGAGCAGCTGCGCTCGTTGGCCGTTCCGACTCAGAACAAGCCTGCACCAAAGCGGAAGCGTGGTCCGAATGCATTGGGCATCGTAAGAAAAGCGTAACTATGAAGATCACGTTGATGGCTGGCTAGACTTGAGCTTTGAAGCAAGTGATTCGATGTCAGGGATTGTTCGGCCATCGACACGCTCACACAGCTGTTTGCATGCATCGACGTATGCAATCGTGCTCGCATTCACGTTCGTTTCAGACGAGTCGTCTTCAAATAAGGCTGCGCACGTCAGCTCATCCTGAGCGGCAGCCAAAGCGTCCATGCAGTTTGCAATGTCATCCAGGCGATGCTCGGATGCGTCCTTAGGGAGTGATTTCGACAAGCTCTGCACAAGCTTGATGCCAGACGTAACGAGATCCAAGACGGCCCTGGCAGTCACACGGCCCTCTTCCGAGGCCAGTACATTCTGTTCCCACATGTCTTCCACATCATCGAGCTCCTCTGTTTCGTCAGAGGATGCAGGCTCCTGTTTCGGCGCGGAATCGGAAGCTTGCTCAGTTGCCGAGTCAGACGCTGCACCGATTGCATGGCTCTGTGCGTCGTCTAGTGCATCTTGCAGTTCAGATTGACTGTCTCGCATAAGAAGCTCGTTCCGCCGGATGGACTTGCACAGTGCTTCATAGTTGTTTCGAGGAAGCCGCGCAACGTATGCAGGGGTATGGGTTTTATCGCCTTCCGCTGCATCACACAATGTCCATAGCTTTTTGGTTAGCGCTAAAGATGCAGCGCGTGACGGTGGCGGCAACGGATTCGAAGGCTTTCCAGTTCCTTCGCGCTTCTGCTGTGCACGGGCAAGCACAGTCCGCGTGCGAGTATCCATGAAGCTCTGACACAATTCGCCGATCCCCGCTACGATGTCTGTGATGAGAAGACGCAGGTCTTTCACAAACAAAGCGCCGAGACACGCTTTGTCTGCAAGCGGCCCTTTGGCACCTTCGCCCAACACGATATGTGCGCCAGACTCGCGTGCTTGCTCGACCAGAGGATCATGTTCGGCTGAGTCGGCGATTGAATATACACGCACACGCGTGAGAGCCATGTTGGCAAGAAACACGAGCTTCGGCACGGCCTCAGTGGCTAGAGATTGCAGGAGATGTGAGGCGGCTTCAATACTTTTGTCGTCGACACCATCCAAAGGCTCGGAATGGTCTTGAGGCTCAAATGAAGAAGAAGGTCGCATAGCGAGTGACAAGGCGGTGACTTCTTTGCGCACTTTCTGCACGAGCGCAAGTGTGTCTGAGGAAATTCGCTCACTAAGAGCACGTCCATCTTGTGAGGCAGCTGTCTTGTCGACGGTCTCGGTTGGCGATGTGCTCATCGCCTCTAGTGACGATGCACACAGCACACATAGACGCAGCAGTGTAGATGGCAGGGTATCTTTGGCGCTCGAGGTTGGCTGTGTCATGGCACGAAAGCTATGGGCCGTCGGATAGTACGCAAAAAATCGAACCGTGAGACACAGCGACCAACACGAAAATGGGCCTGAATTCTTCAACTCCACACGACATCGTTGAGTCGAGATAGCCCATCTCGACCCGATTCAGAGCAGTCTTTGTGTCTAATATGCGTGCGGTGCTTCAGCGCGTGAAGCAAGCTTCTGTACATGTACAGGGAAGACAGGTATCGAAGATTGGACCAGGCATTCTCGCACTGATCGGTGTCTGTCAGGACGATACACCTGAGCACATGGACATTCTGACGAAAAAGATTTTGCAATTGAAATTATGGCCGGAGGGAATGCGGTTGGACGAAAGTGGCTCGCTGGCATCGGCAGACGAACAGGTACGGCCATGGAGAACCAATGTCATGGAGCTAGGGGGCGAAGTGCTGTGCGTGTCGCAGTTCACTTTGTATGCACGAACGAGTAAAGGCACACGTCCAGACTTTCACCTTTCTATGGGTGGCGGCGAGGCAAAGCCATTTTACGACGCATTTCTAGCAAAAATGCGCAACATGTATGCAGAAGACAAGATCCATGATGGTGAGTTTGGTGCTATGATGGATGTATCTCTCGTAAATGATGGTCCTGTGACCATATGTACGTATCGACCGTGTTTACGTGTGTGTGTGTGTGTGTGTGTGTGTGCGCGCGCGCCTGTTCCTTGTACACGACTACTAACGTTAATAGCTATCGACACGTTTGAAAAGAAGTGAGTATATCAAAGGCCGCATGTCCCCTTTGTTACCACTCGTTCGTTTTGTTTCGAGTCTATACTTGCTCAAGTCCATGCGACTGTTGTATGTGAGACCCTCGACTTGCGATCCGCATCATGAAGCGTACGCACCTTGATTTGAAAGCGTACAAAAGATGTGTCTGGCTGCCACGGGGCATACAGGGCCCTTGCACCGGTCAGTTACACACCGACGCAAACACACGTAAATACGTACCGATGTGCGCGCACGTCACTGTAGGACAGAACGAAGCGCCATGCACTACGTCCAAGCACACTTTCTGTGTCATCACACATTGCTGATCGCATAGCTGGCATCGACGCAGGCATAAGCGAGGGAAGTAGTACAGAGTCCATGTCAGCGACGCGCCGCGACGACATTTGCATGGTGACGACAACTGTGAGCCGCTCAGACTCCGGAATATGGCTATCACGCAGTGTCGTCAATGCGCGAAGAATCGACTGAATCGCATCTTCACGCGCCTTGCGTTGCTCGCGAGTTGCATTGAGCGGGAGCGCATGTGCGTACGTGAAAAACGAGAGTGTATCGAGAATCAACAAGGACGTCCGCGGCGGTAAGCCAGGCACTTTGAGCACTGTGCTAGCAGCCATGTTGAGAAACGCCAGCAGCTCAGCCAACGTCGTGCATCGCACCAGATGCACACCTCGCAGCACTGCTCGCTCCAATGCGTACTGCAGGTGATGACGATCCATCGCAGCATCCAGGTTCGCCACGCCTACTTGAGCAAATGCCCGCACTGTATCCAGGTGGTGCTCTGAGACAATGTGCCGCGTCATACTCAAGACGCGCCATGGCTGAATACTCCCCTCTGTATCAACAAGCACAACCTGTCCACACCATGGCTCAATGTCGGTACTGATGGCTTCTTCGAGTGTCGCTGCTTTCATGTGCTCGCTGCCTGGAAGCAGAAAAGCTGGTTCATTGTCGTCGTGGCCATCGAGACGCTCTTGGTCTTCGGACGTGCTCTTGTCCACGTCGCGCTCATCTGCGTCCGCCTCGTACTCATGCAGGAAGACGTGCATCGAATGAACAATGTGTTGCAGACGTTCCAAAATCGCCATTTGAACCGCCCACGTTGTCTTTCCACATCCGGGCGGACCGACTATTTCCAGCGCAGATCCAATGGGGAAGCCACGTCGCCGCTCATCAGGCGAGCTGTCCTGGCTTAATGGGGCGTAGGCACCGCCACTTTTCCATCTCCCCGCATGATCGTCCAGTGCTTCAATACCACACAGCACACGCAAGGGTGCACGTCGAATAGGGTCGACGTCGTCGCGAACTGCTGTCGCCTCAGACTCCACTTCCACGGAGTCCATCGCGTACTCATCGAGCTCATGGAACGACTGCGCCGACGTTGCGCTTGGGAAAGTAGGCACCGGCATCTGCGATAGCGGTGTCCAGGTCCCTAGATCTTCAGCTGGCTGTGAAGCAGAATGCCATAGATCTGCCGCCGCGCGGAGCGGTGCCCAAGGAGTTGCCCCATTTGTCGACGGTCCATCCCAAGGGCGTCGCGGCGGCGGCGGCAGCGACGGCGGCGGCAGTGGCATGCAAGATGGACTTGCCAGCTCCTTTTTGGTTTGTTATCGATTGAGAACGTGGGGCAAGATGATGCGTGCGTGTCGTCAGGACGAAAGGAGCGGAGAAAGGTAGGCAATCATCTTCCGCTCCCTTTATCGTCCATGCAGGCGCGTGGCTAGCGCCCAAACCTCGACGATCCTCGCCAGCGTACCTCCATTTATCTCCGCATCTACTCAAACCTACCTCCATAGTGCTCTTCCCCAGCACGCACGCTTTTCGCCGCCCCGCTTGCTCCGTGCACATCCACATTATAGGCACTGCCGCGTTCTGTTCCGGCTGCGTCGTTCTCGCTTTCTCGTCCGTGCACTGCGAACCCAGATAACTTTAACGCAACCTACACACACACACACACACCCACACCAGAAGTTTATCATGTCCCTTGATTTACAGGAAGTTCTGGACTTTGCTATTAGCTTATCGAAACAGGCTGGCGAAGCGATCGTGCAGGGATCCGAGACGCGTTTCAAGAATGCCACGGGCTTCGATGAAAAGAAAAACACCGCCGATCTTGTGACTGAGACGGACCAAAACACCGAGAAACTCGTCTGTGAGGCAATCAAAGACAAGTACCCAGACCACAAGTACGTTGGCTGTGTGCCCCATCCCGCCCCCCAAGTATTGGCTAACTTGTGCAGATTTATCGGCGAGGAAACATGGGCAGCCGGCGAGCATCCGACACTGACAAATGAACCAACATGGATTATCGATCCCATCGATGGTACGACCAACTTTGTCAAAGGCTTTCCATTCGTTTGCATCTCCATCGGCTTTGTGTATGAAGGTGATCCGGTTATCGGCGTCATCTACGCACCATTTCTGGGCTATCTGTGTGCAGCCAAGAAAGGCCATGGCGCATTTATGACGACGCCGTTGCACCCAGAGCGTCGTCCTCTCCCACTCGTGGCGCCACAGCCACTTCCCTCGTTCAAGCAAGCTTTGATTGCTTTTGAGTGGGGCTCCGACAGGTCCGCTGAGGTGATGGAGAAAAAGTCTCGTACGTACAAGCGCCTCGTCGGCGACAAGCAGAGTGGCGTCGAGGGTGGAGAGATGGCCCTGGGCGTCCGCTCGATGGGCTCGGCGGCCCTCAACTTTGTGCATGTGGCTATGGGTTGCCTTGACGCGTACTGGGAAATCGGCTGCTGGGCCTGGGACGTTTGTGCCGGCATAGTCATTGCTCGCGAAGCGTACGTATCTACACAGGCGCATCTTGGTTGTATATGTGTGACTAACAAGCCGGTGCAGTGGCTGTGCGGTGGTTGGATCCAAAGCACAGGCGAACAACGCGCTTACCCAGAGCTCATTTCCACCGGCCACAACGACGCCAGACGTTCTGACGGGCCGCAAGTACCTCGTGGTCCGTGCTATTGGCGATGGAAACCAAGAGTCTGGCGTCGATGCACAGAAACGCATTATCCGGACGTACTATGATGCGGTGGAAGAATGGGACCCATAGTCTCCTATAGCAGCACGTCAGGCTCCATGCCTCCAGGTCTCTCACATCCTCTTGTGACACTGTGTCATCTCCACGTTAGTCGATGGCTTATCGATGACGCACGCCGACCAGCGGCACGCCCTTGAGTCCGTCACACACAGTATCGAGAGCCTTTGAGTCGCTGGTGAGTGTGTTGGACAGATGCACCAGACCTTGTTGCAGGGCTGCAAGAATGTGCGTGATCTCGTCAAACGAAGATTCATCCACTACGACCCATTCTGTGCCGCCATTCGCTCGGCCCTGCGCTTGTGATGCCTCCCGCTTCGCACGTACAACGCTCAGCTGGGCCCATAGTTCATTCATTTGCGCACGCAAACGAGCATGTTCTGTCGAAGAGGCCGCATAGTCGCCCATGGCGCCATTTAGCTGAGCGTCACAGTTCTCAAGCAATGCCTTTACATTGTCTTCGACAGCTGTGAGACTCTGGCCACGCAGAGCTGGGATAAGCATTGATGTATCTTTCACAAAAGAGAGCAGCCGCTGGTGGATGCGTGTCTGCATCATCATTGCTGAATGCGCACGAACGGCGTTCGACAAATCGTGCTTTTGGTGCAAATCGGCCAGCTTCTTACTGAGCTCAGCTGCCTTTGAAAGCTGGCGAGATGCCTCAGTCTTTTGTGCATTCGAACGCACTTGCAAGTCTCCAAACCCGACTGCAAGAACTGGGTATAAACGTTCTGGTTCAGGATTTTCTTGCAATGCTTTGTTCCACAGATTATCGTGCATCGGACCAACAGCGTCCGGCCTTCTTACACACAACTGCGTTAGACTCTGTGCGTCAGGTGCGCGGTTGTACAGATAGTACTTTGTGTGAGCATCAGACATACGTACTTGGAATTGACACGTTCCCAAATTGGACGTGTCCCAACTAGCGGCAATCCGGTCAAGCTGGACATGGAGGGGAGCGCCTAACTTCCGATCTTGCGAGGCAGTATTCGAAGCTGCGTTCGCAGGCATGGATGCCGACGAATTAAGCGATGATGTGGGTTGTCCGAACAAACTATTCGGCTGGGGCTGCGTTTGTGAACCAAAAAGGCCGCCACCTTGCTGGGGCTGGTTAGGCTGTAAGCCAAAAAGGCCACCGCCGCTTTGCTGGGTCCGACTAGGCTGTGAACCGAAAAGACTACCACTTTGTTGTGGTTGGCTGGTCTGTGAGCCGAAAAGACCACCACTCTGCTGAGGCTGACTAGCCTGTGATCCAAAAAGACCACCACCTTGTTGCGGCTGACCAGTCTGTGAGCCGAAAAGACCACCACTCTGCTGCGGCTGATTAGTCTGCGAACCGAAAAGACCGCCACTCTGCTGCGGCTGACCAGTCTGTGAGCCGAAAAGACCACCACTCTGTTGCGGCTGACTGGTCTGTGAACCGAAAAGACTACCGCCTTGTTGTGGTTGGTTTCCTTGCGATCCAAAAAGACCACCACCTTGTTGCGGCTGACCAGTCTGCGAGCCGAAAAGACCACCACTCTGTTGCGGCTGACTGGTCTGTGAACCGAAAAGACCACCGCCTTGTTGTGGTTGGTTTCCTTGCGATCCAAAAAGACCACCACTCTGCTGCGGCTGACTTGTTTGTGAACCGAAAAGACCACCTGACTGCGCAGGCTTCGATCCAAACAAACCACCACTTTGTTGCGCGTTCGACTGCGTCGTAGACGAGCCAAACAAGCCGCCTTGACTCGGGGCACTTGCACCAAACAGGCCAGTGCCTGTCTGCGCAGGAGCCCCTGTGTTTGTGTTGGTGCCCGCGCCGAACGACGGCGCAGTATTTGTACCACCAAACAGTGAGGTGGAAGCAGTCGGCGCCTTGTTGAACGAAAACGCCATGCTCGTTATGGTCGTTACACAGACGGGCGCGAGGACAATTCGATCGGCAAGTCTTAAAGTGACGAACGACCCTTTGTCAACAAATGTTCGGACTGGCTATCACTATCATCATCATCTTACATAATCGGGTCTAGCTACTTTAACAGTCTGGTACAGCGACAGGAATTTTGACTGTGGTCGCAAGGCCACTTAGACTCGTTTCTTTGTACTTCGTGTGCATGTCAGCGGCCGTTAGGCGCGCTGCTTGAATCGCCTCATCGAGTGTAACAGTGTGGATACCCTCTGTGGATAGTGCTAGATTGGCACTGACGACGGCTTTGACGGCACCGACGGCGTTCCGCTCAATGCAAGGCGCCTGAACCAATCCATCCACAGGGTCACACGTCAGGCCCAAGTTGTGCTCGATCGCCGTCTCGGCTGCTTGCTCAATTACTTCTGGGCTACCGCCCATACACGCAGCAAACGCGGCAGCAGCCATAGAGCAACTTGTGCCGACTTCGGCCATGCAACCACCTTCCGCTGCACTGATCGTGGCACCTCGCTTAAATAGCATACCGATCGCGGCAGCTGTGAGCAAGAATGTTTTCACCAGGTTTTCTTCATCTTCTGGCGTGAGAGCCACGAATTCTACCACATATCGGAGCACGGACGGAATTATGCCTGCTGCTCCCAATGTTGGTGCAATAACAATGCGGCCGCCAGCAGCTACTTGCTCATTGGTCGCAATAGCCCAACAAGACAGCCAATCCATCGCTGGAAAATTTGTTCGGCGTGGTGGCACTGGCATGATTTCGTGCTGGAAGGAGCCGCGAATTGTCGGGACTCGTGATGACGACCGCGTCTTGATAGAAGGCACATACCCCCCTGACGCGTTAGACGACGAAGCAATGGCGGCGGCCGAAGACGGAGACTCATGTGAATCCAGCGGCACATTGATGGTATCGGAGGATCCACGCATATGTCCGAGACGCCGTGGACCCATGTACAGTCCCCGAATCAGCCGGTTGTACAGTTTCGGTGCTCGCCGCTTCATCTGCAGAGAGCCCGGCAACACTTCTTGCTCACTCAACACACCTGCGCGGATCCCCTCATCCATTACATTCCATATGTTGATAATTTTTTCCTCAATCTCCTCTGGCGTGTACCAAGTTAGCTCATTTTCATACACGATCTGTGCAATCGTAAGATTGTGCTTCCTAGTGAGTGCGAGGAGCTGTGACATGGTACGAAAAGGAAAACGTGGCTCCTTGGGTGCCTTTTGCTCAGATGAATCCAATTTGGACGGTGAAGGAAGTGCTGGTTGCGACAACGCCATGTTGGACTCAGTTCCCTCACGACGTCCACCTTCTACATCGTCGCGAGTGATCGACTTGTAGTACACATTTTCCATCACATCCACTGGATGGCTCTCTTTTTGCGATGGCGTGATCGCTGCTTCATTCAGACTAGCCAACGCATTTGTCACAGCGTCAGGATCGTTCTCTGACCTTGCATTGTTGGAAGCGGCCGGGCGCGGTCCTGGTTTGTCTGCTACAGCCATGAGACCATTCACCACAAAGCCACCACCAATGCTGTAAAAGTCATTCGTAGCTAGAAGATCTCCATCATGATTAAATACGCTAAAGCGCATGCCGTTGGAATGCATAGGGAGAGTCTGTCCCCATTTCCATTCGAGGTCCCTGTCGTAGTCAAACTCGATAACTTTGACGGGGCCTTTTTCAGGCATATCCTTGCCGAGTGCGAGACACTTATTTTTCTTGATGGCCTCGAAACGTATAGGTACAGTTTCTGTATCAACAGTTTCGCACTCGGCGCCCTCCAAGCCTAGCAGCAATGCCTGCGGCGTCATGTGGCCCTTTCCTGTCGCGGCTAAGCTTCCATACAATGCAAGCTTAATGCGAGCAACTGATTCTATCAAGGCTGACTTGCGCAAGTCATGAACAAATATTGCTCCTGCCCGCATGGGCCCTACCGTATGAGACGACGAAGGCCCAATGCCGATCGAGAATAAGTCAAACATCGAAATCACAGCATGTTCTTTAGATGAATGTGACGCAGAAGACATGGCATCGTTTCGATCAGTATGATTGGGTGGACCCTTGTTGCCCTGCCCAGTTTTCGGGAAGTGCGTATGGGAGAAGGACTCTGGGTCTGGGTCTGGGCCGATCGTTTGCTCATGTGTCATATGAAGACTCCTTGCCCACGCAATGCGCCTCGTCAGACTACCATGATGGCCTGCAGCGAAGCGCGTAATGCGCGGCGATGCCTGTTTCCAGGCATACAGGAGCATGTAAGAAGCGGTGTGGCGTTATTGCTAATGCAGTGATGGACGTCGCTGTTTTGGCGAAACGCCTGTCACCCCAGACTCAAGATACTTTCGGTGTGCGGTGCATAAGTAAAACTACGTTGTTGGGGCACAAAGCCTCACTGGCGAAATTACTAATCACGAGACGCATCTCCTTCACGTCTCTTCTCCAGTCCGCCGTCGAGGTGAGCCAACGGACAAAAGCGACATGAGAAAAAAAATCCGCCCAGCTGATCGAATTCGTTTAACGGAGGATGCATAAAAAGCAATTTTTGCCCATACTACCAAAGCAGCTTTTTTTCTTACATATGCACCCATGACAACTACTTACTCGTTGAGACTCTCAGGCACAGACCGGAGGACATAGTCAAACATGTGTAAGGCATCGCGCTGCATGTGTGCGGGAGTGTATGCGGTTTTGCGGGGTAGGCCAGGACTGGGCGAACGGCGGCGACCCCGCGAAAGGCCAAAAGAACTTGTTGCATGCGCGCGAGAGACGCGCGGAGGCAAAGCATTTTGAAGTGCGGTCTTAGGGCCTTGTGAAGCATTCCGCCGCCACAAGCGGGGCGCCAGAGGCGATACAGAGCGAGTCGAGGCACGCGAGCGCGGCGCTTGCGAGTCGTCTATGGCCATGTTGTTCATAGCCGAGAACAAGGGCATCTTTCCAGATTTGCCAACTGCGTGACCATCGTTAACATTGTTGGCGCTCTCCTCCAATGGTGAAGGGTCCTTTGTTGACTCCAGCATCGGCATAGACTGTGTCATGGCAGCAGGTACTTCCTCGTTGGAATAATCCGATCCTGCATCGCCCTCGTCACGAGCCCCTGACGCCACATGTGCTTCTTGCTTCGACATGGCCAGATGCGTGTTCAGTGTCTCGGTGATCCGTGCGATAATTGGCGTGTACCTGTCCGCGAGCGACAGAGCAGCAGTCTCTGCAGCGGCGAAGCCAGGAAGAGCTGCTTCATAGTCACGCCACGAATAGTGGAATAGTTGCGGTGGTGTTGGAAGCACGTTGCCCATCAGCTCCAGACCTGCGGGCATAGGGAAACGCTCGTCCGTCCAGCCTGGCGGGATGCGGCAAAATGCAATCTGGATTAGAAGAAGCGACGGAATCACACGGAAGGCATGCAGAGCCGTGGGCGACAATCCTGTGTCTTCCAAATGACCTTGATCAGATGATGTCGCCATGTGTAACATGGCATCCGGCTCCTGTAGCAGCGTCCGAAGCACGATAACTGTGCATTGAAGTGCCTCAAATGCCTCGCTCAGTGCCTCATGAGCCAAATCATCATCATCATCATCATCATCTTTTCCTCCATCACCGTTGACATCCTTATCGCTGTTCACGCCATTGCTAACAATCAGGTTGTAGCCATGACTAGATTGTCGGTCTTGACTCTTGACATTCGCATCAGCCATGGTGCTCTCTGTACCATTCTCTTTGGTCTTGTGCTCAGCAGTCATTTGCTCGCCACTTTCTATGCCATGTGCTTTGACATCTCTCGACTCTGGAGCACTCGTGTCGACTCGTGCAGACTCATCCCTAGCATGTTCCGATACATGAGCCTGGCACGAGTGCTTTTGCGTGAGAGATGGGTAAAAGTTTGTGCAGAACTGGCGCATGAGTCGCTCAAACACTTGCAAGTCATGCAGCTGCTCAGCGACCAAGAGTGGATTCACCACGAAACAGTCTGCATCCGTGGCAGGCAAAGCAAAGTGGCCGCACCACGACTTGAAGTTGTCCGTGCCAGGCTCCGGGGTGCGTGTGCCGGAGCCCGACTCGACAGAAGCACGCCACTTCCGAGACGACGAATGTCGGCTCACAGAACGCAGCGCGTGGGCCAGTTGAGTGGGCGTCGGTACCCGCTTCGACTGTTCACCAGAAAGCAGAGCATTTAGAACCGCACTCGAGGGCATAGCACTAGGCGTTCGACCAAACGTGTGCGCAAATTCTGCTTCGACAACGGACGCCGGGGCAAAAACCGAGCGGGCTGTGATGATAACAAGGCCTTTCCAGATCGTGTGGATAGCAACAGATATGAACCAGGCTTGGCCATCCTGTCCACAACGATCGACAATTCGTAGCATGAGCAGGCGGTAGGCAGCATCGAGACGCTCCTCTAGTTCCTTGTACCAAGGCACACGTGGATTTCCATGCTGCGCATCGAAATCACTAAGTAGGGGTGGTGATGTTTGAGGCTGGAATGGTCGCGTGTTCGCACGCATCAAGCATGCCGTGATGGATGACTTGAGGGTCACGAGGAGAGGCTGCACTACATGGATAATACTCGCTTCCATCTGCTCGCGCAGTGGAGACAGGATATCATGCACATATGAAGGCATCGGTGGCTGAGCCATACCTTCAGCAGCTGTAGGCATCAGAATGTTGGGCGAGTGCAGAAATGCTAGGGGTGGCAACCCCTCGAGACAGCGCTCCAGACTCTCTTCAACGATCCATTCAAGACTGATAAGAGCCAGGTTGAACTCCATCGCTGCTGGCACGTGGTGTGGTCCGCGAAGCGATGCTGGGATTTGCAATGCGGTGGGATCCGTGCGTGATGAAACAAGCTGCGACTCGATGCGCGCGACAAACTGCGAGAGTGTTTTGAGCACAGTGCGCGACACGGCACGCAAAAGGTACGGGTCTTCTTGTGCTGCACTGTGCAGTTCGTCGATCACAAGACGCGTCATTTCAATAACCTTGATGCGATTGGGAAGGCGGTTAGTCCCATACGATATATTTTGAATCCGTGGTACACTGATCGAATAGCCGGTAAATGGCGATGTGCCTGAGTGGGCAATGCTCGAAACACTTTGTTGCGATGCAACGAATGCCTTGTTGACCAGCTCATTCAGCCGAAGAGAGAACTGAGACAAACGCGAAGGATCGGCTTGAACAACCGCAGATACGCCGGGATTCCGCACCGCACTGGCTGGCGGGGTGGTCGGCGGCGTTGCACCTAACGAGGCCGCTCCAGCAGCAGCAGCACTCGCAGGACCATGCGTGTTACCAGATCCCTGGGCCGTTTGTGAGCTGCCCAATTTCGAGAGCGAGGCAAGGGACAAGACTCCCGGTCGTCGACTAAATCGCTTGTTTGCTTCAGATGTTTCTGCGTCGCTGCCTGTTACGTTGTGAGGCGTCGGAGTAGAGTGCGAGAAAATCGGCATAGTAAACGTGTGTGTCTTGGCCGGTACGCTCGTGCACAACTAGATATCTGTCGACGAGAGAGTGAATCAAGAGTATGTCTCAAGGTATGTCTTAGTCTGGTTCCAAGTCCAGCTCAGTAAGGAACAACTGTGTCTCGGTTGAACGGGGGCGAGCACTGACTGTGGCAACACGCTTCAAATCGCTTTGAAAGAGTGCAATAATATCAACCATCAAGGTCGCAGGACGTTGTCCAATCTCTCTCGGAGCGTGCCAAGTGAGAGTCGTTCAAGGAGAGCCAGGCCCTGAAGGAGCTCTTTTGTGTGCCAATTTTTTTAGCACTTTTTCTCGGCACAGGCCAGTCAAGCTAAGCCTGCCAGTTGGCGGCTAGCTGTAGCCAACAGGTTTCTTTCATCCACAATCCCAGCTGGTGCCCCTGCTAAAATAAAATCAGTCTGCACCCAATGCAAATAGACTTTTAGGCAGTGGACAAGAAACTAGGATAAGGAATCTGCACTTCAAACCAATCAATTTACTCATAAATAATTCTACAGATCAACTGGCTGACCCATGTGCTTTGTCACTTGCTCGTCCACCCACTTGGCAAACGTGTCTTGCACACCTACATCGCGTGCAAGAGGCAATGGGTCCACCTGACGGGCCCATGGCGCGAAGTACGACCCACCCTTTGTAGCAGCCTCTGGGGCAGTGTTGAGATAGAGCTGTGTAATGCAGCCCATCCTTTGCGGATAAAAGATGGCTGCTTCAATAATGGGCATCATTATCGTATTAAAGCCCTGGTTCCATTCACGCACAAGCCCAGTCTTCAAAATTCCTGGATGGCACGATGTGAACACAATATTCTGAGCGCCCAAATTGCGCTGGAACCAGTTGGCACTCAGAATATTACAAAACTTACTTGTTCCGTAGGCACGGTTATGTGCCGGCATATAGCAGTACGTGTGTAATCCTGTGGGATCTGTTGGGTCAAACCCTTTCGGAGATGTGGCACGATGCGCGATACTTGAAGTGAAACACACGCGTGGTGGGCGATCAGGTGAAGCCTTTGCCGATACTTGCAATGCAGGGACCAACAGTTGCGTGAGATAGTGATGGCCGAGACTGTTCGTCCCCAAGTGAAGCTCGTACCCATCTTTCGTCTCCGGCCCCACATACGGGTTCATCACGCCCGCTGAGTTGAAAAGCATGTCAAGGCGTTGCTCTTTGGCTAAGAATTGCTCGGAGAATTCCTTAATGCTGTGAAGACTCGCGAGATCCAGCCTGAGGAATTCTATCTTTCCTGGCAACTGATTCCTTTGGAGTTCGTCCATGGCTTTGTGCGCGCGTTCTTCACTTCGACATGCCAGGTATACCTTGGCATTTTTACGAAGAAGTTCGCGCACAGTCTCCAATCCAATTCCTGAATTTCCACCAGTAACGATAGCAATCTGACCAGAGCGTTAGACCCATGCGCCTGTCCTTGTATCTATCAAGAATGCATCACGTACACGGCCTGTCTGGTCAGGCACCTGTTCTACATTCCAACTCGGCGCAGGCCTTGTTCATGTCAGCCATAATAACGATTCGCCGCGGTACACGTACGGGAAAATGGAAGTCAAACCCCACATACTCAAAGTAGCAGGTCGCACGAGGTAGGAAAGCCGAATGGCAATCTCCCGCTCACCTGTAGGCTGACCAGGTTTCTTTGCATGCACCTGGTTCTCCAATTGAGCCGCACCGTTAACACCCTTCACGCACGCACGTGGCTTTGAACGGCAAGTGGAACAGCATAGCCAGTGACTTTCCATCCAAGGTGTCTCTATACGACTTGTCCAGTGCGTAGTGCAATCAATTGATCCAAGAAGCGAATCACTGGGCATGGTGAGTCACACGTATACATACAAGAGTCCTGTACTTTTGGATCTTTGGCGATAGGGCTAGGCTCGCCCCGACGAGCCCACGGCACATAGTACGCACCTCCCTCTCCTGCTTCTAACGAAGTACACGCGTACAGTTGCGTCAGCGCACCCATTTCAGGTGGATACAACACGCGCGGTCCAAGAAGGTTGCCGATCCAAACATTTGATAGATTTACAATGTGGCGTGACAGGTCTGTCTTGACATTGCCTGGATTGCAGGAGCTGAAAATGATTCCGTCACCACAATATTCGCTATTCAACTTGTTCGCAATCAGAATCACAGCCATCTTGCTGTTGTTATAAGCTTGAATGAACTTCGGCAGTACATGAAAGCCCTTTTCTCCAGACGGGTCACTGGGATCAAAGCCTTTGCTCGTAGCATACAAGTGCTGCATTGAGCTGGTAAAACAGACACGCGGAGGGCGCATGGGATTGAGTTGAAATGACTTGATCAAGAATGGAATTAACAACCGCGTCAGGTAATACGGACCCACAACGTTCACGCCAAAATGAAGCTCGAATCCTTCGCTAGTTTGACCACAGTTGGGATCAAGAATAGCCGCACAATTGAATAGCATGTCTAGGTGGCTTTGTCTATCCTGAAATAGATGCACACATCTCTGAATGCTTTCAAAACTACCAAGATCGAGCGGGAGAAAATCCACATGACCCTTCCTCGTCTCCGTATCAGATTTCAGTTTAGAAAGTGCATTCCGAGCTTTCGCTTCATTTCTTGAAGCCATGTACACGGTGGCTCCCTTCCCAGCAAGGGCCCGAACAGTCTCCAAACCAATACCTGAGTTGCCTCCTGTCACAATGGCGATGCGTCCATCCTGTGACGGCATATTGTCTACACTCCAAATAGGATTGGGACTTGTTGTTAGTGCGATTTTTTACACGCACGGGAAACACTGTGATATTTGCGACGGTGACGACATAATACAACAGAGATCGTGTCAAGATGGTCGAGCTTGCCTTTCAGGAACCAAGACAGCGCCGCACCATGTGAGCTTCGTTGAAATGGACGTGCGCCTTGATTATATAATGACACGAGCAACATGACGCGAGTTGTAAGTGCGGCGCCGTGCGTGGAGTCACGTATGAGGATTGGCATGGCTCGTTCGCCAGACACAATGTCAGAGTCCACGCCTGTTTCCACTGTGAAGCATTTGCGCGCTAGATTCGAAGGAAATGGTAGTCCTGCTTCAGCGTCTTCAGAAGACGCAGAGACAGAAAAACCACTTTCGAACAAGCCGGAACGGAAGCCTAAACCAGGTCATCTTTCGAGTGGTTCTTCGCTCGCGAACGCCCCTGAAGTGATCCCATCTGTATCGGAGCCGACTACAATACGCATAGATGACGGCCTAGTTGCATCAGAGCATATTGAAAATAATCCTGTGGATTTAACTGCACATAAAGCTGATTCTACAGAAAGCACGGATGATCCGAGACTCCTGAGCCAAGGGTGCGAAGCTACCGCTAATAATACAAGTATCGGTGAGGAGCTCCCCACAGATACTACTCCAGCACCTCGGAAGAGTGAAGACAATCTTATTACAAATGTGAATGAAGTACAAGAAGTTACATCCGAGTTATCGGTATCGACTCCAGACGCTTCTCTCGTGACAGTTGCGACGTCTCCGACGAAGAGCGACCCTCCGCCGGCAATGGTGTCGGAACCTATGTCACCGGCCAAGTCCATTGATACTGGTAAACCAACACCTGTCACGAATGCTGCAATTCGCTCACAGGTTCTTTCAAACACGTCAGCGCCAGGACCCAAACCCGAACTTCCCCCCAGGCCCGTGCCTAATGTTCCGTACAAAGTGCGTGAACGTCCAAAAGCCCAAGGAACTGCAGGTAGGCCTGCTGTCCCCCCACGCACGTATAGCAAACAAGCAACGACAGTATATGGTACACCTACGGGCTCAGCCTCAAAGCCTGCCTCCAGCAGCAGCTCCAGCAATGCGTCTCAAGTCCCAGCTCGTTACGACCAATGCTTCGATATCGTATCTACAGACTCTGCGCCACCGATCGTACAATGTGGCACCGTGTATGAAGTATGGATGCGCAGTGGTTTATCAGTGGATGAACTTGCCGTTATATGGCGCTCTGTCGCTGGCGATGATCCCAACAAGCAGGGTCTATTGCGTGCCCAGTTCACCACGGGCCTTCGTCTAATCGATGCAGAGTTACGCAGACAGTACATTCTTCGCGGCACCGCATCAACCGATCAATTCAGCAGTGTGCCAGCACTACCAGCTCGCCCTGCCGTATAGCGAAAGGTTGCCGCGCGCGTCTTCACATGTTCCGATAGGCAGGGGCAGAGTCATAGCAGGCCTCATATGTCTTGAAAATTTTGTGAACGTTGGTGTTTCATCGGCCGAGTGTCGATTCCATCCATGACTTCGTCAGTGTGCGCGAGACGCGATGAAGCTCGAATTCCATCAGTTCCAGCGCGCCGCGCGCTGACGACGATGGTCCGATGTTCAACATTCGAGATTCGCTGGCACGACACATTACCAATCTATTCGTGCTCATTTCAGCCCGTTTCAGCATCGCGACTTACGCAAGTTCTCGATCATAACCTTGGTCAAGGTACGTGAGTGTGTGCCAAAGAAAACAGAGAGGATTAACATTCAGCTGTCGGCTTACCGCCTGGGCAGAGCTTGGCAGGCGATCGAAGTCTTAGCACGGCTTCAGAGACAACACAACCACCAGTCTTAGCTGGTGGACAAAGCTGGCGTCTTGCGACCGCTGGTGGCGATAACAATGTTCGCATGTGGATGATTCACCCGAACATACCGTCTCCCGCGGCCTTAGCTGCTGCATCTTCAGATACTACGCCGCATCCGCCGCGAACAGAATACTTGGCGACTCTTGCTCGACATACGGGCGTTGTCAATGTTGTTCGTTTCTCTCCTTTTGGTGACATGCTTGCCTCAGCTGGTGACGATGGGAATGTGCTCTTCTGGGTCCGTCAGGATCTGAGTAGGAATCATTTTGGACAGACTCCCTTTTCTGTGTCGAACGTGGATGGCGTGCACGACAAAGAGTGTTGGCGGGTACGGCTCATGACACGTACTACTCCTCTGGAACTGTATGACTTGGCATGGAGCCCTGATGCTGACTTCGTTGCCGCCGGAGGCACAGACTTTTCTGTTCGACTTCTGCGAGTGTCAGACGGGACGGTTATTCGAGAGATTTCTGATCATCAACATTATGTGCAAGGAATAGCGTGGGACCCATTGCATCAGTACCTCGCGACACAGAGTAGCGACCGTTTCATGCACGTGTATGAACGGCAGAAAGAACAGGATTCTTCTATTGAAATGCGCATTGTATCCCGCAATACCCGCTCGGATATGCAAAGCCGGTCTGTCTCTGAAGCTCTATCAAGCGTTGACGCAGCGGCGCCAGCACCGGCCCCTGCGTTCAGCAACGTATGCACATCAGCTGCTGCCTCGGATGCACAACTCCCCCCTATCGACGTGCCTGAATGCTCAACTTGCTCACAACACGCACCTTCTTCAGTTTCATCTGACCAGGCCCAGAAACTATATGGTGACGATCGGTGTACAAGCTTCTTCCGGCGTTTGGACTTTTCTCCCGATGGTGCTCTACTTGTGACGCCAACGGGGCAGTTTTATCCGCTTTCTGCAACTGAAGCGGGTAGTAAGAATACGTCAATGTCCAATGCCGTCTATATATACGGACGTGCAAATCTATGTCGTGCTAATGTGCCTATTGCGGCCCTGCCTGGCCACAAAACCACCACCATTGCCGTGCGTTTCTCGCCCATTCTGTATCGATTGCGGTCCTCCTCATGCAGTACCAGTAAAAGCGTGCCATCAACAGCACAGCCTTCCAAAGACGTGAGCGAGGCGCACACTTCGTCGGATACACCTCGGCCCACGAGTATGTTTGGTTTGCCGTACCGAATGATCTATGCTGTTGCCACACAAGAGAGTGTTTGGGTCTATGACACACAGCAGGCTGGCCCGCTGTGCTGCTTTAGCAATCTGCACTATGCATCCTTCACAGATTTAGCCTGGTCACCAGATGGCCAGTCGCTTATGATGTCTTCCTCTGACGGTTACTGCTCATTGGCTGTTTTTGATTATCACGAGCTAGGACGGCCTTATCAGTACAGTGATCAGCCATCCTTAACCCGAACACCGAGTCGCACCTCTGGCTCCGTGGCTCCTATACCCAGTTTTGAGCCTGCGCCTGCGAAGTTGCCTGCATCTTCAACCCCTTCTAAAGACGCGGAGCCGAAGAAAAAGCGTCGCGTGGCTTTGACGTACGAGGGCCCTTTATCGTCTTCCCAGTAGGTTATATCACGTGTATAGAGCGAGTAACTTGAGCACGGGGCACCTCCACTCAGAATCGACTACGCATGGCTTTGTGGGACAAGGCGTGGTGTCGTTGGATCGACGACCTCGGCGCCATGAGTGAGCGGCAGTCTTGTACGTCACACAAAGCTAACGAGAGTACTGGAAATGGGATTTGCTCCTGAGCGTGTGGATTGGGCTCTCCATTCTACCAATGGGACCCTTGAAGCAGCATTAGATCACTTGGAAGCGCACCAAGATGAGGCCATACCCGCAGATGCGATGGCGGCCGCGCCACAGCCAACCAGCGCTGCGGACCCACATAGCACCGAGGCGCCTGAGGTGAATGTATGTACAGATTGATGCTTGCTGCAAGCTCATGCATTTTCCAGTCGATTCGCTGTAACGTTTGCGAAAAAGTATTCCGGGACATGGACCTCGCTATGTATCATGCAGACAAGTCTGGGCATGAAGACTTTAGTGAGAGTTCTGAAAAAATCAAGCCGCTCTCGCCTGAAGAGCGAGAAAAGCGGCTTCAGGAACGTGCGTGTCTTTGCACAAACACTGACGAGCATCCAGTTCGCACCAGGGCTGCTGAAAAGCGCGCAGTGAAAGAGGCCGAAAACGCCAGAGAGCAGCGCGCAAATGAACTGATTCGGCGCAAAGCTGGCCAAGATGCCGGCCAAGCGCGCGAGGAATTAGAGCGAAAGGGTACGTGGCATAGGCTGACTTGACACACAGAACGCATCAAAGAGGCTGAACGCAAGCGCCGTGAGCGTTTGGACGATGTAGGTACAACACTGTATCCAGCTAACATGCAGATCGCAGCCAAAGAGCGTGTCCGGCAACAGATCGAAGAAGACAAGCGCCGTCGAGCAGAGAGAGCTGCACGCGAAAAAGAACTGCGACAAGGCATTCAGACACAGGCAACGCCGGCAGAAGGGGTGCCCTCTCTAGCTGCGCAACTTGCCAAGACATCCCAAGCCAGTGCGGGCAGCGAAACTCGGCTGCGAGTACGTGCGCCTGGAGGTACTTGGATGGGTACTCTTAGCGTAGAAGCAACCCTTGCAGACGTGGAAAAGGCTGTGATATCCGATGGGAAAGGCGGGAGTGGCTCTTCACTGACGTTTTCGACCACATTTCCTCGAAAAACGTTCAGCCAAGACGAACGCAGCCAAACGCTCAAGGCACTGGGACTCGTTCCCAACGCAGCCCTCGAAGCACAGTAGTCAAACGAATAAAAAACGAAAATTACAAGAAATCTCATCTTTGCAGGAAGAGCCAAAGTAGCAAGGGAAATATAGCAATGTGCCCAATGTCTCGGCCAAGGCGGCGCAAAAAAGCGCCCATGCTGCTTGTGCGCACGAACAAGTTCAGGTTGCGGCGTTTTGTGGGCAGCTGGTTCTGATGTATGGGAAGCAAAGACTGATTCGAACGGATGAAAGCAGGCGCAAAAAGTACAAACGCAAGTGTCAGGACAAAAAGTGGCAAGTACACTTGCAGCCAAAGGGCAATCTGGTTAGGCAAGAGACACGGGGTATAATCGACAGATGGTACATCTCCGTTCATCTGGAGTTGAAGCCATGCATAACCTGGGCGCTTGACTCCCTCAACCATGGACATGGACTTGACTGTCAGCTCAGGTATGTCGGTAGCTTGGAAGCCGGTTACTACAGTGCCGCTTGCATTCTTTCGATAGCCTCTGTGAATCGCTTCACAATGATCGTGGTCATCACCGGAAAAAATGACAGCTGGTTGAATAGTGTCCAACACATAGTCCGATACGTTTATGTGAACAAGGTTCTGGTACGTTCGTTCCAGATCACCGCCTTGAAGAATGTCACCGCCTGGCACGCGTGCGCGCTGCGATTCACGACGCACGCCATGGACAGCCGATCGCGAGGGAACATCGCACAAATGCTCGTTGGCACGCCGCTCGAACGGAACATGCGAGAATAGAATGCGAGGCACATCTGCATGGTCAGATCATGATGTCACAAACGTACCTTGTCCCGCTGGAGGCCGTACACTTCCAAGCAAATCAATCATTTTTGTCGTAGTAAGCGCTCGCTCCTTGGCTGAATCCCAGTTTTCGATCGGCCCATGTCCAAGCGGCTGCATAGTAACCAAATCCATGGCATTCAGTAGCACAAGTTCATGCGTTGTAGACCGATGGTTCACAGAGATAGGAATCCGAGCATTCCATGAGGCTGTGCCATTCGTTTTGAGGACATAATCATCATCATCTACCAAGGGCGCATAGTCATGCTGGAACCACCCTGCAGCCAGTTCATTCAAAGTAGATGGCTTTCCAGTCTCGTATGCAGGTATGCCGATATCGTGGTTCCCTGGTACTATTAGTGCCGGCCAGGACCCATCATGCACGTCAGGACGCAGTGGAGAATGCAGCGAGTATCGCATCACGCGCAAGTTTCGGAACAGGGACATCCATCGAAGCTGGAGCTGGTTCCAATCAGTATAGGAATCATACCAGCGACCGCGGTCTGTCAAGTCGCCTAACAATACGACAAGATCAGCCCGCCGAGGACGTCGCCACAGGGATGCGCCCAAACCTTGTCGCGTCATCGCAAGCCATACTTTGCGCAAGTATTGATCAGAAAATGCGCTGACAAGAGCTTTCATTCCCTGCGAATACGTTTCGTACGTGTGCGCGCCAACAATTTGAGGATCGCTCAAAACCAAAATACGAAATGTTGCGCTTGAAGACGCTTCGAGATCGCACGAGCTCGTCGTCATGTAAAAGTAGCCTCGCTCCACCCAAAAGACCAGGATACACCATGCTATGCGAAGAGTCTGCACAGTATACGAAGGAAACAAAAGGCCCCACGCAAATGGCGGGACTCGGACGCGTCGTAACATGGACATACGAAAGTAAGCTATGGCGTAGTGGCGGCGAACGTCCTCCACATGTGTTGGAATAGATAGAGATGTGTTGAATGGCAAGCCTGCTTTGCAAGGTGCAAGGGAGTAGAGGGCCTAAAGAGCAAGCTCTGCGCCAATCATGATGTGATCAGAACTACACACAGAAACACGAGGTACACCTGGATGGAGTACCGACTCCGGGGAAAGCGATAGCAACGCCGTCACGACAGGAAAATCCGGGCCTTGAACATGTGCACGAGGCGCAAGAAGAATGTAATCGAGGGTGAGACGAAAGAGCGGCGAAAACAGTGTCCATTTAGGCTCAAAGCTTTGAAGCTGTCGCTGGTCCGTCGGTATAGGTGATTCGGTTTGGTCGTAGCGCTCCGGTGCAGTGCCGCGATCACGAAAGAACTCTGCATGTGGTCCCAATTGAGCGTAATGGGATCCGTATGCACTCCGAAAATGCCCCGGTCGCGTGGGACCGGCATCGAACTGTGCGAACGCGATGATTTCATCCGGCAAAAGAAGTTCATTTTCCTTAGGGGCACGATGGCGTCCAAGCACGCGGTCTTCGTCACCTGCTTCGGTGACAGTGGCTGCATAGTGCACCGTACGCAAACCACGGCTCTCGTCCACAGATGTGTGAACAACGCGCGAGGCCATCAAGTCGGTGCGAATTTGGTCACGGTACTGCGCAGCCTGTCCGGTCAAAAGTGTATAGGTAGAAGAGTGAGGCTGATCGTTCAAATCTCCCGCCAAGACTATAGGCCACGATGACCAGTCCTCCTGTGACGCGGCGCGCAAGCTGCTGAGCTCTCGCATGATAACTGCGGCTTGTCGTGCTCGCTCATAACCATACCGCGGGTGCCAGAATAAATGCGTTGTCGCCACAATGATACCGCCTGGGCCGGAAGAAAAAGGAAGTGCCACGATCAAAAGAATGTTGCGCGTGCAACGAGAAAGTGACGGACCATCCACAGTGTCGCCCCATTTGTCGACGTCGTCGAGACGGACGACCTTCTTCCACACAGGAGACTCGAACGTTGCACGTGTACTTGCCTTGGTTTTCCACATGATCATGAGCCCATGTTTCTTTTCTTCGTACCCCCGCTCATACACGAAATCGAATCCGGCCTGCCGAATCGATGGCACAATCTCATTGATCGAGTCGACTTCTTGGAAACATCCAAGATCGTTGTCGTGCGAGGTCATTTCTGCTACTATTCCAGGGAGTCGTGTCTTCAGTTTAAGGCAATCGCTGCCCGGGAATAGCTCACGTCGAACGAGACTCTGTGCTAGCATATTCCATGACACCAGACGCACTCGCCGTGCATCTTGCTCGACGGGCACATCGTGGTTGATATGCATCCACTCGCGATCTGCCACTGCGGGCTTTTCACACCGAGCGGTATCTGGTGTAGATGCACTCACATTCTGTGACTGGTCCAGCTTCCGACGCGCTCGCTCTGCACGTTTTCTTGCTATATCGTCGTGGTCCATATGCGAGGTCATTCTTGTCCTCAATGTCGATGGCGCTCGTTTCTCCACATCGTCTTGCGGCCGCCAGCAAAATAACAAGATCACTCTCTCCGATAACATCAAGTCCGCCCTTACCCTTCCCGTTCCATCAGACCGGCTTGGTGGACGCATCTCGGACTCTCGAATTCTAAGAGCGCTTCTCTTGCCTATGGGCAAGTCCACCAAAGATCAGCGCGATCACTTTTATCGGCAAGGCAAGCAAGAAGGATTTCGTGCACGCTCCGCCTTCAAGCTCTTGCATTTGGATGAGCAATATGGCTTGTTTGGCCGGCCTGGCCACTCGCTGGCTGCACGTGTTGTGGGACAGGATAACGTCGGTGCCATGTCATCAGATGCCGAAGCTCACTTGTGTGCATTATTTGGAAATGCACTTGGCCACGAAATATACACGTCACTCATGCGCGACGCACATCCCCCCACTGCAGTGATTGATTTGTGTGCGGCGCCGGGATCGTGGAGCCAAGTACTTAGCCGCCAGCTTCGAAGCAGCGGTGCTTGTATCGTGGCTGTAGATCTTCAGTATATGGCACCATTAGACGGCGTCACACAGGTCGTCGGTGATATTACTACACGAGAGACTGCACAAGCAGTCGAGCAAGCCTTCTATGATGCACAGCGCAGCCCATATACCCGCGTTGCTGACCTGATTGTCTGTGATGGAGCGCCTGATGTGACAGGGCTGCAAATGATTGACGAGTTCCTACATTCACAACTACTTGCTGCTGCTGTGACAATGGTGTCCTGCATGCTTCGCCGTGACGGCACTTTCGTCGCGAAGGTCTTTGCCGAGCCCGGCTCGTCATCTACGAATATGCTCATGGCTCAGCTAAGACGGCTTTTCCTGCGGGTTGAACTTGCCAAGCCACGCAGTAGCCGAGCCAGCAGTGCCGAGCACTTTGTTGTCTGTATGGGCTTCCTGGGTCCCAAGCATGACGAAGACTCGAGTCAAATCCAGCCCGTATTTCTGGGCGACTTGCAAGGGTATAATGCTGCATCTACGTAGTACGGGGTAGCAAGAGCGCAAATGTAAGATAACTAGTGTGACCCCGCATTTGTGCGTATGGACGCGAGTAGACATTGGCTGGCTGCATAGGCCGACGTTCGACCTTTTGCCGAAAGCCATGGCTGAACAGGATTTCAGCTTCAGGCTCCTGCTCGTACACGTTGGGTGAAGTTTCCTCACCTGCATGTGTTGTTTGTGTTTGATCTGCGTCGCCATCTTCCTGCTCCAAATCGTCGGATTTACGCTTTTGCGCAGGATGCGATGCAGGATTAGGAGCTCCATGCCTCGGGCTATCCAGACGAGGCGGGCCTTCGGTATCAATGTCTTGATTCTCCAAGTTGAGACTCGCACTAGCCTTCGATACACTGGTAGCTCCCTGATTTGCCCCGTCGCACTGCGGAGCAACAGTTTCACCCACCGACTCTCTTACATCAGGCTCTGCGCTTGTATATTCGCATTGCCCTTCTGTCTGCTGGGCCTGAAGACGTCGCTCTCGCTCCGCTTTAGAGTTGGCAATCTGCAGCTGCCGCCGGGTTTCGCGCTTCGCCTCCGCCTGCCGGATCCGCTCAATTACTTGCGAGATCGAGTCCAGAGGTGCCACATTCGTTAAAGATTCATGCGTGCGAACGAGACTCTCATACGTCGTTACATCCGTAAACCCATGCTCCGACAGTGTCGACACTGTGCGCAAAACCTGCTCAATGCAAGGCGAGAAACAGCAGATTCGCGTGCATATGTCCTGTCGCAGAGCTTCTTTGGCAAATGGCACAGCTTCCCAAGGTGCAGGCAAATCTAAGAACACTGCATCAGCCTTGTTGGTGAGGCCAAATCCATCCTTGCAAACGTTCCGATGTTCAAGAACAACTGTGGTATCAAGACCGTGCTCGGCAAACTCTTTGCGAGCCCGTTCGACGCGCTCGGCATGAAACTCAAATGAATATACGCGGCCTTCATACTCAGATTCGTGTACGTTCGAGATGGCAGGCGTCAGAGAATCCCGCTGTGTTTGCCATACATTTGACGTCTGTCCATGACCATTGGCAGCAGGTGGACCACGTGCTACAGTGCGAGCAAGAAAATGCGTAAAGCTTCCGCTACCCGTTCCAGCTTCAAAAATACAGGCACCGGGCGACAGATTGAGTTTCATCGTGATAAACGACATGTCAGGCGCATACAAAATCTGAGTTCGATGTGGAAGTGATATGGTCCAAAGCTCAGGCGACGGACGCAATACGTAGATGAATCCCTTCTTATTGCTGGAGTGAATCTGCGTCAGATACAATGCAGTAGACGCACTTTGCTGCCATAAGGCTGTCCAATAATGTCATCGTGCCGAAATACACCAAACATATTGATGATCTGCTCGCCACGCTTCATCACCGCAGGAACAGGTGTTTTGTCGCGTGACTATGTGTAAGAGGAAGTTGCAAATACAACACATACGACAAAAAGAATAACGACCTCGCCCTCGGAAATGAGTCGTGAATTCGACCGGGTCTCTGTTGCTGTCATGTCCGATGAGGAAGGGTCGTCGCCCGGCATGGGAAAATATTGCGAGCTATGGGTCAACGAATCGATCGGGATGCCGAATCAACTTTCATTAGGTTGATCGGGCCAAAGGGAATTGTGCTCAAAATTACTTATGTGGATGGTGCAGAAAGCAAGCAAGCGAAAGAAACAAAAACATACACACCGACTGAAAGCTACAACTCATGTACTAATTTCCATCGTCATCAGAATCAAGCATGTGTGCATAGTCCTCAGCACTTGCAAAGGCAGGAAGCGCCCGACGCTTGCTACGCCTGGATTTGCGCTCTTTGCTCTTTCCTGTAGCTTCTTCAACTTCATCAGCAGAACGCTTTCTGCCAGCCGTGTGAGACGTTTCGTCGTCTTCGTCATCGAAGTTTGTAAAGGGAATGAGGTCATCTTCGTCCTCTAAGAACATATCGCCATCATCTTCGTCAGCTTCATCATCACGGAAAGGCGTTGTATCATCGTCCTGTTCCTCATCATATTCCGAAATGTCATCTTCATCATCTTCTTCTTCTTCATGTCCCTCATCAGCATCGTCAATGGCTACATCAGATGCATCCTCGGCTTCATCAGCGCTTGCATTAGCTTCCAGCTCAGCCAAAACTTCATCGTCATCCTCGTTCAAGTCATCCATCTCATCTTCCTTCGGCATAGATGACTTCATTGCTTTCCAAATCTCCTTCTCGTCCTCGTCATCGCTGCCAATTGCATCATCCTCGTCATCATACTCATTCTCTCGCTCCTCCTCATCTAGTGCATCATCGGCATCCGTCTGTTTCTTGGGCTTTTCTGGCGGAGCATTTGATCGCTTCAATTTCGTCTGGAAATAGCGGAAGAAGAACTGCTGATCCGGAGGAATATTGTCGGGATTTTGCATCCAGAAGTCAGCCGTGTTCACATAAGAAAGCGGTGCATCCGTGCGCCGGACAAGCACGTCATCTTTTGCATCACTGAGCGAGGGCTGCATGATGCTTGATCCTTTGACGCCTGAACGTTTCTTCGGGTTCTTAAACACGAAGCGATCTAGGAAATGCATGAGGGTATTCAATGTTAGGTCCGCGTTCGATGTGACTTTCTCTCCGCGCAGAAGCTGCATCGCATTCAAACTGACCGAGGGATGATAATGGTGGACTAGCGTAAGAAGATCCCACAAGGCCGTTTCTCCAGCATGCGCAAAGCGAGGGTCGCGCTTGCGTCCATCGTATTCAGAACCACTCTTTCGCACAGTGGCACGAGCACGTACATCATCATCATCGTCTTTGTCATCGACATCCTCAAAATGTTCAATCCCTTCATCCTCTGCCTCTGTAAGCATGGCTCGCAAGCCAGGCTTCGCTCTAAACAGCTCGCTCAACAAGACAAGAGCACCAACGATGAACGGCGGCTCTTGTAAATTGAGAACTTGACACAGACGCTTCACTATCGCCTTGACTCGCTCGGAATCCGTATCAGCCTTCATCGACTTGTATACGAGATTCAAGTACATCGCTTGTTTGCTCGTAGTAGCCAGACGAGAATCCAAGAGCGAATCATACAAGATGCGGTAGTAGCGATCAGCGACATGTGGCGAGAACCCGCGTGCTGTTTCACCATCTGACGACGAGCCGATCGCCACCTGAAAAATCAGTTGCAATGCCTGCACGGCAATGTTGAAAGAATGTGTGTGCGTAATGCGGAACAATGTGTCCAGATGTTGGTCAAGTGCACTTGAAGTGAGCGTCGTAAATGGAAACACACGCCGAATACCCGTCAAAATTCCCGCGAGCAGACGTCCGTACACATCATGGGCTGCCTTGTTCTGCGATGAGGGCGAGGCACTCTTGGTCTTCGGCTTATCACGCCACCGACCCTTGTCCTTCGTGGAGTGTGTGCCAGTCTCCGAGGTCTCGGACTTCTCTGCCACTTCCTGCTGAGCTTCCTCTTGTTGTAAGCAAACGTCAAAGAGCTGGAAGTACACAGAAAATATTTCATTAGCCAGTGGAGCATCGCTGTCAACGAACAGGGTCTGATTGAGTGTCAAAACACCATAATAGGTGGCATGCTGATTGCCCTTCGGCGTCGAATGCGTATTGTCCCTGACGACGACCTGCTGCGAGCGAAGCACAGCTTCGCTCACCTCTCGCAAAACAATCGCCTTCATAGCTGGGTGCACCTGAAGCAGCTCCATCAGATGTGTGCTGGCTCTCGAGGCTACGCTGCGGTCCGGATCACCCAACTTGTTCGTCAGCAGGCGCAAAAGGTTGTGTTCTTGCTCAGACTTATCGCGCAATAGAACAAACACCTGTGATACGGCTTGTCTGCGCATGAAAACAAGTGTATCATGAGTCTGGCGTTCGAGAAGTTGGACAAATGCAAAGTACGTGCGTTTCAAAAGGTCCTCAAAAGCCCATAGACACACACAGTTTGCCAGAGGCGACGTGGACGTTGACAGCAAGGACTTCCCGTCAGACTCATACAAAGCAGCAGCGCGAGGCATGGCTGGCTGGTCACGGAAATATCGAAGCTTGTCAGGGCCCAAACCGCCGCCACTTGCGAACCAGTCGGCCAGTGCGCGTGTAGCACGACTAGATTCCTCTCGATTCGATTTTCCAGCCATGTTCATAAGCAGATCAAGGGCCTTCAGATTGTGCAGAGGACTGCTTTGGAGAAGCAAAGTCACGGCGGAAATCCTATCCGACAGAGTACTCGCCCTGCTGTTCGTTAATAAGGTGCGTGCGAATTGCAGATCTGAGAAGTTCATGGATCCCAGCACCACGTTCTTGCCGCTCTCGCCAGAGGCCAGGCGTGCGTATGTATCATTCTCGTTTTCGAGCACCTCATCGCCCAGCTTATGCAAGCCACTGATGGCTTCGTTGGATGGCTCTTTCAAAGAATTCGCCTTATCACTAAGCTCGGGTAATTGGATGTTCATCCAGTCAGGCACTGGCTCAAAGCGAAGTTGAAGACCTACACGATTCAAAGTCTTTGGTGCGCCTCCGCCATCAAAAACAACATGCTTACCTGACGTGGATGGCTTAATCTCAGGTTCTGTCATCAAAGATTCATTCCCTGGTTTCTTATATTTATCATTATATCTCTTTTCCTTCAACGGCGGTTTTTCTTTTGCAGATTGTGCCTCATTTTGTGCTGGACCTTTTCTCGTTGGCTTGGACGGCTTGTTCTGCTTCTCAGAACGCATGGATTCTTGCTCGACCTTGGTGTTTTTAGCGCCAGCGCTTGGGGCTTTGTTGCTTGTAGGCATGTTTTCTTTTTGCATGAAAGCCATGAGTTCAGATGTCAATTCCGAGTCTGTCAGCTTGGCGGCCCGCTCTTTGCCCTTGCCCTGGATTAACGCCATATCCTCCTCAGTGCCACCGAGAGCTGCTACCTGATGTCTCAGCACATCTTCTGAAACCCCCTCATCATCATAACGAGTCTCTTTCTCTTTGTTTGGGACTGGCTCCTTTTCTCGCTTTCTTGATGCAGCGCCATGGCCTTTAGGCCGGAAGTCGCGCGGCATATGTCGTTACGTTGAGCAAGGAAGAAAAATTGCGTGTGTGCAGTGCTTGTGCGCTTGCTTAACAACGATTTTTTTTTTCAAAATTATGACATGGGCTTAGGCCAAAGCAACCTATGTGCCTAAATTTTCGCTTGACCCACAAATAGGCAAGGTCCGTTTGTAAATACAACCTTTTCTTCTACTAGTACATTATGAGAATTTCCACTTGTGGTTGCAGTTGACGCAGGTGACAAATGTAGTCATCGGCTCGTCTGCACTACGAGTCTGCATTTGATAGTAGCGGGTTTTTCGTTGTTTGCACTTGCCGCATTGGAATGCATCTGTTTCAGCTTCTTGAGCCTCAGCACCCTTGGCATTGTGTAGATTCTGCTGACGAATAGACTCTTGCTGCTCCTTGAGTGACTTTGATGCTAATTCTTCAGAGCGCATGACCACAAGCATTCCAGGATCAATATGACCCTCCAAGACTTTTTGGCGCAATTCGGGATTGTTTTTGTCCTTAAGGTTAAGACTTAAGCTTCGAACCTTGCCACGATAGTCATTGTTGGTCGTGCTAGCACCAATTTTTGTGTAGGCAGCTTCTTCAATTTTCATGGCTGATGCAAAGACCGTTTGAGGCTCTGCGTGATCCTGCACCTCTAAACTGTTGTACAAGAGTTTCAGACACGCATTGCGGACTCTATCATTCAGCACTTCAAAGTTGATATCCACGTTCTTCGAGTTTGTAGATGAAGAGTTCGAAGCAGGAGCAGCGGAAGAAGACAGGGATGAGGAGGAGGATGAGGAAGACTTGGTATCGGCAGATGACGCTGCGTCCTTTTTGGATTTCTCACTGGCAGGTGATTCGCGGCGCTGCTTCTCAATCTGTGACTTCCATGACTTTACAAGCTCCTTTGCGAGCTCCGAAATGCGTGCATGAGAGTGCGTGCGCAGTTTTCCCACAGCTACACCAATCTTCGTTGCCTGTGGGAGTGTTAGTTGAGATGAGTACAACGAATGACATGCACACATACGCGAATGAGCTCTTCAGATGGCACGACAACCTCCTTGAGCTGCCGAAGCAACGATAGTATATCTTCGACATTAGAATCTGCCGTGGATTTGGAAAGCTGCTTGCTTAGCTCGCGTGTCCTTTCCAGGGACGACGACGACATGGTCTGTCAGAAGAAAGGATGCCGGGGGGGAACGAGTAAGAGAGGGCGTCGCGCTAGACGCGGCAGCTCGAATCGAGGATTTAAGCGATGCGTTGGTGATTTCGCAGCGTCGCGTCTTGATGATGTGATGATGCCTTTGGGTGGGTTGTCATGTAGAAGGGAAGAAAAACGGTACCGGACATCACACAATGATGAAAGTCGGGCTAGCCTGACAAAGGTACGCAGCACAAGAACCATGAATATCTATGAAGAGGTACTATGATCAGACGCTGGCGGAGATGCCCATTTGACAAAATGGCGATTGTAGATCGGCCAGGGCGGGATGCACAACTAGACACAGAGTCAGTCCGCCTACAGGCATATGAGACGTACCAATACGCTCAGAATACAGCCAGCAGCAAAGACTTGCATGGTCATAAAAAGATCTTGCCGAAGATAACCGACAATGAAGCCTACGACCTGCACGTAAGTATTTGTGAGCAATGGCATGCAAAGGGCACACGTACAGCTGCCGCAATTAAGATACGATGATGCAAGCGCTCAGCAAGAGCCTGACCAAAATAGTCCTGTGACGCGTCAGTGGGTGAGCTGGTACGTACAATGTTGCCTTGGAACCGCTCAAGGAACTGATTCATGATACGTCGCTGCTGTGGAGCGCAAGGCGCAAGCGAACTAGAACTAGAATTGCTTAGCTTAGACTATACGCGCACACACATGAACGTTTGCACTCTGAGCACTCCACGATGTGGGGAAGTAAGTCTCAGACTGGTTCGAGGTGCTTGCTGCTGACTGGCTGGAGAGGAACAACAAAGCCAAGAGACAGGCTCGTGGGCAGCGCAGGCTAAGCCTCCACGCGCTGCTGCGTGGAACGGTGCAAGAAGGATCTGCTACAGATGCAGCAGTCGGCTCGATCTGACACACACTCACTCAGTGTCGTGTGGCGGTCATGCCATCAGGCGATGCAACGAAGCTTGTTGTTCCGTCGCGACGAAAAGAGCGATATTTATCTGCGACGTGCCCCTATGTTGACTGCCGAGTAGCTATTGAATACCAGCCACCCACCACGGAAGCTGTAGGTGCATTGCCTTCGACCGTGACGACATTTTCAGTGACGTGTGTAGCATGCAACCGAAACTTTGATCCGCCAGGCGCATCAAAGATGCTTCGAGAGGTGCGGGCACAGATTCACACTGGTGGAAAGGTCTCGAGCTCGGCTAAGCGGCGTATTGGCACAGATGAGAATCCACTAGATATGACGTTCTATGACGTCTTGGGCGTGCCGGCGAATGCGACGAGCGACCAGATCAAGAAAGCATACCGAAAATTAGCGATCAAGCTGCATCCAGACAAGAATCCAGATGATCCGGAGGGCGAAGAGAAATTCAAGACTCTTGCGGCAGCATATCATGTGTTGTCAGACGCGGAATTGCGGCACAAGTACAACGAGTTTGGGCCATCGACGCCCGGTCTAGTGAGTGAAGATGGTGTTGTGGATCCAGAAGAAGTGTTTGGTGGTCTGTTTGGAGGCGAGCGATTTCATGATATTATTGGCACGATTAGTATTGGCCGTGACATGAAAGAGGCACTGCAAAGAGACTCGGACGAGCTCGCGGCAGGTGCGCAAGGCGAGGATGTGGAAGGCAAGGACAAAGAAAAACTCTCCCCTGAGCAGGCCGCGGCGAAAAAAGCAGAAGAGGAGCGGATCGAGAAGGTGAAGGAAGAGCGGCGTGAGAAGCGCGTCACGGCATTAGCCGAGAAACTCGCGCACAAGCTGAGCGTATACGTGGAGAGTGTGAAGACGGCAGACAACCCAGTCCTGTTGGAGGAAGTGCGCAATGGATTCCAGCAAATCATTCGGCTGGAGGCCGAGGAACTCAAGCAAGAAAAGTATGTATTGCGCAAGAGAACGGACGGAGATATCGAGCGAGACTAACAGGGTTCAGTTTTGGTGTTGAGCTTTTACATACAGTGGGCTTCGTGTACAGTTCCAAGTCGCGGCACTACCTGGCTTCAAGTGGCATGCTGGGCAGTTTGGGCGGCATTTTTCATGCAGCATCGAGCTCGTTCCACACCGTGCGAGAGACGGTGTCGACGTTCCGGGCGGCCCTAGAGCTCAAGAGCGTGTTTGATGAGCTGCAAAAGGCAGAGGACGAGGGCATAACGGAGGAACGGAAAAAGCAGTTAGAAGATCAGGCGGCTGAAAAGGGACTTCGCGCTCTATTCAAGAGTGCCAAACTTGAAGTGGAGAGCGTGATCCGGGAAGTGAGTGATCGGGTGTTGTACGACTCCAGTATCACGAAACAGACACAGCGCCTACGTGCTGATGCTCTGGGAATGGTTGGGGATGTCTATATGCAAACGCAGGGGACCGAGGAACCCGGTGAATCGGGAGTGGCTGGTGAGGGTGATTCGTCGACGACGCCATCCTCACCGACTCCGTGAGAGTTAGAGTCGAAAACTATTTACGGCTTGGACAATGCCATCGTACACGCATGTATTGTCAAGAGGCAGATACTGTACAGTCATGACCTTGATGGCCTCCTGAGCAGCCAAGCCGCCAAGAAAGGCGGCTGTCGATGGCGTATCAGAATAGGCGCCACGTGTTACTTCATAGCAAGCATCGTATAAGCGGTCTTGGTCTTGCTGGAGTAGGTCGAGGCATATGTCTTTGGCGTATGCTCTGGCATACTCGTAGAGCTTGTCAATGTCGTCGATCCAGTCATAGCCTGCCGAGCTGTCGACAGGCGGTTGGCCGGGGAACCGATTCGCATGCTCGAAGAAGGTATGAGCCGCCATGAAAGCGAGGTAGAATTGCGCTGTCACTGGATTCACAGGGTCCGCCAAAGCTGCTGACAAGGCACCGACATTAGGCTCAACGCGCTGGAGCCGAAGACGACGACCACGAACGAGATGCAGGTATGGAGCATGCTTTACGAATGTCTTGATGGTTTCGTCATCGAGCCCGGCGGCTTCAAGAGATATGCCTGCCTTGTCGAGCACATCAGCTAAAAGTCGTCGGAAGAGGGCCAGGTCAGCGGATGCCTGAGTCATATAAACATGCCGCAGAGCGACGTAGTCGATGGATGTGGCTTTCATGTCAGGCATGGAGCCTGATAGCGGCAAGACACCCTGTCCTTGTACAAAAGCACGCAGAGCAGCCACAAGAAGCCAGAACGGCGATGATGTGCCTGTGGACACCTTTCGGCACTGCGAGTCATCAAGGAGCGCTGTCACATGCGCGGGTACAGCAGGGGATTGCAGTGGGCGCCACACGTGCAGAGGTAATGCGGCCACAGCCTCGTCGAAATTTTCAGAGTCACCGATAGAGGGCCGTTGCGATGCCAGCGCGTGAGCAAAAGCCTTTTTTTCCGAGATAGCGGGAAAAGCGCCATCATGCGACGCTTTCCAAGCATCCAGTGCGCGAAGTAGAAGTACCACATACGGAATGTGACTTACCGCTAGTGAGTCGGACGGATCGACCTGGTGGTCACGAGCAAACTGTGTCAAGGCAGGAAAAGGACGTGTAAGCCGCAAATCCACGAGCGATTCGGGATGTGTTTCGATGATGCCCAGCTCGCCGAGCGAAATACACACGTAGCCCTGGAAACCGGACGACTCTACGCACATGACAGGGACCGACGGCGCATGCTGCCATACGAGATCAGCGATGGAGTCCGCCATGTTGCGCGGCTGTCGCACGCATACAATGAGTGAGAAGGCAGTAAAAAAAGCTGGCTCCTGACCCGGGAGCCAAGAAGGCGACTTGGTGCATGCATGAGCCGTCGTGGCAGGATTCAGCTCGCTTACGAAATGAGCGAGTTCATTGGCATAGAATTGGCCTACGCTCTCCTGCGAGAGGAAAAAGTTGGATGCGACGTCGGACTGCGAAACACGTGCATCGTCGCAAATGGTGAAGGTGCCCAGACCAGGGAGCACAAGATTTTTGAGGATCTGCGACGACAGCGCCGAGGCACCGACCAGAAGCACATGTGCGCTCTCTAGGGCTGTTTGCCCAGACTTGTTCCACAAGCGTAACTGCCGGTCGTAGCGCTGAGTGTGTCGATCAGGGCGCGCCGACATCGACAGCTACAAGCCGTGTGGGTCGATGGCTCTTTGTACACCAAGGCCAAGTAGGCAAGCAAGCAAGTAAGCATCCACGCACTGCACACAGACAAATCGCCAGGTGTGGAGGGTGTGCGTGGAAGCGTTAGAAAGCGACGCCAAAGGAAGGAGAAGCCAGTCAAGCAGGTATAAGACGAAGGGCGGAAGGGCGTCTGTCCACGCTTAGTCATATTTGGCCTTGGAGGGCCAAGTCCATTTTTTTTCTCGTGACACAGACGTTGTTGGATCGATGTTGTCGGCGCGTGTGGCTCGACCTCCATCTTGAGTCGAGAAGAGAGACAACAACGATCACAACGACAACGAACAGAGCCACAGCAGGATTGCCGTAGCGAGCGTTGCCAAGCACGAACAATTTTGCTTGCTTGTTGGAAATACTCGTGTTCCTAGTGCGCGTGCAACGAACTGTTTGGCCAGATGACGCGCCCGCCGGCGAGCGAGCTGCGTGAAGCGCTCGCTAGCTCCAGTGCCGATGTGGTAGCACGTGCACTGGGCGATATCCGTACGCACACACGCGTACACGCCACAGAGCTCGGTGAGTATGGCGATGTGGTTCTTCCAGCGGCAGACGAGCGCCTTCGGTGGGCGGTCGAGCTGTGTGTGAGCGAAGCAGTGCCGTGCATCTTCGATGCATGGACACTCGCCGAATCACGCGATCTTCATGCGATGCGGATTCTTGTATACCAGGATTTGGCGCAGCTTCTGTGCCTGCTTTCTGTGCATCAGCCGAATCATGTGCATGGGGATGCGATCATCGCTCGACTGCTAGACCCTGCTGCCGCGTGGATGTCGAGACTCGATGCCAGTGTGATGCGTGCGCAAAACATGCGACGTGATCGCGCAGCTTCTCAGGACGCGGTGTGTGTCTTGTTGGCACTGCGTCTACTCACGGCCATGACCATGTATGCGCGCGGCAAGTTTGCCGCAGGTGTGTGGGAGCGAATCCACTGGAGCAGCGAGCTGCATGCGAAATTAGCATCGATGCGACGACGAACGAGTGCCGCGCGGAGTGGCCTAGAGGTGTCTATCTATGACATGGACATACGAACGCAGTACATGGCATGTCTCCTTGCGATGCTCACGCAGTCGTTTCACGGATCGCTCAAACTGGCGGTCCTCGACCTGGCAAGCACAAGTGACGTATGGCAGGGCATCTTTCGTGGTCTCGTGCGTGATCCAGCAGGCATTGTGCGGTACGTGCTTCTTGTTCTGTACGAGGAAGTGTGCAAAGATGTGCATGTGCCCCAAGGCGTCAAAGCCAAGTTCCTGGGCGACCACACATGCGCAGCGCTCATAAGCCTGTACACACGCGAAGCAGAGCTTGTGGACGGCCGTGCATCAAGCACCACGGTCGCTGATCTCGTCCACCACTTCTTCTTGCGCATAGCAACGCAGCCTGGCTTTGGCGTGTGCTATGCGGACCATGGCTGGTACGGACGTGATGGCGATGGCGCTGTGCTGCACAACAAAATCAACCTCGCCCTTTTGCGGAAGCTGGATGCCGTCAATGATCTGCGGCAGCAAGAGCTCGCGCTCCGGATCTGTGGTGCGTGTCCGGAGCTCGTCGGCCCGTTCTTATCGAAAACCAGCATCGATGTGCGCGCGGACCAAGCTCAATGCTTCATGAGCATCGCCTTTGTCGGTCGTGTGCTGCAGCTTCCTGTACCGCTGCCGGATCGATCAACGCCTCCACCACACTTTGCGATTCTCCAAAACACCGCGCCAGAGCCTGTCTGTCGTGCCTTGACCAAGGCTCTCTCCCATACGAGTGCACTTGTCCAGTACTATGCATGCACGCTGTATGCGTGTGTGTTGGAGCGCGCATGTGCGTTCCGGCGCATTGCACAGCGCAAAGCCCACGATGCCGACGAGCAGCAAGGCCACGGCGTGTGGACACAATCCCTGCACGCACTCGAATGGGCCTGGCGCACGCGGCTGCCAGACATCGAGGCTGTGACGCCGCTCTTGCTAAGCGCACAAGCTATGCGGCGGGAAGCCGCACTGCGTGTGCTCGCGCTGTACCTGGAAGCCGTGCCCAGTGCTGCCTTTGACACGCACTGGGACGCAGCACAGTTGCTGACGCAGGCGTTTTTGCTGGACACTGCGCCAGCATCGTCATCGCCAGCACTCCATTGGGACCGCGTGTGTCAGGCACATGTGCTGCGCATGCTTCGGAGCAGTGCATCCGCCGGGCTCGATATCATGGCTCGTGTACCGACACCCCTGGCCAGGTCACCAAAGCCACTCGTTCGTGCACTTTGTGCTTGTCGCATATACCCAAACAGGAGAAGAGACGCATCACACGTCGCCCGCGATGCGAGGTCTGCAGAGCGAATGTGCTGTGCTTTTGCGGCACTGGCTCGGAGAAACAGCGGTGTTTTCTCATGATCCTTATAGCTAGATGCATGGCTCCAAGCTCTTCTACCCACCGACGACGCCGGCCCAGTTCATGCGGAAGTGCTTGCCTTCTGGGACGAGTGTCTCGGGCGGTGCAGCAAGACGCCATACCGGTACGCTGAGCGTGTGCGTGAATGGGCCTTGGAAGACGGTGACGGTGCCACGGGCAGCCCCACCATAGTCAGCCCATTGCTGGCTACTCTTTGGGAGCAGGCATGCATCCGCCTGCAGAAGGACATGTGGGACGAACCACAGGCTGCGCGAATCACAGCATACATGACACGTCTGTGCATCGCACTCCTGCGGTATGGCTGTGCAGCCACGCCACTGCGTGCTCTGTCGCTCAAGCTCGCAGAAGTAGCACCAACGCACGCGTCGGACATGTGCATGTTGATGAAGGCGGCCTGTTCAGTCCCAAGTGTTCCCGAGTCCGTGTCCATCCAAGATCCGATTCTTGCTAGTCGACCAGACACGTATGCTGAAGTGATCGCGACCCTCAGCCACGACGATGCGCCCTTCATGTTGCATGTGTGGCTGCAGCGTCTGCACCCTGACGCCAGTGCAGGTGTGCTTGCTTGTCTGCCCTTGATCGCCCAGACATTTGATGCTCTAGACACTTGGGCATCTCAGCACCACATGTCAGCCAGGGCCCTGCAGCAGTGCCTCTGGCAGCACCCAACCACCAAGACTTGGCTGTATGCCGGGGACAGTGACCATGTGGCCGATGCCGAGCTGTTTCTCGCACGTCTTGTGTCGTTCGCCGTAGAATGTGCAAGCGTGGGGAGTGGTGCGCGAGACGAGACAAAGAGTACGTTGGCCTGTGACGAATCGACTTCGACGACGGTGTCCAGCACGTCCAGTGCAGTGAATCTTCCTGCATTCGACCCAGCTGCGTATCGCGCTTGCTTCGCACTGATCTTCGATACCATCGTCGATCGTCTGTCCCAGTGTCCCACACACCCGACATGGCTCGCATGCATGACGAAACTGGCGCCATGGGCCTCTAGTGAGCATTTGGCGCAGCTCGTGCATGTGTGGCCAGCAATGCATCAAGCAGACGAAGCGCAGCTACGTACGCTAGCTGTGCTTGTGCGGCACGTCCAAGCTGATCGCGATGCACTCTTTGGCTTGCACACCCAAATGCATACCCTTTTCCAGCGTGCTCCCACTTCCGAGGCGGCTGCCGACGTGTTCGATGCTATTCTACAAGCAACATTGCCGCCGGGGCTCGATCCGTTCTGGCCACAGACGCGTGGCTCGTCTGCGGCCTTGGCCCATGCAAGAGCACACGCGCCACAGATGCCCCTTGCTCGTCTCGATGGTATGCGCGATGCAACTCTGGCTCGAGCCCTGTACCTGATACCCGACGCAGTGTTGCATAGCGCTGCATTGCCAAGTGGTCCATTTGCTAGACTGGCATCTTTAGAACTAAGACACGCCTCACCTGCCCCACTTGCTCCCGTGGCGAACCTGGCCGCGCTGCTGCCAGAGCTTGTCCCATCGTGCCTGGATGATCCTCTCGCTTGTGCGATCCTATCCTTCGTGTACAAGACTTGCTCAGCGCCTGCGGCCCAAGACAACTCCGTCTCGCGTACTTGGATCGAGGACGCTGTATGCGCAGCGATGCAAGAGATCCCTATCTCAATAAGCATGTGCGCACCACACATGACCTGGTTCGTGTGGGAATGCGGCTCAGCGCGCATGCAGTCGACGCTGCTTGATCGCGGCTTGCGCTTCCTTACCCGGCGCTACGCCGAAGATGTTCATGACACGCCGACGACCATGGCTTGGACGCGCGCACTTGCCCCTGTTGTGCAGACACTTGGTCAGGTGTATGCCTCAGTAGCTGAACCGTTTTTGGCCGCGACCGTGCAGCACCGTTGTAAGGACCGTGACGCCATCCGTCTTGCGCTGGCAATTACACATACATACACGCTCAAGAATGCCGTCGCTGAAAGACTGCTGCACACGCTCTTGTCCCACACAGATATGCTTGAAGTGGCGCGTCGAGGCGCGGACGAGCCATTGCGACGACCCATGGTGGCTCTAGTCGTCCGCCTGGCCAGGTGCGCACACGATGCTCTGTCGCAGCCAACCACACTGGCACGCCTACTGTACTTGTATACCGGAACGCTGCACCCATGTGATACTGCTTTGTTTGCATTGCTTGAGCGTCATGCACGACGCCCCCTCGGCGATGTGTGGGCTGCATGGACAACCGACATGAGCATCGTGCCGAGCACCCTGCAAAAGGACACGATCCTCACAGCACTGCTCTCCTTGCATCCCGCTGGCACGCATGCCTCGTGTGTGCACATGCCGCGCACGCCTGACCAAGTCGCACATCCCTCTCGAGAAGCATGCGCTGCGTATGACCCATGGCTTGTGCTGAATCTTGTGGGAGGTGCAATGCTCGAGCGCGAGCAGCAAGAGCCCATGGGTCATGTGCATCTGACGGGTCTCGAATGGCTTGCAATCCTGCGCACCGGCGCTGTGGGCGTCGTGGCATGTTGCCTCTCGTCGCATCGAGCGTCATTGCGTCTATATGCGACAAAGGTGCTCGGTAAGATGTATGCGGCACTGCAACCAACAACATTCCGAGAAAAAGAGCTCGTTCTGCTTGCGCTTGAGCGGATTCGCGATACCCTTCCCCCGCCACCACCAACGTCTGTCCATGGTACATACGAGCAGGTGCCTTGGCTTCCATCCATCACCACCCTGTTTGCAGCACATGCCCTGCGTGCGATCGCCATGCCGTATCATCTGCTTTTCCCAGAGATGTTCCGCTTTCTTCTGCAGCGTCCGCGCCTTGACACGCAAGATGTGCCGCTGCTGTACAACCTGCTACACTCCACGTCCGACGAGTGGCGCACAGAGCGGGCGTGGATTCTTCGCTTCCTGGGCGACGCACTCCATGCGCATGCACACGTCGCGGCGACATCTCACCCACAAGGCGTAGCCCGTGCAAAGGTGGAGTGGAAGGTGTTCAAACGCCGCCGCATTTGGGACTTGATGCTTAGTCTGTATGCAGCTATGGCGGACCGCACTAGCGGTGGGCATGCAGACGCCAACACGGACCAGCGTCTCGCGTCGCAAATGGAAGAGATCATGCTTGCTTCCGCTTCTATCCCACACGTGGCCCATGAACTCATGACCCGTCGCGGGCTGCTAGCGTGGATCACGCTTCGTATCTCTAGTGAGCATGGTGGCAACGAACCCGCAAGCGACCGAGCATCGTTCTGGCTCACGTGGCTCTGGCGCCTGTGTGCTCCGCCCACTCTTGCACACAAGGATGTGCTTGCACGTCTTGAGCTTATCGACAGGCAGATGGACGGCGCTCTGGTTACGTCCGTGCTCATCCCAGCGACGCGCGCCCTCACACAACACGGCGCGTCTGACACAGCTAGATCGCTGCATGGCATGTCACGTGCATGCGTTCAGCCTGCGCTAGCCCTCGTGTTGGTCCTGCTCGAGTATGCTGTGCTGCATGCATCTTCGCGTGTGCGCAGAAATGCATTCGCTTGCATTGGTGTGCTGGACACGATTATTCTCTGGATGGCATCAGACCGTCATCACGAAGCAGACTTGGACGATCATGCATTGCAGTGCGTCCTTCTCCTGGCGTGTTGTGGTGCACCAGAACATCACGTGCACCGCCTCTTCCGCTCTCTACGCATATGTAACATGCACCCGTGGACCTGGAAGCCGCGTCCCTGGGCGCTGCACTCGCTCTTGCAGCTTCATCGACAGTAAAACTACGACGGCGTAGACGAGATCTCTTCACTTTCATTCTCGCCTACCGCAGGCAGCGGGGTTGGGGCGGGGGAGAGCCATTCGTGAATTGTGCTTCGTCAGCTCATGCAGACAGAATTCTTAGCCTTTTGTGTAAACACGCCATGTACATCTGCTATGGCTTCACATGGCTCCATCCCAAAGACCAATCTTGTAGGCCCAGCTTCATGTGGGTGGAGGCCCATATGAGCTTGCGTCCTTCAAGGATCACACGGACGACGGGTGGAGATGTTTCTTCTTGGTACCTTGCCAGAGGAACGAAAAGTGGAGGAAGCGAGCACTGACCGTGTGTCAACGACACTTTGGACCTCTACGTCCGCCTGCCTATGATGGCAAACGAGGATGAAGTAGTCGGTGTGCCATCGCATATTCTGGACCGAGGCAAACAGCATGCTGGCTGCGAACATCTGCGCTTGGAAGATTCTCAGAGCCTTGCGAATTTGATTCGTAGGTACACGGCCGGTCTGCGTTATGGACAGAAACTGCTTGACGGCAAGATTCGTCCGCGGGATGGAACGGACGAAGAGCCCGCGTCCAGCGACAAGCGCCGCAAGGTACGAAAAGCTATTCGAACACATGGTTTGGCACTTTACAGCTCACACCACAGCTGGAATACCCAACGTGCGCCGCGTGCGGCATGGAGTTACGACGGCCGTTCCTATGCATGACATGTGGCTATGCCGGATGCCTGTTCAAAGATCCAGTGCGAGATGCACAGTTACCAGTGACTCAAGGCTCTTCAGGTGCTTCTGATGGTGCAGAAGAAGGAACTTCCCACATCGGACTGCATCTGGCAGAAGAGGCACACCCGTATGGTACGTCGCTATCTCACTTACACGTCGCAGCATGTGACATTGTGCATGGTACCTTCTTTTGCTCCGCGTGCGACGACATCGTGTACGATGCACGTTTTGATCATGTGCTTCAACGCGAGACACACCGTGCGCATGTGCCGAGTGCCAGGGAGCATGCGCTGGATGCGCTCATGATAATGAACCATCCGTCCTCGTCGTCAGCAGAGCCGCCATCAACAAGTATTTGCCCCATGCCGCGAGGACTGCGGAATATGGGTGCCACCTGTTTTTTGAATGTCATTCTCCAGTCATTTCTGCACAATCCACTCTTGCGCAACCACTTTTTGAGTGACAGACACAATGCAGCTCTCTGTGCCGCCGGTCGTGACTGTCTCGCATGTGAAATGGACAAATTATTCAAAGAGGTGTGTTGGCGAACTCGCACCCGCTGACAATTCAGTTTTATGGCTCTTCCGATGCACAGGGTCCCTATGGCCCGACATCCTTCTTGTATGCAATATGGATGGATTCCTCTTCCGCAGAACTCTCTCAGTCTGGACAACATGATGCACATGAAATGTTCATCAGTGCGCTCAATGGGATCCATAATTCACTCACAGCACACGCGCTTGAACGGAAAAAGCTGCCGGCTTGCCCCTGGGAAGGCGAGCACATGCTCGAGCATCTGCACGAACATGCCGAGCAGCCCAGTGGTGCACGTGTGCCGAACCGAGCCGTGGACCATGTAGCACAATGTCCCTGTGTCATTCATCGCACGTTTTGTGGGCGCCTGCAGAGCAGTGTGACGTGCCTGGCTTGCAGCAAGTCTACACATACGCGAGAACCGTTTCTCGATTTGAGTCTTCAGGTATACCCGATGGAGACAAATGAGCCAGATGACTCGAAGAAAAAGCGCACTGTGGCCGCCGATTCGAAGAAGCGCGAAAAAGGCACCCCAGTCGCAGAGACTAGCGCTCAAAGCTTGTATGCGAGTTTACTGCGCTACTGTGCGAAGGAGCAACTGCCTGAGGCGTCGTATCGCTGCAGCCATTGTCTTCAAAGTTCGAAAGCGACAAAACAGCTGCATTTGTATCAGCTGCCACCGGTTTTGTGTATCCAACTAAAACGTTATGAGCATGGCATCGGCACATCTAAAGTCGACGCACGCGTGCACTTTCCTCTTGTGCTGGATGTGCGTGAATGCTGCACAGGAGCCCAAGAGACCGATGAATCTATGGATCCTTTTGCGTATGCTTACGACCTTTTTACTGTCGTTGTGCACCAAAGCACGCTGACTTCTGGTCATTATACAAACTTTTCAAAATGGCGCGACGCATGGTACCGCTACGACGATGATAAGGTGACGCGGGCATCAATAGCGCAAGTGCTAGAGGCGCGAGCGTATCAACTCTTTTATCTTCGTCGTCGCCTGCGCAATCAGCCAAGCCACGGTGTACATACTCTTTCCAAGTCAAGTACATAGATGGAAACCAGCACAAATGCATATATGAATGATGTCAAGATCTCGTCGCTCCAGCAAGAGCGTTCTCAGCACGTCGGGTTCGAACGGTTGTCTCAGATAAAGTGTGTACCTACTACTTTTATCATTCTCATTGCCTGTCGCCCAACCACCCCCCCCCCGTCCAGTTGAGTCGATGCCTCGATCTGTCTTCGAAAACACTTCCTTCGGCAGATACCGTATAAAGTGCATCACATGGTATTTTCTGGCATCTGCTACTTGACAACTAGATTTACGGCGACAAAATCCGCAGTTCAGGCTCACGTTCAATCCATGCGGCAATTCGATCAAGTGTTTGACTGCGCTCAGGCTCAAACCACGTAAACATAGGGTAAACGTGGACGCCATCACGAACCTCGTCAAGCACCACGTAGCGCTCTTCAAACGGCTCCACGTGAGGCGGTGGGTCATTCATAGCCGAGTCATGCTCAGAGACCCATTTCTCCGTGCGCGGGAATTGCTCTCGCCAAGCCCACATGTGTGCCTCGTCAGCAGAATATGCACAGTCGCCAGAGTACTTGGGTACACCAGCTAGCGTCCCTTCCGCCATGCGGTGTGCCAGAGTAATGTGCTGCTCATAATTTAGCTCCGCATTCCCTGTATTGATGAATACATGCTTGGGAAAACCCGCGAATCCCCAGTGCGGCGGACGCACATCAGCTTGGGGATCAAGTTGAAGAGACACAGGCGAAATGTACGGGTTGGTATACGCCTCACTTGCTGGCATGCAACCGAGCAGAGCACACACGGCTGAATTTCGGTACAGCAAGGAAGGCGTGATGATGTCACTATGCCCATTCAGGACCGTCGTCGAAAATGGATTCGGTGCTGGAAGGGGCCCACTGTGAGAGCGAGATATGTCGCACCAAGGTGACAAGAGTATGAGCGAGCCTGGCACAGATTCGATGCCTTCGTCTCGAAGGTATCGGCACAGAGCAAGAGCTAAATTTCCGCCCGAGCTGTCACCTGACAAGATGATATTTTCCGGCTTGAATCCACATGTCCGGACAACGTACAGGTATGCAAGAAAGGAATCGAGCAGAGCTGCTGGATAGCTCCCATGACGATAATTAGTGTGACGTGCCAGACGATATTCAACAAGAAAGGCTCGACGAGGAACATCGTCAGAGTTTCGCATGCGGCCTAATAGGTCGCGGCAGCACACAGCACCTACACTCGATTCATTCGCAGTGCCCATCCAGTATGCGCCGCCGTGCAAGTGGACAATGAGTCGCTCATCTTCACACGCTCTTTCATCAGTTGGAATAGGAGCCCCCGTCGCAGCCACAAAGAAGCCAGATATACGCGCGGGCTTGATGCTTTGCAGCTGCATCGCACGTTTGAGTTCACCACGTATATCACCAGCTGTCTCTGGTGTTGCGGGCTCGAGCAGATCCGCTGGATCAATCCAGACGAATTTACTCTTACGGCACACAGGCTCTTTCTCAGATGGCGAGCCAGCCAACAATATATGCGTCTTGCAAATATACACGGTACAGCGCCTCGTAATCGATACGAGCATGGCTTTTGTCCATGACCACGACCGGCGTGGACGATTGGCACGAGGAATATTCATCAATGCCTTGAACGGTAAGTAGAAAAAGAGCATGAAGGCAATAAATACAATGGTATAGATGGAGCGGAGTGGTTCGATTGTCCATGGAGGGCACTTGACAAAAAATTCAGACAACGTGCCATACCCCTGGTTGGGAAACTCTACAGTCGGTAGGGACAGAGGAAAGTGAAGATACCGAGTCGCACGTCGTAGGATCAGCGTCTCTTTGCGTGCTGACGCACTCCCTCCTCCTGTTTTGGAGGTATGCCCACGGTTGTTGTAGCTGTTTCCTTCCCGTTTCAGTACATACGGCAATGCCATGCGTAGCCATTTGTCCTCGGCTTGTGTACCCTTTGACACAATCGACGTATGATCAACTGAAAGGGTGCGGTGCGACCTGGACTCGCTCGAAGGATCCAAGACACCCAATGGCGGTGTCATTGGATCAAAATTAGTGACAGCGAGGGTCGCCTAGTTCTTGCTGTGCTAGCGAGGACACCTGGCTCGCGAACTCGCGCAGCTCGTCTAAGGATAGCAGAGAGATCCCTAGAATGTGTGGGACGCGGTAAAGTGGCACGATTTGCTCCCTCCCCCAACTCTCACTTTGTGGAGTTTGTTCTAAATAAACCATGTATGTAATTCCCAGGTGTCATCTGCAGCAGCGCCAGACATGGGGGGATTGGTGGGGCTGTCGAAGTTTAATAATTGACACAGCACCTTGCCCCACTTTCGAACACTCGCCTGCACCGGTAGTGGATTGCACGCTAAGACCTGCTTAGTATAGACCCTTATGTCACCACAGCTTCGTCCCATGGTCCGCGTATCTCTGTCTTCCAACGCTGCGATCGACGCATCCACATGGGGCACAGAAAGCACACAAACAAAAAAGCTCCCGGCTCAATGATGGTGGCGACAAAGCGGCTTAGAGGCCACATAATGAGAATGCTCAGGCATACAAGCATAGCCGTGAGCGGTATTACGATGCGCGGGATTCGTCGACCATCGGACATTGCGAATGATCCGTAGGAAACGTACATGCGGTCACGAAGCAGCGGAAAAATCCCAAAAAGTTGCAGTGCGACCAGCAACAAAGCAAACACGTCTACATCCGACATGAGTCGACTTGACAGCACCACGCTTGCGCACATCGCCATATTGAGGCTAATCGTTGACGTCAGTCGAGAACCAGAGTCTGGGCGCATCGAATAGTTCGCGAACGCAAGGTGACCCACGAATAGAACGGCCGCGCACGCCCACACGCTGTCGTTGGTCGTTGCTTCACTAAAGGTTCTCACGACAGGAGAGAGCGCATGAAGTGCAAATCCGAGTACTGTCAGACTCATGGCTCCACGCACAATTGAGCGAATACTATATTTGCGCGCAGTGGACTCAGCACCTGCTAATAGCAAAGAGCAAGCCAAACTCGTCCACACTAGTTCAGCCGCATGGAGCCAACCCATATGCAACTGCACGAAGAGGGCAACAAAGAGAAAAACGGAGGCCATTTGCTGGCCAATACTAAGTGAGGATAGTACGAGGGATACACTCGTGGGAAAAGCGGCTGTAGCATTTATTCTCAACTGTCCCAGAAATGATGCATCCACATAGTTATCGTCAAAAGATTGTCGCCGCCACAGGACTTTCTCCCATCGGGCATAGACTTCATAAGACGGCGTCGAAGACATGAACCATGTTTCAGACTGCTTCCAGACTAACAAGAAGCCACTTATTCCTTCTCCCACTTCAACACCTTCGTCCCCCCTACAAGTGAAAACGTCACGCGCGTGTCACCTTGTCCGCCGTGGTCTCCACGCGTGGCTGACCGCGTCGCACCTGTTGCACTGTGCCCGAATGAGTGCCAAATGAGGCGAACGACCAACCAAGTACCTTGTCTGGTGCCAGAGTGACGCAAGACATGCCATTGGGCCATAGCAACTCATCGGCCGAAATACTTTGGCACTTCGCTACTCGCATGGTGGATGCAGGGTCCAATCACATTCAAACAAAGTCAGATGAAGCAACGGAATTAGACAAGCATGGGTTTCATGACGCTGATATGCGGACTGAGACATCCCATCCCGAGCTTTCAAGCACAGACAACCAACTCCCCACGAAATTTGCCACAAACTCGCACCCCTTTCTCGGCCATTTCGTGCAAATTCTCGCGCTGATTGTCCATGACAAGTGCAACGCCGGGTCCAATCCCTATTATTAGGGCTGGTGACAATTCGAGCAATGCGATGAGTGACGGTACGCCAATCGCTCGTCCCAGTAGCTCAAGCAGTTATTTGGGATTGAGTGCCGGCCTTAGTGGTAGTAGCAGTTTTAAAGAGGCCATGGCTGTATCGTTCGGCAAGGATGTGGCGGAAATGCTCGAGTATTCGATAGGGCGCTTTTCTTCGTCAACGGATTCAGAGGCCACAGTCGCCGCGCCGTCGTCCGTCCGGTTGGAGTCCACGTTTTGTCGCAATTTCACCTGCTGTGGGAAGGAGCTTGACGACCTTCATGATTTATTACAGCACTATGAAGAGTGCCACGTACGCTTTGAAGACGATGATGTGGAAAGCATGATGACAGACGAGGATATGGAGACAACTAGTATGACTTCAGACACAGCTCCATCAGAGAGTTCCACATCCTCTTTAACTGGAATGAAACCAGCCAATGGCACCCATGATCATTCTATCCGGGCTGGCCATCCCCGGCCTCTGCTTTCAACGCCTGCTACCGGTACTCCCATGGTCTCAACTACGAACGAGAACTTGGAATACCCTAGCGCGTTCGACACAGCAGTCATGTGCTCGCCAAACCGTGGAAAAAAGCGCTCACACGGACAGCAAGTGAGTGGGTCCACTTCTAATCCATTGTTCCGAACCATTTTAGAGACAGGTGGTCGCCATCCTCTTGGCATGTCTAGTGCTTATTCTTCACCATTCTCAAGTCCGGGTAATTCACGTGCTGCCACCCCAACCATGGATTCAGAGAATGAAGTCTTCTTTGGCTCATCCACTCAACCTAACATGTTTGCAAGCCTGTCGATTCGAGGCGGCTCTACGGACGATCAATTACCTTCTTGTGCACCTCCTAATTTGTTCTTCCCATCCGCCAATGCCTCGTCGTTGCAACGGCCGATGAAGCGTGAGCGTTTCAGCACAAGCTCAGCGACAAATACTTCTACAAATGCAGGCTCATCGACGCCTGTCGGAGTACCACCACTTTCGTCCGTGGAAAATGGTGCTGCAACAGAGCACAGGCCGTACAAGTGCCCAGCTCCAGGTTGTGATAAGGCGTATAAACAGATGAATGGGCTCAAGTATCACCGCTTGCATGGTCATTGTAACCAAAACCTACGCAACGTAAATCAAAGTGTCACTGGCTCAAACGTCCCGTCATCCTCTTCAACTTCAACGCCGGGAACCGCTACGTCTTCGCCTTCGTCAAATGCTACGGCAAATCCATTCAGTTCAGGGGGTTCACCCCAGACACCCTCATGCCCGGATGCGGCAATCAGCTCTGTATCGACATCGATCTCCTCTTCATCGACACCGGCGACTGTCTCCTCTACGCCAGGCTTGAGCACGGAGCCGACGAGAGATGCCAATATGGTATCAGGCATCTCAACACCATCTCAGGGCATGTTTTCTCCCACACTCGATCTTGCTTCGACGGAGTCATCTTCCACAAGTAAGCCAGATTCAGTGCCGGCCTCTGCGAAAAATGGTGGCATTAGCTCAGTTCAGCCGGAAAAGGCGTATGTATGTCAAGTTGGCAACTGTGATAAACGCTATAAGAATTTAAATGGCCTCCGGTACCACTATTTGCATTCTGGCTCCCACGGACTACTAGGACTACAGCTTCTTCATGCCAATGGAGGTGGTGCAAGTGCCAAGGCTGATAGCGTAAGTGGCCGGCCACCTGTATCAACAGACACATTGTCTCGAGAGCAGATTGTGCAAGCTGCTGCTGCTGCACAAGCTTTATTAAATCAGCAAGGGGCTAATTGTAGCCGAGGGCCGAACGGTAACCCAAATCCCAATCTCACGGCATCTGCTTTCCTGTCCTCAACAACCAACAATACAATCACAATGTCTAATGCTCCTGAACCTTTTTAAACCTTGGTTGTATTACTACTGTATTTTCTTCCGCGGTCGAAACGGGCGTTGGGAACGTGTATATGGTTTTTTTGTGTTCCAAGCTTACGACGAATCTCGCACATTCTTATGGTTTAGGTCTTTTCTCCTCTAGTAACGGTTTTTTTACATTGAGTTTAGGGATTTGTGTAATTGCAGAAACAAATAAACTAGAATACCCCGCTTCTACTTTTGCTATATGGGGTGTTGAGATTTCGAGTCGCATTTAGTTCGAAAAACCAAGGCTCGATGGAACAATTTCAATCCAGTAATTGTCAGGGTCAAGAATGAAGGCTGGGATACGTATGAGTAATGGGAAAGATGCCATGCGACCTACCAATTGTCTTCATCTTGCCGTCTGGCTCGTCAGTTTCCGTACTCCCAAACGAAAATATATGTAACATACCTGTCAAGCGTTTCTGCCATTTGACACCGAGACGCTCAAAACGCTCACACGCAGCCTCGATATTGTCGACAGAGATGGCTAGATGCCCAAAACCGCGAGGCTCTGCGTTGCCATTGTGGTAGGCAAAGTGCGGGTCGTTCTCGGTGCCGTGGTTGTGCGTCAGCTCAAGCACGGCCTCGCGCTTTCCCAAGGGAGACACCTTTTGGTGCTGGTACGCCAGGAAGTACAAAGTAAAGTCTGATCCCACCAATTTGTCGATCAGCTCCATACCAAGTACATTTTCGTAAAAGTCGAGAGACGCTTTGGGATCCTTCACACGAATCATTGTGCTACCGTAAGCACGACACACTTCTCCCCCCTTTATAATAACACATACTGGTGGAAGCGAAAGCTGGCAGTTTCTTTCATCATAAGTCGTCTCGTAGGGATAACGCACCTTCAGTAGCTGGCATTCTCGCTTTGCGGCTGGAGTAGTGAAAGTGTTGTTCCGAAAGCACAGACGTACGTGTCACACGAGCGGCTGAAGCCGATGTGCCGATACACATCTGACGGACATATTAGGTGGATCACGTGAACGCCATGCATGTCGCCTGCTGCTGACAGGAGAAAGGGGTCTGTATGTCTCGAAAATTAGGCCGCACTACGTCGTATGCACGGACGTAATAATTCAAAAATCCTATGGCTGGATAGACAGGTTCTGCATCGCCTCTGAGGGAGCACTATTCATTTTATTTTTCGCGTCCTGCAATTCGTGTGTTTCCTGCTTCGGTGCCGCATTGGACTTTTTGCCCTTGCGTTGCTTATACTCGAAGCCGGCAGCCTTGGCATTCGCAGCTGCCTCCTCGGGCGTCTCAGCAGAGCCGCCCTCGTCTTTCGTAAAGTAGGGAGCAATCATAGGATTCACTGTATGTGTGAGTCAACTTCTTTCCACGCACATTTTTTCTCTTTTACTTTCTTGACCTTGGGTTCATCCTCAGGATAAGCCAAAGCTTTCAGTTTCTTGAATTCCTCATTGGCAAGCATTTTCTGAACAGGTTCTAGAAGCTTGTTCAAAGCGCTTGACACAGCTGGTTTAAGGTCAGCAGGGTGCAATTTCTTTTCCTTAAAGTCACGGACGAGATCGTCAAACGATGCATAGTGCAGAGGACCGCCGAATTTGTCCGCACGCATGATGCTGAACAGAGTCCCTTCAGGCGCTTCCTCAGGAATGAAGGATTGCGACTGGCCATCCAATTGGGTGTGTTTGTGCATCATCTCATTGCGCACACGAGCAATCGGCATTAGCACAGCACCAACAAACGCCAGCACACCGTTCTCCTCAACGACACCTTCCATGCAGTAGGCAGCCTTAATTTTCTTGGCCACCTCACTGGGTGAGTCGAGGAAATCGATCTTTGAGTCGGTATCGGAAGATGACATTTTCGAGCCATTCATGCCAGGCACCATACCATTCATAACATGCGCGCGCTTCATATAGCCAAGTTTTGGCAAATACTGTTCGGCAAACATGAAGATTTTGCGCTGATCTAAGCCACCGAACTGAAAATCAACGTCAAGGAACTGTTCGTCAAGTGCCTGGAGCCCCGGGTACAAGAGGCCACTTAACAGGGGGCTCGCTACTTGCTTGACGACCTCAGCACCGGCTTTCTTAGCATCATGCTCTGTCACCATAGCTGCCAAGCGGTACACATCAAAGTTGTACTTTTCAGTAAGTTGGTAAGAAGAGCCTAGCACGAACGTAAGACGATCCGTCGGAACGCCAATAGACTTCATCACACACGTAAGGATCTGTCGGTAGTATTCAGCTCGATGCTTCACGAGTTCAATTGGTGCTTTCATGTTATCTAGAAAAGCATGGATATCAGCAAACAGCACTTTGACCTGGACTCCTGCGCGCAAAAAGTCCGCAAGCTTTGTTAGAGGAACAAGGTACCCAACGTGCGGACGACCTGTTGGAGCCGTACCCCAGTAGCACTTAAGAGGACGCTCATTTTCCTCCAAAATTTTTTGAATCAAGTCACCGCCAATCACCTCTTCGATGCCTCGTGTGATAAGCTCGTACCGCTTATGCGGCGTTAGTGCATCTTCTTGCACCATCTTCGACCTGGATTGGATTGTACAAGATACGATTTTGGATGTTCTCATCCATTTGGAATTTGGGGACAGAATGAAATGTGTGCTGACTAACCAAATACCACGCTTCTGAGCCTGCGAGCGTGGTTGAGCAAAGGAACGAACGTACGTGAGCGCTCATACGACAGTAACGACAAAGGCGTGTGAGACTGGATCAAAGTACACGTCTCCGAGACATTCTATATAGCATGAAAATTGAGACATCCAAACATTCCTAGAAAGCCTTGCTGCAGGAAATTTCATTTCATGTTAAGATGTCAACTAGTGTAGGACGTCGAACGCTGCACAGAAAACAGCAACAGGGACTAAACACGGAAACGGGACAGAGGAGATCCTCTATCGAAAAAGTAGCGAACCATATACACTTGTCCAAGAGAGATAGCAATGATCACAAAGGTCTGGAAGAAGGAATAGCGGGTGATACGGTGCCGGGTCTTCTGGACGAGAGAGTGTCCTTGGTTGTCACGTAAACGGAAATAACGCAGAGTGCGTTCGATGGCCGTCAAGTCAGAGTCGATCTTGGACATAGACTTCTCAACAGGCGAAGATTGGTCGCGGAGAAGTGCTGCTTTGGCCAATGGCAGCTCAAGGCGAGGCTCAGATTCGACGGTGATATCGAAATCAATCTTCATAAGTAGCTGTTAGTATCCGAATTCATGGAAAATAATGAAATATACATACGAGTTTTTCTTCCTTTGTGCTAGAGCCATTCTCGAAGCAGAAGCTGTATTCGCCAAATTCGTTTGCCGTGAAGACATAATCTTCCTGTGATGACTTCTCTCCTTGCAATATGATTTTGTCTGTGGGTGACATTACAACATAGTCGGTATCAAAGTCGCCACCTTCTTGCACAGCAAAGTAGAAGCCGACCTTTTCGAGCGCTTGGTCAACCCACGCGTAAAAGCAAGTTTTTCCTTGCCGCGGAACCTGCGCTGATAAAGCAGCCGCTTCAGCTGATCTGAATAGCATGGTGCAAGCAAGGACGAGAACGACCAGCGCACTCGTTAATGTGCTGCGCATTGCTGCATGGCCGCACACCATTGCGTTCGATATACACAAACGACACTCGCAGGCGTTGTTAGACAAGACGTCTGGATAGGCCACGTGGAAACGCGTGTGGGCGAAGCGCAGGCGCGACCGGTGTGTCGATTGGCTTCGCTCGCCCCGCCTCAGGTCCAACATGCTGTGTCCCACCACCACCTGCAGTCGCCCAAGCACGCGCCACCGTAAAGTCACGTGAGGGATTGGACATGCTGCAGCCGGAAAGGCGTGCAAGTCGTGCAGCACATTTCGTGTCCATCCTTAAAGCCCCCCCCCTTATTGTGGTGCTAGAGGAGTCTCAAGCGGAGGATTCACGCTTCCCATCCGGTGATAAAGCCCTAGAAGATAGCAAAGGAGATGCGATCTAAAAGTACATAGTGAAATGAATCTATAACTATGCGGATCGTAATGACCGCAACGAACTTACTAGCTGCTCCACGCCCTCTGCGGTGGCAACGCTCCATACCTCAAATGCCAAGGACTCGGGATCGTCCGCACAGTTGCCAGCGAGACCATCCCTGCCTTGTGCGCGTTCACGAAGAGCTAACTCACGGCTCAACTGCTGCGCGATTGCCCGGCTGGGACCAAGGCAAACGAAACGACGTGCGCCTTCCTTCACAAGCGTGTCAATGGAATTGAGCCATCGTACAGGCGTCGAAAGGGCCACACGCAAATCATCTCGAATATCTTCGACGTTGTCAAAAATACGACCATCCACTGAAGAAACAACTTTCACATCTCGACATGGCTCATGTAGAGGCATTACATCGACGAGGCCAGCGAACGCACGGCTTCCTGTCTCAACAAATGATGTGTTGTACGGGCCCGACATGGGTAAATTCACGGCATGTGCACCGATTCCCTTGAACCGCAATCTGTCGCATGCATAGTTTACGCCCACCGTCGTGCCGGCCAGCACGATTTGAAGTTGAGAATTCACGTGAGATGTTTCGACGAACTCATCACGAGCAATGCCTGGAACACGACCAGCGTGGATTTCTGCTTGCACGGATTGAACTTCATTCAAGGCACGCTCGAGCTGCCCAGGCCGAACGACAATAGCACTTACCTGTGTACCGCGCCAGTCAGTGTATTTGGTGTCATCTGGCGACTGCGCTTCCTCCTCATCCAACACCAAGTTGCTTCCTTTCCCGCTCGACACGTTCGCAAATGCCCACGTTTCATACATACTTGCGGGTGGCTCACACCCATCAGGGAAGAGAACTGGGTGCGTCATCAAGCAGTTCATTGCGGCAAGACCGCGATACCGCATGGCCCGCAAAGCATCCATAGGCTCAATTGCTCCCGTAGCAACAAGTGCGGCATAGATTCCGGAGCCGTGACCAGCAATCCAACTCATATGATCTTTGACAAAGTCGATCTCAAATTCTTGGCGAAGAACTGCCAGAAAAGATAGCGTCACAGTGAGGATTGCCGGCATGGCATTTTCGGAACGCGTAAGCTCAAGCTGTGAGCCGCGAAAGACAAGATCACAAAGCCAACCGGGCTTTAACGACCTTGGTGCCGAGCGCACACTCTCTTCAAGTGCTTGGTCACGCGCAAGATGCGCTTCGAAGGCAGTGCGCAGAGGATCCGGGTGCATATTGTCCAAGGGCCGTGCCATGATGAAGGCTGTAATGCATTCTTCTGCTTCCTCCCAAACTCGGCGAGCGGTAGCGAAAGATTCATATAAATCTCGAGCCATGGTGACATATTGCGATCCCTGCCCAGGCATGATGAGTGCCGTTGGTTTGTGTTGTATTTTCATGCCGACCCAGCCCTCTCCAATGCCGGCGGCACTGCGCCCGGCAAGTGGTGGAGCAACACCAGATGAGACCCAGGAAGAGGCGTTAAATGACGAAGAAGGTAAAGAGAATGTGTGCTGCTCAGGGAATGGAAGGTTGGGCTTTCCGGGTGCGCGATTTCGACGTGCCAAGATCTCAGGATCCTGGAGTGTTTTCTTGTCGGCCTCTGGCCTGCGATGGCGAGAGCTGTAGTTAAACACGGCCCCCTTGCCTGCATGGGCCTGGACGAACTGAACCGGCTTCGCCCGCCCACTTACCATTGAGTTTGTCATCTGCGGATGCGCCCGCCGGTGACTGCGTTCTCGTTCTTGTTGACGCTCAAGTTCGAGCTCTCGGAGCCATTTGCGATCATGATCTTCTTCTCGATGGTAAGCAGTATCATCTGACATGTGGCGCCCACGGTTGGCAGCACGACCCAAAACCATGTCGCGCCGGCGTAACACGGGCCCTAAGCGAGATGACATGCGGAGACCCATTCGATAGAGCGTTGACGAATTGAAGAGCAGGCCCACTTTGATATGCGAGAACGCTAGAATCGACACACAGCTTGACTTGCCTGTTCAAATCTGGTTTGGTCTGGCCTTGATTCTCGTCCCGCACTGATCTCGGGGGTGGGGGAGCTATTGACGTTCGAAATCTCAGGCCTTGTTATTTTCTGCGGCTCAGGGATGAAGGCGGACCAACCAATGTGTCTCGGACTCCGCAATCGATGCTGCCAAGTCTTCAATAAAGGCAGATTTCTTGATTATCAAAAAAGTAAAACCCCACCCGGCATTCAGCGTGCGTGTCGCAGGGCCCCCTCTGACACCCAAGGGCTCACCTATGCAGATGTCGGCGCACGTGGCAACAGAGATAACGCTGACAAGGTGCACGAGCTGTACGAGGTCCATTCCTTGTTCTTCATGACGTCTGACGCAGCGCTGCGTGACCGTCATGAGCTACCAAGAGATGTGCCTCTGCTACATCGATCAAAGCATATGCTTTTACCGGTGGCGAGCATGCTGCTTGGTATGAGTGTTCTCGCGCCCTTTAATGCACTCGTGTCCTCGATTGAGTATTTGCATGATGGCTTTCGAGGCACAGCATTGGAAGCCGTATTTAGTAGCGGCATTATGACAGTTTTCAATGCCACAGCTGTTGTTTGTGCGATTACAGCAATTGTCGGGCAGAATCAAAAGCAGGTACGTATGCGACGCACGGTCATGGGTATGGTCGGCTAATATGAGATGACAGTTTTCACCGCATGAGAGGATCAAGCTCATGCTGGTCGCATCTATGATATTATCATGGGTTCTCGTTTTGTCTGTTTGGATTCGCGGTCCACATGTTCCTGCGAATCCCCACTTTTACTATGGTTTCCTTCTTTTTCTTTCAGTGGCTCTTGCAATTGCACAGACGTATCTGCAGAATGCCACCATGGCCTTCTGCACGCGATTGGATATTAATGGATCCATTATTGGCTACATGCTGCTAGGTCAAGCTTTGAATGGAGTCATTGGAAGTGTGCTAAATCTGCTTAGCTCTATGGCAGCAGCGACACACATGGACGCGAACGAGGCAGCATCGACTCAGGCGATCCAAAACCAACAAGCTGCATATACAGTCTTCATCGCGACGGCTCTATTGCAACTGGCAACTTGGTATGCATTTGAACATATGCTGCACGTGTCGCATGTGAAGCAAGCTGTCGAGTCCTGGACGATGAGCGATGCATTCGCAGCCCATGCCCAAATGAGCATCTGGGACACAGTATGGCGTGTGCAGCGGCGCCTAGTGCCGTGGAGTGTGAGTATCTTTGGCCTATTTGCGACGACGCTTTGTGTATACCCAGGCATTACATCTCGTGTGCGCACGGTAACAGAGACACGCTGGTTGAATAATGAGGGCATCTTTGTCGCTCTGCACATTGTTTGTTTCAATGTGGGCGACTTGTTGGGACGACGCATGCCGATCATGTATCCGATCACGAACGTGCGGCGTGCGTATGTTGCACAGATATGCACAGCAGCCCGCTTTTTGTTTCTTCCGTTCTTTTTGTGGTGTCGACTTGACATATACAAGACAAGCCCCATTCCCGATACGATCTTCTTTCTTGGCGTCGTGGCACTTGGCCTAACGACAGGCTGGCTATCCACGTCCTTTCTCATATCTGGGCCTCAAAGCGTTGCGAAGCATGATGAATCTACATCAACGCAAAATAATGGGCTTGATACTGAGGCAAGACAAGATCAAGTTCTACTTCACGACGAAACAATGCACGAGGCATCCGCAGCTGAGCATGCAGGAACACAGGACGCAGCTATGGCATCGATGTTGTGCTCGTTCTGGCTTGTGGCTGGTCTGACAGCAGGAGGATGCCTAAGTTTGCTTCTCAACGTGTTTATAGGGTAGCGTGCATATAGGTGTATTTGTATCACTAATGACAATTTTCTGAGGTCTTCTTTCCTTTGCCCGTATCTATTGGATCAATTCACTCGTCATCATAGCCCGAAACCGGGGAACGCGGCCTGTCAGGCACTGCAGAAAGCGCGTTAGTTTGGTCATGGTCTTTTTGCGACGCATATCTATCCGATGGACAAACGTACATGGATAAGAAACGGGAATCCTCTCCGCTGGCTTCCAGCCGAACTGGGCTCTGTACTTGGGTACAACCACGACAGATACGGGACCTGTGCCGAGAGAAACGATAAACAGGGAAAGGGGGAAAGTACAGAGTTAGAACCGAAACCATCATAGAGACATGATCTTACGATCAACTTACCCAGTGCACCCAAGAGGAGCGAATAGAAAACGACAGGCCGGGCATGAGAGGCCCATTGCTACGACTTGTTAGTCGTGAATACTACGCACCAAGTACTTGAGCGTATTGACGAATGGCCGAGTCAGAGTAGACATGAACGCCATTGAGTGCTAGGATCTGAAGTCTGGATAGAGATAACGATAACGGCTGCGAAACAAAAAATGTCCCTTCTCTCCGTCGTGACACTGCAACCAGCAGGTGCAGCAGCAGCAGCAGCAGCATCGGCTGGCCGTCGACACAGAACGGTTACCTGCAGGGTATGCCACATGGATCTCACGTGGCTCCACATGGTCAGATGACGCTGTGCAACAAGCTATGTCACTTGATTGTGGGCGGGGGAATAAGAGGTCGCAAATCGATTTGATTGTTTTGAACATCTACGCAAGTTTGTCTGACAAGAGCGTGTGGCCTGCCCGTCGAAAGTACACACGTTCCTCAGATACAAACTTGCTAGCACCAACGCTGGTAGTAGGCTGTTGTGCACACAGCTCTCTATTGAGCACTGCTTACTGCGCTTGCTGTAGCAGCTCGAGAGTCTAGTGTGGCTGACAGAGCCACAGGAGAACCAAACAAGAGAGTCTTTGAGCTCTCTCGCTCTCGCTCTCTATCTCTGTCTCTCTCTTTCTTTCTCCTTCTTGTACTCTCACACGTTCCAACTCTCCTCCACGATTCATCTCTTTCTTTCTGCCATTGCGCATTGATACACCTGGACCTGTTCTCACGGTGACGAACGGCTTGATCTGCACCGGCACGGATTGACTCCCGCGCTTTTCTTCGCACGCATAGTCGCATTTGTATACGCACAAGTTCGCACATTTGCCCCCTATTATTGTTACATACCTCATGACGTCGTCCTTTGCCGAGAATATTGACGCATTTCTTACGCCTTTTATTGACTATTCCGAAGCTGCGCCTGAAATAGGGGCTTTTTCACTCGATGACAATGCATACGGCAATAACACATCACCCCTATACGGAAACAGCAGCGGAGGCCCTGGCATATCTTTGCAACGCGCCAAGTCTGACATTTTGCCATCCAATATCGATGCACCACTCAAAACATCTTTCTCTATGTTCGGCTCGCTGTCATCGTCGGCGTCCGCTCCGCACACAGATGATGTGCCCCTTGGTCTCGAAAGCAGTTCGTCCAACGGCAGCACCAGCTCCATTTTTAGCCAGTCTAAACCAGCAGGCGATGTGTATGAGCCGTTTACGTCTCTCACGCGCTCGAAACAAGGCCCTCGAGCATACCAGTCAAACAGCACTGACTCTGACAGCGATCTGGGTGAAATGAACGAAGCCACCACGTCTTTATCGACAACTTCGCACAGTCAAGAGCCAACCACCATCATGCAGCGATGTCAGACGCCCATCACATCTCCACCCTGCACACCGCACGCGTCAAGCCGCTCGTTGCCTGGAATGATGCCATTCACCACGCCACTCCCCATGAATTTGTCGCCGTCACAAGACTCACTTCAACGTCTGCATCAGCTCCAGCTGAATACAACCAGTGGCATTCAACCAGGTGCTTCCGACAACAAACCGCGGTCAGATACGTGGTCCGAGTCCATGACTCCGTTCCATCCCTTAATGTCCTTGCCATCATGGACGATGCCCACTGCGCAACAACACAGCATCGATTCGCATTTCACGCAGGCGTACGCGTCGCCGTTTTCCATGCCGGACAAAAGCATACTGGCTTCACATGCTTTGCAGCAGCAACAAAATACAGCGTACGTGGATCCCACCTCGACCCAAGCGTCATCGGCGTCGATGCCGTTGTACTCGCGGCCATCTAGTGTGGATGCTACCAACTCACTGTGGTCGCCCATCACCCCTCCGACATCCTCGGCATTGCTTCAGTCCACGCAGCAGATGCAGCTAATGTCAGCATCGCAAATGAAACCGCTACACTCCCCACCAGCGCGCCGACGAGGAAGCACCACCCGGATACCACGTAAAACGCAAAGCACACCGCAGTTCCAAGCCCTGGACGGTGACACGCATCGGACGCCTTCTGTGCCGCCGTCGCCCAACAAAGCACGGATGGTTCCAAAAACTGTGCGACGACTGGCAAGTCACCGGCGCATGAACGGGCAGATAACGACGCCAAACGAGCCCATGAAAACTCCAGTGGGCGGTCGGCTTCGAATGCGGGGATCGATGGCCGCGTTACGTGAGGCCAATGCAATGCATTCTGTCGCCAAGTCTTCGTCGACGCAGTCGATGCATCAACTGCACCAACAGCAGCAGCGCAAACCACTCACACTCAGTTTTGTCAACTATGGCATCGAAGATGCCGAAGAACTCTGCTCGGCTGTTGCTCCCAGTGGCAGCTACAAAGTCCCTCTGCGTGGCTTTAAAGATTCAGACGACGAAGCTGAGCCACAAGGTGTTGCCACGTCTTCGAGTCCCCATCCATCACCCAATGAGCCGGTCACTCCACACAATCGGCACTCGCCGCCATCACTCGCAGCTGAGCCTATGCCGCTCCCTGCTGTGTCGCTAGCTCCAGAACAAACGAAGCACCGTGCCTCATGAGCCGAGTATGCAAGGGAGGCTGGCAGGGTAGGGGGGTGCCGTTCTCCCTGCTTATTCTCGCGGAGCGTGAGTGTGTGTTTGGTGATGACGTTTGTCCCTGCTAGATATGAAGGCCTGCTTGTGAGGATTTTTCGAGTTCGTGCGTAGCCTGGAAGAAGGAATGAACGTCAGAGGAACGGCCGGAAAAAAACGAGCCAATTTCGCCAAGCTTGTTCTCTTTCGTCGAGCGACACGCACCTCTACATTATACAGGCGAACTAAGAGTTCGTTCATGGTCATAGACACGCTTAATGTTGATTTTTTTGTGTACAGGAACTTATCACCAAGTCTATATCTACTGTGGAGTATTCCCCAAGATGGAACCGGAAAAGAAGCATGCTGCATTTGCGGAAGTGCACAAATGTCGAGAGGCTGAAGGTTCGCTGCAGGGATCACGATGAGGATGAGTTATGTTTTTGACGGTCTTCGGCGGTAGGAACGTGAAGTCCCACAGTGCGGGCAGTCGCACGGATACGGTCCTGCTCTGACATGCCATACAGGGGATTGTACTGCTCCATAAGCGTGAGGTACTTGCGCTTGCTTCGCAAGAATAGCTCGACATCTGATAAAATGCGTGCCGCCTGGGGGGCCGGCTGCTCAGCATACAGGTCAGTCCACACAGCGAGTGTCGTAGACTTTGACGCGTCATGATTCCGCTATTCGGTCAGTCATGTCAGTCCGCCTAGATTATTCCTGCCTGTTCGTGACATGCGATACAAGGCTTCATCACACGTACCGTTGCACGGATTTCTTGCCATACTTTCGCAGCGACTTCTCGTGTAGATGCCCGTGTCGCTGCTGCATCGAGGGACGCCATAGAGAATAGCGCTGCGGCGGATGCCTTTTGCGCTGCAGACGACATGGCGGCCGACGGTGTCGTGCTTCTTACCCTCAGGTACTTCGAGGGCGAAAGCCAGGTGGGAGGTGGAATTGGCCGAATTTCCAGGAAGCAGCTGTGAATGTGGAGAAGAACAGGGTTGGCGATCCGAGCCTCCAAAGAGGTAGCGAAATCGGCGAGTCAGCTCCAACACATCTGACCGCGTGTTGAAAAGGGACGCCGACACACAAGGAACAGTCCCGGTCGCACTTTCGAGACGGTCAGTAGCAATGCGTCATCGCGAGCTGCCGAACTATCCACGCTAAGACAACCAATTGCAAAGTATTTCTACAGTTATGCATCCAAGCTGTACGTAAGTGTAAGCAAGCAATCAAACACGCATCCCTTTCTCCCGCTGTGGTTCATACGTACTCGCTAATGCACTCCCATGCACCCTTGAGGTTCTCCTTCCATAGCGACACTTTTCCATCACCACAGCTAACAGCCAAGACATTGCCACTCACACTCCAGCTCACACGCCAAACAGTGTCCGGGAACTTTGTGCGGTCCTCCGGCTTCGTGCTAGGCAGCAGAGGCGTACACTTCCAAGGGTCATTCGGCGTGTTCTGTGTCCAAATCAGCACTGTGCGGTCCTGTGATGCCGTTGCTAGGTACGTGCGAGCTAAGCCCAAGCTCGGTGCAAATGCCACATCACGCACCCAGTCGCGGTGTTGCTTGAGCTGATCGATCTCAATGTAGCGGTTGTGCTCGTCACTGAACTCCCAGATCTTTACCACAGCATCGCAGCCTGCCGTAGCGAAGCGCCGCATGAAATGAGCATCAGCTCCTGCACCGGCCGTTACCAACGGCATCCATGACACGGCATGGCACCCACCAGGATGCGCAGCAACGAGGTCGACGGACCATGAGCCGTCTTCATTGAATGTAAGCACAGATACACGGCCATCTGATGATGCGCATGCGAGCGTCGCGCCAAGCTCGTGTGGTGCCCAAGCAATAGAATTCACTGACGCCGTATGCAGCGCATGGTCTTTTATGCGTGTCCATCCGCTCGCACCCGCATATGTGCCATTCATTCCGTCATTCTTCCAAATAAACACCTTGCCATCGTACGAAGCACTCGCGAGGATCGTGCCAAATGAGGGATGTGCCCAAGCCACCTGCCAGACTGGGCCCTCATGGCCAACGAGTGTCTCGCCCGCACCGACAGCCTCGCCCTTTTGCACATCAAACACGCGGATCGTCCGGTCCGACGAGCAGGTCGCTAGCTTGCTACCATAAAAGTCAAACTGGGCGTCGTGCTGCACAACTCATTAGCACCACTCTAACGTGTAGCGTTATAACTGCTGTGGGAACATACCACTGCATCCTCATGGAAGGTCTCGACCAGTTTGGCCTCAGAATTCAGGTCCGCCGCACTCGTCATCTGCATTGCCTGCATTCGTTAGTTCCCACACACGATCCTTCTTCTCTCCCCCACTCTGGTTGTGGCCCTTACACACCATTTCTCGTGCGCGTTGTGATTGGAGTTCAATACGTCTACGACGTGGACGACGGCCACAGCCTAAACTGCCCCTCATGGCCAATGCCACGCGGTTCACCGAGCCCCTGTGGTCGCGGTCCATCACGTGACAAAGGTTCCATAGGCCCTGCCACTACTCATCCTTGCCCGCTCTATTGAGTTGGCGTCAAGTACAGCTAGAGGACTGGCTAGCTGGCTGACTGGCTTCTATGGAGAGAGAGGGACTCCCTCCACACATAACCTTGAGATGATGCCCTTGATGCTGCCCCCTCATCTCCAGCGTTGCGCATACAATGGCCAGGCAGACAAACTAATTTTTGCAAAGAAAATCACCAAAAAAAAAAAAATTACGTCTAGGATACGCGCGTTGTCGTCCATCGATCCCTTCGTCCAAAACACCTCTTTTCTGGATCGCTCTCTCATTTAGGTCGACAATGTCGACAGATCCAGCATCAGCATCAGCATCAGCGCCACCGCCACCACAGGCTGGTAGGCCAAGTGAAGACGAAAGTCCATACTTACAGCATCAAAAGAAGAAAAAGAAGAAAATATCGACAGATGAAAATGACGCGTCAGATCCACTCCGTGGCTTAGTGCGACGTCAAGTCACCGGCGCACAAGCGCGTCAGATCCTGGAAAACTCGACGAACATGTTTGCAACAGATGGCATGCGTCCTTACTCGGAGAAGTATAAGGAAATTTTGAAGGGGCGAAAAGAGTTGCCAGTCTATGCCCAAATGGATGAATTCTATGACAAGTTCAATGCGAATCAGATCACCGTAGTCATTGGTGAGACTGGAAGTGGAAAGACGACACAGATCCCACAGTTCGTGGCACTTAGCGGACCTTCCGCAGACAAGCAAGGTGCGTGCCGCCGATGGCGTTGAGGTGCCGCGGATGATTGCTTGCACACAACCACGACGTGTGGCGGCCATGAGCGTGGCAAAGCGTGTGTCGGAGGAAATGGATCTCAAGTTCGGAAAAGAGGTCGGTTATACGATCCGATTTGAAGACATGACAGAGCGTGGATCAACATTCCTTAAGTACATGACTGACGGTATGTTGCTGCGCGAGGCCATGAACGATCCAACGCTCGATCGGTACAGCACTGTTATTCTAGATGAGGCACATGAACGCACGCTAGCCACAGACATCCTGATGGGTCTGCTAAAAGATGTCGCAAAGCGACGGCCTGACCTGAAGATCGTTGTGATGAGTGCGACGCTCGATGCGCTCAAGTTCCAGAAGTACTTTAACAATGCGCCACTCCTGAAGGTTCCGGGTCGCACCTTCCCTGTCGAAGTGTTCTACACACAAGAGCCAGAAAAAGATTATGTCGAAGCGGCCATACGAACTGTCCTCATGATCCACCAGGCTGAAGACCCTGGCGATATACTTGTGTTCCTTACAGGTGAAGATGAAATCGAGGATGCATGTCGAAAAATCCGCACAGAGTCGGAGAGGCTCCTGGAAGAAGAGCCAGATCTCTGTGGTCCGCTCAAAGTCGTTCCGCTGTACTCGTCATTGCCCCCTGCACAGCAGCAGCGCATTTTTGACCCAGCTCCAGCCCCCGTGCGGGTTAACGGCCCCATGGGACGCAAGGTCGTGGTCAGCACCAACATTGCTGAAACATCGCTCACCATCGATGGCATTGTATATGTTGTGGACCCTGGCTTTAGCAAGCAAAAGGTGTACAATCCGCGGATCCGAGTTGAGTCGCTCCTAGTGAGCCCGATCTCAAAGGCATCAGCCCAGCAGCGTGCAGGCCGTGCAGGCCGTACCCGACCTGGAAAATGCTATCGTCTCTACACGGAGCGCGATTGGGCGAGCGAGCTGATCGAGCAGACGTATCCTGAGATCCTGCGCAGCAATCTGGCGAACACGGTGCTGGAGCTCAAGAAACTCGGCATCGACAATCTTGTGACGTTTGACTACATGGATCCGCCTGCGCCCGAGACTGTCATGCGTGCGTTGGAGCTGCTGAACTACCTTGGTGCATTTGACGACCATGGCAATCTGACGCCACTCGGAGAAATCATGGCCGAGTTCCCACTTGATCCACAGCTTGCCAAAATGCTCATTGTGTCTCCGGAATTCAAGTGCTCAAACGAGATCCTTAGTATTGCTGCTATGCTCAGTGTTCCGAACGTGTTTGTGCGTCCAAGCCAGGCGTCTCAACGCCAGGCGGCTGATGCGGCACGCGCAGAGTTCGCACACCCGGATGGTGATCACCTCACACTGCTGAATGTGTACCATGCCTATAAGACATATTGCTCGGATATGGCGTCTGGCTCCGACTGGTGCTGGCAAAATTACCTGTCGCACCGCTCGCTGATTCAGGCAGATAATGTACGCCAGCAGCTGCAGCGAACAATGGAGCGCTTCGACCTGGACTTGGTTTCTTTGCCGTTCGAAGACAAGCGATACTACGTCAACATACGACAGGCTATTGCGTGTGGTTTTTTCATGCAAGTTGCTCACAAATCGACAGGCGGTGGGAGTCGCGGCGCTTACACGACTGTAAAGGACAATCAGATTGTGACGCCGCATCCATCGACCACGCTCGACCATATGCCAGAGTTTGTCGTATACCATGAATTTGTCCTCACTTCACGCAACGTACGTCGATGAATTTCCTTGTTATGTACTTACCTTCCCGCAGTTCATTCGCACTGTTACCGAGGTGCGCCCTGAATGGCTCTTAGAGTTTGCCCCCTCCTACTACGATCCTCGTACGCTTGATGGTGAGATCAAGCGTGTATTTCAATCGCTCCTCGCACGGCGGCGTATCAAGAAGTAACAGCACACGCACTCGATGTGATCAATGCACGTATGCTTGGCCAACGCCTGTGTGTGCGATCTGGCACTCTCCATCTTGTCGCTGCGCGGCACGAGAGAGTCTCTGTAGTTTCTTTAGCGTATCCATTCCTCCTTACTGACGTCGAGGCGCGTCGAAGCACCATCTCCATGGTGGTGGATGCTCGTGGCCCTTGTGATCCTCTCGAACACGCTAGGAAAATTTGCGAATTTGCCCACCTCCGTAGGCGCTCGACCGATCGACACACAAACTTTCAAAAACACGCCCGCGTCGTTGAAGCGTACTGCAGGGTTCAACATCACCACCGAGTGCAGCTCATTATTTCAGCTCGCACACACGTTCGTGATGGCTCAGTCCACGATACCTGCAGCTGACCGTGATGTCCATGCATCTGCGCGCATAGGCGTATGTACCAACGTGACTTATTTCGCAGTTCTATACCCAGTCTTTCACGATCTTCTCATCTCTGCAGTCCATCGCAGCTGCTCAAGCGAAGGAAACAGCAACAGCAACCGCTGAAGAACAGGCATGGATCTCTGCAGGCCCCTCTGTACAAACAATGCAATACTACCATCGTGTTGGTACCCTGTATTGTGAAGCATTACAAGCGTACTTGGCAGCTTTAGAGCCACCACAGGGCGAAGAGACCGAGTATGAGCGCCATGTTCAGGATTTGCACATGATCTTTCACCTGGCTCGTGTGCTCTATGTTCCTGAGGATGGAAGTGGCTTAGGCGTTGTGGGTGAAGAGCTCATGCATTGGCTCAATGCGCATGACGTGGCTCCTACGACCGAGCAAGGACAGCAAATTGCTCAGACCATTCCACCCCATCAGCATCCTGACTACTGGGACTATATTTTGCGCTGCATTTTGCGCGGCTTTTTTGGTACGGGTGCAACTGTGCTGCAGTCATACGTCAATGACACATCCTCGCCGACACTGCAAGCGATCGCGGCTGAAACCGTGCACATGCTGCAAACGGTGCCGCGGTCCACGGCCTATACAACAGAACAAGCTTTTCTATCAGCTCACCGCCATTGGCATACATCTATACGCGTGTTCCTCAGCAGTTTTCAGCGCAAGATGGATGTCGTTGAGTCGGAGCTCAGCCACACATCATCGTCAGCAAATGACATGCGTCTTGAGCTCGAGGCTCAGTTCCGGTGTCTGTATGAGCTACTTTGTGGCGTAGAAGACCGCGTGCTCGAGTTTTCCGAAGACTGGAAGGAAGCATTGTGTGCATGGGGTTTGTTGGTCTTGCCTGCAATGAAACGTGACGACGTGCCGGAGGTCGTCTATCACATCACCCACACATTGCATATGGATGAAACACTCCCCAGAGAATGCATTTTGTCCCACATCACTCGCGGAGAACTGATCAAGTGTCTGAAGCTCTGCATTCCGTTTGACGAATGGCTAGCCACCCACATGGGAGACTTTTTCGACAAAGCACAGCTGCTTGATACTGCCGAGCCAACCATGATGGATGAAATCCTCTTGACTTGGGCCGACACGCTTGTGAAGGAGGAGCGCCTGTGGCGCATGTCACTCTCTTACCTGAATGCTATTCACTCGGAAACAGCTCGTTCAAAAATGCGCTCCATATTATTCCATGTGCCTTTGTTAAGCGAGACAAACGACGACGAACACACGCATTCTGAATGCGACTTCCAGAAGGTCGAAGAGGTTCTAGGTGCCTGTATTGAGTATGGCATGGAAGATGAAGTGCGCTTAATTTGTCGAAAGCTTGCGCGGGAACTCATGGATCGGCATAAATATGGCTTAGCCATCGCTTACAGTGTACGTGCTCGCGACGCACGACAAGTTCAAGTCATTGCTGATCGAATGCTGCATGACTATGTGACACATGATCCCGCCTACTATATTGCCAGTGTCGATTCGGTACCTCGTACGCTACTGGACAACGTAGCATCTATGAACGGCGATGCACACGCACATGGCACTGACAATGACAATGAGTCGGACATTGACGTTGATGTCGCCGCCACGGCCACGACGCCATTTACCTCAACATCCAGCATCTTTTCGCGAAACACGTTCGCTCCACTGGTCTTCCATGTTAAGTACCGCGACTTTCATCAGCTGTTTTCACAGCAGGATACCTGGCGTGAAGCCGCGCGAGTACTGGTCGGCCTACTGACCAGCGAAGCGACACCTGAGTCGTTTTTGAGCGTCTTGCTCGTCGATGCTCTCCCGTTCCTTCAGTCGACCACTGATCTCTACTTCAGCCTGCCTGAGACTTATGAGCTTCTGCGCATAACTGAAAAGGTTATGTCTGTCACTGACACGCAAAACTCGGAACAGGCAGCAGATTTCTACTTCTACTGGCTCGAGCAGTTGCTAGCAAACCAAACAGCATCGTCACCTAGTGTCGGTGACACATCGCCAGCGCCGAAGCGCCGTCGGGAACTGGCACACGAACGCATGTTGGTCGTACGACTTGCTCTTGCCCAATATATATCGCGTATCACAATGGAGCCAGGCGCTGGCAGCATCCATAGCAGTCTCATTTTCGTTCCCTAGCCACTCATAAATTTTGACATTTGCGTGGTATGAGCACAGTGACTAGTTACTACATGGCGTACACAGTACCACACTCTTCCGTCATGAACGCGACAGCTACGCTCGCGCGGTGCGCAGCCAAGAAGGAAACAGCGACAATGGCACACATGGCCTCGCTGAACCTCTCCATGCTCTCATGACGTTTGAATTTTTTGATTTTTCTCGGTTTCTTACGTCGTACACAAGAGGCATTGGATTCACCCATCCATACAACCCACCCTGCTCCCGCCGGTCTGCACAGCAATGCGGAAAAAAATCCATTTAGACGACCGTGCCGGCGTTCGAAGCAATACGCGGCCAGAGATCAGCGCACTCCTTCGCGACAGGGCCTGTAATGGCACTGCCTTTCATTTCACCCTTGGGGTTCACAATGACACCGGCGTTGTCCTCGAAGTACAGGAAAACACCGTCTCCACGGCGCCATGGCTTGCGCTGACGCACGACCACAGCTGGCATAACTACATGCATTAGCGACACTACCCTCGCGCAAATCTTCGTATACGTACCCTTCTTACGCAGCTCAGGCTTACCCTTCTTGACGGATGCCACGAACATGTCACCAGCCGAGGCGGCAGGGAGACGGTTCAGACGAGCGCCAGCACCGAACACAGCAATCACATACAGGTTCTTGGCGCCAGAGTTGTCAGCGCAGTTAATGACCGCACCCGCTGGGAGAGCGAGCGACATGCGGTACTTGTTGCCCACAGAGATCTTGGCCATGGTGCTTGCTAACGGTGGTAAAGAATAGACGGTGCAGGAGCTACTGGCGATGGGTCCTAGCTGGCGCAAGCGCGCGCGCGCGTTGTTCTTGGTACTATATTCCACGTGACCTGGACAATGAGGACTTACGTAAAGGGTATGAAGAAGCATGACCAGGATCCAACGAAATTACCGCCCCTCCACGCAGCCAACATGGAAACAGCTAGGTAATGTGGAGGACGTATCCTCATTCTCTGTCTCGTGTTCTGTGATGTCGAGCACCTCCAAGAGAAATCAACCCAGTCAGGTCACGTCAACATGATCCCAATAGATGCGGTAATACATGGCCTGTAGCGTGCAAGTTTCCATCTCTGACAAATGCATTCAAGAAGTACATGGATTTGATAACCACAGTGTAGCCCAGAATAATTCGTTTGTCCATTAGTTGTGCCTAATCAGGCTAAGGAATTCTTCACGCGTCTTGGCGCGATCGCGGAACACTCCCAACATGCAGCTCGTCACCGTATTTGATCCAGGCTTTTGCACACCACGCATCGCCATGCACATGTGTTCGCATTCCATGACGACAGCCACGCCTCTGGGCTTGAGTGCCTCGTTGAGAGCAAGAGCGACTTGGCGTGTGAGTCGCTCCTGAACAGACAAGCGGCGAGCAAAAGTCTCTGCAATGCGTGCCAATTTCGACAGACCAATAACCATGCGATTCGGAATATAGCCGATGTGAATCTGTGTCAAGCGTGTTATGTTAACACATTTGAACCATGCATGACGCGGTTCAACTCGGTCTTGCATACGTACCTTGCCTTTAAATGGTACAAGATGATGCTCACACAGACTAAACACATCAATATCACGCACAATGACCATTTCATCATGATTTTCATCGAATATAGCGTTGGATATTACATCACACAACCGTTCTTCGTACCCCTTTGTCATCCACAGGAGCGCCCGTGCATATCTTTTCGGGGTATCTTGAAGCCCGGAGCGATCTGGGTCCTCTCCTAGACATTCGAGAATCGTACGCACAGCACCAGCTAGCCGGTCTTCATTTGCAGTTGCCTCCTCCGGAGAAAAGTTCAGGCGATCAAGTGTCGACTTTGCTGCAAGAGGCGGTCAGACCGACTCGATCAGACACTCGCACGTACCTGGCCATCCTAGCCCATGCTTGTTTAGCACCGCTGCAATAGGGTCCTTCTCGTCAGAAAATCCACGTATGATGGTCATAGCACCAGTCGGTGTGCCCAATCCCCCACCATGTTGCTGTTGACCTGGCAAGTTCGACGACGTCGATCGTTCTGGAGGTGGCAAAGGTGTTAGAACATCGTCTTCTTCGTCATTTTCGTCCTTTCTTTGTAAGTTGTTCCTCGTTTCTTCGTGATGCGATCACCTACTTCCAAGGGACGTTTCATGCCCCTGTCCTTTCCTGTGACCTCCATGGTTTGATCACACTCACACACCCACGCACGAGCTCACGTCCTCTCGTTCAACGATTCGTGGAGTGCTTTCGATACGTAGGAACACACGCGTTTAGGAGCACTTGCTTACAACATCTAGACTAAGAAGCAAGCCTCCCCCTCAGGTGTGCAATATGTTTTGTCTGATTGGTGCAATTTCATAAACCGGTAGCTTCGTCCTATAGCGATAGAAACATCGGTGTGCTTGAATCCCAACCTTTAACTATAATGTCGACCAAAATTACTATGGAAGAAGTGAAAAAGCATGCCTCGGGTATGTGTTGTCATCTTACATGGGACTTCTCAATGTGGAATTTGCATGACTAACTTTCATGGTAGCCGACTCTGCTTGGGTCGTGATTCAAGGCGGTGTGTACGATGTGACAGACTGGCTGGACGATCATCCAGGCGGCAGGAAAATTCTGTTGAAGAATGCCGGCACGGATGCGACCGACAAGTTCATGAACTATCACCCAGACCACGTCTTGAGGGACATTGCCCCTAAGTTCAAGATCGGTGTTCTTGCCGACGCGAAGTTGTGAAGAACTGGAAAGCGTCTCGCATAACGCATACACATCCATTTACCCATAAACTCCCATGACCAATGATTATAAGAGTAGTATTATAACTATGTTCTTCATATAAACAGGTCGCGCTTATTTTTTTCGAACACGTTCAGTCATGTCTATTCTATGCCATGTGATGGCGTGATGTATCTGAGAACAAAATTATGACAACGTATCAAGAGCTCTAGCTTTCAACAGCCTCGAATCAGTTTAAATAGGGATGTGGGCGAAAAATTTGAAGCGAGGAGAAGCTCGGCATGTCAACCATCGTATGTCGACATTGTAAGAGCGTGTGCATCCTCGCTGAACTCATAAGAAACAAGACGGATTCCTTGCCACCTCACTTGCAACGTAGTAGGGAATGGTTTGCACACATGCTCACGCAGAGGTTTTGCAATCTTAAGCCGGGACGCGCCGATGTGGTCAGATGGAATTCGTACGTAGTTTACGCGGAGAAATTGGCTTAGCACGGATGAGGCCGCGCACGTCCCCCTCTAACCGGTTGAGTGCCCGAGCAAACAACGGTGGCAAGCGCGCGCTCAATTTACCACGCGTCCCGAGCGGCTCGGTGGAACGGGAATGACTAAGCTGCAGCTTTGCAGGTCATGCAAGCATCCGATTGTGGAGGCCAACGCTGAGATGCCTGGCGCAGAGTGTGCATGCGTATCCCTAATTTTTGCTCATCACATTGATTGATCTGAAGAGAATCGGTTTCTTTTCGAACCGATAAGAATACGTGCAAGTCGTGTTTTTTGTTGGCTTGTCGTTCTTTATATTACTTAGACATCTGGAGCTATTCTCCGACTTGTCTGGAATAGAAGTGCCGGTACATTCATCACTCGCAAGTCGTGGCCGTGAGCTCAGCCATATAAGGGTGCAGCGAATCTATGCAGCATCCGTCTGAGCACACCTTCGTCCAGCGTGATGCCATGCCTGGTTCCGCCGAGGGGCCAGGCACGCTGACGTCTTCCCAGGCTCTTCCATCCCTCTCATCGATGCAGCAGCCATCCGAAGCTGCGAATAAGAATGATCTAGGTTATCTATCGCCCCAAGCTGCGCACTCTCTTACGAGTCCACCTGCTCCGAAACGAACTGGTTCTCCTTTGCGACCTGTCACTCAGACTCATACAGCTACTCATTTTCACGATAATTCAGGTCTTGTCGATCCTGAAGCACTACAGGCTTTCTCGCGCATGAACTTGGGATCCTTCGGTCCGACAGCGCCAGCGGCCACACGTACACAGCACGCCTTCCCAACCGCAGCTGCAGCCCCGCATCCACCAGCACAAGTCACAAATCATACACATGCTGCTCAGTATGCTGCTCCTGCGCATCAAACCGTGCCGAAGGCTAAGAGCTCAGCTGGCGCTGCCGCTACTAGGACTTCCCATGCAGTCACACCGACGTCTGACGAGTCGTTTCGATGGACCCTGGGTGATTACATGCTTGGGCGGACGATCGGTGCTGGAAGTATGGGCAAGGTAAAATACGGCCATTGCAAGGCAGATGGGCAAAAGGTAGCGGTGAAAATTGTGCCGCGAAACACATCTGTCAATGCACTAAAACAAAGCCGTGGAAAGTCGAAGCATACAGGCCAGCCCTTGACGGAAGCGGAACTCGAGTCAGCTTTCGCACGCGCGTCCACCAAGGATACCTCGAAGGAAGTGCGCATCGTACGTGAAGGCAGTCTCCAGATGCTGCTGCTCCATCCCTACATATGTCGCATGCGTGAAATGATCACACACCCGAACCATCACTATATGGTGTTTGAACATATCAATGGTGGTCAAATGCTCGACTACATCATCGCTCATGGACGTTTACGCGAGCGTTCTGCGCGAACATTCGCTCGCCAGATTGGCAGTGCACTGCAGTACTGCCATGCTAACAATGTAGTGCACCGCGACCTCAAAATCGAGAACATTCTCATTTCGAAATCCGGCAATATCAAAATCATTGATTTTGGCCTTTCCAATATGTACACACCCCAGGGCCACCTCAACACCTTCTGTGGCTCGCTGTACTTCGCTGCACCGGAGTTGCTCAATGCTCGTGTGTACACGGGTCCAGAAGTGGATATTTGGAGTTTTGGTGTCGTACTTTATGTACTTGTGTGCGGCAAAGTTCCCTTCGACGATCAGAGCATGCCCGTGCTCCACGCGCGGATCAAGCGCGGTATGGTGGAATACCCAGGTTGGCTCAGTCCTGACTGCAAGCATCTCTTGTCGCGCATGATTGAAGTAAACCCACTTCAGCGTGCGACTTTATCTGAAATCATGTCCCATCCATGGATGATGAAAGACCATCACGCGCCCGAACCGAACTATTTGCCAAAACGCACACCTCTCTCGGCGTCGGATCTCGACCCAGCTGTCATTGAGCGCATGACTGGCTTCGAATTCGGCTCACCGCAGGACATCCATCAGCAGTTGCTGAGCGTTCTCCGAAGTGAAAGTTACTTGGATGCCGTCGCTCGACATGAACATGGTCATACTCAGCATCTGGAAGCGGTTCCCCCAAATTCTGGTGCTTCCTCCGTTGATGCACCGCGTGGCAATCGGATCTCGCGACAGATCACCGCAGGCCTCAACTTCTACCATCGGCACATGTTCAAGTCGTCTGACACACCCTCTTCGTCTTCTGCAACTGTGGAAGGGCCGCCTGGTATCAAAGGGCCCATTCATCCCGCATATGGATTCCACCCCTTAATCTCGGTGTACTTCCTCGTGAAAGAGAAAATGGAACGTGAACGATTCGGTGGCTCTGAAGTGCTCAACTCGTCGGATCTTCTCTTGCCCCAATCTGGTACTGTTGGTCACTCTCGACACGCACCTCCCCAGGACGTGCCTGAGTCGGCAGCAATTGAACACCTTGATCAGGTCTCTCTATCGGCCTCGATGCCCACGTCAGCGACGGCCGTTCCTGCCCCATCTTCAGCCGCGTCGCCGCCACCACACCCGTCCTCTTCCTACAGTGGAATGGCCCATCCGGCTTCGTCGGCTATAGGTCGTCTAGTCGCCGATATACCCTCGCCCACTGTTCGGCCTCCAGAAAGGTCGCACGTGTCGTCGCGTACAGTGGGAGCCGCTGCCTCAGTTCCTTTCCCGCCATCGCCTCTGCCACCAACAGCTGCTTTGATGGCTGGACGTGATTCTACGACACCCGTCTTTGAGTCACGCCAAAAGTCACAGCCCATGGCTGTCATGATGGGCCCACCCCGTCCTCTCGCACATGCTGACGAATTGGAGTCAAGTCTCCGATCCGGTATGAAGTCGCCGACTGGCTTAACCGATAACTATGTCGCTCGCACATCGCCGATTTCACCTGTCTTTGAGCGAAAAGCCATTCCACAACGCAGCATGAGCATGAATCATGCGCGCCACGCGCGTCATGTCGAGCAGGGGAGGGCTGGTCGTGACGGTAGGGCATATGCCGTGCAGTTGTCGGATGCTGCGCGTCCGCTGCCTACGCTAGATGCTATCCAGTCCGAAGCAGGACTGGGCCTTTTTACCGGTGAAGCGCCGGAGGTCTCCAATTCAATGGCCTCTGATTCCGTCACTGGCGCTGGCGCCAACCTGACTCGTCGCTTTGGCACAATGTCTGCGCGTCCGTCGCACAATACGTCAAATGTTATTGTTCCGCCGCCTGATCTCTTCTCTGGGCAAACGCATGCGTATGCCGTTGAAACTGGCGCTGCGAATACGCCTGATATGCATACATCGCTAGATGAGGCCACATCTAAACCAGTGTTTCTCAAGGGTCTCTTTAGCGTACAAACTACGAGTCGCCGTCCACGCGCGATAATCAGGCGTGATCTTATCCGTGTGCTGGAACAGTTCGGTGTCCATTATTCGGAGACGAAGAGTGGGTTTGAGTGCTCATATCAGGCTCCTTTAATTGAGACAGATTCACTCGGCTCCCCAAAACGCTCCACGTCCCATCTATCATCAGCTGCCACGTCTTCTCCTATTGCCGGCGCGGCTTTTACATCCATGCAGCAGTCTCATTCACCTGTCGCCACGGGCGTCGGCGACATTGGTATCGACGCTGCGACGCCGTCAGAAGGCGTCCTTTCTACTCCTGCATTCGACTCTACACCAACAAAATCAGGCGCAAGCAAGCCTCGTTTGTCAGAGGATGAAGTGGAAGTTGTCTTTGAAATTTGCATTGTCAAAGTCCCTCTCCTACTTGGTATGAATGGTCTTCAATTCCGTCGTGTGTCTGGCAACCCGTGGCAGTACCAAACGCTTGCTAAGCGCATCCTGAATGAGCTTAATTTGTAGATACGTTGATACTGTTGGAATTCAAAGTCACGAGGTAACCGTGCGCTTGTCCTTATTCGACTGCCACATGTTATGTTTGCCTACTTTTCATGCATGTGCCTGAGTCGAATTAGCTATACTGTTACGGAGATAAAAAACATATCCGCGCGCAGTCTCTCCTCTTTGAGTCGAGGAATTATGCATTTCAAGTCACGCGTGATCCTTTCGCCTCGTCATCCCTCGTCGTCGTCCTTTCATTACCTGTTGCACATCCATCTTGACCATGTCGGCCGTTGAGCTTATCAACCCGCGCGCAGAGTCTGTGCGTAGGTTGCAAGCACTGCAGGTGAATATTGCTGGTGCGGTCGGCCTTGCACAGGTTGTGCGCTCCAATCTAGGACCGCGTGGCACACTAAAAATGCTTGTTGATGGATCTGGTAATCTCAAGATGACAAAGGACGGCAAAGTCCTTCTAACGGAGATGCAGATCCAAAATCCTACCGCGGCCATGATTGCAAGGACAGCTGTAGCTCAGGATGAGCAGTGTGGTGATGGCACGACAAGTGTGGTCTTGCTTGTTGGCGAGCTTCTTAAGCAGGCGGAACGCTACATTCAGGAAGGCGTGCATTCGCGCGTGATTTCTGAAGGCTTCGATGTCGCAAAAGGTGGTGCCTTGCAGTTCCTAGAGACATACAAGCAGTCGTCACAAGGTGACCGTGCAACGCTCGTCTCTGTTGCAAATACGGCTCTGGCCACGAAACTGCCTGCCAAGCTTGCGAAGCAGCTTGCTGAAAGTGTGGTCGATGCCGTATTGGCCATTAGACCTCGCACGAATAGCACTGCAGAAGTGCCAAAGCCAAAGGCTGATGGCAGTTCGGAACGGATCGACGAATGGAAGACACAAGACCCCATTGACTTGCACATGGTTGAGATCATGAAAATGCAACACAAGAGTGCTACTGACTCGCAGCTCGTCCGTGGTCTTGTCATGGACCATGGAGCGCGTCATCCGGACATGCCAAAGCGCGTGCGTAATGCCTATGTGCTCACACTCAATGTGAGCTTGGAGTATGAAAAAACGTATGTATATTGTTCAGCGTCCCCTCTCTCTTTTCGCAGTCTTTCTCGATTATGCGCTGTCGAATGCTAACTTCGTTAGGGAGATCAACTCGGGCTTCTTTTACTCGTCTGCAGAGCAGCGTGAAAAGCTCGTGGAGTCAGAACGTCGCTTCGTTGATGCCAAGCTCAAAAAAATTGTAGAGCTCAAGAACCAAGTGTGTGACGCACCGGCCAGCACACCCGAGTCTGAGCGCAAATCTTTCGTCATCTTCAATCAGAAGGGTATTGATCCCATGTCGCTGGACATTCTAGCGAAGAATGGCATCTTTGCTTTGCGTCGCGCCAAGCGTCGGAACATGGAACGCCTGCAGCTGTGCTGTGGTGGCGTTGCCCAAAATAGTGTGGATGACTTATCGCCTGATATTCTCGGCTGGGCTGGTCTTGTGTACGAGCAAACGCTCGGTGAGGAAAAATACACGTTTGTCGAGGATGTTAAAGATCCAAAGAGTGTAACGCTGCTAATCAAAGGCCCTAACACGCACACACTCAATCAGATCCAGGATGCAATGCGTGATGGACTACGCAGTGTGAAAAATGCCATTGAAGACGGCGCTCTTGTGCCAGGAGCAGGTGCATTCGAAGTAGCCGCGGCTGCTCACCTCCTCGACCACGTGCGTCGCAATGCTAAAGGCGCGCGCCAAACTGGGCGTGGAGGCTTTTGCCCAGGCGCTGATGGTAATCCCTAAGACGCTGGCAAACAACGCTGGCCTCGATATCCAAGATTCTATCGTCGCTCTGCAGTAAGAATGTGCGGAAGGGCATGTGGTTGGCCTCGACACCCAAACGGGCGAGTGCATGGACCCTGTCTCCACTGGTGTGTGGGATAACTACCGTGTCAAGCGTCATCTGTTGCACAGCAGCGCAGTGATCGCTTCCAATCTTCTGTCTGTGGATGAAATCCTGCGAGCAGGACGTAGTTCGTTAAAAAACGATGCTCCAGGTCCGTAGTTTCTGCATTACACGTTTCTCTTGATACTGGGCTGTGCGTAGAATTTAGGTCTTGACCTTGTCCTACTAGCCGTGCCTTCTTTCAGGGATTCGGATCTTGATCAATCTATCATATTATACCTCCACTTTAGGCCGCACCCTTTTGGTGGATAAGACTCGTACCATTTTAATTTGCCAGCAACCAATTGCGCGACGTGCAACGGTGCCACCACAGAGTCATTCTCCTTCTTGCCGCGCTAGGCCCGCTTTCTTCAACCACTCTACGATGGCGCATCGCACAGCTCTTCATCCTCTAGAAGATGCGTCTCGTATGCGTGTTTCTTACACGCTTCCACCGCTCTTGTCGTTCCAGGATGATCACGAGCATCGATACCTGCCAGATGAACGTGGGATGCACGCACAATCATTGCCCGTGCTGGATCTACCGACTACGAGAGAAAAGCCTCATACACGTACTGTGTTTGGCTCGTCTTTTCCTCGAGTAGAGCACTCCCCTAAATACTCTGTTCGCTTGCATGAACTGGCCCCTGAGCATGCACGAGCTCGGCATCTAAGGCCAATTAATGCGCTTGCTTTAGACGTTCGTGAAAACGATTCTTCACGACTTTTTAGCGCAGGCATAGATGGCCTTGTATGCGTTTGGGATCTCGGGTCCCTTGACGCACCGATGTGCCCTCGTTTTTCCAAACACATTCGCGCACATCGCAACAGAATTTGGGACATGAAGTACGTCCCAAACCAAGATGTCGTTGTTACATGCTCGTCCGATTGCACAATTAAGGCATGGAATCCAGATACCCCTGCAAGTAATACATACGAGCTAGGGACACATGCAGATTATGTCAAATCATTGGCGCCCTCATATGGATCAGACTGGATTGCCAGTGGATCCTTGGACCAGAAACTTTGTCTATGGGACCTGCGTGAAGGACGTAAGGATCCCATGTGGCAAGTGGCTACACCATCGAGCATTTATGTGGTTGGTAGCAATAGGTCTGGCAGCGTCATTGCCACGGCAGGTGTGGACAGGAGGGTACGCGGCTGGGACCCACGAATGCGCGGCTCGGCATTTGAGCTTGTCGGACATGAAGACCTTGTGCGGACCATGGTCATGAGTGCCGACGGCGAGCATCTGCTTTCCGGCTCGTCGGATTCCACCGTTCGACTCTGGTCAACAAAAGAACAACGCTGCTTGTGCACCTATTCTCATCATAATGCAAGCGTTTGGAGTTTGTACTCACAGGACGATAATTTATCAACATTTTATTCAGGGGACAGAGACGGCTTTCTTTGTAAAATATTCCTCGATCCCAACCATCAGCCACAAAATGATCGTTGCGTCGTGTTGGCGCAAGAATCGATCGATCCAAATTCACCATCCAAGGCTGGCATTGCAAGCATCATGGCATATAATGATCAGTATGTCTGGACATCTAACACTATATCTCCATCTTTCCAATGCTGGCAAGATATAAAGAACCCTGATGTCTCGTCATCCAGCCTTGTGAACTTACATGATCCTGATATGCTACAATTTTTCACACAGTTGCCAGCTAATACCGTTCATCAAGAAGCTGGCTCCCAGTACTCGGTTTCTGAAGCTTTCCCCGTTTTTGACAGGCCATTATATGAAGTTGTCGGTTTTCATGGCATACTGCGTGGGGCGTTTTTGAATGATCGTATCCATGTACTAACTATTGATTCTGGTGGCATCGTGGCTCTTTGGAATGTTTTTCATGGCTCGTGTATCGGGACATTTGATGTGCATGCGGTCAATAATGCTGCGATGGTACAGGGCGTGCCACCGACCTGGCGCCCGCAGCACTCGCCGAGTGGTACGCTAGAGTTAGTTCAAAACATTATCGAGGGAGAGGGTGTTACGTTGCCCTGGTGCACACTCGATACAACATCTGGCTTGCTTACAGTATCTATTGACGAGACAAAAATTTGGTCATCGGACATGTACTTGGATGAGCTGCATGAAATGTTGGGAAATCCATCAACCTCTGCTTGGTCTGAAGACCGTGTTGTGCTGGGTGTATGTGTGATCCGAAATCTCTTCAAGCACATGTTTCTCGCCGAGATGCAGATGCGAGGCAATAATAGAGAGGGTCTACCAATGCTGCTGGAGTGGCTCAAGCAATTGGGGCTGTCGCCTGAAGCGCTGATGCATGTACCATTGTGTCAGCTTCCAAGTGGTCCCCAAACAGCACGCATGAATGAGACTTATCACTCAATTCTCTCCAAAATGAGCGCATTCCATGCTTCGATACATCTCGATATATTTTCATCATCGGAAGAAGTGTCCACGCTGGAGTACGAAATTGTCCAGCATTTGCACAAAATGTTGGCTAAAGATGTGCCTAGTCCTCACATGGTTCCTGAATCATCGACTTCTCCGCCTGAGCCGAGCACCTTCTTTGGCACATTTCGACGTAACACATCCAAGCGCAAAGTTCCAAGTCAACTTGTTCCATCAGCGAAGAAAGAAGATGCACAGAACAAACTAGATTATGCAAATGCGCTATCAAACTTGTATTGTAATGCCTGGCGTGACACATCCCCATTGACGGGCATACCCAATATCCAGTATTCAAGTATGATGTCGATCGAAATTGTGCGTGAAGATCGGGTGAATGGGAAGCAGACCGTTGCTTATCGTGGTTCAGTGGGATCAGTAGGTGTCGACACACCTCTGTTAGAGCTAATGGCGCCGTATTGGCTTCTATCAGTGGTACTGTCACCTGAAATTGTTCAAGTGGAAGGGCCCCTTGTCAAGGTTGTACTGCAAAAGTGGTCTTCCAATGCTTCTACGAGTGATACACTAAACGCAAGCTTGGAACTCGAACCTCTTTCAGCGGAGGATGGAACGTTGACTGTGCCAAGGAATCTGCGCGTGGCGCGAATCGCAGATTACATCAAGCACGCTCTTACGAGCATGGGAAGCACAATTTCAACGCCGACCGATAATCCTGTGGATATTCCTATCGACATCCTGTGCAATGGGTATCATGTTCCAGCTCGTTACACAATTGCGCAGTGTCAAGCATTTTGTTGGCGAAATATTACGCCCGGTATGATCCGCCTGAGGTATCGGAGGAGGTCGTCTCGTTTATCCGTAGGCTTATAGGATTAATTTTTCTAAAGTCCCATCGGAATTGGGCACGTAGCGGAGTGGTTTACCGCATCGGTTTTCGGCCTAGCTGTTTCCCGAAGGTCATGGGTTCGATCCCCATCGTGCTCTTTTTGTTACGGTCAATTTTGTCTCACCGAATTTCTCGACCCTGAATGCGTACGCCGCAAGACGACGCTAATACATGTTGTGTACTTCCAGAATCTTATGGCACACACAGAATGTTGTTCGTCGCATGCAATATTTTTTTCTACGCCAGAGCTACATAATTGGCTGGAACCAAATAACAGCGATCGTGACGAACAATCAGCCACCAATTCTCATCGCTCTGATCCACAATCTGGAGTGTTTCCCCCTCCTTGAAAGATGCCTCTTCTGGTGAAGTCGCGTCGTAGTCATACAATGCCTCTGCAGCCACCACTGCATAGAGTGTTAGTATATTACAAAATCAGTTACGTACCCTGTTCCATGCATGTCACATATGCAGCCGGAATTAAACCCTTTCGCGATGGATTCGATAAAAGAGCACCAAATGTCCAGTCACCCTCCATAGGCGCGCCATTCAGTGTTGGATGAACCAAGAACACTTGGTTCTCCTCAAACGTGAGCATGCCTTCTCCACCTTCAAATGGATACAGACTACGAAAGTGCAGCACACGTCCCGTATCAAAGCCAAGAGCTGTACTTTCGTCCTCCTTTGGTAAAGCTAGCGTCTCTTGTGGTTCCATGCTCTTAGAATGGGTAGGCGTCGCAGTGTTTGTCATATCTAGATCATACGCGCCAGGTACATTGACCATTGTATCATGTACATACATTGGATCGGCCCTTTCTGGCTCCTCATCATCACTGCTATCCGGCTCCGGAACCGATGCTGTAGAGAGACCACGCGGCGGCGATGCAGAGCCCAAAACTGAGCCAGCTGTTAAAGCACCGGATCGATCTCTTGTCGCAGTCTTTTTCAGTGCATGACCTCCACGAATTTGTGACAACAAAGCATTTCGATCACCCATGCCACCGCCGAGGTTCGATGGAGCCGAGCTAGTAGTCACGGCGGAGGTGTGTGGGGCAGGGGGCGCAGCAGGTGCTGGTGGCGCTGGTGGCGCTTCTGGCACTGATGTGGCTGGCTCAGGCGTCGGCACAACACCACTAAATAATTGCTGAGCGAGATGCTGTCGAGTGGCGCGTGAGCTCATCGGATATTCGTCGTCCCCGTCGTCTTCTTCCTCCCAGTCTTCGTCCTGAGATGGAGGTAAATGAACGCCGCGAGAAGACGAAGATGTAGATGCAGATGAGGTTGCCCGTTGTGCAGGAGGGAGAGATGGTGAAACTTTTGAAGGCATAGGGATAGCAGAACGAGAAGGTTCATCGTTCGGCCTACATGCAGAGGCATGGAAAGATTCAGGTTTTGACACGGGTCCCTGTTCTGCTTGGAGTTTATGTTTCGGGATGCCATGTTTTTCTTCTGGCTTGGAAGAATCCTTACCTTGCAAGCGCAAGAATGGGTTCGTTGTGGAGTTGCTAGAAACAGAATGAGGTTCAGATCTAGACTCAGGCTCAGGCTCAGGCTCAGGCTCAGGCTCAGGCTCAGGCTCAGGCTCAGGCTCAGGCTCAGGCTCAGGCTCAGGCTCAGGCTCAGGCTTAGGCTCAGGCTCAGGCTTAGGCTCAAGCTCTGTCATACGCCTGGGCTGAGGTGCGGGTACAGCCGATGTATTAGATGAAGATGGTGCTTGCTGGCTTGTTGCTGGACGATTCGAGCGAGCTGGTGGTGGCGGCGGTTGGGCGCGACTTCGAGCTGACGCGAAAGGCACCTGCTTGTTTTCTCGCATACGTGCTTTCCGTGCCTCTTCACGTTCCTTCGCTTCTTTGTCTGCCTGTGCAGCACGAGCTTCAGCTTCGCTGCGCTCAGCCGCCAAGCGCTGCTCAACAGAGGCATCCACAGACGCTGTCTTTTCCACAGAGCCACCCACGCCAAGCATTCGCATCCGCTCCTGGACCCGTCGCTGTGCCTCTGACCGAATCCACGCTTCTCGCTCAGGACCAGACAGCTTTGGTGGAGCTGCAGTAGCGCTAGCAGTGGTGCTAGTCGAAGCCAGAGAACGTGTATTATTATCTGAAGGCTCTGTTGTCAAGGTCGTAGGAGAGACAGATGTTGCTTGTGAAGCCAATGGAGAAGCTTGCAATGAGGCGCTAGAAGACATTGGTTCCCGTAAATGAGCGTACTTGTCATTGTTGCGTGCATCGCGTTGACGACTTGCCTCGAGGTCTTTTTGTTGGTCACGGGTTTGACGACGCTGGAGTCGCTTTTCAAGCTGCGGCAGTCGCTCATGTAATAGCTGCATTAACGTACGTTCCGCTTTACGACGCTGGTCCCCAGCATGTGGCCCCTCGCGGCGATTATAGTATTCGATGTCATCTTGCAGGCGACGGATCGCATAGCGCACATCCTCCATTTCATTCTGCAAGTCGTGATCCTCCTCATCACGTAGATCTGTCCTCTCAAGCATGCGCTGAGTTTTTTCAAGCTGTCGTTTCATTTCTCCAAGGCCCTCAGCTGCACTCTGACCATCAAAACGGACTTCGCGACGGTCCAAATACCGGCTTCGGCTACGGTATCCGGCTGAATCCGATTCTTGGTGCTTGTAGGCAACAGCGTCAGTGGGACGCGATGTTTCTTCGCGTTCAATAGGATTTCGATAAAAGGAGCGCGTCTCCTTATACTTGATATCTTTATTCGAACCAGGCTCAGCGAGATTTAATGCAGTTGAATGGCGCACGGACGTGTCTTGCTTGAGCAGATCCTTCAGGAAGTCCACGCTATCACTCAGATCGCGCGTTGACGACGGAATGAGCTCTAAAGGAAGCTCTTGTGGAATTTCGTTTCCATTTAATGCTCGGTAAATCAGTGCCATAGCGATATGGAACTCTGCAATATTCAGCTTCCCGCGGTTCTCTGAGTCGGAAAGGTGCCAAATTTGGAGTAACTGCTCACGAGAAAGGCCGCTTTGACCAAACAGCTCTTTTGCTACGTCCCCGTTGATCCAACCCGTGCGTTTTGCATCCCAAGCGCGGAAAATGCTGTCGTAGCTTTTGCGCTCTTCTTTGCTCATCGTCCACGGAATTTGATTCCTCGCACGTTCAGGTTGTTGTTGCGTAAGTGTCTGCAGCTTAGACTGGAACTGGGCGGGCTGCAGACTTCCCAGGTGAAAGTTCATGTTATTTGATGTTGGTACACCGGAGTACGGTTGCGCTGCTGGCAGGAACTGTGTATACATAAGACGCATGCGTGGATCCGAGAAGGCACCTGTCGTTTGTGCAGCCAAAGGCAGTCCTGTTGGCTGACCCATCATAGGGCTCATACCGGTCGGCTGGCTCATCATCGGCGACATGCCGGTCGGTTGGCCCATCATTGGCGATAAACCAGTAGACTGGTTCATCATTGGAGGCATCCCTGTCGATTGAACAAGCATGGGAGACATACCTGTCGGTTGGCCCATGATCGGCCGTACCCCACTCGACATAGGTGTCATCATATTGGGGGGCGGTGGCGGCGGCGCCGGCGGCCGTTGTATGAATGACGCATTGGACATGATGCCCATGGGCATCCCTGTCGACTGCATTTGCATCGGCATACCGCCAGTCATTTGTGGCTGCTGGTATGCATTGTAGGATGGTGCTCCCGAGCTGCCACCCCACTGATTCATAGGGTACATGGTGCACAACTGATGAGCTTTGGTCAATGTGTCAGCCAGATCGCTCTCCCCCAAAGTGCCAAAAATGTCCCCCTATCACTACTATTCGCTTCACCTGAGTGCTTAGACCCATTGGGTCCACTCCATGTCTCGCCTGTGCACCCACAATCTCTCCACCACTTTCTTGTCTGCTGATTCTCTAGATCACGTGCTACCTATGCCTACAGCCTTAGAGGGGCACTAAATGTTCGATCTGCCGGTGCACTACGAGCCCTTCACGGAAGGTGATCGTTGATGACCAAGTATCTAATTGGGCGGTACGTGACGGATGGAAAGAGTGAAGATCCGTGTGATAAGCTAGTGCTAATGATTGTAAGAGTAGCTGATCCCCTGTTTGGGCTGACCACTGGCGTGGCGGCCTACTTCATCTGGGAAAAAGATCAACGAAACGCGCACGATCATGGACCCGGAAACACGCTTGTGGATCTCGTCTGTCGCCGGTTCGGAATTGAGAATCCTCTGCACCAGCTTTATGAGAAAAACGAGCAGAATTCCAAACCGAAAAGGCAGGTCTAGGTCACAATGACTATTTGTGGGGCAACAGTTTTCCTAGCCTAGAGTTCACGCGTGTGTGAGCGAAAGGTCAGACATGAAAGAAATTGTACGTACATGTACATGATGGCTCCCAAAAGTCGGAAAAATGCCAGTGCTGCAACAGAATAAAACAGGACAGCCATGTAAACATTGTGTACTTCGTGTGACAAATTGATAATGCCGATGACGAGTGCCACGTTCGTGAGCGTCCACGCAAGCACGACATTTGTGCGCACAGTCGCATAATAGTCCATTTGTGCCTGGCTTGTGTCTTCTTTCAAGAAAAGCGACCTCGAAGGTGGTTTAGATGAGAGGATCTGGCATGCATCTTCATAGGCTGCATCCACGTCTTGAGACTCGTTGGGTATCGTGACCTCGACGGCATCATTCGATGGGCCCGATGCTTGGCCAAGGTCCGACGTCAAGGTTGTCGAACCTTTTGTGCCCCATGACACATCATGTGTGTTGCAAAATGCATCTAGATTTTTGTTAGGGAACAGAATCTTGGGCTGCGCGACTAGCAAGTGCACGTACAGATATTAATGACATTGATAAAGCTGGGCGATAAAAGCAGGTATTGAAAAAGGCTTGTGATCATGTGCCATGGATCAAGCTGTGCGTGTGTGTGTAAGTGACATGGAATAAAAATAACAGAAACGGCCATCAGCATACATACAAATAGCAATGAGGCCAACAGCCAGACGCCGTACGTGCTTATCACTGAAATGACAATTCGCACAAACACGCCATCCTTGAGAATCGAAACGTCATCGTGACTCTCTAGCTCATGGGTTATGCCCCAGTACGCGAGAAACACAACAAATACCATCATAATTAGCATGAATAGAGCAAAAACAATCATGGAAACAAGGTAGCCAACCCGGTTGCCCTGTGGCCGATTTCCCATCGAGAGAAGAAAGCAGTAAATAATGAAAGCAAGATAGATATACTCGCATATCAATGCAGGAACCCGGATCCAATGCGCAATGGTCTGCATTGACTCGGCCAGTATAAAGAAAGTAATAAAGTAATTAGCCATCGAAAACCACGAAAAGAACAACATGAAGACTTGGTACAGCATCTCAATGTGCAAAAGGATCTTACGTCCAATAGAATGACTTGATCGATAAATACGTCCAAACTTGATAATCGAGTGAATGGCTGCGAAGAAAGAGCCATTCAGCCAGCGCCGTCGTTGAGACATGAGCTCAGCTACGTGCGTCGGCACATCAGTTTCTGCTTGAGCTCGCTTCACAAAGCGCAAGACCCATGCAGCATTCCGCTTCGTCACAAGTTCCCAACACAAGATGCGATCCTCGGCCAAATACATATTGCTCGTAAATATGTCGACATCGTCATGTCCGCCGTGCATAGACTCACCTTTCAAGTAGGAGTGCAGCGGGCCGTGGCCCATGGGGTCGTTCTGCAATGCGGCAAATCTGTATGCACTGAATGCACCAGGTAGCACACTAATGTAGCCGAAAGCACTTTCCATCGGCTTGTCCAGTACATTGCTCATTTTGTACTCAAAGTTTTGTGCAGCCACAAGCGGATTGAACAAAGCGTGCCACAGCAATCCCTTTTGGACCACTATTTCACCACAGGCTCCACCGACATTAGGATCACTGTCAAATGCACGCCAAAGATGATAAATGCTCCGCTGTTTCGGCATCGTGCCAACATCGAGCAGAATACACACGCGTGGATTCAACAGTGGACCAAAAGCGTTGAAAGCCCATCGATGTGAGTTGATCTTTTTGCGGTTCTGCTCTTTCAGTAAGAATATCATCTGAACAGGGACAATTCCACGCTCAGCACTGCGGAATTTGAGCGAAGAATCGACCGAGATTTGCGCAGTATATTCATACATATGGGCCTGGACAGGTGTTCCCTGAACCGCGCTCTTCGCGATGCCTTCCTGATATATTCCCATCGCAGCAAGCACACTGAGTGTGCGGCTATGAATCTTGTTTCGTCCATCAGACACAATGAGCACAACCACTTTTTTCCAACTTCCCTCACCCCAAGTCGAGTGGTTTCTGAGCGAGCAAAGATGTGCAATGTTCGACATAACGCCATGCATCGTACGTGTAAAAAGCTGTTCATCTTCGTTGTACATAGTCAATATGATGCAAAGTTCCGTAGATCGTGGAGGATCATACAATTGTTGCCGAAGCGAGTACCTGTCAGGAACAAAACTGTCTGCGTCGCTTGTGATAGCCGTATATCGCATGTAACCAAACTCTCGCCCTTCCCGGATTGGTAATCGACGCATCAATCGTGGTGGAATTGGACAGTCAAGCACAAGATGCCCATCGTGTAGAGGCACACGCTTGATTGTTCGGTATCGACGCGGTTGGCGTTGAGGAATGTGGCCATAGTGTATAATGCGCTTTTCTTCGTCATCATCATACACACTGCATCTGTCCGGCATATTCTGTGCATAGTATGCAGTGGGTTCCAAAATCTCTTGTGTCATATTTTCTGGCGCACCCAAGAGTCTCGTCTGTGTTTGATTTGGATCCTCGTCAGGGGGCATGGTTGCACTCCATGCCTCCTTAGAGTAAGCGTACTCAGGCTCCAAATACGGCATATCGTTTTCAGTTGTCCCCATGTCTGAATAGTGCATGTCTGTTCCATAGATTGACAAAGATGTGTGATCGGTATGACTATTATTATGGGCACCATAATAATATTCATCAACATTAGGATGCTCGGCATACGGATTGATGAGTTGGTCTTGTTCAGGATCTGGCTCCGCAAACCCTGAAGAGCCAACAGAGGCAGGCGTCGTGAACACCCTACGCGGATGCAGAAACGAACTAGCCTGCATGGGCTGAAACGTGTGATGTGGCGGTGGGGGCGTGGTTGGTGCCTTGAATAGTCAAAGAAAAAACACACCAACTTACCCACAACACATCGGGAGAAAAAGGTGTTGGTTCGATCGGCGCGTCATCGGGCGGTGTGTTGGTCTCTCCGTCTGCACGCGAACATAAATGTGCGTGTATTAATGTGTCTGCATATTTCCACACTTGCCGCGCACCCCAGAGTCGCGTATAAAATGACCTTGTCAGCTCGTTGGTGACGTCACCTGCGCGTTGGAGTGAACGCCGCTACTACTGCTGTTGAAGCGGCACCTCCATGGTCGCTATGTTACCGCATATGCGGATTTTATCATCGCAATGGGCACATAATGAGCGGCGTATTATTCGTGAGCGGCATGGGAGCGTGCTGTCGCGTGGACTCGTACTGAAGCGAGACCGAGCGGCAATGAACATTGATGACGCATTGGAACACGCCATTGCGCTCGAAGGGGCGCCACTTTTTCGCGAAGCCGACATGGACTTGGGTGTATATGGGGTAGCGCAGCCGACCGTCATTGGACTCAAAACAGTACTCTCCGTACTGATGTGTGAGCCGAATCGCGAAGCAAGAAGCAATCGCACGCGCCAGTGTGCTTGGATATGCACGCGGGAAGAGCCTGTGGTGTATGTGGGCGACATACCATATGTCTTACGAGAAGCATACAAGCCAAAACAAACACTCAGCATGAGCGACCGAGCTGAAAACCTAGAAGCTATTGAGAAGCGGTTGAAGCACGATATCCTCGCTGAAGCAGCGAAGAACAACGGACTTGTACTCGTGCATGAAGAACAGAATGGTACGATCGAACTCAAGTCGAAGTGGGTGTCTGTGCAGAATGAGGATGTTCGTACTGTTCGCGAGTTATTTTCGTGGATTCAATCGTGTGGGTGGCGTGTCTCGTACCACCGACTTCCCATTGCGCCTAATCAGCCACTGGAGCACAATTACCTCGATGCATATACGCAAGTAATCAAGAACACAGATCCAAGAAGCACCTGCTTTGTAGCAAATTGTGGCGCTGGTGTGTTCCGAACCACTTTTGCTATGATTGCTGCGCTGCTTGTACGTCGACGTCAGATGCATCTTTTGACACAAGTTGATCCATTCGCAGAAACTGGCGAGAACATGACCTCGGATACGCATGTGCCGTCCAAGTCTCTTGGTCGTACACTACGCCGCGTTCAGGACAGCATGGAACAGAACCATCACTTGCTCCGACTTGTCCACGTGCTCAGCCACAGCCTATCCACGTACGACACGCGCTCCGTGATTGAGCAGCTATTAATGCAACCGACACTGCTCAAGTCGCTGCAAGAGGCGAATTTGGGTGACTATAGCATGGTGCGCCAGCTGTGTGGACTGTTGGACCATGGTCTCGCTTGCAAGGCAGTCGTCGATGTTGCTATCGACGGCTGTGCACAGGTTATAAACATCCGTGAGTCAATCCTGTCGCATCGTCTGCGCTACTCGACAGCGGCAGCGATTGACGAGCTGGACGCCCATTCACTCCTCCGACATGCAGCCAAAGCACTGGAAGTTTACTATTTCCTGATTGCTTTCGCGAGTTATGTAGAGGAGAGCAAGACCGCTCTGTTTCAATTTCGCTTCGTTGACTGGCTTAAAGAGCGAGCTGAAATCTGGCGCGGCATTGGGCGCATTCGTGGTTTACGCCATCATCTCTCGTTGTTTGAGCCAGTGGCTGATCTTTCGCTCATCAGCCGCGGCGATGCTGCCGAACTCGCTGCGCCCAACGACTCTGTCAAGCAACGATTTGGTGAAGTGAGAGCACAAGGGGCGCTTGTCACCGGCGATGAGTTTGCCGAGTTCGTCGTGCGAAACCGTGCAGGCACCGTCTTGCGTCCGGGGCTTTTGTTGAAGCGCGACGTCTGGCTCGAGTTTTCTCTGCACGATAAGGCACACCAAGTACGTGGAGCCGTGAACTTCCGTCGTGTCGCGCACACCAATATATTTGGCACAGGGCAACCATCCGTGGAAGGCATTCGAAACCTACTCATAACAGTGCTTGATGATGAATTAATGCAACACATTGACGAAAACTGCAGTGTCTTGTGGATCAACCTTCGTGAAGAGCCGCTAGTCTACGTGAGTGGACGTCCATATTGCCTACGGCAGCGTGAGCTATCATTGCGCAACATCACCGATTACAGTGGCATCACACCTGAGCGCCTCGCACAACTGGAGGACAGATTGCGGCACGACGTCGTTCGCGAACTTTCCAGCAGCGACAACAAGTTACTCTTGCATTCAGAGACAGAGGATGGCACAGTAGTGCCGTTGTGGGAAGATGCAGAGGCAAGCGACATTGCAACGGTACAAGACGTCATGGACCAGGCAGCTACGTCATTGCCGAAGCATAGTCAGCTGATATTTCGTCGTATCCCCATTACCGCAGAAAAAAGTCTAGAGTACTCGGATGTCGAGGACCTGCTGCATACTGTACTGCACAGCTATGACGCGCGTATGCCAATCATTGTAAACTGCCAGTTAGGCCGCGGCCGCACAACGCTCGTGTCTGTATTCATTCTGCTTATCGAGCGCTGGATGGGCAATACACCTCCACGACCATCCACAGGCAGTGGACCGCGCCTGACATATCATCTGATCAACAGCCTGCTCCGTGTAGTCCCACATGGCCAGGAAATCAAGCGCGTGGTTGATGACGCGATCGACGCATGTGGCTTTATACTTAATATACGCGAAGCCATCGAGCAGGAGCGACTGCGTGCACTTGATGCCTCCAGCGATGATGAGCGGCAACAACACGTTGTGTATGGCGTGCGCAGTTTGCGGCGCTACTTCAACATTCTCCTCTTCCAGGCGTATCTCGACAGTGTGCGCCCAGATACCATTGTAACGCAGTCGTACGAGCAGTTCGTCCGGAAACAGCCTGTAATCGAGACGATAGCGCGCGATCTAGAGCGCATAGATCTGTCGACACTCACACCGCTACGGAAAGTCGATATTGGTGACGGACTGGCACTCACGGATGAGGTCGAGGAAGTTGTGCGGAACCGTACAGGCAATATTTTGAGCGCATCGACCATCCTCAAATCTGACTTTTTCAGTGGAATTCTCAAAGCTGGTCTGCCGATTCGCATAGACGGTATGCCGAACCTGCGATGCGTTTGCCCGTTGATTCCCCTACAACACACACGCGTCACACCTCCAACGCCTGCCGCCATAAGCACAGCACAAGAAACGTGGGGTTGCGGCATGCCGACGATCGATGGCCTACGAGCAGGTCTCACACGCATGGGCGCCGGTGTTGGTGGTCGTACACAGATTGTGTGGACAAATCTTCGAGAGGAACCTGTGCTGTACGTGAATGGACGGCCGCACGTCTTGCGACTCGCTGACGAGCCCCTTACCAACATGGAGGCAACGGGGGTTACGACTGACGTCGTCGAGCGAATTGAGTGCGCACTGCAGCGCGATTTACGCGATGAGGCCCAGCGGCGAGACAGGCGTGTTTTGTTGCATGACGAGGTTGCGTCGGGCGATGGAGAATATACGATTGTGCCCGTGTGGGAGACCGTGCACGACTCTGACATCTTGACGCCACGAGAAGTGTACGAGCGCATGCGCAATGAGGGCTTCCATGTCGACTATGCACGCGTGGCGATCACAGACGAACAAGCACCTGTACCAGACGTGTTTTCGCAACTGGAAGAGCGTGTGCAGCATGCGATTGATATACACGCGATGTGCGTCTTCAACTGCCAGATGGGACGCGGGCGCACGACCAGCGGCATGGTCATCGCGTCGCTGATTGTCAGCGTGCGTGAATTTGGTCATTCATGGCTCGAGCAGCGTGCGGGCATAGCCATGGATGAGGCCCACACCACGGACGAGTCGCGTGAGTTGCGTGAAGATGAACTGCGAACTGATGGCGAGTACCGCTGTATCCTGCAGTTAGTCGGAGTATTGTCGCATGGCCGACTAGCTAAGACACTGCTAGATCGAGTGATCGACCGAATGGAAACGATCCAGAATCTGCGCAAAGCCATTAGCATGATGAAGCTGCGTGCAAATAGTGCCGAGCCCGGCTCGCCACGGCACAAGCAGCTGGTAACTGTGTTCCGCAATTACCTTGGCAGGTATGGCTACTTGATTGCGTTTGCCAGTTACCTGCTCGAAAAGATCCGATTTAAAGAGCAGATATGGCAAGATGATGATACATCGTCCATTATGCCATCCCCACAGTACCTAGCGCATCGCCCACGACCTGGATCGATGGACGAGGCTGCAGACCAGACCCGTGCATTCCCATGCTTCCCTGTGTGGCTGCAAAAACGCCGAGAAATCAGCGGGATCCTGGACCGCGAAGAGCTCGATTAGTATTGGCATGCAGATAGTCGGCCCACATCTGGGATGCGCGCTGAAACCTTTCGCGATGCTCCATAGCAGGTTGCTCCTTTTTAAGTTGTGCGAGCGTTGCCTTTATAAAGCTTTGATATGCACTTGTAACACGTGGCTTACGGCCTTTATGCGCCATACGTGGGGAAGACAGGAAGTTTACGACCAGAAATAGACAGACAAAATGTACACAATTAGCACAGGTAACGCCGTATCGTCGATGGTACAGCGGCGCTCTCAACATGCACCCGAGTCCGTGCATCACGTGTTGGTGCATAAGCCAATTTCTTTCCTTCGATTTGATCGTGAGAGGCAGGAAGGTCGAACGTACCAAATAGCTTGGCAGACCCGCTAGATCGTCGAGACCTTACTTGAGTTGTTCTTGTGACATTCTTTTAAGCCTCTGCTATGTAGCACCCCCCTACATACCCATGAACACATCTCAAAGTTTTCTTAGCCACGTAGCTACAGCATCGCATACGACCGCCTGTGCATGGGAATCATCAACCTTGTGATTGGCTCCGGGCACAACCTGGGCTTGCAAAGGCAAACCGGCTAAATGTTCCTTCCATGATCGAACAACGCTCGCCGGATCTACAGATGGGGCCATAAATTCACTGATCGTCAGTAAAGACAATGGCATTGAAATACGCACTCATTCGCACCAAATAACATTAGCAAAGGCGCACGTTCAAGCGCAGGTCCCAAAGTGCGCTGCAACTCATCCTGCCGCAAGTCTGTGCTGAAAAGGTCGTCATCACCACCGCGCGCATTTAAGCTGGTGAATCGGTACGCAGTCATAGCTGGCTGAAGAGCCGAGGCAGAATTGCCATCGCCGCGACCATTATCCGTATAACGTGGCGTTTGTGCGATGCTGGAACGCTCCAGCAACGTCCCAGGTTTGCCCTCAGCAATATACGCACGACTCTCAGCCAGTTGCAGCTGGCCTAATGGATTTTGGCCGTCATGGGCGTCAAAGTACTCGCGATCTGAAACAGGTGCTTGACATATACCACCATGTACTCGGATAGGACCATCTCGGCCCGACAAAAGACGGCGCTCACGCGACAAAAATGCCACAACGTCTTGACAACCTGTAGAATGACCCATAACGACAAGTTTGCCTGTACATGGACTGTCTGAGCGGGTAATAAGGTGCTCGAGGAGCTGAGCTATTTCTTGTGCATCGCCCTCGAGAGACGATGTGCCAAACCCACCGAGATCTGAGCACTTGACGAATTGGACAAGCGAGAAACCCACCTCGTCAATGACTGAGGCCAAGCGTGGCAAGTACGGCACAACGCCAATAGTGTCTGTTAGACCCGGAACGAAGACCAGCTTATTCGAATGGTGTGCATTTGTTTCGAAGTAGGGAAGCGCTATTGGCTTAATTTGATACAAACGAAGAACGCCTTGTAATGGGGCGGGTGTCATCGAATCACACACTTGCGAGAAACGGACTGGGAATAAAATTCAATTCCATACTATGAGGACAAGGAAATAATGTCTCTTCGGTAGCTTCGGACAAAATAAGAGACGACCTGGAAAAATGCCACGTTGTCTTCACACGCCAACTAGTGCGTCTATCAACAGAGGACCACTATTTGAAAACCGACAGAACACATCGTAACGCGCTAACTTCGAACCCTTATATCGTGTACCATCACCCACACACACTGATGGATTCATTTTCCATCACTTAACAGAGCATTTATCGACAAAGATACTACAATATACTCGGCCAGTACTTAAAGTAGCACATTTGGGTAGACATCTGTTGCATTTTTGACGGAGCGTCAGGGACAATCATGATCCTGCCCTGTAAACCGCTGCTATACTACGGTATCAACCGTGATCAGAATAGAGACTAGTGACTCTTCATGAGCCAAACCCTGCAAAACAAAGAGAACAATCAAGGGTGGCCCAGCCATCAAGCCAAACGTGCATGACAGAGACTTGCAGAACCTTCACACATTTAGTGCTTACTTCTGCAAAGGAGCAGCAGTGATGGCGCGAGCAGCCGCAACACGTTTCTTGGCAAGCTGGCGCTTGTTAAGACGCTGCGTCACAACAGCATCTTTGGTCTTCTGAACTTGCTCGGTGGGAGTCGAAAGGTGAATTTCGATGTGGCAAGGCGAGCTGCGGTAAGGGTTGATGCGACCGTGAGCACGGTAAGTGCGACGGTAGGTCGTCGGGGCTTGTTGCACCACAATGTTGCGAATGATGATTGACTCAACCTCCATACCCTTAGCCTCTGCATTAGCCTCTGCGTTCTTCAGAAGACCCAGAAGGAACTTGACCGACTTCACTGGCCAGCGACCCTGTGTCGTGTTGAAGTCCTTCACCTGAGGAGTGCGCCCAACGCCACCGTTGAAACGGCGGAAAGGAATGGCCTGCTTGTGTTCGACAACATTGCCGAGGTACTCGTAAGCCTTCTGGAGAGGCATGCCACTGATCGCGGCAGCAGTCTCACGCGTGTTCTTGAAGTGCACGCGCAGGTAGGCACCGCGCGACTTGGCCGTCGTCTCCGGCAGTTTCGAGTCGTCAAAGGCGTAGCGGGTCTGCATCAAGTTAGTTCTACCATATTCATATTCAATTTTTGCGACTCCGGTCACCGTCGATATACTACATGTGACATGATACCACAAGCACTCACTGGTCACGAAACAGTATACATTTGGCCTTACAAAACAACCATCATGCCTAAGAATGCATAAGGGTATCACAACCGCACGCACTCTCGCAATGTTTTTCCGGCAACCGCGCGCGCATACGTACCATGCTGTCAGTGACGAGGTCGTCGAACGATGGAACAACCAGCACGACCTAATGATACTCACCACTGCTGAAGGGAAAACCACATGTACTTTGGACGAAAATATCACGTGCATATTGTAGTTTCAGATCAAGACGGCTACGTGGATCCACGTGGCATGCACGTTGGGTGAGCATGGCTGAGATGCATAGAGCACTGAATCGATAATCGGGCACGGTGGCAAATCAATCATACATCCCCGATCCTGCGTGAAGCTCCGGTGCAATGTCACTGTCCTCAGGTAAACAATTCCACCAGCCTTTTACTAGGAACGTCCATATCGGCTAAGCCGTGCCAATCATGAACGAAGGCAGTTCACATTATGATCCCTATATTCCCACAGAATCTGCGTCAAAGCCAGTTGGCAATGGTGCCGGCGGTTCGCGTACAGCTCAGATTCAGGCTCAGATCGACGAGACAGTGGGCGTCATGCGGGACAATATCAACAAAGTAAACGAGCGTGGGGAAAACCTGAACTCGCTTCAGGACAAGACGGATAACCTTGCTGTGTCAGCGCAAGGATTTCGTCGTGGTGCCAACCAAGTGCGCAAGCGCATGTGGTGGAAAGATGTCAAGATGCGTATGCTCATTGTCGTCGCGATTATTATCCTACTCTGTGTGATTATTATCCCGGCCGCCGTTACAACGACAGATAAAAACAGCGACAATGACTCTAAGCAAGAATCAAGCAGCATACAGCCTTCGAGTACGGCAACACCATGAAGGAAATGGAATTCCTATCTGTCAAGATGCCAAGAATTTGGCTGTTGTGCTACCAAATTAAATCTAATGACCTTTCTCCCAACTCTGTCAACACTTGAGCAGTACGGATTTTTTTCTCGGTTCTTCGCTTCACACACTCTTCCTCTTGTACATATAGTACACATCCAGTAGAACAAAGAAACCATGCTAACGCCATAAAAGTTTGCAGTAAACATTTCATAACAATTCTTTACGGATGGTGGGTTTTGGCCTATCTCTATGTCGATTCTTGCTCATCATGGATTGCGCGGTTTCTGTTAAAGGCACCGTGCAGGTAGCCCTTAAGCTCGGCGATATGAGCCGCCTTATGACCGGTGGCAACCGAGCTAGATGGAGGACGAGACGACACCAAGAACTCCTTGTTCTGGTGGTGCTGCGACTTTGAACAAATTGTACGCAGACGAGGCTCAAGGTACGACCAAGCACCATTGTTAAGAGGTTCTTCTTGAGCAAACATCAGGTCGGCATTCGGATACTTGTCGATGCTGCTAAGTAACGCCTCATAGTCCAAAGGCGACACCTGTTCGATACGAGAGATCGCGACGTCATTGATATTGTTCTCACGACGGTAGTTCAACAAGGCATAGTATGCCTGACCCACTGTGAGAATGTGGCGCGTAATCTGTTCAGGAGGAACAAGAGCATCCTTACCTTCCGTCTCATGAGGCTCAGGAAGGTAACGCTGGAAGTATGTACCCGGACCCATCTCACTTAGCGAAGAGCGTGCTTCAGGGTGACGCAACAACGACTTACTGAACAAGTTGATCAGCGGCTTGCGGAAGTCACGGTGCACCTGGCGACGCAATACATGGAACAAGTTCGCAGGAGTAGTGCAGTAGACGACCGCCATATTGGCATCCTGGTGTTGGCGAGCCAGCTGTTCCTTCGATGGGAAGTGGTACGGGTGGTCATCGCAAAGCTGCAAGAAACGCTCCATACGAGCACTCGAGTGCTCAGGACCCTGGCCATCGTAACCATGTGGCAGGTTCATCACCAAGCCTGTGCGCTGCAACCACTTGCGCTCGCCGGATGCAATGAACTGGTCAATAATGCACTGTGCGTTGTTAGCAAAGTCACCGAACTGAGCCTCCCAAATTGTAAGGTTCCGAGGATCCACAAGCGAGAATCCAAGCTCAAAGCCCAAAGCGCCATATTCCGACAACGAACTGTTGCAGATAATGAACGGAGCCTGGTCGTCTGACAAATGGGCCAAAGGTGTGTAGGTGCGCTCACTCTCCTGGTCGTGGAGTACAGCATGGCGCTGGGAGAAGGTGCCACGTTCAACATCCTGACCCGAGACACGCACAAGGTTCTTTTCCATAGCTAGCGAGCCGAATGCCATTCCTTCAGCCGTGCTCATGTCAATACCTTCGCCTTCATCGACGGCCTTCTGGCGTGTCTTCAAGATACGTGCTAGATTACGATGCACAGTAAAGCCTTCAGGATATGAGGCCGACACCTCACCGATGTACTTGAGCCGATCAATATCCACACCTGTTTCACGCTGCTCCAGGATTTTCTCCTGCATTTCCGTCGGCGATGGGAAACCTTCCCATGCGCTCGAGAGCCACTGTCGTTCTTCAGGTACGAATGACTTGCTCTTTTCGAATGCCTCTGTCAGCATCTCCCAGATCCACTGCAAATGGCCTTCCACTTCCTTCTTTCCCAGTGAACCTTCTTCAACCAAGCGGTCGATATACTGTTGGAGCGTTGGCTTCTGTTGGCTGATAGCCTTGTACATTCGTGGCTGTGTGAATGCAGGCTGGTCAATCTCGTTGTGACCATGGCGACGGTAGCAAACAAGGTCAATCACTACATCTTTCTTGAACTGATGGCGCCATTCAACAGCCAGTTGACAGACGAAGTTCACTGCCTCCACATCGTCACCATTCACGTGGAAGATTGGCGCATCGATAGCTTTGGCAATGTCTGACGGGTACGGTGTCGAGCGAGCGAAGCGCGGGTCAGTCGTAAAGCCGATCTGATTGTTCACAACAATGTGAATCGTACCGCCCGTCGCGTACTTGGGCAGGTTGTACATGCCCATAGTTTCATAGACCACACCCTGGCCGGCGAACGCGGCATCGCCGTGCATCAAGAGTGCCATTGAGTTGATGTGCTCCGTATCGCCATCAAAGTCCTGAAGTGCACGCGTCTTTCCAAGCACAACAGGATCTTCGGCTTCGAGATGCGATGGGTTGGCAACAAGAGAGAGGGCAACTTTTTGGCCGTTAGGCGTGGGGCGAATGTAGTTGGCGCCAAGATGGTACTTCACATCGCCACCACCTTCTTCATTTGTGTTGTCGGCAAATTGATGCAGAATACCTTCGATAGGACGACGGATCACATTGCCCAACACATTCAGACGACCGCGATGTGGCATACCAATGGTGATGGACTTGACTCCGTGATCCACGGCCGCATCAATGATCGTCTTGACACCGGGGATGAGAGACTCACCACCCTCGAGACCGAAACGCTTCTCATTCGGGTACTTGGAAGCGATGAAACGCTCAAATGAGTCGGACCACGCGAGGCGATCGAAGATACGGTGCTTTTCATCACGCGTGTATGCGTAAGGAACAGGCACCTCAATGCGCTCGCGAAGCCAATCACACATGTTGCGGTCTGGCACATGAACATACTGGAAACCGATGGAGCCCACGTAGATGCGCTGGCAGGCTTCAATTACCTCTCGGATGGTAAGCTTTTCGATGCCATTCTTAACGAAGTTCGGCAGCAAGCCCGGACCTAGCTGCATCTCCTTATCCAGGTCTGACTCCGACCAGCCATAGAAGCTGGGGTCTAATTCCTTTGGCACGTGAGTTGCACGCTCCGAATCAAGAATCTTTAGCGGATCAAGTTTTGCGATCGAGTGACCTTGAACCTGATAAGCACGAACAAGAAGCTGAAGCTTCAGATAATCACTGGCAGGATGAACAGGAGAATGATGCATCGTTGTCGAGGAGGGCATCTGGCTGGGTACAGGAGTAAAGGCCTGTTCGCTTGGGAGACCGTGTTCATCCATGCCCTTGAAATACGCATCCCAGCTGCTGTGAACGGATGATGGATCTTCCCTCCAGCGGCGATGCATCTCCTCAGCATAGTATGCGTTAGTGGTATTTGCGAACGAATCGTTTGGCGATGGCGGCGTAGGCTTGGCAGCTGAGGCTGCATGTGTCCTAGCTGACATTGACAAAAAGCGCCATCCAGTCGTTGTGGCAACTGGCTGTGATACGCGGGCCATAGCCAGTGCACGCACTGGCAGCTTCATTATCGGGCGTAACATCTTCGAAGACGAAACGAAAGAAACAACTTTTTCTTGAAAGGAAAAGGTTGTTAGGATCGGTGAGGAAGCCCACCGTGGTTGTTGTGGCTAAGATTGCCTACAAGTGTGTGTATTTGAATGGACCGGACGACCCGCTCAGCAAGCCACACATGCAGTAACATCATATGATTAGTCAATCCTAAGCGCAAATAAGCCAATCAAAATTTACACTGAGTACGCCACATATGGCGTTTCGGGGAATAAGCGGCGATGTCGACTGAAAAGCAGCAAGTCGCACCCTACCGAATCTATCTTGCACACTACGTGCCTCAGCACAGTTGAGCACCAAGAAAACTGGCAGTCATGTGTGCGCTAGAAAATAGATGATAATAAAATGCTTCACATATAGCAAAAGTAGCGAGGGTGTGAATGACGCATCTAGGAAGACCCTTGCAAAAGAGCGGAAATGTGGTCGTAAAAGTCAACGTGACTTGCGCGAGGACCTTTTGCGTAAATGAAGCCAGCAGCGACTTGCGCGGCAAACGCACTCTTCAGGTACGACTCCGGGACGCGTCGCACAAGCTCATCTAGCCCGACCTTGGCGACGAGAGACTGGGGGAACACAAGCTTGAGAATGGTATTGCGTAGCGTGTCTTGCTCGAAAAGGTTTGTCTTTTCAATCTCGAGCGATAAGAGGTTCAGGGAGCGAGAGAGATCGGTAGAAACAAATGAGCGTGGCTTTCCAGTCTCCTCGTTCTCCCGCCAGATAGCCTCGAACTCGCCACGAGCATTACGAGCGATGATGCTTTGAATATCGCGCACGTAATTCATGTAGAAAGGCGTTGGCTTGCCATCGACGAAGAGCATGTTCTGGATGTACTCCTCATCTGTTAGGCTGAGACCAACCAACACTTCCAAACTGCTCGACGTAACACCACCCTTGTTTGCACTTGCATCTGGGTATAGAATTACACCGTTCTTCTCGAGTTCAAGGCGCGCCTGGCGCGTGATAAATAAGTTCGCACCTTCAACGATGTATTTGTAGTTCGTCGTTTCACCCTTGATCAGCTGCTGCACGTTTGTTACATTGATAGACTCGGGTCGGCCACCGCACGGAACAAACAAATCGGCCTTATACCGAAGATGGGCTCCATTACGGAAATTGAAGCCATCAGGCACAACCTCGCCAGACGGCAGCTTCAGATTGCGGTCTTCCACAAGGACACGGTAGCCATCTTTTGACAACTTCGATGGGTCGAAATGAGAAATCGTCTTGCGCTCTTTCGCAAGGTGGACAAGTTCCTCCCGATCCAATCCATGAGGGTCATGAATTACACCAGATCCATCAATAATTGCCACGGTCTTATCCTTCGACTGAAGAATCTCGTTCGAGCCCAAGTCGCCGTCAGGACCGCCCGTCTGTACTTTTGTTACTTCTTGTTCTTTGAGGCCAAGCATGCGAATAATGCCGTGGATGTATTGGCGTACAGAAAGGGATGTCATGCCGAACACGTCATGAGGCACACCGCCCAAAGCCGACGCAGTCTTGCCAGTCGTAAACGACTTCCACCAGGGAGCGCCGCGCTTGCGGGCATGTTCCGCTCCCCAATCCATGAGATCTGCCGTGCCTTCATCGGGGCCAAAGAACAAGATCTCTTCCTTACCAACGAAGTCGACAATGGGTTGCTTCGCCCCCGAAGACGTCGGTTGAACCAAGAGATCAAGAATTGAGTCAACATACTTCTCGAAGCATCGGCTCGGCTCGGCACCCATGTCCGGCAAGATTGTGCCCTTAGCACCACCCTCAGGAATGTCCTTGTTCTTCAGATGCTGTGTACGAGCCAGGCCGTAATTCTCGTCGAATAGTGTCCGTTGATTAATCGAGTAGTTTTCCTTGTTACGACTGCGGATAATACGGATACCACCACGCGACACATCACGGAATCGGACGTGGAATCCACGGAAGTCCGATCCCACCACAAAGAAGATACCATACGGCTTCACAGGGTACTCAGACTCAGGTAAAAACGACGGGTCAAGACGGAAACTAAGCGCCACCTTCGTCGGCGTGTAAAAGTTTGTCTTTAGCACAGACTTGTTGAATGCGAGCAATGCTAAAAGCACCTGGCGTTCGTGCGAGTTGCTGGCCGATTTGATAATTACGTCATACAGCTCTTGATCAGAAAGTGGCACGTCAGGCATAAGCTTTTCGTGAGCAGAAGGCTCAATGCCAGTGGCAGGCGTCTGGTCAGAGTAGTGAAGATATGCAAAGCGGGCATACAACAGGCGTGTTACTTCAGGGAAGTTTCTAATGACTTCGAAAATCGATTGGCGCGTAAACGTTTCCTCACGAAGGCGCATCTTGATGTCGTGAAGCACAGCCGCATGGTGCGAATTGGATTCGTCGATGATTTCACGCAATGCTTCGTACGCTGTGCCAAGACGGTTACAAAAGTGCTGTGCGAAGAGCCAACCCACATATGCATACGTAGCCTCCTGTACAGTGAGGGATTTTCCGCTCCCATTCGCGGTGAAGAACGGATTATCAGGCAATGCATAAATTAGTGACACTTCTTCCAGCACACGAAGAATACTCATATCGACTGATGGCGTATCTGTAGGAGGCAACGGATTCAGATAAATCGACATGATCGTGATGCCGTTGCTAAAATGCTCAACATACTTGCGAGTCGAGTATAGGCCATAATAATGATAAAGATCCGTCATAGCACTGAAAAAGTTCGACGTCGTGCCCATCCGATAGCCAATGACGACGTGGTGCTCCGTTGAGTCGTCCACCTTGAAAACTTCGATAGCAGGGCCGTCATTCTTGAGAGCCTGTCGCATGACGTTTTGGTAAATATCCAAGACATGGTCGCTTGTCTTCGTCAAGAACGTCTTGTCGGATACGGCACGAATGTCCTGGGCCTGTTCCGACGACAAATCGGGCACTGGCTCGGCGAACTGACACTTTTGCAAGAAGTGGCAACGCAGCTGTTCGGGTGCATTCTCTGTGAGCAAACCCGAAGATCGATAAGACTCAAGACGGAAAGCGCGATCGAGTGTCGGCTTGTTCAGATACTCGGAATCAATGCGACGCTCCCATAGTGTGTCGATCGTGCTCACACCCGGGTCGCTTGAGTGAATGAAGACGGCTGAATCATCTGAGCGCTTCTGCAAATCAATCTTGATGTGCCCCGTATGTTTAGCGTATTCGGAGATCTTGGCGGCGTACAGTGACACTATGTGTCCGGCGATCGTTTCAGCATTTTCCAGAATAAAGTACGTGATATCAATGCCCAGGCTTTCATAGAACCATGCCACTTCCGAGTGCACGCGGTCCCTTGGAATCATGCCATTACTTTCCAAGATGGCTTCAACTCTCTTGGCCTGAGCTTTCTTGTCCACGGCTGAGGCATACGAGGCCGGATCCGACTTCTGTACCTTGACGCTTGAAATAGACTTCTCTGGTGCAGTGTGTGTCGCCATAGAACGCGACACTTGTGTTACAGACCTATCCACCATAGCCGTAGTAAACAAACCCGGTGCGAGTCCCTGTTTCAGGCACATTCGGGACGTCATGCTCACCAGTTGTGGGTGCTTGTGTGTGCGACACAGCCGGTGGGCTGCCCAACTCATTGGGCGCATCATAGTCATCCGCAGGAGAAACAAGAGTGGCTGGAGCTCACACAAGTTCGTTGAACAACCTAGCGAATTGTCTCTATCAAGCTTGTTGATTATAGCTTGCGCCTGCGATGATACGTATGAGCTAACTAAATAGCTTCAACTTATCTCGAACCCTTACCCCGTTCTACCCCCCCCCCCCCTCATGCCTAGCGACTGCAACCAGAGCGACATGGGATTCGACATGGCACTACAGGATTGGCTACGGCTTATACATGTGGCCAATGATGCATGACAGAAGAACGTCATTATTCGTGGAGATAAGACTGGCATCGACAGGCACAAATGCGATGGCAAGTTTGTTATGTTTACATGGCTACTCCACCTCAGAGCCTTGGTCACTACGCCCTGTCAACATATATATTTCCCTCATCCCCATGAATTGAAGTGCGTGCTTGCGAGCTTACAAGGTAACCAATCATGTGGTCGCCATGACACACACACACACCCGTATCCCGAAAACCGACATGGAAGAGTCTAACTCACTTGGCCCCGTGCTTGCGTTTCCGTACAGCTCTTTTCTTTCCAATTAGCGAGCCCAGCGAGCGTTTGTGCGTCTCGCTCGCCACCTTATTTGCGGCACGCCTTTGCACAGACTTTGAAAGCTTGGGCGCAGAAAGGGAGGAAAACGAACCTGCCGTCGGTAACTCACTCTCATCATCTGACGCCTTCGTCTCTGCCAAGTCACCGTCTGCCTCTTCATTAGTCATGTCCTCCAATCCGGACAACGGGTCTGCTACTTTTTGCCGCTTGACGCTGGCATGTTCACGGGACCGTGCCTGCTCCTGCCGCAACACGCGCTTGCGGACAGTCGTGATATTTTCGATAGAAAACTCAATGCGAAGGACGCCACGAGCTTCGGACTTGACAGTGCCTTGTACATCAGCTATAGCTTGTTGAATTCGTTTTTTGCGAAGACGCATTTCTTCCGAGTCTTCACCCGCTTTCAGCTCAGATAACATACGCTCAAGCTCTTCGCGCCACCATTGCATTAGCAAACGCCCGAGTTCCTTGTTCCCGTTTGCCCAGCGCAGCACTTTAAGTGCATGAGGAAATGAACGCATCTCCAAAAATCCATATCCACGCGACCTACCCTGCCCCGTCAGTGGGTCAACGCGTTCGTTCTGTAGAACCACCTTGGACTGCACGACGACAGAGGGCGGTGGGCGCTTTTTCTTGGCGTCTGTAGCCGCAGAAAGCTGTCTCGACGTAGCATTCGCACTTTCAGTTTTGTCAGCTTTCTCGTCCTCGTCGAGATCCGCGCGTGTGCCTTGCTTTACTTCGTCATTAAATGCCCGAACTGCGTGCAGGGCAAGCCGCTTCAGCATCCTATTGTTGACAAACAGTGGCAGCTGATGTACGGCAAGCCGCGTCTTAGAGACATGCAGTGACGGATTCGCGCCCAACTGCGCCCGACGAATGGAGAAGGCACGCATTCGCTTCTCCGTCTCAGCGTCCGTGAGCAGAGCAGAAAGTGAAGAGTGTGGGAACGGCACACCTTCGCGAAGCAGCCACGTGTTGCGTTTATCTCCCTTCTCCCGAGCCTTGCGCGCCGAGGTCTCTAAATGTGTTGCTGTCTCGCGAGTCACAGCACGCACAATATGCAGAACACGACCATGAAGCATGAAGCGTGAGACCAGCGGTGCCGACGGATCAGCTGTGAGAACCGAAGGCACTTTGAAAGGATTCGATGACGGCGTCTTTGCATGTGCATCTGTTGCACCTGTCTCCTGCTGGACGATCTCTGCGTCGCGAAGCAAAGCATCCGCTGACGAGCGCTTCCAAAAGCAGAGGAAGCCCGTTCCTCGGCTCCGATTGGTAGCAGGATCCATGGTAATACGTGCATACCGAAGTGGACCAAAGGAGCGGAACAGATCTTTAAGCTCTTGTTCTGTCGCTTGGTATGGCAGATTCCGAATAAACAAAGTGGTACCTGCCTCGGGCGGAGCCAGCTTCGGCGGCTGTTCAGCCGTTGCCTCAATATCGCTGTCTTCTTTCTCATTTTCGTCCTCATCATCGTCGTCCTCCACTTGCTCTTCATTCCCAACATGATCGACCTCCTTGTCATCACCGTCGTTATTGTCTTCAACACCGTCACCATCCGCTCCCTCGGCATCACTCTCGCTGTCTTGCGCATCACCATGCTTGCGCTTCAGGGACGCGTCAGTCTCCTCACCGCCAGCATGTTCCACTTGCGAAAGCCACTCCTTTTGAGAAAGTGACCAGTCCACAGCCACAGGCCGAGCAGGTTGCGCTATTTTGTGAACGCTTGCAAGTGCCTCCTTAGCCGCTTCTCGGCCCTTTTTCCCTTGCGCTTTCTTCAAAAGAGCCTGCTCAGCTGCGCCGTGACGAAGCTGCACGCCATTGATGGCGGCCATCGCCTTCGATGCATCAGACTTTGATACATACCACACGAACGCAAAACCGCGTCCCCTTCCATTTTCTTCACTCGTAGGAATGGTGATATTGTACAAAGCGCCATATGGCAGGAACACGGCACGAAGGTCCTCGACCGTCATGTCGAAAGGTAAATTCCGTACGATGAGCCGGCTATCACGCTCCAGGCGCCCGTGGACTGAGCCCCAAACTTGACCGCTAAACTGCTCAACTTGATCCTGCAACGACTTTTGCTTCTTTCGGGTATCATCGCGCATATGCAAATCACGGCGCAAAGCACCATCAACACGCTTCTTCAACTCAACACTCAACTGTGCACCTTTGAACTGGTGTGCATGTAGCTTGGGTACTGCTTGCATTGCGTGGTTCGGTGTGCGGAAACGCACATAGGCTGTGTCATGAGCATTCTGGACTGGATCCTTTGCCTCAGCGAACTCCACGTGCTCGACATCGCCGACCTTCCGCACACGCTTGTAGATGCTTTTGATATCAGCTGCAGGCGAGCAGGACGCAAGACCCGTTATGACAATCGTGCGGACTGCATCTGGATCTCTGTCCGGTAGCACTGCAGCAGCACGGCGAGGTGCTTGTACTAAGTCAGTCACAGATTCAGGGCCACATTCACGGCGATGAATTCCCGCTTTCACGTCTGTCTTGCGATCTGCCCATTGCAATTGAATCTGGCGCTTACTCCCATTGATGCTAGCACCTTGTAGCATTTCAAGCGCCTTCTGTGCATCAGTAGCATCAGTATACGTTACGTATCCCACGCCCTTGGATTTGTGTGTTTCTTTGTCAGTGACGATAAAAGCCCTTCGCAACGGCCCTACATCACTGAAAAATGTCTCTAAATCTGTATTGGTGACATTGAATGGTATTCTAGTGACGAATAACGTATTGCTACGACGTCTTTCATCACCAACCGCGCCACTACTTTCATTGACAGCAGCATTAGGCACGCGGCTCGCAGATGCCATCGCCGTTATGTACTCGCTTTCAAAATGCGCTTATTGACAAATGCACGAACTCGAAGAAAAAAAAGAATAATAATAATAATAATAATAAATGCAATAGAAGAGTGATGAGGTAACTCCCACGTGGAGCTGTCAAAGTGCGTAGTAGATGGCTACTTTGCGCTTCACAGAACTAATTTTGATTGGTGCTCAGCCACTTGGAATAGCAGTAACTACACAGCCCATTCTTGGCCCGCTTATCAGCAGCTCTTGCGGCGCATTGAGCATGTTGTATCGCATCTACCATGCTCGTTACTCACAAGCTAATACTATCAGTTCTTTTCTTGGTGGCATGGATTGGCACGGCTTCCCCACTGCAGGATCGCACAGATCAAGATCTTGTCCGTCGAAAAGGCAAAAACTCCGACACATCCCACAAGGAGGGTGATCCAGCCATCTTCCCTGGCGGCAAGAAGTCGTATGAGCGCGATGGCTGGCGTCTCCTACCACCCGTTACGGGCTCAAAAATCGACAACACTACATTCAAGATGGATGCCAAAGGGACTGTGTTAACAACATATATTACCGAAAACTTCGACCCGAAGAAAATTAAGCGCGTCATTGTTCAGACGCATGGCCAGTACCGCGATGCATGGAATCAGTGGATTTACGCCAATCTATCTCTCAACGATGCTGTGGACAATAACAATATCGCTTACGATGAGGTACTTCTTGTCGCACCTATGTTCTACGCTGTGGTGGACCGGGGAGCCTACCCAGTGGATAGCAACAACGTTAGCAGTTCTCACACGTTAATTTGGGACAACAATGGCTGGGGCGATTGTGAGGACGCCATTCTGCCATCATACGACTCGAAAGGGCAGCTCGCCAATCCTGATTACATTGACGAGAAATCTAGCAGCGACAAGGCTCAAAAGAGGTCCGACTCCAGCACCGACGCGCTCAGTCATGCCGCATTACAGCGGCGTTCTTTGGCTGGCGCTTCGAATGCTGAGGCACAGAAGAAGGGCCCTGGCATCAGCATCCTTGACGTGTATGACAAGCTAGTTGATTACTTCACTGATAAACGGAAATTCCCTAGTGTGGAGAAGATTGTGTTGTCTGGCTTCAGTATGGGAGCGCAATCCGTGAATCGCTACCTTGCTCTCCGCACCGATACATCGAAGGATAGCGAAATATTCTACGTGATGTCGAGTCCCGCCTCCTTCATGTATGTCGACGAAAACCGACCCAACAAGGTGCCTAAGGAGTGCAAGGACTTCAATGAATACAAGTATGGCTTGGATGGAAACATGCCGAATTACTACTCACGCCACAAGGATGGCAATTCTGCCGACGATATACGGAAGCGGTATCTAAGGCGCAATCAGTTCTACTTCGTCGGAAATGAAGATACTAGTGACGCTGATAATTCGTGCGGAGCCAATACTCAAGGCTCAGGTCACGTCGATCGCATGCAGAACTGGGTTTACAAAGAGCTCCCTGAATTGGCAAAAGCAACCAATGTGACCGACATTGAGGACACCGTCGCCTTTCACAGAGTTTCCAAGACGACGCATGATGAGCATGCAGTCTTGTCCAATGACCAGGTTCAGAAAGTCCTTTTCCAAGCTCAGTCGGCTAAGGAGTTGCCAATGGACCCGAACCCACATAACGCCGCCTCACGCAGTGTTCATGTCTCTTATTTGCTGACTTTGACAATGGCGGTCGTTTTGATCGCAAATACATTTGTTTGATGAAAGCTACAAGTATAGATCAACGGCATTTGTATATACATCAGCTTCTGCATAGCTCGCGAACAGATATAGGCGCTTTTGATCCAATTGTGTAAGCATTCACTCAAGCTTTTTTCGATAAATCGTCGTTTTTTCGTTTTAATTTGTAGCCGGACGCGTTCGATCCGCTTGACGGGTGGCCTTTGGGCTCATTTGTTTTGGGATCACTTGACAAGGCCGATTCACTCGCTTTCAGCGCCAGGCTTCGTTGATACGTAGCACTGCTCGTGCTAAACATGCGATCCTCCGTCGCTGGCGTCTGTGCATTCGTTGCGGCTCGCGAAGTAGGCGCAAGACCCGCACCAGCTTTGACGAAGGAGTCGAAGCCGCGAATCACGTTACCACCGCTCAATGCAGTCGTCATGAGATAGGAACCCTCATACAAATAAATTTGAGATTCAAGGTCAGTCAGATCACGGTCGGTTTGCCTTTTTCGTTCTAACCCTTCTTTCAGCTGAGCACGCAATCTTTCATATCTCTGAATTGCCTCCTCCCGCGTTAAAGGTGCATTCGAACCACTCGGCATGGATTTAGGCACGTCGACGTATTCGTGCTGCTTACGGTCCCAGCCTACCTGTTTCTTGCTATCAGACGAGTTGAGGCGAAAGAAATTGCCGACCGAGGGTGGAATTTGTGGAGGGAGAATCCGCCACCAGGGTGATGAACATGATGAAATGGTTTTCTACCGGCTCGTTTGAGGCCTATCTTCCTGGCTCGTTTGCCAGCAGCAAGCCCCCCTGGACCTGGTTAATCGCACACAGTTGTCCCAGGCTGTTGATTTTCTCGTATTACTGGCAAAAATACACCCTAAAATGGATGCATTTCAGGTTCGGATGGAGTTCTTAGACCTCCTAAAGCGCCTCAATGCAAGTCAGCAGTCTATTCGAAAAACTGCCGCCTTTGCTCTGCGCTACGCTAACAAATGCGCAGATAATATCTGGGACTGCATTATGACCGAATGCTCTAAAGTAGGTTTACAAACACCTGCTTACATGCACAGGAAACATCAAATACACGGATTAACATGTTGTTTATGCTCGATGCTATCCTAGCAGACGATTTTCAAACAAACCCTGACGAAGTGGATGTCTATCGAAATCTGGTGGTACGAGACCTATCTGCTCTTGTAGATATGGTAGTGCCACCAGAAAGCTGGGATGCTGTGATTAACATAGGCAGCACTCTACAGGTAAGGTATCTACTCTTTCTAACGTAGATCCTTTCGTCGTGGCGCTCGAAGCACATTTTTGATTCAAGCTTTCTCACCTCTCTCATTGAATCGATTGAGCAGCGCGCTGCAAAGTAAGTCGCGTCCAGTGGCATGGATTCCTTGAGTGCTCACACCTCCACAGCATTCGTGAACGTGGATCACATGAAAGTAGGTCCACCATGCCTCGGATTTCAAGGGCCGACATTTTGAGACGCATCGAGGAGGATCGGGAACGCGTATGTATGGGTACTGTGAATCGTTATCTGATATTCCCTCCCAGCACAAGCACCTTCGCGAGAACAGTTGGAAACTACCGCCTATGTCATATCTACATGCACTATCGCCAATGCATGGGTCGACTTCTCTTGCGCCGGGTGAGGAACAACAGGATGCAGCGGACGCCATATCAATCGAATTTGAGCAGCAATGGGAAAATACTAGCGATTTGAATGAAGATGACATGCGCCAGAACTCGGAGGACTACTCCCTCTGGTGGGGCTGCCCCACCGCACGCAATCAGAACACCCTAAAGTTGGTACAAAGCACGTAAATAGGCCACGAAAAAAATACCGCAAAAGATGCCCTCGAAACGTCCAAGAATGGACGGTAGGGATGAGCCAGCAGAACACTGTGGAGGGGGGATTCGATGTATGTTGAGGGGGTTGGAGGAATAATCGGTCATTTTTGGGCCAATGCCGCTACTTGACGTCTAGCTGTAAAGATCAGCCAAGTCACAGCAGATGACAGAGGAGCCTCGCAGACTAGAGCGTGTAGCCACTTTGCAAGGTATGCTGTACGATATCAGATATCGCTAATATAACAAAAGGACACGCAGAAACTGCATGGAGTCTTGCATGGAGCTCGAAGCAACCGCTCTTGGCTTCTTGCTCAACCGACAGAGATGTGCGCCTTTTCTCGTACAGACAGCTTTCATCTGGCGTATCAGACAAGAAAGAATGGGTATTCAACTTACAAGAAGTTATACCAACTGGACATAAACGAACAGTGAGATCTGTTGCTTGGTCTCCGAACGGCGAAGTACTTGCAACTGCATCGTTCGACAGCACAGTAGGCCTGTGGGAGCGCATACCAGAAAATATCCGAGCCGAAGAAGGCTCAGATGGACCCGAATGGGAGTGTTTCGGGACGCTGGAGGGCCATGATAGTGAGTGCAAGAGTGTAGCTTTCAGCTATAATGGCAATCTTCTCGCCAGCTGTGGGCGTGACAAATCAGTCTGGGTCTGGGAGGCACAGCCAGACGCTGATTACGAGTGTATCGGTGTTTTGATTGAGCATTCTCAGGATGTCAAGTGTGTAATTTGGCATCCGAAAGAAGAAGTACGTATGGCGTCTGACTCAAAATACTCACTCACTTTTCATCACCTATGTCAACAGATCCTGGCATCTGCATCATACGACAATACCATCAAAATGTACGTCGATGATCCATCTTGCGACTGGTATTGCTACACCACACTGCAAGCACACTCTTCTACAGTATGGTCTCTAAGCTTCTCCCCCTGTGGTCAGTTTCTCGCATCGTCTTCTGACGACATGACTATATGGATTTGGCGTCGGGTATCCGCAGCGGAGTGCGTCGAGTTGGGTATCCAAGCACATGGAAACACACCTGGGCGTTCTGGAGAAAGATGGGTGCCGACATATTGTATTCAGGGTCACTTCTCCGGACCAATATTTAGTGTCAACTGGGCACCTGGTGATTCCTTTGACCCAAGACAAGCCTTAGGCAAACTCGTTGCTGCAGGTGCTGATGGTAAAATTATTGTATTTTTCTTGGTACGCATATACGCTACTCTGCGAGGAACTTACGCATGTGCTCAGAGCTTGGAAGACAATAACCCATCTAGAATATTTGTGCATGTCGGTGCACAAGAAGAAAATGCGCATGGAAGTGTGGATGTAAATTGTGTGAAATGGGCACCGATGAATACAGATGGATCTGCTCCTACAATGATTGCTAGTGCAGGCGATGATGGTGAAATTCGTATTTGGACATAGAGAGAGCAACAAGTATAAATAGGATATATTCTAGAGATCATAGGTGTTGTACTTCAATGGTTGCGTCGACCTCCACATGCCTGGGCCGTACGCCACCTTCTCTTTCCTTAAGTTCGATCCGGCAAGTATGGTCGGCGGTCGTCCTGGCGTGGAAGCATTACTCCGTGCGTCTTTAGCACACATTCCTACAAAAGGATTCACAGCTTCAGCTATCCGAACCACTATTGAAGAGCAAAATACACACTGTTCCTCAGATATCGATCGAGCATTGTCAATACTGTTTCCCGGTCCAGCTTCGTCACCTACTTCAGCACCACGTCGTTTATTGCAAACGTGGGACCTAACGGCTTCTGAATCAGTCAAGGAAAAATACACGAAGGAAAAAAGGAACGACTTTGAATTGACCGTGCGATGGCTTTGTACTCGCTTGGCGTATAATGATCCAGTACGGCCTCACCTATCTTCGGTATGTGCGCTCTGTTTTAGAATTAACGCCAGATCCTCATGTTACTAGCATCCACTTCCGTTTCGACCTCAAATTTTCAACTGCCTTTTCACTGGCTACCTGACTCACTTCCAAATCCAACGCCTGTCGTCAAGCGCGCCACAGAAATCGTTGACGACGCGTGCGCTTCTACAGGGCTTGTAAGCGCCAAAGGGGTACGTCATCCGAGCATCCTCTAACATTACTTTGTGCAGATTGAGTGGTATGCCACTCGTTCACGACTGGCATTTGCCTATGCCACTTCCGGTAAGTGTCTTTTTTTTTTTAAATGCTTCTATCCGTTTACACTTCACAGAACTCGTGTATGCGATGCAATCCAACTCGAGCACCGACGACGCTTTGAACCTTCTAAAGCGCATCGCGCACACTCCCGGCGCCTATAATTTCGGCACTCGGAGCCTTGCTAGTGCGCTTCAATGGGCAGGATGGGGTGGTCGTGGCTGGCTTGGTATGTACTTTAAGATGATTGACTTGGAAAGGCATATTGCGAAGCTGGAATCTATGACGAGGCAGGTGCCGAGCGCATACTTTGTATGCGCCGTGGCTTGCCCAAGTGGGTCGGTACGAACCTACCCACTTTTGGCATACTTTCAGTATAGCTTGATAGGCTGACTTTTTGCCATCTTTGGAGGGGCAACACGATCTCTTTCAAGACCGAAAAGATTGGCGCCCTAGAGCCACTCATCACTCCAATTTTGGGCCTGATTTATTATTATACTAACTAGGAGCCCCAACCTAATTCCAGGGCTTGGGCCACTTTAGCCCTAACGCGCGTCACGGGTCAATTCTACCTTTTACAAATCATGTTGAAACATGTATACATTTTCCGCAGCGCATGCTTAAGCACACGCAAGCCTCACTCAACATGTGCATAGAGGTGTTCCGGCTCCACTATGACCTAAATTTATGGAGTCTGCGTATTAGAGGCCGTGTTTTTATTCTTTCCCTCCATAGAGCGCGCAACATATCACGTGCACTCCCGCCAATACCGTCATCGCAACACATAGCCACAAGACTGACATTCAATTGAGCCAGCTTTCCGATTTAATTCTCGTGGCCTAGAGGCGAAGTGTGTGGCGTGTCGCCAGTATGGACGCGCGTGAGAGGAATGGTGCTCTTGAAGGATCTTCAGGAGACACTGCTTGCCCTCCGCCCATTTCCGTTCATGACTTTCTGCCAAACGACGGTTCATCACCTGCGTTTGATCTGACAGATGCGCATTTAAACACGAATACGGCTAGCATTACCCCAGTGTTTGAGCATGAAAAGTCTGAAAGACAAAACGGTTCATGCATTCCCATCGAAGGGACAAGCGCATCGGATCAATGGAGCCCTACTTATGCCACTCAAAGCTCTGACGCAAAGAGGGAACAAGAAACGCCCCAGCCGACGTTCAGCGAAACTAAAGACATGCAAGATGAAGGCAACGTAACTGATGAGAAAGATGCTGGATTTTTTGCTCAGTTTAAGGGATTTTTTGCCGGGGAAAAGCAAAAGGCCGCCAAAGCTGCTCAACTACAAGCGGAAATGGAGATGCGCTTGTGGAAGGACCCAGGGCCGTTTCGATTTCGCCCAGGCGAGCTGTGCGCACTCATAGATCCAGAAGACTTTTCAAAGCTTGAGCAAATGGGTGGCATTGATGGTCTTATGCAGGGTCTTCAAACAACTTCTGAAAAAGGCATTACCTCATCCGAATTTGGCACCGATAATGATGCAGACAAGGCAGACACTATTAAGCAAAGAGCCAGTGTATATGGTACAAATATCTTACCCAAGCGAGAATCAAAAAGTCTGCTAATGCTTATGTGGCTCGCATTGCAGGACAAGATTCTTATTTTGCTTATCGTGGCAGCTATTGTTTCATTAGCGCTTGGTTTGTATACAAAATTTTCAGGACGTAATGAACCTGTGCCTTGTCCGGACCCTCCCCCTGGCCAAGACATGTGTGAAGGTCCATCCGTTGACTGGGTGGAAGGTGTGGCTATTCTCATTGCTGTTATTATTGTTGACCTTGTTGGCTCACTAAATGATTGGCAAAAGGAGCGTCAATTTCGCGTACTAGATGCCAAGAAAGACTCACGAGCTATTACAGTTTTGCGCGACGGACAAAAGCGCCTGATCGATATTCATGATGCTGTCGTGGGTGACGTCGTTTCTATTGAGCCCGGTGAAGTTGTAGCATTCGACGGCGTTGTTCTTCGCTCACACAACATCAAGTGTGATGAATCAAGCGTCACAGGGGAATCCGATATGATTCAAAAAGTGTCCTACGAAGAGTATTTAAGTGAAAGAAGCAACGGGACTCTGAAGCACAAGAGTGTATTCATGATTTCAGGATCCAAAGTTCTGGAAGGAGTAGGAGATTTTGTTATCACTGCAGTGGGTTCTTTGAGCATGCATGGTAAGCTGATGATGTCACTGCGCGAGGAGCCTGAAAACACACCCTTGCAAAAGAAATTAAACCATTTGGCTGAAATGATCGCTAAGTTTGGCTCTGCAGCAGGTATTCTGATGTTTATTGCGCTGATGATCCGTTTCTTCGTTCGCTTAGGGCGAGATTCTGATGTCGACAGCAATGAGTATGGTCAGCTGTTTATCGATATTCTTATTATTTCTGTCACAGTAGTTGTTGTGGCTGTCCCCGAAGGATTACCTTTGGCTGTAACCTTGGCGTTGGCGTTTGCCACGCGTCGGATGTCCAATCGCAATCTGCTTGTTCGCATTCTTGGGTCATGTGAAACGATGGCCAATGCCACTTGCATCTGCACAGATAAAACAGGCACCTTGACTCAGAACAACATGAATGTGGTTGCAGGTCTCATTGGAGATGGCATGCCTTTTTATGATGAAGTTAAACTTGAAGTCGAAAATGCTCAAGTTAATTCAGATGGCGTTAACATCAGTGAACTCACACTCGAGCTCCCAGAAGCTGTCCGAAACATGCTAATTCAGCTAATTTGTATTGATTCAACGGCGTTCATTCCAAAAGAGAGCGATAACTCTGATCATTTTGTTTCGTCACATGAAAAGAAGCCATTCTGGGCGAGGTGGATGTCACGACCTGCGCCATCTAATGCCTTACTAAAGGCAGCCAAAGGTGAAGTCAATTTTGTGGGCTCGAAGACAGAGACGGCGTTATTGAACCTGGTCCGCCGGCTAGACTGGGCTGACTATGAAGAGGTTCGTGCGGCTGCAGACATTTTACAAGTCTTTCCCTTCAGCTCAAAGCGCAAAGCCATGGCTGTGGTTGTAAGGACAGAGTTCGGCGCTCGTCTCTACGTCAAGGGGGCAAGTGAGATGATATTGAACTTGGCCACGTCGGTGGTGTCCATGTCTTCGAGCAAGTTGTCGTCGGTGATTCAGTCGAAGCCATTGGATGATAACGAACGTCAGCATCAATTAAGCAATATTGAAGGATACGCTAAGCAATCGCTCCGGACGCTTGGCTTAGCTTATCGTGACTTCTCGGCATGGCCACCACCTGGCATTCGCTTGAATACCGCTGATGAGGTCGACTTTGATGATGTTGTTAAATCGCTCTGCTTTCTGGCTATTGCTGCCATAGAAGACCCGCTGCGCCGAGGCGTAACTGATGCGGTGCGATCTTGTGGAAAAGCTGGTGTGAACGTGAAGATGTGCACAGGCGATAATATCATGACAGCATGCTCTATTGGAAGGCAATGTGGTATTTACCATGAAGGTGGCGTGGCTATCGAGGGTCCTGTGTTTCGGCAGCTGTCGCACGCTGATCTGGTCGAATTGGTCCCGCACTTGCATATATTGGCGCGTTCTAGTCCCGAGGACAAAAAAGTGCTTACAAATACGCTGAAGGATCTAGGTCAAGTGGTTGCTGTCACAGGCGATGGCACGAATGACGGACCAGCCTTGAAATCCGCTAATGTTGGTTTTTCTATGGGCATTGCGGGGTCCGAAGTGGCTAAAGAGGCCAGTGATATCATTCTTTTGGACGACAACTTCTCCAGTATCGTCAACGCCATCATGTGGGGACGATGCGTGAATGACGCAGTGCGAAAGTTCCTTCAGTTCCAGTTGACTGTCAACATTGTTGCCGTAATAGTGACGTACGTGTCTTTCCGGTTTCATCGAGCGAACCAGAACTCGGTGCTGACGGCCGTTCAGCTTTTGTGGCTAAATTTGATCATGGACACTCTAGCTGCGTTGGCGTTGGCCACAGATCCGGCAGATCCAAGGTCGCTTGAACGCAAACCAGATCGTTCGACAGCGCCGCTCATTACACCGGAAATGTGGAAGCAGATTGCTGTCCAGTCGATCTATCAGGTGATTTTGGTTCTTGTTTTATATTACAGAGGAATGGATATTCTAAACGAACATGACAAATCTCATCCACAAGAGCTCATCAATAAATTAGAGATCGATACTTTGATCTTCAATGTTTTCGTTTGGTGCCAACTTTTCAACCAAGTTAATTCTCGGCGACTTGATCGACATTGGAATATTTTCCACAATTTCCACAAGAATTTATGGTTCATGTGTATCATGTTGATTGAAATTGGATGCCAGGTATTGATCATTTTTGTGGGAGGTGCTGCTTTCAGCGTCAAACGTATGAATGGCCGAGACTGGGGCATTTCTATTGTCGCAGGCTTTGTTTCATGGCCGCTAGGTTTGATAACGCGATGGTTGCCAACCAAGCCGCTTGAAGATTTACTGATCAAACTGAAGCTAATGCATGATCCAAATGAATTGCCATATAATTCATCGAGGTCATCCGAAGAATCACTAATGGAATGGAATGAACCGGCCATCGGACAAATTGCAAAGCAAATTGGATCTTTCTCGCGTATTCGTGGTGGTAGATTGCGTGCCAGCAATCTCGTTTTAAAGAGCAACGCGAAACTTATGAGGGAAAATGATGTACATCCCCAGGAAATCATGGCTATGGTGCCAGCTTTGATAGGTACAAGTGTTGGAGGCATGTGGAAACTGTCCAAGCAGGGTTCCTATGGAAATATGGACCAGTCACAAGCCCAGGTGTCTATTAAAACTTTGTATCGACAAGGCAAAATTGTTTTCCACCCGAATACGCCGTCGGATCATCCGTACTTGTTGTCCCTAAAGGATTGATGGTTGTTAACCTTCTGCAAGCATGCATTTTATTTTATTTCTTGTAAATAGTTTGGAATCTCCCAGTAGTACTAGGTTGTTGTCGTCAATACTCAACTTTCATTTCTTCGTACAGAACGAGACTGTAGAACAACAAAATTTCATCAACAATCGTACACGGTCATATTTGGAAGAACATGTGAGATCGGAAGCAAAAAAAATTTTAGATTATAACCAAAAACATTAGTCCAACCCGGAATCGAACCGGGGTCTTATCCGGACCATCCAGATGTGAAGGATACGTCATAACCGCTAAACTATTGGACTTCGATGACAACCGAGTGCGTTATTGCGTACATAGAGCCAAATACATCATTTCAGATTCTAAAAAAAAGCTTAGTCCAACCCGGAATCGAACCGGGGTCTTATCCGGACCATCCAGATGTGAAGGATACGTCATAACCGCTAAACTATTGGACTGCCCTTCTCACTATTGGTAATGAAAGCAAGGGTAAAATCCAAAATGATCTTGATTCAATTCCTCATGGTATTTTTTGTGCTCTTGTTTGACTGGGACGGTAGCATTACTCGCAGTGACACGCTCGAGCTGATTGCGCCCTTGCCTGATGAAATCAATCGAGGAAATCGTTTTCAATATTATCAAGATGCCTATTCAGACGATTATAATTCTTTTGTGACTCATTTCGGCCAAGTATCGTCCCGGGAAACGATGTATGAATACATGAATGCGATCCGAGACGTGGAGCTACGTTCGCTTGAGAGGATACAGAGAGGCGGTCTTTTCTATGGGACAAAGAATGAGCAACGCTTCAAACGCATGTCGCGCGTTGAGTTCAGAGATGGTTGGCATGGCATGCAAGCATGGCTTTCAGAGAAAACGGCACAAGGAGCCCTGGAAGCACAGATTGTGAGTGTGAATTGGTCTAGGGATTGCATACGGCACGCGTTGTTGCAAGCAGCAAAGTTATCACACGTTCAGCCAAGCATCCATCAAATTCATTCGAATGAGCTAGAAACTTTTCCAGGGACAGATGTATGCACGGGCCGCATTGTAGGCCCTTGTGGTCATGACCGTATTGTCACAGGGATCGACAAGCTTCACGTTTGCCAGGCACTGGTGTCGGAGGACTCCAAGAACGTATCCGTCTATGTGGGCGATTCTGTGACAGACCTGGCATGCATGTTATGGGCCCAAGTCGGCATTCTGATTGGACCAGGTACAAGTGTTAAGAGGATACTTGGTGAAGCAGGGTTGGCACATCTATTGCATACTTTGGCGTCATGGATGGACCTAAATGCGTCGAATAGAAGGCAGGCGATCGTGCATGTCACTGACTGGAATGAAGTCAAGCAGTTGCTCACACAAATCGAACAGTGTCTCACATGATGCACACACTTCCTACTAATATATTGGCACCATAAGCTCGTCGAGAGACGCAAATATCTCTGAAATATCGTCGCGATTCCCAAAGTCCGGATGCAAAAGCTGCGCCGAGAAAGAGGCGGCTGTTTCAGACACGTGGTCCGGTGTGGACGGTGGTGCAGTGCCTAAGGCAGGGAACAATTGGCTTGAGTTGGCTCCATCCATCGCAATCGTAGACAATGTGGTGGATGAAGCTGTGCTCTCAGTCACAGCCTTATCGTCTGACGATATTCCCGATTCGATCCTGTCGGCGCGTGTATGCGCTTCGGCGAAGAGCAGGTCAATAAGTTTCAGTGCGACTTTTTGCGCAATAGGTACAGATGTGGAAGGATCGCCAGTGCTGTGTAAGTAGTTGATTATAAGCGAGATGTCGTCACGGAGCTGATGCGCCACTTGGGACGAGCCCTGCGCTTTGTTATGGAATGCCAACAGATGCAACATAAGAACAATAGCTGCCTGGAATAGATGGTGACGAAATGCGGCGTGTTTCTGAACGGCCGGATGCACATTGTCAATCTGCTGTCGACAGGAGAGGATGGTACGGGCTGCATCCACAGCGACGCGTGTTGAGTATGCGTGTTTCTCGTCCTGATGACCGCGGCAAAGAAAGTCCCGGTGCAACACGAGCAGGCGTTGATTGACAGCCTCAAAAACAATGAGACGATGCATGGCTAAATAAGGATGCCGAGCTTGCTCTTGGCGTACCTCGGGTAGTTGCTCAAGAGTGGGGTCTGGACGTAGATATACTGGAAGCGAAGATAGCAGGCCACGGAATTTGGCGTCGAATTCAAGTACGTGTGCATATGTGAGCTGGCGCGAGTACAATAACAAGCCCCACTGGCGCCCGAGATCTGCAATTTGGTATATGTAAGGCGTAAGATTGTTCATTGTAGCGCGGCCGGCCTCTTGAATTGACGAAAGCACATGCGTCTCGCCGTCGGGTAAATCGTCTTCATCGACATTGAGCGGTGGCGCAGTGGTAGCAAAGGTTGGATCGACTTGGGTGGTGCGGTGAATCACGGTACCAAGCAACATATCTTTGCAAGCGATTCTGATCCAGAGGCGGCGAGCTGCTTCCCGCACGAGATGCGAGCGATCCGGCAAACTGACTGACGCCGCAGACGGACGAAGCCAGACACCTGGACGTGCAGACGATGACACAGGTGACACACGCACTTGCCTTGACGCAGGCGACTGGCACCAAAGGCGCTCATCGTCGGTGGCTGAGCCGAGAACATGGTAGCCTTGCTGCTCGCAAAGGCGGATGAGCGTCGCCATAGCGACGAGCGAAACTTGCAGACGGCCACGTACAGCATGGTGATCCACAAATAGCAGAAGCGTGGCAAGGTGGTTCCAGTTTGTCTTGCTAACGAAGTCGTCAGTGGCTAGAAGCGACTGTGCGCAATCGATCCATGAGTCAACGAACGGCTCGATCTGCTCAGGCGTTGTGCAGAATCCCTGTTCGATAAAGAAGCGAGCTTCTGTGTATTGTGCGGCGGTGCCAAGCAGTGTGAGCAGTAGGGCCAAAAACGACAAATCCAGCTGTTCCGGCGGTACGGAAGCATGCATGCGATTCCAACTAGCAAGCAGTGTGCGGAGATTGGCGAGCTGCGTCCTCACGAGACGCCAGCTTATGCCGTACGACACGTGCAAGTCGACAGTCTGAAGAATTTTTAGAAGGTAATCAGTCTGCTGGGTATCAGGCAGCAAGTCCAGGGCAGCACGCACGCGGCTCGTCGCACTATTCACGGAGAATGTGGTATTATCGAGGAAAGCGTGCACAAGATTGTGGCGTGGCAGGGTGTCTGCGCCGGACGACACGGCAGATGGGCGAGCAATCGCCTGCTCACTGCCTGGCAGGGAGTTTTGCTGACTATGACGTGCGAACATAGCAAGCGCATCTGCAGCGATGTTTTGCTCTGCTTGCATTTGAGTCATTTGTGCGGCATCGCTGGAATGTGGGGGACGCTGGTGCTGCTGTTCCATTTTTGAACGCCAGAATGCGAGCTCAGCCGCAACCGCAGCGTCTTGAGGCAGACTTGTGGCTGTTGATCGATCGGCGTTGACGTCGCCCAGCGACAAGCCAGTGCCGGCGAGCAGTATGGGGTCAATCTGTGTTTGGCCCGCTGAACTTGTTGGCAGGTCGTGCGACGTGGGCTGAGATGCTGTATTCGTCGTAAGGCGCTGCTCAAGATGGCTGATGCGCTCAATGACGGCGCGCGTATCATTATCGAGTGCAAGGTCTGTGCCTTGTGAACTGGCAGCCCAGTCACCCGCACCGAGACCCATCGGCGCATGCGAGGCGTCCGGCTTGGTGTATGTAAGTGCTGCAGACGCTGCAGCGGCACTCTGCATGTCCGGAGGCAGTGTCATATCAGAGGACCAGACGCAGCGCTCGGCAGGGATGCGGTGCTTCTGACATTGTCCACAGTATGGTTGCTGACGATCGCACTTGACTTTGCGTTGCTTGCAGGGAAAGCATGTGTTGATTTTACGACGTTTCGTCGAGGGCGGCTTCGCCTGTGGCTCCGGCGGTGCGATTCGATCGCGCGTTGAGGGCAGCACATTCGATGAAAGTGCTTCCACGGCGTGGTAGTGCTGGCTTGAATGGTCATTCATGCCAAAAGTCTGCTCAGTGGGCACAGGTAGTGCGTGAGATGACAGAGACTCGGTGCCGCTACGGTCCATGAGCACTGAGTCACGAGGTCGGTACTCCCCTGACGTCTCAGGATCTTCCAAGCTGTATCCTTTGTGAGTGTTCCTACTCTTTCACGTCCAGTTCCTGGCGCAGTGCGAGATGCTGGACGATCCTAGACGTGTCGAAGTGGAGGCAGGTCGGCCGATCTTTCACTTGCGCGTGAGGAGCAAGACGCGACGCGGTGGTAGTGGTGTGGGCGTAGTGTGGTAGCGGCCGAAAATGCTAGGAGGACGGCCGAGTGGCAACGGCCGAGAGACAGGCTAGTGGACGATGGGTGGGGGGAGTGGGAAGAAGTAGATCTCGGGACTCGCTGGGTTGGCGTTGGATGACGTATGTTTTTTTCTTGACGTGTACGGGTTGGCCTATAGGCTGACCACGTGCCATGACTAGGCACGCTGCCGCGCGGAGATCTGCGATCCTGATTATATAATAATATCATTAGTTCTGTTCCTGCCACAGACTTGTCAGTCTAGCCAGTCCTTTGAGTCAATTCGGTTTAAGCAGCGCGGAGCGTAAGACGGCCACCATGTTGCTTGCGATGGCGCCTACGAACGAGCACAAGTGATTTATCAAATAGTTGAGAAGCTACGAAAGAGTGAGGGAAAGAGAAAAAAAAAAAAAGACAACTTTGTTCGTGTGCACGAGAATTCAACAGGTTGTAGCACCACATTGTCACCTCGTCCCTTCCTCTCTTACGATCTAGCGGCCAAGCCACCAGCTAAGCCAGCTCCGAGACTTTCGCTCACGCTCCTGGCGCAGCTCTTCTTCTTCCTCATACGCGTTTGCAGGATCGAATGGCGCCGTCAAGGAATCTGCTGACGGCACAGTTTCAGGCACAGGTGCAACAGCGACGGAGGTTTCGTTAGAGAAACGAGTATCGGCGACTGACTGTTCTTCGGAGACCAAGCGCACGGTATCAGCCGTTGACTTGTTATTGATCACCTCTTCCTCGTTCGCTGTATCCAGCGCCATCGGCTCTTGTCCGGCTAACAGATCAGTAGTCGTGTGCATACCGTCGACATCGTGATCAACTCGGGCAGCATTTGCGTGCGCACGAGCCTGTTCCAATGCATAGTCAAGGTCCACCTGGTCGAACGACACATGGCGCAAGGCATGGTAGTACACAGACTGCCCACCCTTCGTCGACCGCATCGATGAAGATGGGGTCAAGGGCAACACTTGTCGTTGGACGGTTGCTTGCGCGTATTCTCGCATACTGCGTAATCGCTCCGTCTGGTGCGTCAGGACATCAGATGCTAGTAGGTGCGGTGCAAAGATATGGTCTTCATCTTCCGCACCATGAGCGAGTTCCAACGACTGTTGTGCTTGTCGGACATACAAGTCGGCGCGCTGTAAAAGCACGAGCGCCTCAGCACATTGTCCATGCTGTGTAAATGCACCAGCTAACTGACGTAGCAATTCTGAGCAGTAATAGAAGCGTTTTGCCTCTAAAAGACTCGATACATCCGGTTCACCTTCGACCATGACCAAGCCGCCCATGGCAAGCAGACTGCTGTCTATACTGTCGAGAAGCTTGGCAATGCCTGGGACAAGGCGCAAGCGCCGACGCTCAGACTGCTGCGCGGCTACTTCCAATGCACGCTGCAGACGCCTTTCACGAGATACTCTTGCACGCCTCCGAGTGCCACTATGCCCATATTGTCGAGAGAGCTTGGCTCGTACCACAGCAGGTGCAAGACCCTTTTGTCGCCTCGTGCGTCGGTGCGTACGATCATCAACGAGGGATTTCGCACGCATCTCGCGCTTCGCAGCGCGCGACTGAATATCATCCCAAAGACGCACATTCCGCGCAATGCGCACAGCCAGCAGGCGGTACACAAGCCATTCATGCACACGCCTCAGCTGAAAGCCAGTCGCCTCGTAACGAGCAGAATGAGTCTTCGCCAATGCTTGGCTATTGTCATCCACAAGGACTCGTGCCATTGATTCGGCATCTGTCAAGGCGGCTAGAACGCGGTCAAACGGATCGAGCTCAGCACGATTCGCGTACGAGTTATGCGTGTAATGTGCGTGGCCACGGCGCTTGGCATTTCGTTCCGCGTGGGACAGGCGAGCGCGTTTGGACGTTGCCGAAGCTGTGTTCGTGGTCTTACCACTAGCTTCCTGGCTAGACGTCTGGGCCTTGGTTGTCGGAGTCACAAACTGTGCAAGAGCAGCCTCCTCTGCTTTTACACGCAGAATTACATCATGCAGCTCGAGCGAATGGATCGGGATCGTTTGTGCGCGCCAGTGCAGCTCAAAGGGCGTCAACGACGACATAGACGATGGATGAGCCGCTTTGAGCGCTTCTGTGACGCGGTGAAAGCCAGGCAGCGTGGCCTCACAAGCTGAGTAGTCAGATGCACGTTCAGACGCATCATCTTGTGCACCCAGTGAATACACAGCAAAGCGAATCTGGGCGTCAAGCGAGTCGAGAAAACTGCTGGCAAGTGCTTCGTCACGGCTTGTCGTGCTACACTCACTGATAATTGTCAAAAGACAACGCGTCGCTGCAGATACGCGAAGCGTCTGTTCCCAGTTACCATGAAGAAAAGCGTATGCACCACGAACAAGACCTACATATGCGAGACACTGAGCCCGTGACATGGCGGTGAGTGCAGGAAGAGCTTCTGCAAGTTTGTGAAGCTTATCCGCGTACTGGATGGCACGTCGCGCGCGTCCCATGCTACTGCGGCGCAGCTTTGAGCTTCGCGCTTCATTCTGCGTGGCTGCCAGCTCTTCGGCTGCGGCCCAGCAGTGCTCGCTCTCAAAAAGCAGGAGTTCCAAAGGACGCGTATTCGTAACATGGTCCAGACCAATGTCACGCCGAACAAATGTATGGTCGCGTTTTTTATCCACTTCGCTCTGCATCGTCGGCGTAATGCGTTTCGCCCGTTTGGACCGGCGTCCGCTCACCGGCTTGCCGTGTGCCTTGGGCGTAACGCCATGGGTGAGTTCTAGAGCTGACCGCACACGCTTCGTCTTCGTTGCACAATATTGGCGGTATCGCGACCAATCTTGCTGTCTCAAGCCGTGCTCATTGCGCGCTTCGACAACAAGTCTGAGCAAAGGAAAACCTAGCGCCTCTACAGCTACTGGCTCTCGCCCTTCCGTCACCACATCCATTCTGCGATAGGAAGACAATGGTTCGTTGGTGGAAGATATCACTTCGTGTGTTTCACGTGTCTCGGCCGACTCGTGTCATCACGATGCGCGGAGCTTCCCTCTAAGCCCAGCTCCAGTGAGATTCGACTAGGCTGCTCTCAAAAGGTGCGGAGTGGAAAGAGTGCGAGTGTGTGAAACTCGGCCATTGTTCGATCGCGCAGCACATTTTTTACACACGCTATTGCCGTCTTTTCCCCCAGCTATTGTTCTTTCGTTCAACCGCGGAGTTCCCGCACCAGCTTCGTCTAAATGAGCAAGCACGCCACAATTTCTGACGACGCGCTTCAGTCGCCAGTTTTCACACGACTGAGAGGTAAGCGTGAAAGCACCCGTAAGACTGACTGGTAGGCAAGCGGGTCGTACTCGCTAGCAATAGCCCACGAAGAAGAGACATTCTAGCTTCGGTTGGGGTATATCCTGAAATTGTGCCTTCCTTGTTTAAAGAAGACCTACCGAAGAGCGACTTCACTGGTGAAATGGCCTTCGAGTATCCGGTCGAAACTGCGTCAGAAAAAGCCAAAGAGGTATATGTGCGCTTGGTGCAAACCGATGATCATAATCCGCCAGATCTTGTCATCGGCGCTGACACAGTGATTGTGTACGATGGTGAGATCTTGGAGAAGCCTGTTGATAAAGTCGACAATGTCCGCATGCTCGCTGATTTATGCGGTCGCTCTTTTCATGTGATCACAGGTGTGGCTCTTGTGCATCCCATACTCTCTGCTCCTGGCTACCAGATCCGCACCGTGTGCGAACAAACGAAAGTGCACTTTGCCGATGTGCCTGCGCCGTTACTGCAGGCTTATGTTGAGTCTGGCGAAGGATTGGATCGTGCTGGTGGTTTTGCTATACAGGGGCGCGGTGCTTTGTTGATCCGGGGGATTGAAGGCGACTACAACAATGTCGTAGGCTTCCCATTGTACAGCGTGTTTGACCTTCTGCACAATCTCGTGGAGAATGAAGAGCTTGACCTTGAAGGCATGGACATGTAAAAAAAAAATACGCCATCACATGTAGAACAAACACCTTTGTAAAGTGCACACGGACATGACGAGAAGTATGGCAGCCATGCGCTCTACTGCATCTCGCAGAGGTTCTCAGGCACGGGGATCATGGGCTATGGCCATTGCAGTGTAGTGATCAAGTAGTGAGGAATGTGGGCGACGTGGTTATGTTGGTTGGCGTAGGCGAGGGGAAGGGGCTGGGTGCGGGGCGGGGCAAGGGTATGCTATTTTTTCTCGTTTGCCAGTCTCTCACATACATCTCACCGACTAGCGAAACGAAGTGCCAAGCCCGAGATAATCGTCTGACGACGCTGTCTCTTGAGTTGATGGTGCGGGTGTGGATGTTGATGTGCTGGTCTCTTGCACGGACGAAATGCCCGGCACACTCTGTCCATGACTAATGGATTTGGCCGAATCCATATACGCAGCGCCCGCGAAGAACGAGTCGTCAGCTCGCTTCGCGCGCTTTTCACGCTTGGAAGAGGCTTTGTTTGCCTCATCAACCGACACATGAGCATTTGTGACGGCCCACTTGTCTAGCTCTTGCGCCTCTTTGGCGAATCCACGCTCCGTCTCAGACAGACTGAAATCAGCTCCATAGTTGCGCGCCTCGAGGATCGCAAAACGCAAGCGCTGTTCTCGTTCGGCCTGCACGGCATGGAAGGATGCGATGGTACGGCGGTACGCTTGAGAAAGCGACATATCTGAGCACTCGGCCGTCTTTAGTGTGCACTGCACGACACTGTGGCTCGCGTTAGTCAAACTGATCAAGTTGATCCAACGTACTCTTCCACAGATGGGTTGAAGCGGCTCCACATCGAGAGTTCTGGCAGCTGACCAGGGGCAAGGTTTGGCGTCACAGGCTCATCGAGCACGTAGTCCATTTCTGTGAGCACTTTCGGGCGCTTTGCTTCCCAGGGATGATCACGAAAGAACTGGCGACGGATTCGATCAGCCTCATACACAATCGGCTGTGGCCGCAAAGGGGGCATTTGTGAGCGAAGTTTTTTGAGCGAATTCCACTGTGTACGCCTACCCGCCTTGTTCGCAGCTAGTTTGCGTGCCTCAAGCACGTCACTCTGCATTGCGTGAGGCAGGTCACTGTCTGGACGGACACGCGAGTACAACGGCGGCGGGTTCGTCGGTGGGTGTCGAATCGTCGGCTCGTACCATGCTGGCGGGGCTTTCAAGTATCGCCCTTCGAGTAATCGACTCACACTCTGCGTGACCTGTCCAGGAATATGACGCGGCATCGAGCACTAGATGGTCTTTTTCCTCGCTCTTGAGTCCTAGCACTTCTGAGGAGAGTCGCTGGCTGCAGAACGAAGAAACATAGCTGTCTCCTTTCCACATTATCTGCTAGTGTGGGTAGATTACGTAAGGACCAGCTCAATGTCTGCTCCAGGTGTACTCAGCATCGGCCGACGTCGAGTCTAGGGTGTAGAGAGAGAGGCCTCGTGCGAGCCGTCTCTCTCTCGTGCAGACCTCCACCCCTGATAGAAACGCAATGGGGAAGCGGCAGTCGGTTGAAAAGATACCGACAACGTACCTGTCTCGTAGACACACATCCACACACAGGAAGAGTGAAACTGAGGGTACTTCTTCGCATACACACACTATAAGATACGTACAAAGAAAGCACAACGTACAGTTACGAGAGGAGTCGAGTCTGCGATGGTCAGAAAGGGACATAGAGCTCATATACGTACAAGGATGCAAGCGGGCGTCTTGCTAAGACGAGTGTAAATATCTTGGATATCCGACTCTGACACATCACTAATGTCCGCGAGCAAGTACGCGAGATCTTTCTGCGAGTCAGAGTGTTGCTTGTCGACATTGTGCAAACCGATGATCTCGTTGACAGCGAGCAAAGCACCTGGCTGATTGTGGTGAACGTAACAGATACGGATCGATCGCACTTCCTGCTCGGTAATGGGACGCAAATTCACTTCTGGGAAGTTGACAGCTCCCACGCTACCGCCATAGTTGATGTAGCGACACAGAGCATTACCGACTTCAATACCGATCATCCGCTGGGCCTCTTCTGTGCTTCCACCGATATGCGGCGTCATGATCACATTGCTCTGCGCCTGGAGTTTCGATGCCCACGAATTCAAATCATCGTTGAAGTTCCCCACACCATTCTTGGCCGGTTCACGGGGATAAACATCGAGTGCGCAGCCACCCAGCCGCTGCGAGCTGAGTGCATCAACAAGCGCTGGAATTTGCACAACGGAACCGCGTGCATTGTTGATAAGAAAGGCACCGGGCTTCATCATTGAAAGCTCTCGCTCACCAATCATGCCACGTGTCTCTGGGAGCTCTGGCACATGCACACTCACGAAGTCTGCTTCCTTGAGCAATTCCTCAAGAGAGTCAGCCTGGCGTGCACTACCGAGTGGCATGAGCGGGACGACATCGTAGTAGATCACGCGCATACCCATCGACTCGGCAAGCACTGAAAGCTGAGAACCGATATGGCCATATCCAATAATGCCCAAGAGCTTGCCACGCAGCTCAAAGCAACCCTTCGCTACTTTGTTCCACGTGCCTTCGCGCATTTCTCTAGCGCGATCGGTTAACTGGCGAGACAGGCATACAAGCTCACCAATCACGAGCTCTGCGACAGAGCGTGAATTGGCGAAGGGCGAATTAAACACTGCGACACCATTCTTGTCGCCGAGGATACGTCCACTTGGTGCGTGCCGATACAAAAACAGCCGACGACCAAAAGTTGATGCGCAGATTAAAACGCACACTTGGGGAGACGTGTCTTCGAGCGGATACCAATCGCGTGATATTGCCGATTTTTTCCACCCAGTTCGTCTTCGGACCAAGCACCTGTGTTGAAGTCGACCTGGAAACCCTGCTCGCGCAACATACTCACGGCACCCTGACTCACGTTCTCCAGCAACAAGATGCGAATTGTGTCCGTATTGAATGGCTGGAGAACACGTGGGTGTGCGTGATAGTCCGGGAACGAGATAGAGCGTTTCCGACCGCCATGAGACGGCTGCGACGTCCCGTCCATGCTAATGATTTCCTGCGCGAGAGGACCGGACATATCTTGCTGCAGAGCCATCATAGAAGAAAGTGTTGCATCGCTGTTCTGGTCATTGGTTGTTGGCAATGCGCGTGTAAATGCTTGAGCTGAAGCAGTCATGGCTCAGACGACGTCTCTGATCCTGCAACTGATAAGACGATGGACAAAGCGCCCAAGCGCCACCTGAAGGCTTGGCACAGTGACTCATCCCCCGACACACACCCGACAACTACGTGGTCCTCAATCGCTCTTATCAGGGCTGCACGGCGCACGGGTGTCACGTGGTTATACGCGTGGTGCACGTGGTCCAGCGCGTCCACCCGAGCGGGGGAAACAGACAGGGCACGACTCTGGTGTCTCATCTCGAAACGACACGGAGAGAAGTTTGTGTGAGCGAATTTGCACAATGGAGCCGCGACGTCGTCCTGTGAAAAAGGGAGTGTCTTTCTGTCTCATGGTTGTTGGAGCAAGTGGTACAGGTACGTGATACTTTGTTTCTTGGCACACGCTGTACATACCCGCGCTCGCGTGTGTGTATTTGTTTGCGTGCTAGTGTGTTGGTGCAAATTATGGCTGATGCTCACAGTGTAGGCAAAACAACCTTTGTGAACACTCTTTGTGAACAGAATGTGATCGAACACAAGGATTCGGACAATGCCCAAACGGCGCATGTCGAGCTAGGCTTGCAAATCCAGCCCGTTAATCTTGGTATGTGTGTGTGTGTGCGTGCGAAAGCGAAGACAACGCGTATAGAAACTTACATGGTTACACAGAGGTGGAATCGGAGGGGCTGCGCATTGGCTTGACAATTGTCGACACGCCCGGCTTTGGTGACAGCATTGACAACGAGTACATGTTTAACGAGATTCTCGCGTTCATTGAGCGTCAGTATGATGACATTTTGTCTGAGGAATCGCGGATCCGTCGGAACCCACGCTTCCGCGACAATCGTGTGCATGCACTCGTGTACTTTATCGCACCCACAGGCCATTCATTGCGCGAGATGGACATTGAATTCATGAGGCGGCTGAGCCCAAGGGTGAATGTGATCCCCGTTATCGGAAAGTCCGACACAATGACTCCAAGTGAATTGCTCGATTTCCGCAAGCGTGTGATGGAGGATATTGAATACTACGGCATCCCCATTTACAACTTCCCGTACGATGCGGAAGAAGATCACCCAGACACAATCGCAGAGAATAGTGAATTGCGTTCGTTATTGCCATTTGCCATTGTCGGCTCAGAGGACAATGTGACAACGCCTGAAGGCGACGTCACGCTGGGTCGCTCCTATCCATGGGGTACAGTCGAGGTATACAATCCGGATCATTGCGACTTTGTGCGTCTGCGAAACTCGATCTTCGGCTCGCATCTGAATGATCTGAAGGAAATCACCCACGACTTCTTGTACGAGAATTACCGTACTGAGAAACTGTCGCGCGGCATGCCTACGGACTACGCTGCTGATGGTTCGCTCCAAAGCGAAGATCTCGTCAATCAGAGTGTTCGTCTGAAAGAAGACCAGTTGCGTCGTGAGGAAGAAAAGCTTCGCGAAGTGGAACTTCGCATTCAACGTGAGATTTTAGAGAAACGCCAGGAATTGCTCGCCAAGGAAGAAAACTTGCGATCGCTGGAAGGACGTGCGCAGTACCCAACGGCCTAACGTGCACTACATTCGCGGGCTCGTTGCTCTTTTTTTTTTTTCCTAACTTAGGTTCTACAGCTAGCCTCGCAAAGAGCTGACACTTCATAGGGCATGATCATGCCGTTTGCCATCTGACTTCAAGGGCGTTTCAGTCGTCCGCCTCTACCAATCCACACAAATCGACCTACTGTCCACGCGTGATGCGAGGGTCGTGAGTGTGCAGGTGACGTCATAATTCTATTGGTCCATTGCGACATGAGTGCGTCTGTCTATTTACAGATTTTGGCCCAGTAGGGCCTCCGACAAATAATCCGGCGGCATGTATGTGGCTTTCAGAAACGAGAGAACTGAGCACATTTACGCATACCGTCCACACTCCCGCTCTGTACGTGGTGACGTCCGAGCGGTAGTATGCCTTTTTCATTTGGAAATTATGATGGTACCTGCCAAGGTCTTGCTATGGTCTCTTGCCCACTTCTAGGACCGAATGGGACGGGGTTATATCCAGAGTGCTATTCGCGCAACATCGACATAAACAATAACATTATTTTCCAACCTGCGACATGTTTGATTCATATGGCCGCCATTATCATGACGTTCATTATGCTTTGGCATGTGCACTCAAAATACACAGCTGTTGGGCGTAAGGAAATTCTTTTTTTTCTTTATACATATTGTGTATCTGAGTTCCTTGTGATGTTCCTCGACTCGGCAGTAATTCCCACTCATACAGGCGCATATTTATGGGTCACGTCTATCTACATTGGATTAAAGTCGGGCCTTTTTTGGATTCTGATGTTGAATGGCTTCATTGGCTTCCAGTTCTTTGAAGACGGAACACTTTGGTCGCTCCTGTCTTTGTACATTAGCTCCTTCATCATATGGCTCATCGCATTCCTGGTCTCTTCGCAAACCTTTACCAACAGTATCAATGGTACAGGTGGTCTATGGTTCTTTGAATTTGCATTCCCGATCATCATGGTTGCGATCTATGTGATCTCGCAAGTGATTCTTGTGCTTCGCACCCTAGACGAACTTTGGCCCATCAATGACATTGTCTTGGGATGCTTGGCCTTCACTGCTGGCCTTATTCTCCAGTACGGCTTCAACAATCAAATTTGCAAAAGCGTTAAGCACTACATCGATGGCACATTCTTTGGCACTCTGTGCTCCTTGTTGGCAGTCATGATGGTCTACAAGTTTTGGGACTCAATCACGAAGGAAGACCTCGAATTTAGTGTGGGCGCACGTCATTCCAATTGGGATGCCAAAGATCTTTCGTCCATGGGCACAGATTTCGACAGCACATTCCAATCGCGCGCGAACTCTCGCACCTTCGATAACTCGCGGACTCCATCGCCGTATGACCACAAGGAAGCGATGCAATCCCAGTTTGGACTGAGTGTGAGGCGCCACTCCTCGGGTGACAGTTTCGTCATCCCGAGGTGATATGATTTCTTCATACCCAGTTCATGCTGCATTGTTCTCTGCGGCTTTCTTTTACCTCCTTATTTGACTCCCTTTCGCTTCGACTATGTCTCTCCTTCCAGTTCATGAGTGACCGCCCAACCTCTCTCTTCATTTACGCTGATCTGGTGTTATGGTAGATGGTATGCATGGCCTACTTGCAACCTGCCAGTCTTTTGTTTGGATTACTTTTCTGTTCCCACTAGTGGAACAGATTGTTATTCCTATATGTAACTCCCACGCGGGCGACTCCTACCAAATGTATACAGTGACTCATTTTTTTTTCGAAACTGACGTAGCAACGAGCACGTGGATAATCTCTTTTCCTCTCCTGCTTGAAACTTTCAAACCGAAGTCTAGACGAGTCTATTGAGAGCAGGATGGCAGATTTAACTGTGGCGTTGCATCAAACGCAACATCCTGATAGCAATGTGCGGCATACAGGGCTAAATCTTGCCAGTCTTGATCGTGCTCTTGATGCGCGTACTTCTCGTGGACCGTCTGCGAACGATGGGCCGGTGCCTATGAGCATGCCAGCCATTCTTCGTAATCCTAGAGTGAGTGTGCCTGTGTCTTCAACAGCTCGACAGACCCGGGATGGATATATTCGATCAACCGACGGCTTGGTATCAAGTCGTATCGTAAGTAAGCGGCGTGAAAGGCGCACAGAGAACGGTATGTAAATAAGCAACGCGTCTTACACGCAGGACGATTTGCTTGGAACCCGCACACAGTTCGACCGGGACCGGGCGACTTTTTCCCGGTACCAAACCAAGTGCGCTCGACGTTTTCAGATCGCGCCCTCGAATCCTTGAGTAAGTGCTCGTCTGAATCGGTGGAAGATACTTCGACACCATCACATCGTGCCGCAGGCTTCGAATTAGACTCGGCCATGAAAGGTCAATTCACGTTAAGTCTGCGCGAAGCACAGCATTTTATTCGTGCGCGTTTACGTTGCCCTGAATCGTTGCTGGCCTATGAACATGCTGTTCATACGCAGTCCTTTTTGAACCATTCCACTCCGTTGCCTGCTGTCGGGACGTTTGCTGAACAGCTTATTTTTGCAGTGCAAAGGGAAATCCTCTCGTGGCTCCAACAAACCATCCATGTTCCTGTTCGCGACACAGTTGGCACGTCGCGTGTGATTTTTTCCCATGACACCAGTGATCAAGAAACAGCCATTCTTGAACTGCGCCGTGCACCATCCTCATTGCTTTGGCAAGTGGATGATGCCTTTTCTCGCCTTGCTGTTCACTGCGTTGCACGAACCTTTGAATGTCCAAGCTTCTCGCGAAACGTGACCGCTCCGTCGGGAGATACGATTCGAACGACATGTATACTACACCCTAATCCGCTTACGCGTGGGACTCAAACTCGGCGCGCTATGGTTCGGCGTCCAATGCATCGACGTAATAGCTCAACTAGCACGACGGCTAGCACAGGAAGTGTAGCTTCCTCCGCGGCACACGCGCATGTACCTGCTCCCATTACAGTGGGCTTACTACAGCACGCAGTTGCAAGCATTGAGACTCCGCCTAGTACCGAGTATGAGTTGACGGATTCTGCGGATGATTTGGATGATGTTGGCTCTGCCGTCATCGCGTCTGACTCTGACTGGTGATTACTAGTGATCGCTCGGTACTCCTTCCATTTTTGTAGATTTCTTGCATGTTGATCTTGGGTGTAACTTTTTAGGACGAGGTGACGGAATCCGATGCTATAGGCGAGGTCGTACGAATTTTTAGTGTGTTACTAGGCATGCGCACGTATACGTGTGGCGAATTGGTAAACAAACGTACGTTTCAACTTTATCCCCGCTACGGTTCTTGATTCTTGAGTACAGATGCATCCCTAAGTACATATGCAGTCCGCATTCAAGAAGACTACGAGCATAGTTCTTAGCTCTCCAAAGGGTCTCGAACGGAGCTATCAAATCATTGCGTTACATTGGACTATAAACCCGTTCACTAGTACGTGACCCCCTGAAACACAACGTGGCCGACAGCTTCTGGTACATTCAAAACTAGCGGCGCTCTTACGAGAGAAGGTCGAGCTAAGTGATGTGGTAGAGAGAAACGAGTCCATTGCACAAGGAGCGGGAGCTCAGCGAACTGGCATAAGCATCGCTATCTTCATGCCAATGTGGGGGAAGGGGGAAAGATAAACATGCTCTTGATTTAATGCTTCTTTCCCTGTCAGGCCGCGGGTTAGTCGTCTATTAACCTGGCACTACCACGATATGGCTTTAAAAATGACGTACCGTAATCATATTGAAGGCTCCAACGGTGATACCGCCGATACCAGCCCAGAAAAAGATCTGGAAGATACCCATGTAAAGGCCGGAACGAGGGAGACGCTGGTAGACAGGGCGCAGGTCCGACTGGTAGATACGCTGGCGCTGAAGGATGTTGTTGCTTGAAAAATTGTTAGTGTCTGAATTTCAGATTATAACGCAGACGCGTGCAAGAAGGGACATCACTTAGCCAAACCCACATGCAAGCAAGCTTCAAGCATACACTTGTATGCCGTTCAATTATATGCGTGTCCCTAGAAATACATACTTCTTGTACACAATTGGGTCCATGATGGTTTGGTGGCTGGAGTAGAACGTAGCTTTCGGCACAGGCAAACTAAGGAGAAATCCGGGAAACAATCGCCACGTGGAAAAATTCTTTCGGAACTATCTTATTTCCCTATCAACTTAACTTGACTACAGGCCCTTGTCGTCAGTGTTAGAGCGTGGAGACAATCTCGGGTATGCGTAGCCATATTGCAGAACACACACTGGATCCACTCCCATAAGGTTGCGAGCCGCATCCTCTACCCAACATGGGTTTCGGAGAAAGGCTCGACCTAGCGTAATAAAGTCAGCATCGCCGCTCTGTAGAACCTTCTCAGCGAATAGGCCTTCACGCGAAGGATCTTCTGGGGTTCCTCCATTCAGCGCACCCACAGAGCTAACGCGCATACGCTGAAGACCACCAGCTTTGGCAGCTATAGCACCTGGGACTTGATAACCTGGAGAGGCCCTCAATTGGATAGAACCAATAGTGCCACCGCTGCTCACATCGAGCATGTCAACTCCAGCCTGTTCAAGAAGCGGCGCGACAGCTTTGGTCGATTCGGAGGTCCAGCTCTCATCCTTGGAGTCCTCGGGTAGACCATCTGTACCATTGATGCGGACCCACACACCACGGTCAGGGAATTGCTGGCGAATACGGCGGACAATGTTAAGAAGTAGACGCGTTCGGTTCTCAAATGAGCCACCGTACTCGTCCGTGCGCTTGTTGGTCAAAGGCGAATTGAATGAGCTAACAAGGTAGCCATGAGCAGAGTGGATCTGCACAAAGTCATAACCCGCGCGGAATGCACGTTCAGCCGCACGGACAAAATCATCTTCTACTTCATGGATTTGTTGCAGCGACAATTCTTTGGGAGTCACATGTGTGTGATCAAAAGGAAGCGCCGATGCACTAACAACATTGTCCTCCCAGCCACCTTCACTGGTCGGCACATTCGCGTGCTCTGCCGATGGTTGTGGCTGATATGGCGGCCATGTTGATGCCTTACGACCCGCATGTACAATTTGAATACCGATATGCACACCCGACACCAAACTCTTGACCGAGGATACAAGCGATGCATGCGCAGCAACATGCTCCTCCTTGTAAATGCCAAGGTCTCGTGGTGAAATGCGCCCTTCGGGTGAGACACCGGATGCCTCAACGACGATAGCGCCAGCACCACGAAGTGCGAACTGGCCATGGTGCACGAGATGGAATGGAGTTGGGAAGCCATCAACCGATGAATACATGCACATTGGTGAAACAATAACGCGATTCTTTAGTACCATCTTCTTGTTCCCGCAAGTGATCTCTGTCGGCTGGAAAAGCAAAGGGATCTTTTCATGGCTCTCTTGGACGTCTTTCGGTACTGTGCCAGTCGAGGGTCGCTGCTCTGGAGGCACAGCGTAGTAGGATGGCGAAATTTGCAACAGTTGTTGGTCGGACATAATCAGTATAGGCAGTGTGGTGAGAGCGTGTACTGCTTCAACAATCACTACTTATATGTCTCAGGGTCGCCTAAAATAACGCATACATTAGTGTGGCGCAATCACACGGGCCCCTACTCAAGCGAGTTAGTTGTCCCGTTACGCGTGAACCTGGTGACGCAATGTTACGCCACGAATGCTCCGCGGACTTGACGTGGAGGGGTGAGGCGTTTCTTTGATTTCCTGTTCCGCTGTCGTTAGCCTACTTGAAGGACACGAGAAGAAAGACATTCGGCTTCTTAAGATTGCCATTGCGAGAATACACGGATCCCACAAAGTTGGTTGCTCTTGAACTAGACTGTTGAAGGGAATCGACTCTGCCAACACATCGTCTCCGGTAGGCGAACCATTGATACCTAATTTGCTGCACAAACATTATAATTTGAGCGTAACTTTGACATGGTCGTTAGTACATTCTTAGTATTCAGTTTTGTCCGTTGGCGCATCTAACGGTTAACGAATTTATGGTGCCGAGTGTCATTCCAGGTCTGTCCACACGTATCTCGTGCAGCGCAGTCTGAATCAGCAACGCACACACACACAGTTTCCCTCCACTCCGACTTGAGATCGGGAGTGTGGGGCAGCCGACAAACATTCCTCACGTGCACCGACTCACTTAATTCGTGCATCCACATCAACAAGTTCGCCGTCAACAACACTCAACGCCTGGCCGGTGCTGTGCATATTTTTTTGGGTAGTTTTTTTCGGGTTTGACAAGCACGGCACGGGTCTTTGTCCTGATCAGACGGATAGTTGCCGTTGAATGTCCGCTGAACCGTCGCGGAGGACTGAGAGGCTTGTCTCGGCGCCTTTGCCGGAACCCGTAGCGCCGCTACAGGGGACAAAAACTCGGCGGCGGATCTCAGGCCTCGGCTACATACGTGATGGCTGTGAAATACACCCTCGCGAAGCATCTTCTAGCTCTAAAGTAATGAGGAGAAGGAGCACGAATTCTCCACACCCCCCGCTCCTCTCGCCAATACCGCCAACATCCTTCACTTGTACCACGCCTGAAACGAGCTCGGACTTGTTGTGGCATCGGCGCTCACCTGCACCTATTGTTATGACTTCGTCCCACGGATTCTCTGCGGACAATGCGAAGATTTCTGCGCCCTCAGCTTCATCATCTCATCATCCATGGCGTATGTCTGCCTCGCATCGTGAAGCACCCACATTTCAAGGCATGTATTTTCCGCGGTATGAGCGCTACGAACATTATCCATCAAGTCATACGACATTTTTGAGCTCTCCGCCATCAAGCAGCTCGCCTATGTTTTCTGACATGGCTACTTCAGCTACGACATCAAGTGACGCAAATGCATCTGGTTTTTGGCACTTTCACGATCCTTTTACGACGACGTCCCCCCTCTTTCATGCGCCACCACCACCCAAATCGCCCAACTTGGTTAAGCCACCTTCATCTTCGAGAGAGTCTCGTCTTCAAGGTTTAGGGCTTGTGGTCCCGAGTAATGAGCCTCTCACACGTCGTCGCTCAATGTCACATTCATCGGCGCATTCTTTTGAAGACCACATGGCTGTTCATGGGGGCCTGGACCGATGGTTTCCCGGACTCATGTATGCATTCGAACCGATGCATGAGTCGACAAATCATACCCCTTCTCTAGATGATCATGTTGAGGAACCACTAGCTTCTGTGGATGACTCCGTGGACTATGTTGCACCACCCTCCGCTGAGCCCCACTCACCGCCTTTACGCTCATTACAGCTTGTATCAAAATACTTCGGAGATGAAGACCCTCATGGCGAGCAAAATGATCCGATTCTTTCCACTATACCTGGTCTACCTCGCGGCTCGCCTGGTGAGATCCATGGTCTGGGTGTCTCGATGTCTCCTAGGTCACCACCGCAGGACATGCCCACGCCGCTCCCCCAAAAGCGCGGATCTCGTTTACGTCCGCTCCACCTGGCTGAAATGCATAGGCTGGAAGCTCATGTGCCTGCGGCGCATGCGTCCAGTGGGGTAGAAGAAGATCACGTCGCAGACGTCTCGAACTCCATGTCGCTCAGCCGACCCAGCCATGCTAGGCATCAGCGTATACCATTTGCAATTTTGCATCCTCCCTCTGAGAAAGCCATCGCTGATCCTGACGCTGTACGCATGTTCTGGTATGGCTTTCTAGGGATGCCGTGGCTTTGGCTTCTGGGTGGGTGGTGCCTTGATGACCACGGCATGTTGCTTTCCCCATGGTCGCCTCCGTCATTCGCATCATACCGAGCAGGGCTGCATCCGTATGGCCCACCGTTCGCGCTGTCAATGCACGCACATAACCAGTTCTTGCAGCGATATTCACCTTCAGCATCTGCGACTCATTCTATCACACTGGAGCCGAACGTCTTTGGTCCAGAACACCGTGGTGTTCAGTTTCTAGCCCAGTACCCCCCAGACTCGGTGCGATTGTACCAACTCCATCAATGGCAACACACCGAGAGTTTCGTGTTGTTGAATCGCATGGCTGCCGCGCTCTCCTCCTTCACATTCTTTGCATGTTGGGCCACTGGCGTGTGGACAGTCGTGGCCCATTTTTGATTCGCCTGCGGCTCAACCGAGTTTCTCACTCTTCTATGAAAGGCACGCTTCTAGTTCTCGATATCCTTCGTGCTTTTATCCGAGTAACACACCAACTCGTCGTGAGCGCTGTGGTGCGCCTATCACCCCGTGCTCTGTTGCCAGCCGTGGGCGTTGAACATAGGCCCTTTTTCATCGACGACCTTTCTCCTTCACATTGAAATGATGGCCGTTCGTCTCAGTTGGCGCTGAAAGCGTCAGTGTCATAGACATCGTAATCATGCCCCCTTTGTGTCAGAAAATAGTAGTATAATAGATTATGTTTCATGCCAATTCTTAGAAAAGTTGTGGTTGCTACTAGATTGTGAGAAAGCCTACCTCCACAGCAGCAATCGGTGGTAATAAGAGCACAATCAATCCTGCGTTCATCTCCAAGCTGCGTGACTGTCGTCTTAGCTGTTGCCCATGCAAGAGAGCGTCACGTTGCCGGACCCATTGCTAGCTTTGCGTGCAGCAGTAAAAGCTGGTGGTGACGACCCCCTAAAATGTGTAAGCATGCAGAGCGGCTCGGGCGAGGTTGTGCAAAGCACTGAGAATGTTAGATCTATTGTTTTCCATGGGATCGACAAGACGTCCTTGCAACAATCGAACGACGCCTCCGACATCGTTTTCCCTGCGGACTGCATAACTCGAGTTCTTCGGTCACGAGATTCTTTGACTCGACACAGAGAGACAATGTTGACACCAGAGGCTGAACCAAATGAGTTCATGCCTTTGCTTGCTCTCGTATTCGCAATTCATCAGCGCGATGAACGTACAGGTGCATACTTACGCAATGCCACACTAGCTGAAGTGGTGCCACTTCCTGCACTTGAAAGGTCTGCAGTGCTAGATTACTTGCTAGGAAAGCGTGACGCTTGGGAAGGCATTGTCGCTCGCCCAAATGAGGAGATTGGCGCTGCTGGACCTGCTGTGTCTAACATGGAGTCGTCTCAATCCAAGGCATCGTACGAAGGAGCGGTGGATACGAAGACGCTGGAAAAACGCAAGATATCGAATGGACCCGGCAGACCCGCCTATGTGCCAGATCCTGAGGACGCAGAATTTGTTCGTCGCCTTCGCTCTAAATACGAAATTGTCCTCATGGACCGAGACGATGTCTTACGTGGCTCTCTTTCCAGTGAAGTCGATGACAGTGTTCTCAACACACGCGCGTCTTCAGACCTTTTAGTTTTGCGTACGATCATTGGACCGCGCATCGAGGCAGCAAAGCGTCGGTCTAATGCGCCGCCACCCAAATCATCTTCATCTGCATCTGCAGCATCGTCCCGATCCTTAGCCGCATCTTCTCACGGTGCACGCAAATCACGGGCTCAAGATCCCATTATTTTATTGTCCAATTCACCCACAGCCTTGATTAACATGTTTAACGTCAAGGCCTTACTGCAAGATGGCGTCTTCATTCACCCAGATGAAGCAAGGAAGCAGGCCGGTGGTATTCCTGAATTGGTCGTGTCAATCCGAGCACCTTCTGCGGATGATCACGCAGCATCCAGCAATACCGGTACACTATCGCGACGTATTCTCGTTGTCGACAGTGCTGAGGCTGTGAACCGACTTGGCAATGGTCCTCCTGGAACTGAACAAGATCCATGGAGTCGTGTGATTGCTGTATTTACCACAGGACAGGCTTGGCAGTTCAAGTCGTATCGATGGACGGACCCTCGCGACCTTTTCCGCAATGGTATGTTTCTTGATCGCCATAGACCTGCCTCACGAGTTGGGTGTACTAATCTTTCAGCTATGGGTGTGTATGTCCGATGGAACAACGAGACAACATCTTCTCAGGTCAAAGATTGGAACGTGACACATTTACAAGTACGTTTCGACCTTAGAATGCGAGGCATGAGGATCACTGACTGTGATACAGGTTGATAGGACCAAGCGACACACCGACAAGCCACTAGTGGCATTTTTCTGGCGTTCCCTCGACAGTTGGGTACAGCGAAAGAAGCCACGCCTGCTTTTGTAACGTTTTGTACATCGAATGGAATCAAACAAAGAAAAAATGTAATAAGTCAACATATATATGCATGCTTTACGCGCACGGGGCGGTGCGTCGCTGTTCACGTAGCGATTCTTGTACGATTATCCAATACCGCCCCATACTCCTCGTATGCGCCGAGCTAGTTGAATATCACGCTGCATTATCGTAACGCGCTTAGCATGGATCGCACAAAGATTGGCGTCCTCAAATAGATGTACAAGATATGCCTCTGTTGCTTCTTGCAGAGCCAAAATCGCAGAGCTTTGCCAACGAAGGCCCACCGCGCTAGCACTCGAATCGTAGTTCTCTTCGATAAATTCATCTGCCACCTCACGAACAACTCGCGCAAATGGTAATTTAGATATCAACAAATCAGTTGACCGCTGATACCTCCGAATTTCGCGTAGCGCCACAGTACCGGGTTTGTATCTTCGTTTCTTTTCTTGCGCAACTGGATAAGCTAGATATTTGTAAGAGAATCTTAGACGTACGGTATGCAGATGCATATTCTCGGTGAATATGTTGTCTTAAAGACATGGTCGCAACCTAGTGTATGATGTATTTTTGTTACGAGATCAACACATCCCTAATTTTGCTTTTCGGGGGGAGAGGGCTGGCAAAGCGAGCTCGTATCCCGACACGCGTCCTTTGTTAGACGAAAGATGCATTTTATTGGGAAATTTATAACCAATAGAATTTGGTAATTAAACAGTCGTAGAGGGCCAAGAACATGGTTTCTTGAAAAATGCAAAAGTGGCATATTCTCACACGCTCTCTTCTCAAGGGGAACCAAAATTCCATGCTCAGCGTTAACATATAATGAACATTCTAATATTTACGATGATCATGAGGCAATCACATGTAGAACAGGGGTTTAGTCTATGATCATGATAATAAAAAGAGATGGGGCATTGCGTTTGTTTGCGTATAGGCAAGATTATTTTTTACATAGGAACACTCAGTTTTTGGAGGGTATGTCGGTCTGTCACAGAGACCGGGGCAGGTCGGCCACGAACCCTGGAAGCAGGATACATGCCAGATGCAGAGCGATCGACACGATCCAGCGCCGTAATGGGAGGGACTTTCGTGGAATTAGAGCGAAGACTAGCCAGTGCTTCCAACGTACCCTTCTCAGCCTCAGAGGTTCGTGCCGTCGAGCATAGAGAAGGAAGCAACGGTCTTTCGGGATTGGGTGCATACGAGGGAATAGAAAAGTAGGTTCTAGAAGGAATTGGTACAACACGTTGCGATTCATAAAACGACGACGATGAAGGATAGGCGACCGACGCCAAGTCGTACGCTGGCGACCAACCCCTTGACGTGGCGAATTGGGGTGGACATGGAGAGATAGGACGAATATCATATCGGAACCGCTTTGGTAGAGGTTCATCCGAATATATGTTCATACGCTGAGGCCGAGCATAGCGCATATCTGAAGCAAACTGAGCCGCTGGCTGTGCGCGCCAATTCAGAGGAACTAATGTCCTAGCATTATCACGATCATCCACCGTAGCAAGGGACTCTTCATCCGAGGACATCCGCTTCAAAGGGACCGCTGCCTCCGGTAAAGAAACTTCACGCGAGCGCTGCGATTTCATGATATGCTTCGGTAGAAAATCAGACTCTCGATTGATCCACTCTCCATATTCTTGATCATCAACTTGCACATTCCACGAATCGATGCCAGTTCCGGTAATTCTAGGGTCTGTACTCACCCGTTGCAAGGAGCCTGACTTGATGTCATCCTTGTTAAAATACGAAATAACATGGAGTTTACGGTTGGACGACGTCCGAATACTAAAGGACTGCTTGACGAGACCCTCAGACTTGTACAGGTTGGAACGCGGTCCATCCTTGGAGGTGTCGGAGTTCTTTTTCCGGACTTCGAGCTCGCGATATGTTAGAAAACAACCGCTGACACGACTAGCACTCCAGCAGCGGCCGTCAGTCCATCTCCTCATGCCTGCTTCACGTTCATCCCACACGAACACTGCTCCAGAACGAATCAGAGACGCGCGTTCATCATCCAACAGACGCCGAGAAATACGACGTGGTGGAGGCCCAAGGTTCGGATTTCTGACATTGTCTGGAAGGTCACAGGCCGCAAGGAGTAGAATCGCATCAGCGGGCGATTTGATGTAGCCCACATAAGTGGGTCGTCGTTCACCGCTGCTCGAGAATTCAATGATATTCTTGGAAGGATACAATGGTGATGAGTCCCATGTTGCTACTTCGCCAATATGTGACACTCCATGTGTATCGTATGTTGCGCTAGACGGACAGGGCTGATGATCCGTTTCCTCTTGCACATATTCAGTTTTCGTTAAACCTTGCATGTTCCGGCTTGTACGCCTACTTCAAGCAGTTTCAACTAACAAATGAGCAGTAAAGGGGGCAAGTTAACCACGGAGTAGTGGGTACATGTAACGGAAGGGAATGCTGGTAGAGGAGATAGGTAGTGATAAACTTCCACGCAAACTTTCTTCATCATTTTGATTTGACTTTGTCATTTCAGGCACACTGGGTCGACATAAACTTTTTTTCTGATCATGCAAGTTCGGACCAAAATCGCTTTCCTGGCATTTGCCCAACACTCGCATCCATGCCCCAAAGTTTTGTTTACTTTGGGTTTCGCTAAGGTCCACTTTTCGGGCAACCCAAATTCAACCTCCAAAGCGAAGTTTCGGAATCCGTGCGAATCAACATCGACTTTCAAATTCGCACAGCAAAGAGGATTTGTCCCTATTCGTTCATAAAATCAAGAGATTACCTAACGTACCTCAGAATGCATACGGGTGAACTAGTTTATTATTCATCATGTGGCATGTACGTGGCCCTGATCCATACTTGCAACGTGCTGCGCTGTGCATCTATAAACCAAGTTAACCGTCCAAACAACTCCGCGCTCCACACTCGTTTTGTAGCCTATCGTACGCTTTCCTAGCTGTAACTGTTGTACCAAAACAGTAAACGGTCCTTATACTCGGATCCAATTAAATTCGTTTCCCTGCACAATCTTATTAGCGAATCTGCACAGGGAAACTAAGATAATGTTAACCTCGTTTGACCCTTAGGCTATGCGCAGGCGTGATTAACCGGTTGTTAACCGAACCGTTTCTATTCTGCCTTGCTGGACATCGACGCCATCCCAAGGATGTCGTTTGTTGCAGGCGCCGTCGCACCTGCCTTGTTGAGTGCCGTGATGGTGGCCTTAGCTCATGCTGCCCCAGCCTCACTCAACGCAACCCTTCAACACTTTAATGAACCGGTGCCCGAAGGCTATGCAGCGATCGTGCCCAATGAGAGGCTCAACGCAAACTCATACACGCCTTACGGAAGGAACCAAAAGGTGTCGGACGAAGGTAAATATATTTTTCAGGTTTTTCCCGGTACAAGAGTGCCGGTGTCGTCTCTTGTTTGCGTTTTAATACCGTTCGCGTTTCTACTCTTTGTCTCAGCCTCATATATAATCGCAAGGATTTTCTGGAGCCCTATGTTTAGCTCCATCAACAGCACGCTCTCAGACCGTGAAAAGGCATTCCAGAATGTGCGTCTTGTTGGTATCAGAGATGAAGAAAAGGACGATGAGAAGGCCATTTCCACGCCAGAACATGTTAGTGAACCAATGACTATGTCATCGCAAAACAGCAAGGACACAGAAATTTGCAAGCAAGGCTTGTCGTCTGAGGTGCCGGCGTCAGAACCTGCGCGTGAGTCATCGAAGAGCAAGGGCAAAGATGCGAATGAGATCTCAGGTCCTATTGTTCCTGTGCTTCGGAATGACGACCTGCTTGACGATGAAAGTATTGTCTCTGATGCAGAGGATTCGGAAGACCATCCTGAAGACTACGCTGACGAGCTCTCTCACTTTAACTTGCAAAATCAACAAGCGGCTGCAGATGCGGCTCCATCTTATGAAGCTGCGAATCAGCCTCATCCGAGTCAGGAAACCCCGTCGGCTGTGGTTGAGCCAACTGCTAACCCTGTTCTCACTGAAGATAAGGTCCAGCATCAGCCTATGGAGGCCTCTCCACTGCCAAATGATGCACCGAAACCCGAGCCTGCTATTATGGGAAGTGCTTGTCTCCCTGGTGATACAGATATGCAGGCTTCTCGGCACGGTGCATATTCGGGTGCTGCAGAGCAAAGCGAACAAAATTCGATGTTGCCTTGAATCTTTGAAATCGACCGTTACTTTGACAAGCATCTTCCGCTTAACAAGTTGGTAAATACATCGTTACCCTATATTCTTAACCCTAATTGTTTCGACCTACAGTCGCATTTCTTTTTCACTTCGTACAGATTTAAACACATTTCTTTGTGGTAGTAGTTGCAAGGGTCATACGCGGATAGAGCGGGTCCTTGTTTTGAGACTGCCGTCGATAGCGTGAACGTTGACCTGACATGATTGGGATCCCACACGTGGAGCACACTCAGCACAAGCTCCACTGACGCTATTGAACCGATGCATGCATGAAAGTGGACAGCGCGGCTGTTTGGTCACGTGAACGTTAGGAAGCCTCTAGTCACCAGATATGCATCCGCTACCAAGCGTTGCGAGCGATCGTTGTCAATAGGAAGATGACCGGCGTGTCAGCGAAGTCTCTCGCAGCGCTGAATGCATTGCGGTGCCAGATTTTCGGCAATGTCTATAACCAGAGCAATACGCGTACAGGAGCAAAATACCTAAAGAAGGCACTCGTTGGTGATTCTATGCTCAAATACTACCCGCCTCAATTCAAGCTCTCGACGATCTTTGCCGGAGAACCAGCGTTTGGAAAGCTTGTACACCCCAGGGAAACGCAAAGGTGGGCTGATGTGGAACGGAAGCGGGCAATCGGAAAGGGTCCACCAAAGAAGGGTACGTATATATCGTGTCAATATATCCCACTAACCAAGCAGGTGATGGAAGACGCGCAAGCATGAAGGGCAAGAAGAAGTAACTACTCACGCATCAATGAACATGCGCATGTCGTTCGTGTTTCTACGCGAAAAAAAGTATATTCACTATACCAGGAAGAAGTTAAACAAGGAAAACAACCTAAACATGCGGGACATGGGAACAATACAACCAAAATCAAATACATCTTGCTATGCGCAATTATGCGTCTGACGATGGCAGCTTTCTTTTTTTCATGCTGTTTGGCAGGGCCGACACAGCGGCAGGGTCAATCTTATTTGCAGCCGACTTGCGAGCAGACTGCGCGAGAAACATGTCCATAATCACAATTGCAGCCATAGACTCGACAATGGGGACGGCTCTGGGCACGACACATGGGTCATGGCGACCGCGGTTTTCCAACACAGCCTGCTCTCCATCGTAGCGAGCTGTGTTTTGCTCTTGAGAGATGGTGGCCGGCGGCTTGAATGCCACGCTGCATTATGGGGTTAGTGCACAAAGACGCAGGGTACGCACCGAAAGTAGATATGTTCTCCATTGGTGATACCACCTTGGATACCTCCGCTCCAGTTGGTCGATGTGCCAAGAGATCCATCTGGCTTTCCGACAAATGGGTCATTGTGCTTACTTCCAGGAACACAAGTGCCACGGAATCCGGACCCAATCTCAAAGCCTTTGGTCGCTGGTATACTCAGCATAGCGTGTGCAAGCTTCGCTTCCATCTTATCAAACGATGGTTCACCCAGACCAACAGGGACGTTGCGAATGACACAGGTCACTGTGCCTCCTATAGAATCGTTTTTTTCTTTTGCTTCCATGATACGCTGTGAGAGTCAAATAAGGGACGGAGCGAGGCATGGGGGTCGGGAAAGCATGGGTGTCAGCTCCCCTTGGTTTCAAGCTTATACGCACCGCACGCATTTTTTCCGCTGTGGTAGCGTCTGGACAACGAACATTCTCCCTGTCGACCTGATCGCGTGTGACGTTGTTCAAAAGCTCCAGATAATCATTCCTGAGGGGCGTTTCATCATCGTCCGCATCGTACGTAGATAGGCCGACATGGCCCACTGACGACACGAAAGCCACGATCTCAATACCAAGCACATCCGTCAAATACTTCTCTGCCAATGCACCTGCGGCGACACGACCGATCGTTTCACGCGCGCTACTTCGTCCACCGCCGCTACTTGCCTTTACATTGTACTTCTCCAAGTACGTATAATCGGCGTGACTAGGCCGAGGAATGGCATCGAGCTTCACGTCCGTATAGTCATGCGGGCGCTGGTCTTGGTTGCGTACCATCATAGCAACGGGTGTACCGAGTGTGACCCCTTTTTCCGTACCGGACAAAATCTCGACTTTGTCCTTCTCGTCGCGCGGTGTGGTGAGTGAGCTCTGGCCGGGGCGTCGGCGAGTGAGTTGTCGCTGAATGTCCTGCTCGCTAACAGCAAGACCAGGCGGAATACCATCCACTATGCACCCAACAGCCTTGCAATGTGACTCTCCAAATGTGGAAACACGATAAGTACTGCCGAACGTCGACATGATGGCTCTCAAGGACAAGTGAACGAACAATAATGTCTTCGCTAACTCACTAAACGCGTCGTTTCCCACATTAGATAAACTCGACTAGGGACAGAAATCAGCAACCACGCCACAACTCAGCTTCCTATGGAGGCGTGTACTCGGAGAGGTGGCTCGCCCGTGAAATGGCTTCACGCTCCATTTCGACTCATGTCCTCGAGATATTGTGACAGCTTCAGCGCACCCGCGCGAAGTTTATCCAGACCGTTCTGCACATCTGGATTTGACATGAATTTTCGATAATACGCTCGTGCAGATGCCTCCAAGTCAGAGAAGTCGTCACTTTGTGCAGGCACATCATCTTCCTCCTCTTCGTCCCGACCGAAATACTGATTTGACGATATGGATGTCTGACCTTGGAAATTTGCAAGACGTGCTTGCGTTTCTGCGGAGAGATTAGGATCGTAGCCGCCTCGTTGGAAATATTGGTCACTCGAGATAGATTTTTGGGATGCAAAGTTCTGGCGCGCATAGTTCGATTCGTTTGCATCGGTTGGTGAGGTGGTCGATTTGGTCTGCAACGATGCATTCGTACGTGCCTGAGCAAGTCCAAGACGCTGGAATCCCATGCCCAAACGATCCACGCCAGCATTATTCTTCAAATTGGCGGCACCCTTGCCCTTCGATAGAGATGCTTTGACCGGGGCTGAAGTTGTTCCAGGCACGCCATTGGAACCCTCGAGACTCTCGGCATTCAATGTCTGGGCTTGTGTTGCTGGTGGTGTTTTCGTCGCCGTGTCTGCATCTGCCAAAGCCTGCGCCTCTTTCGCGGCTTGTGCAGCTTTTTCCTGCTCCATTTTCAGACGTTGCTCAGCCTCGTCAAAGTTAACGGGCACGCTGGTTTTACGCACGCCGAGGCCTAATTTCGTAGGTCGTGCACCCAAAGCAGTACCGCCGCTAGAGCGCACAGCACCTAGCGTACTTGCGGGACGGGCCTTGGCACGCAAAGATGCAGATGAGACCGGACGCGGCACAGCAGCAGGAGTGGAAGTAGCAGCAGATGACGGGGGCTTTGGCTGCGTTGTCTCGTTCATGGGGACCGCCGTGGCACCGGCATCTACATCTGCAATAGGAGGGGCTGGAACCTCTTGACTCGTTGCTGGAGCTGTTGTAGTAGGTGTTATCGCTGAGTCCCACTCATCAAAAAAGTCCATGTCGTCTGAAGTGGTCTTGCTCCCTCCTCCCTTAGCGGCGCCGGCGGAGGAAGAGGAAGAAGCGCCTGACACAGCAAATGCAGAGCGAACACCAAGGGGTCCAGCATCCTGTGCAGCACGACGATGTAGCTCTTCCTTATACTTCTGAGCCACAGTGGACGTATACTTGTGTCTTCCCCTCTGTTGAAGGCGCCAACAATGCATTTGGCACCGGGGAAAAGCCAAAAAAGTCACTAGCCGCACCATTTCCACCTACTTTCATTAGGCGAAGCTGCTGCCAAGTCCATGAGTCAAGATTCGTTGATCGAACAAACGTGATGTGCACGCCCATGTTCCGGTGAACAGACGAGCAATCGAGACAAATATAGACAGCAAATGTAGCACTAGCCCATGTTGGGTTTTTCGCACCACAGTCAAAGCACACCTTGTTCAGCTTATGCGCATTCTTGAAACTCTTGAAAATTTCTGCAATCTGCTCCCTCGGTGGTCCTGGTGCCGCCATCGTCAATTGTCACGCTGCGGTAGTGGTGGCACGGTCTTGATAACACTGAGGGGAAGCTCGGAATTGGAAGCACGAAATAATTGTCCACACCCAAACTGCGTGGGTCCCTCCCTCAGCCTGCATGTTTGTTTCTGTTGTTGGCAGATGATGACGAGTTACATGAATTTCCTAGTAGGTTCTTCGTAACAAGTCTGAGTAACAGACTCACTGGCTCGTCTTGTCGCCGCACAGCAGATCATTCTTTGGGCGCACATAATTGCTCGTTAACCCCGACTTCACAACTACATGTCTTTACGGGGTTCCGCACCCAACGCGGCAAGTGCTGCACATCCTATGAGCTCAGGGTACGTATTGATTGTATTTGCATGCGTTCTTATGTGCCAAGTCGAACCACATCTGAAACATCGGGCCCGTCGATGAGCTTTGGAGGTGCTGGAACCATGTCAGCAGCGCATCCTGGCTATGCCTCGGTGGCCATGTCCAATCCGTCCGGACTGGATCTAGCTGATTTTCCAGCACTCGGTTCACAAGGGTCCCAGCATACCAGTGCAAGTGGGACAAACTCAGGACATATGTTTTCGTCTTACGCAAGTCAAGTTGGCACCGGTGTCTCAAATTCCGCAATGATGATGTCTCGAGGGGGGGGTGGTACTGCTAGCGGTACTAGCACTAATGCACCCGTTCCTTTTTCCCAAGAAGAGTTTCCCACGCTGAATCGTGCACATACAACACAGGACTCACGAAGCGCACAAAGCGGAAATGTCTCGCTTGGCACTGACCATGGCACACCCTGGCATGCTGACCAGCATCAACAACAGCCCCCACAACCCCAGTCTCGACAAACGTTTGCTCAAGAACTCCGAAAACAAACTATTCATACACCAACCTCACCGGCCCCTGCAGCGGGGCCGGCAAATCCTTCCGCTCGTGCACCTAATATGTGGGTTCAACCACCTCAGGGCACACAACTGCGAAATGCGATGAGTCGCGCTGACCTTGCACGCATGTCGCATGAGGCAGCACTACGTGCTGATAACAGCGGGGCAAGCGTTGAAGGTGCTCCGTCGCTGGACATTCCTGCGCTGACATCCAGCCATGACACTGTGCAACAGCAGCAGCAACATCGTCACCACCGCCCAGCTGCCATGTATGGTGCTGGCGGAGAGGTCGTGCATCTGCCTGTTCAGCAGGTTCTTACTTCGCCTGTGGATCGATTCGGCCTTGTTGGTCTCGTGAATTTGATCAAGACACAGGATCCCGACGTGGCCATGTTAAGTATGGGCAGCAATTTGCAAGCACTTGGAATGAACCTTGATGCAACTGATCCACTTTCTGCATCTTTTGTCACCCCATGGACGCAGGATCCAATTGTGGCATCGTCGCAAGTGGAACCTGCGTATCAGCTGCCAAGCTGCTACCATGTGCAACCGCCCCCCGCCCAAACAAAAGTCGCAAGCTTTAGTGACGAAACTTTGTTCTTCATATTTTACTCTACGCCTCGTGATGCACTTCAGGAAATGGCAGCACAGGAACTATATGCACGGAACTGGAGATACCATAAGGGCCTGCATTTGTGGCTCACCAAAGATCCAAACACGGAGCCATTGCAAAAGACTCCTACATACGAACGCGGCGCGTATGTGTTCTTTGACCCAGGTTCTTGGGACAAGGTTTCGAAAAACTTTGTGTTAATGTATGAAATGCTCGAGGAAAAGCCCACGTCTCAAAGCATGCTCGCAGCTGCATCGGCAATTCACGCAGGAGCCCCGTCGCAGCTTCCTACAACCGCTGGTGGAAAGTCCTCCCATCCTTCGCAGTCTGTGGCTGTAACGCGTGGATCATCTTTGTCGCCACCGAACCAGGCATCACCACAGCCTTCGTATTCATAGACTAGTTATCCATAGTCTTGCGAAGGCAATCCAACCAAAAAAGGAAAATATGCAATAATGGTCAATACAAACGATACGTGAGCAAAGATAGGATGCTAATGGAAGCAAGGTGAAAGATGTACACAGGAATGAATGAGGAGCGTGGATTCGCATGAATACATTCTCGTTGAGACCTCAGATCACGCCACCGACTCATTGAAAAGTCATAATGACACCGAGAATGAATGAGAGAACAGCAGCTAGAGGGGTAGGGTAGATATCTTGAGCACCATCGCCCAAGCCCACGCCATGAGCAGTTTGTAGCGCGCCAGGATCAGGCTGCAGTTGGCTTGCTGCGGGTCCATGGCCATGATCTAAGAGACTCTTCGAAATGGAGGTGTTCGGCGAACCATGCATGGTAGACTGTGGTACCATATATGTGAAAGTATAATTGCCTGGTGCCTCTGTTGGGCCCTTATCATTAATGGTTGTGGTGCTTGGATTTGGGACTGTTGAGTATGTAGTCACCGGCGTGAACGTTTTCTTGGGTGTGTAGTAATCATTACTGACGCTTGTCACAGGAGTGAAGCCTATCTGATTCGACTGGGCATAAACAGTAGGCAACAAGAACATGCAAGCAAGTATGCATGCGTACAGACTCGACTGCATGGCTACGGATAAGTCTAACAATACGCTTGTCACACTTGATGTATATTCGCAATTGAACATAATTGCAAATCTACCCTGTGATGCGATCTATACGTAGATGTGGAGGGAATAAGCGCAAGGAGGGTTCAAGATCACTTGGACACCATGTACCTGAATGTCGAAAATGGAACAAAATTTGACAATAATTGAATATCATGTGGTGAGGGCAAGAGCGAAAGCAACGGCCAACGACCCAACCAAATAGATAAATGTATACATATATATCACACAGACAGCGCTTGAATATAGAGCAAAAGGGATCAACAAGGAAAAAAAAAAAACTGATTTGCCAACATGGCCATCGCTTTCATTGCCAAAGACCATCGCCACTCGCGCCTTCAGGAGCAGCCGTATAGCTAAAGCCAGCAAATTGCTCTTGGACCGCAGCACTAATCATATGTCCGTCTTCGACAACACTATCCAGCGCAGGCTCGCTTGTGAACTCAGGATCAAAGTTGGACGTGTCAAAAGCAGAGACAACACCAGGTTTGAAAGGTGGTTGGACTTTTTTTGCTAGGAGCAGTCCCCAATCGATGTATTTGGTGAAGAATGGATGGTTGCGAATATCTGCCGCACCACCAGGTGGCGACCCCAGACGCACCGACGTATCGCGCTGCAAAAGACCTTTCAGCAGATCTCGCGCGTCTTCGCGAACGTCTGGCGGGAATGTAAGAGGCTCACGGAGGATTTTCCTGTACATTTCATTGACATCTTCGGAGTAAAAGGGCGGCAGTCCTGTGAGCATTTCATAAAGCAAAACGCCCAAAGTCCACCAGTCCACGGCCTTTGTATAGCCACGACCTAGGAGCAGTTCAGGCGCAAGATACTCAGGTGTGCCACAAAACGTGTGCGTCGTTTCTTTGTCACCCATATTAAGTTTGCATAGGCCAAAATCACACAATGCTATGTGGCCGGTATAGTCGAGCAAAATGTTTTCAGGCTTCAGATCACGGTAGATTACATTGAAGCTGTGCAAATGCTCCAGAGCACAGAAAAGCTCGGCTGCGTAAAAGCGTGAGCGAGCCTCGCTAAAGCGGCCCTCACGCTGAAGGTGATGGAAAAGTTCGCCGCCATTCACAAATGCAAGTCCCAAGTATAGCTTATCTGGGCTTTGGAATGAGAACTTGAGTGGCACGATAAACGGACAGTTGACTTGGGCAAGGACCGTTCGCTCCGCAAGTGTATGTGTCACTTCAGATCGTGAGATAATATGTGCTTTCCGGATAATTTTCAGGGCATATATGCGCGATGTATCGCGCTTGCGGACTTGCATCACTTTTCCGAAGCTGCCCTTGCCAATCACTTTGAGCAATTCAAATGATTCAATGTTCAGCGAGGTGCCAACCTGAGACTTGAACGCCATCTGTACACGTATTTCGCCTGTCCCACCATGCAGTGGAAGCCATGTATCGAGCGTACGTGTCTGATCAAATGAAGGCACAAACTTGGCCATGCCTAGGTATACGTCATTGCCGCCCATGAGTTCGGTAGCGCTCGGTCTCGCATCACCACTCGTCTTGCTGGGATCGAGGGCCAATCTCTGTGTCGACAACCCGTCTCTTTTTTTTGGCTCGACCATTTCGGCCCGCAAGTATAAATGCAGCGTGACTTCGCCTTTGCGAGACACATCAAAGTTCGCAGTGAATTGCCACTGCGGTGTCTCAAGAGTGCCTCCAGACGCGAGGATCAGCACCTCATTCTTGTCGAATTCTAAAACCACATAAGGAAGACTCATCTGACGGTATCGTAACATGGCTTTAGACGAGGTGCTCGAGCTTGATGGAGGCGTTTGTTCATGTGGAATGGATATACCGGGCGGAAGCGAAAGTCCCCGTGCATTGACCACACTCACTGTCAGCATATCTGATCTGGACGTATTCATTCCAGCTACTGTGATTGGTGGTGGCTTGAGCGACATCTCTGCTGACGTCGATCCCGCCATCGCGCGAGCGCTTGGCGCACCTAGCTTTGGTTGTGAGTGTGGTGCAAATGGACTGGAACCACTGGGATCGGCCAAGTGTAGATTCGATTTTTCGTCATTATTTGAGGGAGATGACGATGATGATGATGAGCTGAAATTGAATGGAAAGACGCCACCTTCTTTCAGTTTCTTCCCGAGTCTCCAGGACATGACGCTGGGCTTGCACCCCTGATATGGATGGAATCTGACACCTCTACAAGTGTTGGTCCCGGCTCGTTACCTGACATCTGCTTTGTCAGCATTGTCAGAGACACACATTCGCGTCAGCACAATTTTTCGGTTGAACTGGCCCAGAGAAGTTGAGCAGCATCAAAAAATATTCTTCTTCCACCCCCTCTTCAATGGAGCGCGAGGACCCAAATGTTTTTGACTGGTAACGCAATTTTTTCCCTCTTGCCATGGCGGACGAGCTGGATGCGAATGCCGTGCGCGGGAAAATTACTCTTGTACGTGGTTCAGAGCTGTCAAACTTGAGCATCGTTTCTAACTAAATTAGCTGCCTGGACATGATACCGAATTCACATCTGTTACATTTTGCATTATGGATGAGGACCACACGATCGGCAATGCCCTTCGATACATGCTTATGAAAGAGTACGTATGGATTGCATGGCATCGATACAAGAACCACTCGAAGCTCCAAAGATTCTACTGTATTGTCCTGAGACCTAAAGGTCATGAGGGTGTATTACAAACAAATGGAATTCTTCGTTTATGAGGGGTGGTCGGGAACGGTTTCTTGTTTCGCGAATGCCTAATGGCGTCTGAGTGCCGGACATCGTGAAAGATCAAAGTATTGACCATACATGACAGTCCACGAGTCGAGTTTTGTGGATACACGTATGTTGGGGAACTGAAAGCAAAACCTCTCTTACGCGTTCAGGCTGCCACACCCTTCAGAGAACAAAATTCATATGCGAGTCCAGATGTATGGTATGTATCAGCTCGTTCCCTCGTCTTTTTCTTTTTCTTCTTCCTTCCACTCTTGATTTATTTCCGGGATGAGATTTTTACGTTGACTCGAGCCCTGTTGGGCCATGTGGGTTTCACATGTATACGCAAACCAATTGTTCCTCCTGACTTTTTCTTCGCCTATATTCCCGACCGTCTCAACTATCGCGAAAAAAATCCCGTGCTTACACCCGTGCAGAGCAAACGACCACGGCAATCTCGGCCGTGCGCGACGCGTTGGACAATTTAGATCAGCTTTTTGGCACGATCGAGGATACCTACCGTACGAGTCTGACGTCCTCCGGCATTGAGCGTGAACCTGCCCCGACCTCAGGAGCGTCAAGTCGAAAGGAATTCTCTGCATAACTGAATGTATTATAGATGTAGACCTAAGAGATCACTGCGACCATCTTGCCAATATTCTGGTTCGCTGTCATGGCATCATGTGCGGATTTGATATCGTGCCAATCCCACACCTTGTGCAAGATCGTCCGCAACGTATTTTGACCACTGGACTCACCAGGCTGTGCGCCACGGACAAGTGCATCAACACAGCCGAGCCGAGCAAAGTCGCGCGCTACGTCGGATTGGTACTCGATCGAGCGGCTTCGGAGGGTACTTCCTTCGATGCGCAGACGCTTCATGAGCAGGGGTAGGATGTTCGATCCTTCCGGCAGCTTGAAGCCACCCATGACTGCCTGGAGTGTCATTCGCCCATCGAGACGAAGTGAGGCAAGATTGCTGTTGAAATAAGATGCGCCAATGAAGTCCATAATCACATCGACGCCCTTGCCATTTGTGGCCCGCTTAAGTTGATCCGCCCAGTCTTCTGTCTTGTAATTGAAGCCGTCTGTGGCTCCCAGCTGCTTGCATCGTTCAATTTTCTCTGGTGTACCAGCTGTAACGTAGACATGGCGTGCACCAAGGAACTTGGCCAGCTGAATAGCGGCAAGGCCCACACCAGATGCACCTGCATGGATCAACACATCTTCGCCATGTTTGAGTGATGACAGTGTATGCAGAGCTTGGAACGCTGACATGTACGCTTCTGGAATAGACGCAGCCTGCTCCCAGCTCATACTCGCGTCTTTCTTCCATGTCATCGATGCAGGCACAGTCACATACTCCGCATATGCGCCACCATGTGTAAGGCCAAAGACCGGATCACCTACTTTCAGTTGTGTGGCTGTACCAGGGCTGCCATTGCCGTCATACGTCTCAGCCACCTCACCGCTAAATTCGACACCAAGGATCTTGCTTGCTCCGGGTGGCACCGGATAGTGTCCTTCCCGCTGTAGAAGGTCCATTCGGTTCAGGCCAAACGCCCGCACTTTCACAAGTACATGGGGCGTCGTGACGTGCATCGGTAATTTAGGCGTCTGCACCTGTCCTATGCGCAATGCACTCGAAGGACCTGTTTCATTTTCAATCACAACAGCACGCATCATTTCTGGCACAGAGGATACTTTCGACGTCGAGTGCATTCTTGAAGTGTTCAGTAGTCCCCTACTAATGCACGTCCTTTGAAGATACATTCAAGTTGAGCGGTTGAATCCTCGATCGATGACAAACGCCACTTCGGGATTTTACTTAGAAGTGCTTACGTTGCCGTTGCATGCCCACAAAAGCGACCCCACACGGTTGTTACTAGGTATGCTCGCCCGAAATTGTGGAGAAACGCTATCGGCACTTGACTACCGATGAATCATCGATGTGTCTATGTAATCACAGTAGGCTGCTCACGGCCGGTGTGGCGCTGCAGAGCACTGAGATCCAACGCAACCTGAATGATCGGCTTGAGGGCCTGCTGAACGTCGGTCGCATATTCACGCTCAACGGACGTGTATTTTTCCACATACAGACGAATCGTAGCACCCGCGCTACCGGTGCCACTAAGACGGAACACGATGCGCGAGCCATCCTCCATGCGCACATACAGGCCCTGGTTCTTGCTGACGCTGTGGTCAATAGGGTCAGTGTAAGAGAAATCGCCGGCCTGTGCAGCTTTAAATGCGCCCAAAGACGTGCCGATAAAGTTTGGATCCGTGAACTTGCTTCGCAGATCATTCATCATCGCGTTCGCACCCGCGCTATCAACTTCTTCATAGTCATAGCGGCTGAAGAAGTTCCGGCCGTACTTGTGGTAGTGCGCTTGCAGCACATCTGACACTGACGTACCTGGGCGTTCCTTGTTCGCGTATGCAAGGATACTGAGCCAGGCGACAACAGCCCACAGACCGTCCTTTTCGCGGATGTGGTCGGAACCCGTGCCAAAGCTCTCTTCGCCACAAATGGATAGGCGCCCAGCATCCATCAAATTACCAAAGAACTTCCAGCCTGTGGGTACTTCAAAGAACTCGTAGCCATGTGCCTTAGCCACGCGATCAACGGCGCCACTCGTCGGCATACTGCGAGCGAGACCACGCACACCCGACCGGAAATAGGGGATCGCGCGCTCGGCCCAGTCGGAGATGATAGCGACACTGTCGCTCGGGTTCACGAATGCACCTTTGCCCAAGATCATATTCCGGTCACCATCGCCATCGCTTGCAGCACCAAAGTCTAGCCCTTCTGTCTCTACGGCCTGTACCAGCGACTTCGCGTATGTCAGATTCGGGTCTGGGTGACCGCCGCCAAAGTCTGGCAATGGCACGCAGTTTTGCACGGACGATTCAGGCAAGCCAAAGGCGTCAATAAAAAGTGCGTGAGCGTAGGGACCTGTGACGCCGTGGAGCGCATCAAACCGGACCTTGAACGAGCCAGTAGACAAGAACGACTTGATCAGACCGAAATCGAAAATTTGGCCCAGATACTCGACGTAGTCTTTGACTGAATCGATAATTTCAATCTCCAAGGAGCCGAATGACGTCGTGCCAATTTGCGACAAGTCTACATCATGGCCGGCTTCGACGACATAGTGGTCGATCTTGGTCGAGAGGTCATATATGCGGTTCGTCACAGCCTCTGGTGCAGGACCGCCATTCTCCATATTGTATTTGATGCCAAAGTCTGCCTCGGGACCACCGGGGTTGTGGCTGGCTGTGAGCAAGATACCACCAGTGGCCTTGCGAAGACGAATCACATGTGAGGCTGCGGGAGTCGACAAGATACCATTCTGGCCGATGATCAGCTTAGCCACTCCATTCCCAGCAGCAAGCCGCACAATCTTTTGAACCGCAGGCTGAGAGAAGAAACGGCCATCACCGCCCACGACTAACGTAGCACCTTTCGCGCCACTGGGAATCGCAGAGAGGATACATTGGACAAAGTTCTCAGTATAGTGCTCCTGCTGGAACACGTTTACGCGCTTCCGGAGGCCAGATGTACCGGGCTTTTGGCCCTCAAATGGCTTTGTCGCTATAATCTGTTGTCCTGCCATGACCGTAAGTGAAAGCAACACAAGTCCGTCGCGTGTCCGCGTGCCGTATGAGCTGTACTTTGTGTGTGTGTGCGCGTCACATGCGCGTACGCAGTCATCTACTAAAAGGCGCAAATATGCTGGCCTGTCGTTGGCGGGAATCCCCTCTCCGCACGTGGCGAGCGGGCTCGTGTGTGCTTGGAATGGTCGTCCGACACGCGTCCGAATGCAACCCTGAATTCTTTACTCACCCCATGGTGTGAAATTATACACCCCCATGTGGCGAAAAAGGTGGGCCGTGTATATGTGTGTGTGTCTGTGTGCGTCTATGAAAGACAGGCGTAATTCATGTTCCGAAGCCTGCCCAGGCCAAACTCCAGTATTCAACACGACCCCAGGGCTTATGGAGCGAGTCGTCGTCGCCACGACGCCGCCGATCTTGAGCTTGGGTGTTGTCAATAATGCGGGTATTCGCCTGGCAGAGCAAATGCGACTTTTTTACTGCTGTTCCCAGACGACCTGATGATATGATATGGTAGGCTGGTATAGGCTGAGTCGGTGTAACCAATATAGTTGCAGTAAAGTGCGAATGATACCGGAGCGGGTCGCCCGGATATACGACAAAATCACCGCCGAATCGAAGGCCTGTGCTCAAGAAGAAACCCTTCTCGTGCAGGTCTTCAAAAACAGCGCAGCGTGCACGTTCTTCGACTGTCGTCGGATACGACCAGATCCCGGCGTCAGTCGCTTCTTTAAGTGTCGTATAGGTGTTCGCGCGAGTGCCAGTGGGGAGACCGTCCAACATCTCGCGCGTGCACGGAACGTAACCTGGGATGCCTCCTGATTCTCCGAGGGTATAATGAACGTATGGCATGCGCGCCATTGTGCCTTCAGACCGCTCCTCATGCGACGTCAAGCCCGATGCGAATGCCTCTCCACCCTCCTTCGCTGCTTGCCGTGCGCGACGACGCTCTAGTGCGCCGTCGCCACCGCTTTCTCGTAGCTTGGCTTCTATGCGGTCGCGGCGTTCGTTCTGCTCAGTAAGAGTGCGCTCCTTTTGTAATTGGATGCCTTTCAGTTCTTGGTCGCGAAAAGCCACGCGTTCAGCTTCAGTGGGCTCTGAATAGGCCTGAGCTTCATCGATAAGAAGAGCGACACCTACGTGCTCGCATGAGTACATTCATGTTGATACACACCTTTGCGTAGCAGATAAACTACTTCTTCAGGGATCAGCCGTAATGGCAGACCCAGGAATACATTCTGTTGCGGAATCAACGGGAGTGTGCCTGTTAAGAGCCCGCAGATGTGGTGCTGCGTACGTGCACGATCGACATCCGATACGTCCCAAAGAAAGGGCACACCTTGGGATAGGTGAATGGGGACCTTATCCGGATACCGTTGCCGGAGGCGATCCATGCTTGACAGTGTCGTGACACACCTTTCAAGAGACAAGAAATGGACAGTGAGCACACAAGGCAGAGTGGATCAGGTGGAGGGCACTTCGCATGTCGCGAATTCTTTGGTGTCGAGACTAGCGCTGCTTTTGAGCCCTTGATTTTCAGAAAAAAGGGGCTAATTTCCTAAATCGAAACGCAGTGTGTGGAGTGTTATTTGGTAAAAGCATCCGATTCATGGAGCAACGAGCCTGGCTCACCCAATGTCTATTGTCGGAAATATTGCGCTACATTGTGAAGTCGATCAAACATACTCGATAGGTACGAGGTATCACTCAACAAGGACTCGAAGTGCGCGACTGCTTGCTCTTCCGAAACATCAAGCAGGAACTTTTCCTGCACTTTCAAGACGGCTTTGTCAGGTTCCGCACGGATGTCCGGAATATTAGCCTCCACCATGAGAGACACCAGGTTGAGGATCAAATTGGCATTTTTTCGTAGACACGCAAATGTTATGTGACATAGTTTCTTGAAACGCATGTAATACACGGAAGAAGCACCACCCATAGCATCGACCATTTCCTTGCATACCTTGACAGGTGGTGGAAAGGGTTTCGGATCGCGACCAAGAATGTAGCTGAAGTCCACGTGGAAGAAATGTCCATCGGTAGCGAGCATGAGATTGTCGAGGTGCCTATCGCCGACACCCAATAGGTACGTAATAACACAGTAGCCAGCTGCAATGTGAATACAGACCACGGGGCCAAACCCCCTTTGAACGTACCACAACTTCGCACAAATGTATCGAGGACCTGTGGCAGGACATCAAATGTCGTGGCGTTCCGATAGTCTGGATGCTTAGACCGCAGGTAGCCTAGTAGGTCCCCATGTTTTGCCACGGCTTCAGCCACACTCATACTGGGTATAAATTGTACCAGACCATCATGGGGACTGGTGGCTAGCACATGGTATGGCGTGATGCAAACGTCGAGATGTTCGTCACGCAACAGACTGTCCATGAGCGCAAAGAGCTGAAGCACGAGCTGATCCTGTCGGAGATCGTCGCCATTCTTGACAATGACTGTGTACGTCGAAATGTCGTCATCGACGCGGAACTCGAGGCGCCATGGAAATAGATTGCTCTTAAACACTGTGCTGTTTTCTACTGCGATACCGGTGATGCACACATCAGGATCCAGCGGCAATGAAAGCGGTGGATCCAGTGTTCGCAGACCTGCTTTGCGGTCTGCTAAGAGAGCTCGCAGCTTCTCGATCTTTTTTGGTCGTGTATCTCGTGACACGCGTAGCTCTGCATTCTTCGTCGCTAGCATCTGTACAAAGTGGCGCTGCCTCTCTAGCATTGTCAGCAATGGCGCATTGTGCGCTTCAAGTGCAGCATGAAGCTGCTGCTCAACACGAGCAAATAGCTCGCCATACTGACTATCACATCGCTCCACGGCCACATACCAATAAAACCTGGTCCCCAACGCAGTTGACTGTGTGCTGCGCGAGCAAAGAAGGTCGACGAGTCGAACAGATGGTTCACTAGACGGCATTGGCGGCCGTCGTCGTGTCTCGATCGCCGAATCCTGTATCACATGTTCCTGTTCCTGCTGTTGCTGCTGCAACACAGCAGCACGTTGCGTTTCGCTAGCAGCATGCCAAGAATATTCCTCAAACTTGAGCGCCTGGACCAACTGCAAAAGGTACAGTGCGAGCTGTTCATTGCTGGCTCGATGAAGCTGACGGACTGCGTACGCACGAACTTGGAGATGCAGGAACGAAGGGCCAAGTAATTCGAGTGTGTCCGCAATCTGTGGCTCCGCCCATATCGGAAGCAGTTCCTCCGTAGCCTGTGATGCTTCCTGGGCATCAGTCCAAACAACAGACTTGACAAACTTGGTCAATGCAGCTGGATCTCGAGTGAGGTAAAAACGGAACGCCCAGACAAGGTCCATTTCTTCCGTTGTGAGTACGCGAGTTGGGGGATACAGGAGGATCGATCGCAAAGTATCACGGACGGATGCCGTGGGCTTGCGTTCGCGATCCAACGTTGCGGAGCGTTGGCCCCGCACGAGTCGACGGTGCTTCGACTCGACCAGATTCTCGCACATGCCTTCGGGATCTGAATGTGTGAACAAAGAAGGCCGAAGCCACGCTGGTCTTATGCCTGCAGCAACATTATGTTCAGCATCAGCGGAAACCGAAGCAGAGGTAGACGACGTGTGACTGGGCACGATGGGCAACTCAGGTTCTCCATACACGACAGGGAGCTCGTACGCAGGAAGGTCCACAATCAGAAGCAGATCAGCCGAGGTATCGACGTGGTTTTCGTACGTCTTTTCAATAAGCGGCAATGTATGGGCATCGAGCCATTCCACAGGGGGTGTGATGCCGCGCTGATACCGTTTGAACAGCTTATCAAGTCGGGCAATACTAGGGACGTCGTCGTGTCTGTAAGGTGTGGTCGAAGGTGCGTGAGGATCAGCAGCCACACGGCGCCACAGCCGCAATCGCTTTGTGCCACGACGTAGAGCGCTTGTGAGTTAGGACAACGTGCCAGAACGTACCCGCGCTTCCCAAATAGAGGCAGCGTCATACCGCCCACCTCTGTTTCAGATGCAATACCGGCGACATCGAGCACAGTGAAGGCAAGCTGTGCCGTAAGAGGCAGATCACAGATCCGATATGCGAATGTGATCCACTCTCCCCACACATGTGCGCCGTTTGACGGCGAGCTAAGGCTTGTATAGATAGGCGGCGCAAGCGCTTTGTTATCCGCATACAACTCGCAGCGCACACAAAGGGAGGTGGATGATGCCCTGTATTACGTGTAAGGAACGCAAGCAAAAAGAAAAAAGGCAGGAGGAACTGGCTTGCTTGGGCACGTACGTGGCGTGTATGCTATGGAATCGAAGACCAGGCTCGTCCCATAGCTTGGAGGGCGTGCACACATCCAAACGGCCGCCTAATCGCACGCTGTGAAGTCAATGCGTAGCCTAGATCACAACGTACATGCGCAAGCTGACCGGCTCATGAACGTCACATGCTGCGACGAACGAGTAAAAGTCACGGTCCATCGAATAAGTTCGACAAGTGCAGAAGTGGAGAGCCGTGATGGGGTATGGTGAGCGACGCGCAGCCCAAGAAAGTGCGGCAACCGAGAGAACGAGCCAAGAAAAAAAAAACCTTCCTAGGAGGCGAACGTGCGCCTTGCGCCTCCTCCTAACCAGCCCCCCACACCCAATCCCACCCCCACGGTGTGGCATCATGAGTTGCCGAGCGCTCAGGTGGTTAAGCAAGGCGCCTACCTCCACGCACGCCGCATATGTGCACGTTCAGGGCGTTGGCCTCCAAAATCCACGCTTGGCCATACATTGATTCGCTGGATTCGTGTATGTCGTTAGACCACGTTGTACCTGCTTGTGTGCCACTAGCCTGTACTTGCCCAACTCCCGTCCAACGTCTGCTATACCCATGGAGTCAGATAGTGTAAAAGAGCCAATGTGGTATTGGCTCGGTCGAATGCTACTCGTATTTGTGGCATGCACAGTCGGTGTCAATTTCATCTCGACGTTCGCATGGCGCAAGGTACTACGGGACACCAATGCCGAGAAGCGTCGTAGGATCCTCCAGGATTTGCAATTGCCAATTGGGCGTGTGCGATACATGTTCGTGGGATTCCTGCATCCACACAGTCATGGCGGAGGAGGAGGCGAGCGTGTGTTGTACGAGGCTATTTTGCACCATCAACGAGCGGACCCGAACATCGTTTGTGTTGTGTATACGGGCGATATTGCGCCGCTTCCTGGTGGCGTGTCGAAGCAGGAGATGCTCGACAAAGTCCGCACCCAGTTTGGTATTGAGCTCAATGAAAATCGCGTGGCTTTCTTGCCCCTTGCGTATGTTCGTCTCGTGGGCGATAACTTCTGGAGCATGTTCACGCTTGCTGGCCAGGCGATCGGTGCTAATCGTATGGGCTACTCGGCGATGCTGCAGCTTGTACCCGATGTATTTATCGATACGGCGGGTCATGCTTTTACCTACTCTGCCGTGAAGAATTTTTCAAGCCGCGTGCGCCTTGGTGCATACATCCATTACCCCACCATCAGCACCGACATGCTGCAACGGGTGAGACAGCGGCGTCCCGGGCACACGAACCCCCCGCAGATTGCGCAGAGCTTGCCGAGGTCCATGGCCAAGTACGTATACTATCGACTCTTTGCTGCCGTGTACGGCTCTGCACTGCGACATGCAGACGTCATTGTCTGCAACGGGCACTGGACACGTGCCCATGTGATGGATCTACTGCAATACCGCATTCCGCGGCCCTGGCGCACACCAACTCTTCCCCGGTTGCACGTCGTGTATCCTCCTTGTCAGACAGCGTCCTTTACATCTTTGCCCCTTGAGGGCCGCGATCCTCACAGTTTACTGAGTATCGCCCAGTTCCGCCCAGAGAAGGAGCACGAACTTCAGCTACGGATCGTGCATGGCTTGCTGCAGAAACATCCGGAGCTGAAGCGACCTTCAAGTTCAGGCCGCGCCCTGCGGCTTACTCTGATTGGCAGCTGTCGTCACGATGCCGACAAAAAGCGTCTCGTGGCTCTTGAGCGGCTTGCCAAAGAACTGATGATCGAGAATCATATTGAGTGGTGCGTTGATGCACCATTCACGACCATGATTGACAAGATGCGCACCGCGAGCATTGGTCTCAGCACTATGGTCGATGAACATTTTGGCATTGCTGTCGTTGAGTACATGGCCGCAGGTCTGCTGACGCTCTCTCACGCGTCGGCCGGTCCTCTCATGGACATTGCTGTGCCTGTGAGCGGCATGCAGACGGGATTCCATGCCTCATGCCTCGATGAATATATCGACACGGCTTACCGCCTCATGACGATGCCCCCCTCGACGGCACTCAAAGTCCGCCGCATCGCTCGCGAGCGGGCTGCTTCGTCTTTTAGCGATGTCGAATTCCACCGTCGCTGGCGCGAATGCATGTGGAAAGAGCTAGTCCCTCCCGAACTTCTTGTCGAGAACGACCGACTCTTGAAGCAACGCGCCATGGCTTTGCAAGCACAGGCGGCAGGCGCAAGTCCCATGCCGACTGTCTCAACGTAGCCTCATGTGTCGCCATCATGTCATGGTCAGTGCAAGCTGAATAGGCATCAGGCCAGCGATCGGTGTCCGTCCTTGTTTTATTTATTTTTTTTTTCGGTTGTGGGAGCTAATCGGAAGACAGCTGTCGACATTGCTCGCGCGTAGATGGATGCCTTGTCTCTTTGTACTTCCATTGTCTACAATGCCCAAGTGGGTCTATTGAATTTCAATCGAGCGCGGTGCGCCAAACGCCTGCTTTGTCTGTTCATAAATAAGAAACTGTCCACTAACGAGGATGGCCGTCATGAGCATCCTAGTGTTAAGACCGGCCCAAATCCCAATGGGACCTGTCTCTTTCGCTGTGACACACAGTTTCTTCAATGCCGATCCCTGTTTGTCACCGCCGCGGTTCATCTTCGAGAGCAGTGTATCGGCTGGATGCGAGAGCACAGCAGCAGCGATACCTGCGACTATACCACAGCCCAACTGCACTGTGACCTCGCCCACCTTGCCTGTCTTTTGCAGCGTTTCTCTCGGCACCATCGTGTTTACGAGGTTGTGCATCATTTCATTCGTGTAGAACTGGCCGATAGCATAAGGGACTTGCTTGTAACAAGATGGGGATATAGCCTGCGTAGTATCCACGGATGCCGTCTTCTCGGAACAGACGTGTCAGCGCACTAACGACCCCCTTTGCGAAGCCTCGTTCAGACCCCATGCGAATGCGTGCAGCCTCCAATGGTGTCAAGAGGGTCGTGGCAATCACCTCCGCGCAACTAGCCGAGCCAAGGTATATGGCCTGGCGGTATTCCAGCGCCTTCTCACGGCTGCCCAGCCAGTCGATGGCATGTTTCTTAAAAAACTCGTAACCACAGAACTTCGAGCCACCCTGAATCAAGTAGCCTACAGCTGTTGGTCCAAACCCTGCTAGCAGTCCACCTGGACCATCATGTCTATCGATGTTTTTTGCCATACTCAGCATGGTTTCTTTCGTGCCTGCCGGTTCTAGCTGCAGGCGCGTCTTGACCACATCAATTGGCGTAAGACCGCCGTGCGTAATTGTCGCACAAAGACCACCGGCAGCGAAGAATTGCACATAGTTCGCCGTCGTAAAGTCAGGAGTCAGTGACGATGTGCCGTTCATGGTGTGAAGCGAAAGGGCGTTGAGGTCGTGGGCGACATCCACTTGGTCGAGCTTGTTATCGGCGCCCTTACGTTCATCCAATAACCGAAAGTGTTTGACAGCCCAATTTAGTGCGGCACAACGGGCCAAGTCAAGATCTACGACGGGCACACTGCGTCTATTTTCTTAGTAAGACAACATGCGGGTGGGACGTACATGGACTCGAGAAGACGAACGTCTGTTTAAGGGCAGGAAGTGACGACTTGCGTATTGGCAGTTCTATTCCCGCATATCGTCGGTGTCTAGGTGCCTGTGTGTGCCTCCTTCCGACATACCGACCGATGTCCTGGCAAATTCTTCTTATTGTTATTCGTCGAGTTCTCATACAGTATGTCATAGACGGATAATCTGTACTGGTTTCCAACACGTGCTCAAACACACACACACACACGCACAATAACCTATTCGCATGTTCGTACGTCTGGGAATAGAGCTTTTACATCAAGTAGTGGTCTAAATACGGCCGGCTTCCTTTAGCTTGCTAATGAGCTCGTCGACGTTTTCGACCTTAGCACCGCCTTGCCTCTGCGGCGGCTCAGCCACCTTCAGCGTCTCGAGGCGTGACTCAATGTCCTTTTCAAGACCGAGGTCAGCCACCGAGTACTTAGCCACCTTCTTCTTCTTGGCCTTCATAATGTTGGGCAAAGAAGCATAACGTGGCTCGTTGAGACGCAGGTCTGTGGTCACTACAAGCGGCACCTGTGTCTCGACAACGGCCAAACCACCATCGACTTCACGGGTCACGGTCACCTTGTCGCCCTTGTCGCCCTTGCCATCTAGCTCGATCTTAGAGGCAAATGTAGCCTGTGGCCAGTTTAGAAGACCTGCAAGCATCTGTCCTGTCTGGCTTGCATCATCATCGATCGCTTGTTTACCGAGGATAACCATGCCGATCTCATCCTCGCTAGCCTCCTTATCAACAATGGCACGCAGGATCTTGCTTACTGCCAGGGGCTCAATAGGTCCTGGCACTTCCACATGAATCGCATCGTCAGCACCCATGGCCAACGCCGTGCGCAATACATCCTGTGCCTTCGCCGGACCTGCCGACATGACAGTAATGCGCTTCACTGCATCCTTGTTTCGCTCACGCATGCGCACAGCCTCTTCAACGGCAATTTCATCGAATGGGTTCATCGAATGTTGCACATTCTGGTCCACGCCCTTGCCGTCCGAGGCTACGCGGATCTTGACAGCTGTATCGCGTAAGCCTACTCCGTACCGATTACACGCAAGTTTCTATACATACCATAGTCGATCGTACGCTTGACGGGCACAAGCACACGAAGTTGGTTCACAAGCGAAGCACGCATCTTATCGTGGGGGAGCCAAGCGGACCCCAATGTGGTGGCCAGCGCACGGAGGAAGCCGGGGCTCGGCCGTTGACATCTCAGTGAGCCACGTGGTGGTCAAAGAACCGATCAGACACCTATATTGTCCTTCATCGTGCGCGTGAATTCGGCCAACCGAACGCACGCGAACTTTTTGGGCCCCCGCCTTCCCAGCCTCGCTGCTGTGGCAGCCAGCCTCCTTACGAGTCGGGTGGTGTCTGACGCAGCCTCCACACAAACGGCAACACACGCACTTGGGGCACGTAATGACGACGACGTCGGCTATGCCGCCGCCTCCAACAGCGAGCGAGTTGCATGCATGGATACTGCGGCAACAGATTTTATTGGAACACGAACGAAAGGAGGAACGTGAGCAGAATGCTCTGTTGCTATCAAAATGTCCGCCTCGTGTTCTTGCTCGCCATGGTCTCGCTTTGTTGGGTCTATTTGTCGCCAGCTCGCGCACCGGCGAGGGCGGCAAGTTGCTTGTAGAACTGCAGTATTCTACGGCATTGCATGCCTCACCCGTATTAGGACCACATACGTTCCGTCCTGGTGATGTGTGTGCACTAGAAGAGCACGAGTCGAGCAAAGCGACGTCTTGCACACTAAGTTTGCGAGCTGTCGTGTACCGAGTTAGCGAGACAAGCATCATTTTGGCTCTAGACGAACGTAGTGCTTCACACGAAGACCATGAAACAGATTTACCGCCACTGATTCGTATCGTGCAATTAGCGAATGAGGCGACATATGATCGGCTTGTCGAGACACTCGAGTCACTTGCACGTGTGATGGGTTTGCCTACGCAGCAAGACGTACCTGCCCCTGAATTAGAGCTCTCCGCACATGCGCCCCGAGTTGTTCGTTCTTTGCTTGGTCTCGAAACTCCTGCATGGAGGAAAGAGACTCCCGCCTGGATTCCGATCCAACCACATCTCAATGATACCCAAAGGGGTGCGATTTCTTTTGCTTTGCGCTCGGAGCATCTTGCTTTGATTCACGGTCCACCTGGGACGGGTAAGACGACGGCTGTAGCGGAGCTCATCGTACAACTAGCGACTCTCGATCCTAAGGCACGCATCCTGGTGTGCGGAGCAAGTAACTTGGCCGTGGACAATTTGCTCGAACGCATTACGTCACCGGCGTACAAAGATGCTCTTGCTCGTGCGGATGCACGTGTTACGCGTATTGGTCACCCGGCGCGTGTTCTTCCCTCTCTTACAAGTGCTACACTTGATGTGCAAAGCCGACAGTCATCCGAGGGGCAGCTTGTGCGTGATGTGGCTGCCGAGATCGACGAACTCATGCAGCGACTTGTTCCGCCCCGCACAGGTGCTCGGGCAGGCAATAAAAGTGCACGCAATATTCCGCGTGTCAAAGGCCTTGAGCGACGCAAGATGTGGGAGCAGGTCCGTGAGCTTCGAAAAGAGTACCGACGACGCGATCGAGCTCTCAGTAATACCGTATTGAAGAATGCCCGCATAATTATGTCTACATGCCATGGTGCTGGTGCCCGGCAGCTCGATGACATGCAATTTGATGTGTGCATCATTGACGAGGCATGTCAAGCGCTCGAAATGTCCTGTTGGACGCCCGTGCTTCGACTTGCACCCCACGGACGTGTGTTCCTAAGTGGCGATCATTTGCAATTACCGCCCACTGTCATGGCCGATGCCCCACGACTGCCTGCTGGCTCAGGCACTTTGCGCCCGAGTGCTTCGTTGGAGGTCACCATGTTTGATCGAATTCTAGACATGTACGGTGAGGGATGCAAGGCATTTCTCTCCGTACAATATCGTATGAACCGGGAAATCATGGCATTCCCCAATTCTCAGCTATACAAGGGTCAGTTAGTTGCACACGAAAGCTGTGCGTCCATTCGACTAACGGATCTTGGTGTCGAGGGTGATGACGACGACTTGTTTTGTGCACCATTAGTCCTTTACGATACGACCGGCGCTGGCATGTATGAACGCGAGGACGAAGCAGTATTATCAACGCATTCACGAGTTAATGAAAATGAAGTGGCGCTTGTTCTGCGTCACATGGAGTTGCTCGTTGAGCATGGCATAGCGCCTGAGTCCATCGCTGTCTTATCGCCGTATTCGGCGCAAGTGCATTTACTCAGTCAGCAAATACGCAGTGCGTACGGTGCACGCGTAGAGGTTGGGACAGTCGATGGTATGCAAGGGCGTGAGAAAGAAGTCGTCATTGTTAGTCTCGTAAGGAGCAACGACGAGCACCAGATTGGCTTTCTTCAAGACAGCCGGCGATTGAATGTTGCTATGACTCGCGCTAAAAGACAACTTGTCATTGTAGGCGATGCCGACACCGTCGGGGAGGGCAAGAAAGACGCATCAGCGCCTCGAAAGTTCCTTCATGCTTGGACAGAACATCTGCATTCACAGGCACTTGTCGAAATGGCTACATAGGTGAAATTCATATGATACATAGGACGACGACGAGGGGAAGAGACATCGGAATAAAAAAGCTTTTATGGTGGCAGACCGCAGAGATATAGGAACATAAAAAGAGACGGGCATGTGAAGCATGTCAGGAGAAGAGAATGGTCCAGGAAAACGCAAGGAACGTCAGTAGCGCAACGCAAGGAGGCGATCCACATCAATGGAGGCACCCTAGCCCACAGTAGCAGTTTCTTACACAAGGCCATCATAAAGTGAAAGAGCCTGCACTATCGACGGATCTTGTTTTGACCCCTCTTTGAATTCCTCGAACGAGAGTTCCGCGTTCTTGTCTCTGTCCATTAGCGCGAAGATCTTGTCAACACGTTTTTCCGGCGTGTCTTCGTCGGGTGGCAACTTGACCATCTGGCCGGTGAGCTTGTAGATAGCCCGAACAATTGTCAACATTTCGTTGTAAGTGATCGTTCCATCACCATCGATGTCATACAGTTGGAACGCCCAGCGCAGTTTCTCATCCAAACGGCCTCGCCCCGTTACACTCAGTGCGCAAATAAATTCCTTGAAATCAATGTAACCATTCTTGTTTGCATCAAATACGTTGAATACGTGTTCAGCAAGTGGTGTTGGATCGCCAAATGGGAAGAACTGCTTGTACATGCGTGAAAACTCCTCCTTATCCAGCACACCCGGTGGACAGTCGTTCATGAACCCTCTGTACCACTGCTGTAATTCTTTGCGGTCGACTACGTCATTAGAATCTGAGTAACATACAATAGGTGATATTCTGCAGCTCTGTGAGCTGTTCGGGCGTTAGCTTTGACTGTGTCTTCCCCATCGCTAGTGGTTAGTGATCAACGAAATACTTCAGTTGTGGCGCTGTCGGGGCGAGGCGACTCGCAACACAGGCTCACTTGTTTTCGGCCGTATATGAATTTCAAGTTCTTTTCTTCGCCGTGGCATAGGTACGTGCACATTCTGGGGCAGTGATTTTTAATTCATCTTGGCTCGTGTGGAGAAAAGTGGGTCGGCGCCCATGCAATGTAGAGCTCAATGAAAGTAGGCCATCCCTAGTGGGCCCTTCTGGTCCTTATCAAGTTCGGATCATATGTCTCACACTCATTCGACGTTCAAGCCGCTTCTAAGCCAGCTTGTGCAAAGCATTCCCCTACCAGAACCACCCAGCGGAAAGCTACGTGATCCCAAGCCGTCGCTTTCGCGGGACCAGCTTGAAGCTTTGCTGCTGCATCTAACTGACGTCAATTTTACGCAAAATCCTGCGCACCATGCCGCTATCGGATCAGCGCTCACGGCACTGCGTATATCAGGCATAGACATGCAGCCTTCGACCCTGGCATTCATGCGTGAAAAGTTTCTCGATCAGGTCCAGCATTTCGACGTGCCTGAAGGTCTCAAGACGCCAGCATCTGATTATACGGGCTGGGTCGATATTGTTGGAACCGGTGGCGACGGCCAAGATACCTTTAATGTATCTACAACGGCCATGTTTGTAGCTGGTGGAGTTGATGGTGTGCATGTGGCGAAACATGGTGGCAAGGCGTCATCATCGTCGTCTGGCTCTGCCGAACTCCTTCTCAGTTTGGGCCTTCCGCTTTTCGATGTTCCCAATGACAAAGTTGTTGCACTTCTGCCATCTTGCTCCTGTACATTTTTGCTTGCTCCTATGTTTCATCGTGCAATGATGCCTCTTGCACCGATCCGTGCATCTCTTGGTTTCCCTACTCTGTTTAATATCTTAGGTCCTCTCATGAACCCTGTGCGTCCTAAACGCGGCGTTTACGGCGTACACAGTTCTGGCCTTGGGCGAATTTATGCTGAAACACTTCAAATGGCTGGTATGGAATTTTTCTGGGTCGTGTGTGGTGAGGAAGGACTGGATGAAATCAGTCCTGCTGGTCCTAGCCACGTCTGGGAGGTCCGCCAGGGTGCTGTGCACCACAGGACTGTGTCGCCACAAGATTTTGGCATTCCGACGCATTCTCTGGACCAGGTTCGCTCAGGCTCTGCCTCCTCGAATGCGGCTATTGTCGCTTACATGTTCACACATTCAGACACATTGCCGGACGTGCCCCTCACTGAACCATTGCATGTATCGTGTGACGTTCCGCATGTGAAGCTCGAGCCAATTCCTGCAGGCACAAATCTACGCGCTATCTTCGATTATACGATACTTCAAGCTGCTGCACTTTTGTATGTAGCTGGTCATGGGCAAGGCGACTTGAAGCAATGTGCTGAATTAGCACGCATGTCCATTCTAAATGGCAAAGCTGCTGGTGCTTGGCATCGTCTTCATGCGCATATGCACAAAGCCGCTGACCCATCTTCATAGCCGAAATCCGTCCAAATATGCAATCAAGCCACCAACAAGTCATCGCGGCGCTGCCAATGCATTGAGTCCGTTATCCATCTAGTGCTACAAGGAGTAAAGAATATATAAAAAGCGCTAGCTTAATTCATCTCACGCAAAAAGCCACCATTCTTCTTCATACGGTACTTGTAGGGCATGCCAGCACGCAGGCGATCAGGATCATCGCGCGGCTTTGCAAAGCCATTAGATCCTTGCCCATAGCGAGGGCGTCCATTAGCCTCTCGCCGAGCTCGATCCAGACGGATCTTGCGTCCAAGTTCCGTTTCACCATCGATATGGTCTGCTGGTGCACGTGCGGCACTGTCACCGACAGCAAACACAGGAGGCGCATCTTCATCGCCAAGTTTTCCCTGTGGCATCAAGACATTCTCTTTTGTTGCATCAACCTTTTTGATGCCGTTAGGTGTCTTGAATACATGCTGGCCCGAAAGGAGATCGCGACCGGCTGCACCAAGCTCGCTCATTGCTTCGTACTCCTTAGCTTGTTGCGCCATCTCTGGCGAGAACTGCTTATCATATTCGCTCTCATATGTCTTTCCAACAGCTTCGGCGTGCATCTTGCGTCGTTCGTCTTCCTCAATGGATGGCAGTCCCTCAGCTTGACGCTCCCGTTGCTCCTCTTCTCGTTCAATCTGTGCATGCTGGTTAAAATGCTGGATATCTTCGGGGTGGGAATAAGCTTCCTCCGTCTGTTCATCAGGAGTTTTGTGGTACAAGCTTTCGTGGTGGACAAAATACTCCGACTCGTCGTCGTAGTGATGGCCGAGGGCATGCTTTCCGAACTCAGGGAATTGTGGAAGGCCAGCCTTACCACCACGCAAAAATTCCGCTCGCGAAACCACACCATCTTTGTTAGTATCAAGTCGGCGCAAAACTTCTCGAACAATCATGTCTGCTTTGCCGTCGTGGACTTCAGCATTCTGCGAGTGCTTTCGAGACAAGGAATGATGTACACCATATATGGCTTCGATTTCTGCACGTTCTAAAATGCCATTGCGGTCTAAGTCATGTAGTGCAAAGAAGCTCGCGAGATCAAACGCTCCGATGTGATGTTCTGAGGCCATGTGATCCTGCATATAGTTGTTTGGATCTTTCTCAGTATAGACCTCGCCTTTCGGTGCATTCCGTGCGACCACAGCGCCGAGAAGCGCGGCGAGCATGCATGAATACACGATTTGTTTCATGGGATGGTAATTAGGAGCCGAGAACCGATGAAAGTTGCATCATTTCATCTTCGTGTACGATTTGCCTAGCACACGGCCCTGTGTTCGTAAATAGTGTGACCGTGGTGGAGGCTCATGTACATTGGCATGCTCTATTGCCATGATTGGACCAGTAGAAATCGCGCGTTTTACACTCCTTGCATGAACTGTCAGGTGCTGCCGCGCCATGTTAAGGCAACGCTGACCGACAGCCACTAGTCTCACAACTCCTTTAGGCTGGTCCAGCCTCAGCGTGTAGAGAGAAAGAAGATATATCAATTTGCCAAATGTCTACAAGTTTTGTTTTTCGAGCGCTTGGAGCGCTACGAGGTTTGCATATATACCATTCCGTTGCATGAGTGTTTGGTGATTGCCTTCCTCGGCGACAACGCCTTTGTGGAACGCAAAAATACAGTCGGCATGTGCAATAGAAGCAAGTCGATGCGCGATAGAAATCGTAGTCCGTCCAGTGGCCGCTCGGTCCAGAGCTTGCTGTACAATTTTCTCGGAGTCTGAATCAAGGGCACTGGTCGCCTCGTCAAGTAGGAGGATCTTTGGATTCCGCACAAGTGCACGTGCGATGGCCAAGCGCTGCTTCTGGCCGCCACTCAGCTGCGTGCCTTTGCTACCCACCTGGGTATTGAAGCCGTCTGGAAGACTGTCGATGAAATCGAGGATATTGGCAGAGCGAGCGACATCTCGCATTTGAGTCTCCGTCACATCGTCTGGATTGTCAATTGCCCCCATCCGAAGGTTGAATGCAATGGTGCCGTCATAAAGCGTTGGCTCTTGCGACACCAGTGCGATATGCCTGCGAAGCGAGTTTAGGTTCAGCGAGCGCAGATCGTACCCGTCAAGCAAGATGCGTCCTCGCTGAACATCATAAAACCGCTCAATCAACTGGATTGTCGTGGACTTGCCACAGCCGCTGCTACCCACCAGCGCACAGTGTGTGCCGGGCAATATGTCCATCGACACATTGCGAAGTACCTTTATGCCAGGCCGCGATGGATACTCAAATTCGACATGTTCGAAGCGTAAGTGTCCCTCGCAATGGTCCAACACGATGCCTTCTTCTGATTGAATATCAATTTCCGGTTTTTGATCTAGCAGAGCAAACATATTCGTTCCAGCACTTGCGGCATTTGAGACATCGGGCACAAAGTTGAAGATATTCCCAGCTTGGATACTACCAAATACCACCGCTGTGAAAATCGTGAAGAATTGGCTCGAAGTGTACTCCAAACGCATAACAAGCCGGTATCCGTACCAGAAGCCAAGTGCGATGACAAAGTAAGCTGTTGACTGTGAGAGCGCATAGAAGATGTTACCCCATAAGGCGGCGTTCTTCGCGACCCTTGAGGCCTTTTGCAGCGCGGCTTCGTACCTCTGCAAGCAATCATCCTCGCGTGTCAGTGATGCGACGGTGCGAATGGCTGAAGCAGACTCGCAAGCCATGTGTGACGTAGACAAATGCACGCGTCGCACTTTGACGTCCTTCTGAACGACAAGCTTCAGACGCACAAAGCCCGCACAAAGTGTGAAGGGAACGCATGCAATAACAACAAGCGCGAGCTTCCATCCATAGATTAGTGAAATGATCGCTCCAATCAGGAGAGTTGAAATAGACTGGACGATCGCACCCATCGACACACCCACAAAGCTGTTGACTTTGAGAGTATTTTCCGCGAGAGAGGACGTGAGCGTCCCGCTGCTGTGGCCATCTTCGTCAAAGTATGACACGTCAGCACGCATGTATGCACGGAACATGAGAGCGCGAAGCCTTTGCATCAAGACGGCGGAACCTTGCTGGATCAGCGAGTTTTGAAACGTCGTTGTGATGGTGGACAAGATTGCAATGACAAAGAAATACAATGCATGGTGATCTGCAGTATGCCGCATCTGATCGCGGATAGGCTCGGGACATGGCACGCCTTTCTCGTTCTCACAACGCCCATAGTTGTCGAGTGCCAGGCCGAACAAGATGGAAAAACATGGGTAGGCAGCTCCTGATGCGCAAGCACACAGAACTCCGGGTAAAAAGAAAGGCATGATCAAATCGTGTCCTATTTTGGCCAGTCGAGCCGTGAGCTTGGTAAGTCCCATCGTGCGTTGCTTCACCGACTCGTCATAAACGCCTGTTTTCAGGCCATGCATCTTCATTACATGCGTGAGCGTACTTTCAGTTGACTGCAGACTCATTTTGCTCGGCATGCGAGAGAGCGGCTCTTCCTCAATACCAAGCCCATTCGTTATAGGCATCGGCGCACTCATAAGAGCCTGTGCATTGTTGTTATGGATCCGCTGTGTAGCAACCAGATTGGCATACACACCGTCTTTGATATCCAGCAATGTATCGTGACGCCCTTGCTCCACTATGACACCTTTTTTCATCACCACAATGTTGTTGGCATTCTTGATGGTGCTAAGACGATGAGCCACGGTGATGGTCGTGCGTCCATGAGCCGCGCGATCCAATGCTTCTTGCACGATGCTTTCACTCGCCGTGTCAAGCGCGCTTGTAGCCTCGTCAAGAAGCAAAATGCGAGGATTCTTCACGATAGCTCGCGCTATCGAAACACGCTGCTTCTGACCACCACTCAGCAATCCCGCACGCTCGCCAACAAGAGTATGATAGCCCTCGGGCAGCTGCGTAATAAAGTCATGCGCATTTGCAAGTTTGGCGGCGTGTTGGATGAGTTTGTCCTTTTCTTCCTCAGGCCAGTGTTCGTACGGCGTATGCAATAGTCCGAACGCGATGTTTTCCCAGACGGTCGTTGCAAAAAGCGTTGGCTCTTGTGATACGAGACCGATTTGTGTGCGCAGCCAGCGTATATTGAGCTCACGAATAGGCACGCCATCGAGAAACACGTCACCTTCCGTCGGTTCGTAAAAACGCTCAATCAGGGAGACAATAGTGCTCTTGCCTGAGCCTGACGGTCCAACAAGCGCAGTCGTTTGCCCCGGAAGCATGTCAAGGTTGAAGTTTGACAGAATCTTGATCTCGGGCCGAGACGGATACGAAAAACATACATTGCGCACGGACAAATGGCCCATGCAAGTCGCAGGTCGGATGCCTTCGTCACTAAACGCATCGATCTTCGATTGGCGGTCAATAGTTTCAAATACTTTACCGCCTGCTGCCTGAGCAAAACTGAGGGACTGTAGGTTTGGTGCGAGCATGGCCATACTAAATGCACCAATCAGCACAGAAAAAATGACGTTCATGACGATACCACCCTGCACCTCGCCATTGGCGACAAGCTTGGAGCCAAAGTAAAAGGCGAGTGCATAAGCAGAGTAAATACAGAAAAAGAAGGCACCGATACCGAGGCCCGACGCCATAGCGCGACGCTTACTCGCGCTAAGAGCAACGCTGTTTCTCCCTTCATACAGCTTCGCGAGATGTGCATTCATTCCGAACGCTTTGACGGTGCGGACCGTCGATATACCTTCTTCGGCAATAGACGCTGCTTTTGCCACATGCTCCAGTTCGACCTGTTGGTATTTGGATACGAATATGTTCATAAAAATGGCCGAACCAACAATGCAAGGAAGAATCGACGTCATAACAAGTGCCAGTTTCCAATTTCGCACATACGCCACGACAAAGCCAGCAATAAAAGTTGAAATAAATGCTACCATAAGAGGCAGCTTGTCACTAATGCCATCTTGGATTAGCTGGATATCACTTTGAATGCGGGTAGTGATCTCGCCAGCACCTAGCGTATCGAAGTATGCCATATCTTGGCGCAGAATAGCTCGCAGGTACTCAATCCTGATGCGTTGTGTAATGACCTCACCTGTATACACAAACACGGCCATGTACACGTAGATAACGATAAAAGAGGCGATACCAATGATCACGAGGTAGACGGCGTCTCGATTTACCATGTGGGCAGCATCGAGAAAATATTGCAGTTTCTGCTGCTGCGTCAGATTCGGATTGCTGGAGGCTAGAAACTTGTTGGCCAAATTGCCAAATAGGATCGTCATGAGTGGCTGTGCCGTGCCAGAGGCTGCACCACATATAAGACCGATCAGGTTCAAGAAACGCTCCTTGGGGGTTGCAAAGCGAAATAGTTCATTAAATTTGACAGGCTTGGGCCCCGGAGGTTTGGCAGGTTTAGATGGCACACCTAGTTTACTGTGTCGCTTAGAAGATGGGCGGAGCACCGTATCTTTCTCTTTTAGATTATCCGTCGACTGCCACGCACTGGAGGGTGATTGAGGCTCAAACGTGATGGAAGGGATATCCGTCTTGCTAGGACCTGAACTGTGACGGTAACCAGATACATAATATGGGTGCAGATCGCCGCTTTCCCAATTTGATCGAGGTGAATGAGGGTACGAGGGCTGCAGTGGGCTCATGAGCAAGTCACCACCGGTGTAAGTACGTGGCAGAGAGTCATAGCCAGGTGAGTCCATGAGTCTGTTGCTGTCGCCATCTTTCGAAGGCATATTTGAGTAGGAAAATTCATGTGTAGGGTGCTTGCGGCGTTGGGGCGTTTCCCAGGGCTGTGAGCCAGCTTGTGGCGATTGGTTGCCAAACGTGTCCACGGACATGAGCGGATTGGGCGAAGTCGGCTCAGACGTTGGATATGAAAGCAGAGGCGGCATAAACCGAAAGTCATCATTGCCGCTATACTGAAAAGACTCAAAGTGGTCGTTCGATAAGTCGGCTTGAATGAAGGGTCTATGATACCATGCAGGTGTGGCTGGTGTTTCCAAGCCCTGATATACGTTAGTGGGTTGCGGAGAAATGGGCTTTTCGGGATCATCCTTCGTCTCCGATGGGTCGGACGTCATGGCCTGACCCCATAGGATATATGGGGAATCCTGATCTGCTCCCATGGGTATGAACCCTCACAGCCAAAATTGCGTGCGCCCGCACACTAGTGTCTGTCCCACCCCGGTGTTACTAGACAAGTATATGGAGAAATAATATGTATAGACATCCAACCCCCTACGTACGAGACGCCTGTGACCCTACGGGCAAGTAATTCTGATTGGCTGGGACTGTGGAGGTGCTCGACGACGAACACGCGCTCAATGACAATTTGGACGTGGACAATTGACGTCGAGCCTCACATAGAGTGTGAAGATTCATCAACACAGGCGAATGGTCGTCAACCTCATCGTCGGTCAAGACGTGTTGATTCCAAGCATCGCGGGCAAGTGCTAGAAAATCCAAGGGTACAACGCTGGGCAAGACAAGCACATGAATGGGAGGCTTCATCTCCGTGACATCCTCACGGATAGCGAGGCGTTCCGCATGATCCAGTGCTGCCTCGATCGCATTCCTATCGCCACGTGCCTTTGCGCCAATTATCACGTATATTTCCAAATAAGCATCAACGACTGACACAGCATCTGTTCGGATGTACTTCAGACAGAATTTAACAGGCTTTGTTGTATGTGCAGGTGAATACAACTTGACACACCGCTTGGGGCCGGGCAAACCGGGCCGCCGTCGATGATGCCAACCATTTGCGTATTCCCTATCATCAAACAGCGAGAAAAATTCGTCCGTTTGAACGACCTTGTGCGTTGGTGCTAGAGATTTTGTCCATGCAATTGCGTGCTGCTGTTGTGCGTCATCACTGCCGATGCCATGCCACACCCACACGCCATGGGACGTGGATGCAACAGCACTGAAGGCTGAGCAAAGAGAGCTGGCTTCAAACGGCACTTGATCCACAAACACGCCATTTTCTTCATCGTCTTTGCGTACGATAAATAGTGTGTCCTTGCGCGCTTCCTTGAGTGATGCTTCGTCTGGAGATCCTTGCATCGTCACGAGCATGCCGCCAATCGCTCGCATAAAGGTCAAAGATTCACAGCCTTGGTGTTCTTTTGAAGGCTGAGTTCCAAGCTGCATATGCGACTCTTTCGACAACATTGCTTCCCAGTTTGGAGGCGCTGAGCGGCCCAGCCAAATATACGACGAAGCCGCGCCGCCATTTACCCATACCACATCCGTTTCATACAGCGTAAGGGGTTGTGCAATGGGAAGCCAGACGCCGTGCGCACAAAGCCGCAGGAAAGTCGTAGCTGCAAGTTTTTGTAGTTCAGATGATCCGGGCGCGCTTTCCACGGCCATCTTATCGATACATGGATTAGCCTGCGACTTGGACTTTGGCTGCAGAGATACTGGTGGAGGCGAAGGGTGCTGCTGTTGCTCCGGCGGCACCGCTTGGGCTGTGACTTTGTGTTCGCCAGACAATACTTTTGCGGCACCTTGGACTATGATGTCATGCTCAATGCTGTGCATACGTGATTCCAATACGTCCAGGGAGTCATCTTTGTATATAGGCACTTGATGAACGACAATCGGCTGTCCTCGGTCGACCTCAGCGACAACCTCATGGACCATTGCACCCGTGTATTGAATGCGTCCATGCTGGAATGCCTCGTAAGCACGCTCAATTGCATTGGCACCATCGAAGGCACCAGGAAGTGCTGGATGCAAATTGATAATTGGCACAGGCCGTTTAGGACGCTTTTCAAACGTTGGTGGCGAGCGAAGCGACGTCATATGACCCATGGCACTTAGAAATGTCTCAGATACAATGTGCATGAAGCCGGCAAGAACCACAAGGTCAGGAGCGCATCCATCATCACCTAACACATGTTCGGCCAGCAAAAGATCGTAGTCCTCACGCGTCTTGCCAGGGTTCCGTGTTTGGTATGTCTTGAGACTGTGTACACATGTAGGAATGGGCGGATCGACATTCTTCGCTCGCTGCAGTCCGTATGCTTTCATTCGGTTCGATATAACTCGCACGATTTGTGCGTTGGGAATTTCGGGCGACGTACCGCATGTGGCGTCAATGATCGCCTGAAGATTACTGCCGGAACCAGATATAAGCACCACGATACGCTTGCCAGAGGTGCTACGCTTGGGGAGAGATGGAGTGGCATGAGCAGTGCCTGATGCATTGTCTGTGGCCCTTTCAGTTTCTTTCAAAGCAGTTTCATGCTGATTCTTGGTGTCGCTCTGCGCGTCTCTGTTGCGGTCATGGCCATGTGTAGCGGAGTTCCCAGCTTCGAGTGACGTGTCCGTGATGGATGTTGGCGCTGGCTCGTTCCCAGGAGACACTACTTTATCACTTGGCTGGGATGGTTCTTCATGTTGCGTCTCTTGCTTCGATTTGTGGTCGTTGTCGTTCGTAAGTTCGGGGAACAGTTCTTTTTGGCGTTGTTCCATAAAACTGGCCATCGATCCAGGCTTCGTTAGACCAGGAAGTCTCTGATACTCTGTTTGCGACTCATCAAATGAGGAGGTGCGTCCGTCGCCGGTTAATTTGCCGAGACGAGGCGCGTTGGCTTTGCCGCCAATGAATGCACTTAGAGATTGCGGCTCACCTGATTCGTTCACAGCAGCATGGCCCGTAGGTCCATTCGGTCCACCATAGCGGGCCAAGAGGGCTTCTGCGCGGGCACGCATTGGCGCTGGCTTGTCTTCAGACTCTTGATGAGCCATTCCACACTAAATCAAACACGCTAGGACTCTCGCTCCCTTAGCGCAGCCTCTCTTTCTACCGCCTATAACGAGGTAGTAACGTGCGTCGCTAAAGTTCCTAATGGGACATTTGTCGTCACGTGGCCATGCACAATGAGAAGTGAGATGTGTCTAACCTATAGAGAGAAAACTCATACATACATTAAAATACGATTCAGGTAGTGAGAGATGAAGGCAACATCAAAATCCAATACGTCAACAGGACATTGTCCGAGTCGTCACATGCGAGCGTGTATTTCTATAATGCGCAAGCCACTTCACTCTGGATGGCTGCACTGCGCGCAGCAGTTTGTGTCAGCCATTCGATCGCGGCGTCTGCAAGCTTCTCTTGCGCTTCGGCTTTACTAACTTCAGCACGACGCTGGCTAATAGCCACGCGGAACTTTTCTTGAATGTCCCAGCTAGCGAGGCGCAAGACTTTGCGGACCTCGCGCATCGTGCGCATGCTATGCATCGTAGCAAATACATTCGAAGAATTACGCAAAAGGGCTGGGCTGTTGCCGGGAAGCTGGACAACGCCAACACCACTGCACAGCTCCTTCTTCAGACTGCGACCGACGTTGCGTGGCACGGCATTCGGCAGGTCCGACACAACCCAGGCCATGACTCCGGCACCGACCAGCAGTAGCACAGGCCCAGCCCAGCGACGCACAGAACGGCTTCCTAAAATGTCCGTCAAGCGAACGAACGCTTGTGCAAACGTCTTGGCACTCAGTGCATGTCCACCGATCAGACTCAATGCACCGAGGCCAATAGTAAAGCTTGGCGCTGAGACAGCTTTTCTTCTGACTCAGACGACACTTTGGCACGCTCTCCGCCCATTACAAGGGAGAAGTGATATGGCACGTCAAACAGATCCGTTAGGCGAACTGACACGATGTCGAGACTAACTCCCAGGCCAGCAAATGCAGTGTTCTCGTGCCTCTTGGTGAACATAGCCTCTGGGACGAACACGCGCTTTGGCAACTCCATGTCCTTTGGTAGGAACTGCTCTCCAGTGTGAGTCACGCGGTTTACAGCGTCGGCTGTGAAGTCGCGCGCCTTGGACTCGCACTCATTTACGGCAGCTTGCAGACTCTTAAGAAGAGCCTCGCGTGTATCCTGAGCGTATTGCCAAAGGCTTAAAAGCCCGGGATAAGCTGGAAGCTTCACCGATGCGTGCGCAGACTGACCTTGCCCAACCGTCTCGAGCGCATTCGAGATCGCTTCCTCCGTCGACTGGGTGATGGATGATACGACTTTGTCTTCTTCATTTTCAACGATGCGTTGGGCTTTGAGCGCATTTGACTCACATGCTGCAAGAGCTGGGCGGCTGACGCTTAGTTCACGACGTGCTGCGGCGAGGTCTTCCTTAGCCGCACTCTCATTCAACTGCACAAGGAAAAGCATATCGTTGAGTAGTCGTTCCATATACGTCTTTGCAGGTAGCAGCTTGGACTTGGTGCGACGTCGCAACAAGAATTGGTGTAGATTCGACTCGAGGGCAGCAAAACGCTCTGCCTGGTCGTTGCTGGATGCTGCATCGTTTGTCGTTTCACACATGGCACGCGCATCGACGAAATGAACAAGTTCTTCTGCTTCTTCGTACGTGCGCGGGCTCAGTTGTCGAATTTGCTCAAGAACACGGCGCCGGCATTTTTCTTTGTTGCGAATCTGGTCGAATTTGTTGACGACCACAAACACATACGCCTTCTCGTTGCTAGCATTCAGCAAGAATTCACATGCACTCAGTGTAAAGTGGTTCTCAGCGCTCACAACAAAAACAATGACATCGATTTCCTCTTCACGGGCGAACAACGCTGTGGTTTTCACACTGTCTTGGTTAAGGCCAGGCGCATCAATCAATGCGATATCGACGGCGCCGTTGTGCAGTAGGCTCTCATGCACTTCCCGCGCATTTAAGCAGAAGCATTTGAGTACGGGGGGTTCGCTTTCATCCTCTTTGTCTTCTTCTTCTGCAAAAATCGCTTCCAACTCATCAAGACTGCGTCGCGTGTACGTAGACGAGTTCTCTGCATCGTACGACGAGACATCACGCACGAGATGTACTTCCTCACGCCCATTATTCTCACGCTCCGCATCGTGAATCTCACAAAATACCGATGTACAGGGCTGCTGGTCGGTTGGAACTAGATCACGGCGCATCAGTGCGTTGATGAACGTTGACTTTCCTGCGTTCAAGTCACCAGTCACAAGAACTTTCGATTGCGTATCAATGATGCGCATACGAAGACTCTGCAGGTGTTTGAGCGAACGGCTCATCCGCTCGTCTAAAAGTTGGCCCACTGAAGACTTTTCTAAAGAGCTCACCAAAGCGCTGGCATTCTGTGTGGCACCCAACTTCAGGTCCAAGCGTAGGATGGATAGGGGCCATGTCGAGCTATCCGTACTGACCTCCTTCGAAGGATACCGAAGGATCCACTGATCCTTGTTGAATGTGCGCAAATCCCGAAGAACCGCGTTTGTGGCGTCGATGGACGCGCATAGACGATCACGTCCTTCGACAAAAATTTCCTCACAAGTCTCTGCCGTCACGCCTGCTGAGTACGCAGCCGGCATATCAAATCCAGCTGCACTCTCAGCATCTACGGACGGCTCAGGTTTCGCCCTTAGTTCAAAGTGGGATGCCATAAAAACAAACCCGTCGTCGTTGGTCAACGTAAACTTAGATTCCACACCTTCGCTCACTTGGGTGGCAAGAAAAGAACAAATTTTCAGATTTATCCTCCTGCCGGGTAGAGAGCAGATGCACTTGTCTCGTGACGGACTAGATTAGGAGATCAATCGGTAACAAAAAAATTTTAGCAAGGAAGGATTTAGTGGGAAGTAATTCCAATGCAAACCTTTGGTTGGTTAGGGCCATGTCGAATCCTTATGCGGCGCACGGCCCAGGTGAACTAACTGTGAAATTGAGACACTCCTGTCACATTGACCGCCGCTGTACGATTCAGCTTTATTCGATGCTATTCGGACTCTTAGGCACAGCACGCAATACGATCTTACCTCGGCCATATAGGTTCAAACTGGAGTGCTTTGAATCTGATGCGAACCCAATTCTTGCTTTGATACATGAGCATTGCCCTACGATATCGGGCACCAAGTCTGCTACAGCGTCTCGATGGCTTGCATCAGGGCATTTGCAGACAGTTTATACGAGTTTGATGAATACATCTAATACGGATGATATTACGTACAAGCGTAAGGTGATGATGGTCCCAGACGGTGGGATTGTGGCGTTGGACTTCGGTACGTACAGATTCAAGACCATCGTTACTCACATTCGCAGCACCAGTATCCATGGCTGAGCCCTCATCAACCGACAGCACGCCCACTGTCGTTATTCTACACGGACTTACGGGTGGCTCTAATGAGTCATATGTGCGAAATGCTATTGCACAGCTGATCAAGAGCCGTGAGGAGGGAGGTGCAGGTGTCCGATGCGTAGTTGTTAACTTTCGTGGATGTGCACAAACACCATTGACGTCTCCTCAGCTTTACTCGGCGTGCAAGGTCACAGATCTTGAGTCGGCGCTGCTGCTCCTTACGCGCATGTTCCCTCAGTCGCCTATGGTAGGGCTAGGCTTCTCGTTAGGTGGCTCGATTCTCACTCGGTACATGGGCTTGACCGGGAAAAACACCCCCCTCATAGGCGCCATACCCGTGGGTGCGCCCTTCGACTTGAGCAAATCGAGCGCATCCCTCGAGTCAACATCATTGAACAGAATTTATGCGAAGGTGCTGGGCTCTAGCTTGTACAAAATGGCCCAACGGCATGCTGACGTGCTTGCCCTGTCGCCTGATCTATGGGAACCTTTAGAGTTGATATTCCGCACCAAGATTGATCCGGACGCATCTAAACCTGTGGCAAAGCCAACTTTCGAGTCGCCTCAGTACTGTACGCTTCGATTTGTCGACCACGTCATGACGCGTGTCGCCGGTGGTCTACCCACTCCCTACGGTGACTTCCCGTTCTCGTCGGCTGAGGAGTACTACAAATCCAGCAGTCCTCAGAATACGCTTGCAAACATTGCGAGACCATTGCTGGCACTCTCCGCGGATGATGATCCAATCGTACCACTAGAGACGCTTGAGGCTGCGATTACCGGTGTCAAAAAGAACCAGAATCTTGTTCTTGCGCACAGCCAGTGTGGCGGGCATTTGGGCTGGTTTGCGGGACCTCGTGGAGAACGTTGGATCAAGCATCCCATTACAGAGTTTGTTTGTGCGTTATGTGACGCGCATGCAGCGTCAAAGGTAAATGCCTTGGGCAAAGGGTTGGGCACGGGCGGCCCTCAGGCCAGCGCTTGGAGATGGCGTTCAATCGACAAGCGCTCGGTTCAAGTAGAGGTGCTACCAAAGTCTCAAGTTCCATCCGTGCTTCCCCAGTCTCTTCGTGCTGCTTCCGAACCAGATAATGAACTAAGCAACGAACTCGTTTGGCTTCGTTCTCAAGTATTGCCACATCTTCCTTTGCGCCATCCGAACGATTCACCGGCTAAGAGACAAGACATTCCGAAAGGCCGCATGCTCTCGTTGACATTGGTATGTACTCGTATATGCGGCTATTGTGGTTGGCATTCGTTCATAAGGCTAACGCGCGACCTGCCACAGCATTCCGACTCAATCCGTCCAGAGGTGGGCTTTATCGAATTGCCAGATGACGTTCGTGTTGGTACGTACATATATCATTTGGACATCTGTCGTGCATTTCTAATGCGAACAGCTGGAAATGGGTGTCTCGTGCATAACCTTGAAATGTCCCGGATCCCCAGGGTAGACACGGAAGCTTCAGATGCGAGACCAGATCACTCCCAATAAGTCATTGCTGACTGAGAGTCCAATGTTGCAGTAAACCTTAACATATACAGCCGTATTCATCCCATCACCGCGTAACACTCAGATACGGCAGGACTGTCACATTGTTTCCAGCCCCTAGAAGCAAATGATTTGTGTAGACATAGTTTCTAGCTCACCGACACTAATGTTCGTCTAGAAATGCTACTGACGCAGGGACAGAACCCGCAGCAGCAACATATACGCTGATTACTACGTATTGAAAGCGTACAAGGGACAAAATAAAGCAAGTACACATCCGAATGCGTGACATCGATCGCACCACACAAGGGTTCATCTCCGGTTAATCACCTACGTACATCACGAACAGAGGTGCATACTGTACAGTGACGCCTTTTTTAGAATAGCATGTCAAGCGAGGACAAGAACTTAGATGAGGCCAATGCGGTTCGACACATCGAGGGCATCCTGGTCAGGGGTCAGACGAATGAATGCCTTCTTCTTGCCATCAGGGCGAATGAGCGTGTTCACCTTGGCAGCTTCCACATCGTAAGCCTGCTTGAGAGCCTGCTTGATCTGGCGCTTGTTGGTCTTACGGTCAACAATAAACACGAGCGTGTTGACGTCCTCAATCTTCTTCATGGCGCTCTCCGTGTTCAACGGGAACAAGAGAGTCTTGCAGGCGTCCGAGCGCTGCAGGTGAGGAGCACTCTTACGAGGGTATCGCGGGTTGCGCGCAAGACGGAGCGTCTTGGGGCGGTGGAACGAGGGCGAAGTGCGCACCTTGCGCACACGTGTCTGACCCGAGCTACCCTTCTGGACGACCTTCTTCGCGACGTTGGCCTTCCGCGTAGGGAGGTTCTTCTTCTCTGCAGGTGAGAAACGCGTTAGTATCTACCAAGATCAAGTACCGAAGCTGGCAAAACTGCGCACTTGCAACGTGCGGAGGGTCGTCACCAGCGCCTATTATCAACGTACCTTGAGCCTGCGACATGATCGTCAGCGGTTGTGTGGTTAGCGAGTCTGTTCGGCAGACTAGGCAGTGGGTGCCTTGAGCTGTCAGTGCACAACTAAAACATATCACGTGATTTCGATGATTCATGTGATTTCTTTTAGTTTTGGCGCGCACCCTTGATCGATTGCGGCAACGAGAGGTCTGGCATAACTACATAATGTGGAGGTCTCGCTTATGATTGTGTGTTGGTCTAGGAACAACCTGATTGCATTATAAAGCTGGCGTGTACATGAAGACATTGTTTTGACATGCCACTGCTAATGTTAAGGGTGCTCGAGCAAGGTCTTCGGACATTACTCTATCTGGACACCATAGAAGACTGTTGACCAAGGCTGGGAATTCATCTTGTGATGAATCTGGTCCTTGCAACGCCAAGATAGGCTCTGAATAATCCAACGACCACAGTCGCACACGACGATCATCTCCTGCGCATGCTAGAAGCCGATGCGTGGGATGTACTGCAAATCCCTTCGACCGAGTCAGTTCACCCATCGCTTTTGACTCTTGAACATACCAATCCTTGCATGAACTGATTCGTATGTCCGACATATGTTCGTAGTGGCGCATCATTCATGCGTGCCAAGTCGCCCATCACCAAGTCGCCATTGGTATACGCAGCTAGAAACAGGGTGTCATCCACAAATTGCACATGGCATGTAGCTCCTTTTGATACAAAAGAAAACTTTTGTCCAGATTGCCACGTATGTTCATGGTCCGGGCTAAGTGTATGAACTCGACCTGACCGCAATCCAACCAGCACATCCGTGCGATGTAGCGTCACACTCATGACATCACTTGGAAAGGCCACCGTGTGGACGTGTGGTTGTGTAGTACTGCATGCACCTCTTAAATGAACGGTCACCAAATGTAAGAATCGACCAGCGCCCACAGCCACCAATACCTCAGGGCCGTGCTCCGTCAAAATATCAGTGGCCCCAATGCACCGAACATCTTGTTGTGGGTTAGTGCTTGGATCGCAAATAGACATGAACACCGGTTTTCTACTCTTTGACGTTGATGCAATAGTGAGCATCCATCGCTGAGTTACAGAGACTTCAATTAGCAGCTTGGACGTTTCTGTAAATGTGTACAAAGTTCTCAACGCTCGAGACACAATCATGAGCTGCTCCAAGCCTTCATGCACGGTAAATAGCGAACGTGCAAAGTAGTCGTCTGCGCAAAGGCGGGACGGTGGTTCATTTAGTCCAACTCCTTCAATGCTAAACAAATAAAGTCAATATGATTTGGCAATCCAAAGAAAAAGTACAAACCAGAGAAGCTTTCCATCTTGCGTTACCAGTGCGAATGCTAACGTATTACCTTGTAGAGGACATGGCTTCGTCTTGTCAGCTAGCGTACGCGTATGCACGAACCAAAATCCCGATTGGCATATTCGAATCGCGTATCCATGAATGGATGGGGATCGAACTATGCAAGCGCAAACGTTGTGCAGCCTGTAACGATACGTATCTTTCCGAGTTAGCAAGGTCCATAAGCTCCTCTTACATACTTGCGATACTGAATCGCAGACGTGTACCGGACGTTACCGGACGATAATCCAGGTTGAACAATCGTTCGATGGGCTCGGGACTGTGATGATGACCTCTGTAGATGCTTTGTACTGCCGGCTCGTGAATTAGACGCCTGAGCATGAGTTGGTGGTTTTTGCGACTGCTTGAAGAAGCGCCGTTTTCTAAGTAACCATGAGCCAAGAGCGACAAGTCATACACGTACACAGGGTCCCACACAAACCCAGGCAGAGAGAATGGTGGTGAATCAGCCATGTAGAAGAGAATTCAATCTAGCGCTCGTGTGTCGCATTCAACACTATCTCAGGCTTAGAAAGGATGGGCTAGTCACACAGATTGAACCGCGTCGCGTCGCGTTGAATGATAATTTGTAAGATTGTACATTATCGTAGCCTCCGCACAAGATTCAAGGCATTGTGTGTTGTTTTCTATGTATAAATAGGATTAGAACGTTGAGTAGTCCAATACGTATATGCTCGGATTACTTTACCATGCGGCTCCAAAGCCCATTACACAAAGGCATCACTTCATGACCGAAAGGCCTAAATATCAAGACTTCTTTGGCCTTGTTGAAGCATAGAGCTTGGGAATATAGAAGCAAAAAAAAACCAACTAGAACATAAAAACTCGTAGATGCAAAGCAGAGACAGAGTGCAGTTCCATACCACCAAGCGAGACGATCAATCGCTGCCATGCATCGATCTTTTCATATGGTACACAAGTAACTGTAGACAAATGAATACATTAGCTTGGGGCCGGCGCAGCAGGGGCGGCACGAGAGCTTTGCGGAACTAGAATCCTCCGGCGAGCATTGACAAACCAATTAGAAATTTGACAGATGTCCAAGCCAGTAAAGTCACAAAATGCCCGCTTCTCTTCTTCTGTCGGATACGGATGGTCGGCATGATCGAGAAGCCATGTCTTTAGCATGTCAGTAATATGCTTGGGCAACTTCCCACCGCGTTTGGGCGGAACAGGCTGCTCACTACTGTTCGCCATCTGGTACTGGTTCTTGGGGGTGAAAAACTGGGATGTATGTTGATCATGAGAGAAGCCGGGGGGCGCCGGTTTGATTACACTAGGATATTTCAAGCCCTCCGTGTCATGTACAGGAGACCGGTCTGACGAGGTCGAGACTGAATGTCCATGTGCATCATTATCCGGGGGACGAGATGCAGTCGAAAATGTGGCTGGCATAGTTGCAGAAGGCGATTTGGGTCCATGTGTGCTTGTTTCATCAGACAATGTCTTTGAGACTGAGGAGTTTGCTGAGAGTCTTTCTTGAGGAGTTTGGAGTAACGTGGGTCCATTGTGATAGAAAGGATGTTGATGCCATTCATCAAAAGGTGTACCAATCGAGTCTTTGAAAGATCCTGGATAACCACGATGTGAATTTTCTGTCCAAGACATATACTGTCGACCAGGCATACGCGAGTATCGAAGATTGGGCCGTCTGAATTGGAAATCAGCGCTGAATTGATCTGTGGGACGGAACGAACGATTCCACGCATGCGTGTAGAGGGATGGCTGATACGATAGACGACGTTTGAGGCACTCTATGCTTTCGTCCATGTTTGAATCATTAAAAGCAGATGTTCGAGATAAACACCTTGGGTTATCCCAGTTTTTGCGTTCTGTAGATGCATACGGGTGCATGCGACGGGAAACCATGTCTTGATAAACTGGAGAAAACACACGGTGAGGATCCGGTGCGAATCGTGTTTCATGCTCGCGCGTAAAGGAGCTAGGGCTATCAAGCAAGTTGCGCATCTGATAACGACCTGCATTACCTCGAAGCAACCCACTTTGAGCTGAACCAGCGTCTGCCTCTGTGGAACCGATGTCCCTCCCAAAAGAGGTATTGTAATTATTGGTGAATACAGGGAGGGAATTCGACTTGAATAAAGGCAGACGGCTCAAGGGAGCGCGAGATGGATACTTATAGTGAGGCGGCAAAGGACGCGGCGTATCAATCGGTGGCAATCGGCACTGGTTCGAAGGAGAGCTCGAAGAAGGAGCGGGAGCACAGTTGGCCCCGGTATGGAACTGGACCTTGCCCGTCTCTTCATGTGGGAGACCTTGCGATGATGATGCAGAAAGCCTCTCCACATCCAGTCTAGGAGCTCCTTCTTGGCTTTCCTGCTCACCCCCCATGCGGATGCACAAAGATAGTTTGATAAGTCGTAGGACCAGAGAGGGTCAAACCTTGTGAGAAGAAATCGAATGGATCAGGGATTTGCTTATCCGATGAAGGCCGGGCCTGATTTCTTTGAAAAAATATATGACAGCTGGTACAGTGTTAACATTTCTTTCCATGAGAATTTCCTGCGTCATTGACTTTGAACCCCTGGTTGCTGCCACACCAAGCCACATGGTGTCGGTCCTGCGTACAAACATGACTGTGTAAACCTACTCTTTGCGCGCTTTGGCCAATCAGGATTAGAATAGGATATATTGGGGGTATACGATAGTCGATCGACTTGCAAGCTGACTTTTGGTATTAGGTGTAATTATCATGTAAATAACCAATCGCATTATGTGAAGGGGGATCCATAGGTCTATCTCCTGCACGATGAATAAGGACTTGCTGACAAACCTCTGCGGCTATAGCTGCTGATGCTTATTCTAAGATGCACGTATCGGAGTAGTCGAGGGAAGAAGGTACGAAAAAAAAAAATGCATGAATTGCATCATTAACTCGCTCCGCAATGCGAAAAGTCAAAAAGACTATTTTTGACTATTCTAAATATATCTCCACATGTGCAAATGCTTTCATCAGTCCGGCTCTCCCAATCATACTGCGAATATGTTACTTCTTGCTGCAATCCAACCCGGTATGAATTCGAAAATTATGCATCGACCTAAAGGGCTGTGCGTTATCAGAAGTAGCTTCCACGTAAGCACATTATGATCATCGCTCTCGTCCAGTCACAGACGATGCATTGAGGAAGGGCCTGTGTCACTTCGTTGAGATTTGGTTCGCATGTTTGCTAGTCGTGTGCCTCGTGCAATTGGTAGAGATGACGTTGACGAGGAAGACGTTGCTGGTAGCCTTGTTGTATTGACACCGGTGTTACCCCGGGTTGTTGGAGCTAGTGGGCGGGCTTGGCGTGGTGCTGCCGTTCCGTTTTCTACTCCAGCCCCTCGTGTAGCCGACGTAGAAAGCGATCCGATACGCGACATTTTCACAGCATTCCGTGGAGGAAGTTGTCGCCGCACTGGCACGTATGGCTCTTTCTTAGGAACACTACGTGTCACACGATGCTTCATGATATCAGAAGTGTCGGTATGATGATGCATGACAGGCGGTTGTCTAGTTTCTTGTGTCTTTTCTGGCTTTGATGTCGAAGGCAGTGAAGTTTTGCGACTTGACGGGTCTTGTTGTTTAAGTGCCGAGGCAACTCTCTTACGTGCCTCGCTGGGCTCATTTGCCAACGTTCCCTGACCGGGAACATGCGCCATTATAGGCACGGTTTCTGGAGTTGGACCAGTAGTGGGGCTAGTGATAGGACCGTTAGCAGTTACCACCGTTCTTTGGCTTGGTGGCATATTGTGTGCACGCTGAAGAGAATGACGATCATCTTCACAATGGCCGGTCTCTATCATTGTCCATGCACTGCTTAGACTCACATCAGACACTGGTCGTTGCTGCTGCTCCTGCTTGTTCATGAAGTGGCGGAAGTTTCCCATAGCAGATTCCATCGGAACCACATACTTCGGCTCGGCAAACATATGCTTAAGGTCCCGCATATCCGGCGTCTGTGGTACATGACCCGAAGCCTGTCGCGTTTCTGCTTCAACCAGAGAACCAGACAGTACTGACGCATCTTGGCCCGACGTTGTGACCAGCAAAGTCTTCGGCTCCACATTCAAGTCTTGTACGTCATGGCTAGCGTCAAAGAACTCTTCTTCATGATCCAGATGCAGGTCTTTGGATTGCTTTTCATGGCATTGCTCACTCTGTCTTGCGTGGTCTACTTTCGGCATCATTTCCGTGAGTATGCGCTGTTTGCGCCATCCCTCCGTGCTGGATAAGGGACTTGATGCAAGTGCTTGTTGTATTGCCTGTTCACTCTGTGTATGCCGTTCAAGCCGTGAATGCTTTTCATCCTCTTGATGCTGATGAGACTCCACTGGCTTTGAAGCTGTCTCCTTGTGCGACTCTGTGCACACGAGTTCTTTAGCTGTAGCATTTTCGTCTGTCAGTTTGCTCACATGGTGTTGATGATTATCTTTTGGAACTTCAAAAGGACAACGGATCTTCTCCTTCTGTTCCTGAGTCAGTGCAGACTCTTCATGACTCGGTGATTCGTCAGTTGCTTTCCAAGCATGACGCTGTGCCTCTGGCGCTGATGTTTCGCCGGACTCGATTTCCTGTTTCAACTCTGGCACGTCAATTGGCTGCTGTACTTTCTTTGAAGGCGACAGTAAATCCTTGAGCCAAACCCAGGACGAGCGATGCTTCAACGCTGGCACTGGCCTTCGAGGTGACGTCGGATCAGCACAAGAGAGGCGACGCGTGACGACAGGCTTTTCCATCCGTCTTGCCTGTGGAGTTAGAAAAGGGGCAGTATTAGGACGTTGCAGAGAAATCGCTTCCGGTGACTTTGGTGCGATTTGCAACTCAAAGCTGGATTCAACTTCCGCTTCATCTTCTTCATCCGAGGACGTCATCATCATCTCGGATGTGTGTCTTAGGCTCAGGTCCATGTCTTTCGAGCCCGTGGACGTAGGATATTGTATTGGAGGAGTTGACTTCGGTGGCGTCGAAGGAGAAGTAGGAACATTAGCGGAAACAGGAGATAATGGCACGATGGGATATTGAGAGCTGCGCTTCAGCAAAGTAGCCGTGCGCAGGCTGACTTTACGCGTCTTTTCCGGCGACCACGTAATTGGCATCGCAGATCGACTGGTCAGAGATGATGACTGTGGGTATCTTGACGTCGTCAATGGCGTCGACGAAACAGGTGGTTGTGCATCTTGCTGAGCTTCTTCAAGGGCATCAAAGCACAATGTCAAGTCGGACTCGGGTCGCTCGAAGGGCATTGCACTAGATTGGCTAGATTCTAAATTTTTGTGCTCAGGATTGGGTGTGTGCTGATCCGAGGCATCCTGCATAGGAAGCGGACTTTTCGTTTCCGAGGGAACATGCGTATCAGTGGATAGCTGGACTTGATTGTTACTCGTGGGCTTGCTGATACTTGTCATGATATCTTGCCCAGGCAGCTCGGATGGAGCGAGCACTGGAGCTGAGGAATCTGTTTCATCGGACGTGGATGGCTGGTTCCAGCATGACGGACGGGCTTGTCCAGACGCATGGCTCATGTCGTCTGTTTCCATGCTGTCGTTTGCTTTTTGGGATTTGACCGGGAAAGCAGGACTTGTCGTCAGTTGGGAATGAACTTGCTCAGTAGACCTATTCTTGACGCTTTCATTCAGGGAATCGAGTGCCATCGTTTTATCGGAAGACTCCGACGACGTTTCATTCATGGCATCCGCATTTGCATTCTTTTGGGGAGCTTCATCTGGATCTGATGTGGAACGTGCCATTAGCGATGACTGCACACTTGCGATGCCACAAGAGTCGGAAGAATCGTTGTTCTCTGAGTCACGCGAGGGAACAACAGGTTGGCTGGGCCCTTCGGGAATCTCAGTATCTAATACCTCCTGCTTTGATATATTGTAACTGGGACTTCTTTGCGTTGCATGACCGACCTGAGTGGAAGTAGAGGCATTTATACTGTTTGGCTTAGCGGGTGAAGATTTGTGCTTCGTAGCCTTGGGTGTACCAGGTTCGGTTTCAGATGATTTACTAGCTGCACTGTATGCACGTAATCCTTGTGCAATTTGGGCATCGGGGGTCGTGCTCATCTGCGAGATATGCGCCTGCTGGACGAGCGGAATGGGTCGCTTGGCAAGTTGAGGTGTCCATGCCGTGGGGAGAGATGGCATACTTGCACGGGCCCTGAGACGTGCGCTCTGACGGCGCGGTGTAGTAGGCGGCGACTTTGCCAGCGCTGCTAGACCAGCCGTCGCTTCAGACCTAGCTAGACCCTCTGTCATTAGTGGTTTGGGCTGTCTTTGTATATATGAGAATAACAATGTATGCGCAGAGATTTTCACTTTGTCGCCATTAGCTAAATGAATGCGCTTGCCATCGGACGTATTTGGTTTCATGTGTACATCATTATGCCAGACACCATTTGACCCAAGCACATGAAGAACAGCATCATTTTCTTCACAAAACTCGATCGTACAATGCTGACGACTCACATCCTCCAACAACAGACGCACATCGTTTGTCAAGGCACGGCCCATCGTCGTCGTAGTCTTGTGGATATTGTATCTATGCATCTCTTTGTTATCCTCAGAGAGCAGCTGAAGTACACCAAGAACTGCATCGCTTGGAGCAGAGCTGCCTCCGTTCCTAGACGGCATTATTCTGCAGGCCAGTGTGGTCGCCACAACGGACACGAGAGGGCTTGATGAATGGTGTGTTGGTTGTGCTACGAAAGTCACCTCCACGCATCCAAACATCCACTACTCCAGCACTCGCGCCCATTGACGCGAGTGCGTGTTACTATCACGTGACACTAGTGCGCCATGTGTCACCCCCCACCATGATGGCCTTTTTTTTTGGGCTTTAGTTGTGGGTTTGCCTGCACCTCATGGCACCTGTGTTACTTTCGCGGGCAGAAAAGAGCTATCTTTTGGCTGGATTAGGAGCAAAGCCAGCGCAAAGACATGATGGTCGTGCGCTTACCGATGTTCGCCCCATTGAGGTAGATTCGCACATGTCTGAGCAAGCAGATGGGTGTGCACGTGTAACGCTGGGCAGCACTGAAGTGATGTGTGGTGTGAAGCTCGAGATGGATTCACAAGAAGCACCCACTGTCACCGTATCACAAGGCGAACGAAAGATCGATTTTACACCGTGGCTTCCATCTAAACCATGCATACAAGTGCAAGTCGACTACACGCCCTCGCTACTTCGTGAGCATAACGCAAGTGAGTTAAGCATGCTCACGAGTACCATGCAGGACATGTTACAAGCTTGCTATGCATTTTCAGGTGACTCATACGGACCACTTCCTGCTCGTCAGTTTGTCGTTGTACCATATGCAAAGTATTGGGTGCTACACGTCGACGTCTATGTGATGTCGTGGAGTGGCGGTAATGTGTTGGACACTGTATTTGCCGCAGTGTTTTGTGCTCTATGGAATACACGAATTCCAGAAACGCGCGTGATGGCGATGGACAGGACGAATCAAGGTGAACAGGATGCAATGAATGAAGATCATGACGATCCAGCCGGCATCAAATTCATAACGCGTGGGCGAAAGAACACTTCACAAAACACGAACGCCGTAGATTATGCGCTTGTGAATGAATGGGAGCACGGACGTGCACTCGAAGGTCGGGAGGATGTGCCTGTATGTGTGTCTGTATACCCTTTTCAAGGCACCTTTCTTTTGGACCCTACGTTGGAGGAGGAGTGTGCGCTATCTTGTTGCGTGGCCGTGCTTGCATCGCCACAAGGCCGGTTGTATGGTGTACGCCAACGCGGAGAGGGCGAGCTTACTCTTGACTCTATACACAAAGCTACCGAGGTGGGACTACAATATGCAAAGCTGCTAGCACAGTCGCTACCTGCTTCGCTCCCTGCGTAGACAAAGCCGCAGCGCCTGAACCTTCGTACTATAAACAGAGAGAGAGAGACAGAGAGAGACAAAGAAGTCGAAAAGGGCATTCTACAACGCTGTTCATGATATACTACTGATACGGTATTCCCAGTAATCAACAGATAGACTGCTTGATCAAGAGGACAAGCCGTGATCCTACCACTCAGTCGTTGGCTTAGACCTACGTGCATCCGATGCGGAAACGCCTTTGCCGTAAACAACGCCATTCAACCAGGGCGTGTGCGAGCGGCTACGCTCAAATGCACTGATTTCCTTTTCTTTTTGCAGCGTCAATGCAATGTCATCCAGTCCATGCAGCAGGCAATGTCGCGTGAATGGCGCAACTTCGAAGCCGAACGCTGTGCCATCTTCGCAGATCACTTTTTGCTGCTCAAGGTCCACTGTGATAGGCTTGCCGGCATATGCATCTTTCAGCACCCGCTGAATCTCGTCCGGCCGCAACACCACCGGCAACTGCCCATTCTTTGTCATGTTGTTGCGGAAGATGTCTGCAAAGCTTTCTGCAATTACAGCGCGAATGCCAAAGTCCAGCAGTGACCAGGGCGCATGCTCTCGTGATGAGCCACAACCAAAGTTGCTGCCTGCCACGACGAGGATCTTGGCTTGCGTATATGGCTCTTTGTTCAGTACAAAGTCTGCGACTGGTTCGTTCGTTTGTACATCATAGCGCAAGGGCCAAAATAGTGCAGAGCCGAGACCTGTACGCTTGATAGTCTTAAGAAACTGTTTTGGGATAATGACGTCCGTGTTCACATTTGAGCGTTCCATGGGAGCAGCAATGCCTTTGAGCACGCGGAATGCCGGCATACCTTGCGAAGCACTCTCAGACGCATCACCAGCGCTGGCATAGACCTGACGATCATTGTCGTTGGCGGACTCGTCGTTGGCCCCATTTGCCGACGCGTTTTGTGTTGCAGAACTAGAGGGCGGCGCCGAAGTGGCTGGAGCATGCAAAATGCCTTCCTCGATAAACATGCGCGAATCCTTCTCAGGCAGATCGTACTGCGTCGTGGCCGCCGGGAAACCGGGCAGATCACCAGCGGTAAGCTTGCGCACGTCTGTCAAGTAGCCCGTCACAGCAGCAGCGGCAGCCATCGCAGGACTCATAAGATGTGTACGTCCTCCGGCGCCCTGGCGGCCTTCAAAGTTCCTGTTCGATGTCGAAGCACAACGCTCACCTGGTGAGAGCTGGTCCGGATTCATGCCCAGGCACATGGAGCAACCGGCTTCGCGCCAGTCGAAACCAGCGGCTTTGAACACCGCATCGAGGCCTTCCGCTTCCGCCTGCTTTTTCACCAGTCCGGAGCCTGGCACGAGCATCGCTTGGACATGGGGCGACACCTTGCGGCCATGAAGAATTCGTGCAGCGGCACGAAGATCTTCGATGCGCGAATTGGTACATGAGCCAATGAATACCTTATCGATTTTGATCTGCTCAACCGGCGTGTTGGGCTCGAGTCCCATGTATTTGAGCGAGTGTGTCCATTCATTCGCAAGTTCTTCGTTCGGTGCATTCTTGGGATCTGGCACTTGCCCTGTGATCGGCACCGTGTCCTGCGGACTCGTGCCCCACGTCACCGTTGGCGGAATGTCTTTCGCGTCTATGCGCACAATTTTGTCATACGTTGCGCCGGGGTCACTGGCGAGCGACAGCCAGTATTTTGATGCGCGTTCCCACTCCTCACCTTGGGGCACGAGGGGTCGTCCCCGCAGATAGTTGAGTGTCTTTTCGTCAGGAGCCACCAGACCCGCACGTGCGCCAGCCTCAATACTCATGTTGCACATGCTCATGCGGGCCTCCATCGACAAACTGCGGATCGTCGAGCCAGCAAACTCCAGCACACCACCAGTGCCACCAGCAGTGCCAATGAGACCGATGATGTGAAGCATGATATCCTTGCTCGTGACTCCCTCGGGTATGTCGCCATTCACTTCAATGAGGATGTTTTTCATGCGCTTCTGCAGTAGCGTCTGTGTCGCAAGGACATGCTCCACCTCGGATGTGCCGATCCCAAAGGCCAACACACCGAATGCACCGTGAGTCGAGGTGTGTGAGTCGCCACACACCAGCGTCGCCCCCGGTACTGTGAAGCCCTGCTCGGGACCAATAACATGCACGATGCCCTGCCGACTGTCTGCAAGGCCGAAGAACGTGAGGCCAAACTCCTTGACATTCTGTTCGAGCGTAACGCACTGTAAACGCGAGTCGCTCTCCTGCACGAACGATGCCGTGTCCTTGTAGTTCTTGCGATTCTCAGTTGGGATGTTGTGATCCACTGTCGCAAGTGTGCAATCCGTTCGACGAACAGGACGACCAGCCATACGAAGGCCCTCGAAGGCCTGTGGCGATGTGACCTCATGCACCAAATGGCGGTCAATATAAATCAGACATGTACCATCCTCTTCTTCTGAGATCAGGTGTGAGTCGAAGATCTTTTCATAGATAGTGCGCGGCTTTGAAGGCGCCGTCATCTGCAGCGAAGACACAAAGGAACCGAGACGAAAAAGAGCGAACTGATATCAATAGAAGGAGCGAGTGATAATAAGTTGAAAGAGGTATCTCAGCCTATCTACGGCGTTTCTCTCCCCGCAATCCAGTCAGGGGCAGCCTTCCAATTAGTGCTGTCATTGACACCCAGCCACGAACGCCGCTATGTGACTCGACACGACCGATAGTCACGTGACTGAATGGTCGCGCCGGCGGCCGAGAGTCGGCGGACGGCCCGTGGCAGCTGCTACGACATCGATAGGCATATCCAGCCGGGATCTTGAACTACGACAAGACTTGACAGCGTCATGAGCCAGAACATCAACCTGGACCTTTGCCCAGTGTACGCGCCATTTTTTGGCGCGATGGGCGTCACGGCTGCTATTGTGTTTACCTGTATGTGTCCGAGCTGTGTTGCGCGCGAAGATAAGTATTGACGCGTATGCACAGGTCTGGGTGCTAGTTACGGCACTGCCAAGTCGGGTGTGGGTATTTCGGCCATGGGTGTGTTGCGTCCCGATCTATTGATCCGTTGTATTATTCCTGTCGTTATGGCTGGTATCATTGCTGTACGTGTGTTGGTAAATTAGCGCGTCATGCCCGACATGCTAACGTTTGCTTCCTCTATTATTTCCACTTCATTACCTAGATTTATGGTCTTGTCGTCAGTGTGCTTATTTCTGGAGATCGTATGTGTGCCAAGCGTATCTTTGCCTTGCGGGTGCTAACTAGTCCTTTTATTGCAGTCAAGTCGCCCATGACCCTGTACGCAGGCTTTATTCAGCTCGGTGCCGGCTTGTCGGTTGGTCTGGCAGGTCTGGCTGCTGGATTTGCAATTGGTATTGTGGGTGATGCAGGTGTCCGTGGTACCGCACAACAACCGCGCTTGTACATTGGTATGATTTTGATCTTGATTTTTGCCGAAGTACTGGGTCTTTACGGCTTAATTGTCGCGCTGATTCTCAATACAAGGAGCCAGGATGCAGGAAGCGTACGTTTTAGTCCATTCGATGTTACGGCGTTCATCTACTGACACGTTTCTTAGTGCATGCTCTAAATGGCGTATGGACGCAAACTAAATCATTAGATATAGATAGCAAAGTATTCCCCTTCCCGCCGTGGTCACGTATAAAACCCTGAAGAGTTACTATGGCCCGAAAACATAAACAAGCACTTATGATTGTTCCGACGACTCCTGCTGACTCCTGCCAGCTACGCCCCTCTTCCATACCTTCACCTATTCCTCCCTACTAGCACAGCAGTGATCGATCGACAATGGATGCTATCATAGGACTACACACATACACACACACGCACGCGTCTACATATCCCTTCCGTCCTTCATTCACTCACTCACTGAACTTAGTAGATGAGTGACGACATGTCGGCACGAATGCGGTTGTAGTCAAGCAGGCCCTCAACGCGGCCTGTCGCTGCAATAGCAATATCCTTGTCCCAGATGTACTTCTGAGCCACGCGCTGGATCTCACTTGGCGTGACGGCGTCGATTGCAGCCTCAATGTCCTGAGGCGTCGTGCGCTTTCCAGTCGTGATGAGCTGACGGCCAATGTCCTCCGCAATGGCCGTCGAGCCATCAAGGCCGAGCAGCAAAGATGCCTTCAACTGAGACTTGGCTCGTGCCACCTCTGCTGGCGCTGGACCTGTCGATGCACGCTGCCATTCCTTCAGCGTGAAGTGCACCATGTCATCGAGGTTCATGTGGTTCTCGCTGACCATGTACACACCCCAGAGGCCCGTGTCAGAGTATGATGTGCTGAAGTGCATGAAAGAGTTCGCCAGGTTGTTCGTCGACACAATGTGCGAAAGACGGCTGGACATGAGAGGCGAGGAGCCAAGTGAACGGTCCCAGTTACCGAAAATAGACTGGAGCACGAGCATCGGGTAATAGTCAGGCGACTTCCAGCTCACACCCTCAACAGCAATAGCCACGTTGCATGTCGATGCTGTGTCGTCACGTACACGCACCTCCGAGCCGATGAACCTGCTCGGCTCATACTGGCTCGTGCCCAGCTGAATGGGGCTCTGCGATACAGGGAGACCGCTGAAATGCTTCTCAGCAAGCTTCACGAGCTCTTCGTGCTCAACGCCACCAGCACCCACCAACACCATACGGTCAGCTGTGTACTTAGACTTGATATAGTTCGTCAGGTCATTGCGGCTAATTGAGAGGATGTTTTCTTTCGGGCCGAGGATTGTGCGACCAAGCGCCTGGCCTTGGAACGCCACCTCATGCAAGTTGTCAAATACAACTTCCTCGACTTGCTTCTCGACCTCCTCTTGTTCACGCAAAATCACATCACGCTCCCGCTCAATGGCCGAAGCATCCAGTTTCGAATTTTGCAGGATATCAGAGATAATGTCGACGGCCTGTCCTACATCCTTGCGGAAGGCCTTAGCATAAAACACAGTTTGCTCACGCGATGTGTAAGCATTCAGGTGGGCACCGAGATTTTCGACTTCAAGCTCCAGGCCATGCTGAGTCCTGTTGTTGGTACCTGTGCGCATGTTGTGTTAGTGGCACGGGTTCTATTTCTTCTCCCTTCTCAAACTCTTTACGTACCCTTGAATGCCATGTGCTCGAGGAAGTGCGCAGTACCGTTGTTGCGCTGTGTCTCCGAGCGTGAACCAGCGTCAATCCATGCGCCAACAGTAGCTGTCTGCGCAGATGGGTTGGACTCCGTGGCGACGGTCAAACCGTTGGGAAGCATCGTCACTTGCGTCATGGGCTGACGGACAGCAGCTGTTGCCAGCGAGCGCGCAGCAAGCGGCACGCGGCGAAAGTTTCCCTTGATAGGGTTTGCCAAGAACAGACGGGCCGACATCACAACAATGTCCTACAAGCGGCGGTGTGTAGTCGACTCGTTGCAAAAGTGCTGATAGAGAGAAGAAACCTGCCTGATGTCTGGCTCTCTCCTTGGCTGAGCCCGGCCCCCGCTAGGCGGGCAGCGTCCGTCGAAAATCTTGTCAAATTCCAAAAATGCCCCACATAACACCCCCGGTTCCAACCGACGTGGCACATCCAAGCTGACCGGTATAGGTAAGCAACTGCCATGCGTGGAGAAGGGACAACTCCGAGAATTGCACAAAGGGGTTTATCGATGCAGTACCCCTCCACATGCAGTGTCAACCACGCAGAGCGTCGAGTGTTGTTCGAGGAGTTTCCTCAAGACTTTCCTCCCTCACTACTGGCTTTCAGGGACCGTCCGTGTCTAAGTACTCGCCAACACCTAGTCTCATTCCAACGTGCATGTATCCTGTCTACTTTGGATGTGCATAGTGCATGCAAGCTGATCCGACGCGCGGTCGATCTAGATCGACCAATACCATGTCACAGTCAATTGAATGGCAACAGCTTGATGCAGAGCACGCTGACGCCGCTTCCATCCATTTTTCTGGTGATGTTACTCACGATGATCATCATGAACGCCAGCAGAATGTAATTGAAGTTGTAGATAGTGGTGATCATCGTCTTTCGGATGACGAACTGCAAGTCCAGTATGTGCATCGTCTCAAACCACACGAACTGAGGAGGCAACGTATGGATGCGGCTCGTGAGGCCTTGCGCCGTGCTGCTAATCGTCAACCGAAGCCAATTGCTTCGCAAACCCTTTTTTCATCCTACAAATGTCCGATTTGTCTCTGTCCACCTAAGAACTTGAGTGTCACTCCATGCGGCCACATTTTTTGTGGCCCATGTTTGTATGATGCTCTTTCAGTGAATACACGAGAGGCAAACCAGGCTTCCGGTCTTGAATCAACTGCCTCGCATGACACTGATAATGCCAATCATTTGTTCACGCCTTTTGGAAGCGGGGGTGCTTTGGCACTTGCCAATGCTGCAGGCGCTTCTGTTGGCGGCACACGTGGCTTGTTTCATGAACTCGTAAATCAGCGGCGGCGGCAGCAGCAGCAGCATTCACAAGACCCGCGAGCAACACATTTGTCGGTCTCTCAGGCATCAACGCCCATGTCAGCCACACGTCTTCGTGCCTCGAATGGTACAGAGCGTATGAAAGGTCTCTGTCCAGTGTGTCGAAGTCCAATTAAAGGGGGCTTTACAGGGTTGGGCCGCAAAGGTATTCTTGGCTTGGACATCATGGTAGGCACGCCAGGTCCAGCCACATCCTCGACACCGCCGCCACCGTCTGCGCAGTCTGTGTCATGGTCGCCGACATCGTCAACCCCCGAAACACCACCTGTCCCCAAACGCCAACGGCGATGACAATGATGATCATGTGGCCCCATTGTCTGTTGTAAGGAAACGACCATAATGACCACGACGCGGGCTGAAAGTCGAGCGGTGTTGACGCTGCTCATTCAGGGTCTTGTGTAGGCCTAAGATCGACGACTGCAGGCGTGTAGATAAGATCGTATAGACATCCGGCGCCTGGTAAATACAGTCATTTATGATATAGTATGCGGCAAGAGGTCGATCAACTTGGGTCGTAAGCATTGCGCAACATACCCTTCTCTGGTGATCTACGCCACCGTTTGTGAATTATAAAGCATGTAGGTGGTCTTGCATGGACCAACGCAAACTCGAGACCCGTGAAGCGCCTCTCTCGTTAATGATATTGGGCTGTACTGACCGCGTTAGGTACGTACTTGAGTTCCTCCTCATGAGTTTGAGTCACCACTTGCATAAGCTCAGGGCCTGAGCTCTGTGTTGTAGCCATAGCTTGGGCGATTAATGCAGCGCTTTGCATTCGCACATGCTCATTGTTACTGCGTCGGTCGTAAAATGGCGATGTGCTGAAATACTCCATCACATTCGACGCATCTAGTACAGACTGTCCAACACTGACGCCTCCTTTTTGTGCACCCAAAAATGCGAGAAGTTCAGGATTCTTCCATTGCACATGCAGGAGATTGACGTCGGTCATGTTGGTCGACAAAGGTGGATCCGTACAGTGCTTGCAAGATGGCCGGTCTGCCAGGTCGCGCTGCTCATTACGAACCGTATATGTGGAGAAGAGAACAACTCTGGGTCTTTGCGGAGAGGAATGCATAATTCCTGTTTATCAGCTTTCGACGGTGATGGCTTCACACGCGCAGCGCATGGAAAGTCGCGCGCCTAACGCAGAACGAACAAATCAAACAAAACACACACACGCAACACTGTTGTGGCAGTGAAACGCGTCGTTGATCGAATTCCTTCGTAACTTGAACCTACCATGTCCTCGGACACCAAAGATCAGCTGGCTCGTGGCGCTCGCAATAGCAACAAAGAAGTTCATGGAACGGAGAATGCGTTGGATGAGACAGGTTTGTATATAATTCAGCGCATCACGGTACTGACATTTTTACAAAGAGCAGGACCAAGTGATTGAGCAGCTCCGTCATGATAATGATAAAGCGAATTACATCTATCGCATTGCCATGCTGGTGATATATGGCCTTGTTCTATTTTTGTACCTGACGCCTCTCCCTACTTACCTGTCTGGTAATCATCCCAAGAGCCACATGACGTTGTATCTGAACCACCACTCCATCATCGGTACGGAGGAAGACTTGACATACCTTCCAGCATTTCCAATTTACCTGGTTGTTACCTCGTTCCTCGTTTATGTTATGTACTTGGCAGCATATGAGTGCGCAACGCGAGCGAACTTGATCAAGCTAAAAGGCCTGCCATACCCAGCTCAGCCTCATCCATTTGGCTCCGCTCCGAACTGGATTGTGCCCGTGCTTCGCGATATTCGTGTGCAACCGTCCAGCAGTGTGCGCGCAGACCCAACCAAGCAGAGCACTAGCATTGAGCGAGCCAAAACTCTGCCTCCTCAGCTTGTGTATATCGGCTTTCTTTGGGTTTGCTCGTGGCCTGTACCGCTCATCACGTTCGGTGTCGGTGCATTTGACGATGCAGCATGGTGGGCCTTTTCGTTCGTTGCTCTCAGCATCCATCTCGTTGTTGAATGGTGGATCTACAAGGCTGAGCTCGATACATTTGGCTTGTCAGGTCTTAAGTACAACTACAAAGGTGCCTAAGTACGTGACCTCACCACATTACATCCAGTTGAACGTCGTCCTCTAGTTCCAGTGCCTCTACACTGGTCTGTGGATCTAGACGCTCGCCTTCAAAGGTTACATAGATCGACTTTAATTCTTCGGGATCTAATGCAGACGCATGCTTCTGCACAAAATGTGAAAGGATCGTTTTTATTAACGTCGTAGGTCGCACACGAACCTGGTCCTCGAGCTGTCGGGCGCCTTGCAAAGTAAGAACAAGTGTATCTGATGGAGGATCCTCTGCCTCGGTATTGGCTTTAGACGATGGTTCATTTTGTGCTTGAGTAGCAGATTCCTTCACAAAACTTGAGCGCTCATCGTCAGAGGAGTCTTTGATTTCATACACTGGAACGCTTTCTGGTTCGTCATCTGATACAGTAATAACCATCATATCTGCATTGAGTTCTCCTTCTTTCTTTTGTTGATGTTCGTGTTGACTTTGCTCCTTTTGTTCTTGTTGCCGGTGGATCTCCCGCTCAATCGCTTTCCCTCGCAATTGATTTGCATCGCGTCCTTTATAGAATTGAGCAAGGCCTGCATTCAATTCTAACGAGGACTCACCTTGAGAGTCATCGCCCGTGTCGAGAGCTACGTCAAGTGCCCTGAGCCGATCACGTTGTGAATGAGTCACTTGCTCGATCGCTTGCATAGCGTACGATTGGGCTGCATAATGAGATGAATCAAAACAACACACATACCTTCCAACTCCAGCTCTGGAGGCGGTGGCGATATGCTCACATTACGCTCGTTGTGAGCAATTTGGTTGTCGAATGTTGGTACTATTTCCTCCTGCACCCGCCCAATAGACGGAGAAGGAGTATGTAAGACTTTTTCCGTCTGTTTTAGAGCGGCAGGTTCTTTTGTTACCCAGTCAAAAGAAACAGCTTTTCGTTTTCGTCGCGGACGTCGATGGTCCTCTTCACCGGAGGTACATGTCGAGAATTCATTGTCACTTGATTCTTGCTCTGCCCGGTCGAGTTCTTTTGTCAACGAACGGGACTGTAGGAAAAATAAGTTATCGATGTTTGTACTAGAGACAGCGTGTTGTGGGTCGCATTTACTCTTCTGAGGCGCTCGCGGCCGCGGCCGCGGCCGCGTCGTCATGGCTTGGAGAGCGAAGGGCGCTGGGTCCTTGCGTGTGTTGCCACGTGGTAGAGATGGATCGACGGCGCTCCACAACGCGTTGCTAACGTGCAAGAATTGGGGCACTGGAGAAAATGGAGACGGTCTGTCCACAAGATTGTTTGAGCAATGCTGTCGGGAGTGACTGAGGCCATGCGAGGGCCCAACTGGCGTCGGCAAGTCGCGCAGGTTGTTCAAGTGCTGTATGTGATTGCTAGCGCGCTCGCGATCTGGAAAGGCTTGAGTCTCGTGACAAATACGGAGTCTCCTGTAGTCGTGGTGTTAAGTGGAAGTATGGAGCCCGCGTTCCACCGTGGTGATTTGCTCTTCCTCACCATGAGCCAGAAGCCTATCGAAGTAGGCGAAATCACCGTGTATCAGGTACCAGGCACTGCTATTCCCATCGTTCATCGCGTTATTGAGACGCGCGAAACGTACGTATCGTCCCTCCAATCGCCCATACTTTCGATCGATCGATTCCATGTTTCTTCTACTAACTTGATGGTTAGAAAAAATCGCGGTCAGCTTCTTTTAACCAAGGGTGATAACAATTATGATGATGATATCATGTTATATAATGGCCCTAGATGGATCCGTGATGATCAGATCGTTGGTCGAGTTCAAGGGTACGTATGACCGGAACATGCAAATCTCATGATACGCAGATTCTTGCCCTATGCTGGCTATGTAACAATTTTACTCAACGACTATCCCATGATGAAATATGTGGTGCTCGGTCTGTTAGGAATCTCACTCTTTTTCGAACGTGAATAACATTCCCTCGGTCTACATTTTTCTTCCACAAACTGCAGTTCCTTAATACTAGTCAAATCAAACCGAAACTATGGCCCGTGTCATTTCAAATGGCAGCTTCATTCGTGATGTGGGAAGTAGCTTGAATTTTCTATCCGCATGGAGTGCTCTGGCATGCTAAGCATGTGTTTTGGCTTTGTCACACCGCCGTATGCAGGCTTATTAGTGGTAGGCACAGGAATTTCCAGACCGGCATAGTGTGAATCGTGATCTGAACGATTTGAATCCACATCACGAGATTGTGGATCGTGCTCACTGTGGTAAGGATTGTCCGCTTGATTCACATCAAGAACACCGGTGATGCCTTGTTGGTGCTCGAATACACTATCACTGGGGTTGCCTGATACATCACCGACGAAGAAGCTGCGCATCTGCTGCGGCGGTTGAGCATACTCAATCCCATCTAAGTAGGGATCTGGCGAGTCATTTCCAAACGACAAGATTGTGTCTGTGCGAGATGCCCTCCTAGCAGCGTTGGCTTTTCTTTGTTTTATGTGACGTTGGACGAGCCAGATGAGTAGACCCAAGGTTACAGCACCACCGACGCCAACAAAGCTGCCCACGAGCGCATCGCGTGTCTCTTCGGGGATGGAGCCAGTTGCAGCATCGTCTGGGTTCCGGGAAAATTCGAACAAGTTGAAAGACGGGTCCACCTCACGTACAATCTGTTGAGGAACAATGCCTCCATCAGGATCATAGAATAGCGAATTGACGTCGTGAATCAAGTTAGATAGCAACCTGCTTTTCGGCTTGGGTAGGTACGCCATATACAGTGTTCGAAAATGTGCATTAATGTCAATGTCCACTGGTGAGTTTGCTGGCGAAAAACGTTTTAACTGAACAGTGCTCACATCCGAAGCATCACACTGAATGGCATGCGCGATAATTTGTGGCATATAGGTGAAAATTTGCGCTGTGGTTTCTCGTTGCGATGTGATCCATACCCAGGGAATTGTGCTTTTGAACAAGATGCTTATAAGAACGGCACCTGCTTGTCTTGTACGATTCGACTCTGCTGGCAATATCGATACTGGCATGGAGCTCGGTGAAGAGATCGTCCCGCTAACAGTCGGCGATAATGGCGCATTAGTGCTCGCTGACGAGCTCGTGCTCTGAGCTGTCGAGCTTACGCTTGATGTCTTGTTGAAAGTAGGTAGCACGAGGGACATTGTATTGAGAAATGCATAGCCTGTGCCGTGGGACGAGCGTGGTCCACCTATATCCGAGTGGTTTAGTGATAAAAAAGAAAAAGGTGCGCCGTGACCGGATGAAGGCATTTGTATCGAGCCTTGAAGTTTCGTGGTGGTTGGCCAAAGCGTCCATACCTTCAAACTTGAAGAACCATACTTGGTCAGACGCCCGACTCTGGAAATCAACAAAGTAGGGCTTGATGCCCTTGTTTGTAGGGGCCTATAATCTGTAAACTGGCTCGATAGGTATTGCTGAGTACCCCATTTGCCAGGCAACGTTGATCCCAACTGCTGAGGAACTGTGACGTACCAGGGCATTGCATGGCTCGATAGTAGACTTTTACGTGTGGATGAGTCGCGCAAAAGGCTTCGATTTGACAATCTCAGGTAAGAGAGCGAGGCGTCTTGCGTTTGCTCTGCTGAATACAGCGACAGGAATCTAGATGATGCCTTGTGATGAACCAACGACGCATTCTGTCGGCGAGCTGAGGGTACTTGTGCTGTCATATGTCGAGAGGGGGTTGAGCTGGACGATCTTGGAGTGGGTACAAGACTAATTGCTTTGGACGTCATTGCTTGAACACGGTTATCGTCAATATCATTAGTCCTGTTGTGCCTCTGTCTGAATGAGCTCTTGGCTGCATTGCTTACGCTTGCCAAAGATTTAGATAACGTGTAAATTGACATTTTTCCATGCTGGCGTTGCGAGCCTGAGTTACTCTTTGGGACTTGATTCACTGACAACAATTCAGTCAACAAAGAACTTTGGGAGCGCAAAAGCTTCGATTCACGAGCTGTGTGGGTGTCATACCGAGTCATATTTTCCTCGCGAGAAACAGGGTAAAAGGATGACTTGCGCGATGTGGACAGGTGTGAACCTGTGCCAGATGAACGACTCGCATGATTATTTGTGCTAAAACGCGCAACCTCACGAGACGATGTCGATGAAGTTGGATGAAGTGATGAAGTGAGCTTGTAATCGAACAAACTAACAGACGAGATCGTGTTCTTCGAACCCTTGCTGTGGGTCAAATTTGTACGTGCAGGGCGATCAAAGAATGTGTTGCTTTCTAGGGATGACGGTGTGGTAAATGAAATAGGACTTGCAGAGTAGTTGCGCGTCGAATAGGAATTTGCACTTATTGCATGAGAAGAATTCAGTAGGTCAAGATTCGAAGTATTCACTGACGCGGACTTTCTCCTGCTTTGATGATGGGAAGCATAGTTGGCATGGTCGCGATGTTCGTACGCATGGATGTGGTACACCCATAGCAGCAACGAGTAAAGCGACAGCCACTGACGAAATAAACGCATCGTATCAGGTGAGGGTGTGGGGAGTGGTTTTGAAAAACTCTCGTAGCGTGGATCCTGACAAAAATGGCGGAGACGTTGCTGGCTGAGAAGAATGGCAAACATAGGCGGTTGTGAGCAACTCCTTACTCGACGACCCCACAGATTCATGTCATAATCTCCAGACAAAAGTAGTAATAGGTTTATTTTTATTTTTTATTTTTAACGATTGTATCACTTCATCATACGAGGAAAACGGGGTCCATTCATGGCATAGATTCGATATATGATGCATATGATCATTTGTTTGCGTACGATGAGTTGAAGGAATGGCTTTTGACACAAAGTGTTGGCTGGATTCCAAGGTGCACACATAACACCACATGCACACTTACATACACAGCCAAAAGAGTCATGTCATGCATGTGTCACACTTTCATCTGGACCTATCGCCCGTGTCTCCGGAAGCATATCGAAAAGCGAAAAGGGGGGTATCTAGGACATTGGGGCTGTTGTAGCAGCAGCGGAAGCAACAGTAGCATTATTCGACTCTGACGCAGCTGCTAGATCAAATGCATGAGGCGCGGTGGCATCTTCGAACTTGGTCTTCTTCGCACTTTCGTCTGCCTCGTTGGCCTCAGGCTGTTTGTTTTTGGCACGTTTACTTGACACCTTTCTTGGCCGTGGATCTCCATCGAATACGTACTCGGGCAAATTTACACTTCGGTGAGTCAACACACTGGACTTCTTTCATTCGTTCAAACGTACCCTTTAACGTAGCGCACGACAATGCCCATGGCAGATTCATCGTACTGATCCCATTGCTTGACGCGCTGTGTAAAGTCAAGTGTTGGGTATGAAATATCGAAGCGGCGGACAGAGGGATCATGTGGCTGCCTGGGCTCGACTTTAAGGCCAATATAGAAGGTTGTCGTATACACGGTGCGACGACCGTTTTCAGTGGCATCATGAACTTGAACAGATTCATCCTTCTCTTTTGCAGCTTCACCTTCTGGGAGATCCTGCATTTTGGCGCGAGAGGCAACATCGGCAGGTACGTCACCGGTAGCCACCTGACGGACTTCTTCATCTGTGTAACACACACACTCATGGTTGAATCCCTTCACAAATGGGTGTGCACAAAGCAGTGCCGGCACAAGTTCGAGCTTCATGATCAACTGCCGAAGTCGCGACTCGACCGTGCCTTGCCATTTGAGCTGTAGGTCTGCTGATCCTGACGATGCAATCACTTGGAGGTAATACTTGTACTTGTGGAAGAAATCGTTCTTCTCGAACAGTTCATTCCAAGATGTCTTTCCACGGAAGATACGATCCACAACCTCGCTTCCGCGCCGGAACTCTTCGGTCATAACCATTTGGGTTGACTGCGTCACGTTGTGTGTGGCACACATCGAGGGATATGCAGGCGTGATGATGGGCATACGATGCAAACGGTCGGTCGGATATAGCCTTGGATTCCACACGCGAATCGGCAATGGACCATCTTCAATCTGTTTTAGAAGCACTGGCTGTGGCCATTTCCACTGCAACAGAATGATGAAGAAGCGACTCACGATGGCTCCGGCCACTTCGTTCGGGTACAGCTGGCATATCCGCGCCACAAGCATAGCCCAAGCGACACCACCGAGGAATCCAAGTACGTTTGAGTAGATCGCTCGACGACTGGCCCATAGCTTGATACATCGTAGTGCGAGTCGGAATACATACACATTCGGTACCAAGTGCAAGATCTCATCGGTCACACGTGAGCCACCCAGACTGCGAACGTCGCGCTCGTCCAGATTCTTCAACAAGTTGTCATCACGCAGCTCGAGTGAGTCGTCAATGCGCGGTAGAGCAATGCGAGAAAACAAGAAGTCGATAGAAATGCCCATAAACTTGGTTTTGATCAGCGGTACGTACGCCTCTGGAACAGATGTCACCTCCGTCACGTCATCGCGTGCTTGTAAAAGAGCTTCAAAAATCTCAAAGAAATCTTCGCGCTGCACATGTTTTGGCGCGACACATAGTGTGTCGATATCCGAGCCTGGACCATGCACACCCAGTCGATACGAACCAAACGTGAAGATTTTACCACCAGATGCGCGTGCCGCACTTTCTGAAAGCCCGTGCTTGATCGATGCTCGGTACACAAACTCTTTCACCAAAGCGTCGACTCGTCCAAGAACAACTTCTCTGTTTGGTTAGCTAGACTGGCGTTCCTGGACGCACGCACTTGTGCAGTCATTCACGTACCGCAGCTTGGCCTCTTCGGGTGACTCGAACACATTGTTGGCACGAAGCTCCGCCTCTAGCGCGTTTGTGACTTCCAAGTCCTTTTCCGTAGGCCCATTCATCGAGATGGGCGGCGTTACGCCCCACATCTTGACTCCTGTGCTCATAGCGTCTGTAACGACAAGAATTTAACCTCGTCGCTCGTTGCAACTTGGTCTCACCTGGCTTACTCAACTGCTAACTCGCTTATTATTGTTGGGCCCTCAAATCAAACCTGTAAGCGCTTGGGCTTCCCAAGTGCCCGGGTGGCTGGTTTGGAACGCTCAACGTGCGCGTGACACTATTTGCCCCTGCCCTGCCCTACCCTGCCCTGCCCCCTCTCCCCCTTCACCCCACCTTCCCTCGCCGCATTACCTTCTATCCATCGTCACGTAGCTCGGCCGACATGCTCTCCATGTCTGTGCGTATGGCCAAAAAGGAGTGTGCGTGATCCTTGCAAAGATCCAGTGCTCATTTCCAGACGAGGGCAGAACTGGCTGGTTCGCTGCGACTGACGTGCGCCGCGTCACGTCCGTAGAAACGGACATCTGAATCAATATGCTTCTTCAAGTCATGATATGTGTGATTATCTGGACAGGAGCACTTGCTGTCTTGCATCTGAGGCTGCGCAGGAATGTGCCCTCATGGATGCGCCTGCGCGTCGAACGGGGATGGATTCATTGGGATGTAACTTGCTTTAATGCATGGCCAGCAACAATTGTACGTCCTCTGCTTCAAGGTAAAGCGTACAAGCTGGCACTTTTTTTTTATGATGCGGGCATTCTTGTCGCAGGAGCCGCTATGATGGGAGGCATAGGTATAGTCCTCGTGACTTGCTCACAACTATGGAACAAGATGCTTATGTCTTCAACTGAGACCTCTTTTCATAAACGGTCAGAATTCCAGCAGGTTTCATCGCTCTCCGCGCTGTCGTCGCATCTTGATAATAGCGCGTCTGGCTCTAGCACTAGCTCAACCCCGCTGTGGCTGACGCCCCTGATCCCAGGCGTCAACATGCCCTTGCGCCATGTGCTACCCTTGTTTCTTGTGGGCGTTGTGAGTCAAGTAACTCATGAAGCGGGGCATGCCATAGCGGCAGCGCTGCATCAGATTCGCCCCTTGTCAATGGGCCTGTGGCTTGTGTTTCCTGGTGTGCCTATCGCATACGTGAGTCTCCCCGACCTTGGAGCATGTTCCATGCGTACGAAATGGCGCATCATCAGTGCAGGCGTCTGGCACAATGCAATGGTTCTTGGGTTCTGTGCTCTGGTGCACGGCCTTCTTTCTTGCATGTGGACCGACACACATGGCTTGCATGTACACACATCAGGCGCGCTTCATGACATCATCCCACGTGGATCTCGAATCACTGCACTAAATGATTTAGGACTTGAAAATCTTCACCGTAATGAGAGAATGTATTTGTGGAATCGCCTTGTGCAAGATGTTCCAATGCCGGCAGAGCCAGGCTGGTGCATTCCCAGTGCCATATGGTTGAACGCCACGGACGAATGCTGCCGATACCCTAACGATACCCTTGCCTGTTTTCAAAGTGCCAAGATACAAAAATGCTTACGACCTATGTACTTGTTTGACATGCCGCAAAGTGTGCGATGTCGAGAAACGTGTGACGCAGGTGTGTGTGCTGTACCAGATCCTCATGCGCCTGCTTTGGTGCGGGTGGGTATAGATTATGGTGCAATGACGGGTCTTGTCGTGTTGCGAGGGCCTTTTCGTGGACTGTCTCAATCGATGCACGTGTCTACGCATACACTCCGAGCACCATGGTCATTCCTTATACCACCTGCATGGGTTGATGCATTGTTGATGTCTATGACCTATGTATTTCAACTCGTGTTGGTTGTAAATTCCGCCCTGCTGGTACTTAACATGCTCCCTATACCTACTCTCGATGGAAGTCTATACCTTCGACTGTGCTTGCAACAGCTGTATATTTTTTGGTCCGACACGAATGGACGCGGCAGTCTGAGCTCTTGTGACATTGAGGATCCTGGAGAGGCTGTGCCAGCCTACTCACTGCACCGCCTTGACTACATCCAATCTCTTTGTGAGATGGCTACATGCATTGTCACAGGCATAGCTTTTATGGGCAGCATCCTTACTACTCTCGCACACACATAGCAATCATGACATACTTCGAAATCTATACCCTTCTGCAATGGCCTGAACGCACACTGAGCCTCACGTGCAAATGTGGAGGTGTTCCTGGTCACAGCAAATCAAACAAATCTTTTGACGCGCCCGACGATGTCGATGTCGATGCAGGTGCACCTCGGCCCGACGGTGCTGATCCCCAGACAGAATGACTAGTCTGGTCTTTTGCCAGCTGTGCCATACTCTTGTTATTGCCTACCTTGGATGTCACCCCAGCGCTGCCACGCGACTCTGCCCACAAATCGTCAAAGAGCGATGCAGACGAAGCTGGGGCTTTTTGAGTCGGCGTCGACGTTGGCTTCATGACTGCTGGCTTTGGATTTGGCTGCAAGGAGGACACTGGAGGAGGAATAGAAAGGGGGGCTGGTGCAGGAGCTGGAGAACGAGCTTGCGTTTGAGACCGCGATGGTGCAGGTACGCTTGGCATGACGGGTTTGGTCGAGGATGAAGTAAGGGGCGCATTGTCCAGCAAGTCAAAGAGAGCGCCATTGTTCTTCGGTCCCGCAGGCGTCGACGATCCCGTCGAGCCAGCTGGACTCTTTGTGCTTGCATAAGAAGGCTGGGATGGCAAAGCCGACTGAAAGTCGTCAAAGTCGTCCGCATCTGCTAAGGAAGAGGACCCAGCAGCAGAGCCCAGGCCATCGTTTTCGGAAGTCAAAGCGGCAGTCTTCGGTGTAGGGGCAGGCTCGTCATCGAAGCTAAAAAGGTCTGCGACAGCTGGCTGAGCAGAACCCTGTGTCGACGCAGCAGTCTGAGCCGGAGCTGGCTGAGTTACCGAGGAAGGTGCCGTGTGAGTCTCATCATCGCCTGCGTCATATTCATCAAAGTCAGGCTGTGCAGATGCTGCCGAAGCAGCGCTTCCATAGGCTCCGGAAGCACCGCCGCTCGCATAATATGCGTCGCTACTAAATCCGCCGTAACGACCGCCACCACTACCTGGCACAAAGTCGGCGCTACCAGCCCCTTGGTACTTGGCACGGTTCGCACGAGCCTTGCGTCGTTCCATGCGGATCATATCGACATCGGACAGCAGGGCAGCCAATTCTTTTGCACGAGCACGGATGTTCACGCCCTGGTCTTTTCCCTGCTCGTCGATGTAGTGGAAGTTGCGCAGAATTTTGATCGTCGACAAGTGAGCACGAGCTTCATCGACGACACGTTCGGAGCCATTCTTGACAATATATTCGAGTAGTTGGAGCGCCTGTTGTTAGATCATCGTTGTTGGATGAAAGGAAGCGACATTTTTGGATATGTGTGTGTGTGTGTGTGTGTGTGTGTGTGTGACGTACTTTGTAGATCTGACGCCAGTCATGAGCTTCCTTTTCAACAAAGCGACGGAAAATTGTGGGCATGATTTCGTTAAAGTCATGACTAGGGAACATCGTTAGTCATTCTGAACATCTGCTTCACCATTACACGCCGCGCGTCGCGCCATGAACATACTAGTTGAACGTAGCCTGAGCGATCTCCTGCATCAACGTAGAGCTCGCGCCCCTGTGGTCTTAGTGCACTGGACACATAGAATACGCACCATGGATCATCGTTCGTCGCTTCACGAACCTTGGCCTCAATCTCACTGATGTTGAGTGCATAATTCTTTGCCTGGGTATACAGTTGCTTCAAATCATAGAATGTCAAGTTCGAGAGCTTGTTCCCGCTGGACGGTAAGTGCACACCATTGACACCACATACATTTCTTCCAAGTCCTTCAGGAATTTCGTCAGCACTACACGCTTCTACAAAGTGTACGCACCATATCTGCTAGCTAGAAACACCAAGCACAAGCAATACAACGGGGCGGACAACTGGAGTGTGTGCGCAGGTGTGTTTGATGTTGGGCACTTGAGGCGTCGCTGGCGCAGCGAATAGCAGGTCTTTGCCATCGAGGTGTTTGTGTCGCAGGGCTGACTAAGCATGTGATCGAGGGTGGATTTGGATTCGCGTCGTTTCTTGGGCACGTCCGCACGAATTACGTGGGGCGGCGTTCTTGTGGCGGCGCTACTTGTACACTTGCTTCGCTGGTAAGCACGAGTGAGACGTGGACGTGATGTTTCTTACGCGGTCTGAATATGGTGCGTGTAGACAGGATACGTATGCGGGTGGCAGTGATAATGCTAACCATGAATAACAGACCGCGGCGTGAATACGTTTTCACCCGAGGGCCGTCTGTTTCAAGTTGAATATGCATTGGAAGCGATCAAGCTCGGCTCGACGACTGTCGGCATTGTAACCAAAGAAGGTGCAGTGCTTGGTGTGGAAAAGCGCGTGCAGTCATCACTGCTTGAGAATAGCTCCATTGAGAAGATCATGGAGATCGATTCTCATCTGGGTGCGGCCATGAGTGGACTTACTGCTGATGCACGCACTATGATTGACCATGCGCGTGTTACAAGTCAAAACCATCGGTTTGTCTACGATGAAGAGATCAAGGTCGAGAGTATTGCGCAGGCTGTGTGTGACTTGGCCCTGCGCTTTGGCGAGAACACAGAGGATGACGAAGCGCTTATGAGTCGCCCATTTGGGGTGGCGCTCCTGATCATTGGCATCGATGAAAATGGGCCACAGCTCTTTCACGCAGATCCTTCTGGCACTTTTGTGCGTTACGATGCAAAGGCGATAGGAAGTGGGTCGGAGGGCGCGCAGGGCGAGTTGCAAGAAAAGTATTCGAAGGATCTTTCGCTGCGTGACGCGTCTCTTCTGGCGTTACGTGTACTTAAGCAGGTGATGGAAGAGAAGCTTGATGAAAACAATGTTCAACTTGCGCAAGTAACTCCTGCGACGTCAAAGGATGGTCGACCTACGGGCGACTTTAGAATCCTCGATAAAACACAATTGAAGGCGCTTGTGGATGCTATGTAGGGAAGTAGCAAGCGATAATGGCTTACTAGCTAGTGTGTCACTCACTGGATATATGACAAAGATCAATGGCATATATGCTACAACTATGGCAGACCATGCACTGTTGCTCGACCTGTGGGTCTTAAGCTCATAACGCACGTAAGCAATTTTATCGGTGCCACAGTCCGCCTCGTCCTCCTCCCATACCCCTCCCTCCCCCCCAGAGGCGCGCGCCTGAAGTGACAGACGATCTCATCACGTGCACGATCGAACACGTATTCCTGCATGCATTTTGTGGGGCGCGAGGTGAATGGTGATGAGGTTGGCTTAGGCCAGCTGGAGGGAGACCACTCGCGACGGACGATTCCTGCTCGACGCGCGTTTACATTCAAGCTTGGAACCACACCACGTTTGCCTTTGTTCTGTTCACAACACGGATCTACGTAGCCACTGGCGGCCATACATATCCGTACTTATATTATACGGGGCGCTAGAGAGAACAAGAGAGAGAGAGAGAGAGAGAAGGTGTGTGGAAGTGTGTTGTGTGAAACTACTCGGGCAAGAAGTCGTCGCCAGATCAAGCCTTGTGTGCGAGTGTGCATACCATGACAGACCCAGGATCTGACGTGCGTGTGCCCATAACGTATGCGACACACTCAGCGTCGCAAGCGACGGCCCAACTTGCGCATATCGTCCCACTCCTTGCTGAGCAGTTCCCTCTGCGAAATCTGCATTGGCGTCCACCAGTGACGATGCAAACTTTGCGTCCATTGAAGCGATCTAGTGGATCGAGTGGCATGGATTCTGTGCCAGCGCTTCGAACGATTCAAAACCTCAACGTGGAACTAATTCCACTCGCGACGCACTTACCAAATCAGCAAAATGTCCAGATTCTCGAACGTGTGCCTTGCGTGCACATATTCTTTGTCACATGCGATGACATTGACGTGTACCGAGCGCAGGTGCGGAATGAGATTCGACATTGGCTTGCAACGCTTCGAAAGCACATACCCAATGACTTTGATCACCTATCCACGATACGGAGCGACGAGCAGGACAAGGCAGGCACTGCACTGCCGCCGGAACATTTAATTGTGCTATTGCCGCCGCCATCCAGTGGTGTCTTTACGGCGTCAAGCGCGACTAGCTCTGGAAAGAGTGCTATGGGACGCTTCTATACCATGAACAAGGGCACGGTTCTTGAAAAGCTTCGTGCAGACTTTAATTCGAGTGCCAAAGAGCATGTGCTGGCCCTTTCGAAGCTACCTACCAGTAGCAAAGACAACGATCCGGCTCTATGGATTGATATCATTGCTCACATCAAGACATGTACGCTCGCATCTCTTGGACGGGTGCTTGACATGCAGGACCGCGTCGTTAGCATGTACGATGAATCGACCAAAGGTGTCAACTGGACTCTGAGTGGTTCGATCACACGCAAGGAGTTTGTCATTCAGACACTCGAAGGACTCGGTCTCCTCCATGATGTGTTGCATATCTACGATACGGTGGAGACGCATCTGGAGCGCTGTATCGCCGATGGCCGGACGCCATTTGTCCCTGGCGGAAACGAGCCTGGCGACGATAGCCTTATGCTCCTGGGTCCTTTACGCAAGCCGTACCTGTCGCTGATGGCTTCGAACAGGCTCTCGCTCTTTGATATCCAGTGCTACTTGTACGCACGCCGCTCGACGGTGCATGCGGCGCTTGGGGAAGTCGTGCAAGTGATGCAGATGACACCGGCATTTATCGCTTCCGTCACTCGCATGCTTCGTCCGCACCGGCATCTTCTCGCGCAAGCGTTCCTTGAGGCATGGTCATTCTCGGTGGCACTGGATGCCGTCGAGCAGTGCCAAGCGTGGCTTGTCGAGGCGCAAGGAGAAACAGACGATGTAAGGACGACACATGCATTCCATGCAGCCAAAGCTGAGCTTCTGGAGCTCGCAGTCCGTCAGCTTATCAGCATTGGTCTCCAGTCGGGTCATTTGCCGCGTGTAGAGCCATTCCAGTTTGTCGCATCCGATTCACTCTCGATGTTCGCGCCCGATGCACGAATCACTCGCAAGGAGCTCGTCGAGGCAATGGCTCATCGGCATGTCTTTGAATCACAGCTATGCAATGTGATCCACCGCACGCTACTTGCTGCTGTTTTGTGCCAGCAGACTCCTCGCACACTCCGCCTCAAGTATCTATTCGCGTGCTTCCACATGAGCCGTTCGTCATTCCACCATGCGCATGCCCTGTGGGATGAGCTGCTTGCACACCCAGCGTTGCCTTATTCCGCTGTGCTTTATGGTCCTACACACTCGCAGTACCTGGCGTGCCTCCAGGCTGAGCACTTAGCCCATGGTGACGTATGGATCCAGGCGCTTGTGGCAGCTATCCAGGCGATCAGCACCTTGCGAGCACAGCCACTTAGCCCGCAGCCCATGGATGAAATGAGCCTCCTCACATGGCTGGCTGATGAAAGCGACAACCAACACACGTATGCCACGCTCGTTGGCTACAATGGATGCCGCGTACATGTACGCAGCGTACGTGCGGACCGTGACGGTGCTCATACGTTCTTGGACATTGATCTCCTTTCATACCTACCAAAGCCATTATCTGTTGATGCCGTTCATATCTGGGTCGCCAACTACCGTCAAGTCCAGCTCCAGTTCAGCGCGAGTGCACATACACTAGAGCCGGGGCTCAATCGTCTGCGCCTTGTGTGCATGACCAGTGCCGTCGGCTACTTCCACCTGCAAGCGACGCAGATCCAGTTCCGCCGCGTGCTTTTGGAGAGCATTGTGCAGAGCGCTGCCTCCTTATCCACACTGGCTGATGCACAGCAACTCGAGTACCGACGTCATCGTATATGCATTCCTGCAGATGGCGCCGCACTGCAGATGCATGTGTCAATGCCACGTGTAATGTCTTTGCAGGATGCGCGATCCGTCGAACTGCATCTCGACAGTGGAAGAGACCCCTTGGAGGAAGCCACTATTTCTGTCACAGCGCACGGCGATGTGCGTCTCAAGCTGGACGAAGACCCATGCTTGGCTTGCGATAACGGTGAGACCAGCGTGTCACGAACCGAGTCTGGTTCCTTGCTCCTTCGGCATTTACCAGCGCGCACGTCGTGTACTATGGCTTTGCCGGTGTCGTATATGCCACGGACGCCGTACATCGAGCTGTCCATCGTTGTCTACTTCCAGCGGAATGGCTACGATTGCTCTGTCCATCGCACTTTGCGTGCACCACTTCATTTGCCATTTAGTATCAACATTCAGGACTTCTTCCGTCTGCACCATCTTCTATCGAAGCTGTCCTTGGAAACCACCGCCGGCACGCATGTGCGTGTCTGCACGCCTCAGGTGACAGCTTCCGAAGAGGGGCCGGTGAGTATACAGGTCCCGGTGCAAAGTGTACCTCTTCGGATGCGTCCACGTGAAGCGAGCACATTTTTACTCCAGTTCCAGTACAAATACCTTGGCACTCGCCGAGCGGCCAATCCTCCATTTGCGCTGTCGATTGTCTATCGCACGGCAGCCGACGAAGCCCAAGGCCTTGCGCTGTATTATTTGTCGCTACTTCTCGCGCAAACGCCGTCGTGGATGGATGGCGACCAGCAGCTGCTGCAGCGCGCGTTATGCGAATGTCTTGAACACGCGACATTCGACGTGGGATCAACTCCGATGTACGAAGCCAAGTATTGGCACGACACACTCTTCCGTTGGGGCTGGCCACAGGAATCTCAGCGATCTATCCAAGTACTTGAGCTTGTTCGCCGCGTGTTTGCTAGGCTGGAGGATCCGTCTATGGATGCCATGCTTATTCCGACAACCGCGCCGTCACATGTGCAGCAGAACGCAGCACAACAGCATGCATGGGAGGCGAGTCAAAAGTGCTTACAATGGCGCACACTCACTCTGCCGTTGGATGTGCCATTCGTCGATGCTGTCAATTCCGTGAGCATTCTCGCGCCAGAACGTTCACATATTTCACTGGGCGAGCCTATCGACATCACGATCGACGTAACAATTTCCCTTGTTTGGTCCCAAGCGTCAGATGACGATGATGTGTCCACAGTCCTGCAGTACAATATCCTCACCGATTTCGACAACTGGCTTGTCTGGGGCAATAAAAAAGGCATGTGGGAAATCCCGGCTCAGCAGCTCGAGAGCCACCACACGATTCACGCGACTTTGCTTCCTGTGCGTACAGGATGGCTCTTATATCCCCGCATTCGAATCGCGCCAATCGGTCCGGCAGCGCGTCCATTTCGTTGCGAAACCTACATGCGCCAGGCTGACCAAGGCATCTATGTCGTTTCATCTTCACATCCAGATACATATTGGGTTGACTTGCGACCTGTTGAGATAGCGGCCCATTGACACCTTATTAAACAATCGACGCACTGCACCCGATGTTGTGTCTTTCATGCACTTTTTTATATATTGAATGATGTATTCCTTCCAACATCCTTTTCGTACGGCATGTATTCCTCGATGACTCGACCCCTCTTTCTCCATCTTGGCCCAAGTCGCACTTCAAGCAGCCGCGCAGACCATAGTCAATAGGATCTTGTTCGCATGCTACCTGACGGGCGTGTTTGGACAACAACAATTTCCACTCCGCATGTGGAGGCCCCTCCATCTGGTTGGCGTGTAGTAACATCACTTTGTCATCTGTCTTAGCTCGCCTCTCTTGGTCGCACTGACGCACGCTTCCCTCGTTCCAGGCACCGTTTCTAGCTGGTATGCAGGCGCCATACGAAAGAGTGCGCCCACGTATTTCTGAATTAAAGGCAAGTGACGGTGACGACTCATGGATCGATTGGCCTCCGGCAGCCAAAGTCGTGCGTGCTAAGCCACCTAGCATCTCACATGCTCAAACCACTTCGTCAACGACTCATGCAGCAAAGGAGACGTTGGGGGCGTCTCAAAGTGACTATGAATGTTCAGATGATCCAAAAGAGACTCCCACCAATCTATCGACGCCCATTCGTCCCATTATGGGAGAGATCTTAGAGCGGGAGCCAGCTTCATCGTCACAACCCAGGGACATTGAACCAATGGGGAACAATGGCAAGCCAATGTCTGCGTTTCGTCGCTCACGTCTTGAGCGCACTAAAAAAGACTCTTCTCGCAAGCCACCATCACCCCCAAGGGATGAGCTCGTGCCTATGCAGGATGCCTCTCGAGATCCAGGTGGTGGCGCACCGCCTGAGGCTATGACATCACTGATGCAAGACATATCGCTAGAGAATGAGTCAAAAGTGGCAAGCATGAGTTACGAGACACGGGCGGATGAGCTAAAGGATGCGGAATCGTTTTTTGGAAAGGACGTACTGGAGAAATTGGCACAACGAAGCGCGCGGCGCGATCCAACTCATGAACAACCATTAGATAAACACGAAACTCATCCATCAGCTGGATGGCCATCGATTGAGCGTCGTGCAACCGAGCTTGATGAAGAGATCCAGACAAATCCACCGAAGTCCGCACAAATCTCAGATCGCGATCATTGGGAGTCTTTCCGGCAGAAGTATTTTCCCGATGAACCAGACGCCGTGCCAGCCGCACTCGAATGGACTGTGTCACCAAATCCCACAACCACGTCTAGCGTGCGCTTTGATTTTCATGGGCATGTCACGACTGACTCGCGCCATACATGGGCAGAGGCACCAGATTCTACCTACCTCGCGGGCTTGCATCACCACGGCAGCGAGCAATCTGTACCTGGCTACACGCTCGACGAGCTCCTTCATCTCGCTCAAAGTAGCATTGCATCACAACGAGCGTTGGCGCTTCAAGTGCTTCAACGAATTAGCGAACGTTATCCTTCGTCGCAAACCGGGGCACCACTATCAAACTCAGCCCAGCTTGCTTTGAATGCTGATGCACATGCCATCCGAGCGCGCATTCTTCTCACTTCTTTTTGGCTTTTACAGGATCGGCATCGCAGTGTCAGGTTAGCCGCTGTTCCTTGCCTTGATGCAGCTTGTCGTGCCGTCTCAAACGTGCCAGATGACCCCTTCATTCTTGCCGACATGCTCACGTGCGCCAATCCAGATGTAAACTGGCTGTGGCCTGCATCCCAGCAGGATGCTTGGACACCTCACTCCCATGCGCCCCCGCTGCATTCACCAGATGCATCACACCTCGAGCTTCTGCAGCATGATTGGGCTGATGCATTGCTTCGCATGCATGTCTTGGATGCTTTGGATACCTGGCTCGTTGAAAATGCTGCACACCCAGACGCGATAGTCTCGATTCTTTGCATGCTTGTTCTCCATCATCAAGCCTGCGCCAAGGCACTCGCACAACATCCGCATCTGGTCCAGGCTGTAGTGCAGTTGGGCTGCACACAGCGGGCCTGGCCTGTGGCAGACGAGTCATTTCCGTCTATGGAGGCAGTCCTGATTCTTCTGCGCATGGTCCAATCAAATCGTGACGTTGCGTCTTCGCTCGTTGATGAGGGAGTGATCGATCCTTTGTTGCGTTATGTGCTTATACCACCTCGAGACGTATCGTCCTCACAAAGTTCGGCTGATGCAGCCAGTCCGTCTGCTGCTACCAATATTATACGACAAGAACATGCGTTCTTGTTTGTGACACTCCGCATTCTGGCTGCGCTTGGTCATTATGGTCTTGCAAGTACCAGCATTCGTGAACTGGCCGTAGCGCTATCGCGCTTGGCTGATTGGACTCAGTCCCTTCCCAACAAAGTGAGCGCTGACGACATACAATGGTACTCCGCCCAGGCCTTGTACAACGTACTTAATGTGTGGACGCACCGGGCGATTCAAGGTCCTCGACATGGCGACTTGGGCGTGAATGGACCCATGGTCCAGGCTTGGGCCCCACTTTCAGAAGGATTCTTGACCAATGCTGTAGGCCAGTCGAGGCCGACATCCAGTGTCAATGGTGCCATCGGCACGGCCATGTGCCATCTGGCTGCATGGGCTGATTGTGCAAAGCATTGCGGCATTCCGTGGGACCGTTCGTCGTATGAGGCCCTTCTTACAACATGTGAACAATTTTTACGACATGCACACGCATCCATCACTTCTGCTGCTGATGCATTCCGCTCACGAAACAAGCAGGAAATTCGCGCGTCCCTACAAATTGTGGCTCAATCAGTGTGGATGTATGCGGGCGTGACACGTTTCGCCCAGATGATGGGATGGTCATCTTTGCTCGAACTTGTCACACAGTACGTTCACGAAGTACTTGGTCTGCCATGGAACATGACATCCACACCGGCCATCCGTGCTGACGGCATCGCTTCCGCACAATATACACATGTCCTGACTATGTGCGCGAACATCACGACGCCCGATGTACAGATTCGCCTGGTGGGGTTGCTATGGTCGCATGAGTCAGCGCATGTCGCCAGACTTCTGGAGTCGGTTGTACGTGGATTCGATCAAGCCACCTGGCACATCTTGGCGCCATTCTTTCTGGACAACATTCGCACAGAGCGTATCCCCTCTATGATTGAAGCAAGTATGTTGCGAGACGAGCACACGTCTACGCTGTGGAAACCGGATGTTGCTGCGCTGCCTCCTATGACAGACCCGCGTACTGGTGCGACACTCTGGACAAGCCCTGCGGCTGGCTTGCCTCTTCGCGCTGACTGGCCGCTTCTTGCGCTTGACGATCTCTTACACAGCGGTGAGGCACGTGCATTAAACGCGTCCAATGCGCTTCCGACATCGTGGGACTTTAACGAGGCTGACATTGTGCGAGCCTCATTGCGTCTCGCCGTATACGTCGCAAAATTTGCCTTAACGCCGAGTGCTTTCTGGTGGCTCGGCATATACAAAGTCTTTCTGCTTGAGCAGGTGTCTTCTACGGCACCCGAGGCATCTGGCGCTGCGACCGGCCGTGACTTGTACACCGACGCGTCCGTCGCAGATCCCATGCGCTCACTTATGGACATGGCTGATCAGCTTTCAATACAGTCGGCTAAGCATATGCGTCAAGAGCCCACACTCGAGGATGCAACGGCTTCGATCCATGGGCCTGGCTTGCCGTTTTACCAGATGTACACGGATCTCATGGGCCTGTACGATGCAGTCTCGATGCATCATCCATTGTTTGCTAAAGCTATTATCCCACCACTCGCCATGACATACGCGCCAGACTATCGCCGTCTGTTGTGGAACGATTACGCGGCGGTGCTTCCAGGCATTACGATGAATACGCTTGACGCACCGGTGGTCGGTGGCAAGCGCCTCGATGCATACTTGTGGCCATGTGAAACGGATGAAATTGTTCTGACCCGGTATGCAGATGCCCTGGCCCGAGGCACAGTGAGTCCAAACCAGCCCTTCTTGTACGCAGTAGCGCTCCACCACGTATGCGGGGCACTGTGGCACACAATCGAGGACGAATGGGCCTTCGAGCGACCCATATCAGCCACGTTGCAACGAAGCATTGCGCGTCGCGTATTGCCAAATGCGCAAGTTTCGAATGTAATCATGGAGTACGCTCCGCGTAAAGGGGTTGCGCCCACGGCAAGACGCTGGTCGCTCCAGGCACAGTGGCAATGATCGTGCGACAAAAATAAAATCAATTATATCTTGATTAGCTAGGCTGTCGACTCTCGCCATGTAGTAACGCCCCTGCGCTGGCCGCCACATCCTCGACGCCGCCTATACGGCGAGCCTCTTGCACCATTTTGTCCGCATAGAGCAGTTGCTCCAAACGACCAAGCTTCTTGCGATCATTGCGCAAAGCATGCTTAAAGTCATCTAGTTTCGCTCGCTGGCGGTATGTCTGCATCGCTGATGGTTGACCGCGTAGGGCTGATGATGCTGGCGAATCGCCATTGGCATCGGTGGCAGTAGCTGCGAATTGAGACGATGAAAGCCCCAGTGCGTAGATACTTGGCTCAGCCCGCAGACACAAATCCGTAAGAAAATCGACGGTCATTTCCTCTAGTATGGCCACACTTTCAGGCGCTGGATTCGCTACATCGCCGTATGCATACATGAGCAGACGTAGGTCCTTATGGAACAAGCCAGACGATTGAAATGGTCGACGGCCTCGTGACGCAGGATCTGTTCGAAGGCTTGAGCTGCCAGCCACGTCAGCCATAGATTCGTTCAAAAAGCGACTTGACGCACCGTCAGCATCGTACGGTGTTGACCTCGCACCTGCATAGGATTTGTAAGGTGTGTTAGGCGGCATTGGTTGTGCGGAGACAGGTGTGTAGTAATTTTGTTTTTTGCTTTCAGGGTCAAGTGCCTGCGACGGCAGCGTGCAGCTCTGGAGGACTAAGTTTGTCGCACGCGATGCACCGTAAGCTCGTTCAATCCGTGTGACGCCATTCGGCAAGTAGGTCCGCGGCGTCAAATGATCAGAAGAGACCTTTGGCCACGTGATTTGCCCGTGCACACGCCACCCGTTTACTTGACACACTACTTAGCCCATGTTCCGCGCATCGCTGGAAGCAGTATTGCCCCTACGTCGAGCGAGTGTGCGAGTGTCCACGATACCTGCACCCATTCGCCGACTTGAGCAACTTGGTAATCAGCTAAAGCATTCCTTTCATACAAGCAGCCCAACGAAAATGCCCCCTGTCAAAATTCCAGCATCAGAGCATTACGATCTGCTTGTGATTGGTGGTGGATCTGGTGGTATGGGCGCAAGTCGCCGCGCTGCTAGTTACGGCAAGAAGGTAGCCGTTATCGAGCAGGCTGGAAAACTTGGTGGTACATGTGTTAATGTGGGCTGTGTGCCCAAGAAGCTCATGTGGCACGCTGCTGACCTGCAAGACAAGCTCAAGGAAGCTCAGGAGTATGGCTTTATGGATGCATCTGGGTCGTTCGCTGTGCCAACAGTAAACTGGAACATGCTCGTTGAAAAGCGTGATGCTTATATTCGCAGGTTAAACGGCATCTATGATAACAATCTGAAGAAAGACAACGTTGAGTACATTTCTGGACATGGTCGCTTGCTTGGCAATGGCCGTGTTAAGGTGTCACCAGGTGTGGATGGCGTTCTCGAGAAGGAGGTGGTTCTTTCAGCTGATCACATTGTCGTTGCATCTGGTGGACGGCCCAGCGTGCCTAGTGATGACGAAGTTCCAGGCGCAAGCCTTGGCACCGACTCGGATGGCTTTTTCGCTTGGCGTGAGCAGCCGAAACGTGTGGCCATAGTTGGTGCAGGGTATATCGCCGTTGAGCTGGCTGGTGTATTGAATGCGCTCAACTCAGAGACGCACCTCATCATTCGCCACGATCAGTTCTTGCGTAACTTTGATCCTATTATCTCGGAAACACTCACTCAGTACATGGGCAGCACGGGCCTGCAGGTCCACAAGAGCTCGAATGTGAAGCGTGTGGAGGGTGAACGTGGTGGATCGCTCAAAGTTCATCTTGATACAGGCAATACGATTGAGGTCGATGCGCTAGTTTGGGCAATTGGTCGACAACCGAACACAGATGATCTTGGGCTTGACGAAGCAGGTGTCAAGACGGACAAGAGCAACAATATTGAGGTCGATAAATACCAAAACACGTCTGCGAAGGGTGTGTACGCTGTAGGCGATATCCAAGGCAAGGCACTCCTTACCCCTGTGGCTATTGCTGCTGGGCGACGTCTCTCAAACCGTCTGTTCGGGGGCCCCAAGTTCAAAGACGACCATCTGGACTACGAGAACATCCCTACAGCTATCTTTAGTCACCCAGCAACTGGCACGGTTGGCATGTCAGAACCGGAAGCGCGTGAAAAGTTCCAGGGCCAAAAGATCACTATTTATCGCTCTCGCTTCACGCCCATGTACTACGGGCTGCTGTCGAAGAAGGCTCCTGCCGCTTACAAGATTGTTTGTGTCGGTGAGGAAGAGCGCGTCGTTGGCGTACACATGGTCGGCATGGGCTCCGATGAGTCCATTCAAACCGTTGGGATTGCGGTCAAGATGGGCGCCAAGAAGAGGGACTTCGACAACACGGTTGCCGTGCATCCCACTAGCGCGGAGGAACTCGTTACCACGTATGTTCCAGTGCAAGACTAAAGCCGGCTCTTGATGGGCTGTGGCACGAGCGACAATGCATCTCGTAGAAAGGTTTCGATCGACGTCCAGTACACAGAATGGAATGCACGTCCAATTTGGACATGCTGCGGTGTGTTCCACACCATACGTCTAGTGCGCGTCTCACTGAGTGGAGGCCAACGAATGGCAGGGTGTTTCAGGTGCTCAGCCTCAATGACGACAGGGGCAGGCTCGCGATTCACTCGCTGAAGGTCTTCAGCATGCTTTTCCACAGAATCAGGCGCAATAAACTGGTCAGATCGTGTGTGAAGATACAAACGAGGCGGGCACTTAGCTAGAGGTATGTCATATTTCTGCCATGCCCATGACGTTGGCTTGTTCACAAGCTCCTTTGCGAACGTGATGTTGTGAGGACGTCCTCCTAACGCCACAGATAAACTTCGAGCGTACCAAAAGGAATATAAACCAGCAATCATACCCGCGCGCTGAAGCCGAGTCTGCATGTTGTTGCCAGTAACCTGCGCTGTAGCTGCAGGTACGAGTTTATCAAGAGCATCGTACCCAGGAAGGCTGTCAAAAACGGCACCTAGAGGTTGTGGAAACGTAGGTGAAGTTGCTTCTACATGTTCCATAAGTGAGCTTAGAGAAATCAGACCGCCATTCGAAAATCCATGAATAAAGACCGTTTGTGTCTCAGTCGGTGCTCGCTCAGCACTGATTCTCCCGGCCTCGAGGAGTTCTGACTGAACTAGCTTGGCGTTTTTGATCCATCCTGCAGTCGATGAAAAGAAGCAAAAGCGTGTGGTTGATAGCATGATAATGATTGGGATATCAGGAAAAAGACGTCGATACGGCTCAGCATACTTTTTCACATGTCGCAGTTGGGCGTCCATCCATCCGCAGATCAGGATCGCGCTTGGCGATGAGTTCCAATTGTTACTCTGATTGCTTGCAGGTCTAGAAATGTGCACTAAAGGCGACAGTTCTTCCGTCTCGAGCATGGTGCACTGGTGTGATCCCCTAAAGCGTACTCAACTATTGTCTAAGGGCTGAACCATGGATGAGCGCCGTTCTCCACACGAAGTTGCCTTACGTGGAATCATGAAAAAATATCTGTTGCTTCGTGGAGGCGTGTCGGTTTCGCGGCGAAACAAATGTTGCAAGTTTGAGATTCTCAGATACTACGCATAGGGTGAATATCGTTTCTTCGCTGGGTCAAGGCCTGTCGGTCTCGGCCTTCCGCTACTTTTCTGCGACGAATGATCTGTAAGCTTCGTTTTAGAAGCATTAGACGGAGGTTGCGGCTCTTCGGACGCATCAAGAGACCATGCCAATAATCGGCCATCTTCACCGCCAGTAAACAGCCGGGCATGTATAGGATCCCATTCGATGCACCGCACAATATCTGCATGTGCCTGAGAATGCTTCTCAGCACTGGGAAGACGAGCATGCATTTTCCAAGATATGACAATGTCGTTCTCCTGATCTTGACCTTGAGCTTCAGCGCTCAAAAGAGCTATGCCTCCCTCTTGATCACCCACATAAAGATGCACACCGGGTGCGAGAATAGAGCCTGGGCGCGTAAAAGGACCCTTCGCACATGCATCAATGACGTAGTCTGTGACCCAAGGTGGTCGATAACTCGTTGGCTTGCGTACTTCAATATCCTCCTTTATGCAATCAAACTAAAGCATGTCAGCTGGAGCCGTATCGCGCATACATACCTTATCTGCATCCCATAAACTCAGCGTCTGCATGTTGCTAATAGCATAAGCAGGTCCTAGATGATTCCAGTGCGCACTATTCGCGAGTGCCTGCTCATGCTCATCCATGCCGACATCAACGACTGATGAGCGCGGCGTAAACGTATATGAATCAGGACAAGCAGCCCATCCCACACGGGCAAGACTTGCATTCGTATTGCCCACAGACACTACTGCGTCATCTTCAGAGCTGATGTTTGTATCTGTAGCACAAACAAGTCCATCCATGCCGCCGCTCAGTAAAATACCGTGATGCATAGATTCATCCGGGTGATAAACTAGCGACGTAATATCGTCGGAATGCACTTCGCTATAGGTACGAACAGGTGCACCCGCTTGCCGCAAGTCCCAGATATCAAGATATGCATCGGACCCTTGCAACTCTGTGCCAGCTGCGACATACGTACTGCTCGAAGCCAATGACAAATACGGCGCAGAGCTAGGACCCACGAGACGCATTGCCGGCGCTGTTGAGTTAGTTCGCGCATCCCAAACGGCCAAATATCCAGCACTTGATGCTGCAATCCATGCACTTTTTTCGCTTTCAATATTTGAAAGAGCCTTCATAGATTCCTGTTGCCCTGCTTGTATTGTGTGCAAGGGCGTGGCAAGATGCGCCTTGTCAAACATTAGGATTCTGGCGTCATCCAGCAATGCGAGAAGGTGTTGACTCGAAGCTGCAGGAGTGAGAAGCTGGAGCAGATAGCTCTTATTTTCATTTGGGCACGAATACCCAGCTATGGCATGTGATGGGCATATAACATCACCTGGCACCTCAAGTGCCATGGTATAGCTGTCCGTCGCGTAAGAGCTGAAAAGTTTGCGTACAAAATTTTGGGCTTTGGTGCATGAAGTGGAGGTGCGCGTTCACAGTGTCTCATCTGTTAAGCACGCACCACTTTGGTCGAAGCGTCCTTGCCGTTGGCGTCAGCCATGATCAGTGCGTGACCAAAAGCATACACTAACAACAGTTGTGGGACTTTCAGGAGGTATAGCCTCGGGTAAATCGACGGTCTCACGCATCCTGCGCGAAAACCGGATCCCGTTGGTTGACTTGGACGAAATTGCCAGCCTTGTTGTGCAAAAGGATTCACCTACACTGAAGCGTTTGGCGGCAGACTTTGGACCCAGCATCCTGAATGAAGATGGGTCACTGAATCGCGGGGAATTGGGTCGCCTTGCTTTTTCAAGCAAAGAGCGCACCCGTGCGCTCAATCGCATCACACATTCGGCTATTCGGCGTGTATTGATCTGGCGCCTCATCCGACTTTGGCTTTCCGGAGCAAAGCGTGTTGTTGTGGATACACCCTTGTTGATAGAGGTCGGTCTTTACAAGTGGTGTGCAGAAGTCGTGATTGTATGGTGGTACGTAACGCCAATTTGTGTGCATGCATGCTAACTCACGGCCCAACTATCTTCCTCCAGCAATCCTGAGCAACAACGCAAACGCATGCTCCTCCGCGATCGCGAAAAGGGACTGACTGAGGACGATGCCGAATCGCGTCTTGCAGCACAAATGCCCCTAGACCAAAAAGTTATGTACGCAGACGTCGTGATTGACAACTCGGTCAATGCTACAGAGACGTCGCCCCCACGGTTGCGCACCGATGTGGGCAAGCTGGTGGCACGTTGGCACAGGGAGTCAACGCGACCATCAGTAATCCTATCGTGGCTCTTTTGCTGGCTCATTCCACCAGTCGGACTGCTTTGGGGCTTCGCCGTAACCTGTGGGCGAGCCAAGATGTATGCGAAGCGCAACAAGGCGCGAATGAATGCAGCACCTAAGTAGTTGAATTGCCGGCATTATTAGCATTGGCATTTGCACCCGTACCACCCATATTTTTGGACGTATTGGGAGCCTTGACTCGCGTCGGGGGAATTGGCATAGACCCAGGGAAAGGAACGCGCAAGTTCCAGTTGCGCTCGAGATGAAGCTGAACGTCTTTGACTTCTAGCCGATCACCCTTCCTGTGCTTCGCAAGGCGACATGCAAAAGAGGTCACACTCTCAATAAACTCGTCAGCAATTTCAAGCAGCAGATCTTCTACATCACCCTCCAGCTGCTCACTAGGATCAATCTCGCTTACAAGCTCTTGCACTTTACGCTTAGTCAACAGCCGGTTGTTGCCACCAGAAGTACCAGCATAATTGAGAGATGCCGATGCCGAGGGTTGCGTGCCCAGCAAATCTGCTATTTGTGATGACATGACATTTTCATTCTCCAATCCAAGTTGTTGCGCATTATCTTCGCCCTGATTTGTCTCTGACACACCCATGATTTCATCCATATTCTGGCCACGTGAGGATGGTGTCGATGAGGACGGCTTTCCAATATTGCTCCCCCGTCCCAAAGGATTGGGACGCACTAGAACAGGTGGTGTATTCGTTGCCGGTGAGGCACCAAGCCCTTGCATCAAGGTGGGGCGAGGTCCCGATGCGTTTGGGTATGGCTGGGGTGTCATTGTTTGCTGGGCTATCATAGTAGCCAAAGAACTTGAGGGCGAGACGGGATTTTGGCCATTAGGAAGCAGGGTAGATGTAGGAGTTATCGCACCCACTGATGAGCTGTTCGACCAGCTGCTCTGTGGTGCATTTGGTCGCATCACAGTCGCGGCGTGTGCATTTGCCATCGTGTTTGGTGTATCTTGAGCATTTTTTCGTATATTTGCATCAGTAGGAGGAAGCTTGTTCGAAGACTGCGGTGTTGATGGCATGGATCCACGGTTAGGTTCTTGAGTCGTGGCAACAGGATGCTCAGCGACAGGTCTGTTGACTTGGCGAGCATTTGCCTGCGATATAATCGGATTCTGAGATAAAACAGGCGTTTGAGTCAGACCAGACTTTTGTTGAGCAGAAAAAGGTTGCTGAGTTGGCTGATGCTGAGCAAGAGATGGATGCTGAGGACGCGGCGCCTGTTGCTGCACCTGCGGCTGTGGCTGCACCTGCGGCTGCGAGATGTGTGGTTGTGGTGACTGTTGCTGTTGTTGTTGTTGTTTCTGCTGCTGCTGTTGCTGCTGTTGTTGCTGTTGTTGCTGACGTTGTTGTTGCTGTTGCTGTTGCTGTTGTTGTTGCTGTTGCTTTTGCTGCTGTTGTTGCAGATGCTGTTGTTGCTGCTGTTGTTGCTGCTGCCGCTGTTGTTGTAACAGTAACTGAAGTTGCTGTTGATCTTTGGCTCTTGCCTGCTCTCGAGCAACAGCTACCTGTCTAGCCAGGCTTAGTTGCTTGCCTTTCAGTTCATTATAAAGAGTTTGTTGCTGCTGTTTATCTTGCGCAGAAATAGATGGGTTTTGGAGAGATGCTTCGAGCTGCGAAATATTTAGCATCAAGGGAGACATGACGCGATTGAAGTTTTCCATAAGTGTAGCCTCATGTCGAGGAAGTGCAGATTGTGCGTTCATTGTGGACATGGTCGGCGGCTTTGGTTGTGCCTGCTGTTGCATGTAATTGGCAGCTGCTGGCTGCGCCATAGTACTCGCATCGGTCCCATATATCGGCTGAACGGGACGTGCCGCATTCATTTGTTGGACTGCATTTTGTCGTTGCTGTTGTTGTGCGAGGATTGTACGGATTTGTTGCAGCTGCTCTTCACTAACACGACCTTGGCGGGCAGCATTCACAATCGCCATAAATTCTGGATTGCTGGCTAGCATGGGCTGGATTCCCTGCATATTGTTCATCTGCACTCCTGAATTCATTTGCTGGGAGCGTCCAGGGATTCCTATGCCCGACTGCGACGGCGGCAAGCCTCCATTTCCTGGCGGCCCGTTCGAGCCCATGGTGTGGTGGATCAGAAGGCACGATGTGAGATGAATGACGCCGCGTCGATTCACGTGACACAACCCACCTGCCTGCGCGTAATGCGCATTTGTGAGTGAGTACGCGTCACGCGTTCAATATTGTGGGTTGCGATTCTGGGGACAAGAGCGCTCCGTTGGTCTGTGTGGTGGTTGAGTTGTGATCAAGTGCTAAACGTAAGCGTCCATGATACCCACCCCAGAAGTGGCGCATCTTCGACGTGCCGAGTACACAAATGAAGTTTATGATCCGGCTGAAGACACATTCGCGCTGATGGACGCTTTGGAAAATGATGCGGAAGCGCTTCAAGCACTGAACGCATCGTTGTGTGTGGAAATAGGGTGCGTTGCCGCAAAGTCGAAACTCACATAAGGTCTGGAAGTGGATGCGTTTCCGCCTTTGTTTCTAAGATGCTAGGATCTTCAGCAGGTATGCTGTGCTTCTAATGTGAAGCGTATGTGTGCACTGATATCAATAACCAGGCTGCGTCATGCACCGCAGAAACAGGCCTGAGGAACCAAGTATGTGTACTTTGTACAGATACATGCACGAACGCAGATGAGCTAACTAGAAAGACGCTTTTACATCCAGTGGTGGCATCCGTTCTTGATGGACTCCGACCCCGTATCGATGGAGCAGTCGACTTGCTGCTGTTCAATCCGCCTTACGTCGTAACGACTGAGGAGGAAGAGGCCAATGAACAAGCACGTGCTAGCTTAGGTGGCGCTTGGGCTGGCGGCACTAATGGCACTAAAATCTTAGATACTCTGATCCACGACGATGTTTTGAGCGTACGTGTATGACTCCCCTTTCGTAAAATCTCATGTACAGCGTGTACTCCGCCGTGGCGGGCGTTTCTATGTTGTGGCTATTCGACAAAATGATCCACACGCCTTGGTTCGCGCAATGCAAAGCAAAGGACTGGATGCAAGTATCATATTACATCGACGAGCGAATCGCGAACAAATCTTTATTCTTCGTGCTATTCGGTTGTGACTACACAAAATGCCATAGCCGCGCACAATCGTCGAGTGGCATCGCACGACGGTCCTGTTCCAATGGCGTATCGCCCTGCTGTGCTGCCGATTCCGTGGGGAAAGCATACAAACGCAGTCGCTTCCGAGTCTCGCGACGCACAGCAGCGTCGAGGTCCCCGGTCTTTTCAGCCAGGAGAGGTGGCACAGCAAGCCTGATGTCCAGTGGTGCGACGGGAGGTGGTGCAACAGGCTTGTTCATTGGCTGACGTCGCTTGAGAGTCTTTTTTGTTTCCGTTTCAAACAAGGTGGAATACGTGGAATCGAGAAAATCTTCCAGCTCGTAGCGCTGTTGTGTGAAAGGCTCAGCGAGAATGGATGCGAATGTCGAGACGGAACCGAGATAGTGCGTGTCACCCCCGGCAGTTGACTCCTTCCCATGCTGGCTTGTCTGGCTCAGACGGTATGCACCGAATGTCGAGATTTCCCACAAGGAGCTTTCGAGGGCACGTGTATGAAGTGGGTTCGGTTCGTACGGATCGAAAGGGTCTTGCACAGCGCTAGGGCCCAGTGCTAAGTGGTCATGTTGCCATTCGCGATGAATCATTTGCATACAGCTTGGGTGTCGCTTTAGCAAGTTCCAAATAAATGGAATGATCTCGATTAGTGCAGCCGGTGTAGCGCGAAGAGACAGTCTGCTTAAGCGCTTAACAAAGGACGCAACAATAGCAACTGGCAGAAGCATGGAGGCCAAGAACGTGTCGAGCATGCGCATAAATCGACTTCGGTACCGCGTATGGAGGACAGATGCATCCAGCAGTGCATAGAGGCGGGTATAAAATGCTGGATAGTCCAGGTTGTGGTGGACGATGAGAGTAAACAAGCCATTGAGTGCGAGAAGGGCTGTCGTTCCCTTTGTGTCCAAACAATCGACCAAGAAATCGTGCAGCATCGTTGGGTTGGGCAAATGCGGTAGGATTTGTGCATGTAGGCGCACGAGGATGTCGTGCGTCTCAGACGTGGATAGGTTACCACCATGCACAATCAAATGTCCGTTCGAGTTCGAATGAGTGCGAGGAAGCAAAAGACTCAGCCATGCAGCAGCAAAGGCCTGGCGTTGAGAGGAAAGTGTGTGCAAGGAATCGAGCACCGGTGGGCCATGCCTTGTTCGGCGCTTCTTCCGCATTGACACGTAATGCGATGACGGGTCTTCGTCGACTTGATCTTCTTCAGACTCTGATGACCAAGGCTGAGGCTCAATAACGCCATCGTCATCCTCATCACCATCTTGAGACATAGTCGGTTTCTGCTTCTTAATTTTTTTGGATTTCTTTGGCCCGTTGGATAGGTGCCGCACAAGGAAATGGTTCAAGTGACTCGGTTCTGTCGGGATCGCCGTAAGACGACAAAGAAGAGTCCGTGCATGCGACCGGACGTGAGCATGCGGAGGGCTTGCATCTGGGACATGGCGCAAAAGACGGCTTATTTCTTTGCAGAAAAAGAAGCGCACATCATCATACACTTCTAGAAACTCCTCGACAAATATGTCGACGACATCTTCAGATACTCGCTTCCATACCAATGTTTGAATCAGCGGCCGGAAAGGCGACTGTGACCAGCGACCAGTTTTAGTGGACGATTGCCGGTTCAACGACTCAGATGCTGCCGTCTGAAGCGTCATGACAATTTGAAGAGCCGAATGCTGTACAGCAGAAAATTCTGAGAAGAGAAGCTCATCAAGCAAAAGCATAATGAACCCGTTCCATTGGCTCTGCAGCCACCGGGAGACTTGGGCTTGTGCATCAGAAGGGTCAGACGCCTCTTGGAGGACGAGTCGGCCATGTTCATCTACGTGCTCAAAATTGATTTTGTCTTTCTCGCTTAGGCCAACAAGACTGTGCGACACGACACGTGCAGCCAAGGTGAGAGCCTTGACGAGCGACTTTGGATCATCTGCATTCCCTTGGGTCAACTTTGAGTGCAATGTTCGAGCTTCCTTGATAAGGTGAGCTAGTGGGTTCAAATCTGTCGATGAGGCGATTTGCAGCTGAAGCTTTTTCACGCGTTCTAACGGCGCGGTGCTTGCTGGTGCTTCACGAGGGACACCAACCGCCATGATCGTGGTTTGTTCGACGAAGAAAAAGAGACTGATTTGGTTGGATGGAGGTACAAAAAAATTGCCTCAAATCAATCAACGTGAAGAATAATAATTGTAGCGCTGCGCCTGTAGTCCGTGCATCGCTACCATGCATGATGGTAGGATCATAATTTATGTATGCTGGTGGTTGTGCTTTGTACACGTATGCTTTGCTTTCAAGAAACATGCACGTCTATCTCACGAAGGCGTATATGCTAATCTTCCTTTTGATGCGCCTTTGATATTGTACATGGATCGAAACTTTGTAAAAGTGCAAAATGCAACGTTATACTTGACTGATATCACACGCCGGTCGTGGTTTGACGTACAACTTTGTAAAAACAAAGCCGACATACCAAGCTCCTTTCAATTCAAAAGCGTAGAAGCATGCAAAGAGCAAGACTTGAAACTCACGCCTACATCTCAGTACGTGTTACGAGAAACAGATTTGCACGGTGACGGAGGGATCATCGTTGAACCGAATCCGATTCCGGCGCTCCGAGACGTTGCTGCGGATACGAATGTAATGCATAGCATAGTGATCACGCTCAAGACTGTTGGCATGAACCAGAAGATGCGCACCTACCAATGGTGGATCGCACACGTTTCTCAGCCCGATCTGAGACGTGCTCGTTGGCCCATTGGGTCGGGTGAATATGTCTCTCGTGCAGGAGAGCCGAATCGTGTAGCACCGCGTACATGGGACGGACTAGATGCTGCACGATTGGGTGGATGTACGTCGAACGAGTCTCTAACACAGTGATGCATGACCCCATAATGACGCAGGCCGGATCAGACAAAGCGATGACGTATCATACATGGTATGTATCAAAGGCTCGTCACTTACCCAGCCAGGTCGCGAGGTATATCTATCCGGATTAGAACGAATGGTACAGCGGTTTTGATTCGCGCCCCTGTCGATGGTGTGGTTGTTTGGAGCGATGTGTACAGGCGGAGCATGCCGCCGTTGCAGGGTCGGGAAAAAGGCCTCAATGACGAGCTGACATGGGCGATGATGATTCAAGATGCATGGGGTTTTGTGCATCAGCTTCTCGGTTTGGATGAGAAGCATGTGCTTTTTGACGTTGGTGATCGTGTCAAGACGGGCGATGTAATAGGGCTGGCACCTAGCACACCGCTCTCTGCGATGCCTCCAAGCAAAAGGCCGCCATTGGATGTGCCCGTTCACTATCAGGAAGAGGGATATGAACCATATCCGTTTCGCTTTCGCAAGCTTGAAATACGCGTGGCTAGACCACATCGTCACTGGACTCGATATATGTCTCCTGATGCGGACGGATGGTCGTATTTTAATCCACTTCTGATGTATGTTCGCGGCCGTGCGCCACCGGTGATGATTCCTCCGTTCATGGATGTTTCTACCTTGGTGTTTGCGCCTTCCACAAGTGTAGAAGTCCCGCACGCTTTCCCTGCTTATTCTGGAAAACGGGCGATACCAATTCCGTCGAGCAAGGTGGATGTGTTTGTACGCATGCAGACGTTCGTCGAGTCGCCAGGCGACGCTGCTGATGCGATGGACCCGGTGACGCCCTATGCGATGGACTGGGCAGTCCAGCCTGTGGTAAAAGGTGCACCCAAAACCTTGTGCGCTGCCAAGGATGTGTACTGGCGCCGGTCGTTCGAGCACAGCAAGCTTGAGCTAGATGACACGAGCTTGGACGATGCCTCGTTCATGTACGCATACTATGTGCCTCGACTTAGTGTTGGCTCATTTATGCGCGGCTCTATCAAATTGACATGGAATTCTCAGTTCCATGAGAATACGCGTGATCTCATCTATGCCGTTACACGGACCACGCTAGGATACCCAGACGTGCGCGGTGCATGGGATGTGGCTCGTCCGAAGGACGTGCGTGATGGTCCTTCGTCCACCGTGTACCGCGTAGCTGTGCGAGCGCGCAGCTTAACGAGTTCATACACATGCATTGAAGAAGAAGTGCATGTGGCTCCGAATCAGCGAACCGCGCTGCTGTCGTATGTACGACTGGATGACAAACTCGGTGCCTTTGGATCGATCTTTATGTTGTCGTTGATCATACCACTTTGGCTCACTCATTATATCTGCCGCTTCGTGACCTTCTTGTTCCAAACACTACGACGAGGCTAAGCTACAGGTATGAGCGTAGTGAGTATAGCAAGACACGACCACGCGAATTGCCGATCGCCAAGTATTCGCTGCGAGTCGAGAAGTCAATCGAAGTAACGTGGCCCAATGGTGTGCCGGCTGTAGGCCAATTTGAAAACGTCTGCAATGTGGGCACATGCACTATCCGTAAGGCATCCTTCTTGTTCCGACTCGCGAGCGCAAGCAGCTGCGCATCGTGACTAAATTGCATGGACGTCGTTGCGGTGGTGAGATTTCCGAGTGATTTGCGTGCATGCAGTCGCACATCGTCCATGACAGAAGAGGCTGTCGATGTGCTCAAGAGCTCTTCGAGCTGAGCGCTTGTAGTGGCATCCGCACCACCTTGCGCACCATCAGCACCACCGTACATATTGACGAGTCCATTGCTAGAACCAATAGCCCAGAACGTCGGTACCATCATTGAATAAGAGGGCGTGACTTCCAGTCCCTTGGCACCAAACAGCCCCGAGTCGTATGCGGTCACTGGGCAAGAGCGACTCCGCATGTCCCACACATGAATCCGGCCTTCTGTCGATAAAGTTAGAAGACGATGTTCATTTACACCGTCAAGCCCGCTGCTTCCATTTCCGGCAGCCCATGCCATGCCGGCGAGTGGTGCATTCATACGTAGCTCTCCTACGCGTTGACCACCTGTCTGCCCCGCTGCGCCAGCGCCCCAGTCTAGCAGGTGTACTTGTCCACGACGTCCACCCACAGCTACGAGACGGGATGACGCACCTGGTTGGAAACGAACAAAACTCAAGTCGCGTTCGGCACCCGCATCGGCCTCTGTACCAGCGGCGCTGGACACGACACGGCCAGAGCCACGCCATGGACTTGAGCAGAGTGTCTTGCCCGTGCGAATGTCGTATGCATACAAGTACGGCCGCGGCCCAGCGATCAACACCGACGTTCCGGAAGGATGGAAAAGTGCCGTCTTGATCGGCAAGTCCGGCACATGCAATGACTCCAACATAGGATTCGTCTTGCCATCCACTTGAAACAAGCGAACACGCCTGTCACGCGAGGCTGTCAAAAGAACGTGTGTATGATGACTGGGATGGAACTGTAGCTGCTCGATCGCTGCTGGCTCAGCGACGCGGCCTTGTGTCTCATTGGCATCACGTAGCCGTTCCACCTCTAAGCGATCAGCCGGCAAGTGTCGTGAGTGTCGGTGGTAGTGGTGACCATGTCCTGCCGTTTCGACGAGCCCGGTATCCGTGCTTAGCAAGTCACGAAGTAGTGAAGCATTCCATGGCGACTGTGTCGATCCAGACTGCTGTGTGCCTGAGGTGGACGCCCAGGCAGGCCGTGGGTGCATCCGTTCAAATCTGTGGTGGTGTCAGTACGTGTATTGGGTGACGAGGGTGACGGGCGCACATACTGTTTACGCAAACGCCTTTGGTATTCGGTGCCAGAAATCGTCAATTCACCGGGGCTAGCCCGGAGCTTGCGTAGTCGTTTGGTGCCACGCACTGAGCCATCAGGCGCTCGTGCATCTGGGCCAGCGAGTGGGACGGTGAGCCGCTCATCATCTTCGTCTCGCCACAATGCACGAGGTTCTTCATGTGTTCGAGATTGAACTTGGTCTTCCATACCACTGGACGTGTCCGCCATGTCCAGTGTAAAGAGCTGTGTGTGTGTCAGTGATGTGCCAGCCTTGTGAACATACCGCACTATCGTCGAGACTCGCTAATGGTGCTGGAGCTGCATTATCCGCTTTGTCCTCCTGCACAGGATGTGCAGCCGATCCTCCAAAGAGCCTATTGGTAAGCTCTTGCTCACGCAGAGCTGCATGCTGCTCGCGCGTGTCCCCCATACTACGTGAGCAGGATGACCCAGCCGTCTATTCTGATACGCGATGCGACCCGTTCAAGTTGGGATGGCAGTCGCCATGCGCGAATTTATTTCAATAAATTTTTTTTCTTACACAAGCGAGAAGTGCACAGGAAGAACGACGGACGCTCACGTGATAGCATCCGCGTCTCGACGACATCCCAAGAGAAGCGCACTGTTAGCATGCTGGAAGTAGGCGAAGGAGGTATGCAGCAGCAAGCTGACGAGCATGCCGACCGGCGATGCCCCGTACCGCATGCAAAAAACACACCGCTGCCACCAGGGCATCCGGAAGTGCCCAATGCGATTCCTTCGAAGCTGAAACCGCCATCTGGGGAGCACTGTATTTTTCTAAGACAATCGGATGACACGCAGGCGCCAGAGGCTGATCCTAGCCGCCCAGTCGTACTGCCACCGAACATGACAAATGTGCAGGACTCTTACTATACACTTGTGCTGTCAAGTCGTAAAAGCGAGCTGGCCGTGCGGCAAGCGACACAGGTGCAGATGCTCCTGGATACGCGGTACGGCCGTGCATCGCCTGTATTCGCTCCAGGTGCTGACCAATGGCCATCGACAGAGGTCGCGAACATTCGCGCATTTTTGCGTACCTTCTCACCTGATCAAAAGGATGTCCGCCCAGTTGATTTTCCCGTGCGCACGATGGCGACACTAGGTGATCAGAACTTAAAGTCACCCCTCTATGTGATTGGCGGTGAAGGCAGGGCAATCTGGACCAAAGAACTAGAGGTGGCTCTGATGGCAGGTGGCGTTGATGCCATTGTGCATAGCCTGAAGGATGTGCCTACGACCATGCCTGACGGCGTAGAGCTTGCTGCAATCTTGGAGCGTGAAGACCCCCGAGATGCCCTGGTCGTAAAAGAGAATCTACCATACAAGAGCCTGCAGGAAATGCCACAAGGATCGGTGATCGGAACATCGTCTGTGCGGCGCGTCTCGCTCTTGCGTCGCGCATACCCACACCTTATGTTCAGCGATGTGCGAGGAAATATTAATACACGTCTTGCCAAGCTAGATGCAGCAGACGGACCATACACAGCGCTTGTGCTTGCGGCTGCAGGCTTGAAGCGCATGGACCTCGAGCACCGCATTACCGCATACGTGTCGGAGCCGGTGATGCTGCATGCCGTTGGCCAGGGATCGCTTGCTATTGAAGTGCGTACGCCGCGTGGTGAGTCGGCGGAGCGTGATGAACGGATTCGACGCATGATCCGCAGCATATCGAACTGGCGAGCGACATGGCGCTGTGTTGCTGAGCGCGCGCTTATGCATCGGATGGAGGGCGGTTGCTCCATTCCACTGGGCGTGTCCACACGCTTTGAAGACCATGCCGACATTGAGGGGCTCTTGAATGAGCGGAACGAGACTCCCTCAGAGATGGCCAGTGCAGGTATCTCAAGGCCTGACATTCGCATTGCCCATGAGCCACCACCGCAAGGCTCTTTTTTGACAATGGCAGCCGTTATCGTGTCGCTGGACGGCACACGCATGTGCAAACATTCACACACGCAGCTTTGTCGGAGTGAAAAGGATGCTGAACAACTGGGCATCCTCGTTGCTGAAGAATTAGAACACCATCAAAATGCACGTGCGATTCTCGCTGAGGTTGAGCACCACCGCCACTTGGCCGAGGTAGCGGACGAGAAACGACGTGCGGCTCAAAAGGCTGGCGAAGCTGTTGACTCGCAAGTGAAAGAGGTGGATCGGCGTGGGCTGCCACGTGATGATGGCGTTGCGAAAGCGTGGGAGGTGTGAGGCGTACAACAACGAAACGAAGCAAAAAAAAAAAAGAAAACCAATATCATCAAGCATGTTGTTGTGGTGGACCAATCTTTCAATGAAGCGAGTGGTAGGGCCAATGAACAGTGGTATGTGTGGAAAAGAGTAAAAATATAAGGGAGCGCTTTGAGTTTGAGTGTATGGCAGCGAGGCTGAAACATGACGTTTGCTTAGCATGAGACCAACGCCTCATCATAATAGGCAATGGAGATTTGTTCTGGCTACACCCTCACAAATAAGGTGCCCAACCTACGTACATTTGACTCAGATTCTGAGCACTTGTAGCATCGCAAATAAGCATATGCACTAGATTCTTCGTCGTGTGGCGAACCTCGTCGGAGAGACCTGGACGCCGAAGACGGCCATCGAGCTTGTCAGACACCGATTTTAGCGCACGTCTTGCACCAGCACTTGCACCGGCACTAGAGCCTTGTTTATCACCGTGCTTGTGGCGCGCACGACGTTCTGTCGCGACCCATTCACCTAATGGATCGTGGACCATAGCCTGCAGCACACTCATAAGGGAGTCTTTGTTGTCGCACAGAATGCTCATAGTGATATCAGCAGTTTTGCGAAAAGCGCCTTCCACACCAGCGACGCCCAAAGCATCGACCATGTTGTGCGTGAGTCGGAAGGGCACACGCTCAGGAATCACAAACGTCATGCCTTTTTCGAACAAGCAGTTCAGGTCCACATGCACAGTATCACCAGAACCAGCATCAAAGAGGATATTATCACCATGTCGATCGCCTAGACCAAGGACAAAGCCGACAATCGACATGACAGCGGCTGTGCGTGCATACGCGGACCGAGCCTTGAACCAAGCGCTCGGCTCGGGAAATGTCTCGAGAAACCATGCATGGAACACGGGAGGATAGCGGGGCAGGATTTGCTGTTCGAAAATCGCTGCGCCGTGCTTGGGTGATAAGCGTGCCTCATCAAGGATTTTTTTAAGATCAGGTGTGTACATTGGAATGTCCATGGAAGCGTAGTGTTTCGTGAGGATTTGTCGGAATGCGACAGTATTGGGCACCCACTCTATGAGTCCACACTCCTCGTTTAGAATAATAACCGCATAGGTGCGGATGTACAAGCGACGACGACGGGATTCTGAATTGCTTTGCAGTAACTTGTTGATCATCGAGTCAAATTCCATGAGACGGGCATCTTTCCGCAGGTCGTCACGGGGCTTGCATAGGAACGGATATCTGTGGCCATCGGACGCATGGATAATGATCTTGCGTGGCTTTTGCAGCGAGTGCATAATCTCAATCGTGTCGTCGAAGCCGATGATCATGGGAACTTGACTTGGGAACGGCCGGTGTGTCTGGCTTACTTGGTTGTTCGGCGGGAGAATCACATTCACTGATGACTGCACTGGGAGGATCAGGGGCGTCATGTCCATGGCTGCCACGAGAGCGGGGAAGTGCTGCTGCATGCTCAGCGACGTCTCGCGATGCACGTGAAAATCACACAAGTGTAGCAATTCAGTCGACACACGCTCGGCTGCCTCAATCACGGGGACCACATCGCGGTACGCACGCTCAGCGACGGACGAGATCCGTTCTACGATGCATTCATACCGCTGCTTGCGCCGTTTGTCCTTCGAATGTGAGCCGGCAAGGATCGCCCACACGCCCTGTTGTGGATACGCCACCACCACTGCCACGATAATCTCAAGCAGGACCTGCCACACAGCCTCATTCTTGTGAACAATGCGCGCGACGAGCTGCGGCAAGACAGCGAACCATTGATATCGAGCTAGGTGCCGCACAGACTTGAGCATCATTTCGTTGATCTTGTCGAACTGCTGCTGGGCTTGGCGAGCATCTTCGTCGGAACGCGACCCGCTGCTCGCGAAAGAAGCGTTCGCTTTGGTGCTGGCGCCACTCGCTGACTCAATCAGCTCGTTCCCCGCGTCGAGCCAGATTGTCAGCATGCGAGGCAGGGTGCGGTATAGAAACTTGGTGCCGTGCTGAGCAGACTTCATGTAGAAGCGACACACACTTAGCTGCAGAAGCATCTGGTTTCCAATGGCGCCACCGCCTGGCGCATCGTAAAAGTGGCCCAAGTAGTACCAGATTTTCTCCGAGTCAGGATCGAGACTCGTGCAAGTCTTGTAGTGCTGGATAATATCATTTTGCTGGAATCGTGCCGTCTCTTCCACCAGACGAGCACGCAGTAAATGGGCTTGTGCAAGAGCACGGCGGTCATGGTCAGGTTGGGCACGATGATCATTCGCGTTGCCATCGTCCATGCATTGCAGTGCATTGTTCAAGGTCTGCAGAGCTGCCTGTACTTGATCGCCATGTGCCAATAGTTTGGCCTTCTGAACGAACGCATACGGCGCGCCACTCTGCATCGCCTGCAGAATCGCACTGTATGCGGACTGCGTGTGACCCGCCTTGCGTGCGGTCTTGGCACTAAGGATCCAACACGAGCCGAGGTCGGACGCTGGCGCCCGGCACGCATGGAACGCAGAGCGGCGCAGACTAAGCACGGGCTCGCGAGTGCGGAAGGACGGCAGTGTCGCGGCGAATCGGGCGTCCAAGCTCGTCCCCAAGTGTGCATCATCACGACCATGGAAAATGAGCTCCAGCTCGCATAGCATGTGCAGACGCATCACAGCATCGTACGCATGCGAGTACGATACACGGGCGGGACTTAGGATCCGACGCCCCAGCTGGTATCGCGCGTCGGACACGGCCGTTCGGAAGGCGTCCTCGTCATGATCGCGCATGGCAATAAGCGCGCGCGCCATGCCAAGCTCAGGCACTGTGTGCGACTGACGTACCAATTCACGCACAGCATCCCAATCAGCCAAAATGCATGCACCCTCAATTTGAAAGGGTGCGAGCTGTGGCTGCCACGTGGGGTGCACCGCAAGCACCCCTCGAATATGTGTCCGAAGCGTATCATAATGGCCGAGATTTCGCAGGCAGCGCAGGAGGCCGATGTGCAGCCGCATATCGTCGGGCCTTTGCTGCAACTCAACTTCCCAGCAACTCTGGGCGTCTGTCCAGCGGCCTGTGCTTTCATGCTCGCGGATTTGATGCTCGAGTGACGGTGAGAGCACTTTCGTCGAGATGCCTTCCATACCGTCGGGATCATCAAGACTCGCATAGATCTCGTGCATCGTCTCGTAGTACGGCTGCAGCATCTCCGGCTGCTGCGCATGTCGCATTGCACGGATGCGATACTCAAAGTGCAGGAGCGCACGTGCATAAGCGTCGCACTGCAGAGATGCTTGAGCGAGCAAGTCGGGCGACAGCTCGTCCATCACAGCCTGGACGCCAGTCAAAGCATCTCGCCAGCGACTGCGCTTCGCAGCGCGCGGCGGAACAAGCCGCATGCGACGCATCCATTGGCCCACATGGTCGAGCACTGTGAAGAGCGTCTGCGCCGTGAGTCGGCGCCGCTCAGTGTCGTATCCCAAGGCCGGCTGCGCCTGGTCGGCCAGCACAGCCACAAGCTCCATCAGAATCGCGTGTCGCTGCTCGTGTGTGCCGGAGATGAGCACGTGCAATACAAGATGCGGCAGCAGGTATTGTGCGATACCAACGTCGTGATCACGCACAACCGAGCTAAACATGCCAAACAGGGTCGCGGCATCGCCCGGGCGGGCGGACCGGATAAGCGCCAGAGTCCATGCTTGGATCCAGTCTCGATACGATGTCGAATGTGCATACAGCGGCGTATCGCGAGCGCGCGGCTCAGCGAGCTGGACGACATACCGCGAGTTCAGGAGCGGCAGAAGCGTCGGAAGCAGAGTCTCTGGCAAACTTGCCCAGCGCCGACACACCTTCTCCGGCACTCGACTGGGGGCAGATGCGTCAAGGAGGGCAGGTGTGAACTGGCAGAACTTGAGCAATTCCTGAATCGCATACGCCAGTGCTGCCTGGTGCTTCGTATCATGCGTGGCACGGAAAGCAGGAGCCACGACATCCACGAGGGTGCGCTGCGCAAATGCGATTGTCTCGTCGGCATTGTCAAAGTCCGACAGCAGGACCAAGATCGGCTCATCGGCCGGCATGTCGAGTCGATCGGGGTCAACGGCGCCCAACAAGCCGAGGCACTCCAAGCACAGCACGGGCACCGCATCGCTCAGCTCGCTGCGGGCGGCCACAGCCATGAGGACCCGAACACAGCGCCCAACAAGTGAGTGAAACACATTGCCCGTCGTCCATGCCTCAATGCAAGCACGCCGCTCACGTAAAAACACACGCAACTCATGCAATGACTGTACACAGATCGCCGCACTGTCATTCGAAACACGCTCAAGAATGTGTGCAAGCTGCGCCTCGTCGTTCCATGTCTGACGCGTCGCACGAACGCGCTGTGCAACGTCGGGGACATCGTCGGCAATGGCATCAAGACTCGGCACATCGTTCAGATAGACAACGTCAGTCGTGCGCTCGAGAATGGCGAACCTCAGAACCTCGGCCGCTATACGGCGCTCACCTACATCAAGACGGGACCAGACGGACAACAAGGCCGCCGCCGTGGGACCGACCAGCACGCCGAGATCCGCCCCGCGTAGCGCCTGAACGACATTGAGCCAACTCTCGAGCGTCGGTTCCGATAAGGACGGATCATGCAGTGTGCTGGTAAGACTCGCGAGCACCTGTGGCGCTACGCGCGCGGCAACTGCGCCAATCCTTTGCACAAGCGCACCAATGCTACGCACGGCCATTACACGTCGTTCTGTACGGAGCTTACCATGCAAGCCGCCGAGTTCATCGTTAATCCACGTGAGAATTGCCAGCACTTCTTCTTGCAGGAACATCGTCAAGTCCATCCCACGCCACTTGCCGCCGGATGCAACAGTCGCACGAACGAATTCGAGCGCTTCGTATGCCTGGTTCGCATGTGCTTCCGCGCCGAGATGTACGACGAGCCACCCCAGCACGTCATGCAGTCGACTGCGCAGCAGATTGGCAACTGTCACCCGCCGTGAGCCGAGGAGCGAGAGGAAGGCATGCAGACTCGCATCACGCAGGGCAGGCGGCTTCAGAAACGCGTGCTTGAATACATCAGATACATGCGCGAGGCACATCGCCGGCACGGAGCGACCGACAGCCGCCGCCAAGGCTTCTGCATCGCCAAGAGCCGAGTTGTGACCGGCCGCCATGCGTTCCAGCAAAAGCGGCAGCGTAAATGCGAGCGTCGTCTGTAGAAATGTCGGCACATGCATGCCCACGAGACGCGCAATCTCGGCGAGGGCAGGCATCATGCTGCGCGTTGACTGCGCTGCAACGACACGGCATACGGTGTCCAGCTGCTGAGCGAGCAGCTGGAATGTCGTGCAGCGGCGGTGCACAGCAAGCTGAATCGTCTCAGTAACCACGAGCGCCCGGATGTAAATGTGGGGCGTGTACAAAGCACGAATGAGCGCTTGAATTACGAGCGCAAAGCATGTTTCGTCATGGATGCAGCCCAGGTGCGCAAGTGCCAAGATACTTGTCTCTTGCACCTTGTGGTCCGTTGTAGCCGTTGCTTCATGCGTCGCGATCGACACGAGCCCAGCTACTTGTTCAGCTGAGCGGTGTGCCCGCCCAAAACAGGCACTCCTCAGCACATACACATAGAGGACCCGTCCTGTCCGAATGCGCACGCCGCGGTGAATGTGTGTTGTCGTACACCGGAGTGTTTTGACTACCCATGTCGTGTCACACGACAGTATTGCATCATCTGTTGCATGTACGAAGAAGCGCAGAAGGACATCCAACACATGCAACGCCTGCGTTGGATTGGACAGGCGCGCGTGGCGCAACTCGTCAAGCTCGAGCGGGGCTGATGAGTGCGCGAGATCCCTTGCGGCAGTTGTCAGCGCCGCGGGATCGAACTGAACTGCATCACATATGGCACACGGATACGTCGCACATGATGCAGCTGTGCGGGCATCGACATGCTGATGCGTTTCCATCCGAGCACGCTTCGTCGGGGGCGGCGACATCGACACGGACGTAGCGCGCTGATCTGGCAGCGATGTGTGGAGAGAGGGACTCGCGCTGCGGGCATCGGTGGAATGCAGTCGTTCGCATTCCTCTCGCCATGCGTCCTCATCCATATCGTCTACGCACTGCCATTGCTCGTCCGTCAAGACATCCTCATCGAGAAGCGCAAAAACTGTACATAGGTAGGCGACGCAGCATTCACGAAGAGAGCCACGTGGAAGAACAGACGCGCGAGCAAGCAGCGTCGACAGCATGGAGCGCGGATCACCCATGAGACTGTCCGTCTCTGGCGGCAGCGTGCAGCCTCCATATTCGCAACGCAGTCGGCTCAATTGCTGGTAGATGAGACGGAAAGCCTCTGTTAGCTTTGCACATACGCGCTCATCCATGTCGGATGCATGCGCAAAAGACGCAAAACACATGCGCGCCATGGGATAGAAACTCGTGGTAGATGATAGGAGTGGAAGAGATGCCAGAACAGCGTCGTAATGCATGTGCGTCCAGCGTGATGAGCGCGCTTGCATCGCAAGTATCACATGTGTGCCTAGCTCAGCAAGATCACGCATCAAGAATGGAAACACGGCGCCAAGTTCCGACGCTATTCGTGTACACAAAAGCACCAGGCACTCACAAGTCCGGGTCGCCAGGTGCTCATGCATAGTAACTGAAAACACAGCTGCATCTGATTCTGTCCATGCGTCGGCGGCCGTCCCCGAGGCAAGATGCATCACATCCGCACTGCCGCCGACGGTGCTCGAAGTGCCAGTCCGTCCACTCGGACGTAGAGCAAATGGTTCCGGCACTGGATCATTCTCACACAGAGTCATGCGGAATAGGCCACTCGCGTCATAAAGACCGTTGCTTGCATCCACCGACACGATTTTTGCAACAGAGTCTCTCGATACACACGCACGCGCCACAAGGCCACGCGCACCGCAGCGAAGTGCATCATACAAAATGAACCTTGCATGTGTTTGTTGGTGCGAAGATGCAAGACATAAATGTAAAATTGTGCCGACGAGGCGCATCGTGGCGCCCATAGCTTCCTGAACCACATCAAGATCTGCGGCATCCAACGCATCTTCATCCTGGGCATGTGCACAAAGCGAAGACAACGCGGCAATAGCGCGCGGCAACAAGTACAAATCTAGCGTCGGATACGCCAAGGAGTGCGCATCTATCGGACGTGGCTCCAGGCTGTGCTCAAGAGCTCGTGGAGATGCCGACACCCACTCATACAAGGTTGCAAGCACATCTGCATATCGCGGCTGAGACGCAAGTGCACGGAACAAGGCCTCGTGACTGTGTGCCGTAGCAACAGGTTCCATGTACCACCTAGCACACTGTCGTGCTACAGCATGGATCGCACATTCTTGTTCTTCGGTTGATAGTGTCTTGTCAAGCAACTGGATGTAAGTGCCAGGCATGTACGTACGCCACTCTCGCGCACCCAAGGAGGCCATGCGTCGGCATCATCAACCCCATGCATCGTACGCCGCGTGTCGGCAATGCATGCCGCCACTGAACTGTGGCAAGAAAAAAAAAGTTACAACAACACGAGTGCGATCGGACAGCCTCAACACCTCGTGCAGAGAGAATTGAGTCGAAGGATGAGTGGATAGATAAATGTGGAGAACCTACTCGCCGCCTTCCACGAAAGCACGGTTGGTTGGTGTGAATGCCAGTACCGAATGAGCCTCCCCTCCCCTATCCGCTCGCCACACACACACACACACGCTGTTCCATTCAGACGAATGAATGACTAACCAACATATCCAGACCATAAGAAAGCGAGTACATAGATCTTTGATTTGTTTCGTACCTGACACTGAACTTATTCCGACCAAGGATCTGCATCACACAGCTCATCACTCGTATAGTTTGACACAACATCAACACTCGAATCGTGCGCCACCGCACCTACCTACTACGCGTGCTCAAAACGGTAACTCTTCTGATGAGAAGGCACGTGCTTCGTTGGGACGACCAGGCTGGAATACACAGGGTCATCTTCGATCAACACAAAGTGCTTCAGCTGATGCTGCGTTCCATCCATCTCGCGCTTTTTCCGCAAAGCACGCTGCTCATTTTCGATACGTGATTTGTCTTTGGAAGCGAGGTCGTAGTTACCCGTCCGAATGCCGTGAGATACATGTTGCCATAGACGACGACTCTCATACTCACCCATTTGGTCGAGGGGCTTGACATGCACTTCGTCACGCTTCTGAGCATCTGCGTCCCAAAACACAGAGCCGACCGGAAGCACAGTACCCTCCGTGACTGTACTCTTGCCGGACCAAATGCCTTGTGCTTGCAAGATCGGCTTCGACGACGACGGCGCCGACACCGTCGCCTGGAACGAATGCGCCTTGCCTGAGAAGTAACCACGACCTGAGTAGTGGATCTTTGCATGCATGCCCGTCGAAGAATAGATATAAGATGAGTCCGTCAGCTCAATGTATGGCGAGCCGAACCAGAGGCCATCAATCGACAACGTTGGCAGCGTGATCACATACGTCTCACGGCCTTCCGGTCGATCCAGGAACATTTTCGCATGACCAACCTGAACGACAGAGATCGAGCGTCCATTGAACGAGGTCTTTTGTCCACTGTGGCCTTCGACCGAAACACCAGCCTTGGCATTCTCCAGATAGTACGCCGTAATCGGTGGGTGGTGAGACACTTGCTCCGACACGAGCGTCGTCTCACCCTGATTATCCGTGTCTGGCCAGTTTCCGTAGAAAACTTCACCCAAAACAGGATTCAGTGGTTTTTTTTCAGATCCCATACTCGTGTTTCGCGACGTATACTGACCCTTGAGCGTACCGATGAACCATCGCAATACAGCCACCATTCGCTCTTCAGGCGTCGCGCCTTTTTGCACAGCCATAAATGTCTCTGGGTGCTCGCCCCAGCTGTGATATGTCAGCTCCCTTGTTCATGCTCGGGCCAAAAAGATAAACTCTCTTGTACGTACTAGGAAGGGTACTCAGTCAGCGACACGGGCGAAAGAATGAACGACGGTGCGGTCATTTTGCTCAGGTCACCAGACATACTGGCGATGGTCTTGAGAAAGTGCATCCATCCTCCGCGATGTTCAGCGGGGAGCGCGTCACCTTGTTCCGTTTGGGTCATTGCTAGATCGTCAGCACACGCTGTGAAGTCAAAGACCACGCGATCGACTATTGGGACAATCCTCCTTTCCCCTCTCGAATTGCGAAGCCCTCGGGCGTGTTAGGCGACTCCGTGGTTATGCCTACATTAGTCGTGATGATGTAACATTGTGGAGAGACATCAGTCGGGGCTACTAAGTCATGGCTCTCCCTCACTCCTGAGCCGCCGCATTTTGGCGCACACACACAGTTGCCAAGCGCACCATCCACTCGCTTATTTCCCATAACAGTGGGAAAAATTGTCCGTGTGGGTGGTGGCGGTGGTGGACATTTTTGCTCGAGGCTTGGCCCACAAGTGTTCGGTTTTTTTTTGATTTTTAGTTTGTTTGGCTGCCGCCTTGTGCATCGCTTACAGAAAGGTTGCACGTCGACGTTCGTCGCAAAGAATGGTGCGGTCGTATGAACGTCACGAAGCAACCGCCGCGTTTGGTCTCATTGGGTCCAATGCAGCGAATGCAATCTTAGATGCAGATGGGAAAACTGCATATTTGCCGGCACTTGAAGACGTGCTCGTGTGGGACGTGAAGCGTGGTGAGCAGGTACGTATGGTGCAGTAACGAATCGATTCACGTAACATGGAAGCGCGCCATGTGGCACCAGACAGGTCTTCGCCTCGCAGTGACAGCCATTGCTCGTGCACCTTACCCACAGGCTACCCGTTTCGCTGTTGGGTACGCAGACGGATCTATCCGACTTTGGGATTCGCAGACATCGTCCGTGCTACTTACGTTCCATGGACACCAGCGAGCAATCACGACACTTGCTTTCGACGGCATGGGCATGATGCTTGCCAGTGGAAGTCAAGACACTAGTGTGATTGTGTGGGATACAGTCGCTGAGTCTGGTTTGTACCGCCTGAGAAGTCATCACGACGCCATAACAGGCGTTGCATTTATCGCACGTCCTTCCACCGATGATGCCGCTCTCCAAGTTGCAGGCGAGGCATCGGCGTCAACCTCGTCAACCTCGCCCGTCTTTTACCTGGCGTCTACTGCCAAAGATGGCCTTCTCAAGCTCTGGGACCTGCAGCTTCAGCATTGCGTTGAAACAGTCGTGTCTGGCGACGAGCGAGCTTTGGAGCTTGGCCGTGTATGCTCAGGATCATGCTCAAGACACACTTGTTGCTACTGGCGGCTCAAATGGCCATGTGCGGCTATGGTGCATGCCTCACAGCGTTTCGCAACGAGGACTTCAAGCTGCTGAGCAAGGCAGTGGCTCAGCACATTTCTTCAATGCGCATGGCACACTCGATGTACCTTCAAGCCATCGCATATCACAGCTTGCTGTGTATGGCTCATACCTGGCCGCTGCTAGCGGCGACCGTGCTGTGCATGTCTACCGCATTCGCACACCCGAAGAAGCGCACAAGAAGCAGCAGCGTCGAATCAAACGCGCTCGTGAAAAGGGCGACGAAGGTGCTGCAGTGGATACTATACCCATGACTTGGCTCACGCGCCTGGATGCATACGTTATTGTCCGGCCTACGATCGGACGCATACGCAGCTTTGCCTTTCCCAGTGGACATGCATCTTCCAATCATTTACATCATACCCCGTCTCAGCATGAGTCCATGACTTCTTCCGATGCGTCTGTACCATTACTCTGTTCCCTCACGACCAACTCAGCAGAAATCCACTCGATCCCTCCTCCTCCGCGCACTCGAGCTGAGAAGCAGAGCGGTGCGATCGAACCGAGCGTTTCACATGCATTGGAACTGCCTGGCCATCGAAGCGATATTCGTGCAGTCGCTCTCTCTAGTGACGATACACTGCTGGCGTCCGTATGTGGTAGTGGCCAGCTCAAGATCTGGAATGTACGAACGTATCGATGTATCCGGACACTTGCTGTTTCGGCTTTCGCATTGTGTGTCACATGGCTACCTGGCGACCGCTACGTAGTGGTTGGCTGCAAGGACGGTTCCTTGCACACGTTTGATGTGCCTGCCGGCGTAGCCATCGAGTCGCTGGAGGCTCATACAGGCCCCATTTGGAGTTGTGTGGTTCATCCGCAAGGCCTCAGTGCTGTCACTGGTAGCGCCGACAAGCAGGTCAAGTTCTGGGAGTTTGAAATGGTCGCCAGTGACGAACATACGCCTCCACAGCTTTCCCTCGTGCATGTACGAACGTTGCAGCTTACAGACGATGTGCTGAGTGTCAAGTATTCGCCGGACGGGCGTCTCCTTGCTGTGTCTTTGCTCGACAATACCGTTAAGATTTTTTACGCCGATACACTCAAATTCTTCCTATCCCTGTACGGGCACAAGCTGCCTGTCCTATCACTCGACATTTCAGACGACTCGAAGCTCTGTGTTACGTGCAGTGCCGATAAAAATGCCAAGATTTGGGGTCTCGACTTCGGCGATTGCCATCGAAGTCTCTTTGCACACGACGACTCTATCATGAATGTCGCTTTCGAGCACGGCATGCAAGGCGGCGGCCTGATGGGGGGTAGAGAAGGTGCGTCGCACCGTTTCTGGACAGTTGGCAAGGATGCCAAAGTCAAGTACTGGGATGGTGATCGATTCGTCGGCATCCAGGTGATGGAAGGCCACCATGGCGAAGTGTGGGCTCTTGCCACAGGACACCGTGGCCGACTTGTCGTTACGGCCGGTGCCGACCGCAGCATTCGCGTGTGGGAAAAGACAGACGAGCCGCTCTTTCTCGAAGAAGAGCGTGAGAAGGAGCTCGAACAGATGTATGAAAGTGCTGCGCCCTCACAGGATGAGCCCGCGACGGGACCCGCTGCCGAAGCAGAGGCTACAGGTGTCTCGAAAACAACGACTGAATCTCTCATGGCGGGCGAACGACTGCTTGAGGCGCTCGAGACAGCCGACGCAGACCTTGCACAGCGTGCTCAGGCCGAGCGTCAGGGCGCCAGCGCCGACTCTGTGCCTTTGCATCCCTTAATTCAAGCTGTTTTCCACGACATGGACACACCCGACACTCATAAATATGTGTTGCGTGTGGTGGAAAAGATTCCGCCGACGCATCTCGAAGATGCATTGCTTGTCTTGCCATTTGACCGCGTCGTGAGCTTGTTCCGCTACATTGACGTATGGGTAACGCGTGAGTGGAATGTATCGCTGGGCGCTCGCATTCTGTTTTTCTTGATGCGCACACACCATTCACAGATTGTGTCGAACAGAGTGATGCGCACCACATTGCTCCGCCTCCGCACACATGTAAAAGATGTGCTTGTGAAGCAAAAGGCGCTCGTGGGCTTCAATCTCGCTGCTTTGCGTTTCTTGCAACAGCAGTTTACGATGCGTCGTACCACTGAGCTGTTTGAGCGTCCCGAGATTCAACTGCACGAACTCGACGAAGCCGCTGTGCGTGACAAGCTGCAGGAGCATGCGAAACGAAAACGCAAGCTCGTGGTTCGATAGCTACTTGCGTGCAGAGGCTAGATAAGCAAATAGACTAGACAGGCTTATACACAGAAATTGTCGGTTGCGTATGTTCGGCAGGGATGTGTGGTATCAGAGAATAGTTGCAATGTCCTGTCCGAGTAGAACAAGCAGCGATATGTCATGCTGAGCTCACGAGCTAAAGCGAAAAGACGGACAGGACAGGGTAGAAAGATCGTCGTGAGCATTAGTAATACACAAGGCGTTTGTTTGCTAGCCCACAGTTGGAGGTGGACGAGGCCCTGATTCTACTTGTCCAAAGGAAGCGACGAGACGCGAGATTGAAATGTTGCCATTCGAAATGGCCCACACGTCAGTACCGGGTTCTGGCTCTGGTGGGCACATTGCTAAGGCCAGATTCGGGCGGAATTCCAAGAACGCACAGGCCGGATCATCGTCGTCGTCCTTGAGTTTTGGTTCTACGCCTAGAGGCTCAACACGCGGCAAAACATCTGGGTCGGATGGTTGTGGATATAACTGAACGTGCCGACTCGGCCAAATGCGTGTCCAATAGACTTGTGGGCGTTTCAGTGTCTCTGCAATCGGCACATTCATAGAATATGACTGCACATGAATGTCAGAGTCCCATGCATCTAGAAGCTGTTGGCATATGTCCACGGAATATTTGCAGGCTAAATGTGACATAGCAGCGAATGCGTCTGGTGAAAGAGGAGGTGCAGGCAAAGATACAACGGAGCTTTTCGTTTTCGTTGAAAGAGTAGAAGCGAGACTTTGTTTCTCCAAGGTGGGAGGATCCTTCATAAAGTGGCAGAAGCTCAACGCAATGGATCGTATATTGCACAAAGATCCAGCCAATGCAGCACCCAATGTACCTGAAGAGACAGAAAAGGCAGTGCCGGTATTACGACCAAAGTTGGGCCCCGACAAGACGACATCAATAGGATCAGCATTCTCGGCACCAAACAGTGCATCTCCAGTAAATAACCCAATATTTGTACACGTCGACGGCACTCCATCCACAAGAACCCACTCACCAACTTCACCGCGCTCTGTGTTCACGGGCCTCCGTACATGGCTCCAACATTCGCGGGTGCCCGGGTGATCACCATGAAAATTGTCTCTGAGCGGATAATAGCTGGAAGGCACGTTAGCGCAGCTCAGAAAACCATCGCATACTCACTACCAGTAGCGAAGATGAGACGACGACACACTGTAGTTTGTGCCACTCCTTTAGACACGGTTAGTGAGCACAATCTGCGTACCAAGATTTTTCTTTATGTTAGCGAGATATCTGGTTACGTACGTGAACTAGGGAGCACAACACGGACGCGCCACCCCTTTGCTATGAGCTGCTGATACAAGCCAAGCACGTATGGGGAAGATTTCGATGGCGGTCCATCATCATTGACAAGCAAAGCATATGGCATATTGCAACGGAAGTGACACAACACCTGATCAACGTTGACCACAAAATCGTAGCTTCTCTCGTTCCCCACCTCTCTGGGTCCTCGAGCGTCCTGTGCGAGGGCCCGGTCAGTTTCTTGTCAAAATGCCCCTCCCCCCAGATGCACACGAGCCATAAGCACGTGCCTTCGTCTCGCTGCCATCGGGCGTTGTTAACTGAACGCCCGGCCGAACACTACCCAACCGAGATTAAGGATCAGCATAAGAATCGTGTCACGACTCATGCTCCTGAGACCGACAGACGTACGTTCTAGTTAGCTCAGAATACGCCGTTCAAACTGATTGTAACATAATGTGAGCATTAATTTATAAAGAGACAAACTCTGTAGCATGAAATTTAGAATTTGTGTGAGATCCCGACGCCCCACCCCATAGCGTTGCGTCGCAGGCAACGACAAATGCTCGCATCAACCATAAATGCATTTTTTTTCGCAAATGGTGCCACAAGGCACTATCAGTCAGCAATTAACAGCATCACCGAACCATAGCCCCTTATGTTCACCACATAACCAATCGATTCCCAGAAATTCACGCACAAACAACTCAAACATACGAATACTTCAAATATAGCCAACTTTGCGTAGCGCAAATCAAATTGGTCATTTCGGGTACGGACGCAATATATCTAGGCCTCGAATAAGGCGGAGTACATACAGCGGCGGATCCAGCAAGTCAAGCAAAGCCTACATGTAATGAGAAACTCGACGCTGTCTTGCTTCGCATAATCTGTGTGCATCCGGAGCACAGGTAAAACGACCACTTTTGGATATCCCAAATCAAAGCGATATAAACACCAGTAAAATGCTTAGGTGTGCTTCGACTTGGCCGAACGGAGACGACGAACGTAGAATTCGAGCTCCGAACCCTCAAGAATGTAACCGTCAGCACGGCCCGACTGACCAGGGCGGCTTGCAATCACAGCGTACAAGCGACCAGCCGCGAACTGTTGCTCAACAAGTGGGTCGAGCTTGCCGTCCTTGCGGCGCTCCGCGAGCTTGCGTTCCACATGGTTGCTCCTCTTGACCTCTTCCATAGGGGCGGCGCCCGGCACACGGCGCTTCGTCACAGGCTGACCATAGTGCTTCTCATACGCCATGCGGAATGGAGTAGCATCAATCTGAATAACGGCACCCTTCACAAGCGTGTTAGTACGAACAAGCTCGTTGTTCGAGGCATTGTACACAACACCCAGGATACGGGTCTTCGCCGTAATGTGTTCTGAGCCCCAAGCAAAGTTGCCGCTGTCAAGGCGCATAGCACGCGGCTTAATGTTACCGCCGCGCACGCGCACATCGTGAATACGCTTGGGTCCAAGACGGGTGTTAGCCGCCTGACGACCAAGCTCAAAGGCCCTCTTCTTGCGGTAGTAGGCGTGGCGAGCACCAGTGGCTGACCGCTTGTGACGCGAGTCCCGTGTAATACCCATGTTGAGCCTGTCTCTATGTCAGCATGCAAGCTCATAACTTAGCAAAGGACGCTCTCTTGCATGGGTCGTACAGTCGTGAAAGTATCGCACGCTCCCTCAACAACGATGCCATGCTCAACGTCCTTCTCTCATACTCACCTTGACGACGAGTGTTCGTTGGTGAAGACTTGGGCTTCATCGGAAGACTCGCCTCTCCTTGCCCACGCCCAATGTCTGTTCACGTGATCGTTGTAGTTAATCACGTGAACATTTGACCCATGGTTTCGATCAAGCGATTCAAATGCCAGGGCTCGAGCATGCCTGTAGTAAGAGACGCCTACCGTGGTTACCCAAGGCAATGTTCGTAGCGTTTTATACATTGCAATATGGCGAAGAAAGTTTTGCAAAATGATCGTTACTCATGACCCTGACGAATTATAACATTTGCCTACACATGATATGAAAACTTCGACATAATAAGATTACATACAACAAAGACGAAAGTTCTACATACACGGTAAAAATTGGTCGTTGACAGACGGGAACAATTCATGTAATGAGATATTAGAAGCCTCCGAACCAACAGGTAGATCCACATCCAAATATCCACAGGGTGAGAGGTGAGACAGCTGATGCTGTTGATTGCTAGAGCTGCACACTGATGACAGTATGGGTGCAACAGGCTCGGTCACGTTCGCTTTGTCCGTTGGAGTTACACCAGAAGCATGAAAAGATGCCTCGTCATCCATAGATTGCCAGCTTGAATCAGATGAAGGTGTGAAAGGAGAGATAAGAAGACTTAGGTCTGAGGATGGCAGACCAATTATGCTGTCATCGCTGGAACGCTCACATACTTTCGAAGAACCATCTTCAGTCTGCCCTGCGGGATCTTGAGTCGAAGTCGAAGAGTGGAAGATCGGAACTGTGTTTGATATCGAGGTGAATGGGTGCATCGACTCGTCAAAATGTTGAGCGTCGAGGGAAACATCCGGCATGGTGCTGGGGAACAGGTTGTCGAAAGAGAGTTCTTCGAGCAAGATGGATGCGTCTGTGTCTGATGTGTGCTCCGAAGCAACGCTGCTGCCGTTGGCTGCTGCACAGGCCGACGACACGGAGTGGTCCTGGTCACCATGGCATACAAGTCGTTCTGATTCAATAGCACCCGCTGCAGGGCCATACCATTCTTAGGAGAATAGTTGGTTGTCTCCACTGCCGGAAGACAAGTGCGTCCAGACGAGTTGCTGTCGATGGGACTCGATGGACCAGCCATGGTCAGCGCAGCGGCCGGCGCTGCAGTTGCTAGCACAACATCAGAAATAGACGAGTTCACCTCGCAATCTTCACCCTCTTTCTTCATACACTGAGACTCAGCACCACATGCAGATGCCACCAACGAGCCAGCATTAGTGGCGTGTAGATGCGGCTTGATCCAAACCTCAAAGACGGACTCGAACTGACGTAGCTTTCCACTCAACTCTTCGACTTTCAGTTCAAGCTTTGCACACTTCTCAATAGCCTCTTTCTCCCGCTGAGAAGTCTCCTGCTTCTCGGCGCGAAGAACTGCGAGGTCATGTTCCAACTGATCAACATATGCCTTTTTCTTTTCCCGAGAGACCTGGGCAGACTTGCGATTTCGCTGTTGTCGTGCCAGGCGCCGAGCAAGTTTTTCTTCTTCTGATGAGCGACGCCCCTTGCAATGTGGCAGTGACGACGCATCTGAATCGGCTGGCCGCTTCCGCGAGCAAGACGGAGTCGGTGGAGCCGGAGAAGTTGAAACTATGCTAGGACTCAGAGAGGCTGGGCTCTCTGACTCAGCGCATATTGCGAACGTAGGATCAAAATCTATTGTTTGTGATGCGGTCATCGACCGAAATGAACAATTAAAGATCAGATCCCTTGTAGCGCAAGTACGCACCGAGACCCGGATTATTATAAAGTGGTGAGAAGAGTCTGGTACGATGACGTGGAAGCAACTCCGCCACCATGTACACGTGGAGCCACGTGGAAACCAGTTCCCCACACGCAAGGGATGCCTGCGCGTGGAACAACTGCAAGGACGCACAAGACAACTAGGATCTCATCTTACGATGTCTCCGAAGAAGGCTGCAGCTTCGCAAAAGGAACCAAAATCAAAGCTGGTTGTTGCAGAAGATGAGGAACTTACTAGTGCCACAGAGACCGAAGCAGATGAATTCATCGATTCTGAAAGTAAAAGTGCAGCGCCGTCAGAGAGTGAAGTGACGGCTAGCTCTGAAGTCATAGACAATGACAACGAGGACGCTGAATCATACGAGGAGGAGAATGACGGTGAAGATGAAAATGACGATGATGATGATGATGATGATGATGATGATGATGATGACGATGATGATGATGATGACGATGATGATGATGACGATGATGATGATGATGATGATGATGATGATGATGATGATAATAATAATGATCAGTACGATGATGGTAATGATGGTGACGATGAATAATAAATGACAATAACATTGGCCCCATTAATGACAACGACAGTGACAGTGAGGGAGAGAACAAGTATGCAAAGCAAGATAGTCACGGTATGTCTAATTTGAGACGATGCGTGCTAATCACTAATGATTTTTGATAGAGTCTGATGCATCGAGTGCCCACACCACCACGACACAACGACAAGCATCCTCGACGAAATCGACGGAGCAAGCGATTCACGAGGCTCGAAAGAAAGACTCGGACGTGGTAAATGAGCCCGTTGACTATGATACTGCAAAATCGATAATGTCTGATACGAAGCCTGAACCAATCTCGCCGTCAGTGGGTGCTACGTCGATGATTGAGCCTGAGCACATCATTGAGAACCCATTTGCTGAACCAGAAGAGAAAGAAAACTTGGACAAAAAGCTTGCAAATAAAACTCGCAGTCTTCCCATGTCAACGCTGTCAGCATATACTGCAAAACACCGCGCGGCAGCAGAAAAAGCGGATCGAATTAACGATTCAGAATATGACTTGATTCTCGCACGAATGGTCGCACAAAATCGACGGCTCAACCAGGACCCAAAAGCAATCCGTCGAAGTGCTTTGGGGATGGGCAAACTCCGGGAAAGCTTTGAACGTCTGCAGCAGCGCACGCGGGCAAGGAACCAGACAGAAGCTGAAGGAGTCGGCTCCCGAAGCAAAGAATTTGGCCTCTTGCCGGACAACCAAAATGCACCTACTGATGAAACGGAAGTTGACGAGGCAGACAGGATCGATTGGGAATTTTGGGGTGGCTTGATCAAGAGTTCGTATTCACTAGTTTGCTGACGGAATCCAGATTTCAACCATATTCTTGCAACTACACCTATTGAGTTGAGCAAGGCAATTTATTCCGGTGTGCCTCCATCTTTGCGAGGCATGATGTGGCAACTGCTGTGCAGTAGCAAAGACGAGGAGCTCGAGGCGCAGTATGCCCGATACCTATCTTTACCATGTCCGTACGATTCGGCGATTCGTCGAGATCTGAATCGGACCTTTCCGACACAAGACTATTTCAAAGATGCTAAGGGATTGGGACAGGGCAGCTTGTACAATGTCGTGAAGGCGTACTCACTTTATGATCCCGAGTGTGGATACTGCCAAGGCATGCAATTTATTGTGGGACCTTTGTTGCTGAATGTAAGTTCCGGCTAATTGGGCTTTGAGTAACTGACAGCGCAGATGCCAGATGAAGAGGCATTTTGCACGCTTGTGCGATTGATGCAAAACTACGACCTTCGTGGCCACTTTATTCGTACGTGTCTTCGAGCTTCTGACAGACCTTTTCTAATGACAGCCAATATGCCATCGCTGCAGCTTCGATTGTATCAATTTGACAGGCTGCTCGAAGATATGCTGCCTGTGCTACACGCGCACTTCTTGCGCCGAGGGATCAAGAGCACTATGTATGCGAGTCAATGGTTCATGACATTGTTTTCGTACAGATTTCCATTGGATGTTGTGTATCGGATCTTAGATGCTGTGTTTTCGGAAGGCATTGATGCCATCTTCCGCTTTGCCATTGCGCTCTTGCGCAAGAATGAAGACACATTACTAACACTCGACTTTGAACATTGTCTGGACTTTGTGAAACTTTACCTTACAGATGTTTACTGTGGCACGTCAAAGGACTCTGCACTGACGGCACGCCAAATTTCCGAGCTTGTACGCGATGCGTTTCAAATCAAGATTTCACAGTTCACTCTCGATTCGTATGCGAACGAATTTTATGAGCAGGCCAAAGCTGCGAGTGAGCGACAACTCGAATCTGACGCACTTCGGCTCATGAATCGTAACCTACGCCTTCGAGTACAGTCACTAGAAGAGCAGTTGAATCATCTGAGCAACGAGCATGTGGATCTTGTGAAACGCGTCGTGACAGAAAAATTATCACAAGAGGAAATGGCTGAAGAGCTCGTGCGCTACAAAGTTATGTATGCCGAAGCTGTGCTGCAGAATGACAAGACCCGCTATCGTAGCGACAGCTTTTGAAACCAAGCCTTTTTTTTAATTACAAAAAATGGTCAAGGTGACCGCCCTGGGTTCCCACGCCCCTGAGATCTTTGCTTTCATGTACATACAAAATACATTTTTCACCCTATTAGCTAACTGAGTGTCCACTCCAATTCATTGGAGCTCTGGGGTTGTGGGGAATCAACGAATTAGTCAGTTGCCCGCGCCTGAACGCGGTCCAGAAATTATGGGGAACTGCCACGCATTTTGTGAAGATTCGTAGTTGAACCCAGACACGTTTGCAGTGGTCTATCTGTGCTAGATAGTGTCGGCGTGGGATCTGAGCACGAAAGGTCATCAGCATGGACGCAAGTACTGCTCGCCTGATGCATTCAGGATGGGTCTTAAAGAAGAAAAAGAAGAAAATGCAAGGTACTGAGAACACTCTCACAGCGTTGGGCTAATACGACACAGGCTATGCAAAGCGCTGGCTTGTCATTTTCGAAGACGGCACTCTTTCTTATGCGCTGAACCCAGAGAGTGGATCTCGTGGCATTATTGAGGTGCCACACGCTAGTGTGAGTTCAGACATTCGACATGGTACGCATGATCGAGGCTTTTTGCTTGTCTAACGGAAGGCACGATCCACGTCGATAGCGGATCAAATGTGTTTCGTATGTACTAAGAGGAACTCGGAAAGAGAGATAACATGCTAACATCATTCTAGACTTTAAAATGCTCAATGACATTGACTTCCAGGTGTGGCGTTCCGAGCTACGCAAATTTTTGCACCAATGGAGCGGCTCGACTTTGCTGGCACCCCCTCTTACAGTGGTGACAGGAACATTGGGAAGCACGATGGAGCGAGCAGAGGAACTACTGAATTCAAGTATGCGCTCTCTCGAACTCTATAATGCCTCGCACCCCTCCGTGGACATAAAGAATGTGCTAACGGCACTTGCTCAGGTGCAGGAACAGCATCAATATATTCGGCAGCACCTTGCTCGAAGACCACGCAGTGAATATGATCGACGCACCCCTACGCCCTTGAGCCGACCGATTTCTCGTGCTGGCAACTCGCCACTGCCTTTCTGACGAACAAGAACCTATCAGATGTCTCTGCCGCAAACGCTGGTGCAGCAGCGGGCGGTGGCGCTGGGCACTTTGCTGGGAGTTGATGCGGCCGCTGAAAGCATGCCACACAGTGCAAGTGGATCAGTATTGTCGACAGATGACGGTGACTTTGACTTTTTCGATGCAGATGATATGGTTGATGGAGTGGAGTACGAGATGAGTGGCGACGATGACGAAGATGACGACGATGAAACAGATGAGGCGATGGTCGATGTAGACAACAACGACGACAAAGAAAATGAGGGTGCGCTAGCTAGTCAACGAGCCATTGAGCGGCCACCTTTCTCTGTGCCAATGACGACTCTGACCGGTCCGCGAAGCAACGTCACGTACCGGAAGACATTGCCAGCTCCCGTAACAGGGGAGGATGTATCATTGTTTTCGATTCTGAAAAAGAATGTTGGTAAAGACCTGACGGCTATCTCGTTCCCCGTGACGTTCAATGCACCCTTGTCAATTCTCCAGGCGGTCGCTGAGGAGTATGAATACGCCCCGGCTATTCTGGAGCGAGCGGCGAAATCGGCGGACCCTATCGAGCGGATCTGTTTGGTCGGTGCTTTTGCTGTGAGTAGCTATGCATCCACGGCCCAGCGATCGACCCGTAAGCCGTTCAACCCACTTCTGGGAGAGACGTTCGAGTGCGTACGTGCTGACCGCAAACTCAATTTTATTGCTGAAAAAGTGGTGCACCGGCCACCAGTTACAGCGTCGTATGCATACGGGGCAGGCTGGAGAACCACAGCTGCGGGCACAGTGAAGAATAAGTTTTGGGGGAAGTCGCTAGAGCTCATTGCTGAGGGTACCGAGGTTGTGGAACTGGACACAGGCGATAAATATAACATTGTGAAGCCAAGTTCGTTTATGCGCAACTTGCTCGCCGGCACTAAGTACCTCGAGCACGTTGGTGAGATGACGATTACCAATATTAAAACGGATGAGCATCTGGTAATTCAGTTCAAGGAAGGTTCTATGTTTGGTGGCGCTGCCAACCGAAACCATATTGAGGGCACGGTATATGATGCGAACCAAGCGAAGGTTGGATTTATAAAAGGACGGTGGGATGAAAGCGTGGCCCGAATCACAGTGAAAGGAAAGAGCGAGCCATTGTGGGAAGCAGAAAAAATGCCACACAATGCGTCCGACTACTATGGATTCACATACTTTGCCATGTCGCTCAATGAGATTACAGATGATATACGCCATGTACTTCCACCTACAGACTCTCGATTCCGACCTGACCAGCGCGCCTTAGAAGATGGCGATGCTGATGCCGCAGAAGAACTGAAATTAAAGTTGGAGAATGAGCAACGCATTCGTCGTAAAGTGTTGGAAGAGACTGGCGAAAAGCACCAACCGCAGTGGTTCCACCTGGGCGAGAACGGTGTCGATTGGGAATACGGCGGCCCGGATGGACGCGACTACTTTGAGGAACGCGATAAAATTGAAAAGACGGGGGGCGAATGGAGAATCGCCATGTCCGACATATTTAATACATAGATGAACGCATTTTCCGTTGAAACCAAAAAGTCGAAAAATGAGGAAAACGAGAGCAACAAACGCGTATTCAACTATGGGAATTAGCAATTAGATTTATATATGATATCTGCTAGACGTCATGCAGGGATGGAGGGCCGGTTAGCACAATTGGTAGTGTGTCTGACTACGAAGCGTTGGCTTAGTGAATCAGGAGGTTGCGGGTTCGAGCCCCGTGCTGGTCACTTTTTTCTTACTTATGACATTTTTGATGTTCAGATCCAGTCACTCGAATTTTTTTGGTTGCATTTCAACTTGAATTTGTCCAAATTTACTGTACTTAAGTACAACGCTCGCCACTACAGGATAGCTCTCAACGCCTACTTCGACGTAATAGCACCCGTAAATTGTATGCATTTAATCCTACTCTATACGCCAATTCGGATAGGTTCAAATAGATCCAAAAGTAAACACGAATTGATATTGTTCCAGTCGAGCGAGCCGCAGAACTCGTTCTGATAAAATGCACGAGACGCGGTCAAAAAGAACGGCTCCAAGCTGGTTATGGAGCTAATTTGCGAGTTTTGCAACATGGGCCTTCGGAGCCGAACGCGCTCCAGTAAGTCATTGACATCGAAATGAGTTGTGTTCTTCCCAGCATTTTTGACTACGTTGGCAATGCAGTCAAGAAGTGAGTCAGCCATAGCGTGGCCCGAGAGTTTCGGCGCATCAGGTGTGTCGGTAATCAGAAGCCACTGATGAATCTGGAAGTCTTCCGTCTGCAACGTAATCAACAAGTCGGCGAGTTTCGCCACACTGAACACCAGTTGGAGCCTGTCAGACCTGTCGGCAGGCAGGTCTTCCTTCGTCTGGCCCAGAATCTTCAAAATCTCCGTAAGGATGATTGGCCAGAAACCAGAGAGGTGTTGCGACGCAAAGCGGCACAGTAATACGCGCATGCATAGGTATACCTCCGCATGGACGAGGTCAGTGGGCTGGGAACGCAGGATATCGACGACCTTCTCTTGTATGAGAGGAAGCTGCACTAAACAAGCATTAGTCTTGCAGGTATAAATGACATATGACAAACGGCGGATTGCCATGATGCGTGCATGAAGATCTGACTCGCGACTTGTGAACAAATTGGATGAAGACGTTGTAATACGAGATATGACGTCAGTGTTCAGTCGCTCTCGCTCTGAATCAAAGAGCGAAGCTACAATTGGTGCCCAATGCTTGCCCATGTCTAGCGACTGTGAGAAGAATTTGGCATCGAGGAAAGTGTCAAGAACATACGTGCGCCAAGCTTTGGATGTGTTTGGAAGACGACAAAGGCTCTTGAGCAAGTCCAACACAGGGGCCTCGGGCTCCCATAGTCGTTGCCGTGCGCGGAATCCAGGCGCGACTACGTAGTAGACGAGAGTTGCCGATAGACTCTGCACCTTGTCGTTTTCGATTCCTAGCATCATCAATGCAGGCAGCACGCACGAGCTAAAGAACTGGACGACCATTGGGGGTGATGCTGATAATGCAGGAATAGGCGGCGAGGAGGTGGTAGGTGTCGACTCAGAATCCGACACGTCCTTGTCCTTGTCGCTGGCGATCGAAGGAACGTCGCCGTCACGTCCGGTGCCAGCCGACGCCGACGTCCATGATGATGGATCCAGCGTGCGTGCATACAAAGACAGTGTCAGTTCACACAGACGCACAAACAGATCCTGCGCATCGCGACGTGAGCGCTGCTCTTCAAAGACGCGTGTATTGACAAGTTTTAAGCAGATCTGTGTTACCACGTCTAGTGTCGAGAACACAACAGTCTTGTGGACGGACGTTGTGATGCTCTTTGCGAGCATGGCGGCGATCGGCCAGACTTGTGCTGCCTCGACGATGCTGAGTTTCGATACGTATAAGTCGAGAAAACCGAAAAGAATTGACTCGTGAGCGATCCAGTCGCCAGCTGATTGGGAATTGCTGCTGTAGCCGATGCTGGTGACGCTACTAGTGTTAGCGCCTTTCTTGTTCCGATCCTGCGTGGGGACCTTGGCAGTAATTGCCTCACACACGGACGTAAAGACGATTTGCGTACTGGGCGCAAGCTTCTCAAGAAGGATAATGGTCAATTCATGTACGGATGATGGGTCTCGACTCGCACCAACACATCGCGACCAGTGATCGATAATAGCATTGAGGGTGGGGCCCGTGCGTGTCGCACACAGACGCTCTAGCGTGCGTGTGCAGCATGCGAAGGTCTCGCGCAAACAAGCTGACTCGAGTGAAACGAGCCACGCATACTCAAGTGCCTGCACAACAGAAGCGGTATGACGGACCATTGGATTGTGTGATGCGGACATGGGCACAGAGGATGGCCACGTCGATGGCACAGACGCCGATGATGGGTGTGTCGATGACGACAGCCCACTTTCACTCTGGAACACGCTCGATATGTTTCCGAGAAAGCTGCTGGACGTGTCTTCGATGCGCTGCTTTGTAGATGACGCATGTGCCTCCAAGGACTCGAAAGCATAGGTCAAGGCAGACTCCAGCACAGAGATGAGCTGATTCATTTCCACCTCGGTCACCGGCACACGCACCAAGGGCAATGAGGTCTCGGGCGCGAGGTAGCGAGCGCGGGGCGCTGGATACGTGTGCGCGGCTCGGACCAGGACATCTTTTACGGTGCTGCACAAAGGAAGCAAGAACTCATGCATACTGTGCTTTGTAATGGGCCAGATCGCCTGTACAAAGTCGGCCCAAGCAACCAACACACTTTCATCGGGCGTATCGAGCAAGCCTCGACGCACCAGATCTGCGTATGTGGCGCGGGAATCGTCTGTGCGCGGAGCTGATGAGTGCAGCAAGAAGTGTGCAAGGAAGTCCAGCAGCATGACTTGGCCCAGGGCGTTGCGTGCATCGATGCATAGCAGGAGAATGTCGATCAACGAGCTTTCGACGTCACTTTGCCAGTTAGTGTGGGGCTCCATTCGCAAGAGCAGGCGTAGAATGTCTAGGCACAATGACATCGTCAACGCGTGATCGTCATTGCCCGTCGACGAGCGGAGCAAGACAAAGACATAGTCCTTGAGGAAATCCATCACAATACCAGACGGGATTCCATACGATTGATCAGCCGACACGTTCTCTCGCCACGCGTACTTGACTTGCTGCACACTGGCCACGACGCCTGCCTGCTCCCCGGCCATGAGACATTGGAGCATCTGCAGATAGTAGTTGATGTACGCATGATCGAATGGCCTTGCGTACGTGTAGGCAAGGATCACTCGCCCGGCTGTGGACACAGATGCAGGAACGCGAACTGCCGGTACTTCCACGAGGAGGTCGACGAGCATCAGCATGAGCGCGTCGAACGAATGGACGTATGTCCGCAGCCAGGTTTGGCTTTGAAGCCTTTCCAGCGCATCTAGTGAGCCTAGTCGCTCAAGCACCAAAAGGACAGGCGCCTGTAATTCGGCTGTGGCATGTCCACCAGCACGCCACAAAGCACCGACAGCGTGCATCGCTCGCGTACGAGCAGATGGCGTGCTTCCGCACAGTTGTGCGCATAGGTACACACTGCCATTATCATCGGGACACAGGGATTTCGCAGCCCAAAATGTCTGAACAGCTTCCGCATGATGCTGGAACGTGTCTGGCTGTAAATATGGAAGCAGCTTGTCCATGGTCAACTGAAAATATTGTCGCTGTGCAAAAGCAAACGTGCCGAGAATCGCATCACTCGCAGAGAGATGCAATGCTGCGCGAAGGGCAGCATGCATGTCTACGAAGTTCGAGGCACATGCGACGTGGGAAAACAGATGTTCGTCCCATTTGGAGGCAGAGAGCTCGATCGGGGTCATGCTAGGCACATTCTCTCGCGCCGCATCCAGTCGCTCAACAAGGACGTCCATGATCGCCCAGCAGGTGGCTGCAACATCAGGCTGCGAAGCCCGCTTCGACTCCGACAGGGCCACTTGTAGGAGCGCCTGAATCATGGCCGTGCACATCGAAGCATCTTGCAGCGTCAGCGCATGCTCTGGCGGTGTAGCAGAGAACCACTGTTCCGCAGATGTGTCCAGTTCGAGACGCTCGAGTGCGTGCGTCCATTGACAGAATGCATGCGCATCTATCAGCTGGACCACTTCATACACGTCCTCGAGTAATGCATGGGCCAAGTCGTCAGGAATGCGTTTCTGGACAGTGTCATCCAAGACGAGTCTCATGATAGCCATCACCATGACCGGCAGGTGGATATGCAGCGTCTCCTGCTCGTGTGGCTTGAAAATAGTCAGTATATACCTGCACAGGCGAACTGCATCAATATGCAGCGTCTCGGTAGGAGTGGCATTGTTCTCAGTGCCATGTTCGCAAACGTTCTTCGCACTATGCTGATCGTCACCGTTTTTGCCACCATTGCTATTACCTTCTTCGGAATCGCCTCGGCACGACTGAGCTACCTGTGCCCTGATCCCACGGTACAAAGCTTGGTAAAGGAGATACTCGTCCAACGACTCAAAAAGCATTTGTGCCGTCGCATAGAGTTCGTGTTGCCGTGTTACCTGCACATGGGACATGAACGCGTCAAACACATCCAACACACTCACACGCAGCAGTGGCTGTGCAATGGACCGCTTGTCCATGAGTGAGACGTAAATCTTGCACGCTCGCTGAGCCTGCTCTTTACTTCGCATTGCATGGATTACCATGCGTGCCACATGGGGAAGCGCATGGTCAGAAAAGTACGCCTGCTGGGCCGAGTCCGACTCCTCGGAGCCCAAGAGCCATGTGAAGAGACGTCGATTCAAACTAATATCGCGACCTAGGACTGTTCCTAAGGCGGCATCGAACAGCTGCGTTTTTGAAGGCAGCTGTACAAACATGCGCGCATGCAGAGGCATGTGCTGGATGAGAAAATCCAATGCTTGCCGACGCACGAGGAGTGCGCTGTCACTTAGCGCATGCGATAGTGCAGAGCCCAGCAGCGTTATATCGATGGCCTCGAGCGCCGGCGCGTCTGCCGCCTCCATCTTGGGCATACGTCGCGCTAGAAAGTTGAACGCACAAAGACGCACGTTCGGCGAAGTAACAACGACCTTCCACATGGTCTGGAGGAAGAACGGCCAACCTACAGATGCGGCGATATTGTCAAGGAGCGCCACGACACGGTCGAAGCACTCACTGGACTCTTCTTCGAGTCCTGAAAGAAGCGATAGAAGCAAAGCACGCGTCATTGGGCGCAAGTCGAATTGCAGTGGCAAGTAGAATCGCTCGTACACGTCTAGAACAAGCGGACGCACAGACGTGGCGGCATGAGGGAAAAACGGCAAGAGACCCGGCGTCCACACTTGCAAATCGCGACGTAAGCCATCGACGCCAATCGTCGTGAAGATCATTGTGTACACTTCGAGCGCACGCGTGTGTACACCAGACGGGAGCGCAGGGTTCAGGCACTGCGAGAGCCGCTTCGCGACCACCAGCTTGTTTGGGATGGCATGGAATTGCGTGGTGCTCTGAAGCGCCTTGAGCAGGCGTGTCAGAAACGAAATAAAGTCCGCCCACTCAGCAACGCTCTCGAACTTGCTCAGCGCCTTCTCAATTGACGCTTGGTACCTTTTGAAGGCTGCGTCCTGGTACAGTGCCTTCTCAGTTTGCTCAGCCCATCGCCTCTGTTCATACTTGGCGGCCGAACTTCGCCAAAGAGCTCCTGTCTCTTCTTCGTTTGTTCGCGTCGTGGCATTAGTCGCAACTTGCCGTGTCACGAGCGCATCAGGATGGAATGCCATCTAGCTAGCTGTGCCACCACGCAATCACGCCAAGGCTCTCACTTACTCGTCCACCCACTCACTTTCTCGAGCGCGCCACAATGTCGAAAGAAAATAAAAAAAGATACGTCCGAGCTGGATCGCTGGTTGGCTAACTAGCCAGCTCACTTGCTATGCCACAAAGTTTGTGTGTGCTCAGCTTTCTTTGCCAACGCGCGGAGCGTGGTGCTGGCTTGCTCCACAATATGATGAGGATGCGACACACCCACAAATCCAACTGACCTGTTGGACCTGACCTGACTTCTCCGTCGGGGCGACGGTCTCTCTGGCGTACGCACTACAGCTGCTGACTAATTTATGGCACACGTCCTGCCCCCTTTCTCCCCCAGACGCAAAATACATATGCATACGCTCTCTACGTAAGGCACGCATCTCGTCCCTCTCCATCTTGGGCATGTCGCGCTCGTTACGAACGCGCCCCACGACGCTCTATGCGCGCGAAGGGAACAGCAGCAACATACCACAGGTATCTACGCGGCGAAAAGTCTCTGGCGAGGCGGATAAAGAAGACAAAGTACGGCATCGATTGTCTGTGCGGTATGCATCGTCCTCTGTATCGCCAGGTCTATCTTACATGAGAGGTATTGACTCACTGGCGCCAGTTGCATCGAAGGAAGGCACCTCAGGTGGCGCAGACGTACCACCGCTGCCACCGCTGCCATCGAGCATGGTGGCCCTCTCGCCAGTGCCAGCTTCCGCCGAGACTCTAGCGAAAGGAACATGGAGTGGCGCATCAGCCGCGGGCGATGTCGTGGGCGCCGACGTGTTTGCCGACGAAAACTTTGATGCGCGTGCCTTTGTTGCGGACCAAGTGCAGAAGCAGCACGAGTCGGGACTGCAGACATTGCAAACGACGCTCGGGACGATCCAAAGCACCACACAGAAGCAGCTGAAGGAGCAGGTCTTCAAGAACTATTCGGAATTCATCACAATCAGTCGTGAGATTGCAACATTTGAAAATGATATGCTCGAGTTCAAGGAACTCTTAAGCGAATGGAAGCAATTGCCACAACAGCTGCAGATCGAAGACCCGCTCAGCGAAGCGATGTGGGATGGTGGATCGTCTTCATCTCTTCAAAGCACACACCGCCGCTCACGCAATAGCATGGTCGATCTTGAACAAATCTACAAGGCGCAGCTGACGTCACTGTGGGAAAATATCGAAGGATCCCAAAAATTCGTGCCCTTTATCCCGGGACGACATCTCGTTGCTGAGACGAGCCAGTTTATCGAAGTCAATGCTGCCACCTACAAACCCAAACAGGCCGTGGCGCTTTTCCTGCTTGATGACCTGCTGCTAATAGCCGTTCAGCGCAAACGGCAGTACGGCAGCCGCGTGCACCTCGTTGCTGAGCGTTGCTTCAATCTTAGTGAGATTGTTGTTGTGGATCTTAAGGACACGAAGGACGTCCGAAATGCCATCAAGATCAAACATGGCAAGGAGTCGTTTGTATATCGGACCGAGCGAGCGCAGGATAAACGAGCGCTCCTGCGTGCCTTCCGCGGCGTCGGCGAGGCGCTGGCTGCCAAGATCAAGAAGCTGCGCAAGACTGGCTCTTCGTCGGCCTCAACGAGGGCAGGCGCTGCATCTTCATCGTCGTCTAGTCATGCAGGCGAGTCGATGCTGGGCAACGGGGCGATGGACCCATCAAGTCAAGAGCTCGGCTTGGCAGAACGCACAACACCGACGGTGCCGACGACGCACGAAGCACAGACGCTGGGTCCGTGGCTCAACAGTGTGATTGATGACTTGGCTGTGCATATTGCGTTGCGTGAATGGGAGGCAGCTGTCTCTCTTGTCGAAGAGGGAAAGAAGCGCCTTGCAAGCCGTCCTGTCTCTGAGGGCCCCCTGTATTTGCTCGTGGAAAACTTTACCTCATGTGCGAGCGAGCTCGTGAATGCCATCAGTGCCGAGCTCATATCGCCCTACCAGCGCAAGTCGATGGTCGTGCGGGATGCGGCGTTGCTAGTGCGGCTCGACAAAGGGCGCGAGGCTCGCGACCTGCTTCTAGAGGCCCGCTCCGACCTCCTACATCGGCGTACGCGGCAGATCAAGTACGAGGGCGATGTAAGTCTTTACATTTCTGAGCTGGCTATGTTGTACTTTACACTAATCAAGAATACGGGCGACTGGTACATGGCCGCATTCAAGGACTATCGGATGGCGTCCGGATTTGTACAGTGGGCATCCGATCAAGTCAAGTCATATGCGGAGACATTCCGCCGTCAAGTGTACGGCGTCGATCAGGATCCACGCGTCGTCCAGGAAGCCATTGACATCACGCGGAAATGCGCGCAGCTGCTGAATGATGTGGGTCTGGGGCTTGGCTTCCTGCTAGACGAATTGCTTAAGCCTGGAAGTGATGCTCTGTCTCCGGGCGTTTGGCATGATTCTACCGCATCGATGCAGGATCAGTAGCCGCATGAATGACACAGCATCTTGCCTAGATAGAGTTTTCGTTCAAGCAAGGGATATGAACCAAGACAATTCAGCTCTCACTCTCACTCTCTCACTCTCTCACTCTCTCACTCTCTCACTTGCTCACTCATTACGAGGTGCTTTGTTTCCCTTGCGTCCCAACGCTGACGTCGTCTCTTGCTGTCGGTGTTGGTCCAAGTGCATTCGCGTCTCAGTGAGGGAAGCAAAAAGCTGGTCCTCCACATTCGGCTGGGACATCGACGGCGCGCGAGAGGCCTCATTGTCACCAATGCCCAGCTCATCCTCCTCGTCAGCAGTGGACTCTGGCCGCCGCTGCACTGGATACGGGAGAGGCAAGTCACGCACGATCTTGTACGTATCAGCATTACCAACATGCTCGTTTTCAAGACGCAAAAAGTTCCACTGCCAGCGACGAAGCATTTCTAGCGAGGCGGCGATAAATGCACGTATCGGCACAGACTTGGATGTGCCGAACAAATAAATGATCCAAATGAAGCGAATCGCCACATTCGACACCATTGCGAAATAGTACATCGGCCAGATGTCATCAAATGACAGATGCATTCGCAGCAAAGGAAAACGCGCATCTGCATGCAGGAGATTCCAATCCATGAGGATGTCCCAAGTGCTGGTGAAGCTCGAGTTGATCGTCGCACACAAAATCCATGCGACAAACCAGAGCGTGCTTTGCGACCCAGTTGTCCGGTACGCAAAGTACGAAAATGCATGTAGAATCGTCGATGCATACTTGGCTGCATTGATCAAATGCACACACGTCGAGCCGTGCGAGTCGTAATGGCGTCGGACACATTGGAGCAAACGCAGGAAGGCCGGTGCTGAGCTCAGCACAGGTGTCCAAAGCGACGCAGATCCAACGCACATGTTGGGTGCAATCCATCCCGCTCGATACTCACAGGCCATGAGCCATAAGTTGCTCACGGAGTATGCAATACTATTAAGCTCATCGCCGATAAAAAAGTCTCGGAACTCGACACTCCCAACGAGTCCACCTGAGAGCACACGTGCACATGTCCGGACGAACCAGCGCCGGCTGGATTTGTACATGATCGGCAACGGATTTACCAGTAAGCCAAACACCGTGCCAAGCCACACATATGGCCACATTGTCGGCGCCAGCAACGTTGCTTCTGGCGCATTGCCTGCAAACGAGAAGAAAAAGCACAACGATAGAAGAAAGAGAAAGAAAGCAGGTATTTCAAAGTATTGTACAGGCTCCAGTGCATTGGCAGCGTCAAACTCAAAGATAAAGACGACATTGATGCGCACATGCTGCCACGCAATTAAATTCAGTCCAAACAGCAACGCAAATAGCGTCGGCAAAAACAGGGCCGAGTAAACAACAAGCAGCTGGGGCCACAAGGGAATTTGTGCTTGCGTGCTGGACTTCATTGCGCCCTGCAACCCCTCGACTGTCAGGCACAACGCCACACCCAGGTATAGTCCGGTGATAAACGTGCTAGCACTATGACCACAATCATGCGGCATCAGTGCATGCGCTGCACCGGCGCGCAGCAAGTCTCTTGCACGCTTCCGGTTCCCGTGCTCAAAATAATTGGCAAAAATTTCTTCGAGAGCATGGATCATGCGCGGCACAGTGTCGGAGGCAACAATTGACGCTTTCGCTATGCGCGCATCGTAATACAAATGCCAGATTTGGGTCTCCAGTGTCTTGTCGAACTTTTTCAGAATCTTGTTGAATCCCGTGCGATTCAAGATCGCATAGTTGTTAAGGATCTCCAGTGCGCGGTAGCTCTCAATGACAGCTGTTCGTAATTTCTTTCGCGCTGCCTTGTAATGAACAGGGTCGTGTTGATACTGATGTTGGTGGGAATGATCTTCCATTGATGGTGTCGCCGGCCTGGGTGGTGTGCTTGGCACGGGACATAACCGCAAGTTCTGTACTTGCTCCAACGCATACTCACGGCGCTTATTTCCGAGATCCTCTCCGTCTTGGCTCGCGGCCTTTGGATCTTCGGGATCCTGTGGCTCAAGGCCCTGCGTGCTCAGACGGAGTCGCTGCATTTCACTCGCATCTAAGCTACGAGGCACCCTCGATAGAATGTGCTTTAAGCCAAGTTGACCATTCCCTATCCGCTTTGTCTGTGCCTTGTACGCGCGCCGATGCTCCGCCAGTTCCAAGAGCTGCGTCACAAGCGTCGACAGTCGCTCCACGGCCTCGTGTTCTCGCTCATTGTAAAAGCGCGTGATGCGCTCTACTTCGCAGTCAAGTGCACGGAAGAACTTGCGCTCCTCATCGTCCAACAAGCGCACAAGAAGGGTTTCAAGTGGCTCAAATGCGTGGCTAGAAGGTACCTCTGTCTGCGATGCATCACCAGGATATATCGACGCAGTGGTAGTGCTTGGTGTAGCAGAGGGCGAAGTCGAGTCCCGTTCTCTGGTCTTGGCAGCCTTCAACCTATCAGTCGGCATTGCATATGGGGTGGAAAGCAAATCATCCTCACGCAAGCTCTCTGCATTTCGCTGATGCGTCGGTGCACACTCTTCTTCCTCAACCTCGGAATCATCACTTATTCGCAGTCCGGTGCCTTCGAGCGACACGTTGGGGACTGGTGGCCATTGGGACTCTGGATCAGATGATTCACTGGGTATGGCGCCGTAATTCGCCACCTGACCTTGTTTTCGCGCGAAGAGGGTAGTGCCACTGCGTAGGAGCCGCGACGCTGGCGATAAGGTCGTATCTGTCGTTGATGAGGGTAGAGGCTTTTGCTCTGTGCCGAAACTCTGAATCAACCGTGCATCACGGTGCTCTTTCACCCGCTTAATGAGCTTCTTCAAGCCGTGATAGTTTAAATATGCTCTTCGCCACTCATCCACGGCATTCTCCTCAAGGTACCGAGCGCTACCATGTCAACTCCATCATTGAGCACGTACGTACAATTTCATGCCCTCGGCACGAAACGTGTATAAGGTCGTCTGTTCCCACAGCAAGTATGTATGAAGCAATTACCTACCTCCCATAAACGGGGTCTACCACATGCGTGCGGGCGCGCTGCGCTGCGCCGCGCCGCCCCCAGCCCACTTACATTGACATGTGCACGTGGCTTCCACGTGCGAATCTTACATTTATATGTGTGCCAAGACCAAATTGACCGTGTGCACGCGTGCGCTGGGCCAAGTCGGTCGACCGGGAGTGGGAGGGGGGCAGGAGTCTACCAAGGCAGGCAGACCATCGTGGCGGGCGGGAAAAGGTGTAGTGTCGTCCGCTTGTGCATGCATGCGTACCATCCCATGTGTAGGCACTCGCTCATGCTTACTAACATGACTCGTCCATTTTGCATCAATAGCAGGCGAGCATGACTTGTTGCACCGACAGCGATCCCCGTGCAAGTCATTCCATGAATCAAAGCATTCGCACACTCACAGAGTCATCCCTCATAGCGCATTTCCCCTTCCTTATATACCGAACGATGTCAGATTCTCATCTAAGCAATGTCCTACAATGTTTTGGCCCTAGACAGTCATCGCACAAGCTAACAGCCTAGATTCCTATATTGCAGATTTGATCTCGTCCCCGACGAGGGCCGGAGCCCCCTTGGCACCCATACCGCAATGGGCAACTCGGTCGGGTGTGGCTCGGAGCTGCATGGTCAGTGTCGGTTCTTCCTGCGGCTATGGACCCAACGTACACTTGCGTTTTTGATCGAAGAAAAAGAAGTTGGATTTGCCCCTCGCGAGCACGAAAGAGGGTCAGGCTGATATGAATCACGTGATCCAGATTGATGCAGCGCTGCGGACGCAAGTCTTCGATCCACACCCAGAAGACGAACACTGTCACTTACACACGGCGTGCGCCGATATGTGGCTCGAGACATGTTGGATATCATCCGCTCGAGCTTGCGCTCGCCTCTCAACTGCAGTACGACCACGCATTGACATGATACAGATGACAGTGTCAACGGTGCCCTCATTGAACGCCTCTTTACATACGAGTGCGCCTGCGCTGGAGAGCAAGCGCAAGCGTGCGTCACGTCTACGGCGACAAAAGAACCAAGCACAGCAGAGCATCAAGCAGCGCATGTTTGAAATGTCTGCCCCTGATCCTGTGCTTGCGCACCGGCTAAACGATGAAGGCCGTGCGACGTGGGAGAACTCTGAGCTTGCGAAGCTCATTCTCACGAAAACAGAGGTATGGGGTCTTATGGAGGACCGTCGCGGTCGTCTTCAGACAGTCGAACCTACACCTCGTGCGGAAGAAGATGCTCAAATCGCATCAGATGTCGCCACATATGGTGGGCCACGGCGCCTCAATTTTGGTCTTGACACGTCGGATCGTCGCACGCTCTTCCAGTCATTGCCCCGTGTTATGACCACAGATCGCGCGCAGGACCTGACATATTCCTCGCTTGCTCATGAAGGCTCTGATGCGATGGCCCAGGATCTTGCACAGCTCGAGAGTGAGCAGGCACAGAGTGCTGAGACGCTCGGCCGCATTCTCGACTTGAGGAATGCAAGTGGCAAGGGTATTCAAGTGGAAAACACTCGTAGGATTATCGCACACTTTGGCCGCTCTACAGACAGCGGTAGTCCTGATACCGGCTCCCCGGAAGTGCAAGGTATGTACCTAATGTGTGATGCCGGGAACGAAACTGGTTTCCCGCACACATCTATACACAAACACCCACTAACACACGTGCAGCTGCACTACTAACGTACCGTATCCGCAACCTGGCTGAACATTTGCAACAAGCTCGGCACGACAATAGCAACCGCCGCTCCATGCGCCACTTGGTCCATCAGCGAGCAAAAATCCTGCGATACCTTAAATCCCGCGACCCTATCTACTACCAATCGTTCTTGCCTCGCATAGGCGTTGAGGCTCGTGGTGTGGAGGGCGAGATTGTTGTCCCAGGCAAACCAAAGGTCAAGCGTATGTAGTGAAGGAAGTGCACAAATACATGTCTTCGTTCAGAATATTGGGTCTGTTCATCACGTCGACCATCTACGGGGAAGCCATCCAACGTGCCAGTCGCCGAGCGTGCGCTGCGATGGCGGGTATAAACTTGTGTTTTCTTCCAGTCTCTTGCCCAAAGCATCACACACATCCATGGGCATGACAATTGGCACATGCGCCAGGCGCGGCATGTCACCTGCAATCGGTCGATACAATAGCTTGCATGCATCACATATCGAATATGTGCTAGAGGAACTTGGTATGGCAAGCGCACATAGCGGTTGAAATACCCACAAGAATAGACGCGGCAAGGGCTCCGGCGATTGCATTGAACAGAGCACAAAGTGATGAACGGCCTGCCGCTCCATTTGCTCCACGAGGTGATTGCTCAGCACGAGACCAAGCAAATCGATAGGTGGGCGAACGTTGGTGGGTATCACACTCCACTGGAGCCATTCCATTGACGTTGCATTGGGTGACTCAGCATCTAAAGCAGCACCAAGAACGACACTACACCGTGCACACCGGGTAGGATATGTATGTGTCTGAAAAAAGTAGGTAAGTACGCCTGTTCCGCTTCGTGTGACTGCCATCGCGATCGACTGTTGGATGCCAGGGATAGATCTGTACGTGAACGGAAAAATCTACATGTTAATGTAGGACCCGTAGTATCAGTCGGAGTGCCCATGCAGCCATAAGCAACACGAAACACTGCTAAGCGCCGTCCGTTCATTATTCGGCCTGCGCTCGTGCCACGGTGAAATAGGCCAATGCCGACTTTCTGCTGGCCCGTACCCTTCCCCTCCAGAGCGAGAAAGAGAGAGAAAGAAAGATACAACAGGTAGGTTTGCTGGTGCACTTATCTGTAGAGCCCACAGCGCACGAGCCTGTCCACCCTCCTCGAGTTCCACTAGTTTTTTGTTCGCCGTATTTCATTATCCCAGGCCAACACTCGCATATGGATATAAGGCAGGGGCAGAAGGAATAGAATGGGGAAGAGGAAGAACGAAATACGTACCTGAGAAAAATTGTTCTCTGCTCGATCTGACGTGTTGACAGCATCCAGCACCACACAGTCGCTGGACGTTTTAAGCCACAGGCTTGACACCCAGATCTCATCGTCTGTCGGCACACGATAGGCGTCGACGTCACGCTGTCCTTTTGTCACACTTACATTCAGCCGCTGATCGCCATGACACATCCATGCATCGACCAGTTCTTCCCAATGGTCTGAAGGAAGCGCACGCATATGCGGCGTGGACGAGAAATGTGCAACATATTGACCGCAGCTAGCACATTGTAAACCTTGTATATCGAGTTGAGAAAAAGTATGCCATGGCGTAGAAGGTGGTATCTCATCGGGTCGTGATGACTTCGAGCTCGTGGGGATTACACAAACAAATGCATCTCTGGCGGTGGCAGTGTAAATGCCATGAATCACCGGCCATACTACACGCACGCGCACGTCATCCGTCGAAACATGTTGGAACACAAGCCAAGTATGGCATCCATCGACATCTGGTTCCGCTATGCACCGTAAGGGGGTATCGAGAAAGTTGTTCGTATGGACAGAAGCAAACGCTGTGATGCGGTGAATGTGTCGTTGGTATTCAAGGGCAATGCTCATGTTGGTGAGTTTTGGGCAATGGATCTGCCGATGATAAGCCTCTTTTTCATCAGCGCCATGTGTGCGACGGCGTTTCTGACTCGTTCTCATACACAGTTGCGCTGCTTGCGCCTGTGGAACAATGGCGGCGACTGGAAAGACGATGACGCGTCTAGCTTGCCAAATGCATACCTCCACATCAAGGTGGACACGCCTCCAGCTACGCCAACCAACCAATCTATCCGCATGAGCACATTGTTTGCATACGGATTCAACATGGCGCATTACACGTAGCCGCCGATTTCACCTTCGTCAGCAGCTTCGCGAGCGGCCCATTCCAACGTGTCCAGGTCCCAGTCACCGGGGTTGCCTACATCTGCTTTGGACATTGGAATCAATATCGTAGAGGCAAGCGCGCGAATGTCCTCAGGCGTCAACGTTTGGACCCAAACCTCGAGCGGCGCGAACCAAACATCCCAAATCAACTGAAGGACAATCTCCATCGGCTCCGGAACTCCTGTGCCTGTAGGAGCGAGTGCAAAGATTGCATCCATGTCTCGCAAAACATGCAGAATTCGTGCCTTGGCATCGCATTTGCTTAACAGCGAGTAAAGATCCTTGTGCACCTGTGCACAAAGAGCCCATGACCGATACAATGGATAGGTGAGGGCTCGCCGATATGAAGCATGCAGCACATACTCAGCCATAGTCGAAGATGCATTGCTTTGTGGCCATGGCTCGGCAAAACATGCAATAGAGCGACAAAGCTTGCAAATGGTCCAAGCAGACTCTGACGATGCGTCATTTAATGATACATGCATTTCGTACAGGTATGCAAATAATACCTGGATGAGCAGTGCTTGAGATTGCTCAGTAAAGGGAGGCATAGCCTTTGGTGTGGTCGCGCCCATCGTGTGTGGGAGAAACTCGCGCTTTAGGATCAATGGTTCAACACGGACTACACCGGCAACTTCGCCATCTGAGTCGAAATAGCTGTCAAGATACATGCCTTCGTCCCATTTTTCTGATTCCAAATTTTCCGCAAGCATAGCACGCTCAGATAACGACATGATCGTGGGATCTATCACATCAACGAATGGCACGCGCCCCGAAGCACACATTGCCATGTAGGCATGTGGAAGCGGTATGCGTTCATAACCCAAGCCATAGGGGTGCTCGACGCTGCGACGAGCATCAAATTCCATGTGAGCCATTTCAGCGTTCGAAAGGACCTGTGGTTGCAGCGCATCGAGGCCCGGAAACTCTTGGCCACGCACTTGTTTTCGCACATGCACTGTGAGCGAATGAGACGCAGCATCAAACGAAAAATTCGATGAGGCTGACTTGCATGAGCTTATCTCATGAAGTGGCTGTACAGGACATGGTAAAGAAAGTCTGTATCATGTATTGCGGTTACATCATCGCGCGGAAGAACGTACGGTAAATAGGTGGGATCAACGAAGCAGCCAAACGTGCAATGCTCAGCCACTATGCGAACTTCCTCGGTTTTGGCTTCTGCACATGACAGGTGCACATGCAAAAATTCGTCGTCTTGTGTGACATGAAAGGCGGGTGTCACAAGCTGCATGGACCAACGTGCGCCGAAACCAAGCCACTAGCGGACCAAGCTGGTGAGGGGGGAAAGGAGAGGGGATGCGAAGCTATTCTGTGGAGTCGGCAGTGAATTGCGCAGGATATTCTGGTGACCGTAGCAATAAAGTGGCGACGCGAGTTGTTGAAAGGACCACCTGATCTTCCCTCCACCAATGGATTCATATGTTCAATTTATCGCTGCAGGTTGACTAGGATTGCTTCCCCCTATTCACCACCACCATGGACGAAGAGGCGTTGCGGGCCATGCTGCCGGCAGGCTTCGGAAAGCCAAATAGTACGAGACAAGGGAAGGAAAAGGGCAAAAAATCTGCTCCCAACCCGACCCCGGTTCTGGATATGCCGGCGACGCAGTCCCAGCTGGAGCCACCACAAGAATGGCCGCGTACCAATGACCAACGGCAAACAAATGAAGTTCAAGAAACACATATAAACAGAGAGAGCAATGAACATGAATCAGGAGGAAGCCGAATGGCACATGAGTTCGACGTGCTGAAAGAGTTTGCAAGCCTGCCACTGACACGCTCGATCCAGCTCAAAGGTCATACAAAGTCCGTCAGTGCGGTAGCAATTGATCGCAGTGGCGCTCGTGTAGCTACGGGATCCACCGACTATGACGTGAAAATGTGGGACTTTGGTGGCATGTCCTCAGACCTTCGTCCATTCAAGTCGTTTGAACCAGCAGAAAACTACCCTGTGATTGAATTGGCATTTGCTCCGCGCACAAAGAACTTGCTGTGCCTGAATGCAGCGACACAGCCTCGTGTATATGATTACGATGGTCATGAGCTGGCCGTTTACAAAAAAGGTGATGTGTTCATGCGGGACATGAGACACACGACAGGGCATATTAGTGATATCACATGCGGCGCTTGGCACCCGATCGACGACACACAGTTTATGACCGGCGGCACCGACAGCACGGTGCGTTTGTGGGATGTGAACTACAAAGCAAGTCAGAAAACGGTCATTGTCGTGCGCTCAAAAGATCGCGGCACCAAAACCAAAGTCTCCGCGGCCACTTTCACGCCTGATGCCCAAGCGATCATCGCAGCAGCTCAGGATGGCGCACTGTACATGTGGTCGACGAAGGGCCAGTTTTCTCGTCCTGCAGCCCACGTTCTTGGTGCACACAGGCACTCGGAAGGCGCGACAGGCCTGGCGATTTCACCAGATGGGAGCTCGCTCGCATCGCGAGGCGCTGACAACACACTCAAGTTGTGGGATCTTCGGATGTTGCGTACACCTGTCGCCGTGCAGCAAGACTTGCCGAACGGCAGCGAATGCACTGATGTTCTGTACAGTCCTGATGGCAGCCAGGTGCTGACAGGGGTGGCATCTGTGAAAGGCGGCTCCTTGCACACGTCCGATGTGCAAAGCCAATGGGGCCAATTGGCAGTGTTTTCGTCGGACAAACTTGAATCTCAACTTGTATACCCCGTGGCGCAGTCAAGCGTCGTGCGTGTTGCATGGCATCCACGACTGAATCAGGTGTTTGCTAGTACGCGCGATGGCGACGTACATGTTTACTACGACGAACAAGCTTCGCATCTGGGAGCACTCCTCTCAGTGAAAAAGCGAGCTCGCACACGCACAAATCCATATGTTGCTGACCCGTCGAAGTCTGATCCATACGCAGATGTTCCGATCCTCGTGCCAGAAGAGTCGGAACGTGACGACTGGCTCGAGCCCGTGTACAAAAAGCCCCAGTATCCACGGAATCCTAAGAACGCACGTGTGCCTGAGCGGCCCTTGCAAGGCCGAGGTAAGGGTGGGCGTATTGGTCGATCAGCTATGCAGCCGCTAATGATGGATCTATGGGAAGGTGATTTACGATCGGAGGATCCGAGAGAAGCGCTGCTGAAGTATGCTGACAAAGCGAAGAATGATCCTCGCTGGACATCCGTGTATGCCAAGACCCAGCCCACGACAATCTTTGCGCAAGATGATGACGACACTGATCATCGTGGAGGCAATAGCCATGGTGCTAGTGACCATCGCCAAAACTAGGTAGATGTAACTAAAGGGGCACAAGGGAGAAAAAAGAAGGCACCTTTGTCTTTCATCCACGCAGATTCGAATGCACACTTTCAGGATAAACGATATGGTTCTCAGACGAGTCCAAATGTCCCATCGCATTCGCCACACAGTGCACAATACAGCGTTCGTGGCCATGGGCGGCATCACCACTAAGCTCCCAGAACATGGCGCCACGCATGCCATGCTTCTTGATATACTCGGCCTTCGCACATGCAGCCTGTGGCGAATCGTACGAAATGAATTCTCGGCCATCGTATGACCACGAAGCACCAGCGCGCTCGTCAAAGTGTTCCTGCGCATTACGCGTCGGAAGGTCCTTGTACAGGAACGTGCCTTCGGGTGTCTCGCTTACTCGCTCATATGGCTGACCCGGTCCAGCTGTGCCAAGAAAGCCACGCCCATAGAGCGGGATGCCCATCACTAGCTTGTTCATTGGCACGCCGCCATGTTTGTAGTCCTCGACCGCTTTTGATACGGAGATCGCACCACCGTACAGGTTGGCTTGGTGATTCGCTGTCTGGTCCCAGCTGCCACTGAAATCGTATGCCATCAAATTCCAAAAGTCTAGAAACTTATCCATTTCTTTCAACCGGAGAATTTGATATTGCTGTGGCGAGCTTGGCGCAGCAATCGTGAGCAAATAGTGTGGGTTCTCAGGCGTAGCACGTTGGCCGTACTTGTCGAGGGCATCACGCAGCATGGAAAGCAAGTCCACGTACGTTTTAGCCTCTTGATCTGATTGCGGGTACTCCCAGTCAATATCGAGACCATCGAAGCCGCAGTCCGCGAGAATCTTTACGCCAGACTGCACAAACCTTTCTCGTTTCTGCTTATCGGTTAGACATTGGAAATTGCCCGAATAGGACCAGCCGCCGATAGACAGTAGTGTTTTGAGGTGCCTGTGCTTCTTTTTGAGCTGTAGGAATTGGTTCAGGTTGCCATGCATTGGCGATTCTCCTACATCCTCATCTCCATCATACTTGATTTGTCGGTCGGCCCATTCATCCGACAAGTATACATCACCTGTGTCTGGGTTCACATTTGCAAACGCATACAATATGTGAGTCAGGTATTGAAACGGTACATGCTCCGGCTTATATCCCTTCTGGTAAATAGACCAGTTCGGGAAATATCCTACCGACACATGCTCTGACGATCCATGTCCCTTGTGTATAAGTTTCGACAGCTTCTCAGACAGATGGAATGGCATAGCAATGACAATTGTAGTGGAGAAATGGAGACAGTGTGGTTGTGTGCAAGAGTGAAAGTCAGGATCGATGCGCTTAATGCTGGTTGGTTCACCAACCCTATTCTACCTCATTTTTCGCCAACCGATACATACGGAGGTCTGAGCGCGCGTGTCTCATGCATGTTGTGGAGGTAACATGCCGAACCGCGTTGCAAATTCCACAGAAGCCGTTCGCGAACACAAATTAACCTAACAATTAAGAGCCGTGCTTTCAAGAAGTATATGGAAGAACTCTATACATGTATGGCGCATGATTTTTTTTTTTTTTTTGCTCACAGAAAGTCAGCATGGCTATCCCCAAGGATTCTTGCTGGCCCAATCAGGCAAATCTGATGGTTCTTCTGCAGTTGAAGATGGGCGGGTCGTGTCAACAGCGGTGGCCGCGGCAGATGATGTTGTTGTCACTCCGTCTTTTTGAGTCTGTGTGCCCCATTCATTTTCAACAGGATTTCCAGAATCCGCAGGCTCAAATGAGTCCACAGGCATGGACGTCGACGTCGACATGCTGTTAAATTGCGCTGCAAGCTTCGCTGCTTCGTCGGGCGCAAGACCGTACGTGGCGAATGATGGCATCGATGCGTCAGTATCTGCGGGTATGTAATAGGACTTGGTCGTGATGTTGCGTGGTTGTAAGCCATCCTCTTGTTGTAGAGGAGGTTGCGGCGGCTCAGTTGTCACGATAGAAGTTCCCTCCTTGCTCAATTCGGTGAGCGGCTCAACATTGTCATGCGAACTTGGCGACGTTGCACTTTCGTTTGTCTCTGCTGAGGGATGCATCTGCTGAGAAATAGCGTTAGAACGTGCATCGCCCTTAGCATTTGCAACTGGCTCGGGCTTGTCGACATTTACGGTTGCAGCACTTGCATCATCCGTGTTGTTTGTATCAGTTGTAGGTACCTGTCTGGCGTCGGGCTTCGGGGTATCGCATTCATCGAATGCATCGTAAATGACGGAATTTTTTGGCTTGTTCTGGTGATTGTCTTTTCCCATAGGTGTTGGTGGGGCGTACGCTGAAGATGTAGACTGGGCTTTGTTCCCCCAAAACAGATTTTTGAGCTTTTGGGCAGCTGTAGCTGGTTCTGCTGGCTTATTGCCAGTCTCAAAAGATCGCTCGGGTACATGATCGAGCGATTCTGGCTCGTCAAAGTAATCGGCCGTTGTTTGGAATCCGAGCTCGCCTAGCACGAGTGGCGTCAACGCACGATACGCAAGATGGCCGGGAACGATGTTTGTCACATCAATATTGTCAATGCCACAGTCAAAGTCGACAGGGTGTAGTCCAGCAATGCTGCGCACGCCACCGGCTGTGGCACGGTGCAAGTATGCAAGAAGCCAATCAGATCGTGCATACGCATTGACGAAGCGTCCTGACACGACACTTCGAGCAGTTCGCCATTCATATTCACGAGACGTGACAGGCGCACCCATTAGGTACACGTTCTGTACTATGCCGAACGCTTTTCGTCGAGCAAGCTCAAGAAGCGCGAAAAAAATCATTCGGGCGCCTAAACTATACCCGACGAGGGTAATAGGGCGCACGCCCATCTGCCGGTTGATCAGCACATCGGCTAACACCAATCCCGCCGTGCGAGCGCGCTCCGTCGCGTTGGACCAAGGATTGTCAATCAGGTAGTTCAGTTTCGTGAGCCACAGTGGCCATGCAAGCGCGCTAAACATGGCGCCTGCGACTGTCGCAGCCAGGACTTGCTGAACACCTTGGACGAGGGTCTCGTTCCAGAGGATGGACATGGCGTTTCCCATCTCTTGCATCATCTGGGGCTCCCACATGATACTGAACACATCACCCATGATCGGATCGATCACACTGTACGGCAGCGTCGGATCATCTTCGGGACCTTTGAGGAAGCCTGGCACAGTGATGATGCAGTTCACACGCTTGTGGTAATGTAACGGACGGAACTCGAATGTTTGGACACTGCGTATGCGACGGCTCATGCCACGTCCGCCCATCGTCGCACCACTGATCGTGCCTGTTGTTGTGATGATAGTAGCTCCTCCGACACCCCCTAAAAAGGCCGATGTTCCGCTGATGCCGACAGCGGCACCAGTGGCTGGCTCTCTATCGCGGTGCGGCCAAATGCACTAGGTGGCTAGCTAGACCTAGCTGGACAAGCCCAAATGGATCCTAGACCCGCCGGCCCCAAAAGTTATGCAAAGTTCCCCAGTTCATAAATGTCGGTTCGGCTTTGTTTGCGAAGAGGGAAAGGCTTCACCGCTTTTTTTCGTAAACCACTTTTGGTTCGTCCGAAGGGGAACTGGGAACAATCCTTCGTTCCGAATTCTTCGGAAGTGGCAATTCCTGGAGAATTTCGGTGTTCTTCCAAAATTTGGGTTCAAAACCCAATCCAACGTAAGGCCCCCACCGGAATTCCGCGAACAAGGCTCCCAACCGGCGTGGCGCGGAACGCGGATTCAAACACCGGTATTCGGCCAGGTTAAGAAACCAAGGGAATAAATCACACAAAACCGTCCAGCGTAAATCGAGCGTAATGGTTTTAGACGCCTCATTGATTTCTGTCGACACGCCATCGAGTGTTGGCATGGACGTCGTAGGCTGATTCGACGGTGGTGGTGCTTTGAGGGACGCTTCAGGAACGCGCGTCGGAACACTTGGCCCATTGGCTGCGTGCTCAGCAAGCTGCATAGCCGAGTTTGGGTCTGTGAGCACATTGGGCGAAGGTGACGAGGGATCAGCCGCTGACATTTGCTCGGCTTCACTTGGTGTAGCACGCTGGGGGGGTGTCTTGGGGGGCGAATCTGACGCAGGCTGAGATATGTCCTGCTCTGATGAATGCGAGGAGTGTTGTGGTTTGGACGCTTGTTGAGACCAGGACGGGGCCGGTGGTGAAGGAGGTCGCGATACAGGCACTTGTTTAGCAGACTGTGGGTTGTACGCTGGGTTGGGAATGGTCTGCGTGGCGACGAGACTTGGTGCCAGATCAGATGATAAAATCCCATGCAATGGCAAAGACTCGATCATGGACTGCTCCGTCGGCTCGATGTCGAGATGTTGGTACAATCGAATCATGACACGAAGGACCCACTCTTTGGCACTCTGAATAGCTGGATGGGTCTCTTTGTTTGTATAGGTCGAGAGATCTTGGACCATATGATGCGATAATGTGCTGCATAGCCCCACATACGCGATTTTTTGAGCTTCTGATAACAAGCGCTTCGTCATAGCAAGCTGAGAGATGGGGGCGGCGGATGGATCATCTGCATCATCGACTCGATTCAAATCCTCTTGAAACAGGTAATCAGTCGCAGCTTGCAACTCTGCGTTTTCCTCCTTGTCATCTAGGCGTAATCGAGTATATCCTGTGCCATCAGGCTCCGGCTGCGAGTCACCGATGTGTGAACCTGGTCGAGTGCGCCAATCGTAGCCACGTGCATCTCGAATTTCAAGGTGCTGGCCGGCCGTGTTGGATGTCCCGCCTTGCGCGGATGTGCCTCGGCCACGCAAATGCTCGCGACGGTTGTGCATGAGCTTTGCTTCACGCGTGGCTCGTCTTGTACGGGGCGACATGTCGCCATCGCTATCGTTTTCATCAAGCACATTAGGTATGGTGGGTGCTCCTATGTGCTCAATGGGCATGTCCTGCCATTCATCATCTGAGTCATTCCATGTGCCAATGGGCATATCGTCGGCAGACAGATTCATCGGGCACTGGCACGCCCTCTGCAACTGGTGCTTGCTTGCCTGTCGACTGTTTCAACGTATAACGTAGGGCGCGCGCTCCGTTGGCTGGACCCTCTGTGCTTTGCTCAACCGCCCTGCGTTGCTTGACGAAGCTTCGCCCGCTGCGCAAGACATTTTCAATGGGGGGAATTGCGAAAGTCCATAGAGGTGTGTATTTCACGTGACTACGTCGTCCAGCTGCGTCGAGCGCTCGCACAAATTCAGGCGTGTAGTTATTGCGACGTGAGTGCGTGTGCGTGTGGGTCGACTGGAAAGTTCGGCGTCTTTACGTGTTGGGAGGACGGCCTGGACTGATACACGACAAAAGTGATGACTGCTCGACAGCAGAAAGAGACGGAGACACGAGTAGATGCTAGCGAGGTACGTGGTAAAGATCAGCGTGCACAGCTGGCCCGCCAACGCAGAGAAGCGATATTAACGCGCATGGCCATGCAGTTCATAAAGCGTCTGGAGGACCTGTTTGAACGTACGAAAGATGCTCGCTCTGTACACATATGTGCGAAGCAAGGTATGCGGCGCGAAAAAAAAAGATCTCTCACACACATGATTCTTAGTCACACACATCAACAGCGAGACATCATCATCATCATCACCATTACCATTGTCGTCGTCGACACATCCTATGATATTCCGCGTGTCTGACGGCGGAAGTAAGGATCGCATTCGGTTCAGCACCATTGTATGTTCAACGACCGTGGACATACTAACTAAGCAGGTCTATCCATCTGAACTACCTAGCTTTCAAGAGACATACCTTACAGCGCTGCGAAGCAATCTAGCGCAAAGTCTGAAGAAACGCGACAAGGCGAAAGAGCGTCGCGTCGATAAAGTTCTTGCTGCTTCACGAAAGAAGCTCGAGGAACATGGAGGTCAGGTGAAAATTGGCGGCGCTAGTACGTGTATTCATCATGTATGAAAAGAGATATGTTCGCTGACACGCTCACCCTTGTGTCACAGAGCGAGGCGCAGGTCGACGCAAACGCATGCGTGCACTTAGACGCGCACGGAATCTACGGCAAATGCGCTCTGACGGGCAGACACCACAGATGCGTTCTGCACAGCCGACAAATGGGGTCTAGTGATGTTTGAGCAACTATGGCATTACCATGCACTGTTATAATGCATTGTCTGTCATGATGCTTCAAGATGACATAATCGATTGTTGTTTCTTCACCCTGATTGAGTTGGTATGTGTGCATAGTCGCTGCCCACATGGCTTTGTCTAATGGTCGGTGTGTGCCTCGACTACCGCCCCGCAGAAGGCAGTCAACTGACCTGGCCAAGGCCAAGTTGAGGGCCAAAAAAAAAAATAAATTACATTATAGGGCATCCAAGCCCACCAGCTCGAGCCACACAAAAAATAGTGCTGCTTACGGAGAGAGGAATATGCTCAATATCACGTCACTTTTTTTTCTCCTCTCGTATCGAACACGAACACTCCCATAAGCCCAGACACTCAATCCTCGGACTAAGCCATCTGATTCTGACGCGTGCATGGGCTTCTCAATAGGTCCCATCGGACACCTTGTACTCGCGACCGTCGCATGTATATTACAGAGTGTGTTTGTGTGCTTGGTCGGATACCTGATGGCAAATGTGGGGGTTCTAGACAAGCGCATGCAAAGCAAGCTAAACAAGCTGAATGTGTCGGTATTCACTCCAGCACTGCTATTCTCGAAAGTCGCTTTCTACTTGACACCTGAACGCTTGTCTGAGCTTGCGATTGTTCCGATCGGCTTTGTGTGTGTCACATTCATGTCAGCTGTCGCATCCATTCTGACATCGCGGCTCCTACGTGTTTTGCCCTCACAGCGACCTTTTGTTACGGCTTGCGCGATCACGCCGAACTCCAACACTCTGCCGGTAGCACTCATTTCCTCTCTAGTGTATTCAGTCCCGGAGCTCCACTGGGTGCAAGACGGCGAGGATTCGGATCGGCCTGAACTCATGCTCGGCCGTGCACTGACTTATTTGGTCATGTTTTCGACATTTGGGACAATTCAGCGCTGGAGTATTGCAGCGAAGCTTATGGCTCTTGTAAAAATGGTGCATCCACAGGGCCTGGTCATGGGCAATCATGGTTACGCAGAAGGCGATGGCGAAGAGTCAAGCCGCTCGGGTTTCCGTGACGACGTCACAGACTGGCTCGTGGACCAGGGACACCGGTCTCAATGGGCTGAGCAGAATTCAATTTTCCATCACACGCCTGTGGCTGGTTCATCAGAGCGTGCTGGACTACTGTCAGAGGAGCCAGACGATATCGGCACAAGACGCCGGTCTCTGATGTCCCATGTATCGTGGAATACCATTTGGCAAAAATACGTTTTGGCACCGTGGCGCGCATTCCTTGACTTTATGACTGTGCCCTTGTGGACGTCGCTACTAAGTTTCGTGGTTGTCTTGATCCCCCCGCTACAACGGGTCATTGTGTCGTTCGATTCCGTCACAGGTGCCGTTGAGCAGCTAGGTCAATGCAGCATTCCCATGTCGATTCTTGTGCTGGGCGCCTACTTTTCCGGCTCCGATGCGCCAGGCACGGATCTGGTGAACCGAAATTCCATCATTGAGGAGCCGATGAGCGAGGCACAGCGGAAAGAGATCGAGTCCTGGGAAAAGCGTGTCACATGGCGCACCATCATTGCTACATGTGCGGCTCGCATGATTGTTGCACCGCTGATCATTCTGCCTGCCGTTGCATTCTTGTGCCTCACGAACGACTCGAAGATCGTGGACGATCCGGTGTTCATTGCGTGTGCATGCTTATTGATTGGCTCGCCACCCGCACTAACACTAGCGCAGATTTCTCGGCAGCGGGGTGATCCGAATGGCAATCTAGAGGCCCTCATCAGTGGCACGATTTTCGTGAGCTATGTGTTTTTGACCGCTCCCGTGACGGTCCTGCTTGTATTTGTTGCGCTGTATCTCGACAAGATGCAGGCTCGCTTCGTATAGGAGCTCAGCAGCATGCTTGCTTACTTGTATCGCTCTTTTTCCATCCGCCATCGTCACGATAACCATCATCCGCACCAGCGCTTTTATCGCTATTGCGACCATCATTGCAATTTGGACAACTCGTCATGTAGGTAGCTATTTAATTGTTTGATGTAATTAAGAAAGAGGCCGTGCTTGCCACTTGTTGATCAACGCACTAACGCCTTGGAACGACTCAGATGCCTGGTCAGAAGCCGGCTTGTCAGCTTGCTCCATCACGGACAAGGCATCAGGACGGGATGTCTTGTGAGAAGAGGGCTTGGGCGTCGCTGATCGTAAAGGACTAGCCGATGGGTCGGGCGACTCTGGTGTTGGTGTCGCCGTCGAAGCCGTTGCATTAGCAGCCACAGCGGCAGCAGCAGCAGCGGCAGCGGCAGCGGCCGTGCCAGCAGTCGTTGTGGCCGGCTTGGGTGGCTTGGAACTTTCAGTCATTTCGACTTGAGATGCCAAAGGAGAAATCACTCTTTGACGGGCAGGTGGTCCTGTGCTTGAGCGTGAAGCTTGCCGCGTTAGGCGCACACGTCCATCACGTTGATGTGCGAGCATGTCACTAAGCTGTGCTGTTGTCGCCCCTTTCAACGATGACACTGATGTGTGCGGACGATCAAGTGCTGGCTGAGGTTCCGGCATGACGACAGGTGTATTCTGACTGATGCCGTGTACAGGAGGTACTTCATCGACAGGACTTGATGGCAGTCCTGGCGATGTGCCCTCATCGACAAACGTTTTGGGCCGCGATGCCGGTCGAGTGCTATCCCAGGTAGACGAACGGTGCATTGCTTTCGATGATCGCTGCCAGTCAGGTTTGGGCCGAATGGATGGCGTGCGTTTCGTGTCAGATACAGGCTTGCGGGGTGGTACTGCTGTTGATCCCGCCGCCACCGCCGCTGCGCCTACGCCAGAGCTTGGTCTCGACGTGGCAGTATTGGCGCCGTCACCTCGCTCCCTAGTTCTGCGAGCTCCTTGTACAGACACAGAGTCCGAGTCATCCCATGCAGGTGCACGAGGCTCGGCTGAGTGTGAGGAAGATGAGGACATCGGCGGCATCGGCGCGGGATCGTTGCCCAATGTGACCAGCGTGCCAACAAGTGGCTCTTGCGATACGAACGAGGCTGGGCGTCGTGATGATGTTGTGAGTGATGATGGCTTTCGCCTTGGTGCCGGTGCTTTGTTGGGACCCGCCGCTGGTTTGGTAGTTGGTTGATCTGCAGCAGATGACAAAGATGGGGTTGCTGGAGACGTCAAAGCAGCTAAGGACGTCGTTTCGGTACGGTCCTGGCCAAGTAGAGCACGCAGCGCCTTTTCATGCTCTGCAATCGTAGCAAGCTCCTCCTGCTCGGGTGCCAAGGCCTCATGGGATGTGGGTGACTCTTCGTCCTTCGCGTGCTCAGAAAGTAGTGCGCGTAGAGAATCAGCAGGCGACACATGAGTGAGGGAGTGATGAGGCCGAGCCATGGTAGGCCGGACTGCTGGTATCCACATCTTCCGGCGGCTCGTCCTCATCTTCACTTGAGCTAAGATCAACATCAACGAGAGTGTGATCAGGTTTGCCGCACTGGGAATTAGACGACGTCTTGTCCATGGGGATCGAGACAGTTCGCGGCGGCGAGCCTGCATCGAGTTCCTGCACCATCGAACGAACACTACGCCGTGGTGCATGTGCCTTGTCAAAGTCCATCATACTGGGAAATCGTGCAGTGACGTCGTCCAATGCGACGTCCAGGACTAACGAGTCGGGTCGCCCTGGCGACCTCGCGGCTTGCCTGGTGGGGCTCGGTCCTGATATTGTCGCGTGGCGTGTGAGGCTGGAGCCTGCATTACTTTGTGGCCATCGAGACTGGGGCGGCGTGACGACAGGTACAGGAGCGGGCTGTCGTGGCAAAACGGCCTTTGAAGATGTGTCAGTAGAAGCGGCCAACGCATCGTCCGGTGGCGCTGGCGCTGGCGCTGGGCCAGGCGCCGGAATGGATACGGCATTCACTCGCTTTTCTGCGCGCTTAGCCACAAGTGTCAGTAGTCGAGACACACGAGCGAGGATCGAATCGATATCTGGGCGTGCATCCGCACGCACTTGGAGCAAGGAATCGATGAGGGCGCGCAGCTCATTTGAATACGAGGGCTGCGCAGGGTATGTGAACCGAGCGCGAAGGATTGCCGCAGGCCCAGCCCCTGGGCCTTCAAACGGCGTTGTGTAGTAGCATAGTTTGTACAGAAACACGCCCAATGCCCATATGTCGGCTTTTTCAGTGATGGGCACATGCATGCCGAGATCCATCATCTCCGGCGCTCGGTACTGCACGGTCGTATGCTGATTCAGCTCTTTCTCACAGCGCTGGATCTCTTCGGAAGTTACTGCAGGCTTTGTTGATAGTAGGGAGAAGCAGGAGCCGAAATCACACAGTTTGAAGCGTGGCGTGTCCGTCGCTGTCAGAAGTACATTTTCAATCTTGATATCGCGATGCACAAGTGGCGGCGATAAATGATGCATCACTGCAATACCCTCACACACATCTTGAAAGATGCTCAATACCTCCGACTCATGTAAGCGGTGCTGAAGACGCGTATTTAGAAAGTCAATGAGGCCGCCACCAGCACAGTACTCCATTAGTATAAAGATTTCCCATCCATCACCCACCAACGTCGCAGCGGACGCCTCGACGAAGTGAACGATAGATTCATGGCCCTGCAAACGCCGCTACTGCATTAGCTGACCATGCGGCAAGATAGTACGACACGTACGTGATGCTCAACTTCCGAACGCACTGTAGCGAGTGCCTCCTTCGTCCACACGCACATGTGCTTGAGAACAAGAGTCGATTCGTCTCGAGAATGCCCAGGGACCGGCACAGGCACATCTGCCTCAACTAAGTACACCTGAGCAAACCCGCCGCGGCTCAGGAACTTTCGCACTGTCACGAGATGTGTGCCGATCCGCACACGCATCCCAGGCTGCAATGTCCTCTGCCCCGTGAACGGGCCCATAGCAGGCATGCGTGCACCCGCCATAACTGGGTTGTTAGGTTATGAAGACGTACACCGATCCGTCCACTCCCACTCCTCCCTCTGGGACACACTTCTCTGACGCTCAAATGGAGTGTTCGAGGTACTTGAGTTGTGTGTCAGGCCTTTTCATGTGATGTGGAGAAAGTTCTCTCGCGCTATTTGTGCACGACGCTCAGCTCGTTCGTTCGCAGACTCTCGTTGGAGAACCCAACCCCCCCCCCTTCCCACTCTCTTACTGCGTGAAGCGGCAGCGCTATCGAGGGGCTGTGCGGTGGAGGGCGCTAAGAGCGCGTCGTTGGTCGTGGAAATACGCGCATCCTAGCCTAGTCCCTCCACATTCGCATCCCCTCACGTTCGTTGGTTCGTGAGCCCAATCCAACTTGAATCCCAAGCACGCTTGCCACATGGCTGACGCAATCCTTGTTTCGTCAGTGCATCGTGGTGCCTAGGACATAGGAAGAGGAAAAAGTAAAATAAATAAAAGACATGCAATGCGATGATGGAGTCAACGCGTCTGTCTCGAGATAGCCTGCCCAGGGCGTCATCGTCAAAATACTTTTTTTTTATTAAGGCCTTTCCGACGCCAACATATACACTAATTTTGTGAACACATACCACCTACCGTTTCACTCGTATACCACGGTAGGCGTGAAACACTTGCTTTCATGCCAAAAGCACGTCCCGATGTCGCTCGCCGCGTTCAGCGCGCACGCCGACGTGATCCGCTACGCCGGCCGGAGCATGTGGACGTACCTGTGCCTAGTGCTGAAGAAGTAGTGCCAGTTCTAACGAAGCTTGGTATGGACGCATCAGCGCCTGCGATTGAGACGGGCGACAAGGTATGGGCATTGGCGTCTGTCGCCACACTATTGGCGGATGATAATCGTAAGCAGCTGCGGCTTTTGCTCTCGCACAAAGTCGTTCCGCGCGTGTTGTATGCACTCCAGTCAGACACGAACCTGGAGGTACGCCGGGAAGCTAGTGGTGCTCTACGGAACTTGTGCCTGTGCGGCGACGACGAGATCTTAGCTGAAATTGCGAACAAACGTGGGGTCGAGATTGTCCTCAGTGTGATGAAATGGGCTGCTCTTGGTCTGCAGAGCCATGAACGCCGTTTGGAACGCGCACGTGCGCCGCTTATTGAGGAACGTGAGCGTCTCATGGCGAAGCCGCTGGACCAGATGAATCGCAAAGAACGTCGGCACATGGCCAAGCTCGCACAAGGGCGTCTGCCGGACGCCACGGCTGGAGCAACGGCTGAATTTGGCGGCGAATCCCACGATGCTTTCGACATGCATGCCTGGGGCACCGATGCTCCCACGTCCTTGCAGGCCATGGATTCTACTGCGGCTCAGTGTCTTATTGAGACGTGTGAAAGTCTTGTCACTTGTCTTTCGAGCCTTTGCGAGCTAAGTGAAAAGATTTCTACTCGCGCCCTTCATTGGTCCTGGCACACCGATTTGTCATGTGCAACAGCTCCTGCGTCTTCTGCATCACTACCAAGTGCATTCGTTGGTGAGGGCCTGTCCGCTTGGCTGTGTGAGGCGCTCTCACTTGGCACACGTGCATGCAAAGCAGAAGACCCCGAGCTCGCGCGACTGCCCGAATGCTTGCCGGCCCTCATATCGTTGGGCATCGCTTGTGCGCAGGCGCTCTGGGTTTTGACCGATAGCGCAGATGGAGGTGGTACGGGTGAGCTGGTGCGCAGTCTCTGTGGACGATATGCTTCGACGCTGCCGAAAGGCGCTGCGATGCCAACGCCGGCCGATGAGCGCGCGGCGCTCCAGCGCGCGAGGCACCGACTCGAGTGTCTCATGCAGGCTTCATCTTTTGTGGCGCCTGATGCTGCGCCGCGCGCTGCTATATTGGGCGCAGCAGCATGTGGCACTCTAGTGCATGTGTATGCGTTCTTGTGCACCGACGCAGACGTGCAAAACGAGGACGAGTCCCAGGATGTACAAGAGCTTTCCAGTTTTGTGCAGGTGCGAATCTTTTCTCGTGTGATGCAGGTTCTTAAGGATGCACAGCCCGAGATGTTGCGTGAAGACACACAGTCAGCTCTCGAAGTGTGCCTCGAACTTGTGGCCGACATGGGCCAAGCCGTAGGGCCTGATGTGAGCCGCGCAGCATGGCAGCCGACATCGCAGCTCATTCCCTCACCACTGATGGTCTCCCTCCTACGACTCGCCGCGCCCAGCCCGGAGTCTGCAACAGAGAATAGCGTGGCCGCTACCGCACGACGCGCTATTGAGACGCGTGCTTTGGCTGCGTTGAACAACCTTCTTTGGTACTTGGCACTGCATGCGCCACCGGTGCCGTCTGAACTGCCGGGTGAAGATGATCATGATGCATGGGACCGGATTCATGCATGGCGTGCTTGGGCCGGCACACAGTGCTTGGAATGGGCGTCATCAGGCACCATCTCGACAACAACAGCGATAACAAGTGCCCACGAGGCTCTCGTGTCGGCGTGGAATGACGTGTTTGCTATAGCTGCTTTCTGGGCCGGCGTCGAGGATGTCGCTAATGCTGCGCAATCCTCCACTTCCACACCAGCGTCCATGTCATTATCGAGCCCCGATGCACACCAGCTGGCCTCGAGTGTTGCGAATGATGGACTCGCCCAGGTTAGCACAAGTATTGGGTGTCTGTGGTCTATTGCACGTATGCTGGAAGGCCAGCTTCCTCTCGTGCAACCCGACTCGTCCGAGCCGACTCCTGTGGTCACGGCACTGATGGCGGCGTACTATTCAGCCCAGGATGCTTCGGTGCGCGTCAAAGTGCTTGGTACTATGGCGTGCCTCGCACGCTCGCAACACTATAAAATGACCTCTAGTGGTAGCAGCGGCAGTGGCAGACATGGCGCTGCAGCTCTTGGCAATGCGGAGGTGCCGTCGTCTTACATGCACGTGTACACGAGTGTGGCGGAGTTTTGGGCCGATGTTGCAGGACATGTGCCCGATCCTGAGACGTTAGCAGCTCTCTTGCATGCCATTGTCGATACATACGCGGATGAACGAGCGCCTTGGGACTCTGTGTATCGAGCAACGCACCTGCACGAAAAGCTGTGCTCGCTCATGCCGCGGTTCATGGCCATGGCCAAGAGAGTGGATCGACGTGCTGATCCTGCCATGTACAGAGCCGTGCAGGAAAGTGTCGAGACAATGGGCGCCTTCCTAGCATATCGTCAAAATCTTCCATAAGCATGCCCGGGCATATAGGGCAGGATCGTTGACCTTGTGGTTGTTGGCCCATAGTGACTCGCCTTTGCACCCATTCCCCTCCCCTCTCCCCCCCCTCCGCTCCCTTCTTCCCCTTTTTACTGCTACATAGATACCTTGAGTTCAGCACGACGAAACACTCGACGTACGATCTCCGGCCACGGCACCGGCGGCCGTTGGCACATGGGGCACCAAGCACTTGTTGGAAGACAAAAGGTTCGCGCATGTGCCCGTGTTTCTTGCTCGAGCGAGTAGCGAGCTAGGCACGTCAAATGAAACACGGCGTCACAGGCATGTGGGCAATGTGTGTAGGACAACGGCACATGTCGATTGATGTGGCCACCACATAGACCACATATCGACGACGACATGTCCTTGCGTGATGCATGCACAAGATGAGCTTCCAAAGCACTTGCATCTTGATCCAAGGCCTCGAGGAACGACGTATGTGAACGCAGACGTCTCGACCTGCCTCGTGCAGCTGAGCTCGCTTGCATTAGGCCATCGGGAACCTCCATCCTCGCGATGGTAGGTGCATGCTCGAGCTGCTCCCACGTTAGACCAAGGGTTTCGGCATCACGAGCATGAGGAATCTCTTCGGCCCACATATGCTCGTTCTCTGGGGCGCAGCTAGCGGATGTCGAGCGCTTTTTCTTCTGTGCAGCAGACAAAGTGGTGGCTTCTGGCAATACCGGGTAGCTTGTCCGTAGCGTATGAGCCGTAGCGTCCTGCGGCGGCGCAAGAGGCGTGTTTGTGCCTTGCACACCACGAAAATCACACGCGACAGGCGGGTATGACGGCGGCAGCGGTCGCCGTGTAATTCGCGAGACACTATATCTCGTTGGGTTTGCCCGATCCATGAATTGCCATACACCATAGGCATATTCCGAGTAAAATCCGACGTGAAGATGCCAGAAGCAGAAAGGCTCAGATGCCAGTAGTGCTCGCAGCACAAGAAACTTGTACTCAGGCACGGTGCTAGAGCGCATTCTCACGCGCCTGTTTTTCTTCCTCAAATTCAGCCCTGAATCGTGCGATGCGGCCGATGATGGTGCCGAAGAGCGTGTCGCAGGGAACAGTGGCTTGGAACTACGTCCTGCATACACAGCCGCTGTGGCTGACGACTTGTTGGGCCGTGTGCCGTCGTCATGCATCACTCGCAAGTGCCGCGACGCATGTGGCTTCTGCCAGGACCACTCAAATTGCAGTGCAGCCAGCTTTGACGGAAAACCGTACACAACAACATCCATCGTCCATGGGCGCGCCATGCGCGTGTAAAAAGCACCCTGCTTCACAAGACCATTGTGCTGCCGAAGGCGGCGGATGGGATCAGGCGTCGAGCCAATGTACGTCTGATTCGGACGTGAGAGTGAGCGGAGGCAGTAGCATACGTAGACACGCGGTGTTCGATGCTCAACTACACTGGATATTCGCATCACGCATACATACAAGTACAATAGCACAACCCCTCAGCTCAAAAGCACCCTTACGATCGACTATACACCCAAAGCGTGGAGGAGGATCACAGGTACAATGCCCCCCTCCCGCTCCCCCTCCTCCCACTCTCAACCTCTGTCAACGTATGCTGAGGACCCAATTATCAATGCAGTGGCCTCAACAACAGCATCCTATGAGTGCCGCAAGTCTGACACGACAAATGCAACCTAGTTTTTGTTCTTTTCTGTCTCCAATAATATAGGACACACTCCCGTCCTACCCATGTTATGAGAAGGGCGCAGTCCACGCTCACGTTCTGGGAGGTGTTCATACAACACTGTGATACGAGTCGCTAACCAATGCATGTATGTCAGCAAGAATTGCATGTTTCAGGGTACAGGGTAGTTCAATGTCGTCATTCCGCTGTGTACCACTCTATTGTTGTAGATTTACGGTACAAGCTGGTCGGAAGGTCACTAGTGCTACAAGATGCTCTATTCCCGCTTCTGCCATGAAATGCCTTTTAGTGCATTCTGACGTCCTTCTTTGAATGCGTTGCGCACAATGTCTCCGCTGCTCTCTCCAACAGTATCACACGTCCTAGTCGAGCTTAAGAAGCCCACCTCATCCACAGCGCTGCTGAGTCGCTTTCGGCAACACATCCATTACTCGCAAATTATGAAACAGTCATGTCAGCTACCGTTGGTTTGTGCATGAAAAAGCGAGAGATATGCGTTCTTCGACCCAACTCCAATGAGATACATCGAGCCGCGTATCCTATGCTTGTGGACGGCAATTCCTTTGCGCATATGTCACACAAGCCCTGGACGACGAACTGTGCGTCAAGCAGATCCGTTTAGCTAAACGCAACGCTACTACCACTCATCGGTGCCCAGCATCTATATAGGAAGATTTCATGCAAGCGCCCAGAGAAGGCTATGAAGTAGTTGAAGCGTCGTTTGAACGAGGCGTGCAGTCTTGAAAGCCCGTCGCCGTAGTCATACAGGCGGGACAAGCTGGACTATGACTATATGAAAAGCCGTCGCTCAGTTTATGTATCCTAAGCTTGAAATAATGCATTGCAAGCTATATGTCCACTTCCCGCGAGTCAAACGAGAAGAAGCACGAAATAAAGACAAAGTCAGCGTCAAAAAATAATAGAGCAAGTTGGTGAAGGTGAAGACTTATGTATCTGCTGGGCCATTGGTATGAGAGCGTGAGTTTGACGCCCGACATAACTCTATTCGGGCTTGACCTTCATTTCACCTTCACGGAATTGCCGTGCCCACTAGGAATTCATTAGACCTTGCACGAACTCGAAGAATATACGTACCAGCTGCGATGGGATCGGGTGAATAGGTGGCTGATGACGCCACTGTCATTGATTAGCATGAACAATCCAAACCATGGTAGAGTGTACGAACCTCGCGCTCAGCACCGAAGTTAAAGATGCCATATGAAACGATGGCCAGACCCGTTGCAACCACGAATGTGTTCGAAACCCAGTTCTTTGGACTATATTGGGATTCATCCCACTTGTTAGCCATCCATACGATACGTCTCCGTGTGCAAGAGTGCATATCTAGCAGCTAGCCCACCTGCTTCACCATGTCCGTCGCAGAGGACAATACCAGAATCGCACAACGTACCGAGTCCACCAGCCGCCTGCGCACATGGTTAGCTGATCCTCTTTGAATTGCACACGCACCACTTGGCGACCACACCTCCTTTGGATACGGATAACGAGGTCCAGCTCCCTAGTTGTAAACTCATAGTATGTACACGTACCATTTGCAATCACAGTCGGTCTTTTTGGTTAGAGATCCAAAGTGTCAACTCCGTCTGGTCGGCTTCCACGTCCTGCGAGTTCCTCGACTCACGTCCTTTCCCCCTCCCTCAGCGACAGCCCACACACCCGACTAATTGCTTTTTTTTACAAAGCGCATGTACTTGTACACATCGTGGTCCTATTGGGCCCGACTGAGGCGCGCGCCAAAATTTCACCCGCGGCTAGCCGATCTTCGAGACACACCCAACGCCCCATCCACCTAATGGCCCAAACTCGCATGTGTATCTCGGCCGAAAATAGCACACAGGACTCACCCACACGGCATTTGCCTTCAAAGTAGCTTCAGTCAGCTCATAAGCACGCACGCATATGTCGCAGGACGCTCCGATCGCTGTACAGGACGCCATTGCGTGGCTCGAGCAACAGCGCCTGTATGTGATATGCTTAGCTAACTAGCAGGACACAGGAACGCAATCCTTATGACATTGTGCGTTTCGGGGAATGGCTGCTCGAACACAACTACCTTTCCAAACTAGGCTCAGATGTGTGGGCGTTCCTTGAACAGCTGGGCATGGCTGCTGCCGAGCTTGGAAACCAAGACCTTGCTGAGGTACGCACGTTTTAGCATACATTCATACCTAACACCTTCTAGTTGTGCCTCTCTCGTCTCCAATCGCGCTTCATGGATTCAACCCGTGTTGCGCTTCTTAAGGGCGTCATTGAGGAATCACACGGCCGCCTAGATGAAGCACAGAGCTTGTATGAGAAACTTTTGGAAAAAGAGCCATCAAATCTGCTCGTAAACAAGCGTCGCCTCGCCTGCATAAAAACGAAGCCTGAGGGTGTGACTCGTGCGACTGAGGGCCTTGCCGAGCTCGTCGATATCTATCCAACGGATCACGAGTGTTGGCTTGAGCTTGCCTCTTTGTATCTGAGCCAGAATAAGTACTCTCAGGCAGCTTATGCTCTGGAGGAACTTGTCCTGCTTGCACCTCATAATGTCTTTTATATCCTCAAGTATGCTGAAACTCTTTACACGACGGGAGATATTGCCAAAGCCTACAAAATGTTTCTGCGCATCCTAGAGCTAGGCGACGGCAACCTCGCACCATCGAGCGAGCGAACGGTCGATCGTGTGCAAGGTCCATGGGTGCGCGCACTTTGGGGTCTGAAGATGGTATGTCAAGCCTTTCGCGTAGACCGACTAACTACAATCACAACAGTGCACCGCCAAACTGCTTGGTAACAAGGCACTGAGTCTGTCGCAAGAGGGTGACATAAAGGCCGAGCATTTGGAAGCTGTGGATGCTCTCGCTACGAAGCTACTCTTGGATTCCGTATATGCCCCTAATGCTACGTTTGCTACACCACAAAGCAGCCGCTCCGCAGCCAGGACAGTACTAACACCCTCATCTTCGTCATAGCATACCCATGGATGACTTGTTTTTCTGATGCGTTGCATGTTCGTTCCCATGTCGTACGCAGGGAACTTTTTGGCATTTTTTGATGGTCAACTTGTTTCGTTGTCCCTTTCCCCACATGACGAAATGAGGAGGCGCCTCCATAGAACTTTCGCTCACTGACATCCCCCGAGAGACACTTTCTGGGGGTGTGTCGGTCCAACGGGTAGAGCGGAATCGACGCGACCATGCTTTGTCATAAAATAATTTCAAAAACGCCCGAGCCATGCCAGCCAAACACCCGGGCTGGAGGTGAAAAATTGACCCGAGGCAACGTATTCGAAGTCATCAAAAGCCGACAACGGTCGCATTGGTTTACGCTTGTGTGCGATACGAAGCACGTCGGATCGGAGAGGTTGCACTTGTCTAGTTCGCTTGTGGAAGGCCGCGTTGACTTCTTCCTTCGTGCAACCAGCCTTTGTATTGGTGAACAAAGCGTGACGAAAACTCCCGAGTTTTTCTCTGCTTGACGTAATAGGTAAGTGGTCGACGACGGGAACGATATATGAGCGCGCATATGAAGGTATGCGCCAGAGTGTGCTGAAACCATGTCGTTTTGTTTTTTTTGCTGCTGCGTGCGCTCATAATATAGGGAACAAATGCTAACGCTGCGCAGTTCAATATGACAGACAACTCACCAGCCGAAGTCGATGTGGATAATATTATTGACCGTCTTCTGGAAGGTATGTTACACAGGAGCAGGAGGATGCACCCTTGAACAAATGACTTACGCGGTATTAGTGCGTGGATCACGTCCAGGAAAACCCGTACAACTAGAGGAATATGAGATCAAGTACCTCTGTCTGACAGCGCGTGATATCTTTATCAATCAGCCGATTCTTCTTGAGCTTGAAGCGCCGATCAAAATTTGTGGTACGTGCACCGCATTCTCTTTTGTGACACAGTTGACTTACCGCTCAGGCGATATACATGGTCAGTACTACGACCTGCTCCGGTTGTTTGAGTATGGCGGATTTCCTCCTGAGGCCAACTACCTATTCCTTGGCGACTACGTGGATCGAGGCAAGCAAAGTCTAGAAACCATATGCTTGTTGCTAGCTTACAAGATCAAGTACCCTGAAAACTTCTTTATACTCCGAGGAAACCACGAGTGCGCTAGTATCAATCGCATTTATGGATTCTATGATGAGTGCAAACGTCGCTTCAATATCAAGCTATGGAAGACATTCACAGATTGCTTCAACTGTCTTCCGATTGCGGCGATTATTGACGAGAAGATCTTCACAATGCATGGTGGTTTGTCCCCCGATCTCCAAAGCATGGAACAGATTCGACGTGTAATGCGCCCGACGGATGTGCCGGACACGGGTCTGCTGTGTGACCTGTTGTGGTCGGACCCCGATAAGGACATCTCAGGATGGTCTGAAAATGATCGAGGAGTATCGTTCACATTCGGACCTGACGTTGTGTCTCGCTTCCTTGCAAAACACGATATGGACCTGATCTGCCGTGCACATCAGGTTGTGGAAGATGGGTATGAGTTCTTTGCGAAGCGCCAGCTTGTCACTCTGTTCTCGGCACCCAACTACTGTGGTGAATTTGACAACGCAGGTGCCATGATGAGTGTGGATGAAACGTTGCTTTGTTCATTCCAAATCCTGAAGCCAGCAGAGAAGAAGCAGAAATATGCTTATGGAGGAATCAACATGGGCCGACCCGTGACACCGCCTCGCAAGCAGAAAAAGAAAGGCGATCGTACTGTCTAAACAACATGGAGGAGCAAGGATGTAGATACCGAATACAGTCGAAGCCGTTGTGTAACGTGTGTGTGCATGCCCAGCTTTGTTTTTGTCTTGCTCGGACTTGGAATAAGAGGGGAAAAGAACGTATGCTTAGGCATGGCGTTTCCGATGGAGCATAATGTGCTTCAGCATAACATCCGCTGCATTTTCCTTTGCATAGGCAAGCATTATATATCTATTTTCTGTGAGACCTGCACTAGATTATTACCTTCTCTCACTCTCCGTAGGACAACCAATCGTGACCGATTTAGGTGGAATATTATGGCCGTCAAATGCTCAACTATTTTTGGTTACGGACCCGACATCGATCCAGTGAAACGATCCCCTACAATCCGCCTATGGTTGGCCCGATTCGTACCCAGGACGGAACAACATCACTTCAAAATCACACTTCTTATGTAATGACATACAGAACTCGCGCACGGAGAACAATTCAAACCGATATCGCGTCGAAGTGCTTAGATGTACCTGTCCATCCCAACACATTATGTCTGACAACAAGGTAGACGCAAAGCCCCCTTCGTACAACTCAAGCACAAAGGGTGAAGATCGCCCTCTTCCAGAAGGATGGGTCAAGCAGTTTGACAACAAGTATGTTTGGCTTAACTTGAGCCGTGTCATGACGTGTGGCTAACTGTATGTCCAGCTACAAGCAGTACTTCTACGTTGACACCCGCGCCAATCCACCGCGCTCGACATGGACGCACCCGGCCGATGAGAATAAAGGCACCACGTATAACCCTCCATCTGGTCCTCCTCCTAATATGCAATCGCAACCGCAATCGCAACCGTCGTCGTCGTCAAGATTCCCTGGACAGTCGAGCTACCCACAACAGATGCCTGCACAACAGATGCCGCCACAACAAGTGCACATTCACCAGCAGGCGCCGCCTGTGATGTCTGGCCCTAGCTACGGCATGGGTGGCCCTATGTCTGGTGGCTATGGCATGGGCATGGGTAATCGCATGGGCGGCTTCGGCGGCATGGGTGGTATGGGTGGTATGGGCCGTATGGGCGGTGGCGGAATGGGTAGTATGCTAGGTCCAGGTCTTTTGGGAGGTGGTCTTGGTTTCTTGGGTGGTATGGCTGTGGAAGATGGCATTCGTAAGTGTCCAGAAAGAATTGTGTTTCGAAAGGAGCATGCGTTACTTACCTCCGCACAGATGATATGCAACATGATGCGTACATGGATGGCTATCATGATGGTGACATGAATGATATGGGTGGTGGTATGGATGACATGGGCGGTGGTGACATGGGTGGCGGCGACTTTTGATCGAAATCCGTTGCCTCGTTGACTTGATGACCCGTGCATATGTTTATCACTGATGCGTTCTCAGAGCACGCGACTCTTCTTGCTATAAGTTATTATGCTACATGTCCTGCCATTGTAGATTCTGTAGATGGAAGGTAAGTAAGTCGCCATAATAGACTTCTATGCATACGTACACCAATAAGAGCTGTAGTGCTGGGCAATTTTCCTGGTTTGGGCGATAGAACTGTCAGCTTTTTGCGATGCAAATCCATGTCAGAGCTGTTTAAAAATTGATACATCGTCGTTAGTAGAAGAAACAAAAACAAGTGGTGCCATTCACGGCGCCATCACTACACCGCTGTGCCCTTACGTACACATGAACAAATCCCAAGATAGCCGCGCCCAGCAGCTCGTCATCCTCATAGTCATGATGCCCGGGATCATCGGGGGAGCTTGTCTCGTCTTTTGATTGATTCCGCGGCGGTGGCTCGACGAGTGCGAGGACAGAATGCAGCAGCATTGACATATCGTTAGATGAGTTCACAGGATCCAGCTTGACAACCTGCATTTCAGAAAGGACGCGCTCAGCGCCAATTGGTAGTGCGGAAGAGGGTGCTACGCGGTCTTGGCCCACGCGATAAATGCTTAGTAGGTCAAGAGGAATTGTCGTTGAGTAAGGACTGAGTGTTGGCACCGCACCTAAGTGCTCATCTAGACCAGCTGGTATGCTAGCTGGAGTGTTCTCGTCATTCATCGACATAGACGTGACCGCGGCTTCTTTCGTCAAAGCAGGCGGCATGCCATAGAAGTATGAGCGTATTTGTAAGTCATGCAGCTTTTGCTTGTAGACTTCGTCCACTTCGACAGCACCACCCGAACGAGGCACTTTCACGATGCGAGGCGCATGTCCCGATGTGTCATTCGCATATATACGCGTAAGCTCAAGATTCAATTTCTCGTGACCCAGCACGACGATAGTATCGATTTTGAACGCCCGTACACAATACTGGATAAATCCGTAGCGGGTACGAGCATCAGCCGTGATTACTCCCGGCATGTCGAGCAGAAGACCTGACATACGAGCGCGCCAATCCTTAACGAGCCGTTTCTCAATATAGTAAGCAAGCCAGTCTATGACACGGCGTGAATGACGTTCATTCTCCCGAACATTCTCTTTGCCCATCCATAATGATATCGGCATCACACTTTGGACAGTTGACACGCTCGGAGGCAAAGTACCAGTTGTTTGAGTAGTGATACCATATGGCAGCGCTGGCGATGGCGATGGGAGCCAATTGGTCGGCATGGGCGTGAGAGGAATCGCACTCACGCATCCAGGGACGGGCACAGCGCCTTCCGAAGGATCAAGCGCCACAATCATGGGCCACCAGCCTGTGATATCACTGAGCGTCTTCTTTGCTTGAGAATCAGCTGAGCTGTGTTTTTTCCTGTTCTTTGGATGTTTCATGTCGTTAATACCACTTTCTTCGTCGTCTTTTCTATTTTCAACATCATCGTCGTCGTCGTCGTCGTGAGCAACGTCCGGTCCTGGATGTATTTCAGGCTCGCTACGATGCTTTGCACGACGAGAAGCATCGTCACCCTCCTTTACATTCGCTAGCGCGGGTGATCGAAGCGCATAGTTCGCAAGAAATTTGATCAAGCTCGTCTTACCGGCGCTTTCAGGCCCTACGATCATGACACGAGGACCTTGGCCTGCCGCTCGATACAAGTCACTACCGCTCGCCCCAGCACCATGTTGCTCATACGAAGCAGGTATTGTCCGCTCAGAAACATCCATATCCTCCAAAATCTTTTGTAGAGATGGGTCTGTGCGTAATTGTTCTCGTGCTCGAATGCGCGCACGCTCCAAATTCAAATGCAAGTTAGTACAATATGTATATGTGGGAGACGGTTCATCAGCCATATACTCAGTCGACGCCGCTCCAAGAATTTCTACTTCAGCACCACCCCATGACGAAATGGCGAATTTGGCCTCATTTCCGAATGTATACCAACGCTCTTGGGACCCCGCCACCAATGGTGCGCCAAATACTTCTGCATCGCCATAGTGCCCGGATATAGGATCAGGAACAAATCGAATAGCAACAGCCTCCCCAGCGTCAAGCTCAATCCTATGTTCAGAGCGCGGTGGTAAATGTACACGTCGCAGCGTGGCATGTACATCCATTTCAATGTCGACCGCAAGTATAAAAGTGAGAGGGAGAGTAAGTTTGCTTTGCCAGTGCCGCAAGCATCATTCTCCACGACCTGATAGGTGGAGGAGCGGACATCATCGACAATGTCTTCCATCGTTCTTGTTCTGACGACGCAGACGGGCGGTGCTTGTGTGGCTAGTGTAGAATGAAACGCAAAGCGCCCGATTCTGTATCGAACACATCTGGTAAGAGGGCGCATGTGAATGATGAAGATGAAGATGTACTTGGTGATTTGGACATGGAGGCACACGCTGCTCGGCAAACCAAGCTGAGACGGGGTCGTGTCATGACCCAGGGATACGAGTCGGATGAGTCGGATAACGAGTCTGGCGCGCAACGAATGCGCAAAACTAACGAACGAGATCATGCTGAAGATGATGGAGATGATGATATGTTCGCCGAAGCAAGTGGTAAAGAGGAGGATGACGTATCAACGACCAAGAAAAAGACACGCTTCCTTAAGCTATCGGATATCGAGGGACAAGAGTTCGGAGCACGCACGAAAATAGAGGATGAGGTTCATAATATTCACGGAAATGATGGCGATGATGACGAGGAAGATTACGAGGACGTGATGGACCCCGAAGAAGATCCCGAGTATGAACACGAGTTGGCCATCAAAAGCCAACGGCACGAAGATGCCAATGCAGATGCAGAGCGCACACCGCCAGGATCTCCAAGCCAAAAAGCACAACGTGGTTCTGTTAAAAAGCATGGCATGGGATTCCGCATCGAAAAGTTTAATATGAAGTCGGAGATGGAAAGTGGCCAGTTTGACGAGGATGGAAACTACATCCGCAACGCACGCGACAAGTTCAGCCAGAATGACCGTTGGCTTGAAGGAAACTACTCGAGAAAGTCTATGAAGGCTGCAAGTGAGTCACAAAGACGTCGCAAAGCTGCGGAACTTGAGCGAGAAAAACAGCAAGAGGCTGCATTTCCTACAATGGAACACGCCATGAAAGAGCTCGTTGAGTGTATGAAGCCTGGTGAAAGTGTGTTGGACGCACTACAGAGGCTTGGCAAAGCGACGAAGAGTGCAAAGGAACAAGCATCTTCCGATCAACAAAGCCGCGCTCAGTTTGAACGGCTGACGCATATCGCAGGTGTGCTAATGTCACAGTATGGACACATGAACGTATATGACGACGTGTACGAAGGCCTCGTTCGGATGGTGCGCCGGGCGCGCCTCGTCCCCGAGGACTGGGATCCCTCGCGTCCTAAGGAGAAGACAGTCGAGGCTGCCACTGCCGAAGAAACTGCATCAGATCATCGAGCTGGATACATGTGGGAATATAAATGGACGCCTAAATATCTATCGCAGATGGCCAGGGAAAAGGGCGAACGTGTGAATCCAGAGGTTCAAGTGTTTGGCCCCTTTTCGGAGTCACAGTTGATTGAGTGGGCGCGTTATGGCTACTTCGGCGTAAACCAACAAAATATAGCGATTCGCCCATCAGCGTCCCATACCCCTTCATCCGCGTCTACTTCGTCATGGTCGACGTGGCACGACGCTGGTTTACCCTCTTCATTCACAACATAGGCAGTAAGGGCATTTTCGTCTCTCGTATCATCCTTGCCCAGAGTGTGAAGGTGGCCTGGAGCGTATCTTTGGCATTTTGGCAGGAAGGCACGCCTCCATTGTGTTGTATGCTGTACGGTTGGCCAAGCACACGTTGATTTTAGGCAGAGTGTATTTCAGTCGTCTTCCAAATAGGCTACGCTGACAGGCATTGATCACACCTTGAGTAATTTTGGGCACAGCTGAACCTATCAAGGCATATCTCCAGCATGTCGGTGTCGTCGTGGTGGCGAACCCTCTCACGCGTCTTGAGGATAGGAAATGCCCGTTACATTGTTGGGCATGACCTTGAGCAAAATACATACATGGAGCTTCCGTCTCTGCACGGCGATCCGAAGCGGACAAGGCGGTACGTGAAAGAACCCGGACAATTTTATACATGACATACAGTGTAGTCAAATGGAAGTCTTTGTCAAATTTGAGCGACTTTAATCCAAAAGAGATGCCTATTCAGTGGGACGCATGGATGCGGCACACACGCCAACACCCTCCCACGATCGAGGTATGTGATGACCATGCACTTGTTTTTCTCTTTCTCACTATTTGACACGTGTAGGAACTGTTAAAGGATCGCGAACGGCAACGCATAGTGCAGCACAATGCACGAGTCCTCGCGATCCGTGACGAAGCAGAAAAGGCGCAAATTGAGGCACAGCGTGCGACAGAACATGCTGAGGCTTTACAAACGCAAGCTGCGCGTGAAAAACGGCGTCTTGAAATATTTGATGCATCATCAAAATCACAATTGGGACAGAGTGAAGAGACCGCTCACGGTAGCGGAATTGAGAGTGCTACTATCCGACCAGGTCGTCGACGAGGTGTCTAACCGATACGTTCATTTACAGAGCGCGTCGGTTGATACTGCTGCGCCAAATGAAGACATATGAAAGTATAAATGCAACTAGGGAGTGCGCATTGGCAAGGCCTTGCATAATGATTCCACGCACTGTTCTACGTCCTTGTTCTTTTGGTCGATGATCCGCAAAATACATCTTACGGCTGTGTAATTGTCATTTATAGCGGTTCTACTGGTCGTGTTTGGATATGAAACCTACTTCGACAAGGGGAGGGACAAAAATTCGGGTAAAGTATTTGCAGACATAGAACACCAAGAACGGGAATCATTGATGTGTATTAAGCATGGTCCCTCGATTCATCAATCACCTCGTCAACACACGGTGGGACGAACAGCAAGGTGCAACACACATGCGAGCTGACTTTACACGTGCTTCTTCACCACCTTACGCGACTTGTTACTTCTGCAGTTCAAAGGCAGCCTGCACTGCAATAGGCGAGTGAATATGACCCATCGACTTGTAGTACTCGACAACCTTGACAGCCTTGTCTGCAATGTCATGGTCAGTGAGTTGGAACTTTTCGTACGCCTTCTGGTATGGAGCCGACACACCGAAGCGGTTGATACCGTGGTGCACGTGCGAGTATACACCCCATCCAAATGTGCTATACGCTTCAACCGATAGGATCGGGTGGCCAGACGGCAGAACGGAAATGCGATAGTCGTAAGGCTGCAGGTCAAACACGCGGAAGCAAGGAATCGAGACGACACGCGCCTTGATGCCTTTCTCAGCAAGCTTGGCAACGGCATCCACACAAATTGAGACCTCGGAGCCTGTCGATACAAGCGTGATGGCAGCTTCCTTGTCCTCGAGCAGAACGTAGCCACCCTTTTCAGCCTTCTCCATTGACGAGCCCTCAAGCTGTGGCAGATTTTGACGTGTAAGCGACACAACTGAAGGTGTCTTGTAGCTCTCGATGGCCACCTTGTAAGCAGCCGAAACCTCATTGCCATCAGCCGGGCGCCAGAAGTCCATGTTAGGCAGGGCGCGCAGCGCAGCTGCAACTTCAATAGGCTGATGCGTTGGACCATCCTCTCCAAGGCCAATGGAGTCGTGCGTCGCAACCCAGATGACCTGGAAGTTCGACAGCGATGACAGACGCACAGCGCCCCAACCATACGTCACAAAGTTTAGGAACGTGCCAGCAGTAGGGATGTGCATGCCGTAGGCGCACAAACCGTTCATTATAGCACCCATGGCATGTTCACGCACACCATAGCGAATGTAGCGGCCACTGTACTTGCCAATTTCTAGACTCGGGTTCTGGAAGTCCGTTGCATCGCTCCAGCGAGTCAGGTTCGAGCCAGTCAAGTCCGCAGAGCCACCGAGCATCTCTGGTAGAACACTAGCGAGCTTGGTGATGGCCAACTCCGAGAGCTTACGAGTGGCCATGGGCTTGTCGCTCGGTTCGTAACGAGGGAGCACCTGGTCCCAGCCCTCAGGCAGCTTGTGTGCGATACGGCGGCAGATCTCCTTGTGTTCATTCTCGTACTTACGACCGTACTCTTCAAACATCTTCTCCCATTCAGCACGCTTGGCAGCACCCTGTTCAGCGTACGACTTGTATGCGGCACGCACATCGTCAGGCACCACAAACTTCTCGTCGGGGTTGAAGCCAAACTTTTGCTTCAACTGTGCAATATCGTCATCTTTCAGCGGCGAGCCATGCGTGCTGGCCTTGCCTTGATTCACCGAGCCGAAACCAATCGTCGTCCGCACACACACAAGTGTCGGCTTGGTCTTCTCGTCCCATGCCTTGACGACAGCGTCGTACAAAGCTTGCAGATCGCTGTCACCATTGTCCACGACAAGGACGTTCCATCCGTATGACTCAAAACGTTTAGGTACGTCTTCTGTGAACGAACACTTGGTATCACCATCAATGGAAACATGGTTGTCGTCAAAGAACGCAATCAAGTTGTGCAGACGTAGATGCCCGGCAAGCGAGGCAGCTTCAGAGGCCACACCTTCCTGCATACATCCATCGCCGAGGAACACATACGTCCGGTTTGTGAACAAATCGAAGTTGTCCTTGTTGTACGTGCCAGCGGCGTTAGCCTGTGCGATCGCGAGACCAACGGCATTTGCAAAGCCCTGGCCGAGGGGACCGGTCGTCACCTCGACGCCGTCGGTGTGGTGAACCTCTGGATGGCCGGGCGTGCGCGAGTCGAGCTGACGGAAAGCCTTCAGGTCATCCATCGTCAGGTCGTAACCCATGAGATGCAGCATGATGTACTGCAACGCACATGCATGGCCATTCGAGAGGACGAAGCGGTCGCGGTTGATCCAGTGTGATTCCTTAGGGTCGGCGACCATGATGCGGCTCCACAACAGATGCGCCAGAGGAGCCAGACCCATGGGCGCGCCAGGGTGGCCGGACTTAGCGTTGGCTACCACATCAGCTGCTAGGGTGCCTGAAGATGTGTTAGTATGACGTAAATGAAAAGCACCGGCGATATGCCGGAATGATAAAGCAGGGACGTACGGATGGTAGCAATTGACTTGAGATCAATCTCCGAAGGAGTGAATACCATGGTGGTTGACTAGTAGGAAGTTCCAAGCTGCGCCGCTGTCAAATGGGCCCGTAGATTTTTTCGATGGGGGAAACTTGCCATCTGATTTGGCGCGTTCGCGGCGCTTTCCTGGCCTTAAACTTCGCACAATTCGCTCGGGCAAATATCTAGCCACCCTGCATGTCCCCGCGCTGTGCCCACAACTGCTTATCCAAAGGACAGGGCCTACTGGCATCATCTCACGTGGCAGACCTTCCCACAACACACAGACCTTTGATTTGTCAACATCATGTCAGCGTCGTAATGGAAATCACGCGCACACGTCTTGGCACAACTAGCGGTCGAGTGTCCTGTGGCTTGCTATACGGAGTTAGTTGCACGGAATCCGATAGGCTGCTTATCTGCATTCAACCCGGATTCACACTCCCTGCCCCCAGCTTCCAAGGAACGATGAACCCTGGTGATAAGTATAAGCCATACACACCCGTCAACCTGACGGACCGTCAATGGCCCAGCAACATCCAACGCACAGCTCCTATTTGGACGTCCGTGGACCTGCGCGATGGCAACCAAGCCCTAGCAAACCCCATGACCGAGGAGCAGAAACTGATCTTTTTCAAGACACTCGTGTCGTGCGGCTTCAAGGAGATTGAAGTGGCATTCCCCTCCGCAAGTGATACTGACTTTGGGTTCGTGCGCCGCGTCATCGAAGAAGGCCATATCCCAGATGACGTGAGCATCCAGGTACTGACGCCAGCTCGCGAAGAGTTGATCCGCCGAACCTTCGAGGCAGTTAAGGGCGCAAAGAATGTGATCATTCACATGTACAACGCGACGTCACCCTTATTCCGGCAAGTTGTATTTGGTAATGACAAGGCACGCACGTTGGAACTTGCAGTGCGCCACACCAAGCTAGTGCGCGAGCTGATGGATCACTACAGTCAGCCGGCCCATGGTGGCACGAACTTCCGCTATGAGTACTCGCCCGAGACATTCTCTCAAACCGAGCCGGACTTTGCGATCGAGATATGCGAGGCTGTGCGAGAGGCATGGGGTCTTGCGTCGCCAAGCAACAAGATCATCTTCAACTTGCCAGCGACAGTGGAAATTGGTCCGCCTAACCACTATGCAGACCTGATTGAGTATTTCTGCCGCAATGTTCGCGACCGTGACTCGATTATTGTGTCACTTCACCCCCACAACGATCGCGGTTGCGGTATTGCAGCGGCCGAGCTCGGCATGCTGGCTGGTGCAGACCGCGTGGAAGGCTGCCTGTTCGGTAATGGCGAGCGTACAGGCAACGTCGACATTGTGACACTTGCCCTGAACCTGTACACACAGGGTGTGCAGCCGGGTCCTCTTGTGCTGACGGATCTGCCGTCGGTCATTGAGGTCGTTACTAGCTGCAATAACCTGCCTGTCCACCCGCGTCATCCGTATGCAGGTGAGCTTGTGATGACTGCATTTAGTGGCTCGCACCAAGATGCCATCAAGAAGGGATTCGCGGCTCAGGAGAAGCGTTGGAACGCTGGCGACAAGGTTTGGAGCATGCCTTATCTGCCGGTGGACCCCGCGGACCTGGGTCTCACTTACGAGGCAGTTATTCGTGTAAACAGTCAGAGCGGCAAGGGTGGCATTGCTTATCTGCTGACACAAGCGCTGGGTGTAGAGCTTCCTCGTCGGATGCAGGTCGCGTTCTACCGGGTGGTCCAATCAGTGGCAGAGCGGACAAGCAAAGAAATTTCCACGAACGATATCGTCCAGGCATTCAGCAAACAATATCACGTGCCGATTGCTGGTGTGTCGAAGGTTGAGGGGCGCTTCTCACTGCGCTCTTTCAGGCTCTCGGACGAAGGCGACGATGAGGTTGTATCGGAGTCGATGAAAACGAACGGCGAGAGCACACCGCGTCACCGTAGGTTTACCGGCAAGATCGCGCACAACGGCGAGATTGTGGATGTATGTGGTACAGGCAACGGTCTATTTCGGCCCTGATGGACGCGATTGAAAAGCACTTCCACATTTCTGTCAATGTGCGCGAGTATAGCGAGCATGCTATTACTCGCCCTGGTGCGCTGGCCATTGGCTCATCCGCGACGAGCTCGCATGGCCAAACGCGCGCGCAGGCAGCATCATATGTCGAGCTTGTCAAGTCCGACGAGAGTGCAAGCGTGGGTGCGAACAAGGCGCAAGGCTACTGGGGCTCGGGTGTAGATGTGGACATTACATCCGCTGGTCTTAAGGCTGTACTGAGCGCCCTCTCGAGTGTGCCGTGATGATTTTCGGTAAACCGCTCATGCTCAGGGTGAGCCTTTTGCGCGTGTCTTGTACTCGATTCTTTACTGTAGGAGGGCTCATAGACTATGTCTTTGTATGCATGCACGGACACGTTAAGGACAGAAAGAACGAGAGGTGTCCGTGGCGCCTGTGCGATGCATTGCACTAAGTGTGGAGGTTATCTAGAGTGTGGCGCAGGATGGAATAAAAATTAGGAATAACGACAGGCCCGAGGACATGATCTTAGTTGACGTAAGAGACGTACAAGCAGCTAGCACTCCCTGGTCCTTGAACTCTCTTTCGACTTGTACCCTGTCTTGTGGTCTTTGTCTCTGGAATCACCAACATGATCGATCAAAAGTTGATTCGCGAATGGATCACACCATTCAGCGAGGCTGTGGGTCTGCCGTACTTGCCGGTGCATTTCGTGTCGCTCCTACGCTCATTGATGTTGTGGTGGTCGCTTCAGCTGCTCTCACACAGCCTCAGCCCATATCTGTTCCCCCGGACATTCTCGAATATGTCGTCCCGCACACGCATACACTGGGATCTGCATGTGGTCTCTCTCATACACTCAGCTGTAGTGGCGCCGCTCATCACTTACTTCTGGCTGTACATGGACGATAAGGTGGACCGGATATTTGGATATCAATACGAGCTGGGTCAGCTGTATGCACTTCCGCTGGGCTACTTCGTTTGGGATGTTATTGTGTCTTTGCGTTACGAAGGACCTGCATTTATATTGCATGGTGTGCTTGGCTTGAGCGCCAATATTCTCGTGTACAAACCGTTCCTCATGTTCCAAGGGCTCAGTATCGTGATGTGGGAACTAAGCACACCGTTCCTGAATATCCACTGGTTCCTCGATAAGCTCGGACTCACGGGCTCGCGCATTCAGTTCGTGAACGCGTTGTGTCTCCTTTTGACCTACGTGATTGTGCGCATGACGTTTGGTGTGTACGCGAGCTATGAGCTCATCTCACTTCTATGGAGTCCATCCGGACAAAACGTGTCGATGATTCTGAAGTGGTACTACTCACTTGGATTACCGGTCTTGAACATGCTTAACTACATGTGGTTCTTTAAAATGCTCCGTGCCATGCACAAGCGCTTCTTTGCTCCCGCCAAGAACAAGAGTCAGTGAGCAGAAGGCTAAAGCCGTATGGAACAGCCCTGAAATTTGCTTGTGTTGGACTACCTTATGTACAAGCATTGATCGAGCGAAGCGCCCCACGTTTCGCTGTCTACCATTCATCGCCTCGCTCAACGCCAGCTCGAACAATCCGCGCAATCATGCGTTCTTCGACCAGCAATGTTCGCACCATACAAGATGAAGCATCGTCCATGCCGTCCAGTCGCGTGAGACGCGCGGTAAGCTCGTGATCTGTATCATGACATAGCGTCACTAGGAATTGCCGCACCACCTGCTCATTGGCAGCTGGGAGCTGATCACGCACGCCATACGTCACAAGGCGCCAGACTCTTTCGGCATCTTCAGGGAGATAGACACGCTCCATGCATCGCTTCTTCGTGGATGCAGACGTTGACGTCGTATCAGTTTTGTCGTTTGCACCCATTTGTACTTCCATGCTAAGGAGCCGCAGCGCCGTGTAGAGCCGGTGGGATGGATGGGCCGGCTCAGGCTTCGCTTGCAATGTGTAGTCGCTTCAAGTCAGTAACATGTACGACTATGTGACCACGGACGTACCCCCAATATCCCTCTTTTTGCAAAAGAGAACGCTTCCATTCACCAGCAGCGCCTTGACTTTCCATCAGCCTGTCCACAGCCTCATCAAGCCACACACTTGCATGTGGATTACCGTGCCACGAAGAGGCAGCGTTGACTTGGTCGCTCAGTCCCAGGCGGTTTGCATTCACATTTCGTGGCAAAACAAATCCGTATTCGACAAGCAGCGTAGCATTATCGTGGGGTCCATATGTAATACAAACGGCTTCACCTGCCTGGAGCGACGATTCTGGCGGAGCACATAATTCCATGCCATCCACTGCGCTGTAGCGCACGGTGCATTCCTTCTGTCGGAGTGCTGTGTGATTCGCCATGTCCAGCAATGGTGCAAGTGTGAAATTGTCTTCGTGCTTCACATAATGCAAGTCCATGTATACACAGCGTGAGTTTGTGCAGAGCCAGCCCCATGCAAAGTGCCGCTCGTTCAGCGCACCAGCGCGTGTACCCGGCAAACCAACGGACGCCCATAATGATTCAAGCGTCGTTGAATCGAGAGAGCGCACGCGACTCCAGTCATTTTCATAGCGGGTCCTGACAGAAGCAAACTTGTGGACAGCAGATGGTGGCAGAGCGTCCAAAAGATGTGTGCGTCCATCAAGCATCCAAGTGAGTGGCATGGTATCAAAGTCGGTAGGGAGAGATGAAAAGAATGCATCCATGCGAGAAATTGATTCCTGAGTCGAGCCCAGTTGCTGCGATGTCGCGCGCCATTGTGCAAGCACACATGCAAGGATTTGGTGTGAAGATAGCGGCGAGAGAGACGATGTAGTCGCGGCGTCCGTGGCCGTGGAAGTCGTGCGGGGGTCTGCCGTTTGTAGAGGTGCCCAATGAACGTGGCGACCACGGGTCATTTGCCTGGCATTGAAGAGCGCGCGCGGTGGGATTACAAGTAGCTTCTCACGCGGCTATAATTAGAAGATGCTTTGTGCACATACCTGTACGGGACAAGAAGCCATGAGACCACGGCCGGCTTGGATGGTGTGAGTGGATACTCGTTGACCAACGCGTCACGTACCACCATCATCACACGACGAGATAGCCACTTTCGAATAGGAACGTCTATGAGGCGATACTTGCGCTAGAAACGTGTGGAGCGCAGTGTCCATGCTCAACAATGGACATACGTAGTGTTATCGTCACCCCGCTACCAAAGACAAAGAACTGCGTGTTGCGACAGGGGGTGTGGTGTGTTTTATCAGGATCAAGTGGAGTGGACTTGGACTGTGGCGTCGCCTATCTGAGCGAGAATGTGGGTTTGGCGCAGGAACACGGGTTGAGCTGAAATCCGACACAATTTAAGCCGTATTCAACCAAGTCTGACACGAGTCCCGGTGTGTGTGCATTTGTGCCTAAGTTCGCCATGACACCTCCGAAGGCGACGGCCGATGACTTGGACGATTTGGATGGTACGTGGCTATATGAATGGCTTACGCAACTTATAGATGTACTGGATGACTTTGAGGCGCCCATGGCAAACCATGCGCCGGAGCTAGCGAAAGAGAGAACTCAAACTAATAGTAGCAATGGGTCGGGCGCAGCTGCCAACGTCAAGGGGAGTGAAAACAGAGTCGATGGTGACGCCAATGCTGGCATGGGCGAGGGAGAAGATCCACTCTCCGACGAGTTCGTGGAAGAGCTTACAAAGAACATGGAGTCATTCATGGCACAGCTTGGAAAAGACATGTCAACACACAAGGACGCGAAAGCGCCGCCTTTGTCTTCAGGACGTGCATCAGAATCAGAAAGCGGAGGGGCGCCACCCCCTGCGGAAGACGAGCTCATGAAGCAGTTTGAGAAGCTTCTGCTGTCCAGCAACCTCGAGGGACTCGACAGGGATACGATGCCGTCATTGTCCAAGTCACAGACGCAGGCAGCTTCTAAGCACGGCAGTGAGACTCACGAAGAAAGAGCAACAGGGTCGTCTGATGCATCGGGAGAAAAGAGCTTCCAGGATGCTGTCAAGGCCACAATGGACAAGCTCAAACAATCGAATGCATCAGCCAACAACAGCAGCAGCAACAGCGACGCGTCTGATCCGCTCGCTGCCCTGGGTCTTGATGGCAATGCCGACTTTTCCAAGATTCTCGAGGCGCTCTCGCAGCCTGGCGAAGATGGCGAAGGTTCCCTTAGTAAAATGCTTGCACAAATGATGGAGGATCTGATGAACAAAGATGTGTTATACGAGCCACTCAAAGACATGCATTCACGCTTCCCTGCATACCTAGCGTCGCCAGCGGCGGAAAAGCTCGATGATGATACTCGGCAAGCCTACGTGGCACAAGAAGCTACGATGGGCGAAATTATCGCTGTATTTGAGTCGTCGAACTACTCCGATTCAAATCCTGAGAAACGCAAGCAAGTGGCAGATCTTGTATCGAAGCTCCAGGAGTTCGGCACGCCACCTCAAGAACTTCTCGGTGACATGCCGCCGGAGCTTGCTGGCCTCAACCAGATGCTTGGTGAGTCAAGCGATGAAAATTGTGTCATTATGTAGTCGTAGTCGTGATAGCCATTCAAGTCAGCTACGGCGCCCCACGCAGTGTAGCCAGCGGAAGGTCGTCGTCATAGTCCTCATCGTCATCCACATGACTCCCGTACGCCGCGAATGTACCATGTGGATATTCAGGCCATCCCTCCTTGTCGGCACCAGCTGGTGACAGATCAGACCGCCACAACTGCGACGGCAGCGGCGGCGGCTCCGTGCCGGGTGGAAATGCTGCCGCGCCTTGATCTTCCCATAAAGCGCGTGCGTAGTGTGGCGGTATGACCTCGTATCCTTCACTGCCTCGTCGCACACGCACATGCCCAGATGGCGCATATGAATGCTGGTCATCGATGTCGTCATCGTAGCCGTCCAACGCATGGTCGTCTTCATGTCCATCGCTCGAGTACGAGTCATACATGTCAGTGAGGTGCGCGGTGTGGTCGTCAGCAGCATGGTTAGCATCTTGAAGCGATGGCAGCGGACCGTCGTGGTGTTGCACAAAGCGAGGGGCCTGTACATTATCATGGACATCATTCTGGACATGTATCCCAGGACGCGTGCGCATTCGGCGCATGCTGGGCCTCGCAAGACGCGCATGTGGATCTCTTGGTGGCCATGCATACATTGCGAAAGGATCGTCCTGAAGCGGCGCAACAGGGAACGCGAGTCCATCACCACGCGGTGCCTTTGGCAACGGCCAAAGCCAGGGACGCGAACCAAGTATGGACGAAATGTTCTGCCAGCAGCCGACATCGAAGGGGAAGGTAGTGAACGGGATATGACCGCGGCGGATCTGTCGATACACACGATCCATCTCCCACGACTCGATGGATGTGGTATTTGTGCTGAGAAGGTAGTAGTGGTATAGAGTGAGGAATGAGACAAGAAGGAATGTAGGAATACACAGCAGATAATTCACGACCAGCATCGAGGCTTCGAGCGTGGTCGGATGCGACATGTAGTAGTATGTGTTCCATGCATCAAACACACGCATGGTCGTCATGACAAGATGATACGAACAAGAAATCATCACCGAGGTTGTGTACTGGAGAAAGTACGCATACGTGCCGAACCCCACGCAGTTGCCGATCCACGGGCAGTGGTGGTCCATTCGAAGCACGCAGCGACGACAAACACGGCAGTGATGCGCTCTGGGTGGCTTGAATGCACGGCATTTGAAGCAGTAGCGCTTGTAGTGGCACCCCTCAGGCACTCGCCACCCTATGGGAACGCCACCTGCATCGGCAGTCACACAGCAGTAATACGTGTAGTACATATACAAGATCAATACGTTGAATATACCAAGTACAACTGCAAGCTGTTTGAATGTGAAGGAAGGCGTTCGCTGGTAGTAGGGCCACATGATGCCGACTTGCGGCGATATATGGAGGAAAAGCATGAGAATCACTACGCCCGTTACCCTGATAACAAGTCAGCTAACAAGAGAAGTTGCGAACGTACCAAAGAATATCTTGAACTTGCATGGGCGCTCGTGGCCGCGCGCGTGACGATACCACCTTGCCAGTGCGTTCGAGCGCATCATTCGGAGGTGTGGCAGGTGGCAAAGAGGGTTGCAGGGGCGGCTCTTTTCCAGTGAGTGGGTCAGGGGCTGGCGATGCTATTTGGACCACATCAGCCATCGTAGCTGCACTCGGCACAAAGGCAGCAGCCACTGAATTTTTGCGTTACAGAGGTAGCAGGTCCTCAACGTTTGCGGCAACGACGACGTGCGTCTCAACCTGATCACAGGAGTGGATGATGATCGTGGGGATAAGGGGCGTGCGATGCTTACATAATCCCGCGTCCTTTGCACGTCCCCATCTGGTGCTACTCTCTCCGCGATGGCTTCGTGGGAGAAGAAGGGCACGGGCAGGGGTTCGGAACCTAAAGCCACCAAGACTTACCATGTGACATTTTCTACACGTATCTGCGCCTCATGTTTGTCATGCTACCGAAACAAAAAGCTAGAGCATCAAAAAGAAGCAAGGTATTGGATACAACTCGCCTATTCTGGAACGTGTGCCTGTTCTGCGGCTGCTGCACGCTCAGCCTTTTTCCGCGCAAGTATGGCAGCAAAGCCACCAGGATCACCCATGCCTGGCATTACAGCCACAGGTGCCGCGTGAGAATCGGGTGGGGTCCATGACGAGGTGACAGACGACTGACTCACTCTCGCTGGAGCGGCGGCAGGCTTGGCGCTTGCAGGCTTAGCGGGCGGGGGTGGTCGTGGCTTGGCTGCTGCAGGTTCAGCAATTAATTCCAAGTAGTCAGCGGGCGACCAACCCTCTGTGCTACCTTTCTTGACGAGCCACCAGCCATTTTCTTCTTTCTCCTCCAGTTCGACAATGTCGCCTGTTCTGAGTGGCAGCTCACCGGCCTCTTGCGTCTCGAAATCGTACAAGGCGCGGTAGCGAGGAAGACGGCGACCCGTGGGCGGCGGTGGCGGCAGCGGTGCAGCCTTGACAGGAGCAAGTGCCGGAGTAGCCACTGCTGGTGTAGCCGACGCACTAGGGGGTGCTGGTACGCTGCGGGTCTGTGCAGTGGAAGACGAGCCCAGTTGCTGCACCGTCACTGGAGGGGCCAACTTGGTCGTGGAGGAACCTAGGTATGATGGTATGCCTGACGTTGACTGAGCGGCTGTAGGCGCAGCAGACGCGGCAGGCGCAGCAGGCGCAGTAGGTGCAGCGGGAACTGCGCGTTGCAAATACGACGGCATGCCTGACGATGGCGCTGAAGTGGCAGGGGCCTGCAAATAAGGTGGCAAACCACTACCACCCGAGACAGGCGGGGGCGCTGGGACGTGTCGTGCGCCAGATGCATTCCCTGACGCTGATGAAGCAGGAGCAACGGTGGAAGTCGTCGGCACCGCAAGCGCAGATGCAGACGCCGTGCCGCCTGGCGCGGGTGGAAGGCCGCGACTAGCTGTTGTTGTAGGCAAAACCGTTGGCACAGGTCGTCGAGACGTCACAGGTCGCGATGTCGTGCGGCGCTTGGTGCTTGGTTGTGCAGAGCGCGGCAGTTTCTTCGCCGGTGGGCGTGAGACACTCGTCGGTGGCTCGCCGGAGCCGACAGACACAATGGAACTCTTGTACACATCACCCACAGGAATCGACTCGTCTTTACGGAACGACACATGTGCCTTTTTGCGGCCCTTGCGCACATACTCTAGTTGCGGCGCAATAACAACGTGTGTGCGACCGCCTGTCTGCTGCAAGAGATACGCCACAAACTCTGTTTTGAAATCGCAATGCAAGAGAGGGTCGCCTTCGTCTGTGCCGACTTGCAGCACGATCCAGTCATCCCGCAGCGTCGAGAGACCGACTTGCCGGATCGTGCTGAGTGGAATCACTCGCTCACATGTTGTTTGGGGCCGCTTGTTCACGAGATGCGTTACTAGAATGTACACGGCGCGCGGCGACATCAGCAAGAAGCGCGGACTTGGGATGGACGTGCGTCCTAGTCGCGACACAAGGAGCTGCGCGCGCGCACTAAACACGATCGGCTCGTTAGGCGGCAGGTTTGCCGAGGCCCGGAGCATGCGGCCCTCGGCAGACGACCCATTCAAATCCAGGTAATCCCCCATAAAGCGGCGCATGCTGATGAGACTGAAGCGACGGCGTTCCTTGCGACCAGCGAGCAGTTGATGTCCGTACTCGCGGAGCTCGAGGAACTCGTGGCCCTCTCGGCTTCGACGCCATGCACGCTGGATGCGCCGTGCGCTCTCTTCTCGTCGCCGCATAAAGGCACGCCATGCCCGCTGGATTCGCATGGCCATGTTGTGCCAGTATCGATCGCGCATGGTCTCGAGTGCAAAGAGCGTCTCGGGGTTCTTGATGAAGCCCTTCGTGACACCGAGCTGCCATTCGTCACGCGCAATGCCTGTATCAAGGAAGATGCGCTCACAGCCGCTGCGCGCATCGCCTTGCCAGATATAGTCACCTGCATACGATGTCGCTCGTGACAAGAGATAGAAACGCTGCACAATCTTTTCAAACGTGTTCCGGTATGCAAATCCTGCGCGGCGGACGCGAATGTTTTCCCGCAGACCCAGGTACTTGATCTGGTGCAGGACCGCCTGTGTGTCGTACTCCGTGGGGCTTTTGTTCTGGTTGGGTTTGATCGTGCGGATATAGGACGGCTGGGCTTGCATCAAATTGTCCACTAGCGCATTGGCACTCGCTTTGATCCGGTCACCTGCCGACGGCGGCCGTTTCTTGCTGTTAGGATCTGGCCTTTCAGGGAACAGGCCGATCAAGAATGCATTGGACGAGCTGTCCACGAGGTTCAGAATGTCTTTGAGCAGGGCATCCTTGTTCTTCTCTGTCATGCCCTGGACGTTGTACATGACATCACCTGCATAGTGCCGGACAAGGAACTTGGATCCACGGGCCTCGAAGTGTGGATTGCTCGAGAGCATGGACGTGCGCTGCATGAACGAGTTGTCGGCCGCAGATGAATCGGCATGTGCCGTTGCGACCGCATCGTTGAGAGCAGAAAAGATGCCAGGCGGCCGTTTCGCCTCAATCAAGTCGCACACAATCTTGTTGTTGAAGTATTGGATGGGCGTCCATTGGATTTGCTCCTGAGCATATTCTTCTTGCTCCTTCTTGAGTGTCAGCTCGATAAAGATCTGCTGGAGCTTCTCATTTACATAGTTGATGCACAACTGCTCGAACGAGTTGTTTTCAAAGATTTCAAAGCCGTAAATGTCCAACACTCCAATCACGGAGGCCGCCGTCTGACTCTGTGCCTGCAACGATCTGTTGATCCGGGCGACAATCCAGTCAAATAGGTTGTTGTAGATGGCCTTGCTTAGTGCATCACGCACAGCCGCAGCCTGCGTCGGGTTCAGTGGCACTTCGTACACAGACCCACGCCGTCCACCGCGCTGTGTCTCCATAATGCGCTGTGTCAAGGCTCGCTGCACAGCTGATGGGTCCACTTCGAGCAAGTACGCACAGAACGCCGTCACGTCTGGATTCGCGAGCTCTGCATCGCCCTGAGCATTTTCCACAAAGTGCACGTTCCCGAGCCACAGAATTGTTGCGAGCATGCGCACCATACTCATTTGTTCGTCATCGGTAAGTCCAATGATCCGCATGGCCTCAAAGGCTGCCGCAAAGTCGGCATGGTCATCGATACCAGGCACATCCAGACACTGACTATCAGCCGTATACGCATATGCCTCTGGGCCCTGTAGCCCAAACAGTTCGCGCTGCTGTGGCGACGCAGCTTTCGTCAGCTGGTAAAAGATATGGAAGTTGCGCTCGTTGCGGATCTGACCGACAACACGGGCCTTCTCGAGCAAATAGTTCGTAATTGTGGCACCCACGGGCGAGCCATTAGCATCAAACATGATCTCGAGGTATTTTCCGTGCCGCGAGCTGTTGTTATTTCGTAGCGTTTTGGCGCATCCGAAACTCTCTAGCAGTGGATTGGTCGCCAGCACCATGTCCTTGATCGTATGAATGCCGGAACTTGTGCTGCCCGTGCCTGTCGTATCGCCACTGACCGCCGCAATGTATTGCATGATCCGCTTCGCTGCCTCTGTCTTGCCGGCTCCTGATTCTCCAGAAATAATCACGCACTGATTCTCCTTGTAGGCCAGCATGTTGTAGTATGCACCCTCGGCAATGGCATATACATGCGGCGGCATCTCCAAGCGATTCTTGCCGCGGTAAGAGCGCAAGATTTCGTCCGTGTATATGCCAAGATCTCGGAATGGGTTTACAGATATCAAAACATTCCCGATGTATGTCTACAGAGTCAGTCACCAAGTACAGCCATTTATACGCACATAGATCTCAGCATTGGAAAAGCGCTTGTGCAAGTTGTCATTCACAGCTTCGTTGGTAATCTGTGTCAACAGCGTCATGTCAGAGACGCCTGCCTGTGGTTTCTTAAAGCCTTCGCGCCAGTCGGCCTTGGCAATTCCACGGTTCACGGGCGGTGCAGCCTGTGCTGCTGCGCCGCCAGCAGCACGGCGTCCACCCGCGCGTTTCGATATCACCATCGTACCACGATGCCAGGATCTGTTCTCCTGTCTGAGAAGACGTCGTAAGCACGCTCAAACTCACACACGGCTTCCGACGCCCAGGTCGTGACAGTATGCACGGCCTGCCTGCCTGTCTGGGAACTCGACAGGGAGAATGTGGTTGTGTGCAAGCACGTGTTATTCAGATTACCTAATGTTTACGAAGCATTCTCGCGAGCGCCCCTCTAGGTGGACGGAGCCACGTTAACGAGGACTCGTGCTTTTACACGCCGAGATGTGGAGGACAAGGAGCGAGAGAGTAAGTGGAAGCGTCAGGTCCCGTGGCTGGAGGTTGAGGCCTACATGATCTCGAGCATATCGAGCCACATTATATTATTAATAATATTATTATTTTATTAGTCCAAATCGATCGAAGCGTGGACGTGGAAGCGACGATGACGACAGCGGCTTTGAGGACGGTGGTTGTGCCGCCAGCAGCAGGCGGCATGCCCTCAGCGACAGTATTTATCATGCATGGTTTGGGCGATACTGCACAAGGTTGGCTGGATGTGGCCCGGGCCCTTGGACGCAACCAGGCTCTGCAGCATATCCGGTTCGTGCTACCGACAGCTCCAGTCCAGCCCGTCACTATCAATATGGGCATGTCCATGACATCTTGGTTCGATCTCTATTCACTCACAGATTTAGACCAAGGTGAAGATGAATCGGGTATGAGAAAAAGCGCTGCAGCCATCTGGGACTTGGTTGCTCAGGAGACGAATGGTAGTGCACCTGGTCTCAATGGGCATAAGGTGCCGATGAATCGTATCGTGCTGGCTGGATTCAGTCAAGGCGGCGTTATGGCTCAGCTGATGGGCTTAACGGCGCAAGAGCGCCCCGCAGGCATTGCCGCGTTGTCGACATGGCTTCCATTGCACCAAAAAATGGCTTCAATGCACAGTAAGCACACATTTCCTTTCTTCCAGGCACAGGGCACGGTGGATCCGCTTGTGGACTACAAGTATGCACGCCGCTCGTTTGATTATGTGCAATCATCCCTGGGCTTCGGAAAACTGGCTGAGGGGCACGAATATCGTATGCCACACTCGGCGTGTCCTGCCGAAATTACCGATTTGGGCAGTTGGCTTGAACGAGTCGTGCCTGTCTGACGCTATTCAGAGATAGTTGGCTTCAATGATCATGTAAAGGGTATCTCTATATCTCGAGCTCAAAATGAAACGTAAGTGCACATGGAACGTCTCTGTTATACAATTTCTATTCTGTCGCTCTTGTTCATGGACACAGTCCCGCCCGCCCAGAGCTTCCTACCCAGGATGGTCCGGATCGCACATCGAGTTCTTTGCACACGTGCACATGCGTCTGCAGTATCTTGACGATTTTCTTTTTCTGTAACTACTCCTTCTCTTTTGTTACAACGGCATGTGCAAAAGCGTCGGTGAAGATGGCCGCGTTGCTCCAGGTGTAAGTGCGGCTCGTGAACTTCCCCAGTGTGACGCAGGTTTAAACAGATCGACGTCACGATTCAAGTCAAATGCATTTGTCGTTGAACCGAGTCCACTGCCGACAACACCACTACCGTAGCCTGGCGGTAGCAACGATGTCCAGAAACTGTCGTCCAACACACGGTTCACTTCGACACCCTGTGCTTTGGCATACTGCAAAGCATCCCAGCCATGTAGATCAGAGAGGGTATCTTGCGTAGGACCAGGTGCGTCATGCAATTTGTTGTGGAACTCTGCCGGGCTCGGCGTTGTTGACAAAGGCGGCATAGATATAGCTGTCGGCAGCCGATGCTCATTAGTGTCGCAATGATGAGAACCTGACAGGCTTTTGCTCGGAGGATGCTGATTTTGGTCTCTTGAGGCAATCTCAGCTGCCATAGGATTCACCTGCGAGGGGTTTACAGTCATGGCTGGCGGCCGGGAAGACGAGAGTGATGGATCCTGGTCCATTGAAACATGCGTTGACGTCGACGGTGCCATGGTCGATTTGTTCAACCTGGACCCATGCGTCGTATCATGAGCAGATCCAGCCTCTGCGGAAGGTGGTGGTGCCATGGTCGTTCCTTGCATCCTGTAGAATTCATGTGATTCAGGAATCCCCTGAGCGACGCCGTCCATAGAGGTGGCAGTCCGCCTTGGTCCCTTGTCGGAAGACTTGTCTAAGGGCGACGAGTTGTATGTTGCTTCGCCAGAACGTTGATCTAATCGTGATTCGACGAGCATCCGGAGGAAGGACGCATAAAGAGCAGGTGTATGTGACGCGTCGACTGCCGCCTCTTCCAGAACCTCGATGGTGTAGTTGACAAGGGCAAGAATCTCGTCTTCATTGATGTAGCGAGAAAACACCGGTCGGATGAGCTTCAGAAGAAAGACACATGCATACGCCACAGCCACGAACGTTGGATCTGGGGCATAACGCAAGATTTCCCGCATGCCGCATTTTACTGTCGCAATGATTTCTTTCGCAGCATGAACACAGCGCACGAGGTATTGCGGCTTGTCAGCAGAAGCGCCGTCCGATGGGTGTTCAAGTGCATATTGCAGGCCAAATGAATTCAGCACCAACACAGCATAATTGTATCGCAACGGCGCTTGTCGTGCAATATAGTACATAGAACGAGTAGCCAGATCAGCGTCGTCAGCTGGTGGCCCTGCTTCATGCAGCGCCAGGAGCGCCGACGCACGCAGTGTGTCGGCCGTGCCTGTATGATCCAGATGCGTCACAACGCGGTCAAGCGCTGGGATGAGCGAATGGATTCCATCTCCACATTTGTTATTTGGCGGTACACCTCTGTGCGGAACATCGGGTTCACTGTCCAAGGCAGAATGTGAATGCGACGCATGCGGGCTGGGTGCGACGCAAGTCAGGTTGACAGGTGAAGCTGTAGCTCGTGAGGGTGTCTCGGAGTGGGTACAGGGGGGCCCGGGTGGGTTATTCCGAGAGCCTAATGCATTTAGGGGCATAGTATGTAGATGTGGATGTGAACGGGCATGCGTGTAAGAAGGAGCGTGAGAGTGCGAATAGAAATGGGGCTGTGGCTCTGTTTGTGACGATGGCCGCGCCGACTCGTGGGTTAGTGGTGGCTGCAACGTGCGCCTAACAGAGTCGAGTCCAAGCCGGTACCAGTACTGCATGGTCTCTGTCAGTTGCTCATTAAAAGATGGGAGAATCGCCGGATAGTCCAAGTCGATGTTCAAGCCGGATGGCGTCACAGTTGACGAGTACAAAAAATCTAGCTGCCTCGTCTGTACGCGCAATAAATCAACGAGAGCACAAATGCCTAGGTCCCAGGGCCGGCTAAAGCGCTGGACACACCACTCAGACGCGTGCCGGATCAAAAAATCTTCCCGAATACTGTACGGCTTGCCCATCTGAGCGCTCAGCGTCCGGTCCACACAAAAGCAGATATACCATGTCCGTTCTCGATTGAGCACATCACGCATCGTAGGCTCGTCAGCTCTTGCTTCCGCTGACATCACACATTTGCGGTGCAAATTCAGGTCTTGTGCCATGCGGATCGCCACACCAGCAAACAGCCAAGTCCGATCTTCTTCGTATCGCTCAACAGGCTGGTTGTAAAGTGTGAGTAAGAGGAAACCTTGCACGATATCTGGTGATTTGAAACCATGACTCATCGCATCAAACGCTCCTTTTATTGCACGGCGTTGGCATTGAACGTACAAATCCGGTCGCCGTGTATAAAACTTGGATGCCACCGCACAAACGCATGTGAACAGGAAGGGTGAACGCGAGCATACAAGCGTCGGCGTGTGCCACTCAGGATCTAGGAGGAACATGTGCAGTGAGCAATGGTGGAAAAAGATACGAAAGAGCTCCAGAGCTTCCTCCGATGAGATGATCCCCTCCGTCAATAGCTCCGGGGGGGACTCCGTTCCATTTTCCGACGTACGCAGATCTGACATGGAACTAGGATGAAAGTACGCGTCATTTGCCACCCCAAATTGTGAAGAACGCCTTGGCATCCCGCGTGCCTCCTGCGATGAATTCTCTGGCTCCGTGCTGCTGCCCTCTTGCCCTCTACCGTCTGGGTGCGTGGAATCGGCCATCGAAGAGGGGCGCGAGGTCGATGCATTCCGCCCGTTGTCTGCTTGCTGCCTATGCCAATTTTGCAGGCTTGCCTCAGCGAAGAGACCGAGAGGGTTCAATGTGTTGTCAGGCAAATGCGGCACTTGCATAGAATCCACCGTCTCAGACCTTGCTGGTTTCGACAAAGGCGGATGCGGTGCAAAAGTATGCCCGGAAATCGCAGTTCGAACGACATGCTTCAACAAGCCTTCTTCACTGGTATCGAGCACACGCACCATCATACTGTCTTCCAGCATGCCCATCTGCTGCATAAATTTGGCTGCCTGCTCTGCGACTGTATGAATTGAGCGTGGATCGTTAGTGACACGCTCCATTGATAGCAGACTTTGAACTCGTGTCACGAGCATATCGACAGTCGTTGGTGATATTGCCGTCGTCGTGGCACTGCCAGATTGGGGAGAGCCAGCCGCCTCATTCATAGTAGTTCCCAAGGATATAGGATATGGTGACACAGGGTGCGTTGTTTCACAGCTCAGCGGTGAGTGGCTCAGCTCATAAGCATTCTGCAACAATGAGACAAAAAGCTCTTCAACCTTTTTCAAATTCTGCTGTGTTGCCTCAGACTTGCGCCGTTTATCAGACTTACGTCCGCGATTGCTTTCAAGAAATATACATTCATGTCCACTGCGTGCGCAACGCTGGCATGGCCCACCATTCTCGCTGACCTCGCACTTCATCTTAAGTCGATGGCAATTGGTACAAGCGCGTGCGCCGCGCGTAGATTTTTGCTTTTGACCGCCAGTGGTCTCTTTCAAGACCTTACTCGTAGAAGACGACTCACATGCATTGTCAATCTCATTACTACTGTTGTCCATTGTATCAGCTGACCGCTTCACCCCAATTCGATTTGAATCCCCCTCATGTGACGATTCATTCATATGAGATGACTGCGGTGTACTAAACAGGTCCGGACCTGTCTCAACGCGAAATTCTGGCAGGCTTGGATTCACATCGTGCGATTCGTGCCCAATATCAAAGATCATGGCGTCGTATAATGCTATACAAACGACGTGCCCGCACTAGTGACACTTTGACGAGAGGCACGATTCCCAGACTCAGCGTGACCGGTTCGTGGGGAGCAGGACGCGCTGCCAAGCCCACACACACGTATCAAATCGCCAAGTAACAGCGTATTTGTACGTTCGTAAAGTCACGTAATCAAGAGCAACCCTCTGCAGGCCTCAGTGTCTTTGATACTCAAGGCGATACAAAGATTCCCACACAAGGTTGGAGTTTCCAAATAACGTAGTGTGTGGGGCCTCCGATGGTCTTCGTCAGCAACAAATAGGTTTCATTGTAACTTTCGCATCTGTTGCAACATCTGTTGTCTGATTGGGCAAGTTTTTTTTTCGTAAGCCGTGTCTAACGAAATTAAGCCATTACGTGTGGGTGGCTGCAACGAGCTACAAAGGCCAGAACATGGCATCTCATCATTAACGTAATCTGGTAGGCCAGACGCATAATTCCACGATCACTGCGCTAAGGTCCGCGAGTTTGAATGCCTTTCTATAAGCGCGCGCCATGCGAGCGGCGCCAAACGTCCTTCTCAGACCGGGTGGGAGACTAGTAGCGGTTCATTAGTAAGAGGAGTTGCTGGGTTCCATGCTGCAGACGATAGGTGGTATGTACTCCTGATTTGCAGTTCTTTGGCTATTCGCAAGGTCAAAGGGGATTCAACCATTCCTTTCAGCAAACGATGCCCGAATTCGCGGCAAGATACCCCATGCCCTATATCAGGTGTACCTCATATGTTGACACTGGCGCAAGTTGACCATCACTCACTCCTGTAGACGGATGCACGAACGCACTTTTAACGTGTCGCAACTTCAGTTCTGCATCAGCACCATCATTGATTGGTGCTACAAGACATGTATCCCTACATGACACCGTAAAAACGGCTAAACCATCACCCCTACTTCATCAAGTCCGCAGACTATACACAAGAGGCGTATGTATACATAAGGACAATTTTGTAAATAGGAAGAAACAATAATCAAATGCTTCTAGACATTCGCTTACTGCTGGGCCTTGGCCTGCTGCGCCTTGATGACATTCTTCACAATCTTCGACTCTTCCACAAGGAATGCACGAACAACACTGTCATACGTTAGAACCAGACGCACACGTCACACTGATGCACATAAAGACGATACATACCGAGTGCGAACACAGTCAGCGCAGCGGCTACCACCGTAGGCGCGCTGGACTGTCTTGTCACGCTTAGAGAGCGTGGCGTATGCACGAGGACGCATAGCCTTGATGCCCTGGAGCTTGGTGTGACAGTCACCGCACTTGGGGGCAGTAGGCAACTTCTTCAAGTGAAGGTAGCGCAGATGCCCGCTAGGCGTCTTCACAACGCGCCGGCGGTTCGACCGGGTGTTGTAGGGGTTACGCTTGCGAAGGGTGAGACGCTCAGCCATCTACAGTTTCCGTTAGTTCCAATGTTCATGAATTGCGCGAGAGAGACTGGCCATGTCACCATGGCGGCGCCGGACACACTGGAATGCAAAGAATACAAAGCCCTTCATCATGTCACTGCGCTTTGCGCCTTTGGCGTACACCCGCTCTCCCTCGCTTTTTCTCTCTATCGCGAATACACACCTTCTGGTATATAGCAACGGTGAAGAAGCTGGAGTGGAAGTGATTGCTCCCTCGGCGGACCAGTGAGCAGGCCAGATCTATTTCACGTGACTCGATATAGTTTTCCTTGTCGGCTGACTCAGCATGTAGCGGCGTGGCACGCTTGCATTTGGTCCAGGTGTGGGCGTGCACAGGCGTCTGTGATTGATTGAGTGAATTTCGGCCATCAGCGAATCAAGCCAAGAAGGTAATAGCGAGCTTGCTTAGTGAGACCGGCTTGCTGTTTCTGCGTGGGACAACACTCTGTGTGTGTGCGAACAATTAACGTGAGTGCCCATGCGAGGTGTATGGACGCCAGGCTTGTGGTGCCACGCGCACGTATACCATGGTTCGATAGGATCCCTGCATCCTTCATTGCTTCGATGTGCTGTGCGATCTATTCATACCCGTCGTAAGCCGATCACTATACCTGAGTCGATCAAGCTTTCGATCCTGGACTTCCCACCGCAACCGAGGCCGACACGACCACTATCTGCACTCATGCGTCGGGCAAAGACCCTCGTCTTCAATGGGCCGAAGGGCGAGGTTGTCGTGCCATTGCATCATTTTGTCAACATGGTCTGGGCCGATAACCCCGAGACCAAACAACGCAATGTGACATTTGCCGTGGAAAATGAGGACATCAAGTTACAACGAGGAATTTGGGGCTTGACTCGCGCACTGTGTGCAAATGCTATCAAGGGTGCCCAGGATGGCCATGAGGTCACGCTTCGCCTCGTCGGTGTTGGTTATCGTGCGAGTATTGAGCCTGATCCTTTGCCTCGCAAGCATCCACTTGAGGTTGAGCTGGAGCGTGGTCGTGGTCATTGGTATGCAGCCGAGCAAAAGCAGACTGAGATTGATCGCGTGAAGCGCCTCATTGAAGCATCCGGTCCAAATCAGCGTCTTCATTTGCGTCTTGGATATTCGCACCCTGTTTTGGTCCCGATTCCGTATGGAGTTCAGGCTGAAACTCCCTCACCTACAACCATTAAGCTCTCAAGCGCAAATAAGGAGCTACTTGGTCAGTTCGCTCAGAGTGTGCGCCAGTTCCGAAAGCCGGAACCGTACAAAGGCAAAGGTGTCTTTATCAATGATGAGCAGATTAAGCTCAAGACACCCAAAAAGAAGTAATGCCATTCCACCCACCCACCCCATGCAAGGCCGTGCATGAGTGCATTCGCATTGCGTATATGCGAATGCGTACAAACGCTGGCGTATATGTGCTTTTTTTCTTCCTCTTTCCATACCCTGCGTAACGTGCTGAAACAGTGATTCACATCGCACAGAAAAGCAACATGGTACTCCCATTGAATTCGCAAAGAGCTTATTCAAATTTTGGACAAGCCAAACATACATAATATCTATACAGAAAGCCTATGTGAATATGGTCTTCTGCTACGCTAGATCACGAGACTTGCCCTTGTGAGGGCTGCTGTTGGGGTGGTCGACGTCATTACCGTCGACCGTGTCGTAAGGAGCAGTGGCGGATGGCCGTAATACTTCTTGGATCTGCGCAATTGTGCGCTCCAACGTAGCATTTGTATCTTGTAAAACACAAAGTCGCCTTCGCAAATGTTCGTCGGTGATTTGCGCCAGCTGCTCCGTAGACAAGGACAGATCCGGTGCGAGGGACGATCTCGATGCAGCCCAACTGACCAATGGATGCGGCAGCTTGGACTCGACCCGCGAGGAAAAGTCGTGAATTGATGCAGGGTCAAAGAGTGGTATCAAGCCAGGTGTTGCCGTGTCCTTATGATTAGTCGCTGTTAGAGTGTGCTCTCGAGTACCAAAGCGTTTGAGCGCAGCCTGTCGAACAGCTTCGCGGGGATCCAAACCAGCCGCCGTGGAGTCATCTTTTACAGGAAGATGGTACTCTGGACGGGTGCGGGAGCTGCTTGCCTCCGGGGAAAGAGGGGCTGACATTGACGGTAGGGTATCACGGGAAGAAGTTGCTTCGGCTTGGGGAGACAATCGTGAGATCAGCGACTGCAAAGACGTTGACTCGATGCTGCCCGCTGGCATGGTTTGCTGAGCTGCATCGTGACTAACTTGCTGCTGCGATGCTTGCTCGCGAAACAGTCCAGATGTAGCACCAAGATGATCAGGTGTCTGAGCGTCCGACAAAGGAGATGGTTCTGGTGTTTGCGTCGGTACAGTATTAGGATCAGAAGTGTTCTGTGCAGCTGGAGTTGGCGCCAGGACATCTCGACGACATGTGGGACAATTCTGCTGACGCTCGAGCCAAGAGTGCAAGCACCGGAAATGAAAGACGTGACTGCATGGCAGCTTTCGAGGTGTATCGGCCAGCGAACGGGAATCTACGTCAAAGTCCTCGCGGCAAATAATGCATGTCTTGTCATGCATCTGCACGACGTCGGACTGAGACAGCGGGGGATACTTCCGGTCCATATCGCGCGTGGCGGCACGAAAGCGCAGGAGCTGAAGCGTCTTTTTGTACACAGAGTACGCAAGGAGTATGAACTGCCGAAAGGTGCCAAATGGAAGAAACACCACATGCATGTTAACGAACAGGAAAGAAAGGACGATGCTGAACGGATATACGAGTAGCATGACAATGTCACGTACATATCCAATGAAGAACACATAGCGGCTTTTTTCGTCCACAAGGCCCTTCGCTTGTAAGTGCGACGTATTCGCAATAGTAGAGGGCAATTTGTGCGAACAAGTTGACCTGCATGACCATAAGTGATATAAAGTATTGTGATACAATGCCAATAGGACCGGCATCCTGCGGCATTAGCAGAATGGCAATGGGAATCAAGATTGCCAGGAATGACTGAATAAATGCAAGCAGTCCAAGCATGCGTATGTGAAAGAAGCGAGGGAAAGTAGTCATTTGCCCCAGGGTGTCGATGCGCACGCTGCACATGTTTTGCAAGACAGCTACTAGCAGCAAAACACATCCGAAGTAAAAGAATAGTAGATCTGAACGGAATTGTCTTACAGATGAGACGATCAGCAGATCAAAGAGCAACATCGTGAGAGATTCTTGTACAGACTGACGAAGTGTTAGATGGGACGCGTCACTTTGACAGCACGCCATACGCATGCACAATCACACATACCTGCACTTCCTGTCGCCCAAGGGGACCTAAGAATATAAGTTGTGCAACTTTAGATAGTAGCACGAGCACATACACCACAAAGTTTGATAGAATCTATTACGTCGTGAGCATTGCATGTATCCCGCACGCAGCCAAACATACCAGTAGACAACCGTTACTTCTGTGCACCCATGCAGATGCCATGAAAAGGTCCAGCTGTTCATGCCGGGCTTTGTATATCATGGCTCCAAATGCAATTGTTGAAAGCATGCCATACAATGTGAGCACGCGCGCGCTCATCAGAGATGCCGCTTCAAACCGCGCCATGATTCGCTATACCCGCACTCGACTTTCTCTTGATCTATGCCTTTCTTTCGCGCTATTCTGTCTCTTTCTCTCTCGCGGCAAATTGGTTGTCAGACCACACTGGCACCAGATGGTTGGACGTGAAACGCAACCAAGTCCGACCCAGCGTCCACATCACCGACATCCACACGACGACTATGGATAGGAGATAACGCCCAGATATATTTTAGTCATCACTTCGGGAGAACGCTGCAATCTGCCTGTTGTTTCGTGCCCTTTATTCAACTAACACGTGCATTCATCCACAATCGCAGATCGCCATCCACATTTGACATTGGCTGACGTCGGTCTTGTAAAAGGTGCGTGACGAATGGCGCAGGACACAGACCAAGTCGAGTACACACCCGAGCACCCGCCCTCAATTCAGGGTGTTTTGCAAGAAAGCCAAAAACATCTACACAAGACGTATCCAGATACCTGTCCCAAGCAAGAGTTGCCCTACGAGCAGCAACAACAGGATATTCTAGATATGGATGACGCCAAAGATGGCGATCTGCTTCGCTGTCTTACGCAGAAGCTCGCACAGACATCCATTTTTGTGCGCGCCATGCACAAGCAGTTATGTGTGTACACAAATCCTAGAGGCAGGAAACTGACCATCAGATCGTGCAAGGGTAAATTCCAATGCTGAAAGTGTTTTGATTATCACCAAGGCGCGCGACAACAATCTGGTCAGGTTGACGCGTGAAGTGAGCTTGTGGCTCATGAACCGTGCGCGTAAAGATCGGAAACGTGGTTTGATTGTATACGTGGACGAACAGTTACGTCACTCCAAACGTTTCGATGTCGAAGGCATGCAGCGAGACTATCCTCACTTGTTCACATCGTTTCGGGAATCAGGTACCCCCGAGACATCGCACCAGTGTTTCAACGTAGATGAGGGCCAGCTGCGGTTCTGGACGAGTGATATGTGTACACTGTCTCCTACACTGTTCGACCTGGTTCTTACCCTTGGCGGCGATGGAACCGTTCTATTTGCCTCGTGGCTATTCCAGTCAAGTGTTCCACCAGTGATTCCTTTTTCTTTGGGTTCGCTAGGCTTCTTGACGCCATTTTGCTTCGATGACTACCCATCGGTCTTGGACTCTGCCATCACAAACGGCATTCTCCTCAATATGCGCATGCGGTTCCGTGCTACTGTGTACCGTGCAATTGATACTCTGAACTCAAAGCCACGTTCCCGGCGCCGCAAGGCCCCCAAGCCCGACAGTGCAGACTCGATCTTACAGGAAGTTAAGGAATGTGGGTGGTACTGTGTGGAAATGGAGCCAGGGGCTGATGCGCCTGAAGATGCGCCTCTCTTCCATGATGAGCACGTGCATTTGTTCAGAACTCGACCGGTTGAGTCGTTCGAGTTTCTGAATGATCTTGTGGTGGATCGCGGCCCCAGCCCGTATGTTACAATGTTGGAGGTGTTTGCCGACGACATGCATTTAACCACTGCCCATGCAGATGGTCTCTGTATATCTACGCCAACAGGCTCCACTGCTTATTCCCTCTCGGCTGGTGGCTCATTAGTACATCCTTTCATACCAGCCATGTTGATAACCCCTATTTGTCCACACACACTCTCATTTCGTCCGATGCTTGTGCCAGACAGTATGGAGCTGCGAATCGCTGTCCCACACAACTCCAGGAGCAACGCATGGGCCAGTTTTGATGGACGTGGCCGGATTGAAATTTGCCGCGGGGACCACATCAAAATTACCGCGTCTCCATACCCGTTCCCCACCGTCACGCCCGAGAATGAAACGGGTACATGGTTCCATTCGGTGTCGCGCACATTTAATTGGAACCAACGCAAGCATCAAATGGGATTCATGGTTTATGATGGCCACCCAAATCGAAAACAGTCGCGAGGCAACCCACAGACACAGAACAGTGCATCAAGCCGTGGCACTTCCAGGTCGGGAAACAGGGTCAAGGACAAGTTTTGGAGAGAGGAAAACACGTCTGATTTTGTCCATGATGCCAGCGAACAGTTTGATGATGATGATGCCGACGATGATCATGACGACGATCATTATGATGATGATGAGGATGACAACGAAGTGTTTGACATCGACGAGGCCACTCCAGAAAATCTCAGTCGTTTGAGTGGAAGCTGGGGTCAATCTTCTTTTCCTACACTCCCGGCAACGTCTACATTCTCTCAAGATAATCTATCGTTTGGGCCATCATCCAAGGGGGAACCTGTTCCTATTCATTATCCAACGAACGAACTGCAAGAGGCCAAATGGCGGTGCATTCGGAGCCCTGATCGCTTTGGACCAGGCGGACCTCCGCCAGCGCCTGGTCCCTTGAGCGAACGGCATTTAGCCACCATGGATTTCCGATTGAGAAGTAAACTAGACGATCGTGCCGCCAGGAAATGATGGCTTTGCCGCAAACTCTGCGCTTGGCCGATTTTTTTTTGTCCTTTTCCAGACGCAGTCCTAGACATTGCGATCGAAGTTTTAATGCCTTGAACAGTTGGTCTTTCGTGCAGCGAAAGCCTGTGTATAGAGACATGTGCGATGGAGCCATATTCGATGTAATGGCGTGCATTTACCCAGGACTATGTCATAAACTGAATCAATGCTTGTGTAAATTGACCCGAATTCAGTCATCTCCACAGCCGTAGCGTAACTTTGCTATTTGACTCGAGCAGATCTCAGCGACTGCATGATCTGCATGATCCGAGCGGCATGCGTGTGTGACTTCGGGTTAAGCGGTTACGTGTTTGCCTGACCTTAGTCCTTGTCCCTAACTGTCTGTCAATGCCTAATTTTACCGACAGCTTCGGAGCATGTGCTCCCAGTTTTGGTGCCAGGGTCTATGCTTGTCATATCTACCACGACAGCGGCACCACATAGTAGAATAAATCTATATTTTAGCAAACAATACATCTTCAAAGTTACGACTTTACTCGCATCAAAACGCATTCCAAATTGACTCATCAGCTCATCTAGCTCAGCTGCTTAATTCGAAACATATGATACTGGGGCTCGATCCCAATTTCATGAGTTTCGGCACCTCAGCATCTCATATTACTATGTATGACAAAATGAGCTTGCACCAAGTCGCGTCTACTCAACGAACTTATTATACCCACTCAGTCTCATTTTCGATGAAATCAAAACTTGGCCTTAAACAGCAAGATTTTTTTTTTTTTTTTTTTCGCTTCGACTGCTAGCAACAGGACCACCAAACACGATCGACGTGACCCAACACAACAACTATACAATTCATGCCTAAAAGTAGTACAAAATGTAATGCAAATCTACCTTCGATTTTGAACTTTGTTCCAAATTTTCTTTACTGCATGAGCATCCTGGAAAACCACGAAGTCAATGTTACTAGCGACATGCGATTCTAAGGAGTTTATCGGAAAAGAGCAATCATATGAAGCTCGCACAAGTTCATGCCAATAACGAAAGTGGATCGGCATCGTCTTTCTCATGTTTGATAGGATTCTAATGTGAAGGATCAGAGCATATATTGTCTTATTCTAGATTGTTGTAACGCCAAGCCTAACGCTAATATAAGCTGAAACACGCATATATTATTCGCATTCGTTTTTCTTTTATTATTCGGCGCGCGTATATTCACAAACGGTTTTTGTACGTTTGATCATGCGTACGAACAACATCTTATCGCGGTTGAGTTGAAATGGTATCGTCCTCGGCTTGACGCGTCTAGGGCACGTAAGCGGGCTCTTAAAAACCTGGTCATTAATTTGTGGGGTTCGTACTTCTCTCGAGTCTGCCAATTACATACATTAAAGTTACATTGTGGAGAAATAAAGTTAATCCATGTCTGTTGTTTCGACACTGGAGCGACAGCATTACATGGTAGACTTGATACTTTCATCATTCAAATCTGTGATGCGATGACCGGCCTCTTCTATGCAAATCTTTTTTTTCATTTTCCTGTGTATATCTTTTCATTATATTCTCGTTTGTTGCCCTTTTAATCCTACGCAAGGGAGGTTCATTTAACCTAAATGTCCAAGATGGAGTGGCTCTACGAGTTCTAATCAGGTGTCTTACGTGAATGAATTCCATTATAATCTGCAGGATATGATTCTTTCGTTATCAAAAGTATTTCATGACACAATTGAGCCTCACAGAAATATTGTTGCATCAGTTGCCAAATGGGAGTTTCATCCTTTTGGATGTATCATTATTAGAGTTTCGCATAGATCTGTGCACACGATAGAAATAATGCATGCCTGCTCATAAACCTGAACCAAGGCATCAGATATTTGTTATTAATTGAACTTGTGTGGTTAATTGGGACTCTGTTTTTGATCAAGGTTTTTTTTCGGAGCCATTTCCGGTTCTTCTAGAATCTTTATCGCAACTGAAACTAAACATAGAGAAACGCATACTTGAACATTTAGCATTTCGAAGATGACAAGAAGTTGCGCCCATAGATGGATTTCTTAGTTCTTTTTAATAGGAAAATACTTACTATGACATTGAACGTATCTTCATGAAGATAAAAAGATAATCAACAGGCTCTCGTTACTGAAAGAAATTCCCATTATCATCATTTGAGATACATTTGCTTACTGCCAGAGAAATAGACATTGGAATTACTTACTGAATAGCTCGTTCGATCATATATTATCCCGCCAGAGAAGCTTTTTATGTCGCTGCATTTTGCTTATCGAATAAACTAGTAGATGAAATGAACGGGTTTGCGAGACGTCGCACAGATATTGGCTTCATTCGAGTAGGTTGGCATGGACATAGATACGCTGCTCAAACTTAGCATACGAACGTGTATCCACTAGCTACGCCCATTGAGAAGGAATCTTGCTTAATGTTTGGTCATCTAGCTCACATGGCAAATCCAATCAACATTACGATCTATAATGAAGATTATTCCTAGTCTTACCATACGCGCGAAAGAATAGCATGTCCCTTTTTAAAAAGAAGTACAGACAGGTCGCTAAGATGTGGCTAGCGGACTCAGCGAAGTTCTCATGCGCAGCACCGAGCTCATTAACTAGGGAGTCGCGTCAACATAGACACGAAGTGCTAGAAAATCTATCACTCGGACCATGCCAGACACCGGTTGAACAAATCCCGGAACGTGCTTACAGCCATATGACATTTTCTCTCCCATTCGTCCAAGAAAAGCAGGGCCTTGGTAGTTTGGATAGGTCAACGAACCAACGTTACCTCATTTGATGATGTGCGGAAATTAGTCTTAACGGATATATTACTGACGGTTACACAGGCGCGTGTTGGCCCAATTTTCAATGTCTCGCGGCATATTTGATAAACTTCCGCTCCTCAACGAGCCAATACCAATTGTGCCTTGGCTGCTGCCAATGGCTCGAGAGACGCGCGCACAGACCAAAAAAATTGCCACAGCCACCACGTTTTCGGCACTGGACATATCTTCCGACCTCCGAGTTCCGATCCTGAGCCTGCTGCCTTATTGCGAAAAAAAACTAGTTATCCGCATATACAACTTACTCTCTGCGTGGTCTGGCACGACATTCGGATTGAATTGGTTTGACGGTGGCTCCATGCCATTCTCTTTTGGGCCGTCTACACCACCCCCTCGTCTAGATACACATACCTTTGGCTCCTCATGCTCATCAACTAAGTTACCGAGAATCCGTGATGTGCTTGGTGATGAACTATGTGATGGTGACTTGCGACCATCCGCTAACAAGTCGTATACGCATGATTTACAGCAGCCTCCCGTATTAATGCATCCTATGTCGGCCCCGCGCATGCTGGGCCCGTTCTCTAGCATTTCTTTACAAACCCCTTCACCGAGTAAAACACCGACCCGTCGGCGCGCGCGCTCGGCTGTTCAACCCTACAGTTCGAGTTTGATATGTTCGTCTCGTGAAGATCCATTCTTGACTTCGTCGCCGCATTCATCAAGTTCGATGTTACCAGTGATTCTTCAGCGCATGAAAATGGACGATGAATACAACGATCATACCGGTGAGGGACCAAGCTCGATTCATACCTCTGATGTGCAGTGCTTGCCTTCGCAACTATCGTGGGATTCATGTGGTCCCGCGCACCATGCACACTACGCATCGTTATCGCGTCTCTCCATTAGTGAACGTGCTGGACCTTCCCGCTCTCAAGGCGGACGAATCCGACATGCTCCTAACCGATCGTTGCCTAGAGGCGACTGTTTGCTTATGAAAGAGACTGCTGCTGAGCAACAGCCATCTGCACCGATCAGCATACCCGAACCGCACGACGAATACCATCCTCGTTCTTTATCGCGAAGTTTTTCCTCTTACTCTGCTGCCAGTGGGACTAGTGAAGGATTTCCTTACACGCCAAAAATGGGCACATCAGAGATCAGTATAGATGAAGAACGCGGCACAGGCTTGGAGACTCTACCGAGGAAATCCCCTATGCAAGTTTCATCGCTCCTCTTGCCTGAGGATCACGAGCGATCACCTAACGGCCCGTTTTCACTTGCACAGTTTTACGGTGAACCATCGTCTTCTGCCGAAAGCAGACCTCCGGAGACTGAAGCCGCAATATCTATTCCTAACAAAAACTTTGTATGCAAATCAAAACCATCCAACTCGCATGCTGGAAAGTTCGAATGCAGTTACTGTCAAAAGCGGTTCTCGCGACCATCTAGCCTACGAACACACATACATTCTCACACAGGCGAGAAGCCATACCGGTGCGATGTACCAGGTTGCGGTCGATGCTTTAGTGTTCATTCCAATCTTCGGCGTCACCAGAAAAACCACAGTTTGTCAAGTCTTACCCCTATCATACACCAAGATATAACGCCGCCGCAGTATCAGTAACGAAGATCAGTTGTTTTAGTATCAATTCGTTTTGCTATTCGAGATCAATTTTTGAAGTAGGCATTACTTGTCTTGCACTTGCGCCGCCGCGCTCTGATTACGACTTGGCATTCCTTTGCTTATGCGAATAGCAACAAGAAACTAATTTTTCCAGTTCAGATATAGCCAATCACGTACTGTCATTTCAGCGAGCCTCGTCGTACTGGAATCAATTCAGAGACGAGGTTTCCTCAGCCACTATTTCCACAAGCAGTCGCGGCAGGAGACGTGCTGATCCTCTGGTGTGCCTCGAGAAGAAGCCTACCTGTATTGTTCATGCCCACCCAATATGCAAAAAAGCAAGGAGTACCGACTCCAACACCGGCAATGTCTCATTTGATGCCCCGACAGGAAGTAACGACTGTGGTCAGTCATACAAGTTCTGTTGAAGCGCCTGGGAGGACAGTGACGCTGGAACGCACATCGACGTCTTATGCACCGCCGCCGCCCCAAACAAACTCACCAGAGCCTGAGAAGAACGATTCCAGTACACCAGCAGGCCCCGTAGCAGGAGGTGTTGTTGGAGGTGTTGTGGGACTCGCCCTGATTCTAGGTGTTCTTTGGTACCTGATTCATCGCATTCGACGTAATCGTGCCACACGTGCTTTGGATGATATGTACGCCGAAACTGGTATGGGAGGCGGTGGCGTGGATCGCCATGCACGTACGCGAGCTAATAATCCAGCCACTATGCCTTTGTCGAGCTCATGGGACTCTGGCACGCCGATCCACATGGAGCAGGATATGTACGATGCACCGATGGCTGTGCCAACAGATCCGACACAAACTGCATTCGCTGCACCCATTCATTCGCAAGCACGCCAAGACTCACTTGATGCTCCGGGCTTTATCACACATCCATTGGAGGCGGATGTGCCTTGGCAGACTCACATCATCCCGGAAGACCCGTCGGTGTCTGTCGCTCACCAAGCCCCGCATGAGTCGTATGTACCTGAAGCTTTGCGCGTAACAAATGCTGGCTTGGAGCCGACAACTCCACCTTCCATGCCTGCGTATGCTCAAGAAGCTGAACAGGCAGTTGAGGAAAACCCTCGAATGGGCACTTTGATATCCGAGAGGACTCAGCCACCTGGCACAGGTACACAGGTGAACCCCACGTTGCTTACAGTTAGGCCTGATAACAGCACATCCCCTAATGGAACTATACCGCCGGGAACGTCTCACTCTGGCACTGCTTTGCAGTCGACGCCAGCTGAGCTTTCCGTGAACACAAATCATTTGGAACGGAATGCAAGTTTAGCCGAAGACGAACGTTCACCTCTATCAATGTACATGTGGCTTCCATCTCACAAAGTGGCCGGCATCACTTCACCAAGTCAAACCGCGTCACAAACACCTGCGACTAATACTGTATCCACCGGCGACTACTCCACCCAAACATTGAATCGTGTCAACTCTAGCTCTTAGTCTCTTATCCTGCGATTATATGAGAGGGAGAGAATATGCTGCATATATTGTTATTTCTGCTCATTCCTTCGCGCACTATTGTTGCCCTTCAGTTCTCTGACTGTCGTTTCACCCCATTTGTTAACTCCCCGTTCTGTTACTATAATCTTTCAAGACCTCGTAGCAACCCGGAACCATGTACTAAAATGCACGAACCTGTGTAAATGATCTTATCCTGTATATGAGAAGGTTGCTGATGGATCCACAGAGTCACCGCTGTATCTGCGGAGCCAGGCTGAAGCCAGAAAGCACTAGCATTGATGCTGTTCACATACTTTTGCAATACTGAGAGGGTCACTCTTGGCGGTGTTACAATAGAAAGGCTCGTCTTTTGTGTGGCAATCGCTTGGCCCACGTCCGTGATCGTGGAAATCCCCTCAATATTAAGTAATTCAGGATGCACCGGTGTCACAGGCAGGTGCGTGTGGATATACCATCTGAGCACCTTGTTCCCGAATTTGGTTCGATCTTTACTTGCTCCAACGACCAAATAATGATTACTGTCAAAAAAACGGCGCAAAGCGCGGGTCTCGGAGGGCTCTATTTGTATCGTCATTCTGGTGTGTTCAAGAGCCAAGAAATTGTAAAAAGTGGCAAGGTGTGTGTCTACATGATGCTTGTGGAGGTGGCCGATGCGCCTTGATAGGTGGCATTCCTCATATTGTGTGCATATACAAAATGCTGGACTTGAGCTCCAGCGAAGGCGAACAATATGTGGCATGATTCAGACGAGATGCTAGTGGCCGAGTTGGCAAAAATAGCGTGTGAGTATCATGTAGGTGTATCAGAGAAAGCATCTATGGAGATACTGCTTCGTATTATGGGCGATGAATTGCGGAGTTGTCGGCTACGAAACGAGCTGGGCCAATCGAACTTGCCGACCTTGTTGGTGCGGATCCTCCAAGAAGCTTCGATGCCTGAACGTATAGAAGCACTTCGTGTGATGGCCAACCTATGTATTGATCATGGTGTGTACCAAATTATGCTTATATGCAGACGTGAACCGCAGAAAGCTGTTGGAAGTTGATGTCGTTCCTGCTCTAGTTCGCAGTTTGAGCGAATGTGGGGGCGAAGATACACCAACGATGCTGCAAGTGCGCTGGACGCTCATGACCATGGGAGCGATACTTAATATGCAGATGGATTGCGCACCTGTGAAAAATGCGTTGTGTGATGATGGTGCCGTCCCTTTGATTATCACTGCACTGGCCAAGATGACGTCACTGAACTCGATGCAGGCGTCAAGAGATGCAGCGAAATATAGCACCAGTACACAAGCGATTGAATGGGGTCTACGTGTACTTGACGATTTACTCACGAGTGAGGAAACCCATTCCTATGCATGGATTCCAACCGCTGCAGAATCGCTTCTCGATCTGCTCCAAGTTTGGAACCGCGTGCATCCACCGACCTCTTCTTCTTCCGAGCAGTGTGACAAGCTAGAGCAGCAGCTGTCTATCATTGAAAATCTATCGAATATCCTTGACCACGAGGCGCAAAATTCGTCTTTCTGCGCGGCTATGACGTCCGCTGATACGCTGAAGGCGCTTCAGACATTATTGAACATTGTACATGACGTCCACCTTCTCCCTGGATGGCAAATAATAGGCATGGAAGCGAACGATACGCTTCTGTCAGATGCGCACCAAGTCATCGGTCATTTGAAAAAGGCTGCAACACATACAGTCGTTGCATTAGCTGGGGAGGACACGAATCTCGACCGGCTTTGTCCTCTAGATGGGGAGGAAGTGATCCAGCCCAACCACCTGATTGATACACTGTGCGACTGGTTGTCCGACGTCGATGGTGATCCCAAACAAATTGTGTGTGCGGTCCTCGTTATTGGCAATCTCGCCCGCGATCACATCCGAAGTGTGGCACTAGCTAGTCGTCCTTCTTTACTTGAGAGCATGACACGCCAAATGCAGTGCCATGCCAACGATGTACACATCGCATATGCGGTAATCCGCGCAAATGGCAACTTTGCCATTCCGGACAAGAATAAGCGCTGCGTCGCATCTTCTGGCATTCTGCGCGAGGCTTCCATTTATTTGGACTCTCAGCATGACATGAAGCGCCCTGTCCAGGCTGGAGTGTTGATCTTGCTTAAGAACCTTACCTCATCAGTCTTATTACCTGATCTTGCTCTAGATGTTCTTGGTGTTGTGCCTGGTACACCCACGAACATTCTCGCTGATCTCATCCGCCTTTGGGATTCGTCCGATGATGCTACGATGAAGCTACGGATCGCTCGCATTTATGCCATGCTTCTTCGTTGCATACACGGAGTTCATGCGAGTGATGATCACTTGCATCAGCTAGCAACTGAATCTGGCATTTTGCCAAGCGATTTACAGCAGGGATTCAAACAAGCTCGAAAAAATCTGCAAATAAGTCAAGTGATCGACGCGCTCTGCTTCCTTGTGTGCCATGCCAAAAACCATGTTGTGCTCATGAACGAGGGGCTCTTGGGTCTCGTGCTTCTTACTCGCTCTCATGAGTCCAACGGGCTTGCAGCCGATGCAAAATCGGAAGTAGCGAATGGTGTGTTTAAAGATTGGCCCACGCCAGCTGAAAGTCTTTTCCCCTCAGTCGCTGAGGCATTGCCATTCGTGATAGATACAATGCCATCTCAAGTCGCTAGTAATGCTCATGTGCTTTGGCTCTTAATGGCTGAAGATGAGCGCGCAACCGCGAGGCATCTTTCTGAAAAGGTGAACAAAGCTTGGCGGAAGCAAAATGAACAAGCCCGTTAAGAATGAAACTTGCGATGGACTTGATATTCGGATTCTTCGCTCTGAATTTTGCACAAAGCTCCGTACTGGTTTTCAGCGATCAGAACGCAAAGCACATAAATACTCCTCACTTCGCCGTCTATGTAAGACCTTCTACCTTATATTGAGCTTTGCGTTCCAGAAGGACCTTATTAAGCTATTACCCAAAAGCAAAAAAAAAAGAAAAAAGCACGAAATCCATAGCGTACACTCTTCGATGTGTCGCCTTGAAAAAGTCTAGAACAAGCAACCACAATTAGGCATCATCAACAAGGAATCATCATGCACCCAATTGAAATCCGTGGTTCTTTGCCTACTCCAGCATCACTCATCCACTTAGACAGAGCCGGCGAAGGAGCCACGGAGGGTGTTCACAGCGCTGGCGCGGTTCTCAAAGGCCTGCACAAAGTTTGTGAGAAGAGGCAGACGCTCCTGTGAGCCACCCGCAAGCACCATCCTAGGGTTTGTAGCGCGGAAGTCCCGCAGAATAGGGAACAAAAACACAGCGACCCATGTGGGCTCCTTGCCAAGAATGAACGACGTTTCTGGCAGGATGTGCAGGCGCTCCTGCACCTTGGTGATGATCTGCTCAAGCTGAATAAGAGCATTCATAGCGTTGTCAAAATTCTCCGTTAGAGCAGCATGAATGTCAGCGTCGGACGCTCCATTGTTGCGCAGAGCAAAAAACGGCTTCACATAGCGGTCTTCGACGACCGTCTGAATGTACGAGCTAACAATGGTGTTCAGTTGCAGAACATTTGATCGCAGCACAACACTGTCAGCAAACTCCCGACTGTGCTCGTCCTGAATCTTTGGCATAAGACAGAATCTGCCGCTACATTCCATAAAACCAACGAGCTCCGTCAGGTACTGGCAGATGGCCGTCATTTCGAACAGCACGACAGCGTCGCGGGTCGAGTAAATGCCATTCGGGCGGTGCACGAGAACAGGAATCTTGCCAAAAGGAGAAAAGTTCGCGATCTCAGGCGAGTTCGGCATGCTCGGATGGTGAATATACTTGACGTTACACTCTTGGAGCGCAATCAGCAGAGCCTGCGTCTGCGTCGAGAGCGAGGTGCCGAAAATCTCGATCGTTCCGAGACTCTCGGGCTTGAACACGTTCACTTGCATAAGTGCGGATGACATGGTGCAGAACGATGAGGGACGCTAGTCGTGGTGGGAATAAACAAGTAGGCTAATCCTAACTGTGGGTTCTCAGTCGGAAATTAATCGAGGGCGTTCTTTAGGCTGCTAAAGCAGTGCTGTGTTGTCACAGTTTTATTTCCCACTTCAGCCTGCGTCTGTAGCCGTGCGCGGCGCGGGATATTGCTATCCGTCTATCGCCTCATCGGCTCCACGTGCGCGTGCTCTTGTTGCACGTGCAGATCAATTCGTGTGTGTGCTGGTTGTGCCTTGCTTCCACTGGCCGCACGTTCCCTAGGCTTTTGAGGCCTCTATTGGACAGAAGACAAATTTGCCAAGCCCCCACTTCTTTTGCGTTGGGTCCTCATGTCACATCATATTCCCAATAGCGGATCTCAAGACACGGAGTTGTATGTCTATACAAACATTATAGCTGTTCACCGCTAACGATACAGTCATGACGCCCTTCGTGCTCGTGGAATCATTCCCCCCAAAGAGCCCTCTCGGTCGCCGTCGCCGGAATTACCGACCGAAACCGAAGTGCGCGAGCGTTCTCGCTTACAGGCCAGTGTAGCCGACCTAGACGAGGAGCTTGAGATTGCTGATGATGATGAGGAACGCATCTTGCAGCGTCTGCGTCAGCAGCGGATGCAAGAGCTAGCAAGAGCTAGTAAAAAAGCACGTTTTGGTCGTGTATACCCCATTTCTCGTCCTGACTATACACGTGAGGTCACCGAAGCCAGCAAACAGTTGGGTCCTGACACTTCTAACGACAGTGGAATTGATACCCAACAAGGTCCAGCTGGCACAGGTGTCGTTTGTTTTCTTTATCATCCTAGCATGGATACGTCCAAGCTCCTGGCTGGATATCTCGATACCCTTGCAGAAAAGTACCCGTCAACCAAGTTCGTGAGCATCGTGGGAAGTCAATGCATTCCGAACTATCCTGACCACAATTTACCTACACTACTCATATACAGAAGTGGTGAACTGCGACGGCAAATCGTTGGCCTACGCCCGGAAATTGGGCTGGATGGCATGCGGACGAAGCTTGCAGGTATGTGTCTGATGCTTGGCGAGCCTGAGTATAGACTCACACATTCTCCTCAGACATTGAGTTACTTTTAGCGGCAACAGGTGCTATTGAAAAACCCAAAGCTCGCTACGAATCTTCGCGCCATACAGATCATGAGGACGATGAAGATGTCGAAGACCGCGAGTTCTCATCTTCGCGCCGCCCCATGCAGAATCGTCCGATGGGGAATGCCTGTGATAACGATGACGATGATCTCGATTGGGACTAAATCAAATGATGTTACCCTGATGGCGGAATTTCTCTCCTTCTTACGTATTTCATAGATGACTCGCAGGGTTCGTGTCCGCGGTTTGTATTATGGCTACTGCAAGATCACCTAGGCCAAAGCAAGGACTTTATCTCTGGTCAGAGAGCTGTAAAACAGGCTATAAAACCCCCGAAGCTCAAGTACTTCTCTGAACGTGTGTTCTGGACATTGTATTCATTACCACGCACCGAATGCATGTACAATTCCAAGCCAGGCTCGTTATGTAACATGTGATCCATGAATTGTGGTCGCAAATCAAGTCCAGAGCCAAAGTTTCTTCAAGAGTGCCTCAAGCTATCGAGTCGCCTCAAACGTTTATGGGCATCCTTTGACACAAATTTTCTGTCTCCATGTGCAACCCAATGATATAAATCTTTTTCGTATTTAACTTGAAGCTACACAGAGGCCCCTGCATCATTATCGCAGTATGTGTTATGGTGCACTGGACCAGTTGTGATGCGCCATACATACAGTGTTTGAAATGGACATCAGCAACACCATGGGCTTGTACACTTCCATCACGAGGAATAAGGACAGGACCCTGGACGTTGCAATTATAGATCGTGTCCCACGCACAGGCAGCAATCAACAGTACATGTATATTCAACTGAATGTATGTTGCTCGTCTAATATAGAAAGATTGCATGGTCAAGTCCCTGAGAACCGCTCGATAACATGCCTCCATGTAAGGTGATTGAGAGTCAGCACTTCCACAAAGCCTTCCTTTTCGTCGTGTTACTGTGTATTCAGTTCAACAAAGGGTACTCGGCCCTGGTTACATCCTGAACGCATTCACGTACTCGCAGCACGATCACCAGTTTATCTGACTTTCACCAGGACATACTGTTACAGCTGATTAGGATATTGCGCGTTGAAATGAAACTGATCACACTTGGTCCCACACAAAGAAAGGCAATTGCATCTGCGCGCACGTCAGAGCATTTTCGTCGCTCATGCCAGTCACTCAAGCCAAGTTCTGGAAAAAAGTGAACTATTCGTAACGGAACTGTATCCACTCACAATACCTGTGAATGAGCATAATGAACAGCTTCAAGCCTGCATTCTAAAAGATAATATGCCCATCAACATGCCAGGCTACATTTGTTCTTTGCTTGATAAAATCCACTCACAGGTATGCCAGCTCAAGGACATGCTTCGCGTCACTTTCACTCGTATACATAACATTTCGTAACAGGGCATACTTTAAACCCCGGCGGACGTAGGAACGAGCTAAGAACTACAATAAATCACCAAGACACAAAAAATCGTCAAGAAGCAGCAGGTAGTGCGGTGAACATCTCATCCTCTTCCTGTTGAAATCCGCCTTCTTTTGGTTTTGCAGCACCACCGTACATTTTATGTCTCGTCAGCAGGAAATACAACAGTACGTCTTTCTGATAAGCATGCATTGTGTGAGAGCGGTTTACATGACCCTGCAAGAAATGGCGACGCATACGTCAAAAGTCCTTGTTATCCAGCGTGCTCACAAGTTCAAGATGTCTTCTGACTGCATTTTTGTGGCGCATATTTGTATGGGAGACAAGTACATGCCAATGGAATGCAAGCTAGGACATCAGTAGGTATAAATCGCACGAGAGCATCGAAGGGGATCATAGGCCCACGGAAGAAGCTGACTCATGGATTGAGAGAGCAAGCTAGAAGTCAAGTTTCTGGGATGTATATGTGAGCGGCCATGCTTACTTCTCAACATATTGTAGATGAACACACGTACGATCAAGAAAAAGAGCATGTTCATTAACACATGCAGACTCGTCCAGACAAGCGTTGGAACCAGCTCAGGGTAGAGGCGCATCTCGGCAAGACCGAGATGCGCGGCATGCACGCCATAGAATGCACGACACAGTAGAGCTGTGAAAAGATTGGATATCATCTCTGAGGCCCAGATAGCCAAGGAGCCGAGCATGGTAAGGCGGTAATTATAGGGATCATTGTCATCAAACGCAAAAAATGGGTATAATGGCTGGTTGATACCAAAATGAAGAAGTGAAAGCCATCCGAGAAAGGCTAGCATCGTTGTGTGTTGTGCAATGGTACGTAAATAAAAATACAAGCTGATTTTCTCAACATGCATGCCATGTGAGATTGGACGTGAACTGAATCGATTCAAGATCCATAGCCATGTCTGTGACATGCAGAATGGATACCACAAACACACCCAGGTTGAGCTAAGAAGCTGAATCAGAGCAAATTGATCAAAGCTGCGCAGCCGGGCGAATAGGTTACGATAAAATATGAAGTACACCATGAAATAGTAGTACTTGAAAGCGAACAGTAACGCTCGGCTGCGCACTTTTTCGGACATGATCCACTGCACAATCGCGCTCAGAACGTGTACGGTGAGCATCCAAAATGCCACGTAAAGTGTGCCGTCGGTGCCAGTGTGAGGCAAAGTATTCATGTACACGATGGCATAGCTTTGTCCGGCAAGTAGAGTGAAGAGCGACAGTCCCAAGCTGGCCATGAACCAAAGAAAGCGTCGATATGATGAAGGAATACGCCACGCCGCCTCTGTCGAGGCGAAGGGCTTTTGCACGTCTGTGACTGATAAGCGATACCGTTGGCGACCACTTCTTCGAAGTCCAATCAGGCACACGAAAGCTGGCATCGACATTGTCGCAAAAGTAAGCAAAACCCATTCAGTTTTAAGCTGCCACTCCGGTTCATGCTTATGCGCTTTGTTCGTCGCGTGGGACGTTTTGTCTCGAGAATTCGTTGGCTCAAGCTTGTGAATGATGTAGCCAATCCAGAGGCTCAAGACCCAGAAAAATGTGTATGACATACGAGCACCGATCGAAGCAGGCCACCAGTTTAAGCGATACAATGTGAAGAGCTGCGTCACAAAGATCAAGGCCACAGACACGTAGCATCCATAGTACCAAAGTAAGAAAAACCAGAATGTGGCATTAGAAGAGCGTGGATCTCCATCGTCCAGAGGAAAAGGCATGCCACACCATAATAGAACGAGCAGCACAGGAATCCATATCAAGACACACAAGCGTCGTGGCGAACTGCTCAGCAGTTCGTCAATGACCTGTGTCGTTGGGCGAAACGCATGCTCCAGCATGGGACGTGTATTAGGTGCCGGGGATGCTGGCTGTTGCAAAAGCGGATCAGGGCTTTCCATCGTGCGAAACGTGCTTTGCGTGCGGAATCCCACAGGACCTAAAGCACGCGAAGACGAGTCTCCATGCCGCAAATGAGCCTGCGGTGTCGACTGATCTAGTGTGCCGTATGTACCGGGGATTGCGTGCCGTCGGCGTTGCCGATGGAATCCCCAAAATACATTGCCGCCACCACCGAGGTACCAATCGGTACTTAGGTCGAATGGAAGCCGCACCGTGCGTCTATGAGAACGACGAGTGTCGTGACCGAGCCAGAATGTGTCTTCAGAGGCAGCATCAAGCTGCGGCGAGGGAGGAATCAGCGATATGCGATGCCGTGATGAAACAGGTGATATGAAAGCTGTGGGATTGTCTTGATCACTCGCAATGTTTTCATATTCTGAGTCACTGGCACTCTCACTCTCGTTGACCGTATAAATCGTCGACCCATTCCAAGGTTCTGGATATAGTGCTTGCTCCTCGTTGGATAGCGACGGGAGATCACGGCCAGACGAAGTGTTGGCTACCGGAGCGGCCATGTCTGCCGCTGTGTCGTGAGATTCAAGCTCAGACAGATCTCGAAGTTAGAGAGCAGCAGCGTTTCGGCGACCAGTCGTCAAAAAGAACAGGGGGTCTGTTCAAGTTTTGTGAATCATCGGGACGTTGATCGGGGTTGTCTATCAATGCAATCAACATCGCGAAGCACTGGAAAAAAAGCCCAGCTGCGCATCGAGCAGACTGCGATGTTGGCCGACAAAGCAACAAAATAACCTATAACAGGAAAGGCCATAACATTGATATATGGATGAGTACGTATATATCTGAGTGTTGTGTGAACGTATGTGGTATGAATGAGAGGGATGTGACTGAACGATCAGAGATAGCCCGAGGTGTAAGGAAAGAGAGTAGCTGGAAAGGGTGGATGGTGATACGCAAAGGACAAAAAAGTTCATAGAGAAGAGGATTAAACAGGATGGATCGGGCCTTTACGATGCATCCAAGAGTTTTGATGTGCTTTTAAGAGCATTGGAACGCTTCCACTGAGACACATCACCGGACATGTCGATTGTGGACGAGGGAACCACGTCTTCTTCGGCCGTGGATTGCCCAGTCGTCGGTCGCATAGACATTTCAACATTCTCACCAATTGTGACGGTAGTGGACGGGACCGACATGTTTATGTAGGCAGAGTTCCGTTTCGACTTGCCTCGAAGACCATTGAAAGTCGTCGGATTATGCGCATGCTGAACGAGTTCCGTCGCCTGGATTGCGCGCACGTCTTCAATGGTGGGTAAGTCTGTCAATGGACTGGGCTTCGGCAACACGCGCCGTTTCACTGGCGAGGAAGAGTTCATGTAGCCGCTGCCAATGCCATCGGGCCATGACATATCTCTCGGCAGCGCTGGCGAATTATTTGCAGACGATTTGCGCGAGCGATTGGGCGTCTTTTGTAACGGATCAAGTGGGTCGTGTGTGGATGAGGAAGTGGAAATATCGGGGATATCATCAGCAAGGTTCTGATGAGCCTCATTATGCGCTGGTAGCGAAAACCCTGCGACTTCCCAGGCCAGTGCAGACTTGTCGAACCAGCTATCGAGAACGGGCCATCGAGCGTATTTGCCTGCGAGCCGGAACCGGATTGTGCCTTCGCCAGCTCTTTCGCCGGAGCCGGTAAAGTATGATTCGTAGCCAATATCATCTTCCATGGAGTCTTCTTGATTCGAATCGCCCAACACGAACGAGGTGCCTTTTTCCAACTCATCCACAAACAAAGAGAGAAAGTTGGCCCAGCCTTCTGGTCCATCACAGCCGTACAACACCATTTTGGTATCAAAATCACGGCCAAACAAGATCACTTGGCCTGGCTTGCCATCGCCGCGCGGATCAGGCGACAAATCCACACCCAGGTAATTCCCCATGCCATCTGCGACGAGGGGAATCCAGCCTGGATGCGAATACTCTTGGCGTACGCGCCCTGGTGGGCAAGATCTCATGTGCCGACGAAGTTGTGGGTTGTCACCTGTTTCTGCATCCTTGTCAACGTGACGCCAAAACTGCCATTCACGCAAAATATCATCAGTGCCAAGAAACGGTAAACCAAAAAACAGGCCATCTTTGCACGTTGCAAGAGACTCGACTTCCTGTCCATCGCAGCAAAGAAGCCACTCACAAACGGCCTGTGGAAGAGTTTGTCGAATCCCATGTTGAAGCATTGCAAGCTGTTCCTGAGTCGCAGGCCAATTGAGAGTATCGCGAAGTTCTTCATAGTTTTCATCACAAAAGTGTTTCAGGCGATCCCACGCGCGAACGACGGAGCCGCCACGCCGGATATTCGTCGAAAAAATTGGCAAGGAGGTCTGACTGTCGTCCGCACTTTGCGTGAGAGCTGACGTAGAATGAAATCCACTCATCCCATGCGAGATGGAAGCGTGCCTCGGGCCGCTTCCGGTACCAACCATGCCGACACCTTGTTGCCTTGGCGGCCAGGACCATTGGTCCATGCCAAGTAGGTCCGTTAGTGTCGTCAGCAATTGGCGCGCCATTCACCAAATCCAGTTGTCCCGAAAAACCAGCTGCCACAGGCAGGCACAAAGACGCGCTCGTTTCAATGGAATCTGCCACACCACGTAGCCTCTGCGCTCTGGGCCTCGCGTTCCAACCGAAGGAAGGGTTGGTTGGACGTAGGGCGTCGTGTTGCCGGGTCTCAGCGAGTCGAGTCGCGGCCGCGTTGCGCTTTGCAACAGGGCGCAAAAAGGATTTATGCACACTGCCACGTGTTTTCAGTATCGAGCATGGCAGAGGCTCTGCGCCCATGTAGGTCTCGTTGGTTTCTTTTACACGGCGGAGGCGGCCTATCGTTTGGCATGACTATTGGCCATACTCCACCGCACCCCATAGCCACCATAGAAAAATGCATGTGTGTGGATTTGCATGAAAAGGCGCGCGTCACAACAGCGCCACATGCCTATATACGAGGTAGGACTTAGTAGGCAGAAAGACTACCACACAGCTACATTATGTGCGCGACTCGAGAAGTGTGTGTTGCTAGAAAAGCTGGGTGTTTTTGGCTGAGTGTGGGTGTGCTGCAAGCGTGAACGAGCCAAAGCTCCTTCTGCTGGACCTAAAGTCGCGTGTGCTATGTGGGCCCAGCTGAGTCTGTGGCTACTTGCACTTACGGCTTGTGCATTTGCACACAACAATGTCTCGAGTCTTTGGGGCACGTACCGGCCACAGCTTCTTTTTGGGATGCGGCCGCATGTCCTTGAAACACTCGTGACAGGACTAGTGTACTTTTCGCCAGAGAGTCTTCAGCGGGGCATCCCCGTTCGGCATAGTGCGTCTGAAAATCAAGGCATGGACGCTATCAAATGGGTCTACCATGATGGCCGGAATTTCGGCATTCAACACTTGGTCGATCGCGAAAATAACTACATGATAGAGACAAGCTTCGTCAAGACCGGGCATACTGAAGGCCAGCCAGGTCATTGGGCTGCGCGTGTGCGTGGCACTGTGCTTGATCCATCCAAACCTGCGCACCTTTTGACCTACTACTATGTCGGTTCCGAAAGTGCGCGACACTCCCTACAAGTTGACGAGCACGGAATGGTACATGGTCCCAATTTGGGCGGCTTTTCGATGCGCACAGAGAGTGCATCGTACAACCACCCTATTGATGGGGATAGTGAGATGATGTTTGCGGGCCTGAGTATTGATCCGGCTGAGACTTGGCGTGGTGCAGATGTGATTCTTGGCGAACATGTGCATCAACACCAGGAAATGATGCGACAGAAAGCGGCCCAGCCATCAGCTTATCTGCGACTACTTAACACGACCGAGGCGCCAGCGACCTTTTATGCTATGCAAAAGACGTTCCAGGGCAACTTTTCCTACGATGTGTTTTTCGATAGCCATGTTTCACCGGCACACGCGAAATTGCCAGACTCGGAACATCTCACGCTTGCACTTGATGCGCACATCAGTACATACGAGCAAGAGTTTGAGCAACGCTTCCACCTCGCGTCGACATTCTCGCCAAAACAGGTCGCATATGCGCGCGAAATTACATCACAACTGATTGGCGGTATTGGCTACTACTACGGTGAGTGTCTCGTCGATCGACGGCCCACGAACGACTCAGGTCTCGTGCTGCATGACATGCATGGGGCAAAGCCTCATCCGGAGGGCCCGTATGGATTACTCACAGGCACACCAAGCCGGAGTTCCTTTCCGCGTGGCTTCTACTGGGATGAAGGATTCCATCTCCTCCACATAAGTGCGTGGGATCCCAAACTTGCGCAGGAAATCTTTGAGTCGTGGACGCGTTTGATCGATGCTGACGGTTGGGTTGCTCGGGAACAGATTTTGGGCAATGAGGCGCGGAGCCAGGTGCCGCCCGAGTTCCGCACACAGTACCCGTTGCATGCGAACCCACCGACGCTAATTTTTGGGCTCAACACGCTGTTGGCCGAGTACGAGGCTGAGCTAGCCAAGGTGCACGAGGACGTCACGGACGTCAACAGCTTCGCAGGCGTGGATGGATCGGCTCAATCTGACATGGAGCGTGCCAAGCAGATGCGAGAGCATTTACTTGCGCTGTATGAGCCATGGCAGCGGCATTACCGTTGGTTCCGCCGCACGCAGCGTGGACAGATCAAGCAATGGGGTCGTGAAGCTTCAGCACGGAATGAGGGCTACCGCTGGCGCGGTCGTTCCGCTACGCATGTGTTGACGAGTGGGCTTGACGACTATCCTCGTACAGCGACGCCGCATGTGGGCGAGCTGCATTTGGATCTGCACTCGTGGATGGGCTTGTTCGCTAAGTCCATGGCCCGCTTTGCCGCGGCACTTGGTTTGGAGGACGATGCATTCGAGTACGAGACGCACGTTGAGCGCATCACTGCCAATGTGGTTGACCTGCATTGGAGTAGCACGCATCACATGTTCTGCGACGCTTCTGTCGACGAGACAGACGAGTCATACCACGAATGCCATGCGGGCTACGTTAGTTTGTTCCCCTTGCTGACGCGGCTTTTGCCGTCTGACAGTTCAGAGCTGGGCGACGTGTTGCAGATGCTGCGTGACCCAGCCGGTCTTTGGTCACCGCATGGGATCCGCAGTCTGAGCGCCCAACATCCCTTGTTCGGCAAAGACGAAGATTATTGGCGCGGCGCCGTTTGGGTCCCAATCAACTACATGGTGCTTAATGCACTGCGTGCATATGCACAAGAGGATGGGCCGTATGCAGCCCAGGCCGCATCACTGTATGCAGAACTGCGAAAAAACGTCATCGACACGGTCCTAGGTGAGTATGAACGAACAGGGTATACGTGGGAGCAGTTTGACTCCACCACCGGACATGGTCGCCGAAACCATCCATTTACAGGCTGGACATCGCTGGTCGTCTTGATCATGGCTGAGACGTACTAAGTGCCAGCATCATGTTCTACGGCTGGTGCAGCTCTGAGTGCATCGAGTCGTGTCATCAGAGACTGCATGTTGCGCTGTGTCACGGCTTGGTTCTCTTGCAAACTTTGTTCGACTTTGTGTAGGAGCGCTTGCAGTTCCATTTGCCGCGTTTGAAGCGCTGTCTGCTGTGCTTCGACGTCAGCGAGCGATGTGTGGAAGTGTGCTGCTGCCGAATGTAGAGGAGCTAGCGTCTGTAGTCGGCTGAGGATCGCTGGCGCTAAGGGCTCCAGCGGCTCAATCCTCTTTTGCATGGCATACAGTTCATCCAATTTCGCAAGGGCATCCTCTTCCTCAGCAGCAGCAGAAAACTGTTTTCGACGTTCGTCGATGCGCTCCAGTTCCGATGCCAGGGCTTTTGCACGAGCGACAATGGTATCGAGATGTCGGGGCTGTGTGAGCAATTGCATATGGGCTTCAAGTCGCTTTACAGTCTCAATCAAAGGAACATCTTCTCTTGTTACATGTAGGCCTAAACGGCGTTCTAAAGCGCTCAAGCGCTCGTCCCACACGGCAAGATGTTGTGTACTCATATCATCATGATGCGAAGGTGGAGGATGTGCCACCGGCTGTGTGCGAGTTTCATGGCTCGGTGGTATGTGCTGAAGAGCGTCGACCATGGCCTGCGTGATATCGTGAGGGTGTTCCTGGTGGGCTGTGGTGCGCATATGACGAATGTGCCGTTCAAGGTGCTCAAGCTGTGTCAGCATCGACGCTGCATTCGCAGGCTCAGAGCGTGTGTTCACACGCTCTGTCAGAGCACGTTGAAGGTCTTTCGCTTCTTGCTGGAGGCGAAAGAGCCGCGAAAACAGTGACTCAGACTGGGCCACTGTGCCATGTAAACCAAATGACTCGGCGTCCAGGAAAGCTGGCCGTGTCGCGCGAAATCGTTCTGCAGCGTGTGTCGCACTGACGCTACCCGTGTCAATAGCGTCTGACGACGGCACATCCACCTTGTCGGGATCAGACTCTGCTCCGAGATCGTCACTTGGTGAGTGAGTGGACTTGGCCGTGGGAAATGTCTCATAGACATCCGGCGCCGAATCCTGACAAGCCGTACGTGTTAGTTTGCCCGAAAGAATCACTGCCGCACATACGTACAATGTCGGGCAAGCTGCTGTATTTCGACATGATCTTTCGAAACACACAAGCCTGACAATCGGCAAGAATGGGCGTTTGTGTACCAGTTACGATGAATGACACGCGTCGTTCGAACGTGCAGAGTCTGGCAGCGCAGGTTTCACTGGAAAACGTTCAAGGTCCAGCCACTCGTGGCGGGGCTGGCCTGAGGAAGCAACGGGGGTGGCGTGTTGCTACACGGCACGTGGATGTTCTTCTGCGACGGAGCCTCCACACCTACGGGTCACACAGGGGTCGAAATCACAGCTGTCGTGTACGATTCGAAATTGGTTGATTATCTTTCAACAATGTAACTCATCAGAGTTTTCTACCAGCTACAGAGCTTGAGGGTAAAGGTGCACATTGTGCACAACGAATTAGAAATGAGACAAATGCGAATGAACAAAGGTAGAATAGTTTCGTGCGGCAATTACAACAACGTCGTGGTCATGGGGCGCCGAGTGTAGCCGCTCTCCCATGACGCAAAAGGTGTCGCCGATGATGGGGTCGCTGTCCACATGCCTGTCTTGTTCCAGCTGTCCAACGTATTGGAGGACCTCATTTGCCTAAGCGCGGGACGCCTGGCGAACAACGCATTGGTTTGGGGTGTTTCCTTGGTGTATGAAATGGGTGCTGTTGGTGGTAGAGATGGTGCGGCGGCGTTTTCTTTCGAGTCTTCAGCCGCCGGCAAAGAAGACATGGCCAGCAAACGAGCAGCGCCTCCTTGGCAAGCTGTCTCATCATTCAGATTGGCTTGGTGCAATGCACTCTCAGACACATGGCGCTCAAGCATGTCTGATGAACGAAATTGTCGCTGGCACAACACACAGATCCGACGTGTCGCATCGGAAAAGTTGAGCAGTCGCAATACCGCATGCTGTGGCAAGGGTGGCATAGGCATTGATGCTGGTGCTGGTGTTGTTGGTGTTGGTGCTGGAACCGGTGCTGGCGTGGGCAAAGCGACCTTGGGTATAAAGTAAGTGGTGCCATTGGCGACGACAGGCTCAGGCGTGGCGGTCGGAGCGCCTCCCGACGCGACAAGGGGTGGCAGAATGACAGTGGGCTTCACGGAGTCCAGACTGAAGGATGAGTGCGCTGATGAGGCCAACGGCGTCTCGATACTGGCAGCCGTATTTACTGTTGACTTGATTGTCGTCTGCATTGGCATTTCCTCTGGTTTCCAGCTGTCAAAGCCCAGCGACTCGTCTTCGTATCGCCACGTGTCACCCCGTCGATCCGTGTACACGTATGCGGCATTCGTTGGGTCAAACGGATCCGCCTCATCCAGAATGACCGAATCTGCATACGACGTCTTGACAGGCTCCGTGTCTGTGCTGCCAAGAATGCCATGCGGAAGCTCCTGCTTATTGCGCAACATACAAAGAGCTGCTTTTGCCGCTTCCACGTTTGTGTAAATGGCAAAAGCCTGACCAGTTGATGCACGCGATACACGCTCGCGAAGAAGTAAGACTTGCTCCAGGCCCGTCGTCGCTTGGGCTAGAGCCATGCCTACGTCTCGAACACTGGCGCTGAGGCGTACATGGGCCAACAGAAGCATGTCTGTCGGATAGCACGATGCATCGCGCATGCCGGCATTTTCGTTCGCTGAGTCGACTTGCTTATGCTGTTGCTGTTGTACGTTGGCATGTTCCAGGGTAGCTGAGCTACCGCTGCAGATGCTACTGCTGCGACTAGTGCCATGGCTGCTGCCGATGAATTCGGCCATGTCATCAGATAGGCCGCCGTTCGCAGCGGCGCTCTTCGCACGGCGTGCGCGTGCTCGTTTCAGCTGGTCTTTGCTGTCGGGGGCATTGTGTTGCTCGTAGTACGAGATGCCGCCCTGGGGTCTCTCACTGTTGCTAAAGTCGATTTTCACGCGCTTCCGTTTTTGCGAGAGGCCCGGCGCGGGACCAAGCCAAGTTTCTGGATGAAGGATATAGGGTGCATGCATGTAAACAAAGCGCTTGGCATCTTCGAGCGTGTCGAATTTGACGAAGCCAAAGCCTTTAGACACACCCGTGTTCCGGTCACGAATGACTGTTGCATCCTGAGGCGGTGCAGCGAGACGTGCATCGACCATGTTGGCGAGTGCCGTCACAAGTGTGCGAAGCTTTTCGGCATCGATATCAGGGTCCAGTCCGAGCAAGATCACATCTCGCGATGGCTGCGTCACAGACGAGCGGCGCTCACCCCAGCGCGAGGATTCTCGCATTCCAGGCTCCTCAGACATGCACGACGGGGGCGTTGACCTATCGCGCGACAAAATAGGTGAAGGGGACCTGCTTCGGTCTGTGTCGTCGATGCGCTCCATATTGACGCTGCGTGGTTCCATCTTGCTAGACATCCTGCTGACGTGAGTGCTTGCACACCGAACAAGGAAGAGTGGGGCGGTAATTGTCAGGGAAGAAGACAAGAATGGATGTGAGTGATCAAGAGAACCTGGGTACTGGGACTATCCTGGGGACGTGCTCATGGTCGCTTCTTGTACTCGTTCTTCCATAGAAGTTCGTTCAAGCAGCACCTATCTACGCCTGCGCACGTACCTGCAATTTTTGATGTTCACTTGATGACACCTCCATATGCTGACTCATCGGTTCCTTCGCGATCTAGCCCACCCGGCAGCCGTGGTGCGGGCGTGTGGAGTGGGGATCCGACTGGCTCCGGGTACCACCGCAGGCTACGGCCTGCGATGCGACGTTGACGCACCGCCCTTTCCGAATCCCACCCCCCCCCTCTGCCTCCTGGGACTTGGAGTATAAGCCGTAAGTAGACGAACAAGCACCAGCTAGACTTGCTCAATTTGCTTGAAATCATAGGAGAAGGGGCATGCTTAGTGGTGTGGCTCCCAACTTTGTGTCAGCCCCATTTCCACCTCACAAGCTCCACTTGATTTCACTGCCTGTCCATTCACCCAAAACCAACGAGACCATTGCAGTAGTGCGGCGGGTTGACGCACACGAAGCGTTGTGAACTCGCAATGACAGACTCATCAAGGACGCCAGGTCCCACGGCGCCTACAACTTTGACCGGCATATCGCATACATCGGGTCCTTCGTCGCTGTCGGCCTCGACAGCCACACCTTCGACAAGCACGACTCGACCAAGGAACGCTCGGGTACCTGTACCTGTACCTGTGTACACCGAAACACCACGCAGTGGACTACGAAAGCTCAATCTACCGACGGTAGGTGCGACTCAGGCTGCTGCTGATGCCGCTGCTGCTGCGATGAACTCGCCACCATCTTTCTCGCGTGGTGATCGGAGTGTATCATCGCTCACAGAGCCTGAGCCTGTGGATACAGAGCGCACACGGTACTTCCGTCGTTTATCAGCGCTGCCGCCCGCACTTCCGCATGTACCTACCATGCCCAAACCTGTGCTCAAGTTCGTTGATGCCACCAGGGGTGTTCTGTTTTCCCTTTCGCAAATCTACGCGGCCATCGCGCAATACACCGCGGTGTGTACGGACGAACGTCTCGTTGCACATTTCCAGCGTGTCTTGGGCATCGCGAACAAGGCTATGAGTGTGCTTATCGGAGCGCTGGACCGTCTAGATGCATCGTCGCGCACAGCAGTGCCGGAGTCATCCATGGTCCGGCATGTTCTGGAAGCCTGCGACGAGGCTTTGCGCGCGTTTCGTCGCGCTGCCACGATGTTGCACATGCAGCTGCCACAGCTACGCCAAAGTGTGGATCCGCGCTTCTCCCGCACGCTGGAACTGCTGCTGGTACGGAAGTGTTGCTTGAAGCTGCGGAACAGTGCGCAACTTCATGGCCGCCCGCAGGTGGCTGAGGTAGTGCCATTCCTAATGCAAGACTCATCCACTCAGACATCGGCAGCAGATACCAGCATTCCTGCGTTGTCGTCTTCGCGCTATGCAAATCGACCAAGTCTTACAGAGTCGTCGTTCGCAACTGACGCGCACGACTTGCTGGCGTCCGACACGTCACATCCGGCGACGAGCACGCCGCTAAAAAAACGCACCGCACGCATGTGGACCACGCAATCCATGCGCTCGCCAAGGCTATCACCACGTCAGTCACGTCGCTCAGACGCATCACCACATGTACCCCTGTCGCCCTCGAGCACGTCAACGCCTTCTCGCATGCGGGCGTTGACGACGCGGCGTGATAGCATGGACGACGCGCTGCTGACCCTCTTGTCGCAGGTGACTGATAGCGCAATGCACATATGGACAGACTTGCGCGACTATGTACAAGCGGGTCTAAGGCGCGACCAGGAAGCCGACTCTGACCACGATACAAGAACACGCCGCCTTCGCGATGTGGACGAATCCTGTGTGAGCATACTGGACCTGACAAAACGTCTGCAAATGATGCGTGAGCGCGTCTCTGATACAAGTGCACGATCGCACGCGTCCGATGTGCAAGAGCTACGGGACCAAAGCAACCAGTTTGTGCGCGTACGTATGAATCGGTGGTGTAGGAGCCTTGTCTCCCTTAGCGACACGCCTGGACTTACACGCAGGCCATCATCCATATATCCACGCTCGTTCGTGCTGTCGCTGTGGCCTACCCATTTCCACGCGATCTCATGCGCGGCGTAGGTGACTTGAACCAGGGATGTGCATCACTAGCCGTCCACCTCCATAAATAGCTTGTACAGTTTACATGGCCGCACGCCATTGTGAGACAATGGGACAATAGGCCACCGTGATAATCACGTGACAACGGCGCTCCTCTGCGTTGGCCAGTGAGTGGAGCACGCATGGCCTGGGCCTGCCTGGCTGCCTGCCACCCGCTTGGTCAGTCAATTCTCACTGGGTGCGTGTTGAGCCTTAGACACACGCGTAAGCGTTTTTTTCTTTGCCGACGACGACGACGACGACGACGACGACGCCCATGGCCGAAGACGCACGTAAGCGTGCGGCGGATGATGATGATGATCGCGTCGATTCACAGAGTGAGGAGGAAGGCGAGGACTTGATGAAGGAGTCAGGAAATCTTGTCGGCATGGATAGTAGTGACGAGGACGAAGATGAGGACGAGAATGAAGAGGAGCAGCGGCGTGTCGCTGAGGGTTTCATTGTCGACGAAGATGAAGAAGAAGGGGATAAAGAACGTGCACACAAGCGCAAGCGGCGGCACAAGCACCACCGAGAAGTGGATGAGGAACTGGATGAAGATGATTTGGCATTGCTTTCCGAGAATACGCGACCAGAGGGCGCACCGCATAAACGTGCGAGGCCAGCATCAGACGCGCAACGTACTGATGATCTTGCTCATATTTTTGATGACGAAGAAGAAGATGAGCGTGGCGAAGGTGATGGTGTTTCAGGTGCACAACCAGCGGACTACTACGACGATGGACTCGATGACTTTATTGAGGACGATGAAGAGGATGCTGAGATGGGCGGTCTGAATGAAGAAGAACGCGAGGCACGTCGACAAGAAAGGCTGGAGGAGCGCCGGCGAGCACGCATGTCTGGTGCACGGTTGGACCCACGCAAGGCCGGTATGGATCTTGAGGCGTGGGATGAAGTGCATGACATCTTTGGGAATGGCGAAGACTACGCATGGGCGCTAGAAGCTGACGATGAGCCGGCAGAGGAGGGGAAAGAGCGCATGGAGTACAAGGACATTTTCGAGCCAGCGCAGATCCGTGAGCGCCTGCTGACGGAGGATGATGAACGCATTCGCCAGGTCGATATACCTGAGCGGCTGCAGCTGATGATGCCAGGGCATGAGGGACTGGAGCTTCTCGAACGCAAACTCACGGATGCTGAGCTTGACGATGCTGCCCACTGGGCATCCACACGTATATCGACACGGTGTACAGCTGAATTTCTCGATGAATTTGCGCCTCATTCGCGACTGCGGACCGAATGGCATGCATGTGTGCGCCAGATGCTTGCTTACATGCTGAATGACTTGCTGGAAGTGTCGTTCCTGACACAGCATCGACTGGACGAGCTCGAATACACGCCGATAGAGGCAGGCGCACCGTCAGCGCACAAGAACGCCGCTACCACGACACTGCTGGTCAGGCAGGAACTCTTGACGCTACATACACTCGGCATCAAGTACAAGCTCCTGCTGAGTCGCAAAGACTCGCTCCGCAGCACGTTTTCGGAACTTGAAGCCACATTCACTGATGCGCCCGTCGACGGATCGATTGATATTCACGCCGTGCGTAGCACAGTAGAGGACCTACTTGTTCAAGCAAGCACACTCGAGGAAGTCACAGATATCTCAGAGTGGCTTGCGATGCGCTTTGGCGAGCGCTTCCGAGAGGCTACGGTCTTGGCCAAGGGGCATGAAACGCAGACACTTAAACGACCCACCGTTGTCAGTGAGTATGACCAGCGAAAGCATACGCCTATGGCACAGCTCGCTGCGCGTCTTGGTCTCACGTCGACACAGCTCGCTGCGAATGTCGCCGGCGGCATCAAACAATTCGTGCCCGATGACGATGAGTCGGCACCTCTGACAGTGGCCGACGAGTTCATTGGAGCCGCCCCCGGTGCCACGACGGCCGAGGCGGCCCTCGCTCTTGCACGCACTCTTCTTGCACATGAGATTGGCAAGGAGCCTGCGCTGCGCCGCGAAGTTCGCACTCTGTTCCGCACATCAGCTCTTCTGGATGTGGAGCCCACGGAACGTGGTATGACACGGATCGACGAGGCGCATCCGTACTACAATTTCAAGTTCTTGCGTGCAAAGCCTGTTCATGCTATCTTGCAAAATGCATCCCAACTCCTTCAGATTGTTCATGCGGAGGAGGAGCGTCTTGTGCACGTGACGCTTCGTCTGCCGACCGACACAGCCAACAAACTTGAGCAGCGCCTGCAGGATCAGTTCGTCAGCGACGGTGTCAGCGCACGCTCACAGGCCTGGAACGATGAGCGCCGTGCCGTCATTGAAGAGGTGTGTGCGTCATTCCTGCTGCCTCTGGGCCGTGCATGGACGCGTGAGTGGCTCCTGGAAGAATGTCGAGAGGCTCTCTTGCGCCAATGCGAACAGAAACTGACACAGCGTGTGGAAGGTGGTCCGGTCCAGTCAGCCGGCATGCTGAGCAGGCAAGGCGATCCAGAATGGGACGAGCAAGTGAGTCATGTGCCCCGGGTGCTTGCTGTGTCGCATGGCTCCGGCGATCCACGCACGAGCAAGGTCGTGGCGATCTGCCTCGACGAAGACGGTCACCTGATTGAGCGCGTCACGTACGACACACTTCGGCCGCTTCGGGGCGCCGCAGTCGAAGCTGGCGACGACTCGGATGTACAGGAGGATCCTCGGGCTGAATTCACGAAGCTTGTGCGCCGCCGACACCCAGATGTCATCGTCGTGAACGGGTTCAGTGCGCATGCGCAGGAGCTGAAAGCGATTGTACAGGACCTGGTTTCGTCCGCGTATGAGGAGCGCGTGCGTGAAGAGGGCCTCGAAGGCATCGCAGCGGAGCATGCTCGCATGGACGTTGTAAGCGTGTACGACGACGTCGCCCGTCTATACCAGCACAGTGCTCGCGCAGCAGAAGAGTTCCCGGAACTGAGTGTGCTCGCCCGCTATTGTGTGGGCTTGGCTCGCTACGCGCAGTCGCCGGTGAACGAATTTGCTGCACTGGGTGCCGACTTGACCGCCGTGCAATTCGATCCTGCACAGCGCCTGCTGCCAACGGAGCGCTTGCGCGTGTGCTTAGAGAGAGCGATCGTTATGTTGGTCAATGACATTGGCCTCGATTTGCAGATCGCACTGACAAACACGTATGTCCAGCACATGCTGCCGTTCATCGCCGGACTCGGGCCACGCAAGGCACAGGCGCTACTGAATGCCATCCGCACTCGCTTGGATGGCATCGTTGTGAACCGAGAAGTGCTAGTGCGTCGTGGTTTGTTATCGTTCGTCGTGTGGAATAACGCTATCTCATTCCTGCGCATTGACCAAGATGCTGCGGCAGACGCCCTCGACGATGACGCCCAGCCCGACGTGCTTGACACGACCCGCATTCATCCAGAAGACTACGACTTTCCCCGGCAGATGGCTCGCGACGCACTGAACAAGCATGAAGAGGACTTGGAGGGCGAGCACCCCAGTCTGGCATGTGCAGAGATCATGGAAGATGCACGGCCGTCAGAGAAGCTTGCGGCACTGGATTTGGACAACTATGCTACCATGCTGTGGGAGCGCCGCGGACTGCGCAAGCGGCTCACATTGCTCACTTGCAAACAGGAGCTCATCCGACCCTATGACGACTGGCGCCCCCCGCAGCTTCTTCCGACAACCGAAGAGTTGTTTATGATGTTCACCGGCGAAACGCGTCGCTCCCTGTCCGAAGGCTATGTCGTACCAGTCATCGTAACGCGCATCGAGGAAGGACGCGATATCGAAGGCGTTCTGCGCGTTCGATTGGAAGCGGGCATCGATGGCGTAATCACCGGACGAGACATCATGCCCGGCTACAACTCGCGTGACGTGCGGCTGCGTCGGCTTTTCCGCTCTGGCCAAGCACTCAATGCCGTCATCGTCCAGCTTGACCTGCAGCGCATGCGAGCTGAGCTTAGTCTTCGGGCGGAAGCATTCGAGTACGTGAACCCAGCTCAAGGTCACACACCTGTCGACCCGATGTATTTCGACCACGAACGCGCACAGATGGCCAATGATGCTGCTGATGAACGTGCCCGCCGCCGGCACCAGACACGCATTGGACGCCGTGTCATTGACCATCCTAATTTTCACAACCTAAATGCCGTGCAGGCACAGAACTTTTTGGCGACGCAGCCACGCGGCTCCGTCGTAATCCGGCCTAGCTCACGTGGCATGGACCATCTCGCCGTCACCTGGAAAGTCGACGACGGCGTATACCAGCATATCGACGTACTTGAGCTCGACAAGGAAAACGATTATGCACTTGGCCGTATCCTGCGTGTTGCTGACATGGGCTCGTACGCCGACCTAGATGACCTGATCGTGAATCACGTGCGTCCTATGGCGGCCATGGTCGAGATGATGATGAACCATGAAAAGTTCAAAGGCGCCGACGAACGTGCTCTCCACACCTTCCTGACAAATGCTTCACTCGCGAATCCGAACCGCTCTGTCTACGCATTCGGCCTCAACAAACAGCACCCGGGCTACTTTGATCTCGCATTCAAGGCCAACAGCCAAGCCCCCATCCAGTCCTGGCCTGTCAAGGTGCTACCAGGCGCCTTCAAGTTGGGGCAGGCGACACAGCTGGCTGATGTTGCAGCACTAACGAATGCGTTCAAGACACAATACATGGCACAGACGAACCCCATGCGTGGTGATCGTACGTCCGCACCCCACGGAGGCATGACGCCTGCGTACTACGGAGGACGCACACCTGGGCGCGTCGGCGGTGGTATGACGCCTGCTTATGCGGGTGGTGGCGCCACTCCGAACTACGGACTTACGCCCGGTTACGGTGCACCGCCGATGTACAGCCGACCACCACCAGGTCCCCCGCCCGCTATGCCTGGGCCGCCACCACGTGGACCGCCTGGTGCGTCATCGCGTTGGTAATTAATTGTATGTAGGAAGCTGCTCAATGGATATGGACGGCTTTGTTTTCTTTGCTATTGCTGTATATTCGATTGTTGTGATCCTGGCTCATAAGACCAAAGCAAGACCGTGGATGACATAGACTACTGTTGTCTGCTGCCACTGTCCTGCGACCTGACGAGGCCAGTGTGTATTTGTGCATGACCGCAAGCCATTCTCCGTGCATCAGCCTACACAACCAAAGCATGTTATTTTTTTTCCTTTACATAGTATTTAATACTCATGAACAATGACGACCTAGACTCGACAATGCGTTGTGCATATAAGATAACTTGGTCTCTTGACACTTAACTAAAACGTGCCGTTGAATCAGATATCCAAATTTCGAAAGCGGCTCTAACTCGAGACATTGGCAAGACTCGTCTGAAATGGAGGATGCACGTATGTAGCCTGGTACTATAGAGCCGTCTAAAAATTACCACGACTTAGTACTTGGGGTAGTATATATGACGCCCTATTGTACAGGGACAACATTCACTCGCAGCCAATTTACATGGTCGGCTTCGTCGTGTACTTGAATAACTTGTTGCACAGCTCCGTCATGAAGCCTGGAATGGTCATTGATTTCGTCTGTGCATAATTCTAGCCAATACGCAAAGGCGTGCGACAGGAGCACAGGAACTATTGAATGGACCATTGCATGTATGTGAACGTTTGAGTCGCAAAGCCGTAGCTCTGCAAGTATCCGCCGTCTCCTAAACTTTGTACTATTAATATCTCGTGTATTTGAAAAGGAACAATGAAAAAATACTTATAAAGATGCCATGATTCAGCCATGAAGGCATAAAAGAGTTGATTGACTTGAACAAGTCCGCGCGTACAGGTTTCCTTGCATTGAAGTTCTGTGTAGGAAAACATTCATTTTTGGTTACCGTTGATCAGTATTCCGTTCGTAAAATAGTGCGTTGTTGTGTTTATGTACGTTGCGGAACTTCCTACATTTCAACTTGGAGGGACCGTTCAAGCGAATGTGGGGGAATATACCAAGTGGCTGCTTGCTATGCAACCCCGAATATGGCGGATTAGTTCGCACTCGGTGGTCTTATTCTCAAATCTGATTTGAGGCAATGCTTGAACCTTGATCGATAATTCGAGTCTAGTGCATACTTGGCAACAATACAAGTAGTGCCTGTGGTCCCAGGGTCAATGATGCCGGTATCTGGAGTACCAGGCTGGTACCACAAGTGTGTCCTCAACAAGAGAAGGATTGCTTAAGAACAATCAAAGCTGTGCTAATTCAAGACTTTACTTGTTCACTTTCTCAAGCAAATGCATTGTACTTATGTCGAAAGTGTTTGGAGAGGTTTCTACACAATTTTTGGTGACGATTCCCCGCGTACATGCAGTATAAATTGGATCTAAAAAAGGTACGAATGCTCGCATGAAATAAATTATCCATCCATTGGGCGTGAATTGCATGCATGGCAGTGCTAAAGGATTGGCTGGACCAACTCAAGGGGGCAACAGGAGTAATCTTGGCGCCGTAATGTTATTAGGAAATGATGGCGAGTTAGTTTTCTGCTAGTATTGACGAAGACTTCGGCGCTATTTCTATTCCAACTTTACAGAGGTCTCGCAGGCACGCATGATGAGTGATGGTTATGACGACATGAACAGGTCCGGATAGAATATCTCTCATGAAAGGGGCTATATCTCAAGTTCTGACTGAAGATCAGAAATGAGACTTGACGGGAAAGTGGCGGATATATAACGCGCGGCTCCAGCACCCAGTATGAACAAATTACTCTGGTGTTAGAGGTCATGTAAATTATGTTCACAGCACTGTTAAGACTTCTTGCAACTATCTCAGCTGCTACGCCCTTGTCGTTTGACCTGGAGCAAGTTGGTGCAGAGAAGCGTGGAGTTTCTAGGGAGGTGTTGCATAAATTGCACGGAGAAAAATTTCTGGCTCAGCTTGACAAAGGTGTCTCTATCTTGGCGCGGGCAATAAAATGAACTTCGACAAGTGCAGAAAGAGCGCAACGGAAGACCTGTCGACAATTTCTGGGGGCTCTTGTGTGGTCAAGGCCAAGGTTGACTTCGAGGAAGGAGAGGCCAAGATGATGGACGACTCTGGTTACGCGCACGCGCTCATCGCTGCAAGCCCGTACAGTCCAGACAAGTTTAGCATTAGAAAAAACACGAGCGAGCCTCTCAATGCCGTTCTTCTCGTAGGAGATGGCAACAGAGGCAGAGTCTACAAGGATGGCATTAGTGTGAGTGGGCTCAGAGCAGCGGGCTTAGCCTTTGGTTACACGCATGTGCGTGACATCTCGTGAAACCCAAATATGAGAGGTCTGCGAGGCATAACACTTTCGTGACATCGGGAGTCATCCTCTGCATTTGCAAAGCACGGATGGAATGGCTTCACGATGACCTTCATGGAACAGGGCGTTATCGACGAAACCATGTGCCAAACGACACTAAAACCGGATGGTGGAAAGCTCATGATATGCGAGATAGATGACTCATAGTACGATGACAGCCTGGAAACTGTCACCGAAGTCGGTCTTGCATATGTTCATTGCAGCTTCAAGGGTACTCTAATTGATGGCAAAGCCAGTTACTCGCTCGATTCAGTCACAACAGGCTTTTCTAGCTCGTATAATTCGGTGAAAAAATTCCTTCAGAATCATTCGGACATTAAGCTCGTTGAAAATAGCTAGCAAGGTTTGGTGAGGGTGACGTTTGATTGTGAGGTTCCGCCAATATTCAAGGTTTCGATAAGTGACAGGTTCAATGACAAGCTCCCACAAGACGCGATAAGATTGGACAACATGAGGAATGGAATGTGCTTGCTTCGGATCTGTGGCTACACAAACTTTCCCCGTCGTTACAACCACAACTGGATCGATGGAGAATCATTCATGCGAAGGGTGTCTCTTGTATGTAAATACGACTCGAATCATAAGCAGGTTGCGAAGCAGTCGTCAAACTAAGCGCGTACGAAGAATATTATTGTATACAGGTTTAACATTCATTGGACAATTTAATATTTTATACCAACAAGCAAGGTGTAAATATTGGTGATCGAGTTGACGAGCAATGGTCATGATAAATCGGAGTCATTCAATCGAAGGCTTTGCTTGCAGCCGATCATGCTATAAAATACCTGTATGAAACAGTCAATAAATACCGCTGAACTTGAAGACACATCTGAGTTGACCAGTTGTTTACACATACACCTCTTGGATTGTGTCGATACATATTCACTGAAAGCCAACTAAGCTTAGATCCACCTGTTGGGAAACCGTTGAAATTCGCAATTCATGTACGTCAAGCGACACGAATTAGCGTTTCCTAAGTTTGAATGAGGTGATCGAATGAGAAGTAATGAGATGTGCTCGTTTACCTTTAGTAGAGACATCCGGAACGGTCTTGCACGTGCATTTAGATACTGGTCGACGATTTGAACAACGGAGAATATTTGGGCCCCGTTGTGCTCGTGTATTGACAAAATTTGCAGCGCACAGGCCATCTTGGCGCGCCGACCATCTAGTCCATTCAGCACATATGCACCTAGGAAAATTACATAAAAAAGTCTTGTGGAATGCCAGAGAGAAGCGTCGCATACATACATCTATTGCTATAATGCCAAGCTGTTAGAATCAATTCGAAGAAGTCCTTACTCGTTGAGCCTCGTGACAACGAGAACACTTCATTCTGTATCATATGTACAACTTTTGACATGCTTACACACTTGGACTGCTACATTCCAAACAAACGTTTCAACAATTGTGTACCAGATAGGAACCAAATAGAAGACACTTGGCGATATATATGTCAGAGATAAGGTTAACGACTAGAGTTTCATAGATGACATCGCAGCATGGAGAAAACCGATGATATTTTAACCTATGTTCCTATGTGTCGTTCGAAACACCCACCTGACTGACTCGTCCCAACATCCAATTGATCTCTTCTCGAAATGCCAGGATAATTCAAAAATAACATTTGAGAGGCACGAACAATCTGGTAACCTGATTCAACAGCTTGTTGGAGAGATGCGCTACATGCACGCACGGTGAGTATGAAAGCTAAGCTAGGTCTAATCTAGCCATTTCGACTATCCAAAGTAAAAGCTAGCTCACTCGAAAAGGCACGAAGGCCGCTTTTTCTAGGCCCATCAGCACTCTTAAAATTGCGTGATGACGCCATTCAATGGGACAACGCCCCCGCGCTATACCATTTCCTTTTACGTTTGGCATAAGACTCAGGCTACATTGCATGAACCAAACTTGTGATAGCATGTTTACCCATAAACAAACACATTACATATGATCGTCCTCCAATTAATTTCGCCAAAAGCGGTCACGTTCAGCGATGGCCTTCATTCGAAGCCTAACAGGCGACACGTGCAGACCTTGATGAAGCAGGGGCCTAAAATTTGCCCCTCAATTTATCCAGTAAGATACCGAGTGTTGATCGAAACCTCGTTCCTGTTAGAAAGTCAATAATTGTTGCAAGGCTTTATGTACAGATAGGTTGAACTACCCTCACGCTGGCCCATCTTCGCTTCAGTGCAAGATGCTTGCATCACTGGCGCTGGCCATCTTTGCGCTCGGCTCCTCCGCCTTTGCTGCCGATGAGTACAGCCTGAAAGATATCCGCCACATTGTGCTCTTCATGCAGGAGAACCGGGCCTTCGACCACTATTTCGGCTCTATGGCTGGTGTCCGTGGATTCCAAGACCCTAACGCTCACATCTCAAACAACACAGGCAAGGACGTGTTTCATCAGCCTGTAAAGGCCTCGGCACTCGCGTCATACAGCAGGCCTAAGAACAATGAAACTGAGCTTTTGCCGTGGCACTTGAACTGGCAGGGTGGTGATTGGTATAACCGCACGCAATGTATGGTGGCTGGATCGAACAGCTGGCAAGCGAACCATGCTGCATGGAACAATGGCCAGATTGACCAATGGGTAAACAAAAACACACCATACAGTATTGGTTACTATCGCCGCGAGGATGTTCCTGTACACTTTGCATTGGCCGAGTCGTTTATCGTTGGCGATGCGTACTACGAATCGGCTCTTGCTTCCACCTACCCGAACCGTGCAATCCACCTGTCTGGCTCGCTGAATGCTAACGGGAGCGTGGTTGGCGGCCAGCCCGACAAGTTGGGAGGTCCTGTGGTAGACAACACAAACACCCCTGGATGTCAGTTCAGCGACAACGGCAAGCCGTATTCGTGCCGTCCACTCACTTGGAAAACGGTGCCAGAGTATCTGCAAGAGGCGAACATCACGTTCCGTGCGTACCAAGACTTTGATAACTTTGATGAGGATTTGCTCTTCGCCTGGTCCCAATACCAGAAATCTGCCCAAGAAAAGACAGATTTGGCTAAGCATGGTATGTCGTTCCCAGGATTACACAAGTTCTTCGAGGATGCCGAGAATGGTAACCTTCCTGAAATTTCATACATCTTTGTACCGGCGCACTTGTCAGAGCACCCTCCGTACATGCCCCAGGACGGTGCATGGCTCCATCGCAAGGTGCTGGAGTCACTTATGAAGAGCAAGAGCTGGAACAACACGGCTTTGGTCGTCTCTTACGACGAAACAGGTGGCTGGGGAGACCACGTGCTTGGCCCTTTGGCACCTAGGGACGAGCCTGGCGAATGGATGGAGGATCCATTCCACAGCAAGCTTGGCTGGCAGCCGACGGGTCCCGGTTTCCGTGTGCCTTTCTACATCGCTTCGCCATTCACCCGAAAAGGCGGTGTGTTTACCGAACATGCGGCTCACGAGAGCCAGACTTTGTTCATGGAGGAGTGGGCTAAGGTGCATGGCAAGCCGTTCCATGTGAAAGAGATGAATCCCTGGCGCCGTAAACACATGAGCAACCTCGTCAATGCGTTCGACTTCTCCAAGATTGACTCGAGCAAGCCAGACATCCCAAGTGTCCCTCACCCTCACAAAGACCCTATCCGCGATCAGTACAATGGTGCCTTTGTGTGCCAACTCAAGTATCGGAACAAGATCCTACCTGAGATCCCCTACGGCCAGCAGAAAGAAGAGGACGCTCTTAAGGTCGAGCGCGGGTACAAGCCTGTTCGTGGCAATCTGAGCGAGGGTCGTTTCCTTCGCTTTGAGTCGGACGGCCACGCGTTGACGTTCCAGGATGGCAACAAACTTACAACGAAGAAGAGCAACGACAAATACGACAAGAATGCTCTGTTCGTTCTTCACTGGCAAGGAAGCAACCCCAGCGAGAACCGCTTCCAAATCTCAAACAGAGACAAGTCCAAGTTTGTTACGTCGGACTTGCGCTTGTCCGGGAACGACCAAGCTGCTGACTTTGCCGTGCAGGATAACGGCAACGGAAAGGGTCACACAATCATTGAAAGGCAATCAAAGAAGCATCTGTCTATTGACAGTGACGGCAACCTGTCGCTTAAGGACGACGACAAGCCGACTAAGTTCCGCACATTTAGTGTATCGGTCTAATGTACAAGGCGTGAGCAGCAGATAGTTGATGAATTGGTTCGTGATGTCTTGTTTTAATTCTGCGTAAAGAATCCAAATGTAGTCAAGCCTTTTTGCTTTGTTAATGATGAGATACATGAATGAATGTACAATGCGTAAATGGTTAAGTATACAAGCTAAGAAGTGTGTTGAGATGCGGACGTAATCGGGCCCGATGGTTCAGCTTTCATCAAAGAGGGCCAAGCGACGCGCAAAGGTGCTGCTTGAGTGGGTGGCCGACTCGTGCTGGTCTTGCCACTGCCCCAGCGCAGATTGCGCCGCACTGGCTGACGTACAGGCGCGCCAGGAGGCACAACGGTCGGTTGACAATTCGAATGAATCAAACTGGGCGCATGAGTTGAGGGGTATGATAACGTTTCTTCTGGCGAGCGTTGTAGACAGGGCGCTGGAGGTTCTGGCGTCGCAGGACAAGACTCTTGCTTGATCTGATATGGAGTCGAAGCGCTCGACATCGGTGCATCAGTGCGAGCTTGGGGCGAGCCAGGTGAGGGAGGCGGCGTTCTGCGACATAAATGGGCTTGACGTGCTTGTCTTCTAGTGCGGCCCTCGACACCACCAGACCAAAACAGAGCTAGGTTCAACACAGACGTACGCTCAGGACCTTGCGTGGCAATTTTGGGACTTGATTTGCGCTGGCCAGGATCAGAAGCGTTGTCACTTGTTGTGTTATGTTGATGCACCGACGATTTACTTTGACTCTTAGTAACATCGTTACATTCTAACGTGCACTTGGACGCAGATGCAGAGTTTGATTCTGATCCTGATGCCCGCTCAAGTCCTGCATTTGCTCTTTGCTTGACCAAAGGTTTAGACTCGTGCTCGTGCACACTGACAGACTTACATTCAGGTCCCTGGCCTGCAGCAGTTCGCATATCTTGCACTTGTGCTTCTGCCTCTGAACATTCCATCATATTTCTGCTGCACTGCAGAGGCACGTTCGGCATGTGCTTTGACTCGAAACCACCATTTGGACTTGCGGCTGTCTGTAATGACGATGGTAGTGATGACTTGCACTTGCTTCGTGAGACCGGCGGAACATGAGCAGTCCTTTTATCATAGGGACTTGAATCTTGAGAGCGAGTTTTCCGTGAGCTGTGTGAAGAGGACAACGGCTGTTTAGACTCGTCTAAAACCGCGCGATTGCTCAGCAAGGTCAAAGACATGTTAGTAGGGCGACGGCGTCGCTTGCGCTCGCCCTCAGGAGCACCCCAATAAGCTGCCAAGACATCAGTACTCGCACCATGTCCTAAGATCCGTGGAGCCGGCGGTGTGGGTATGCGGTGAGCCTGATCCTGATCTGTGCTGAGATCGTGGCGACTTGATGGACTGGATGCGGTCGATAGAGAGTCTGACTCACTCGACGACTCAAGCGGCTTTTCATGGACAGGGCTAAGTTTCACTGGTGACGATGAAAGCTGTGCGTTGGAAGTGTGTCGAGCTTTTTTGGGCAGCCGAGGCGGTTTATCAACAAGTTTCGACGAACGTTTAGGAGCACGAGAGCTCGAAGTTTGTTCAGCAGGATTTTCTCTCGGCTTCCGGTGCGGCCAATCACACTTAAAGAGCTTGTAATGACGCTCACATCGAGCGCACTCGTCAGGCGTCCACCATTTTTCAGGTGCACGGAATTGCGCATGACAAGTGGCACATTCACACACAGGACCACTAGCATCAGGGTCAACTTGGAATGCAATAGTTTGCGCGGACGTGGAAACGGACTCTTTGGCCGCTGCGGTGCGAGCGGAGGCTGAGCGCAGCATGCGACGAGCATCTTCATGATGTGGCACATCTTGACATTGGTTAGTGTCTCGGCGGGTTTCCAGGTCAGCAGCAGGTTTCGGCAAGGCGGGGCGTAGTTGAGCATAAAAGCCTTGACCAAGCCGCTCGCAAGTCGCACACATGCATTCCTTGTTCTGCCACTCGAAGTAGTTGTCACCGTAGTAGGTCGTGATTTCCTCGTTGCACTGGATCGGCCGGATACAACGAATCGTCAGGATGTGACCAGAACGCCGGAACTCCGCATTCGGGCGACAATCATGGTTGATGAAACGAGCCGGGCCCAACAATAGCTGACTGCACTTTCGACGCGACGAGCGAATGATGGAGAAGTCACGTTGAGGTCGCAGATGACCATCACGCAAATCTGCCTCACGAGCTTCGGCTGCCTCTTCACGCAGAGCTTGATCCTCCTGATGCGTGAGATCCTTCAGGGCGGCAGTGCAATAGGTGATGATATCATCAGGCTGGAACGAACGCACAGCCATTACACACAGATCCGAACGGCCAGGTATAAGATGTGCACTGAATCGGGCTTCATCTGACATTGTATTTAGGAACTGAAGTCGTTGTAGGCGTGCCGTCCGGTACCGATGCGTAACGACATATTCGAATCCAGCATCAGGCAGATAGGCCTGCATGTAACGCTGGGCGTGGCTGATGTTAGGCACACATGATCATTCGACATACGTTTCAAATATGTGGCGCTGAGCAGGCGTCTTGGGTGTCACATGTTTGCGGACCATTGGGAGTCTGGATCATGGTAATCAGTGTTGTCCCATCGTTGCACGCACGTACTGGCACAAGCTTGCGACTGCTTTCGATGGATCCTGCTCCCATATAACAAACTGCTGGATCATGCGGCAAACAGCAGAACGATCGAATCGCATGGGTCGAAAAGCAGGATTCATCTTGTGTGTGACAATGTCTGGATCAAACTCGAGCGAGCTGTGGTTAGCCCTCCTTCACATATGCTAAATGCGTCGCGGCCAACTTACTCGACCAACATGCACGACAGTAAGTCGTCGTCAGCTGTAATGAGCTCCATTCCACCGTGTTCGAAAGAAAGGAATGATATATGACAAGTTTAAATAGCTGCGCGCTCACGCGTCGTGATCGGACGCGCGGCCGCTCGCAGGTCGTACGTGGTGGTGGTAGGGGTAGAGGGAGAGAGTCGATGTGGTGCACGGCCATTTGGACTACTAACTTGGGACCAGTGCCCAAAAATTGTGGTGTGGCTGCGCTTTATAAGCATGCAGGACACGAGCCTGCACGTCTAAAAAATAAAGCTGGTTTGCTGGGTAGGCAGACGAGGAAGATGGATGGCCGACCGTTGTCCGACTGGCATCGGGCGCACGAAGCAAGAATCAACGGAATGTGGGTGAGAGTATGCGGAGCTGAATACATAAATTTCTACTGGTAAAAGTCTAACTTGTTATCGTCGTGCTTTTTCGACATCTGCTTGAATGCCTCGTCAAAGTCAGCAGGCAGGACGACGTATCGGTTTTTACGCACGGCCTGCATACCTGCGGCTTGGCACACAGAAGCAATCTCCGCGCACGATAGTTTGTCAGGACGACTCACATAGTCTTCTAGATCGACGTCAGGGCTCAGGTTCATGCGGCCACAGATCGTTTGGAAAATGAGACGCTTCTCGCGACGGTTGGGAAGCGGGAACTCGATCTTGCGGTCAAGACGACCGGGACGGAGCAGAGCTGGATCAAGTGTGTCTGCACGATTCGTGGCCATGATGACTTTGACGTTACTGCCTTGATCGAAGCCATCCATCTGAGTAAGGAGCTCCAGCAAAATACGCTGCACTTCTCGGTCAGCACCTGTCTGTGCATCGAAACGCTTCGTTGCGATGGCATCAATTTCATCAATAAAGATAATCGACGGGGCATTCTCACGCGCAAGACGGAACACGTCACGGACCATGCGGGGGCCTTCACCAAGGTATTTCTGCACAAACTCGGACCCGACAACCCGAATAAATGATGCTGTCGTAGCGTTTGCAACGGCCTTGACAAGCATTGTCTTGCCTGTTCCTGGCGGGCCATACAAAAGAACACCACGCGGTGGATCAATACCGATTTGGTGGTATAGATCAGCCTGGACAAGGGGAAGCTCAACAGCTTCGCGAATCTCTTGCTTTTGCACATCAAGACCACCAATATCCTGATACGTCTCGGTGGGCCTTTCTGACTGGCTCATCATCACGATGCTAGAGTCTGACTCTGGCGGTAGGACTTCCACAAGCGAGTTTGAGTGGCGATGCAGTGCAACACTGCTGCCAGGACGTAGCAGCTCACGATCGATTGTAGATAATATGCGCACCACATAGTTTGATCCTGTAGTAGAGCCAACGATGCCTGTCATCTGGTCAATGGGCTCGAGAAACTGTCCGATCACCAGAGGCACGGACTGGATTCGCTTCACCTCTTCTTGTGCGCGTACAAGCTCACGCTTCAGGTTGCGCTGCTCATCTTTCTACAATAAGTTAGTTTAAAACGCGCTCAGCCAGCAGAAAAGGCGGACAATCAAACCCATCGGCGAGGGTGGCCTCATCATAATGTTGCCCGATGCCGCCTCCGTTTTTCTTACATACCACGTAGTCTTCCATCGTATTCAGAAACTCGAGCTGTTGCTGAAGTTTCTTGTATTGAAGATATACATCTCCATTTTTTATGGATCGTGTATTTGATCCAGATGCCTGCGTGGCAGTTGGCGCAATGCCGATTTCTTCCATCACGCTCACAAACAAGACAGATGGAGCTCGGTGCAAGTGGCGATGGGTGGACAACGAACTGGTCTGTGGAGGTGTGTACGCCCACAAGCGTGATCGGAGGCGCTTACGCGGCCACCGAGGGCGAGTGCGTATGTCTGGACGGTTGAGTCAGCAGCGCGCAAGCAAAGAAGACGCTTATAAAGAATGTCGTTGTGCGCTAGCGAAATGGCTACAACACCTTACTTGAATTCACGATACTAGTAGATAATCCACAGGAAAAATGGTTGCAGAAAATATGATTTATGTGTGCCAGTAGACGCGCCTATACTTTTCCTTGCCGTCTTATGGCGGCGTAGGCTACGGAAAGGCGCAAGATTGAGCCCCAACAAGTCTCTAGTCATGGGAGCGCAGCCATATTTGCACAACAACAATGTTGCGCTGCATAACGGCATTCCAATATTGGGAACATGCGCATATAGAAAGTCCAACTGTAATTCACACTCGAATGTATTTGAGCAAGGCTGCGTCGAGATCTGTCGGTGCTTCGTGCACATAAAGAGACGAATCGCAGGTCCCATCGGCCTTTACCACCAACTACGATCATGAACAAACATACAGAGATGAAAAGTGGTGAGATGACGATGGCCGTTCTAGCATGTGGAACCATGGGAACGGCCATTCTGTCGGGAGTGTTGGACTGTCAGGCCGCTATGTCTCGCGGTGAGGTATCGACGGACCTGTCGGCCACATCACAAGCGGGTGAAACGTTTGAGCGCGTGCCACTTCCGCGAAAGTACATCGCCACAGTAGGACGCGACTCAACAGCCAAGCGCCTCGTGCGCACGTTTGAAGAAGCCGGTCATACGAATGTCGAAGTGTTCAAGCAGAACAATGTCGAGGCTGTGAGAAAGTCAGACTTGGTACTTCTCTGCACGAAGCCACAGCGTGTGTCGGAGTTTTTGAGTGAGCCAGGAATGCAAGAAGCGCTCGAAGGCAAGATGGTCGTCAGCATTGCCGCAGGCACGACCATTGCAAAGATCAAGCAGTGCGTGCCATCATCGACGAAGGTGGTGCGTGCGATGCCCAACACGCCGTGCCGGATTCGAGAGGGGATGACGGTCATTTCTGATGTAAAGGAGCTTTCACATGAGCAGCGTGATCTGCTCGCGACGATCTTTTCAGCCGTGGGCAGATGCAACTTTTTGGATGAAAAGTACTTCGATGCCGCGACGGCACTTGCTGGTTCCGGTCCCGCATTCGCTACGCTGTTCCTCGAGGCCATGGCTGATGGCGGTGTGATGATGGGTCTGCCTCGCGCTGAGGCTCTAGAACTGGCCGCACAGACCATGCAAGGTGCAGCAAGGATGGTGCTACAGTCGGGCGCGCATCCCGCGGTGATTAAAGATAGTGTCACGACGCCAGGTGGTTGCACCATTGCCGGTTTGCTACAAATGGAAGATGGCCGCGTCAGGTCGACCATTGCACGCACGATCCAGACGGCTGCTGAGCATGCGGCCGGATTGGGGAAGCAAAACTAGGAGCTCGTATGATTACAGGGTGTGTAGACTAAGATAAGGTACGAGCACCTTCATGGGACACGGCCTAGCTGAATCTGGTTAGGTAGTGCTCGAGCCATGCATGGATTGAAGGTGGCGTGTCGAGTGAATCGTAAAGCATGTTGGCCTCGATCCAGCTTTGATGCATGAATCGGTCGTAGAGTAAAGAGGGTGTAGCTCGATATACAAAATCGTACAACCACAACCCAAGCCACATGCCAACGAGGAGCAGAAATAAGTGTACGAGGATGGCTGAGACGATAAATGGACGGTGAGTGTGGTGGCTTGCGGGTGGCGCAAGAGCTTTAGGTGATGGAGTGGAATGAGTGGCTGTGATAGTTGTTGGAACGGAGGATACGCCCAAAAGAGCATCTTGCAGCGAACTTGTGGACCGCTTGGACGTGAGGGAAGCACAAGTATCGGGACAGTCAGGCTCGGAAGTGCTCGATCGAGATGGAGATGATGGCATAGGTGTGCATGGCGTTGATACATTTGTGGCAAGCGAGACAGGCTTATATGACTTGGCAGGTGAGGAAGGTCGAGGAGGAGTCGTTATAACTTGGAAAGAATGTGTTGGTGCAAGTGGTAGATCGTCATTATGCCGGCACATCTTCTGGTCAGTATCATTCTGCATTCGGTCGTTCAGATGTAAGGAATCCTGACGGGTCAATGATTGAATTTCGTCGGGTTCGACGTTCCCAGAGACGTGTCCTGGAATGCCCGGCTGTATTTCACTGGGGGACTCGCTCGAGACTTGCGCGGCATTGGGCGGGTTTGCCAGTGCCTCGTCGAGATGATCGCATTGTCCCTGGAACACTTGATCACAAACTTTCTGTTCATGACCAGGTCCGCTCTTCGGTGGGCATGCTGATTCGCACTCAAATTGGTTCTCTGAAGGACTGTCCGGATGGTTCTGAGACCGGCAGTCCGACGGGCTCTCAAGGCCTTCGTCTGTCGCTGACGAAGATGAAAGCGGTGAATATTGGTCGTACAAGGCCAAATCTTCGGCTAGGACAGGTCCTGTCTGTGCAGAGACATTGCGCAAAGCTGAGAGCTCCTGCTCGAGCTGTTCGTGAACCTGACGAGAAGCATCGACTTGTTGCTGAAGACGCTCCGCGTCGGTATGAACGCGCTCCAGTGCATCGACAGTACTCTCGAGACTGGACATGGCCTCACGCTGTGCATCACAGGTAGCTCTTAGGTTTTGGATGTCAGCCAAATAGGCATGACAGGTAGATTGCATGGAACGTAGCTGAACAACATGTTCCGAGTCCTGAGTCTCCAAAGCGGCAAATGACACAAGCTGCTGCTGCATGCGCGCATCTAGTTCCCGAAGGATCTTTGCCTGTGAATCACGCTCCGACTGCAGAAGAACAACGGATTCATCCAGCTCGTGCACACGAACTTCCAGGGCATGTTCATGATCACGAGTGAGACGGAGGTCACGACGAAGTGCGTGGACTTCACGTTGAAGTGCAGAGCATTCCTGAGAGCGATGCTCCTTTTCAGTAGTGAGCATCTGATGTTCGGTTTGGAGCCGCTCTAGCTGCTCGTTGACACGCGCGAGTTTGCGAATAAGGGCGGATCGCGCAGACACGGAAGCGACGTCAGGATCTGAGCGCGTCACAGGCAGCAAGGCAGACATGCGTTGAGAAGAGCTGGAGATCGGGACGCAGGCGCCTGTGCGAGGAGCGAACGGGCTGCGATGCTTTGCAGGACTTTCGGACGGTGTAGAATCAAGAGTGGTGTCGGGAGAAGAGGGTGAGTCCCCTTTGCCATCAAAGAGCAAAGAGGTATTGGATGTGTCGATCGAAGAGTCAGTCTCCTGCTCCAGGGAGCGAACCATGCCAAGGAACTCGTCGATGCCGATGATGAGCGTGCTGTTCTCACGTGCAAACGAAGTGATTTGCGACGCAATGTCGCCAGTTACAAGGGGCGAGCCATGAGTCGACGTATATGCATCCAAGACGCGCGGAAGATCTATAGCAGACAATTTGTCGCCGCCATGCTCGTGGAAAAGGGCGCGCACGATCCCCTCATCACAGCGGAGCATGTTGGCGTTGAGTACCAAAGAACAACAAGAACACGTTCGTGGGCGGAGGACGGGCACACGGCAAATAAGAACGTATGAAACGTTTTTTTGTCTTGTCGGACGTGGGGTCGGTCGGTTGGCTTGTCTGTTGTTTGTATGTAGGTAGGTTCGTGTGTGCATTGGCCGCACGAGCATGTGGAGGCACATCGACGCGAATCACATCGGGCAGGCGCGTGCGAGGCTCTCTTTCTCAAATGGAGGAAAGGGGAGTGAGGGGCCAAGTAAGCGAAAGGTTGCAGAAACCAAGTCCGTGGGATCGAGGCACGACACCGGCAACAGCAGCGGTAACAGCAACGGTAACAGCCGCAACGGCAGCAACGATTAAAAGAGCGTAGTGGCCCAAAGATATGCCACAGCGTATGGCGGCAGAGCTGCAGGCTCTCGTTGCAGAGACGCGGCGCAAATACCCAGACGTTAAGCAGGCAGCAGAACAACTGCTACAACAATGGCAAACTGATGCAGCTCGCACTACGACAGAGTTGCAAACAAGCAGAGATCCTGCAACACATGCACTATTGCAAATGATCGTTCTAGCATGTGATACGCGCGCGCCGAAAGTGATTCAAATGAGTCTATCGTTGCTGCAGCGCAGTATTCCACCGCGTCTATTTCCAGATTCGGCCTTGCCCACGATCGTCGATACGCTGCACAAGCTGCTGTCGGCGCCAGGACGTGCCGATGTTGAGGTTCAGCTCAAGATTTTGCAGACTGTGTCGGTGTTGCTTGCGACGTATGCGAGCGTAACATCGACACTACTATCACGCGCGCTAATGCTGTGCTTTACGCTGTATGAGCACTCGCGTGTTGCAGTCGTGAGCTCGACGGCTGCAGCCACTCTTCGGCAGGACATTATGATGGTGTTTGACAAAGTACATGAAGAAGATCGGTTCTTTGACTCCATTGCAACGGAAGATGCAGCGGCCACAGCGCCACTGCCAGCGCATACGGCCCAGCTGCCCAGTGGCCCCATCACACTCTTCCCCTTTGCAGCAGATGCATACCAGCTGCTGAATGATTTGTGCGCTCTGGCCGACGGCCAAGCTGCAGAGTTCTTGCCGCTACAGACACTGTCGAAACCGTTTGTGCTGGAACTGCTAGAGAGCGTGCTAACGAGCCAGGCAGCTCTCCTTACACGTACACGACACCCAGAACTTGTCTACGTGCTGCGGAGCGCGGCATGTCCGTTCCTGCTGAAGGCGCTCAGTGAGGCGCCCAGCTCGTTCTCTGTGTATATACGAATTGTGCGTCTCGTGCGCCTTTTGTTGCTTGAGTTCAGCGAGGAAGTCATTCTCGAAGTCGAGATGCTTCTTCGTGCCTTACTGGACACGTGTGACGAGAAGCATGCGTTATGGCAGCGCGTCCTTGCATGGGAGACGATCGATGCGCTTTGTGCGGACCGCATTTTCATCGAGCGTGTATGGAACTCGTTTGATGGGCGCACTGATGTGCCACCAGAGACGTCGCATAGGCCGGCATCCTCGCCGATGTCGGTAGATGTGCCATCGCCAACCTCGATGCAAGCGCACTTACCTGCATCTCCTTCGCCGCCACGCATTTGCGTGCTGCAAAGCGTCGTAAAGCACGTGCAGCAGAACGCGCGCAAAGCTCGCACTGTGCTCCAGATCGACGATGCGCTCGCTGCGGCACTTGAGCAGCGACCTGATGTGCCGCCATCACCGATGCGACGCAGTGTAAGCAATACGTTCTATGACGCAGCTGTAGCAGGCGTTCGCAGTGCGGCCGAAGGCCTTCTTTCTACCAAGGCCGAGGAGCCACTCGTCGGCACAAGTGTGCCGGCGATTCCCCTGCTGGATCAGCTCGACAAGACAGAAACGCCTTTGGTTGGCTCGCAGGCACTACCAACGACGTACCTGCCATACCTTATCCTGCAAGCGCTCGTGCATGTAGCGCATGCGCTTGCTGTCGTGCCCATGCCCCAGCAAGCCGACATGCTGTCGGCCTACATGCGTGCGATCAACGAGGGTCTCACCGTTTTCTTGACAGTGCAAGGGTCCGATGCATTCTTCGAGCAGACGCTGCAGGCACTAGCGCATCTGGCGCATGCTGCAGGCGTTGCTGCGTGCACGAAAGAGCGCGACTTGGTCCTGGCGACGCTGTGCGACATTGCGGTGCCAAGCGCTGCATACAGCGGCCAGGCATTGGCGCCTCGCAACCTGGCAGCGCAGGCAGCTTTGGCCTATGTGTGTGAGGCACTCGGCAGCCGACTCGACATGCGTTGGCGCGCGCTGCTGCAGTGTGTGTGCCAAGCATTGGTGTGCTTGCGCAAGAGCGACGAATCGGCGCAGATGCCGGCTGAAACGCCGTGGTTCGCTGAACACCTGAGGCTAAGCGTTGGCGCAATGCACTGGCTCACCCCTGCCACACTCGACAGGTTGCCGTGCTTGCTGCGGGGCGTGTTTGTCTCAGCAGCAAAGCTGGATGATGCGGCCCTCGATACATTTGCATGTGTGTATGTGGACCTGGTGATGGACCGCGTACATGAAGCGCATGTATCGAATGAGCTCGCGCATGTGATGCTCGTACAGGTCGAGCGGTTCGTGCGCGCCTCGGCAGCTCGCATCGCTGCTCGCATGCCCAGCGGACCATGGCTTTCCGTCCAAAAGCTCCTGCGCCTCATGAGCGACGAGAACGTCGATGCCGTGCGACGTACGACCACTGCGCACATTTGGGACGCAGCCATGTACGCGATATGGAGTGTACTGCCGATGGAAGCACACCAGCAGCAGCGATGGGTGCTTGAGGCGCTTGCGCAGCAAGGCATTCTCGACCGCCGTGTCCAAGCAGGCGACGTACACGTGCGCCACGCAGCCATCAGCACGGTGTACAAAGTGCTGGAGACACATGCGCATGTGCTGCGCGACGGCTGGGAACACGTCTTTGACATGTGTGAGGCAGCGGCGCAAGACGCCTCGGACATTCGCGCAGCTGGCTTATCGCCCGTACCGTGCTTGCGCTCGGCGTTTGCATGCATCCAGCTCGTGTGTACATCGCATCTGAACACGCTGAAGGAGGCGGACCTCTTGCGGTGCATCAATGCATTGCCAAGCTTCAGTAGGCAAACCGAGGATGTCGCCATGGCGCTGAAGGCCAATGGCACGCTGTGGGATCTGACAGAGAGCATTGAGCAGCGTGATCGAACACATACCCCTGAGCTATGGCTCGTGCTCCTCACGCGTCTGCGCGACGTAGCGCAGGTGTCGAACGAGAATGTGGCAGAGTGTGCACTGGCCAACCTGTTCCAAGTGCTGGTGCAATACCACAAGTCGTTTGACTTGCATGAATGGCAGCGTGTGCTGATGGATGTGCTGCTGCCACTTGTAGAGGCTGAGCAAGTGCAGCCACGAGCGTTCCAGGGCACAGCGCGAGTCATGGCAATGGTGCCTGCGCTGCGAGCCGATGTAGCATGGCCCGCAATGTGGACGCGTTGGCTCACAGCCGTCGAGCGGGCCGTTCGGGAACGGCAGGATCAGCTAGATGTTGTGCACGCGGCACTCGAGGCATTGCATGCGACCCTGCGTGTCCAAGAACAGCACGCGTGGTGGCACGACACATGGCCCACAGTCGTACGCCTATGTGATGTACACGCAAGCATCGACACTCTCCGATCTCTGCTTCCTCGTGGATATGTTGCACATGCTGTTTGTACATCGTCCATGCACGGACACGAATGTTGATGCAATGCTTCATGCCCTACACGAGTGCATTGCGCATGGACTTCACGTTGCTGACGCTTTGTCGCTGTCGCATCTGCACCGCCCTGTGAAGCGTGTGCAAGAGTCATTCGAATTCATGACACACAAAGGAGCGACTCGAGCCAAAGTGCTCGATGCGTTGCAGGTGTGCGCAAGCATGGCCTACGATGCAGCCACAATGCATTCAAAGCACGCACGCATGCATGCCATGTATATGGAGCTTGTGCGTGAGTGGCTTCGTCAGTGGCTGTGCACGCTGGATACACATTCGCATTCCATGAACGAGTGTACGGCATCCGTGACAGCAATGCTACACATGCTGCAGCGGCCACTCCAAATAACGCCCGTGCCGAATGTGCCGAATGTGTGGCATGCCGCGTCTGATACACTGGTGTCGATCGCGAGACGTGGTGTCTACGCTTGTGCTAGTGACACGCCACTCGTGTCAGCCTTACTGGCATGCACTCTTCGCATGTATGGCTACCGCGCTTTGTGCTGACGCACGCATAGCACCCACAGACGACGATGATGCATGCGCAATACGGCTCCTTGCATCGATCGAGTGTGTGCTGCCGTATGCAGGCACTCACCACGGCGCGCACGACGCGCTGCATGCGTTCTTACCATCACTTGTATCGGCCACACACCTATACGAAGCGCGCGGCACATTCACGCGTCCAAGTGAGCCAATCCATCGCGAGCGCTTTGCTTATGCTACCTGGGACATGCTTTTCCGGCTTGTCTCGTCGTCCGCGACACCAGGTGCCAAGATGGTCGCCGCCCACATATTACCCTTGATCATCGAACGTTGTCGCTGTGTGCTACAAGCATACTTAGATGATGTACGCATTCGCGGCTCTATCCCTCTGCCCCGCGTGCGTCTGGAGGAAGTCAACTTCCTTCTGCATACACTGTTGACTCTGCAAGTGCCAAGTGAGGTGAATGAACACTGCCAGCACTCCTTTGCACAAGACGCCCACCTCTTTCTGCTTGGCAAGGTTTTGGACGAAATAGCGACCATGCCAGCCACTTCGTGCGCTGTCTCGCAAAAAGCATGCATCGGCACCTCGCTTCCGCCCCTTTCAAGCGCAGACGACGGCCACGTCTCGACACAAAGCATTCGTCGTCGTCACTCATGCCCCACGACACCTCAAGCACTCGCTGCAGCTGCGCTGACGCGTCGCATGCATGTGTTACTCACGTGACTGTATGTGTATAAGCGCCTCGCACGGTCTCATGCCCCCCTGCATCTCATGATTAGACAAAGATCTTTCTACATCGTACATAAAGGAACAAAGACCCTAGAGTGACACAATGAAAGTTGATAGCGGAATGAATGCGATCGACAGTGGCGCTGCTCGTTATGCTCGTCTATAAAGGACGAGAGACTCGTTATGTGGATACTTGCCCGTGCAAATCCCCACCACTGCGACAGTAACGGCGCATGAGCGCCGTCCGAGAATACTCGCCGACAATTAGCATTCGCTGGATTCGCTTGCGGTATGGCGCTGTGGTTCCTATGCTGGCTAGGGATTGTCGCTGTGGTAGGCACCATGGTGTATGTGGTGTCTGTCCTTATATACATCCAGATCCGCTGGCTCACATGGCTCCGTGACGTGCCTGGGACCACCACGAGAATGCTGGCACATGGGCAATCTGCGTGCGTTCCTCCGGCGGAATGCTATACCCGTATGTCGAGAATGGGCGCATACGTTTGGCGGAGCTGTGACGGTTTTGGGCCATGTTTGGTGAACCACGTCTCATGCTAACGGATCCGGTGGGACTCGACCATGTTCTTCGCAAACGTGCGTATGCATTTCCGAAGATACGTCTCGCCCAGCGCTTGATTGGCGGCGTCATGGGGAATGGCTTGCTGGTGGCCGAGGGTGAGGTCCATCGACGACAAAGGCGGGCGATTCAGCCTGGTTTTCACTCACGCGCGATCAAACGTCTGGCGCCTGTATTCCAACAGCATGCATTTAATCTGCTCGCCTATCTGCGTACACAAACAAGAGAGCACGACAGCCAGTTGATCGATGTGTACACACCATTGAGTGCCGCAGCTCTGGATGCTCTGGGCGATGGTGCTTTGGGTGCTTCATTTGGGGCTCTTGCGTCTTTGATCGTACATCCAAGTGGTATCGTACATGCAGCACATCCCCTGACAGCTGCGTTGGATCGAACGCTGCGCATTGCTTCACATCCCAGTAAGTACGCATTGCTCATGGACACGGCGACACTGTACTTCCCGATCCTCGAGCACATCCCTATTGGCTTGTCGTCGCACGCATTTCGTCGGGAAGCACGTGTTCTATTTGACCTCGCCGGTTCCATTGTTGACGACGCGCAAGCTCGCATTCGGTGTGAGACTCACGACACAAGTCCTGATATTTTGGCGTCGCTTCTGCGTGCGAATGCAAACGCAAAGCGGGCACGGTCGGGCGAAAAGAAGCACAGCGTGCTGGACCATGCAATACTGACTGATGCAGAGCTTCATGCGCAGGTCTCGACGTTTATTTTTGCTGGGCACGAGACAACGGCGACGCAAATGGCATGGCTCTTGCTCTTTCTCGCGAAGGATCAGCGGCGACAGCAGACCTTGCGCGAAGCGATTGGGGCAAAACGCGCTGCATTGGGACTCATGCCTCACGCACGTGCCGAGCCAACAGAGGCTTGTGAGCGAGCACTAAGTGCCGAAGAGCTTGAAGATATACCATACTTGGACTGGTGTGTGCGTGAATGTCTCCGGCTGCAGGCGGCGATTCACACGACCTCCCGCGTCGCAACCGACACCGACTGGATCCCACTGTCGAGCGGTCGATCCATTCAAGTGCACCGCGGTATGATTGTGCTAATCCCACTTACATCGATCATGACGTCAGAGCATCACTGGGGTGCTGATCCCGAAGAGTTTCGCCCCGAGCGTTGGGCTGAGCCTACGCTCAAAGGCCCAAGGGCGTTTCCCGCTCACAACGGGCTCTCGTTTCTCATGGGCCCGCGCGCTTGCATAGGTAGTGCATTTGCGCTGCTGGAAATGAAGGTGTTTATTGCTACCGTACTGAGCGAGCTCTACTTTGAGTGGGATGGTCGCCCCATCGTACCAAAACTGTGGGTCGTTGCTCGGCCTTTTGACGCATCTTGCCAGCAGGACGCGTGCATTTTGAAAATTCGACGTATTTCCTCATAGAATAGGCACACGAGATGCATGGAGGTGGATGCCTCCACCAGGTTTCCTAATGTGTGCACTGTTCCACCCTACACCGAGAAAGATTGCCATACCCCTCCAGCCCAGTTTCTTCTCCCCATTCCGCCATTGACCACATACTCTAGATGTGGGTCTCGCACGCTTTACGCACATCGCGCCGCGCTTTTCACGTAGGCCGCGTGATCTTGCGGGATACGCCACCTGCACGTCCGCCGCCAGGGCCTAATCCACTGGACGAGCCGACACTGGCCCTAGTCAAACAGAAGTGGAAGCAGGCGCGCCTGGCCAAGGACTCCGACACCGCGACGTTATTAGGTGTACGTAGGGCGATCTACACAGCATACTCACAGTCAGGGCATCCTCACGGATCTGCAATACGCTCAAAAGACGAAAATGCAGCCAAATCAGAAACCGCCGTCTATCATCAAGATGTTGCAGAAGGGGATTAAGAAACGCACAGATGCTGCCAAAGTTTTCCGGAATGCGAAGCCAGCGCCGCGTGTGGATCTTGCGGAGAAGGAGGAGCACGAAGTATCGATTTTACAGGACCTGCTCCCCAAGCCATAGTTACACTTGCGCCTGGCTTTAGTGTGCGGGCACAGGGGGACATACACTGGAATAACAAAATCTTTTACATTGATGTCATTACTAGGTATTATTTACTGCTACGAATGCACAGGGGTGGGTGTTGTAGTCATGACTGTGTTTGCATATGGAGGGTGTGGTGCAGAAGATGTGGTGGTGCTGGATGTCGCTGAGGGCGCAGAAACAGGATTGGCAGGTGTGCCACACGAAGACGTCATAGAAGCACCATCGTCAGGTGGGCAAAAACTCCATACACGCACATCGCCATCATCACTACCACTGAGGATTTTGTCATCGCCTAAGGTCACAGTCGTCACGGCACGACGATGACCTACCAATGTGATTTGGCACTGCGCCGTATCACGGTCCCATATCTTGACAGTCCGATCATGACTAGCCGACACGATGCGCAGAGTATCAGCATCCACACACCATACTCCTTCAACGTGTCCGAATAGCGTGTGGAAGCACCTACCGGTACGCACGTCCCAAAACTTGAGCGTGTTATCGAGTGAACCTGACACGAGGACTGGCCGCTTGGACTTGCTGCCACATGTCTTATCCGCCGATGTCGAGGTGGGCATCGATGGCGAGGACATCGGATCTGCTTCGTCAGGCACGCCATCGAAGATTCCATCTTCCACATCCTGTAGTGTCGCATACGGTGGAAGCGGAGGGACCAGGTTTGCCGCACAAAGCCGCTCATGCATCCGCAACAGCCGCGCAGGGATTCGGCGCGCACTGCCAGACCCGGGCATGCGTGCATTGCGGCCTGTAAGCGTGTTGGATAACAGCCCATTGTCCGGCGACGACGTCGACGACGCCATAGACATAGACAAGCCTTCTTCATCAGCAGCATCGCCCTCTGTCTCGCCCGATACTTTCATGGATCCACGAGCAAGTTTGCGCACGGTCGACTGGTCCATCATGACAAGTTTCAGCGACTGGACTTGTCCGACATGGCCCTGGAAAACCATGAGGCATTCTCGGTGCCGCAGGTCCCACAGTCGGATCGTAAAGTCGTCCGATGCAGAAAACAAAAACATGCTGTCGCTTGAGTTCGACGAGCTTGAGCCGGACCAGAGCTGCAAGGCATTCACCCAATCTCTGTGCCCATTCAAGGGGAAGCACTCGCCCGTTTGGCAGTTCCATACTCGAATACTGCTGTCGGCACTACCACTCGCGAGAATAAGGTCTTTGAAGGTCAGGCTTACGATGCCCTCCGTGTGACCTTCCAGAGTGCGAAGCAGCTCACCGGTCCGCCAATTCCAGATCTTGAGGGTGCGGTCCATGGACCCTGTAATCAGCTTGCAATCGTCAAACTGCAGACAACGCACACCGCGTGCATGGCCTGTCAGCACACGCAGCGTCTCACCGGTTTGTAAGTTCCACACGCGGACTGTGCGATCATAACCGCCGGTAATAAGGATGGGATGAGACAGCTGACTGATCTTCTCCCGGAATGCTAAGCACATGATGCCTTCGGTGTGTCCGCGAAGAACTCGCACACAGTAGCGACCATACCGCCAATTGCGCTCAATAGCAAATCTCTCACAATACACCGCCTTCCATGGTCGGATCGAGCCATTCCTTCCAGAAACACCGGCTCCAGCGCCTTGCCCGTCGGTGCGAACGCGTTTTCGCTGAGGTGACTCTTCTAGAGACTGCAGATGCGACGGTATATTTGGGGTATCTTCGTTGCTTGTGTGTGTTCGGCGTCGTTCGAGCGCTGCCGCATTGGCCGCTGCCGTCACACTTCGGCGCAGACTGCCGTCAGATACGGCCGAGGCTGCTTGTCGGAGCTCCTCGTCACCGGGGGTCAAGTTCCTTGATAGCGACATGGAATGATCCTGTCCATGGGCACGACTGTCAACAAGGCGTGGAAGACCCCAGCCGCATTTCTCACATTTTCGCTCAATGTGCTGCTCACACATGTTGCGCCAAAGCAAGTCGTTATCAGCGAGCGAGCGCCACAAGCGACTTACTCGTGCTGCACGTCCGAGGCTGATCGCATCCAAAAAGCCCAACACACGCAACGACACCTCGCGTGGGAAGAGAGTGAATGGATCAATGCGAATGGCCATGGCCAACTCAGACGACAGCAGTGACAATTGGCTGAAACAACACATGGTAAGAATCCCGCGCAAGATCAAGGCTCGCCTGGAATGTGGCGATGAAGAGAAAAGCGACCAAACTGTATTAACAGCTTTCTTTTCGTCATAAGAAAGTCCATCAATCGACTGCAGGGTATGCGTTAGTCATTCAGTCCAACGTATTCGTCCATATGTGCATGTCCCGACGTATCTATAACAACAGGCCCATCTTTCTTCACGGACCAGTGCCTCAAACCACGCGGATAGTATATTCTTGCATGCATATTCTCCTGAACGGCTGTGGTGCAGCCAGTCCCCGCCTCAGCAGCTTACCGCGACAGAACTGACAGCAAGCTGAGGGCGGTGCATGCGTGTATGAAAGAATTGGGTACACATGTTGTGGGACGGAGAGGGATCAAATAAACGTACCTTTTGCAGACGTGCGTTTGCACCTTCATCGGCCATTCGCTGGTGGCGAACACAAAGGTTTTCCGAACGTGACAGCAGTGCAACAACGTCATTGGAGGCCGAAACATCTGATGCATGTTCATCCAGTTTGGGCATCAATTCTTCATCCTCTTGCATGCTGTATCCATGAAGGCGCAGCGGCACACTGGCTGCATCAGTCGGTCGTACAGGTGCAACAGAAGCGACATTCTCATGGTCTGTCACCGCAACCACGTCCATTGGTGATAGCGACGCGTTACCCGCGTTAGACGGCGGCACGCATAAGCATTTCTCACTGGTATCGGAAACTTGCATTCTTCCAGATCTTCCTCAACAACGTAGGGGCCGCCACGCCTACGTTGTTATTCGCAAACGATTGCCGAGAGTGGATGTAGCTTTTAAAGGGCTCCACGGTGGCGCCAAGTGCGGTCGGTCAATTAGGGGGGACATACAGCGAATCATTGAGACTGCCCTTATGGCTTTCTTCTGACCCACGCGCGATTCGCTGGAAACTCCCTCGATTACGGCTGACTAATCAATATGGTTCATTTTGTGTCATGGTTTGTGCCACATGTCATGATAATGGCACACTGATCACATCATCGCACGTCTCTGAGGATCAGCAATCAGGATGCTCATTTTTTCACACAACTATAGCGGGAATATGTGCCATAGAGTGGCGCCTAACTCTTTCAAAGGCAAGCAGGCAGGAATACTACAGTGCAGGGAATCAACCACGAGAGAAGGGAACACTTAGGCCTGGATCTCCTCAACGCTCTTGCCCGACTTGCGTGCAATCATCGTCTTGCTGATAGGTGTCAGTGGGCTATGGCCAAAATGCATGAAAGAAATAACGTACCGGTCCTTGTCCATCTTGATTTTGGTCACTACCACGTTCGATGGATGGATAGGGATCGGCACGGTCGCGCCGTTCGACTTCTCCTTCTGGAGGCGCTCAAGATGCACGACCCACTTCTTACGGTACACCTGCACAACGCGGCCCTCAGCGCCACGCGATGCACCACGCGCAACGACCACCTCATCATCCTTGCGGATAGGAAGGGCGCGGATCTATTGGGTTAGTACATGCCACTTTCAGTCGCTTGGAGACGATATGCCGGCGAGAGTTCACACAACCTGTACGTAGTGCGAATTCACCTTCCAATGCCCGCATCCTGTGGCAAGAGTCAATGAATATCGCGAGGCCCGACACGAGGAGCAGCTGTAGCCAGCGATCGAACAATTCACTAAAAAATCGCTCGAGGCCAAAGGTTGGTCTTGGCGTAATGTACTCAAGCCAAAGCAAATCGCTGCACTATACGCTAGACGCGCTGGTGTGTGCATCCAGACCTGTTTCGACGAAAGACCGCGACAATGCAGCGCCTCCGCCTAATCTCTCTCTCGCCGGCATTTGTCCAAGTTAGATACGTACACCGTGCTGCGAGCGCAACTCCTTGCTCACAGGAGCCGACATGATCTTTCGCCTAATATGACCCGGGGCATCAAAGTGGGCCTTGCGGTTGACGCGACGCAGAGAGCTGACCATGATACACCTTAGAGACGTAGGTCGTAAAGCACGCTGGAGGGCGGTATCGAGTGCTTGGAACACTCGGCTCGTTGATGCGCTTGTAATATTTCACGTGATTAATTCTCATCCTCTACTTGAGACTAGACACCCTGAACATGTGGACGGACCAGAAAAAGGCCGGGGCCGTTCATGGTCACGGGGGGAAGCGTTGATGACCCATGCTTACTCAATCCACATGCAACGTAACGTGCTCGACTCACGCGACATGGAAGTGAGCGCGGTAGGATTTCGGCCCACAAACAATATGCTCATGATAACGACTGGTCGCGTCGTTGTTAGATCTGTCAGTTGCATCTAAGTTAGCATCATCGTAGCATCGTCTTATAGACGTTTGGTTACATACGTAGTTAGAAAGCCACCGGAAGCCGTCACCATAGCCTTGGCGCATCACAACCGAGCACATGAACAATTCAATAGGACGAACATCCTTGAGCGGGACAGAGCCCTTGCCTGTCGTCTGGAACAGGCCGAGCGATTGACGCAGCTCCTCTTCAGAAACGGCGCCAGGAGCATCAATCTTGTTACCAAGGACCAAGAAAGGCACCTTGCTCAGCTCCTCAATCGAAAGAAGCGAGTCAAGCTCTGCACGGGCCTCGGGGAAGCGCTCTACGTCCTGTGAGTCGACGAGGAAGACAATGCCGTCGACCTCAGGGAAGTAGTCCTTCCAAAGACGACGAGCTTGATGTCGTTAGAATTTGTCGATGGTCTTCGTGAACGTACCCTGCTGGTGACCACCCAAATCGTACGTAGTGAACTTGACAAGCCCAATTGCCAACTCTTCCGAAGCTGAACTTGGGTTAGCATCACATGCGAAACTCCCGCACAGGGCGATGCATTACATACTTGGGTGAAGTGTGGGCTGTAGTGTTGCGAGGCGGTCGTTCTTCAGCATATGCAACAGCGTCTACGATGCGTTAGCGTGCACAATATCCACATACAGTCTTTCCGGCATTATCAAGTCCAAGGAAAAGAATCTTGGCATTCTTGTGAGTCAGACCTGCCATACCAAACAAAGATCAACGAAGAAATGCAGCGTCAGTTCAAGCTGCTAAATGGCACATCGTGCGCACATACCCAGCTGAGCCAAAATGTCCTATGTTGTGTTAGTGGCCACATTCACTGTGTATTCCTACAGCTTCTCCATGATGGATTACACATGCGTAACTATCGTACGTACCCAGAACCAATTGATAATAAACATGCTTTGACAAGCCTCTTTTGTTCACAACAACAGCGTGTGAGGTGAGACCTGAATCAACAATTGAATCAAACCGTATTTCACTCGGGTGGCTAGCACACACACGCACACACACACCTCACACGCGCATGCATAGGCCCCGGGGGTTCACGAGAGCCTGAATTTCGGCCGAGATGAAGCCCATCAAGTTGAAGGAGCGAAGACATGGGGAGAGAGGCTCATTTGAATACAGATTTCGTGCCTGGTTAGTCGACGACGCGGTGCTTGCTGATGGTACGAAAGAGCTGTTGAGTTGGAAATCGCAGAAAAAAAGGCATGAGCATCGCATGATCCAATGCATGCCTGAAACTAGTCATCTACGTGATCAGTAAGAAACTGTATGAAATAGAAAGGAATGGTAGCTGAGCGGCAAGACAAATCAAGAGGCATGAGAGACATGAGCAACGCCTACTCGAGCTTGGCCCGTAGAGATTCCGCAGGCAATGGCTCAAAATGATTGATGTCAATACCTTGGCGGCGTAGACCCTCTTGAGCACGTGGAGGGACGAGATGCTTGATAAGGTCTGGTCGAACGGACAATTCCTCTCGGGTAAAGTTGAAGAGATCAGGCATTGGCCGTCCATTCGAGAGAATGACGTCTTCCTCGCGAAGCTCATCAAAGAATGGATGGCACAAGGCCTCGACGGCAGTTAAACGCGCGTGAGGTGTGTATTGGAGCAGCTGGGTGATTAGGTCAATCGCATCTGCCGGTGTACGTGGACGGAAGATCTTTGGAAATGGATGTGGTCGAATTTGTGGGAATTTGTGTTCCATGTAGTTTGGATTCATAGTCTTGATCTGCTCACGCGACGGCGTACCCAGAACTTTGATGATCTCGACCAGCTGGTCGATACCGCTTTCGCCCGGGAACAACGGCAGTCCCTGCATAAGTTCTGCCATAACACATCCTGTTGACCAAATATCGATATTTGTCGTATAGTTCGTTGCGCCGAAAATGAGCTCGGGCGCGCGATAGTACCGCGAGCAGATATAGCTGACATTGGGTTCGCCAGGCACGAGCACTTTGGCCGATCCAAAATCACACAGTTTCAGCACCCCTGTACGCGGGTCCAAGAGTAGGTTTTGAGGCTTGATGTCACGGTGGCAGATTCCCATCGAATGAATATACGCAAGACTTCTCATGATCTGGTACATATAAAGCTTCACAAGAAGCATGGGCATCGTCTGCTTCATCTTGGTATAATGCCGCGTCGCGCGATACACGGTTTCTGGCACGTATTCCAGCACCAAGTTGAGGTACACTTCGTCTTTCTAATACATGTTAGCACACGTACAACATCGACTAAGTGCGCCTAGACTCGACATACCTTTTCTCCGCTTGTATAAAAGAAGGCACGCAGATCCACTACGTTCGGGTGCGAAAGCACACGCATGATTTGGAGTTCGCGGTTCTGCTGTTAGTGTGTGTACGCGAAACGTACCTTGAATCGTTTGTCTTGCAGCACCTTCTTGATCGCGACATTATTACTCTCATCTGACGATTCGGACGCAGGGACTTCACTGCCATCTGGCTGGAAATGCACGAGACGAGCCTGGAACACTACACCGAAGCTTCCATTGCCAATCATGCGGCAACTTGTATACGCAATTTCTCGCTGCTCACCACTTTTGCCATCAGAGGCTAGCACCTTGACGATCTTGTTTGGGTCGTCCATTCCTATTTCCAATGTAAGCATCCTGTCCACTCTCACCCCTCCCTCACCCCTGTTGTCCTCATAGGGTTCACGAACATACCTTGAAGCTTGATACCATTCATTATGAAAGTGCACTCACTATCCAATCGTAGCGGACAGCTGCGAGCCCGATGTCAAGTCCGGACTCAGCGTGTAGTGCACACAGATTGAGGCTTGGACAGAGCGATTCACTCGGTTAATCAGCAAGCGAAGCAGGGTGTGCGTGTCTCCCGCGCGTGGGGACACAGCGTGGGGCAATTCGGCCGAAGTGCAGGGCCAACACATGCACACGAGAGCCGATATAATCCTGGTGCCCGGCTTCTTTTGCGCACGTGAATGTGTCCATGAACTGTCGCAGTCGCCCGTCGTAGGCTCGGCCATGCAGCCCCGTCCAACCTTGATTCCTGTCAGCGCCTGGGCTCGATTAGCTTTGTGGGCGTGGAGGCGCTATGTCATTGCCTCGGCTCCCCCTTCCCCCGTACTGTGAGCGCTCATAGTCCAAGGTATTCGTGCTGCATCCCGTTTGTATGGTACATATCCAACATGCAGAAGGAAGGGCAGTGCTTCGGCGGGCTGTACCCCTCGACGAAGTAGGTGCACCACGTTTCTCGCATTTAGAATGCAAATTCCCTTTTCGTCTACTTGCACCTGTCCAAGCGGCGAATGATGCTACGGTCAACGCAGCAAAATATGTGGACACGGCTGATCGATCCGCCCCCATCAAGAGCGTTGGTATCTTGTTTACCCTAGGTTTTGGTGGCGGTCTTATAAGCGGCGATAGTGTGAACCTCGAGATCGATGTAGGCGAGCATACTCGCCTACTTATGCTTACCCAAGGTAATACGAATGTGTATCGAGTACGTCGCGGGGGTGATCCCGTCGCATCAATCATGCGTGCGCAGGGCCCCAACGAAGTCTCGCGCCAGCATACCAGGTACCATGTGAGAAAAAATGCCACTCTTGTCTTGCTGCCTGCGCCTGTGACATGCTTTGCACGATCTCGATACGCCCAGACGCAGCGCTTTGACTTACATTGCGGCGCGTCATCTTCATTGATTCTACTTGATTGGTTTACTTCGGGACGACTTGCCGTTAACAAGACTGACTATCGGATCCCTGAATTGTGGCATTTCTACATGTACCACAGTCGCAACGAGGTGCGCGTGAATGGCGACGTCATTGTACGCGACCGTCAACACCTTGCGCAAGACCTGCCAGACCAACTCCAAGAAGACACTAGAACAGACTTGGCTCAACGCTGTGAGCCGTATACGTGTTTTGGAATCGTAATTCTCTACGGGATCGAATGTGAGGCACTATGCCGGTCGTTATCAGAAGAATACGATCAAATCCAGCAGCCCCAACCACTGCTACGATCTGGAGGCACGTTAGGCTCGTCTCGTGTGAGTCCACCGGAAGTTCTTTGGAGTCTTAGTCCGTTGTGCTCGGGAGCGCCCGTGCCTGGTGGGAACATGAAGACAGGATCCAGTGTTGACAAGGGCTTGATCTTGCGCGTGGCAGGCACAGAAACAGACACAGTGCGTGCATGGTTGCACAAGCACTTGCTTCCTGTGAAGTATTTGATTGGAGATGATATGTATCGTATCGCTCTAGGCTAGCGAGCTAAGCAAGACAGTAAAAAAAAAAAAGCGGACGCGAGGTCGTAGCAAAAGATGCACACATATATTCCGTGTAGCCTCACGTTGGTGCACCTTGATCAGGAAGACGCTCAATACGGTACCTGTGTCGAGCAATGTACATAAGGGGTATACCAGGTACTTGACGAACCCGACGACGGAGTTCTCGATCACATGTAGCCACAATGTAACATTTATGGCTTTTGATGCGTTCGATGATGCAGTCATCTGCGTACGTTCCTTTGTGTGTGCACTCTAGCCGCTCGAAGCGCGGATCGCGTGCAACACGAAGCGCGATACGGTATTTAGGTCCAAGCTTTTCTAGCTCGGAAAGAACGCATGTAGTTATGCAAGGAATTGTCTTCGCGTACAGACAATCCATCATACCCTGCACAAGCTCAATTTTGTTTTGCAAGCTAAAGTTAATAAAGTTGGTATCAACAAGAACACGGTATGGTGGTCCCAGCGCAGAATTGTGCTGAAAAAACATAGACGAAGCAGCCATCTCTTTATACTTTTTTTTTCCCTCTTCTTTCTGTGCTTGAGCAACAGCCTGCTCTTTTTGGTTGTGCTTCCTGTCTCATTAGATCCATGCGATCTTCTGATAAGAAAGTACGTACAGTCGAGTATCTTTGGGATTCAACATCCGCTTGACTTCGCCAAATTTACGCACTTGCTTCTTTTTGCCCATGTCCGTCGTTGTGTGGTAGTGAACTTGACACTCGCCTTACTTGCTCTGTCTCCACTCTTTCCCAGTAAGCTGCACTCGACTCCGTAAAATTGTCGAAAAATTTTGCTTGCTAAGCAGGTAAAAAAAAGACCGAATCTGCACGTGATGCAAAGGACATGGACCTGGGCCGCTTGGGTCGTGAAGACTCCAGCACGTTGGAGGGACTGGGGCGCAAACCAAGCTAAGCTGCGTTATGCGAGAGTGGCGTTCAATCTTGACAGGATTCCGTGGCACACACACACACACACAATTCTCCGGGTCAAACTCCCCATTCCCACTAAGAGCGATAAGTGAAGGGACTCCCAATTGAGCTACCATCGTAAAATTAGGTCGACATTATTCCTCTGGAAAATATCTCTTGGTGGAAACAAGCAGCATGGTGACAAAACTAGTATCATTGAAAAAGCGTGTACTTTACAACTATATAGACAATTGCATTTCAACGCATTCATTTCATCATATTCCCAAAGCAAGTATAGGGGAGAACAATATCGATGAACTCGTCGTCGAGATGACGGAGGGCTTCTTCCTCGGCATCTTACTGTTGCTGTCCAAACAATCCAATGGAAGATTGCAAAGTACATCATAGAACAAGGGAAGCACGCTTGGCGCGTGCGACATAATGAACCGTATATCACACAAAGAAATCATACCAGAGACAAAGATGCACACACATTCATCCGTTCATAGGGATGTCCATCTGAAAGCACGTACGCTTAGAAACCGTGCACCTTGACATCTTGCTTGGGAATGCCTTCCTCAATCAAGAACATCGAAATCTTTTGACGTTGATCGCCTTGAAGTTGGATGACCTGGCCAAGTTCCTCGTCATCGACAAGGGTGCCATTGCAAGCAAACTCCTTTTTGAACGCCTTGAGAAGCTTCTTCGGGTCGTATTCTTTGGGAAGGCCCTGAAGAGTCGTCAGAGTCTTGCGACCATTGCGCTGTTGGATACGAATGTGGACGTAGCTGTTCACCTGCGACGTCTTCTTCGTTTCCTCAGCGAGTTCTTTGGGGGCAAGCTCGTCACCAACGTCCGCAAAAGGGTCGTAACTGGCCAGGTTCTGAATGCTCATACGCTTGCTGATGCCAATGTCCTTCTGTTTTTTTGGTCGAAAGCGTAAGAGAAAGGTGGCGCGCAGTTGACGGCTCGCGCCTCAGCCTTCCTGTCATGTCACGTGACATGTGCATTGTTCGTCTCATCATTGAGTAAGAAATCTGCGCGATGAAATGTTCGCCAACAGGCCTGGGTCCGCAGGATATGAATTGTGGATTTTTTTGGTTTTTTTCAAAACAGCTGGCGCACTGACTTTTGACACGGCTCGAAACACCGCGAGCGTACTCCGCTCACTCCGCTCACGTCACTCTAAACATACCCGCACGCACACATGGGCCGGCAGGACAAGCGGAGTGTCGTGAAGCACCGTACTCGAGGAAGTCCAAATCCTCAAAAAACTAAAGAGGGGTTTCACGTTGGTGCGAGAAACGCCCCATATGGCGCGTACATTGGTCGAGGTATGTTTGTTGGAACGGTGTAGCCCAGATGGATCTCACACGTCAGCGAAAAAGCATAAGGCTGAATTGATTCACAAGGCGAAAGTAAAAAGGGCGTATTTCAAGATGTTACAGAAAGACGAGCCTACCTCTTCGACACATTTGGAGACGGACGAGCCACACGACCTGGGCCGCTTTGCTTCAGAGGACCAAACGAATGGTAAGCAAAGCGGCGAGACGATGTATCCAACTACTAGCACCTCTGCGCAAGCATCAGATGGTACAGGAAAGCGAAAGAAGAAGCTGCCATACTTTTACCGACCATCATCGACTCACACCGAGTCACAACCACGTGAAGTGACGAAACCATCTCGGACGCGAGAGCAGGCGCTGGAGGAGCGCAATGCGCGAAGGGCACTCTGGCACCGCACAAGTCCCAGTCGGCTGGGAAAGCAGCGTGGTCAACCAGATCTGGGCGCTCGCATGCAAGTCATGCTTGATAAAATCCAACGCACGTCGTGAAGCTTGCACGAGGGCAAAAAAGGCAACCACTGCGGGAACATAGCGGGTGGTGCATGCGATTTGAAAAAAAAAAAAAGTTGATGAGAATGATAATGATGCAGAGACTATCTAAAATATTGTACAGTAGCTGAAGAAGCCGCACTAACTTGTGACGAGCTCTAAACTAACGTAGCACGACCATGACGAACGAGATGTGCATGAAGTCCATTGATGCGCGTGGCCTCCGCCTCCAGGGATTCGATCGACTCATGAACATGCTCAGCAAGGATGCGGCGTTTCGTTGCATCCATAGATGGCTCCATGCATTTGAGCTCATCGGCCAGTTCACAATATAGCTGCTTCTGATGTAAAAACTCACGACGATGCTGCTCAAATAGGTGTTCGAGCATCCGAACTTCGGACATGGAGAGAAGCGGCGACTTTGTATGATGCAAGCGGCTCAAGAGCGACTCTGTTGCCGCATCATCAGCTTCGCGCTGCCGAAGATTCGCGCGAATGCGCTCTTTGCGTGATGACGATGATGATGAGGTCTTACCTGGAGGCGATGAAATGCCCAATGCATCAGCCACGGTTTGGCAAATTTTTTCGTAACGCTCCTGTGCGCTACATGCTGAGTCAGATGGCTCATCCGTAGTGAGGGATGACGCTTGTTTTGGCGAGTCAACATCATGTGGCGGTGTTAACGGCGGCTCAGGCTGTGGCTGACAATACATTCCATCAATGGCGCGTGCCAGCCGCTGCAGTTCATCGTACATCCGCTTTACGACAGTTTCGACGGTCCTCATGGATTCAGTGCGTGACGCTGCTGGCGCTGTTGATGTAGAAAAGGTAGCAGCGGGAACGGTCGGTGAGGTGGGAATGGCCGTGGAAGCAGATGTCGGTGCAGGAGTGTAGGATGGCATCGGGTGGGCCGTTCGACCGGTGTCTGCTGCCTCACGTGTGGGCGATGACGCATTTCTATTTGCATCAAAGACAGGCCGTGTAGGCGTGGCTGATTTGGTCCTAGGCAAAGGCGAAGCTGCAACGGGAGCTCCAGTTGCTTCTCCTGCTGATGTACCTTCTCTGTTCATGCGTGTCTGGCGCTGATCAAGAATCATGCGTCGTTGTTCTTCCAACATCGCACTATGCTTAGTGACCCGTGATTCCAGAGCATCGAGGCGCTGGCGAATCCGCTCAAGAGCCTCAGAGGTGCCTTGCTCCTCACGCAGGTGCTGCATTTCTTGATCCATCGATTGAATACACTGTGTGAGCACATGGAGCTGTTGATCGGCACGTTGGATATCCGATGGAAGTGTCGAAGGAAGATTAGCATACATGCGAGATGCATGCGACTTCATCGACTCCTTCTCATTTGCATCGCTGTTCACAGCCGTATCTGAGCTTGAATGACGGCTGGCCATCGTCGGAGACCTGTGCTGCAGAGGACTAGGACGCCGAGTGTACAAGCCAGGATACGATGATCTGTGCAATGCCTGTGGTGCCTGTGGTGCCTGCGACGCATATGAGGAGTACGGTGAGTCAGGCGACGATGGCCGGTCCTGCCGTGGCACTCGTGAAGTCCGGTCCGAAGGCAAGACGGTTGAATCGATATCTTCATCTTCGTTGCCCGTGCCCGCAAGGCGCGATATGTTCAGACGCGATTGAACTTGCTCACTCAACGATGGACGCTCATGTGGGCGGACATGGCTGGCGAAAGGTCGACGTGCTGATGACGACCAAGAGCGCCGATTGGGTGTTGCCAGGAACACACTATGGTTGCCAGGCGAGTACATGCGAGCAGCAATATCTTCATCGGAGCCGCTCTCATCTGAGTCTTCCAACGCATATGGATTGCGCCGCCGATGCCTCGTGGCCGACGATGCATACCTACGAGATGTTGCCGGTGCTGGCGATAGAAACGAAGAGCTTGGAATGTGACTCGGTGCGTGCATCGGCAGTTTCAATTCCTTTTCTACTACACGTCGTACCTGCTCCTCAAATGATCCAGGTACGTCCATCGTCGATGTACGCATAGCAGGCAACAAACCCTCCCACGCTGCAGTACGTGTGTGGTTGTGGGTGTGTGTATGTCCGGAAATGTGTGTTTTGGCGCGCGCGTGAAAATGCCCCACCAGCTTTGCGGCCAGTCACGACGGTAGGAATGTCCAGACAAAATATATACACAGACACACACCTGCCAATTTGAGGGCCCAAGACACACGCGTGTGACTTGCGTTCAAAGCCTGTGTTCCACCACACCCATGGAGATATGCACACGCGCATAATCGCGTGTGCGCGTCTAGAGTCACGTGCGCTATACCCGCTCAGAGAGGCATGCATGCGCTCAACCTGGCCCAGCTAGGGGAAAAAAAGGGGGCCGCCGGTGCGGAGCAGTCCATGTCCACCCAATCCCTCCACCCTACAACGTGCGTCCCTTGGCCCTGTGGATGGCTGGAAGAAGCTATCCGCGCGTATGGGGGAAAAGAATGCAGTCCAGGTAGGTGGGCTTACGTGGCCACTGGAGTGACGCGCTTCGGCCAAGAGAGGGAAGAGGGTGTGACAACATGCCTTTGGATTTTGGCCATTCTGCGTGAGAGTGTGCCGGAGTAAGGCGGTCGGGACGGACGCCAACACCTAGTCGCACGAGTGGGCACACACGACTGGCATGCAACAAGGGAAAGCAAAGGGCACATGCGAGAAAAGGCCGACCAAGGGAACGGGCGCAGCTCGCGCGCCGCTACGCGTGGCGTTTGTGCATCCTGATCTAGGCATCGGGGGAGCCGAGCGTCTGGTGGTCGACGCGGCAGAAAGCCTGCAAGACCGCGGCCACACGGTGTACATCTTGACATCACATTTCGACGCGTCGCACGCGTTTGAGCCCACACGCGATGGCACACTTGAGGTCATCCACGCGAAGACATGGATCCCGCGCTCCTTATTTCACATGCTGCATCTGCCGATGGCCATTCTGCAGCAGTTGTCTCTTGTGATGCAGGTCGTGGTAGCAGCGTATGGATCGTCACTCGCACGCCACTTGCCACATGTGTACAGGTCACTAACGCATGTGCCGACCAACTCGCTCCCAGACGTGTTTGTTATTGACCAACTACCAACAGCGATACCCTTAATCAAACTCTTGTGTGGGCGGCGCGTCATGTACTACTGTCACTTCCCTGACAAAGAAATCAGCGCTGCTCTGGCGCGACAGCGAGGCACGCGAGGTCTCCGTGCGCTTGTGCGTGCGATATACCGCTTCCCACTCGATGTGCTTGAGGAAGCTACGACGCAATGGGCCGATTTGATTGTCGCCAATTCTCGCTTCACGGCCACACACTTCCACCGCGTTTTCCCTCGGATTGCGAAACGTCCTTCCGTCGTGTACCCGGCCGTCGACGAGGCTATGTACACGGCGCAGCACGTTGAGCGTGAGATGGCCACCTATGTAAGCACGTGCACAATGCAGGTAGGAGAGGTTGGCTCGTATGCCCGCGAGCATTTGGAGCTGGTTCAGCGTGTGATTCATGCGAATGACTGCCCGATGTTTTTCTCCATCAACCGCTTTGAGGCGAAGAAAAACATCCCCTTAGCCCTTCACACTGTCGCACGTCTGCGGCAGCAAGCTCAGCGCGAGACACGTGTGCGTCTCGTTTGTGCAGGTGGCTACGATGCACGGATTCGCGATAACATCGAGACTCTCCACTCGCTCCAGTCTCTGGCCGATACACTAGGCCTCACGCATGTTACGCTATGGAACCGAGCGCCCCCGTCGCGCACAAACGACGTGCTGCCACCCAAGGCCGAGCAGGTACTAAAGGCTGATGTGATTTTCCTACCGTCTTTGCCGAGTGCATTACTTCATGCTCTCCTGCATGCCCCGAGTTTGCGAGCCCTGCTTTACACACCGACCAACGAGCACTTTGGTATCGTGCCGCTCGAGGCTATGGTATGTGGCGTCCCCGTCGTCGCTACAGATACGGGTGGGCCACTCGAGACGGTCTTAGATGCATCGTTAACGTCCGTCAGTCTCCATGGCAAGACACAGATCATGGATACGAGTGCGATGACGGGCTTTCTACGGCCGCCGAGTGCGGACGCCTGGGCAGCTGCATGCAGCACAATACTTGCATGGGACGAGGGAACTCGTGCCCAGGTCGCAGCAACAGCAAAGCGGTGGGTATCAGAGCGGTTTTCGGTGCGTTCCATGGGTGCAGAGCTCGAAGAGCATCTGCACAAGATCGGCATGCAGGCCGTGCCGCAAGCAGAGCGATTGCAGATCCTCGGGACCATGCTTGCTCTCGTGCTTATGCATGTCGTGGCGGTCTATGTTGTGCTACGTTCACTGTAAGACGGGCACCTGCGCCCACTAGGATGGGCATGAGCTACAATTCGGCCCAACCGGTCGTCTGTGTCTGCCGCTCGCCGGTTAACAAGGTCAGTACAAACACCAACAAGTTGGCTGTCACGCCCATGCTCAAGCCACGATACAGACCACGCAGGCCGCTAAGTCGGGTATGTGTGCTGGCAGCGACAGTGGGTGCCTCGTCGTCGGACATGGCACCATCGTCCGACTTGGGTGCCACGGATCGAGCTGCAGTCTCCTCGGTTACGATGCGGTACACGGTCTCGGCGACGCCCGTGTATGGCACAGGGCGCGTCTCGACACATGTGCGGAGACCACGGCGTGCCGTGCTCGTGTTCGGCACGGTCAAAAGTCCGCCGACGCGATCATTGCGCAGTGGCTCGTGGTACTGCAGCTGCAGACGCCGACGGACCGTCTCGATTGGGAGTGTGATGCCTAGCGACAGCGTCGAAATAACGAGCTCGGCCAGCGCATAGGAAATGGGGTATGCGCTTGGATCAAGATGGAACACATTCTCAATCAGTAGTGGCGCGCTCAGCGCAAATAGTGGGCGGAACAGGTAGTCGAGAATCGTCGGAATCAGCAGATTCGGGTGGAAGTAAGTGGTGCGCCAGCCACCCTCCTCGCGGAAAATAGTTCGCAGAGCATCGAACGGACCCTTGTACTTGCGGTGCTGAGGGAGCGTCGACTGCGCAATGAGGCGCGTTCTTATCAGATCCAGCGGCGACACAAAGATGCCCGTCATGAGATGCGACGTCATCAAAAGAGTCAGCGTCTTGATGGGCTGCGGCGAGAAAGCAATGGGCATAGGATTCAGGGCCGTTGGTGCAAAGATGGACATGATGCCCGACAAGATCGACTGCAGCGTCGTGGATGACAAGTCCATGAGAAACGTTGTGAAAGCGCCCTTCCACAGACCCATCCATCCCTCCTTTCCACGTACGACAGCCTTGATCATCTCCCACACACCTCCCTTTACGACCACAGGCATTAGGAACTCGGGCCGTGTGCTAGCATCCTCCTGTGTTTCTGGCACAACGTAGCCATGCTTGTCGACGCGCCGCCTCGACGCTGATGTGCTCGCGACATCAGACGGATCGCGGAAGTACTTACTGGGTGCATCGTCGTCCTCATCGTCCTCATAGTCACAGGCATCATCCCCATCGGCATGACCGCCTGCACCACGAGCACTCATGCCGTCTTGATCAGCGTCATTGTCCGGGTCGGTCCCGGTAGCCCAAGCAGATGACGACCGACTACGCGCGTCACTCCACGGATCCTGCTCCAACTCGCTCGTACTACGCTTCCGGCGCCTTGGGAGTGTCGTGCCTGACGATGCTTGCACACGCTTCCAGACGTCTTCCCGTGGCACCCATTGCACTTGCAGCAAGAGCTTACCAACTTCAAAGGGCATCGCAAGACACGTGCTCGTATACTGCAATGCACCACTCACAAGCAACCCTGTGACGACAGCGCCCACTGTCGTCTTGTCTGACCGCATCGCAAGAGCAGCATCTGCATCTGCCGACAAATATCGGTTCGTCGTCCGCGGAAGCTGCACTGCTGAGCTGCTGCCTCCATCCGTGCTTGAGCCTGGCATCGATCCTGACGATCTCCCATATGATGATGACGTGTTTATGTGGGGCGCCGTTGCCATGAACGTCAATTCCTCACGTGGCCGTTGGTATGGCCGCAGTCGTTGACTTGATCCGGGATCCATGCCGTGTACTGCGCTGCGTCGTTCCCTAGTCTAGGAACCGACGATATGTGTATGTGTGTGTGTGTGTGTGTGACGTGTGAATTGGATCGCCCCGTCACTCACAGCCCAACGCTAGAACACCTGTCTCATCTCTCACGAACGTCGAGCCTACGCACCAGAACATGCGTCAAATGACCCTAAAGGCAGCTTGCAAGGCTAGTGGAGATGTACCTAGTAGGCTATATACATGTGCTGGTCATGCCCCCGCAGTGGTTGGGGCAAGGGGTCGGTGGCAAGCAGTGATGAGACACGTCTAGCATAGAGCCAATGGACGACAAGCGTGCTTGTCAACGTAAGAAGAGACTTGTCATCACCGTTCTGTTTGCGCGCACACCTGATTCATATTGGCACAAGATTGTGATGGATGTTGGCCGTGCCACTTCCGTGCACGACATCGATCCAAAGTCGTATATCGCCGTATACGTCTACTTCGCTGGCCCATGCGCACCGAGAACCCGGACGCAACGCTTACTCTCTAGTTGCGCCTTATTCATGTAAGTCGCGACGCACGCTTCGTGCGATGGCGTCTGGGTCAATGATTCGCGGAACCTCCCGACTCGGCACATTCACATCGTGTCGAGAGTGGGGAGGGGGCTTGGCTGTGAGACGAACGTCTTGTGAGCCAAGCTGCTGTGTTGTGCGACGGAGTTCCTCCACGTCCTCCTTGGTAAGTGAGAGTGCCGTCGGTGGGCTTCGCAACATGGGCTTGACCGAAACACGAACGTCAACGTCGACCTGCCCAAGAATCCACGCAAGCCTCGACCAAATGGGTCAAAACCGTGCACGAGGCGCAATTGCTGCTCTCGCTGCCACCAGCGCCTCTGCCGCCGCCGCAACTGGACTGGGCGCGACTCAAATGTCGCAACCAGTGTCACGTGGACATATTCTCGGCTTGGCCACCCGCCTCAGGAACCAGCGATCGTTAGCAGCGCATCGTCCGGTTTGGACAACGACCTCATTGAACCTCTCAACCATGGGCCGCGGTCGTGCATACAGGCGCGGTGCAGGCGCGCGTGGAGGAAAGCGTTCAGGCGGTAGTGGTAGTGGTGAGCGTCATGGCGAATACACGACCTTTGAACAACGCAGTCCCAAGTTCGAAGCGTATTATCGGGGCCAGGGCATTGTGCCAGACGAAGAGTGGGACACGTTCATCGAGTCGATGCGTACGCCATTGCCAACGACATTCCGCATTACGTCTGGAAAGCCCACTGCGCGCCAGCTGCTGGATGCTATGAACAAGATCTACCTGCCGTTCCTCTCAAACGTGCAATTCGAAGGCGAGAAGGTGACGCCTCCTCGCCAGCTAGAATGGTACCCCGAGGGACTAGGCTGGCACCTCGATGTGCGGAAGAATGTCCTGCGAAAGTCGCCCGAGTTTAAGCGGTTCCAGCAGTTCTTGGTCCACGAAACAGAGGTCGGCTCCATCTCACGTCAAGAAGCTGTCTCTATGCTTCCGCCGCTCTTTCTCGACGTGCGGCCTGAGCACCTCGTCCTCGATTTGTGTGCAGCTCCTGGGTCTAAGACAGCTCAACTTATCGAGGCCATCCATTCGCCCTTGACATCTTCGCCAGATGCGTTTGATCCCATGCCACTGGGTGTTGTCGTTGCCAACGATTCAGACACCAAACGTGCGCACATGCTTGTCCATCAGGCGCAGCGCTTGCCATCGCCTAGTCTGTGCGTTACGAATGTCGATGCCAGTAACATGGCAAATATTCAAGTCGCATGGAAGGGCGAGCAACCATCTGACCCCATCTGCCAGCGCGAGCTCAAATACGACCGCGTCCTTGCCGATGTCCCTTGTTCAGGCGATGCTACGTTGCGCAAGAACCTCTCAATCTGGAAGGATTGGACACCCATGAATGGCACCGGTCTACATGCGCTACAATTGCGCATCTTGATCCGCGGTCTTATGCTGCTTCGCCCTGGTGGCAGACTTGTGTATTCAACATGCTCTCTTAATCCAATCGAGAACGAAGCCGTCGTTGCTGCGGCTTTGCGTCATTTCCAGGGCGATGTAACCGTGTTTGATGCATCCAGCATGCTCCCGGCGCTCAAGCGACGTCCTGGCATGACATCATGGAAAGTAGCGCCGGGGCGGGGCGCTCACTTGTTCAGTGCCAGTAGTAAGACTGAGAAGGAGAAGACAGCTGACTCTGACGCGCAGCCGCCTGTTCATACTCAACCAGAGCAGCACAATGAGCAAGACCAACAGGCGGAACAAGACAGGCCAGAGACGACAACGCCACTACCACGCATTCCCTGGATTGATTCTTGGGATGCTCTCGAGGCCGTGGATGCAGACCTGGCCTCTAGAACACCAAAGAGTCTCTGGCCGCAGGGCGATGAAGAAACACTTCATCTCGAGCGCTGCATCCGTGTATACCCTCACATGCAGAATACCGGGGGGTTCTTTGTATGTGTGCTCGAGAAGAAGCCCAAGACCCCAGAAGAGTCAGCCTCCATGGCCCCGGGCATGTCCCGTGCTATGGATGCCATCACCAAGGATTTGTTAGCAGCCGAGCAAGACGAGAGCAGTGCCAATGGCAACAAAGACTACCACAATACGAACAATGCACCCGGCGCCGGCTCAGTCAATGACCATGCGAATGCTACCGAAACAAGCACACGTACAAAGCGGCCTTCTGAGGAAAGTGAACATGAAGCAAAGCGTGTCAAGCCAGATGCCCCCAAAGAGGCAGCACAAGATGGCCAGGATTCTCAAGACTCTCAGAACGCATCATCAAACCCAAGCAAGGTACCAGATGTCGTGCCTGTGGATAAGCACCGTGCTGATCGTGAAGCTAAGCGTCGTGGAAACTCGGATGCACCTATCGGTGCAGGAGGCATGCCGTATCGAGAAGATCCTTTTGTCTATGTCCATCCGATGAATCCCGAGATCCAATCGTGTGTGCAGTGGTTTGGCTTACACAACTTCCCTGTAGCCAATTTGCTCGTCCGCAATCCCGAGCGCGTGCCTCTTCGAAGCGTGTACTTGACATCTAACACAGTTCGTGCAATTGTAGCAGGCGGTGGCCCAGGCGCCGGTGTACATCCCACGCTCAACCCGCTTAAGATTCGTTTACTCAATTGCGGTGTCAAAGTGTTTGGCCGGCAGGAATCTGTAAGCAAATCTACGCAAGCGCCGAATGCCATGGCAGTTAACGGAGATGCTGCGCTACGTCGCGAAAATGTTTCGTCCACTTTGGCATGTCGCTGGCGAGTCGTAAGCGACTCTTTGTATTCGATGCGTCCTTATCTCCATGACAAGATTGTACTCAAGGCTACGTTGTCGGACCTGGCTTTCTTTATTCGTGAGTACTATCCTGTACTGGAAAAGATCCCCGGCTCTGTCGGTGAGTTTTTGCGAGGTGCTGAAATGGGAAGCTACGTGCTCGACATCCAGCCAAGTGAACATGACGGACACAAGCTCAGCGTTGCACTTTCCTATCCAGTTTGGAGATCGATGGCTTCAGCAAACCTGATGCTAGACAAGCAAGAAAAGAGCGCATTATCCTTCCGCTTGTTTGATACAGACCTTTCAGATCCGGACGGCCAGCGTCAATTCTCCGCGAACCCCCAACAACGCAAGCAAAACAAGGAAAAGTCCGAGTCAGGCGATAATGTAAAACAAAGAGATCCTTTGGGGTCTGATTCCAAGGAGAATGTGATTGCTACCGCGGACGATCTTGCGAAAGCACAAGCCAACGTCGCGAATCCACAATCGAATGTGGATCAATAACATGTGAAAGCCACAGAAATGCCTCCTGATGCCAAGACAGAACAATAATAACGAATTTTAGGTCTTATCGAAACTGCCACAACATACAAGCGGCTTGCATATAGGTGCTTTCATTCCCGAAAGCATTTCGCAACTCCGTAGACATATCTATCTGTGCAAAACAGACATTACATAACATCGGTAACAACCTATTTGTCACCAACCAAATTTGATCCAAAAGTGTAACAAAAGGATGCGCCAAGGGGGAATCGAACCCCCGGCACGGCTACGTCATGAAGATGGCAAAGCCGTATTTTACCACTAAACCATTGGCGCTTAGGCCAAACCTTGCAAGGTGAATACTATATCCCATGCATCAAAACAAAAGACGAATTAAAAGATAATGCGCCAAGGGGGAATCGAACCCCCGGCACGGCTACATCATTAAGATGGCAAAGCCGTATTTTACCACTAAACCATTGGCGCCTGACGGTCCAAAGTTGGTTTTGAGACCAAAAATATTGCCAGCGTTCACGTTCCATGGCACCAAAATGAAACCATGCGCCAAGGGGGAATCGAACCCCCGGCACAGCTACGTCATGAAGATGGCAAAGCTGTATTTTACCACTAAACCATTGGCGCATACACGAGCCATACTGGAAGCATTCACATATATGATTACAACAGTATTAACTGTTGTATAAAGAAATCGGTCAGTGATGGCTTGTCAAGTCTCCTCGATGCCTTTGACACTCATCATCCAGGTATACAGTATCTATGATCCTTATTTCTAACTTTTACCAGAGAACCAGTCAGTTATACGGCGCCAAAAACTCAGGTGAGAATCTAAACGACAAAAAATGTCAATGGACACGTCCAACCATCCGTGCCCAGGGCACTCGCACGAAGCGGCCTATTAGGACTCACCATGCTTATTATTCTCACGAGACTCGTCCGTATTCGTGTTTCCACCTGGAGAGTTGGTATCGTCGGCTTTTGGCGGTGCGTCTGTACTGGAAGATGATGTACTTGTGCTTCGACCCTCGTACTCATCGGCAAACTGCTGAAGGAGCTCCTTCTGACGCTTCGAAAGAGACCTGCATCGATGTCAGCTAAGACCTCGCAAAGGTTATCACTTACCTTGGTATGGTAATATCAAACTGTACCATGAGATCGCCATGGTTCTCGTAGCTCTTGCGACCGCCAAGACGGGGCACACCACGTCCGCGAAGAATCATCTCATCGCCAGGTTGTGTGCCTGATGGGACCCGAACGCTGACATCGCCTTCAAGAGTTGGCACGCGGACGCGACCGCCTAGCACGGCCGTATAGAATGGAATCTGCGCTGGGTAGAATAGATTCGTACCTTGTCGACGCCAGGTTCGACTTGGCATTACATGAATCCGCACATACAGAGATCCTGGTGGTCCCGGCCCCATAAGAGGCACATCACCGGCGCCATCCTGTCGGATTCGGTAACCATCATCTACGCCAGCAGGAATGTTGATCATTATACTACGCTTTGACTTGACGCGACCAGCACCTGAGCACGAAGAGCACTCATCACCAGGTGCAATAGACGAGCCTGTGCCACTGCATGCCGGACAGGTGCTAGCCATTTGGAAGCCGCCTTGGATCACAAAAGTGCGCGTGCCTGTACCACGGCACACTTGACATGTGCTGCGCTTTGCATTTTCCTTCAAACCAGAGCCTGTACACGTGCCACATCGGTCGATGGGGTTGATCGAGATGGTACGCGACGTGCCCTTACACGCTTCCTCGAAAGTGATATTGACACTCGCTTCAATATCCTCGCCACGTGTCTCGCCGCCAAATCCTGTGCGAGCAGTGCGGCCACCACCAAATGCACCACCAAACAAAGACTCAAAGATGCTTTCCGCGCTGCCTGGATGGAATCCACCAAAACCAGCTGCACCAGCGCCACCAAACGGATCAAAGCCCATGTTGGGTCCATCCGCCGAGCCGAATTGGTCGAACGACGCGCGTTTCTGGTCATCGCTTAGAATGTCATATGCAGCCTGAATCTCGACGAACTTTTCCTTCGCCCCAGGCTCTTTGCTCGTGTCGGGATGGAATTTTTTGGCTAATTGGTAGTATGCGCTTTTAATGTCCTTCGCGCTCGCGTCGCGCTTCACACCAAGCGTTGCGTATGGGTCCTTTGGCGTGGAAAGACGATTTGATGAGCTGTGAAAACCACGCACATTGTATACTGCTGTTTTCTGGGATGGCTGCGAGCTTGCTCTTGCAAATCGCGAGGAAGAGGACGAACAACGGCCATGCGTGACGGCAGACGACACCGTCACAAGTGTGCGGGGAGTCACATCTGCAGAAACTCTGGCAGTTGGGATCCTTCTCAGTTTCCCGGACGCTACACTAATGGTGTTAGCACTGCGCTGACCGATAAACGTGGTTGACATCCGGCCGTAGAGAACCAGGGTAGATGATGACGCTCACCCGCAAGAATATTACTTCGTCGCCGACCTGTGGCGCTGGAAAATTCCGGCACCTCACCGAAAATACATTGGTTTTATTGGCAGCACAAGAGTCTATAGCACGTGGAGTTCTGTGGAGGTGTGTTGCGACCGCTCATAATTGCGCGTTCGAACCCCGCAGAATAGAGGAAAGAAACGCTTTGGAGTATCTAGGGAGACGTGGCGGTTAGTACGGAGGCACAAAGATAGGACGAGGGCGCGCAATCATGCACGCATGCATACCTCTGGCACTGCTCAAATACGGTATAGAATGCACTGTCGCCAATCTGGATTGTGAAAGTCAGTGTGAGTGGGTGTCCTATCTGTGGGCCACGTCAGTAGAAGCACATACAAAGTACGGATCGAACACAGTCCCATTGTCGTCACTGCACCAACGCGTCAGAGATGCTTTTCTTAGCAACATACAAAGCAGAAAATAGCATAACCCTGTCACAAGAGTCGGTCAGTTAACATGCACGTTCGCGCTGGTATGGATACATACTTCGCCTTGGAGCCCTTAGGCTGGATCTTCGTGAGGTTTCTAACATTGTTTGTGCTAGGTGTGAGCATTGCTAAGATGCAAAATCCGTCATACGTACTCCATGCCGAATATGTAGTGGAATTTGTTAAAGTCTTCATTCCGAATGGCGCGCGCCTGGTGCTTGATAGGTACATTGTTCTTCATGCATACACGCACGGATCTATCGTCAGCAAAATAAACGAATTCCACGTACGTTGAGTGCGGCTCTTCTCCCTCGTGGTAATCTGCTGTACCACAGCTATCAATGATGCCAAATTGGTCCATCATATTTTCTTTCTTGACAGTATCTTTAAATACAGCCTCAGCCATCGGACTTCGACAGATGTTTCCAAGACAGCAAAACAATACATTTATCGGTTCAGCATCCATCCTCGTTTCGTCGTCAAGTTTCCCTACACTTCACGTGCTTTGAGGGGCTGGTGTGAGTGAGCGTGTCAATCAACCGCATTGAAACGAACTTTGACAGGTCTCTTCTAGTCAGATTGATTAAGAAACGGACACGAAACCGCTCTCCTCCCCACCTTGTGGCTACTTTGGAGCCCTTCGACCTCCACAACTCCCAGGACAACCACCCGCCAAGACCTCTACTTCCGCTACACGATAACATATATCTTTATTTTCTACAAGACACCGTACCACACCCGAACTACATACGGCCCAACACAGCCAAGGTGCGAAGAAACTCGGATGGAGTGAGAATTTCTGTACTTCCGTACGTGATTTTCTTCTGACTCGACGTGCCGGGCGCAATACCACCGGACACGGACACTGATCGCGTGACGTATTCTTGGAGATTAGCAAATTCGACGTGGCTTCCACCACCCACGACGAACACTATAGCATGTGCAAATGGCTGACGAGCTTTGGCACCGCCTGGTGCCATTCCCGTGCCACGTCCCCGAGGCTGCCGAGGATCAATACACAGATAGTCGTCTGTCTCTTGGAGGGTCTGTGCATTACTGCCGGCTGGATCCATGATCGAGGCAACCAAGCGCGTGACAGTAAAGTCTTTTTGCACAGGCAGAAAATTTTTGACACCGGCAACGAGATGTTCTAGTCGACTGTCCTTAAGCTTGTCGGTTAGTCGGCTGCTAAGTGAGCCGAATCCCCTGAACAGTTCATGACCACCCTGTGTCGGCGCTAGCGTTGGAGTCGAAAGGGTAAAACGCATAATCTCCCGCGCCTTCTTCGCATACATCAGAGCAGCTAAGTCCACCCCTTGCGCACGAAGAGTAGCTTCAAAATCTTCCACTTCCTTGCGGCTCAGCGAGGCATCGGGTGTCGACAAGTAGTATACAAGGAAGAGCCGCAGCTTGTCTTCGGGATTCTGCATGGCTGGATTCTGAAGCGCCTCTAGAATAGCGGACTTGCTTTGCCGGGTAATGGCCTCTTCCATCTGGTATAATTCGTCCAAGCCACGGGTCTTTATACCTTGTAGAAGAGCGGTCGCAATGTTCATGTGAGCATCAATTGTGCGTTTTCTCGCCGTAAGTTTGGGCAACGCAGTCACAGCTGCCTTGAGATGTGAGGCATTCGACGATGCATCGAGCTGACCAACCTCGTCCATGCTGTTAATACCTGTAGATCGCATGATCTCGTTCGCCTCTTGCCGATACTGATTCAGTTCTGCGTCGATATCTTCGGCAACCTGTGGGAATGGCAATTCGGCATTCTTTGCCCAAAAATAGTCCTTAGCATCTAAGTCGTACGAGCGCTTAGCAGCCACGGGTTTGTCTGACTCCTGAACCGTCACGCGATTCAGCTTTGCATCCAATACATCATACACAAGGGCCTGGTATGTCCAGGAGTGAGCGATCATGGGCACCATGTCCACATTACGGTCCATCAAAACGAGGACAGGGCGTTCTTTATTCCATGAGTTCGATGTGGCGGCAAAGAGTCCCGCTACCCCACGCGAGGCAGATGACTGATCACGTAGTTTCGACTCAAGTTTGCGAGCGACAAGCTCGGCAGCACTTCCACGCGGCGCCCGAATGATCGGAAGTGTTCCCATAGAAGCGAAAACCGATAGTAAACCCCCAGCAATGCGATCGGTCTCTGCCTCAACATGTTCCTGGCCATGTTGTGGGTTGTGTAGCTGTTCGTACGTTGTGGGAATATGCGACGAGGCTGCCGCTGCTGAGTTGGACTCGCGCCCTTTCGGAAGAAGCTGGAATAGGTTGGGCTGGAGTACAATGTAGTCAAGATATTGGTCATACACTTGACGGATCTGTGCACCAGCACCACTAGTTCGTGCGACACCCTGTGCTAACTGCTCCAGCACAGACCGAGACACCATGGAGGTGAAATTGATATATGTCGATTCGTATAGTCCTTGAGACACATCCTGTCGGAGTAAGAAAGACATGCCTTGGAAAGGGACGAATCATTTATGACGTACCTTTGCTATCCGCGCCACATTCTCATTTGTGGGAGATACAAAATATATGGCTGGTACATCTGGCAAAGCAGGACGATCGCTATGCAGTTGCAAATGTAGAGTGACACCATTCTCTCGAAGGTCTTGCACGCGTAGGCTTGTAGCCAAAATATCTGTACTCGTTGGATCCATAATAAGAATCTTCCACACGGGCGGTGCAGCCACGGTAGGCATAGATTCGTCTGGTTTCACCGAGCTGCGACCGGTCGTATGAGAGAAGGCCGGGTCATTAAAGTTCAGCATAGACAAAAGCGACTGCACTTGCGCTGAGCGCAATGAGACAGATCTTGTTCCTGTGGAACCAAGCATATTCGCACCACTAGGCGCCATGGCCCCTGGCGCAGCAGCCATTCTCTCGTCGAGCCAAGATGGAACTTGGGTTCGTCACACTTTCAATAGTGGGTCGAGCAGCCCCAACGACGTGAGAGGTGCGTGACGCGAGCCACGTGCCAAAACCTGGGTCTGTGTGTCGGCCGATACATTTCTCTCATCCGCGACCACTTGCGAGCCAACCGGCGCCGCCCATACGTCACTCGTGTCCATACGGGGGTGATGGAAACGTTGCATTTCCAGGCTTCGATGTAGCCGCACCCTTCGACCTATTCGACTGCCCTTTAACAGATTAGGGGAGGGCAGGTATAAACTTTAGCATACGTACTGGTGAAGAGTGATTTCCTTATTTGTGCGATTTTAGGAACTCAAGATGCTTGCTTAATATATGTGCTGGTTTTTATCCTAACCTGCACGTATGATGAACATTTAGATGCAATATCACTTTCTTATCTTGATCACGCGCATCTGCTATAGCTTATACCATCGTAAGCGCTTTCTGTCCATCTTCCTAGTGGTTCATGTTGCAGTTGCTCTGTGCGCGTCTCCATCTGTCGCTGCACGTGGCTGATGATTGAACTAGTACTGATTGGGTGTATCTTGCATAGTCCACGCCATGCACACCCCAAGAGTGAGACGGAAGGCGGAGCATCGTTGCGGTATCCGACCGGCTCCACATGAGCATGTTTCTTGACAAAATCAACCAAGACTTGAAAGCAACTTCGCAATGAAGGATGGCATAACCCTAACACCAGAGGAATGGGATGAGCGGATTCCATCATTTGCAGGTGTTCGTCAGACGTCGTTCTGTGAGTTTGAGAGCGTGGCGAAAGAGCACTTTGTGCCTGTGATGGGAAAGTCGGTGTTTGGCGGCTCTCTTATTGCGCAGAGTATGGAGTCGGCAAGCAAGACAGTTCCGCGACATATGGAGCTTCATGTATGTTTTTAGCGATAACGAACTAACTTTTCAAGGAGATACATGTATGTAAGCGCTATGACTCACCATGTACAGGGCAAATTCTTGGATCGAGCAAACGTCAATGATTATATCCACTACTTCGTGAAAAAACTACGTGATGGGCGCTCTTATGTGTCGCGCCGGGTCGATGCAATGCAAGGAACGACGCTTCTTTTTACAGCTACGATGTCGTTTCAGATGCCCGAGCCGGATCAACCGCAGTTTTTTGCACCACCTCCGAAAATTGTTATGGATGGTGATTTCAAGCTGCAGCTTAATATCCAAGAGGGGCAAAATTTCCTCCCCAAAGAAGTGCTGGCTCCTGAAAAATGCATGCTGTCATACAAGCGGTATGAGCATCTTCTATCGACGATACCGAAGGACGATCCGATGTACGCCATGTGCGCTAAATGGACGGATGACCAGCGTCACGTGTATCCAGTAGAGTATCGACCGGCTGTACCGACAATGTACGATAAAAACGGGCACCTCCAGTATGGCACGAGCGTAGCATATTGGGTTCGCTCGCGTGGCAATAGCCCTGGCTCGATCAACTTCCAGCGTGCTATGTTGGCATTTCAGACAGACCAACTCCTGCTCGTCAACATGCAATCGAGCATACGCTCGCTCGTACCCTCGATGATGGCATCTCTGGATCACACGATGTGGTTCCATAATGACTTTACTATGAAAGATTGGCTTTTGATGGTGGTACGTAAGCAGGATTGCTTACCTTTCGTCAGTTAGAAAACCAGGCTATCAGTAATGGACGCGCTCTGGTTGCCACTCGTGCATACAGGCAGGATGGTGTTCTTGTTGCTATTGCGGTACGTGTTGCCATTACATGTAGTACGCACTGACGACTAGATTCAGGAGGGCGTTTTCCGTTATGATACCAATCCAGCCTCGCGTCTCTAGTAGTTTAAATCGATTTTTTTGGTATCGCTGAAATATTCTACCGCCCTTGATGCAATGTGGGTGGAGTGACATTGTCCGTCGTGTGACATTCAGTGCTAGTTTCCTTCATCGCTGTGCAACACAATGGAACAAATCGGTCCATTTTTGCTTGAGCGAAGTGGAGTCGATTCCATTTGAACATTTGTACGTGTTCAGCATACGTGGATTTCGTGAGGCAAGTCTACGGAGATTGATTGCAGCAGCACATGGTGGTGCGCACTATCCGTGTGCTAGATTATGTACCAAGCTATGCAGAATTTTGTGTACGTATCCCCGTTGACACTAACGCGGTTGCGCCTAGCAAGAATACCTGCAAAAGAACGTACCAGTCGTTTTGCCCACATCTATGACGCGTTCCTGGCCGGCAATATATCGCTATGCACGGGATGGACGAGTAGACTGGGATTCACTTTGCACAGATTACGGCGATCATGAAGTACCCGTCATTATTGACGCCAAAGAGCGTGAGACCATGAGGTTCAATGAAGCAGTCGACCTCATCAAACAGCAGAAATCGCACACTGTCTACATCAAAGACTGGCATCTTGTCCGCTCTGCACGCATGGATGCTCAGGGCAAGGATCCCGACAGATTGCTACCCTACAGAACTCCAGCTCTGTTCGCAGACGACTGTAAGTACACCGACTCACGTATACGAATTCTCAGGGATGAACAATGTAACAACACAGGGCATTACATCGGACACGGTTCCCAACTGCTCTGACGCCTGGCTCGGCTCTTGCTCTGACGCATACGAGAATGATGATTTCCGTTTTTGTTATGCAGGGACAATGGGATCTATCACACCTCTTCATCGCGACGGTATGTTCTAATGCAGCTGACGGCCGATTGCGTGGCAGTTTGTACGTGTTGTACATTGTATTCCCTTGCACTCACCCTTACAATGCGAGACACCTCGTACTCATGGTCGACAAATATAGCCGGACGAAAGCGTTGGCGCTTCTTTGCACCAGCTGATGCAGCGCTTCTTCGCCGTACGTATGCACGTACGCGTGCTCTCACATGTCAAAGGATTTCCTGAGCAGCGTACGTCTGAGCTTGCAAGCACTTTCAAAGATATGGAGCGGCGACGCGCGCTTGGCGAGCTTGGCGCATTTTGTGATGGTTTTAGCGGGTGGCCTGGATGGGAGCAAGCACGTCTACGAGTTTACGTCATTGAACAAGAAGTGTGTACTGTGTTCGATACGTCGCATGCGCTTACTCATATTAGCCGGGGCAAACGATTTTTGTTCCGTCAAATTGGTATCATGAGGTCGAGAACCTTACAGATTGTTTGAGTGTGAGTTGATACGTTCGTCCTTTTCCCCCATCTAATTCCAAATTTATTGACGAACTCGTATGATCTTTTTATTTTTCTAACATGTCTATGTGCAGCTCAATCATAATTGGTGTAATGCTTACAATCTAAGAAGCATGTATATTGCGATGGAGAACGAAGTGCGTGTAACATAGCATCATTGTTCAAGCAATACGCTAACATAAACGTGCCTTACACGTTTATTTGCACCTTTCACAGGTCGACGATGTCGAACACGCGTTGGAGGATGTAAGGGACGTGCTACGAAGCCAGCATCCCAACAATGATGCGTGGCAGTCGGAATTCACAGCCATTGTTCAAGATGTAGTGCGGCAGGATGCAGGATGGGCATGGCATGGTTTCTGGCAGATGATTGAGTACAATTTAGCGCATCCGCCATGCAGTGCCGCGTATCGAGAAAGCGATGTCCTCGTACACGCTCTTGTCCGCGAGTTGCTCGAACGATTTGCCCAGCGGCCAGAAGTACCATTTCTAGATGCCTCCACTCTTACGTGTCGACGGCGCGTGGCCGAGTGGATGAATCGTTCAGCACGCTGACTCAGCGTTCTGTAGAAGAAAACCACGGAACCATTGCGAGCAACTTAGAGACTCACTGCCATGTACCCGACGTCCCACACGTACTTTTCGTCTGAGAACATCGATTTGCCCCCGTGGGGTCCTTTTCGATCTACCATGTCACCTGTAAATCCAGCGCAAAGCATGCGCCGAGGAGCAAGCTTAGATTCGAGTCCAGGTATGCGCTACGACACGTTGCGAGATCCGATGTGGTCGTCAGTCTACCCGGATGTGACGCAACGGCCCTTATCTATACCGTGGTCTGCACAGATGCAGCTGTGGTACTATCTCGATCCGTCGAGTACGATGCAGGGTCCGTTTCCCGCCACCTCCATGCAGGCTTGGTATGAGCAGAATTACCTGTACCCTGATCTCCTTGTTCGTCCGGAAGATGACGCTCAGTTCCGCCCCCTGCACGCGTATGTAGCGGAGATTGGTGACCCTGTACGTCCGTTTCTCATCCCTCCAAAGCGTGTAGGCCACCCGTCCTCGGCATCGGCGCCGACGCCTCCGAACATTCCATCGTCGGTGCTCGGATCACCGCATGTTTCTGCGACAAATTCCCCTCAGCTTGTTCATGCGTCGCCCCAGCTAGATCCAAGTGTAAGAGCGACTGATCATTTACGCCAAAATTCAGCGGTAGCGGCAGCCGCAACGTCCGCCAATGTCCCCTCAACCACGGCGACAACAGTGTCGTCCAATGCCTCTAACTTGTCTGCGGACGACATTTTGACGGCACTTCGTGTTATGTCCCAGCTTCAGGCTCTCATGCCTAACTCCACTGAGACCCAGACCTTGCAAATGATGCAGAATGTCCTCGCAACCTCTGTGCCCCATGCTAACGAGGCAGGTCTGAATGATATCTTGCATGCGATGCAGCGGCAAGCAGCCAGTGACGCGTTCCGAGCTTCGCAAGCTCGTGCATACGCGGATGCCGAGCATCCTGTACATGCCTCAAGTATGCCAACATCTTCATCGTCGTCCGTCCACAACGATACCAACTGGCCATATAACCATGACCAAGAACTGTCATTATACTCTGATGAAGACGACGATCCTTTTTCACCTGAACCGAAGCGCGGATCGGATGCACCCAAGCAAATTCCAACTGTCCTGCCGGATGCGTCTGCGTTGCGAGCCCCGGTAGCTAAGCCCCTCGAGCAAGCGCATCCTGACCGTGCGGGCTCGATTGGCACACCTTCCGGCCAAGCTGATGCCTCGGACACTGTTGCGGCTTTAGGTGAATCCACTACTGCCACTATTGCTGCCCAAAACCCTGACCTCCCAGCGCATGACTCGATGCCGGGCTCAGATACCATTTCTAATCCTGTGTCAAACTCCAATCCAATCGATCCCAAATCAACACTTCCGCCCAAACCTGCTTTTCTTTCGAAGCCACAACTTCCTTCCGGTCTTGAATCAGCCGATCCTTCTCAGAATTCTGAGCCAAGCCGAGGTCTCGCAAAGGACATTTTTCCTTCCACTGATCCCACGCCTAGTCGCAAGGCCGCATCTCACATGGAATCATCAACGCAAGTCTACTCCTCTTCACAAGTGCCAGAACCATCAAAGGCGCTGCAGGCAGTGTCCCCGTCGAAAGCACCCAAATCGGACAAGGCACTCGACGCAAAGCCCATTCCAACGTCAGACTCGCATGCAACCGAGGCTGACGCGGCTGTTTCCGCTTCTGTGAATGTACCGCCATACTCATCTGTTCGGAAATCGTCCACTGCGACCGGCCTATCAGGAGGCTCTACAGGTTCAAATGGTTCCCGAGGTTTGGCGAGTTCATCTGCCACTTCTGACTCTGGCACCCCAACGCCTTCAGATCCATCCACCCGATCCACATCGACTTCATCCTCCAGCGCAACGCCTAAGCCAGCATCTGTTCGCCCAGCTCCATGGGCCTCCGCCTCGGCGAAGCCAGCACAGGCTTCAACTCCCAACATGCGTGAAATTCTCGAAGCCGAACAGCGTGAACGCAAAGCACGCGAGGCTAAAGAACGTGCGAAAAATTCTGCCATGCTTGCAAGTGCCATGGCGTCCATGCACATGTCACAACCAACATTGACATCATCATCTTCAACAACAGGGGGGACTGTGTCGACGGCGGCAACAACTCCTCGCTCCACTGGCGTGGCCTGGAACGTGCCGAAGTCAACAACACCTGCGAAATCACTTTCCCAAATCCAACAAGAAGAAAGCGCGCGGTCCGCAAGTGAGAAGGCTGCACATGCTCAAGTTGCACGCTCGTCGGCTTCGCGTGCTCAAGGTGAGCCGGATTCACCGAATGAAGCTGGCTGGGTCAAAGTTGGGAGCTCATGTGGCAAGGCGCACGCTCTTCCACCCAAGCCTATTGCGGCTGTTAAAAACAGCGCCGGAGGCAGCGGCCAGGGCAACAATAACAGCAACAATGGCGGCGCCGGCGCGCCTAAGTCGTCGCTCACGCAGGTACGTGCGTCTTTGCCGAATCGTCCGCCGGCTTTGAGCTCGTCTGGTTCAGGCTCTGCAGTTACAACATCTTCTTCGGCTGTCCCATCGGAGGCTGACGAGGACGGCTGGGTCACGATGAAGCCCAAGCACCAAGCTCGTCGGGATGCGCTTTCTCAAATGAACGACAGCATTCCGCGACCGAGTGGTTCGGCTGCTGGTTCAGCAAGCAGTGCTTCATCAGCTACTCGTTCATCAACCTCAACCATGGTCCCTTCATCGACCCCTCAACCTCCCTCGCCAGAATTCGTGAAGTATTGCCGCGATCAGCTCAAAGGACTTCGTGCCAACATTGACGACTTCATCGAAATGCTGTTGTCATTCCCCCTGAACCCCTCGCCCGATGTCACGGTCATCATTGCCGAAGCTGTGTATGCGAATAGCAGTACACTTGATGGCCGTCGATTTGCAGCCGATTTTGTTACTCGTCGCAAAGCAGATGCATATCGTGCTGTCACTATATAGCTACGCTGATTTCCAATAAAGTACTTGGATGAAATATACCGGGAGGGAAAATGGGCTAAAGTATCATATAGTGTTGTCAACGATGATCAAGCCGCCAACTAGTTTTTTGGTGACCGCTTGCCATCGACTGCTTGTGCCGAAGCATCGTTGGTCATATCAGGTGTAGGATAGGCGCCGCGGGTAGATGCAGAGGGAGCAGCAATGCCCTGTACTGAAGAATCGGGAGAGGACGCATGAGAGACTGATGGTGCCTGGTCAGGGGCTGCCGTTGCTGTAGATCCAGACATGACTGGAGACATTTGTGCAGGTTCTGACTCCATTTTGCTCGTCGATGGTTGCTGCAAAGTTACCGGTGCAGGAGGCATTCCCGTTGAAGGACCACATGGTAGTGTTGCTGATGTCGCTGATGTTGTGGCTGGTTCGTCCACAATATCCATGTCATTCTCGTCTTTCCAAGACCGTCGGTCACGTCGATCACCTTCGCCTTCGTCGTCCGAGTCGTCAAGTTCCGTCTCGCGTTGGATCCGTCGGTCCTTTTGGTCTTGAGTTGTGCGTATGTCAGGATTCGCCGCATCATCATGTGCACCCATATCATCCAGAGCCATATCATGCGCTAGGCGCGGCTCAACGTGACCTTGAACAGAGGGTGCTGGTGCAATGTGACGCAGATTTTCAAATACCTGCTCTTTGACCTTTTCTAGGTATTCACGCGTATTGAGATTCTCCATGTTGCTTGGCACTACATCCAAGCGGTACTCAGGCCCGAAGTACTCGTAATACTCATTCACAGGCAGCTCTGAGCTCAGTTGATAGCCAGAGGCTAAGCCAGTCTCATACGCCCACGCTCGACTCACATTTCGCATCGTGTAACCGCCACCACCTAGCAACAATAGTGGCAGTCCAAAGCTCTTGACAAACTCGACACAGCTCGCATGTCCACGCATGCTCAAATTGAAACAGCCGAGCTTATCACCTGCTAGCGAATCTGAACCGCATTGCAGAACAACGGCCGATGGCTGGTAGATCTCCATAATGCGCTGGATTACTGGCCGGAACACACTTTGGTACGACTCATCGGTAATCCCATCGCGCAGTGGAACATTGCATGCATAATGCTTACCCTTACCGCATCCAATGTCCCGAAGCTCGCCCGTTCCAGGGAAAAACTCGCCGTACTTGTGAAACGAGCACGTCATCACACGATCTGTAGTATAGAATGCCTCTTCTACGCCATCTCCATGATGCACATCGATGTCAATATACAAAACCCGCGCATGGTACCGAAGAAGTTCCAGAATACCCAGAACAATGTCATTGATGTAGCAAAACCCACTGGCTTCGCCTTTTTTGGCGTGGTGTAAACCACCAGCCCAATTTATTGCAATATCACATTTGTCACGCGATAAACGCGCTGCCCCCTCTGTCATATTAGCTCACATGTACAACACTCATTTCGGTGTCACACATACCCATAGAACCGCCGGCTGAAATCGAGCAGTACTCGAACAGGCCGTCGAACACTGGGCAATCGTCGCCCACATTGTCTGATGCTTATTAGCAGGAGCTGCGATACATTCATACACTTACATTTTGACTGCTCACGTACAAAAGCGTCCACATTCTCAGGCGTCACTCGATACAAAAAGTCCACGTATTCATCCGTATGAAACTGGGACATTTCGCGTTTGGTCGCTGGCTTTGCTCTCTGTCTGTTAATGTGCGTTCACAGCACGTACAAAGATCTCCATCTTCTTGTACAATCCGTAGTTCATGACAAGCGAATGGCACATGCGCACACGCATTGGCTTCATAGGATGCCCAGGTCCATAGTGAAAGTTGCCAATGTCCGAATCGAAAAAGTAACACACGCGCGATGTTCGGCTGCCACCATGCGGCATGGGCTGCATGAGCGGTGTATCACCTGCTACGTATGGAGCTGTACCAGCAGAGCCACCAGCTGCATTCGATGGTAAAAATGTGGATTGCATCTCTTTCAACCACCCACTCACTATCTTGCGCCTGGTCGTCCTGAGGTGCTTTGAAATCCAGTCTCTTGATGAGCCACTCGTCCGTCACCGTCGATATGGCCACTTAACCACGTGGCCTCCACGCGCGCACTTGGTCCGCCGGTGTCATGGCAGTCAACGAGCGACGTCGCTGGTTCGACGTGTGCTGTACCCTCAGAGGGCTGATCTGAAATACTCGACTACTATGTCTGGGCATCAAGCAAGTGGCCGTTCTCTCATTGCCTTGATCGCTGACGAGGTGCGTGCCTACCGGAAAAATCTCATACATTTGGCAGGACTCTACGACCGGCTTTATTCTAGCTGGGATTGGTGACGTCAACAAAGAGGGAGAAAAGAACTTTTTTGTCGTCGACAACAAAACACCCACGTCTGACATTGAGGACACATTTTTCAAGTTTACCAAAGATCGGAATGACATAGCCATCGTGTTGATTAACCAACACATTGCCGACAAGATCCGTCCTCTTGTTGACAAATACATGCAGGCGTTCCCTGCTGTGCTTGAGATCCCCAGCAAAGACCACCCTTACGGTACGTATTCATTGTAACCGAACATTTAACTTGTCTAGACCCATCGAAAGATGCTGTGCTTAAGCGCGTGCAGAAGGTACGTGATAAGTGTTAATTCCCTGCTCGCAATTCTAACCATCATAGCTCTTCGGAGAGTAATGCTCGGTTACGACTCACCATATGTTATATATAATCAAAAATTGGCTACAACGTACATGTTAAACTATATGAATAGTGCTCTACATCACACCGCCGCGCAGACGAAGCACGAGATGCAGTGTCGATTCCTTCTGGATGTTGTAGTCACTCAGTGTACGTCCATCCTCCAGCTGCTTGCCAGCAAAAATCAAGCGCTGTTGGTCTGGAGGAATGCCTTCCTTATCTTGAATTTTGGCCTTCACGTTGTCGATCGTGTCGGATGACTCGACCTCAAGCGTGATTGTTTTGCCTGTCAATGTCTTGACGAAAATCTGCATACCACCACGCAGACGAAGCACGAGATGCAGCGTCGATTCCTTCTGGATGTTGTAGTCACTCAGTGTACGTCCATCCTCCAGCTGCTTGCCAGCAAAAATCAAGCGCTGTTGGTCTGGAGGAATGCCTTCCTTATCTTGAATTTTGGCCTTCACGTTGTCGATCGTGTCGGATGACTCGACCTCAAGCGTGATTGTTTTGCCTGTCAATGTCTTGACGAAAATCTGCATGGTCAACACGTATAACGGTGAAAGCTCCCGGGATCCGTTGGTCCGTGTTTTATATATGCGCGCTGGGTGGCGAAACATATCGTTCGGCCGAATCCATGGCGCTCAGGCCAAGGGAGACAAACATATCTTTTGTTAGTCATGCCCCCAGCGCCGTCCAAAGCGAGGATGGTTAAAAGTGGTAACAGGTCCTCGTGAGAAGTCTGCACCAATCAGAAAATGCGTCATATACCAAGGCACGGAATTTGAAGTATGGAAAATTTGAGGTCGGTCATCAAAAGTGTCCACAATGCATACAGTGTTGATTGCTGTATTTGCTACTGGGATTGCGGTAGGATATTTTTCACATTGGTGGCAAAGTGCTCGAACGCATAATACAGATGAGGAATTGTCGGATCTAGAAATTGAAAGTACCGATGAATTGGAGGATTCTTCGTTGCCAATTGTGGAAGAGTGCAAGATGGTGCTGGGAGTCCGCATGGACCTGAAGATGGACAAAGGCAAGATCGCGGCACAGTGTGGACATGCGACCCTGGCATCCTATAAGACAGCATTACGTATGCATCCAGATTATGTTCGGACATGGTCGAAGCTAGGGTATGTGTCGCTACTGTAACTAATGCGATGAAGCCAAACCAAAATCGCTATAAAAGTTCCTGACGAAGAGCAACTTACTCAGCTGCATGAATCGGCACGAAGACTTGGCGTGCCCGCTTATGTGATTCAGGACGCGTAAGTTCATAATGACAACCTCTCTAATGAAGCAGTGGTCGTACTCAAGTGGCCCCGGGAAGTCGGACTGTGATTGGCATTGGTCCTGGTACGTTCGATCGTTCATGCGGCTAACAAATAAGCTCCCATATCGAAAATCGACCAGCTTACACGTTCCTTCAAACTACTTTAAACATCGGTATCTATTATTACCCCTTTATTACCACAGTATAAGAGGCGGGTAGGTATATTCATCAAGGACGGCAGAAAAAAACTAGAGACGCAATATGAAAGCAACAACCTTAGGGTCCTTTTCCATGCAGTAAAGTGGCTAGTAGTGAATTGGATGTGTTCTGAGCACCGGATGTTGGCACAGCCGCAGAAGCCGGAGCGTGAGAATCACGCATTGGCGTCGAAGTAGGCGGTCGATTCAAGATGTTAAGCAGATTCATCGCGTTCCCTGAGTCAGACGGAATAGGAGCAGGCGTAGTCACTGGCGCAGGTAATGGAGCATTGCACGGCCCCTGAGGAACATTTGCTGGTGCAGGCATATTCGAAGCGTGGGAAGAGAATGTTCTAACAGCGGGACTTGATGGCGTTGAATGCGCGGACGTGGCTTGCGGTTTGGAGGATCCTAGCAAGGCTGATAGAAGAGCTTGCTGTTGCCTATTGCTCGGTGCAGCGGGGGCTGTAGGTCCCGCTGCCGTGGTTGCATCTGCTAGAGTCGAAGAAACTGCACCTGACGTTGGCACAGGTGCATTTTGCGGCTGTGGAATATACGAATTTCCCGACCATGAAGAAGGAGACGATTGAATCATCGTATGAGGAAAAGGAAACATTCCTGGCCTTGACACTGGGTTGAAAGGAGTTGTAGTTGCAGGCGCAGGCGTCTGAGCAGGCGGAACACTTGTAGGTGTCGAACCAGTAACTATAGGTAGGTCTGGCTTGGATTCTGGCTGACTGGGTCCATTAGAACCATTTGGTCCAACAATCAAGCTTGAGAGGCGGTTTGCAACATGTTGCTCACGATCATTGCTGGACTGCTTGTCCACAGACGAGCCGGGGGTCAGGGATTGCATACCTGTCGACGTTGGTGAGCGCAAGTAGGGCATTGGATGAGCTTCGACAGGTTCTTTGGGTGGCGGCTTTGAAGCTTGGAGTAGAGACAACAGAGAATTAGTGTTATGGGTTTGACTCTGCGTGGGATTTGACGGTTCATATCGCTTGGAATGCGCGCCAAGAAGAGCACGCAAAGCGGCCGACCCATCGATACGAGGCTGTTGGTCGGAAGGAGGAGGTGCTGGCAAAGGGTGTGAGCCATGCAAAAGAGAAAGGAGCAATTGCTGCTTGGAATCGTCGCTGCTCTTTGAATTGGCAAGCTCAGGGGCCGAGCTTCGAGTTGGAGGAGCGGATACGTCATCTTTCGGCTGCTTCATTTTGTTCGACGACAACTGTCGCATCGCCGAGGGTGGCAAGGCAATAAGTCCAGGTTTCTGTGTACCAGCAGGTTTGGGTGGTGGCGTGGCAGTGCCAAAAAGTTCGTCCATGTTTACGCTAGTCCCAGAGTCCTTGTGTCCAGGCATGGGTGATTGTTGATTGGGTCGCTTTGGATGCGAGCGTTTGTTCGCTTGAATCCAACGGCGGAGGCGCATCATGAAAGGTGTTACACGATAAAACCTACCCCCCAACTCAGAGGAAGGCACCTTCGGGTTTTTCGCAGTCGGAAGGTCGCCAAGCTTAAACCATTCAATGCGGGAAATTTCTCGGCGCGTCCGAGTTTCAAACTTAGTGTCTCGCGGCACACCTGGCACCACGTACAAACGGCTCTTTTGCTCGCGATCCGTTAGCTCGAAAAAGTCTTTGGAATCCTTGGGAAGCAAATCATGTGCATCGAATCCTGTTTCTTCGAGCACTTCGCGAAGGGCACAATCGCGTTGATCTTCATTCTTGTTGATCTTGCCCTTAGGAAAGGTCCAGGAGGCACCTTTACCCCAACCTTTGACCAACACGCACTGTGCGTCGTTAGCAAATTGCTCTAAGCCATGGGAGGCATAGTTGCTGCGTATGATTGTACGTACTTCTGTCCAGTCTTCGGAGAGGAGGATTGCACCACACACAGGTACACGCGTCTTGTACTCCATAAACTGGCTAAATGCCTGATTTAGACTCGAAGGGCCGCTTGAGGTGTAGAGCTGGATAAGCGGCACAGCTAGGGAGGCCACATGGAGTAGTTCCTCGGCAAATTTTTTAAAGTTGAGCGTTGGCAACTTGGAATTCTGCGGGCATAAAAAGTCTAGGTAAAACCAGTGACTACGCAAGCGAAAGATATTGCGTGTAAGTTAGCATGCTCACGAGCCGCTTCGTAGCGATACGTACGCAAGCTCCACCTGGAATCCGATACGCTCGATGGATGCGAGCTCATTTGCTGGCAGATTCACGATGAATCGACACGCAAGGTTTTCGAGTTCCTCCTCAAGAGACATTCGCTTGGGTCTCACAAAGGAGTTATCGGAACTCGTCGACTGTATATCCACCGATATGTCTTCCATCTTACGAGGAAGAGGTTAATAGAGCCAAAGCTAAGCAGGGAGTAACTCCGGCCGTTGGTTCTAGCGGCGGCATCTTCGAATGCGAAGCACACACGTGCACGCCATGTGGTGTTCCGGCCGAATAATCACACCGGTTTCTAGGCAGTCGCGTTTTGGCGGTCACGAGTTGGGTCTGGCGGGGAAGACTATTACGTACACTAGAGGAAGGCGAGAGTGGGTCTGGTCGGACGCAGATAAGGCCCAGCGTACAGAGAGTACTAGATTACGAAGCCCTAGTACGGAGAAAAAATCGTATTGCGATATTTTCAAGCATCACCTGAACGAATTTGTTGAAGGTACAGGTCGTGTTCAAGCTTGCACAGGAAGGGACACGTACGTGAGCGGTTTGTGAAACGATATGTTGTCCGCAATGAGAAGCACACAATCCTTGACGACATCGATGTCAACGATGACGTCAAAAACAAGCGCTACATTTGTGTTGCGACGCATGAAAAGCACGGCAGTTGTAGGCGCCCTGCCGAAGGCGAGTAGTGATCGGGCAACCTCGTCATCGGAGGCGTGGTCTCCATCAGCAAGAAAGTCATGGGAGCGGTCGGAAGTTCAGGCATTGTTCGACCAGCCATTGCTGGAGCTTGTATTCCAGGCTGCATCCGTGCACCGCATGCACCATGATGCGCGAAAAATCCAGCTATGTACGTTGATGAACATCAAAGAGGGTGGGTGCTCGGAAGACTGCGCGTATTGCTCGCAAAGCAGCCGCTACGAGACCCATTCACATGCGTCGAAGCTGGAAGACCTCGAGAATGTACTGGAAGAAGCTCGGCGCGCCAAGGCCAATGGAAGCACGCGCTTTTGCATGGGGGCAGCATGGCGAGAGATCGGCGGCCGCAAACGTGGCTTCAACCGCATTCTCGATATGGTGCGAGAAATCCGTGGGATGGGGATGGAAGTGTGCACGACGCTGGGAATGCTAACGGCGGAGCAAGCGCAACAGTTAAAGGAAGCCGGTTTGTCTGCCTACAACCACAATCTTGACACAAGTCGCGAGTACTATGGTAAGGTGATTACTTCACGGACATATGACGACCGTCTGCAGACCATTGCGCATGTGCGGGATGCGGGCATTTCTGTATGCTCTGGCGGCATTCTAGGTCTGGGTGAGGATGAGTCGGACCGAGTTGGTCTCATTTGGGAGATGAGCAGATTGCCAGAGGCACCGGAGAGTTTTCCCGTGAATGCGCTTGTAGCGATTCCTGGCACTCCTATGGAAGGTCAGCCGCCTGTCCAATTCCAAGAGATGCTGCGCACCGTGGCCACGGCGCGTATTGTGCTGCCGACCTCCATTGTGCGCATTGCAGCAGGACGTCAGATGTTCACCGAATCGGAACAAGCTATGCTGTTTTTGGCTGGCGCGAATGCGATCTTCACGGGACACCGTATGCTGACGACGCCAACATCTTCATGGGATCAGGACCGAGCAATGCTAGAGCGTTGGGGCCTGTCACCTATGAAAAGTTTTGAGACGCCACGCATGGCTGCTGACGAGCTCGCGCACGCTTCACGTGATACGTCATCGTTCACCAAGCCATGTGGATCGTCGGCAGGATCATGTGGATGTGCGAGTTCGGCGTCGACTCAGACAGCATCGGAGACACACCCTGCACCTGCGACGTCTTCTGCTGAAGCTGCTTAACTAGACGTGGGTAGATCAAGAGTACATGTCACAGATTACGAGATAAGCAAAATTTGAAGCCATTTAAAGCAGTCGAGGGCGCATCTGAAGACGCCGACCCACACGTCATGTGTGTAGTATGGGTTAGGAGGTGTCGTGCAGCAAATGAGCGGCATGATTCGATACAGGCTCTGTGGGGCAAGTAGGTGTGGAGCAAGAGTCGAAACAGACGAGGGCGAATCATACATACGCACATGCAAGTATTAGTCATCACGGCGCATGCATCCTTGGCATCGCTAGTTCATCGCGTGGGGTACAACAGAAAGAGGTACAGCAACTGGTTGGGGGTTGACCGGAGAATAAAAGAAGGGATGACCTACCGGAACTTCCATTGCACACTGTTCCTTCTAACACAACTTGGCTCGCAAGAACAAACCGAATCGTCAAGTGAGGAGCTCTATACGAAGCGAGCTTGTTACGTTGACGGAACATGTCTCTGCGTATGTTTAAGCGACAGCCGCCAAAGCTTCTGGCACAGTTTCTCGTGTCATTGCTGTGGGGTATCGTGCCACTGTCATGGGTCTATGTGATCCTGTACGTGGGTGTGCGTATGGCTCATGAGCGCCGTACAGGAGTGCTGCTCCGAATGCTTCTTCATGGTACGATGCCGAGAGAAGTATTGTTGCGTCCATGGCTTGCCAACTTCCTCAGGAAGCGGTTTGCGTTCTTCTGGGCATCCCTAGAGGTGTGTTTCTCCATATACTACCGGCATTTGGTGCGTCGGATCCAGGGCCGTCGACGAACGTCGAGCCCCAACTCGCACACAAGAATCATTCGTGCTTTGGGTATGTCGGTCGTTGATGGACTAGACGATGACAGCCTGTTAGCGAATCCACGTGATACGCAAAAGTTCCCGAAACTGAAAGAGGCGCTTGCGCGTGATGATCCACGCGCGATTGCCTTCCGCAAAGAAATGGGCGGCTGGTTCCTTGGCATCCGGCCTGAGGATATTACTCGTTTGGATGTGCTCAACTGGCTCGCATGGTCGATCTTTGACAAATACTATGACGAAGTCGTGCTGTTTGACTCGCCGAAGCACGAGATGCAGCTGTTTCTTCTTGATGTGCTGCACACGTTTGAACAACGTCGTGGACTGCGGTTCCCCGACCGTGCGGTGCTCTCGCCAATTGAAGAAAAGAGACGCCGTACCATGATGCTGACACTTGATCCTGTCGATGTGCACACACGTCCGCTCCTATTGTACATTCTCATTTTTGGACTGAATCGAGCTGTGCATGCCGTTTTGAACATGTATGGAATGCGGCGTATGCGAATGCACGGCATCACGTATTTATTGTACATGCCGCCTGGATGGAGTGTTGAAGCAGCCTGCAAAGGAGAAGCACTACGTCCCGTCATGTTCCTTCATGGCCTAGGCCTGGGCTTGTCGGAATACGTCCTTCCGCTTTTCACGATGCTTCGTCCGAACGGTGTGCCGGCGTCGTACCCGATCGTGGTGCCACTACAGCCTTGGATCTCGTACGAGTTCTTCTCGCCGCGTTTTCTGAGACCATGGCAACATGAGGAGGCAGCGAATGTCGTTCGCAGTATTCTTGAGCTGCATCAATTCGACAAGTGCAAGGTTCATGTGCTCTCGCACAGCATGGGCACTATCGTGCATACGTGGTTCCTGCGGACGTGGTCGTCGCTGATTGCTCGCTCGGTCTTTGTTGACCCTGTGTGTTTCCAGCTGTGGGAACCGCATATTTGTTATCGCTTCCTTTACAAGCCAACGGAGTCGTTCATCGAGTTCGTGCTCCGGTACTTTGTGGCACGTGAACTTGGCAATGCCAATTTGCTCATGCGCTACTTTGACTGGACGGCAAACGTACTTGTTTGCGACGACATCCCTGAACATCATGATCCCAAGCATGTACGAGTTTACTTGGCTGGCGCTGATACCGTTCTTAATGCTTGGCGTGTTCAGCACCTGCTTAAGCGCTCGGGTATGCAGGATGTCATTCATTACGATGCGAATTTGCATCACGGCGAACTGATCATGGCTCCAGGGCATCGTGTGAAGGAAATGCTCGACATGCTCCATGCTCTCTAAAGACTTGTCGTTGATCAAGCGTCTTTAGCAAGCACCACGATATCGTTCATCGATTCGCTTTTTTTTTTTTTGTTTATTTCTCTCTTACCCACCCCCTCTTTGGCAATCACTTTCGTTGTTTATACGTGTGGCTATTCCGCGGGTCGTATTGCATGTAGGTACAATGGTTTTACGTTTATAGAAGGTAACATCAGGACAAAGGCTACACATATATGGCACTCGTTAGAGGTAGGAGTCTGTCGCCCAGACACTCAGCCCGTGCTCCCTATTTACACGCTCAGGCATGATGGACCGGCGGCTGCGATATGAACGTAGAAATGACGGCGTGGCTGGACATCACGTCCAACAGTACACGAGCGTGCACCGATTAAGAAGTGCTGGCGAAGCAGCGGCGCGCTGCGCCATATCACTCCCACGAGGCGGTGTCATCGTCAGGACGACATGCAAGTTCGCTGTGATCTGAGCGCGGAAGAGAGCCAGAAGTTCGTCGTCCGAGTCGAGAACCAGCCCTTCGCGCTGGGCCGTGTCGCGCAAAGCCGAGAGCAGCGACGCGTACTCATCGCCTTCAAATAGGCCCGCGACTTCTGCATTGGCTAGAAGGGTATTGAGCTTTTCTACACGCGCCGGGCACGGCAACTTGACTCTCATCCAATGTCCAGCACACACGCTCACCTCGCACGCCGACGCGGCGCAAGAGCGCACGGAGATCTTCGTCGAAGCGTGTCTCGTCATAGGCACGAGATGTCGGTACACTGTACAGCGAGAGACCACGGAGCCACGCACAGAAACGAGCGACGGTTGTGCGACCTGAGCCGGCGACGCCCATCAACAGGAGGTGCCCACCAGCCTGCTGTAACACACGATCGCAGCGCAATGCAAGATCTAGCACAGCGTCATGCAGAACGAGGTCTGTCTCGAGAGCCTCGTCGGCAAAGCCATGCAATCGTGCACGAGCATACTCACGAAGCGGGGCTCGCTCCACACGCTGGCATTCGCGGGAGAGCCAGTCTGAATACAGCAGTGGCCGGCGCAGCGTCGTGGCAATGTCCGTGCCCGGGAATGCGCTGTGCGCTGCTTCGTCCAGTGCTGCGTCGCTCCAGGCCTTGTCGGCTGGTGTAACAAGACGGTCCTGGAACACACGCAGGGCCTCATGCGCCCAAACACGGAGGAGCTCGTCGAGCGTGACGTCTTCTGGCAGGATACGGTGCATGCCACGGACCCAGCGCGTCAGCTCACGTGGCGAGTACACATAATGTGCATATTGCTCAGGCGTGAAGTGGTGCTGTGTCGCGCGGAAGAACGAGAGCATTGCTCGCGCCAACGCATCCGCATACCCAACGAGGGCCGGCACACGGCGCAAGAGAGCGCGGTACAAGGTGCTGTAGATCTGGAGCAAAGCAGCGTCCGATGGGTATGGCACCCAGATCACAGGGATGTGACGCAGGAACCGCGGCGCAAGGGGAGTGCGCCCAGCGTCGGTTGGTGGGTTGCAGGCGCCGACGATCTGGATGCGCTCGAGCGAGACCCAGGTCCGGTGGCGCCAGAAGCCGCGCTGCTCGACCCATTGCCTCACTAGCGCAAGCACTCGCTGCGTAGCATACCGGTCAGGCGCAGGCAGGTTGATCTCGTCGCAGAAGAGGACAAGGCGGCGGCCAGGCACACGCGGCACGAGACGCGTGCCCGCGGCTGGCGTGTGCTCGTACACGGCATGCGCTTCCAGTGTACGCAGTAAGGTGCGAGGCGTCGTCTGCGAAGACAGATTCAGGGTGACGACATCGACATCCGGCAGGCGACGCAGCGCGGTGAGTAACACCATCGTCTTACCGGAGCCGGGGGGTCCACACAGAACAACTGGGCGCTCATCCTGCAGCCATGCATGCAGTAAGCTCTCGTGCCGCACAGTATCGATGGTCGGCACGACGGTATCGCCTGTGGTCAATGCGCGTGCATCCACATCAATCTGCACGACATGATCATTCCAGGAACGGTAGGGCGCGCCAGGCTCTGCGTCAACAAACACGTCGAGCAGCGGCGTGCTGTGTGGCGGCAGCTCGACATCGGCATGCTGCCGCACGACGTCGCTAACGGCATCGCGCACAGCATGCTCCGCATCGCCAGCCGCCGCCCACACGAGAGCGATCATGAACGACTTGCGCGCCACCAACGCTGTGTCATGCACACTTAGTGGAAAGTCGGGGTGCCGAGTGTCGTATGCAAGCACGCATCGAATCACGTGCCGGACGAGCGCCATCAGCGACGTGAGTATGCGGACGTGGCTCGGCTGCATGCAATGAGGGTGAGCTTGGGCAGCATCGAGCACATGATCCACGAGGGCCCCGTCGGCCATGTAGGGAGCTATCGCATCGGCAACGACAGCGGCAATGCGGTGTGATGAGCGTACCGACGCCAAACCATCGTTGTGGAGCTCCAGCTCAGGGCGGGTCATGTCGAAGTTGTCATCATCGACCGCGTGAGTGCGCAGCATAGCGAGGGCATGCGTATACCTCATGTGCATCGAGACGATCTGCGAGGGGAACCATACCATGCCACAGCGAGTGATGGTGGCGCGAGTCGCGTGCTGGACATTATCGACCTCGAAAAGCAGACGCACATTGTCCGGAAGAGCGAGGCGCTCGCCTGTCGGCAGCGTAAGCTGGCGGTTATCGTCAAGGACACTGTTGAGTGTTTCGACCCATTCAGGGTCCAAGTCACCATCAAAAACGATCCAGTGGCGCTGCTCGCGTTCGCGACGCTCATTCTCGACAATCCGCCGCAAGATGTGGGTAAAGAGGCCATCTGTCCACTCGCGCGTTGTGGGATCGAGTGTGCCATACAACGCTTCTTTGCTGAGCACTTTCGGCTCAAGCACGTGTGCGACGCCATCGCGCTCGCGGTTCTCGAGACGACTGAGCGCTGCGAGGAGGACGCGCCACGCACGCGTCTTACCAACGCCAGCATCGCCGACGAGCACGACACCATGTGAAACTTGGAGAATCTGATACAGCTGCCCCACTTTCTCGAGCCAGGCGCCGGTGCCAAGGTGTTGTGTTTCGCACTCAATGCGCAGCGCATCGTACAGAGTGTCAAGCGCAAGTGGCGCAGGTTGGGCGCCGGGGAACACGTCCGACACAAGCTCGGTAAAGAGCGGCGCATCCGCAGCAACAAGACGCGGCGGCACAGTATCAAAGATGCTCTGTACGATTGCCGCCGTCTGCTCGGAAGCGCTCACAGACGCGGTAGATGCAGCGGCGTCATGCAAATGCGACGCAGCCGTAGCAGCAGCGGCAGCATGGAGTGCCGCCGGCTCAGCCACGCGACGCCGACGTCGAATGTGAGCGGCAGCACGGACCAAGACAGCTTTTAGTGCACGCAGGCCAAAGTCGTAGTGCGGTGCATCGCTCAGCTGCTCGGCACATAGACGGAACAGCAAGACCATCTGGCGCGCGAGACGATCAGCAATCGTGAAGCCATGTACACGGAGCAAGACCTGTACAATGAGCTCCGAGTCAGGCTGGGTCATAGCTACGCGACCAAATAGCTTGACAAGATTGTCAGGCAAGCGCGAGCGGCCGGCGTAGGATGGGTTCATCGTGACAAAGATGCCTGTGGATCCGAGCACAGGCACGCGAACGCCGAGGTCGGCGTCTGTCGATGTCGCGAGCGCATGCTGAATGGCCTGGATCTGCTGCGACACACTTGAGAGAACATGCTCGTCAAGTCGGTTGAATTCGTCGAAGCAGCCCCAGGCACCCACGCGGCACAGTCCCACAAAGAGGCGTCGCATCGCACTCAAATCAAATTGCGAGTCGCAGTTGAATACGAGGACGAATCGGCCCAACTCGGCGCCCAGCGCCTTGACTGTCTCGGTCTTGCCCGTGCCTGCGGGTCCAAATGGAGCGCCGCCGCGTCGCGACGCAAGTGCATGTGTGAGTGTGACGTAGCACGCTGTTGTCAGGGGTGTTTGTACAAGCCGCTCCTGTAGGCCCAATGGCTCAAAGCCGTACTCGAAAGCTGCGTAGGCCATGCGCACTTCGACGCGCCCATCGTCGAGCAGGTAATGCCGCAGGTGCTGCTCCCACGAAAAGGGCGGGGGCATCGAGGATCGCGACGATGCGTTTCCCAGCTCGTGAACGACGGACACTTGGTGTGTGACAAGCGACATGAGGAGCTCAGCCCGCACACGAACCGAGGGCGCCACAGTTGATGACGAAGCTACATGGCTCAGTGTGCGGAGAAAGACATCCAGCGATGCGAGGAGCGGTGCCGCCCAGTCGTGAGGGCTAGTGGCTGTGGCGTGGCTTCCCGCCGAGGCCAGCGCCTCTTCTACACGACGAGCCCACTCGATCTGGCATGAGAGGACAAGGAGCTGCGCAGGCGCTCCGTCGAGCCATGCAGTGACGCTTGGTTCATCGTACACGAGCCGACTGAAAGCCCCAAGCACGTCTGGCAGGCGGCGCTTCAAAGTCTCGTGAACGGCACGCTGCAGAGCATCGAGCCATTCATGCACGGGTGTGTCGTTTCCAACACGCACAGGCGAATGGAGCGGCACGTGCTCGGCCGCTGTGGTCTCGATGGCATCAATGACACATGCACTGTTGTCGCTGCTGGGTTCGCTGTCGCTCACGTGCGCAGATGCAAGACCAGCAAACATCTTTGCAAGATGCTTGGATGTATGGCGTACATCGCGGCCATGACCGAGCATTTCCAAGAGGTCGTCATCGCCGACAAAGTAGAAGCGCGGGAAACGGGCACGCTCCTTCTCGAGGTACTCGCCCAGCGCCGTCTGAATGCGGTGCAGGAGCTCGGCGAGGCGTTCGAGCGAGGCCTGGATCCCCGGGACGCCGACGACGTCGAGCACATACGGCGATTTCAGCACCTTTTTCAGCAGCGCAAGAAACTCGCTGCTCATGCTCTGGAAGCGAGTGCTTTCGACCGGCAGGATGTGCATCATGCGCTCGGCACTCCCACTGCCAAACACGCCGTGCAAGTACACCCACTGCCGCTGCACATCAGCCCACAGGTCAAACACCGTTTGGATCCGAGCGAGTCGGTCCTCCCACATGCGGGCCTCTTCTTCAAACACGCGGTAGTGCGGGCTTGCCGACATAGCGCGCAGGCCACCTGCATGCTCGTTTGCTTGGAGAAACAGCGCATCCCAGCCACGCAGCAGCATGCACTCGTGGCGGTAGTCGACTAGTTCGAGTGCGTAGCCCGTCCACACTTCTCGCACCTGCTGCAAGTACATGTCCAGCGCATACTCGCCTTGCGCGTCGGCGACAGCTGCCTGGATAACGCGCAGATGCGCTCGCCAGTCCAGCGCCCAGACGGCACCGAGCGTGTGTGTACTAGGGACGTAGCGTGGCGCTTGGAGTCGCATGTGGAGTGCGCGCCAGTGCCTTGCTTGGAATGCATCCGACTTGAGCTCGCCCAGCAGCTTCACATGCGAGTGCAGGAACTGCAGCTCATCGTGCACAGTTTCGTAGGCCTCGTATGAGCGCATGCGCGTTGGCAACGCGCGGCAATCGCGCACAAGGGACTCCAGGCGCTGCCGTACGTGGCGCACTTGGACATGCGACCAGGGCGTGCTCTTGAGCTCGTCGAGGCCGGCCCAGATGCGTGCGAGTGCACTCCAGACCGTCTGGAGACCCTGAATTTCGTCGCTCACGTGCGTCAGACGCGCGTCGTCGAGCGAGTCAAGGCCGAAGGCATCGCGCGCCTCGGCTAGCATGCGGGTGGTGTTGTGCAGGGCTGTTGTGCGAGCGGCAAACTCGCCCAGCACCTGCAGTGCTTCCGCGACTGGCACGCCACCCGACACAGGCCGCTCACGTGTCCAAGCCTCCTGGAGTGCGTCCATCTGCTCGCGTACGCTGCGTGTCTCGCTACTGATACGTACCTGGAGTGCCTCATGCTGCGCTTCAATGGCCGCCTGCTTCTGACTCAGCAGCTCGGCCAGCGCGGACCAGGCGCCTTGGACTTGCTCGACATACAGCCAGTCGGCCGGCCAACGGAACCGATATGCCTGGAGCGACGCTTGCGCCTGCACGAGGCGTTGTACCAGTGGCTCACACGCACGTACATCCTGCCGCAGAGCGGCCGCTCGCGTTATGAGCGTGACCACATGCGACGTGGATGTATGTGTCGCGCTGAGTGGCTCGAGTTCTGCACGCCCCCGAGCGAGGCGCTCGTGCATGTCTCGCATGGACGTGCTGATGACGGCAGCCCACTTTGTCAGCAGGGCAGCCTGCCAAGCATCGAGTCGCGCGGCGATACGTGCCTGTGCAGGTGTTGCATCGATCTGCACAAGGCCAAACGCTCGCCGTGCGGGCGCATCAACAAAGGTGCGTGTGGCTCGCATCCGCTCCATCAGCAAGAGCCATGCTTCTATGTCGTCCGCCGGAGCGATCGATTCGGGCTCTGCATCCCAGAGCATCTGCAGTTCGAGCCATTGTGCCGCATACGCATGTGCGTTCGCCATAGCTGCCTGGATCCGCCGCAGCGGCGCTTGGATCACCGGCGCCGGCACGGCCGTCCACAGCGGGGCGTGCGTCTCGACGTGTCGCTCACGCAGCTCCAGCGCCCGCTGCGCTACGCTGAGGCGCGGCTGCTTCAGCACTGCATCGACGCAGGATCCAAGCGCATCGAACCAGTGTGCTTGCGCATGCTCAAGGGGCGGATCGAGCTGCAGCGTCTGTGCCCGCAGCACGACATGGACAACTGGCATTTGATCGACAATGTGGCTGGGTGGCTCGTCGAGCGTCGTGGTAAAAGACGCAAGCGCATCCTCCAGGCGCCGCTGCAGTCTCCCGTCCACACGCTCACTCAGCGCATGCACAAACGCCGGCAAGTTCACATACGACTGTTGTGCAAGGGTATCGATGATACGCTGCATGCCATCCAGCACCGCGCGCAGCGCATCATACGTGTACGCACACGTCTGCAGTAGATTCATGTGCGAATGGAGATCATCGCGCACATGCACGACGATATGCGCGGACTGCGACTCCAGCTGGACGACCGCCCGCACGAACGCATCGACTACATCCGCCTGCGGATTGTCATGCATCGAGCTGCCGTCGAGGAAGCGTTCCCAGCGACATGGCCACACGCGCTCCCATTTACTGCGCACGTCCAACTGCACTTGCGCCAGGAGCGGCGCCATCAGTGGCTCTGAGGTCATTTGCTTTTGCACCTTATCGAGAGTGTGCAGCGCACTGTCGAGTGCCGTGGCAAACGGTGCGATGCGCTGTGAGTCATGCGCCATGCTCACAAGCACCTGTGGGATCGAGATGCCCAACATCGTAAGCGCATGTGCTTCGTCCGCCAGCGCAAGCGTATGTGCATCGTAGTTTGCGACTGCGCGAAGCGATACACCGGCGTTGGCGCCCGTTGCCGCTTCGGGCGTGTCGTGTGGTGCGGTATTGCCGCGCGTCGCAACAATGCGCATCACCGCGCCCGACGGCAGCGTTGCTCGGCGGCCCATCTCTTGCGCCCATGCTTGCACCAGCGGCTTCGGGTCCAGCTGCGGCAAAAATGCCTGGCTCTCGGCGTGCAGTCTCTGTCCCTCCACATGATCCGCCCATCCATCGCCCAACGCATCCTGGACTCGCTGCATGTACAAGCGCAGCTGACGCTCCATCTCGCCGACCCAGATGATCGCACCGACAATCTCTGGTTCATTTCGGAGCTGCGCAGCCAAATGGGCATCTGAGTGCCGGTAGCCCGCTTGGAACTTGGCACGCAGCGCATCGAGGTCCGCACGCACACCCTTGAGCAGCACAGCCTGATACTCTTGCACGGCCGCGCGCACGCGCGGCCGGGCAAACAACTTGTTAAACAAGGCGAGGATCCGCAGCCGTTCACGCGCCGAATGCGCGTGGGTGAGCAGGTGGCGGAGTCGTTCAATGAGTCGCGTCTCGACGTGCGCAATACGCTCCCGATACAGCGCCTCGGCATGGGCTAGCGCAGCCGTACCTGACCCAGACACATCCAGCACATCGACGCCGCGCAGCTCGCCAAAAGCGGCGCGAATTTCCTGCACTGCATGCTGTGTCGACTCGTCCGTCCGGTATGTGTGCCCGATGTCTGCCATGTCGATCAGCTCTTCATGTGCTTGGCGCAGACGGCCCAAGTATTCTAGTCGTGCACGCAGCGCATTGTGCGGCGACGCCACCTTGATGGGGATGAACTTTTCCCCTCGCTTGCGCGTGAGGTCTCGCGCCACATACACAAATTCTTTCACATGCTCGTCCCAGTCGTTCAGCACACTCTCTACCGCAGCGTACGTCGATGTGAATGCCGCATACTCCTGGTCCACGAGCGACTCATTCCCGAGTACTTTCAGCAGCACCTGGTGCACGTCCCGGCCGAGTGCATCGACAAGCGCGAGCGCTCGGCGCACAGGGTACGTGCTGAGACGCAGCTTTTTGTTCAGCGTCGTAAACAGGCTGCGCTGCGCATCCGCTAGCGCATCGAGCGACATGGCGGCGAGCAGCTCACCCAGCGGCAGGTCTTTCAATAGCACATTGTAGCCATGCACCTTTTCCACGCAATCCTTCAGTCCCGTATCGGCATGGAAAGAAACAGTCGCATGGAAGCGCTTTGCATGTGTAAGCACATCGAGTGTGAGCGTAATTTCAGGCGCATGCAGCTGCCGCTCCAGGTCTTCCAGTGCACTCTCCATCGCAGCCCAAAAGTTGATCTCCTGCAGCGCAGTTCCTGACGCTGCATCGCGATCAAGTTTCGTGATGGTCTGTACTGCACGCACCCACGCATTCATATCTGCATGCAACTGGTTGATGAAGGAGTCGTCATGCAGCAGCGATGGCGGCTGAATCGCATCGATCCCACGCACGCTCGGCTCACTCCCCTCTTGCTTCATAGCATTGCAAGCCTCGCGGATCGCCGGATGCACACTTAAAATGACCTGCGGAATCTCGATGTGCTGTTGCACATGCCTCAGACTCAGCTCCAGCTCAGCCAGCTTGCGCCGGATCAGCGGCACTCCTGTCTTGCCGCCCTCGCTCTCGTCTTTGCTGCTCCCATCGTCCGCATGCCCCGCCACATAGGCTTCGATCCAAGGGCCCATCACATTGTGTACGACATGCTCAATCGCTTCGTAAGGTGTCTCAAGAAGCTGTGCAACCTCGTCTGGCCGCGTCCCCGCGATCACTTCTTCATCGTCACCGACATTCGACCGATGCCCGGAACTATTTACATCGGACAATGCCATCCCTTGCAGCGTGACGACACGGACTTGAGGCGGAAGGGCCACATGCGTATCTAACACGGCCTGCCGCTTCACTAGCGCAAGCATCGACACCTGCGTCTGGGACCATGTCGGGCACAGCGACAGAGTGTATCGAGTGTCACATTTGTGATGTGCCTGGTGCGTGTGTCTGTCTACAAATACGACCGACACAGATGCATCCTGCACGAAAGACAACGCTACATCAAGCCACGCATGATCGTCTGCGAGTGACGCACGTACATCATCTGCATTTGCGTCTAATACCACGGGTAGCAGCGCTTCCAGGTACGTGCGTACCGGCGCAACGTCCCACTCGGCCATGTCACGCGTAGAAACGCGCCCCTCGTTCTCGTTACAACCCGCTCCCTTTAATCAAGGCCGTCGAGGGGCGGCGCAGCCACGTATTGAAACGGATTGTGACACTTGAAAGCGCCACGCGTCGTTCTACATCGTCACGTACGGACGCGCGAACGATATGCGCATAGCATCACGTGATGTGCTCGTGCCGCTCGGACGGCTGGTAGGACAGGCAAACAAGCAGCCAATTTCCTCACAGGAATAGTTGACTGCCATGCCGCGCCATCTGAACACATGAACCGCGTCCATGCTCTCTTGTAGGCAACAGGGCCATACGAAACGTGCAAAAAAAAGCGAATGAGAGAAACTTTGGAAGATAAAAAACAATACCCTATGTCTTAACGGAACATGTTTTGCAACCGGCGCTTGACTTCTTCAAGCTCCTGGCGTTGCTGATCCAACGCAGCACGCATCTGGCGGTGGCGCGCGTATAGCTCCTCTTCACTCTGCTTCAGCTTCGCCTCCTTCTCAGCGACCTTGCGCTGGAAGACAGCCTTCATATCGCTTTCCATCTTCGCCAGCTTGGCTTCATGCACGGCACGAGCCTCTGCCTGCCTCTCTGTTGGATTTGCTGTGCTAAACACTGAGTCATCCTGCGTCACACCCAGACTCAACAACTTCTTCGTCCGGTACTGTTCATAGCGCAACTGCGTCAGCTCACGCAGGTCCTCCATGTTCGAACGAATCAGCATTTGACGCAGCTTGACAAAGTCGCAGTGGTTTTCGTTGTCAACCTCAATCACACCCCATGGATACGCACGCCCGCGTACAATGCGACCATCGGCCGTCTTGACAAGATCGTTGGAGCCGACGATGGCAAATGGTAGGCGGCTCTGGATTTCTGTCACCTCCGCAATGGTCTCCTCGTCATCTTCTTCATTCACTGGCAGCTTCACAATATCAATGCCGTGGAACTCAAGATCACGAAGAATTCGCTGCTTATACTGTTGCAGTTCGTTTTCGGCCACTGTGTCAGACTTGGCAATGATAGGAATCACAGTGGCATAGCTATTCAAGCGCGTCATGAACTCCAGGTCAATCTGACGCAGTCCATGCCCCGTAGGCTGGATAAAGTACAACAGGGCATGCACACGGTTGTCCACAATCTTCGAGCGACTTGTTCGGTTTTCCTGGTCCAAGTAGGATTCGAAGCGCGCCTCGATCGTCTGCAGGATTGGGTCCCAGGCATTCTCATTGTTCACAAAGTCGCCAAACCCTGGCGTATCGATAAGGTTTAGACGGAGTCGCACCTCATTTTCCTCGATGTCCGCACTGATTGTCTCAATGCCGACAGTCTGCGTCGGCTCACGGCCCACATCACGCTCTTCACCACTCGGCACGAGATTCGTGTTAAACAATGTGTTGATGAGGGTTGACTTTCCGAGACCCGTTTCTCCTACACAAAACTGTTAGCATGCATGAATATACCAAAATAGAACATGGCGACCTCGCGACTTATTGTTATGAGGGTGAAGAAAGAAAGGCAAGGTTTCCAAAAAAAACACGTACCGACGACCATAGCCGTGAATGTAAATCCCTTGCGCACAGCAGCACGGTGCACCTGATTTGGAAGATTGGCGAAGCCCACGTAGCTCGTGAGCTTTTTGCGCGGCGTCGGCGGGCGAAGTGGCATGGCGGACGCTGAAGCCATGATAGATGGTTGTCAGCGGAGCTTCTCCATACCTGTTGTGTCCCACCCTGGTATCGCGTGTGACGCGAGCGGTACGATTCTCACGTGATGAACACGTGGTCTAAGCAGCGGAGGGAAGGCTGTGGAGGTATACCCACGGAAGAAAAACAAGCATAGCTCTGGTGTGGCGGGTGTGCGTCGCGGCCAACAGATCGGGTGACGCGCAAAATCGAAGTTTTGCTTCGTCGAGCGTCTTTGTCTTCTGGTCCTTGACAGCTGCGCTGCAGCCGCACGCATTTCGCTTGTCTCGTGCGATCTTTCCCTCGCTTTTTGGAACCAAAAAATGAAGCTAACCGCTGAACTGCTTGCGCAGTGTGACTCATCCATCAATACACTTAAAGAGCGCGAGCTGGACTTGCGTGGCTTCAAGATCCCAGCTATTGAAAACCTTGGTGCTTCGCGTGATCTAAATGATACAATTGATCTGACAGATAATGACGTGCGATATTTGGGGAATTTTCCGCGCATGCTGAGATTGCGAAATCTCACGTTTTCGAACAATCTCATCTCCCGTATCGATCCCCACATTCACAAACAATTGCCGTATCTTGAGTCGCTGGTACTTACGAACAATGCCGTGACCGATTTTCAGGAGCTCGCGCATCTTCGTCGCCTACGCTATCTGCGATATCTGTGCCTTATGGGAAACCCCATTGCACGCGACAAGCATTACCGTGAGTTTATTGTATGGTGCATGCCCCACTTGCGCGTGCTAGATTATCGACGCATTACCGAGCGTGAACGCGCCGTTGCACGCAAGGCATTTGAGTCCTCAGGAGGCCGTCTGTCTGAACTGGCTGCATCTCTTACTCGTTACAAGTCACCGGTAGTTGGGGCTGCGGCGAACGCCGCACGTGCGTTGTCATTCGATCCTGGCGCTCCTATGCCAACGGCTGGCCGACGACTGACAGCTGAAGAACGCGCGGCAATATCTGATGCCATCGATCAGAGCCAGAGTATGGAAGAGATCCGTCGCTTGGAAGAGCAACTCAAGCTTGGCTATGTGCCCACGAAGTAATTGCACTACGTACACACGCTCGTGTCTATTGCATACCCATTGTAGTTATAGATGCCATCCCATTCCTACTGTACGAATCTAATCTCGTGTGCGTGTGTGTGTCTCGATGAGCTAGCTTTTAGTCGGCTGGTCCCTCTTTATCCCAGCTGCCTTGTCGCCGTCGCTTGAGAATCTATGAGACGATAGGTCGGGGGAAAAGCGAGAGTAGATAAGGGGGAGGGGTAAGGGAGACAGCTGTTCCTCTCACGTGACTCGAAGCGCCGCGCGTCTCGATCATCAAGAAGCGGGCGACACACGCTCACACTTGCAGTGCGTGTGGGTGTGGGCGTCAAACGTGTGACGTTTGGGGGCGGTCTTGCATTTGACGCGTCATGGACGCTAAGCACAGTGTGCATGCAGACACGGCAGGAGACTGGAGTGCTGATGCATGCCGCACTGTTGCACAAGCACTCACATCGTCACTGGACTTGGGCTTGTATCGAGATGCCATTGTCGACACAATGGTATGGATGCATGTGGTGGCGGCTGACCTTGGGGAGCGCGTACGAACATGGACAGGCCGGCAATACCACCGATCACCACAACACATACTTGCCATGCTGCATAGTTTCAGCGCTATTATGCGCGAGCAGTACGAGCAACTTGAGGATCAGCAACGGTTCCGGCTCATGGGACTGGAAAAATTGCATGCCACTGTGGCTCAGGTCGAAGACATGCAAGCCCTACTATCGACGAAGCGGACAAGGCTCGAGGCTGCCAATGTTGAAGCGAACGATCGCTTGCAGCTTATGGTGCAGCAGCAACAAGCGGCTGAGACGAAGCGCGAGGCTTCGATAGCATTGCAATCAGCACTGCAGCAGCAAGAAGCAGATATGGCACAGCAACGAGCATCTGTGCTGCAAGAGCTTTCCGAAGCAGAACCGGCTCTCCTCGATGCTCAAGCGGCCGTAAGCAATATTAAGAAGCAGCATTTGAGCGAGGTGCGATCTATGACGAATCCGCCAGCGCCGGTAAAGCTGACGATGGAGTCGGTATGCATGCTACTGGGCCATCGCATTGATGGATGGAAGACGGTACAGAGTCTGATACGACGTGACGATTTCATCTCAACCGTCGTACACCTAGACACCGCGTCGATTCCGCATGCACTGCGTGAGCGCCTGCAGCGTGAGTACCTAAATCGGTCCGAGTACAATCTCGAGAGCATTCACCGTGCGAGCACGGCCTGTGGTCCGCTAGCGCGTTGGGTGCTTGCACAGGTGCATTACGCACACATCCTCGAGCGTGTTGAGCCACTGCGTGCGCAAGTACACACCCTCGAAGCACAGGCAGCTGACACACGGTTAGAAGCGTCTCGCGCGGACACGACTGTCGCAGAGCTTGAGAATAGCATTGCCGAGTACAAGCGCGAGTATGCATCATTGATCAGTGAGATTCAGGCACTCACGAATGAGCTGCAAGCCGTCGAGGCGCGTGTGGCTCGTAGTGTGCGTCTGCTGGACGGTCTGAGCTCTGAACGCGAGCGCTGGGAGCAGGGACGCCAGACTTTCGATGCCCACATGCAGACGGTTGCTGGCGACAGTCTGATGTGCGCAGCGATGGTGGCGTATGCGGGGTTTTTCGACCAGGCATGTCGCGAGGCTTTGTGGCGTGCATGGCTTGCGCGTCTTGATGCAGTGCATGTGCCTGTTCGACGAACACTTTCTTTTGCCGATACGCTCTCAACGGCAGACGAGCGGGCCGCTTGGCATGATGCGATGGGCTTGCGCAGCGATGCATTGAGCATCGACAATGCTGTGATACTACAGCGATGTACGCGAGTGCCGTTGCTCATTGACCCGTCCGGCCATGCTGTGTCGTTTGCTTCAGCTTTGTACGCATGCGCACAGCCGGCCGTCACGTCGTTCCTTGATGGTGGGTTTGTGCAGGTGTTGGAGCGTGCGCTGCGGTTTGGGACACCGCTCATTATTTCCGATGCTGAGCACTTAGATCCTGTGCTGATGCCTGTGCTGAATGCCGAAAAGCGGCGTACAGGCGGCCGAACGCTTGTTCGTGTTGGCACAGCGGACGTCGATTGGGCGCCGTCGTTCTGTCTCGTGCTTACAACCCGCTACGCGGGCGTTGTGCTGCCGCCTCATGTGTTTGCGCGCGTGCAAGTCATCAACTTTACTATGACACGCAAGAGTCTCGAAGCGCAGGCTCTCAGCAAGATCCTGCACTATGAGCGCCCAGATATTGAGGCGCAGCGAGCGGATCTTGAACGTATGCAGAACGAATTCAAACGACGTCTTTTACGCCTTGAACATGCACTCCTGACGGCCCTGAACGAGGCTCAGGGCCACATCCTCGAAGACGACCACGTCGTCAGTACACTTGAAACACTCAAAGCCGAGGCGGATGACATCTCTCGCAAAGCAGCGTCGACTGAGAGTATTGTTCGCTCTGTCGCCGAGGCGACGCATGCGTACGAACCACTAGCCAGCGCATGCAGTGCTCTGTACTTTTTGCTCGAGCACATGCAATCGTTACACGCGTTCTACGCATTCGATATGCGTCTCTTCGAGCGACTGCTTACAGACGTTTTGTCGCACCGCTCGTTTGCACAAGACACCGAATCGAGACGGCATGCCCTCTATGATACCATCTTTGTCGCTACGTACCGGCGAGCTGCTCCTGCGCTCCTGCATGCAGACCGGCTTGTGCTCGCCATCGCTCTTGCGCAGCTGTACTGCCGCGCAGGCCCGCGCGCTGGTGCTCTGGATGGTGCAGACTTTTTCTCTCTGCTTCATGGCTCGGACACAGCGACACTGCGGCTCGCAGCGCACGACGAAAAAGCTCATCCGGACGCCTGGCGTACGTGGACATCGCAAGCGACGCCAGAGCTTATCGAATCACCCTTGCCCCACGCACCCGATGACGAGATTGGTGCATCCGTTCGCCAAGCCCTGCTTCTACGCACGTATCGACCGGACCGCCTGGAGCCCGCTCTGGTCCGTCTCGTGCATCATGTCTTTGGTGCGCCACTTCTCGACATGCCGCTTCTTCCTTTGCAGGACATAGTTGAGCAGGTGTCGAGCGATACACCACTTGCTCTGTTTGGTGTGGCTGGGTATGATGCAAGTGGCACCGTCGAGTCGTGCGCGGCATCATTGAATGTGTCATGTGCCCAAGTGGCTCTTGGTTCACCAGAGGCTATGGCTCTCGCTGATCGTGCGATGGCGTCCGCAGCTCGTTCTGGCTCATGGGTCCTGGTGAAGAATGCCCATCTTGCACCTACATGGCTTGCACAGCTTCCCGCACGTCTTGCTGCTCTCTGTCCACATGAGCGGTGTCGCGTGTGTCTCACTTGCGAACTCTCGCCGTCTGTGCCGCCAGCGTTTGTACGAGCCGCTCGGATCGTGATGCACGAGCCCCCCGCCGGTTGCAAGTCCATTCTTCTCGACGCGCTGCATGCCCTGGACATGCGCGACGTATTAGGCGCACCAACCGCATCATCCGCTGCCACCCCGCCACCGCCAGAACGAGAGCGTGTCTACATGCTAGTGGCCGTGCTGCATATGATGGTGTTGGAACGCGCGCGTCACGTGCCACAGGGCTGGTCTCGTCCGTATGAGTTTTACGACACGGACCTCGACGCTGCATACACACTCGTTGACACATGCTTCGCGCACGCAGCTCAGACGAAACGCCATCTTGCGCCAGAGGAGATCCCCTGGCTTGCGTTACGGACCCTTCTCGCGCAAGATGTCTATGGCTGCCGCATGGATAGTGAGGCGGATCGAAAAATGCTCGATGCACTCCTTGCACATCTATTTACTCCAGCGGCGTTTGAAAGCGAGTTTGTCCTTGCCCCCGATCTTGTACAACCGCTATGCGCACCGGATGGCGTGCGTCGAGAGCTGTTCCGCAGCTGGGCGGCAGCCCTGCCTGAGCCACAACCTGTGTCTTGGGTTCTTTTGGCGCCTGCTGCTGAGCGTGTCACAGCTGCGCAGCATGCTATACGGGCGCTCCAGCGACTCCAAACTGTGCGGCAATGTGCTGAGCGCGAGCAGGATATTGTGATTGAACACGCATCGCTAGACCAGGTGCCGCAGCCGAGTGTGCCGGCGATGACGACCGAGCTCGCTGCATTCGTCGACACATATTTAGCCAAACTGCCTTCCGTGTTGGCTGGGCCTACAGCTGGATCTGCCGAGTTTGGCGCCGAGGCCGATGATCCATTGGGCCGTTTCTGGGCTCGTGAGCGACGCACAGCCTTCGAGTTTGGCTCTCTTGTCCGTGCAGACCTCGTGAGGGTGTCCGACATCCTCGCTCAGCGTGCGCCGCGGACGAGTCCCATGGCGGCGCTCATCGCCTTGCTGGAACAGGGTGATGTGCCTGTGTCATGGCGCCGTGGATCTAGTGTTCCTCTTGGCAGCACATTGCGTGCATGGCTCGATGATCTGTGTGCACGTGTGCATCATGCGACGCTCCCCATTCATGAGCGTGTAGAACTGGGCCAACTTTGGTCCCCCTCGGCCTACCTTACCGCCGCAAGGCAAATGACGACGCGCGAGACTCACGCGAGTCTTGAGCAGCTTGAATTGCATTGGGTCTTGGACTCTGGCAGTGCCCCGCCACACTCGTTGAAAGACGCAGCGTGGTGGCCCATTGGATCGTTGTGGCTCGATGGCGGCGTGTGGAAAGACGGATGTCTGCATCTCAACGATGGGGCCTCGACGAGCGTTTCACTCAATGCACTTTTATGGACGTGTCGCAAGGAAGCCGACTCGCCGCCACAGAGCTCTGAGCCATTCCCGCAACTCAGCGTGCCTGTTTTCCTCGATGCACAGCGACAACATTTCCTCTGCCATGCGCATATACCCATCGCGAAGGATGCATCGATGGAGCTCGCAGTTTTGCATGCCGTGGCCATCCGCCTCACATAGCGTCCCACGTCATCATTACGCCTCGATTCATCCATGTACGTTTGGCCTGTGCGAGTGTCACATCCGAGGTTTCGTGCCAAAGAGCCTCGGGCGTGTGCCAGCGCATACAGTGTAAAGCGGGCCAACTACCAGCTGCCAGTGAGTGTGCCAAGATCGGATCGCCAAGCACGTCCAATGTCTCCGCGCTTTCCCACATCGAGAAAACCGCCAGTTTCTCGACCAGCGATGGAGGCATCTCTGGTGCACACAAGTGCATCAATACGTGGCGCGGCTTTGCTGTAATCTGTAAACGCCCTGCATGTGTCTCACACATGGCTCTCGCTGACGCACTGTCTATGAACATCGATGCGACGCGGGTTGTGCTCACCAGCACCTGCTCCAAAGCCAGTGGTGGTGCAAATGTGCACATACGTATCGATAGGTGCTCAATGTACTGCGCGAGTGCGGGGCACAGCACTATCAAAGTATATCGTAGGCGATTGAATGATGTCGGCGAGTGTAAAAAGAGAGTATGATAGGCATGTGGAAGCACTCGGCGCCGAGTTTCTTTTGACAAAAGAAGGATTCGCCATAATCCGCGGTGCGGATATGGGTCCTGCTCATCGACAACGCGAGCCATATGTATGAGAATGCGCCATTGTAACTCACGAGGAACGCGATGAGTGCCTCGTTCTAGCGCTTTCAAGTCGCATTGACTCGCTTTTTCCGCCGAGCTCCTTCGCATGATTGCGAGCGCAACGGGCAGCAGAATTATGCAAGCAAACGCACATCCGTGAATTACAACCACGAAATTTATGACCGAGTCAGTTCCCATGATGCAGCTCGGCGGCTTGCCACACTCAGACTGAGCCGTGCGCAATACCAGCAAGCACAGCCAACTCCCTGGGATGAAACAAGCATACAGGCTCATTTAGTTTGGCTGAAGCCTCGCACGGATCTCATGCACGTGACGATCATCGGTGAGTAGGTGTACAACAGAGGGGCGGCTGATCCACAAGCAAACGGACTGGGACGAACCACGCTAACATCTAGCGTCATAATCTATCGACAAAGAAGAAAAATACCAAATGTATCGACATGACAAGTGAAAGTACAAGATACACATGACACACTATAAATACGGAATTAAGTAGAAACATTAGGTCTTAGGATGCCACTGCGTGCGCAGCCTCGGAAACATGATCTTGCTGCGTGGAATTGGTAGGGTCGTTGTCATTGGTAGTCATCGTCGTAGACGCACTAGCCGACTCCGTTTCCAGAGCTTGGGAGGGCGAGTCTGTCGTATCGCCATTCGTAGCTGACGGCGTCTCGGCTTGGGCCTTTTGAGCTGCGAGTTCTTCGTCACGTTTGCGGATTTCCTCGGTTGTAAGGAAGCGGCCACCGGGACCTCGTGGACGTCGCATCGCATGTTTGTGTCGCGATTCATGAAGGTATGGTTTCTTAGCCTCCTCATCCAGTGCGAGGAGGCCAGACACCCACTCCTCGCTGATTTCGGCGGTGCCGCCGTTCTTCTCTTCTTCTCGTTGCTTGATTGCAAGCATGAACATGTGGCGGCGTTTCTCCTCCATGCGAGCACGAGCCATGCGTCGTTTCAGGATTCGCTGGTATTGCTTTGCGTTCACATACAGCGGTTCTTCGTCAGTACTAGGCCCTTGTGACCTGATCGGAGCAAGGCCTTTGGGCGCATCCAGGGCTTGCTGAGGCGTTGCAAGGCCAGGCATATCAATCCGTAGTCCCGTGCTTGGCTGCGTCAATCCCTGCTGGTAATAGGCTGATGGATCAATCGAGAATGTCTGTGGCCGTTGCGGCGCATCGTCTGGACCGAGTATCCACGAGGTCAAATCATTGCTGGGGGCACCTGGGTTTTCCTGCGGATCCGACAAAAGATCTGGAAACCCATCTGTGTGCGGAACGCCATCCAAGTCTCGCCGCGTAGGTATGCCACGCGAAGGAAGACGTGGGCGTCCCGGACCCGGCGGAGGCCCTGCGCTGACGCCTGGGCTTGGTCCAGGCACAGGACCGGCTCCTGCGCGACGGAAGCGACTCTGGATATCAAGACCATCATTGAACGGCACCGGGCTCATCCGTTGCCGTTTCTGCATGGGACGCGGCACGCGAGCAGCATCTGACTCCATCATCATGTGACGATGCGACGTTGGATCTGTCGGTCTGTACATGCTGGCTGGGAATGTGCGTGCACTGCCCGGCATAGGTGGAATACCACTCGATAATGAACCAGGATAACCATGATTAGCAGGGTGTAGGACATCTGCCTCCTCGTGCGGTTGCACATCATGAGCGCTGGGCGGCGGCCCCGGTCGCGAAGGCGCGCCCCATCCAGACATACTGGGCGGCGGTCCACGCACTGGGAGACCACTGGACGATAATGCACCACCAGCAGCGCCTGTATGATCATATGAGTTGACGTCGGGCACGTCAAGAGGAACGCCAAAAGACCCAGACGCCTGCTGGATATAAAACGCATCTAACGGCGGCGGTGCACCCGGGCCCATCTCATTACCCTCGGCAGATGCTTGCTGATTTAGGTAGGGCACAAGGTGGCTGTTGGCATAAGAATCACCGGGTTGCTGCCGAGTAGGTGGGGGACTTGTCTGCGACGGATGTCCGCCAAAGTACGCGGTGTGCGGACTCTGAACAAGGGGTTAGTTCTTTCTATTCACCCAACACGAGAAAGGGTTGTTGAATCTCATAAACTCGCTCATGTGAAATCCACACGCACCTGTGTATAGTACAAAGGGTTAGACTCTCCCTGACGACCAAGGCCAGGTCCCAAAATAGGCCCAAGTTGGAAGCTGGATCCGAGTCCTGGCGTTGAGCCAAGCGCGTTGCTGCCTGACCCTTCAGACATGTTTCAACGTGGGGGAAAAAGCGTAGACAAAGTAAAAGGAGTTGCGCGTGGGGAGGGGTAGAAAGGCCGTTCGTTTCACGCGCGTTTCTACAACACCCACCCGTAGATGAATGGCTCCCAGGGACGTGTTCCTCGTGTACTGCAGAACAGGTTCCTCAAACGAGCGCCCCTCTCGCAGCGTTCGTTTCCCGCGATACGATTGATCCATATCTCGCCGCTTACGTGTAAATCACGTGATACTGTGCATGAGCCGAGACATGGGTGTCGGTGGGGTGAGACGAGCGAATGTGGAGGTATGGCGACTGCCGTTGTTGCGCGAGTGACCGAAAGCGGAGGAGAGTCGCCCAGGCATTGCGCGTGACGCAGGAAGCAAATACAAAGAGTACAGGAAGTATGGGAGACGAGCATGACAGAATGCACGGGTGTCGGTCATCTAAGCATGAGCGGCGTTGTATTTCTGCACGACGCCTGAGATCTGACGGAATAGCCACAGACGTGTGCTTTCTTCCGGAATGGTGAGATAGGGGCCGAGAACCCCACCGCGGAGTACGAGCGAAATGCCATTGCTTTCGAGCGAGATTGTGCTCAGATCGGACCACACGAACTTCCCAGAGTGCCTTTAGATGTGCCGTGCGCACGTACAGGATGCGTGTCTCCGTGAGCATGATGGTCGCACCGCCATGAGGACCAGGAGTATTGATGTGGGCGACGTATTCATCACGCACGAGGCGGCCGGCATCCATGGTCTGCAGCCACATCTGACCGAGAGCCTCGCGTTCTGAAAATGGACGCACCACGTGGTCACTAGCGATGAAACGGGGGAGTCGTACCCGATCGATGCTGTTTTGCTCAAATACGAGCGTCGTGTTGCGCAGGCCCTCGGTGATGCTGCTGGCCATGTCAAAGGCACCGGCGGCAGGCTTTGTCAGGGCGCCGACCAGACCACGCCCGAGGCCCTGCATAAAGCCAGACGCGCCGCCATCTTCCGCGCCTTCGAGTGGGCGGAGGGCAAGGCCTTCGATGCCACTGGCGACACTCGTCAGAAACGAGTTGGCGCCGGTGGCGATGCCATAGAAAGCATGCTTCGGCTTGTTGCGGAAGCGCTTAGCACGCCAGCGGGACTGGAAGTCGCGGTCCATCGTGACGGCAGCTAAGCCCTTGCTGATGGAGCCTGTGAGCTTCGAGACACTGTCTGAGACGCCAAAGACGGTCTTCTTGACGAAATTGCTAGCGCCGCGGGCGATGCCGAAGCCGAGCTCTCGATTGCCGTGCATGATCAGACCATAGTACGGCTCGTAGAACATGTCGGCGACACCGGAACTAACGTTGTTGAACAGACCGACCGGGTTGCCAAGAAAGTCGGCCGATCCAAGGATGCGGTGCACTTGGAACAAGACACCTTGGCCGTAGTGGTACGCGACACGATTGAGCAGGACGTCTTTGGATAAACGGACATTTTCGATCACAAGAGCGTTCAGTCTCACGGGGGGCTTCGTTGACGTTGCCCAGCACCATCGTAAGCATGTTGAAGATGTAGAAGAAGAGAGTGCGAGAGCTCTCCGTCTCGTCTGCCTCGTCGTGATCTGTCGACATGAAAGAGAGATTGAGTGCAATTGGTTGCAGGTGAAGGATCTCAATGTACACCTGCTGGCTGCTGGTGGCCTGCGTGGGGGGCTCGGGGATCGTGTCGGGATACTCAATGTACACCGTCTCATCAAACTCCTTCTCGGCACGCACGCTACTCGCACGCACAAAGTCATATACGGCAAAGAGGAAGTCTTCGTCGATCTCGGTCGTGAGCTCTTGGAGCAGCACGGAGGCATATTTGATGTGCTGGACACCGTGAGACTCGTCCTTCTTACGGATCACCGACGCCTGGAGCGTTGGGTGCACGTCGAGTTCTTTGCCGTCTTTCGGCACGACAGTGTGGATACAGTACAATTGGGAAGATGCCGTGGAGTGTCTGATTATCGATCTGAATCCACTTGCAGATGACGTTGACGGCGGTCGTCACCTGGGACTCTGAGTAGCTCAGCTCAAGACCACGGAAGGTCATGTAGGCAATTTCGCGCACATTGCTCGAGATCAGCGATATGCCCAAGCCGGTGAGCTCGATGTTGAAGGCGAAGAGAATGGATGTATCGATGTCGACGGCCTTGAAGCGAATGTCGCCGCCAGGGATGCCGTGGCCGGCATTCGCAGCGGCGACGGTGCCGACACCGGGGGCAGCACCGGCATCGCGCAGCAGTTTAAAGTTGCTCTTGGACTCGGTGTAGTCGGAGATGACAAGAGTCTGGGTCGTTTCGTCAGCGCGCACATCGAGAGAGACGACGCCCGCGGACAGGTTGTCGCGAGCCGCAAACTTGAACGGGAGAAGCGAGCCGATCTCCAGGATGTTGATGACGCGCTCGCTGCCATTGATCTGGAGGCGGATGTACTTGTCGGGATCGGCCGGGTAGTCCCAAGCATACTTCATCTTGCTGCGAGGCTTGAGTACGTACCGTTTGGGATTAGTATCGCGTGTGCTGCGTTGCGACTCTGTTGGCGAGGCGGTCTGCATGAACACGACCGTGTGTTGCGTCTCGTTGCGCAAGAGGAATGGCCACGCACCGGAGCTGGGCATCAAGCGCACAAACACCGTCGGACCATGGACCTGCACATCCACTTGGACGAGTTGCTGTGGCTCGTTGTGCTGGATTAGACGCAGGTACACGAAGCCGATGTTGTCGATGCTGAAGGGCGCTGTCCATTCGGATGCCGCGTCATGGTAGGCAATGGTGGCATGCTTATTGGATGCCACGTGCAGCCAATGGAGCGGTACACGATCACCGGCGTCGATCAAGATCGGATCGCCGCCCTGGGACTCGGCGAGGCGCACGGCGAACGGCAGCAGGTTGTGGATGAGGTAGCGTGGCGCGAGCTTAACGACCTTGCTGAGCTTGAACTTGGCGAGACCGTCCTCGATGTCGAGACCGAGCTGCAGCTCGAGGTCGCCATTTACAGAGGGGATCGCGACGCCGACCTCTGAGCCGATCACGTCGAACGAGAGTGGCTTGGACCAGCTGGAGTCGGTCGTGCGAAGCATGAAGCGGTTGTTGCTCTCGCGCAGGCGTGAGAGAAGGAAGGGCTTGCTGTGCTCTGACGCATCGTAGTCCTTTTCATGCAAGTCTTGGCCGGCAACTATCTTGGAGTGGCCAGCCCACGGACGCGACTTGATCGTGACGGGCAGCTGGCTCAAGTTCAGGAAGATGTATGGCGCATAAATCTGGACCTTGAAGGCCCCGCCAGAGTCGGGGTAGGTGTGGTAGTGAAGGCGGAGCTCGAGCTTCAGGTTCGACTCGTCCGCGAGTGAGAGGGTGCTCTCGACCTGGAAGTCGTCTGGATTGTCGGACGCAATGATCGCAAACTCACTGGGCGAGTAGACGGAGTCCTCCAGCTCGACACTCAGGAGGAGCAAGTGCTGCAATGCCACGACATGCACGGGTGAGACGCCGCCTCTGCGAAGGAAGCCCGACCAGTTCAGGTTCAGGTTCTTGTCGAACAGGCGGTAGTGGATGTCGTACGGCAGGACGTTTTCAATCTCGACGGGCGCGCGAATAGCGAGTGTCACTCGCGGATAGTTTCGACGCGACATGGTTTGCGCGTCATGGATCGCGAATGCCTGGAACTGGAAGGGCGCCTCGCGTTCATCGAGCGCCGGGCAGACGAACGTATGTGACGCTGTGGCAAGCAGATCTTGCCAGCCGACGGACTCGTTCGACCATGCGTAGCCGAGGCCTGGATCCGGCCGCACCTTGATGCGCCGGTCGTACGCGTCGCAGATCGGCAGCGCGGAGTATGTCTCCGGCTCGATGCGCAGGATGGATGACGTGACCTGCCCTTGCTCGTCAAGCAAGCCCACCTCGAAGGGAATGAGCGCGCGGTTGTCGATGCGGAACGTGGACTGGAATGTGATGACCTTGATGTTGTTCACCAACTTGACCTCACACAGGAGGCGGTGGCTGACCCGGTTCAGCTTGGGTCGCAGCGTCATGACGTATTCGCCCTCTCGGTCGACGGCAATGTGCCGCACACGCTCCCAGGGCATGTCGTCTACGTGCACGGCGAGGCGGTTGTAGGTGGCCTCGGTCGTCTGTTCGCGGATCGTGCGCCAGTCGCTGAATGTCCAAGGCATGTCGTGACCGTCATCCAAGTGATGGGGCGCATTGCGTGCCGTGCCGGACGACGACGATGCCGACGATGTCGTGGATCCGTACGGCGTCTCGGACCAGATCGTCAGCCGATAGCCTGTACGGTTGCGGATACGGAAGGGAGCCATGTGACGGGCTTCTTCTTTCAAGCGGTTGTCTTGGTCCAGGTACATGAACATGTTGGTCGTCGTATCGATGAGCTGCGCCGCGATGTTGACTTCCAGCCGCTTCCCGGACGAGATCGTGAACGTGCTGCTTTCTGGTGCGAGGTTCCTCTCGTACCGAAGCGACACAGTCCACGGCTCCACGAGCGGCTCCCAGTTGGATGTGGCGAGGTTGAAGTTGTTCAAGCCCAAGTCCAGCTCCGTGCTCATGCGCATGTCAGCGGACCAGTCGTTCAGCAGGAGCTTGAATGGACTCACGTCGAGATCCAGCACCGGCAGCATGTGCAGCTCGCTGATAAGAATGCACTGCAGGCCTGCGCCTCGCACTGTGAGCTCCTCTCGCGAGAACAGCACTTGGCCGTCGTCCTCAAACGCATCGGCCAGCTTGTTCAGTACGGACGGCGTGGGTCCTTTCCGAGCCGGTTCCGTCCGCTTGGGCGCCGGCTTGGCCGCGGCCGCTTTCGTTGAGGTCAACGAGGTGCTGTCGACGTCCGTATCGGGCTTGGACAGGGCCATGGCATTGCTAACGACGCTCACGAGCAACTCAATGTCCGAGCGTGTGAGTCGCACATATAGGCGACCCATGTCGATCTCGACGCTGGTAATCTTGCCCGATGGCGTCATGCGTGAGTCCATCGACAACGACACATCGAGGTTGCTCAGCAGGCGCTGCCGGTCATTCGGCGAATTCATCCGCCACACAAACATGCCCAGCTGCGTCAGCGAGAGCGCCAGGATCGTTTGCTGCGACAAGACGACCTGGCGCATCTGGAGCACAATGGCCTCCGAGTCGGGGCGTGTCGGTGACGATAACAAGATGATGCGCGGCTCCACCACATTTACGCGGAACGACGTCCCAGGTGCTGCGGACGCCGACGATGAAGCAGCGGCTGCCGTGGTGTTCGCGGTGGCTGTTGAGGTCGATGTCGATGGCGCCTGCGGCATGGTGTCCATGTTAATCGCGTGTGGCGCCCGCGTCGCACGCATGGACGCGGCCGTGGCCGGTAGGCCTCGCCGCACACTCTTCACAGTGCTGCCGGCCATAGCGGCTTTCGGCTTGGAGTCGGTGCTCTCTGGCTCATCGTCAAGTCCCGATGACACAAACGCGACGAGCGCAAAGAGTGGATCTAACGAGAAAATCAGCTTCGGACTGTCGACGGTGACGACGACAAGTGCATGGCACTCTGGGGGCGGCGACACTGTGTAGTTGAGCATAAACTGCTGCATGTCTTTGGTCGAGATGGCTGGGAAGATTTCGCGGAAGTGTGTATCGCGCGATTTGCGCGTATCGGTGACAGAGAACGTGCGCACATCCACTTCAACCTCCATGCCCGTCTCTGGGTGCTGGTGCATCTTGAGCACGGTGTCTTCGATCGTAAAGCAGAACAAGCTCGCCTGTTCCAGCGAGTCCACGTGGATGGCCGTCTCGTCATACAGGTCGAGCCGCACCTTGTTGAGCGAAAACTGGCCCACCAACTTGCGGAGGGGTCCTGCCTCCGCGGGCGTCTGAGCTTCGACCGTCTCAAGGGCTCGAGCAGCATCTTCCTCGGGCACAATGTCCGTCGGCAGTACGTCTGTGTCGTCGGGCATCGACAGCGCCGACAGGCTGCGCACAAGGGCGAATGCCAGAATATACTGTCGTTGCGTCAGCTTCACGTTGATATCGGTCATTTGCGCCGAGAGCTCCAGCGTGTCCTGCGACGGCTTGGCTGGTGCTGTGGGTGCTTGGGCCGCAGCACCTCGCGCCATCGGCGCACGCTCGGTGATCTTGAAGGCAATGTCAACATCTTCGAGCAATGTGAGCTCATGCACGCCGTCATACTCCTCGGTTTCCATGCATGTCATCAGCCGGATCTGCCGCAGACCCGCGTGAAGCACAGACTCTGTCGTATCGTCTTTCGCCGCAAAGGTGTTGTGCACATACAGCTCGCCCAGGTAGCCTGTCATCTGGTCGTTCGTGCGCAGGTCATGTGGCATCACGACGATCGGTGTCTTGACCAACACATCGTACCGTGTGAGGCTATGACTCGCCTGTAGCTGCGATGCTTGTGCCGACGCGGCATCCTTGGCTGCATCGTACACGGCCTTCATCTTCGCAAACTTGGCAAAGTATGCAAGTAGATCCGCGTACGGTTCTGGCACAAAGATCAGTTTCAGCGTGTTGCACCGCAGCCAGATAGACGTGTCGTAGCCGGGGTATTGTGCATCGTGTGGACAGAAGGTCTCGAGCGCAAAGTCTACCAGTTCGTTGCCTTCGATCGACAAGAGCTTGGCGAACGATGGATCGGCCCGCTCCCGCTGTCGTTCATCAAGGAGAGACAGCGACCCGACGCGAGCTGCGACTCGCATTGTATTCGCACGCAGCAAAAGGGCGATATCGGCTGTTGAGAAGGTAAGTGTCGAAAGAAGTGCACCGTCGTCGTTCAGTCGCAGCAGGATGGACGACAGCTTGATGCGGATGCGTGTTTTGGATGTCGATGCCGGCGACGATGTATCGTCTGCCGCATAGTGCGAAGCCTTGGCGGGCCCGCCCGCCACAGCCACGTCGCCAGGCACTTTGACTGGCTGCGACTTGGATCGCGGCTGCGATTGCGGCAGAGAGAGCCGTCGCGCAGGAACAGGCGAGCCGATCGCTGTTTGCGGCGTCTTGACCAAGCGACACATCGTCGTCGTCCATTTTCGTTGGGTCGTCTGCTTCATCGCTATCGTCATTCTGCTCGTCCAAGCCGTTCACAAACGTCTGCAAGATCCAGTCATATACTGTGAGCACTGTCACGCGCGTAATCATCAAGTTGATGGTCGAAAGGTTGACGTTCAACGAGCTTTCGACGCCATCATACCGTTCGTGGAAGTCAGGTGCCGTCGGGCTGACATGCGTGTATTGTACAAATATGAGATCATGAGCATCAGCTTCCGGCTTCTCTGCACGGCCTGTGGTTGACTCCAGCGGCCGCGAGGTGATCATATGGCGGAACATGGGCGCCTGTTCCACGACGCAGTCGACCAAGTCTAGCGAACCAAGATGCACATCGACCTGCAGCTTGTGCTTCGTCACATATACTCCAAGACGGAAGTGCTGGAATACGGCCTCCGCTAGCAGTTGGTCCTCTTTCGTAGTGGCCCCGGATTTGCTCACCGTGCCTGACACTTCGTCCACGACCAGATCAAACTCAAACGTCTTTTGCTGCGCGGTCAAGAGCTCCGAGGAGTCGGTGATCTGTGACTCTTCATATGTCTCGGCATCGTGCTCTGAGCGTGAGTCGTCACTCGACGCACTAGAATCGTCGTCCGTGAGAAGCAACTGATCTGCATCGCCGCGCATCTGCTCAGCAAGGCGCTCACGACGTGCCTGCAAAGGGTTGAAGACCTGAGTCGCAGCACGCGTCGCAGTCTGTCCAGACGGGGCTGCGTCCGATGGCACTCGAAGCATGTCTGGTGGCGCCGCTTCGGATACCTCGCCCAGCAGTCGCGCCGACTCTTGCGGCACAAACACGAATGCGGTCGCTTCAGACCTGGACGTCGAGGACGACTCTGTGCTTGGAATGGCCACTTGAATCAGCTGCAGAAGCGCGCGGTATTTGTTGTCGGAGAAGTGCACACGCAAACTTGGTAGCGTGCCCGTGACCTTGAACTTGGTCAAGTTCGGCGCGCGCGGCAAGATGGAGTTGTGCAGTGTAAATGAGAGGTTGATGCGCTCGAGCAAATGAAGTTCGCGTTCATCTCGCATTTGCAAACTGTGCATGCACGCTTCGTACCCATCGCCAAGCACGAGCTGGACATCGTCGAGTTTAAGGATGTAGCGGTCGTACATGAGCTCTTCTAGCTGCCGGAAGTCTTCCTCCGTGTACTGCCGGAAGTGCTTCGCACGGATCATGTCCATGGTCTGGGGCTCGGCCAGAAGCGATCGCATCGCGAGATGCCCTGCATCCAGCATCAGAAGCCGACCATCGCGGGTCGTCACGTCTTCTGGGATCACCCAAATGGGCGACTGAATGTCCAGCACCAGATCGATCGTCTTGTGGTTCTCAAGCGCATTCTCGAGCCCCGCCCGTGTCTCGCGCCGAAGTCCCTCGAGTGTCGAGCTCGCCACATCTAACAGAGCGCCAATCAGCTCCAGCTCCGACTCTGGCGGCTTGAAAAAGTGCATGATTGACTCCAAGTACGACGCGTGGTACACAATCTCAAGCGACCGCGTGCGTAATTGCAGCGCGTTATCCGCACGTCCATCCAGTGGATTGTGCTCGAAGCGCATGTACAGCAGCGGCATCGACGAGTCATCATCGTCTCCCCGGTCTTTGACACGCACAATCTCACGGAACTGACTCTCGTCATTCGTCCCATCTTCTACACGCAGCGCGCCCAGCGTCACAGACGTGTCAAAATTGTGTGGCCGCTGACTCATTTCTCCCTGGAGATTGTCAAACATCAGCGACATGACCGGCTGTCCAGCCCTGTGATCTTTTAGCGCCAACAAGCCGCGGTTCAGCTTCGCCGTCACATGCAGGTTGACCACGTCAGGCGGCAATTCTTCAAATGGCGCACGCAGCGACTGGCCTGTCTTCTCGTCCCATTCAATCGCATCAAACAGCTCCTTTCGCTGCGCCTTGTTTAAAACGGGCGACGCATCCTTCGCATCGCTCGCGCCTGAGCCCCACATCCATCCGAGCCATCCACGCGACGACGACGCCGGCTTCGGTGGCGCATGCAGCGCTTCAGCGTCTTGGGCCGCTTCCAGCCGCTCCTTCCGAAGTTGCCGACGCGCTATCGAGCGGAAGAATCGGATGTCTCGCAGATCCAGCTTGTTCTCCAACTCTCGTAGACGGCCAGTGGTTGGGATCAGTTGCCCCTCGGCCGTCTGTTGTTCAGCAAGCTCCTTCTCTTTAAAGAGCAAAACATACTCGCGGCGAAGATCACGGCGCTCCCGCATATACTCCCACGTCCACACGCGTCGGCGCTGATGCATTTCGTTTACAATCGCACGCGCAGCAAACCGGAACATTGCGAGGGGCCGATTCGTCTCAAGCTCCTCCGCTGTGGGCCGGAAGGACTGGTACTGCGCCTGCCGCGCATAAAAACTGAACAGGTTCAGCATGCTCAGGGCATCACTGTATTGCTCGTCACTTAGCGTCAAGCCAATCTGATCAAAAACAAGCTGTGCGTCCATTTTTGCATGCTCCTTTGTCGCCCGACGCCGCATCACAAACTTGCCCACGCCAGACACTGGTTGCAGCACATATTGGTGCTCAGGCACGTGGTCTTTCGACGCAATCAGCTCATTCAACTTCTGCTGGAGATCTTCCGAGGATATCGTAGTCAGGAACTCGGTGCCAGCATCCCAGTAGATGCTTAGAGAGTCCAGACGCGCCAGTTTGTGGATCCCTGACGCAGAGTTGTGCACGAACGTGGGCTCCCAATTGCCATCAGTAGACACAGCCGACAGTTCGGCGAGTGTGATACCAAGTGAAAACGGGTGCTCCGGCGACGAGAGCGCATCTTCGTATCGTATATGAATGTTTCGCACCGTCACTTGCACGTTATCAACAATGCGCGTAAAGAGTGAGCTCATGAATGACTCTGTCTTTTGTGCATCTTCTTCAGTCTTCTCCAAAGCACCTGAATACAGAAGTTCAGACTGAATGAGCTTCTGTTGCTTAAGAGCCTGCTGTCGCTCGTCCTCCTCCGCCTCATCCACCGGCACAGACGCATCGCGTGGTACCGCTAAGAGCGACACATTCTCAATGAGCATCCGGACGGACTTTCCCTTTATGTTGGACCATGGAATAGTGAGGGTAAGCTGGCCCAAGTACCCTTCTTTTACGTCAATAGGCAAACGCAGCTTATCCAGCGCAGAGCGCTTCAAGCGCAGGTTTCGCAGCTTTACGTCACCACTCCATATCGCGACATTGAGCTGGTTCGTATTCAATCCATCCACATAGGATGCGAGGAATCGATTGAGTACGGACGCTAGGACGCCCTCCAGCATCGTGGTGGCGTAAAGCTACACAGGAAAGCCGTCATTGGCATTCCTCTTTAGCTCACTTGTCCTGTATAATGCGCACACTGCATTTGATTCGTTCTGTCTCGTCAATGCACAGACGTCGTTTCTCCACACGGGTTATTCTCTGTCATGTACGACAACTCACACACATCGTTTGGCTCGCTCGTATCTACATAAGCAAAACAAGCGCGTAAGCCACTTGCGATAAAATAGCTGAGCGACAAAGCAAAGTCCCTCTTATCCCTTCACGACCTTAGACTATGGTTATCACCAACCAAGCTATGTCGGCGGCTGCATAGGAAAAAAAAAAATACTATTTGACCAAAATATAGTCCCAAACTTCATGCGTCGCCCTTGCCAGGTTCGAAACTTTGGATGGGAGGGTGAAACACGAAGGTCCAGAGAAAATTCTTTTCATAATAAGACAATACATGGCCTCACGAAGAATATGGCGACTTTTCAAACAGATCTCCATCAAATGCATCCTCGGGAGGGATCTCGACATCTTCGCGAGCGCGACGCTGCGCCTCCATCAATGCCAATCGACGTTCATTTAATACATATTTGATGCGCGCCATAGACTTGCGCACCTATACGCAAATATGTCAGCTCATTCATGCTCAAAAATCAACGAAAATGCATCTTACGTACCCTGTGGTGACGATGCGAAAGACTCTGCCCAAGCATGTGAGCCGACCCGTCCGCCCGGTGCCGCTTCAATTCTTCCCAACTCGTTGCCAGTTTATTGCGCTCCAATAGAAGGACATACCAGAGCGTATGCAAATCTGCACTGCTCTTTCGTCGCAGCTCAGGAGCGAGCCACGCTCGCGAGCCGAAGTCACGCTTAAGATCAGACTCCGTCACCGAATGCGGAACAGGGATTGATTCGCGCTCGTCGGCATGTCGTCCTTGCGTACCCTCCTTGGGAATTTCCATAGGTACCATCTGGAAAAACTGCATCAGCGGGTGGTCAGGGTATGATTTTGCCACATCTAGTGGTGTTTTTGGAGTCGCAGTTTGAGCGAGCACATGTGCCTTGGGTATCTGCCTGAATGGCTGCGGCGCTTGCATGATAGCAGCACCTGTAAATATGCTGCGTGAGAGTGACAGCAATGGCGGCGCTGCGTATCGCACGGCCGCGGGCGCGCGCAACGCAAGCATACTTGATGGCAAGGTCATCTTCACCATACTGGTAAAGAATCGCTATTGCGGCCGCTTCACTTACAGCCCATGAAGATATATCACGTGAAGTGCCCGTAGGCAAACAAATGTGGAGTGTCCAGCACAGGAAGGGTGCGCATAAGAACCTCGACGGCGCCAGTCGTATAGCTCGACGAGTGGAGTTGGCCGGCTGGGTTCTTGCTTGGGAATGGGGGTTGTTGGCGCCTCTCCGGGAGACAGACAGTAGTTGCGCATCAGTGATTGGGTCAAAACGCAGTTCATTTCTACTCGGCCGCATCAGGATTTTGGCTTCATCAAGACTGCGTCCGGGGTTTCTCAACATTGCGGACCTGGCGCACCAAGTCGTCTTGGGAACGGTCAAGTTGCGGTAGCTTGCATTTTAGCATACGGTGCGACTGCCGCTGTGTGTGTGGTTGGGTGCATTTGGTGGTTACTCGCACAGAAAAAGGTGCTCCTTGACTACGCAACATGGGAATTCCTCAACGGCAGCTACATCCACAACCATGGTATAAGGTTGTTGGTGACACTCTCATGCGACATATCTCATTCCTAGGACCAGGTCTCATCGCTGCGGTTGCATACTGTGACCCTGGTAACTGGGCTACGGATATGGAAGCTGGATCACGTTTCGGTTATAAGCTTCTCTTTATTGTGTTACTATCAGGTCTATTTGCAGTTCTTTTACAAATACTATGTTGTCGTCTCGGAGCTGTGACGGGCTTGGACCTTTCAACTCAGACACGTCGTTTGGTGTTAGGCTTACCTATTGACCAGAGTGAGTCGTATTCAATGCCATTGTGGAAGTACCGTCTTCGATACTGGGGTTTACTTATTCCACTCTACATTGTAAATGAAGTTGCTATCGTCGCCACAGAGTTAGCCGAACTCATCGGCACTGCTATTTCACTAAATCTATTATTCCCAGCTCTTCCGCTCTGGGCTGGTGTGATGATAACAACCGTGGACGTTTTTCTTGTTCTGTGTCTATATCGCCCCTCATCCGGTATCCGTCTCTTCGAAATGATCATCGGTGTACTGGTCTTGATTGTGCTGATATGCTTTTGCGTGCTACTGGGCCGCGTTCGGCCAAATTGGGGCGATGTTTTCCATGGATATGTCCCTTCTTCGACAGTTATATCATCACAAGGTCTTTATATTTCTATCTCCATTCTTGGCGCCACCATCATGCCTCATTCTTTGATTCTTGGCTCTCACTTTGCCACAATTGACCGACTGGACGGCGAGTCTGATCTCGACTCGGATTCCTCGTCTGTTCAGAATGAGCCCACTGACGAAGGGGAACGACCGACTCATGACGCTAGCACAAGTCGATACAGAACCTTCCGGATGATGCGCTCCGTCTGGCGCCGCTTGGTCGCGCCAAATATACGGGTGCCCGAGGTGCTTCAGACCGATAAAATCCCCCCGCTTAAGGCGGTTTCGTTCCAGTATCTTAACATAACATTGCAACACTCTTCATGGGACATCGCTATTTGCCTTGTCTTGTTTGCTATTACGATCAACAGCGCTATCCTAATCGTAGCTTCCGCTGCTTTTTTCTATGGACACAACGAAAAAGGCGAGCGAGAAGTGGTCGGCGATTTGTTTCAAGCGTTTGCTCTCCTTCGCGATACCACGGGAAAGTCCACGGCTATTCTCTTTGCCGTAGCTTTACTTGCTGCTGGTGAATCTTCCAGTGTGACGGTCACATTAGCTGGCCAGATTATCTCAGAGGGCTTCATCCGTTGGCGTCTCACTCCCTTCATGCGCCGCCTCTTGACGCGGGCCATCGCAGTCATTCCCGCCATGATTGTTGCAGCCGTAGCCGGTCGAGACGGTTTAGACAGCATGCTTGTCGCCTCTCAAGTCGCATTGTCTATGGCGCTTCCGTTCGTCAGCTTTCCGTTACTCGTTATTACATGTTCACCAAAGCGAATGTCACGAGAACTTGCAGAGGATAGCTCTGTACCTGTGTGTCAGGCGGAACTCAGTCCTTCGCAAGGGCCTTTGTGTCTGGACACGGCCGGACCGTCTAGATCAAGGGAACCCTCTTCGGTTTCGTCCAAACTCTTCCATATCTATAACGGAATATACGAATTCGTATGGCCGAGTCGCGCATATGTGGACTTCGACACTGGGAAGTTTTTCTACAAATTTCACAATGCGCCACCAATTGCCATATTGTCATGGTGTGTGTTTCTTCTTATTTGCATTGCGGACATGTATGTCCTGATTACGAGCATTCAAAATCCATCGAATGCGTAGATAATTAGGCCTGACACTATTATACCAGTAAGTGTTGTATGAATATGTAGGCTTCTGCACGTCCCATTGATTTGTGCGTGTACGTAAGTTGGATTTCGACGTTTCGCGATTTGTTCACGACGCGCGTGCTCGTACTGGTGTCCTGCCCTCATTTCGTGTCCACCCTTTATTTAAAAAAAAATCTCAGGCGAAAATATTGATCAACTAAGCCGAGGATGTTTAGTCATTTAACAGAGGTCATTCACGTGAGGCATTCCATTAGTGGTCCAGGCAAGTACACGCTCATGCCAAGACAGAGCTATCGATCCTAACGCGCGTTAGCGGGAGCTTGCTACGCGTCAACCGCTTCGAATTATTCGTCGTCACCACTTACAAGTCCGACAAAGTGTCCGTCCCACCAGCGTATTTTCTCAACTCTCCCGAATCGAAGTTCAATGCGGCCGGTTCGTCAGGGACTCGGGGACCTGCAGCCATTGCGGCTGGACTGGACGTCAGCATTCTGCCTCTGATTCCCTCTCAGAACGATATCTCTGACTTGCAGTCGTACTTGCGCGGGCCAAAAGAGCTCAAGTCGCCATCTCGCAGGCGTCGAAATGAGCTGCATCAGCAATATCACTCTCGAATGAGTGGCGAGCGTGTGCGGGAGTCTTTGTATGCGTTTCGGCAGCCCCAAACGAAACCTCATCTCGCCTTAGGCCACGGGTATAGCCCTAACACGTCCAAATCGGTCTTGTATACTGAAAAGCCTCACAGTTTCAGCACGCCTTCCCTTGTCCGTATTGCCTCCGCATCGCCGCTGCCGCAAAGAGCTGTGACTCCCACGCAGCCATCTCCCACACGCCGGGCAACTCCTTTGCAACCCCTACACGACACGCCAACGTCTTCCTCGCCTGGCGGTTGGATTCGGCGTTTGCGAAAATCGCGGAGTGCCACCACATTGTCGTCACGCAAATGGAATTCCAAGCCAAGGTCGCCTGCGCCGCAGAGTGCAAATAAATCTACGCGTGCTTCCCCCATTGAGTCGCAAATACAAACGCCCAGTCGAATGCCTACCAATGATTCTATTCCAGGGTCGTCTCAGCGTGCGACAACGCGCAGTATTCCCAGCTGTGATCTCTCTTTGAGCCCTGCAAGTTCTCTGCATCAACTTTCCTATTCGATGGAACCAAATGTGTCATTGGGCAATACAAACGGCAACGTGGGCTTGTCACGCCCTTCTCAAGATGTCATGCAATACGGCGTGGATTGTGACACGTCACATATGAGTTTCAACAACTCTACCATGTCACCTACCTCGTCTCTGGTGGAGGAAGAACCTCGTCCTGCATTTTCTTCATCGCAAACGCCTGAAGCTGATGAATTGTTTGGGGCCACGACACATGGCGTCAATGTCATGAAGCCGAACAGGCCATCTAAGGCGTCTATTTCCAACGCACTTTTACTCGAAGATCTACCACGACTTCCATACAAGCAAACATCCTCGTATGCACGCAAATCCTGGACAGATCCCGCCGCGCGTCAAAGGGCAGGCTCTGAACCGTCTATTAATGACTTGAAAAGCGTGTCTCCGATGGCACCACGTGTTGTATGTGTGGATCAAGCGTCCTCATCCCAAGTTTCGCCTCTACATCGCGGCGTTCCCCTGACAATAAGCTCGCCGCATCTTAAACATTCGCAGGAGGTGCCATCGCCCACGTCAACTGTTTCGCCTGAACGTCAGTGTTTGTTTAATGTAACGCCCAGTCCCTCTACCGACTTTGATTCCTCGAAGTGCGCGCCCGATCCATTTGCTCGTCGCTTACCTGTGAGACCACAGTCCCCGGCAAACGATCCATTCATCTCTTTCTCACCGCATAGAGACCATGATGGCTCTGGAGCAGATCAGTTGCCATCAAATGTCACGCCCGCGACTGAAAACACACTTAGAAGACCATCTTGTGACCAAATCCGTGAACCGCCGTTGGTACCGGGCAGACGAAATGACTCACAATCTGAAGCATCGACGACAGCCTCCATGTCGCGTCAAGAGTACTTGCGGCCTTCGTTCCAAACGTCAGGTGATCCATCTTCGTCTCCTTCTACATCGACAAGCGTCCACATGACGCCAGTGGATTTCGAGCACGCTGCACCCATTCATATTGATGATATGCTTCAGAGTGCATTGAATGAGGCGTCGACTTCAGCCACTAGCACCCCTGCTGGGTTTTCAGACCGGAAAATTGCGCCAACAAACTCAGGAACATCGTCAAACCCGAAAACGCACTTGGCTCATAATGGATCATCAGAGGCGGACAAAGAACTCTCACCACCGTCACCAACATCTACCAAGGCGACTAATCCGATCGACAGTATGTCAATAAGAATTGAACAATTTCAGGCCCAACAAGCGTCACTACGTGGTTCTATTGAGTCATCAAAAATGGAAATTGTTCGGCTCCGTGAACAAATCCGGGCTTTTCGCAAGGAAGTTGGCGGCGAATGCGATGTGGATAGTGCCGCGCTATCGAATGCGCATGCGGACAAGGGTGGTTCTGATTTATTACCATCTCCGTCTTCTCTAACACCTGGTCAACATCTTCGTCTACGCGATAGCCTTTCGTCGATGGATGACCTTGACCGGCGCCTGTCTGACATGTTGGCGAGCCATGCCACTGTTACTTGAATTTTTCAACCTGAGTCATACGTTTGTGTGTGGGTCAATGATACTATGATATTTCTGTAATATTCAGTTTAGTAGTGGCCCATTTAGTAGATGAGCACTTGTGGCGTGTTACACTAAATCTAATACTATATACAGCATTGAACTACTTCGTAGGCGAAATCGGTGTGGAGTCAGCTACCACCGTATTCACAAGCTGAGCGCACGCTACAATGTCTTTGGGCGCCGGATAGCAAGACATAGGGCATCTGTGAGTGTGGCGCCACCGCTTGATGCAAGCGGGCGTTGATGGGCAGCCCGCATCAGTGTTTGTCACCTTTTCGGCTACGCTTGCCGTGTGATTGGGTGTGCCTGCATACGAGCCAACTCCTCGGTGTTCGGGCGACCAAAGCAGATGCAAGTCATAGCCTCATGTGGTATTACGTGCTTACCTCGGCGCGGCCGATGTGATTCCCAAGCGTGAATGACGGTTGGCCCAGTCGACACAAGTCGGTATTACCTTTTCCCACCAATCAGATATTGAATAACTAACATGCATGACGCAAGGTATTCATAACTAAGGATGCACTGTTGCTGCCGTTGCATAATCGAATTCCACATGTCGATCTCCAATACGCCAAAATACTTCGTTCAAGTTCAGACCCTTGTTGTGAAGTCCTGTTCAAGAACAGAAAAAGATCCTATTAGGGTTAAGCCACATGCCTCCGAGGAGTCGGTATTGAGCAACGTGCGCTGTCCGCGCGTCAGTAGGCGGCGGCGGGTCGTGAAAGAATTCCGTCAGTGATCTGACAACTCGTTACACAACTCCGTCGATTTCCGCTGAGTTTGGTTAGGCTTGATTTCAGCCTTCTTTCTCAACGCAGTCATCCCCCTTCCAGCTGGATTGGATCGTGTTTGACATTCTTCTCGAACGTTGTTTGTAACGCTAAGTGAGCGCCAACACTTAGTTTTTCTACGAACAACGATCACCTGCCATTCCTCTTCGGAAAAGTCGACTAAAACTCGCTTCATTGTTCCCCCCTCATCGCATAAACATGACTTCACAATCGGTTGATCAGGAACGCCCTGAAAGTCTTTCCGTCGTTGGTATCGGCCTCCGTCTTCCCGGTGCACGCGACAAAAAGGAATACTTTGAACTCCTGAAGGAGGCTCGATGTGCAATTGGTCGTGTGCCGTCTAATCGCTGGAATCCAGACGCCATGACCCAGCTCGGCGGCGTTCCGGGAATGGTCGTCACGGACCAGGGCGGCTTTGTAGATCCGCATACCGAAATCGACTCGTTGGAGTTCGGCATTTCACCTGCTGAGGCGCGCCAGCTTGACCCACACCAGCTTATGCTGGTCGAGGTCGTATTCCAGGCGCTCGAGGACTCGGGTGTGCACTACCGTGGTACGAATACCGGTGTGTTTGTAACTGGCTCGCCAGACGTGCACAATCTTGGAAATGACATGTGGGACATGGGTCCATACAGCGCAACTGGTGCGGCATTCTCGATGCAGGCGAACCGTCTTTCATATTTGTTTGATTTACGCGGTCCGTCTGTGTATCTTGATACGGCATGCTCCTCGAGTATCACGTGTTTGCACTTGGCTCGCGCGGCTATTTTGCGCGGTGACTGTGACATGGCTGTCGTGGCAGCTGTGAACTTGATTCTTGCTCCTCATGCGTCTTTGTCGTTCTCGACACTTGGTACCTTGTCTCCCAGTGGTCTTTGCCACACGTTCGATGCATCGGCGGACGGATATTCTCGTGGTGAGGGCTGCACGGTCATTATCTTGCAGCGGACGAATGAGGCCGTTCGTATGGGTAGCCACATTTACTCGGAGATTACTGGTACTGCCATCAATGCAAACGGCAAAGGCAAGTCGATTACGCTGCCAGACGGACCACAGCAAAAGGCTGCCACGTACGCAGCATATCGCGATGCGAAGCGTGAGCCGCATGAAGCTGCGTATGTTGAGTGCCATGGCACTGGTACACCAGTGGGCGACCCGATTGAAGCGAATGCTGTTGGTGAGGTTTTCACGCCTGGTCGCGAAAAGGATGACTACCTGCGTATTGGATCTGCCAAGACGAACGTCGGCCACCTGGAGCCAGCCGCGGGTCTTGTGGGATTGATCAAAAACTGCTACACGCTAGACATGGGTCTGATGCTTCCTCACCTGCATTTCAAAAATCCAAGCCCGCGGATCCGATGGGATGATTTTCTCATTAAAGTGCAGACGGAGACAGAACCACTGCCTCCGAACAAGCTTTCGAAGGATGGAAAATTCATTGTATCGCTCTCCTCTTTCGGTTTTGGTGGTGCTAACAGTCACACGGTTATGGAGCGTGTGCCTAACGACTCACTCACGCGCGACGTTGTGCCTCTTAGCCCACAAGATCCAATGCTCATCGCTGTTGGTGCACTGTCGAACCGTGCTGTGAGCTCGCTGAGCACGTCTGTTCAGGAGGCCTGGGCGGAAACGAAGGATCCGCTATCGGCATCGCTACTTGCTCGCACGATGACAGAACGCGCGCGTGGTCACCCGAACTTGGCATTTGCTGTTGGCTCTTTGAATGACTCGCTCTCGTTCTCTGACACTGTCGTGACCTCAACCCCAGACTTGAACCCCATCAAGGCGTTTGTGTTCTGTGGTCAAGGTCCTCAGCATGAAGACATGGGTCGTCACCTCTACATGCGGTTCGCGGCATTCCGGAACTCGGTGAATGCCAGTTTCGAAATGGTTGCGAAATTCCACAGGAAAAACTTCCAGGAAGAGTATGGTTTGTTTAATCCGGAGGCTGAAGGAAAGGTTGCCAAGACCGAGACCGGTGACTGGAAGGTGGAGTGCATTGTTATCGCGATTACCATCTTCCAGATTGCCCTGTTCGATCTCTGGGTTGACTTGGGAGTCAAGCCGGACGTGGTTATGGGCCATTCGGTCGGTGAAATTGCTGCGATGTACGCTTCGGGTGCCCTATCGCACGAGAAAGCCATTCGCACGGCCATCGCTCGCTCGAACGCGCTGACTCTACTTGACACGGTTGACGGTCAGATGGCTGCGCTTGGTTTGAGTCGTCAAGAGGCTCAGAAACTCATTGAGCGTATCATGAAAGACCACCAAGAGGAAACGGGGCTGTGGGTATCTGCATCGAACTCGACGAACGCCTGTGCTGTGTCGGGTAAGACGAACTTGCTCAATGCCGTCGTCAAAGACTGTGAAGCGAACGGTGTGTTTGCACGACTCTTGCGTGTGGGTGGCCCGTACCACTCGCCGATGGTGGCACCTTGCGGCGAGCCGTTCTTGAAGGAAGTGTATCCGGTTATCGATGCAGATGTCAACATTCCAACTACGCGCTTTATTTCGACTGTCGATGGACGCATGCACGAAGTGGGTGAAAAGCTCGATGCGCAATACTGCTGGAAGAATGTGAGTCAGCCCGTTTTGTTCCGAGAGTCGATTGAGGCCCTCAATGAGTACCGCAAGAGCCAGGACCGTGGTTTGCTGATTATTGAAGTGGCGCCGCACACTGTGTTGGGCTCGTACATGGACGAGATCTTGCGTGCAGCTGATGCAGAGCGCACGACGATCGTTGCCTCAGCGCGTCGGATGAATGTGAAGAAGGGTGAGACTCGCGAGATGCAGGTGGAAATTACGCAGTTCCTCACGGCTGTGGGTACGGCGCTGCAGGCAGGTGTGCGTGACTTTGTGCTGTACAAGTTGTACGGCGATCAATTTATCGACCGGCCGATGGGTGTGAATTCGACGCTGTCGAACTTGCCGGCATACCTGTTCCTGCCGCTCAAGCGTGTGCCGCATGAGACGAGCTTCCCCGAACACTTGCGGTGCCGTCCGCCGATGCCTCCGCTCAGTGCGAAAGCATTCCGTATTAATGCGCAGACGCATTCATGGACAAAGGGCCACAAGATTCGTGGTACCATCGTGTTCCCTGGAGCTGGATATGCGGAAGCGGCGCTTGAAAATGGTGCACGTACGATCACCCATATGCGCATCCTACGTGCTTTTGTGCTGGAAGAAGACGGAGCGCCAAAGTACGCGCAGTTCAAGCTTACGGGCGTGAACAACGGTTGGGAGTTCCGCTCGTCAGCTAAGGGATCTGTCGATGACGGCGGTATTGTGTTCGACCAGCTGCATGCATCGGGCCACATGTCGCCAGAAAGCACCCCCATCGGTCCATCGAACATTTCAGAGCTATTCGGCAAGAACTGGATCGAGGACTTTGACATTGTCATGGACGGCGAAACGTTCTACCAGCGGCTCCGTCCGAACGGCTCGATGCACACAGGCGCTTTCGGACTGATCAACGAAGTGCGTGGGTCGACGAAGCGCGAAGATGACTACCTAGCGTTTGTCGATGTGCCGAGTGACCTGTGGTCGTCGCGGGAGACATACGGTATGGTGTTCCACCCAGGATTGCTGGACTCGGCATTCCTGTGCACGTGGATTCCTGCCCTGCCGTTTGATGGACAGAAGCTCGGCGTCGACGCTTTCTTGCCAAACTTGCTGGACATCCTGTCGGTTCGCGCTACGGCGGAAGAGATCCGCCAGGTCAAGCGCATTGTTCTTCATGTGCAGACGCTCATTAGTAACGACACTGACATCAAGCACAATGTCTTGATGTTCGACCGCGACACAGGCAAGACACTTGCGTTCCTCAAGGGTCTTGAGTGCAAGCGTATCAAGGACACGGCCCGTAACCGTGAGGGATACAGTGAAAGCTGGGAGCCGCGTGCATTTGACGCGGATCCCTCACTCATGGAGAGCTGTGCAATGGAAACGAGCCTCACGTCCAAATTCCTGGATAATATGGCAGCGAACGACGACTCGGGCGTGGTGGCAAAGGCGCTCGAGCGCGACTCGGTAATCGGATCGGAGCTTCGCGACGAGTTCTTTGACTTGCCGGGTGTATCGCTAGAGCTGGGCGAGGGCCTCAACAGGCTTGCAGAGAAGCTGATCGAGTCTTCACTCCGCACGCCTCGCCGCGTGTTCCGTGTTATTGAGGTGTACGCGCGCCACCGCAAGATCAGCATGCAGCCGCTGGTCACAGCGATGCAGCGCTTGGGCATCTATGTGGACGTGGTGCGTCTGAACGTCGCCAATGCGCTTCGCGGCACGGACGCATTCCTCACAGGCCCTTACGACGTGAAGCAGGCAATCGAAGATTCAGAGCGCACGATCCCTGCCTCGTTTGAAATTGCCGTGGTCTGTGATGTGCTGAATGAAACAACCGACATCAAGTCGACAATGCAGGCGGTCGAGAATCTCCTGGTGCCCGGTGCCTTGGCTATGTATGTTGAAGTGAAGGCATCGACACCCGTGGGCAAGCTCTTCTACAAGGATGCACCGTCGTCGCTTGCCGCCCTAGACCTGCAGCCATTCGGTGTAAGTCCGATCTTCTCGCTCGGCTACATGCGGCGCGATGAGAACGCATGGCCGGCGATCCCGACGATCCCTACGAAGGAGGTTGGCGACCCGACGAGCATGACGCGTGCTTTGGCTGACGACGAGCTCTTGTTCTATCACCAGTTCGGCAACGAGCATCTGATCCCGCAGGCTGTGCGCGAACACTTCAAGAGCGACACCCCTGTCGGAAAGCTGTGGATCATTACCGACGACACGGTCGAAGGCGCATGTGCGATGGGCATTGCCGGCACGGTCACAAACGAGTTTATGACAATCAAGGGCATCTACGTCGCTGTAGACCCATCGATGACGCGCGCCCAGCGCGATGGTCTTATCGACATGTTGCATGAGCGTGAAGAGGAAGGCTCGTTGGAGATGTTCAATGTGATCCGCAATGGCCGTCTGTACGGTCGTCGACTCGTGAAACTGCCGGACATGCACCCGACCGAATTCACGGGCCACGACTGGGTGCTGGAGCTGATTGAGGGTGAGACGCCAAGCGTGCACGCGCTCGCTGCACACGCACACTTCCCACCGAATCCGTCCGACCATGATATCATTGTGCAAACTGATGCGGTCGCGCTTAACTTCAAGAATGTGCTGTCGGCGATCGGCCTGCTGCCCGCCGAAGACTGCCTCTCGGAGTTTTCTGGTATTGTACGCGAAGTAGGTGCAGCCGTGACGCGTGTGCGCGTGGGCGACCGAGTCATGGGTACCTCGGGCGGTGTGCGTGAAGGTATCGTTGCCACTGCGTCCGAGTACGCGGTGACAAAAGTGCCAGAAAACATGACGCCCCTCCAGGCCGCCGCATTCCCAATCGCTTACGGCACTGTCTGGCATGGTCTTGTACAGCTTGCACAGATTCGCGCAGGCGAAACGATCCTCATCCATGCTGCTGCTGGTGGTGTGGGTCTATGCGCTATTCAGATCGCGAAGCGTCATGGCCTCGAAGTCTTCTGCACGGTCTCTTCGAAGGAGAAGCGCGACTATATCCATAACCACTTGGGTGTGCCGTACGAGAACATGGCCAACTCGCGTTCGGTGGCTGAGTGGACGCAAGGCAGCCGTGACTGGCTCGCTAAGCGCGGCAAGCAGGGCTTCGACGTCGTATTGAATTCGCTGCAGGGCGCCGCGCTTCAAGCTGGTATCGATGTGCTTGCTCATCTCGGTCGCTTCGTAGACATTTCGAAGCGAGACCATCTGGCTGGCAACCCAATGTCAATGAGTGGCTTCCTCAAGGCGATCAACTACATCGCCGTGGAGTTGGGCTTGCTTGGTAGGTACGCGCCGACGCGCATGGCATCGCTGCTCGATGAGATTGCAGATGTGCACCGCGCAGCGCCTTTCAAATGCATTTACAACCATGCATTCAATGGCGTGGAGGGCCTGCTGCGCTCGTACGAGCTGATGGAGTCAGGCAAACACATCGGCAAGATTGTCACGGATCTGTCGGAGTGCTGTGTGCCGACAAAGAAGCAGCTCCTGTGGAACCCGAACAAGACATACGACCCACGCAAATCATACGTACTGGTCGGCGGTTGTGGTGGTCTTGGTCCTCGTCTTGTGCAGTTCCTCATCAATTACGGCGCACGCAACATCGTCGTCACCGGTCGCCGTGGCCAGATCAGCCGCTCTGACCGTCTTGCTCTCGAGCGTCTTGTGCGTGACCCAGCGTTCCCTCACGTGACGATCAAGATCATGGCAGCCGATGCCCTCAAGCCCGAGGCTATGAAGGACGTGATGGCCACGGCCAACTCGCTAGGCCCCATTGGCGGTGTGTTCCTCATGTCGGTTGTCCTGCGCGATGACCAGTTCATGAACATGGACAAGGAGAAGTTCGAGACCGTCATGAACTCCAAGGTGGGCGCTCTCAAGGTGCTTGAGCGAACGATCAACGTGAACAACCTCGACTTCTTGTTCCTGTTTTCGTCGACAGCGGCGCTGTTCTTCAACCCGGGTCAGACAAACTACAACGCTGCTCAGGCATACTTCAACCGCTATGCGCGCGAGCACAAGAATGTCGTGTCGTATGCAGTGCCGGCCATTTCTGACATTGGTGTTTATGCGGAGATGCGTGCGCGGTCGAACAATGCAGCACTCAAGATCATGGACGCGCTTGCCTGCACGTCGCGTGAGCTGTGTGAATACATTGCACAGGCCCTTGGTCGTTGCATGATGGGTGGCTCGAACCATGAGGGCTACTTTATTCAGACGATGGACTGGGAAATCATGCAGGAAATCTCCCCCGCAAATGCCTGGAGCATTTCGCACCTAATTGAGCACCACGACGACGAAGGCGACAATGACGAAGACGAAGAGGAAGGTGCTGACCCTGTCGGCGTCTTGCTCGGCAAGCTATTGAATGTCGACATTGCTACAGTCGACGACACGATGTTCTTGTCAACACTTGGTCTCGACTCGCTTTCAGCGTCGAAGCTCAGTGCAATTCTTCTTGCCGAGTACGGCACGACCGTGACACAGCTTCAACTTCTCGGCCCCGTGTCAGTGGACTCGCTCCGCCAGATCGTCGCGGAGTCGCAAGGAGATGGCAAGGGTGAAGAGGAAGCTGCAGCTGCACCGACCAAGAAATCGAAACCATCCACACCCTCAAGCGCCGCGGTCAAGCCGCAGGATGGCAAGGCAAACGTTGCTGCTTCTAATAAGATTGACGTCAGTGCCCTCAAAAACTTTGACTATGCATCGGAGCCGGAGAAGCTCGACGACCTGCCGCCTTCGCTCTTGGGTCTTGTGCCATTTGATGCCAAGGTCATGCAGCCCGAGAGTGAGCTCCGTATCCTTGTGACCGGTGCGACTGGCTTTATGGGTGCCACAGTGCTGGAAGCTGTACTGGAGTCGTTCCCTCGGGCACAGGTGACTGCTCTTGTGCGTGGCTCGGTAGAGGGTGGCATGGACCGCATCAAGGACGTGGCGACGAAGCGACATCTCAAGACGCTGAAACACATGGACCGTGTCAAGACCGTGCTGGGTGATGCTAGCAAACCGAAGCTTGGAATTTCGAATGCGGAGTACGCACGCCTCGCTAGTGAGCTTGATCTGATCGTCCACGCAGGCGGTAAGGCTGATCATCTCATGGGCTACCAGACAATCGTCGGCGATAATGTAATTTCGACTCGTGAGGTGCTGCGTCTTGCCTCTGAGCAGAAGGTCAAGGCCGTGCTGAACATTGGCTCAACGAACATGTGGCTCACCTTCTCGGACAAGAAGGTGAATGACGAGGTCGTAAACGAAGATGTGGATCTTGACGAGCTTCGCACGGGTCTCTTCAATGGATACTCGCAGTCGAAGTGGGTGGCCGAGCAGCTTTGTGAGCGTGCAAAGAAGCGTGGTGTGCCTGTTGTCACCGTGCGGCCTGGTGCATTGGGCGGTAACGCTCGCTCGACATACGTACCAAACGAGGACAGTTTCCTTTGGCGCATGTACAATGGTTGCCGGCAGCTTGGCTGTGCGCCTGACTCGCAGTCGAGTGCTTTCACCGAGACGCCTGCTGACTGGTTCTCCGACATTCTCGGCAAGCTTATGTCCACGCCACGCACGTGGGAAAGTGGCTACAACGCCTTCCACATCCGCAATGATCGCTTGGTGCGCATGGACAACGTGCCCACTCGTCCTGGCGAGACAAAGCCGAAGATCGTGCCTCACGACGACTGGGTCGATGCCGTCTACAAGGAGGCTAGCAACCCACACTCGACGAATCCATTGACTCCTCTTCGTCACTTCATTGCCAAGGGCCAGCTTGCCCACCTACCACACTTTGACCAGACGCGTACCCGCGAGATGCTCGGTGACCAGTGGGTTGAGTGTCCGCCCTACAACTTTTAGACACGCATGATGCCAAACTACGCATCTGGGTGTAGCATGCATGCTTGATGTTGTTGGATCTACATGTCATCTCTTCTTCCACTACCTTTTTATATGTCTTTTTTTTTCTTCTTTCTTCTTCAGTATACCTGTGCGAATGGAAAGGGTATGGCGCCTAGTGGCCTGCGTGCATCGCATCGGGGTCTCCCACAGATGATTCTCTCCTAGTTGGCGCTGTGGAGTGACATCTCTGGACCCTCGATGCACACTCATTGGCGCGAGTAATGATCACGCATGATGTTTTTCACTTATCCTTCGTATGCTCACTCAGGTTGCGCATCGAACTGGTGCTTATCTTGGTAGATTGGTGTCCCTGGTTAGTTTTGCAAAATGGCTTTTATTCTCAACATGTTGAATCGGCAGGAACAATGGTTTCCTAGCCTTGCACACGCACACGAAGTGGAGCTAGATCACTTGGCAAGTCGCGCGTAGCGCGTTCATATAGTCACGTGCGTGTCAGTTCAGAAGGAAAAGCGGCGGCTGGCTGAGACGCAGGCAAGTCAGGTCAGTGGGTCATAAGCACAGGCGGTCGACCAATCTCTTCCACGGGCCGTCAATCGCGTGTCTGGTGAACCGTCTTTGGTTGGACTTTACAAGACATCTTAGCGCTTTCAACAACGTGGCGCGCGCTGTGTGAGAGCCTCAAATCGACACACACCTAAGTATGTTCGGGGCTTCTTCGTTTGGTGGCTTCGGTCAGCAGAATCAACAAGGTGTGAACAATGCATCGCAGCCCGCCACAGGCGGTTTGTTTGGCCAGCCAGCAGCTACCACGGGAGCTGCCGGCACAGGCAGCGGCGCATTTGGTGCACCGGCTTTCGGTCAGCCAGCCCAGACAGGTGCGACACCAGCCTTCGGCGCCACAACACAGACGCCAGCCTTCGGCGCGGCGGCGTCGGCGCAGCAGCCGCAAGTGACGCCATTTTCATTCAATCAATCGTCTACAAGCACCTTTGGCGCACCAAAGCCCGCAACGACTGGGTTTGGCTCTTTTGGTGCGTCCGCGCAGCCAGGTACAACATTCGGATTCGGCGCAGCATCGACGCCCGTGCAGCAACCACAGCAGCCAGGTACAAGTGCGTTCGGGTCTGTCCAGCCTGGCTCGGCGTTTGGACAGAACAACACCACGACGTCATTCTTTGGGCAACAGCCGGCAGCAATGCAACCCACGACGTTCGGCGCTTTTGGCACGGGTATGCCGGCGCACCAGGCCATCACGCAAGGCTCAGCATGTGTTCCATACACGCCGTTTCGTGAGACATGACGCCAAATGAGCCCAAAGCACATGCCAAAACATTTGAAGTACACCAGTCACTTACATCTATGCCTGGGTATCAAAACATCAGTCCAGAAGAGCTTTGTTTGATGGACTACCAGCAGGGCCGCGGCAAGGGGACCGCTGGGCCGAATCCATCGTCATTGGGGGCCAGCACCACAGCACCTACCACGACGCCTGCTTTTGGATTTGGCTCGCAGTCTAGCATGGGTACCAATGCGTTCGGGCAGCCACAGGCGCAAACGACACCTGCGTTCGGACAGGCGTCGGGTACCGGTTTGTTTGGCCAGCAGAACAACAACCAGATGGGCTCCACGTCTTTATTCGGTGCTTCCAACACGGGTGGATCATCGGGACTGTTTGGTGCGAATGCGAACAAGCCCAGTGCATTTGGCTCCTCGACATCGACGCCGCTATTTGGACAAAACAATCAGGCCTCTGGTACTGGCGGCGGTCTCTTTGGTAACTCAACCATGACACAGCCGGCGACAGGTGGTGGGTTCATGTTTGGCGCGAACAACAATCAAGCAAGCACGCAGCCATCGACAGGATTCAGCTTCGGGACTGCGAATAACCAAGCTCAGAACACGCAGCCCAAACCGCTCTTTGGTGGCTTTGGTTCCACTTCAACACCTCAGCAGCCATCACAGCCATCGACAGGCTTCTCGTTCGGCTCAACGTCTACATCTCAGCCTGGCGCGACGAATGCGTTTGGAACTGGCGGCGGCTTTTCATTTGGCTCTGCGAATGCCAATAATGCAAGCACGCAACCCAAGCCAGGTGGTGGCCTATTTGGCTCATCTGCTACGACGCAGCCATCAACGACGTTCGGCTCTTTTGGAGCAGCTGGTAACAATGCTGCGACCAGCGCACAGCAGAACAAGCCTGCGTTTTCTTTCGGTTCGTTCGGCTCCAACCCAAACAATACTTCTTCGACGCAACCTTCAGCTACAACCGGCTTTGGTGCGCCTGCTTCGACGACTGGTGGCGGTGGTCTTTTCGGTGCCAAGCCGCCGACATCCACCGGGACAGGTTTTAGTTTCGGCCAGCCGAATGCCTCTGCACAGCAGCCGGGCACCACCGGTTTCGGCTCGGCGGCCACAAACACGGGCACTAGTGGCGGCATCGGCGGTGGCCTCTTCGGTGCAAAGCCCGCCGGCACGTCGCTCTTTGGAAATCCCGCATCTTCCGCAACACAGCCAAGTGCATCTACTGGTGGTACATCCTCGCTATTTGGTGGCCAGACTTCGACGCAACCGCCAGCAATCACAGCCCTCAGGCGGTGGCCTGTTTGGTAGCAGTGCGCCGAAGCCAACATTTTCCTTTGGCTCGGCTGGTTCATCAGGCACTGGCCTAGGCACGGGCGCTGGTGCCGGCACCGGTACCGGCGCTGGATCTGGCACTGGCTTCAGCTTCGGCTCTGGATCTGGCGCAGGTACCGCTGGATCTGCGCCTTCCACCACAGGTGGCGGCGCCGGCGGTGGTCTCTTTGGTCAGAGCCAGCCAGCACCGTCATCGACAGGGCCATCGCTCTTTGGACAAAGCCAGCCTGCTGTTCCGTCTGCTAATACAGGCAGCAGTTTGTTCGGTGGAGCAAAGCCACTGGGTGCGTCTATGCCGACTATGACAGGTGCATCCGCACAGCCATTGCAGCCGCCATCCCTCACGACTAACCCATATGGCACAGATGCTCTTTTGGCAAATGTCGCGGGGGCACCAGCGGCAAGTCAATCGCCGTTGCCGTTCAATGTGGCGCCGAAGAACAAGCCGCCTCTCGTATCTCCGTTTCGCTCTTCGCCGCGCAATGCTGTGCGTGTGACGCGTTTGCGTGGCTCAACACCTGGCCTTGATATGTCACGCAGCATACGAGAAGGCACTCCAAGTGACCGCGCTACACCTGTGCGTGCAGGAAGTGTGGGCTTGTTCCGTCAGCCCAGTGACGCTGTGGCGCTGTCGCCTCAGGCGTTTATTCCTCGGTCAACCTCCAAGCGACTCGTCCTCGATGGCGATACGAGCTTGTCCCGCTCGCCCAGTATGTTGCGAGAAGGCACGCCACGTGCTTCGGTACCGCCACGGGCTCGATTCTCACCTGCTGTTGAGAAAGTGCTCAGTGGTAGTGGAGGCGCTTTTGGAGGCGACTCGATCGCCGGCGGTGCCGGCACCGGCAATACCAGCAGCCTTAGCGGAACAGGTGCCGAGGCGGACTCGTCGCTTGTGCTGCCAGTGCGTGAACCGTCATATACGGCATCGCCGGCGCCCAGGGGTAAGAGCGCACGACCGTTGCAACACGGCGACTATTACACGGAGCCGTCGCTACCGGCGTTGCGTAGCATGCGATTTGACGACTTGTCTCATGTGGAGCACTTCGTCGTAGGCCGCATTGGTTTTGGGCGTCTGGCATTCCTCAAGCACGTCGATCTCACAACCGTGCCGAATCTCAGCTTCATTGCCGGAGGCGTCGTCCAGCTTCGTATGAAAGAGTGTTTCGTGTACCCACAAGAAGAGGACTTGGAGTCTGATGTACCCCTAGATGGTCTTTTGCCGAACTATGTGCCAGTGCCGAAAGCACCTCTGGGTACAGGTTTGAACGTGCCGGCCCGCGTAAGTTTGGAGGGATGCTGGCCCGTTGACCGAGCAACTCGCGAGCCATTGCGTGACGAGTCGCACCCACGGGTCAAGCAGCACATCAACAAGCTGCGGAACAAGAAGGAAACGGACTTTGTGTCGTATGACGCACTGTCTGGCACATGGACGTTTGAAGTGCAGCACTTCTCGCGCTATGGCTTGGACGAGTCGGATGAAGACGACGATGACGCTGACGTCGATATGCCCGCACACACGCGTGTTGACATGCGCGATGCAGACAATGTGGACGACGAGGATGAGCCGCCGCCCATGAAGCTTGGCGAGGAAAGTGATGACAGCGGCTCTAGCGCGATGCGGGAGAGCGAGCTCATGAGCGGTGATGAGGATGAGGATGAGCAGCCTATGACAGACTACGATGTATGGGTTCCGACGATCCGCGATGAGCCTGTTCCTGCACTGGCACGGCGCTCCATGACCCCTGCCGCTGCCTCGCGGCTCACCCCCGGCGCGCCAGAAGCACGGAAAGTCCAAGTGATGCGGGCGAGTTTTTTTGGGCAGGCGCCTCCGACGTCAGGACCTGTCGGGGGCGTAAAGCTTAGTGGTCCCTCGGCCCAGCTGCCATTGCGCCACACGTCGCAGTTGATGCAGGGTCGCACCAGCGCGAACGTTAGCAACGACGATGTCGTCAACGCGGATGTCGACGAGGCACAAGAACCTGTTGCAGCAGCAGCAGCAGCCGTCACTGACGCCGGCCCTGCCGACGTCACTGACATGCCTCCGATAGAAGAGCCACCGGTGCACGACCGCGTGCCGGTCGCGCGTGTCGAGTCGAGCCTGTCGGCCCTTGACACGTCGCTGTGCGCCGACCCAGGCCTGTTTTTATCACGGAGCTTCCGAATCGGCTGGGCATGCAGGGGTGCAGTGCTGGCGCACAACGGGACACTGCACGGACTTGCATGCCCCGGCTGGACGCAGGTGTATCTGGATCGCATGCGCGTTTACAAGAACGAAGCAGAACAAGCTGCCTCACTCAGCACAGCACGCAAGCTGCTTGAACTGCAACTTGCCAGCACACACATTGAGCCGTCGAAGGAAGGAGGCAGCATTCCACGCGTTTCATTTCAACCAAACACGACGTGCGCAAGCATTGCAAAACACTATGCACCGGATGACAAGCAATATGCAGCCCAGCTCTGGCACCTTGCGAGCGTGCTCTTTGACCCCGTCGACTTGAAACTCTCCAACGATGCTTCTGACGCCTGGCATGAGCACGTTTTACAGCGCAGACGCAAGACAGCATTTTCTTCCTGGCTCGAGCGTGTTGTATCTGCACCCGTGCAGGCAGACGTACGTGCGCACATCGCGGCATCGCGCCAGACGGACCTGGTCTTTGCACTCCTAACCGGTCACCAGGTAGAACATGCGGCGGAGGCTGCGCTGGAGGCGGGGCATGTGCGCCTCGCAACCCTGGTGGCTCAGGCCGGTGGATCCTTGGACGTGCGTGCCGACATTCAGGAGCAGCTCGATACCTGGCATGCCGAAGGCGTCGATGCCGACATCGATCACGCCATGCTCCGCGTTTACGCCCTACTGGCTGGCCAGGTCGTGAGTGCCCAGGTGTCTGGCGCACGTGCACGAGACGCACGCACCATTGCGATGGCACGTGGCCTGGACTGGCGCCGTGCTCTAGGACTGCATGTGTGGTACGGCACGCCGTGGGAGTCGCCGCTGGAGGCGAGTGTGCGGAGCTATGAGGCGGCAGTGCATGCACCTAGCGAGACAGTACCACCTCTGCCGACGTACCAGGCAGAAGCACAGCTAGGTGCGCTGAAGCAGCGCGAGTTGATCCAACAGGCCGGCGCTCCTCGCGATGCACTTTTTGAGCTCCTCAAGCTGCATGTCGATGCGACATATCCGCTGGAGCATGCACTGGATGCACGCAACTTTGGCAAAAGCGCTTTGGATCACACCCTTCCATGGCATGTGTGCATGTATTTGTCTCGCGCATTGCGTGTTCGTTCGTGCATGGACCCCCACGTCGAGGACCGACTCACGTCTCTGTATGCGGCACAGCTCGAAGAGACTGGCGAATGGCACTGGGCCGTGTTTGTGCTTTTGCACCTTATGCACGACCAGGTCCGTGCGCAAGCAGTGCAGGCACTGCTGGCGAGACATGTTGATGTCCTGGATGCGCACTCTGCCTTTCTTACAACGACTCTGCATGTTGACGAAACTTGGCTATGGCAGGCCCGCGCTCTTGCAGCGCATGCGCGCAGTGACTACTTCGCTGAATACGAATGCCGACGCCATGCTCGTGACCTGTCTGGCGCACATGCCGTGGCGGTGCGGCATCTCGCGGCGGAATCGTTCTTGCGCGGTGATACACAGCTGCTGGTGGACCTCTTCCGCCCCATTGCCGACGAGGCAGAGGCCAGCTCAGCCGTGCCAATCAAGGGTTGGAATGAGGGCGGGCGCGTCCTGCTAGACTATGCGACGCTCCCGCAGATCTTGCCACCCCTTCTGGCCAAGGCACATACCGGGTCACTGGAAGCGTCCGAGCGGCACGCATTGCAGCAGGCCACTGTGCGAACGCATGAGCTTATGGATCGCGTGCCGCTCTTGTACGCAGACACGACAGATCTTATGAGCACCGTTGCGCGCTCGGAAATGCTCGCAGTACTGCAAAACTTCTCACGGCTTCTTGCTAGCGAGGCTGGCGCTCCGGAACCTGTCCGGCACTGGACGGCTGCGAATCCGCCTGAAGTTGAGCAGCTGCAGGCGGCCGCACGCGACTTTACCTCGTCCATGCTCGCATGTCTGTGAGCGCGGCAGCTTGATAGATGACAGCATGGCGGCTGTCCGTAGCACGAATAAGGCCCCTCGCTTCCATCATGTGTAGAGCCGCTTCAACTGTTGAACGTGGCACGTTCGTGAAACGGCCGTCCGCTTGAAGCAAATGATGCTGGAGCGATGCAGTACGGATGCGTTTGCGTACCAACGAAGTCCATCGTGTGCTTCTGCTTGGTGGCACTACCACGCGCAGCATTATGGCGAGGTGGCACGCAACCAGGTATGGACATGCGACCTGGTACGTCACGCCATGTTGGACTACGCGTCCGAGGCGGACAAGTGAGCGTAAGGCTTTATGTATGAGCTCATGCACTTTTTCTTGAACGACTGTGGGTGTAACAGGTGTATGTGGGGAGCGCTTGCGGTGCTTCTCACGCACGATGCTTTCAGCTCGCTGGGCAAGAATCAGAGATAATGTAGGGATCGAAAAGGCCGGCACGTTGGAGAGAGAGAGAGTCGTGGCTTGCTGTATAGCGTGCTCAGTGGTTGTGTTCAAGTACAGCCACACATAATACGTGAAAGCCCGTGTGGAAAAAGATTCAAATGGAGACGGCATTTGTTCAGGTCTTTCAGATACTTGCCCGGGTATAGATGCGCACAGAACGGCATGATCAGGTGCATGCGTGCGCTGACGTGGCACTGGAAGGACTTGAGGAGATGCGCATCGTGTGGATGGTACAAGGCATGGTGTTGGTCGAGTTGGAACTGAAGAGCATGACTCTAGCTGTACAGGAGGTATTTGCGGGGATCGAGAAGTAGGCGGTAGTTGGGATTTCCGTCGTCGTATGTACCGATGTCGCCCTTGTTCGTGTGGTTCTGGTGGTTCTAGTGGATCTGACAAAAGTGGTGGTGGTGGTGGCAACATAGGCGTCTTGGTTTCCTGGTTGCATGGGCCATTTGTGTCACACGGTGGTGGCATACGATCGTACATGCGGGCGAAACGCAGAGCTTGTATCAGATGACGCGGTTCTTCATTTACATCCTCTGCCTGACCTGTCTGTAAATGGACCAAGCGTTGCATGAGCACGTACCAAACACAACAGCTTGCAAAATCTGAACGCCGGCTGCGCGCTCCGAAACTCGCGCACGAACTCGCACAGTGTCGCCAACATCAAACAGGACCACATTGTGGTACAGTGTCGGCATGGGGCGTACGTAACACGAGTCAATGCCTGCATGAACGGAGTCAAGCATTTTCATTGACACATGTCCGCGACATTGAACATGGATAATGCCAGACCCATCGTCTATGATGTACTCGACGTATGCATCGCGTTGTAGCGCACCAACAACCGTAGCGACGAGATCCACATATACACAGGGCCATCGACCATGGAAATACATGTGCAAATCGCGCTCCATCGTGAATCGTGGATATGCACGCACTAGCTCTTGCACATGGCGCACACAGCATACGAGTGCATTTTCCGGCTCATTTGCCCAGACATACTGTGTGTATGCCGCGCCAAGGTCTTCGGACGCCTCAGCACGCGCCATGCTATAGCATCACGGCGCGTGTTTGGAAAAAATTAGGACGTGGAGTAAAGCGTACCAAAGGCCGGCCCCCCGAAGGCAGGAGGGCGTCGCTCGCCAAAGGGAAATCAGCGCGCGCCTTGCAGCACGGACCGATATTGTGGGGGAGAGGAGGGATGGGAGAGAAAACCTAAATCCGGGACGATCCACTACAATCGGATCGCTCTTGCGCCACACCATGTGGATGCGACTTTGGGGGCTTCGCGCTGCACTAAAGCGGCGCGCTTTGAGTTCGCCCTTGCCTACTACGTTGGCGCGGTGCTCTGGTATCGTGCGCACTTATGCAACAGGGAAGCAATGCAGCAAGTGTGGGACCACCAACACGGCCGCTGCACTTCAGTGCCAACAGTGTCACGCACTCCAACCCCTGCCGGCTAGTGTAGACTTTTACGATGTGCTTGGAATGCCGTACAACACTGTGCCCGCACACGGCTGGAGAATTGATCAGCGTGAGCTTAAAGCCTTGTGGCGCCGCACGATGGCCATCGCTCATCCCGATCGCCTTGTAAACAAGGACCAAGACGAGCAGCAACTCGGTGCCCAGCAAAGTGCGATTGTCAATAAAGCCTATGAAACACTTGATCAGCCACTTTCCCGCGCTCTTTACCTCGTACGTATCATGAATGTGTGTGTGTGTGTGTGTGATGATCCCACTGACATATGTCGATGTCGACCCTCAGCTTCAACGTGCGGGCGTCGAAAGTGTAGAAGAAGGCATGTCGGTAGAAGATCCGTCCTTGCTTATGGAGGTGATGGAACTTCAGGAAACGCTCGAAGATGCAGAAGACCAAGCCACCGTGGATCAAGTCGGCGCTGCAAACCAGGAGCATCTACGCGACGTGCTACACGAACTGGATGCGGCCTTCGCTGCGCCTCATACCGACATGGATCGCATTCGACAACTCGCCGTCCAGCTGCGATACTGGACCAATATTGAGAAAGCCGTGCGCGAATGGCAACCGGGTCAGCGGGTAGAGTTGCATCACTGATCTGCGAAGAAAGAGTCTATGTGTGTATTTAAACAGTAGCAGCGCATATCAGCGCAATGTCATCAATTTTTCCTCCAGGATAATGAAAACCATGGCGTGCAGCATCAAGCTGGAACGGGCTTACTTTTTCTTCTGTCATTTGGCACAAACGAGCATACTGCATCAATGTCGAGGCCATCACATTGGCAAAGTCTTGCTTTTCGTCCGCCAGCGTTGCACCCTGCTTCTTGCAAGCGGACCAGTGCTCACGATGCTTGTCTTGTAGCATATCCACCAGCTGTAGCAACTCTGGTCGCCGCGGTGCATCGGGCGTCAGTGCATCTCGCGGTGGTAACTTGCAATGCACATTGTCCAAGAACCCATCTGTCATCACAAGCACCATATCACCACGTTGAAGATCAAACTCCTGCACAGCAGCATCGTCAGGATAGTTCGTCAATGAGCCCGGCTGCGCCATACTCGCTGGAACCTTGGCCAGCTGATATGGACAGTTGAATCCATACAGTTGAGGTACAGAACTGTTAACCACTTGCATGCGACCTTCAGGGCTTTTAGGATCTGGGCGCAAATGCAGGTATCCGGAGTCTCCCAGATTCACGCATGAAGCTTTGCCTTGTACGGCATCTAAACGAAGTAGACACGCTGTTGAGCTACCCGCCTGAATGTCGGGATTTTTGGAAACTTGTTCAAACGCATGCTCAAGAATGACTTTGGGAAGCGGAAATGTCGGGTGTGATTCGGCATATTTCATCGCAGAGTACAGCAGTGCATTTGAATAATGTGCAGGATCAATGCCTGAGTCACTCCAGCCACCGACTCCATCGGCTACACCCAAAAGCACGGTCGATTGATCCGCTGATTTTGTCACAAATAATGCATCCTCACCTGCATCGCCGCCTTTCAGCATTTTCTTCCGCCATCGCTCCAGTTCGCTATTCGCAATGATGCCACCACGCAGTGGCGCACGAGATTCTGACCTCCGCTGTTTCCTTGGCAAGTCCTCTTGAGCCGCAGCAGAGGACTCATTTGATTCTTCTTCTTCTTCTTCTTGCATTTCCCTTGGCTTGGCGGCAAACGCATATGCTGTGACGATTTTCATCGGCTTGTGTTCGGGAGCCGCCGCTGACGTGGCAGGTGTTGGCGGCGGGGCCGGCGCTGCATGGAGAGGACGTGTTGGTACAACAATGCGCGAAATTGGCTTTGGTGCTCGAGCTGCAGCGCTCGGAGCCACCATGCGCTTCAAAGTGCCCGCCGTGGCATAACTAGGACGCCACGACCGACTGCTCGGAATCATGGTGGCAACTGGTAGAAGAACAACTCGGCTCTGGCGATCATGAATGTGGAGGACATTTGTCCATACCTTCGGCAATGCCATATGACTGGACAAAATCATTTTTCATAATGTGGATGATCTGCAGATAGGAAGATAGAGTGATTGCAGCGTAATCGGCGATTTATTTTTTTTTTGCTGCACGGTGCACGATCATAGTACAAAATGGCCAAGGCCAAAAGTGCTGGAAAAGCAGCCGCTAAGGCTGCTAAGAAGGCGAAGCAAGAAAAGGTATGTGTGTGTTTGTGCGCGTTTTTTTTGTTGCACTCAGTGTTGCTTGCTAACCTTATGTAGCTCGCCGAGCGCCGAGCGACAAAGCAAAAAAAGAAAGGATCTAAAGGTAGCAATGTCAATGACATGGAGGAAGAGGATCTCGACGCTCTCTTAGAGCAATACCGAGCTGAATGGGAGGAGCAACATTCAACTACAGAAGAGCACACAGGTGTCACACCCAGTCGCCGAGCAAATGCCACGTACGTTCTCGATGATTTCGTCATGTCCAGCCTAACGGTCAGCCTCACGCCATGCCCCTTGGGAAATGATCTTTGGTTATACGGCGGTGAATACTTTGATGGTGAAAAGTGTCTTTTTTACCAAGACTTGTTCCGTTATATTCCGGACAAGAACGAGTGGCGCTCTTATTCAAGTATGTGTGCTCATGGTTATGAATGTAAAAACTGACAAAGCCAAGGTAAAACGCAACCAGGACCACGCTCAGCACATCAAATGGTGGGTTCTCCAGCTAGTGGTGGACAGCTTTGGTGCTTTGGTGGCGAATTTGCTAGTGCAAAACAGACGAATTTTCATCACTATCGAGACTTGTGGGTATATTCCATCGCCGAACGCGCATGGGATAAAATCGAGACAAAAGTGAGGCCCAGTGCCCGAAGTGGCCATCGAATGGCCATGTGGAAGCATTATATTGTGTTATTTGGCGGTTTCGTTGACACTGGAGTGCGAACGACATATTTGCAGGACCTCTGGATCTTTGATACACTCGAATACAAGTGGCAAGAGATCAAGCAAAATGACCTGCGGCGGCCATCGGCACGAAGTGGCTTTTCGTTCCTGCCCACACCTGATGGCATCGTGCTGTACGGCGGATACTGCAAAAAGTATGTCAAGGGCCAGCGAACTCAAGGGTTGGCACTTGATGATGCATGGCTCCTACAGATGGATGAGGACACATCTAAAATTCAGTGGATCAAGCGCCGAAAAATCGGTTATGCACCAAATCCGCCACGATCCGGCTGTACCATGGCGCTATGGGCAAATCGAAACATGGGAGTCCTTTTCGGTGGTGTCACCGATACGGAACATGATGAAGAGTCTATGGAAAGCACATTTTGGAATGATTTGTATGGATACCAATTGGCGGGAATGGGTCGATGGATTAGTCTGAATTTGCGCATACCCAAAAAGAAAAAGGCGTCTAAAGTAGATGCCGATGATGAAGTCGCATCAGACAACGAGAATGATGACCCCAGCATCATGCTTCCATTAACAAGATACAACACGATGCTGGCTGTGCAACGGAATACTTTGTACATGTACGTGCATATAAGAAAGAGTGACTTACCTGGCAGATACGGAGGCATCTTTGAAAGTGGCGATGTATGTGTTATAGATGACGCTAACGTCAGCGCGAATATACGCTCGATGACTTCTACACGATCGATCTATCTAAGATGAACAGGGTCATATGTTTAAAAGAATGTCCGATCGATCATTTGGAATGGCACAGTTCTGACGAGGAGGATGACGACGATAACGACGACGATGATGACGACGATGATGAGGAGGATGATAATCAAGGAATGGAGACTGCTGAACCTGAAGGTGTGGAAATTAGTCACATGGAAGAAGAGGAGGATGGATTGTGCGATTTGGAAGGGCTTCGTGTTAGCGACGAAGACTTGTCGGATGAAGCAAAAGCTGAGTTGGAAAAGAAACTGGCTCTGCGTCGACAAGCTACTACTTTTATGGGTGTTTCAAAAGATACAACTCGCTCAGAGGCAGATATACTCTCGACACCAGAGCCTGGTGAAATTTTAAAAACATTCTACGAACGCTCAAAACATTACTGGGCTGCGCAGGCCCACGAAATTGCACAGGGCCAGTCTCGTGGGAAGCAACTTCGACGTGACGGATTCGATGTATGTAAAATGCAACAGTGACTAACGAATCTTAGCTTGCAGAGAAGCGGTATAATGAGTACAAGCCTATTTTGGAAGAGGTATGTGTGCACCAAGCTGTAAAAGAATCATTTTTTAACGTTCGTTAGATTGAACGGATTCGAAAGGATGCTGGTCTCGATGAAGATGAAATGGCTTCCAATGTACCTATGCGTCGACCTGCAGGCACCGGCTCCGAGAGCCGACATCGTCGTTAATCTGTCTATGCATGTTGGGGCACTTGCGTGCTTCACAAACGGTTATTTCCTCCCCACATGAGTGGAGAGAAAAACTGATGTCATTAAGCACAACGTAGAAAGTTAGCCAGTTCTCCACAGCTATTCCCTGACCCGCCTACTAGGGCAAAGTTCCGGCGCTTTTACACTGAAAAGTAGGCAACATAAGAACGCGACCCATGCCGAAATTTCATCGTGCATCGCCGTCGATCGAACCAAGGTCTAGACCAGGTGGACTGAAAAAATGTCAGGTTCAACGCTCATGGAGAAGTTCGATCGCATGCCGAAGGTAAGCACAGATGAAATGTTGGCTAATCTTGTTTGCAGCTTCGGCAGTTTGATGCGTTTCCAAAAGTACGTGAATCATAAGTTCTTACGCAAAACGCAGACACAGCCGATCTACCAGAAACGAACATCGTACGGCGGATTCGTGACCCTCGCAGTGTTCATTGCAACCATGGTGGTGATCTGGTATGAAATTCAGCACTATCTGATGCTGAAACCGACGTATTCATTCGACATTGACAGTCATGTTGGCGGTTTTATGCAAATCAATTTGGACGTTGTCGTCGCGACACCATGCGGTCGTACGTACCCATATGACGTGCGCTTTCCATGTATACTTACTCTATCAGGTGTGTCGATTGATCTCCGTGACGCTTCAGGTGATACGCTGCATTTTTCTGAAGATGATATCGTGAAAGACCCTGTGGATTTTAACAAAGAAAGGCAGCGTGCCCAAAAACGCAGCTTGACGCAGTACTTCCTGAAGATGCTTCACAGCCAGTACAGAAATATGAAAAAGATTGAACGGAAGGACAAGAAGATTGTCGCCGGTGGTCCGCGGCACCGAGACTCTGGTTTTGACTTCTCAGATCCCATGGAGAATGCTGAAGAAGCTCGAGCCTGCCGAGTATACGGCAGCATTCTTGTGAAGAAAGTGACAGGTAACTTGCACATTTCTACATTTGTCCCTACGTTTATGGCTGTAAATGCGCATGAAAATGGTATGGGAATTGACATGTCGCATATTATCCATGAATTTAGCTTCGGCGACTATTTCCCAAATATTGCGGAGCCGCTAGACGCAAGCTTAGAACTCACAGATGATCCAGCTGCTGCATTCCAGTATTTCCTGTCTGTCGTGCCGACTCACTTTATTCATGGACGTCGCGTGATCAAGACGAATCAGTACAGTGTGCACGACTACAAACGAAACCCACAGGGTAGTCTTACCTTCCCTGGCTTGTACTTCAAGTACGACATTGAACCACTTACGATGAAAGTTACTCATAAGTCTGTTTCCTTGGTGGCATTTATTGTGCGTGTGTGCAGTGTGCTTGGCGGTCTGTGGATCTGCACTGATCTGGCTATTCGCATATTTAATCGGCTCATGGCTGTTCGGCTATCATGGGCGCATGGAATTTCGATAGACCCTGCAAGTACGTCGCCGATGTCATCCAGCCACTATGAGCCGCCATACTTTTCAGGACCACTTGATCCTCAATCGCAGGCATACTCGCCCTATGGCTCATATGGATCGAGTTCAGCGAACTTTGTCACACATGGTCCAGGGGAAACGAAGTACCGCCCTTCATCTGCCTTCTAAGTTACAAAGATGTACAGGTGGAAGGATGTTGTGATTGACATGGTTGGGTCCTTCATTTTTTTCCCTCTATGTATCTCTTCCTTGGTTTTTTTCTTCTTCTTCTTCTTCTATAATTCCAACTATTCCGTTCTTTGTCTTTACTCGGCTTGGACAAAAGGACTGTCGAAATCAGTATGAATAGCACACGCACTTTTCAATGATGTCAAACCCGTCGACGGGACTTATGAGTGTGAGATTTGTGCCACGTAGTACAGCAAGACCTAAGGTACGCCGCTCGCCCGTAGTGTTTCCATTTGATGGATCATGCTTAATCTCTTCGACATCGTCCATGACAAGGGTCATAAGCTGATCATACCCTTTTAATGTTCCAACAACTGAATGTGTCAGATATGCACCCATGTGTCTCCCCACTCCCTTCTTGACGCGATATTGCCACCCCAAAATGCGATACATACCTTCTCGACCACCCATGAACTTCACACGAATTTCCTTGTCCACGTACTTAGCTAAATTAAGAATAGCCTCTTTCTTTGGCTTCTCCTGCGGCGCACCGCCATGACCGTGTCCACCGCGGACACTGTAGTCACCGCGTCCACTTCCACGGCCTCCTCCGCCGCGGCCACCGTATCCCTAATGCATCAGCAGCACATTTTTTCACACCTACTCGATCGGTCATGCTGGTTGTCGAAGGATCGTGATCGCTACTACACGCGTGTTGCTCCGATGACGATGATTATGCTGCCGCCGTCGCCGCCGATTGTCTTGCAGGGTTCGTTCATGTCTCTCAGCACTTGGTGACTAATCATTCACGTGGCATTTCGTGTCACACCTGCATGCTCTCTCCGCACAGTGACGAACCATACACGGTGCTACAAACAAACGGGCACATTCTTCGTTATACGCTGTGACCAGCGAGTGATGGCGTCGCAGGACGTAACGCGGTTTCTAGCATCAATTGGGTCACCAATTGTTGATGAAAATGTAGATGTTCCGGTCGAAAAAAATTCCATCCGCTGATGCACTTAAGTTGATCGACGTGCGCATCCAGGCACTTGCTCCGCCGTCAACGTCGCATCCAGTCATTGACGAGCGCGTCTCGTCAACAGATCCACCGGATGAGGTATGTCGTGAAGTAACTTACATGAGAAGATTATCTCATCTGATTTGTTTCATGCTCTTATATACTATGCTCGATCCACCGCTGTGTATACACACACATCATCTGTTATATCCATTCTTTCAGATATGTCTCGCCCATTAGAGGCAGTCGCTAAGCTCAAAGATTCTTTTGAAGTGCGGGACTTGGACAGCGTGTCTGAACTAATGCCGATAGTTCAGAATGAATTGCACATCTGTGGCGTGAAAGTTGATTGGGCACAAGCGCAAGTCACCAAAGAAGCGGTAGGTTCTCTTGCAGATTATGCTTCGGTGGACCAGTTAATATCAATTTGCGGGCACCTTGCTTCCGACATGCTTAAACAAGCACATGCGCAAGTCGAAAGCGGTCTCCACGTGAAGCGGACAGATACTGGAATCTTGCTATCGATACATCCTCCGTCTAAGTTGGCAGAAACGCTTCAGTCCAACGTCATGAGTGATGAGGCAGTTTGTGATATGTCTGATGTACTCCGAAAAGATGTGTTTGAGCCGATACTCCGAACATCACGTCGTTGGGTTGCGACTCAACTAGAGCATGGTTTAGAACTCAGCTGCTCGTCGGATGTATCGACTACGACACTAGAGCTTGGCGCATCCGTGCCTGAGCTCGTAGCTATTCTGTCAATGATTAAGGAAACCCTTGGAGCGCAACCGACAGTTTTCTTAATGCTATCCAAATCACTTATTCCGCCTATTATCGAATTATTCAAAGCGCATCTCTTGAGATGCAAACCGCCGATTGGATCGTCGCAGGATGCGACCAAACTTAAACAACAGATGGTATCTTGCACTCTCGAGTTTCATCACGCACTCGTGCAACTCCAATACGTGTCTGATCAAATGCCTCGCACTAAGCATCTTCCCTGTATGCCCGAGCCACTTTCCGATCTACCCGTGTGGACACGAACATTTGATGTTGTATGTAAGCAACATTTTCTCGGCTGTCTGATTGATCAAGTGCGTGTTTTGGTGCTTCAACGAAACGATAAATGCTGGGATACTGAGACGAAGGTCATGACAAGCCCCATCCATACGCCGCAAGACAATCCTGACTTGCGAATTCAGTCTGTCTATGAGACAGGGCCTTTGGCTCGTTCACTAAGGACAGTTCCACAAGCCGATGGCCCTCCGGGATTGGAATTCGATTTGAAGCCTGAACTTGTGTCAGTTCCTGAACCGAAACAGGAGGCAGAGCCTCAGACACAGCCCGCCAGTGCATTTCGTCCAAAGCCAAGCAAGTCGAAAAAGCCGACCTTGGGTGGAGTGAAAATTGGTGCAAAACTGCCAGTACCCGTTCAGGAAGTGTCGTCGAGCTTGCCACCGCCCAAAGCCCCAACACCACCGCCGAAAGTGCCAACGCCCGAGGCACAAGATGATTGGGGGTGGGGGGATGAAGAGGCGGATATGGATGCATGGGATGAGCCCGACAAGTCTCAAGCCGACGACATGGGCTCATCGATACAAGAGACGTCTGAGGATCCATGGAACAAGACTGAGCCTCGGAACAAGGACGCTGGCACTCGGGATTTTGAGCTGGATGAAACGGAGCAAATGGGTTCATCAAGTAAGGACGAGAATGAGAATGGGAATGACAATGAGAATGAGAAAATGGAGCAAAGACGGCCACCAAAACAGTTGAATGTGGACGCGGTGCCGAATGAAACTGAATCAGACGACTGGGACTGGGGTGAGGATGAAGATGAAGATGAGAATGAAATCAAAAAAATGCTCGCTGAGCCGGCAACTCGACTTCCTGCGGCTGTATCAGACGATCCAGCGTCCGGATCCAATGGGGCAGACTCAGAGAGAGTTGACTCTACGGGTGCTACATCTTTGGCTTCTGACAATAATTTTGGCCCTAAGTCATCCGCGGCCCAAGTACCCGACTCAAGCGTCCCTTCGAACATGCAGTTGGAAGAGTCGCTTGATGCTTGGGAATGGGACAATGATACCGGTATGGAAGAGACCCCAACCCCCGCCCTGCAAGATCCAGACACAGCGGTGTCAACGGCACCGATAGCATCGGCGGCATCAGCATCGCCTTCGATGACCGCGACGACTGCGGCCATGAGCAGCACTATCACTGTTTCGAGACGTGTGCTTGATATTTGCCGTGTATTAGAGAACCAGTGGAATCACCTCGATGAAGACGTACCCATGCGAGCTTCGCTGGCACATGGCTTTCTCATGTCCGTCCAGTTGTTTCGCGGCTTGATGCCGATTGTACATGCTAAGGTGCTTCAACATGTGGCCCTGCTAGGTATGTTGTATGTGAATGATTGTTCGTATCTGGCCAGCGAACTTCGTTCATATGCATCCAAATGCACAAAATGGGGTGCGTTCCGTTTACCAGGGGGACCCACTTTTGAGGTATCGCTCGCGATGGAAGCAGATTGCCTTTACAACATAAGCGCTCAGTGGCGTGAAGCATTGATGAATATTCAGCTCAATGCACTGCACGAGTCTCTGGACGGAACAGATAGCTTTGCAAGAACGGATATGCCGGATCAGTACGACGCATGTGTGCGATCCATCGAGCAAATTGAGCATATTCTGACGCACCTGTCTTCAGTGTGGAGCCAAGTTATGCGAGCCGATGAGCTAATGTGGCTGCTGTGCCAGTTAGTGGATGCCATATTTGTGCGGGTTTTACGAGAGATGGAGGATCTGCAAGACATTTCTGAGCAGGAAAGCAACCGACTTGCTGAGCTGTGTCGTAAGCTTATGGACACGGCGAGCAACGTTCTGCACGGCTCAGAGACAGACGTGCCGACATACTTCAAATTTGCGTATCTGCCTGACATTCTGCAAGGTTCGCTCGCAGATATCGAGTATTTGCTTTTTGATAATGAGAGCGGCAGTGCGCTGGCCGACTACACCCGAGATGAGATGAATCTACTGGTGCGTGCACTCTTTGCCGATACGCCGCAAAGGCGGCGCTTGCTAGACCGAATACAACGATGGACGTGATGTGCGATGGTGCTCTACGGCATGTTGTATTTGGTTGTTCATTTCTCATAACGCTACACAGAATGCGAGGCAAGAGCTGAAACGGACAAGAAAAAAAAAAAAGAGAAAAAAAAGATATCACGGGGAAGAGCCCCTACCGATCGATATAGTTTGTACATGATGGCAGTATTTGACCGAACCGCCTAAGCGATAGCGGATGGAGCAGGATGGTTCGCAGAGAAAATGAACAGGTTGTTAGTCGCTGCAATTGCAATGGTGTCTTCTTTTGGATGGTAGCTGGCATGCAAAATCTTCTTGTTAAAGTCCACATTGTTGGAGTTGATATGCGATGGGCCAAAGCCTCGTGTTCCGGGCTTGTGCATAGCCGCGAGTTTTCGGGACTTGAACGCCGACTTGTCTGCCTGTAACACTACACTAGAGTCACGCTCCCAATCCACAAGGTGGAAGTAGTTACTGTAGCTGCCAGTCAAGACAGTCGAGTTGTTGGGACCCCATATGCCCTCGAACTTGTCGAAGATGCAGTCGTTTTCATATAGGTCACATAGTCGTGGACGGAGATAATCGTGTATCGGCATCGTAGCCAATGGCCGCGACTCCATGTTCACATCCCAGACTTTGAGCGATAAGTAGTCGCGCGACAAGAGGTACCTGCCATCATGGCTAAATCGCACGTCTGATATACTGCTTATAATCTCACTGAAGAACGAACGGTTTGCTTGGTCCTCTTCTTCTTCAAATAGCTTCGCGTGCCGGTCACACAAGGCTGACTCACGCATGTCAGCAAGTTTGATTGTGCCTTTTGAGCTCGAGTACGCAAGCTCGTTGCAGTTGATCGGGTGGAACTGCGCAGCAGTGATTACTTCAGTGAGCTCCTCCATATTCACAGGCTTGATATCAACAATGTTGAAGCTCTGATCACTAATGCCCAAGTTCCAAAGATTGATGCGCAGATCGTCAGCACTTATATACGTCTCGCCATCCGAATTTACGGACAGAGAATTGATATGGTAAGCATGTGCATTGGCGTAAATTTTGCGCGGCACAGCCGCAACGATAGTGTCGTGATACACGAGGCGCGGCATACGCAAGAGTCGAGACTGTGCTGGTGAAATTATTGGTGCAATTAGTCCACTGGTGTTTTGTGCTCCGAGTTTGAGCAAACTAGGATGCAACGTGCCGTTAGCAGGCGACTCGGAATGCGCTGAAGACGACATGAGGACCGCTGCAGGGTCTTCTCCAGTCGCAAGACTTCCTTCCGCCACGGCATTGAGCGGTTTATCGAACACTTTCCATAACTTGATAGTTTTGTCTAAACGGTACAAAGGAATAGGTTAGCAACGTGAAGGAGAATCGCTCATTCGAAACATACCATTGGTACTAAGCAGCATGTGGGCAGCATTTTGTCGCTTGCACCAGCAGATCTGATTGATTTTTTCTTCAATTTCAAGCGATTTCAGATAATCGAACTCTGGCTCATGTGATTGAAATTCGGTGTGAAAGCGATACTCACAGCCCTGCTTGCTGCCGCTACCGCCATTCATCAAATCACTCCGCTCGAACATTACGACGCGTCCACCTTTATCGCCTGTAGCGAGGTAGTTGCCGGTTGGATCGAATTCGACAGTGGAAATAATATCAGCCTCGGTAATATCGTCAATGTCGCCCTTATCACCAAAACACTGGGCAAAGCGCCAGCCACCGGATGGCGAACCCGATACGTTTCCATCACGTTCCATGATCTCGACTTTTTCGGCTGTTGGGCCAACAACTAATGTATTGAAGAAACAATTATACACAGGCACTCAATGGCTTGTGAACGGGTCGTATTTTCTTCTTCCCTTGTTTCCACGTTCACTTACTTGACTTCCCTTGCTCGCGCTCTCGCGCTGAAATGGAGGAAAATACACACACTTGTGCTTGTCAAGGGCTACTCCAACACAACCTGAACGGTGTTGAGGAGCCGCAAGTCTCGTAAGATCGGAAGGCACAATTTCTGGCTTTCTCTTCTGCTCTTTCAGTCGCTGCCCGACGCCAAATGCTCAGCGCATCACGTGATGCTTCCAAGGGCAGGAGCACAAAGCACGGTGCATAGCTGTGGGGCCGTGCGCCACGAGTCGCTTGATACGTGCACTGCTCCCAGAACAATGTTGGATGCTTTGGCGCATCTTTCTGACGATGCGCTTCTACGGATGCACTACATCTCAGTGCTGGCTCGCCCAGATGCTGTCACAGGTCGTGCCGCCTTGCGGTAGTAAGAGCTGGGCAATTCGATCTCTTTACAACGCGGGTATGCGCACGGTCCAGTCCCCAAGAAGATGACTAATAATTGCGTAGTATCTGTCAGAGGCACACGGATCATAGCCATCAGAAAGGGAGGTGAAACACAAGTCATGCGGAGACGAAAACAGGAAAGGGGGCAGGTATCCAAGAAAAAGTTCAGCCAAGCTAAACAAGCACCGCCAATCACATGAATGCGGGGCTCAAAGGCTCTTACGTTGATGACTACTTGCACAAAGCTGCATTTGTGCACCAGGCAAGCTCTATCTCAAGAGATTGTTGACAAATCTTCGCATACGAAGATTTTCGAGTATTTGCAGGAAACTCGAGGTACTTGACACGAGCCGCTTTAGTTTTTGAAACTATTCGGACTAAGTCACGGCTTTGCTGGGACGAGAGGTATTTATCATACCCGCTGCGGAATAGAAGAAATGGTACGCGATAACTGGCCGCATGTGAACTAGCACCGTATGCCTTGTTGGTGCCTGCAATGCCTTCATAGATGTCACAAAAAAGTGTCGCGATATAGCGCAATGCATACTTTTGTATATGTTTAGCAACAAGTGCTTGGTCTCCAACTCCCAAAAAGCTGCATGCCGTACAGAAAACACCTGGGAATAGGAGAAGCGTCTCTAGTGCAATGAGACTGCCAACTGAGCGGCCGGAGAGGCAAATACGATTTGGATCCACAATGGCACGACACGGAGGAGATAGTGAATTCGTATCGTGTTGCATCAGTGTATCATGGAGACGGCGAAACGTATGAATGTAGACTGGTGGCGGAGGTAGCAGATGCGGAAACACAACATGTAGCGACCCATTCTTCTGCGAGCCTGAAGTGACTAGAACAGCATAATCCAGCACACGCCAATGTTGAATCGCCTCGAGCATGAAAAAATCTAAGATGGTATCTCTTGGAAGAAAAGTCCGCGCACTTTGCAAGCGCAAATACGGTCTTGAAGAGCGGAAAAAGTTTGGAAGTGTTAGGCCCCGGTGGGTTTCGAGCTGCGCCCCTAAATGTGGAAATACGCGAAGAGATTCAGCCTGGACCCGCCATCCTAATCGGTATACCAGCACTAGGAGGGCCGATAAGATCCAAAGCCATTCCGCACGAACACGGAAGACTAAGGTGCTAATTGCATACGCGAGCGAGCCTAACATAAATGCAAGCGCGCTCTCTTTCGTAAGTGACGGTGAATCGGTGCGAGTCACTGTGATGCTTCGTGTGCCATCGGAGAAACTGCTTCCGCCGTCATTCTCATTCTCTGTTATCATTAGGGACGATGAAGGCGTCGACGCCGTGCACGGACGTTGCCAGGGCAGCGACGTATCGCCCAAGTACGCTGCGGCTGCTGCGCAGTTCCGCTCAGCTTGAACACGATCGTGGCTCCATGGCCAACGGTATGGCCTATATTCGGAATCAGAATCTGAGATCATGGCACAAATGGCCCAGCCACGAGATGTCCAGTACTGAATGGACGGACTCAGCGAAGCAAGTTCCCGAGCCGTGGAGCTTTCGTATGCTAGGATGCGGCACGGAGGAAGCGTACCTGTGGGAGCGCGGACATTGGGATTCTTCGGTGAATAATAAAGTGCACGAGCCATGCTAAGTGACCCATCATGCAGCTGTGTCGGAAACGTGATAAGCTCTGGTACACTGACGTAGTCACGAGGAAACTCGATCATCTGCGTAGAGCGAAGGACACGGTATAGCGGTTCATTGGACGAAGTGGTAGCAAAATTAGCGTCATCAAGAGCTGCGAAAGACCGAAGGTTCACCGCGACCAAAGCGGGGGACGTATAACACGAGGCAGCGATGCAAACGAGTGTTAATGTAGAGGCCGATACACAGAGCTGAGAGAACTGCGTGAAAGGCAAGGCATTAAGCCGATTTCGGGTACGACTAGCTCGATTGAGAAGAAAGAGCGAGTCAATACCATTCGTTGATTCCACATAGATGGCAAATTGTTGATTCAGGACCACGAGTGACATTCTGGCGTAAGTTGCACTTCAAACGTACATGCAGCTAAGATTGCACGGAGGCAGCCGTGGGCCTCTAGGAACAGACGAAGCAGGCGCTTCTGTTTCAGGGCGGCCGGCTAACTGCTTCGCAGATACTTGACATGTTGAATCATGAGAGCCGATCACATGCACTTCGTAAATGTCGGAAGACGCCGCAGTGCACGAAGTGCTTTCTACTGTCCTGCAAAGGATAAACAGCAAGGTAGGGTTCTCCATTCCTGGTACCCATACAGGCTGTCGAGCTGTATGCTCACGGTCTCCGGCCACAAGGACAGGTTCAGAAATGTGTGGGAATGGCACAAGATGCAATGCGGCGACCCAAATTTGAGAGCTACTAACGGACGCCGATGATTGGTGATCCGACGAAACCCAAGCAAGGAGGGAGCCGTCTGGCGAAACACGAGGAGTCGCGTAGACGTTGTGGAGCTCATGGATAGGGATGACTTTGTCGCCACAAAGGCACACGAGGCTTTGATGGTTGCAGTCAGACTTGAGTGAGGACAAAGATGGAAGCATCTCCTGGATAGCCAAGACGACTGTTGTATCTGATGCGGTGTAAAGCCAGGTCTGTATATCTGTACAAGGGAGACAAAGGCACGAGCTCTGTGTAAGTCTTTGATGTCAAATCCAACATGCTGACACCATACATTTGGTCATGGGAACGGGTGAACACGATGCTGCGACTATTGCCTTTGTGCGCAGCAAGGGAAAGAGCATGTGAGAGTATGGGTTTGTGCGATGAATCCGTCAGCCAAGTTTCCCGGGACGGTGACTCCGTGATTGATTGGCACGCAAAATAGGAATGGCCAAGTTGCGTCAAGTCAGCGAGCGTGTAGACAACGAGCGAGTCATGCGCAATGGCGACGTCTCCCAGCTCATAGCGACTGCTTTGGCACACAAGATCACTGTTGATGGGCGATGACCAGCATCCATAAGGTGCCACTTTGTGCATTCAACGATACAATGTTGATATGCAATGCAGACACTGCAGCTGCATGAAATGACTGGCAGCCCCTGGAATCAAATGGTGGAGGGGCCTCGTCGCCGATGTGGAACGAATTGATTCAACGCAGAGAGAATCACGGCCGACGTGACGCAAACGGCTGTTTGATTGGACAGAACCATGGGTCCAAATCTCTGCTGGACCCCAACGAAAGTAGCCGACTCCGTTAGTGGAGGCCCTCGACGGAGGTGGGGGAAGAAGGGTTTGCATGACGTGCCTTGGGGGTATGAAAAGTATCCGGAAACAAGCCGAGTTTCTCAAAAGCATTGGATTGCGAAAGTGTTCACGAGTCCTAATTACGGAACAGAGAGATATAACCCCTTCCTCGGACCATTGTGACACTCGCCCCCCCACCACGACGTTTGTGATAACGATGCCATTACCAATGGCATTGGACCTGCATGAAAAGAGCGGGATGGGAGACATGGGCGGCATGGGAGACATGGGAGACATGGGCGACATGGGTAGCATGGGTGGAGATAATGGTGGAATGAGCCACGATCATGGCGGCATGTCCATGGGTGGTGGTGGCTGTAACTTGTCGATGCTAGGAAACTGGAATACGATTCATTCCTGCTTTCTGACGTCGTCATGGTCTATCAATACACATGCTCAGTTTGCAGGCACCTGCATTGGCGTGGCATGCTGGGTCATTCTCACAGAGTGTGTCCGACGATGGGCACGTGAATTTGACAGGGCCATCATCGCTAAGGCGATCCAAGATCTCCGTGAACATGATGCTAGTCCGACGGAGGCATGGGTGGAAGAAAATTATGTTGCCGATATGCAAGCAGATACGAAACCATCACGCATGAATCAAGAGACCCGCATTGCGTTCCCAATGAGCGGGGCGACGACAGTGCTCCAATCGCCACCAGCAGTGACTGTCAGTGCGAGGGATTATCGCGTGCGGCCTACTCTATGGCAGCAGGTGATCCGCGCTTTGCTGTATGCGATCCAGTTCACTAGTGCATACTTGCTAATGCTCATCGCCATGTCGTACAATGGCTATGTGCTTATATCTATGATGCTGGGTGCTTTGATTGGTTACTTTGCTGCATCCTGGGACACGCTTGGTACGATCAATCCAAGTGCGATCCAGCGTCAGAAATATTTGAAGCCTTATGCGGTCAAAAATGACGTGGCTGAAAACCACCAAAACGATGGCGTGTGCATGAACATGATCTAGGGGACTGTTCGTCTAAGCCAGGTTGGAGTGTGAGGGACTTGAAGAGGAATAGGCTATCCTTGATTTTCCATGTTCCTTGTGAGCGCATGCATGCCTGGTTTGCTAGTGCTGTCCAGTGGATATGCTATAGCAGAAAAGGCGAGATCTGTTGTCGCCTGCAGCTTGCGCGCCAGCTTGCTCGGTTATGGCGTATATATATTTATTGACCGGCTGGCTGGTGGCTGGCTGACTGGCTAGCTGTACTAGCAGCTCGTATATTTTTGTATTCACACACACTTGTTCACACTCGCTCTCGTACATACACAGGAGAGATTTTCATAGATATATTGCATTAGTCATACAAAAAAAAAATGTGGGCCTTGCATGTGTGTAATGCATGCAGGTGTGTGTGGTGGTCATGAACGATGAGTGAGTGGGGGGGGTTAGGGTAGAGACAGTCGTCAGCGACACATCCATACTCGAACGCAGCCGCTGACGCCAACGACCACAACTAGAAGCAGAGCGCAAGTATAGGCCAGCATTTAGGTGGTATACGCGCGCTCGTTTCGAAGAGGCTATTTTTTTTTTTCCGTTCTACAACTTTCACAGCACTCCGTTGGTACGATGAACGTATCTTCGCCCTTAGAACAGCTACTTCAAAGCTTTGCAGTGGCGACAGTGAGCGATAGACGAGCATTCCTGGAAGCAGTTGTGCGACAATGCAATGTGCGCGAGCTAAGTGAACTAGAGGCATTGCTGCTTCCACGCTTGAAAGTGGACTTTTTGCATCGGCTTCCGATGGAAGTAGCATTGCATGTATTGACGTTCCTAGACGATCCACGCTCACTTGCCAGTACGGCGGCCGTGAGTCGTGCTTGGTACCGTCTTTCTACCGATGAATATATCTGGGGTCTTATGTGTGTGCGACATGCGTTTCACACGCCCCAGCGCCTTCGTTGGATGACAACTTCGCTGTTGACGCCGAGTGCGTGGAGTGATGCTGATGGCACTGCGCACATGCGCATGTGTGCGAATGGTCATCATAGCAACAACGGCAGCCATGCAAGTGCGACAAAAAGACACGATGTGTCAGCTATGGATGTGGATGAGGGCGGCAGTCGCCTGCGAAGACGGCGCTCGTTCTTTGCCGATGTGGGTGCGATGCCGCCGCCCGCATCAGCTGCAAGCGTGTCACTTCGCGAATACTTTCGCCTCGCGTACATGGTGCAGCAAGAGTGGCTGCGTGGTGGGCGCGTGCTGCGGTCATATGAGACGACGGAACTTGCTGATGCAGATCCTGATCCGAACCGGCGGCTTGCGCTTACTTGTTGTGCTATGGACGAGGAGTGGATTATCGCAGGCATGACGAATAGCACGATTTTCGTGTTTTCATCGCGCACAGGCAAGTTGGAGCGCGTGCTCCGTGGGCACGAAAGTGGCGTCTGGTGTTTGATGCTGGCCACAGGCACACATGACGCTGCAGGTGCAGACGCAATGCCGTTGCCGCCAGCATCGGCTGCTGATGATGGACGAGGTGAGCTCGTTTGCGTGCATGCTGATCGTCGGCCTAGTGTGCATCTGTCTCTTGAGCAGCATGGCGGACTTGCCATCCACGATGCAGCCTATGTGGCACAGCAGAGTGCCGACACAGATGTTGCTTGTGCACGCACGAGAGGCTGGGGCCAGCGAGGCACGCGCCTCGTAAGTGCCGGCTCCGATCGAAGTCTGCGTGTATGGAATGTCCACACTGGCGAGTGTGAGAATGTGCTCCGTGGACACACATCGACGATCCGATGCGTGCATGTCGTGGCAGGACAGCCTGTGGCCGTGACGGGATCGCGTGACGGAACATTGCGTGTGTGGGATCTGGAGCTGGGTCAGATCCGGCATGTGCTAGCGGGGCACCAGCACTCGGTGCGATGCTTGGCGGTGCAGGGCAACGTGGTGGCTAGTGGCAGCTACGACTTTACGTGCCGGCTTTGGGACTGGACCACCGGCCGCTGCCTGCATGTACTGAAAGGCCACCAATTGCAAATCTATGCGATAGCCTTTGACGGCGTGTATGTGGCGACGGGCAGCTCCGACTCGACCGTGCGTGTGTGGGATGCAGCGACCGGTGCAGCTCTTGCCGTGTTCCATGGCTACACACACGTCGTCGCGCAGATCCAGTTGGATGGAAACATGCTTGCGACGGGCAGTAGCGATGGGCGCGTGATTGTGTATTCGCTGGCGACAATGGAGTGCATGTATCGGATTGTGGCGCATGAGAGTGGCGTCACCACACTACAAATGAATGAGCGCTATCTTGTGACGGGTGGCTCAGATGGCCTTGTGAAGCTGTGGGACGCACAGAGTGGCCGATACATACGCACGCTGTGTGAGCCGTGTGGGGCAATATGGTGTGTGAGGTTTATGGACGATATATGCGTGGTGCTAGGCAAGCGGCACGGACGGTGCGCCGTGGATGTAGTGTCATTCCGACCACCTGCCCTGTATAAGAGTACACAGATGGGCGAGCAGCAGCTGGGCGGCTAGAGAGAAAGAGAGAGAGTATGGGTGTGTGTGAGTGTGTGTGTGAGTGTGTGTGTGTAAGAGTGAGAACCGGGAAGCAAGCCTAAATGGCATGCGTGTGCTCTGTTGTAAGCAAGGATGTGCATCAAGGCAGGTCATGCTGTCGAGCCCGATTCACTGGATTTTTTTTTTCTTTTTCTTTCTCCTTTTTTTATTTCCTGTTGATGTCGTGCCTTTCCTGCAGCCGTGGGCCGTTCTGCCTAACCGAAGCGGAAGCTCGTTTGTGGGCCATAAAAGTGCGTTGTCCCGGGACCCATGTCAAAGTTGGCGAACTGAGCGCCAAAGAGGTCTGCAAGATTCACGCCACCCATACCACCCATGCCGCCGAAGCCAGAGCTCATGCCGCCGAAGCCGCCACCCAGGTCCATGTCGTCCATATCATCCACACCGGAGTCGTAGCGCCGGCGCTTTTGCTCGTCCGACAAGACACCGTATGCTTCATTGCACTGTTTAAACTTTTCTTCGTCACCGCCTTTGTCGGGGTGGTGTTTGAGCGACTCCTTACGGAAGGCCTTTTTGATCTCTGCTTCCGTAGCGGTCTTTGGCACACCCAGCAATTTGTAATAGCTACAAAAAAAAAAAAAAAAAAAAAAAACATGCGTTAGTACCTTTCGTGATCGCAACACAGTGCGTGTGACCCATGGCTGCCTACCTGGCTGGCAGTAGGCGCCCCATAGAACCAGTGTCACACGTGAATACGTACTCTAGTTTCTTGCTCCGTTTTAGATCCACCTCCGCACGGCGTGCCTCGCGACGCAGCGTGTCCTGTTCGGCTGTGCCGGCACTCGCATCGACAGCCCGCTTAAAGTCGCGCACCGCCTCTTCGTACTGTTCATTGAGTTGGTATGCGCGCGCACGTGTTTTCAAGGGCTTTGTGAACGAGGCGTCGAGCTGCAGCGCGCGTGTGCAGTCGCTGATGGCTTCATTGTACCGGCCGATCTTGCTTAGAAGAATAGCTCGGTTCGAGTGAATGACGGACTTGAACTTTTTTGCCTCGCCATCGACTTCGACATTCTGGTCGGCCACTTGCAAGAGCTCTGCGTACTTGGCAAGTGCCTGGTCCGTGCGATTCGTCTTGAATGCTGCATTCGCCTCGTCTTTGAGCGAGGAAAGCGCCTTGCACTTGCGCAAAAACTGCTTCGCTTGCTGCATGTCAGGGTCCAGACGAAGTGCCATCTGCGACTGTTGCAATGCTTTCTGCACGTCATTGTTCGCAAGCAGGATGCGCGCGCCCAGCATAATTGCACCTGTGTCGGATGGATCCGCGCGATATATGTCCATCGCGAGCGTCTGTGCCTGACCTAGCTGTCCGCGCTGCAGCAGGAGCATAACTCGCTTGACCTGCCAAGCACGCGGCGACGTGGCGTCTGTGAGCTTCATGATACTCTGTGCCTGGTCAAGCGCAATGCTTGCAAGAGTCCAGTTCTTCTCACGACAGTATGCATCGATCGTCGTGAGGTGTCGCTGCATGCTCACGCGCCTGAAGATCGACATCATGTGCTTGCTTTTGCTCGGCATCAGTCCCAGCCGTGTGGGCGAGCAAAGGTGTGAGCGTTCGCATAGCCTGCTCTGGTTCTCCTCTTCCAAGCTGGCATTTGGATAGACGCAGCAGTGCCTTAGCACTTGGTTCTGCCGCTTGTAGTTGCACGACACGCTCGCTGTCGGCCAATGCTTTGGCATATTCATGGAGTGCCATGTACGCGGCGGATCGGTTCAGCAGAAGAACATCGCTTGTGGGCTCATGTGCGAGGGCTTCTGTGTATACTTGCACCGCTTCGCGGTACTTGGCGTTTTTGAACAGCTCATTGCCTCGCTGCTTGGCCTCCTCAGCGGCCGACATGTCGAGATGCGTCGTTCAAACGCAACGGCTTTTTTTTTTCTTCGTTCGAGAAATTGGTATATGCCCACACTTACTCACACCTTCGCCCTATTGGGGGGGGCGCTTTGGAAAGAAGGAAGAATTTGTAGTCATGTAAAAATAATACCCCTCCACCCCCCCACTACCCCCGAACGAGTCCGCTGCTCTGTCCACATGGATAGGCGATGGCAACACTAGCTGGGCGAAAGAGACCCTTGTCACATGGGTCGGCCTACTAGGTCCACATGACGCGCGTGGAGCATGACCTACCACGAGGAACAAAGTGCGTGTACGAAACAAAGAGTGTGAGTGAGTGAGGGAACGCACGACGTATCACGTGCGTCCAACACACTCGTGCCTGCGGCTCTCGTAGCCGTGTGTGTGGACTCGAAAAAATCCATGCCTGCTTCACGAGCACGACCGGCTGCAGAGTGTGGTTGTGGTCCGTATACCGACGTGCGTGGCGAATTGCATCTTTGTGTCGCTTGCAGATGAGTGCTAGCCCGCCAGCCTTGGGTGACAAGCGTGCACACACGCCCGACGATGTTCGGTGTGCCAAGCTCGCACGTCTAGAGACAGACGAAAGTGGCCGCAGCGCGGGCGACAGACACGGTGGGGACAGCGCCAAGGAAGATGCGGCTTCAGGCACCGGGAAGGAAGCGGGTCCGTCGCCTACCGCTGATACGAATGACGAAGGCGCGTCCACACGCCTGCAGAAACGCAAAGTAGCGCTCTTCTTCGGCTACTGTGGCACAGACTACTCTGGTCTGCAGGTGAATCCTGGCGTCAAGACCATTGAGGGCGATATCTTTGAAGCATTTTGCCGTGCTGGTGCCGTATCGAAGGAAAATGCCGTGAATCCGAACAAGGTGCAGCTGCAGCGGGCAGCTCGCACAGATCGCGGCGTGCATGCAGCAGGCAACCTGCTCACACTCAAACTGATCCTTGATCCACCCAACTTGCCGCCGAACCAGACACTCACGACGTACGTGAACTCTCTCCTGCCCGACCAGATCCGCATTTGGGGCATGCGCCGTGTGCAGAGTGCTTTTAATGCCCGAACGAGCTGTGACTCGCGTCTGTACGAATACTTGCTTCCGACCTATGTATTTCTACCGCCCAAAGCCATGGAGCGCAATGTGGAAGATGCTGCGCCGCCTCAATCTGGGTGACACAGAGCCGCTGCCGACGACCGAGGATGGCTCGCCCGTCATGCCCTGGGACGATCCTGTCCAAGCAGTACGGGACAGCGAGTTGCTGAACCATCCATTCTGGCGCGCGCATGGCACGGCGGGCGACTTTTCGCAAGACATGCAGGCGAAGCGGAAGTGGCGCATGGACCGCGCGACGCTGGAACGCGTGCGTGATGTGTTTGCGCAGTACACAGGACCGCACAACTTTCACAACTACACCGTCGGCAAAGAGTTCCGCGACCGCAGTGCACACCGAGTGATGAAGAAGCTGACGATCTCTGATCCATGCCTCATCGATGGCACGGAGTGGGTGTCGGTGCAATTCCACGGGCAATCATTCATGCTACATCAAATCCGCAAGATGATCGGTCTGCTTGTGTTGATTGGCCGTACGAACGCACCGACGTCCTTGGTCGCACAGACGTATGGGCCTGCGCGAATCCATGTGCCAAAGGCGCCTGGGCTCGGTCTCTTGCTCGTGGAGCCGTTCTTTGGCGGCTACAATATGAAAGTCGTACACAACAACGAGCGGATCGACCGTACGATTGCCGCGCGCACCGCGAGCGGTAAGCCATTGCCGCCCGATGCAGAGAGTGGGAAGCGCGAGCCAGTGGACTATGTCATGTTCCAGGAGGAGATGGATGCATTCAAGAAGGAGCGGATCTACAAGCAAATCTATCGCACGGAGGAAGAGACGTCCGAGTTTGCTAAGTGGCTGAATTATTTGGACGTGTTTGTGGGGCCTGATTTCGAGTTTCTCAATCCCAGTGGCGTCATTCCGCAAAGTGCGATCCTCAAAGTCGGCGAGCAGCGACGCGCGCCTGGTGGCCAGCCAAGCAGCAAACACGCAGGCGCCAATGCAAATGGCATTGGCGATGAAACGCGGAATGACAATGGCGTTGCCGACGTCAATGTCGACGACGACGAGGACGACGATGCTCACATCACAGCTGGTGCGGACGACGACGCCTAAAAGTCGCCCAAGTCCACCTCCATGTTGGGCACGACAGCGGAGCCAGCTGGTGCTGACGCAAGGATCGCCGACACGGGGGCATGTGGCATGGATCCTGCGTGGTCCTGGCCGTCAGGTGCAGCGCTTGCGCTCTCGCTTGCATTTGCACCTGCACCTGAATCCACGCCTGTTGTGCTGACGGTAGCACTCGCGTCATGTTGAGCGCCCGTCTCGGCACCTGTGGCACTGGCGTTCGACACCATGGCACGCTTTGCACGTGCCGCACGACGCTCCGCCTCCTGAATTCTCTCGCGGTCCAAGCGACGATTGCGCTCGTTGATCTGCGCCATCGCATGCTCATCAAAGTGCTTAACACCTGTTCCATAAGCGCCTGAGCCCTCACTGCCCGCTGTGGAGAATGGCATGCCGGCGGCCTGCGACGGCGCCGAGTCGCTCGACAGCCTCGTCACATGCAAACCGAGGGACTCAGCTGCTTGACGTAGCTCACGCTTGCGTTCCAGCATCTTCTTGATATCGTCCTCTGTCAGAGGGGTGCTGAGGGCAGACTCCATCTGCATTTGCTTCGATCGAAATGCGTCGGCACTGGGGAATTTCGCATCTGCTCCGGCCGCAGCGATCCAGCGCTGCCGCTCCGAGTCAGTGATGCGTTGTGTGCTTAGGGGTCGGAGATCCACATGGTGGTCTTTGCCTCCCCAGCGGAATGTCACATAGCTGTTCATCCAGCGACCTGCGTGGTCGTGACTCACATCATAGTACTTGTCTCGCTGCTGAACATCGAGAATTTGATGCACCCGGTACACATGTTCTTTCCCGCCACGCGGACTTTCCCGCATACCCCACGAGCACTTGACGAAGCAGCCACGCACCAAGTCGGTGCCGTTCGGAAGGAACAGCAAGCGCTCCAAATCGTCGCGCCCTACTCGCACACTGTTCAGTTGCTCAAGCGAAGGTGGCTCTTTGCTGCTGGCCGACAGAATAGGCGACTCTTCACGAGCGCGCCGCGGCAAATACGCTGGCTCGTAGTCCGACTCGCTCTCGTATTCGCTGTCGCTCAAACTCACTCGGCGCCGTCGACGAGGCGGTCCGCGGACCCCTCTCGCATAGTCGTCGTCGTCGTCATCGTCGCCTTGGTCATTGTCATCGACATGGCCATCACCTGCACGAGACGCGCGACCATGCGCACGTTCCGCGCGCTTGCGCCGCAGTTCACTGAGTTTGTCGGCTTTTGTCGACGATGACGAGGCCAGCTTCCGTCGGGCCATCCGACGACTCCCTGCATTATCACCAGCATCCTCTTCTTCCTCCTCGCCATCTTCTTCATCAGACTCGCGAAACACATCCTGATCAGACTCGTCCTCCGCGAATGGATCATCCAAATCTTCTAGTTCGCGCCGTACGTCAGAGCGTCGACGCTTCTCTCGCTGTGCATCTGAAAGCTTCGATGATGATGAAGACGACGACGACTTTGTCTTGCTTCTAGATGACGACGAGAATGACTGGCGCCGCGACTTACTGGCCGCCGCCGCTTGCTGCGTTCGCACCATGGCGGCCAGTTGTGCTTGCTGTTGCCTCCGAGAAATTTCATCGCGGCGCTCTGTCAGCACATCTTCTCTTTCCAGTTCATTCATGCTCAGCAGCCTGCGCATATGTGTCAGAATCTTCTTTTTTTCGTTCCATATACGTACCATTCGCGATCTGCTTCATCCTTGTAGATGCCTTCGAGTGGATATAGATTCGCTGGCTCCTCTTCGCCGTCCGCATCGCCATCAGCATCTTCGTCTGACATGTCTGTCAAAAGAGCCGACCGCCGGTCCTTCGATGGTTCTGGCGACGCTGATGCGCGTGGTGCTGGGCTGGATCGGTCCTCGCCCACAAGTGCGATCAGCTCATCGTCCAGACCGTCCTCCGACATGCTAGACGGGGTGGGTGGGTGATGGTCGATGAGAGGACAGCTCTACACGTGGTGGCCACGTGTTGCCGTGTTGAGAGCATATCGGTGGAGACGGCAAGGGAATAGGAAGGGGAAGGGGAAGAGGGGTCAGGTCGTTCCGACGCCCGTGCATCAGTCAGATGCACAGGCTGTGTGGATGAGCAAAGATCAGGTGGGTGGGGGGGAGTGGAACAATCAAGAGTGTAAGAGAGAGAGCCATTTAGCAGAACCGCCATATTGAAATTGCACCTACATTTAGCCACGCCACCCACGCAACACATTCATCATGGGTGACATAACGACCCCCGTAGTCGTTGATAACGGAACAGGAGTACGTAGAAAGGAAGAAGGGAGTATGATCGCTAACAAACACGGCAGTTCGTCAAAGTAGGCTATGCAGGTGCGCACACACAGACACTCTCGCACTCGCTTTTTGTGCGAGTGCATAGGAATCAGAACAGGACATACTCACGACATGCCAGGCTCGAATTTCCCTGATCATGTGTTTCCGTCGATCGTCGGTCGGCCCATTCTGCGGACGGAAGAGCGTGATGCCATATCAGCGACGGGTATTGAAGTGAAGGACCTGATGGTCGGCGAGGAGGCCGAGGCTGTTCGCACATACTTACAAGTCACGCAGCCTATGGAACACGGCATTGTCAAGGACTTTGAAGAAATGCGGCACGGTACGTATGAGTGAATACAACATGTGAAGCATTCTGACACACACACACACACTTGCTCACTCACGCCAGTTTGGAACTACACATTCGACGAGAAGCTCCGCATTGACCCACGCGGGCGCAAGATCTTATTAACCGAGCCGCCGATGAACCCGAAAAAGAACCGCGAGGAAATGTGCCGCATCATGTTTGAAGAGTACGGTTTCGATGGCGTATACGTAGCGATCCAGGCCGTCCTCACACTGTATGCGCAAGGGTTGCAAACGGGCGTTGTCGTCGACAGCGGCGATGGCGTCACACACATTGTTCCTGTGTATGAGGGCTTTGCCATGCCACATCTGACGCGTCGCTTGGACGTGGCTGGCCGCGATGTGACGCGGCACCTGATCAAGCTCCTTTTGCTTCGTGGATATGCATTCAACCGAACTGCCGACTTTGAAACCGTGCGGCAGATCAAGGAGAAGCTATGCTATGTGAGCTACGACCTCGATCTCGATAAACGCCTTGCCGATGAAACAACCTCCCTGGTTGAGACGTACACACTTCCCGACGGACGTGTAATCCGTGTGGGCTCAGAGCGCTTTGAGGCGCCCGAGTGCTTGTTCCAGCCGCATCTCATTGGCTTGGAGCAGACAGGTATGGCCGAGATGCTCTTCCAGACAATCCAGACAGCTGCAATGGATGTGCGTCCTGAACTATACAAGCACATTGTCCTTAGTGGTGGCAGCAGCATGTATCCAGGCTTGCCTAGCCGCCTCGAAAAAGAAATGAAGCAGCTGTATCTATCACGCGTGCTTCACGGTGATGGCTCTCGTCTTGGCAACTTGAAGATCCGCATCGAAGATCCACCACGTCGGAAGCACATGGTGTTCCTGGGTGGCGCTGTCCTAGCGGACATTATGAAAGGTCGAGACAGCTTCTGGATCGGTCGACAGGAATGGTATGAGCAAGGACCACGCGCGCTTGAGCGCCTTGGTAGATAAGCGTAAGTAGCGTGGATTCTGGCATTTTATGTACAAGCAAGCACACTGCACGAGTTGCTTCAACAGTCGCGCCCGTGCCCGTCGAGGCTTGTGCGTGCTGCTTGTTTGATCGTTGCTCTGCTGGCCGGTCATGTCCCTAGGCGACTCGCCGTTAAATCTCTGCTACTGTTCACGGAAACTGCTTCACTAACTCAGAGTCCTACATGCACGCACATTCAATGCCATTTCGTGCATGTTGAAAGTCCATCACAGGCCCCAAGACCTCGTTTTCCGTCGTGATAACAAACGGTCCGAACTGCACAGTAGCCTCTGTTACATATTGACTAGCAATAAGCAACGCGCATGCGCATTCGTGTCCCACATTCTTGAGACGTACACCTGACTCGTGTGCAGATGCTGCGTCCTTGATCGTGAAAACAAGTAGGTTCCATTCATCGTGTCCATCGTGCGTATCTCAAACGGACATGGCACTCTTAATAGCGTGCACGATGGCATCCCATCGAATGGTTAAGTGTTGGATCAGCCATCCATTTGGCTCGAGCCCCCGTCAAAGAACCAACATTCAGCATCATTGGGTCATGAAACTGGCGACTTTGTGCCATGACCCTTTTTTTCCCGCAATGATCTCGATGCTCCAACCTTCACTCGCTGTCTCTTTCGGTCATAATGCGCGCCGCGTCTAGAACAGCATCGTATGTTTCGTTAGCGCCTGGCATGACGGAGCATTGAATTTCGCATGCTTTTGTACATTGACCCTTAGCTACATGACTGTGGGCGGTGCATCAGTGTATCTGCCTGCATTATACCACGCCTAGCAACTATCCACCAAATCTAGTCAGGACCAAACACCTTGTGGTTTCTAACAAAGTCTTGATGCTGCGTGTATCTCCTGAAAAGAAGGGCAGAAAAAGGGTACAAGTAGCCCCCAAACCAGAATACTCCGACTGGGTGCTCAAATAGACATAGGGCATTTTACCTACATGCGGTGCGCTGTCTGAAGCATGCACGGTTTGCCCTTACATCCGTGCACTTTCGTTTCCAGTGGAGCGGTGATCAAGTCAATTGTGTCACGTGGACTGGCACGTAAGGTCGGCGCACGGAGGATGACCGATCGGAGTGGGCGACTGGCCGATCGCATTTTTTCCTTGCTGGCGATTTGGGGACGACACAAAACGAACGCCGTGTCAAGTCGGTGACAAATTCGTCGGCGACCAGTAACAGGCGAAGCGCTCACAAGCATAGACAATGCGCCACCGAAACGATGTCGTGTCTTGGGCGGATATGGCACTCGTCGCGAAAGTCTTGCTACATTTCACAGAGTCAGTCGCTTGTTCGTCCAGAGCTGCACAGACAGCCACAGTACCTCCACGTCCTTGGCCCACGCAGGTCCTGGCCAAGACGGACGTAACCCAGGCGTCCAGCACCGCTGCCCAACAAACGGCGCCATGGCCCTCGAAGGCGCGAAACGACAAGGCGCCAAGTGGACAAATTGCGCGCATGGGCTCGGCAGATGCGCCTACCGAGCCGACTGTGCAACGAACCGAGGCAGCGATGCCGACCGAGAAGGCCGCCACGCCACCACCTACATCATCGGCATCAGCACCCGTTAAACCAACAAGTTTGCAATCGTCACCAGCATATTCCCCCTCACAACCTCCGCAGCTGACTTCTGACGTCCCCTCTGTCCTACCCGCAACAGCCTCGTCAACATCTTCGTCCTCTCCAACGCCCTCACCCACATCTTCTACCGAGACTTCGTTGTCATGGGACAATTACGATCCTGCAAATGAGCGCACAAAACCACTTCGTGCTACACGTGTCCCGTCGTCGCGAATTGGACGTCTCCTCCATTATGGGAGTCTAGGCGCTGGTCTAGCTTGGGGATCAGCTGGTGAATACATGCGGCGAGCGACTTCGGGCTTTACTGCGCACCAAGACGATGCGGGTACAACTGGTGATCGAAGTGCTGCGCCATTGTTCTTGTCTCCGCGTAATGTCGAGCGGCTCGTTGACAAGCTCAGCACGATGCGTGGTGCGGCTCTGAAACTCGGTCAGTTCCTGTCGATTCAAGATAGTCACATGTTGCCACCACAAGTAGAAGAGGTGCTGCTCCGTGTGCAGAACTCTGCACACTACATGCCGGCGTGGCAGCTGGAGCGGGTCATGAGCGAGGAACTTGGCTCAGAATGGCGCGCGTACTTTGCATCGTTTGACGAGCGTCCCTTTGCCGCTGCGTCCATTGGACAAGTCCACAGTGCGGTCCTTGCTGATCCATTTCCATCACAGCCGCACCTTGCCGGCAAGCGTGTCGCTGTCAAGGTCCAGTTTCCGGGTGTTGCAGACTCGATTGTAAGTGACTTGGCCAACATCAAGTGGTTGTTGACGGCATCGGCACTTCTTCCTCGGGGATTGTTCCTCGAGAACTCGGTGCGTCAGCTGCAGCAAGAACTGCAAGAAGAATGCGATTATATGCGCGAAGCTGAGATGGGCCGCCAGTTCCGCAAGCATGTGGATACGATGTCGCGTCCGTTTGGACGCTTGCGGTTTGAAGCGCCAGAAGTCGTTGATGTTCTCTCGACACGACGCGTGCTAACGACCGAGTTCATGCGCGGACGCCCACTCGTTCAGGTGGCCCAGCTGGACCAGACGACGCGCGACATGATTGCCGAGTCGGTCATGGAGCTGAGTCTGCGTGAACTTTTCGACTGGCACATGATGCAGACAGACCCAAACTGGACAAACTTTTTGTTCCATGCAGACCGCCAAGCGATTCAACTCATTGACTTTGGTGCTACACGCGCTTATTCGAGCGAGTTTATTACTATGTGGCTGGGTCTACTACGTGCGGCCGTATCGGGAGATCGAGTAATGTGTGAGCGCTGGAGCAAAGACATTGGCTACTTGAGTGGGAATGAACCAGAGGTACGTATGTGCGAGGAGGGGACTCAGGGGCTCCTTTTCCCACCTTCCGTCTTTCTTCTCCTATGTTCCAAATACTAACCGAAACAGACGATGCGCGCGGCGCATGTGACGTCGATGCTAACACTAGGAGAACCATTCCGCTCAGATGCCCCCGTGCCGTATCCGTTTGCAAAGCAAACCATCACGGATCGTGTCCGGCAGCAGATTCCCGTGATGATTCGCGAACGACTCCGCCCGCCGCCTCCAGAGACATACTCGCTTAACCGCAAGCTAAGTGGTGCGTTCCTGCTGTGTGCGCGATTGCGAGCAAATGTGAACTGCCGCGATCTGTTTGCGAATGTGACACGACCCTATCCTATGAGTGCGCCAAAAGCGCTGTTCCATACACAGGTCCAGAACGATCAATGTGCGTAGATGGTTACGCGAACGATGAAGACTGATGTCCTCAGATTTGGGGCGAGACCTGTTAGAGCGCTGGTCTCATATGCCGGCCCACAAGCGGCAGCGTCAGCAAGAGAAGCAGTTGGAGCAAGAAGAAGCAGTCGAGGAGGGAGCTCGTACAATGGATGGAGGTCCTACCACTTTGCGCGTGAGAGATGTGGATGTGCCTGTAAAGCCAACGCCTCCTGGGCCGGAAGAATGTTGCCAATCAGGTACGTGAAGAGAGAAAGAGAGAGAGAGAGAGAGAGAGTGTGTGTGTGTGTGTGTGTGTGTGTGCATGGAGCGGCTCGCGGATGAATGCCACACATGCTTACATATGCATGGGATGACATCGTGAAACTAACTAGTCTTTCAGGGTGCGTCAATTGTGTATACACGCTATATGCCGACGATGTGGACGAGCACAACAAAGCGATGCAAGACATCCGGAGTCGCTTACGGGACTATGACCCGCCCATCACAGCGGACGAATGGGACATCCAGCGATTAGGGCCTATGCCTCATGCGTCGGCAGACGAACTAGAGAACGAGCGTCATACCCAAGACAGAGAGGCACGGCAAGCGCAACCGGCCGACCCATCACTCGCGGCATTCCTTGAGTTAGAGCGTAACTTGAGAAAAAAGTAGCTGCCGTACCACGATCGTCATGCCGCGCCGTATTCCTCAGGGCAATGTGTCTATCGTCTCCCTTTTCCTATACACACATGCACACAGAATGAAGATCTAGAGACATGGCAGGATGGCTACACAGTCAGTGGTGAATAGTTACAACCATCTACGAAGAGTAGATCTCCTCCTTCAGTGGTACACCCAATTCCTCACGCAGTGGCTTCAGCACTTCCAAGTACTGCTTGTACTGGTTGTCATTCTCTGTCTTGAACTTGAGACCTTCGAAGATGCGCACAGCGAGCGAGAAGTCATTCACGCGGCGAGCGGCCTTGAGGGCGCTCTCAATCACCTCTGGTGACGGCACAAGGTCGTGGGCAAATGCATTGTTCAGGCCACGCTGGGCTTCGAACTGGTCCTCAACACCTTCGAAGAACTTGACGAAACGGTCATTGAACTCTTCGAACGTTTCGTTGTGTGCCGAGTACATGCGAGCTAGAAAGTGATGTGTAAGTAATGCACGTATGTACCAAAAGTGGAATACACAAACACACCTAGGTACACACATACACATGAGAGAGTGAATCGTATTGTTGACCCATCTCCGTGTGTGCATCGGTGCGTGTGTTGTTACCATTCATACGTACCCTGCATGGCAGCCGGCACAGCTGCACGCTTCATCAGCATGGCGCGAGCGCCCGACGAGGCAGCAGCCACACGGAAAGCACCTGTGAGAACAGTCATGATGTATGTTAGGGGCAGAAAAGCAATCCTTGGTGACAAATCCGTTCCATCACGGCCCGGCCGTCGCACCTGTAAATCACGTGACGCTCGAGCCACGCGCTGGCGTCTCATGGTTCGCCTCGCCGTGTAGAACGCGCGCCGTAAAATAGTTGGGCAGCGACCTGTGTCATACATGAAATCTACAGTGTAACACAAAGTGACGCGAAACGACGCGTGCATGCTACATGAGCCGGTGCTCGTGACCCCGCTTGTTGGTGATGGTGATGTTGATGCGCCGCTTTCTACTTATGCCAACGTGGATGGAGACGGCTTTTCTCACGTTTTAGCACAGGAAAAGCGATCCCATGACCGCGTAGATGCAGTTTGGCTATGTCAAGACACGCTCGAATATGCTATTGACCGCGATCCACCTGCATCGCTGCATGGTGTGCCGGTAGACCTGGCCTGCGTACGTGAATGGCACGTGCGTATGTGTCCCGGTACGCTCATGCACCCTGCACATGCAACACTCCTTGACGTGTTTGTGAAGCACCATGGTGGACAGGAAATCCAAAGAGGCGGCAGCACTAGCGACAGCAAGCGAAAAGGCATCGAGTGCGATGAGACATCGCCTATTCTGACCGTTCCATTGCTGCAAGGCACTTCATCATGGCTGCTTACGTGCCTCGCATTACCGATTGTGCATGTTGATACGCGCCTCTCGTGGAGTGAGCGGCGACTTGTTCTTCGTATGGACGTTTTGTTATCGCATGCCTGCTTCGCACCACATCCGCCTTCTACAGCAGATCAGCTCCGAACGATCGTTGAACATGCAAATCAGTTGGCCGGAACTTTCTTCTTGTCACATGCACATGCTATCGATGAGTTGTCGGGCGCGACCCTCGTGTATGAGAGCCTATGCCGACGCGAGCGTGAGCGAAGTACACAGATGCCTCCTGCCGAGCAACCGCGTGCCTTGCTCGCGACTTTATTGCCGTTCCAGCGGCGTTCAGTCAGCTTTCTACTTGAGCGAGAAGCTCCGCCTTCTGAGCGTCGCACATTGCGCACGGAGTGTGGGCCGTGGTGGATTCACGCCGGTAACAAAGCTGGCTTGTATTTCAACGTTCTCACAGGAGAATTCACCGTCGATGCAACAGCTGCAGTTGGTGTGGCTGGGGACGTGCGGGGCGCAATTCTTGCAGAGGAAATGGGACTGGGAAAAACGATCGAAGTTCTCGCGCTCATTCTCGAGCAAGCCGACCCACACCGGCACGAAAAGCATGAAGCGTACTGGGATGTGCAGAACGAAGTGTGCGTGCAGCCAATCGGCACAACGCTCATTGTTTCGCCCGAGACACTCCGGCGCCAGTGGCTTGATGAGGTTGCGACATATGCGCCATCGCTGCGTCTATATTCGTACACAGGCCACAAGCAGGCATCTGAACATCGCGGAAGAACTGAAACGTGGGGTCAGTGGGCTAGTCAATACGATGTGATGGTCGTGTCGTTTGAGGTTCTTGCACGCGACTTGGCCGCGTCGCATGCCGCGCCTGTGCGTGCGCTTCGGCATCCATCGCGATATGAGCGTCCACGAAGTCCGCTTGTGCAGCTCGAGTTTCTTCGTGTGGTGATGGATGAGGTCCAGCTGGTTGGTGGGAATGCCGCCAAGACCATCGGCATGATCCGTCGGCAACGCAGCTTGGCCGTGAGCGGAACACCAGTGCGTCGGTTGGCAGATCTACGTACTTCGCTATGGTTTTTGGGACTCGTACCGCCGTCTATGACAACACCGCGTGCTTGGAAGCGGATTCTGAGTGCCGAGCTTGCGCCCTACGTGTGCGAGCTGCTGGCGAATGTCGGCATCCGTCACACCAAGGCCCAAGTCGCGCATGAAATGGTGCTTCCTCCACAGACTCGCTTCCTCGTACCGGTGGACTTTACGCATGTGGAGACAGCCTTTTATCGTGATGTGTGGCAGGCCAGTCTGGCTGCGCTCAATCTTGATGCGGACGGCGCTCCCATGTCGGACACGTGGGTCCTTGATACGGGTATATTACGCTCGCAATTGCTCCGCTTGCGCCAGGCTTGCACACACCCACAAGTCGCTATGCGTGGTGGGCATGTACTGGGAGCAGCCGACCCAAGCAATGCCAGTGGTGGAAGTGCATCAGCAGGAGCATTAGGGTCTGTCGAAGCAGCGGGAACGTCAAATGTAGCAAGTGGTGCTATCAATCTTCGCAGCATTGAGCATGTGCTTGCACAGATGATCGAGGCCTCACGCCTTGACTTGAACACGCTCAAGCACGCGCTCATATCGCGTCGCATCTACCGAGCGTCGATCCTGCTATTTGCTCCGGCTGACGAGCTCGCGTGCAACCACCTGTTCTCGAGCTCAGGGAAGGGCTCCTCCGAGGCGGACGAAAAGAAGGACATTCACTCGCACGATCGCTTTGTTGCCGCCGATGCTACGACGATGGCTCCTTCTCCCGTCACTGCCGCTACTACCGCGCTCATGGAAGACGTGCGTACTCGTGATCGGCGAAACGTGGCACGTGACCAACTCGAGACGCTCCTCGCCGAGGCCCAGGCTCATGTTGATGCACTAAACGAGGCGATCCGAGAAGCGCATGTACGTGGCCCGTGGTACGTCCTCACAGAGGCCGAGCAGGAACAGCTTGCTGCATACGCACAGGCCGCAGATCCAAGTGGACCTGCGCTGCCGGACGCACCGATCCACGAAAAGCTCCGTTTACGCCAACAGTACGTTGGAGCGCTCAAGAGTCGGCAGCGGCACTGGCTCCAAGTGTTGCATCGGATTCAACAGTTCTCCGGACATTGTTACTTTCAGCTCGGCCAGAGTATCACATCCAAGTGTGGCGGCGAACCTGCTGGCGAGCATCTCGATAACGGTCTTAGCAACGTCAACACAGGGCCGTCTCCGTCGCCTTATAGTGCATTGGAAGACACAGCGTACCAAGCTGCCGAGCTGACGCGACAACAGCTGCTGGCTGACGCTCGCATGCATGTCGAGCAATGTGCGAGTGCATTGCAAAAGCAGGTGGTGGATGTCGACCAGCTTGCACAAGTGAAGATGCCGTCTATGACCGGACTTACGGGACGAGCAATTTTGGACGATGTAGCAGAGCGAGTGCATATGTTACAAGCGCATGCCGAGCTCATCTTGGACTGGCGGGCACAAATTTATGCGCGGCTCATGAAACCAGTGAATCGCGAAGTGAATAAGGCGCGGGAAGACGATGACGTGTACGCCGAGAACCTTGATGCTCAGATTGAAGCAGAAACACTGCTGGAGATGTACCGACCACTCCTTGCTCAGCGCGACGAGCTCTTAACGGGGCGCATCGCTCTGGGCGCTACAGCGCGGCCGCAGCTGTTCGTGGAACTAGATCGCGAGCTTCGCTCAGCTCGTTTGCGACGCTTCCAAGTCGAGCATGTCGACGAAGGTATTGGCGATGCATACGACACTGATGGCAAAGGAAAAGGCGACAAAGACGAATTCAGTGAGCAAGTGCGACAAACAAAACGACTACAGCTCAACCACTTTCGAACTCTTGAAGAAGCGCGCCGTTGTGTAATGCTGCCGCCGTATGCACCGCCCCTTTCGGCACTTCTTTCTGCGATACGGGACGTGCGGGATTCTTCCTTGCATCACGAGGCGCAGCTTCTTGCGTCGATGCATGCGGCTGTACAGACACTCCTCCGTGAACAGCAGCGGCATCTTGATGCTTTGCGGCGGGAGCAGATGCTATGCCAAGCTCTGTTTAATGCACGTGCCATGTACTTCAAACAGGTGCAAGAACTGTCGGACCAGGTACAGGATCCAGTAATGCCCAACGGTCCATGGGCGAGTATTAGCACATCGCTTGCGCAGGAGCGTACTCTGAGGCAAAAGATCGGCGCAACTGAGGGACGACTGCGGTACTTGGGTCACGTTCAGCTTATGCAAGAGGCTAGCACTAAGTATCGCCATCAGAGCGGTAGCACCGGGGGCACTGGCACGGGCGACGCCGACACTGACATCGATGCAGACGAAGCACGTCGCTGCTTCATATGCACGAATCTCATCGAGACAGGCATCCTAACGAATGCTTGCGGACATCTGTGCTGTGAAGCATGCTTCCATGCATGGCTTTCACATGGTCACCGGACATGTCCCATGTGCAAAACAAGGCTGGCGCCTAGGGATGTGCACCGCGTCGTATATCGCACAGCGACGACATGGACTGGGCCTAGCGCCTCATCTGCGTACACATCCTCCAACACGTTTCAAGTTCTTCCAGCAGAGATGCGGCAAGCTCTCGATAACATGGCACTCGAAGGTGGGAGCGGCAGCAAGCTGGACCTGTTAATTCGCCACCTTGTGCATATTCAGTGTACCACGGGTGAAAAGAGTCTAGTGTTCTCGTCCTTTGCTCGAGGCCTCGACTTGGTCGCTAGCAACCTCGAACGGCATGGCTTGGCCTATGCACGTGTCGACGGCACGGGAGGAAAACGCTCGAGCGCCGCGGTCCACGCATTTCAACACAAGCCGGACGTACGTGTGCTGCTACTGCATAGTGAGGCACAGTCGGCAGGGCTCAACTTGCTTGCAGCAACGCACATGTTCCTGCTTGAGCCACTGCTGAATCATGCTATGGAACTGCAGGCCATTGGACGCGTCCATCGCATCGGGCAGACACGACCCACGTACGTTTACGGGTACATGGTGCGTGATACTGTGGAAGAGCGTATAGTCGCTTTGGCTGCGGAGCGAAAACAATCATTATACGTTTGTGCGCATTCCCATCGTGAGAGGGGCGACACCACAACTACGCATGATGAACATAACCATGATGGCGTCGATGAGAACCGGAACGACAGCGATCGCATGAACGCAGAAGCCGAGGATAGTGCATTGCTCCAGGCAGCGCACGACGCTGCAGCGCGAAACACGACGCAAGAGATTAGGCGCGGTGATTTGGTTGGCTCAACGAACGATCTCTTGGCATGTCTATTTCCTCAACACCTTGGCAGCGCACCGATGCCACCATCGATGAGTGAGAGCGAGTGAAGGTACGTGGCGAGGATTTTCCAAGTCTTGCACACGCGCACCCTGTATATACATAAGAATGCGACTTGTATAGTAAGAGGTGGGCTAGTATAAACATTGACAATAGTAGCCTAGACATCCTAAGAGAGACGGGCAGACCATGGTCGCTTGTGTATGGCGTGGCCATACAGCGAAACGACAAGTTTCGATGATGGGTTGGACTGGGTATAGATTTCAAAAATAAAACATCCAAAGTTGGAAAAGCCCGCGGGAAAGGGACGATTCAAGTTTCTTTCGCCCAAAGATATATATATATATATTTGATTCGGAAATAAGAAAATATTATAATATCCATCAAGACAGAGAAGCAGCCACAAGGATGCATCACGAATCGACACGACGGACACACATCTCAGCGTCAGACCGCGCAATAATGATGATCATGACCCTTTGGGCATCAGCTAAGCGAAGCAAGATCTGCCATAGTGGCGGCAGCGGTAACAGGCCCTAATGAGTCGGTGTATCGTGCGTTGAGAAAGGCTCTAACGTATGTGACCGGCCAGGCGGGCCAGCTGGCACGATGGACATAAGAGCCGCATCCACGTCAGCCGAATAATGCGAGCCAGCTGCGGAGCCGCCTAAGTGCGTGCCAATACTGGTGCCAGACCCAGCATTCGACAACGCAGGAATAAATGTCGACGATGGACTGGATGCCGCCACAACCGATTCAGACGAATGAAATGACATGGGCGAGTGCGACATCGACATACCAGGCACCAATGATGCCATAGATGTCGAGTACATCGGATCTTGCTTTTCATCAAAAGGCGCTATGGCCGGAGTTCGAGGCATGAGGCAGTGGTCAAAGGAGGAGGAAATCGTTGGAAATGGGGTGGTAGAGATAGATGGGGTTGACGAAGACGGCACTGCAATTCCATTGAAGGCCGGTGCCTGCACTGACCTTGGCACGTTTGTCGCGATGGAACCTGCTGCATGACCAGACCCATGATCTACTTGTGGACTCAAACTCAGTCCCGAACCTGGCCCAGTTATCGAGGCTTGAGATATGGATGGCGTAGCAGCAGTCACATGTGAGACACCTGTCGCTGTGGGAAGTGGTGGTGGCAGCGTTATAGGTATCATGGCAGGTATTGGAGATATGGCCTGGGTCGTTGGCAAGCCGACAAGCGCCTCTTGCAGAGGTGATGTCGGTCCCACATGTGGTAAGAACGATGGGGGTGACATGGAAAACGACGGCGACGCCGACATAGATGACGGAGATGTCGATACAACAGCATCGAGTTGCAATGGTGATGGCTGCGACAGTTGTGACGACTGCTGAAGCGATTCTGCCCGGATCAACAGTGGGTCCTTGTCCGTCAACGACGAGTTGTTCGATGTAGCAGACGAGGGTCCATCCAGCGAAGAGCATGTTATATCCGTACCAAGTGGGGAGGGTATGGTGGTATGCAAATGCCCTGGCTCATCCGAGCGAGCAGATTTGCGGCGTTGTTGAGTCAAGTCACTTCGCGAGTGTCGTGCAGCGCGCTGCGACGTCGAGGACGAGGCATGGATCCCGTCCTTCGCTCTATTAACACGTTTCGACTGCTTCACGCGCGGTTTGTATCCAGCGCACGCATACTCCTCAGGAAAAGCGTTGCGGAACCGATCACGCACATCCGTGGAGCTGCGCTGGTTCCGGAAAGCCGGATCTCGAGCAATTAGCGCCCATTGCGAGCCATACTTGTCAAATCCGCGCTTCAGCGCCTCATCCTCTTCAGGTGTGAATGCGCGACGCGGTCGAGTTTTGCCCTTGATCAAAGGATCGGACCGGTTATCAGCACTCATGTGCCGGCGATGTGCATGTGGCGGAACGCAAACACTTGATGCGGCATCTGTTTTCGTGTTGACCTGCGAGTGGAGTTCCTTGATACCGCTGCCCACGGACATAGGTCGGAGATGCGGCACGAATGGACCGCTCGTTTGTGCCATTCTTTGTGCGGGAGGACCGCCAAACCAGCCAAACGCCGAACGTGTGTGTGAGACTTCGGCCGTCGAAGCGTCGTCGACGGAACAATGGTGAAACTTGGCGGGAGACATGACTGAACGCATCATGAACGTTGGATCCTGTCCATTCAGACGGTTCATATTATCCTGCGGCGGTGATGATGCCTCAGGCATCCCAGTATGGTCCATGTAAGGCTGCTGGCACAACTGAACAAACGTGCCCGATGTATTCAGGGCCTGAAGTGGATCATGATGCCAGATCCCCTCTACATGGCTCGTATTTGCTTCATCCGCCATGTGAGGGGGAAGCTCTTTGGAGGATGAAACAGCTTAGCAATTAAGAGTCGAACCGCAGTTTCTGCGTTTGGAAAAAGACGAATAAACTAAAGGGGAACCGCGTGATGGGCGTCACATTGCGGCCGGAGACTCAGCTGTTTTTTTTTGGGCCCTGTAGCATGGCGATACCTACCAGCCCAGGCACACGCATATGTTCAAGTAGCCAATGAGAAGTCAGATTCTCGGCGAGTTTCCCATGTTTCAACATTTTTTCTATTAAAAAACGAGCGAAGAGACGAGCTGAATAAAGAAAATGCCGAAGAAATGGGTCATGTCAATTTTGTATTCTACATATAGCCAATCATACCAAGCAGGAATTACAAAGAGAGAAAATATTCAACCTGAGCCACTTGATTTCATATCCACAGGAATCCTACTACGCACTACAGCCGACGGCATGTGATAGCCACAACCAATAGGTGGAGAGTACGAACTACGTCCCAACCCGAGCACCTCGCTCGTTTACTCCAGTTTTTCGTCGGTCGCCGCATTAGGCGGCGTCCGAACAGACTCTGTGCACTCCACTTCTGGTGCTTTTACAGCAGCGTCAACTTCCTCGTGATCTCCGTGCTGGGCATCCATGTCCGTTCGACACACGTTTGCATTATTGCTCCGCGGAGAGGCAGGTGCACTTCCTGATGCACTCCCCTCCTCTGATAATATCTGCTGACTCGTTGATAGAGACGGCGCAGTATTTTGTGCTGCGTTGATTGGCTCCTGGCCTGATTGTGACCCTAACGATGCAAGAAGCTATTATTAGTAACCGGACGGAAATAGAGGGGAAAGAGGCGGGTGCGTGCAATACGCCTTAGGTGCAAGGCCCCAAGCATGTATGGCGAAGCAAATGTGTACGTACCTTTTGAACTCTTTGCGCTTGCTCAAGGCGCGCCTCAGGCGCAATCGCCACATCGTATCGCGGCCATACAGTATCCTTGGTAGCCCCAGTGGCTGCTGGCGCAGCGTTGGCCGTCGATGCCGTTGTTGCCACATTATCAGGCAGAGCCGAGTACTCCATAGCTGCCATAGGTAAGGGCGCTGCAGGTTGGCGATGATCTGCCCGTGCGCGAGCTTCGGCCGCCGCCTTCGCTTCGCTTCGTGTACGCGCATCATTCACAAGCGACACCGTGGACAAATCCCATGCAAACTTAATGTGAGTACGCCCACCTAAGAATTCACTGTCTTGCAAAGTGTCATGTGCCGCAACACACGCTCGACTATCCCAGTATTCAACAAAACGGGTATGCTCCTGATCCTTATATGTGCGAATCGCGCGGATTTCGCCGTATGGTTCAAAATGAGCGTGAAACGCTTCGTATGTTATGGGCTCGGTCGCATCCTGCACAACAACGAACAGAGTGCCCTGATTTTTTTCTCGATCACAGTGCTGCTCCTGATCCTCATCTTTTGGAAGACTGAAGTGGACATCGAGCGTGCGACCAACATAGGCTTTCTGGTTCATGGCGACGCGTGCCTTTTCTGCTGCCCGTATATCATAGTACGTAACAAACAGCATACCACGCCGATGTATGAGATCAAACCACACTCGAATCTCACCGAACGAGGCAAAGTCTGCTCGTAGCGCATGTATATCCACTTCAAACGCGACATTGCGCACGAACAACGTGCGGCATGGCTTACTATCCTCGGGCCGCTCAGCATCAGGATCTGGTTGGTATATACTGCGAGTAAATCGGGACCGCTGACTCTTTCGCTCTGGGTGGCTACCCCGGCCAGCGCGTGGACCCCCTCCGCGCCGCAGATTCGGTGGCGACACGGGCATGTGTTTAGCATTCCAGGGGAACATCGGCGCACCAGGCGATACAGATGAAGGCACAGAAACTGGCATCGACATAGGAGCTGGCATTGGCATTGACATAGGTGGCCGAACTGCTGACCCATACATGGTGGGCGGCGGCCGAGCCGCTTCTGCTGTGCCGCCACCGAACATGAAGTAGGGCAAGCCATACGACATGGGCGCCATGGGGAATGGCGCACCCCAAGGTGGAAAAGGAGTGGCTGACGGTGACATGTTCCAGTTTGCGGGCGAAGCGCCGTACGGAGACTGTGCATAATTTGTACGAGAACGACCGCCACGACCACCTCGGCCGCGCATGGATGATGACGATGGACGTCGATGTTCCTGACTCCCACGGTGCTGTCGGGGACCATCATCATATCCACCATATGGGTGATGGCGGGGCATGCTCCTGAATTTTTTAAAAAAAGCTAACGGAACGCGTCTGAGTTTGTTCGCACGAAGCGTAACGCGAATGAACGAACGAAAAAAAAATGACACAATCAGCGTGCTGCGTATGCACAAATCTCTAGTTTGTGTGTGAATGTGTATGTGTTTTTGTACGATTGGGCTGCTGTGCAATGCGTTACTTGTACAGAAAACTTCCAACGACTATGCTAGTGGGCGAGAGATGAAGGACCGACTCAGACACAACAGCAATACTTTTTCCTTCGATGGCTGTGGAGCTAACGAATGAGGCATGCGGCCAAACAGGCAAGTACAAACGCACACACAGAGAGCTAAGTCCAAGTCCAAAATGCCACGCGCGGCGGCGCCCTGAGTGGAAAAGAGTGGCAATATTGCTGGCTACCTGGCTAGCTAGCGCACGAATCTCTTGGTCCAGGGATGTGGATGGGATAGAATTGAAATTTTCTCATATATGCATACTCGCCACAAGCAGCGGCTCGTCCTTCCGATCACAAGTGTTGGATTGTCATGAGTAGCGTGGCCAGCTTCAAACTTGTGCTGCTAGGTACGTATGCGAACGAACATTCTGACGAGATACAGGTGAATCGTCTGTAGGAAAGTCCAGGTATGCTTGCCATGCATCGATGTGTTGTTAACAGACATCAGCGTTGCTCTCCGCTTCGTCAAAGACCAGTTTGAAGACTATCGAGAGAGCACCATCGGCGGTACGTACTCACATGCATGACGACAGAACCAATACGAGCCATATGTAGCTGCCTTTCTGACACAGACTGTGCGCCGGCAGGATGGTGCAACCATCAAGCTCGAGATCTGGTACGTACATTGTCTGTAGCCAATCGTCACTAACATGCGTGCAGGGATACGGCAGGGCAAGAGCGATACAAGTCTCTTGCACCCATGTACTACCGAAATGCGCACTGTGCACTTGTTGTGTACGATATCACCGAGCAAGAGAGCTTTGAAAATGCCAAGAGCTGGATCCGTGAACTGCAACGGCATGCAGATGCTAATATCACGATTGCTCTAGTAGGCAACAAGTTGGATCTAGCAGAGACAAGCCGTACCGTTTCAGCAGAAGATGGCCAAAAGTATGCCGACTCTGAGGGTCTCATGTTTATGGAGACGTCAGCAAAGACGCCAACGAACGTCACGGAACTTTTCACATTGGTGGCAAACAAGCTGCCACTGGACCGAGGTATGGGTGTCAAGCGCGGTGAATCTGCTGCTGGTGGTGGCAGTGGTGGTGCAGCAGGCGCTTCGGCGCGACCTGCGAATGGCCCTGTCAAGCTCGGTACATCATCTCAGCCGTCGACCAACCAAGATGCGTGTTCTTGCTGAGTCGCCATGTACATTACTCCGTATAAATGATGATGATGATAATGATGATGATGCCTATTTAGTTCAATGTAAAGCCAAGTAGCACATTGTCAATAAGACGCGCTGCTGGACTGGGGTCCGTAGCTCGGTTGTACACATAAATCGCGCCGCTGAGGATGGCGCCCTCTGCGCTAGCATTCGCAGGCGTCAGCGGATCAAGAGTCGACGGATGGTTCAAGGCGACATAGTCGAGCTCAGCGCGTGCTTCGTGGTCCCCATCCGCAAGCTTTGCGTGAGCGCTTAAATGTGTTTGCACAGCCTCAAGTGTCGGGCTCAAGCGGTCCGCGGGTGCCACATTTTTCGTGGCAAGATCATCCCACACACCTTGGCCCTTTTTCAGCGCAGCATACAGAACAGGTGCTACATGACGACCTTGTGCATCCAGGTACTTGTTGCGACTGCTCAGTGCTAGTTGGTCTTGCGGATCACGAACGGTCGGCAACACATGCACATTGCGCGACCCATGGGGAAACATGAAAAGGAGGTCATCCACTAGACGGCGGATCACAATCGCTTGCTGGATGTCTTTCTGTCCGAAGTACGCTCGGTCCGGCATGACTATGTTAAACAGCTTGGTCACGACCGTAGCAACGCCGCGGAAGAACGTAGGCCGTGTTGATCCTTCCATCTGGTGCGAGAGCCCCTTGACCTCAATGAACGCGCCAATCTGATCATCGACATTTTGCGTAATACCGTTTGGATACATGTCTTGAACCTGGGGTAGCAGGACCATGAGACGCCCGTGCTTTTGGAGCGCACCCTCGCGAATACCCAGCTGTTCAATATCGCTTCGAGTCGTGCGTGGGTACACAGAAAGATCTTCATGTGGTGCGAACTGTGCAGGGTTAACGAAGATGGAGACAATTGTATAGTCGTTGTCACACAACGAGCGGTCTACAAGCCGCAAATGTCCCTCATGCAGAGCGCCCATGGTCGGAACAAATCCCACACTTGCATGTGTGCGCAAGATCGTTTGCCGCCACGCTCGGTAGGAATCCACATTGTCAAACACACGTACAGGAGCATCGGCAAAGTGGGCTGACATTCGGTACGACATGCTGCTCTCCCAAGGCAGTCCGTTGACTGAGAAAGCTTTCTGATGAACCCCAAGCACGCTCAGGCAGCAGGCTATTGCCGATCCCACAGTGAGTGGTCAGCCTCCACATCAGCCAGTTGTTGCCATAATGCAGCCCAGCCCATTTCGTGGTGCTGGGACTAGCCGATTTCGACAGGAAATAACATCCGACAATCGCTCGTTCGATCACTTGCTCACACTGAATACAGCCGGAACCAAGGCGAAAGGACCAAGCGTGTCATTCATGGTGGACAAGCCGGAGCTGTATGACCCATTCCAAAAGGTTCGAGGGTTCAAGTACACTGGATCTTTGAGGGCTGTATACCCGTTGAGTCCCAAGACAAAAATACCAGCGCACATCCGCCGACCGAACTATGGCCGTGAAGCTGTAAGTATGGCGACGGCTCACCTCAAGCTGTTCCCATCGCGCAGGATCCGTGTGAATACGACCGAGGATCAAGAAGGAGTGCGCAAAGTCGCCAAAGTATGTACCATCTATCGAACTCCCTCGAGTTCGCGGTCGAGGGAGTGTGTGTGTGTGCGCGCGCGCGCATGTGTGTGCATGCGTCCTTGCGTGCTTGTGTTGGGATGTATAACAGCTAACCGACTGATTAGCTTGCTCGTGAATCACTTGATCATATTGCCGCAATGATCCGCCCAGGTATTACCACAGATGCACTCGATGAAGCTCTTGTGCAAGCTTCCATTGAGCGCAAATGCTATCCAAGTCCATTAGGATACCATGGCTATCCGAAAAGTGTATGCACATCTGTCAATGAGATTATTTGCCACGGGATTCCTGATCAGCGCCCCCTCGAAGATGGTGACATTATCAATCTAGGTGTGTTCTCGTTAATTTTTTTCGGCGCTTAGGACGACTGTACTAACACATCCACGTCAGATGTTACATTGTACCACAACGGTATGTGGAACAGGAAAGGGGAGGAGATATAGGCTAACCAGCAGGATACCATGGCGACTTGTACGCATCTATGCACTACTCACCAAAGAAATGCTACGTTTCCTGTGGGTGAAAAGGCGCGCGAGAGCGAGCCACTCATGCGTCTGATCCGCACGGCACGGTACGTGATTCATGGCACGCCCTTTCCTCGCCTGCTGTCCATTTTTTCTCACACTTTGGCCTGCAGTGAATGTTTGGATGCGGCGATTGCTATCTGTGGACCCGATATGCCTTATGCCGAAATTGGTCGTGTCATTGAGCCCATCGCTAAGGCAAATGGCTGTTGCGTCGTCAAAGAGTACACGGGCCATGGCATTGGTCGTGTGTTCCACGGACCACCCCCAGTTTATCATTACCCGACGAAAAAGGTTTGTTGTGTAGCAACGGGGCCTGATACTAACAACAATTCAGTCGTATGGCACAATGCGACCTGGACATGTACGTCATACCAATATGAAATGCCGTTGTTGTTTCTTACGCAGATTTTCACGTACGGAGTATTTCATTGCTACTAACGAATATGCAGTATTGAACCAATGCTGAACCTCGGGACGGAAACAGGTGACGTCGAATGGCCTGACTTTTGGACAGTCGCCACAGTGGATGGCGCACCTTCGGCAGCCGCAGAGGAAACTCTGTTAATCACCGAGACTGGCGTTGAGATACTCACAGCGCAGGGCGGACCTCGTTGCCTTGATACGCAAGAGGCGCGCGCAAAGTACTTGGCTGACAAGGCGACATGAAGGGCGCATCTGACTAGCACTTGTAGAACCACCGTCCCTACCCTTTTCCCCCGCTCCACAAGATAGCCTCGACGTACGCCCGGGGCAAGTCATTGCGGTGTGCATCACGTGATGCGCGATCGCCATGGCCTGGCGGCCGTCTGCGTCTGCCGGACACGGCCGATCGGCTCAGACTAGAGGCAGGGGGCGGGCAAGAACGGCACTCGACCACATTTCTTTTATCCACCAACTGGGTATTTGAGATCGTAAACGTATGTATATCCGTGGACGTAGTATGGGAATGATGAGCGCACATACTTACGCACGATTCTAGATGTCGACAATCGCTCCAATTAAGGGTATGCTGCGCAAGCGCCTCTTTACCGATGTGACCATTGCTCTTGGCGGTGGCACGCTAGTTGCTATGGGTTTCTGGTACGGCTGGCACCTGCCACGCAACCAAATCCGTACGTATCTTGCCTGTGGGGCACGTGTACTAACGATTTGCTTTAGGTGACGAGTTCTATGCAAAGCTTCACGCGGCTAAGAAGGACGAGTAAACAATATACACGTTCTTGCTTGGTTTCTTTTTCCTGTCTGATTCTTTACGTTGGCTCCAATTTGTAGTACGATGACGTATGCCTACAATGGAAAGATGACTGTCGCCGCTCACCAGCATTCCTCTTGCCAGCGGCGCTCTGTCTCCAGTGTCGACAGGTATCGAGCCGCTTGGTCGACGTTCATGTGGCCATGTTCCACGAACACATCGACGATTGATTGTTTTACTTGCTCGGGCATCTTGCCCGAAGTGCCGCATAAGTATGCAATCCCACGGCGTGGTCCAAGTATGTCCCATATACGAGCGCCATTTTCGCGGATACGATGTTGTACATAAACTTTTTCTGGCTGATCACGGCTAGCCGCCACCACGTATGTCAGGTTTGCATGCGAAGTCGTAGCCCACTGTTTCCATTCGGCGCCGTACAAGCAATCTTTTGCTTGGTAGCGACACCCAAAGATGACAAGCGTCTCAGCCAACGTGGGTGGGTGGTTGCTGGTGGTTCGAGCCTGATTGTTCGTGCCGGGACACTCATCAGCCCCTGGGTTGCTAGCTGTCGGAGTGTTTGTCGTTATATGGCTCTCGACGTTATTCTCGGCCAGGTATGTAGCTAGGCGCTCGTACACCAGCGAGCGGAGGGGCGCAATGCCTGTACCTGGCCCAATTGCTAGAACAGGCGTTGTGCTGTGCGCTGGAGGAAGGAGTGTGCCGGTCTGCAAGCGCACGGGAATACACGTGCCGGGGATCAAGCGAGCAAGCCAGGAGGTAGCGATTCCCTCTCGAGGCTTTTGCAGCCGTGTCTTGTACTTGACAACCGCTACTGCAAGTTGCAATGTGGTCGGATACCACTGGTAAAATGCGGAAAGAGGGCGGGTTAGTAGTGCGAAACGGTGCAGTGTACTTACAGATGGGTTACTCGCTAAGCTGTATTGCCGCTCTCGCATCATAGGGAATACTTCCATAACGTATTTGATGGGGATTTGCACACTTTTGAATTCCGCCAAGACCTCGGCCATCGTCCGTCGCACCCGCTGTGCATACTCATACATATCATCCGTGCCCTCGCCGGGTTGGAGAAACTCGGTCAGCTTTTCGTGCTCTCGGTGGGTCGACGGGCAGAAGTGTCGGATTACAGCAAAAAATGAACGGCGCGGGACAGAAAAGGGGTCAAGATGCACAGTTAGCAGTCGCCGAAGTGTGAGTGCTTGCGCCTGCATGTCACGCCAAAGTGCCGGTGGCCATGGTCGATCTTCGTATTAGTCGGGTGGGGTGAGTGACCAAGGAGACGCGCGTGTGTACGTACGGGGATCATGCCTGGTCAGTGTGAGCGCATCATCGGCAAAAGAGGACCATCCGAGTCGCTCAAGAAGCCAGTCGACATCAGCTGCCTTGTTTTCTGGACGTACACACACGACATCCCCTGCGTGGTATGCAGGGACCGGTGTGTTAGAAGGAAGTGCAAGCTCGATACACCGCACATCCTGAAAGTGCGATTTGTCCGTCATGCGGTCATTTTTCACCACAGTTGCATACATGGTCGAATCGTCTAGTCTGGCTGAGGAGAATGCTTTCGTCGCAGGGTCTGTTGGTGGGGATGGAGCGTCGCATCGCACACACCCTTGTTTATCTGCCGGCTGTGTTGCTGCCTGTACAACATGTGCTTCGATGCGCGGAGGCAATAGCACGTCATTTGAGATCGGCGATGGCCCGTTTGGCTCACATAGATCTTGCTTCAGGTGCTGAACCAAGGAGTCCAGCCAAGGCAAGACACCACCGTCCAGTCTGGGGCATGTGAGCCTGTGATTCAAGGTACGTACCCAAGTTCGTGCTGCTCGTCTGCCTCCCCGGAGGGAAGCCATTCCTTGGCACCTAGATCTTGAAGGCGTCGGTGCAGCATGCGTGATGCCCAGCAGAATCTTGTGTAAGTGGAATCGCCGAGGCCAAACGTGGTAAACGTCAGGTCCGACAAGATATCGCCTGGTAATCCTTTGCGCAAGAGAAAGCGCCACAGTGGACGTGCAGATACAGGCAGTTCACCATTCCCCGTTGTTGAGACTACAAATATGATGTATGACTCGTTGATCAGATCTGTCTGCAGCGTTGTTAGAAACAAGTGTATTTGTGCGCATGACACGTACGCGATCATAATCGTGTAAATCACATATACGTGTCGGGACATGGTGGCGCAGGGCTATGTCTGCGATCCGGTATGCAATATCTTCCGCATTCCCTGTCTCTGTAGCAAAGAGAACCGTGAGCTGGGTCGCATTGTCTGCAGATGGCATGACAAATGCCGCGTCCATAAGATCCCTGAGTCGAGCGGAGGGGAATTTTGGCCAAATTTCTGAACGTCGCGCGCATGTCACAATTACACATTGACAGGGACGTGTGGAGAAGATGTGGAACCAACGTCAATTTCACATCGAGGGTGTGGAAGTAGACCACTGCCACAAGAGCCAACAGATGGTGAGCAGGCACTCACCAAGACTTCGTGCGAACACAAGGCATGCAGGGACACTCCTCATATAGAGATTACGATAATAACTACGGAGGGTATGCCATCCTTACTTGAGCATCTTACCGTCGGCCCATTGCTTGCCGTCGATCACCACTTCCCAAGCGAGCATGTCCTCGAAGAACTTCTTGTCCTCGGGCTTGTCGAGATCAAGAGGCGTGACAGAGTAGCTCTCAAGATCCGGCGCAACGCTCAGCACTGGAAGGTAGTCCTTGCCACGCAGTACGATCACACCAGCAATCAAGCTGTCGTTGTTCGTGCCGAACACACCGGCCGTGCCCTGGACGTACTTGCGGCTAGCCTCAAGACGGTTGAAGAAACCACCGATCTGGTTGTTGCTCATGAAGATCTGCGTAAGCTCATCATTGTACTTGAAGTCGAAGCGCCAGATACTGAAGCCCTCCTTGTCGAAGTGCTCGTAGAACCATGGCAGGGCCTTCGTACGGGTGTCCTCATTCGAGTACACACGCTTCCACTCGTCAAGCACAAATGACGACGGTGGCAGCAAGTCCAATGGGTTCTTTGGCTTCTCAGCCTTTGGCTCCGCAGCTGCGGCGCCACCCTTTGGCTGGTCCTTGGACTGCGCCTTAGGCTGGTCCTTCTGCTTTTCCTCCTTCTTTGGTGGAACAAACTTGGCATTCTCCTTCGCGAAATCGTTGTCAACAGGGATTACGCCACCCAAGCTCTTCTGGTTCACGACCGTGTTGTAGTAGCGCAGGACGTTCGGGAACTTGTTGCGGAACTCCGGTCCAGCGAAGTTAGCGTACACGCTACGGATCGTCGCCGCAAGCGACAAGTCGGCCGCTGTCAGGCGGTGGCCCACAGCAAATGTCTGCTTCACAAGGTGCTTCTCGAGGTGCGCGAAGCCCTTTTCAATCTGGCCCCATGCATTTTGATCCAGAACCTTGCTGTACTGGGTCTTGCCGTTGTACATGAGGAACAACTGCACAATACCGTTGAAGATCATGTCATCGGAAAAGTTCACCCATTGGTCAACAAGAGCGTCTGTCTTACTGTCGGTGCCGTACAAATGAGCGTTGTCAGACAGACAAGCAACTGCATCGAGGTTAGTACACAATTCCTCCGCATCGCCTCGTTATACGGGCGCCAAGTCAGACAGGCTGGCATGCATCATGCGGCAAGCAGGTGCACAAACATGGCAGGATAGCATTAGGAGAAACGGGCTTACATCAGACAAATGTACCACAACGTGCTTTGGCGCACTACCCTCGACATGTGTAGATTAAGCCAGGGATAACTGAATATATAACACCATCATGTTGCGCCCTCGATCCCAACCAGTGAGGCGTGCCACCGCATACGCGCCTACTCGACTGCCTTTATTTTCAATACGTACTGTACCTCAAAATGGAGCGCGACTCCGTCAGCAAGAACCCATCCGAGCCTTCGAATGCAGGCACCTTGCCCTGAGGGAACTTGGCCAAAAACTCAGGCTTGTGGGAGTCTTCCACAGGCTTCGTAGTCACGAGCTCCAACTCCAAGCCATTGATCTTGGCTGCAGCCATAACGCGCATCACTTTGGAAGCGCCAGGCGTTCCGTACAGCTTGCCAATGCTAGCCATGTTGTATACAACAGTAGGTGAAGGTGTAGGAAAGAGAAAGATGTTTTCTACTGTGGGTCCCATTTTTCTTTCTTTCCCTGCAATGAAATTCCACTCTGACCACAGACACGCGCACACGTTGGCAAGTAAGGTCAGAGCAAACTCTCTTTCCTCCCTGGACTGCCACGTGGTAAAGTGCAGAGGCCTCGCAATGCAAATGATCGGTCGAGCTGGAATATCAAGAGAGATTACGTGTGTGTCTCGCTGACAATTCGGTCGTCGATCGCGTCTTGCCCCACTTACCATGTCGCGTAGGTACGACTCAAGGACGACGACCTTCTCGCCTGAAGGTCGACTGTACCAGGTCGAATATGCCATGGAAGCTATTTCACATGCCGGTACGGTGCTTGGCATTCTCGCAAGTGATGGCGTCGTGCTGGCAGCTGAGAAGAAGGTGACGAGCAAGCTGCTCGAGCAGGATAAGAGTAGCGAGAAGATTTTTCAGCTTAGCGGAAACGTGCTCTCAGGCGTTGCAGGCATGACTGCCGATGCAAACTCGCTCGTAAACTATGCGCGGAATGCCGCCCAAAAGTATCTGTTATCGTATGACGAAGACATTCCTGTTGAACAGCTTGTGCAGCGGCTGTGTGACTTGAAGCAGGGCTATACACAGTTTGGTGGTCTGCGTCCATTTGGCGTATCGCTACTGTACGCCGGATACGATGCTCACCACGCATTCCAGCTATACCAATCGGACCCATCCGGCAACTACTCAGGCTGGAAAGCTACGTGCATTGGCATGAACAATGGCACAGCTACGAGTCTTCTGAAGCAAGAATACAAAGATACTATGACAGTCAAGGATGCCTTGGGCCTGGCAGCACGTGTGCTTAGCAAAACTATGGACACGACGTCGATGGAAAGTGACAAGCGTACGTGTGCACTGCATGCATTAGCGCGACTTGCGACGACTAACCTGGCGCAGTGGAATTCGCCGTACTCAAACGGAATGAGCGTACAGATGAGCCACAGCCATATATTTTGTCACCTAGTGATATTGACCGTGTTTTACAGCTACACAACCTTGCAAAGCCCGCAGATGACGCTTCCATGGCCGTAGATGCATAGTTTGACAGTGTTTTTTTTGGTACCTCTTACTATGAGCCGATATGTACGTATGTGTTTTGCAATAGCATCTGCTTGGAATCCGTTCCAGAGACATGTTGAGACACAATACTCGAGTAGGTCGCCGAGCGATGATGTATGTGACAAGGGCCCTTCATAAACGCAGGCTAGCAAGCCTACCGACGGATCCCTTGGGGTCGTCCTGACGGCCCACGCCCACGCCGTGCTTGTGCACGCATGATCGTAGCACGTCCACGAGCGCTGCCGATACCTCGGCCTTTCATGGCATTTGGCCCCACACGCTTGAACATGGGTGCTTGTTGCAGCATGTCCGGTACGACCATGAATCGGATCATGTTGCCGCGAATGTACACACTATCCAAGTGTGTCTGTTTTCCGTCGCGCGCAGTGACTGCGATGTCCTTCATCGAAATATTAAAGTTGTCTTCCGCTACACGCGTGTCAGTGATGTTGTAATTTTCAAGCAGGATCGCCACATACCATCAAAAAGACGCCCACGATACGTCGCACCTCCTTTCAGCTCAATCGTAACAGTGTGACCCAGTCCCTCATGAAGAAGCTTAACGGGGATGCCGACTGTTCCCATCGTGCGACAGTGCGCAGTATTTCCCCTTGCTCAACTTGGTGCAAACGTGCAGCGGCCAGCGATCCACTTTTGCGTGGCGGCGTCCCCAGCAGCAGAGCCCGGCCAAGCTCCATAGCGAGCTATATCACGTGATTCGTCACGCGTAACGTACCCAAGGGTGTGGCGGGCGCGCTCGTTTGCCTGCGGCGCAGGAGGGGAAGGGCAGGCATAAACACGGCGGACCGGTGGAGGTCAGCGGCACGCGGGAGAAGCGGAGCCACTCCAGCCTTCCGCCACCGACGTGCCAGATCGATACGATCCGTGCGCGCATCTATTTGTCTGCATCGACCTTCGTATTTTCTTGTGCACGCGAAAGCGAAGTACCTAGACCATGCCAAAGCAGCCTACTCCCAAGGTGACCACGGGAACGCGCCGAACGAAGGCCAAGAAGGATCCCGCCGCGCCAAAGCGCCCGTTGAGTGCCTACATGTTTTTCAGCCAGGACTGGCGTGACGCGTCAAAGCCGAGAACCCTGACGCAGGATTCGGTATGTAACGTACTTACCATGGTCGTCGTGATCGTGCGTGAAAGTGGAGCTAACTGAATCCAGGCGATGTTGGCCGTCTGCTTGGAACCAAGTGGAAGGAGATGAGCGACGAAGAGAAGAAGCCATACGTCGAAATGGCGAGCAAAGACAAAGAGCGTGCCGAGTCGGAGAAAGCGGCCTATGCTGTACGTGAATCATCACCATTGTATCGGAGTGCATGTACGACTAACGCGACGCGCAGAACAAGGCATGAAGAATGCAGCGAAGAACGTGCCCTGAAAACGCTTATGGGACGGAACAAAACACGCTGTGTATTTTGACCCATACTGTCTTGTTGTTTTTGTTGTTGATGCTGTTGATGTGATTGTTATCGCCGTTGGTTGGCGACTGCATTTACACTTCAGCGTGTCCCCATTGCTTCCTTGGTCTTTCTTCGTGTCTTGGTTGCTCTGTCTCTTTTAGCTTGTGTCGCTATGTAATATCTGCGATGTATTCGTATACAGATTGGCCTTTCTGTGTTAGGCAAATGTGCTTTGAAGCAGATCCATGCTCTTTTCATACACTGTAAACACAATGCCGCCGCTCAGCATCAGTCGTGCGAGACGCGGTGTCGCTCCTCGCCAGAAAGCAAAGAGTCCTTCGTGCCGCAGGATTTTGGCCATGCAATCGAATGTGCCCTTGTATTGATCACGGCCATGCAGTGTTTGCAGCCGTGTTTTGACGACATCCAAGGGCATCGTTGCATAAACGGTCACAACCCCAGCAACTGCGCCTATGCCGAACGTCACACCGCCTGGTAACGGCTGTCCTGGGCGCGATGAGCCCTGGACAAAGTTGCGCAGCGTAGAGTACGTGCCGAAGCGCACCGCACTATTCGCCCCCTGTCGCAGCATCACAGGGGACCAATCCACGGTAGATGCCCAGCAAACCTTCATCACGTACAATCGCGATGGAGCCGGCCACGAGATTGGGTGGGTACTTGGGCTTGGGGCTTTTTGCATCGTCAATTAGCTTCGTTTTAATTGTTTCAGACGGCGTCACAGCGAAGATGGCCTCCATCATACCTGCACCCAGGCCGGCAAGCAGACTTCGAGGCGCCGTCAACTTGCCATGCTCGTCCTTGAGCATGGACTTGAAGTGGTCATATGAGAGGAACCGCACGCCGGCCTTGAGTGCATTCCCTGCTACGAGGGCACCACATCCACTGTACAAGCCACGCACACCATACTTTGTCACTGTCTCACGAACAATATTGATTGGATTTGGCGGCTGCCGTCTCTGTCAGCCATGTGACGACGTTCGTGGCCACACGCACCTTTTCCCCAGCTTTTGTCGAAAATTGTGCTACGGTCTTTGTGTACTCGATGGGGTACGTTGCGAATCCTTCTACGGCACCAGCAAATGCACCAGAGCTCAGAGAGAACACCGGGTTCACCTTGCCTTGTGCTGAGCTTTGCTTCGTCGTCGACATGGTGCACGGATTCGTCCCTGTCTTGCGATACACGGCTTTACCACACCAGGATCCCACAGATTGCTTGACTGAGCCGACTGTGATTGGCCACGCTCATCTTCCCCGGGCTGAGCCCGACCGGACGCGCGACCAGAGAGCCTGTGCAGGAGAACGGTTGCCTAAATAAAATACACACCTACATTATACGCTCCCTGTCCCTGCTGCGCTTGCCATCGCTCCTAGTGGAAGTGCGCAACACTGTATTACTCGGCGATTTCATGTCGTGGACGCGACTGTGAAGGCAGCTGGCGCCGTGAAGCGCGCGTAGGTTTCCGTGAGAGCTCTTCGTCCGCACGCGGCGATATGGTAGGAACGCGAGGCCATTTGTCTGTGAAAGTGGCAGTCGAATGAAGCATCTTTTGGGCCTTGTCGACAGTTTCTTGCGTGCTGCGAACACGATTTGTTGTATTTTGTAGGGGACGCCGCTCTGAGCGTGTACGTTGCGTGATGAGGTCCCAGTAAGCTGACCCTTGTGTGCCGCGCTTGAGCATACTGAGTTCCTGATCCTTCGCTGCTAGTGCCAATGTAAACGTTTGTAGCTCCTGTTTCATGCTGTCGCGCTGCTTTTGAAGTTGCACATTGTCTAGCTCCCGATGTGCAACATCGTGTTCCAACGTCCGCACACGCTGCTGCCAAGCGCTAATGTCGGCCTTGAGAGCTGCTTCCGTCTCGTCGCGCGCTTTCTCACACTGCCGAAGCTCCGCACGAGCGGTCTTTTCACGCATTTCTGCCTTCGCACGCACGTCCTCAAGTGCCAGTCGCTCCGCTTCCCATGCTTCTTGTGCACGGATCTGCTTCGCTTGTGCTTGGAGTTGTGCTTTGAGCTCTCCTGCATGCCGCTCCATGCTTGCCGTGCGTTCTTTCGCGTTTTCGAGCTCGGCATGCAAGAGCTCGGCTTCCGATGGCTGTGTCTCTGCATCGGTGAGCCGAGCTTGCAATTCGCGCACGGCATCAGCCGCCTCTTGACGTACTACAAGGATGCGGACTTCCGCGTCTCGCATGCATGCTTGTCGGGTCGATTCAATGGCTTGCTGGACTTGTTCGTGCACGTTGATCGATGGCTCGGCCCGACGGACCTCCAAGTCACGTCGGCCAACGTCCAGCTTCCGCCAGTCATCATGCAGCTGTGCCTGCTGTAGCTGGAGATTGACGCGCTCTTCTTCCAGCGCGGCTCGTTCCTTTTGCAATTCGGCACGCTCCATGTCCAACTCTGTGGACTGGCGCTGCTGATCCATCGATGTTGTAGGCGCCGGGGCTGATGTAGACTTACTTGTCAGCTCTGGCTCAGGTGCTGTGATCGCCTCGGGCCAAAGTGTCGTTGTGCTCGTGTGAAGCAAAGCCAGTCTCGACTCGAGCTGCTCTGTAAGCGCTTGCAATGTCGCCCGTTTCGTCTCGTCATCTTCGTCCCAAGTAGCTTTGCATCGCACAAATTCCCGGACGTGGCCTTCAAATACATGAATGTAGTCATTAGCATCCCGCAGTTGTTCACGAAGAATCTGGCACTGTCGATACGAACGGGCTAGTCTGTGTTGCAAGAAGATTGTCCTTTCGGTATGTGTTCGATCCAAAGCTGCAACCATATCGAGCAATTCACGCGCGTCGACATCAGCTAAGGAATCAATTGCGAACAACTTTGTCGACAACTCTTGCGCTGCGAATGGAACCAGCGGGCCCGTATCCAAATCATCCAGCTCTTCCTTGTCTGTCAGATAGCTAAACTCATACATGCCCGGCCAGTGCGCTGAGGTATGTGGACTAGATGCAGAACGTGCACTAGACTCGGTGCGTGGCGTGGCCCAACTGTATGAGCTTGAAGCAAAACTTGCATCCGGTCGCGTGGGCGTATGCTGTGCCGTCAAGGAAGATTCGCCTTCATGTATAGATGCTGGGGCCAAGGGATCTGAGCTTGTACTCGCTGAGCCAACAGTCTCAAGGGGCTCGTGGTGCGTGACGAGAGCAGGATCGGGGCCTGACAACGGCGCCGCGGCGTCGAGAGGCTCCTCTGGTTGGACCAATGTATCGTGTGGCGCCTGATCGACAGTCGCTTCTCGAGGTGCTTGGGCCATGACCACATCGTTGTCGTTACGAGGGTCAGCCTGTTGCTCTTCCGTAGCCATTTCGGTGCCTTCTGCAGAGTCCGCTTGTGGTTCTGACACAGTGCCTGTACGTTCGGGACTTGGCGCAGATGCTTTCTCCGGCTCTCGAGCTGGGTCTTGGTCAGACTTATGTGCGAGCATCTCAATACCATTTTTGTCAGACTCTGGCTTTGTGTCGTCTTCCAGGCTTCTGCGCCTGTGTTCAACATGATCGTCTGGTGTAGGCGCTCGACGCAGAGACGGACGCACAGTTGGAGATGACAGTGGCGAGGTTGAGGTGCCTTCTCTAGGACTTGATGGCGAACTCCATGGACTTGTGTCATCTGCGTCTTGGATCATGCTTTTTAGTGGTTTGATGGTCTCAGGGGCTTCGGCGCCAGAGGATGAACGAATGGGCGTCAGGGGTCTCGTCGTTGGTTGTTTCCAACTTGAGCTGCTACTTTGGTCCAACCCAGCAAGCGCACCATCGACTTCGCGACGAAGAAAGCTTTCCGTAAAGCTCATCTCCATGGAATCACCACTTATGGACATGTCATGGGACCGGACGTCCTCGTCCTCTGCACGACTGCTCACAGAAGCTGTGAGCAAGCTCTCTTCCCCATCTTCGTATGTGCGCATGCCGAACCGCACACTACTTCCTGTACCAGGTGTGTGTGGCGAGCGCAAGATCCCAACACTTTTTGGCTGTGGCGTATACAACCCACCATTATACATGGTGGGATAAGGCAAAGTTGATTTGAAAGTAGCGATCAATGGTTCTAGGATGCTATTTTTCCCACCCCCTTTTCTAATGAACCATGCTGTCTATCAATCTAACATAAGGGTCTATCTCTCACGGAGTGCGTCACCTTCTTCCCATGGAAGCACACTTCAAGTCACCTTACCATGCCAGCCTATGGAAAACTCGCTTTGTATCGGTTATCATGCCCTGCATGACAAGTGGGCCTCTTGCCATGTACCACCAACACGGTCGAAAGTCGCGCGCCTCTTGACGCGTGCGCATATGTGAGCACGTGACTTTTCGCTTGCTTATTCGCGCTCGCCCCGGTCTCGCAAAATTTTTTTTTTTTTGTTGCTTCAACGTCCCAATATATCATACACGATTTGTCCAAGGGCCTTGGACACTCACGGCGGCTCTTGACCTTTCACATCAAGACGTACGCCCCCTTGGCGTCGGCGGCTCCGCTATCTTGCCATCATGTCCCGAGTCATTGTGAAGGGACTGCCGCCGTACCTATCAGACTCAAGACTGCGCGAACACTTTGCGCAGAAAGGCAAGGTCACAGATGTCAAGTTGATGAGGCGGCCGGACGGCACGTCCCGGCGATTCGGCTTCGTCGGGTACAGAACGGAGGCGGAGGCTGAAGATGCTCGAACGTACTTTGATCGAACGTACATCGACACCTCACGTATATCCGTGGCGTTGGCCAAACAAATTGGCGACCAGGACCTGCTGGCTGAAAAGACCGCACGCTTGTCCAAGTCGACCAAGGCCGACGAAAAAGATCAGCGTGCCAAGTCCACGCAGAAGAAAGATGACCAGACCGAAAAGAAGGCTCCCAAGGCAAGTGAAAAGGGCGCCACCTTCGAGGAATTCATGTCAGTTATGGCGCCAAAGCTCAAGCGAAAGTCTTGGATGAACAATGATGATCTTACGCGGGCCAATGAGGCAGAACAGATACGTGAGGAGAAGCCGATGACGAAGCGTAGAAAGTCGACGACAAAACCTGCACAGGCGGATCCATCTCTGACTGCGAGAGAGTCGGATGGGGAAACGCCCAAGGACAATGCCGCGTCGAATGAAGCGCTCTCTGACCTTGAGTACATGCGGCGACGCATGCGGCACAAAGTTGCTGGTGGCGAAGGGCCGAGTCCAGCGTTTGAGCAATCCGATTCAGACTCCTCAGACTCGGAGGGCGATCAAGATCAGGACCAAGACGACGAAGAAGACGATGAGGATGACGAGCGAGACAAAGAAGAGGCAGCGCGTCGGAAAGCTACGTTGGAAGAGCAAAAGCGACGGGACGAAGAGAATGTCGATACCATTATGGAATCAGCTCGCTTGTTCGTGCGCAACTTGCCGTACTCTGCGACTGAAGATGAGCTGGCGTCATTTTTTAGCTCGTATGGTACTGTTGAACAGGTACGTGTATCACTGACAGGGCCATGCATTAGCGGCAGCGGCAGCGACTTGGATGGCTTGGTGATGACTTTCAGTATAGGGACAACCGAGGCGATTCGTTATGGCCAGTGCGGATGTCATACTGGGAATGAAAAGATAGTAGATTTTGTCTGATACCATCCAGCTGATGCCTGCATGTGCCCAGTCTCACATGCAACTGAGTGAAGCTGACCATTGACAGGTGCATATTCCATTGGATGCTCAAAGCAAGGCCTCTAAAGGCTTGGCCTTTGTCAAGTTTGTGGATCCATCGCATGCTTTGCTCGCGTTTCGTGGGAAGGATGGTGCGATCTTCCAAGGTCGGCTTTTGCACGTGCTGCCAGCCGTGAGTCCTGTGCCCAAGCCTCAGTCATCTGGCTCATTGAAGCAGAAGCGGCATGAAGCCAAAAAGGCCATGGCCGGCAAGGATTTTCAGTGGGGTATGCTGTATATGAACAGCGATGCCGTAGCGAGCTCGATTTCTGAGCGCTTCGATGTCCCCAAAGCGACGCTGCTAGGCGCCGACGAGGTTGCTGGTGTGAGTCCCGCTGTGCGTCTTGCATTAGCGGAGACTCGGATCATCCAGGAGACCAAGCAGTTTTTTGCTGATCATGGCATGAATCTCGATGCTCTTGAGCGCGTCAAGACACGCACGGACGATACCATTCTCGTGAAGAACATTCCGTACGGGACTGGCGCGGATGAAATTCGCTCGTTGTTCGCACGATTCGGCGACGTCGCACGTGTGCTGATGCCTCCTTCAAACACGATTGCTGTTGTCGAAATGCCGATTGTCAATGAGGCTCGCGTCGCTTTCCGCGCACTCGCCTACAAACGCTTCAAAGACGCCGTGCTGTACCTGGAAAAGGCACCGACGGGCTTCCTACCGCCCCGGGGCAGCGGCGCTCCCCATGCTGAGACGATCGCAAGTGTGCAGGGCAAACGGGCACCAGAGTCGAGTCGCTCTCTTTTGGGGGCTGACACGAACGATACGGCCGCCGTGGCTGCCGCCGATGGCACTCTGTATATCAAGAACCTGAGTTTCGCGACGACAAGTGAGCGACTTGCCGATGCATTCCGTGCGCTAGCCGGGTTTGTTTTTGCCCGCGTGCAGACGAAGCCAGACGCAAAGCAACCGATGGTGCGTCTGAGTATGGGCTATGGATTCGTTGGCTTTACCAGTGCCGAACATGCCATCCACGCACAGAAAGCTATGGACCAATATGTGCTTGATGGGCATACGCTGTCGGTGTCGCTTGCACGTCGTGGCCGTGACGCGGATGACGACGCACCTGTCCAGCGAGCACCGTCGGCGAAGATGCTTGTGAAGAACGTGCCGTTCGAAGCGACGAAAAAGGACATTCGAGAGCTCTTTGGTGCGCACGGCCAGCTCAAAAGTGTGCGGGTACCGAAACAGGTGCATGGTCGTACGCGTGGCTTTGCGTTCGTTGAGTTTGTGTCGCGACGTGAGGCTGAGAACGCTATGGCAGCTCTAAGACACACCCACTTACTTGGTCGGCACCTTGTGTTGGAGTGGGCCGGCGATGCCGAGGGTACAGCTGGCGTTGATGAACTGCGCGAGAAAACGCGTCATGCATATGTGGGCGAGTCGGACCGACCCCGTGCTCTGGGACAGCGGGCAAAGATTCGAATGGGTGCCGAACAAGTTGCCGAAGCCGTTGCGCAACAAGCGAAGAAATCGGATGACGATGGTGACGACGACGATGACTGAGGTAGTGAATATGGAGTTGTGATGGGCCGAGCTAAGAGGACTCGGGGAAGGAGAGCAGACTCGTGGTGCTGTGTACGAAAAAACATATGTGCGATATGACTTTTTTTCAACCATCTGTACAATACATAGATCTTACTATTCATGAGCCCAAAGAAGGGTGATTCACTACATGTCTTGCATAGCACGCTCAATGCTATCGCCTAGCATAGGGAAGGCTTCGGTGAGAGCCGGGCCCAAATGATCGCGAAAGGACTGATGTAAGATGTCTTGTTGTTCCGTGCCATCGTTGGACGTACCCTGATGGAGGTATACTGACCCAGCGAGTACTGATTCTCACTAGCGAGGCGATTCACAAAAGCCCGCGTGTGGCTGTCCGGATTACGTCCGGCATCTACTAGGCTGCCATTGTGTCAGAATCATGGGATACAGGGCGGAGGACAAAAAAGTCCAACAGAGCAACGATCTTGTCGTGTGGAATGAACGTACTCAATAATGTCTTTCGGGATTCCATCATGAATGTGTCCACGCATGACATCGATATCGACCAAGCGATGAATCACTCGATTCCTGCGTAAGACAATACATGCTGCACGTACACGCTCTCTCCCATTTGTCGCGAGGAGCCCTCGCTTCCATCTGCTGCATGCGATGCCAATTCGTACAATGCATCGACCACAGCACGTGTACGTATATCGAGATCGCGACGCACAATGTCCTCTACACGCATTGACGACGGGTCGTTGTTCGCCTGCCCCATCGACGTAGGCGAGTGCCCCGCTTGCATCTGTGGTGGCGATGGAGACGCACTTGCCGGCGTCGCTGACCGCCGCTTGTCGGCCATAACGACGTCAGCCTAACTCGAGGCAAAGAGCAAAAGAAATGTGGCCAAGCGCAGTGAGTGGAGCTTCAAAGCTAAAGACATCTTCATCCAAAAGGTGTGTGGTGGCGGCCTTTCGACCGGTGGATGAAATACAGCACCACACGTGGCACAAACACCACCATTTGCTGCAGGCTCCCGGCTCCTTGGGAAGCCCCACCCCCTAAACGTCAGACGACACGTGTGTCCCTCGATTTCGTCTATGCAATGATATGGGGCACCCTCACACCCACAAACTATGGCCAGCCGTCGTCAGAATCGTCCAAATCACCATCGGTAATTTCACTTGCCAACTCACGCTCACGGGCATGAGCCGCATTGGCCGAGTCAAGATCAGCGCGGTGGCTGTCGACTGAGTAACGCATCGCTTTTACGCTGTCATTGTGCAGCTGCAGACAAAAGTCGATCCGCTGCTGCACCTGTGCATGCGGCTCATTGGTCGCGTATATATCAACGGCCTCATTGGAGATCATAATGGCATTTTCATGGTCGACACGCGCATCAATCACACCGTCGCGGATGGCCTTGACAATCACGTACTCTGCATCTTCCTCCGACTCCAGATGCAGCTTGCGCGTGATATCAGCCAAAGAGATGCGCGAATAAGCGAGCGAGATGCGGCGGATCCCTGTTTTGATCACATTGTGTCGCAGGCGGAGGATCAGCGAGTATGTCTTGTCGCGGAGGAAGAGTGCTTCATTCCGCTGAAGCGTCGCCTGGAACAAAGACAAATCTCCCACACGCACCGCCTGCACGATCGGCAAATACGATGCCAATGCCTGTCGTAGCAGAGGAAGCCGGAAAATCGAGCGCTCAGGCAAGTCGCCCATTAACAGCTCGACAATGATGAGGAGTTTGTAAGCCGTTTGGAGGAAGCCGCCAGCCACAGGCTTGACGCCATTGTCGTCTTGATCTGGCAAGCTCCGCTTCGTCAAGAGTCCTTGCTGAGGCGCGCGACGAATCGCCTGCTGAAGGTGCGAATGTGCATCGGAGTAGTTCAACTGCACAGCGCGGATTCGGCCCACATAGTAGTCGTAGCGTGCGACTTGTGGATTCGATGCATGTGTGCGTGGGAAGGGGGCACGAGCCACAAGCTTATCGGCCTGCTCATACAGATTGCCCTCGACAATATACATACGGAGCAACACATTCTGGACTGTCGCATTCGTTTCTGAATCATGTCGTAGAGACGATGTGCGTTGCAAAGCCAAAAGCATATCTCGCAACGACGTGAGACCCTCGTCTTTGTTCTTCTCGTAGCAGCGAGCTAGGAAAAAGACTAGCTTTGCACCAAGGATATCAAGTGAGCGTCGGTTTTGCAGCACCACTTCGTCGACAGCTTTGGCGCACAGCGCCGTAGCCTTCGCCAGGCATGCTGGCTGATCCAGCAGGTACACGACGACCAGCAGGCGCAAGTATGCCACAAGCTCTGGCAGTGCATCATCATCTGTACGCGTCTCTGATGCAGCATTGTGTGATGGCATAGCCGATGAAGCATCTGGCATTTCTTCGTCCATAGCCGCAGGCTTTTCTACTGTCTTTGATGCATCCGCCACATCGTTGACGAATGGCTGCGGCAACAAACTAAGCAACTCCTCGCGATATGTGCTCGCCTCTGGAAGGGCCTCTTGCACAACGAGTGCGAGCACATCAGCCTTTTCTTGCACGTGCGTGCGCACGTAAGGAAGCGAGCGAATGACCCGTGCCATGTAGCGCTGCTCTACATGAGCCACGCTTCGCTTGAGGAGTGTGATGTTGTGGCGCAGCAGAGCTAAATACTGTGATTTGTCGCTCTGAGGCGCACACGCTTCTGAGGCATGCTTTTGTGTCACGCTGTGCGACTCATCTGGATTTTCGCCTTTGCTCGCTACTGCCATAGTGAATGCGTGCGAGTGTCCGGCCTATCGCGTTCACCCAAGCAGCAACCAACAGGTGGTGTTAAGAAGAGCCGATTCTTTCAGCTTGTTTGGTGCTACGGACAAGAAACGCCGCGCGTCCGATCGACGACGGGTGCTCATGATGACTAAACGGACACGGCAGTCCCCCTCCGCTTCATGAAAGATCGTTTTGTCGTTTGTCTCGCCTACACATGTCGTGACAACAGCTGTGTTGCTGTTGTTGTTGTTGTTGTTGTTGCAGATGTTATTTCTCTTATTGCACCATAATCTATATATGCCCTTTCTATTTACGCCATTGTAAACCATGATAACCATCCATGTTGTAGTGAACGAAGATGTATTCTTAGTGTGCCATTTCGGAATCCACAAGCACTGATCCAAGATTCTCTCGAATGATCAAGTGCAACGCTGTTGTTGCCACGATATCGCGCAATTCTTCGCGCGAAAATCCCTTACGATCAACACCCAACGAAACGCAGCGAAGACTTGGCAGCGGCGATGGAAGCTGAAGCTCACATGCAATGCTTCGATGGTAGGGTGCCGGCACAAGTCGGCCGATCGGAATACGTGCGTCGCCATTCAACACAAGGTAGCATGTCCATGGATACATGCATAGCATGTCTTCTTTAGGTACATTAAGTCTCTGGGGAGAAAAATTCGTCGATTCGTCCGGGGGCATGTCAGTGTTTGTAGGCAGCGGAGACATTTGCTGAGGTATGCCCAGGGTTGTCGCAGCCATTTCCGCAGGTGCATCCAAATTGTTGTCGCTCTGTGGATGCAAAGAAGGTGAGGATGTGGGTGAAATGCTCGAGACCGGCGTGTCGCTATGAGTCGACTTGTCTGGCGAGCTACCCGACGACAGCGGACCATGCACGTCCGTGTTGTACAAGTTGTGTGGGTTGTCAGCACCTCCATTCCAGTCCCGAACCCACTCAAACCACACAGAAATCTGCTCGGCAGGTGGGTGCGCGGCACCCAAGCCGCGGCGGCCTAGGGGGCTGAATTGCTTCCAAATTCTTGTAAGAATCACGTTCGTCACCGCTTTGTGGAACGACTGCACCTGTTGCTTATTTGAGAACATGTTGGACACGTACTCCTCGGTGCGCTGAATTGGGTCTTCATCCACATCTGGGCGATCGTACTCTGTTATGTCCCAAACGTAGGAGGTCGTAATCTTGCCATGAGACGAGCCAGCGCCCGGAGTGGCCTGTGGGTTGTACGAGGAAATCATCGCATGCAGCATGCCCGTATTGTCTTGACTGGAATTGACCCGTGTCAGTCTCAAGTTCGACTGTGCACTCGAGCTGCGTTTCAATTTCGGGGGGCTCACGCTCTTGCTATGCAGGCTTTTTCCCAAGCGCCGCATGCGCCGCAGAAACCTGTTCTCCGGCGCCGGATCCTTTGTTTGGCGCGTATCTGTCTCAAATGAATGGCGGGTCTTACTGGGACTTTCAAAGTCATCTTGCAAGCCCACAATATCATGATCTTCGTGCAGGAAGCCAATCTCACTCGGCTGCAGTGTTCCGAACCCCTCCAATTCAATCCCTCTCCTGGTAAATCTAGCCAGCGGCTGATCAGTGCCGGCATCCAGCACGACCTTGGACCGGATATGGTGGTAGTCGAAATTGTACATGGGGATTGTGCGCCGTCCTCGATGGTGCGTTGGCGGCCCTGACCGGCTGGAAAGCGCACTTCTGGTTGAATGGTTCGATAGCGTGCGATTAAGCCCGGCAAGGTGTTGCGGGTCCCACATGTTGCTGGGGTTGCTGGCATCCGCACCGTTCCGATCATGCCGTTTCGGCCGCACAAGTTGAACCTGGAGGTTGTTTGGATGGTGCAGTTTGCGCTTAGGATTCGCATGAACGATCAAAAACAGTTCCGATTGCGCTTTACGCTCTTTGGGCGCGGTTTGATCGTCTGAATCTGAGCTCGATTGCGGCTCGTGAGCCTCTTGTGATGTCGTATGGGGATCCGGCCCATCTTCTGGATGATCTTCACTTGTTTCTTCTGGAACATACGACTTCCTAGAGCCATTGTCGTCAAAATTGATCCCCCCCGGCATGCTGGTTGTAGGCTCGCTAAAGCTAAGCGGGGAGAACATTTCCTTCATAGGAATGAGCTGGGACTGTACAAAACTAAGCATTGTGAAGATAGTGGCGTGTGCTTTGCGCAGATTTTACTTGCGCGCCAAAACAACGTTTTTGCACAACGACAATGGTGAGGGCAAGTCGTTGTGTGGGCGCGTGAGAGTGTCTTGTCAAAGGCGGTGAGGCAATTTGGGGCACAGTTCAACTAATGGGATTATTGCGTGCCCTGGCAGTGCTTAAAAAAGATTTGTACGGCGCCAAGTGCGTGGCGCGCGAGGCAGACCCAACCGCGGATGAAATCTGATGCCAAAGCTAAGTTTGGGACGTATGTGTTTGCACCAATAGGAAAGCGCCAGAATTTCGGACGCGATCGGACTAAAATACTTGCGACGTGGGACACCTACCTATTTGGGTGCGCTCGCAAGAGACCCAAGATAGAACGCCGTGGATTTGGGGGCAAAATGCAAACGTAAATTCTTGGCAGACGTGGTCACTCATGCGCCCATAGGTTTGTACATGTGGATTTCTTCGAATATGCTCCGTGCGATCTACGTAAAGAAATGGTAGGACGTCTATTTGGGCGGTGTGGGATAAGACATGCCTGCGACACCTATGCCTTTTGGTCCAAATTTCTGTTACATCGTTAGTCGTGTGCTATGGAGACAATGCAACACATGGCGCAGGCGGTGCTGCTTCTCTCCCAAACATACCTTGGAATAGCACATATGACACCAGGTGTTGACCCAACCTTGATCCCATAGGTCGGCCGGTCCTTCTTCCACGCGATTCGGTTCTAGGGACGCTCGGCATCCTTCACATCGCAGACATGCACGATGCCATTTCCGATTCGCCGCATGCTTTTGCTCGGCAAAGTCTGAGAGTCAATGCATAGGTGCAAATACAATCGTACATACACACAGGTGTTTGGCAACGCCCACATAGAGGGGTCTGTCCCACCGCTGGCGGGCCGTGTAGAGGAACAACATTCTGCATACTTAGCGATGCCGGAATAGGCAAAGGATCTTGACTTCCAGACGGACTTATGGGTAACGGCTTTCTAGCACTGATATTGGTATCGGAATTGGCTTTAGATGGAGGAGGCTGTGATGGCTTGCAATGCGATGTTGTTGGCGGATTCTGCGAAGTGAGTATGGGAATCTTGGGTTTCAAAGGAACGGCCGTGCCAAACCTGTCCTTGCCTTGACCCAAATGTGTGCGATGGCAATTGCTGCAAAATGGCTCACCATCATGCTCCAATAATGACACGCTATCCAAACGTCTGTTGCACACGACACATTTCAAGCAGTGTCGGTGGTACATTTTGGACATAGGCCCTATCACCTGTTCGGCCGCATAGACTCGATCATTACACCGTGGACATCGCGGTGCAGCTCCAAATGTCGGGGGCATGTCACCTACGAACGCGCCCTATTGACGGCGTTGGCACCTGCTTTCTTCAACGTTCCAGTTTCTCTTAGCGCGGCTGGCCAGCACTGCCCCCTCCCTCCCTCGCATTGGTTTGCACCTCTTCTCGACCAACACTCCACAGCAACATCTTCTACGCCTCCACTGAAGCGCACGCACACTCAAACGCCATCACGTGGCTTGTACACTCACATTACGTACCACGCCTATGCACGTGGACGCGCGCCATGGGACTTGGTCGAGACGAACGGCGACAGATAAAGTTGCCAGGGATCATTGATCTAGGCGTCGACCAACATGATGCCAACTCCAGTAGCACGTGGACGTGTTGTTAGGCCGTTAGGGAAAGAACCTGAGAAGTGCTCTAGCGCGGAAAGTATGGAGGCAGCATCACAGTCATATGCTGCCTTAATGAACCAGCCCGTCCCACCGGAGCCGAGTCTCGCGCCGATACCCACAGCGGAGTCAATTCGCCATTGGATTCATGCAGCTATCTATGAGCCTGATCCTGCGCGTCCCTACTCGATCATGAAACCACCGGAGGATCGTCCTGTCCGGATCTATGCCGACGGTGTGTACGATTTGTTTCATTATGCGTACGTTTTGCCTAGCTAGGTAGTTCATTGGCTCTTACGCCCCAGACATGCTCTGCAGCTTCGACAAGCCAAACTGTCATTTCCTAATGTACACTTGATTGTGGGTGTGGTGTCATCGACGCTTTGCGCAACGCATAAAAACCGGCCTATTTTGGAATCTGCCGAGCGTTACGAAGCCGTGCGTAACTGCCGTTGGGTCGATGAAGTGATTGAGGATGCTCCGTGGGTCATTGACCAGGCTTTCATGGATAAGCTTCAGATTGATTATGTTGCGCACGACGAAGCACCTTACGCCATGGCCTCATCGGGCGCTGCAAGCACTGATGTGTACGATTGGATTAAGCAAGCAGGCAAGTTTTTGCCGACACGCCGGACAGAAGGTATCAGTACCAGTGATCTTGTAGCAAGGATCGTCGCCATATATCGAGATGGACACTTGGATGCGAAACTAAAGAAGATGGGCGAGGATGCACTGGTCTCGACCGCCAATGCAAATTGACATCTGCGCTTAGTATGTAATTGCATTCATTCATTCGAAATGTACGTGAACACAGCACCCCAATTCAGGTTCCGTGCTGATGTTCAGTCCCCATGATATATCGGTCGCTAGGAGGGTGTACATTGGTAGATTATGTTTGTGTCACGACGTGTTCTCGATCGAGAGGCTTCCTATCAGCAAGTTCTGGGGTCGATGGTCGATTCGGAGCAACAGATTCACTTGGTTCTTGATGCTCTTCCGACTTGCGACGTGCGTCATACTCTTCATGGTCTCCATGCTCTCGGTAAACGTCATCTCCCTTACGTTGTTCATGCTCGTCACGGAGGCCACCATCATTGTTTTGGTCAAGCTCGTCGCGCGCGTCGCGTTCACCACGCATATGTTCATCGAGTCTTGCTGCCTGGGACGAAGATCGCATTTCATCCTCATACTCACGGGCGTACCTGCGAGGCGATGGCGAGCGACGACGGCGTGTTGGACCTCCGAAACGCCAAGAAGGAGCGGGTGCATTCTTAGCAAAGTCAATGTCGAGTCTGTATCGGCCAATGGGCAGGCCATGCAGATCGTAATAAGCATCTTCCGCATCATATGGGTCGGCATACTCGACAAACGCGTACACTTTGGAATGTGGCGTTTTAGGAGCTGGGATGTCACATCGAACGAGAGGGCCGATGCGCTCGAACTCGTACGCCAATTCACTAGCTGACATGCTAGGAGGAAAATTTTTTACGTAGAGTGTTTTTCGCCGCGCGGGGCGGCGATCATAAGGAGGCATGGTTTGCTGTCTGTGTAGAAGCCAGTCTCGTCGTGGGCGCACCTGGCCGGATGGATGGATTTGGAACTCTTGTGTCCGACCGTTGTCAAGGCACCGACCGACATTTTTGTCGGAATTGCCACGCGCGAGTGGATGTGTGGGAGCAAAAGATATCCACGTGTGTATCACGTGGATGAGCCGGGCGGCGTCGGTGCACCCACAATTCCAGCCAGTGTAGGGCGGTCAAGTTTTAGTTTGGCTAACCACTTGGATAAGTCGTAGAACGAACAAACGATGACAACGATTCCAGCCCGTTTGGCCAAGGCTGCACAGGTGTCACACTCTCTGCAACATGCACAGAGTCGTGCGCGCTCATTGTACCGCAGTTTTTACCGTTCTGTACGTGCTCATGCCACATAAAAGAGATTGCTTCTTACGCGGAATGGTAGGTGCCGGAGATCTGTGCTCTGTACCCGCTTGACGTGCCACCAGCCTTGCTGCGTGCCAAGATCCGCACCAAGTTCGAGCGCTATCGCAACGTGACTGATGTTGCCGTACTTGATGTCCTGCTGCTCAAGGGACATCAGGAATACCAGGAGACCATGAATGCATGGAAGCAGGCGCCGCACGTCATGCAGTGGTTCCGTGAGGAAGAGGCTCCTGGTGCGTATTGACATTGAAAAGGGGACTTGGTGGATCACTAACTGCGTAGCCAAACCAAAATCTTTCTTGGAGAAGTTCTATGCTACGCGTGATGAGGGACGAGGCCCCACGCACGAGGGACTCTAAATCATACTACGTTGTTCAGGTAGTTGTGGAAGCAACACACATATGGCTCGTGATATTAGTACAAAGCGGCATGCACTATAATTTTTTTTTTTCGGGAGAATTGTGTATAACAGCAGCGCTTCACAAAAAGTATTGGGACGCAGTGCTTCGTGCTGGATGCGTGCGTTCTTGATCAGGGACAGCATCGAAGATTTTGAAATGTGACGGGTTGAATCGCGATTCCTCTTGTGCTTCATCCTGTTGTGCCTGTGACTTCGGATCGAGCAAGTCATCGACTTGAAAGACCGATGCCACATTACCGCATCGATAGCAGTAGTTAGGGGCGGACCACACCGTGACGATATTGTTGTCGTGCATTAGCTTAAACCCTTCCTGTACAAGCTGGTGTGCGCGAGCAATCAAGTCCAGAGAGTTCAAATGATTAAACTCTTTTGTGACCAAGCGGCCGAAAAGCCAACCAGCACCTCGAGGACTCACGCTCCAAGTCTCGATTTCTTCAGGATCAGACCACATGAGGTCGCAGAATGGTCCTTCGTGTGGCACTTCCTGCATACGCATGATCGTGCGGATCTGATCGAGCGAACGCAACTCAGGACTCAGGCCTCCATGTACGCACAAGACACGGCCATCAATGATTGCAGCAATGTTGAGATAGTCAAACACTTGGCAGCAGTTTTTCCACACACTGGCGCTACCGTATTTTTGCATGCATTCATCGTAGAATCCATACACCTGTGTGATTTGGCGACTCTCATGATTTCCCCGCAGAAGCGTAATGCGGCCCGGATATCGTGCTTTAAGGGCTAAGAGAAGCGATAGGGTTTCAAGACTGAAGAAGCCTCGGTCGACAAAGTCGCCCATGAAAATATAGCTCGTGTCGGGCAAGTTGCCACCGACGCGAAACAGCTCGAGAAGGTCCCAGAACTGTCCATGAATGTCGCCACATACAGTAACGGGACTCGACACGGGTTGAATGTTGCTTTCTTCCAGCATAATCTGCCGCACTTGATCACAAAGCACCATCATATCTTCCTCTGGTAGATACTTGCACTCACGCAGCTGCGCAATCCATGTGTCTGGATTACCAACAGCCATTTTGCACCAGATCAATCCTTGAGGTGGTGCGTGCGTGCGACTTTGCCCTTAGCAAGGACACTATCTCAAGAATGCTGTCGTGAGACGGTTTGTCAAGCGCCGAGCAAAAATGGCCGGCGCCCAACGTGCGAGAACGTCAAATCTTTACTGCATATTTCCCTTTTCTCGTCATCGGACACTTTCAACTGCTGATGAAGTTAGCACGCACTGACTGTCCTCCACATCAATAGCGTGCGTGCAGTGATGTCGTTTGTGTGCGCTTGGAAATCCAAGTACGTCGTAGATTCAGTCTTGGGCATTTCGCAGAAAGTGAGTGCTTTTAACACGCGATGTGGGCGACGTACATCATGCGAAATAGCGCCCGTAGAGAAGATGTATCGCGTCCTGTACCGCGTACGCAACGCATGCAGCGTCTTGATCGCGCACCGATGCCTACCACGCCACCGACCGAGGGGTCTGATAAACTCAAGCAATTCGCACACCGCTTGGACTCGTGGTCCGAAGCTCGTTCTAACAAATCCATTCTCGAAAGTTGGATGTGTACGTGTGCCGCCATACATCCTTACCATCACACATACTCATGCCTTCACAGCAATTTCACCCCGCGTTCGCATCGTTATGGGCCTAGCAGCTATAGGTACGCCTACTAACATAAAATGGTCGTTACTGACTCGCTAGGTTTCTCTATTACGGGGCTATATGTAGCCGACTGGCTTGAGGACAAATATCCTGAAACGGGCAACGCATCTCGCTCGCAGTCAAGGGCAGGACCACAGCTGTCTAGGACGTCAACGAACGATGAGCACATGCCACGGTTCTTTTCCATCAGCGTTGTTGATCGTTCGTAAAATCGCTCCCTATACCCCGACGTGTATAGAAAAAAAAAACATTGGTGAATATCATACAGCACCGGTGATTCGTAACAAAGAAAACAGAATACGATTCGAGTTTGTGCATGAATGTGAATCTCAGTCAACTGACCCCTTCGATGCCGGTTAGACGCGGCATGGTGTAACAGCCAAAGCCGGATGTTGGTTGTGGAGTGTGCGTTTGGGATATATGCGGACGGGCACACGTATGTGTCAGGCGGGGCGGAAGGGGTTGTTGAGTCGGAAACAACGGCCGAGCACATAGCACCGCGCTTGGTCTTGAACGACATCCATTGAGGCACCGTCGTAAATCAACTATGTTGAGTGCCCTTCTTTCTCGTCGTACATCTGTATCTTTGCGGGCCATGCAGCCCATGACGCTACCGCGTGTGGTGCCTGCCATGTCGCGAGGCCTTGCGTCGGGCTCTGAGCCTTATGATGTGGTGGTCATTGGTGGCGGTCCAGGCGGCTACGTGGCCGCAATCAAGGCTGGTCAGCTTGGCTTGCGTACAGCCTGCATTGAGAAGCGTGGATCTCTTGGCGGCACTTGTTTGAATGTTGGGTGTATCCCATCGAAGTCGCTGCTGAACAACTCACACATCTTCCATGACACAACGCATAGCCTTAAGAAACGTGGCATTGATGTCAAGGATGTGACGCTGAACTTGCCGACTATGATGCAGGCCAAAGAAAAGGCTGTGACGGGCTTGACAAAGGGTGTAGAGATGCTGCTGAAGAAGAACAAGGTCGACTACATCAAGGGTATGGCGAGCTTTGCGTCACCGACATCTGTGGATGTTCAGCTGCTGGATGGCGGTAACACGCAAGTTGAGGCGAAGAACATCATCATTGCAACGGGCAGTGAAGTGACACCCTTCCCTGGTGTAGAGATTGATGAGAAGCAGATCGTCAGCTCGACGGGTGCTCTGTCGCTTGAGAAGGTGCCGGAAAAGATGGTAGTGATTGGTGGCGGTGTGATTGGTCTTGAGTTGGGCAGTGTGTGGAGCCGTCTCGGTGCGCAGGTGACGGTGATTGAGTTCCAAGACAGCATTGGCGGCCCTGGCGCCGACGCTGAGCTTGTGAAGCAGTTTAAGAAGGTGCTAGAGAAGCAGGGTCTCAAGTTCGAGATGGGCACGAAGGTGTCGTCTGTTGAGAAGAGCAATGGTAAGGTGTCGCTGAAGGCAGAGACAAAGAGCGATGGCAAGACTAAGGAATTCGAAGCGGACGTCGTGCTGATGTGCATTGGTCGCCGTCCCGTGACCACTGGCCTCAACCTCGAGGCTATTGGCGTGGAAGTGGACCAGCGTGGCCGCGTCGTTGTCGATGACCAGTACAACACGTCGTGCAAGGGCGTGAAGTGTATTGGCGATGCGACCTTTGGTCCTATGCTCGCGCACAAGGCTGAGGACGAAGGTATTGCGGCCGCCGAGATCATTGCTTCCGGCTACGGCCACGTAAACTACGATGTGATCCCTTCTGTGATCTACACGTACCCAGAGGTGGCGTGGGTCGGCAAGTCGGAAGAGACGCTGAAGGCAGAGGGTGTTGAGTACAAGGTGGGCAAGTTCCCCTTCATGGCGAACTCGCGTGCCAAGACCAATGACGAAACGGACGGCTTCGTTAAGTTTGTCGTCGAGAAGGAAACGGATCGTGTGTTGGGTGTGCACATTATTGGCCCGAATGCCGGTGAGATGATCGCTTCCGCATGCTTGGCCATGGAGTACTCGGCTAGTGCCGAGGACATTGCCCGCACATGCCATGCCCATCCGACGCTGTCTGAGGCGTTCAAGGAAGCTGCCCTTGCTAGCTATGACAAGCCTATCAACTTTTAACCGCATGGCCCAAAGGCACAACTACCATCGCCCGTCCCCGCCCCCCACTGAGTGAGAGATAGAGATGAGATGATGCTGGTGGATCTTGTACGTAGGTCGAATTGATACGGCTGTCCTTGATGCGCTTAGAAGACTCAGGAACTGAATTGGCTAGTTCTGCTGTTCACGGACGCGTCTATCACGGAAGGATGGAGTGCCTAGTGGGGGCCAGGTCGGACGAGCCCTTTCCCTCGTGTTGAAGCCTGCGAAGTATCGGAGCTTGTGTCTTGTATGTACGTGCTGTGACTCAGGATGCCCTATCTGGGTATGCACTTTGTACCTTATGAACGAGTGTAGCCGGGTGCGTACTTGTGGGTTGTATGGCCACTACATTTGTTTGCCTAAGGCATGCTTCCCTATCGACTAAACCGTTGCGGGTATTGTTAGGCCACAATGTGTGTGTGTGTGTTTTCCACAAGAATTATTTTTCTCGATTCACACGTACGGGCGTTTCGTAAAGCAACTAGCGCCAAATTCATCTGTCGTCCCAATATCCGTTCCGCCCATTCACTCATTCACTCCGTCTTAGCTTGTCTCTCTTCTTTATTGCACCTTTCGATCACGCTCGGCTGCGCGTGATGGCGTCTGCGCCACGATGGTGGATTGGCATATGTATAACGATCGCGAGCAATGTGCTAATCTCAGTGGCGCTCAACTGCCAAAAACTCGCACACATGCGCCTGGAAGAAGAAACGGCTGCAGCAACAGCGGCAGCAGCTGTCGCAGCTGTGCCGGTCGCATCGAATGATGCTCAACATGAATCGCCCAAGCAGCGGTACCGTCGCGAAAGCACGCCACTTCTAAGGCACCCAACTCCGGCGACATCGTACCTCCAAAGCAGATTGTGGTGGATGGGCTTCCTGCTTATGACGCTGGGTGAGTCGGGTAATTTTCTCTCGTATGGATTTGCACCTGCCTCGCTCGTATCGCCCCTGGGTGCTGTTTCCCTCCTTTCCAATGCGGTAGTGGCACCGACCCTGCTTGGTGAGCATTTGTATCTCCTCGATATCGCCGGCATGGTCCTCTCGATTATTGGCGCTGTCTCAGTAGTGTGTAGCGTCGGACCGTCGGGCAATGTGCCACTAGACCCGTCCAGCTTGTGGGCCGCTCTCTGTGAGCCGACGTTTGTTGTGTATGCGACCTCCATGCTGGTGCTGGGCATTGTGCTCATTGTGATGTGCCGAAGAACACAAGCTGGCTCCCGCTCTGTCCTCGTACATGTCGGTCTATGTGCGGTATTTGGTGGGTTCACCGTGCTTGCGACGAAGGCCATTTCGTCCTTCCTGGTGCACTTTCGCAGTGCATCAATAGTACGTGAGCCGCTCTTCTACATGCTGCTGCTGGTGCTGCTCGCTACGGCCGTGACGCAGCTCATCTTCTTGAATCAAGCGTTGCAGCGCTTCGAGTCGCGCCATGTGATACCGTCGCAATTTGTGCTGTTTACTATTTCCACCATCATCGGCTCGTCGATCTTGTATCACGATTTGTCGAAGCTCAGCTGGGCGCGCCTCGCTGCCTTTTGCGTGGGATGTCTATGCACGTTCTTGGGCGTGTTTGTGCTGACATTCGAGGTCTCGATCGAATCAGCAGCGCCACAGCCGCCCTCAACGCCCACGCCCGACATTGTCTGTGACACAGACGGTCAGATTCCTGCACATGTCGAGCATCGCCACCGCCCGGCATCGCTCTCGATACCATCGACGCCTCCTGCCCCAGCAGCCCTCTTGCATCTTGTTGGTACGGCGCCTGTATATGTGCCTGATGCACGGCTCTCTGATGCACAAGACCAAGGCGGTCCTCGTACATCGACAAATTCTGTCTCATCTCTAGCGCATGTCGCTGCCAAATGGGTGGAGCATAACCTTCCATCACCACACACAGACAGACCCAGCACGCGTGTGTTGCGGCGCTCGCCTTCACGACTGGAAGCACCACACCATGCACTTATGGACGCGATGCCATGGCTTCAGGAGCAAGCGCCCAATCATGTAGCACAAGCGGGCCCCAAGGCATTCTTGAGCATCAGCCCTGGACGTCATTTGTTGACCAGTCACAGCTCCCGACCTAGCACACCGACTCGCATTCCTACTGAGCCCATGTAAATACATTCCTTTTTTTACCATACTACTACAAGTATACATTCGTAAAGAGAGAGTTAGTGAGAGCGAGAGAGAGAGAGAATGGAAGGAAAAAAAATAAAAAGAAACAGGTATACGAAAAAGGGGTTCATCGCTCGTTCAGCACGACCCTTCCATGCCAGTATATGGCACCGACGCTGCTCTTTCACGCTTGTTGAGATGCTTCTGATCCAATCATTTTTGTTCGGCTACTTTCTCGCCCTCACCATGTTTTATAGCGCCCTACTCACGTACACGTTGTAACGCAGCCGTCTCGTGCACACGCTCGAGAACACGAGCCTGAGCCCCACTAAGACGCTCACTATTACTTGGTACACTGACTGTAGCACGACCCCCGGCTCCCTGGCCGAGCAATTGACTAAGTGGCGGCTGCAACCTCACAGGTCGTGGTTTCCATGTATAGAGCGGCATCGTAGTTAGCGAGGGCCATGCATGTGTCATAACCAGGTCCGGTTGCTGGTAAGGCTGGTGGTAATGAGGGGAGAGCAATTGATCCGACTGGTTCGGCGCGTGCTGTGAGTGATCATGTCGATTCGGTGGTGTGCGTGGACGCAATTGCTCGCACTCTTCGCTGTATGGTAACAGATTAGAGCGGCAGTGAAGTGGGCATCCAGGCGGATCAAGCACGAAATACGACATGTATGTCGTAGGCTCAAATGGCATGGCACCATGTGCTGGCCATTGCGGAGCTTGCGGCCCAACATCACAACCAACAGTAAGCCAGCCATCCCGTAGATTCCGGTTCGTACCAAACAGTTCGAGACGTCGTGTCCCGAGGCAAAAATTTTCAATGATCGTATACAGCTCATGCGGTTTTCGTATGGTCGTAATGGGCGCATGAGGTTCCGGCCGTTCCCCAGGCCACAGAATCACATCAGTGTCGACATTGCAATGCACAAAGAACGAGTCTGTGCTGCGTACGACGGTGCCGCGAATCCCCATCAAGCAGTGTTGTACGACCGGGACGAAGAGAGATGTCCCTTGTGGTGCATATGCGTCTCTCTCCGACGTTTGCACCCACACAATGTCTTCACAGCGGCGGTAGCCCCAGCGATGGAGCACGTCGCGCCCACGCTCCAGACCATCATCGCGGCCGTCGCCGACCCATAAAAAGACAAAGCTGTCTTTGGACGCGAGTCGTGGTATAGGGAGCTGCGCGATATCGTCCCAAGACCAGCTTGGATAAATCTGGGGATCATGAGGTACATTCCATGCATAGGAAGGCAGCGGTGGATCGAGAAGGATCACATCATAACCGAGCGTTTCGAGCACACCCAGGTTCGGAATGGCTTGGGCCGTGGGTATCCATGCACGCAAGTCAGCTTGTAGATATGTCCGAGGAATTGCAGCATACTGTGCCAGAGCAGCTTTCAGGGCGGTCAGCCGGCGAAGCCGCGGATGCTCTATCAAACGCGTCTCGGGGGCCGTATTTCCGATCCACGCGCTCGGCAGTGTCTTTAGGCCGGAATCGACAAAGTTCGCACTGTAGTCATTGCGTATTGTACCTTCTTCTGGCACCTGGAGTAGATGTGTGAGTCTTTGTAAAGTTGCTTTCCGCTCACACATACATAGTTGGGACCCAAAGAACGAAGTGCGATAGCTGTGGTTGGTTGGCGGTCCACGCTAGCCTCAAGTCCACAAGCTGACCACCTAGGATGCTTGCGCGCCGACGAAAAATGCACTAGAGAACTGGCATCGCTGTCCTCATCGGCGTATCGTGCGAGTGTCGTTACATGTCGTTTCCACACATCCTCACGAAATAAGCGGCCATCGTCTAGGGCCATGGATGTGGAGAAGTGCGTGACGCTAGCTAGCTCAAGCCGATATGTGACTGATCCAAGTCACTGCACGCTGCCGGCAACACCCTAGGTTAAGACTGCTTCAATGGAGGTGGATGTCTCAACGAACCGGCCCCGCTGACTTGGCGACGTAGAACAGCGCCCTCACCCGGTGACGACGCACGACCTGCCATCACCGGTGGTGCTCATTCCTACAAGACCACACCTTACAATCGTACAAAAGCTCTAGGCAAACTATATCTAGCCCTGTCTGACCACAGCATAGACGTAAGATTCAATCTATCCATCTATACACAAGGAGTGATTCATCTTGGGGTAAGTGCGTATGTACGTATGCATCAAAATGGGTGAGAGACAGAAAGAGAAAGAGGGAGGGAGAGGAAGAGAGAGAGAGAGAGGGAGAGAGAGAGAGAGAGAAAGAGAGAGAGAGAAAAGGGGAGGAGAAAAAAAAAAAGAACATAAAGTTCATGCACCCTTCCCCACCCCCCTCGTGTCTCTTCTCTAATCGCTCTTCTTGTCCGAGACCGCCGACTGCGCCTTGGCAAGTTCGTCAGAGAGGCGGTTGTACTCAGCTTGCTGCTGTTGCATCTGCTTCTTCATGGTCTGGATCTCCTCCTGGTGCTTCTTGTCGGACGAAACAATTGAGCTACCAGCGCCGCCTTCACTGCCACCCACGTTTGCGGCGAGCTCCTCCTGCGCATTAATCAAGTCCAGCACAAGCGAGTGCGTGCGTGCCAGAATCATGCTGAGGAACAGAGTGAAGCCCGTCAGGTACACATTGCGCTGAGCGTAGAATTTCTTGGCGTGGTAGTTCGTCTCACTGCGGAAGTCGTGGAGACCCTGAGCACGCTCATTGACGTGCGACTCTTGAGAAACCTTTAGCATGCGTTGGAACGCATCAATGAATAACACGGCGACAAATATAAAGGTGATTCGAATACAATAGTTGATCCGACCAACGATTTCGCTCGTGGCTAGGAAGCGGAATAGCTTGCGGCGAGCGGAAAATGGCAATGGCACCTGCTCATGTTAGTCTGTTCAGATGGACCGCATAGCATGCTGATCCTTCTCACGTACAATCAGCACCAAAAACATGGCCATCTCCAGAACGAGGAGCGCAAATACAATCGAATAGTACAGCGTCATATTGTGATACGGTAGTCGGTAGGCAACGAACAGAATGAAACGGCTACCGTCACATCGATTGCGGCCCGACCCCGCGGCCGTCCCACGGGCGATAGGTTGGCGAGCAGGCCCTGGATGTAGTCACGTGAGTCCGCACGGAGCACGGCCGAATGAAAGCGCAGTCAGACCTGGAGCGGGTCTGGTCCACCAAGGTCGGTTGCTGGCGATGCTTCGGGAAAAGAGAGGAAGGAAATCAAGCACGGCCATGACCCGATAGATTCGTTCTGGGTGGAGGCGTCCCGGGAGCGAAGCTCGCTGTCTGACGCGCGGGTGGTCACGGACCAGTTCTTACCCAGCCTCCAACGGGACAGGGAGTCAGCTTTCTCACCAATGAGGAAACTGTATTTGAATGCTGACGGGGCACTGTGGCCTATAGAATCTGCCGTATTCGCTCATCAGTGCCAACTAGGTGAAACAACCTTGCGAGCCTTGGCAGGTCCGTGGGATATTGTGTCCCTTAACCAGAGGGCCAGGGTGCGAGATCACGCGCGTGAACGAAAGCAACCGGTGATTCGATAGGTGTGGACTGATAATAGTCATCCAGAGCAATCTTCCCGTCTACCACCACCATCTGCAGGTATGAGTGATCGATCTCATGTTTCTGCTCGCCCTGCGAGCAAAACCCTGCTGAACCTCGGCAACTTACCGCCGAAGCCTGACTACTTCAAGAGCGATGAAATGTTCCCGCGCACGGCCTCGAAAATTGATCCCAACAACCCGCCATGGCCCGCGTACCGTGGTTATCACGAGTACTCGTTCGCGCACGAAACCATGGGCAAGCGTCTGCCTACGATTCTCGGCAAGGCTATTGAGGACGTGTACAAGACGCTGAACCAGCAGTCTGACGAGGAGCTGATCATCGACTTGCTCCAATGTATTGAGCGAATGCAGGGGCTCATGCAGGCCTTGCAAGAGAACCAGAAACTACGTCCCATTGTCGATGACAATGAAGGTGATGTGACGCTGTGGAACAAGGAACTCGCTCGTTACTTCCGCGGCGCCGACTTCATGAATGCGCCATGGCTGTTTGCCGAAGCGTACAAGTACCGTCGATTGCATGAATGCTTCTCGACGTCGCGAAACTGGAAAGACTATGACGTCTTTTTCCGCCAAAAGTGTGACACGTTTGGCCGCTCCGGCAATGCAGTGTTTGAGCTGTCGACGCGCTTTGCCGTGCCGCAGGGGTCACACACCGAGATGAAAGAACCCGATCTAGATCGGCAGCACAAGCTCTTCCTCGAACTCACGCAGGTGTCGCTCTGGGGCAATGCCACTGATCTGTCGCTCCTGGTGAATATGACGGAAGAGGATATCAAGAAGATCCAGTCCACTGGTGGCGAGCACCTCGCATCCACAGAGAAGAACATCCTCGGCAACCACCTGAACCGGCTTTGGGCGCTTGTGAGCCGTATGCGCGGCGGCCGCATTGATTTCGTGCTGGACAATGCAGGCTTCGAGCTCTATTGTGACTGTGTCTATGCGGACTGGCTTATTCAGACGGGCATTGCGCGCGAAGTGCATTTCCACGGAAAACGGATCCCGTGGTTCGTCTCGGATGTCACACGCAAGGACTGGAGCTGGCTGCTGAACATTATGACGTACGGTGCACTGTTCCCAGATGCATCCTCCAAGGAGGTCGAGTCGCTTCGCACTCTCGGCAAACGCTGGAAGCAGTATGAAAAGGAAGGCAAGTGGGTGTATGAACAGCATCCGTTCTGGTGCTCAGGCTACACGTTCTGGGAGCTGCCTGCGGAGGCTCCTGATCTGTTCCACTACTTGTGCGAAAGCAATCTTGTCTTGTTCAAGGGTGACTTGAACCATCGCAAGCTCACGTACGATTGCCAGGCACCCACATCCACGCCATTTGAGGAGGCCATCGGACCCATGGCGAAAGAGCAGGGAGCGCCGCCTGTCGCGTCGCTGCGAACCATCAAGTCGGATGTCGTTGTGGGTGTCCCGCTTGACGTTTCAGAGCGTCTTGACAAGGAGGAGCCTGGTTGGCGCATTTCCGGCAAGTACGCTGTTGTCCTGCTCAGCGAGGGCTCGCCCGGTGAGCCGATTTAATTGTGAATATATACGTAGGTACTACTGGCTTGGTAAAGTGTCGAAGTGAAAGTGATATGGGAGGTTAGAAAGAGTGAACAATGCGTGTAGAGGACGCGAAGTGTGTCGATGCTCTGGTTCGTAATCCTTCACAAAGAGGGTTGGCTGTCCTAGCCTTGAGCCAAATCGTAGTGAGACTGCCTCCGTCAGAGTCGGTGCTGGTTGGGGCGCTGCTAAGACCACACCGGCCCGCGTTGAGTCAGTCCGGATTGGCATCTATGGCTCGCCTATCAGGCGACGCAAAGTGGATCAGCATCGCGTTCTGACACATACACATGCGAGCCCGGAAGAGACGAGCTCAGGGCGGGCTGCAGAACATCGACTAGGTATCGCCTTTCGGTGTTGGTGTGATTCGTCAAAATCACTGAAATACCGCGTGCATTGGCCGCAAGAATGTCATGGTGCCCCATCTCTCCCGTCACATATACATCGGCGTCCGTCCATCCACGGAGGACCGATCCGCCAGAGCCTGCGCATACTGCGATAGAGCGAATCTGAGTGGTCTCATTTACACCAGATGCAGCTGCAATCTGCACGTGTGAGACACGCAGCAGGGCCTTGACACGATGGATCAACGCCGCCCAAGAACACGGCTGAGCAAATGTGTGTGCGCGGCCCATGCCGACGGATGGATCATCTTTGCTTGGCTCAATGATTTCGTACGACGCGTTCTGCACAGCACGAAGCAGTGACTCGGGCTTTGGTACATGTGAAGACTCCCACGCATGCTCAAGACCAGTGACAAGCCAGTCATTGATCCCGCCCAGGCATGCATCGAGTGTCGTGTGAGGACAGTAGATGTGGATGCCCGCTGCGATACAACGCAAGATCGAGCGCTGCAGGGGATTCTGCATAGTGATGGATCGGATGGGACTAAAGATCACTGGGTGATACACTATAGCCACACGCACATCCGGTTTGGCCAGGAGCTCCTCAGCCACAGCTGGCGTCAGGTCGATCGCGAGAAACAGACCACGTGCCTTGTCGTCTTCCTTCGGCACGGGTGACTGTGCAATGAGACCCACGTTGTCCCACGAGTCGGCCAAGCAAGTCGGTGCGTTCTTGTCAAACCATGAGAGAACGTTTTTGAGCGTCAGATCTTCAGCTGTGTTTGTCGATGACATCGTTCTTGTAGCTGGTGCTGATGCACGAGTCACTCGTGTCACGTCCAGTCGTGAACGGGGATGAATAAGCCACGTGGATGACTGGGAAGTGCGCCGCCTCGAAGACAGTGCGTATCTGAGTGCGTGTGCGACGAGGGGGCGCATTGGGTGTTGCGTGTCGGCCCCTGCCCAGAACGATCGAAATAATCAGAATCATAATAATTCCTCAACATTTTTGTTCTGACGAGCCCCCACTTGGCTTGGTGCGTGGCCGGCCCAATGGAAATACGACCAGCCAGACACACGCAGGCAAAAAAAAAAAATGTGTGTGTAGTTTGGACTCCTCCATTTGAAATACGAGCGGTTTTGCCAAGTTGTTGCCACTGCTGCTGCCCGCTGCCAACGCCGCCACTTGCAACAACGACAACGAAAACAGCAGAGGAGAAGAAGTTGCTGTAGTAGCAGTAGTAGTAGCTCTGTGCTGGTACTGTGACTGACAGCCACTGGAGTTACACAGCATGGAAGAGGTGATGGAAGCGGCTGCCCGTGCAGGCAAAAGCCTAAATGAACCAGTCAAGGCCATCGAAGATAAGTGGCTGCTATTGCCAGCGTACTTGCAGGTCAAGGGTCTAGTAAAGCAGCATATCGACTCGTTCAACTACTTTGTCGATGTGGACCTGAAAAACATCCTGCGTGCGAATGAGCGCGTCACTTCGGATATTGATCCCAAGTTCTACCTGAAATACACCAATATCACTGTGGGCCATCCCGAGCGTGCAGACCCTGATGCAATCGACCGCAGCATAACGCCACACGAGTGTCGTCTGCGCGACATTACTTACAGTGCATTTATCTATGTGGATATTGAATATACGCGTGGTGGCAAGATTGTGCGTCGGAAGAATGTGCCGATCGGCCGCCTGCCCATCATGCTGCGCAGCAACAAGTGTTGGCTTGCCGGGCAAGACGAGGCAACCCTCGCGCGTATGAACGAGTGTCCACTGGATCCGGGTGGCTATTTTGTCGTCAAGGGCACGGAAAAGGTCATTCTCGTGCAGGAGCAGCTGTCAAAGAACCGTATTATTGTCGAGGCCGATAGTCGCAAGGAAGTCGTCCAGGCCTCTGTCACTAGTTCGACGCACGAGCGCAAATCCAAGTCATATGTGCTGACGAAGCACGGGCTCATCTATGTGAAACACAACTCGCTGAACGAGGATATCCCGATTGTCGTTGTCTTCCGTGCAATGGGCATCCAGTCCGACAAGGAGATTCTCCAGCTCGTCGCTGGCCAGGACGAGACGTATGCGGAGCTGTTTTCCATAAACTTGGAACGAGCAGCGAAGCTCGGCATCTTTACACGGCAGCAAGCTTTGGACTACATGGGGGCGCGAGTCAAAATCATGCGCCGTGGCGTTGGCATGCGCCGCACGGCGAGCGATGAGGCGCTCGAAGTTTTGGCCACCGTTATTATGGCTCATGTGCCTGTCGAACAGGGTGATTTCCGAAACAAGACCATGTACATTGCCACGATGGTGCGCCGCGTACTGGTGTGCATGGTCGACGAGAGCAAGGTCGATGACCGCGACTATGTGGGTAACAAGCGTCTGGAGCTGGCCGGCCAGCTGCTGGCCCTTTTGTTCGAAGATTTGTTCAAAAAGTTCAACTTTGATCTAAAGACAAACATCGACAAGGTGCTGAAGAAGCCGAACCGCACATCTGAATTTGATGCGTACAACCAGTTCTTCTATCATGGCGACTACATTACAGCAGGCTTTGTGCGTGCGATTTCAACAGGCAACTGGAGTCTGAAGCGATTCAAAATGGAGCGTGCCGGCGTCACGCATGTGCTGAGCCGGCTCAGCTACATCAGCGCTCTGGGTATGATGACGCGAATCAGCAGTCAGTTTGAAAAGACTCGGAAAGTGTCCGGTCCACGAGCTCTGCAGCCGTCACAGTGGGGCATGCTCTGTCCGTCCGACACGCCTGAGGGTGAGGCATGTGGACTTGTGAAGAACTTGGCCTTAATGACCCACATCACGACAGACGTCGACGAGGCGCCCATCGTCCGCCTCTGCTACGCGCTGGGCCTCGAAGACATCAACTTGCTTACGGGCGCCGAGCTGTACCAACCATCGACATACATCGTGTTTTTGAACGGCAATGTTGTGGGCGTCACGCTCACACCCCACAGATTCGTCGCCCAGTTCCGTCGACTGCGGCGTGCGGGGCTCATCTCGGAGTTCGTCGGTATCTACACGAATACGCATCACCAGACAGTGAACATTGCGTCGGATGGCGGCCGGATCTGCCGTCCGATGATCATTGTTGAAAACGGTCGGCCGCAGGTGACGTCTGAGCACATTCGACAGCTGCAGGCCGGTACGATGACGTTTGATGACTTTTTGCGCCGTGGCTTGGTTGAGTACCTGGATGTGAACGAGGAGAACGACTCAAACATTGCCCTCTTTGAGCATAGCATTGGACCATCGACAACGCACCTGGAGATTGAATGCTTTACGCTGCTAGGCGCCTGTGCAGGCCTAATTCCGTATCCACACCACAACCAGTCACCACGCAACACTTATCAGTGTGCCATGGGTAAGCAGGCCATTGGTGCGATTGGGTACAACCAGCTGAATCGCATCGACACACTGCTGTACCTGATGGTGTATCCGCAGAAGCCAATGGTATCGACGAAGACGATCGAGCTCATTGGTTACGACAAACTGCCTGCCGGCCAGAATGCCATGGTTGCCGTAATGAGTTTCTCCGGCTACGATATTGAGGATGCGCTTGTGATGAACTGTGCGTCACTGGACCGAGGCTTCGGCCGGTGTCAAGTGATGCGGAAACAGTCCACGGTACTGAGAAAGTATGCCAATGGCACGTTTGACCGCCTGGCTGATGCGCCTGTGAATGAACACGGCGAACCACTACGTCGGTTCGAGGCTCTTGAGGCTGACGGCATCTCAGGCGCGGGCGAGAGGCTCGAGCCCGGCGACGTGTATATCAACAAGCAAATCCCTACGAATGCGAACGACAACAGCGCAGGCACCATGCTTAACTCGGCAATCACGTATAAGAACGCTCCTTTGTCGTACAAATCGCCTGTCGAGGGGTATATTGACCAGGTGCTCATTAGCGACACTGACTCGGACCAGACGCTCGTCAAGTCGCTCATTCGACAGACACGGCGGCCTGAGCTCGGCGATAAATTCTCGTCGCGCCACGGGCAGAAAGGTGTGATTGGCTTGATTGTGCCGCAGGCTGATATGCCATTCAACGATCAGGGTATCTGTCCTGACATTATCATGAACCCACATGGTTTCCCGTCACGAATGACGGTCGGCAAGATGATTGAACTGGTGTCTGGAAAAGCAGGTGTACTACGTGGCACGCAAGAATATGGTACTGCCTTTGGCGGCTCCAAGGTCGAAGACATGTCTCGCATTCTCGTTGAGCATGGTTACCACTATGGTGGCAAAGAGTACATGACCAGCGGCATGACAGGTGAGCCCCTCGAGGCGTACGTCTACTTTGGCCCGATCTACTACCAGAAGCTCAAGCACATGGTCATGGACAAGATGCATGCACGCGCACGTGGACCGCGTGCTGTGCTAACGCGCCAGCCGACAGAAGGGCGCAGTCGCGATGGTGGCCTGCGTCTTGGTGAGATGGAGCGTGACTGCTTGATCGGCTACGGCGCGACGCAGCTCCTTCTCGAGCGCCTGATGGTCAGTTCCGATGCGTTTGTGGTCAATGCATGTGAGGAGTGTGGTCTACTAGGCTATAATGGCTACTGTGGCTACTGCAAGAGCTCCAAGCACGTCGTCAAACTCACGGTTCCATACGCGACGAAGCTCTTGTTCCAGGAACTCATGGCGATGCAGGTGGTGCCTCGCCTCGTGCTTGAAGAGGCTGTGTAGACAACGCACTCGCTTTCAGTCTGCTCTCTTCAGATTTTCGGTCGGTCTTTGTGATGGTGTGCAGCGAAAGCCACCAGGTCGACGCTGCACACCTTTCTACCAAGCTCGCCCCAGACACACATGTAGATACCCTTTCCTTAGAGCGATGCAGGCCTGAATCACGTGCACCTTGCAGGCAGAGGACCGCGCGTCCATGTGGCAGGCTGATAAATGACGCGAGGCAACCGAGGGGTCCGGCGGCGGCGGCGGCGGCAGCAGCAGCAGCAGTTAGGACGAAAATCCAAATAAAATGTCAGGTCTTTTCACCCACGTCATCACCTATCAGAGACTTCCGTGTTTCTCCCTCACCTATTTTTTCTTGGTCCTTTCTTTTTCTCCTTCCTCAACCACTTCACTTCCTGGGGATCGCCGCGATGGGTGCGGTCGCTTCGCGGTCAGCAGGAGAGGGCGATGCTGCGGCAAATCCAAGAGAGAGCTCGCCTGCGCCGTTAGCCAATCGAGACTTTGAGACTCTGCGTCGTGAAGAACTTGTGCTAGAAGCGGCGGCCAATCCCCTCGAGGACATTCCATCCTGTCTCACGCTTTTTGACAAGTGGCTTACATGCTACGCGCTAGGTGAGCAGTTTCGAAGCGTGTACCGTTACGGAACGATCGCGAACTGTGCGCCACGGCGTGAAGACTTCAAATTCTGTTTGACTCTGCGGCAATATGATCCAGAGACGCGTCGCGCCAAGTGGCTCGAACGCCGCGCTGAGGCCAGTGCACATCAACGCAAAGGTGTTCGGACAAGCGAAGCCGTTTGGGAAATGCGGCGAGACCCATTGATGGACCCAGCATTCGTCGACCCATCCTATCCACTTCCTTCTTGTACGTATCCCTGCTAGGCAGGGTGTGTATGTGTGTGTATGTGCATGTCTATATGCATGAGAGAATGAAATCAAGGCCCTGCGGAGGATTTGCATTTTTTTCTTTACAGTTCTGCTTCCGAACAGGTCTTCGCAAGCCTTTGTGGAACACTCATACCAAAGCTTACCTCATTATGACGCACGCATCGGCCTCAGTTATCTTTTTTTCATTCTTGCTCATACACATCCTGCACAAATGCATTGTGTAGAATTAAGGTCACTAACCGCTCCCAGAATGGTACGCATCCAAGTCCATGCAAGTTGTCCAGGATTAAATTGAAGTACATCCATTCTTTGAGGACGCTGCGAGTCTAGGATGCGTTAGGGTCCGTGGCGTCTCGCGTGTGTGACTTCGCACGCGATTCGGCTGCGCTTGACGCGTGCCTAGACTGGCGGCATCCGACGATGCGTAAATCTTCTCGATGATCCTCATCCAGCACCTGCTGTTGCTGCTTCAGCGGCAGCACATGGACTGCATCCATGCTTGGGAGAAGATGGCTAACACGGCAGCAGCAACATGTATAGCAGCTCGTGCTGTCATTGACCACAACCTTTCATGTCCTTTTTCCTGGTAAGTACCTTTACAAGCCAATTGCTGCAACCCTTTTATCAGGATGATTCTATACCATAGATTCAAGCACGGCGAGCTTGTCGATGAGCCGAGCTTATAACATGCATGTACGTGTTACAAGAGACACACTAGTTGGCGGAAGACTAACGAACAGCACCAACTGATCTTTCACACCCTCCTTTGGCTAACCTTGTACAAGGTTTAGTCGTCTTGTCTTCCTTTACCCTTGCATTCCTAGCCATACAAAAGCATCACATGTGCTAACGCTCAGAAGTATGTATATCTTTTTCTTGCATAGACAACGATGAGAATTGCTTTTCCAGATCGTCAGCGTTCGTCGAGTGCCGTGGTTGTTTGTTTGCCTGTTCTGCTTGCGGTCTTCGCTGTGCTGCTGGTGCAACGCCCAATTCTTCGCGCCTGACAGGCTCAGTGGTCGCCGTCTTGACATCAGCTCGATCCTTACGGTTGTCTTTTGCGGACCAAGACCGGCGTGCGCCGGGATCGCCAGGCGTCTGTGAAGAAGTGCGATTCCTCGCTGCTCCACCTGGTGGCGTGGTGACACCAGGCGTCTTCTTTGTCTCCAGGTGTTCATGTGGCTGGTACGGATCAGAACGCGGAACACGCTTCAGATCTTCTTCTTCTTTCATCTGCACACTAGATAGTCTTGAGCTGGATACGACTGCACCGGCAGGCGTGCGAGCGTTGCTAGAGCCAGCCTGGTCCTGCTCTCGAAGACGTCTTGGCCGATACCGCGGCACATCTTCCAAAGGCATGAATCCCGGACGCACACGCCGTTCCTTGCGAACACTGCGTTAAGGTTAGTGGTAAGCAACGTACGATCCATCTGCTCGGACACTAGCAGGAATGACTCGTTCATTCGTCGATGTACTTTGCACGATGCCGGACGGCGCTACAGTCGGGGACGCGCTTGCTGCTTGCGTTGGAGCCAGGTCCGCAAATACTGTGGGGGAGCGCGCATCACTACGAGACCGTGTGGCCGCCGCCGCCGCCGCCGACGACGACGACAATGACGGGGCCGATGAACGCGACACTTCCCTTGCAGGTGCCGCCATTGTTGCCAGACGCGGATGGCCAGCCGAAGACAATTCGCTCGAGTGGAGACACACATTCTCCTATTCCTCGACTCGAGAAACAACCAGTATCCAGGAGCGACACATTGCCTACGTAGGGCTCCTGAAACGCCTTGGCCCGAACGGACCGTCATCGACTACTTTACCACATTGGATGTGGCCACCATGTTCATCATACAGCCGCCGTATGCATTGCTACTCAATGTTTACAACTAGCAAAGGTTTTTTTTTTGGAACGATCCTTCAGGCAAAGATCGTTTACTCTTCCTTAGGAGCAGGAAGGACCTTGCGGGCGCTCGCTCCACGAGGCGCACGCACACGGGGCTCGTGGTGCTTGCGCACCTGCGAGTTGACAATGGACGTAGCACGAGCAACGGCATCTGGAGCTTGTTAGCACTGTGAATCATGTGGTACATGACTAAGAGAGACATGTGCAGAAACTGCCATACACTGCACACACATGCGTGTTTCCATAACAATTGCACGCACAACATCATGCACGCATTTCTTTCGCATTACAAATACGCCCGGCCCGTCATAGAAGGAATGCATCATCAGGGGGGTTCTAGCGCAATGCAGCATGCACATGTGTATGTGTGTGACTGTGCAAGGCAAAATGCACGTCCGTCTCGGTCGGGATATACGTACCCTTGCGCAGATCCGCACGGTAACCGTTCTTGGCCACAATGTTGGCAACGGCTTTAGCCACACGGCGCGAGCCACCCTTCCTGAACACATGTTAGTATCACTGACATCGATGACGAGTGACTCGCACATGCATGCACAATCAAACATGCCGCACGACTCTATTTCATACATACACTGTGGTCTGAGCACGAGCAGAGCGGATCGCGCGAGGCGACACCTTCTGCTTGCGGGTCGTAATAATGACGCCACGGTTCTCAGCTGGCACAATACCCACACCCTTGTCGTTTACAAGACCTGAGTGCTTGTAGCTGTGAAGCGAGGCAACGTTGCCGGGTTCGCGCGAGAACACACGTCCCAGACCCTTCTGCTTCACAAGGAAGCTGTTCGACTTGCGCACAAGCAGCCACTGGAGATCCTGCGTCGACATCTCACAAATATGTGTGTGTGTATCGATCGGTGGTTGACGAACCGTCGCGGCGCGGCTGCTACACCGACCGTCCTTACCTCCCACAGTCTGAAGCGTGCTTGATTTCGTTTTTTCAGAACTGTATTGTCACGTGAGTCTTCCGCGTGGCGTATGTGGACAGTGTATCGCCGTGGAGGAACACCTCGTTGACCGTCTCTTGGCCGCGCTCCTGAGTTTCGATCGACACAGGCAGAGGGACGCATAGCACCTCCACTCGTGCGCCCTTGGTCGATACGATGTAAGTGTGGAGGTGATTCCAGCCCAAGGTAAAATAACGACCACGCACGAGTCACGCATACTTGCATCTTGGTCGATCGGCTTGCGAGCTTCAGCGATGGCCTCGACAGAAGCCCATGATTCGCAATTGCGAGGAATTCCAACTGCTCCCTTTGTCGTATGTACTTGATAGAGCAGCTTTCAAGACTTACACTGGCAGACAGACGTGGCCGAATTTGTTGGAGGGGCAGACAAAGATGTTATGCCGACGCTGAAACAATTTCAAGACGCCATCTCGTACGTGTATACACGCGCCTGAAAGCGTCATAACAGTGCTAATTTGAAGAAAGTACAAATTTATGGAGCTAAGTACGGCACAAAGACGCAAAGGGCTTGAGCAAAAGATCCCAGATATTGGAAAGACATTGCAGATGGTCGAATACCTGAAAGCTCGACAGGTATGTGCGCATGCCTTTTTTTCCTTCCTCTTTTACCCTTTGTTTGCATGACCGTAACCTCTAACGCGTGTAAAGACAGAGTCAGAACCATTGGAAACGACATTTGAGCTCAACGATACACTGTACGCACGTGCACACCTGGAACCCACAGAAAAGGTCCATCTCTGGCTTGGGGTACGTACATTTTGTTCAAAGGGGATATAAGGTCGTGAAAGAGAGAGAGAGAGAGAGAGACCTTTCAAGAAGGATGAGAACCAGCTTCATGGGTACTAACATGCACTTGGTAGGCGAATGTGATGCTATCCTATGACATTGATGAGGCCATTGTCATGCTCCAAGACAAGCTTGCGACGGCGAAAAAGGGTTTGCAGCTAGCGAATGAAGACTTGGGCTTTCTTCGAGACCAAATTACTACGATGGAAGTCAATACAGCTCGAGTCCACAATTGGGACGTAAAGCGGCGCCGTGACAAGTACGTGGGTCCAAAAGACGTATCATGGCAACTAACGACAGGAAACAACGAGAAACTTTATCTTCGTAATGACGCCTAGAGTGCTTCAGACTTCATGCGTCTGCTTCTTTTTTTTCCCTACTCCCTTTCCTTCTTATTCATAGTCGACATGGCCTCGTCAGGTCATTTCATCCCCTCACTTCACACACACACTTACATACGCACCAAGCATCCCAAGATAAAAGAGAAAATTAAGCTTGAGCTGAAGTGGAAGGATTTATCAGCACTGGATGTAGCGTGGTATCTGGGTTCGTGGAGGTCTTGTGTCTATCGTACTCAATTCATCCCTCGTTCTTCCAGGTTCAGCCTGAATTTCGAACGTCTGCTGCACATGTGGCGCCCAGCAAGCTATGCCGTTCGGCTGCGACGCCACATGGATGCAGGGAGTTTGTTTGCACGCCTTCCACGCCATGAGCCTACGCGAGTGCGACCATTGACGACAAGTGGCATATGGCTGAAAGCGGAAATAGACCGCACAAACGCCAAGAACCGCAGCAACCCAAAGCAGCGGCCGGGAGGACCGTCCTCATCAAAACAGAAATCACCGGTGCGATCGGTGCCACCCGCAAAGAACTGGGCCCGAAGCAATCCGAATGCAGGCCAGGGTCATGCCACAGCGAAGTCGGGCGCAACTGCGCGTGCCACCACCGGCAGCGGAAGCAGCCAGGGCCAAAATGCCGCGTCATCGAAACAGCAAGCGCGATCGACATCACCGCCGTCACGCTCATCTTCTTCATCGTCGGCAAAGTCTGCGCGCACCCGATATATTTCACTTCCCCCGATCACGACCGTGTTTCATCTCGCGCGTGTATTGGACGTGAACATGCGCAAACTCCAGTTCCGTATGGAACAGATTGGTTTCGATGACACTCGGCCAGACCGGCTCTTGAAGCTGGAGGATGCCGAGCTTGTTGCCGCCGAGTACAATTGCGTTGTCAGTGCGAGCGAGGAGGCAGCGTTCGATATTTATCCGCGGCCAGAGCCATCGGCAGAAGAACGAGCGAAACTCCCACTTCGACCACCTGTCGTTACGATCATGGGCCACGTCGATCACGGTAAGACAACACTCCTGGATACGCTCCGGTCCACGAGCGTGGCGCAGGGCGAGGCAGGCGGTATCACGCAACACATTGGCGCCTTCAGCGTGCCGGTCAATCGGCCGGAAGGCGCAATTTCATCTGTCACATTCCTTGACACGCCAGGACATGCTGCGTTTTCAACGATGCGCAGCCGTGGCACTTCCGTGACGGACATAGTTGTGCTGGTCGTTGCGGCTGACGACAGTGTGATGCCGCAGACGCGCGAAGTCATTTCCTTGGTCCGTGACGGCGAGCGGAAAGTGCCGCTTGTCGTGGCGATCACGAAAATCGATGCGCCCAAAGCCGATCCACACAAGGTCCGGTACGACCTGTTTGCCGAGGGCGTGGAAGTCGAGGAGCTGGGCGGCGATGTCCCATGTGTCGAGGTGAGTGCGAAGCAGAAACAGGGCCTCGATACGCTTGATGAGACCCTTGCTGTGCTGGCCGAAATGGGCGAGCTACGTGCCGAAACGAGCGGCCCGGCCGAGGGCCGGATCCTCGAGAGCCGGGTGGAAAAGGGGCGTGGTAACGTCGCCACCGTGCTTGTGCAGCGCGGCGTGCTACAGTCTGGCGATATCATTGCATGTGGGACGACATGGGCCAAGGTCCGGCAGCTGCTCCAGCCCGACGGACGCTCGGCAAAGCAGGTCCTGCCTGGGTATGCTGCACAGGTCGCTGGATGGCGCGAGTTACCCAAGGCTGGCGACGAGTTCCTTGGCGCACTGGACGAGGCCAAGTGCAAGCGAGCTATTGAGCATCGGAAACGCGTGCTGGAGGAGCAGGCTCTTTTGTACGATGCTGAACAGATTGATCAGGAACGACGACGCAAGGCGGAGGCGGATGCGTTGCGCGAGCGGACGGAGCAAATGACGCGCAAGGAGCTGAGCAGGATCCAGCGTGCGCAGGAAGATGGCTCGCTGGATGCCGATGCGGTTGCGAAAGCGGTGCGTGAGCAGCGCTTGGCCGCCGAGCTCGCAGCGAAGGGGGATGCCGGTGCTAGCGCAGGAGCGGGTGGAAAGGCCGAGAGGGCCGAGCTGAACTTGATCCTTAAGGGCGATGTATCAGGCACCGTGGAAGCTTTGGCCGGCGCCGTAAGCCACATCGGTAATGCAGCTGCGGGCGTACGAATTGTGTCGCAAAGTGTGGGTGATCCTACTGAGAGCGACGTGAACACGGCCCATGCCATCGGTGCGCACATCATTGGCTTCCATGTCAAGGCGCCAAAATCCATTCAGACCTCGGCGTCCCGGTGCCAACCGCCAGTCCCACTCCACTGTGACGACGTAATCTACCGACTCATGGACCATGTAACTGACAAGGTGGCTGCTTTGTTGCCGCCCATCGATGAGATGCGTGTGTTGGGCGAGGCAAATGTGGCGCAGCTCTTCCATATCAAACAAGGACAGCGCCGAGCGCCCAAATGCATTGCTGGTTGTCGCGTGACAAATGGGACCGTCAGCCGGGCGAATGAGATCCGGATTCTCCGCGGCGATGAGCGCAAAGAAGTGTTTCGTGGACGCCTCGATACGCTCAGACAGGTGAAGAAGGATGTGTCTGAAATGCGCAAGGGCACTGAGTGTGGTATGTCGTTCGATGGCTTTGATGATGTGCAAATCGACGACAAGATTCAGTGCTTTACGATGGTGCAGGTGCCAGCTACGCTGAAGTGAGGGCACTCGCAAGTCGCAGCCGCCTCGATCGGCACCGATGGCATTGCGTGTATGCTAGGGATTGTATGTGCCAATGCACTGCCGCGGCCAAGATCGGACTTGACCAGGTGTCTTTGTCTTTTAAGCCTCTTTGGTGCACAATCGATCAAGTGCTCGTGTCCATCGAAACCCCACCCCACAAGCAAGCGAAACAGGCCACCCGTCACTGGCACATACATCATACAATGGTATTTTGAAAAAGAATCAAGTCTTCTTACAGCTATCACAGTGCATATATGTATACCCTTCCTTTCTCTTGTTCAATGTGTATGGCTTCACGAGAGCGATCTTGTCCCGTTGTTGCACAAAGCCATGCAATCTTGATCAGGTCGATACAGAGTAATGGAGCTCCAGCGCCATGGCATGCAAGGAGATACACCATGTTTCCGACTGACTGATAGCATTGCTTCAACCGTCTTCAAACCTACGCCTCCACTTCATTTAGCATATTCTGCAGCATTTTTTGCTCTTTCTCTGCTACTTGCACCGCTAGGGCTGGCCTGATGATAACACGGCGCATTTTTGTACGGCTTTCCTCACGATGGACACGATCGAAAAATGGGACACTTTAGCCACTTGCGCATGGGATATCGACCTGCGCGCAAAATACTCTATTTGTGACAGCATGAAGGGCAAGAAACACACCGTGTGGAGAGGTTCAAGCAACTGTGCAAGAACGCCCACAAACGCAAAGACCACGCGGCTGGCGACCCGTTCTATGCAGTTCTCTAGTAGCTTGATATTACATCGTGGTACGTAGATGTTGTAGGTTTGTTCGTACTGCTGCTTGCCACTTTGGTCGATAGCGCATGTGTTTTACAGATTTGACTGGACTCTTGCATGCCCGTACGAAATCGACCATTCATACTAAGACATTGGCGACAGTGCGCACGTGCGCACATGAATGAACGGAGCTGCTACATACCGCCGCTCATTGTTTGCCAGAGTGTCGTGCTCCAGTATTGGCGTCGACACGTTCTACCATTCACTCCGTCAAGTCACGCAGACCGTGGTGCCCCAGACGGCAGCAGCAATTCTCAGCATTTTAAAAATCTCCACCTAAGCGGTTGCTTGTTCTGAGCGCCCTGCATTTTACGTGTGGGGTACCGCCGAGCTTGTCAAGGAATACCGTTAACCTGGCCAATCATGTTAGCGTCTTTGCCAAATCTTGTACCTTTCTCGAGTACGCTTGCCTCGGAATTGCATGCACCCTGCGTTCAAGAGCAAACTCGGGATGCCAAAGACCTAGTGTGAACATGCAGCGTCAAAGATATATAAATGGTAACTATTTGTTAAATTGACCTGTACCTCGCTACAAAAGTACTTTCAACAATGTTCCGCTCTCTTCTTGCATCGACTCTGCTGCTGATTCCATTGGTATTCGCAAAGGACGACTCGTCTGTGTTCTACTGCTTCGCACACACTAGTGAAACCGGATTTGACCAGTGGCATATGAGTGTTCCTGCAACAGACAAGGTTTGCGAAACTCTGAGCAGTGGCCAGAAGTACGCCGACGAAAACGGTGGATGCCGTATCAAGCCGTATGATGTCAAGTGGTTCAAGGAACGCTGTGGTTACCACCGCGAGGGTAACAGAGATCACAGCGCCGGCACAGTTCTTTCGCCTTCTGAGTAACAACCTCCTACCGATCCGTAGAAGGGTAAGCGACTCTAGTGTGGAATCTATTTCACTCTGGTAGAGTATAGCGACGAATTTTGTGATTTTGTCAAGCCTACATTTCACGGAGATGCAGTCATGGATCGAGCTCCGTATATCCTAGATACACGCTGGGGAACGGGACAATGTTGATGTCAAATTCCACGTCGCTCATATTGCCTATCATTCTTGTGCAAGACCAATCTCATAGATCACTACGGCGCCGGGAGCGGGAGTCATTTTGGAGATGATGTGAGATGTCCTGTACAATAACAAAGCACACACAAGCGACATTGTAGTGCCAGTCAGCACCAGTCTCGCATGCGTTGCAGTCTGTTCAATGGTACGTAAGGAGAGGGCTTCAATGACAAGACGATCAACCTTTATGCACTGCAGCATGTTGAATTTTGAAAAGAGACAATAAAAAACCTGACAAGCAGCAATACAGGTGCGAGTCAAGGCGATTAGGTGACACGATTTCCATTTTTTTACTCCGTGTTAACACCGCTTGATCCCCTCTCCCCAGCGCGGTGGCTGTGCATGTCTCCCTCGCACTCGCAGCGTTCCACGAAAGATCATATAAGTGCTTTTCGTAGGAGTTATGTTGGTGATAAGAATATTCCCTTTGCTGAACATCCTAGAGAAGGGGACTTTTTTGTAGATCAGCACACGCTTCCCAGGAGTTTCACCGCTCCGATGTTATCCTATTGCCAGATTATTTGATGAGACATGCCATATAACTAAACAATGAAAACTGGCCCTCTGCCCCTGAATTATTTTGCGTCCAAATGTATCATTGCTTTAGAGCCATGCACCATTGGAGCTGCAGACCGGGCGCAATTGGAGAGATCGCGGACGTGTCAAGGGCAAAAAAAAAAAACGTGTTGATTTTCCTCCGTGGCCGCTCGATAAATGCCAACGATGTGGAGAACTTGTATATATATATATATGTATATGCATGTGTGGGTCATACGCGCACCAACACGCTGGCTACACTGCCGACGATTCGCTCAATCCGACACTCAAGTAATCAACTGCACCAAACCAATAGACATGCTAGCTGAATTTATTAGCCGCATTTCAACGCTGGTAGTGGGCTTCATTAGTTGTAGGACTTCAACGACTCTCAGAAACCAACACGTTTGGATCGGAGATCCGTGTCTGCCCAAACGTTTAGTGTGGAGAGACATGGAACTCTCATTGCATGCCAAGCTTCGTGCACCGTTCTAAATCAGCAGGCAACGTAAGGGAATTCCGTGGTCTCCACATGCACGCTTGTTTGCTACAAGCGCCCTGAAATGTTTCATGCGGGGTTGTGCCAAGCGTTGATTCGGGGACCCCGGTGACCAGGTCAATCATTGTAGTGCGAACACCGAAACTGGGCGCCTTCCATGTGCTTTCCTCGGAAATGCGTGCATCATATGCGCATATGGAAACGTGGAACGTTTAGAACATACCGCCGGCATGCAGATGTAAAGCTATATAAAACGCATCAATTCTTATACTGTGCCTCACCATACTACAGCAACGCATTCAAGCATGTTCCGTTCTCTTCTCGCTTCAACTCTACTACTCCTTCCCCTCGTGTTTGCTAAGGACGACACAACCACGTTGTACTGCTTCGCTCGCCACAATGATACTGGACTTAGCCAGTGGCACGTGAGTGTTCCTGCAACGGTCAAGGTTTGCGAAACACTCAGCAGTGGCCAGAAAAACGCCGACGATAACGGTGGGTGCCGCGTCAAGTCATATGATATCAAGTGGTTCAAGGAACGCTGTGCCGATAACCATATGGGAAAGAGGGATCACAGCGCTGGCACAACGCTGTGGCCTTCTATCTAGTGCCCCGATGCCATTTCGCATGAAAGTAGTTAGTCCTGGCTTACCATGCGTTTCACTTGAATAGGATTGTGCAATGAACTCATTTCCCTTGTGTGTTTGGTTTTACTTCATACATGTTGTGCGAAGACAGTTCATAACGACTCTTTTTCTTTTGTACCGTAACTAGAAGTCTCATCAGGTAGGGTACGATGGAATCTAAAGCGTCACATGTGAATACAGCATGACAGCACACATGATAAACCCATCGAATGGTTTTAGTCCGCTATTGTATTCATATATTTTATTCTTCTCTGTGCGTTGGAAAATAACGTTCTCACATATTTGCGGCGACAGGTGCTGAAACTAAATGGTCTGTTCAAGCACATGTGTGGAGCCAACTTAAATTAATGCAAAGACTGCCCTTGAACCGACATGTCGCAAAAAGGATGTGAAATCTCCTCGATAGCGAAACTTATTCAAGGAAAATTTCGTACAGCCAGGGTAAAAGGACAAGAGAGGCAATAAACTGGGACTAAAAGCATGTGACGACAGAGCGTAGTGATGCTCTTGTTCCTTTTTCTTACATAAATGTGAGTGTAGTACGGCACCGTGCGAGGAAATTGCGTACATCTTCCTTAGATTTACAGCGCTCTTTGAATGACTGAAATTCATGTAGGAGGATGCACCAATTGCTATTACGCTCCATGTATTCATAACCACTACGGGGGGTTTCATATACGCCTTGTGCCATGTCAAATGTCAATGCTCCACTTGCAACCCGGCGCTACTTTGATATCACTGACCAAGTAAGGCAGCCGAATGTTATCAACAATAAACTAATTGGTGCGCAGAGTGCAGAAACGTCGAGCAAAGAGGATGGCGCGATAGTAGGGGGAATTCCGTCTACGCCGCTCAAATGAGTCATCTTTTTGCGCAATGCGAATGTTGACGATCCCAACGTGTCCAGGTGACAAATTGTGCCAGAATTTGACAATATCCACATTCGCTCCTGTGTGGTCGCCGACAGAGCCCCCCTGTCTCCGATATATGCGACCGAATGGTCTCTACATATACTCCTTGGCGTGAAAACATATCTATGCCCAAATATTCGATCAAGCACAGTGAAATCCATGGCTTCGACCAGATGTTTATGAGCGCTAGGACGTCATATAGGCACACTCCGAAACTTGCTCTGGTTTTCGCTGAATATGAATAGTCTACTCTTTTGAACGTCACATCAAATAGCATGAATACCTAGGTACCTAGACATTTTGTACATTACAGATGCCCAGCTAGCGTAGAAGCCAGATTCTGTAGATGTCGATAGTACCGTCGTCATACTGTGGGCCACAACAACGACTACGTGTTTAGATCTCCAACCAACACTTACTTGCAACAGCGCCGCAGCGTCTACAGGGTGGATCCTCCACAAACCACGTGACAGTTGCGAACGTGCACGGCGCTTTCATGCTGCTTCTCTGAGCGTGTTCCAACGCCACGAACTGACCATGTCGACCAGCGGCAACGCGCTCTTGCTTAAAAAGCAGCTGCTAGAGTTGCGCAAAAGTATGTATTTCACACTAATAAAGCAAAGATCCAGTGGATGGCTTTAGTGCAGGGTTGAAGGACGACAGCAATCCCTTCGAGTGGGATATTATGATCATTGGTCCTATGGGTATGTGTGAGTGCTTGAAAAGAATCCTGCGACTCACGCATAGACACATTGTATGAAGGAGGCTTCCTGCGTGCTGAACTGAGTTTTCCTCATGTGCGTAGTGTGTCTACTAAAGTACTTACGCAGGAATACCCTCTGCTCCCACCAAAAATGAAGTTCAAGACGCCCATGTGGCACCCTAACAGTATGTTTGGAAATCATACGCGCGATTGCAGTGCTTACGCTCTGCCACTCAGTCTACGAGGATGGTACCGTGTGTATATCGATCTTGGTATGTGGACGCATGTTCCAACTAACCAGAGCACGCACCTGGCCAGGATGAATTTGGGTATGAAGATGCAAGTGAGCGCTGGCTCCCTGTACATACGGTTGAGTCTATTCTCGTCTCGGTCATTAGTCTGCTGAGCTCAGACACGCCCAATACTGACTCGCCGGCTAATATTGATGCTGCTAAGCAGGTTCGAGGTATGTACAAAGCGAGGCACTCACACACACCAGAGGACATTGTCGGCTATCGCAAAAAAGTACGTTTCAGGGACCGTGACGAGTGATCATGCCGTTCGCGTTCTCGAGGACACCATACTAACTTGCTCGTAGGTTCGCCGCCTCGTCCGACAGTCCAGTGAGGAGGCTTTTGACTAAATACATATCCGGCTCATCAGCGAGTCAGCTAGCTCGATCACTACATGCTTTGCGCGCACACAGACGCACATGCACACACAAAAAAGAATGTTTGAGAAAAAAAAATCCATAGAAGTACAACAAGAATACGCGTATGCATTACATACACAACACTAGCATCCAAAGGAATGAGATGCCGTGCCATTGGTCCAAGCTGCCATGCGTGGATCGTCAGTCGCTTTGCTTTTGGGGAAAAAAGGTCCTGAACCTAGCGAACGGTTGTCATCGGTGATGAAGTGACAGTCGGCGTACTTCCACCTGAGATTGCCGATGCCTGTACAGCCGCCGTTTGGGCATGCGGCATAACTGGCGTTGTGACATTCAAAGCCTGGTATACGATGGTGCCTGATGGTGTGAATGTGGCACTTGTGGCATTTGCAAAGCCATAAAGGCAACCCAAATGCTTCGCATCATCAATAGCACCATCGAAGAACCGGTCACGGAGTCGGAAGAATGACGACGCCGTCAACAAGCTATCACTGCCAGCTTGGTGTTGCTGTCCCATGCGGCTGACCTGAAGGTCGTCAGCAAGATCCTGAAGACCACCCTTAAGAGTCTTGCAACTGCGCATAAGAAACTTGACATCATAGATGCAAGGAAACCAAACATGCAAAAGATCGAAAAACTCAGACTCTGTTGACGGTAATGGCTGACACGTCACAAGCCTGAGCAAATACCCGAAGTCGTAGCCGGAGTGGAACGAGACCCACCGCACATCCTCTAGTAAGACCATCCCCGAGGTGATCAACAGCTCCCCCAAATACTGCTGGTCAATGCCAAACTGGAGGTGCCGATCAAAGTCGATGCCCGCTTTTGTGAGCAGTTCGAGCGAGTCCGGTGCACACATGTCTTCGTTCGCATCAAAGTGCAAATTAAACTGCCACGTACACGTATCAGGTGGCAAATTCCCGTCCTCGTCACATACAGTGATGCCGAGCTGAATCATCTTGAGCAAGTCAACGTTGCATCGCAATGTCTGATAGTGATAGTCTGTAGACCCGCGGAACTGACCGATGGGCCGCGCCACTATTCCTGGAAACTCAGTATCCATGGCCACATATGGGTACGTCTCGATCGCTTTTCGTAGACTGTGCCATCTCCTCATCAAAGTTGTCGGACCAAACATCGCGGATTCGCCCCGACATGGTGCTAATGCTGCTGCCGATGGAGCTGCTGCGTCCACACCCTCTCCAAACTCCGTCGTGTGTTGAAAGCCACGCGTCTGTGAGCGGCGATTTCACTCGAGACACTCGGCGGCCGACGGACGTACCAGCCAAGGTGAGTCACGTGATACAGCCGAACACGTCAGGGCCAAGGGAGGTGGGGGTCTTGAATTAGTCGCACTGGGGGGGAGGGAAGGGGGAGGGGCAAGCAGCAGCGCCGCCGCCCGAAACAAGTGGCGACGCGTAAGCGATCGATCTTTGTGGGTGGACGTTTGTGTTGCAAGATCGACAGAAACCCTTGCATTGTGTGCGGCACGGACACCCCCCAAAAGACTCACCTCATTGCTCGATAGAAGAGTGACTAGTTGCCGACCATGCCGCTTGAAGCGACTATGATTGTACTTGACAACTCAGAGTGGATGAGGAACGGCGATTACGTGCCAACTCGCTGGGATGCGCAGGCCGATGCCGTCAATGTCCTTTTTGATGCGAAGACAAACTCACACCCTGAAAACATGGTCGGCGTCGTTACGATGGCGGGAAAGAGTCCCGAAGTGCTCGCGACCCTAACGCAAGATATCGGCAAAGTGTTTGCTGGTCTGCATGCCAGTAAGCTTGCAGGCGCAATCTCTCTGTGCACAGGCATCAACGTAGCTCAGCTCGCCCTCAAGCATCGACAGAACAAGAACCAACGCCAGCGCGTCATTGCATTCGTTGGATCACCTGTATCAGACTCTGAAGAGTCGCTCTTACAACTCGCGAAGAAACTCAAAAAAAACAATGTGGCCGTGGACATTGTCAACTTTGGCGAATTTGAAGAAAACGAGACTAAGTTGTCCAAGTTGGTCGATACTGTGAACAGCAATGAGAACAGCCATCTACTTACTGTACCGACAGGTGCCGGTCCTCTTTCAGATACCCTGCTCTCCTCCCCTATTGTCTTACAAGGAAGCGACAGTGAGGCTGGTCCATCCGGCACGGCTGGTGGCGGCGGCAGCAGTGGCAACGATTTTCAATTCGGTGTGGATCCAAATGCCGATCCAGAGCTTGTTATGGCGCTACGTCTATCGCTCGAGGAAGAGCAGGCTCGTCAGCGTGCAGCTCAAGAAAGTCAGCCAGACGGGGAAAATCCGCCTTCTGCTCCTGAAACCAAGCATCCAGCCGAAGGTGCTACCGGCTCCTTGGTTCCCGTCGATGCCCCTCCCCTTTCAGGCACATCTGGTACAGATACGGATATGTCACATCAGGCTGAGAACGAGGACGAACTCCTTAAACAGGCCATCGCTTTGTCTCAACAGGATTCTGCCCCAGAGCCACAAGAGGATGTGCAAATGGACTCAGGCGAGTCGAATCAACAACGCGCTGTCGTTGCAGGCCCGAATGAAGGAGACCAGGATGAAGAAATGACCGAAGAAGAAGCAATTGCTCGTGCAATTGAAATGAGTATGATGGACTCTAAAAATCCGCACACTTAATCGACTCAAGTTCTACAACACTGCGGGATTGCCCGTTGCTCTTGTTTTAAGGATGTAAAAAATCACTTTTGATTTTATTGAATGCGCAGATTTTTTTCTTCTGAAATATCTTGATTCTGACAATGTTTGTCATAACTCGCATGAGAATGTACTGTTTCAAATTCAGTCCATGAATGCGCACTGCCATTGTCTGAAACTTTTTCGTGTTGTGACTCTAGATCGTTCGATGCCACAGATTCTTGATTAAGTACATTTTCAATACTTAAATTGTCAGATGTCAAAGTGCCAACGTACTTCGAACCTGTGTTCCCACTGGCGCGATTTCTGAACAATGACTTTAGTCTAGCATGTGCTTTATCATAATCTGATCGAGCGTCAAGACTAAATCCGAATAGCAAGAAAAATATGATGGCAGTCGCACATAGTGTCCATGCAGAAAAAAGTGACAGTAAGAGAAAGCGCTTGCCGCCTGGACTGTCGAATAAATCAGAAGTATAAATCCAGACGTCACCAAAACGACTGTGCACAACACTCCAAGAAACAAATGGAAGAATCTTTGAATACGTGAGCTCAAGACTAAAATCTGCCAACAAAGTTGGAAAATTTAGTATCAGGTCAATCAAAGTAAAAGAGATCATTTTTAGAAACTTTTTGGTGCTTAAACCACTGCCACTTTGGGATAAGATGGACTCGAAATTTTTCTTGTGGGCGAAGAAATAAAATAAAGCCATGACTGGGAGGTGTGAGCGCCATGGATAAGATAACGTACTCGAATAAATAATTGAAATAAAGCTTGCAATTAGAGGCATGCCATAATCAATAACAATTGTTATCGGCGAGAAATAGATAGCTGGCTGACAACCTTGGCCTTCAACGATATTAAAGCGATGTCCCTGACTTATAATGGTCAGAGCAGCGTAAAATATTGGTAAAAAGGTGACCCAAAGAGCATCGCATTGTAAGGCTTTCTTTTTTTGGTCTTTGCTCTCAGGAATGCAACGAAGGGAGGCGATTTCGCACAATCTTCGAGAAATCCGTAAAGCTGCACAAGGAACTCCCATCGTAACCATGCTCATAAGTTTCACGGCTTTAGTGTTACTTCAAAGCAACTTACATATATCACACCACACTGGAGCCTTGTTAATGGCATTATCATTCCATACCAAGCGATTGATAAAATTGTTCAAGTTTCCCACATTAAGCCAGAAAACAAGTGCTAGAATCGATATATTTCTTGCCCTCCAATGTGAAGGAACTGGAAGAAGCGCAAGAATGACGGAGACTAGGGCAAAAATTGGGAGAGTCACATCCGGCATGGCAAATTGGTGGCATCTGTATGTCCCAGAGAATTAAATATAGATAAAGCTTAGAAGGCTAGACAAAATGACTTTTTCCGTAATCAGGATTGTCCTTGCCTATAGGGAAGTTAATGTGAAAGCTTTACCTCATTGTGCGTGCAGAACAAAGGATCTTTGATTCGTATGCATCAACAAAAATGATCTTTGTTCCTCCACTTTAGTGTTGGAAAACAAGATTCTTTTTGCGCTAGTCATTGTGAACAAATGTCGCATTGTTCTTCGAAAGAAACAAACTGTGCAGCAGCGTAGCAACAATAGCATAATCTCAAGATATAAAATGAGGCTTAAATTGAATTGTCATTCTAGCACCAAAACAGTACAATTCTAGCAGCAATGAACCCGACTTTCAACCCGGCTATTGACATCAAGGAATCTGTTGAAATGAACTCGAACGTCAACTATGCCAATGAGCACCCTGATGAGCCCGCCACCAATGAGTACCCTATGGGACCCCCCGTCTGGGGTACTACTTGCACAATTGCTTAAACCCTCAAACTCTTCAACGGCCGTTTTCAAATCGCATCCAGCGCGGATTCTGGGTCCTCTTGAGAGCACTGCGAACAATCCATGATCCGCACCAAATCTTAAACTCTAGCTAGACAATTTAGACTTTTAGTTATCAATTCAAGCGCTTGAAACAACCACGTTATGAGGACTCGATTACTTGCTAACAGAATTCCTATCTCGTGCGAATATATGGCCAGATGTATGACAGTTGCCGGGAAGTGCACTGAAACATACATCCAGTGCACAGAAAGGCCTGCCTAATTATGGTCCATTTTGGCAAATCATTTTGACCCTCAGCATCCATGTGCCGTCATCTTGCAAACGCAAGAGAGACAGGAAGAGAGAGCTTCGATAGTGCCGTTAAATTATACTTATTTTTCTGACACTGATGTTAAAGCCGCGAAGCAGTCGAGTGTGGGGAAATTTTACATTGCCTCTACAATGATAGATGGTTAAAGTGAGGGAAAAGGAAGGTTGAGAGAACATGAAGAGGGGAGAAATTGATGCGCCTCACGGCTGAGTCAGCTGAGATGAAGGGAGAAGGAAAAAAATAAGCAAATCGCACACCCTGCAAGCCTCGCACAAATCAGGTGCTACAAGGGCCAGCTCGCTATTGTGTGAGGGAGTTGGGTGCACGTCATGGTGCGTAGTTGAATTCTCGAATGGGGATGCGCTAACGAACAAGTCGCGAATAGAACTGCTGAGTGCAGGAGGATACCGCATGGATGGTCGGAAGCCGCTCGAATTCCGCTCGATGGAGTTGGTCATGTCGCCACACACAGCTGCCACAACATCGCTCGTAGTGTCATCAACAGCGGCAGCTGTGCGTCCAGATGGGTCAGCGCAGGTAAAGCAAGGACTTACCAGCGTGCTTGCATGTATATATGGTCCACGGGAGTCATCGCGAGTGGGGCGTGTACCGACGGTGCGGCAGGACCGTGCGAATGTTCATGTTGAAATCGCCATTGCGCCATGGGGAGGGAATGAGCGACGATATCGTGCACGTGGTGATCGGTACGTGGTGCAGTCTGGCGTTGATTGTGTACGATAAACTTACCAGCGACAGACAGCTAGTGGAATGGGCCAATGCGGTGCGCTCGACATTGGAACCTGTCATTCATACACATCTGTACCCACGATCGCAGGTGGATATTGTACTTTACGTGGAACAGCAAGACGGGGGTGTTTTACCTGCGATGATCAATGCATGCACGCTCGCATTGATGGATGCTGGCATCCCTATGAGCGACTATGTGACAGCGATGACATGTGGTCTGCACGGCTCCACGGCCATGCTGGATCTAAACCTGACGGAACAATCAGACTTGCCCTTTGTGACGGTGGCGATTCTTCCACGCACAGGCACTGTTCCACTAATCCAGCTTGATACGCGCATGCACATGGACCGCTTTGCGGCGATGGTGCATGTATGTGTGGATGCAGCGCGCGTGCTGCGAGATGAGTTGGATTCTGCTGTGCGAGGTCGAACGGAGCAACTAGCGGAGGCGATCAAAGGCCCATCGGTTCCATAGTATTACATCAGCATGTGTAGTGGGCATTGCAACGTGGTCCCTGCGGCGGGGGTGGCAAAGGGGTAGGACTACTGGCCGATGTGCCCGCTTGTGCGTGTGGGAAGATGAGGGGGTAACGGGTTGTGGACATAACATCGAACGTTCTCGAGATGACCCGATGAGATGTGAATTCTGATTCGTCAAACATGTGTTCTCTATCGGCAAACTCTGCCCGTGCGCGTGGCAAGGGTAACGGGCCAAGATAAATAAGGGGGGACCGGGGGCCCAGAATCAAGCTCACAACCAACAACCACTTGTTGATTGACAGACATAATGGTGAACGTGGGTATCAACGGATTTGGTCGTATTGGCCGTATTGTCTTCCGCAACTCGCTTAACCACCCTGACACGGATGTGGTGGCAGTGAACGACCCCTTCATTGACCTCGACTACATGGTGTACATGCTCAAGTATGACTCGACGCACGGCCGCTTCGATGGTGAGGTGAGCGCCCGTGACGGCAAGCTCGTGGTGAATGGCCGTTCGATCCACGTGTATGCTGAGAAGGACCCAAGCAACATCCCATGGTCTGAGAGCGGTGCCCTCTACGTGGTCGACTCGACTGGTGTGTTCAAGTCGATCGAGAAGGCGTCGGCCCACTTGAAGGGCGGTGCCCGCAAGGTCGTGGTCTCAGCTCCATCGGAGGATGCGCCTATGTACGTGTGCGGCTGCAACCTAGACTCGTACAACCCATCTGAGAACATTGTGTCGAACGCTAGCTGCACGACCAACTGCTTGGCCCCACTTGCTAAGGTGATTCACGACAAGTTCGGCATTGTCGAGGGTCTTATGTCCACCGTGCACGCCACGACGGCTACGCAAAAGACCGTTGATGGTCCATCGTCCAAGGACTGGCGCGGTGGTCGTGCTGCCGGCGCTAACATCATCCCGTCGAGCACAGGCGCTGCTAAGGCTGTCGGCAAGGTGATCCCGAGCCTGAACGGCAAGCTGACTGGTATGGCGTTCCGTGTGCCAACAATTGACGTTTCGGTCGTGGACCTGACGGTGCGCATTGAAAAGTCGGCCTCGTACGACGAGATTAAGGCCGAGATCAAGCGTGCCTCGGAGAACGAGCTCAAGGGCATTCTTGGCTACACAGAGGATGAGGTTGTGTCGCAGGACTTTGTGGGCGACAACCACAGCTCTATCTTCGATGCCAAGGCCGGTATTGCGCTTAGCCCGAACTTTGTCAAGCTCGTTTCGTGGTACGACAACGAGTGGGGCTACTCGCGCCGCTGCCTTGACCTGATCACATTCATGGCCAAGAAGGACGGTTCGGCGTAGGTGTAGTTTCCCAGCACACGCTGTGTAAGCAAAGCATAAATGGCTTTTGTGAGCGTGCGTGAAGGTCGTGCGGCTGTATACTGACGCTATGTCTTCTCTGAATATGTTTTGTTTCTTGTTTTCTGATTTCCTTATCCAATGTAGCGGCTCCGCACGATTGTAGCCATGTCCACACTGAGCTTAACGAGCCTTGGCCTGTGTGGGGTTTTGTAGCTCGTGAACCCAGTCTTCGTAATGTATTGTGGGTTCTATAGTATTGTGTGGGGCGATTAGAGTGTCGGCACGAGTGGGTTGGGCAGGCAAGCAACCACGTGTGGGAGCCGTGAGAGGGAGCCGTGAGAGGGAGCGAGTAGTCGCGCAGACTTGGATGAGAGTGTATCCTGCCGTCATGCAGGCGTGAATATTCTTGGGATCGGCATAGCATCAATTCCCGACCATTCGTGGGATAGCAGGAAGCTATGGATGCCGACAGATTAGGATTTCTCCATAGAGCTGTTTCCGTGTCACACCTTAGAAGTTAGTAGAAGGTGTGGTCGTCGAGACCCATGGTTAGGAAAGTGCAGTTTGAGCGTCAACATACGTGCTAAAGGGTCCGTGGTCACTAAGTCTACAGAAAGAAGTTACTCGAGGACAACGACCAGGTGCGGCTCACTCTGCACGCGTCGAACGTGCTCCATCGCCGTCGCAAGGTCATCATCATCCAGGAGCATGACCCGGTCGCCATCCTCGTCTATATGGTACATACGCGTGTGTGCCTCTGGTGCAACGCGAACACTGCTATGCACAAGCGCGTGCAAGTTGCTAAAGCTCACAGTGTTGGGCACTTGCAGCTCAACACGCTCCGGTCCGTATCGCACACACACGCGTACCTGCATCGTGATGGGAGGCGAATGCGGAGCGGAGCGCATCCACACGCTGCTGCTGCCAGTGCCAGATGCACCCGAGCTACTGTTTTGTCGAGTCATCGGCGAATGAGATACGCTGGGTGTATTGGCTTGCGATGCGTCCGCTGAAACTCGCGAACCGGTCGTGCTGAAAGAATCTTGCCGCTTCGTAGCAATGCCGCTAGGCGCTGCGATGGACGCTGCAGATGTTGCAGACGTGCCTGCGGCGCCCATGGGCCCTGGTGCTACTGCTGATGCCGGCAGTGTTGCTGAGGGTGGCGGTGCATGCGTTGCGCCAGACGTCATCATAGGGAAGTATGGATTCCACTCAGTCGTTGGTGACACGTGACCGTACGTCAAGGCCCAGTCGCTGTTGGGTGGGACCGTCTGTCCCACAGACAAAGGGGCTGAAGGCATCGGCATCGTTGTAGGTGTTGCACCCAGAGTGGGGCGACATGAAACTGCGTATTGCCGCACTGTCGGACGAAGTACGTTGCATGATGGTACTGTCCAGTCGCATGGGTGACGGACCGCCCCGTGCGGCAGCAAAGCCTCGGAGTGGCTTGAGTGCTTTGGATAGTTTCATCGCTTCCATCTCCTTTTCGAGGAATTCAGCACTCGCTCGCAAGGGCGGCATGTTCCCGCTGACCGAGGAGGAACGCACAGGGATGGGCACACGGTTGGGCGTCTTGACAGGAACTGCTGGTGGTGTGGCAGTAGCAGAGGCATGAGCAGGAGCAGGAGCGGCGGTGCTGGCCGATGAGGGTGCCGCTCCAGGTGTGGGGATTGGCGTTGTTGAAGAAGACGTCATGAAGGGATGTTGGTGAATGTTGCCCAGCGATCGTTGGCGCCAAGGCATACGAGGCGGGTACATCGCCGGCGAAGAGGCAGACGCCAGGCCGCTGCCGATCCCTGGGCCTATGCTAAGACCTGGGCCCGCTCCGACACCAGCTCCAGGCGCCGTGCTAGAGCACGGATGATTGGTCCCGCTGGCGCCGCTGCCAACGAGGTTGTGTGCTGGCGGTGGCGGCGGCCTACCAGGTACAACAGGGGAAGCCAAGAGCCCATGCGGCAATCCAAACGGAGCGGCATCATCGCAGGGGGTATCGCGTGGACTGTCACAATCCGAGACGCTAGGTGTGTTGAAGGAGGTTTTGAGCGACGGGTTTGAACTGGTGCGCGCTGAGCGACCGAGCAAGGCGTCATTGCACTCGGCCGTGTTACTACGCCTGAGCCGCATCGGCATCGTGTCTTGTGCGTATGACACAACAGGCGTGCTGACTTGCATGAACGCAGCTGAGGCTGGGCCTTTGCTGTGACCGCTGCCAGGACGCGAGCCGGGTAGAGAAGGCGCCTGAGTCGTGACGGGTGTTGACGCCTGCGAAGCAGACGCCTGGCGACGTGCTCGCAACTCGCCCAGGAGCTTTTGCATGGTCGAATACCACATACGTAGCTGCTCTTCGTTTTTGCACCTGAGACAGAACGACTCAAGCTCGAGCTCGCCATGCCACCAGACCTGGAGCGTGTAGGGGCCGATTGACTCTGTCGGCATAGCTGACAAAGATGATGACGAAGCGCGGCGACCAAGAACTTGGATTGCGACAATATTGCTCAAAAAGATGCGGCCTTTCAACTGGAGAGGACCTGGCTTTTGCTGCTCGCGACGCGAGGCCGATGATTCCGACATACTGCCACCACGCTGACGAAGTCGAGAGCCACTTTTAGAGCGTGAACGGCCAGGTGTTAGGGATAACTGGTATGGGGCCGAGGTGCTTGTGTCTTTGCAGCACAATAAGATATGCTCAAAAAGATAGACGCCGAACTCGCGCTCCGAGTCGCCCTTCGACACAACAAACGTGTCAGAGAGGAGCAGCGACCCAAATGTACGAAGTGAATGCCCTTTCCAGTCCTCGACTCGGGCTTCCAGGTTCTTGACGACCTGCTCATTTTCCTGTGAGCGTTGCGTCTCGTTCACTTTGTCGGTGATGCGGCGGATGGTCGCAAGCGCTTCCACAACGTCGGCGTGGCCCGGCGCACCTTCGGGCGTGTGTTTTAAAAGCTGCTCGAGCAACAAAGGATATTTACAGATGCGCTGAACGGGCTTGATCAAAAAGGTTGGGAGCTCGTATGAAGGCTCCAGATAGCGCGACTGAGCTGCAGGGATTTGGGAAAGCTGAGAAAGCGCTGCGCGCTCGTCATTGATATACTGGAGCGCATTCGCATAGTTGGCACAAAAAAGATCATACACGGAGAAGTCGTCTTCGAGTGACTGGAATATGTAGCCGAGCTGCTGGCTTTCAAGCGGCTTCTGAGCATTCTGCTCCAGACAAATTAGAAAACGCCGCTGTGCATCGACAAGCTGGTCCAAGTTGCCAAAAATGTGGTAAATGGTATCTTGCGACACGATGTCGTACTGTGATATCGCGGATGCATACGATTGCAGGATCTCGAGGTCGTGAACGTACTTCCGCTCCGACTCGAGTAATTCCATGCCCACGAGCTCGCGTTGGTCGCGCGGACACGCGACCGGCGGCTGCGGCGGCAACTCTTCGGATGGCACAGGCGTCGTCGGGTGCAACAGACCGCAGTCTTCCAAAAGTAAAAGGAACCGATCGAGCGTGCGGACGACGCGCACAAACCCATTCGTGTCGCTTAGATACAGCTGCGAGACAGTAAACGTGTCTTCGGGGTCCCATCCAAGACGTTCTTTCAGTGCGAGAATGAACCGCATCACCAGGGCCTTGCATGCATTTGCATTGCTAAGCTTGGACTCGACTCGATACGAAATCGGCGCAATGTGTGCGTATGTGGCGTACACATTGAACAGAACACACAGCGGTTTGCCTTGTCGAAAGTATTGCCACAACTGCGAGACTGGGTCATGCGGCTCTGAGGACGAGCCTGTCGACGAAGACGAGTCGCGACGCTTGCTCTTGCTTCGAAGAGGAAAGTCCCGCTCAAAACCAGGCACACGCGCGAGCCGCTCGCCGAGCTGCAAACAACTCTGGAACAGCCCCGACTGCGGTGGCTGTGTCGTTTTGGGTCTTATGAGCTGTTGAAGAGCATGAAGTGATGACGACGGCGATGTACCAGACCCACCCGCGAAGAATGCGTCTGCTACGCCGTACATCAAAGTATGCTGCTTGCCCTAGGAGTTCTTGGTCGCGATACGAGCGTTTCACCACACACCCTGAGGCTATTCCAGTGGGCAAGAAAGAAAAATTTGTGTATGTCCACGGCGTTGGTCCAAAGGAGCTTGACGTCTTATTGGACACAGAGTCAGTGTCGACAGGCCAGCCTATCTTGCGCTTTGCACAGCTGTCTTTCGTTTGGTCGTTTATGCACTCCACTCTAGGGTTCACGTCAGGGGGAAGGGGGACTGAGGCTGCCTCGAGACACGGGCTACACAAATGATTCGAGAACTGTGGGCTAAGCGGTGGAGATTTAGCCAAGGCCCTATGGGACTTGGTCTTGGACGACGGAGGCTATGCGCACATGGAGAAAAGGGGGGCCAAGGGGGTGGACTAGGAGAAAGGGAGGTGCATGCATTTCACGTGGTTATCACGTGCATTGACGCACGGAGCGCTTCCACGTAGCAAGTTGAACACGTCAGTGTCGTAAAGTAGTGTGTGTGCATGCGTGGGTCGTGGCGGGGTCGGGGGTGACGAGTCGGTTTAGGCCCGTGTGAGGTCATGTAGAGTTATATTTTTTTTACCCGCACACACTCACTCCTCAACCAAGGAATCAAAGAAGGATGCGTGGCATCAGTGCATGGAGTGCATTGGTGACAGCTGTTGCGTCCGTCGCTATGCTTGGAGTACAGGCGGAAGAAGCAGCTGACTCAAAGGTGGTGTCTCTGACGCAGGACTCGTTCGGCAAGTTTGTCAACGACGAGCCACTGTCGCTCGTAGAGTTCTTCGCGCCGTGGTGTGGTCACTGCCAGGCCCTTGCGCCACAGTACGAAGTGGCTGCGAAGGAGCTTGAGTCGGAGAAGATCAAGCTCGCAAAGGTCGACTGCACGCAAGAGGAGGCTCTCTGCTCGGAGCAGGGCATCTCAAGCTTCCCTACTCTCAAGGTGTTCCGCAACGGTTCCGCTTCGCCGTACACGGGTCCTCGGAAGTCGGAGGGTATCGTGAACTACATGGTGAAACAGAGCCTGCCAGCTGTTTCTGACGTTACTGAAATAAATCTGGAGGACTTTACATCGAAGGACTCGTTCGTCGTCGTGGCGTTCGCGGAAGAAAGCGACAAGACGACTCGGGATGAACTGCGTCAGTTCGCTGAGGACCACCGCGACATGTACGTGTTGGGTGTGTCGAGTAGCAAGGACCTAGCCAAGGCGCAGGGCGTCAAGTTCCCAGCCCTCGTGGCGTTCCGCAAGTTCGATGATCCCCGAGCGAAGTACCAGGGTAAGGGCAAGTCGCTCTCAACGGACGAGATCAAGTCGTTTGTGGTGGTTGAGTCGCTCCCATTGATGGATGAGATCAGCGCCGAGAACTTTTTGAACTACGCTGTGACTGGCACGCCGCTTGCTTACTACTTTGTGGACCCGGCGTCGCCGAAGCTCGATGACGATGTCAAGAAGCTCACAAAGGTTGCTCGTGAGTTCCGTGGTAAGGTCAACATGGTGTGGATTGATGCTACCAAGTTCAGCTCGCATGGCAAGGCGCTGAACTTGAAGGGTGACTCGTGGCCGGCGTTCGCAATTCAGGACTTGAAGACTGGCGCCAAGTTCCCGCTGAACGACCTCGGCAAGGACGTGGCTAGCTCGGTGCGCTCGTTTGTTTCGAAGTTTGCTAGCGGCAAACTGTCGCCCAGCCTGAAGAGTGCGCCTGTGCCCAAGCAGACTTCGCCTGTGATTGATGTTGTCGCAGACGAATTTGACAAGTGGGTCTTCGATGACAGCCGCGACGTCTTGCTCGAGTTGTTTGCTCCATGGTGTGGTCACTGCAAGAAGCTCGCACCCACGTACGAGAAGCTCGCTGAGCTATATGCTGCGGATGCTCAGGCATCGAAGCAGGTGCGTGTGGCCAAGCTTGACGGCACCGAGAATGATATCCCACCGGATGCGGATATCGACCTGGCTGGCTTCCCAACCATTGTGCTGAAGCCAGCGGGCAAGAACTCGCGTGAGTTCATTGTGTATGATGGTGACCGTACGCTGGAGTCGCTTGTTGAGTTCATTAGCACGAACGGCAAGCACCATGCCAAGGTTGCTATCTCTAAGGACAGCGGCAGTGCCAAACATGATGAACTGTAGCTGAATGACGCATTATGAATACTAGATAGAAGTGACTTTAGCATGAAAGAGAGCGAGTGCGTTGTATTTCGAGCCTCGAAATTTGGTGTCCGTCGATGTCGTGTTGTGTGTAGGAAGAGGTTCTGCGGCCGAGGCACGGCCAACGACTGGACTGGGACGGAGCACCAACTAGGTCTATCTGCCTCTTGCCTAGACTTTGTCGATTTTAATTTTGAGGAGGTAGGAGGAGGGGGGTGGCGGGAAGAAGGAAGAGGAGGAGCTCGACCTAATAAGCTAGGTCACATTTTGCTCTTACGAAAGACGCCTTGGCGTCCAGCAGCGTGCTCGTCAAAGATATGCCGGGCAACATACGGGTTCACCAGCAGATGCTGGGGGTCGAATTTGGCTGTAGTGGCTAACCAGTCGCTCAAATGTGGATAGTGTAGCAGCAGCTCATGTCGGTATAAAGTATGGGTTTTGGCCCAATGCGGGCGACCATTAAACTGCCGCATCAATGACTCAAAGCGACGGAACAAACGTCGGTAGCGGACAGGCCATCCGTACGGACGGTACTGCACAATGCCAATGTAGCAGGAGCGCCGGCCATAGCATGGGCTCATCCAAATTCCATCTGCATCGACGAACCGTACTTCCACGGGGAAATGCAAGCGCTCGCCATTTGCTTGGGCGTGTTCCAAGTTCAGCCAAGCACGAAGGGCCACGAGCGCTGCACCCGTGTACTCGTAGGGGATGGCATATTCTGTGGTGTACTGCTCGCAGAGGCAGTCAAAGTTGAAGATACGCGGCGCGTCGTCCACACGTACGGAAATGGCTGTATCTGTGCGTACTGGGTGAAGACCACCAGGTGTCGCTGCGGGGTCGCGTGCATGTGTAGGAGGCGATGGGTGTGTGAGATAGTGCGTCATACGCGCTGCCAATGATGGAAGAGACTTATGGAAGCGCGAGGCAAAGAGCATGGCCTTGATCAACGGTGCAGGCGACACATGCCTGAGAGAGAAGATGGAGGAGGTCGGCTCGTCAGCAGGTGCATCTGTACGATTAGCCCGGTCAATCGTGATCATGTTCGCATGTGGCGACCATAAGAAACGCACATGCTGGGCAGATTCGACCAGCTGGTCAATGTGCGCCTGGACAGTAGCGACGTTCCATGGAACAAGCGAAGGTGAAGATGGAGCCGATGCGGACGGTTCAAATGGATGCACGCACTCCGGACTACGCGACGCTGGTGCCAAGTCATGAGCACGTGGTGGTGGTAGAGGTACACCATGTGCCAGCATGATGCCGAGCCACGCGGGGTGCTCGATGAACGAGTCATATGATTGCATTGATAACATGTCTGGAGGCAGTGTAGACAGTGACGGCATCGAGTTGGCCGCTACCGCATCGCCAAGGAGCGCCTCCGTTGGCACTTCTTCTGTGACTTGCAACAGGCGGAAGGCCGGGACCACGTTCAGTGTCACAGAGACAATGACACCCGTCGCGCCGAGGCCACAGAGCGAGGCATTGAACAGGTCCGGCCGCTCTGTCCGACTGCATCGCAGGACTTCTGTGCCAGAGGACAGAGGGCACACCACGTCCAGGGCCACAACATGAGCGGAGAGAACAGGGAAGTGAATTCCGGAGCCATGCGAAGCAGTGGAAATGAGTCCGGCAATTGTCTGCTCGCTGATAGAGCCGAGGTTGGGCAGGCACATGGGAGGATCATGCGATGCGAGTGCAGCTGAGAGTGTCTTGATGTACGTGCCCCCAAGCGCACACGCCTCACCAGCCTCCTTGTCGATATGTACAATTCCATACAATTCATCTGTACGGATGGTCCAGCCAAGAGAGAAAGGCAAATCAGAGGGTGAATGGCGCCGACCGACGGCACGAACTGGCATGGATGCTCTGCGCGCGCGCTCGACGATCGCAACGACTTGCTCGATCGTGTTGGGAGAGAATACACGACGCTCAATGTGAGAAAATGCACCGTCATGCGTAGATGCCTTGTCTGATGCATACACACCGGCCCAATTTTGCATATGCGCCGATGAGGAGCGTGGGCTGAGTGTGACTGGGTCAATCAATGCGTCTAGAGCCGAGAGTGACATCGCGCTAGCGAAAGAGGGTGGTGGATGTCGGTATCGATGAGCGATACCGTCGCGTGGCAGCTGCCTCTCATCGCAGACGTGGTGGGAAGATGAAGCTGGCATCACAACGAAGCAAACTCTGACAGGAACAACAGGGGCGTCGCGTGGCTTGGCGGATGAGCTCAAGACACGAAACGTGTGCAAAATCGGGCGGAAAGGCCAAGTGGGTCCAAGTGGGAGTGACAGCCCTAGGTCCGATGAATTCCGCTGATTCGACGCACACATGCACACATACTCCACTACAAAGACTGGGAAGGCTCTGACACTGACGGTGCTGACGACATCCTGGAATTTGCATTGCCACACAACCTAGTAGGAACAGCAGAAACGGCAGGAACAGGCACTGTGAAGCATGAGGAGGGTGTTCGTCTATAAACCTAGTGGGCATGGACAAAGAGCTCAGGCGACTGCTTCTGTACAAACTCGGCGACTTGCTCGACATGATCGCTCCAGTCTGAAAGACGACGAAGAAGTGCCTCAGTCTGAGCGGTATCGAGGACGCGCGGCTGGACCCAGGTAATATGCACGAGCTGATCCACTTGGTCAATGGAGCCGCGAATCAGACCAAGGCACAAAGCTTTCATCACGAGGTGCTCCACCTCATCCACGGGTATGCGAGTCTCAGACGCGATCGTTTTGAACGAAAGCGTGCGGTCGTACGTGGGCCGGTGGAAAATGCTTTCGATCAGCGCCATGAGGCAGATTTTTTGGCGCAGGAATGGCACATGAGCATACAGGATGGGCTCACTGGGCAGGCGTGGGAGCAGCGCTTCAAAGCGGCCCATATCACCGGCGTTAAAAGCATACAGCAGATCAGAGATCCAAGCGAAATCGGATCCTTGGAGCGTCGTGAGAATCGGGTGCAGGAGCAGCTCGCCAAAGTTGTAGATGGTGTCGCCTAACAACGCCGAAATGCTCAAATCGTGCGCGCACTGTACCTGCTCGCCTTTCGACATGTCGGCGTCGACATGGATGCACGCAAGGAATAGCAGGTAGTTACGATAGTAGTCGGCGTATTCCGCCTTGGCCTTATGGTAATTGCCACACACGCGGTAGTAGGAGGCATGGACCACGGGCTCGACGGATTCGAATGTATCGAGCAGCTTGGCACATCTGTCCATGGCGCTTTTCGTGCCATTCAGATCGTTCAAAAGAAGCTGGAAGTGAGCAGCCTCCATGGTGAGAAGCACATGCGCATCTTGTGTGTCGGGATGATCACTTTCACCGGCAAGTTTTTGAAGGAAAGCCATGGCCTCAGAAGCGTCTTCGTACTGGCGCGACACAATCACGCCAAAACTAGCAAGACGCAGTGGGTTGACATGCTGTGCAAAGGAACGAATAAAGTGTTCGTACAGGTCGATATGTAGCGGCCGCTGCTGTGACGCTGGGTGTCGAAGAAACTCTTCTATCTGCAGCGTCAGCTGGTACCAGAGTCGCTTGTCTCGGAGTTCGCCGAACTTTTCATAGTAGGGCCGCAGCTCATTGGGCACATCTGTCCTTGCGAGGACCGTTGCCACATAGTCGTCCTTGCCCATGGGATATGGCGTTGTAGTGAACGTGAACGAGTTTGGCAAGTGGGGGGAGAAAAGATAAAACGTGAATGTGTCGTACGCCAACCTTCTCCCACTCAATGGCGACGGCAACGCGCAAGCGCTGCTGCTAGCGCTTTTTGTGTGTGGGTGCGTGGGTGTGTGAGTGTGTACACGTATGCATGACGTAAGCAAGATGGGTGAAGCAGGCGCAGTGGGAAAAGGGTAGAGGGGACCGATCACGGTGGGTAGTGCTGCGTTCACTCTCCACACTCGGACGCGAAATACCCCGGCCACGGCTTCAAAGCGGCTGCTTGTCAGAGTCTCACAAACACTGATGAGCGAGTTTGTATCGACTTGGTTCACACCGCCTGTGGGTGTGCAGAAAGGATGGGTAGACTTTTCCAAGTCATCTTTTTGGATTGCTGTAGTGTCTATGTACGTATGTGCTTGACTATGGGGGGAAAGAGTTGCTCCTTGTCGTGAAAGACATCTAACGTCAGTCTGTTCAACCCCACATTTTGGAATATCGTTGCTCAGAATGGTATGTATATTCGCGTACAAGCAAAATCACATGATAATTTCCGCGCTTTCATGTGTGTGTGTGTGTGTTTCTGATGCTCACATGAATAGAATACCGCAACAAGAGTATAACCCGCCTACTGGGTGGGCGTAGGTACTTGGGATGCTACTTGCTCGCATTCACGATTTTCACTCTGGGTATACTCCGCGATCATTTGTACCAAAGAGCTTTAGAAGAGCAGCCTGTCCATACGATGCTCATGCATCCAGCTGTGCGTGTGCTCGCAGTCGTCTTGATTGCCTCCGGCACAGTGTTTGTCCTGTCCTCTATGTGGATGCTTGGTATCACGGGCACGTACCTGGGCGACTACTTCGGCATACTTATGGACCACATGGTCACTGGATTCCCTTTCAGTGTGCTCAATGATCCGATGTATGTTGGCAGTACACTGAACTTTGTGGGAGTGGCCCTGTGGTATGCACGTCCCTCTGGCCTCTTGCTGAGTGTCCTTGTATGGGTCACTTACAGGGTGGCTTTGTGCTTTGAAAGGTATGTTGACATCGTAGACTCAATCGCTAATGCCACCAGTCCCTTCACAGCCAATATATACCGCGAGGCCGCTGAGAAGAGGAAGGAAAAACCTGTCCAGGAAGCACGTAGGGCTCCCAGCGCTGCAGCGCCGGCAATTTCGAGCCACGAGGACGGACCGTCTTCGTCGCACGCGCCTTATGCGGCGCGTTATCAAACGCGTCAACGCGCTTTGTAGGAAAGGCCATTGAACAGATGGGTGTAGAATAGGATGGCTTGGGCAGGAACGAACCAACATGTTAATGGGAGATTTCCTCCACACGAATCGACATGGAGTCGACGCGACATAACCAACGGTTGGTCCCTGTCCAGCGAGGAACAGGATACTAGACGCAGGTGTCAAACTGCGCAGATTGCATCTAGAGAATTAGGATGCGTTTGCGACGCCTGCCACAACGCACATGTAGGCTTCTGCGCGTCAGCCTGTATGCATGGTGTGTTTGCATGCTCGTGCAATGGCTACTCGCAGGGTCCTATGTACAAGGGAGTGCGTGGCGCGATGCAAGTGCCGATCGCGCGTGGCCTCGGCATGTGTTGGTGCTGACGGCACATCCAGACGATGAATGCATGTTTTTCGGTCCGACGATCCAAAGTCTGCTGAAGCTGAATGTGACGATCTCAGCACTGTGTCTATCAAGAGGCAATGCCGAAGGTCTAGGCGCTATACGTGAGCAGGAACTCACCGCGAGTTATGGCGTGCTGGGAGTGCCGAGGGAGCGTGTCACATGTATAAATGATCATGCACTGCAGGATGGCATGCAAGAAGAGTGGAATCCAAGGCATATCCAGGACGTCATAGAAACGCATCTTCGGATCACACTGCCAGGACAGCTGTTGTCTAACAACCACCACAACATGACCCGTACAGACGTGGAGGCGATTCTGACCTTCGACGAAGGAGGCGTCTCACTGCATCCGAATCACAGAGCCACTTATGAGGGCGCGCGTATGTATGTTGAAGACATGCGCGCAAGGAAGCAGGGAGATCATAAGCCACCTGCTCTATGGTCATTGTATTCACTGACGTGGCGCACGAAATTCCTTGGTCCATTCAGCGGTGTGGCCCAACGCTGGTCACGGTCGGACTATGTGTTTTTGGCACCGCTGCGTATGTATGTGACGAGCTTAGCGGCTATGCGTCGGCATAGGACACAGCTGGTGTGGTTCCGGTATTTGTATGTGATATTTTCTTCCTACATGCAGGCGAATCGAATCTACAGTACAACCATGTAAAGATGTAATAGTACAGACATAAGTATACGAAGGTAAAAATACACAACGGGCGCGGTAGACATGACATGCCCGATGCCCCAACATGGTAGACCGAACAAATGCGAGGTAGCCGGCCGGTAGTTGATGCATAAAAAGCTCACGACCGAGGCATCAGCATGAAAACGCATTGGCTGGTAAGAGCACTTAAATGGCAAGGGCGCGCCATTGGATTTCTGGCGTAAATTGCCGCGCACATATATAGCTTGAAAGGCCAGATGACGGGAACCCTGCGCTAGATCGCCACGCATGAGCCTGCTGATTCGGCGCATGCGGCAAATGCGAAGAGGCACGTGTATTCGAGCGAGCGTGCTCCTTCTGATCGAACTGAAAACGAGGTGACGGAGGACGTCGTCGCTGGGTTGGATCGGTAGTACTAGTCGTTGTAGTAGTGGTAGTAGTAGTAGTAGTAGTAGCAGTAGCAGTTGTTGTTGTTGTGGTTGTGGCTGTGGTTGTCGACAGTACAGAGGACATTTGTTCCATCAACTTGTCGGCTTGCGACACCGACGACGGGGGGGTGGAACGTTCCTCCGGGTCAGGCTCAAACGCAAAAGACAGCGGCTCCTCCGCTTTAGGTAGTGTCAACAACGGCTGACGACTTGTGATGCGAAAATCTTTGGGTGTGCTGCGGTACGAAGATACGTGCGGTCCAGCTCCCGTGTCCGGAATCGTCGTACCACGAGCGACGCCTGGAGATGCAGGCGACGACGTGATCTGTGGCGACACTGACACGATGGGCGGGACTTGACATGCCAGCGCGGAAGAATCGGTGTCTTCTTTGGGAAGTGAAAATGGTGTGCGCAGTGCAGTCGCATTGACGGGTGCCTGCTTTACTTTGCTGGGCTCGAGAGCCGTCGGAGACACAAGGCTACTCACGACGGGGGATCGGAGCGAGAGTGTCGAAAACTGTGGTACATCTGGATCGAAGAGCGTCGGCGATGTCCCCATAAGAGTTGAATCTTGGGATCCACAGGGCGGCCCATCGACACTTCTTGGCTGCAGCGCAAGGGTATCATAATGGTGTCGCTGCCACATTTCCCAGTTGGATGCTTGCAAGCGGGGCACAGCGCGAATCCAACGACGCAAGTCGCGCACGCTGCAGCGTGATTCGGGACGCAGAGCAAAGACGCACTTGAGAATGGCATGAACCTCGTTCGAGATCGGGAGGATTTTGCCCAAGAAGTCGGGATCTCGCAGGTATTCGCGGAAAGTCTCATCCGTGGGCGTCGCTTGCTTCCAAGGATTTCGCCCGCAGATCAGGTTGATGAGGATGACACCGAGTGACCACACATCATTCGCAGCTGTGCTGTACTGAGACATACGATTTGTGATGCTGCCTTGGCACTCGGGGCTCATGTAGAAAGAGCTGCCACATCCAAAGTCAGAGCTCATACGATCGCCTGTCGCGAGGCCAAAGTCAGCCAGCATGACACGCGTGCCGCCATCTGCACAGAGAATGTTTTCTGGCTTGAGATCTCGATGATAGATACCGAGGCTGTGGCATTGCTCGACCGCATCGAGGATCTGATCAAATACGCTTTTGATCAATGCATCCATTTCGAACCTGGCACATGCGTATGCAGATGACTCGGGAAGAGGCCGGCCGTCTGCGAAATTCGGGTCGGCCACGTATGGCTCGGGCGGAAGCAGATACCGCCGCTTCTCAGTAATCATGCTGAACAAGTCGCCATCTGGACCAGAAATCGAGATTACCGAACACGTTTTGGTCCCAGGGATGATCAATCACGCGATGAAGTGTCACAACGTTCGGGTGACTCGACATCATCGTGTGTAGGAAAATCTCGCGGCGCTGGAATGCCCGCTGCCGCTGGTCAAGACCTTGCTTATTGAGGCATTTGACCGCAAAGTAGGGGGTGCTCAAGTTCGGAGAGCTGGCAGCATGGCCATTTGCGACGAGAGCGGCTGGAGCATGAACGGACGATAGCAGGGGCCTGCCGCACCTGGTCATTGGATGCATGACCGTGCTGCGAGCCAAGTACACGACACCGTACGCCCCCAGGCCTAGCAAAGAGGTCAACTGCAGGCGTCCATCGGCGATCCTAGACCCGATGAGATTTCGGTGTTGCTGTTGAGTGGAGACAGTCGCCATGACGAGCAACACCGTCGACTCCAGGAGAAGATAGAGTTGGGGGATGAAGAAATCAAGGATCTGATGGGTGTTGTTAAAGAAGTATGGCCTAGGGCCAAGATATTTCGTGCACCAGGAGAGAGTCGACAGTGAATGTGAAAGAAAAAGGAAATGAATTCGATGGATGCGGACAAGATTGAAGAAAAACGGTGAATTTGCTCTCTGTAACTACCTACCAAGCTCGTGGCGCATCTGCCGGAACTGTCGCGACCCACGTACATAATGTCGCTCTGCATATCAATTTAGGTAGCCACAATTTCCAAAAGCGCGCAGCTTGACCGTCTGTGTCGTGTGCAGATGTGTGTCATGTGTGGATTTGATTGGCTAATCTTGTGCGTCAAATTGCCTATCGGGAAAATATGCATCGTCCCCAACAGTGTGGATCGATATATGCGGAACTTGACCCGTCTAGTCCCAAAATGAAAAAGGAAAACGGGGTGGCTCCGGTGGCACATGCAAGGTAATAAAACATGCAGATGAGGCGCGTAAATAGACGCGCACCGGTTCTAGACATGCCCTCATTTGACGAGGTCATTTGACAGATCCGGTGGATCTGCCCGCTCTTACGGACATATACCTCCGATTGAGTTTCCTGATCTTCCGTCGATTCGGACTTGTTTTCCTCGCTTGGAATGAACTCTCTCACGTGATCATGATGCTTCATGCCTGCCATCGGGATGATGTGCTCCTCTCTCCCGATCGAGATGACTCAGCTTGGTGCTGTGTCGCATGCGTGGGGTGCGTCGATTTTTTTCCCTCCCCCCTTTGTCGTCGCATGGCTTGGCATCGGCTTGCTTACCAAGGGACGAGCCCACTCTATCTGTGACACGACCTGATGTAATCACATATGTATGTATGCGTGAATAGATCCCCTCCCCCCGGCTCTTCCGGTAAGCACCCGCGGTCGGGCGTCAATGTGTGGAGCTTGTCCTCGTGCATAGCGCGTACGTGTTCGTGTGCGTGTGCGTGTTCGTGTTCGCGTTCGCGTTCGCGCGTGTTTATGTGTAGGTGAATTGGAGACATCCTGTCACAAAGAGTTGTTTTTTATTTCCAAGATTATTTTCCCACATAGACAGACAACAACGCACGCGCGATGCGCCGGTTGTGGGGCCGGCCCAAAAGCCTACAGCCTTGGCATCATGACGAGAACGAACCTCTGGCGCAATGTATGAATCCGACGTCAGCAAATGCGTCTCGCTCTGCGGCTGTGGCGTCGGATGCGTCGGCGAGACGTGTCGATCAGGAATGTCATCCACATCACGACCAGTCTTACTCGGAGCAACGTCGGCCGCCATCTGAAGTAGCGGGAGCGACGCAATCAATGACCATTCCGACACCCGAAATGCTGCCTTCGTATCCCTCTTACGGGGAGGTGTATGAGCAAGAAACATACCCAGATTGCACGCGTCCGCCACCAAAAGAGCCGCGTATCAGCACTTCACATATGTCAGTGACACGGGAGATGGATCAGCCAAGATCGTCTGGGTCAAGCTCGCCAGACAAACGCAGGACAAAACCCAAGTTTCATTTGTTTCGGCGGCCATTTCATCGGCATAACGAGCACGATGACTTGTTTGAGACAGATTCCGCACTAGACGCCGCGTTGCACGACAATTCGACACCGACGATGTGTCCGAGCCATCCACATACTGAGAGTGTGCACCGAGTGCTAGGAGAGCGTCCGGTGGCGGCACGGTACGGAGTATCAACACATATTGCCCGCGCAACGATGGATCCCGATGTGGTTGCGCATTCTGTGACGGAATTTTGTCTAGCGGATCCTACATCGTTGGATTGGAACATTGTGCATGAGCTGGGCGAGCATGTTCATTCAGGTGAAGCACAAAGCAAAGCGGCTATGGATGCGATTCGCCGGATTCTCCATTCCCACAAACTTCGAGCACAGTGCCGAGCGATCCGTGCGTGGGGATTCTGGGCGATGCTGGGTAGTGGTCCGTTTAGTACGCAAGCCGTGCATTCTCGGTTCTTACAGGACGTTGAAGCGATCCTTGAGAATCCACTTACGTTTGCACCTTTAAGGAATGACATTCTCCTCGTGCTTGGCGCGCTAGCACACCGGTCCAAGCATAATGAGCGGTTACTGCGGATTGCTCGTCTCTGGGCTCGGGTGCGCCCAGGAGCAAGTGCTGAAGAGGGTATCCCACTGAGTGGGCCACTTTTTGCTATTGAAGATGATGACTTGTCGTTATCGAATGATGACATGACTGACACGCCACATATGACAACGAGTGGGAGGCCACACTTGCCTGCGATACCCCGGACGGAACAGGCACGTCCACATGTAGACATGCCCATTGCGTTGATGCCGGGCGCGCTGCTGGCGCCCAGATCGGCGCCTGGGCATTTGCCTGTGACCAAGGGGAGAGGTACTCCTGTGTCTGCGACAGGAGATGCAGCTGTAGCTGCAGCAACTCTAACGAAAACGGCGCCGACGGTGGCAACGACAACTCGGGCACGTGGCATGTCGGATCCAGGGGATACGATGGCCGCGCCGTCAGATCACATCACACCCACATCTTTGCCGACACATCTGCCGCACATGACCCCCGACGCATGGCGTACAGCCGGGAGGCGGTCGCCCAGTGCGACATCCCACGGGGTCTCGACCGATTCAGTTCGACAGAATGCATCATCTCTTTGGGTTCAGTCACAGGAGCCCAGATCTGCTTCGGACAATTCGATCATGGACGATGTTCGCCGAAGTTGCGTGATGGCCCACAGTAGTGCGAATGTTTTGCTGGATACGCTCATGAGCGAAGAGAAAGACGCAGCGCTGGTGCAGGAGTTCAGCGAAGAGGCCGAGTCGCAATATGCGCGACTGGAGTCATATCTGTCATGGGCAACGGAGCGAGCTCCACATGAACATGCTGACAGAGATGCCAGGCAGCAGGATGCGGAAGAGTCTTTGGTCGATGAGTTGATCGGTGCGATTTCACACGTCGGCGAGGCATTGACGCTGCGCGACGAATTCCTCACGGCCGCTACTGCTGCTGCTACTGCTGCAACGCCCGAGCCTCGTGGTCCCGTATCGCCACATCAACAACGATCCAAAGAGACAGCTGCTGACCCACACATCCTTGATACCCCAATGAGTCCGCAAGAGAGTGTGCTCGATATTCCGATGGATGGACCTGTGCAACCCAGCGCCAAGGCGCTAGGGAAGCGCCGCGCTGTGGATCCAGACATGATAGACCATACCCAGAAGCCGCCCTTACCACCCTTGCCACTCTTGCCGAGGTGAGGACTATGAGATACGCAGAAGAAAGAGAGAAAGGGAGTTTCTTCATGACAAGCTATCATAGACTAAAAGGACCACGCACGTTTGTCTTGACCAAGACGAGCAAGAAGGGATTGATTTTGCTGATCCTTGCTGTCAGGAACGGCAGCAGTGGCCTGAGATGTATCTGTAGGCTCGGGCGATGTGGGTGAGGCGGTTGCGTTCGCAGCAGCAAGCTCCTTGGCTGCTTGTTCACGCCGAGCTATGGCCTCCTGGACCATGCGCTCAATGGCCGCATTCTCGCGCTCATGGCGAGTCTGTGCACCTGCAAAGCGTGATCTCCACTCAGCCTCATTCTCCATGTCACGACGTTCTTGTTTCTCGGGGTTCCATGGCATAAGCTGTTGTGGCTTGCCGTCGGGGCCTGGCTCCTCAGGCACACGCGACTTGGGCTTGCGCAGATAAAAGAGACTTGCAGCTGCTGCGACGACTGTGATGGTTTGGAATGCGACGCGGTATCGCAGTGCACGCTGAAACATGTTGCGATTGCCACGGCGCAATTGGACTGTCGCATATGTCAATGCACCGGTCGTCAACAAGGCACCTGATCGAGTCAGTATGACTATGCACAAGTCCACATACCGATAGGAGTCAATGGGTCCTCTCGCATGCGGCGCAAAAGCCTGTCCTTGCCAGACTCGCCAAAGTCCTCCATCCTGACACGAGCAGTGGTCGTCGTTTACAAGACGACAAATCTCGGTGTGGTGGGCGTAGGTTGTGGATCGTGTGGAGGGTCGCCATGGCAGCAAAGAACAATTCCACACACCACTATTTTTCGAGACCAAGACGACTCCTCTCCACTCCATCTGGCAGGACGATGAGTGTAGATCCTGAGGCGGGAGTGGACAAGGCGGCATACATGACCCACGACGGAAGTGGGATCAGAAAAGCACTAGATTCGTACGCTATGGTGGACACCAAGTGGCATGCAGTTTGGTAAGTGCATGCCAGTTTCTGCGAGACCACAAGAGAGCCCCAAGGAGATGGAAAGAGAGTGTGTGTGTTATGTTGTGGGCCATCGAATCATACAGGCCGTCTTCGAGAAAGTGTCTTGGATGCGCCGTTAGCGGTCCTTGTCGATGCATTCAACGCGCAGGCTACGGCTCAATAGAGTACCTGCCAGCCACTGTCATACGCGTCGTAGGACTCAGGACAAGCGGTGTGCCAGACGCCTCGACTTGGACCTCCATGGGACTGGGTGTGGAAGCGGGCAGCCGCAATGTCACTGAGATCGGGCTGAGGCGTACCTTGCGAGCAAAGGGGAAAGCGGACGGGCCCCCCGGGCCATCGATCGCGGTGGAACGCCAAGGAAAGGGTCCGGGGTCGGGGGTCCCCACTCACCAACAGGCTCGCTGCGAACGCCGCCAGTCACCTGTGTGTCGGCTGGGAGCGTGAGCTGGAACGAGACATCTTCCAGTCTGTCGCCGCATGGCATCGCAGGATTCGTTCGGTGCATGAGCAGCGCAGAGCTCTGCGTCGGCTCACAGCGCCACTGGACCTGGAGTAGGAGGGGCAGGTACCGATCGTATTCACTTTCAGGCACATGGACTTGGTAGTCCAGTGCACGAATTTCCGCTGACTCCAACAACTGGAGCTCAAAGAGATCCGGTTCCTTGGTCCGCGTACAGAGGGAGCCGAGGCGTGTCTGTGCCATGGCCTCTATATGCAAGAGACGCAGCAGAATACGCACAGGCTCAGGTTTCGACGTCGAAGACGTGAAAGACGTGAGAGAAGAGGACAAGGGGCCTGCAGAGACGCGGACCTCGCCCACGACCATGACGTGGTCGAGACGACCACGCTGCCAGATGGCATTGACCCGTTCATACAAATGCACTTGAATCGGCACCGGCGTATGCGGCACAGATGCCACCGATTTTGTCTGTACAAGTGCTGGTGTATAAACAGCACTCATCGTCTGGGGCGGGGACGTGGCAATGGCACTGGCTGACTCAAGCGCGGCGTCAGAGCGTGGCGTCGTCATTTGGCTGTTGACCAAGGGAGACACAATGGGGTGGCCGTGTGAAAAGCTCAGACGCGAGTGACCCGCGGTCGGATGTATCGTATGAGGAAGCACGAAAGTCGCGTCTTCGCGAGGTTGTGGGAGTAAAGTGAGCATTTTGTCGAAACTGCTCGCGAACTCGAAGCATCTCCGCAGTGTCATCCGATAGGGATGTGTCGTACGATGCCGATGGCGCATAGGTCGTGCGTCTGGCGTTCCGCGAAGCGCTCTCGCTTGTCGGCGCCGTTGCGAAGGTGTGGGCGGTGGACTCAGGTGGCTCTGTGCGGGCCGAAGACGTATACGGCCCGGGCTCCAACGGTGCACCACGAATAGCAAGACCACTCGGTGCATCAGCGAATGCGCCGTGAAACTCGGGTGCGATGGCATACGAGTCCGAGACATCGCCGGCACTGACAGTGGCAGAGTTCTCTGCCTCAGGAATTTGTGAGACGCGATGTGCTGTATGTGTGTTAAACGAGCTGAACGGACCATGTCGGTCGGGTGCACTTGGCGCATCAGGCGTCTCGCTTCCTTCATATACATAGTGCGTGTCGTAGATGCCAGGCGCAGGTTGGGTGGCAGCGTAGGTATGAGGCTCTTCAAAGACACCCTGCGGCTTCATGGGCTGCTCTTGAGCAACATGAATCAAGTCTGTCTCAGAGGCAGTGGCATTGTGAGCACCCGCGTCACGAGCATCGGGGAACGATGAATCAAGCATCGATGCGGCAGCGACATTGGGAGCAGTCGCGGCACCTGCTGCGGTGTCTGAAGCTGTGGCTGCCTCTGAACCTGCTGGAGGATCAGTGTTTGCCGTGATAGAACGGATCCCAGAACCGAGTCCAAGTCCAGGCATGTCCCTATGCGGCACGATCGATGGTCGATGCATTCGAGCACCGGTCTCATCATCCTGACCATGCTCATGAGGAAGGTGCAAGGCGTCTTCTTCCACGTCTTGCTGGTGTTGCAATGAAAATGGGTGGTGATGGTGGCGGTGCTGATGCTGATGCTGATGCGACTGCGGTTGCTGATACTGATGAATGAATTCGGACGGAAGAGGCACACTGCGGAAACCTTCCGATTCTACCGTCGGCAACGAAGACACGCCTGAGAAGCGCATCATGTCCTGCCATGGGTCGAATTCTTTGGCAGCTTGGGCCGTGGATCTCGCCAACTCATAAATACCACGAGCCAGCTCACCCTCGCCCTTCGCTAGGTACTTTGCAGCCTCACGGAGCATCGAGAGACGCTCGAAATCAGCAACTTCGTACGCGCGCAACGCCGACGGCACACGGCGCTTCCAGGTCTCCTGCGCACGCGCATACGCTTGCTGCGTAGTGGCGAGTTTCGATTGTGCCGAGGCATTGTTTCGTTTTTGGTCGACTTTCCGCTGGTCCTTGCTGAGCTGGATCTCAAGCGACTGCAGCTCCTTGAGAGATGGCACGAGTGCGTCGTCATGACGCTGCAAGCCCGACCACTCGCCATGCATGGGGGCCTGATGCAACGTCTCTCGCTGCCGCTGTAGCTGACGCGCAAAGACGGTATGGTGCTGAGCGATTTGCCCGATGTTGTCTACCAGGCGCGTGTACACAGGTCGGAAGTCGAGTGGCATGAGCGTCGGTTCGCCTAAGCGCTTAGGCAGTTTCTGCAGTTGCTTGATGTAAGCTTCTTCAGCCTCGTAGCGTGCTGCCATGTAGTCTGCGAGCTGCTCGTGAAAGACTTTTGCCTGGCGCATGCGCTGCTGAAGAGCCTGAAAGCTCGCGCGTGGCTCCCTGTCGATGAAGGCCGTCTCGTACATGGAGGCATCTTGCGGAGGCATAGCCGTCGATATCTCTGACATGGAGACTGACTCGTTGCACCCGCCCTCGGAGTCTCGACCGTTCTGTCCCACAGAGTACGAGTGGCAAGCCAAGCCACCCTCACGTCGTGGGGTGTGTGAATTGTATGTGTGTGTATGTGTGTTACGAAGTGGATGACGTGCAGAAAATCTGCACAGAATATGATTGGCTTCCCATTGTGTGGAAAGTTGTCGCGCAGCGACTCCACGCTGGTGTGGATATGCCACGTGGTAGACTGGCGTGGAGAAGTGTGCGAGAGGCCTCTTAGGCCTCGCTACAACGACACGCGTGACAGAGCGCAGCTGGTTGTCTATGAATGGGTGCGTGTGAGTCCCAGGGACAGAAAAAAGAGAGCGCAGAACGGAGAGCAGGCCGCTGTTCACGGCCTGGACACCGACCACCACCACACCCGTTCTCACATACGCAGACTGCGTGTACGTGTGTGTGTGTGTACATTGAACGCGAGAAACGAACGAATCAGCGAACGCATAAATACGTAGTAAGGAGAGGCAGCTACAACTGCAAACGCAGCCGCAGCCACAGCCACAGCTACAGCCACAGCTACAGCCACAGTCAGCAGCAAGACGAGCAGTATCGGTGAAACATGGCGGATTTTGTGAAGCTGTCCATCTTTGGTACTGTGTTCGAGATCACAACACGGTATGAGAATCTGCAGCCAGTGGGCATGGGCGCTTTTGGCCTCGTATGCAGTGGACACGACAAACTCACTGACACGTCCGTGGCCATCAAGAAGGTGATGAAGCCCTTCAGCACGCCCGTGCTGGCGAAGCGCACGTACCGAGAATTGAAGCTGCTCAAGCATATTCGCCATGAAAACATCATTTGTCTGAGTGACATCTTCATTTCGCCCCTGGAGGACCTGTACTTTGTGACAGAGCTCCTCGGCACTGACCTGCATCGCTTGCTGACCAGTCGTCCCCTTGAGAAACAGTTTGTACAGTACTTCTTGTACCAGATCCTGCGTGGCCTCAAGTATGTGCACTCTGCCGGTGTGGTTCACCGTGACCTGAAGCCCAGCAACATCCTAATCAACGAGAACTGTGACTTGAAGATCTGCGACTTTGGTCTGGCTCGTGTGCAGGACCCACAAATGACTGGTTACGTGTCGACGCGCTATTACCGAGCGCCTGAGATCATGCTCACGTGGCAAAAGTACGACGTGGCCGTGGATGTCTGGAGTGCAGGCTGTATTTTCTCAGAAATGCTCGAAGGCAAGCCACTGTTCCCTGGCAAAGACCATGTCAACCAGTTCTCGATCATCACCGAGCTGCTGGGCACGCCGCCTGACGAGGTCATCCGCACCATTTGCAGTGAAAATACCCTGCGTTTCGTGCAATCGCTGCCGAAGCGCGAGCGTATTCCCTTCCACCAGCGCTTCCCTCACACAGATCGGGAGGCCCTGGATCTCTTGGACAAGATGCTGGTGTTTGATGTGAACACCCGCATCTCTGCCGGCGATGCTCTCGCGCACCCGTATCTTGCGCCATATCACAATCCAGCCGATGAGCCCGTTGCGGAGGAAGCGTTTGACTGGAGCTTCAACGATGCCGACCTCCCCATCGATACGTGGAAAGTGATGATGTATTCGGAGATCCTCGACTTTCACAATATCGAGGAAGTTCCCGCAAATGAAGCTCAGATGCCTGCTCAGGCAAGTGGCCCTGCGCCTGCTCTGCCGCAAGCCCAGCCGATGCCTTCGGCGTACCATTCCTCCATGCATCCTTAGGTACAGTAGTTCCCAGCGTTCCTGCCCTTTCCTGATTCGCACCATTCTTTCTTCCGCCCTTCGGCACATGCTCCCTACATTGTAACGTCCACTTTCATGTCGTGCTTATAGTGTGCTGATCCATCCCTGGCAAATATGTGAAAGACGCATCTCGCCCCGCCTTGCAACATGCATTCCGACCACTGCTTGTCGGTCATGTAGCGGAATGAACACTGAGAAGAAGCATCGGACCTCCACATGCACGTCATTCTCCTCACCATTCCGTTTGCAACAATTGCCCCAGTCGGAGAGACACGCATGGTGGTGGGGTTCGGCAACGGGCACACAGGGGCACCAGCATGTGGCGTGTGGCTTGTGTGTCTCGGGATCTTGTGTGCCATCAGTTCAATCACTGGCATTCATGCCGCATCTTCCGATACAAAGGCGGCCTCGTCATCGTTGTCATCGTTGGCATCGCCCAATTCATCCTCGAGCTTCGCCCTGCCGAAGCACTCGACCAACTCCATGATTAGTGCCAGTACCGGCATCTCCATACCTACGTCAGTCGTCAACAAAAACCCCAAGCCAGGACATGCGATTGCACTGAATGATAGTCAAATTGTTCGCAGCAATCTTAGGATCAATGCTTCCGACGGCCTGTTTTATACATTCAATACGACCAAAGACAAATCTGTATGGATCTCGCTCTCCCTGTGCCAGGGACCAGGTATTCCCGCTTATAATACGAGCGACGAAGACTTGCTTGATCGACTCGACAAGTCGGCGGACGAGGCTCAGCACATGACACTCGTGTCGATGTACGTGTCGCGAGACAAGTCGAATCCACGTCCGGGACCCAAAACAAGTTCATCATCCAAGTATGTTGTGTATGCACAGGGCGGCTGGACACAGATTTCATTGAGCAAGGGATCAGATCAGGGTGTGTATATTGGCGTGTGGCCCCCTGAAGACCCACGGAACGTCTCTGGTGAATACGTGATCCAAATGACAGCATCGACGAAAGGCTCGCTCGAAAGAGTCGACTATGTGCCGAGCCTGTTTCTGGACGACACCGACCGTGAGAATGCGCTACTCACTTCGTTCAACTACACATCTCCTGCGCCTAATATCAGCCTGATTGTGCTGCCGACGCAGGGCGACTTTTCCTTATCATCTATCACGTATTTTAATTCGTCCTTCTGCCGCATCTTTGATTTGTGGGAGGAAATGAGCTTTCTGGGAATTCAGCCATTTATCAACAGTAGCGAGACGAATCGCAATACTTTGCCGCGTGTGACTCGTGGCGCTAACAACCAGCCAACGGCGCTACCGACACCAAGCTTCGAGAATAGTGCCAAAAACGTGTCGTTCTCAACCTCTTCGAATGCGGCGTCAAATAAGAAACGGATGGCCGCGCTCGATCCCGGAGATGTGACCCAGCTGGAGCTGACGGCGGTCAATACCACAGACACGAACGTGACAGAGCAAGTCTTGGCTCAAGTCCGCAAGCAGTTCCACGTGTCAGGACTTTCGCCCGGAACGAACTACACGGCGTATCTCGTCTCGTCCAAGGATGTTGGCGAATCAGTACAGCGAACGTTGTTCCCATCGGTCAAGTTCGTGACAAAAACGGCAGAGAACTGCAAGCTCATGTACGACTTGGACTTTTGTCCCGAACTCGCATACTCAGTCCCTTACAATCCAAACATGTCGCAAGTTCTGGCGCTGCAAGCGCTTGAAAACATCATTACCCAGAATTACATCAACTTCACCAAGACTCTGGACACATTCCCATGCGCGTCGGACAAGTTTGGCCTGTACTCGAGTGTGTCTACGTGCGATGACTGCCGACGCTCATATCAGAATTGGCTATGTGCTGTGGCAATTCCCCGATGCACGGATCTTGTTGATCCTGAAAAAAGTGCGGCTAGTCAGAACGGTACCGAGCTCCAAGGTCTGCCGATGCCCGCCAATGTTCATTTATACCCTTACATCGTCAATCGTGTTGGATCAAACAGCAGCCGACAGGCATACATTGACGAGATCTTTGCACCAGGTGACTACGGCGAGCTCCTCCCGTGCTTGCTGACGTGTGAAATGGTCACTCGGACTTGTCCGCCGGTAATCCAGTGGCAGTGTCCGCGCTGGACGGTCACGGCACAGCGTGATTATGGCGCATTTGCTGATGCAGGTTCCGACGGCTATGGTGTCGGGCAAAATGGGGGTGCTGGACCTGACGGCATGCGCTTCGGCGGCGCATACACCCGATATGTCGCACAGGATGCATTTGGCCATGTGTACTGCAATGCGATGCATGTCGACCGCTTGTTTCGTGAGGCCAGCACGGGTGCACCGATGCGCACCATCATGCCCTCTTGGCGCATATGGACAGCCACGCTCAGTATATACATTCTTAGTGCTCTTGTTCTAGGCTAATGACCATTGTACGATGATCAGGATCGAGACGCAGCTTTCTCACGTGCTCCCGGAGGTGGAGCATACAACTGCAATGTCGATTCGTGCCCCACGAAACACATGTGTAGGACATGGTGGTGCTATCTTGACAGAGCCAACGATAGCTTCGTCGCTGCACTAAGCCACTCTGGCTTAATGTGTTTCGTTGCTCGTTCCAAGTCGCTGTGATGTGATTGCGGTGAGGGAGTGATATTGTGGTGAGTCGACGTGACACGGACGTTCCACCCATCCATACGCCGACCTTGTTTTTTTTTTTTTTTTTTTTTTTTTTGCAGCGGGTAGAGGAGAGTTGGAACAAATCCCGAAAATTTGCACACTGCGTGATGGACCTAGGTCGTCTTGAGCAAAATTTGATGCCCTCGGGTTGGGCTTTAGATAGGACGTAGCAGGGCGACGAAGACATGTCGACTCTCAAGTGACAAGGAAGTCGAATTTGGAAAAAGAGAATCACTTCCAACGAGAAAAAAGAAAGTTTCTTTAGTTGCTGCAATTAACAGCAGTAGATCACATTATGGGGTATAGAAGGCGGTGTTCATGGCAGACAATAACGAGAACAAGGTTGGCTCATCACTCGCGGAGGCCAAGACGGCAGGCATCAACGAAGTAGCCGAAGTACGATGTCGCTTTATGTGGCAAAGGGGGAGTGGGAGAAAAATAGGTAAGCAGACAGTATCAAAGATCCATCCTTGAAGACACACGCGGTCTCTAACCGTTCATGAACATGTCAAACCCTGTTCAGCTTCACGCACGGACACCTATCACGTGGCTGGCTGTGGAACCACATATGAATGACATGAGGAAGCAGCGAATCAATCTCATCAAGCAGACCAAAAAAAATTTGGCGCGCAGATATGCGCGAGGCCGTTTCGCGATCCATCGGAGCCAAGGACATTGCTCTTGATTGACTCCTCCTAGACATAGAGCGTGGGTGTGATACTGTGTGTGTGTGTGTTTGTGTGTGTGTTTCGAGTGGTTTGTATGAAGAAATTGGAATCAGAGGAGGAGAAAGAAGCATGCGTAGAAGATGATGCATCATTCTGGGCAGCAGCCTATTTTGCGCCACTTCACCTGACGCTGCGACGGTGGCATGAGCGGATCCCAGCGACTCAGAGATTCACCTATGTGATGGATCACTGGTGGCCGATTCTTCTGGATGGCCTGCAGTCTACATCGACACGGATGCGGCCAATATGCATAGCGCCGTACGATGAGAATGACTGGTTCATTCAGCGGCTGATTTTGCTATATGTGTGCCATGTGCCCTATATGGAGCATAAGCCACCGCCACCTACCAGCCTGCAGCCATTCCGGCCGATTTTGGATGCATATTCGAGATGTATGTCGTCCCATGGCCCCATGTCTGCCTGGATTGAGCGCGATGGTTTGCCAAAGGAACGAGACGCATGGAACAGTGTGCTAGACCTGCTACGGAACGACCCGGCCTGCCTTCGCGAGGTCCGTCCCTATACGTGGCGAGGACATGCATGGCCAGCGCATAAATACACGGATCACGCATTGGATGCGTATGAACTGAGCCGGGCATTGAGCTTGATGCGCGAGCGCCGATTGGGCATCAAAGCCATGAGCATCCACCAGGTGCACTGGCTGTATGAATACGTCTGTACATGGCGTGCGCAGCTTCCGCAACGGACTATGCGACCACTAATGCTGAGCTATCAGAGAGACAGCGTTTGTACGATGGAGGATGCTTGTCATATGGCGCAGCAAAGTATGCGCGTGGCGTATGAATGGATTGTGTACTCGGCACTCGCGGCTGCACCATCCGAGTCGATGTACATGCTGCAGCGCATGTGGGAGCAGCTGGGAGAATGCCTTGCGTATATGCCACAGCCAGCGCGCGTTGCGAATGTGCTTGTGAGTCTTACGCATGCAACGGAGTACGTGCGAGGTGATTTGGCTTGCTTCCTGGAGCAGACTGCTGTGATGTCTTCACCATGCCGAGTCTTGGCTGATATACGCATTGCATGGCTCGTACGGTTCGTATGTATACCGCGATTCCTCAGTATTCTGTCTGAAAGAGTTGACAGTGGCACGTGCTCAGACACAGATGCCAAGTTTTTCTGTACGTTTGCTCTCAGGTTTGTCGACGAAGTGACAGACCCAAACGTGAGGGGGGCGGACGCGGTGGTTCGTGCTGCGAGTAGCAGTGGCGAAAACGACGACGATGCCAATCTTGATCGCGTGCCCTTTACATACGACTTGGCTCTGCGTGTGATTGAGCCCACAAACGATGGCGCTGGAACTGTAGAAGCTGCGCCAGCAGCTCTCGCTGCGTTCCGGCAGACCTTTGAAAACTTGGAGCCACTCTTTATAGTGCTGCGCCGCGCAGCACTGCAGATGTCGAAGCACACCTACGGTGCTGAGCTTTACCGAACCCTATCTATGCACATGACAGAGGTATGATGCGGCTTTGTTGGCCGTCGTCTGTGCGTGTAGGGTAGGCCTCGCCCCATCGACGGACTGCCTAACTTGGTCGCTGACCGATCCGCCGGCTGATGCATGCATGGCCCGTGCACCAACACCAGCACATCCTGGTCTGTACATCACGTGACTCGATCCAATCAAGCCCAGCGGCTGCAGCTACGCGAGGCGCGTGACGTTGTTTTAGGGGTCTGACCTTTCCATCTTGTGACGGCCACCTATGACGAAGCAAGCGCAGGAGCATGCGGCGGCGCGCGCTTCGCCATCGGCCGCACGTGCTCTGCTGGCACTCCAGATCGGCTTGCGGTTGCTGACGTTCGTGCTCAACCAAGTGCTTGTGCGCACGACGCCGCCTGCCGTGTTTGGCGCAGCGAATGTCCAGTTGGAACTGGTGCTTAGCACGGTGCTCTCGCTCTCGCGGGACGGCGTGCGTGCCATCATGATGCGGCACCGCGAGTCGCTTCGCAAACATGGAGCCACAGGTATGCTACACAATCTGGCCCTTTGGCCCGTGGGACTCGGTGGTGTGCTGGCTGTGCTGGTAGGCTGGATGTACATGGCGTATCTTGCTCCAACGGATCTATGGATTGAAGGAGGCGCGTCCGTGTACCTGTCAGTGGTGCTGTACTGTGCGGGTGCGTGGATCGAGCTGGCTGCTGAGCCACTTCACACGTATGCGTTAGGACTCGATCGCGAGTATGTAACGATGCGTGTCGCTATGGAAGCGGGTGGAGTCCTGACCAAGTCGCTTGTGAATGTGCTTCTTTTGCAACCTGCCTGTCTGGCATGGATGTCTCGCGTGCTCTCGCCGTACATCCCATTGCCGCCGACGCCTATACCCTACGCGCTGTTGGCGTTTGCCCTAGCGCGTCTTGCGTACGGATGTGCGGTGCTAGCGATCGCGATTGCGGGCGTGGCCCGAATCTGCGGTTCATGGCGCAAGGCTCTGATGACGTTAGCGCCAGAAAGAGCGCCGTGGATCGATCGACCGATGTTCGCATTCTTGCGTGTAACGACGGGCCAAGCGCTTCTGAAGCTGCTGCTCACCGAAGGCGACAAGCTCGCTATGGCACGTTGGACATCTCTGGACGACCAAGGCGGGTATGCACTCGCGAGCAACTATGGCTCGCTTGTCGCACGCACATTGTTCCAGCCCTTGGAGGAAAGCTCGCGCTTGCGCTTCTCACGCTGTGTGGATGAGCAGCAAGACGCTGAGCAGACAGCTGCTGCATGGGCAGATGCGGCAGAGTTTCTGGGTGCACTGCTACATATGCACCTGCTCTTTGGCTTGGGGCTCGTGGCGCTTGCACCGCCGATCTCGAGACCGTTTCTGCGGATCGTCGCTGGAGCGCGCTGGACGCTGCCGACGTCACCGGCAGCGCGGATCCTCGCCAGCTATTGCTGGTATGTGCCTGTGATGGGTGTCAATGGCCTCGTTGAGGCCTTTGTGCAATCGGTGGCGCCTCCGGCTGTCCTTCAAACATACTCGAGTGTATTAATGGGATCGAGTGGGGTGTTGGTGGGTGTGTTGGGCTTGCACAAGTACGTGGCCATGGGACTTGCCCCTCTAGGCTGGGGCGCAGAAAGTGTCATTGTCGTTGCGAGTATGGCGAGTCTTGGCGTGCGAGCGTACGCGTCCGCTCGATACGTCGTTCGTGCATTTGAGCAGCGCGCACGCAGCGCACCGTCACTCGCCGCGTATCGTACGAGCGTGTCGGCTGTGTGTCCGCACGTGGGTGTCATAGCCGTTCTCGGTGGGTGTGCAGCGCTTCTGCGACTCCGGTTGTCTCTTACGTCTTTTGGTACATGCGCGTTGCTGGCGATGCTGTGTGTATGGCACTGGGAACGAGTCGCGTGTGTAAATGCATGGCGCGTGCTCCGTTAATGGGTATATATATATATATATATATGTAGATATATATATGTGTGTATAGATATATGTAAACATATGTACGAAAAAGTGTGTATCAACAAACCATGTCATGGAAGTGGAGAGAGATATTGGTAGGAAAAGGAACCACCATGACGTCATGTTGGCATAAGAAGAGAAGAAAAACATACGACGAGCCGATTGCTCTAGCCGAGCGCTTCGTGCACACGTTCACCACATGACATGAGCGTGGCTGCCGTCGGTGCCAAGGCCATCGCTACGGCCATCACACACGTGTGCCTTGGGCAGGCGTTCTAAGCAAGACGCTTTTGCGTACGCCGAAGAGAGGCCGGCTTAACACACGCGGGGGATTGCAGCGAGTGCAAAGAAATGAGCTGCTGAGCCAAAAAGTCGCTTGTGCCAGGCCGCATACGAAGGATCTTCATCGCCATGTCAGACATGAGTGAGGTGTCGTCGCCTGCACCCTGCTTCGCACGCTTGTGCTGCCGAATGGTGCCAAGGGAGCGCTGCTGCAGCACGGACTTGGAGCGCGAGTGACTCGCGGCAAGACGAGCCTGAAAGCCACGCACACACTCGATCATCAGTGCATCCGTACTTTGGTCGTGCAGGAGCAAGTACGACAGGAGCTCCCGGTACTTGGACCCTTGGAGAATCGACAATGGCAGGCCGTGGGCGACGCCCGTCTCGGGATCGTACGCATTAAAGTAGCTGCGCAAGAACGAAAGCCACTTGAACACAATGTCGACCTCCTTGTCGGACAGCTGCTTCATGTCCGACGGCGCATCTGACAGGGGTGGCACAAGGAGCGACTCGAGCGTGGCGAGCACTTCTTTCCACACACGTGTGAGGACAAGCTGAGCCTGCGTCGGTGTGAGACTACTGTGCAGCGTGCCGAGCGTTTCTTCAAAGTAGTCCAGCAGGGGCACAATCGCAGCCTCGATCTCCTGGTCCGTCAGCGGCGGCGGCCGGCGCTGTGGCGCCGAGGCTGGCAAGTGAAGCTGCGGCAGGAGAGGAAGGCCTGGGGCTGCGCCATTCGCCTGTGCAAGCGCCGACGCATACAGGGCACGCACGTTGCCAAGAGCTCGGTCCATGCGGCCACCACGCACGAGAGAGGCCAAGACGGGGCGCGAGAGAATGCGTCGCATGTACAGTGAGATGTGGTCCACGAGAGCGCGGGTCATCTCTGCCTCTGTGCGCTTGACGATGCGGAACGCGCGGCCAAAGATGAAGAGGATGCCATCCTGCGAGTCCTCCATACTCACACGGAGCAGAAGCTTGCCGCCTGTGCGATCGAGATCGAGCCATACGTCGTGCGTGTTGACATCAGCAAAGAGCTGTGGATCCAAACGCACAGTTGCGCGTCCAAACAGGAGCGGGTCGCCTTGGGGAAGGCGATGCCACATCGTTGCAGAGATCCACTGGGCTGAGGCCAATGGCAGATCTACGACTTCGTCCCAGCGTGGCGAGCACGAATCGAAGATCGTGCGTGTCTTGGCGAGGCGTTCCCCACGGTCGTCACTAAGTGTCACGAATGTGTCGAGGCGCGACGACGCACGCGCACTGGGTGGCAGCTCGGCCTGGACGACCTTGACAGAAAACAGGTACGGCGACGGCACATGGTTACTGGACGTGCTAGCGCCACTTTCGTCCGGATCGGTCGTGGCTGCTACCGGCGCCTGCGACGGTGGCAGCCGCGCTGACCCCGCATCGCGCGCATGCCGCTGCACAATGTCTGCCTGCTTATCGGCGTCGATTCGTTGGTACAGCGTATCGAGAAGTTGGCGTGCAGCCTCCATATTATTCAGCATCACACACGAGTGAGGCTGCAGCACAAACGGCGGCGGTGGCACGTGATGTGACTCGCCACGGCCCCAACGCTCACGAAAGTCGCTCTGGAGCGTCTGCTTCGCACGAGCGACCCAAGCAGCCTGCTTCGGCGGAAGAGTGAGGCCCATGGCACGCGACGGTGGTCCCTCATCCTTACCGGAACGATCAGGACTTGACTGGGCTGCACCTGACTGCGTCGTCGGCGATGATGGTGGCCCATGGGACGCCGGCGCCGGTGCCTGCAACTCCCGCTGCTGCTGCGACATATCGGCCATATACCGGTCTGCCACCTCGTGGCAGTACTGCTCCACAAGCCGAGCAAAGGCGCGGGACAAAGACGTGAGGAACTCGGCTTGCTGAAACTCGTTGGGCCAGTCCAGGGACTGTACGTAGACGATCGGCTGCTGCAAAGCCTCGAGCATGTCCTGCACCGACGAGCTGTGCATGGCATTGGCAGCATCAACAGGCTCGAACGAATCGTTCTGAATGGCTCCATGCACCCATTGACTCGCACGTTTCTCGCTGAAAGAGATCCACATCTCGACGAATGCGCGGAAAAACGCACACACGTCAAAGTCCAGATGCATGCCACCGGCCGTGCCAGACGTGCTCGGCGCACTACGCACATCTGACTCACAGTGACGCATCAACGCACGAATCTGCTGGAAGAGATCCAATGCGTCATTCACACGCGCGATGTCCTGGGACTGCCTCACTTGGAGGACGATGGCTTCGTGCACAGACGCCAGGTCGCCCAGGTACATGGGCACGAGACCGATGGCAACCTGATCAGCGGGTACGAAGCCAAGGATCCGGGGCGTAGAGAACCGAAGACTCTGCGCTTTGATTTGACGCTCAACCCATGTGTGCAGCTCCAAGAATCCACGCAGCAGGTCAGAGTGCGCCCGGAACACAGACTGTGCTTCCGCCGCATACGCATGCATCGCCGCTTTGCGCATGGCCTCCTCCAGTGGTGCCGTGTTCACAGAGATCTCGCCAGGCGACAGCGACTGGGCACGCTGAATCATGCGGATCGACGATGCACACTCGTCCGTCATGGATGTGTCGAGCTTTGACATATGCGAGTACACAACACGGAGGAGCGAGTCGCTGAGCCACTGCATCCACTTAGCCAGGGCGATGCGATCAGCACTACGCCACATAGACACGGGCAGCTCCTTGTCGATGTACAGCTCCAGCTGCACCATGGCATCAACGAGACACTCAAACGGAATTTCGCCTGCATCAAACTTTGTCCGACACACGCGCAGACGCGCCAGCTTTTCGTAGGCTGGTGACACACGCCAGCGCCTGGCACATGTGCTGAGCAGCTGCGTGTGAATTGGCGACAGGATCGTTAACGAAACATCTTCATCGGCAGCCTTATGTCGGATGGCATCGAGATCTCGGTCTATGCACCGTTCCAAGAGACGCAGGTACGCGGCACATGGGTCAGGAGGGATATATGTAAACATATCAGGCTGATCATCGCTGCCGCCGACATCTTTGGTCAGCTCCGCCATGCTGAAGGACGATGCCGGGAACGACTCTAGACGACCCATGTCGCTTGACGCTTTGCGCCGCGAAGAGCTGTCACTCGTGCTCGAGGCAGTGAGCAGATCTGGCCGTGCTTGACACAATTCAGCAACAAGCTGAGACAGCTGCGTGAGTTCCTGTGAACGCCACTGGCGGTAGGCATCAGGCGTAAGAAAGTCGTCCGGACATCCGGGCCACGGCGTCTGTGCATGAATCTGGTAGATGCACCGTTTCAAATCGACAATGCCGTCAGGTAGCGAGCAAGTTTGGCTGACTGACTGCACGTCCAATTGGAGCTGCCATTCTTCCACGTCGAAGAGCTTGCCTGTCGCGACAATGAGATCAGACTTGGCTGGATCAGAGTCTGACAGCAAAGCTTTTGAGGCGGCTGGCACTGTGCTTGTTGAAGAGGTGAACGCCGACGGCAACGATGACGAGGACGAAGATGCTGCATCCACTGATCGGCGACTGGGTATCGTAGGTATTGAGCTGCCGCTCGACAGATCAGAGGGACACAGACGGTTCCCTTTGTATGCGCTAAGATGTTCCAGCAGCTCTCGAGAAGCACTTGGCATGGCTCGTAAACATTCATGGACGACACGGATAAATAGGTCAAATTGGATCTCGATTTCCTGTCGAGCATCGGCCTCGTTGACAATGCGTTTCTTCACCGACGTCTGAGTAGATGAGATGAACATCAGCAGGACACTCTCGAGGTTTCGGCTTTCTTTGAGTCGCTTCTGTGTTGCTTCATCAACAAGGACCCCGTAGAAAGAGCCAATCGTCTGGCGAAACGCCGGTTGGTGGAAAAACGGGTCACGGCCCATAGCGATGCGTTCCATACGCTCCGTCAGCTTGCGCAGAAACTTGTCGGGAAAGCGCATAGTCGTTGAGGACGATGCTGAGTTCGAGTTCGATGTCGCTGGTATGGCAGGACTTAGCCGCAATTCTCGTATGCGATCGGCCAAACTGGGTCGATCGGCTCGTGATGACGACGACCCGGACGATGAACGCGAAGAAGACATGGACGGCAGAGACATAGATTCGGGTCTGCATTTGGGCGGTACGGCTGGTGGTATGGCGCGTTGATCGCGCCTCAAAAGAAATGCAAGGTACGCTGTCTGCAGCGCGAAAACGTACACATCGCCATCGGTAATTCCACGCCGCTGTGCTGAGGCTGACGTCGACAACGACGGCGACGGGCTAGGATGTTTCATGCCAGGAGTAGCTATTGTTGCTACTTTACGCCCTGTTGCAAATGATGCCGGCTGGCTCACGCACACGTTGGATGGGGCGCGATGCTCACCGGCCACTCAAAAACAATGATACCGCTAGAATTGCCCCCCTCCCCAAAACGTGTCAGCGCTTCGCAATGCGCCTCCGCTTTCTGTCGCCCGCCGTTGGGTAGCGGAAAATCGCACACCGACTTGTACGTGTGTGTATTTGCGTGTGTGCGTATGTGTGTGTGGAATTATGTCTGTGCCTTTGGTACATATGTGCGTAAGTGTGGAAAGGTGGCTACCATACGATGGCCCACGTGTGTATTAGTCATCGTGCACATGGGCTTCCATAGCATTTTGTTCTTCGAGGCACTCGTCGCCCATCGCTTGCTGTTCCTCCCTCTCCCGTTTATTTCCCTTTGCTGAGTCAGCTGTGTACTTCGTTTGCGTGTGTGTGGGTGGGTGGTTGGACGAGTGGATAGAAGCGCTCCTGCCAGGGAGGAGGAAGAGGGGGGTGAATTCGTTTTCACTCAATTTTCTCCTTGAGCGACTACCACCATCCGTTGTCCATGTCGGAAGCAGATGATCTGTACGCGGACCTGTATGGCGAGGAAGCTGAGCCTTCGGTGAGTGCGCAGGCCCCAGATGCCTCTAAGACTGAGACACCTGCTGCTCCAGCTGCACCCAGTGCTGGTGGATCCAGCACAGGGACAGCAGCCCCAGGTGCGACAGTGGCTGGAGGAACGGGGACAGCTGAAAACCACAGCGGTCCGGCAGGAGCCGCACCTGCGCCGGCAGGTCCTGCGGCCTCTGCGCCAACGGCTGGGGCATCGTTTATTCCGGGACGGCCTGCGCCGCCGCCGCAGGATTCGGCGGAGGCACGCAGTGCAGCGGCTGCGCGTGGAGAGCATATTGCGCCGCAGGATTTACCAGATGAAGGGTGAGTAGAAGCGAAACAGCATCAGACGTCCGTGGACGGGTGGGTGGAAAAAGGGATGTGAGCAAATAAGGAAGCAAGTATCCTGGAACAGAGTAGCTGCGGCATGGTCAGCATAGGGAGACAGCGAGAGAATAGACTAGCCGACTAGCAACGACACAGAGACGGGTAGGATCGTCACATGGTAGCTCACTACTTTTCTTATTCCGAACGATACGTGGATACATGCCTATATGGATGGTTCTTCTTGTATGCGATTTTCTCTTGTTTTTTTTTTTTTCATTCGTGTTGTGCTGGTCGGGATGGTCGATGGACGGAGAATGGGGCTGGGAGGCTTTCTGCATCATGCATACGTTGGCACGTACGTCGGATGAATGTAGAAAGTCGTGCACCGAAATCATGTGGATGAATCTCGTTGCTGTCGATGCAACGATCAGATTGATCACCATGCCTGTTTGTGTGCCCTGCTCGTTTGTTGCCGCTGCCGTGTCGATCCGTCTCGATGATACTCGTTCTTTGTCTCGTATCTTTTATTTCCGCTTTCACTTGCGTCCGCGACGTATCCTACGTATGAGTTATTATTACTTACACAATTCAGAAAAATGTTCGTTGGTGGTCTCAACTGGGATACCGATGAAGAAAGTCTTCGGCGCTACTTTGGACAGTTTGGCCCCGTGACATCGTGCACTGTGATGCGCGATGGAGCCTCGGGTCGTTCGCGTGGATTTGCCTTTGTCACATTTTCAGATCCAAAGTCAGTCAATGCCGTCATGGTGCGCGAACACTTCCTTGATGGCAAGATCATTGATCCGAAACGAGCCATTCCTCGACCTGAACAATCCAAGACACAGAAGTGCTTTGTTGGTGGTCTTCCGCAGACAGTGACGCAAGATTCGTTCAAGCAGCTTTTCCAGCAGTTTGGGCATGTCTTGGATAGCACAGTGATGATGGACAAAGATACTGGCCGTCCTCGTGGCTTTGGTTTCGTGACGTTTGAAAATGACGATGGTGTCGAAAACACGCTGGCTCATCAGCCGCTTCTGCTCGATGGAAAGCAAATTGAAGTCAAGCGGGCACAATCTCGTGGTCAACCTCAACCGAATGCTGCACCAAACCGCTTTTCATCGGACCCAGCACGTGGGAGCAATGCTCAAGCACCCCTCCGGATGTGGGGCTCAAGCCCGGCTGCTGCAAGCATGCCTGGTATGGCCGGAATGGCCGCTATGCCAAGTATGGCGGGTATGGCCAGTGGTGCTATGGCTCCTGCTACGGACGGTGCACGCTCGCCAGCAACGGGTGCCATGGGTGCTGGCGGATTCGATCCACAGGCTATGGCAAAGATGTATCAGCAAATGGGCTGGGGCAGCTCGGCGTGGAACCCGCAGCTTATGTGGCAGCAGATGATGGCTGCTTACATGGGCACGGCAGCTGCTGCCAGCGGAGCGAAAGGTGGCGCCAGTCCTGGCTGGGGAGCCGGTGCGCAACAAGGGAACGCGAATGCAGCGTATATGCGCTCGGCGTATGGCGCTAATGGTGCAGGCCAACAGGGATCGTCCGATGCTGGATGGGGTGGTCGTGGCCATAGTGGCGCACCTTCCGACGACACTCGTGGACGTGGGGGTGGCCACGCACCTAGTGCGTATCATCGCGAGAGGTCTCCATCTCGTGGCTCGCGGAACTACGACGATCGTGGTAGTCGCTTTTAGTTGTATAGCGTGTGCTTGATACGGAAATCAATATGTTGAGTGTAGTGCCATGCATCAATCTGCCTAATTTAGGCCCCCCCCCCCAAAAAAAAAAAAACTGAATTCTTGCTCTCTCTAATTGGTTGAAAAGTGATATGTGGCATAAAAATTTGGACGAGTCGGGATTTGAACCCGGGACCTTCTGCTGGTTCAACTGTTTAGTTGACATCGCAGGTGCGAAGCAGACGTCATACCACTAGACCACACGCCCTCGGCTTGCTGCCAACGAGACCAAACATTGCGTATATGTACAAACCATTCGATTCGATGGCTCGTTACACCCTACCACACGCTGGCCATGGTCTGCAACAGTCAAGGTGGGAAAATAGCGTTCATCTATCGGGATGTGCTGTGTGCGAATGTTTTCTTCGTGTGTCGACAGTCATCAGTGTATTATTTGCACTGCATCCTTGCGTCGGCCATACAGGGCCCTGTCCCTCATAAATTCGGCACGTCATCCATCAAAAAAAGCCTCGTGCAGCCCAAAATGGGCCGAATTTGTGTAAGTCCATGCGGAGTGGGAATACCTAGTATACATGACATGTGATCAATCAATCAAAAATTGCCCTAGTTTACATATCTACATAGCCGCCTATAGCGCCGCCAGCAGCGCGATCGGCATCGGTACTATACGTATCAGCCTGCGTGCCAGCACCATACGCATTCCATAGGTGTGACCCGTACGCCCCGGAGCCATACTGGCCACCATCAGCGCTGAGACGCACTTCTTTCGTCCATCCTTGCTTCAATGCGCCCATTTGTACGATCAATTTCGTGCAGGCCTGCTGCAAAACTTCAGCGGGCGTGAGACTCCCATCTGTTTGGATCTTGACGAGTACGCGAGGTTCCAAAGGATGAGGGACCTTGTACCCGCAAAACAAGACACCCGGCTGCGCAAGAACTGCATGCCGAAGCATATTCCCAAGGGTATGATCTTCCTTATTGAATATGAATGTAGCAGCATTCGGGATACGCATATCTTCCTGAACCTCGATACGCTGCTCCCCAGGCTGAAGGAGGAACAGCGTAAACCTGTCCGGCGCGTTCGCCATTCTGTGCTGAAAGCGATGCGCTTTCTACTACCCTGTAAAAAACGCAGACATGTAAGTATGACATGAACACAGACACTAAAGGCAGAGTACAGAGGTGCACATGGCGAAGCATGCTGGCATGGCATAGTGGGCTTCATATACCGTTGTAGTTATGTATGAGAAATCCAGAGTCACAGCCTTGTCAGGCTCATACAGTGTGAATAAATGTAATCCTTAGAGCATAGTACACCAAGCCAAGCGATGCTTCCTTAAAGAGACCCTATGTGTATCTCTGTTTTGCTCTTGACATGTACATACCGAAACCAAGGAGAGGAAAAGTCAGATGCGTGTGATCCTTGGGGTGAAGAAGAGACGCGAAAAGAAATTTTTGCCGGTGGAAAGGAAATCGAATTCGTCGGCCGGTGTTCCGCAGCTGCAACGGGCACCGCGAACGGGCGGAGAGGGGGGTGGGTGGGGCTTTCAGGCAAACACGTCAGCAAGTCAGCGAGCGAGTGAGGCCAAACTATGGGCGACTGTAACTCAACGTAGACCTACGAGGACCACACTCACGTGACCACACTCAGTCACGAGGATGAGGGGGATCAGGAGCCGAGGGTGTGAAGGGAGAGAGACAAGAAGAATCGGAGACAAAGACGCCCAGTGTCCCCTTTCTTAGAGGGACACTCTCATTGGCTCCCCCGCGGCTACCGGTGCGAAACGCGCTCGCTGACAGAGAGGCTTGGAGCAAAAGGCAAAGAATCAACCGTGCATACAGTCGTACTTACACACACAGACCTACCTTTCTACATGTCGGATCACATGGATGGCAGCGCAGCGGCGCCGACGAGGAGCACAGGTATATCGCATGGAACGCCACGATCGGATATGATTGCGAGTGCGGTATCATTTCTTGAAGATCCGAATGTGCAAAGCTCGCCCATGTCGCAGAGGATCAGTTTCTTGGAGTCAAAAGGACTTTCATCCCAGGAAATTGACATAGCACTTGGGCAAGTGGGTCGTGCAGCTATGGGGCCTATGGGACAGCGTCACAATGCAGGGGCAGCACACGCCATGGCTCCCACGTACCCGATGATGCCCGCATACCCACCCGTGCGTTCACGAAGAGATTGGCGCGACTGGTTTATCATGGGCGTCGTGTCCGGCACCGTGGGCTATGGCGTTATTGCTCTAGCACGAAGGTATATCTATCCACACTTGCAGCCGCCAAACCAGAGCGTTCTGGAGGAGGAGCGGGAGGCACTTGCGTCCAAATACGACGAAGTGGCCGTGCATCTTGAAGAGCTAGACCAGACGACAGAGGCTATGAGCCAGGGCCTCGCTACACAGCAGTCGGCCATTGAAGAGAGTGTGCGGGAAGTGAATGAGTTTGTCGCAGAATCGCGCGCGCGAGAAGAGCAGCGCGACAAAGATCTAGATCAAATGAAGACGGACATTGAGTCGATGCGCGAAGAACTTGCGGGTATGCTGGATCGTTCACGCAAGTCATCCATAACTGCGCTCACAGATCTGCAAGGCGAGCTCAAGTCGCTGCGATCTCTGCTTGTGTCGCGAGGTGGGCTTTCGACCCCAGGCGCGCCATCCACAGGTGTCTCGGCACAGACGCCATCCGCCACGAGTGGTCCGAGCGCTGCCGCTGGCACAGCGACGAATGGCGGCAGTGAGACGTCGACGAGCCCGAGTGAGAACCAAGCAACATCTGCACGGCCAGCGCCAAGAATTCCTGCATGGCAGCTTGCTGAACCACAAGACGAAGATGCTTCTTCCACGGCCTCTTAGTGAAGATGTATATATATATAGAAAGATCAGTTGGTCATCGACGTGCCTGCCTGTTTACTTGCTCGTTCGCGAGTGTATCAACGCTGCGCATGACTCTGCCGATCCAGCCAGTGGCAAAATCACGCGCACCTATCGCAGCCTGTTCAAGGTCCCCGCGTTCTTGTGGCACGGCGACCTGAACGGGGCCAAGACGCAGGTGCGGCACCCGTTGAGCAATCGAGGCGGGGGGCGACGTGATCGAGGAAGGCAGCTTCGACGCCGTGTGTTGCACCATGCGCAGGAATGTCTGTGACGAATGGACCGTGGTGCCGCCCAAGAGGAAGTGTGTGCCGGGCCACGAGGGCGTCGGTGGCGTCTGCGACGACGATGCACTTGCTGCGCCGTTGAGAAGCGCAATCATACGCGCCTCTTCATACGTCGTGCCGCCGATGACAAAGAGAATGACATCTTGTGGCTTCGTGGGCGGGCCGCCGGGGAACACTGTCGCCGGCGCATCGAACGAGGGGGCGTCTCTGCCGGCAAACGGATAGCTCGATGTGCGTAGCTTGCCGCGCATGAGCTGGTCGATGGTCTTGACAAGGTGCGGCATGTGTTGTGTATAGACATTTTCGACGCCCTTGAGGCCCTTGAGTGCGCTTTTTCCGCGAGAAAAGATGTTTTCGTTCGCAAAAAGATCATCCTGACGGTGCTCGGCACCGGCAAAGTTGAGCATGACATAAACAAGCACGACGTCATCGACGCCAGCATCAATGAGTTGCCGAACGACTGCGTCAATTTGGTTGCCGGACCATTTCTGGTACCGCAGTGAATACAGAATAGCCAGGCGGAGTTTGGCATCTTTGCTGATGCGGTTGGAAGCAAGGAGTGTCTGTACATTCTTGAGATCCGTCGAGTGGCTCTCGTTGCTTGCCAAGCTTTGCTCAAGCTCGCTGACTTCCAAGAGATGGTGCGCATCAACGAGAGAGCTAAGCTCGCCCAGGAGTGCGACGTGCTTACTGACATTCCCTCGAAGGCGCTGGAAGTCTGGGTACTGCTCGATGAAGCGCTTCATGTCCTGCACGGTCTCGATGCTGGTTGTCGTTGCCGACTGTGTCTGGAACTTGACGACGTACTCTTTGATTGACGCGCCGAGATCACCAAAATTGTCGTACAGATTCGCTGCAAAAAAGGGGTCGTGATCAACGGACAACACAATCTCTTGCGGTCCTTTCTCCGTGTGCATCACGGTACGTCCATTGTGGATGCCAAGTAGTTCATGAACCATCGCCTGATACGTCCACTGTGTCAATAAAGGTGTAACGGGATCGTTCCGTCGGTCTAGGATCAGCAGCAGCGGCGGCACGTCCGTACGTCGGAAATCAAAGAGCTGTGCATTCGTCGTGGTCGTTTGTTGCACCACTTCGTCAGCCAGTTTCTTTGCAAGCGCGCTCATGCGCTCATACCGGACGACGGGTTTCTTCTTTAGACTAAGAAGAAGCGATACAAGTGCATTGGCATGGTGCTTGAAAGCATCAGAGTCCCACTGCACGGTGTGCGAGCCCCAGAGACCGTGCGGCGGTACATCGTAGTGCAAGGAAAAGTGCGATGCCGTCACAGGCACGTAGTCTGAAAAGAACTCCTGCACAGACTGGACTAGCTGGTGCTGATCGGCCTCGGCCAGTGCCTCGATATGTTGTTTCGACACGACATTGCTAAAGTCTGTTGGCAAATGCACGAACGCAAGCGCACGTGCGAAAGGTTAGAACGGATATTGGATCGATTCGCATACGTACAAAGCCAGTAACCGCCGTAGCGTGGATGCTGCAATTCCTGGCACAGTGCTTGGATCGATGCAGCACATGGCCGTGCATATACAATGCACTGTAGGTGATGCATTCGCTCACGGTGCATGTTGGAGAGTTTCTCTGTGAGATACACTTCATGCTCTAAAAGTGCCGACTGCGTAAAGCTAGCAGACATGGTGGGCGTCTATTAGGGAATGAGGCATAAGCATATGAACGACCAAGGTGGGGAACAAGATCATGTTCCGTTTGGTGACAACGTACCGTGTGGTCATCGAGAAGGAGTATTTTCATGCCATGCACCTCTTTCACCATGCGCTCCATATAGACCGAAATGGCCTTACACACGTCCATCACGAAGCAGCGGGCAATAAAGCACGGATCTACGAGTTCCGATTGATTGCCAAGACGATGTTAGGACGACACACGGACCTTTTTAAGCGCGACAAATCGGCGTATCGGATGGCAAATGTGGAGAACAAGGCTACAAAATCATGTACACCAATATACGAGTAGATGGACAGGCCCAAGTCAGGGAAGGAAGGGGGCTACGGCAACGGTGCAAATTCGTCGTCCCCAGCCTACTGCAATTTTTTTTTGGGTGGAGAAAGTTGTTTCCAAGAACCAACAATTTCTCCCAGTCTGGTTGCGAAAAAACGAGCTAGACAAATTGAAAAAAAATCGAGATCCTTTTCCGGGCGTACTTTTTTTTTTTGGGTAAAAGGGGGAAGGGGAATCCAGGGCCAAGAAAAGGACCGAGGGAGAGAGCGAGAGAGAGAGAGAAAGCAGGAATGGCAAGTGTACACAAGTCGATCAACATTAGACAGGCATTCCGCAAGAAAAGGGACTGCCGACGACGCCCTGGTCATATAGGTCACGAATAGCGACAGCGACAGCCCACGTGCCAGCGACCATAATGAAGCCGGCGATGCCAATCACGCCGAGTGCGATGAGTGTGCCAAGCCGGTTGCGCCAGTTGTGTAGATAGTCGTGCTGATGACGCCAAAAGTAGAAAAGTGGAGCAAATCCCAAGAAAATCGTCCAGAAAACAGAGGCCATAAGACCAAGGAACGTATTGAAGAAGGGGATCAACTCGGCAAGCACAAAAGCAAGTGCCCAAGACGAGATATTGATCAGGATCCAGATTCCCCAAAATGTCCAATTTCGATCAAGAAGGTAGCGCCACGAACCACGGAATACGTTGACGAGGAGCATCTTACCCGTGACTTGGCCACTGCAGCAACCAGCGACAAGGATGGTCGGCAGGCCAAGACCATAAGAGACCTTGACCATGATGGGCGACAGGCTGCCAAGAGACGGAGACTTGGTATACTGGCCGAGATTATAGTTCATGATGCAACCCACGATGACGTAGAGGACGAAGGAAATTGCCACGAGCAGGTTGAGACTAAACATAAAGTCACGCGGATGATGCATTTCCGCCATGATCGGCAGGTAGGCAGTTGTAGAGCCGAAACTCACAAAGATGTTCGACGTGTACAAGACGCCATCCAGAAAGCTGTGTGGGACCTTCGACGTAGCACCGAATGCGAGCAATTTGCGGGGGGGATCCTCTGGATCCTTGTTAACAGGGCCTGTGACACCACTTGAGATCATAGCGATGATCACGACAGTGATGATAGACGTGAATGAAATTGCAGAAAAGACTGAAAAGAGCTTGTACGAGCGAGGAAGGCTGAACACGAATGAGATCACAGCAAACACGGCGGCCAGCCCAACCATGCAGTCTTTCCAGCCCAGGTACCAAAATGCATAACCACCCAGGATGATATGACTACCCTGAACGAAAATGCTGAAAATGCCCTGCAAGAATGCGAAGATCACGCCGCCGATGGGGCCATAGAGCAGCTCACCAGCCTGCTGCAGGTTGTGCACGCCAGGGTACATCATGGCAAGACGCCAGTAATTGTATCCGTTGTACCATGCAGTGAATGAGAAAAGCATACACAGCAAAATAAAAGGCACGATACCGATCGTGGCCACAGCCATAGGAATGCTCAAAATGCCCAAGGCAATGGAGAAGGCAATCATGTTGAAGAAAGCGCCGAAGCGACCGAGCGTGCGATGCAGAGGCCGTGGCTCCTCTTCACCGTATATGCCATTCATCTGCTCAATGACTCCGTCCTCAATGCGTGGTTTGCCTTTCTCATCGGCGCTCCCATTGTTGATACTTGCATTATCTGGCGCCGTCACGCTGGATCGGTCAACTTCTTCGGTGAATTTGGCTCGCCGAGAAATGGCCTTGTCACTACTAGCGAACAGGTATGTCAAGATCGTGCGCTTCTGCCCCGGCATCGGACATGGTTCGAGCATGTCCATTGTGGCGCTGGGCCGAACTGCTCCATCCATAGTGGCCGATCCGTATCAGTCGTTGTAATCTTTCAACACGCTTGTTTTCCATATACAATGGAGGTGTGTATATACAGGTGATAACTTCTCAGCGGAGGGCCAGCGCCTGCCTGTGAAACCGGCCGCGGAGTGTGGGAATTGCATCTCATTTGTTGCCGAGAGTCACGCGACGACGCTTGCGGAGAAAGCACGCCAGTCATTTGCTTCCTACGCTGGGCTGGCTGGGGGGCCCAAATCGATCGACAGGAGGGAAACGACCTATTTGGTGCTGTCATTAACGAGACGTAGGGTTCAGCTGTGGAGCGTACGTATCTTCGTGTCGACGATGGCCACACCTACACGGCCTAAGCGTACGTATTTCGCGATGTGCGCGGGGCTTGCACAGCCCCACTAGACCTCTAGAGCTGCTAACACGAGAACAGCTCTTCCCACTTACTATACACTGGGAGCAGGAGCTGCAGCTGGCGTCTTTGAGCTGGCGTGTCTGTACCCACTAGGTACGTCGAGGGTCGTGTTGTCAGGCGTAAGAGTCTGGGCAAAAAAAAAAAAAAAACATGTTCTTTTGCATTGCTAACGGTATAAGATGTCGTAAAAACACGGCTTCAACTGCAAAGCAAGCAACTAGGCGATGGAAAAGGACCGAGCCGCGGCATATTACGCATGCTCTCGTCGATCATGCGACACGAGGGCTTTTCTGCACTGTATCGAGGCATTGCACCGCTGCTCTTGTTGGAAGCACCGAAGCGAGCGATCAAATTTGGGTACGTGTGTACAGGTCGCATATGTGCCACTCAATGACAACGACACTGACATTCGCATGTGCATCCTAGAGCCAACGATTTCTGGGGCAAGCTGTTCCATCCATATATGCAAGGGCACAATCAGCTGCAGGCCACTCTGACGGGGTGTGCGGCAGGTGCGACCGAGAGTCTTATTGTGGTGCCATTTGAGCTGATCAAGATCCGATTGCAGGACCGGGCACAGCGAAGCAGGTACCGAGGTACGATGGATGTAGTTCGGCACATTGTGAACGAGCACGGATACTTGGGCTTGTACCGTGGTCTTCCAGCGACCATGATCCGGCATGTGATGTGGAATGGTGGATACTTTGGCTCGATTTCTGTGATCAAAGCCCAGATGCCGAAAGCGACGTCTAAGAGTGAGCGGATGCGAAATAGCCTTGTGTCTGGCACGCTGGGCGGGTCCATTGGCACCGTCTTGAATACACCCTTGGACGTGATCAAAACACGCATCCAGAATAGCAATCCGGCGCCTGGCCAGGTCGCAAAGTATCGCGGCACTTTCTCTGGCATGGCGCTTATTGCACGAGAAGAGGGCCTCCGTGCACTCTACAAGGGCTTTTGGCCGAAGGTTGTGCGTCTTGCACCGGGCGGCGGCATTATGCTGTTCGTGGTTGATGCAGTGACGACGCAGCTCCGTTACTGGCTGGGTCCACCTTACGTATGAGTAGCGTGCATGTGTTGCCTTGGAGATATGTACATCTGGCGTATGTCGTTCTTGTGGCGGAGTTCGTTGATGCTAGTATAAGCCTGCCAGCTGCACACACCGTCCAAATGGATGAGCGCGAACAAAACTCAACAAGAAGTGCCCTTGGATCGTTCGAAGTGGCAGCTAGTTTCTTTGGTTGGGAAATCCTGATCTACCACCCTCTCAGCTGAGTCGACTCACCGCTGTCTCTGTTACTCTTTCCCTCCGTATCTCGCACCCACCGTGCTTCCCTGACTTACTCTTACATGCGCTCCCACCGTCTAAGTATGCGGGATAATATACGAGACAGAAACTGTACGTTTGTAGGACGTTGGAATCGCATCTTGACCTTGTCTGTTGGTAGATAAGACCGCCCGCACATACCCTGACTCGACCAAGGCAAACAGCTTTTCGGCATGCCTCGGGCCGACAGAACTAGGATGGACCGCGCCCACCAGCGAACTCTGTGTCTTTCTGTGTTTCACATGCCACCCATCACTCAGATGGTCGCCAGCGATCCATTCTTTCGTCCCATTTGGCTCGGCTGCAGGGGACGGACACACACGTATCCGGTTTGTATTTCACATCCAACTATACATGACTACCAAGATCCAGGCGCTCCAAGAGCGACTCATACAAATACTTATACGACCACACATTGCCTTTCATGCGGCGAATATCCACGCTGTAAAGGCCTTGGAGGCGTACAATCCTGGTCATTTCCACGGTGAAGCGCACTTCATGACCGCCATCACCTGACGCGGAGCCGCCATACTCAGGCGGCACGTTCGCGACCGAGTACGAGTCGAGCGATTGGGCCGTCGCTGACGTCGACATCATGCCGCCAGGACCACCACCGGTTCCAGTCTGTGTCATGCCGGGCCCCATGCTCAGACGGTTCATATTCCGCTCCACATCCGACATGGACACGCGCGATGCCTGTTGCTGACCAGCACCGCTGCTTGTCTTGCCACTGCCAAAGCGCATCCACTTGCTGCGAGAGTCGTCGTGACGACGGCTGGAAAAGAGACGCTCCAAGGCATTCAGTCGCTTCGGGCGAAGACACTCGATCGAGAATTCGCCCTTGCTCTGGCGCACGGCGATGCCCATTTTCTGCAGGACGCGAATGATATCAACAAACACTTCTTCCGGGTTGCGCGTCGTGAGCGCCGCTTGGTCCACTGGACCAGAGTGGACGCCTAGCCGCTTCTCCATGGCCAGCGCGACCTCCAGTGTATTGACTGGTTTCTGCTGGTGCTGGCCTTCCAGCCGCTCACGAGCTTGGCGGTATTCATGATCCAGTTCTTTCTGGTGCAGACGCTCGGCCTCACGCCGCTGGCGCTCCGCACGCTCGCCCTCCAGACGCCCTGCCTCACGCCGCTGCCACTGTAGACGCTCTTCCTCGAGCGACAACGGAGCATCGATCCTGGGCCGCTCACGTTCGACGTCCATGGACTTGACACGTGACTTGCGCTCCGCCGGCGCTGGGCCGGACGCGTTCGCTGCGCTCGCGGCGAGTGTCGCGGCGGTGGCGCTGGTGCCTGTGGTGCCGGCGGCCGCGGCCGTCGTCATCGGCGTAGTAGCGGTCGTGGGAGCTGCGGGCTGCGACCCGCCCAGTTGGCGCCACCAGGTCTGGTTGCGATCCACTTGCGCCGGGTGCACGGTTGTGGTGCTGACGCCCGAGGTGTCGGGCTTGGAGGAGGCCTTTTCCAGTACGTGCAAGCGTTCAAGACTCGTATCGAGCGAGGCCCGCGACGCTGGCACGACTGTCGTTGTGGCAGGCACCGTGGACGAAGCCACTGTCGGCAATGGCGTCGCTTGCGAAGCAAGGACAGGCATCGTCGAGAGCGATGTCGTCGGAGCACCAGCTACATCAGTTGGAGGCGACGTAAGCGTCACGGCAGGCGCTGAAGTAGGTACCGTTGATTGCGACGACACGACCGGCGTTGCTGAGTCAACGGTCGTGAGGCCAGCAGCGTCGCCGAAAGCCACGGTCGTTGACATGGGCCGAGCGCGGGACTGGGTTTCTGGCAACGGCTTCGATGACGACGCCCAGGCGTCTTGGGACGGTATCGTCACGGGCACCGGCATAGACACAGGACGTGTACGCTCGGCCTTGCCTTGGGAATAAGGTGCCCATGAGCTGCGCTTCGTGGCATCGTACATATTTTCCGCAGCAGTCAACTGTGTCTCTCGCAAAGGAAACACGAGCGGAGGAGCAGCGACTGGCGACGTTGCTGCAGATGGAGCTGCGGCAGACGTGGCGGACGCGGCGAACGACGTCTCAGTCGGCGCGGCCACTGTGGTCGTCGCAGGGGTCACAGCCGACAGCATAGCAGGTGCTGTGGCAGATGCCACTGCCGACTCCTTTGCTGCATTGGCGGTGCCAAGCTTGTTGTCGGCGTCGAGTGGCTCCGTCTCCTGCTTCGATACAGACGTCTTGCGTGGCCGCTTGTCGTTCCAACGCGGTGGCAGGAACGACGTGAGGCTCAGTGGCTCTTGGCCAAACGACGTCGGGACGTCACGCCGTGCCACAGAAACAGGCGCCAGCATGGACATGCTCGTGTTGTACGAGAGCGGGGGTGCGAGCTTGGATTCAGCCCGCGATTCTGGCCGCGCGTCGGGAACGTGTCTCTGGCTTGGCAGCTGGGACAGGCACCTCCGTTGAAGACACGCGCGTGTCTGCCTTGGGCATGTTCCATGTCCACGGGGACTCTGCACGGGCATCGACTGCCTTGAACAAGGGCGACGTGTCCGAGGCTCGCGAGGACTTGCGGGATGAATTGGCCACTTCCTTGGCCATTGTCGCAAATGGGTCTGACAGCTCGTTGGAGAGGATCCGTGGCTTTGTCGAGGGGCGTGTCTTGGGCTCGTCTGTATCGATCTTGCGCTTTGGTGCAGCTGTCTCCGACTTTGTCGGCAGCACAGCGGCAGTAGACTCCATTTTCGGCACCTGAGGCATCGCAAACTCAGCTTTGGTTGGCACTCCAGATGCCGGCGTCTCCACCCGTGGGACAGACTTGGCGACAGCAGCGTCAGCCTCGGAAGCAACAGGGACTGGCGCGGGCGTCGGAACAACAGGCGGCGTGGGAGCGGCAGAGGCGACAAGAGGAGTCTCTGGTAAGACCGGCATGGTGGCAACGGTCGCTGATGCCGGTACAGACCCGACAGCCTCACTGGGTTCAGGCACAGCGGGCGTCGACTGCGAATGTGGCATGGCCGGCACATTGTTCACACTGTCCTGATGGTGAGATCTCTCATACTGCTTTTCAATGAGCCTCTGCTGCTGCACCATCTGGTCACGATAAGCCTGGCGCTTCTTCGCTTGCTGCTCGATGGCGGCTGACTCAAGTTCGTCGACGGAAAAGCGGAAGAGATCCCGATAAGGTGCAAGCCATGAATGTGACATGACTTCTTCGAGCGTCGCACGCTTCGTCGGATCAGGCACAAGCATCCGAGAGAGAAGCGAGCGAGGCTCGGCGGTGATGTACTCGGGGAAGGAAAGAGGCGTGGCCATGATGTACTTGTACAGCATGTTGATATTATCGCCATCCGGGTTCGCTGGGTCATCATCAAATGGCAAGTAGCCGGCCAGCATGGCATACAAGATTACACCACACGACCAGACATCGACGGCTGCGCCAACGTACATGCCATCTTGCACAACGAGCTCAGGGGCAGCATAGCAAGGGCTACCGCAGCTCGTGGCCATGAGGTCGTTGCTGCGCGCACTAAAGTTATTAGCAAATCCAAAGTCGGTGATGATGACGTTGCGGTTCTTGTCCAGGAGGAGGTTCTCCAACTTCAAGTCGCGGTGAATGATCTTTTTGCGGTGCAGATACGACACGCCAGAAATCAGTTGCGCGAACAAGCGGCACGCGTCGCGCTCTTTCAGGCACTTTTGTGCGAGGATGTAGTCGAACAGTTCGCCGCCGGCACCGTACTCTAGCACAATGCCGATGTACCGTTCCGACTCGATCACCTCGTACAGGTGGACAATATTAGGGTGCCGCAGGAGCTTCAGCACGGAGATCTCTCGCTCCACTTTGCTCATCTTGGAGCCATCTGCATGAGTATGCTGCTGCTGCTGCTCTTCTGCCTCAGCCGCAGCGACTCTCTCTCGCTTGATGAGCTTGATCGCTGTCTCCTCGCCGTACTGACGGTGCACACCCAGCTTGACTTTGCCGAATTCGCCTTCACCCAGCGTCTGAAGCAACAGGTAGTCGCCAAAGTACACTTGGGGGCGCCGTGGGTGTGCGGCAAAATATGACAGGGCCGCAGGCGAAGCGATTGGCAGCGCGGAGCTGTCACCCGCGATGGTGGGCTCGTTCTGCGATGAGACCGGCGTCATAATAGCGGGCGCCACAGGCTCCGCTAGAGACATGAGAGACCGTCGACGGGAATGTGAAGAGGCGAGAGGGGAGGGAAACGACCGAAAGATGCACCGTTCGTTGGCTTGATGTAAGTAGTAAGAAATTCCCAGGCGTCAGGAATGGCGAACTAAGAAAGGGACGTGGCAGGTGACGTGCAATCCCAGCAGGCCTCCCATTTGCGTCCAATCCGGGTTACCTAATCCCAAAAGGGGGGCGCGTAAATGTGCATATGGACGAATCCGTCGAACTCGCTCCCCTATCACACGCTTTGTGCGACATACTTTACCTCCACTTCATTCACGTGCTGTTTCGCGCGTGATACGGATCGTTTGCATAGATGAATGCGGTGGAGGGCGAACGTCGGTGCGACGCGCGCCCGACATGGAGTGGTGAACAGGCACGCTAATGGTCGTGTTCAAATTAGGTTGCATTGTCAAAGACGCTTGCGTGGTGGTGTTCACTCCACCCAATAGACGTCGTCCTTAGGAATGTGTCCGAACCTGATTTTCTTTTTCTTTTTTTTTGGGGGGGGGGAGGGAAGGGGAGAGTCATAGCACAGGCGTGCAAGCCGCGCAGGCAGGCAGCGTGAAGGCGATGGGCCGTGGATGGAGGGGTCCCAATGCTTGCTTGATTGGTTTGATTTTGAGTTCCGTGGTGTGTCTCTGTTGGGCTCATGACGCCACCGCTTGTGTGTATTCGATGCCGACATGCAGAGCGAGTGATTTCCGTGCGTGAGGCATCTTACTGCACACCGTGTTATGCGCGTGTATTTGATGAGAAACTGCGTGCTAATCTAGATCACGCCCGTGGCGCAATCCTCCTGCATAGTGTCGTGCGTCCTCATCAGCAGGCGACGGCCGACACGGCAGACTTGCCACACGTCCAAGGATCCAATGTCGCGCAGAACATGCCTACCGCAGAGGCGCCAGCCACACCAGCATCGGCGCCGGAACCTGCATATGCTGTTGCGTGTGACGGCAGCCTCAACAGTCTTGTGCTCGTCCATACCATGTACCGGTTGTTGTATGTACCACATGCTCGCGCACATCCTACGCCAGCGCGAGCGCCTGAACGCGCGCGCCTCGATGTGCTATATGTGGCAACGGATCTAGAGAAGGACGCCGCGCAGGCATCGTCGTCCGATGACGTACGCGACCAAGTCGCACGGCTTGCACCTGATGCCATTTTCGTGCCATTAACACTGGGTCATGCGTACGCGCAAGACGAAGGGGTCTCATGCCATGTACATCCGCCATGCTTCATGGACGATACTGTGCGCCATGTCGATGCGCAGGATGCTGCTGTGCAGCTCTTACGCGCGGTGGGCACCTCGGTCTCACGGCTTGAAAAAAGTGCCGCGCGAACACGCGCAGAGGACATTCGCCGAATCCTGTGGCTTCGTGTTCTGCACGACACGGCTCAGTCGCGGCAATGTGCGGCACTTTTGTTCCCGAATGATGCAACGCAAACAGCCGCATATGTCCTTGATGCACTTGCCAAGGGAGCTGGACACAAGCTGCCTGTCGAGGGCGCCGCATCGTTGTGGATCCAAGATGTCCTGCATTTGCACCCATTGAGCGTGTATCTACCGCATGAGCTGGCATTTTACGCGCGTCAGCATCAGTTTGATAGCGCTTTTTTACCAGACACGCGTCAGGAGAGCGACATGTCGTACGAGGCACTGAGCAACAAGTCCAGCATGGGTGCACTGTCGCAGTCGCTCATCACGGCTCTGCAGCATGGTGTGTCGAGTACTTCAAATACTGTCATTGGCACCGCAAGCAAACTCGTGCTACAAGATGCATCGACGCTGTGGCCAACGAAGCCTGACCTCGGTACGTTTGTGTGCCCAGGCATCGGGGCCAAAGGCGCCACCCTCGTGCGTAGCGTTGATGCCTTGCCTCACTGGGACTTTAGGCGCATGCGCTCGTGCCCACTGTGTCGCTTCCCCGCACAAACCGACGCAGTCAAGTGGAAGTCGGATCGGTCTATTCGACGTGAGCAACCACGCGTGGCGTCTATCAACGAAGCGCTGAACTTGAACGCACACCTGTGCTATGCATGTCTGCAGGTGCTCGATATACCCGCGGGAAGCACGTTTCTTCTGCCTTCTGATGCACTTTTCTTTGTACGAGCGCCCGGACGTCCTGCGTCCGTCCAAGTTGTTGCAGCCGAGCCAGGTGATTCTTCTATGCGCGATGCTCTCGCGCTGCCACACACACCGCGCTCTTCGCATGCACCGACGCGTGTGCCTCCTGAGGCCATGCGCGAGCAGGTCGCGTCTTTCCTTCTGGACAAAGACACCGCAGACTCTACGTAGGAAGAAACGAAAGCACCAGTTTACAAGGAGCGCCGCCATGTGATGCTTGTGGCCAACGTCTTTCTTGGGCTGTGTCAAAGACACTGGAAAGACTATGAACATGATGTTGACCTGTGGCGTGAGTTCGAGGCTGGTCTAGCTCCAAGATTTGTAGAAAGTGTCACACTGTCGAAACAATACGGTATGGAGCCAGACGAGAGGGAGAAAGAAAGACAACAACAACAACAACAACATCATCATCATCAAACATGCACACATGTGCTATCAGTCCATTCAGGCGCGCGCTGCGCTGACAGAGCCTAAGCCTCTCTTCTCATGGCATACGAGCCCTACCTCCAGCCAACGCCCAGCGCATGGTGGGCGTCGGTGCAGCCAGGTCCATGGCTGTGGAGGTGTGTGAACAGCATGGATGTGGACGGCCACCGTCAGCCACGGCAGAGCGATGAGAGATTTGCTGAGCGCGTTGGAGCCACGTGCGCTTCGGGCGGTTCCATAGCCACTTGGTCGAGCGCGCGGCCACAACCTAACTAACGAAGCCTCCGGTCTAAACGTGACGCGACGCGTTCTGTCTAGCGCCGCTGCGCACGCGATTGAGCGATGAAGGCCGGAGATGATGCAGTGCCATCCACACGAGTAGAAACGAAGAGCACTGACGCGCATTCCGCACGAAAGGACTCAGGCACATCCCTCTCCAATGTCCTGTCAAGCTCGAACGCGTCTCTGGCGACCATTTCGTTCCAACCTCGCTCGACGCCGTCTATTCGAGCCAAGCTTGCCGAAGCACCTGTATTTGTACCGCGCAGCTCGAATGTGTCGTCTTCGGCCACGATGGATACACATTCGTCGCCGACATCGCCCATAACGCCGCATCAGCAAGTGCCTGCCATGTATCGACATTCGGCAGGTGCAGGAGCGCCGGCGGCTCCTGCGCCGTCTGCCGGTGACAGTAGTAGCGCCGTGCCATCTTCGTCCTTGACAGTGGGTGCGGGGACTGCACCATCTTTGACGAGTTCCGGCACTCCAGGTGCCGCAGCGGCTGCTGCTGCCGCTTCTGCCGCGGCACATGGCCCACCTTATTCGTCGTTAGCGTACGAGTCCTTTCCTTACGATGCGCCAAGTGCAGATGCCCGTGCGGTGCGGCATCCATTGCAGTACCATCTGTACGCGCCTCCATTCCCACACGTTAGCAACTTTCATCCGACGCATCATGCTGCGATGACATTTTTTATGGACCCAACGCTGCAGGAAGAGCTGCATCGGAAGCAGGAGGCCTTGTACGCGACACCGCCACCCATCCAAGAGCATGCGAGTGCGATGGGGATCCCCGAGTCGTTGCACGTATACCACAGTCTCGTGCCATTGGAGCCTGGTGTGACGACCGTACCAGGATCGCTTGTGAATCCTCGTTTCCAGACGCAGGGATCCAAGGGCCTCACAGGGGCATCGGGTGACCCAAGCCGCTTGTTCGGCCACTGCAGCCACGCATACAAGGCTACCTGTGCATTGGACGGAAAGTGCTATGTACTGCGTCGGATCGAGAACGTCCAGTTGAGTCATCCCGCAGCCACGCATACAAGGCTACCTGTGCATTGGACGGAAAGTGCTATGTACTGCGTCGGATCGAGAACGTCCAGTTGAGTCATCCCGCAGCCATTGGCACGGCAGAGCGCTGGCGGAAGATTCGCCATCCTGGCATTGTCGCTGTGCGCGAAGCGTTCACGACGCGTGCTTTCGGCGATCACTCGATCGTGTTTGTGTATGATTTCCATCCCCTGGCCACAACACTCTACATGGAACACATGACCGTGAAGCCCCTGCAGCCTGATCGTCGGACGGGGCGTCTTCAGCCGGTATCGATGCATGTTCCCGAGCGAGTGCTCTGGAGTTATGCATGCCAGCTTGCGAGCCTGCTGCGTGTTGTGCACGGAGCCGGCTTGGCGGCACGCTGCATTGAGCCCAGCAAGGTGCTGCGTACAGGCCACAACCGCCTGCGGCTGAACGGATGTGCGATCTTTGACGTGCTCTTGTACCAAGCACAGCCGCCCGCGGATGCTTTGTTAGTGCAACAGCGAGACGACCTCACTGCTCTTGGCCGCTTGCTCTTGTGTACAGGCTGCAACAATGTGGCAGCGGCCGCTACGTTGTCCGAGAGCTTTGATGCCTTCCAACGCACGTACAGCGCCGAGCTCGTCCACTTTGTACACAAGCTTGTCCATGGCGAGCATTTGTCCATCACAGACACTTTGCACGAGTTGACGCCGTACTTGGCAGATGAAGTGGGCAGCGCCCTATACCACACGGATCTGTTAGAGGCAGCGCTCATGCGCGAGCTGGAGAATGGGCGGCTCGTGCGTCTCCTGTGCAAGCTCAATACCGTTGATCAGCGACCGGAGTACGAGCGAGAGGGGCCAAGCAATGAGACGGGCGAGCGGTACGTACTTAGGCTGTTCCGCGACATGGTGTTCCATGCCGTCGACGAACGAGGCCATCCGACGCTGGATCTTAGTCATGTGCTGGTACATCTCAATAAGCTCGATGCGGGCGTCGATGAGAGACTGTTGCTCATGAGTCGCGATGAGCTGAATTGCGTGATTGTCAGCTATGCGGACATCAAGCGATATGTGGAGACGGCCTTTCTTGACTTGACGCGGTCATAACAGTGCGACCAAAGTATGGTAGAGCCATGTGGGTCTGAGCAGTGACAAGTATTGATCCTGTCCTGATGCCGCCCATCGGACTCTGTGTTATTGCCTTGGCCTCTACGTCGGTAGACCATCAACTCTCTAGACGCAAGGGCGTGTCACGCGATCATCTACGAGTCTACCAAAAGGCGTCTTTGCCATCCTTGTCTCATGGGTACTTGGATTTTTACAATGCCACCATCACGCCGCCGAAACTACGTAAGAACGATAGGAAGCTTGTCATCAAAAAGAGAAAGAGAGGAAGAGAGAGAGAGAGAGAGAGAGAGAGCACCAATTGAATCGACGAACCCAACCAAGCACAGCCGAAACAGGGAGGATGATCAGGTGCGCTTCTATCAAATCACGTGGGCGACATGCCAAAGACGTCATCGTCGTCATCCCGCTCACGATGTCGATCTTGCGAAGACGCGGTAGACCACTCGGCGTACATGGGATGTGCACTAGCATCCAATGACAGATCCTGCATTCCGTTCGATAATGGTTCATGGGCCATGCATCGAGGAGGGCGAGTCGTCAGCAGACACACGTGTGCTCGAGTGTCGCGAGTCTGCTGGTATATTGACTTGGTACGCCGGCATAGGCATGAACGGAGAACCCGTCGGCATGGATGCATAGTGTGGACCCAACTCATGTGGCCAGTGTGAGGAGGTTCGTGAAGTCGAAGAGGGGGTGGGTGACGTTGACATGGACGGACCCATGGACGGGGCCTGTGGATCCGACGCATGCGACATGGGAGGCAGCGGCGGAGGAGGAAGGGGATGATGTGAGAGGGGCATCGGCACTGGCATACCAGGAAGTCCATACGGCACGGCCGTTGAGGAGCCTAGCATGCCAGCGGAGGGCGGGTATGAGACGCCATGGACGAATCCACGTGTCATGTCATCGAATGGCATGTGCACTGGGAACAGAGTCGAGTCACGCAGGGGATCGCGGTAGGACGGATTCGACAATCGACCGTGTGGGCGCGACCGGTGATGCGGAAAGTCGGGTGCATGAGTGAGGCCTTCTTCTCGCTCCGTGCACAGCTCCGACAGAAGCTGAGGCGCTCGTATACTCCGATTCGCAAGCAGACGACTCGCTCGCATAAACTCGCCACGAATCGTGTAGAGACCGTCCTTTGTGACAGTGCGAGCGACATTGTAGCCGAGCTGGAACGGATCTTCAATACATAGCAAGTCATGTGTCCAACCCCGGGACTCTTTGGTGACAAGACCGCCCTCGGTGCGCATGGAAATAGCGTCCTTGGTGTAATTAAAGTCACGCGAAAAGTAGCGGAAGAAATCAAGCAGCAGCTCGCCAAGAGACTCAGTATTATCAGAATGCCAGTGTTGTCGGAGAGCGTCCATGTCGTCGTAAAAGTAGATGTTGTGCCCATCCAACATTATGTCCTCCAGCGGCAAATCACGACCTGCGGGGATTCGCTGCAAGTTGGGCAACACGGGCGGAAGCTTGACGTGAATTAAAAAGAACAGCACAAGCAATGTGTACCCGTAACTTGAGAGCGTGCCCATGTAGGGGGAGTTCAGTTTTCGTCGCTTCGTCCATACTTTGATAAAGAGAACAAGCGCTCGGAGACGTGGTGGGTCCAGCATGGCATACGAGAGAAGAAGACGCGTATTTTCCAGCGCAAGCTGATTGTTGAACCCAATGTCGCATGCAATGTCACAAGGTATATCGGAGCTCGCGGCGCGGCTGACTTTGATGATTGGTATTCGTGCTTTTGGTAGTGGCAGTACTTGAAAGTCGGTCTGCTTGCGGATCAAGTCGCTCAGCTGTTCGACAAGCTCAGACGGTGAAGGCTGTCGTACCTTGGTCGCCGTGTCGCCGGGATGAACAGTGGCTGCGTCGCTGTCGTTTTCACGCACACTGCCATCGCTGGGGTTGCTGGGGTTGCTGGGGCCGTTTTCGACCTTCCCGTTCTTGATGTCGCTGCCATCCTGGCTGTCATGGCTTCGGGGTGCGAATCTACTCTTTGTTCGCGGGGGGATAAGGCAGCACAGATCCATGTCCGAGTTGCGAAGTGCAAAGCCGTTGGCCATGCTACCGAACGCCTGCAGCTGGGCCTCGGGACAGATTTGACTCGCAATCCGCATGAGTTGTCGACGAATAGATTCCTTGATGCGGTACTCTTCTTCGGTCGGAAGCATGGGCGTGAGAAATTCGATCATAGCGCGCGAAATATCGGATGTATGCCGCTCATATGAATAGGCGGCTGGTGCTGGAGACGATGACGACGACGACGACGACGTCAAGGACGATGGTCCCGCTGATACACCTGACGTGCCACCGCTATACGATTGTGTGTTTCCAGCGCTACGTGGAATTCGGGTTGCATGGCTCATCTCACCCTGAGATGCATGACTGGCTCGTGTCGACATGGGCCGCATGGTTGGTGAAGGTTGTTGTTGGTATGGGACTCGCACTGTCGTTTCAGTCGAGCGCGCACGTCGACTCATGGTATAATCGCGCAGCGGACGTGTGGTAGTGACCGACGTGTATGGGCAATATCTGCGAACGCTGAGCGCCGTACGCCGAGCGCGTCTCTTCGCAGTCCAGGTAACAGCACGAAGGAAAGGCAAAAAAAAATGCTAGTTTCGCCTCGGACCCTTACTCAGCCCAGCGACGCTGTGAGACTATATCTCGTAAAGCAAGGGGGAGGGGGGGGGGTGGGACACGTACGCTTTGCCGGGCAAGACCTACGAGGCCTATCAATGGAAGCGTGTATTCTGCTATCAGCACTCGTCCAGGCTTGGCGCAGGGATGTGCTGGGCCGTGGGGACGAGGATGGAAGGACATGTGATCAAACGGCTGTCGATTGTGTCCGCTCACGTACTAGTCTCAACACAGAAACGTTCTAAAAGCAGCTAATGTAGGCCGTTTTTTATGATCGCGAAAGTGTGGGACGTTCCTCTCTCTCGCGGGGTATGAAGAGAACCAGAAAAAAAAAGACAGTGACTGCTTTCCACTATGCTTCGCGAAATTCTTTCTGCAACAGATCACGCTGCTCTTTTGATACCTTTACGTTAGATGATGTTAATACCACCGTAGCATACATACCTTCCAGAACTTGCTCTTGCGATTCACGTATGGCTCCACACGCAAGTTCGGTGGCACGTCGGATCTAGCAAGCAATTGTTCTGCAACACTCGGCTCATGCACAGGCACATGGGAGCGAGCTGCATGTACGGGTTCGGCAGCTTGCGGCAGAAAGTTTGCTGGTACTGGCTTGATCCGAAGGAATCGAGCGGCGGATGCGTACATGAGGTGAAGGAATGACACCGACGCGACGACAACGAGAATGACACGGACGACTAGTGGAGGCGAAGTGCTTGGCTGAACGACCAGGCGAAGCAAGGGAGGCCAGAGTGGACCGTGATAACTGGTAGATTTGGGATATTTTTTTCTTTCTCGCTTTCTTTGTTTCAACACACCGCGTTGGGCTTGCTTGTTCATCAGGGAGCGAGCGGGTGCGCCCCACGTGACGAGATGCTCAACATTATCGCCCAGCTGGTTACCTGCGCACAGACGACGCGCGGGTGTTGTGATCAGATAGAGGCACTAGTGCGGAGGGAGCGACGGACGTGGATTTGGCCTTCTTGCATCTCGTTGACAGGATCTGTGCGAGCATTGAGCTAGCTTGCAGAGGGAGCGTGCTATCCAGCTAGTGTTGAGAGAGCAGAGCTCCCGCAACGTCATCACAAGTGCATGTCGCGATGCTCTCGCGCCTTCTGCAGCATTGCATTCATGAAGTGGCCATGGATGGCGATGAGGGAACAGACACGGAGCGGCTCTTTTCGTTCGTAGAGGCCTTTTGCCGTGCACTACCGCAGGATATGCAGCCCAATTTGGATGCTCCGTACCGGGCGTTCTTGTGGCGTCACTTGCTCATGGATTCACGCATTCATGCGGGCATCGTCCGAGGACGAGCACAAGAACGAACAGGTGAACAGGCATCAGGAACGAAGAAGCCTGATGCCAAGCGGCAGTCTATTCTTGCGAAGGGACGCGCATCTGAGCCACTGCTGCTCACGCCCACGCCTATTGCGTATGAGCCGCTGGACGCACTTGTCAAGAAACATGGCCCAGACAGGCTGCGTGTGTATGTGGATGCTGAGCATGTCCGCCGCACGCTGACAGGCTCTGATGCGCCATTTGTCTCGGCTGCCGCGTATACGGCGCTCCAGCTTGTGTTTCGTGCTCGAGAGCGTGGTCTAACGGTCGTGGACATTGGTGCGGCGACACAGTATGATCAAAAGACCGTGTACTACCTGGTCAAAGTGCTGGTGGACCGCGATCTCGTGGCAAAGTTTGCCGCGCCTGAAATGGGCCATGTATCCAACTATGTGGTGGGGCGTCCGTTTCTCGAACAGAATCCGCAATGGCGCGCACAACAAAATGCATTAGGTACAGACACTGATCCCAAGCACGCGGTGGATCTTGTCGGCATGCCCAGCTGGGTTGATGTGGATGTGATTGCGACCCAGGAAGAGCAGCGCGGTGATGCAGACGATGAGCGCGATGAGAGTGTCTTGTCGCTCACGTTGCCGCCCGTCATGAATCCACATGAAGGCGAAATGCTGGCATTTCCGATGCTGACGGAAGAACAGAGCTCGGTATGGCTGCATTCTCGACAGGACCTGCTTTCTTTGCGTCTATTGAAAATGTTCGCACAATCGCCGTCGCACATGACGCCACGGCGATGGCTTGCGACGCGCCTGGGTCTTCGGCGTGTGCCCACGCTGCGACGAGGCTTTCTTACGTTCTTGAATCAGCGTGTCTCAGCGGGGTATTTGGAGCGTGTGCGCGTTCAGTTGGGAAGTACGACGCCGCTGTACTTGCGGGCGACGCCGCTGGGCTTGGAGCGGCAATTCACACTGGACGCGGGCGCGGAAGCGGCAGGAGAATCTTTGTCGTCTGTCTCGGCATCCGAGCAGGAGCCGATGCTCGTGCTGAGTGTGGCCGCACCATTGGAGCGCCAGCTGCTCGATCACGTCGATGCATGTGGCAAGGGTGGATGCACGATGAATGAGCTCGCGCAGCACTTTTGCTTCTCGTCCGAGGTCAAGCGCATGGTCGAACAGATCCTGTCGCGCCAAGTCTCACAAGGGCCGCCTCCCTATGCGCCACTCAGTATCTGCGCGCCGTTTGAGCAGGAGGGGCGTGAGCGGCGCATTCGATATTATACGGCGCGTGGATTCGCTGAGAAATGCGCTGACGAGGGCTTGTCTATGAGTGTCGCGCTTGGCTACGACGTACCGTCCGACGGGTCCGTACCCAACGTGCCTGACTCGTTGCCGGGCGAGTGTATGTTTGAGAGCGCCGACGCCCTGTGCACTGCGATGCAGCATGTGCGTACGCACACGTGGGGCTTCTTTCGTGATGTGTGCGGGCCCGTGCCGCTTCGTGGGACGAAGCGGCGTGCCAATGTCGATCCCTCGACGGGCCGAAGCAAGCGAGGACGTCCGCGGAAAGACGAGGTGCGAGTGAAGCAAGAGACGGCTGCGTCCGAGACCACGCCCAGCGATTCTCGCGCGCATGTCAGTGGGCACCGCAGCGATGCTCATCGGCCTGCTGCTCCGGAAGACGCTGTGGACGAATGCGGCGCGTCCGAACCTGTGGCTGCGGCCCACTTGGAGCCCGCTGCGCCTACGACGCGCCAGCATGATGCTCAAGCGGTTCCTGAGCGGCCGTCGTCAAGTGCCGCTGCACCAGCGCGTCCGAAGTCAGAGGCTACCAACGCAGTACCGATCGATCCTGCCTTGTGTGCGAGTGAGCAACAGGGGCTGGCGTCTTCAGCTGCTGCGATGACGACGCCCAGCAAGTCGGCGCGGCGACTCGCTCCACTCTCGGCACGCGCGTCTCGTGCGTCTGAGGCACGAACGAATCTGAGCTCGTTCCAGCGCACAACACTCCTCGCGCATGTGCTGCGGCATCATGGCGGTGCTGTGGACGAAGTGGACATTCCTCGACGCACGCGAGAGTGCCTGGACAAGACGCCTATGCCAGGTGGCGACTTGTCTGATCGGACGACTCGAGCCAAGACGATCCAGCATGCGATCAAGCATGGCGTCGTCAAAGTCGTCAAGCTTCCGCGGCCCGACGATCCACAGCGACCTCGATCGATCGTGCATCTCGCTGACCTGGTGTCTGATGCACTGCAGATGGCGCTTGAGACAGCGACCAAGCCACCACCACCGGCATCGACACCGACAACGACGTTGGCCGCTACTGTGCCTATGTTGCACGCAGCCTCAACGTCTGGTGCTACTGCGGCAACAGCGAGCATGTCGCACGATAGCGCTTGTGCCGACGACGGAAGTGCTGCGCATGCGCCAATACCGATGCCGATGCCGGTGCCACCGCTGACGCAGCGCAGCACTGCTCCATGGACAGACACTGCGCCCGTCACGTATGGTCAAGAGGGCGATCCCATGAACGACCCAGCTACGCACCATGCATTTGCACGACACTCGTATCTTTTGCGGCAGTACTATGGCTTTCCACATGGCTCAGCCGCTCGTCTCGCGCTGTTCCTCGAAGCAGCGAGAGCATCGGCGATGGATGGACATGAAGGCAGCAGCCGTGGTGACGGACGCCAGATCATTGACTTGTCTTGGTTCATCACCGCGTGTCCGCTGCGAACATTTGTGGCTCTCGTGCCGGTCAAGCTCCACACGCCTGCGGTCGTCCGAGCTGTGATGGGCGCGTCCGTGCGTGTGGACCAAGTACCCATGCATGTGTCGACGCGGCTTGGTCTGCGGCGCCAAAGCGCGCACCGCCAGCGGTTCCTGGCGTATGTGATGCAGCTAGAGGAACTTGGGCTCGCGGAGCGCATCCCACGTGCGTCAAGGAAGCACGATGTCGACCACGCGAGCCAGGACAACGCGGCTGCAGCCCGAGACGGCAGCATGTGGGCCCTCGTGGACGATGCACCCGTGTTTCGATGGCCCCGCGAGCATGTGCAGACGATGTCGGTACGCACGCCCGAGGAACGGTCTCAGTACTGGGCTGCTGTGCGCGAGGCTGTGCAGACGTCGGAGCCGAGGCGTGTGCCCGTGTATTTGTGTGCGCCGCATGCATGGCGCGACACATTCAGTCTGCGTGGCGTACAGAAGGCGTTCTTGAAGCGGTACGTGCATGCCGTGCCGCCGATGGAGGGCATCCGGCGACTTGCATCGACGATCTTTGCGCCTGTCGATGCCGTGGAGTCGTTCTTTGCTTCGCACCACGCTCAGGCACACCGGACCACAGCTACGATTGCGCACAAAGTCGAGGCGCGGCGGAAGCAGCGCGCAGACGAATGGAATGCAGCCCTTGCCGACGTCCAAGCGATGGGCCCGCCGGACGCAGCGATGCCACGCGCATTGCAGCAGCTGGAAAAACGGTATGTGTACGGGCGCGATGCGATGGATGCACCGACGCTTCGGAAACGCATCGCGGCAGCGCTGGGCATGCAGAAGAAGCGCGTGCCCAAAGCGGCGCCGGTCCGGCGAACGCGCCGCCGCTCATCGGCCATTTGGACACCCGGCCATCAGGACCTGTTCCGCGATGCGTATGTGATTGTGACTGATCGGCAGGAGGCATGCGGAGTATGCATATGGCACGTGGTGAGCATGTCCCTCCTGATGATTGGTCGGCTCTGTGGCAGCTGATCCAGGCCCAGCCGCCGTCTGATGCAGCACCTGCGGCCCATCTGGCGGAGCAGCATGGGGGCCCAGATCGGGAGGTGGGGAGTGAGCTGCCGACGGCTGTGTCAGCCACGAAAAGCGCGCTTGCGCCTGCGGTTGCTCCCGCTGACGATGCTAGTGCCCAAGCCGCGTGGAATACGTGGCGCGCGCGGCGGAAGCAGCTCGCGTCGTCGGTGCATGAGCAGGTGCGCCTCTCGCTCATGCTGCGTGCATGGCACGGCATCGCGGCACACGCACGCTGCGATGGCTCTCTGCCAGATCCCGAGTGGCCTCATCCATCGGCCTTTTCTCTGCCTGCGCACATTGCGTACCTTCGTGAGCACATGGATCAGAAGCGTCTCTTGCAGGAGCATGCCGAGGAAGCCGCTCGGGTCGTGCTGCCACTGCATGTAAGTGCCGAGGAGGCAGCTGCATGGACGCCGATCGTTCATCGTACAGGGGCAGCGGTGGCAAGTCTTCCCAGCGACTTGGCACCGATGGTGCACCGCCTTGGCGCGATGCGTGGACGGCCCATGTCGATGCATGCGTGGGCACCGGCACGTATTCCTCGAACTGCGGAGGAGCCAGCGACCCATACCACGTGCCACGACGGCTATGCCAGCGCCATAGCCAAGATGCTCGTGCCTAAGCCTGTTGATGCATCGGGCGTCGCGGCATGGGCCGAGCGTGTGGGGCCGGAGCGCCTGGACCGTGCATTGGCTCGCCTCGTGGACGACCGCGTGCTTGTGCACACCAGCACGGAGCGCCTTGCGTACGCGGACGACATCCGGCGTGCGTCCTGGCCATCCGCATCCGGTTGGCCGCCTAGCACCGAGGTGCGTGATGCTTATGAACACGCACAGCTTCATGGTGGGGCGCACGCACACCCAGCAGCCACCGAGAGCGAGACGGCTGCGTGGCTTGCGTTGTTCGAGACACAGAACGTACGAGCGACGCTGGACCTCGCTCCGTTGCACGCTCTTCGGCGCCGGCCGAAGCTGAATGCGCGCACCCTCGACGATGTCGAGACGGAGTGCCCTGTGACGCTGACGATCGAATCGATCGAGTGCGCGCGCCAGGCTCAAGCCCTGCCGCCGCTGCCGAAGCCGCCATGCACTATCCCCACAGTCGACGTGCCTTTGCGTCACGATCAAGTAGCACAACTCGAATCAGCCGGCGCTGCTGGTCTGTGTGCGAACGATCTCCTCGACATGGATGCGCTGCTTCGATACAGGCATGCCTGTACGCGTGGTATCCATGACAACGACCAAGCGGCGGCAGACGGCCTCGCACAGGTGCTGTGCGTCGGATACGAAGACGTGCGCATCGTACATCCCAAGTTTATCGACGCCTGGTGCGTGCGGACTTTGCGGGACAACCAACGTGTCGTGCCGCCACGCGCATGGTTCGACGTGTATGGCGACGTCCACATGGACGTGTGGGAAGAACGTGTGACGTATGTGATGACCCAAGTATGTACCCAGCCGGGAGTGAGTGTATCGGCACTCGGGACGCTGGTCGGTCGTATCGTCGACAGGATGGAACTGTATGACATCCTGCACGCAGCTGTTGAGACGCGTCGTATCGCGATCGACTCTGAGCAGTGGCGAGCAGAGCCGTCGCATGCTCATGTGAAGCCCATGTCGTCTACGATTTGGTTCCAGTAGTGGGCTTTGTAGAGCTTCAACGTGTTGTATAGATGGATCCATGTAGACATGGCCGTGCAGCGCATCGGGGCGCAACACATCGCATCGTATTGTACAGCACAGCACACAGTCTACCACACCTCTCCAGGCATGGCAGCGTCACTTGACGAATAGCCACATCTACCAACTTCCATCCATCATAAGCTATACATGCTAAACAAACAAACAAACTAATAAAAACATGAGCCATTGGTCTATTGTACAGGGGGGGATCTTGTGCGCCAAGGCGAGACGGCGTCTCGTAGGTGGGTAGGACCATCCGCCAAGCTCTCGGGCGGGCACGGCAAGGACTTGCGGGGCGACAGTGGGAGACATGAGGACATCGCCGGGCCTGTGCCTAGGACGACACGTTCAAAGTGCATAAGCTCGGCAATGAACCCAATGTTCGGCGACGTGCGCGGACGGCGCGCAGCGACAAACGCATATGCCTGCTTGAAGGACCAGCGGCGTGTTTTGATGAGGTACGCAATCACACACGTTGCACTGCGTGATTTGCCTGCGCGGCAGTGCACAAACGTAGGCAAGCCGCGCGAACACATCTGCTCCAGAAAGCAACAGGCTTCCTCCAGATGTTGCTGCACGCCGACGGCCTCGACGACATCGCGCATGGGGATATGCTTGTACTCGACAATGTGCGGATGATGCCGCAGCGGCGAGGCGTCGTGCAGGTACGGCACTTCTGCCGCCGTGTTGAGGACGGCCTTGATGCCCAACTGCTCGAGTTTCTCCATATCGGAGGGCTTTTGCACACCTGAACCCAGGTACACTTCGCCCGGCACGATCGTCGACACTTCAAACTCGGACAGTTCGGAAATGATGTGGGCCGTTTGCGGCTCGTCCATGAGTGGGCCCTTGTAATCCGTTGATACATGCAGACTTGCCGTGAGCGGCAGGCGCAGTGGCACATCAATGCCCGAGTTGCGCCATGGCGGGTCCACTGTATCAGGTACGTGCTGGATCGTCGTGTCGATGCGTGGAAGCGCTGGCCGACGCGGTGGTGGCGCACTGAGATCAAACGTGCCCATCTGCTTTGTGAGCATACTTGCATCGATCGCAGGCGTGCCGAGCCTGAGGCTATCGGGAGCGACGTCTTGCACGTTGGCCGAGCCGCCATGTGTGTCAGCGCGACTTCCAGAAACGGTGCTGCCGCTATCAATGTCATGGCCGTTCCCATTGTCGTTCCCTGGCGCCGCCGGCACATCGCCCACTTCAAAGTATGCGGCATACGCGGCGTCTTCACGCAACTGGCGCATGCCACCACGCACAAAGTACAGACCACGTCGTAAAGATGCAAGGTGCGGCTCGGCGTGCGCCGCCGCACGAGCGCGAATGGCCGACAGAATCCGCAGAAACAGATGCCCTGCAAAGGCGGATTTGTCGTGTTCATACAGGACAACGACGTCGATGAACCAGAGAGCACGGACAAGCTCTGTGATGGTGCTTGGCTCGACACCACTGGGTGCAGAAGCGAGTTGCGAGTGGCACACCATACGGAAGCGTTGCTTGTCTGCGTCCGTGTGGATGTACGAGGCGATGTCAATGCTGTCGAGAAGGGCGGGACTCGCGCCAAGCGCACGTTGACTGCGTCGGAGAAGCAGTGTTGGGATCTGGACATTGATAGCACCCTTCAGATGCCCTGTGCACAGGTTCCTGTCCATCGAACTATCGTGGCAGCCTTGGAACATGTGCGCCGGGCGTGTGTCAATGAGCAGCATAGGCTCATGGCTGTGTGCGACAAAGGGAAGCGGAGGATAGGACTCAGCGGCGCAGTTGATGCGGGTCGCTGAGAGCGCCGGTGAGCCTGGCATGCTGACGGATGATTTGGACGTCGGCGGGTCACTAGGCGCTGCATGGATCCAGCTCTTTTCATGCGAAGACTTTGGTGCTGGGCTGTTGGATGGATGCGTCAAGATCGCATCGGTGTCCCACGAGCCCTGCCGCTCGTTCTGGGAATTTGTTTCTGTACAAGCATCACAGCAATCTATGTTAGGCAACTGTTGCTGCTGGGGTTGCGAGGGTAATTCTTGATGCGATTGTGTCTTGTGTTGTTGTTGTTGCTGTTGCTGCTGCTGCTGCTGTTGCTGCGTCACCACCTCCTCATCATTGGGACCCGAGCCTTGGAGTATACGGCCTAGACGCACGACAAGTTCGTCAGCGCTGATGGCCACAACTCCTTGTGGTGGCTCATTCGTCCCACTAGCGTTCATAGCAACCAAAGTGCTTGGCTGCGGCGACGCCGTCTCGTGTGAAATGCTGCACAGGCCGACACTTGCAACCACAAGAGAACAAGCCACGGGCCGTGTTGCAGCCGATCTCTGCAGCTACGACGTTCGTCTCAATGTCTCGAAAACAGACAATGACAACTTTCGTTGCAGCAGCCAAATGTTCGATGCGCAGCCGCACTGGATGAAATTTTTAGGGAAAGGGAGCTAGCTTGGTGGGATGGTCAGTATGTGTGTGTTCTACAAATAAAAAGAGGGCGAGCCAGGGCCGGGCGCTTGAGGCCGCCACTTGTCTTGCACGCGCGCACTGCCAAGCGCTTGCGAATTTCCGCGCCACCTCGTGTAGGCAAAGAAGTGGGGCGCGGCGCGGTCATTTGTGGGCGTCAGACGGACCTGGACGACCTGGGCCTGTAGGGTGAGTGGAGCTCGGCTGCGTGCGTCCTCTCGGCCGATACTACCGCAGTTGCCATCACGTGATATATGCGCTACGAAGACGGCGGCACGCTGGCGGGTGGTCGTCACTCCGCCATCGCATTGACAAAGCACCGCACAAGCGCTTCGGGACCTTGTGTGCGACCAACACCCAAGTAACTGCGTGAGGAACCATGTCGATGCCGTCGAGTGGCGGTACTATATCGCGCCGGAGTGCGCCTTCGCGCCGCCGCGGGCCACAGCGTCAGCGCACGGCTGCAGCTGCGAACGCCGAGGACGACACAGAAGAAGTGCGTGCACTGCGCGCCAAATATCCGACACAGCTTGCGATGCTCTCTGAGCTTTTCCCATCCTGGACAGACGAGGACTTGCTATTTGTGATTTCCGAGAGCAGCGGCATTGTGGAAGTGGCAGTTGGCCGCATTAGCGAGGGCCACGCCGAGCAGTTTTCGTCGGTCAAGTCCAAAAAGACACAGCGGAAAGAGGCAGCAGCAGCTGCTGCGGCGGCGACGCCTTCGGTATCGTCGTCAGATGCACATCCAAATACTGCTGCTAGTGGGTCTGGACCTGCGGCTGCATCGACGACGACGACGCTGACGTCTGCCTCAGCCACAACCACTCCAGGCGCAGCCCCAGGCGCTGTTCCTGACGCGACGGCTGGTGCGGCGATCACCACGTCAGTTCCCGGGTCTACTACCACACAGTCTCTGCCGACCCACTCACAAACACATGTAGCACCGCCCATCGCTGGGGCAGGCGGTGTACTTCCAGAAGGCTCGCGCCGTACCGGACGCGGTGGCGATCGATCTTCTAGGGGACGCGGTGCTTCAACACCGGCTGCTCGCGCAGGTCGCGGCGGCTTCCGTGGTGTGGCGCGGGGCGGCGGCGTTTCTTCGGCTCCTGCGTCAGCACCGTCCGCACAGAGCCGTGCGATGCCTGTCACGACAACGCCCGCCGCCTTTGGCGGCAGGCCAAAATCATCCTCCTCGTCGGATACGAAGGCATCTGGCACCGCTACGACGCCTGTGCCTGGCTCTTCATCTACCTCTGCCCGCCCCACGACAATGAGCTGGGCTCAGATTGCGCGGCCAGCCGAGCCGAAGCCAGCAGCGACATCCACAGCGACGACCACTTCTACCACAACGGATCACCATGGCTCACTCCCAGGCGCCGACTCGGCTGCTACCGCTACGGACGCGGCTGGTGCGCATGCCACGCCGAAGACAGACACAGTCCTGTCTCCAGACACGTCCGCAACGGCAGGTGCGCCCACCCCTGGTCCAACTGGCGCCACAGAGGCAGATGCACCGGAATCGCGCCCATCTGTGTCAGCTGCCACGTTGGCCCCAGCCCCAGGCCCAGCTAGTGCATTCTCAGCTTCTGCTTCCACACCCTCTGCGGCAGCTGCGTCGTCTGTTCCTTCCCGTTCTGCACGTCCTCAGCGGCCTCGTCAAGATGCCGCTGTCGTCATGCCTGGCGGCACTTCGCTTGATCAGCTTGACATGAAGTTTGGCACACTCAACTTTATGGCCAACGACAGTGGCGATGTGCCAGAGTCAGGTCTTAGCACGCATGCTGGCGTGCCCCTCGATGCCAAGCATGAGGACCAGCAGCCCGTGAGTGATTTCGATGCATTCAAGAGCAATGGATTTGGCTTGGACAGTGCGTACGGCACCAGTCTGAGCACTACACGGCCCATGGGCCAGGAAGCAGCTTCTGCTGTGGATGATACGAGTGTGCCGCTGTCGTATGGCGCCAGTGGAAATGTTGCCACAACCGCTGCTGGTGCCCCACAGGGCTACTCATCGATGTACGGCTTCGACTCACATGAGCGGTCATCGCACCCTTACACAACCGGTCTGCGTACCTCGACGTCCGCGGATGAACGCACAGGGTCGCAAGTTGCTAGTCGTCCGAGCTATGACATGTCTGGTGCGGTATCGCACGTGCCTCAGGGGGCAACGGCACCCCAGGGTCAGCCTCAGCAGCCAGCAGCCATGCATTCACACCCGTCTCAGGCACCGCACCAGTCGTCTCAGTCGCAAGCACATCAGTCTCAGCAACAACAGCAACAGCAGCAGCAGCAGCAGCAGCAACAACAACAACAACAACAGCAGCAAGCTCAGCTGCAGGCTCAACAGCAGGCTCAGCAGCAGCAGCCATTCCCCAATATGATGCCATACTACTATCCTTACTACATGCCGAACCAGTTCCAGCACTTTTCACCAGCTACTGGATTTGGTCAGTACCCACTCTATGGCGCTGCCCAGCCCCAGCCACCATCGAAACTCGATGCTCCTGCTCCAAGTCTTGCCTCGTACACGCAGCCCGACACCATGGGCACGCCGTATGGTACACATACTCCGCCGCAGCCATATCACAGTGTGCCTAGTATGTCGATGCCAACGTACGAGTCACAAGGCTTTACCCAGCGCCTGGCAGGCTCGCATGACTACAAGCTGCCAGGCAATGACTCGAATCACTCGCTGCCAGGTCTCAGCTTCTTTGCTGCTGCTGGCGCCCCACAGGGAGCACCAGCGCCTGGCCGCGCAGGCGCTGCCGCGGGCACGTCGAGCCCATTGGACTACCGTGCCTTTGATGCGAGCAAGTCGCCAGCCGCACGTCCAGCTAGTGTATCGACGCCCGGAGCAGCTGGCATGCCGCCACCACCGCCTCAGGGCATGCCGGGACAGCAGGCGCCCATGGCTGCGGCGGCTCAGCAACACCCAGCTTACTACCAACACTATGCGGCTGGATTTAACCAAGCTAGCCCGTACGACGGATATCAATATGGCCGTCAGCCATACTGGGCGTAAGGACCAATCCATTGATCGATTCAGAGTCGTTCGTTCGCGAACCGATTCCAAGACAGATAGACGAATGACCAGTCTGTGTCGTAACGAGTGTCGATGCCGGTTCGTGTGCTGGCAGACCGGCTGACTCAATGAGCGACAGGCAGGCAGGGTATTCGACGATGAATAGCTATAGCCATGACTGCATGTGGACAGTCATGATTATTGTATCATGCACAGCATGTATGCGGGATTGTGTGGGATGTGTAGTTGCGAAAGAAGTACAAGCATATGCACACTCGTACGTGCTATATGTCGATACCGAGGATAAGGATGCGACCTGTGGTAGCGCGGCTCGGTCAAGACCTCAGATTAAGTGCATATAGCATTTTACTCGCAGACAAGTAGCTGTACTTCAGAGCGGAGATGTCCAGGCCATGTGGTTAAGCAATCTACGAAGCCGCAAGCCTTGTCGCAGTCCATGGAGGAGCCACTCAGTGACACAGACAGACAGGCTGATTGGATCGTAAGACATAAGATCCACGTGGACTGACGTGCAGATTCGGCCGATATCATAGAGTGTTGGTTGATTGGGACGCACCTCGCTTATTGAGAAACAGACTGTTGGCCAAGTAGAGTTGACATCCAAGGGCACCGGGCGAAACTCGTGGGAAGCCAGTAACATTAGTTTACCTGTGCGTATTGCCCGTTTCTTCTCCTTAGCGGTGGGCGCAATAAGAACCAGTGTTTGTGCTCGAACGGTGTCGGATCCTTCGAGATCACGGCAGAGTGACGCTTTCGTCCGTCAAGTCAAGGTCTTGGTCTGGTTTGTTGTTGATTCCGTCGTCTGAGCAAGAGAGAGAGAGAGAGTGTGTGTGTGTGTGCCGCACTGCCAAAACAACCTCGAATCTGGCGCCTGAATGAACGCAGGCGACTTGTACACAATGGAGCGACCTGATGCTCCTGGCGCTGGCTCGTTGGGACCGGAGCAGCGTGGGTTTTCTACAACATCATGCACCGACTCCGTCCTCAGCGATACATCCTGCCCGCCATCCTATGACCCATTTCTGCCATCGTCTGTGTTTGGTGCAGGGGATGTGCCGCCATTCGACTCAACCGCCAACTTGCTCTCGTCCGACATAAAGAATGAGACTTCCTCTTGGGACACTCACGACTCGCTAAGCATTGACCTCGGTCGTGTGTCGTCTCTCACTCTTGGCACACCTATCAGCCAAGGGCGGCACCCTGTGACGGAGCAACCTCATCCTTACCCATCGCCGCAGTCGGTGCAACCATTAGAGCTGCCACCACAATCGTATTCACCATTGCATTCGCCATCGCAGCCGCAGCCGCAGCCGCAGGCGTCGGCGCCGGCGCCAGCTCCAGCTCCAGCGCCTCCCCATTCTGTACATACGATCCCATTTACGACTTCACCCGTCCCGCAAACGCCATGCGCTCCACGACGCCATGGATCCAACCACTCATCTATCGCTTCGTCTGCCGATGAGTTCTCGCATCCATCTGACGTCCAGAACGTGTCGCCATACCAAGCGTCTCTGCCTCACAATGCCAGTACGACAGGCTCGATTCCCATGACGCCTCTGACACAGTCAGATCGGACGTCTCGTCACACAGCTGATTTGTCGACGAGCTCTTATGCATCGCTAGCGACACCCGAGTATGGCCCACCCACCGGTCCACGATTCAGCAGTGTGCCTGATGTATTTTCGCCCTACATTCCGCCGCCGGATCTGTCAGCGTACAGGACTGCAGCTCCCGAGACAAGTCCTACGCCCCGCAAGTCCTGCACACTACCTGTCTACATGGAGTCCATTCCCGGCACACCCGACGTGACCAGCACACCCCATCCATTGTGCATGCCACCGATGCCTCCTACATCTGCAGGTCCTATGACCTCTCCTGGTGGCCAAATTCTTCTGGACGACCCCTTTGTGCCTATGCCATACTATACACCCGCACCGACGTCCACTCTTCCGCCGCCAACGCCGCCGCCACCACCACCACCACCAGCAGCAGCGCCATCAGGGCCCTCGTCTTCTATGCCTCATCGGTCTCATCCACAACCCCCTCCGCATCCATATGCGCAGTCACACGCATCCCTGCACAACATATTGCCGATGGAACATGGGAATGGCTTGTCACAACATGCACCGCCTATGATGTCGCGTGTTCTGTCCGCGCCTGTAGGTCCCTTGTGGCCACACGAGTCACCAGGACCTCCCATACCCTACACGCCGATTCAGGAGCGATCTTTGCCGACGTCGCCAGCTTCCAATGGTGGTTATGCCTTGCCCGTAAGCTCCGTGGCAATGGCTCGCAAATGCTTCACTCCATACTCAAAGCAGAACTCGATTTACTCGTGGCCGTATCATGAGATGGAATACTATTCCTCGTCCATGTCCGCGTCAAGGAGCATGGGCTCTTTGGCGTCGCCTCTCCCCACGTCACCAGCCACACCCAGTGGCCCGTCTCGTCGCGGCTCGCAGATGTCTCACAGTATCAGCATGCCTGGCGATCAAATCCCTGCGCTGCTTGACTTCGAGCGGCCTAGTCCCTCGCGGCAACGGGGCCGGAACCCCGGCCCACCACCTCTTGTCGTAAGCTCGGCAGATAAGCTGCATGTGTGCCATTGTGGCCGGCGCTTCAAGCGCATGGAACATTTGAAACGGCATACGCGCACGCATACGCAAGAACGACCACACAAATGTCCTGTGGCCTCTTGCGGCAAAAGCTTTGGCAGGACCGACAATCTTGCTCAGCATTTAAAAACGCACTTTCGGCCAGCCGGTCTGGCTGGGCGTTCCAGTGAACTCGCTCCGTTGAAGGACAATACGCCAGCAACACACATGCGGAACGACCCATTCGCAGCGGCGGCGGCGGCGGCGGCCGCGGCTGCGGCTGCCGCCGCCGCTGCGTCGACCTCTTCCACAACCACAGTTCCTTTGCCAGAGCATGATAAAATAAAGCAAGAAGACTAGGCCTGGGTACAGCAGTGCTTGCTCGTGTCTCACAGAGTACACGTCCCACATTGACAAGGGAACGTGTGCATGAGAGTGTGTCTTTGGCAATGTAAAGCTGGTCTCGACGAACCACATAGCGGCCTATATGCAAAAATACGTACGCACTAATCCAGTTTGAATAACACTAGGCAATCTGTGCTGTCAGAGAGCACACTGGGGAACATCATATATACCTTGAAAAGGTCATTCATCCTGCGGCATGTAACACTAATTCAACGGCTTGGCTTTGTACAGTACTATGTACGCAACCGAGTCTTCCCCTCCTCCATATAGCATCTCGATCTTATCAGCGGGCACGATCGACACTTTGTCATCATCAAATTTGTACCACTCATTTGGCGAAGCATCGAGCGAGTCTTGAGTATCGACGGCATCCTTACGCACCCAAGACATGTAGTGACCTGCATCGGCTGCCGCACCTTTGTGGGTTACGATTCCGACAAGGTCGTACAAGCCACTGGCATTGCACCCAGCGTCTGCGCGCAAGTCTTCGTGAACGAGCGCCTTGATACTCTCTGCTTCCTTCTCGCGCTGCTCACGCTCCTGCTCATCGGTCAGCGCACCACCTTCGACAGCGCCTGGCTCGAGATGCCGGCCTTTGGCACGAGCGCGGATTTTCGCCCGTTCATCGCGGTCCTTTTGAACGGCATGGAGACGTGAGCTTACGGGCGCTAAGCGCTGGGCTAGTTCAGGCGTAACAAACGGACTGGCGTCAAGCTCACGTGGAAACTTGACCTTGCGCATGATCTTCGTCTTTTTGTTGATATCACGTCGCCAGTAGAACCGGACAAAGTGCACTGGAAGGAACTCGGGGAGCCGAGCAATCCGCCGCTTCTCGTCATAGACAGCTGTGCGCTGCAGCTGGTCAGAATGTTTTTCAAGCTTCTGCGAGAACGAGTCCAGAATGCCCGCGGTCATGTCGTTCGTAGTGCTTGATATGTTGCATTGGAGCATCTGGAATGGCTCATCTGCATGTGAGGGTGCTTCTTCAGGCGCTTCAGGGCATGTCCGTTCGATTGAAAGGTGGCCTGTCATGTACTGTTGTACAAATGGCTGTGAGGATGGTGTCGCTATTGACACAGACGAGAGTGCCTGCACGATCCGAAGCCAAGCCTCTTCTGCATCTTGCTGCGCGAATCCTACGCCAGAGTTTGCCATCTCTGCAAACTGCGGTGCCACTGTGCGCAACGTCGTTAACAATACAAGTGGCGGAATGGCATCTGTCGTCTTGCCCATGTCCTGGTACAGATCACGTAACGCAGCGACGAGACCTGCGTCGCCTTGATTTGAGCCTGAGCGTCCCTTGTACTCTGAAAGAGCTTCTTGAAGCGGCTGGATCGCACGAAGTACTTGGAGCGTCGAGTTCAGATAGCATGTGTTGCCCAAATTCGTCAAACCGACACGAAGATCCGTCGCTTTGTTGAGTTCATCCTCCTGCATGTCTTCGAGAAATTGGACGGGTTTTTCTGGCGCTTTCGGAAGTTCGCCTACGGCGCCCAGTACCATAAACTGCTGACCAGCACGTACGCTCAGTTTGCTCAATTCTGTATCATCTTTCAGCAGGCCGCCCTTCGTCATGACTTTTTGCCGCTCTGGTGGTACCATGGTGGCATCAGCAATGGCCTGTTTGAACTCTGAACCTTTTCCCTCTGGATTCAATGAGATGTCATACTAGATGTTTGGTGAGACCGATTCAACACGTACGACTTTTCCATTGTGTTTCACTTTGACGGGGATGAGCGACATCTTTCCCATGGGAATACAACGACCAACAAAAAGCGAAGTGGGAGCGTTGCTGACGCGTTCTATTGACGCACGGCCGCCCAGTCTGATGGCGAATCAGGCAGCTAGCCACATGGACGACGAGGGTGATGTGTGGAGATTTTACGGTCGGCGTCCTGTACTCGGCCGAATGCGCGAATGCACGCTCGCATCCACACGAACAAAAAAAGTTTTCGTGTCGCAGGGCAAGATAGGATTGGTGTACGTCGTCGACCGACTTCGTCGTCTAGGACCGTGGCATCTGTGACGAGACAGCGATGGCGAAGTTAAATAAACGCACGAAGAAGTTTGTGAAGAACAAGCTGGATCAAACTATACAACAAAGGCGCGATGCCAAGAAGAAGCTCAAATATGTACAAAAGAAGGGCAAGCGTGGAGAAGAAGCCCAAGAGCCGGACGAGATGGATGCAGCCTCAGAGCCTGAGGCTGTCGCAAATGAAGGAACAGCGGCGTCACGCATGGGAGTGGACGAGTTTTTGCGCGGAGGTTTCCGTGAAGGGATGGAGGAAGCAGAGGAAGATGAAGACGAGGAACGAGAGGGAGGTGACCATTACGACGACGTTGAGGACGACGATGATCTAGATGAAGTTGATGACTTGGAAGATGAAGAGGCGCACGCTCAGGATCTTGCCAAACTAGCAGAGACGGATCCAGAATTTTACAAGTACCTACAGGAGAATGATCAGGACCTACTGCATTTCGGGCAGGACAACGGGAATGACGAAGAAGATGAAGAGGAAGCGGAGGACGCTAGTGCCAAAATGAACGCTGGAGACGGATCAGAAGATGAGAGTGAGCGCATACTGACGATGGACATGCTTAGGCAATGGCAAAAAGGACTATTGCGACACAGGTCACCAAGAGCGTTACGGCGATTGCTTCTTGCGTTTCGGGCAGCTCTGGACTCGGGCGAGAGCAACGGAGCCGGTCGTGGTGATGAGCCATCTGCCAAAGCATATCAAGTCCAAGATAGCCGAGTGTTTTCAAAGCTTATCGTCACCACACTCAAGTACATGCCTATGGTGATGGAGTCCCATGTGCCGTACAAGAAGGGCGCGGACGGCCACTTCAAAGTGCCCACCAACACACCAAAGTGGCAGGTATTGTACCGGCCGGTGCGCAGCTACTTCCTAAGTGTCGTGAAGCTGCTTCGCACGCTTCCTGAGCCCGATATGGTGTACATTGCCTTGAACGAGTCGGCCAAGATGGTGCCGTACTTGCATCACGACCGTCGGGTGACGCGTGATTATGTGCGAGCCCTGCTGGAGCAGTGGACGTCGGGTACAGATGAGAACCGCCTGGCGGCCTTCTCGTGCTTGTATGTGACAACGGCGTCGGCCTTAGATGAAGAGATGGGCGACTTTTGCCTGAAAAGCACGTACCATGCGCTTATTCGGGGCACGAAGATCACAAAGCCTCACACACTGGAGCAGATTGCGCTGATGAAGAACACGGCATGTGAGCTCTTCACACTGCATCCAGATGCGAGCTACCAGCAAGCATTTGGGTTCATTCGACAGCTGGCCATCTCGCTGCGCAACTGTCTCAAGCTCAAGACGCAGGAACAGTTCCAGACCGTGCTGAATTGGCCTTATCTCCACTGCCTCGACTTCTGGTCACTTGTTTTGGCTCGGACGTGCCATGTTGACCGGGAGCAAGGGACACCAAGTCACATGCGGCCTCTCATCTATCCGTTGGTGCAAGTCGCGCTAGGTGTGGGAAGATTGGTGCCCATGACGCGCTACTTCCCGCTACGACTGCATGTGATCCAGTCGATGCTTCGGCTGATTCAGTCGACGCACGTGTACATTCCGCTGGCTCCGCTGATCATCGAGGTGTTTGAGAGTTCCGAGTTCCAGCGCCGTGGCAAGGGCGCCACGCTGAAACCGTTGGATCTCGCAACAACATTCCGTGCACCAGCAGCGTACGTTCGCACGCGAATCTATGCGGACCAACTTGCTGAAGAGTTTGTTTATGTGCTGCAGGAATTTCTAGCGACCCAAGCCCGTCACATTGCATACCCTGAGCTGATCATCCCTATGACTGTGCAGCTTCGACGAAGTATCAAGACGTCGCCGAATGTGCGTTTAAGCGAATCGCTGCGTCCTCTACTGGACAAGATGCGGCAGAATGCTACGTGGATCGAGCAGCGACGCAGTGCTGTTGAGTTCGCGCCGAGCGACCAAGCCCAGGTTGACGCATTCCTTCAACATAATACCGATGAGGCGCCTCTGCAACAGGCCTTGCGTCTTGCTCGCAAGGTGCGCGAACAAAAACAACGCTTGCTGCAGACGAACGCACACATCGTTGAGGACGACGAGGCATGATGACGTATAATATGATGCGACGCAACGCGATGTGACGCGACTTGACGTGACTAAGCGCATAGTTGGGAAGGCATCCAAGTATCCCACGAGCCAGCCCTACGGCGGATCTCTCTTGCAGCCTGTATAGTGATGATGACATAGCACTAATGCTGAGGCCCATGGGCCTGGTGCGCAGACTCATATTCGGCCAGAGACAGTTCTAGTGCTAAACGCAGGTCGTCGTCGATGGGTTCGGTCGCTGAGAGCGCGGGCGACGGTCCCTCGGCCGGTGACGGCCGATCGACCAAAGCACTACGTCCAGCGCGTCGTGCATTCTGTGCTGATGATGAATCGACGGCACGTAGCGTGGGTGAACGTATGGCCCATGCGCCGAGTGAGTGTGGTGAACGTGAAGACGTACGGCTTGCACCATGATCCGAGCGCATTTCCGGCCAGTCATTCATAACATCTGAACGGATAGGTGTGCCGCTGCTGTATGATGAGACGGAACTGAACGAACCATAGACACCAGCAACATCAGGACTAGCGCCAAAGTGTGGCGATGCACCAGCTTGGACTCTTGCATGCCGCGGCACGGCCACCGTCTGTAGCTTGCTCCATGAACCTGAGGGCTGTGTATCGCCACTTGTCGTCGATGCCGAGTGTCCTGCGGTACATAAGATGTCCCAAGCTCTTGAGGGCGCAAGCACGGAATCACTCGCAGTGAGTGAAGGCGATATGGGCGTCGCATCGCTATCACCATCCTGGATATTGTGCAAATCCATGTCGTACATGAGCTCAGCAGGAAGGTCATCTTCCGCTGCCGCACTTGTAGTTACGTCTTCCAATGGAGGTTGTGCTTCCTCGCGGCTTAGCATCAGTGCGTAGTCTAGGGCTGTATCCTCGTCCAATGTCCCATGAACACTTGACGTAAGAGCTGCACGGCGTGCCTGGGACGAAGCAAGTCGTTCGCGCTCCAGACGTACTTGGTGCTGGCCTTCCTCTACAGCCTGCTCGATATCTGCCTTGAGTCGCACGCGTTCTGGCACTCCTGATTTGGCTTGTCGCTTTGATGTAGCACGCGCTGTGCTATCGGAGGCCGACGATGATGTAGTTGCCGACGGCGTCTCTTCCTTGTCTGTGTGCCACGACAAGACATGCATCCCGACCGCAGCGACAAACATGTCGTCACACGCTACTATGTGATTTACTCGGAAGCGTGCAGCTTCATCCACTGTCAGCTCGCCAGCGGCTAGCATACGTGCTGGGTGTCGGCGAGCTGTGCGCTCATTAAACACGCGTACCAATGCCCCCGAGAGTGTGTCGATAGCCTTGATGGTGCCGTCTTCGCATCCCAAAACCACAAGCGCTGGCGTAAATGCCAATGCAGTAATTGCATTGTGGTGCCCTTCAAACACATGCGCTGGTCGCACTTGACGAGTCGCGGCGATAGGATCCATGGTTTGCCAAGCTCGTTGAGCCGAGGCATCGTACGGCTCGCCATGCGCATCCCATTCCCACACTCCAATGCGACCCGAGGCTGTTCCTGCGCACACAAACTTGTGCTCATGCAGTCGGCCAGCATGCATCCGAGCCAGCATTACGGGCGGAAGAGCCGGCGGTTTCACACGTACATCGAAATCGCAGCGAAGACTCGTCAAAGTCGATACGCCCGGCGTGCCAAAGACAGTAGTCTGATGACCCGCATCGTTCACGTCCACACGTAAAAAAACACGTGCATTTCTGTAGTGTACAAGCATCGAAACACCGGGCATAGATGAAGCATCCAAAACAAGATGCTCAATTTGTGTGCCAGGCTGGGCACTTGGGACGTCAGTACGCCACGCCTGTGCCCAAAGTTTGTTCAGGTCAGAATGCCACGACGCTGCCGTAGCTGTTGGAGATCTCGAGACTGTTGAAGACAATGAGATCGTTGATGTTCGTCGTGATAACGACTCGTACAAATGAAGCAACTCGCGCACAGGAATGCCTTGCCAAACCACCAGGGAACCATCCACACGGGCAGCTACGACAATGCCCCGCGTCGGTGCATACTCCAGGTGTGTGATTTGGTGAGCACCAAGCGTCAACGGCACCGCCGGACGCGCTGGGGACGCCTCAGCGATTGAATCGGCAGCCTGTGATCGCTCGAGCGGGCGTGCCGAGCCTGTCCATAAGGGCGACATATGTTTTGGGTGCCAAAGCATGACTGAGCCATCGGCCGCTGCACTCACAAATGTGGTAGCAAGATCGCCAAGCGTTGAGAGATGCTGCCTGTAGCGCTCGTCGGTGTGAGCACCGCCATGGCCTGGCGCAAATGGCATCCCAATCGCTGTAACGGGAGACTGGTGTGCATTGCCAGGAGGGAACGAGCGGTTGTGGATGGTTCCACGCGCACTTTGTCCGCGCCAATCGATCGTCGTAAGAGCAAGGTCACCAGAGTGCAAACCCCAGACAATGCGAGAAGCGAAGGCATCAGTCGCATGTGCCGTAGCAGCGGGTGTGAACTCGATGTTAGGATAACCATTCGCACCACGAGATGCAAAACCACTCGCATCAAGAAAATCCTTTGCAACTTTGCCAGTCAGCGCATTCGAGCGAGATGCAACGCTAAATTCATTCGAGAGTGACAAGGCAAAGCGCCGCGATGCAGAAAGCGCAAGCTTATCAACTATTGCGATGCGTGGATCTGTGAGCACGGTAGGTGTACGAGACTTGCGCCAGCGACGCAGCAGTGCCATTCGTGCAGTATATTCGGCACGCCAATTCGACTCCATGCGCCGAAGAGTAGGCGCCACGCGCAACGCAGCCCATGTAGGATCGTGAGACGCAACATGCTTGTGAGCGACAATGGCGTCCTCACGTTCCTCGAGACCAGACGCGACCATGAAAGCAGCACGCCAAGTCGTATCCAGTGAGACAATTGTGTGCCATGCGCGACAGGTCTGTGCGCAGCGAGAAATAGATGTGGGATCGAGAAATGCAAAGATACGCGCAAGTGTCTCGGGGGCAAGCTCGCTTATGAGCGAGGAAGCAACTGCGTTGGACGAACAGACTGGGGGGCCTTGACGCGAGCGCCGTTGGTGACGACCGCTACGGTGCTCGCGTTGTGAGCGGCGCTGAGTATCATGGTCAGTAGATGTGTGGTGTCCGTGAGAGCTTGTGTCGAGATCTGAAGTATCCAAGCGTTGATGGGTGAGAAAGACTAGATCAGACTCGTTCATACAATGTGCAACGGGAAACAAGCAGTCGGAGGCACACACACACACACACAAGTGATTCAGTGTGCCAGTGGTAGCAGCACTTGCAAGCGATTCAGCCCCTTAACGAAGCAGAAAGTACAGAGGAGCAATGCACTACTAAGGGACACGCCCAACGCCACGCACAATGGCAGACACATGAACGCGTGGCTTCCAGGGGCTGTTGCTCATTTGGCGAAAGATTTTCCTATTGGGCGCACTAACATGTTACTGGATGACAACGCGGTTTTCCGTGCAGGGGCCACAAGTGCGGACACTTCTGACTGTGCGAAGGAATTAGGCTAGCGCCGCTCGTGCGTGCTTTTATTGGCGCGAAGCATGCGATTGTCTCAAACTCATCAAATTGTCGCTGCAGCATCAATGCTGTATGTCTACACAATAGTCAATTTGCCAGACTCCTTGGTTTTCTATGAAAGATAGGCGTGAATGTGTCTATAAGTAATCAAAGGATAAAGAGGCCATTGAGCTACTCTTGGAGTTCCACATAGTTCTGTCGGTTAGAGAGATGTTCCATAGAGTCAAGAGGATCACTTACTGCTGGGAAAAGACCTATCATGCCAGTCCTTTCGTTCGTGCCGTTCCACCAGTCTTCACTGGCGAATTCGATTTCGACTATCCGATCACCCTCAGCCAGCGCAATTTCATTGTCTTCATCAATTTCATAGTCATACAAGGCAATAGCCTGCGGCGCAGAAGATGCAGCAGGAGTGGGAGGCATCGGGGGTGCAGGCGGTGGTGGCGGCGGCGCGGCCACATCGGCCGCGTCTGGTTCAGGTGCAGGAGGAGCCGGCGGCGCTGGTGGCGCTGGTGGTGGCGGCGGCGGCGCTGCTGCTTCTGGCTCTGGCTCTGGAGCTGGTGGAGCCGGCGGCGCTGGTGGCGCTGGTGGTGGTGGGGGCGGTGGTGCTGGAATCTCGGACTCGGGCTCCAGCTCGGCCTCATTCGCTGTCTTTTCCGCGGCTGAAGGCGAAGGCTGCTGTTGAGAATCGGATTCTGGTGCTTCCCTTAGTTCCACGTAGTTTGCGGGAAACAGACCCACAGCCCCATTTGGTGCCGTAGCAGACCACCAGCCTTCATCGACCTGATCGACATGCGTGAGCACATCGCCTTCGCGAAGAGTAATTTCGTTGTCCTCTTCGGCATCATAGTCGTACAAGACCGTGGCACATTGACCTTGGGAGGGTGCTGATGCAGCGGGCTCATTAGGCTTCGGTGGCTGTGGTGATGGCGCCGCTGTAGACACAGACACTTGGTTCATCTTAGACACAACTTCATCGACGGAGCCAGCTGAGGCAGTTGGCTCCTCACGTACGGCCGACGGTGCAGGCGCGGGCGGCGCAGGTGGCGGTGGCGGTGGCGGCGGTACTGAGCTGGCATCGGGCTGCAACTGAGTCTTGGCATCAGCCTCTTGTGCTTCCTCAGCCTCACGCTCCTTGCGTGCTAATTCCTGTCGTTGACTCCAAGTTAACTTGCCAGGAGTAGCACGGCGTGTCGGAGCGGGTGCACTTGGCATCTCTGATGGTTGCGAGAACGGCATTTTTCGGTCAAGCGAGAGTTTACCCGGCTTTGGAAGTGATACGGGCGTGTATGCAGTACCGACAGGTTGAATGCGATCATCTTCAGCTGGCTTGGGAGGCGTAGGCGCATCTGATGATTCATTTGACGAAACTGGTGCTGGCCTGGAGGTCGGAGCCGATGAAGGCTGAGGTGCACGCGTAGGCTGGGGCACGGATGAGATTGGTTTGTTCGCTGCCACAGTCGGTCTTGGTGCCGAAGGAGGCGCCGGCGGGTTCTTGAGTTTGCCTTCACGCAGTTGCTTCAGCTCTTCACGCGCAGGTGTATACGAAGTACCCTAACAGTTAGTGAGATCAAGGGGATATAAAAAAAGCCAGGAACATACCACGGGTGTCGGAGCCTGGTCGTCCCGAGGCTTGGGTGCCTTGGCCTGCATGCCACGAATATCAGGCGTACCGACGGGTTTGTGTGCTGTGCCGACAGGCGCAATTGGCTCAGAAGCACGCGAACTTGCTGTTCCATACTTGCTGCCACTACTATCCATGACCTTGCGCAAGATTTCGTTTGGAGCAAGATCATCCTCAGAACGGGCTTGAATCGATACATGGTACACTTTGAAGTAGTCAGCAACAGTGGCGCTGTGAGGCGCAAAGAGCCCTTTACGGTTTTCTGGTACTCCTTCACCACACCAGTTGATTAACACAAATTTGGCAAGCTTTGTATTTGGATCGCTCACACGCGCAAGGGCGTACTGGACCTTGCCATCAGAGAATTCGTCGACAAGGTCGTCCAAAGAGCCTTTCGTCGCAGCGGCGACGTCCAAATCGTTTGAAAGCTTTTTGTATGAAAGCACCACGTAGTCAATGATGCCATCGAGTACCTTCTCGTATGCGTCACGAATCGCAGGTGACGACAGGTTCACCTGGAGCGACATGGTCGTCCTGAATCACTCTTGTACAGAATGTTGATTAGGCGCCACTATATCGAATTTCGACACACGCACGTACGTCTACTCACATGGACACACAGACCGCCCTCTTCCCTCTTACCTGTCCGCTTTCCTGCACCCCAGGTTTTTTTACAAATCCCCACCACCCGCTTTAGTCCGTCAGACACGCAAGGCTGGATGGGCCTCCAGTCGCCGGCACAAGCCAGGCCAGGTCCAAGCCCGTGACTCTATACGCCTCTTCAGTCACATTCGTTGGTTCAAGCGTCCAGCGAGTCTTGTGCAGTTCACGTGACGCTGAAGGGTGCGCTGGGCTGCTAGGCCTACGAGCGAAATATGCGTCAACTTACAAGGTGTTCGGGACCTGCGCTGCCAACTGCCTAGTAGGTCATCTAGTCTCCACCAGTCGACAAGCCTGCCTGTCTGCTTGCTGCCATTCAGCCCAGCGAGGCCTACTAGGTAGCTGACAAGCGCTGAAGAAATCTACGTAGTGGGAAGAGGCCTCAGGAAAGAAAGGCAGACGCAGGATTCGTGCGCGAGTGATTTGAGGCGCTCGACATTTCGGCAGCGGAGACCGACTTGTTGATCCAACCTTGGACGACGACATGCTAGTGCGGCTGGTGCCGGTGCTTGTGTGCGCGGCAGTGTTCCTGTCGCTCGTACCAAGCCAAACATGTGCATACGCTTTTCTCCAATTATTGAATCCGAAGAAGCCATCGCCGCCCATCGTGGCTCACCTGTCGCAATACTTGGGTGTGCCGATCACTGACTCGGACACACCAATGCGGTTTTTGCACCCACGCATGCAGCGGTTTATTCGTGATTCGCAAAATGTCAATGACAAGGCTTCCGCCGCATTTGTGACGCTCACGGATACTGGCGTGCTTGGCGCTCTAAACCCACGAGATGGCGGCATGGCGTGGCGTCGACTAGTGGACCAGGACGACCATATCCGGGGTCTCTTTTCGATTGATGACGGTACGTACTCGCTTGACGTATGATTCCGTGGCATATACACTAACATACCAGACCTGTTGGTCGTGAGTTCGAAGAACCACCTGACAGCTCGCATGCTGCATGGTGAACGCGGTTCTATTGACTGGCAGTACCAGACGAACGACACTATTGATGGTTATCCTGTGTACGCGGCGTCCTGGACTACGGGTGAGTTCGATGCGCTTATTGTGGCAGGCAATAAGCTGCATTACGTGCACGGAGGTAATTCGACGTGGGTGTGGCAGTCGAGCAACGAGAACTATCGCTTGCTTTTCGCTACACCTTACGACAACCTCGTCCGGATCGTGGGAGTCGTCCCTTCAGAGGACGGCCATTGGTCAGTTGATCTTACGTCATTGACGATCGAGGGCCAAGTCGAAAGTGCCTATGTGATGGGCTACACCATTGAGAACCCAGACTCGATCGTGTTACTGCCGTACCGGCCGCGCTCACACATCGATGAGAAATATCATGCGACCGAACAGGGCGGGCCGCATATTGCATGGCTTGCCAGCGATGGCGTCATCCGCGCTCATCGCATAATTGACGGCGACGTAATCATCAAGGAGGTCCGATCGAACACTTCGCCCTATACGGATATCCAGGACGTTGGTCTCGGTAATCGCGGCTTGTTCCTCGCACGTCGCGCAGATGGCACGGCTGAAGTCATTGAAGTTTCGGCAGCCGGCGACATGCAGTCCCTGTGGACGTTTGCAGAAATCGCGCCTGACGCCGTGTACGACGGTGCTCTAGACCGTGAAGGCAATGCGTATGTGATGCGGATGTACTATGAGCCATCGCAGCACATGATACAGCAGCACTTGTTCCGTGCGGATGAGCTGACAGGTGACGTGCGTGGTGTCATGACGGGATTGGCTTTCCGCTACGACTATGAGCGCCATGGTCCGCTACGTTCGGCCGCGGCCGAAGTTGGGAAAGTTTCCGAGAACACTGTCAGTCTGCGCACCGTCATTGTCACAGCATCAGGCAGTATCCAACTGATCCGCGATGCAAAGAATGAATGGAGCGTAGAACAGGGACTTTCCAAGCCGGCCAAGACGCTGCTTGTCCAGCTGCCAGAGGCACTCCTTGGTCGCTCTGCTGTCTCGAGCCGAGCATTGCCGTCGTGGCCACTGCCATTCGAGGCGCTTGAGACAGAGTCGCTCATGGGTCGCTGGGTCCGCCATATCTCGGAGCTGCGCCACTTCCCTGACGCTTTGCAGGCATTTGCACGAGGCCCGCTGTACCGCGGTCTACAGGCTTTAGGCGTGTACCTTGAGTGGATCTTGGGTCACAATCCCACTGAGTATGTGCAAAAGCCCACCGCTGGTGGTCCTGTCCTGCCTAGACGGCCAAGACCAATGGACCCGCCGGCGCAAAATTCCGACACGACTCTGCATCATGACCGCTTTGGCTTCGACCATCTCGTCCTCGCCGCCTCACGCTACGGCAAGCTGTATGGTATCAACGCAACGCTCGATGGCTCCAATATTGTGTGGGAGCATGCGGTTGTGCCATACCAGCAGCCACAGGCTGTCGTGAACGTGACGCATCTCATCCAGACGCGCGCAACTAACACCCTTGCCCACGGTGTGCCCGTTGCGCCTATTGTGGCTGTTGTTGCTGAAGTGACAATGCCCCAATCTGTAGAGGATGAATCGGACCAGAGCGCCGAGATTTCCATGGGCGAGCTCCAGACGCTTGTGTTCAAACTCAATCCACTCACAGGGGAACGAGTCGGGCCATCGAATGAACCCTACGTCTTGTGCCATGGACCGGCGCAGGACGTATATGTGTTTGAGGAGGCCGTTGGTGCTGTATGCGCCGATGGCAGTGTCGTGTCGCCCAAGAGTCATGTGGGTATGCATCTCGTGCGTTCTGACGCACCACATGCCCTTAAGGGTATATTCCTCGAATCACTCGAAGTGCCGACGTGGCGCATGGCATTCGCACCGTCAGAGAAGCTCGTGCTGATGCGTGATGCAAGTCGCGACCACGTTGCCAGTCCCGGCAAGGTACGCGGTGACCGCTCCGTGCTTTACAAGTATCTAAACACACATGCTCGGCTGGTCCTCACATTCGACACGGAGGCCAAGTCGGCGCATGTATACGTTGTGGATGTCGTGAGTGGCGATCTTGTTTATCATCTGGTGGTGCCGAATGTCGCGAGCGATGTGATGCACGCGACTTTCGTGGAGAACTGGATCTCGGTGCAATACACAGGCACAAACGATGATGCGCCCAACATGCTCCTGTCTGTCGAGCTGTTCGAACGTGAGACAAGTGGACAATCGGGCCTGTACTCATCGAGTCTGGTGCGCGCCGGCTCGAACGAGACACTGGCTGCCAACGCGCCGCCCGTTGCGTATGCACAAATTTTCGCATTGCCGTTCGGCGTGCGTGCTATGGAAACGACCCGAACTAATTTAGGCGTTGCGTCTCGGAGCATGGTGATTGCAACGAACCAAAGTGACATTGTGCTGGTGCCGCGCCGCTTGGTAGACCCACGTCGCCCGCTCGGTAAGCCTACGCCAGCTGAGATGGAGGAGCGCCTCATCCCATACAGAGGCATGCTGCTTAACGACTCTCTGCCACTCCTCACGACGATGAAGGACCGCGCTGCCCATATCAATATGCTGCGCACATCGCCGACGCTCCTGGAAAGCTCGTCCATTGTCCTCGGCACTGGCATCGATTGGATCTACACAATTGCAGCGCCGTCAGGTCAGTTTGACCGCTTGCAGGCCTCGTTCAACAAGCCTCAGCTGCTTCTGACGATCATTGGCCTTGTCATCGGTATCATGATCACCCAGCCTCTCGTGCGGATGCGCATGCTTAATGCCCGTTGGTAAATGCGAACGACAGCTCGCGTTCATCACGCACTCGCAGGTGCAGCGCGCGGTGCGCGTGCCTTGCGGAGCACCATAGCACTTACCACCAAGTCCCACGCTCGTGATACTGTTTGCCAGAACGAGTCCGCAATGACTCCGATGGCTTGGCCATTGTGCCATGTTGCGCGGATCTTGAGAGAAAGACGAAGGAGCACAGATAGCGACACACACGCTAGTGCATCAATGCACGCTGATGCACTCAGATCGTCCGCCGCTGTGCCATGCATCTGCTGAATCAGCGCACGTAGTGGCACAAGGCCCGCAAGCAGCTTCATACAGTCACGTGTATACAGCCAGCGGTGGATTAGGATCCAATGCTGTGGGAATGGCACCACCAGCGTCACGATCGGCACGTTACCACTAGCATCCGCACTGGCACCGCGGTAGACGGGCAGCTTCGTGCATTGCAGCACGTACACAATCCAGTGAATCGGTATAAGCGTACAGGGAGCAGCAGTTATGAGCATACCGGGACCCAAATCCGGTAAACCCTGAGCCCACGTACTTACAGCCAGGATGTGTGTGGGCATGGTTGGCATATGCAGTGAGCGCATGCTCGTGGCCCATGGAAGACATATGCTAAGCGGAAGAAGCACATGCGGAGTTTGCGGGGTGGCATAGGCAGCTGTGCGCGCAATTTGCTCATGCACAGTTGGCTCACGTGCACGTAGTGATTGCTCGAGGGCCTGGAGAAGCTCCTCGCCGGCCTGGCTAATAAGAGCTGAGTTCATTAGCGTACTTTGAGCAGGTAGACTCGGCAGCTTGTGCATCGTCAAGAATGCATCCAGAACAAAATCGCACGTTGCGTGAGAGCGAGCGAATTCCACTGCCTCGGCCTCGAGGCCATAATGATGCAGATGCTGCGGAAGGTCCAAGTACGGATTCGTTGACCCGTCGATGCGTGGCGGAGCTAGTTGCATAGGCACTTCAATAGATACCGGTTGCGAAAGACGTGGTGTGGGAAGAGGTATGTTGCCTGTGTTAGAGGCTTTCTCATTATCATGAAGCATCGGGAGCTCTAGAGTCGTATTTGTCAAGGACGAGGTGTCACTCGACGGGATATTCAGACACATGGACGTATTCAATGCCGGGTTGGTTTCCGCGAGTTTACTGTTCATCGTATTCATATCTGTCATTCTGCTTGTACTGGTTCCCTGTTTGACAGACAAGTCTTGGTCAAGATCAATATACGTCGACGTCGTCGTCGCCATTGGCTGCACACTTGTGTTGGGCGCGTGCGCGTCAGGCACCATTTGCACCCACTGCCAAGGATTCATGGTCATAATGGATTTGGCATAGAAAGTTTCCTCCGTTTTATATACGATCCATATCGCATTGCAAAGCACATCGGTCGGGCAGTGCCATGGCTCATGATGGTGCGACAGCGACTCACTGCTAGTATCAGATACAGATGTGACTCATGTGGAGGGTGAGATGGAAATAGAAATCGACCAACTGTTGGTAGTTCATGTCTTACGCGAAATACAATCAGTGCCTCATCGTGATCGTCTTAATAGATGCTATTGTCGTACGTAAGGCGGGATTTTCTATTCATACCATGAGCGACTCATATTTCGAGGGGAGCCAATAATAACGCCAAACAAATCGCGCGCTGTATTGATGATTTCAACGGCGCTCGCGATAAGACCGCCCTCATGTTCCTCGACGTAGTCTTCCGACAAAGGAACAGGAGGGAAATTGGACGAGGGTGCAACAATGGCACCAGTGTGATTAGTTTGGCTCTTGAGAATGGCTTTACGTAGGTTATTTTCTTGGCTTTGATCATAAGTGGGAGACAAATCCGTCGGCGTGTTAAGAGGCGTAGGTCCCACAAAGATTGGCGGGGGGCGTGGTCCATCATTAGACGAGTCCGGGTCGCCAGCAGTGTGCGATTCATTGAACGAAAGGTCATTTGAGTTCTGCAAGTTTATAGTGAGTGGTTGCGAGTCAGACTCGGGGCGCTTGGGCATGGGTATCTTGTGTTGTGTGTTGGCGTCAGATAAAGCTGGTTGAGAGTTTCTTGAGACTCGCTCCGGCGACGACGATGGGAGAGTGTCAGTAGATGATGACGACTTGTGCATAACGTCTTTTGAATTCAAGTAATTCAATGTTAGTATCATTGCACATACGATCAATCAAACGTGCCTTGGCTACCATTGGTATTCTGGGCACTATCAGGCCCGAGGCTTGGAGCATGTTCAAGCTCGTAGTCCTCGTCGGAGTCGTAATAATCATAGCCATCGTCCTGAACGATATTGTGGTCATGTGCGGCGAGAAATGGATCAGCGACAGAGTAGCGAGCATCATGTTCGTTTGTGGCATGACCATCAAGACCGCCCTCTATTGAATCCTCTGGATCTGAGCCTGACGAAACTTCATGCCCCATTTTCAAGTGTGTTGGTGGCATCAAGGCTATCGTGGCATGGCACCCGGCGCGTTTCGGGGAAGAAAGGCACTGGGCTATTCGGCTGTCAGAGGTCTTACAATCATTCTCGTCATACTTTTCATCGTCTGTATCTGAGTAGTCATCATCAAAGTTGTACATGTCGGATGTATCATCGTCAAGTGCAATGCATTGCGACACAACAGTGTTGAAACTGATGTGGCGCTCTTTTTTTGCTGGCTGATGAGATGGATTCGACTTGAAGGAACCCAGCTTCAGCGTCTTGTTGCGCACATGCGATGGTGCTGGATTCGCCCTGACCATCCCTTGATGCTGATCAGACTTCCGTGATGGCGACTCAGACTCTGACTTCTTGGGAGGAGATACATTCGTGGGCGTTTGCAAGATCTCAGTGAGCGTGCGATGCTTTAAAATAGATTTTTTCTTGGTGGAAACATCGATGCCGAGTCTCTCCGCAGTGCTTGCCACTTTGGCCGGTGGCACAGCTTTGGCCTCGCCATGCAAGGGTCCATAAAGCCACGTTACATCGCTTTCTTTCAGCCTGGATTGTTAAACATGCAAAACACGCACCAATTCAATGTCTCTGGGCTCACAGTTTTGAGATTCCCGCGTTGTTTCGCCCACGTACGCCAGCTCGCATTTTCAAGACGCAGACCGTTTGATATCTCATTTTTATGTTTCGTCATAGCCTTCCAACTCTTCCACACATCTTCATCTTTCCAATTATGGCTCAAGTAGTCAACACAGATTTCCGGCGGTCGTCCTTCAATCTGCGCATCATCGGGCGCTGGGTTTTGGCTGGATACTGTCGGGTAGGGCGGTGGTGCAGAAAGCATCTCCAGGTGCTTTCTCCCCGCCGGATCAAGTTGCTGCGTTGGGATGCCCGTAGGAAGCCCGGCTTGACGTGTCGTCCCATGCCAAATAACCACCCCAGCCCTGCTGACCCGGCTCGGGTCACCTCCACAGCTTTAGAATGTCCAATTAAATTGCCGAATCAACCAACCTTGGCTACAACACGTTTAGACCAACGCGACACGCGCGCTCCATGATCTATGGACGCCAAGAGTAGGCCTGGCGCGACGTCGGCAAATGTTGGGCGTCATGTCATGAAGGCAGCTGCTGTACAAGGAATGCGTAAGTATTACATTTTAACACCAGATGAATTGCGTGAAGCCTCTCTACGACACGCACAGCGCCGGGCTGCGACCCTACAACAATCACAGTCATCTTCGCTGGCAACGTGCGCGGAAGACGTTCACGAACGAGATTGTGCAAAAAGAAAGCGCCGAGAGATAGATCAGCTTATCCAAGGATCTAGATCCTCTTCGTTTGAAACATGCGGAACCGCTAACGAAGGCAGAAACGAGCGCCTGGAGCTCGTCGAAGACCTCAGGCACGGACCTTACACATTCGATGCGCCTAGTGACGATCCGCAATTTGAGCGTATCGAGCCACATTCATCTACAAAGATCAAGTGAGTTGGAATTAAGCTTATACCAGATCTCGATACATCTCGCATGCCGCTATACACCAATACATGGACTGTCGATATGCTATTACACCTAGTGTGTTGTATTCCCTCACTGGTCGATACGGCTCGTCCTCAGCCTACTCTGATTATGCCCGCGATCCTACTCAGAATTTTATGGATGGAAACTATGAATTGCCACTCTATGGTGACTGGGTACTGTTTGCAGTGATGGGTGAGAAAAGCGCTCTCAAATATACTCATACAGGGGAACAGAGCGAAGGCCGTGCAGCGCGCAAATACTTTTCATGCAAGCTTCTAGATCTAAGCACCAAGCACGTGGATGCACATCATCAGCTCCCTGGTTACTGTGTCATGAACATGCTGGTATTTGAGGCAAGTGAGCCAGCCTCTTATGGATCGAGTCAGTCTCTTGTCGGGGGTAGTGGTGGAGCGTTTGAAAAGCTGTGGAAGGAGCGCGATGGTGTGTTACTTGCGATATTAAACCCACGTATTATGCGCATGCTCAAAGGTGTAAGTTTATTCTACTGACCTGTTCCAGTCGGGCGAGCTATCAATCACGCCACGTTCAGCCGACTCTATTCTTGTCATAGGACTGGCCGATCACTACGGTCAATGTGAAGCTTTGCGGAAAGATGGGACTAGGTGCAGAGCATTTGTCATGAAGGGCAAGAACCATGCTGTATGTGAGATGCACTTGGAAAAGGCCATATCCAGCCGACAGCGATCCCGCATGGAATTTGCTTCCTCGTATGTGCCGCTTTCTACTCACACTAGGGCTTCATCATACATGGGAAAAGCTCCCAACATACAGCCGCCAATGTATGGACTCCGTCCCAGTAAACGAGCATATGCAGCAGCAAACCATGCTGGATTAGATGTTGGTCCCACCTCTATGAATGGTCCTACCTATGCAACACCCCCCTCACGAATCCCACCCTCTGCCAACGAGCCTTCCAGCAGTGCTTATGATGTCTCGGCAAACTTTGGGCGCGCACGAGAAGAAAAGGAGCAGCGCAAGCGCAGAAGATCGGAGCAAGCTAAGTTGACATCACAATTAAAAGTACAGGGATATTCCCCCAAAGAACGACCAGTGCACAAAGCACATGAATCTATATCGCCTCCCGAGCCAGAGACTTCATTCCTTGCATATGTCGATCAAAGTAGCATAGCTGCACAAGCTCTTCGCACGGCTCAAGCAACGTTGCGTGGTGGTACCTCGAAGGAGACTAGGAGAAACCAAACAAACTCAGAAGCCTCACTCGGCAATGGAGCATTATCGCGCGTACGTTAAAAGCCCTAACCCCGAACAGCTCTTGGCTCGTCATTCAGCCTCTATGGAATCTCTGCCTCAAGCTCAATTGCATGGCGCCAAGTTTCATTCTAATGTCTTGGACCGCGACAGCCCCGCTGCCCGCCATATGCAAGTACTCAAAATGACAGACAGGCAAAAACATGACTTAGATGATGACCTCATAATCGTCGATAACGATTCCAAGTAATTTAATTACACTATGCATTGGTACCTATTGGGATAGCATCGAGGGCCAGCTTCAAAAGTGCAATTTTTTTCCGTAAAACTTCAATCGAGGCTGGAAGCAAATCTTCCGGCTCATACACGCCTGTAGACTCGACACTGACTTTTATGTTAGTACAATATACGTACACAAAAAGTGATCTTGAATACGGCCTAATCGCACGTATCCTTCGAACTCAGGATACCGAAGAACCTCCCTAGTCACCGTATCCTTACGAGCATCTGCGACATAGACTCCATTTTCACCGCCTTTATGAATAACGCCTTCGGGAAAGCAAGAAATAAACTTGGGAATCAATGGCTCGGGAATAGGTTTGAGAATTTCGATCAGCGGCAAAAGCCGATATGTGGCAGTAGCTACAGGTGAAAACTTGGCATGGTCTTTTCCGATACCTTTTTCACAGTGTAATTCCATTTCCATCCCTTGACCGGGTGCCAGCTTTGCAATAACAATGTCCTGGTTCACAGGGCGAGGCGGTGAATCGGCCATAGTCTCTGCTTGGTCACCTTTAGGATCCCACTCAAGCTGCGATGAATATACATAACGGCCCTCAACCGTAGCGTCTTTCGAATTGCCGTTCTTCCAGCAATCAGCTTTCAGATTGAAAACGACCGTATTTTGGTCATTTGCTTCATCATCCATCTTGAAGGAAAGCTTCCTTGGATCAATCGCCAGAGGAATTAAGCCTAAACGATGCGAGAGTACTTCATCTTGAATGATGGAGGTGTTATTCCAAATATAGACATGTTCAATAGCAACAGATGGAACTTCAGCAATGAGAACTCGCCGGATAGCATTTGCAATGCTGGCATCCACACCAACTAAATCAAATCCACACAGATCGGTTGTCCATCTTGTCACATTAACACGAAGATTTTGCTTAAATTCCTCAAAATCCCAAGCACCAGAGTGGTCTGGGTGGTGCGATGGGTACGATGTAGATGATACGTTTGCTACCCTTTCAGGTAAAATCTCCACGACATTACTTCTATTCATGCCTTGCGACCGACACGCTAGCAACAGCTAAGTAAATTATCGTCTGCAAGCCGTTGTTGGAGAACGACAGCGCCGCATATGAGGTGCGACACAAAATTTCTTGTTCACGTGATTCATCCACATGCTAGCCCTCAAGTCTGACCTCGTCAATGTTCATGAGTGCGGGGTAAACGTCATTGTTGTGTATCGTGAACTTGCAGAAGGTCAAATGGCCGGGACGGTACAAAAGAGGTGCAATTTCTAGAAACGCACCATCTGGATTGAATGAAACAATGTCGCAAGGAGATATTCCTTGAGTCTTCTTAGCATTTGATTCTTTGTGAGCATCAGGATCTTGTAAGCAAACAACCTTCAGGTGGACACGAAATGAGGAGCAGACAGTCATGATTTGAAGATGATCCGCATCCCTACCAAAAGCTTCAACCTCTCGCAAACAGAATTCTTCCATAGTTGATATACTTGTATTTCCATTGATAACAATTGGGAAGTAGACGTCTTTGTGCAACTAAATTGTGAGTATGTTCGAGAATAATACAAACCTTCAATAAAGCGCTAGCTACCGGGCGTACATAGAATAAGATGCTATTGCTCACTTGTATATCGTTGAAAGTGCCAATAATCTCTCTCGCACACTGATCACGGCTGATGGGTGATGATACAACGCGCTAAAGAATCCCCTGAAACGGATCGAAGAAGTCCATAATAATCTCATCACTATTCCCTGACTGCTTCAAAGCCTCAAGCGTTGAGTCAACATGGCGGAGAATTCGATCTTTGAACTCGTCCTCAGCGACTTTGGAGATAGCATCAAGAAATGCATAACTAAAGACGCGATAAAAGCAATTGCCGTCTCATCTTAAACGATGAAGTCCTGTAAATTTTGATGCCGTAACAAGCAATCCGACACGCCTCAAAAATGTATAATTTAGACGATATTCACTCTACAGAAATGACAACGGCTCGGCAGGACCAACAAGATCTTCTGAGAGATGACCCGATTCCCCGATCGGCTCTTGATTTTATCCATAGGGAGTTCGATCACTTAAAGCGTGCGTAGCTTTTAGAAATAAATAAATAATTACAAGTTATCTTAATCCGCAAGTTTTAGTTTGATTGTGCGAAATATCTAAAAATAAAAAATAATTATATGATTAACATTTCATTTGACTATAAACAATTTAGAATAAAATCAATATTATATTTTAATTTAATTTGGTATTTACAAATTGTTTAAATGAAAATAATTTGTTTTAGAGAATTGTACATGCTTATAATATACTCAAAAAATTGATTATTATTTACTGAAAAACCTTTATATAAATGCAAACATTTACATTGAATTGTAAGATTTATATTTTAGAATTTATGATTCCTCCACACCGAGTTGTTCTTGATGAGTTTATACCGACGTGCTGCTACTACCATCGGCGCGTTTGATGAGCTATGACGGACAGTCTGAATGATAGGCGGCCAAAATTTGCAGTATTTCTTCACAATGTGATGGAAAAATACGTTCAGAAACATTCAGTTTCGCTTTCCAAGCACCAGGTTCGTGAAGTATACTCTAGCTCTTGCTAACACTGAACATCAAGTCACTTGTGTCACATCCATGGTTGGATGAGTACTTTTCAATTTCATCGGTCTTAGGATCTCATTATTTTTTCATGTTGTTTCTTCCGCTTATTTATCTTCTCGTTGATTTCAAGTTCGGGCGCATGTGTGTATCTATACCGTGTTTTGCTATATTGACGCCAGTTTGATCCTTTCCTCGGCACTTGCGGTGATGTTTTCGGCGATGTTAAAGGTAATTTACATTTCGGCTAGTATCGTCTCTCTAATTTTTCAGGACTATTTCTGTGTTCAGCGTCCCATAAGTCCACCTGTTCGAAGAATCGTTGTTGGGCTTCATCATTTGGAGTATGGTTTTCCATCTACCCATTCGGCAAACAGTATGGCCATGTCTGTCGTGGTGTATCATTTCATGTCCCAATTAAGAACTACTATTAGTTATTTATGCGTTTCTGGAATTATGGATCCTTCGGTCACTTGGGTATGGCTGCTCATTAAAACGTACGCTCTAGAGTCGACGCTCGCCGTTTACCTGGTGACGATTGTATATGGGCGGCTTTACCTGGGCATGCATACAGTCCTTGGTACGTTTTTGTTTATGATATATTAACAATAGATTGCGCGGTTGGGTGCGCGATTGGTCTCGTTAGCGCATATCTATCAATCATTTTGGACGATGCTTTGATTGACTATTTGCACATCGGAAGCTTCTGGGGTAGGTATGTTAATGGCTAAACTTTAGTGCCTTTCTCTATCTTCTGTTTTGGGTATATTTCTCTGATTCTGCACCCGATTCCTATTCAGCCTTGTCCTTGTTATGACGATGTGGTTTGTTTTGTGGGTGCATTTACCGGCGTTGCCATGGGGAACTGGCGCACGAATAATTTTTACTACATTGACATGAACCGGCTTGATAAGGTCTTTACTGCCATCAGTAATGTGGTTGAACCAGCTTTGAAATATAAGTTAAAAGTCGCCTGGGAACTCACTGTCATGCGTCATGTTTCTGCAAAAGTGTTTGCCTCCTTGTTGTTTGCTTGGGTTCCTTTAGTGCTATGGAAAATCCTGGCTACACCAATGATTAAAGACTCGGTGCCTGCGATTTATTTCAAACTAAAACACCTCTTTGTTTGTCCTCGGAAGGGCCCTGATGCCGAAGCCACCGCACTGAGCTCACAAATTTCAACAAAGGCTTTGGAGAAAGACTTCTCTCAACTTCGTCAGCGTAAGTCCACTGGCACAGTCTCAAACGAGTTTGCACAAACGACGCCAAGAATGTCGCCGAAGGCCACAAACCACCTGGAAGAACAATTTTGTCGAGGTCCGTTGCTTTAGGCTAACGACAGACTTCCCTCGTCTACTGATATATACAGGGATTGGGTTTATCGGAGCGAGTTTCTCGCATTATTTGGTCGACTATTTTCGTGTCAGGGTTGAATTGTTCTAGATACCATGCATACAACGTGCCTATTTAATCGGTAGAAGGGCTGCAGCGACATTTCTTCCTTCTTCAACAAGCAAGTTGAAGGTCGAGCAAGCTTGCCGCTAAATGTGAGTCATAGCCACGTACCGTATTTTGTACGTCAAGTTGGATGCCCATTGAGTGAAGTCGTGCCCTGATTTTGGAGGGAACTGGTAAAACGGTATTCCCTGTACCAAAAATTAAAATTTCTAGACATCAGCACATCGTAAAGAGTATACGAACCGGGCTTGGGCGATGTTATATCAAATATTGTCCAGACATCGTCCGTCCAGTCTTCCCACCCCTTCCCATTAGGCATGGCGGTCATGGGATCGACGGTGGGTGGCGTCCAAATAAATGGATGACCATGAAGGAAAACGCATGTTGATGGAACAACATCACCATTCACTAAGTGTATCTCGTTCGGAGAAACTTTTAGAATACGAATTGGAACGGACTCATCCTCAACTATATTCACCAACGGTGAGCTTGCATCCGGATCCCTGGTGTGAGCTTCAGCATCACGTACGAGTATGATCGCGGCACTTTCTTAAAAATGGCACCCGATGAGGTTAAAGTTCGAGAACATGACACATAGACTGTGGGAAAGTGGTGGCGACGAAGTACACTCGCGGGTGCTCGTATCGCTAAACTGTTAAATCGTCGAAACATGTAGGTAACCAGCGTTGGTAGATACGCAAAATCGAAATGTGTCAAATTTCTTCTCCACACCACGATGAGCATAACAAGTACCATTACTGGCGCAGGAACGAAAGGACGACCGATCGTCTTCTTCGACATCTCAATAGGAGACACCCCGGTGGGACGCATCAAGTTTGAGTTGTACAACGATGTGGTTCCCAAGTACGTGCCTGAAGTGTATCCTCACAATAGAACAGCGGAAAATTTCAGACAGCTGTGCACGGGCGAATGTCGGTGCGTAAGGAAATGACTGACCTCAGCGTGAACCACCTACCAATGGGATACAAAGGTTCTGTGTTTCATCGTGTCATTAAAGACTTTATGTGCCAAGGCGGAGACTTTAAAAATGGAGATGGAACCGGCAGTTTCAGCATATATGGAAATATGTTCGAGGACGAAAATTTCGTGCTCAAGCATGACGAGCCAGGCTTACTTAGTATGGTAAGTCCCATGGTATACTCACCGCAGGCGAACGCAGGACCGAACAGCAACGGCTGTCAGGTATGTAATGACTACTTACACAGTTTTTTATCACTACTCAACCTGCTGGATTCCTAGATGGAAAGCACGTCGTATTTGGCCGGGTTGTTGAAGGAATGCTCATAGTGCGCAAAATTGAAAATGTGCCTTGCGGAGCAAACAACAAACCACGCATGGACGTGTGCATTACAGGTAAGTTAGCTATACTCACATAGAATGTGGCGAAATGTAATGTATTACGATGCAAGTGAAGCTACGGAACCAAGTTTGGTCATAACTTCGTCCCATTCGCCTTCTGGGGTCGAAAGGAATGTAATGGCTCCACCAGCACCCACAAGCACACTATTATTTTGGACAGTGACTGTACGAATGACCACAGATAGGTTGGAAGCTCCGTCTACACCCATGAATCCCAAAGCACCCGAATAGACGCCTCGTCGACGGGTCGTGCCTTCTGGTGCACCTTTAGAACGCTCTAGCGTCTCCAGCAACTCGACACTCCGGCGTTTAGGAGCACCTGTCATACTGCCTGGTGGGAAGCATCGTTTCGCTGCTTCAACACACCCAATCCGAGGACGTAGCTTGCCTACAACGGACGTTACAAGCTGGTGTACAGTTTCATACGTCTCCAAAGCGATCAGTCGTGGCACATTCACGGAACTAGAATGGCACACCGACTGCAAATCTGCACGAATCAAATCGGCAATCATCAAGTTTTCCGCGCGTTCCTTTGGATCCATATGCAATGCTTGTTTCCGTCGCTCATCTTCCGCCCTGACATGCGCATGCATTGCTGCGTCTTGTTTAGCCTGTTCGAGCCAGTCTTGTTCACCTGGACCCCACCCGGGTCGAACTTTGGTTCCCTTTATAGGACGCATTTCCACTTCTCCTGTGTCAGTGACAGTGAGAAACCTTTCAGGACTTGTAGAAAGCACAGCTTGAGGAGTACCATCCAACGAAATCAGCTCCATATACGCAGAGAATGGTGCAGGATTCTTTCGACGTAGTGCACAGTATAGAGCAAAATAAGAACCATAATCATGTAGCGAAGGCAAAGTTCCTTCAAATTGGGTTGTGAGGCACAACTCATAACTTTCTCCAACAGCAATAAGTTCCCGTGCTCGTTCAATTCTTGCCATATAGGTGCTTGCCTCATCGACGGCATGCAAAGACAATGTAGGAAGCAAGATGCTCTCGCTTTCTGAGCTGACGGCATCCAGAGCCTTTTGTGCCTTAACAAACCAATTATCAGCATCACCCTGCGTCATACCGAAATGGGCACCCAAAGCCTCAAGAGATGCGAGTGGTCCGGTTGTAGTTCCTCCCTCATCAACCAGTGCGTAGGCCGTCCAAGTATTGGTCTTGTGATCTAAACAAAGGGCATGGTTACAGAATGCCCACTGAGCAGCAGGAAGCTTTGTTCGGTCCATTGGGGTATTCATGTAAGGTTCATAACGTTCCGCTGACATGGGCGCTAAATTTAATGACTCGTCCTTAAGCTCGTAGCCCCAGTATCCAACAAAACCCGTTCGGAATTGCGTATTGACGTTCTGCGATATTTGCCATAGTTGAGCTTGTAGCGTGCGCTGAGCCACTTCCATCCAGTCCCACAGGGTAGAGTATGGAGCCATGTCGACTGTACGTGCGGACGACTCTGATGGGAAATGAAGACGAAGAACTCCAGCCATGTCGTAGGAAAGTATGAAAGCTGCTCGGCTTTGAGCTGATACGTTGCTTTGTGGATCGCGAGAATTCGCACTGTCGAGCCACACGCTTCCAACTTGCTTCTGACGAAAGAGCTGTCTAAATAACAAAGGAGCATGGTGCTTGAGTTTTTCGTCCAATGAGGAACAGCTGTTTAGCGTTTTCTGATACACTCGCCAACGTGGTGACGGTGCTTGAACATCGGTGCCCAGAGCCATGCACACATTCCCCAGGGCCAAAATATCTGGGTGGTCAAGCTTGTCGACTCTAATCGCCACAAATTTGACTCGTAAAGCGTCTTTCTTCTCCCAAAAACGGGCAACATTGTGTAAAAAGTTTTGCATGATGACGTTGCCTTTACTCGTTTCAATGCTTTCCGGATGGAACTGTACACCAAATAACGGGCGCTCTTTATGTTCAATAGCCTGAACCAAAGTGCCATGACCGGGCTCCAACGGTGACCGGGCTACCACACGGATTTTCGAAGGAATGGTTCTCTCGTCCACGCAAAGACTGTTGTAGCAAATTACTTCAGTACCATCAGGAACTCCTTCCATAAGGCTCCGTGATCCATCAGAAGTGTTGACTCCTTTGTCCACAAACAATTTTCTCTTGCGTCCATGGAACGGCTCAGCACAATTGTTGTATTCTCGCACCCGTTGTGGTGGCGATCCCTTGATGGCCGAGACAGACGCCCAAGATGGGCAAGTCGACGAGCTCTGGTGCTTGAAGAAGCGACGCTGACGGACCGAAATCCTCTGCATTATCTGATGTCCCCGGGACCAGGCGATAGTATCAAAGCATCTACGTGTGGAAGGTGTTTTTGAAAATTTTCAGGCGCCAAAGCAGGGGATGACTGAGGAATCACCGCGACACGGCTCGCAAGCAATTCAGGACTTGGCAGCGGATCAAAGCAGGATGCAATAAGCGATATGAGATTGCGCGTGTAGGAATCATAGTGGTCTACTATCACAATCCGAGGCAGACCTTCTGATGCATCCATAGTTCCTGGACAGGATGAAAGAAAGATTTTTGGATTTGCTTTGTCATATTTTTTTCACCACACTTGCGCGTCGGCAATTGCCGTTGTTTGGGGACAAGCGTTTGTTCTGCACGCGCATTTGCGAGTCAGGATGGACTCGAATGCAGCCAGGTGTCATGTTTATGAAGCGTGATGCAAAGATGGCGTTCTATATTTGATGGGTATCATATATACTGAAAATTGACCCTTAACAGGGTGTTATTTGACATCATTGCATACGGGCGCGCTGGTATATTGACTTCGAGAGTCACTATTTCTACCATGCTTTATAGCCCGCTTTGAAACCATTTAGAAAACACTGTATGTAAGTAAATGCATATACATACACCAATAGCCCCAACGTCGTCCGAACCACTTCCCCAGCAATGGAATCAGCACAAGTTGAAAAGCCATCTGAAGTTGTCGGACGCCTTCATCCCACTCCTCAAGTGCGCGCTTGTACTCTTCCTCCTTTTCTCTCTGTGAAGATGTTAAGCTGACATCGGAGTGACTCCTTGTGTCGGGCTTGGCCCAAGGAGCGGAAAATAGTTGTTGTTCATTGTCATCCAAGTACCTGGGAGGCGCGTATAAAGAAGCATTTGCCTTCGTGGAAGAGTCATGCGGCTCACGCCGACTCAAGACACTCCCTGCATATGCAGCCAACAGTTGTTCATCCAAGCCCTTCTCCATGGCCACGAGTACACTCGTGTCGGAAGTAGGGACAGAGTAACTTGCGTAGAGCAGACAGCTCCATAAGCACGGCCACGTGGACCTAGCTAGTTCGCGAAATCAGGATAAATCGTGTTTGAGATCATTTACAAACTATTACCATCTATACTATTGCAATAGACACTACGCGGCATCTAATCTGTCAAAGCAGCAGATAATACTTGGGGAATAGGCATAATTACTTAGAAGCTCCTGATCCGGCGCTAGACCCAGAGAAGTAGTTCTGCACGCTTGAAATGGTGTCGCTTGCCGTCTTACGAGCAGCTTCCACGTACGAGTCATTTGGTCCAACCTTAGAAGTGCCTTCGGCAGCCTTCGTAGCTCCATCAGAGGCCTTATCGCCTGCGCCGTGAAGTGCATTGCTGACGGAGTTCATGGCATCACTTGCGTACTTTTGTGCCTGCTCCGAGATCTGAGCGAAGGTGCTCTGACCTGACTCAGCGCCCTCAGCGCCCCTGTTGGCGAGTTGGTCTGACTGTTCCTTCACGTAATCGGTGGCTTTGTTGAGCTGCTCCTGGCCCTGCTCAAGAAGCGATTTGCCTTGCTCTTTCGCTTCAGGTAGCTTTTGTTCAGCCTTGTCGAGAAGGTCCTTTCCCTCAGCCTTTGCCGACTGGCTGTTGCTTTGGAACTCATTAGCAGCATTCTGCATTTTGTTCGACATTTCATCACCGAACTGCTGAGCCTGGGCACCGAAGTTGTTTGATTGAGAAGACATTTTTGCTAGAGTAATACAGGCAGTAGATGGGGTAAGTGGGGGAGACATTGGGGGCCTAATATATAGTTGACCCTGTCCAAGTACACGTGGTAATTGCGGGACGACACAGCAATTGACCCTCTTCTTGACCAATCGTAAGTGAAAAAATTGCTGCGCATGGACCAAGAGATTCTCCGAAACGACATCGTTTTATTTATGCCGCAACTACGGCTGGGCTCCGTAGCACCGGATTTTGAAGCGCAAACTACGCATGGGCGTATCCGTTTTCATGAATGGTCACGCAATGCGTGGGCTGTATTGTTTTCCCATCCAGACGACTTTACGCCGGTATGCACGACTGAGCTAGCCGAAGTGGCGCGACGCTCTGCTGAGTTTGAGAAACGTGGTGTTAAAGTCATCGGTCTATCTGCAAACGACATTACCTCTCATGCGCGATGGGTAAAGGACATACGCGCATTAGCAAAGACTGAGGTTACATTCCCGATCATTGGCGACCCGGAGCGGAAAATTGCCACTCAGTACGATATGTTGGATGCTCTAGATCCAAGCAATGTTGATGCTAATGGATTACCATTGACCGTGCGTGATGTGTTCGTCATTGATCCAAACCACATTATCCGGCTGAAAATCTCGTATCCTGCGTCAACAGGCCGTGATTTTGACGAGATTTTGCGCGTGATTGATTCTCTTCAGTTGGGCGACGAGCACCGCATCACTACGCCGGCCAATTGGCGCCCCGGCGACAGAGTTATCATTCACCCCAGTGTCCACGACGAAGAGGCTAAAGCTAGGTTCCCAGACTATGAGACAGTCTTTCCGTATTTGCGTTTGGCAAAGGATCCTACTTCAGAAGGGTGCTAGAATTTACATGGCGGGTGTAGATAGTTGTTGTTTCGTTGCCCGTAGTGACGGAGGAATGGTCGACATGGAATGGTTTGCACCCAAAGCCTTACTTATAAGCAAGATACCGTACACGTACCTTTTGAATTCCGTCGCGTAGAAAGGATGGCAGAAGCCGAAGCATCGGCGCCCACGAGGCGTACCAGGGCATTGCGATTTGACGGCTTTCCTGGTTCGCAAGTGCGTCAATGATAGCATCAGCCACGCTGTGCGCGCTCACAGCAGGTGCGATAAACCTGGCGAATCGGTTGTATTTGATGCCAGCAAACATGCTAGTTTCTAGCAGATGTCCGGACGTGACCAATGTAGTGCGCACGAATGGCGCGTTGTAGATACTGTCCAGTTCGTAACGGAGTGATTCGTGCAAACCGACCAAGGCATGCTTCGAGGCCACGTAGTCGGCTGGCAGTTAGTCCAGGAAAAAAGGTTGCCAACGTACTCATTTGTGCTACTCCTGCATGGCCCATCACAGATGAAATAGTGACAATATGACCGCGATTTGCATTCACCATACCGGGAAGAAACTCTTTTAAAAGCCAAAAAGGCGCCATAGCATTCGTTTCCAGCGTTCTGTCGTCAGAGCATTAATGTCACGTACTGAGCAATGGACGCTGAAGACAGCTCCAACAATGGGTGGCCATGGACTACGCCCGCATTGTTAATGAGGATTGTTGGCGCGCCAAGTCTGTTCATAACGTGTCTCCCAATTGATTCAACATTTAAGGGCTTCGATATGTCGCAATTAAAAGCAGTGATACGTGGATGCTTGAAGCTCGCACGAACAATGTCAATCGACACCACGTTTGCACCGCGATCTGCCAGTTTTCGCGCAAGAATCGCTCCCAGGCCACGAGATCCACCCGTTATGATGACCGTCTCGTTTCTCCATCGATCACCGTCAATGTAAGGGAGCGTGCGCTCAAACAGCGTATCACGAAGCCAGGCTGAGAGCTGCCCATGGTCAGAAGGCACTGGTTTGCTGTTCGTCCACCTTCGATCAAGCCAGGACAAACACTGAAAAAGGAGAGCAACAAGAAAGGCCAAAAAAATGACTTCGAGCGGCCACTTCAATGACGAGAGTTTTACTTGGAACTTCTCGCTCTGAGTTACCATTTCAGGTTTTACTGCCATACCGTAGAGCATGCTCATACTAAGATATGTAATAGGATCAAGTGATGAATTCACAAACTTGTTTGCAATGGCGTCCATGTTGCATTTATCGAGCCATTCATTTGGTGCATTCTGGGTAAGTTCGTTGGCACACACATACCTCTATGACATATCGTTCATTTTGCTCCTCACTTGACTTGCTCATCTGAACAAGACGTTTTCGTGCAGCTTGTACCGATTCGAGAGGTGGATCCAAATCGATTTGGATGGTTGAGAGAGCGTCGTGCTTTTCTGAGCCTTCGTCTTGCTCCTCTGATGCATAACGAATCACAATGTGTGTTGCACAAATGGACTCCATGTGACACCATGCTGGCATTTTCGGTAACTTTGCATGATGCATAGTCAAATGCATCATTGAATCTATGTGGTCTGTATTCATATGTGTACAGATTCGCTCTGATACAAGTGCCACAGGATCCCTGTCACTCATTCTGTCGTTGTGGTGGTTCACTATAGATACGCATGAAATCAATGCACTCCACACAGTAAGTGATTCACGTTGACACTCTCTTGGCTTATAAAACATGACTATATGGATCAAATTGCACTGAATATCTACTGGAATGAGGAGGCAATGTTACTATGCATGAAAATTAAAATGGGCTTGATCATGACAGTGGAATAAACTTAGGAACTGATCAGAGTGACGCTTTTACTTCTTCTCACCTGGAGGAACGTCAGCGTTCTCATCAATCTTGTACTTCTCGTTGATAAATGCATTATCGACGCTGGACTGATACCCCGCGCTGTAGTCGGCCAGCATTTGCGAGCGACCAATACCGTAGTTATCATTTGGATACCAAAGAATCATCTGGTCCTTCAAGCGCGCAGGATTGAAAAAGGCATTCATGGTTTCAATTTCACGCATCTGCTGCTTCTCTTCTTCCAGCCCAGGGTCTTCCATTTGGAGCGCAAGTGCCTTGGACTCTGGACCGAGAGGACGAGGTCCTTGTGGAATCAGTTGTTTCTCTTGTTCGGCGTTAGCATAGTATTCGTCCTTTTCAGGCAAAACCAGTGCTCCAGCACCATCGTTGAGGGGATTGGACGACAGCTCGTTCGTCTTGGAAGCGAGAAGCTCGGGAATCTTCTGCATTTCCCTCTCATACCACACATACATGTAAATGTGATACGCAGCCACGAGCAAGCCCAGTACAATCGTCAAGACACCCATCGCAGCGAACGAGGCATTGTCGCCTGTTTTGAAAAAATACATGAGGGCCACAACGAATATGGAAACGTATGCGCTGATAAAAGTAAAGTGAATAGCCTTCACAAAAAATTGACCAGCCGTTTCCTTAACAGGTTTGCAGTCAAACACATACAAGTACGAATAGCGGTAAGCCAAATATAACAAGAAGAATGCCACACATGCAAATCCATTTGTCACTGGTTGAAGCACCATGTATCCAAACGCTATTACTGTCATAAAAAGTGTTGATGGATACAGAGTACCCCAAGGAGGTGAATTAAAGTCATTTCGCAAGTGCCATAGTTTCCGTGGTGTTGAGCTGAGGAACCTGATTTTAACGTAATAAAGAAGTAATGGAATTAGCTGCGAGAAAATTCCAGCCGAAGCACTCAGACCAATAAGGGCCATATACGAAAGATAGAAAGAAGACGCGCGTGGAATTGCACTGGAAATATCCTGAACAAACTTTTTTGGTTCTTTCACATCATCCCAGAACGCATCCAAGTTTTGCTGAATGCCTGCGAGAACAGTCAAAATGATGAAATTCTGAACGATCATGAAAATGAAGAAACGGGTCATCAGACTCAGCTCAATTAGGTTTCTAGTTGGAACTCCACTCATTCGTGCGTGGAAACGAAGCCATGGAGGTAAAAGACTGTTGAGGATTGCAAGAGCTGTCGTTGGTAACACTCCCTTGATTATACCAAGAGGAACTGATGGAATTTGTTTGATCCAGCCCAAGAAGCCAATCTTCTCTGACATGTAATCGACGTTCGAAAACAAAGACACAAGAGCCACTGGAATAGCCCAGAAAATCACAGTCAGCCAAGTAACACCCCAGCAAGCACAAGTTCGTAGCTTGCGTTCATAAGGGTTGAAGCTCATGTTCTCCCACACAATGTCATCCGGATGCACCTCCACATAACTCTTGTCCATTTGGCTTTTGTTCTCAACAGGACGGAAACTTGCGCCAGTATAGGCACCTTGCATCGTGTTGCAAAGGACAAAAGCACTGCTTTCGGGAGGGTAAGTCTCATAGTCGTTAATAACATTCTGACGTATGTCTTCAATTTCCCGATTCATCCGAGGCAGTTCTTCACGGCTGTAGTTGATAGTATCGACCTTTTCGCCGATACAAGGAATCTTCCCAAGACGGTGCTTAGGACGCTTTTTTTCTGGCACATAACGGTCTGCCACATCTAGTGAGGGCTCGCTGCCTTCGGGCAGTGCTACCGCTTCAACTTTACCTTTTTTGACTTTCTTGGCTGCAGTGGCTATAAGCTTCGACACAGCACCCTCCAGCTTGTTGGCCAACTTGTCTCGATTTTCCACGAGCTTTGGTAACTCCTTCAGGTTACGGTTGATCCAGACCCTCTTGATACCACCTGGCAAATTCTCATAGAGCTGCTTTATTTTAGTCTCACTGAGATATTGATTGGGTACACTAGTGACGAGGAATGTCTTGGCCTGATTCGTGTTTCGATGATCCGGTGAAGTTAGGAATTCCTTCCGTAGCTTGATGAAATGGGTCATGACATCGTGAATATTGAAAATAAACCAAGCCATAAAGATGTAATGAAGAATAAGAACGCCAGCACTCCGCTTCTGCTGCTGATTATTCTCATTAATCACGTTGCCGAACGTGAACATGTTGAAGCCTTTACCCCTACCAACCGGGTCGGAACCTGAGTTGACTGGCAAATCGGCCGCGTAAAGAGGCATGAGCACGATCCAAGACAAAATCCATATGGGTACGAAAATGCGCAGCATGAGCACGATGAACCATATAAATGAGTACGCATCCAGCCCATTGATCCTCAGAATTTCGTGGTCAGGCACACTCAGGAACGAGGGGATCCAATTAAATGTGCCTTTAGGTAACGGCTGTGTATTCCTACTCGCAGGAAGAGCACGGTACGTCTTTGGTTGATAAATGGCCGGATACCGTGGGCGAAGGTAAAGGAATACTACCATGAAAATGCCTGCTAAAATCAAGGCATACACGATGGCCGAAATGATAGAAGATGTCGAGGAGTCTCTCATTTCATCATCTTCGGCAGCTAACACTGGCAAAGCCAAGCATGATAAAATCAAAATCAGCGCGTTGCGCTGTTTGATCATGGTGGATTAAAGTAAGTAATGCGTCTACCGAGTCGCTTGGGTGACGACTGTGACGAGACAATTCATTCTCCGCGACCTTCCTGGGCAAAAGTGTTGGGCCGTTGGAACTCGATCAACTTTGGATGAGTGTAGAAAGTAATAACCCCGCCAGGAATGTCTAACTGGTCATGTGATTGGACAATTTTTTTAGATGCATTTAGAAGTCTTTTGATAGATCACTATTGTCAAATCAGAGGGCATGAAAGGCTGCAAGCTCGCAAATGTGGACTTCAAGTGCCTGACTGATGACACAGCGACACCTCATATGCTTCGCTTTTTGTAACAGGGGGTTGTAGTTCAACCTATGGTTATGCCTGAAGTTGCAGTCACTGTTGAGTTTGGGTATGTACTCAGAGTATGTACCGGCTGACCTGTAGGGGTGGCACGGAGCTTTTGCTAGCACCGCCACATGCCAAGACACACCGGATCACGCTGCCAGTGGCACAGTCGTCTCCGCCAACGGTCCGCACGCTTGTGGAATACATTCGCACACACCTCATAAATGAACGCGAGGAACTATTTGTAGAGGGAGGAAGCGTCCGCCCTGGCATTCTCGTCTTGATCAACGATAGCGATTGGGAATTGGAGGGCGAAATGAACTATGAACTACAGTCGGGAGACCGGATTGTCTTTATCAGCACACTGCACGGTGGTTAGCTATGGCGTAGGTATTTATGTCTGTTGAGTGCGAGAGCGATCCTTTGCCTGCCTCACTGCCTGTTGGACCGCTTTGTTATGCAAATCGTGTGCGGTATCTTCATTAAGCTCTGCGACTGTAATCACACGGTGCTCTTCGTTAGGCCCACGACCCTTTTCCACAATGTAGGGGCCTGGAGACTCTTCGAGATGCTCGGACTCTGAGAGATTCAGCAGCTCAGGACCTTCGTAGTCACTGAAAACCAGCGACGACGCCATGGAGTGAGGTGTTTGCGGCTTGTCAGTATTTCTCTGAGAAGTTGCGTCATGTTGTGAGTCATGCGCACGCGACTGCCCATACGTCTTCACAGAGACCTTATCATGGGACTTGCCGGATTGCACAACACCGTACTTCTGGGATGGTGGGAAAGTCGGTGTCCGACTGCCCATGGTGCCGAAGCTATTACGTAGTGGCGCCTGTCTCGACCCACCGTGCTTGCGACGGCGCTCAATGATGCCGCGGATCAGTGGTTGCCATTGATCTTGCTTTGCGCCAGATGGGCGCGTCCGCACAACTTTGATTTTGTTGTGCACATCGACAAAGACGTCTGTCTCGTCGACGATTTCCTCACCGATCATCTCTTCGATGATGTCTTCGAGAGTAACGACACCCATGGCACCCGATGGCTCACCAGGGTTTCTGGACACGAGGATCATATGCGAGCGGCCAACCTGCATGTAATTGATGGCATCCAGCAGGTTGAGGTCTGGCGAAGTCTCTGGCAAGGGAGTGAGATGGAATCGCGAGATGGGCCAAGCATCTTCCGGGTCATACTGAATGAGTTGTTTGACAAGCAACATGCCGAGAATTGCATCTGGACGATCATTTTCATGAATGGGAACACGCGAATAGCCTGACTCAACCAGCTTATTGACGCCTTCCTCATCCAAAACATGATCGACCGGCAGTGTGTAGACATCCTCGATGGGCGTCATGACATCTGCGACAGTCTTGTCGTTCAGATCCAACACGGCACGAATAATCGTCACCTCATCATCGTTGAGATTCTCAGTGCCTATCTGTTGGTGAAGAGAGACAAAGGTTTTTAGTTCAGCTTTCCGATACGTTGTGCCATGCTCTTCGCCCAAGCAGTAGTCGAGCAGCTTTGCGGTCGGCCATGCGACGGGCGCAAGAACAATCATCGCAAAGTGCACGAGCGGTGCACATACAGCGCCAATAGTGAGTCCGTAGCTCGAGTCCGTACCGTGCACAGATGGACTGCGGTACAATTTCGCCGAAAATCACGATCAGGATCGTCGATATGATGACTGCTGTAAGGCCTGAGCCGAATTCTGACAGAAAAATCGGCAGCGTTTCATTTACAATCACGTTGCCCAGAAGCAGGACGACAAGCACCCAGTGTCTTCCGCGTTCCAACAGGCGCATGACCTTGGTCGCATCTCGCTGCTCTTGCTCAGTCCCCGATGTCATAAGCACCTGCAGATTGACCATGTCCAGGCCCATCAAGCCGAGCGTGAGTCCAGCAAAAACACCGCCAAGCAAAACGAGCCCAGCAATCATGATAATATCAAAGGTCCTTGTGAGCGGATCGACCCTCTCGATGGGCAACTCGCTGTGCTTGCCTGACGAGGCGAAGCCCGGCGTCGACAAGTCGTGCTGAGGAGAAATCGCCCACATCATGGCAGGTGACGCACGCACGGTCGAAATGACCGCATGGAATACGTAGGCCATCAAAGCCATGACGAGTTTCGTTGCTGGCTTTGGCGCCAGTCCACCCCGGTCTCCTACCATGGATTGGGAACTTGCCCCACGAGGCATTCGAGATGAGGCTGCGTAGCGTATTGCATTATCGCACTCTAAGCTGGCTTAAGTGAGATAGGCAGAGTCGGTCTGTGATTCGGCCGAGAGCTTAAAGAGCCATGCTTTTCTTCGTGCACGCACGTAAAAATGTAACAGCGTTCTTTCATCTCGTCCGAAGATGGTGTGTACGACAGCAGCAGAAGCGCCCTTTGAGTGCTAACGTGAGCAGACAACGGTCCAGAGGATCAAGGAGATTGAAGATGAGATGGCCCGTACGCAGAAGAATAAAGCCACTGCGTACCATTTGGGCCAGTTGCGTGCCAAGTTGGCCAAGCTGAAGCGTGAGCTCATCGCGCCGAGCAGCGGCGGTGGCGGTGGTGGTGGCATGGGTTTCGATGTCGCACGTACCGGTATTGCTAGTGTGGGATTTGTAGGATTCCCATCCGTCGGAAAATCGACCCTCATGTCGGGTCTGACGGGCACGACATCTGAGGCTGCAGCTTATGAGTTCACGACGCTTACTACCGTCCCAGGCACTATGACAGTGCGAGGCGCGAGGATCCAGATCCTCGACTTGCCAGGTATTATTGAGGGTGCGAAAGATGGAAAGGGTCGTGGTCGTCAGGTCATTGCTGTGGCACGAACATGCAACCTCATTTTTATCGTCCTGGATGTCGGCAAGCCCCTGCGTGACAAGCAGATCCTCGAGTCTGAGCTGGAAGGATTCGGCATCCGACTCAACAAAAAGCCACCAAATGTGATTGTGAAGAAGAAGGACAAGGGTGGTCTTGCGATCACGAACACGGTCCCGCTCACGAAGCTCGATCATGATGAAATCCGTGCGGTCATGTCTGAGTATCGCATTGCGAATGCCGACGTGGCGTTCCGTGAAGATGTATCAGTAGAAGAGCTCATTGACGTCATTGAGGGCAACCGAATCTACATTCCGTGCATTTACGTACTGAACAAGATTGACTCCATCTCCATTGAGGAACTCGACTTGCTGTACAAGATCCCCAACTCGGTCCCTATTTCCTCGCGCATGTGGCTCAATGTCGATGAGCTTGTCGACAGGATGTGGGATGAGCTGAATCTCGTACGTGTATACACGAAGCCGCGCAAGTCGCCTCCGGACTATACATCGCCAGTTGTCTTGCGCCGAGGAAGATGCACTGTCGAAGACTTTTGCAATGCCATTCACCGTGAAATCTTTAGGCAGTTCAAGTGTGCTGTTGTTTGGGGCACCTCTGCGAAGCACCCGCGTGGTCAGCGCGTCGGTGGCGACCATGTGTTGGAAGATGAGGACTGTGTGACGATTTTCAAGCGCTAAAAGGGCGCTCGAACGGTCGGTCAGCCAGCGTGCCAGCTAGCCAGCCGGCCCTGAAAAATGTGTGAGCCTACTTACTGTTGAAAGAATTTGCATCGTGGGCAAAATGTATTTATTTTTTTTTTTTGTGTTTTCAACTTCCTCTTTTGCTCTTCTCTCTACGTGCGGGGAATAGAGGCGCGAATCGTCTTCTTCATACATATTTCCTTATATACAAAATAGACCTACGAGCATCATTACCATGCTGTAGCACTGGAACGTTGCACACCTTCCCATCGTGGAATTGTACGTCCGATATCACTAGTGCCGTCTAAACGCGCTTCTCTTACCGCGCGTGACTTGTCGGAGCGGACGCCCAGTGCAGGTGCGCCGCGATTTAATCCTTCGAGCAGCACACAAGCCTTGCACAGCTCATTCGAAGAAATGTAGCCACATCGTGTGCAGGTTCGCTGAACTGCACGCTTAACCTGGCCTGCGACATGCAAGTTCTCGCCGCTGTGGATGATGTCGATGATGCTGGAGGGCCGAATGCTCTCGAGGTCCTTGAGGAATGCACGTGCGTACCCACGGTATGCGTTCGGCGAGTAAATGCATTCAGTGCTAAAGTAGTCCAGCTGCTTGAAGTAGGCATACATGACGATCTCTTTTTCGTACGCGTACTTGAACGGCTTGCTACGTCGAATCCCACTTCCACCGAACCCACTTCGTCCCGCACCACATCCTTCGGTCTCGTCGTCATCCTCATCACCATCTACACCGTCGGGGCCCTTGGTAATAATGTCTGTACATCGTTCGAGCCGAGCAATATCACCACGCAGCACATTCATCAGAACCGTCTCTGCCATATCGTCTGCATTGTGCCCCGTTACAATGTGGTCGACGCCCAGGGACGCCGCTCCACGGTCCAGTGCCTGTCGTCGGAACACACCACAGAATGTGCAGTTGTTCTTGCGTCCAATCGATGCGACAATGTCGTCCATCGACCACCCATACAGCTCCTTGTATCCTAGCACTTTGAGTGGGATGCCATACTGCTCTTGATTCCGCTTCACTGTCTCAAGACTGTCATCACGATACCCCGTGATTCCCTCATCAATGCTGAGCAGGAACAAGTTCAGCCCATAGTCGTACCGCTCATTCAGTGTCTTCATCACATAGGCCAGGACGGTCGAGTCTTTTCCTCCACTGGCTCCTATTGCCACACGATCCCCACGGCGGAACAGTTGGGCTTCCACAATGGTCTGGTGCACCTCCGTCTCGAATACATGAAAGAAACAGGCGCGACACACAAGATCCCCTGTCTTGGGCCGCCGTAGCACTGCACGTTCCGTGCCACACAACTCACACTCGCGTGGCATGCACAGCAATTGGCGTGAGTTGAAAACTTGGAAAAAAAAAAAGAAGTTTTCGAGCGCTGGAGTCCTTGTGCCTGCCACATTTCCACCTGTGACGTGACGTTCTGTGTGGAGAAGTGCGGTCATCCATCGACTTGCCAACGCGCGTATCGTCATACCTAAATCACCTAAATCACCGGGACTCCAGCTCGAACGACAACGACCCAGCCTTATTGGCGAGACCAACTTTCGCTAGATCACACTGATTTCTGATTATCAAGCTGGAAAGGTGCCATACATATGCGTTCCATGCGGCTTTATCGTTTGTCTGCCTTCTCCCAGCTATCCAGACGCCCTTTCCACATATCGAGCTCGGTCGGGTCCTCTAAAGCGTCGCAAGCTACTCACGCTCATCAAGTTCATGAGCTCCCCGATTATGGACTACCCGCACCGTTTTGGGAGCGCGCATTGCTAGGTGTTGGGAGCTCACTTGGCTTGCTTGTGAGCCCGCGGCGTGGCGATCTATTGACTGTGCTCACACAAGTGTCGTCCTATCCACGCATCGACCATCTTGTCCAGCAGATGCACTCGACGCACGAGGGTCGGCGTCTTTTGGTGGAACGGCCGTCGCTCAACTCGCACACTGTGAATACAGACGCTCTAGCACAGCTTCCCGAGCACACATTTGGACGCGTATGGCTCGAGTGGCTCCGTGCGAATCTCGTGCGGCCTGATGGTCGCTGTGAGGCCCGATACATGCCAACATTCGAGACGCGCTATGTCATACAGAGGTATCGAGAGACGCACGACTTTTATCATGTGCTGTTAGGTATGCCTACGTCGACGCTTGGCGAGACGGTCGTGAAGTATTTCGAGGCCTCGCACATGCATTTACCAGTGGCCGCTCTGTCGGCTGTGGGCGGGAGTGCACGTATCATCAATGATGATCGCCGTGCTCTCATGTCACGGAGCGAGACGCCGCTCGAGACGCCACAGCTTGTAGCGCTGGCTGAGTGGGCCTGGCGCCTGGGTCAGAATGTGCGAGTGCCGCTGATCTCCATTGCTTGGGAACGCCGTTGGGAGCAGCCCATTGACGAGCTGCGTGCTGAGCTTGGGATCGACGCGCCGGCGCCTGTCGCCCTCGATATGTATCAACGGCCACGTGCGGCGCAGCGCACAACGACGCAGGTCGCCGGCCGCCGGTTCTTTGGATGGCCAAGCAAGATTTGGGAACGCCACGGTGCTAGGGACGAACGGTATACGCACTAGACATGATCGCGATCAAGTCTGGCGATTGCTCGCGCACATTGTGCTCGGGCCTCACGCAACTTCATCCTGTCAGCCTGACGCATCGCTCGCTTGAAAAGAGTGCGAGCCGTTTGTGGATCCTTCTGCATCGAGTAGAACATGCCGAGGTTGTAGAGAAGCACGAATTGTGTACCGAGGCATTGCTGTTTCACCTGCTCGAGCCGTGCATCCGACTCAGTCTCGATTGTCTGGGCAACAGGCCCCACTTTGTCTGGATCGAGGCCACTGAATCGAAGCAGCCATGCCACTTCGTCCGCCGGCAGTTCTCGCAGGAAACCAGCTCGGTACGATGCAAGAGATGCCAGATCCAAGCCCTTCGTCGCCCATGCCACAGCCCGTTGGACGGTGTCCACATCAGTGTTGCTTTGCGTGAGGGCCTGGCTAATATTGTTCATGAGAATCGCTGCTCGGCACCGGTCTGCTACCGTAGGCGGCGATACAGCCTGTTTCGGTAACAGCATCGATATCGCCTGTACATACAGCGGCACAGCGTATTCGGCAAGGTTGCGGCCTGCATAGAACGCGCCCAAAGCCTCGACGCTCGCGCCTAGATCTTGTCGACCGACCCAAGAGGGGAGGTGAAGGTCGTCTAAGTGCACGGGTCCGTGAGTGGCGGACACTTGCACAAGACGCATCATCTCTTCGACGCTCCATGCCAAATAGCTTTCACTAGGTTCTGTCGTTACGGTTGTCGGCCCCTCTTGCATCACCGGCACGAGCACGTCTTTCCGCTGTGCAAGCTCGCCGATCTTCTGCGCTAGTGCGACGCCGCGCATCCGTTCCACTGGCTGCCGCTCCATGCGCGATTCTGGCCCTTGTGCTTGCGGTTGAAGCACTTCGTCCAGCGCATCCACATACACCAAAGCAGCCTCCTGCCACTTGTTCTGCTCTTCCAACACGGAGGCGAGTGCAATGGATATGCCAGTTGTCTTCAGCAGCGCATTCTCTCCGAGCCTGCTAGCATCGATCGTGCGTGCGATGTCTAGAGCGGTGCGAAAGTTTTTTGCGCTGCGTTCCCACTTGCCAGCGTGCTGGGCCTTGACTGCAGCGCGAAGTGGCTCACGGAGCTCTTTTGGCCACACGCGAAATGCAGAAAAGTAGTCCCAGACCCCATACACTGTTAGTGCCACAGCCAAAGCGGACAGTCCAGCAAACATGGCGCCTGCCTTCATAGTCACGCCACTGCCAGACGAGGAGGTGCGTGGCGACACCTTGGGCGCAGGAGTGGCTGTGCCTGTTGTGCTCGATGCGCAGCGCACATGACGAACAGTGGCGCATGCACGTACAGGGAGATGCACTTGCAGAGCACAGCGTTGCACTAGTGCCGCCACCGGGCGTAGTCGACAATGCATCATCGCGTCGTTGTTGAGGGCATCATTCGATCGGGCTCAGGATTGACGTGAATCGGGCGATGCGCCTGTCTTACTTCGTAGGCCATATGTGTGACGCACGCGACATCCAGACCACTGGCTGGCCCCAAGCGCATGTCTGCGCGTGGGTGCGTGCGAGCATGCGGCGGAGCCTCCACTTCCATTCTATGTACGATGCAACATTACTGTACAAATCATCCGCGCTGGCCAATGTGACCTGATTGGCCTGTGGGGTTGTAGTCCAAATGCTACATGTGTTAGACTCGCGGAAGAATAGGCGCCATGGCCAAAAGTCACGTACAATATAAGCTCGTTCAATCCCCGTCAAGCTCTCGATGCAGTAGGTAATGATCTGGAAAAAAATATGTCAGTACATGTTGACAAGTGGGGGCAAGCATGTAATTAAGCTGTCATCTTTGACACGTACCTCACCCAGGTCATGAGCTTCTTTGAGCTTGAAGCTCATCGGCAGGACGACGTCAACTTCAGCGACCATATTGTCTCCCACATGGTACATCTCAAAACCTGAGATCGCCTGGACAGGCGAGAACCTAGACACAAGATACAGGCATCGGCCTGCATCCTGTGCACTGGCGACCTTGCCTGTGAGCTTGTCCGTCGTATCTGCGAGAGTGGCGACCCACTCGGAGATGATGTAAAGAGACAATCCAGCACCGCCGATTGGATCCAGCAAGCCGATGCCCAAGTACTGTCCGAGGATCGGGAACACGAGCGAAATGATATTGAACATGGCATCATTTTCCGAGTCCTGTGCTATCGCATGCATGCTCGAGTTCTTGTGGTTTCGACAAAACACCCACATAATCGACTTGATCACAATCGTCAGCACCATGAATACGATGCCAATCATTGGTAGTAGCTGCTCCGAGTCGTCGTACTGATGTGTTAACATTGTCCACATTCGGTTCACAGACTCCAGAAGCACTTGTAGAAACGATATCACCATCAGTACCTAGCACAAGGCGTCAGTCATTCCATTCCTTCGAGGTGAAAACAAATGCGTTTCAGACGTACACTAAATATCAGCACACCCAGAGGCTCCAAGCGGCGCTTGCCCACAGGATATTTGTAAAATGTGTGCCAGCTTCGATATGCAGTGGCTTGCGACATGACAAAAATCACAACTGTACAGAGTAAATCAAGCACACTGTCGACCAGACTTGCGAGTAGGGACACCGAGTCGGACGACCATACGGCGACAACTTTACCGACCACAAGTAGCAAGTTGATCAGCAAGTTGACTGCGGGTATACGTTAGTTCCCTTCAAACTTCCCTGTTCACACGTACTGTTGATGTAGAACTGCACCACAGCGTCCGAGTCCTGTTTCCGCTGGTGTGTTGGCACATTTTGTAGGAGCTGATCACGCTCGTGATCTGCCTTTGTCCACACAACCATATTGGAGGAGCGATCGCTCGTTGGCTTCTTGGCTGTCAGCTCTGGAGACGTGCTCGACGCATCGCCGGTTTTCTGTCGACTCGTAGGTGCTTCCTCTGACTCTGTCTTGGAAAGTTGAGATGACTCATCCAGCGTACCGTAGCTCTTGTGTGAAGGATCGACGGCGGGGTTCTCTTGAAGCATGCGACGCAGCAAAGACTTGTTCCGCTTGGGCGTCTTGGGCCTAGACTCCTTCGCCCCTTGCAGCATCGAGGACTCGCGCTGTCGTCTCTCCATCTCAGGATGCTCAAGCAGGTCTGCGAGACTCTTATGCTCACGATATGACTGGCTCAGCATCGCCGATGTAGACAAGTCCTGGAGACTTTCCGCAGCGAGTTCCACAGACGAATTGCCACGCAATAGATGTCGCTCTTTCGCAAGCATACCAGAAAGAGACGTCAATGCACGCTCGCTTATTCGCCGTCCACGACGTACTGGATGGTGCGAGAATGCATGCGACCACAACGGTTCGCCCTCATCGTCTGTGACGCATCCCTCTTCTAGGTCGTCTATGTTCCGGTGTTGCCCTGGCGAATCATTGCGATGATCATGCACCCTGGAGGTGATGCCTGGAGTCGAAAAACGACGCATCACTTCCGTCGGGAACTGACTCTCCAGCACCTCATCCACTTCTCGCCATCCATCAAGAAGCTCGTTCTGTTGTTCATAGAACCTTCGCACGCCTGCATGGGTGATTTGTGCCAGGTCCTCTTCACTCACACGTGCCTCTTCATAGTATCCCGAGCGGCCATCGATTAAATGTGCTAGCGCGCGTAGGCTTGCCATGGAGTCAGATCGCCGTATCTGAGCGAGCGAGTCAGACGACTCAGTTCGCCGCGGAGACGTGCACATCTGCGAGAAACTTGCATGTCGGGTCGAATCCTTGGGAAAGCCTGCTCCTTCTTCCGACAGATCAATTGCGGGCTTTTGCTTTCCCCTTTGCGAGTTGCCACTGCTTGTCATTGTGCACGGTGACAACTACTCCGCTGGCCAATACACTCAATTCACGCCTACTAAGTCTAATTTTCTTGTTCGATTTTGAGGTGTGGTACACGGTAGCTAAATTCTCGGCCGATCCAATTTCCACGTTCGTGGACGCACGAACGTGGGCCGCGCAATGCATCGTGGCATGGAGGCGCTCACTCGCACAGGCACACACGACTGGATTTTGTTAGTGTGGGTGAGGGGGAGGGGCAACATTTCCGACGAATCAGATTATCCGATATTTCCTATACATGTACATACAGGTCCTTTTTTATCTTTCACGATGCTACAGAGGACATGATCTCTGTGTATATGTGCATGTGAATGATAAGAAAGACGCGTGAACTAGAGAAAGGTCTCGACGATGCTCTTTTCCATGCATATATGCACAGACTCATATCAACCCCCGTCTACAATTGCCGATTATAGCAAGTCATTAAGCACCTGCAAGACCTTGTCGCCCACTTCCTTCGTTGTCGCCGGGCCACCCAAGTCACGCGTACGCACACCGAAACCACCCATGTCCGTCGTATCAAGCACCTTGCGCACAGCTTGCTCAATGGCAGCGGCCTCTTTTTCAAGGCCGAGTGACCAGCGAAGAAGCAGGGCACCAGAAAGGATCGTGCCGACTGGGTTCGCGATGCCTTGTCCAGCGATGTCAGGTGCTGAGCCATGAATCGGTTCATACAAACCCTTGCATGGCGACTCACCAGTCGGAAGCTCTGAGAGAGAGGCACTTGGTAGCAGGCCGAGCGAGCCTGGGATCACGGACGACTCGTCAGAAAGGATATCACCGAACATGTTCTCTGTCAGCAAAATGCCATTCAGTTTGCGCGGGTTCGACACCATGACCATGGCAGCCGAATCGACGAGGTGATGGTCTACCTCCACGCCTTTCTCGCGGAACTCGCTTTCTATCGTCTCATTCACAACACGTCGCCACAGACGGCTTGTCGCAAGCACATTGGCTTTGTCGATCGAATGGATCTTTGCTGGTGGTGATGAGCGCATAGCCAGGTATGCAGCTAGACGCGTAATCCGCTGGACATCTGACTTGTCGTACACCATCATATCGTATGCCTCGCCCTTCGAGTCAGGAGCGTCCAAGTCGGCTTCCTTGCGGTCGCCGTAGTACAAGCCCTTGACAAGCTCTCGAATTACAACAATATCTGTACCCTTGGCTACCTCGGGACGCAACGGTGAATGTTCCAAGAGTGAGTCGGACGGGAAGCGAGCAGGACGAATGTTAGCGTACAAGTCGAGCTCTTTGCGGATAGCAAGAAGGCCCTGCTCTGGTCGGACCTTGCCGACGCCCCATTTCGGGCCACCGACGGCACCAAGCAGGATGGCGTCAGCCTCTTTGCATGCCTGTAGCGTAGCTGCTGGCAGCGGCTCACCTGTGGCATCAATAGCCGCACCACCGAAATCATGCGGTCGAATCTGCAGCTTGAAGTTGGTCGACTTTTCGGACACAAGCTCCAAAACTCGCACAGCTTGGTCGACTACTTCGGGCCCGATGCCATCACCTGGCAGCGTAGCAATCGAGAATGTTTGCGTCATCGTTGGTTGTGGATGGAGGCTGTTGGTGACCTATCAGTGGAGAATGAATAAATAGGCATTTGAGCCGGCGGTGGCCCGGGGCCTTCGTTTCCAACCGACGAACGGTCGCCATCAAATCTTGGCTTCGTCCTGCAGCGTTGTGCCAGTCGCCCGCCCACTGGCTGATCCAGCGCTTGTCACAACACAGGTGCATGCATGCACATATGAACACGTGACTCTATCGTGTTCTCCTCACCCCCAGATCATGGCGCCCCAAGTTGCTATTGTCAAATTCGGCGGTAAGTGGGGGAGGGGGGCGGGGGAAGGGGATAAGACAGCCGCACGGATTCATAGAAACGATAGCAAGAGTGGAGTGCGAGGGTAGCAAGGAGACAAACCAAAGTGTGAACCATTGTTTCATTACATACACATCGACATCGACATTTACATCTACATCTCGTGGTACGGGCAAAACAGCGAGTGAGAATGGAAGTGCAAGGGTTATTAGCGACTCAATGTCTTTTTTGATTTTGGGACACGACATGCCATTCAGCAGGAGGAATACGCTGCAAGTACCGACACACAGGCATGATAAACAAAAGTAGCGTACATAGTCCCACTGTCACACAAATCGTGCTTGTGGCAAAGTAGCCATCACGTACCAAAACACATGAGCCACCGACAGACTGACACTGTTTCATGCCTGCATCCGATTTGCATTCGCCTAGTGAGAGTGAGGCATTCGCTTGACCGAGAACATTCTCGACCTTATCCATGTCCACACCCACAGGTGGGCGGCACATCGACACACCGAAATAATCGACCATCTTGAGGACAAAGTACCGCGGCCATGTGCCACCCAAATTGCTGACGGTATTGAGGAGAGTCATGTACGTGCCGCCAATGATCGGGTCTGAGATCTGGGTATGGAAGGCTGACACACCGACGAATTGCACCGTGCCCGCAAAACTGTTCAACACAGTCGTCAAGACAATCAACAAGAAGTACGACGTGCTAACTTCGCTGCCATCCTGCGGCATGCCGGCCACAATCCCCATATTCACCACCGAGAAGAATAGGCGGAAAAAGAGCGAAATCATCCAGGGCCGCAGCGCTTTGTTCCCTTTTGACCATGTAGCTGTTAGGTAGCCGAACAAGAGCTGGAATGGAAAATCAATCAGCACAGCGAATGCCAAGTCTTCTTTGCCAAGCCCACGCTCAACGAGCTTGAGCCCTGTGACGGCATCGTTCGCCTGGTAGCCGATTTTGCAAATCATATGGATGATTAGGAGAAGCTGCACATGTCGGAGCTTGCCGATTTTCCAGATCGTCGCATACGCTTTGACAATGTCCATGTTGTTCTCTTCTTTCTTTTCTTTTTGGAAGAATAGCAACCAGAGGGTAATCAGAATAAATGCCGCTGCACACAATTGCAGGTAGGCTGGAAACGTCAAAATTGGCGTGCTTTGTGGGCGAAAGCGGAGGTACTTGTTGCATGCTTCCACACTGTTGAGGGCCAAGAATACGGTAAAGCTCATGAAATAGCCGACATTGATTCCGATCGTTTGCGCCGTCGATGCAAAGCCGACGTTCTCTTCCGATAAGAGTGTTAGTGCCCATCCATCCACGGCAATGTCCTGTGTCGCCGCGAGCACAATCAGACCAAAGAATACCAGAGTAATCAAGTATATGGACGTCTCGGCATTTTCCAGCAGTGCATCGATCTGATACGATATCACCAGAAAAGTAATACCAACAATTAGCTGGATCGGCACAATCCAGCTCTTTCGCCGTCCAAGAGATAATTCCAACTTTGTGCAAGGGATGCGCCAAGCACTCACAAACAAACTGTCGACAATGGGGCTCCATAGCAGCTTGAGTGAATACGGATACGTGCTCAGCATAAATATGCCTAGCTGTGAATACCCCACATACGACTTGAGGAGAAATGGCATAGTGCCGAATGCTAGGCCCACAGGTATGCCCTGCAGCATGTACAGCAGGACCAAAAGCATGAAACCATGCTTGTCTTCGGCACTCAGCAGCCGAAACGAATGTGCATCCTCAGGTCTGCTTGAAACCTCATTTTTAACATCACCCGGGCTCTGGTCCTTCACGAGCACATCAGCCTTCTGCTCAGCTCGTCCCATGGTAGCGCCTTACTACGCTCCCAAGCGCAAGGTCCCTGCTCCATGACGTGGCCTGCTTAGTCAGCACACTCCATGGAGCGCTCTCACTGCTGCGCTGAGCGAGCCGGCGTGTTGAGCGGGCGGGCGGCTGCTGTTTGTAGTTGGGCCGTGCCCATCATTTGTAATCTAAATAATCAGTGCGTGTCACAGATCGGTTCAGACCTGTGTTTGCCAGCTCGACCGACTTAGCCGGCCATCGCTCTCCATCTTTTGTCTTTTTGCCATTTCTCACTCATGCTGATGGCGACGAGGACAGCGTTCTCTTCTGCGCTTCGGCCAGTGAGGCCCGCATGTGATGCGATTTCAGCTGCGCCATTGCCTGCCTTTATGCCCCGGCGATTCTATTCGGTAGGCACGCCGAATCGGCGACCGACAAGCCGGTGGATCTGGTGGATGCTTACTGGCGCCACAACCGCCGGCACTTGCTACGTACTTGGTGCAAAGTACCCGCCCCGTGCCATTCCCTTTATATTTTCTCCATACTCGACAAATGCTAGTGACATGTCCGCTGACGAAGCTGCGGCTCACTGCCATGACATTGAGCGAGCTATGCATTCGCTGCCCATTGTCCAAGAGCATCTTTCGCGCTCTTTCGAGTACCCATCCGCAAAAGAGGTGCGCGAGAAGCATGGCATTACGTATGATACGGAACTAGCAAACCGAGAGACGGCCGATTATGCGATCCTTCGTCCATTTGTGCATGTTCCGCCCGGACGCCTCGAGACACAACTCACTGCGGGGAGCCTGCGCGGTGCGCACATGTTTGCGACGACACCAATGATTTTCTCCAAGACGCAAGCTGGTGTTAGGAGTGGCGGCGGCACAGAAGGCGACGGCTTCGTTGTCCTACATCTCGGCAAGAACTTGTGTGGTTATGAGGGCGTTGTCCATGGCGGCCTCATTGCCACTGTGTTCGATGAAGCACTTGCCCGCACCGCGTTCTATGGACTGCCGAGTAACGTTGGCGTCACTGGCAAGCTTGAGCTGCGCTATCGCAAGCCTGTGGTCGCTGACCGGTTCTATGTCGTCGAAACCGAGATTGTCGAACGAATCGGACGAAAGTGCTTCGTTAACGGCTACTTGCTAGAACCAAAGTCCCGCTCGGTGTTGGCTGAAGCCAATGGCGTGTTTATTGAGCCACGTTGGGCTAAGTATGCTTCATGGGTCGGTGGCGTCAATATCCGTAAGCAGCTTGAGAAGTAAGCCAAGCCCTCTGCACGTTATGCATCAACGTATATTTTTGGTTGTTGGTGACGCGGGTCAACGGCGTCCTGACTTCTGCGCACACACAAAGACACGCATACACATAATTGACCTATGAGTCCACTCTCTGAAGGTCTCACTCGTGTTCCCAACCGCTAGCATCATGTTTCAACACTCTCGTCGCCAGAGATGCGCGCCTGCTCGGTGGATGGGGCCTGTCGTTCGCTGATGTCCTTGCACTCCCGTTACCTCCGACATATATTAACGTCTGCCTAGACCTAGCGAATTAGCTACAACTCCAAATGATAATCGGGATGGTCGTCCCCCATGTACAGTCGCATGTGGTCATTACTCCATCCTGTTTTTTGGTACAGCGACACGACGCGCTCGTCACGACGCCCAGCCTGGCGCTGCTTTCGTTCGTAGAGAATACTGAGCTCAATCGCAGTTGAAATAACCATGCCCAACGCAGCGATGGCCAGGTTTGTGCTGATGCCGCGTGTGAAGTCGGGTGACTCAGTCTTGGTATTAAATAGCCATGATGACGTAAGGCCACTACAGTTGGTGAATACAATAAGCAGGGCCAATCCAGTCGCTCGTTTGTAATGTCCAGACGCGTTGTTGGCAAGCCATGTGAACAGAGCCGGCGGCACAGAGAATGATCCGCTCGTCATCAGGATGATTCCGCCGTATCGAGTCATGGATTCTTTGCAGCCCAACACAACAGCCAAGCCGATGGTGCACAGGCCGAGACCCGCGATAATGGTCACGTATCGCTGTCTCAGACGGTCTGATACAATGGCCATCAAAATACTGTATGCAAAAGACACAGCGAACGGAGGACATGACATGAGCATGGCCTGGATTGTGCTGTACTCGCCCATATTCTTGACAATCGTCGGTGAAAAGTACGCGATCGAGTACACGGACAAGGCTGAACAGAATCCCAACACACACGTCAGGATCAAGCGCATGTCCGTGAAAGCACGCATCACGTCTCGATGCCATGGCGCAGGTACGGGCTGAGGTGCGTCCTCTACACCGGTGGTGCATTCGCATTTTTCGAGTTTGGCTGCAAGCTCATGCCGATCACGGAACCTATCATTCGCTCGGTTAAGACGCTCCCTCACAAGCTGCTTTTCGGTGTTTGTAAGCAAGAAACACGACTCTGCCTCATTTGGCATCAAAAAAATACATGCGACACCAACAAGAACCGTAAAGATTCCCTCCAAGTAAAAAATCCATTGCCATCCGTGCTGACCGGCGATGCCGTCCATTTTGCGGATGGCCGCGGCCAAGAGACCGGAGAAGGCGCCACTAAGTGATGCACCCGTGAAGAAAAAGGCCTGGCGAAATTGCAGTTCATTCGGTGTGTAGAAAAAGGTCAGATATACCGCAATGCCAGGAGAATGCCAGCCTCCGTTGGCACCCAAAAAGATGCGGTTGATGTACAGACCAGTGCGTGAAGAAACCAGTCCCTGGAGAGTTTCAACGATGCCCCACAGAATGACGAGCCCGGGGATCCATATTCTGGGTCCCAGGCGCTTAATGAGCAAATTCGATGGCACCTCTAGTGCAATGTATGTCGGGTATAAAACTGTGAGTGCCACGGCATAATCGTGTGGGGTGAGGCCCAGTGAAGTCAAAAGTCCTGGGTTCTTTGTGCTCTGCCCAGACGCAGGGTCGCCGTCCAACACGGCTTGTGCAATATTCGTACGATCTAGGAATGACAAAAGGTACAGGAGCAAGCACAGCGGCACGACTTGCACATCCATCTTGAACCTTGCCCTCCGCTCCAACTTCTTGTACTCTGTGGGGTCCAAAGTAGCCTCTAACGGTGCCCCATTCTCACAGCAGGAGCGATCGGTCCATTCCGCAGAGCCTGTCAACGCTACAGCATCTACTGTGTCTACAGCATCTGCTGTCGTTCCGCCGAATAGCTCCTCTTTCTTCTTTTCGCTCATCGTTACGGGAGGGCCCATGTGAAAGAGTTCTCAACATCGCGGGGAACTCCTGATATACAATGCATCTTTCACGCTCACCATCCCTGTTGACGCAATTCGTGCTTAAACTTGCAGCGAAGCCCCTGATAATGTAGATATGCTTATCTAATAAAGACCAGATAGGCCAAACATGTTGCGATGTCGTCTTTGAGGACGCGCCATGCATATGTGCGAATGACTCGCTCTTCCCTATGATGACAGAACGAGGAGCTGCGGCTGGTGCGTGTGAAGTAGGGCACAAATGCGCCGCATATGGGTACAACTGCGTCATTTCTGAATGTGGGTCTGATTGACCTGTGTAACCCCAGCTATGCTTTTTTTGATCGTCAGGCAAATTCCAAAATCATCGTCGTTAGGCTAGCCTTGCATTTGACCTTAGGATCAGTCCATCTTTCCGCGCGATGAGAGCACGGAATGGTCTCATAAGATCAGTCGCACTTTCTGCTTTCATACAAGGTCTAGTGGAAATTGACGAGCAAAGCCGGGACGACAGAGTCAATGGCACCTAGGCCCGAGTACTTTCCACAGGCGTTCTTTAGCACTTCCTCTTGAACCAAACCTATTCGGCAACCAATGCCTTTTGTCTGTTGATGAACATTAGCCAGCATATCGGTGTTTTTGCAAATTGTGCTTGATTGTGTCGTTCTTTAGTAATGTGGCTAGAGCAGGTATAGGCTGGACGATGAGCTTCCAGTCAAAGTGATCATGCTTTCATGTCGTTTCGACAATTTGTATGCGCCAAGAAAAAGAGCGAGTCCCATGATCGACTTGATGAAAATTCAAAAACGGATACCTTTTGATTGAACAGAGCAAACAATGGAGTGCACAGCGTGAAGCCTCATAAAAAGGCGTTTCAAGAGAATAGCATGCAATGTATCTTGACCGGCATGGGCCGAAAGGTTGCCGACCAAAAAGTATGTCTCGTTGTTCCATTGTATTACTGCGCATTGTGCAATCGTGTCGCAAAATGGTGCATATGAAAAATTCAAAAGCAGCTATAGGGCTTTTTACCCCCCCAAAGCTAATGTGTAGGTTTTGACTGAACTAAAGCTGTTCTTTCACATACCTTTTTACTCGGCAAATGTGCGAAACATAATGCGATCAGATTTGGTGCAAACGATCTGATGAGAATCATTTTGACACAAAAAAGCAATAGCATAAAGCCTTGTTTTCTTATCCAGCTCAGGCGCTTCCCCTGGACTCTTGCTTCCACCTATGAAGGATTTTCTCGACAACAATGCTTGTTCTTCCTTTGCTTGGGATTGGTATCTACATCACTAGTATTGCATCGATGGGGAGATTACGGCTTTGATCAAGTCTCGGTGACGAGGACGGATGCACAAGGTGGAGGATTGAAGGAATCTAAACCAGGGTCCGCTATCTAATAGCGACACATCTGCGATCAATCGGCCTTGCTTCGCTTATCTTGGCACCCTGTATGGCCGCCCGCGGACATCAGCAGAGCAGGTCAGTTTGGCCATCGAGAAAAAAACATCATGAACACGAGTATCATCTTAGATCATATGCATGTGAGATCTAACCATAACTACGACAGCAGCCACCACCATACAAATACATTACATTTCAAGATAGTACTCTGGGTGATCATCACCCATATAGTCGCGCAATTGCTCGGGGCTCCAGCCAGTCTTCTTGTACAATTCAATAACACGATCGTCCCGTCGTCCGCTCTTGCGTTGCTTCCGCTCATAATAAACGAGTAGCTCAATGGCTGTGGCAACGATCAAACCGAAAGCGGCAATGGCCAAGTTTGTTGCCACGCCACGAGTGAAGCGGGGTGCCTCTGTTTTGGAATTAAACAGCCAGGATGACGCCAGACCACTGCAATTGTCTAGAATGATAATCAGCGCAAGAGCCGTTGCACGTTTGTAATGCCCCGCAGAATTGTTGGCCGCCCATGCGAACAAGCACGGTGGTCCTGCGTATCCACCACATGTCAGCAGGATAATGCCTCCATAACGAACCATAGATCGTTCGCAGCCGAGAACAACGGCAAAACCAATGACACACAGTACGAGACCGATCATGATCGATGCGTATCGCATCCGTAGGCGGTCAGATGCAACAGCAACAATAAGACTGTATGCGAAAGAGACAGCATACGGTGGGCAGGACATGAGCATGGCTTGTGCAGCACTGTAATCGCCCATTTCCTTGACGATAGTTGGCATGAAGTATGCAACGGAAAAAATGGACATACTCACGCAAAATCCTAGAGCACCCAATAGCAGTAGCCTAATGTCTCGGAAGGCACGCAATACCTCTCGATGCCACGGCGATGGGACGGGCGGTGGAGCCTGTTCCTCACTTACATCTGGCACCGTCTGTTCAAGTTTCAAGGCGAGTTCGGGCCGATCCCGATACGTTTCTCTTGCTTCTGAGAGGCGCTCGACTACGATGCGCCGCTCCTTCGATGTTAATAGGAAACACGATTCAGGTCGATTCGGCAGAAGAAAGAAACAAAGAAACCCAACTAGGACAGTAAAAATGCCTTCCAAATAGAAGACCCATTGCCATCCGTGTTGGCCAGCGATGCCGTCCATCTTGCGAATCGCTGTAGCCAACAGACCGGAGAATGCACCACTGAGCGATGCACCTGTGAAGAAGAAAGCCTGTCGAAACTGCAGCTCGCTGGGTTTGTAGAAAAATGTCAGATATACCGCAATACCTGGCATGATACCAGCTTCCGCTGCGCCCAAAAATACACGATTGATGTAAAGCCCGGCCCGCGACGTCACGAGCCCCTGGAGCGTCTCAACCAGGCCCCATGCGATCACAAGCAACGGAATCCAAATCCTTGGCGTTACGCGCTTAATCATCAGATTCGAGGGGATTTCAAACGCCATGTATGGTGGGTACAAGACCGTCAAAGCCACGGCATAGTCGTGTGGGCTAAGACCCAATGATGTCATAATTCCTGGATTCTTGATGCTACCATCGGGTTGCTTTTCGCCGTCGATCACTGCTTGTGAGATGTTTGACTTATCCAAAAAGGAGAGCAAGTACAGTAGCAAGCAGATTGGCACGACCTGCAGGTCCATCTTGAGTCTTGCGCTTCGCTCGAGCTTTTTGTACTCTGCCGTGTCAAGCTGCTCACGAAGCGGCAGCTCGTCCCAATTCTTGGCAGCGTGCCAGCTTTCTTTGGTCGACTTCGTCTCGACACCCTTGGACTTGAAGTTCATCCTAGTCGAGTGTCGACAATAGTCCCGATGATCGAATTTTTTTTTCGTCCTCCCTTATATCTCTTCCCATGCCTTGCCTGCACTAGTCTCCCACACCCCGTCACCGATTTCGTTCATTTTCATTTTTATCTTGTAGTTTATATTTCTTGTCTATGTCGTGATTCATGCAACTTTATGCACAAGCGCTTGCATGTTCCTGCGCGCTCGACATTCACTTGCTTATCTAAGGAGCAACCAGCGCCAGCGCCAGACGGACTCCACTACCATCGTTGTTGATGCCGCCCGGCGAATCGCCGAGCGCGTTTTCATCCTCTTCAAGTGCGGCTGCCGCACCTGCAAAGCGTGAGCATTCGTCCGATGACGAACTTCATGATGCAGAGTACTGGTCAAGACAAGCAGCCAAGGTAGCGCGCGCTGCGCCTGTGCGACGCGACCTGTACCTTGATACTGTAAGTTTCGACGCATGTTGAACGCATGGCTGACGCAATCACTCTCTCTCTTGCCTTCATGCTCCTCAGATTCAGCGACATCGTCTTGACTTTGATTTCGAAAAAGTGTGCTCCGTCTCGCTCTCTCATTCAAACATATACGCATGCCTGGTATGTGGCAAGTACTTTCAGGGACGGGGGCCCAAGACTTATGCATACTTTCACTCGATTGATGAAGAGCACCATGTGTTTATTCACCTCGAGACTGCTCAAGTGTATGTGCTCCCTGACAACTATCTTGTCGAGGATGCATCACTTGCCGATATCCAATACCAATTGCGCCTGACCTTTTCCCCACAGCAAATCGCCCAATTTGATGCACCTGAGCCATGCAAATCACGGGACTTGCATGCCCAACCATATCTACCGGGTTTCTTGGGCCTTAATAACATTGGACGACATGATGCTATGAACGTAGTGATCCAGGCGTTGGCACATGTACCGCCATTGCGCAATTATTTTCTCCAGAGCGGCAATGGCGATGCATCTGCGTCCGCCTCCGATACGCTCCCGCAAAGTACAGAGCTTGTTCGCCGCTTTGCGACACTCATCCGGCGTCTTTGGAATCCACGTGCCTTCAAGAGCCAAGTGTCGCCCCATGAGTTTTTGCAAGAAGTGACTGAAGCTAGTCAAGGCCGATTCCGTCTCACAGAGCCGTGTGACCCGGTGGAATTCTTGGGCTGGCTTCTGAATCGCCTGCACATGGACTTGGTAGGAAGTGGCTCGAAAGCGCGCAAACAGCCATCGATCATCACTGAATGTTTTCGAGGAGCGTTGCGCCTCGAGTCACAAAAAGTCATTGTGCGTACGGGCTTGGAAGACGACGACGATCTTGTTGTCGATAAACTTGACCATGACGGCCGTCGTGCCGGCGGTCAGCAGGACGAGTTTGGACACGCCAAATTCAATATCGACAAGGCTATCAAAGTCGACCAAGTCCCCTTTTTGCTCCTGGCTATTGATCTTCCTCCACTCCCAGTGTTTCAGGACGTCGTTGCTGACAATATCATTCCTCAGGTGCCTATTGCACACCTACTAGCCAAGTACGATGGCACGACAATCCAAGAGTCACATGGCCTTATCCGACGGCACAAGATCACACGCTTGCCGCCATATCTCATCATTCATTTTCGTCGATTTACTCACAACCGATTTGTTGACGAGCGCAATACCACCATCGTGAATTTCCCGCCAGTGGGGCTGCAACTCCAGGACTACGTTGATGCACCGGAGCTAAACGAAAGCCCTAGGCTCGGCTCCGTGTACAATCTACTCGCAAATATCACACACGAGGCTACCGCCGGCACTGTGCGAGACCAAAGCGTATGGCGTGCCCAAGTCCACACGCGTGCACAAAGAGAGCAATGGTTCCAAATGCAGGACTTGATTGTCGAGCCTGTGAATCGACAGATGCTTTTCTTGGGCGAATCCTATGTGCAGATTTGGGAACGTGTGCATGCGGCTGAAGACATGGCCGACTCTTTCACCTCTTTGCCAGCTCCACAGCCACCTAAGCGGGAGCAGCGCGCAGCGGCATAGGCGCATGGCTTTCCCTCCGTCACGTTGGCTTGCTTTTAATCAACATGCAGTTCTGCGTCGACTTCCTCGAATGAGCGGAAGAATTCGACAAACAGACGGATCTTGTAGTCCACATCATACGAGCCACACATTTCGCGAATTGAATGCATACTGAGCTGCGGGTTGCCGATATCGACCGTGCGTACGTTCTGCGAATACGTTAGACACAGACTAAGGAGAGAGAGAGAGAGAGAGAGAGAGAGAGAGAGAGAGGGAGTGAAGTGGATGCTTCGTCCTCAATTATCCTCCGACACACGTACCTTAGATAACATAGGGCCAATCGTACTACCGCATGGACAGTCATTACGCACCTCAAACTCCTGTAAAGGGACTCCTGCCTTCTTTGCAATGCGGCGTAGGAGGAACGTTGTGACTGCTGTCGATGCATAACGTTGCTTTGCATTCGTCTTGATCACAGGGCCCCCGTTCAGTTTCGGACGCAGATGCTCTTCATGCACCGATGCATAGTTTGGATGCACGGCATGGGCTGTGTCTGAGCTAATAAGGAACGAGCGCGAAAGACTTTGTTCTGTCAGGTCTTGAGCCGAAGCCGTCGATTCTGGCGCTCCAATCACCCGAAGTCCCGCAAGGCGATGTAACATGCTCCAGAGCAAATTGCTTTCAGCGCCTTGATAGGAGACGGACCCTACTTCCTCGTTATCGAACAAAGCAATGGCACGAATGCTAGTTGCACGATCGAGTGCATCCAGATCCAATACAGATGCAATGAGTGCCTCAGTCGCACAGAAACAGCTCATTTGATTGTCGACACGCGGTGTAAACAAGAACTCATTCGATACACCGCCCGCCGTTGGTGCATTGGTGTCGAAGAGTGAAAGCTCAAAGTCTTGGATAAACTCCACAGGCACTTCGAGCTCCTGTGCAAGAAGTTCCAGTAAGACAGGGTGATGTTTGCTGGCCATCGTGGGCTTGCCCACAGCATCGGCGTCAGGCGTCGACCTAGGCTGATTTAACATATCTGCGAGCCCCATAATTGGCTGAAGTTGGTCTTCCTGGTTGAACTTGAACGCTTCATTGGCAGAGCGGTTCAGATGGATAGCCAGCGTAGGTACACGCAATAAGGGACGTCGAATATGAACAAGACGCGAGACGAATCGACTCTGTTCCTTGTCACTTGTCACAATCACACGGCCAGCCAGACTCAGGTCGCGATCGAACCATGTGTGCCAAATTCCACCACCATATGTCTCGACAGAACACTGCAAGTACCCCTCTTTTGTACGCCTCGACACGGGTCGAATGCGCAAATTTGGCGAGTCCGTATGCGCGCCGACAATATGCACACCTTGACCAGCCTCATATTTTTTACCTATCACAAAGGCAAGTAGCGATGACTGGTTGCGCTGGACATAGTACCTACCCCCGACGTATAATTTTTCGTTCCATGTCTGGTGTTCATGAAGTTTTCGGAAGCCAGCGTTTTCCAGCATTGCGACACATGCAGCTGTAGCGTGGAATGGCGTGGGACTTGCTTCCACAAACTGGAGGAAGCGCCTTGCAGCTGCAGGCACCGCTGGTCCTTTGCTCAGTGACAGCGTTGACTGTTCAGCGTTCGTATATGATTGGAGGAGAGTGTACGTACCATAATCACTATACGTAAGAAAAACTAGGTGCGTACGAGGACGGTATCCGAATGGGAGTATGTTGCTTCGTAGAGCCGGACAGGCGCCACGAGCCAAGTCTCGTGTGGAGGATCAGAGACTGAAAGGGTCTTGATTGTCTTCACTGTACCTGGGATGGGATTGTTTATTCACTCAAAGAGAAACTATGTGGTTGCTTCCGCGCCATTGTCAGGGGAAGGCGGCGGCCGTACATTCAATGACTGTGGTGACAAATGCGAGGGAGATTCGGTCTGGACAGTTGCATGCGAGGCTGCATGTAATGGAAGACGCACAGCATCGGATGTGCGAAGGGCGTCCGTTGGGGGCGACAGTAACGTAGTAGATGGTAAGTCCGTTGATGCAAGTGGTTTTCTGTTCGTAAAGATAGATGGTGGCATGCTTGGTCGCGGTGGGGTCGTTGACGTCGGACTCGTCGCATCGGTATTCTGAATGGAAGTCGCGGTAGGCATGGAAACAGACGATGTGGCGGACGTAGCGTTGGGCGGCGGGTTTGGTGTTGCGCTGGGTATCGTGCATGACGAGGTCGCCTCTGTTTTTGCCGGCAAGTCGATTGATGGCGTAGGAATGGAAGATGGTGGCGTTGGCAATGGGTCCAACTTCGACCTGTCGAGTGGCACATAGGATGAGGCTGGAGTCGGTACAGACGGGGGCGTTTGCTTCACGTGGCGAATTGGCATCACATCATTTAATATTGGAGGCGGCGGTACATCAGGGACAACTAAGCGGCCTGCTTTCCACTTCGCACCACATGCATTGCACAGCTGCGATGGTCCTTTGGGCCCCCGACGCCACATCGGTGTCTTGGTTTTGCCACATGCTCCACAACTCTTGATGCTCCCATCAGGATTGTGCGTAGCGACATGACGTTTGCGTTTTGGCTTGACAGGTATAGAGCCATCCTCCGACACTATTGGTGCTCGCATAGCGATACTAGCGGTATTAGCACGAGGTGTGTCTTTGGTTTCTGAAAGCATAGCCACCTTCCGCTTCGGCTGTGGTCGGCTTGTATTCACAAGCATGCGCATCATGTACCGGTCACTTACGTGATCAACCAGGCCCACTGGGATATCTTCCTGGAGCAGGTGAGTGGGGAGTGTGTACTCAGGAGGCCTTGATGCCATGCGAGAGCGCAAGGATCCCTTGAGTAGATTCCAGACTCGCTCATCGTATGATGAGGTCCAATGCCCATCAGTGAGGCAACCAGGAACACGACCAAGACATTCCCACAATCTCTGATCCAGCGGTGCTTGAGATGTGATGTTCCAAGTCACAGGATACAACTCATGGTTTCGCGTCGGAACAGGTCGAGGTCTGGAAACACGCGTGCTAGGATCTGGAAGTGCGTCATGAATATTGCGGTCATTTCGAGCACGACTGGACGAACGCCTGGCACGTCTAGCGTTGGATCCCGAGGGGGCTGCTTTGGGTATCGAAGGGTTCGTGACAGGTTGTTCAGATGCCTCGGATTTCTGCATGGAATCTGACGACGCGCTTGTGCAGGCCGGCGTGCTAGACATCTCATCTGTCTGCGTCGCAGTCTGGTCAGAACGTGTCGCCTGATGGGACTTTTTGAAGTCCAGATCCTGCACAAGCATCCCATGCACAGCCTCAGACGCCTCATTCTTGCCGCTTTCGCCAGCAGCCTTCGAGCCAATAGCAGGAATGAGAAAACTCAATAGGATTCGACGCGCGCCTTGATGAGTGGTGCGCCGCTCGATCGCCATGTGCCAGAGGGGGAGAACGAAATGCAAGCTTGGGTTCTCGGGAAACTCGACAAGAACAATGGGTGGCGGCGCATGCTCGTCGTTGTGACAGGGGGCTGGTGACGAACGTCTTGGTGCAGCGCGGACTGCTGAGGCGGGCGACGTCGTTGGTATTGCGTGCGTAGAAGGGGTGGATGCCTCAGGCGCCACAGATGGTGCCGGTCGCGATGGCGACGTTGTCGTAGCCGATGGGGCTGGAACCATGAGTGATCCCAAGATTGCATTGAGCTGCGCAAGTCCATTCGGAGCGAGTTGACCCGCTCGTGCGAGCTGGAGCAGCTGCTGCAAGTGCGAATCTTTTTCAGCCCGCTGCTGGAGCCGTGCGACAAAGCCAGGATCGAGAGGCGTCGGCACACGATGTGGTGACGGCGTCTGTGATGGCGCAAGTGGCGCTATCTGTGCCTCGGCAGCGGTCGTTCGTTCTGAACTTGATGTGCTTGCAGTAGGTGTGGAGCCAAAGACGCCCGACGTTGGCGTGCTGTGGGAGTTGGGCGATGGTGGTGGTGGCAGCTGGTTGTGCTGTGTGACCGTGGCTGGGGAACTTGATACGGTGAGCGCTGTGCCGTGCTGAGCAGCATGGTGCTGAAAGGGCTGATGTAGCGGGTCACTCACTTTGGCCATGGCGGTTTTTGGCACAGGGCGGGCTTGCCAGAATCGCACACCATAGTATACAACAGGGCCTACGTGCACATCTGCCCGACCCAAAGAAATGAGTGTATGGGATGAGCCATCCTCCAAGCCTGGTAAGAGTTCAGGCGGTACGGAATGATAGTAGTCGGTACCAGCACGATGCCTGTGACTGAAAGGAGGCAAGACTTGAAGCATGTGCATCATGCGCGTTTGCCGGAGCGACTGTAAGAACACCATACTTTTCTCAAGTGGCTCCGGTGTATCGCTGTCTGGGAGAGCCACGGCACCTGCGGATTCGCTGTGAGCACCATGGACAGTGGAAGGTAAGGGTCTCGTAGGCAAGGTAAATGGGAGCACGAGCTCGGGAATCACTTTTCGTCCGCCGCCGCCAGCTGGGAGAAATCCAGGAGCAGGTGGATCCTGCGTTAGCGTACCGATATTGCCACCTTTCAGGTCGGCTAGAGTCGTCTGTTTTGCACGCGCCGCACTGGACGATGGTTTGGACACTCTTTTTGGCGCTCGCGCGGCGGCCTGTGTGGTGGCGGGCGGAGGGGATACGGTTGTGCTGGGAACAGGATCAGGTCCACGACCAAGGCCGTCACTAGGGGTCGAGAGAGCCCTGGCATCAGAGGCGAGAGCCTTCTCAGATGCCTTGTTGTTACAAGGAGCCTGTTCTGAAGCTGATGGAGGAGCAGGAGTCGGTGCAGACACACGATTCGACGCAGGGGCATCACCAGCAGGATTGCCTTCCGACGTGGATATGGTGTTGGCAGCCGACGGTGCATCTGGACCCACGTCCGTTGAGCCAGGTGCACCGGCCGGCAAAGATGCCTGCATGATCAGTGAGTCAATCAGTCAGTCAGCCCGTCGATCGGTTTGTCAGCCCCTAAGCGAATGAACAACGGAGTAAGGAAACAAGCGTCGTGGAACGCGCGTATTCGCGACTCGATCGGGTGCCCGATTCCATCTCGCTCGTCCCCATGAGCCTTACGTCAGTCGTCCATGCACCATGTGTCGACAGGGCTGCGTGTGCAGATGAGACGTCTGTGCGCACCGTGCGTCCGAGCTGATGCTTCGAGGACCGTCTATACGCATGCGGGACTGCGCATGGTCGCGTCGTCTGATCGCAGTGCGGCTTTGGACTGGTCAAAGGCGGCTTCGCTAGCGATGAATCGGACACTCCGTCAGTGTGACCATGCAGCGCGCGTCGATCTCGTGCACCTTGTGCGGTGCGTACGTGCGAGTGATGCTCGTGCTGCTGACATAGCTCAACTGTGCCGCTCACACATCCTGCAAGGCACGTTACCCCCGCCAGCAGCGCGGCCTGAACTGTATTCACTAGCGCTTTGCGTTGCAGCGCACGAGTCTGACTCAGTCTTTCATGCCTGGCAGCAGATGCGCGCATTATACCCAGCTTGGATACCCCATCGCGACGATGCCTCGTGGGCTTTGCAGTCAGTGCTTGCCGCAAGGCAGTGCGATGACGCATGGCTCCTTTGGAATGACGTTCGGGCACTTGATGTGCTTCCACGAGCAGGCGCCATCAATGCGCTCCTCGCGAGTCTACACACACAGCCTGAGGCGACGCAGCTGTTGGTTGAACTGGGCGTGAGGCAGCTTGATGTCGTTGGCCTCAGCACGTTTGTGCATGCCCATGTCAAAGAATGTATGCTGTCCCGGCTAACAATTGATGCTGTCGTGCATGAAGCTGCAGACGAGCTGCAGAAACGCTTGGCTAGTTCTCACGATGCAATTGCATGGCATACTATACTTCTCTACGAAGGACATGTGAATGGACCAGATGCAGCCCTGGCACGGGCGGAAGCCGCCTTGACACGCCAGGCCTTTCTTCCCGACGCCTATACGGTATCGACGCTTTTCCAGTGTTATGACCCCACGCACCTCACTACATGTGACGAAGCGCTTGGCGTCTTGCAACGCATTCACGCCACCGTGGGTGTACAGCCTACTGCTCATGCACTAAGCATGGCGATTCACGCGGTGCTGGGCCATGGCCATCACCATAGTCTTGGCTCAGTCACGTCGGATCCACAGCAAGTGTCCGAAGCCAGCGCGCTTTACAAGGAGGCGCGATCCCTCTGGTCGATGGAGCCAGATCCCGCCCTGCTGCAGCCACTGATCGAGGCACATTGCGCAGCCTTTGTCCCTGCGCTTGATCAGGCCTGCTTGCTGTTGCAGGAGTATTTGAGCGAAGACACCGATTCTTGGATGTCGACGTCGCGCACATCGCTCCTGGCTCGGTTCCGTCTGCGGAAGCCACGGCAGCGTCAGGTTGATTTGGGTCTCTTTTATCCACTGATCATCGCATGTGCACGTTTGCAGGACGTGCCGCGTGCTTTGGACGTGCTAGCGCAGCTCGCTCAGCGGCGCGTGCGTGTGCCGCCACATGCGACGATCACAATGACGAAGCGCCTCCTGAGTGCTTGCTCGACATACGACGATGCGTGGCTCGTGTATCACCGAGCCCATGCACTAGGTGGCTGGACACACGACACGTACGCGAGACTCGTGGCGTTCTTGTGCCGACTCGTACTCGACGGCGAGTCAGCGCCACCTGAGTTGCCGCTCCAAGTGCTTGCAGACATGCGAAGCGCTGGCTTTCATCCCAGCCCATCCACATATACCATACTCCTGGACTTTTATGCAAAGACACATGCCACGCTTGCAGGCGTGCGTGCTACACACGAGCTGATCCAGCGAGACATGCACCTGGAGCCAGACCTCGTGCTGATCCATGCGCTCATGAACGCATACAACTATGCGGGTGCGCCAGCTCAAGTGCTGGGTATTTGGGACAGCCTAATGGTGCTGTGCCACAATGCTGGTGCGCCGCGCTTCCTGGACGATGTCACTGTCACGATTGTGTGCGACACATGTGGCCGAGCTGGCCTGCTGGGCGTGATGCGCGAGATCCTCGCGACTGTGCGCCGCCAGTATGCGCACCTGATGACAAAGACTGTGTACGATGCTTGGACCGAGTGTCTTGCGCGATGTGGCCACCTGACAGAGGCCGTGGATGTGGTGGTGCAAGACATGTGCGCTCACACACCCATATACCCCGACAAAAGACGGTGCAGACGCTGCTGAAGTTTGCACGCAATGACGATGCGCATGGCGCCGAAGCCGTCCAGCGTCTCGAGGCGGCTGTGCCGGAGCTCGTTACGCAAGCCAGTCTGGCTTAGCACACTTACGCGGTTCGACATGGCCTGTCACGGGATCTGCCATCTCGCGCCACGACATTGGCTGCAGCACATGCTTTGCCGCTGTCCATCCATACTGCGAGGGTCCTCGCGTTGTCGCATGTACGACGCCCAACTCGTTTTGTGCCGTCGATAGGTAATAGGAACGGGCATCCCCCAATGAAATCACCGTCGCACGCACAATGTCGCCTGGTCGGAAACACTCTGCCAAGACGACGGCGTCTTTTTCTGTGCTGCGTACATCTTGTGCACGGATAATGCCTTGAAAGTCGCTACCATCGATCCCTTCACCGGCCGCCTTGTTGTTCGAAGCGCCGACTCTCGTGGCCTGTGCACCACCACACGGCAGGCCATCAACCACGAGGATCGATACTGTCGCCTGGCGCGGATTCACCCGCGTCACACGACCCAGCACCGTACTGCCTGCCTTGGGCAGCGCGAGCGGGGGCTGTGTACCAACAACCTTTACGATTGTCTGCGTGCCAAGCTTTGTCTCAGTTCCATGGCCAATGCGGTCCGAGACTACGTATCCCTCACGGCCATAGGCGCCATCTCCCAAGACAAACTCGCCCTTTGGCAATGGTGGAAATGGCTGTCCAGGAAGAAGCAGTGGTTGCTGATCGTCCATCTCTAGGAGGGGGGGCGTGCGGAAAACGAAGTAGAAAAAAAAAAAGATAACGAAAATGGAAAAGTCAGTTGGTTCGTGAGCTGAGCTTGAATTGAGAGTGGTGTATGACACACCAACGACTGCTGACTGGTGGCCACTAAGTGCGCGCCTCTTTTACATCTTTCTCCACCTCTGGCGAGGTTGATGGACGAGGGGGAAGGGGGGGGGGAGGGCACTAGCCACGTGGTCAATTTTGTTTTTCTCGTTGGCTTGGCCTTTCCTCATGCACGCTACTTTTTTCTGCTGCAAGACTCGTCACACAAATTATCGATGCAGAATGGCGCCCAAATCCATCTGGCGTCAGCCGAACGCGGTGCACTTTCAGGTCGTGCATCGATCGCAGCGTGATGTGATGCGCAATGATCCAGATGTGGGTCAGCACGTACTTAAACCCTATGAACCATTGAATCGGAGCAAGGTATGCATACGTCGATGGCGAGTGACGCGTCACATGCCATGGGAATCTGCGCTAACCACTGTAGGGAAAATCACGAGCAGAACTAGCCCAAGAAGACCCTGCACTTGAGCTTGATGCAAGTGGAAAGCCGCTGCGAAAAAATATCGGCGAGGCGGCCCTCTACGGTGTATACTACGATGACACAGAATACGATTATATGCAGCATCTTCGTGCCATTCATGACACGGAAAACAGCAAGCGTGGCGGAGTAGACGAAGAAGATGACACCGAAGCGGTATGGATCCCTTCAGCTGTACAACCCAAAGACCGAGCACCTGGCTTTTCTCTCAAGGAGGACGATGCCGGCAAGACCAGCGCGTCGTCGAGCAAGCCAACCATCGCGAATCAACACAATCTGCTCCTGCCATCATCCGTATTTGCAGCGGACGAGATCTCGCTTGCGCAGGCGTATGAAGAACCTGCACCGCAAGGACTCCAGCCTGATATGGACCCGCACTTGCGACAAACGCTGGAAGCACTGGACGACGATGCCTTTGTTGACGACAAGCTCGAAGACGATTTTTTCACGGATCTTGTGCAGGACGGAGTTTGGTCTGGAGAGCGAACGGCCGGTGATGAATGGCGTGATCAAGCGCCGGAAGGTGATGATATATGGCTGGACCCACTGGAGCGAGCAAAGAAAGAACGAGACGCTGTGGGCGGCGACGAGTCGGCCTTGAGTCTGGAAGCACGTGTGGCGTTGTTCAAGGAGCAACAGAAAAAGCTAGCAGCTTCCCAAGGCGATAGTGACGACGCTCACGAAGACGAAGATGCAGCTGCTGATGAGGAGGATCGCGATACGCTGGGTGAATTAGGCCCTTCTGCGGCAGCAAGACGCTCTGGCCGTCGAACAGGATCGGTGTCTTCGACAGGCTCGGCACTGGGAAAAAAGGGCAAGCCTGGTGTGCTGGCACGGCGTGCAGCGTCGATGCGTGAAGGAAGTGTTGGTGGTGCATCGACCGCATGGACTATGACGTCGTCCTCCATGTTCCGGAATGAAGGACTCACCGATTTGGACTCGCAGTTTGATCAAGTCATTCGCAGTTACGGTGGGCGAGCGACAGGGGACCCTGCGCTGGATGCACTGACCGGCGCGTTTACGGATGTACACGACGGTGAGGCTGACATGGACGATCCAGAGGCGGACGAACTTGACCATGAGACAGCTGAGAAACTCACGCGGCAAGATCTCGACCACATTCTCGACGATTTTCTAGATCATCAGGAAGTCATTGGAGGCAAGCTTCGACCGACACTGGGCGACCGAACAACGACAGCGGATGAGAAGCTCGAGCTGGTACGCAAAGCTTTGGGGCATGCACATATTCGCGAGGGCGTCGATGATGAGAACGAGGACGAAGAGGATTCACATGCTGCGCAGTCTGCCCAGGAAAATCCGTTCCTCAACCCCGATATCATTGGTCGTGATCGAGAGCAGTGGGACGTCGAAACGATCCAAACAACCAAGACGAATCTGGAAAACCATCCCCGGACGATCCGTGCATCAGACAGTGTTCGTGGCAGTGTGACCGACCGATCAGCTGCGCCGCGAACCGTGTCGATGTCCAGCGCTATCGGTGGCCACGACGACCGCCGGATTCCCAAAATCCGCCTCCACCCACGAACAGGTATGCCGCAAGTCGTCGGCTACACATCAGCACGCAAGCCACCCAAGTGTGAGCGCAACGAAGCACTTGGATCTGCGCGTGCATCATCGCCCGACAGTGACAGCAATGGTGATGGTGATGGTGATGGTGATGATGATGATGATGATGATGATGATGACGAAAGCGAGAGCGCTGACAATGACGTTGGTACAAAGCCTCTACATGCAGGAGCCTCGCAGCCTCGGGGCCAGATCCACAGGCGGGACCGCAACGAAAGTGCGGAGGAACGCCGGCAGCGCAAGAAAGCCGTCAAGCAGGAAAAGCAGCAGCGCAAACAAGCCAAGTCTGCTGCGAAAAAGGCATTTGCCGCCGAGCGGAAGCGCCAGACTCACGCGACGAATCGCCAGGCAGAGTCACGCGGCGGCGTCGCCGGGATGCATCTAGCATGATGATCATCCAATTGCCCGCCCGATCTCGCCCGATCCATCCAAACCCCCCCCCCTGCCTCTCTTAACGCGTGCGCTCTCAATTGGGCGGCTGATTTATAGGTGAAAAAAAAAAATAAGACGATCGCGCATTGCAGCTTCTTATTTGCTAGAGTTCCTGCGTCGCCTCCAACGCCGACGAGCATCGAGAAAATTACCCTACTGCATTTGGATGCGTGTGTATCTGTATGTTTATTCTGGACCTCTCCACCGCCCTGGATAGAGAAAGTGTGTGAGAGCCGCGCACCTGTCCCTAATACCTACCTTCTGTGTCTGACATGGATCGTGATCCGCCGCGCGACAGGTATTACTCAGAAGGATGGACGGATGACGATCATCATACTCGCGAACATGCGCAGCGTGTGAAGCGGCGCATTCGACGAGCTCGCCAGTCTCACACACCGCCGGATTCTCATGCAGGTTATCATGTGGCGTCGTCGCATGGACCTGTTGAGTTTACAGATCCATACGCGGAAGACGACGACAAAGATGATATTGGTTCCGAATCCACTTCCATGAATCACACCACTCGAAGAACCCATGCGCCTGCCGCGCAAAGCCACCATTCTCACTCACACCATAGCCATTCCGCCCATGCGCCAAAAAGGCACACTCACAGTCGAGATACGCGTTTATCTTCGGGGACATTACACAGAGATGCTGCTCCTGAGGAGAAGGATCAGATCATGATGTCGCGGCGTGCGCGACGGACTGCGCCAGCTCAAACTGCTCATGGATCGACACCACGACGATCGCGACGATCAGAGTTTTACGACAGCACAGATGTTCCGACGCCGCGGCATGCGCGCGCCTCTGAGCTAGGTGGCGAGCATGGCATGACGCCTAAGACAAGGCGCTCACGGCGGCCTGTGCTAGACGACGACGACGACGCCGGTGACCCCGTCCGCCGGCGTTCACGTCGGGCTGACCTAGGCGGTGATACCGATGCTCCTCTGCGACCACGGCGTTCACGGCGATCTGATGCATCCAGAAATGCTGCGGCCGTCGCACCACATGCACACCGGCACCAGTCACGACCAAGTCATGGGCCGAGGCGCAAAAGTATGCCACGGCAAGAGCCCACGAACCGTGCCTTTGTGTCGTCCAGCCGCACAGCCAACTTGCTTGAGGGGAGTGGCAGATCAGCGATGGATGCACGCTCGATTGAAACATCTGGCAGTACCGTCTTTCACGACACGATTGAGAACCACGATGTGATGATGGCTGCCCGTGAGCCACCCCGGACGAACAAGACGCGGCATCTCGCTGTACCGCCGCGCAACCAAGTCAATACGATGAAAGAAGGCCGTGTATTTGCGATGAATGGCATCGACAACCTCACACTTCTCATGGAGGACGATACGTACCAGCCGGCGTGCTTTTCCATATACCTGTTCAAGACACGCCTGGACTACAAGACGGTGCGAGCCTTCTTCGAGGTGCTAGTGCAACTATATCCAAAGTACCGATACGTCGTGGACTTTGAGCCGTACTCGGCGCATCGGCGCGACAAGCGGCGGCGGAAGCAGACGGCCGAAGACGCTGAGCGCGTGCATCGCGAGCGGAACGAGGCGATGAAGCGGGGGAATCTGCCGCCGAACCGAGGGCCGCGCATGATGTACTCCAAGACGCTGCGGGCCGGCTCATGGCTCCGCCCAGCGCAGTGGCGCATTGACGAGGACTTCCACGTGTCAGAGAACATCGAAGTGATCTCGTGTGAAGGGCACGGCACCGACGAGCAGCTGTTCAAGGTCGCGGGACGCTTTCTTGCTCGGCACTTCGACTACAACAAGCCCGTGTGGGAGGCACTTCTCGTGCAAGGTCTCGATACAGCCGACGGTGGGAAAAGCGCGCTCATGATCAAAATCCACCACTGCTTTTCCGATGGCCAAGGTATGATCCAGTCATACCATGCCGCACTTACTGCGATGTCCAAAGGCATGGGCATCAAGGAAGTGCAGCAGTGGGTCGACACTTCGAAGCAAAAGAAAAAGAGCCAACGTAAGGCGCTCAAGCCCTCCGTCTTTGGCACCATCTCGCACACGTGCTACACGATTCGCGAACTGTACATGCGCCGGCGCAGGTCGTTCGTATACCGCAACATGAAGATGAAGCGTACGCCGCAGCGGCTGTACTTCCACTCGGACGGCATATCGATGGACGCAATCAAACGCATCCGCGAGGCGTACTCAACAGAAACCATGAACCTCACCCTCAACGACGTTGCTATTGCGATCCTCGCTCGGGCTATGGCGCAGGCGTCACGCCGGCTGAGTCCGATCGGCACGTCAAGCGATAACCGTGCTGCTATTTTTATTCCCATCTCGGTGCGGCCCCAGGGCAACTGGGACCTGCACAACTTTACGACTGGCGCGATGATTTGGCTCAAGTACCCAAACCTGGACGAGACGCCCGTTGAAAACATGCTGGCAGATGTGCACAAGGAAATGATGCGCCTCAAAAAGTCACACCTTCCCAAAATCTGGTACAAGCTGTTCCTGTACTGGTGCAGGCACCGTGTGGGCTTCCTACCAAACTACCCCGTCACTCGGCAGTTGTTCTATCGTGCGTTCAGCGAGTACCATGTCGCTACGAACGTGCCCGGCCCTACAGAGCCTGTCAAGTTCGGCCGGCATGAGGCTTACAGCTACCATGTGCTGCCACCCAGCTCGCCCGGCAAGGCAACGATGGCTATCGGAATGATTAGCTATGCGAAAGACTTTTCCCTCGCTGTGTCATGTGACGATGTGCCCGAGTTCCGCGACGTGCCTCACGTCCTGTGTAAGGCGTTCGAGGAAGCGGCCAAGGTGCTGATCCAAGCGGCCGATCACCGTCTCGCTAATAGAAAAGAAAGCACATCCTAATCTAGCTCGTCTGTATGTAGTAGTGAATCACCACACACGCACCCACACATACGTGCGGTGCGGCACTGTACAGCACGGCATTCCGTAGCTCAGCATAGCCTGGCACAGCACAGCACAGCACGGCGCAGACCCACAGTCCTATGTGGAAGAATGCCTCACAGCATAAACGAGAGTGGGTTCTCGAGCGCTGCCTTGAATGCCTGCATCCACTGGGCGGCCAACGCACCATCGACAACGCGGTGGTCCGCCGAGATCGTCGCCTTCATCACCTGCACGGTCCTGAAGCCCTTGTCCGTCGACTCGTCCGGCACAAGGCGTGCCTCTGTCGCGCCGATCGCCAAGATACAGCTCTGCGGCGGGTTGATGATCGCCGTGAAGTGGGACGTGCCCATCATGCCCATGTTCGAAATCGTGAACGTGCCGCCCTGGTATTCTTCCGGCTTCAGCTTGCCGTCGCGCGCCTTCTTGGCGAGCTCCTTGCTCTGCTTGCCAATCTCGGTAAGACCAATCGCGCCGCAGTTCCGAATGATCGGCGTAATGAGGCCGTTCGGCGTAGCGACGGCCATACTAATGTCCTGTGTGTGGTACTCACGAATATACTCGCCGTGCCACGCCGAGTTAGCCGCCGGCACTTGCTTCAGAGCCAACGCCGCAGCCTTGACGATAAAGTCATTCACCGACAGCTTCGCCTGCTTCGCCTTGGCCTCGTCGCCACGCGCTGCCTCTGCCGACGCACGGGTGAACACTTCGCGCAACTGCAGAACACGGGCCATCTCAATATCAAACGTGACATAGTAGTGCGGCACCGTCGACTTGCTCTCGGTCAGGCGCTTGGCAATGGTACGACGCATGTTCGACAGGGGCTGATCCGTGTACGCTGGCGCACTGCCACCTGCAGCGGCGGTGGACGCCGTGGCGGCGGCGGCGGCGGCTCCCGAGCCTGAGGCAAACTTCTCCACGTCCTCCTTCACAATGCGGCCATTGGGTCCCGAGCCCTTCACCTGCAACAGAGGAATACCCCGTTCAAGAGCAATGCGCTTCGCGATAGGACTCGCACTCAAATGGTCCATCGATGCGAGCTTCGAAGCTGTGCCGCTGTCGTCACTCTCGCGGGGCTTGGGCGCTGCCGGCTTGTCCTCCTCCTCGCTCTTGGCCTCTTTCTGCTTCGACTCTTCCTCCTTCGCACTCTCCTCTTGTTTAGCCGCCTTTTCTGCTTCGCCGGCCGATGCCGAGGCCGATTCACTCTCTGCCTCCTTTGCAAGCGCATCTGCACCCGACAAGTCATCGCCTTCTTCACCAATAATAGCGATGGTCGAGTTCACTGGCACATTCTTCGAGCCTGCGTCGGCCTAAACACAACCGAGTTAGCTCTGATATTCACAGTGCCCGAGCTCAAGGCCTTCTAGAGCCTCTCCCATGCTCTGTCTCGTCACAAACGTACAATAATTTTGGCCAGCACACCGTCGTCCTGTGCTTCCACTTCCATCGTCGCCTTGTCTGTTTCCTACACACGAGCACCCAAGTCAGCATCACGCCATACCTTTCAACCTGTTTCCTACTTACGATTTCGAGCAACACATCACCGCCGTTGAACGACTCGCCCTCCTTTTTCCGCCACGCAGCAATGCCACCATCTTGCATAGTTGGACTCATCGCAGGCATCGTAAACTTGCTCAACTCACGCGCAGCCGTGCTTGTGTGCAGGTAGGCTGCACTCGTGCGCATGAGCGAGCCCGCTCGAAGCATCTGCTGTCGCACAATTGCATACATTGTCAACAACAACCGTCACGTATAGGCTAAGCGGTAGGAACGTACAACCCGTGCGGCTTGTGCTTTTCCCACTTACCCTTCGCTGCGTCTGCCCTAAAGCCCGAGGTCAATAAATCGAGGATTTATGTACATTTTGCCACGCACCACGCTCTCCACAAACCAACGCCACACGCCAGTCCATACATTCAGACTGTGCTGCGTGAACAAACCACCATTTCTCACGCGCTGATTCAGCGACGCTCGAGCGTGTCGGGGGCCGCACCATCGTCCCCATGCACCTTGACGTACAGCCGCTCCTTCATGATACTTGCGCAGTACTCCAAGCTGAGTTGGGCAACATTCCTCTCAGTGAAGAATGGGTCGCCGAGTGCATTGCACACTTGTGCGCTCGCGACGCGTCGTTATTATCACACACTTCTCTACTGCACCATAGTGTCCGTGCGCAGCTCATGGCATCAGACTTGGTACAGTCAATGGATCATGCTTCTCTTACGTGCATAGACAAGTCTCTCCATGCATTCGTGCAGATCGTAGGCGTGATGGATGTTGGGGTGCCTGCTCAAGCACTACATGATGTCTGGGTGGCTAGGCAATCAGAGCCCACAACACCCTATCCTCGTGGGATGCTTCGTCTTGAACTGAGCGACGGTTATATCTCGACGCCTATTGTTGCGTACGAGTACGAGCGGATTCCCTCCCTTTCGCTAGATACATGCCTCGGCACGAAGCTCCTCCTCCTTCATCCTATGTACGAACAAGACGCTCTATTGCTCACGCCATCCACAGTCCGCGTCCTAGGTGGCACAGTGCCTGAGATGGATTCCCTGGCTGAGCTTGCGCAGCGCATCGGCTCGGCATTGGGAAAGATACTGCCACGCGGCGGCGTCGAGCAGCAGCGCCAACAGTTGCTGAAGTCATACCCATCACAACCATCAACATTATCATCACAGCTGGAGAAACAACGGCACCAGCCCCTTGCGGGGCATCAACCTGAGCATACGCCAGTCAGCAAGCCTCAATCTTTTGATCTGCTTCAACCTCCTCTGCCTGAACCAACTGACACGGCTTCAAATAAACACGTATCAGGCGACCAAGGCATCGATGATGATAATGACGACGATGACGACGATGTTTGGCTCATGGATGCTGAGCAAGTCATGCAGCAAGTCGAGCATGCAAACCAACCGCAACCGCAACTTGCCACGTCCTCTTCAACGACTCAAAGATCCCTGTCCTGCCAGGCTCATCAAACTTCATCACTACTACAAAGACTCGAGTCAAGCCAACTAGCATCCACGACACCCAGTTCATCCCTCCCGTCATCGTCGCCACCATCTATGTCTTTGCCGTACCATACGCATATACCTTCGACTTCAAACCCTCCGACACTCATAATCCCCAAGCGCGGCACCCCTACTACTTCCTCCCAGCCTACATCGATTGATCTCGTTTCATCGGACGCTGAAGACACTCCCGTTACTGCATCAACGCCTGCGACGGCCTCAAGTGTTGCACCCCAAACCTATATCACCATCTCGTCTGACTCAGAGCCGTGAGTCAAAATGGGTCTGTCGGCCGACAGATTTCGAGTCAATCCGCCGGCGATGTCATACAGCTCGCGGTTAGTTGGATTTTTTTTTTCGCGTTTGTCACAGGTTGGCATTTGGCCTTCCTTCCTCATTCGTTAGAAGATACGCTGAACTGAATCCTGTTCACAATCAAGTCCTGCCACTCCCCTACTCATTTTGTTGACATTCAACTTGACTGACAATGCCTAGTCTAAAGCGCGGAGATAAGTTGCGCAATGCTGCTACACAAGAGGCGTTGCGCTCCAACATGAGGTATCGACACGGCGCCATTATCACTAAGGGTGGTAAAATTCTAGGCCAAGGGACACAATCATGTGCGTACTGGATTTAGTGGGCCTCTCAATGCACATGCCGCCGTTGAATTGCCAGTGGATAACGACACGGCTGCCGACCACGAGGACGAGCAGGCTTGGCCGAATCACCCTTGCTGCCACGCAGGCTCTCAACCGCAATCATACTTTAGTATGCATGCTGAAATGCACGCCATCACAACAGCGCTTCGCGGTGCAAAGCCCCATATCCCTCGAAGCAGCCTGGTTGTAGACCCCGTCGACATGGCATGTGCGAAGCTAAAGGTTTTGTCGCTCGCGATGCAGGATGGCTCCCGCTTTGGCGACGCGTCCTCGATGTCCACCGGTAAGCGTGCCATGGATATCAAGAAGACCAAGTGTGACCGCGCACTGGTCGAGGGCGCAAAGCGGGAGCAACAGCGCGTCGCTTTTGCCCCCGAGTCTCAGTGGTGTCTTAAACCGCGCTATCAAGAACGAGCTGAAGAAAAACCGTCACTCACGCAACGCTGGACTCAATGGTGTGGGCCTTGGATGTGGGCCTTGGGCCGGTAATCAGGTACTGAAGCGCTGTCAACAGAAACTCCAGGCTCAGCGTGCGCAGCGCATTGAGCAACGGAAGCAGTTGAAGCGCGAGCGGAAAGCTCGTGGACTTAAGAATGCAAGTTCGGGTGGTAGTGCTTCAAGTGAAACAGCCGGGTCAGACGGCGCCGATAGTGTTGCGAGCGAACTTTCGACTGCGTCGTCATCGTCTTCACATCCTTCTACACCACCCAGTGAAGCAGACAACGGTGCAGTGGGTTTGACATTAACTGAAACGTCAAAGGTGAACGTAAACGCGAAAACAAAGGCTTCTGCAACATGTCCTCAGACTACAGCCGTTGCGTATCGAAAGGTGGTTGCAAGACGCTCTCAGCCGATAATGACTGACTCACGCGTTCGTGGTGCAGACTTGTACGTGGTGCGGCTTTTGCAAGACACTGAGTCGAAGGCCAAGGCGAAGGAGCAACGGCGTCGGCAGCATGGATTCACATCGTCTCGAATTCCGATTCCAACCGTCGAGCCCCGGTACGCCGATAGCCGTCCTTGCTGGCGCTGTCTCGAGTGGATGTACTGGGCTGGCATCAAGCGCGTCTATTGGACGGATCCTGATGGCGATTGGTATGGCGATAAGGTCGCACACCTCCTTTTCGGTTCAACTTCACATGACTCTTCCTCAGCTACGACAGTCTATGTGCCGGTGCATTTAACTCAGTATGAACATGCCGCTGCGATGCTGCGCATCAAGGCGGGGTCTTCTTCAACATCGAACGTCGCTTGTGTATGATAACGATGACGTATAATTCATGTAAGATAAGTTTGTGTATCTGTATTGCTTCGGTTGTACTATGCGGCTTGATCTCTTCATAGTCTTTGTCCTGTGTGTGTGTGTGGGCAATGTATGCAGGTGTGCGGCCATGCGTGCCTCCTGTAAGGATTTATCTGATTTGCTGCCTCATATGCATGTACGTGCATGCCCGAGTGCCTTCATAGCGCCGAGACCTCGGCGCACCTGCAGAATATAGTCTGCAGCACACGCGCTACGCGTCATCGCCTTGCGTGTGGCGCGAATATCTCTCTCTTTCAATAGCCGGCACTGGACCTGTCAGCCTGTCGCGGTCACTTCAGAATTTTTTTTTCCTGATCTGGCAGCTCTGTCGACCCAGCGTCCCTACCCCTGATTTCTCGGCCGTCGTCACTCTCTCGCGCCGCGTCAAACTTTGTGCGCTCTTTCACGTCCCTGCCTACGCGGTTTCTCGAACCGAGGATCGGTTGCTCTTGGCGATGCTGGGGCGAATGCATGATGCATATCATCCCACCGTTCCAGACCAGACGACCCTGATCCGTGATCCACGACAGGGTGTTGACGTTTCTACGTACCAATCAGACGCTTTCCCAGATAGTGATGATGAAGGGGCGCGTTCAGAATCTCAGTCACTTCCTATGCAGCATCGTGCGCCCTCGCGTATGTACCCGGGGCGCTCGACTGTATCAGCAAGTTCGTCTTACTTCGTAACGGTGATCCCACCACCAGATTTGCCTGTCGAGGCACTTCCTCGCAATACCTCAGTTCGCTCCTTGGCACGTCGCGGTACTTTGTTGCCCCTATATCCACTTTAGGTGGTCAGCTGTACGCCATTGCACGGGAATACGGTCTTCCTAGTGTTGGTGGCATATCGCTTTATCTTGTTGATGATGGCCAAGGCGGCGATGGCCCTCGTATTGGTGACAGTACATGGGCGACGCTATGGAGCAGCTTTTTCGAGGAAGAAGACATGGATGATGTGAACGCATCGATGGATGTATTCGATACCGACTCTTCCACTCGCATGCCCTCGCTGACCTATCACCGCAGGGGAAATCCGTCACCGCGCTCTCGGCAAGGAACGCCCTCACGCCGTTTACCTCGCGTGGCAAGCCAGATGTCTCTCGGCTCAACACGTTCTACGCCAGGACCTGCGTCTTTTTCCTTCGAGGCAGGTCGTCTTCCTATCGTCGCAAGGCTAGAATGGGCTGTCGATCCTCTTCGTGCAAAATGGTGGCGTCCCTTCCTTGCGCATGCAGAAGCCGTCGCTGAAAGCTCTGTGTCGAACAAATCGTCGGACGCGCCACCGCTTCCTGCGCCCAAGACCGGCGGACCGCGCCCTCTTCATCTAGCTTCACATGTGATTTCGCCGTCGTCGTCCCGCATCCTGCCCCCACCCCCTTCCGGAGAGCCGCCCAAGCCGCGTTCGACATCGTACACATACATGCCTCCAGAGCCTGCGTCCGGTGTTTCGCCGGAAAATGACATGGTTCCTCAGGATGCACCTGTCAACCTTCGTGATGCGCCTATTATCGAGCCGACGAGTCAGGTGTCCGAATCCGCACCCACCAGCAGCGCGCCTGACATGGCCACAGCCCCCACAACTCCCGCCGCCGATAGGCCTCTTTACGATCATCATGAATGGGCCACTGAACCTTTGCCTTCAGAGACAGGCTCTGTCGTGATTCGCACACCTCCACAGCAGCAATTCTCACACGATGCCTTCTCATCCTCGTCGCCTGCATCACCGGCGTCCCCTCAAGTGCCGCCGCCGCCGCCACCCCGGCCGTCGTCGAAACAACGTCATCTAGACTACGACCAGCCTATGGATGATAATCGCCATCTCGAATCGAATGAGAGACCTTCAACTCACAATCAGGATACAACTGATGCCCACGAGGATGATCTTCGCGACGTGGTCGACCATGGTCATAGCAAAGGTGTTGATTCCGAACTTCACGACAAACAGGATAAGAAACACGATGCTGCACCAGAGGCGGAACCCAAGCGTGACCGCCATACTATGAGCTCTACTGTTGCAAGTTTGTCCGCTGCTGCATCGCGGCTCTTTGGCTCCCACAAGTCGAATGAGCCTAGCAAGCCGCGTACTCCACCTTCTCCTGAACTTGATGTTGAAGAAGCTCGCGACAGGCTCACCGAGCAAGAGCGGAAAAGTGCATTGGCTCGGCGTCACAAGCACCGGGCGTCCATCGACGTTCCACGCTCTGTGAAGCGTGCTTCTGCTCGCATGAATGAAGTGATGGAAAGCCAAGATCCCGACAATGAGTTGATGACGACCGATGAAAAAGCTCGCGGACATCGGCGTAGTACAAGCACACCACATGTACCGCCAAATGACTGGCATTCACGACCCATGCCATTGCCACCGCCACTTATGATGACCAGTACCTCACGGCCCAATCAGCCAGCAGAGCAGCCCAACTCCATGTTGGAGGAGCCACCGATGCCTGCGTTAAATACGTTGGCGATGCCATCAGACGTCGCTGATGTTGCTCCAAAACGCGGAGCTATCGACCGTGTCAGACATCGAAGCAATGCTTCGTTGCGTTCTCCGATCATGCTTGGTAACTCGCTCCCTGAGCCGGAGTCAACGTCACTCAGCAGTGATAAGTCATCCCCGTGGCCATCTGCCCCTACATCTGCGTCTTTGTCTGCAACTGCTTCTGAACCGGCACCTACGGCGGGTCTGCCGCATCAAGACCGCGCATCTATCGAGGCACCATCGGCTGTCCAACTCAGTCGGCAAGACAGTATTGACTTCAACAATACATTAGGCGATCTGCAACGTGCGCTTGAGCTTCTTTCACCGCGCAGTGATGCGCACCGCCGTCCGTTTGTATCGGGTGTGCGGCGTAATCTCATGGCTGAAAGACCTATGATGTCCGACACCATCCGTGAACAACCTGACTCACCCGTACCGATTGCAAACCGTGCTGCTCTTTCCACGCACTCCAGCCATACGGATGACCTGTTGAATCTCAAAGATTCACCAGATCTTGGCTCTATGGACGCTCCTGCTCAGTTCTCGAGCGCGCCAGTGCCCTCAGGCCATTTAAGATCGTCAAGCCATGCGTCTGCATCTGCGCCACTTGGCACGTCGCTTTCATGGACATCATCGGGTACAAGTCCCATGGGCCCGGCCGATTCAGCTGCTCTGTCCGCCCCCCCTGCGCCTCCTGCTGTTGCTTTGCAGTTGGACGAGCCTCCGACGGACCCCAAAGGCTCTAACGACATGCAGCGTTCTTCGTCCATTGACGCCGCTCACCGGCAGCCCGCAGACGATCAATCAGTTTGGGGCCTGCCTAATGGTGAGGCTCCAGCTTGGAGTGCAGAGCAGACGCCATTGACTAGTGCATTGGCACAGTGGGGTCATGGACCTCGCCCAGCATGGCAAGCTTCTTCTGATGGTTGGCCGCAAGACAATATCTCCTTCGCCGCACATCCAGCGCCACCGCAAATGCGTGACTCATATCCATTGCACGACCCGTGGCCTCATGATGTCATGGCCTCATCAACTGAACCACTACAAATACGGGACTCTCAATCGCTTGCTCCTCGAAGACTGGAGGCGCCTGCTTGGGAAGAGAACTCATGGGCGCAGGCTGCACCTCAAGCACGTGCATCGGACGTTCCATCATCTCGTGTGTTGACACCGCCTGAATCCGCGGCGCCTTTGCCCGAGCACCCCCCTGTGCGTATTCCTCAAAATTCGACACCGCCTGTGCCGACGCAGCTTGTACCGGCACAACAGCCACTCTTATCAAAACTGGGTGCCTTGGACGTGTCGATTCCTCCGCATGACGGCGCATGGAGTGTGCGATGGGATCTTCCACCCAACGGACCACCACAACCGCCGCCCAAAGATGAGCATGAACTTTCCCAAACGCAATGGCTCTCTAATCCAGATGATGCAACGACCCAACTCGAGTCTGTGTTGCAACGCATGCAGCCCTCTGGACCTGTGCAGCCGCCACCTGTGGCAGTCGACGACGATTGGGCCCGCTGGACCGACAAGGCTGCTGCATCCAAACCAGCTGTATCTTCGTCGTCAAGTGAACCGCAGCCTCAAGTGACCGATGTACACCAAAATGCTAACATGCCTGTGATGCCAAACTCTTTATTTCCTCCATCTGATGAACAAATGCCACAGGAGCTCGGACGGAAAGAGCGGGCATCTACGGCGATGCCGATGCTTGGCCCTGCGGCTATGACGAGCCCTGAGTCGAGCATCAACTCGGTTCCGACTCATGCGCCTCCTCTCGCGCCTGATGCCGAATCTTCAGGCCCTTCAGTGCTAGGACCACTGCATGTACAAGGCCGAATGACACCGCCCAACCATGAACCCATGCCGATTTCATCGATGAGCCCGATGAGTCCGAATTTGCAACTCAACGGCAACCAGTTGGCACCCGATGCGCAGGCTTCAGCTGAACTGAGTCACGAGCATAATGGTGTGTTGAATTCGCCGTCACGTCACTTTTTCTCAAAAATGTCTCCAAAATTCAAGTGGCCCCGGCGCAGAAAAGAAGAAAAGCACCAGCAGCAGCAGCATCTTTCGCCTAGCATGTCTGAAGAGGACTTGTCCCTACTAGACCGCTCTCGTGCATCGACGAACTCCCTAAGCACATTGAGTCGTGGGGCTGCTGGTCGGCCGCACATGCGCTCTATTGAACCACAGTCGTTACTGATCGAAACACCACCGGTCATGGCGCCCGAATTGGCCACGACTGCGCCGAGACGTCAAGCACCCTCGCAGGGCTTCTTCGGCAGTCCTGCCTCGCACAATGACGAATCGTTTGATGGCCCTCCACCGTTCCAAAATTCGTCCGGAGCTGTTCTGCCGACATCGTCATCATGGGGGGCGCATGACCCACTTCACCCACCACACTTTATGCCATCGAAGGTCGGCACATCATTTGACGAATCTCGCATGATGGGCACTTCGTCGGGTCGGCCTAGTTTTACGAATGCCAACACAAATAAGGATTTAATGATGAGTCAGGCGCCGTCGCCGCCGACAGCAGGTGCACAACTGAGAAACGATATCCCTGATGCAGAGACATCGCTTCCCCATTCCCCACAAATGAATATGATGCATACCGGTGAACGTGATTTGCAGGATTTGTCGAACAAGTCATTATCCAAAGAAAAATCAAGTCAAGGCATGCGTAGCTTGTTTCGCCGGAGTTGATGATAGGGAAGAATGAGTACTTCATGAAAAGGAGTCTGTGAGAGATGAAGAACGGATACATGTATGCTTGTAGAAATCCGTTCCTGGTTTCTTTAGTTGGGTTTCTACCATCGCGGTATCATGACATAGCTATGAACACATGTCTTGAAAGTATTTCAATGGGACGTACTCTGGGCTAACCAAGTTGGTCACAGATGTCTCTAAATAACAAGCTACATTTACGTCTTGGTAATTTCTTCTACTACAAAGAGGTAGCTCGATAAGCCACCTGCTACTCTAGAAATACAGCTATTCAGCTCAACGTTCATTCGGCGCGGTAGACGCCTTGGTTTTCTACTTCAAAGTTCAACATAGATGTAGTATACAGCAAACAAAGATTCGCCATTACATGCTTGTCTTCATGGTTTGAAACAACACATGCTATTCGCCTACTTAGTACAACCGTGAGGCAATACCCATACTCATAAGCTCCTGGAAGAGAAGCTTTGCCGCGTAGGGAATGTGTATTTGAGAAATCGCCGAGCGGTTGCGACATGCACGGCATTCGAACGTGCTCTTTCGCAGGTTGGCAACGGCGGTCAGTCCGCAAAGATCACAAATATGCAGTCGGTACGCATCACTCGCATCATACATGCGCTCTTTCAAGAAGTTTGCCATACCATGTGAAATCATACAATCACGCTCCATCTCACCGAATCGCAAGCCACCATCGCGCGAACGGCCTTCCACAGGCTGGCGCGTCAGGATCTGAACAGGACCACGCGCACGACTGTGGATCTTGTCATCCACCATGTGCTTCAGGCGCTGGTAATACGTTGGACCAAGATACACTTGCGCCTGCAACTTGCGGCCAGTGTGGCCATTGTACATCACTTCCAGACCACGTGATTGGAAGCCCAAGGAGAAGAGAATATCACTCACACCCTTCACTGTAAGATCGGTGAATGGCGTCGCGTCGCCTTCCTGTCCTGACAATGTGGCAACTTTTGATAGCAAGCACTCGACTAAGTGACCAATGGTCATACGACTAGGAATGGCATGTGGATTGATGATAATGTCTGGCGTGATACCCTCACACGTGAAGGGCATGTCTTCTTGCCGATAGGTAATTCCGATGGTGCCTTTTTGACCATGACGAGAAGCGAACTTGTCACCGACCTGTGGCACACGCGTCGAACGCACACGCACTTTGACAAACTTGGCACCCTCGCCGTTAGTGGTGATGAGCACCTGGTCAATAATGCCACTCTCTGTGCTCTTCATCGGTGTACTGACGTCCTTCTTCGTATGCATTTTACTTCGCATACCAAGCTCATCACTGTCAGGCGGCAACGGCGCTGTCTTGCCAATAATGATATCCTCTCCCGACACACGAGTGCCTGGCGGCACGAGACCATCAACGTCGAGTTTCTCGTACGTGCCGTGCTTCAAACGGATCGCTGTATCGCGTGTAGGTTTCTCGAACTCCTCCATTGTGATTACGCCGACCTTCTTCTCCATATCCTGGAACGTCCGGTAATACAACGACCGGAATAGACCTCGATCAATGGCCGACTGGTTCATAATGACCGAATCTTCCTGGTTGTAGCCTGAGTAGCACAGAATCGCAACAATCGCATTTTGACCAGCAGGCAACTCACGGAACCGCAAGTGTTCCATTGCCCGTGTCGTCGCGAGTGGCTTTTGAGGATAGTACAAGATATTCGCCATCGTATCCATACGGATTTGGTAGTTCGTAAGGAACACGCCCATTGCCTGTTTACCCATGGCTGACTGGTATGTATTACGTGGCGACTGGTTGTGATCAGGGAAAGGAATAATACTCGCACAAACGCCCAGGATCATAGCTGGATGAATTTCGCAATGCGTCCACGTGTCAGCGGCAAAGGTGTGAGCTGAGCGCAAGCGGCGCGTGGCGTCCGACATGTCTGGTGGCATATGCCCGTTCGTTGCCTTGTACTCTCGTGACTGTTCCAAATCGTATGGACTCATGCATATCAGGACAGTTTCCTCTTCCTCCGTGTCGAGATACTCTATTACACCAGATTGAACCAGTCGCGTCCAGTCCCAACCTTCACCCGTCTCTTCGTTCAAAGCCTCAACATGATGCCGCTTGATCAGCAGTGTCATACTTGGCTGGTCCACAATAAACAGGGGGCGCAGCAAACGACCTGCATCTGTGTAGATACGCAACTCCTTCTCTCGAATGTCTCGAACGACACTCACTTCGTGACTAATATCGTCTTTTCGACGCAAATCGCGCAGCGTGTCGACAAGCTGGCCTGGATCATCATGTGTGCCGAGCCACACGCCGTTCACAAACACTTTCGTTGCCTTCGGATCAGCACCTTGCATGTCGATCAGGCTCGTGAGGCCAAACTCCTCTAGGAACTCGACGATCGGCGCCGATGGTGTACCGACCGAAATGTTAGACATGAGACTGAGATTCTTCACAAGACCACAAGCCTGACCCTCTGGAGTCTCGGCGGGGCAGACCATGCCCCAGTGCGTGTTGTGCAGCTGTCGAGGCTTGGCAATCTTGCCATCCCGGCCAATAGGTGTATTGCACCGGCGTAGATGCGATAACGTTGAAGCAAACGTATACCTGTTCAGCACTTGAGAGACACCAGCCTTTGATTGCATAGCCTTCTTTTGATCACCCCAGTTGCCGGTGGCTAGTGAGTAGCGCAGGCCATTCGTAATAGTGGCGTGTCGCACAGCCGCTTGCAGGTGAAATTCGCGCTGATCTTCCACGCATCGTTGCAGGTGACGGTAGATATCGCGCGTTACTTTGCGGAAAAGCATGCGAAAGAGGCCACTGAGTAGCGGGCCCGCCAAGTCGAGACGCTTTTTGCCGAAGTGGTCACGGTCATCAATCTCGCGGCGATCCAGCGCAGCAAGGAGAAGACGATGCACCATGTAGCCGAAAAAGTATGCTTTCTTCGTATTGGATCCTTCCGACATAGAAATGTGTGGAAGCATTTCTTTCTGTAAAATTTCCTGCGCGTACGCCGTACGCTTAAATCTCGAGAGACCTGTCGTCGTGCCACGGCGACCAATGAAGTCCAAAGCCACCTCGCGATCCTGAATCACGAATGCCTCTTCAATGCACGGCTTGAGCATTTCAAGCATTTGTGTGTCATTAAAGTCGTAGCAAATGTGCTGCAGTACATCGCGATCTGGCACCACACCCAGCGCACGGAACACAATTACGATGGGAATGTCATTTCGAATGTAAGGCAACGTTGCCTTGATAGTATTGTTTAGGCTCTTTTCCCGATTGCGCGAGAAGAGCTTTACCTGCATTGTGCTAATGGTCTTGCCACCACGTTCCACGGCACTGCGGATCTCAGCCAAGAACGTGATGGGCGATGGCGGCGCTTTAGAGAATACATACACATGGTTTGCCGCCATGCGCTCCTGCGCAATCAAAACTTTTTCTGAACCATTGATGATGAAATAGCCACCAGAATCAAATGGACACTCATTCAAACTGTATTTGCCCTCATCCGGCAAGTCCGTGAGCCAACAAAAGTGCGAATGAAGCATAATAGGCACTTTGCCCAGGTACACTTTTTCGTCTACAATCTCCTCCTGGGTAGGATCAGGGATCCATAGTTGATCACCATTTTCATCAAGCTCGTCCTCCTCACCCTTCACCAGCACTTTTTGAGACACGTCCACGTGCAGGCCAGCAGAATATGTCAGATTTCGTTGCCGAGCTTCCTGGGGGAACAGCGGTGCCGTGCTACCATCCGCCTCTGTCTGTTGCGGCTTGTTCATGTAGATCTGTCCAAATTCAATCTCATAACGACGAGTCTTATCCTCGGCCTGACCAGTGTGCTGATCACTTTGCTCAAGCGTGAGACTCTTGCTCTCTTCCACGAGTTCCTGAACAGTGTTGCTCATGAACTCATTAAAACTGTCAATTTGCTGACGTACAAGGCCCTTTTCTTCAAAAAAGGCCTTGATTACGTCCCAGCAATCCTCCTGGCTGATTTCTTCCACGCCCTCGTCCTCATACATCGTCGTCGCAGACACACGCACTTGCGTTCAGCAACAGCAGGAAGATTAGCAACAGTTGTAAGCAAAGACAGCACCGCTCAGTACAAACTGACGCTGTCAGTGCCGTAGTCGCTTTGCTGTGCTAGCTTCGCGTTCGAAGCGCCGCCTAAAGTCAGGGGTGAGAGCGTTCAACGTGTGCTCATCGCCACATGAGACGTCCCATGGACGCGCACATGGGCACGTGATATCGGCCGAAGCGACTGTAGCGCACGACAACGATGTCATCCATTACCTTCAATGTGGCGCCGCGCGGCTGAAATTTTTCGTCCCCTTGGGGCGCCACACTTAGAAACGTCTCTCCACCTGAGCGTTGTGTGCACCAACCATGGGTGCAGGCGACTTGAACGTAAAAAAGTCATGGCATCCACGACTGCAGAAAAACCAAGAGAAAGTATGGCTCCATGAGCAAGAAGCAGCAGCCGAGAATAAGAAGCTCGAAGAGCTCCGTAAGGAGCGTGAGCAGGAGCGGCAAATGCAAGAATTGCAACGGATCCATGAAGCGGCCGGAGGCAAACGGCGTCCTGAGCGTGTCGAGTGGATGTACGCTACGCCAGCGACAAGCAGTGGACCATCGGAAGCTGAGTTGGAAGAGTACCTACTGGGAAAAAAGCGTGTCGACAAGCTGCTTCAGGGGAACGAGACAGCACGACTTTCGAGGACGTCAGATCCTTCCGCCCAAGAGAGTTCCGACGTGAGCTCTGCGCGTGATCTGGCCCAAAAAATCAGGGAAGATCCACTATTTGCCATCAAAAAACAAGAGCAGGCTATGCAGGAAATGCTCATGAAGGACCCGACGCGTCTTCGACAAATGCGTGCGCGCCTTGGCCTGCCAGATGACGAGCCTCGACACAACCATCATAGCCACGAAGAGAGATCTCGCCACCGGCACCGACATGAGCGCAGATCGCATCATGGGCGCGTATCTCGCTCACATGCAAGACGTGATGATGGCGTCGGTGAGAGAGAGTACTGTGAAGGCCGACACAGACGACATCGCGAGCACTCACGAAGATATGATGAAGGTGACAGGCGCAAGGATGACCGCTACCGGGATGCTCGAAACGAGGATCGACACGCTCATGACTATGATCGCAATAAGCGACACAATGACGACCACTACCGCCACCGGCATGTTCGTGAAGATGGTCGTTATCCAGCACACGATCGACACTCATGGCAGGACGAACGTGGTCGCCGTCCCAACTGGGAGGAACGAAATGAGCGCCACTCACATGATACCCTTTCACGCCAACGGTCACGATCGCCTGATGATCGTCAGCGTGTTGTCGACGCACAAGAGCGAGAAGCAAAACTTGCGGCTATGATGCAAGACGCCAAGACGATGGACGCAAATCGAGACGCGATGATTCGACATGTGTCCGAACAAGAGAATCGTGAACACCAAGAAGAAGAGAAGCGACGCGATTTAGCGCATGACAAGACTCAGTGGAGAAAAGGCGGTGGTACAGGGCGCGCATCGTTCCTAATAGATCAGCAGCGCAACTTGTGGGGCGAATCCAGTGGTGGCATGGACTTAGAAGAACGGCTTCGTCGTAGTCGACACGCGCTTCAGCCCGTAGGCGATGACGGATAAAGACAACGCACAAAAGTGATTATGCAAGGGGGACATGTGGTGCCAATGTTCGACAAGAACGAAGTCCAAACGACGCAGTCTGCACTTGGTTTCGCAAATGAGCCATTTGATTCCCATCGACTATACGTTGTTGATCTTGTCCTGATTCATGTGCTTCGGGATAAGCGTTTTTTTTTTTTTCGACAATACAAGCTTCATCGTGGACTTGATGGAAAGGGCTAGAAGACAATCGAAGTCGATGAACATTTGCGCCTTGAAAGTCCCACAGTAGATTCTCTACGTGCTCTCTCGTTGGCCCCACTGTATGTGTAGCTCTAGCTTTCAGTGGCACCCAGGCAAGTGGCGTTGTTCTTTTTTTGCTGTAAGATGGAGGAAAAGGAAAGTACCGCACCTAAAATATATCAGGACGCTTGCATGGTTTTGACAAAAGCCCTAGCTTGAGGGAGCTAGGTTTTTGTTTGTTTTAGAGAATGAAAGATAGCATGTTTCGCCAATGTTTTCGACCTTTTTCTGACCGTATTTCTTTTCCTTTTCCATTATAAGTACACAAATGAACCAGAAGTCCGACGATATCGTGTCCTCCAAAACATCGTTTCCATCTAACCTCGTTTCCGACATGTTGGTCTATAAATCATGCATCATCTTCGTAATCATCATTCAACTGAAGACGCCGCTTTTCGTGGCCATGACGGCTCTCAATGTCGTACGACTTGCGCGACAAATCTTCATCTTCTTTGTTCGCTTCAAACACCACATCAAATTGATCAGAATTATCGTCTCCATCGTCCTCTTCCTTGTTACGTAGCGCGATGCGTCCATTCGACTCGAATTCATTGTATTCACGTGGCACACCCGTCTCGCTTTGTGCCTGAGAAAGACCTTGTAGATGCTCGGAGCCCACCTCCCTAGCATCTGCATCCATGTCTTCGTGGTCAGAACCAATTGTGTGGATTTCAAATTCGGCTCCAGGTGCCTCCTCGTCCGTTGCAAGCTCGTCAGACATGGCGAGCCGCATATTGTGACCTGTTGGACGCCAGGACCATGCAATGAGTCCAAATACGATCAAGTACAGAAGCGTAAGTGCGCCATCTAAAATGAACCAGCGATACTTCCATGAATGATACGCAAATGTATTGGGCCCACTGACTGATACAAGCAGGATCATTCCGAAGAAATAAAGTGTCAAGAATGCGACAGCACCGAGCAAAATGCCATTCAGTCGCTGGAACATTGCACACTTGAACGTCTGTCTACGCTCCGACAGGTATCGGATCGTAGCTTTGAGCGAATGTAAGATCCACATGTAAAAGGCCGTGAGTGTGAAAGCCAAAGGGAAAATGAAAAATGCAACCCAGCCGGACGTAATATCGAGTAAAACGAGGATCACACCGACCGAGTACATCACACCGAATACGAAATGGAGGACCGTGAGCAAATATACCTTGTATATCACGGGCCCGATCGTCGGCCTCACTACTCCATAGCCCATGGAGACGATGAGCAAAAGAAAGAAAGACAGACTATCTCTTGCTGCCCCAAGAACATTCGTCAGCGTGAGCCAGAAGCGTGCCATGCCAGTGACAGATGCCTGACCGTCAACAGAGCGGAAAAACATGTAATCAATAGAGTGTTGATTAAAGTAATGGTAGGACGCCCATTCGCACGCCATCTCGATCATCAGAAAGACAATTGTGCCAGTAATGAAGTGCTGCACTGTCACAATCTGGTCTTTATGTACATAGCACATGTAGAGCCACACAGCACATAAAACCATGTAGACGAGCATAAGCCAACCATAAAACTGTTGTTAGCATTCCATGCTGCTACGCACGTAGAGCTTCGGATGTTCAGAAGCAGGGAGTTGTCCACGGTATCGGTTTATAAACTCCACATGTCCACGAAATAGCTTGTCTGGCATCTCGGCCAAGTCATTGACCGTAACAAAGGGCGCCACGTCAACACAGTAGTAGCCGGTTGTGTTCACCTTGTATGACTGGTGTAAGAACAATGCACGTACCATGACCTTATTTTTGTCCAGGCCTTCACCAAAGTTGAATTTTTCTTGATGGATTGTCTTTGTCGGCTGATCACCATCAATTAGGTACGTGCCTAGTTCATTCTCTGTACATAATTGCTCGGACTGAGCCTCGTAAGTGCATGTGTAGAGCCGACTGCCTGTTAAACCAAACTCTGATGAAATTTTACCAATACGCGAAAGCTCGCTAATTTCATAAACAATAGATGACATTACACCCGAAGAACCCGGATAAAATACAACTATCTCTAAGCGATTCGTCACGTACCATCCACACGCGTATCGGGGCCTGCTCGAACGCCATTACACGTTTGTCGCATGCCATATGAATCCTCGATACTGATCTTGTAGGATGTTACTGCTTGAAGCAGCACCGCGAGGAGCAATGCTAATAAAGTGCAGCTCCGTGCCATGACGCGCATGGACGACATGGAGGATCCGTGCCAACAAGGAACGCAAGAATTGCTGTGGAGAACTTACTTCGTCTTGGGTGTTATAGCAGATTCCGGGCCGTGTCTGACATGCGTATTCGCTCAAATTGTGAAAGTGGAGGAAGACCCACAACAAAAGTTCTTCCTGACTCGCAGTATAATTGCGTGTATCCTATAAACCCTGTGTCAGGGTTCATGATGTACAGCCAACAAGACATGTTATACATAGCAATAGACGATCGACAAGGCGTAGGATTTTTTGCAGTTTATACTAGCTTTCCCTATAACATTGGTTCGAGTCTTTCTACGATTGATCTTTACAAAGGAAAAATCAATGACTTGCTGAAACTAGAGTGGAAAATACAATCGGTCGTGCAAAGCGAAGCTTGAAAATCAGTGTGCTTTCTCCACAACGAGGAAACCATGCGCCGGATTGGTTCAAACCTTATCTGCTGCAACTTGTCTCAGGCACGTCCTCCTACGCTAGATCCGGGAGCCTTTTGTAAGAAGTCGCATCATGACGCTCGGTGGTGAAAATATGCAGATATGACAGGTTCAAACCACAATGAGGTCGTGATAAAACGAAATAACCCTGATCTTAGGTTTCAGTTCTTTGTTTTCAAGTTCCATACATCCAAAAGTATGTACATCATTATGCGCAGCGAGAATAAGAACGAGGTGCTACAAAATTGCAAGAAGCTTAAATTATGATGATGCGTCAGATGTAGAACCGAAACGCGTAAAAAAATAAGGTCTCTGCAAAGAAGTGTGTGAAGGTAGTCGTCTCTTGTGAGACTTACCTCGATAGCATCGATAAGACGGTAGCTAATTAAGTATCACTTCTACCTAATGATGGGTATGACGTGCGGAGCAAAGAGGAGAGAACGCCGATGTAATCACTCGACCAGTTGGAAGATTCCAGTCGTGTAATGTGTTGGAAGTGCGACATGGAATTTCTGCGCACAGCTTCGCGTACGAGAACAAGCTCGCTCGTATGATCAGCATGAAAGTATGTCGACGAGCGTTGGACGACACGTTCCCGTCGCCAAATGCGCCATTCATCATTTGGATTCGTGTTGAGCGTTGTTTCAGTCGGAAAAGCGGTACAGAATTCTTCGATATTAGAAAACTTATCAGAATAATTCATTGGAGACAAAATGGAAGAGAGACTTGTGCCTTGGAGATTGGCAGGTGCCTTATATTTCACAGTAAGGCATGCATCCAAGGGAGCATAAGGGCACAGAATGGGGGCATGTGCCTCGCATTGCCACCAAGATCTTTCTGGAACGACTCGGTTTGGATATATTGCGACCGATACGACCAAATCAACTGGGTAAGGATCGGACGATGTTGTCCTGCGGTAATATATGCGTTCGAATTCGAGCTCGTCCATTAAAAGTTCCGACCAACCGGGTATGATAGGCGTCTGTTCAGCCGTATTGGGCAGCTCGGACTCAACGAAATAAGCCGGTACATGCATAGGTGTTGTAAGGGGTTGCGTCATGCGAGGCAGATCTTTCCACAGGACATGTCCGAAAGCGAGAGATAGTCGAGGTTCCCATGGGCCATCGATCCACGCTTGATTCAAAGAAGAAACGCCATGGTCCAAACCCGGAGCTAAAGTCGCTACAGGGTCAAGCGTAGATGGATCACTCAAATGACAAAGCATACTGAGCGAGGCAGGACCCATGCCGGAAAGGCGTGACCAGCGACCTTGTGTCAAGGCGTACTCGGTGAGCGGGTCTGGCACACTAGAGGGAGTAAAAGGCAATGAAGACACAGACGCGCCTTGGTCTGGCGTAAAGCACCATAATTGGTTCCAATGAATGGGTTTATGGTACTTTTTTTGCTCCATCAACATCAACGCCTGGTCTGCATCATGATGATGAAGGAATGAAAGGTTCACATTCCGACCTTCCTGTGAAACGTGGCACTGCGTGCGATGTGAGATCCAGGGAATGCATGGCTTCTGGTAAATTGAATTCCCGATAACTTTTTCGAATGGACTGCACGTCAGTTGGCTTTTCACGTACTTGTTGAAATGAATTCAGCCATGAGTTCATGTTCTCTACAGCTTGTTTGCTTCCGGAAACATTGACGCCAATGTGCTCGTCACGCTTGCCAATGGCAACTTTTGCGCCTATGTTGCGCGCATATTGGAAGAAGGCAGTTCCATGATGGGAGAGCAGAAATACGCTGCTGAGAGGCAAGCGTATAAATGCGTATGATTCGCCAGCTTCTGGATCCGTGAGCCCAAATCGCTGCACAAGAAATGCTTTAATCAACATTGGCTTCGTCATCGAGTGTTTAATCATGTCTAACTTTGCATCCCGTGCAAGTTGAAAGAGTTGTTGCCGAGTGAACGAGTCATTCAGTCGGCTAAAACTGTGTGCCCACTGCTTCTTCGCGTCGTATTGTCGGGTGCGAGCAAGAATGGTATCGACGGCCTCAACCGTGGGCTGCTCATCATACAATCCTGTAGCTAGTTCACTAGTCCTTGTGTGAACATAATGGGCAGGGCTGGCAAGACGGAATCGACTTGCTCGCGACCACGTCACTGTGGTACGTCGAAGCATGATGATGACCGCTGCTAACTATTGACGAGTATATGTGTGGAGAGAATGGGACACAGGCTCGCAAATTGAAAAATGCGCAATTTCTAGACAAAGTCGTGGTACTTTTCCCGCAGGATGTCTGATTGGGGTATCAGCGGCATGTCGCCGTTCGTATCGGTCGGCCATTACATAGAAGCTATGGATTTTTCTTCGAAGGTTTGGCTTGTCGGCTTAGAAGCTTCTTTTTCTTCTTGCTAGGAGCACTCTGCACAGGCTCTTCATGCACATCATTTTGTGATGGTGGCTGCTGAACTGGTGGGTGCGATTTCTCCTCGTCAAAGCGTGTGTGCTTTCCTAACGAGGCAGCAGCGTGTACCATTCTTTTTGCAGCGTCAACATCAATCTTTTGGGAAGTCTTCTCCTTTGTATTGGATGAGACACCTTTCAACTTGGCAAAGTAGGAGTGCACTCGTTCAAGCTCTGAATGAACTGGATGTGTCGTAGGATCCACACCTTGCGTCTTAAGATACATCCAAAGCGTGTCAAGGTATACGTAGGCAGCGCTTACAAGCATCTTTGCTGCTGTGAGTCGGTACTTTAATGGTGTATCTGGGTCCGAAGCACGGGCCTGGGTGTCTAGCGTCTCATACTCTGCTAAGTATTTATCCATAGACTTGTCGAACGCTAGATGTACGCTATTCTTAACAGCCTCCATCTGGTTTTGCAGTGTGGCAAGCATATCAGTGGGATCGCTCACAGTGTGTGCGTAAGATGAGCCCATCTTTGTATGAGTGCGTGTGGTGCTTCGAGAATTGTTGCTACGCGATTTTGACAAGCACTTGGGGTACAGGTAGGAAATTTTCTATAAATATATGTTGTACATTTTTATTTTCATTTTTTAGTAGTTCAGTGATTGTTAATGAACTCCACGTTAGGTTGATCAGAAGGTGGATGACAGATTGATCGCCTCATGGGGTCGTTCGACGTGTAGAATGCCGACGCGATTGTGATGACGAAGAAGCTGTGCTTGGTGCGCTGATAACTTCGTCGACCCAGTCCCCTATGCGTTCTTTAGCACCGATCCGCACACGATCAACGATGTTTGACCACTCTCGTTTCATCGCTCGTCTAGCAATATCATCCATGTTCGGCAGAAGAGACTGAAGACTTAGCCCTGAGCTTGTGTTGGGATCACTGAGCATAGGTTTGTTAGCTTGAACAGCTGATGCAGGTGTGAGAGTGATCGCATGACCTGCTGACCATTGGCGCGTCTCATGTGTACCGCCCTCTTCATTTTCAATGGCTTGGGCGAGATTGAAAAGTTTGACCTTATCCCCTCTTGCATAATGTCTTAAGAATGCGGTCCACCCAGAGCGACGACGCGTGTTGATGAACCACAGTACAATCTGAGTATATTTCAAACGCAGCGTCCGATCGCGTATGCATGCGTTAGTCTCAGCAAGAATCTGTTCTTTGTCTTCTCGCGAAGGAAATGGATGCCCCAGGTGGCGGAGAAACCAGTCACGCATGTGTTTCGCGTTCAACGTAGGATCTCGGCGGTCTCGCAGACTTCCTGATGCTCTTGAGCGTGGTATAGGACTGCGCAGAATGAGAACAAGCTCTTGACTTGCATTTGAATGAATGCGCTGCATCTGCGTCCGCTGCTCGTGCAGGATGTGGCCCAGTTGCTCAAGGCGATCACTCACTCTTGCACCAAGCTGCAATGTAGCATTTGTGAGTGTACCTTGCTCTTGCTGAAGAGCAAACTCGCGCCGTACAATTTCCGTGAGTTGCCTCAGATGACTGTAATAGGATTCATCTACCTCCCGGGTGAGTGCATCGAGCAAGGTATACTCGAATTCTAGCAGTTTCTGTCGAACTTCTTCCTGCGTCAACATAATGGAAGGTGTAGCAATGTTCCCTGTGGTCGTATAATTCAAAAGGCTATCGCTGCCTCATCGCTATCCTGAATCTCATTCAAGCCAACCCATCACCTACCGCATCAGTCTTGCCGGCGCTTCCGCACTTTGATGCGTGACACAAAGGATGCTTGCTTTTTCTGCTCCTCCACCTGCAAGTGGGCGCGATCAGACCACCCAAGCCAAGTGTACAACGTGGACGCTGGGCTCTGCCTAAGGTTTTGTGAGGTGCATGACGAACCATCTGCGTTTCTATGAAACAATAACAACTTGATGCTAGATGAGTCATGCTCTCTATCAAGTTGACACACGCTAGTTCGAGAAATCTGGCAAGATATTTTTGGAATAGTACGCTTCCATGGATCTTAGTGAGCCCCACTATAATTGTGCTAATAGTTGATACACAGTTCTCCGTTACTGGGATGCGGGACAGATCGGGACTGGGAATTGTAGTCTGACCAAAGAGCTTGAAAGGGAAAAAAAAGCCGACGTCACGCGATACGTGAACAAACACTCCTTTCGCCCGATGCATATCACGTCGAAGTCTCATCTTGTTGCGGGCTGTGACAATCTTGGGACACAAAGTACCTCCACCTACACATCTTTGGCGCTCAGGCCCTTCCGCGGTATTTGACTTATAAAGGCGTCAATGTCCATTAGCCACATAGCATAGTATGCATCCCGAGCTGGACTTCCTGGATGAATGCCTGTGTACGCTGCGCCACGTACGAGGCACATCTACGCCAGTGCTACCGAGTCCAGTGATGGATGCACCTGACGCGCAGTTAGATCTACAAAGTGTGCATTCACAGTCGTTTGTGGCCGCACTTCGACTGCGTCCTGTATCAAACGATGTGTATGACGCTCTCATCGACCTTTATGAGCGAGTTCTCGAGCAGTTGAAGCGCATGTACATGGACCACTTTCATGACGCTCAAATGCGCTGGGGCTCGGCCCGCCAGCGAGTCTTGCCACAAATCCAGCGCCTGTTTGAAGTCCAGTGCCAAATGGCAGCACGAGATATGCAAAAGGCCATTTTATCGCTCGTGGACGACAGACTCAAGACGTTTGCAGCTGATGCAAATGCACCGCATGAAACACATCGACCGCATAGCGTGCGTGCAACAGCCATTCTGGAGCGTGCATTTGCACATGCACCCAACATAACGCAGGCAGAGAAGTATAAATTGGCTCAAGCCACGGGCCTTCAGCCACGGCAAGTGACAATTTGGGTACGTCCACGCATTGTGCAAATGCATGCATACACACGCCTTGATAGAACATGCGTGTACTGACAACCCATTGCAGTTCCAGAATCGACGCAATCGACGTGCTCATGCTCGGCGTGCGGCGATTGTTGACTCTGGGCTTGTTTCGCCCGAGCCGGAGCTTCCACCCCCGCCGCGACTGGAGGCACCGCCGCCACCACCGTCAGTGGCGGCTGCACGGGTGGGACAAACAGATGATGGCAAAGATGACATGCTTGTCGAGGGTGAGGAGTCAGGCGCATCATCTTTGTCGGATTGGGCAAGTGCCACGACAGTGCCAAGTGATTCGCTTAGCTTCGACGCACCGATTCGTCCGTTCGGCTCGTCTTCGCCTGCACAACTTGCGAACTCGACATTCTCTACCTCACCATTGTCAACAACATCTTCACTTATCCTGCATGCTTCCCAGCCGCACATGTCACCACAGATGCAGACACAGGCGCAGATGACGCCCGTTCCACAAGCTCACACACAGACTCAGGCCCAGGGTCATACACAGCTTCCCATACAAGTGGCTTCTCATCCGCCGCCGCCCTCAATACCACTGCAATCGCAAGCATCCATGTCGATGACTCCGTTCCAAGCTCCAGCGAGTCCTGCCACCTTGTCAACGGCGGCAACAGCAACGAATACAACGACCAGGGCATCATCATTGTCTTCGACAACGACAACTTGTATGCCCTCTGCATCGACGGCACCCATCGTCTCACTCGATCAGTTGCTGGATCTCGACAATGCGCGGCAGTGTCTTGTTTTCAGCCCGCTCGATTTGTTGCCGCGCTTGGACTTTGACGACTTGCGACTTGATGTGCCAACAATTGAAAACTGGCTTGGTTTGCCATCCACACCAGGCGTATCATCTCTTCACGTGCCGCCGATCAGTGCGGGTGCAATGAGATCGGCCAAACTAGCGCTGTCGCAACCACTTAATGCGCCAGACGAGCTCATGGGACGAGCTGCCGATGAGGGCTGGTCCCTGTCTGAGCAACTAACGCCTCTGTGGAATGTGCCAACGGATGCTCATCGGTTAAGTGACCTGTCTTTGCGCATCGATGGCACCATGCTTCGTCGCGATAGTGTGATGAAGGCAGAGCGGATGGCACCACCCCCATCTGCGCCGCTTACGACCCAGTCATATCCACTCCCACTTTCAGCACGCTGGAATCATGACGCCATAGCTCCCAATGTGCTTACGTGGGATCTTTCACGTGGTATTTCGTCAACTTTAGTGCCTTAGTGACCATTTGAATGCAAGCGGAGGCGTGTTCTGTGATTGGCTCTGAGGCGCTCCGAGACAACATCGATGGCGTGCCACATACATTCGTGTGCAGCTTGTTCGTTGCCTAGCACGGATTCCTGTGGGTTATGGGGCAATAGGTTAGGAACGGATAGTTGTCAAACTGGTCAGTGTAGTCACACACAATCTTCTTCTCTCTATTAAAGACTGCAGCACGCGCAAGTGTGTGTGCATCTTTCTGGCTATAATCTCCTCAAGCCCTCTTCAGGATGGTAGATTCTTCTCCCATCAAAGAGGAGAAGCACTTTATCACCGAGGACAGCACCCTCGTTGATGGCCACATAGACGAAGAGTCTCGACCTGTGAATGCGACGGAAGACTCACAAACAGGTCATCACGAAGATATTCCGCCTGCTGAGGTACACTATGATGAACTGCCACAGGGAAGACAGCTTGGCACGATCTCTGCTATCTTCTTGATGGTAAATCGAATTCTTGGTACTGGTGTGTTCTCTACGACATCAACGATCCTCCAGCAGGGCGGCAGTGTTGGTATGAGTCTCATCTATTGGGTTATCGGCGGTTTAATTGCTGGTTGCGGCTTTGCTGTGTATGCGGAATTCGCCACGGCCATGCATCGAAATGGTGGTGAACTGAACTACCTGCAGCACGTGTATCGTAAGCCGAAACATATGGTTGCTTCCATGTATGCAGCGCAGGCCTTACTACTCGGTCAGGCAGCTGGTAATGCCAATGCTGCTGGTCAGTACTTTATTCGAGCTGGTGGTAAAAGTGCATCGGAATGGGGCTCCAAAGGCATTGGCATTGGCATTATCATGTTTGCCCTATTCATGCACGGCACTATGCTCAAGTGGGGTCTGCTCTTCCAGAACACTGTCGGTCTTTTCAAGGTGGTTATCCTGCTGCTCATTGTATTTGCTGGGTTCGCCGCACTTGCGGGCCACACAAAGGGCCCTACACCACATAACTTTTCGAATGCTTTTGACAACACACGAAGCGATATCTACGGTGTATCGCAGTGCATTTACAATGCCATTTGGAGTTATGTTGGATATTCGAATTTGTTCTATGCACTCGGCGAGGTCCAGAATCCGGCACGCACGATGAAGATCGCCGGCATCGTTTCTTTGACAACACTGACCATTCTTTATGTGCTGTGCCAAATTGCTTACTTTGCTGCTGTGCCGCTGGATGAAGTCCTCGGCAGTGAACAGATTATTGCCGCGGCCTTTTTTAAACACATGTTTGGCGAGCGCTCGGCACAGGCCCTGTCAGTATTTGTGGCACTCTCTGCTGTTGCGAATGTGTTTGCTGTTTTGTTTGCTCAGGGTCGATTGAATCAAGCGTTAGGTCGTGACAACATCATTCCCTTTGCCAAAATATTTGCGTCTAATCGGCCCTTCAACACGCCACTAGCAGGGCTCACGTGGCACGCTATTGTGACACTGATTCTTATGCTTGCACCACCCCAAGATTCTGCGTATCAGCTGGTGCTGAGTATCGCACAATACCCACTTAACATTGTGAATACGGCGGTAGGTCTGGGATTGTGCCTGACATACTTGCCGCACAACTCGCGGTTCAAACTCTCGTGGCTTCGGGAGTGGCACCCGCTGTTTCGAGCGTCGTTCCCGATAGCGCTCTTCTTTACACTCGTCTCTCTTTTCTTGGTCATTGTGCCGTGGATTCCGCCGCCAGCTGGCGAAAAAACCGCCACCAACGGCGACATCTGGTATGGCTTGGCACCTGCAGTAGCCTCGGGCTTCTTTGGCGCTGGATTTTTGTACTGGTTTGTCTGGTATGTCATGATGCCAAGGATCGGCAAGTACAAGCTGGTCGAAAGGCAAACGACAATGAAGGATGGCACGCCCGTGATGGCATTTGACCACGTGCCTCGCGCCTCCCTTCCAAAATAATGTATTATAGTTCAACCTAATGCATCTCATGTTATGAACAGATGGTTTGAAGAATCAGATAGGCAGCACCACCGGCATTGGGAGGTGGTGAGAGAGCCCGCGTAGTGCAGGGTCGCGTTTCGCGTCGTGGCATGTTATTTTGCGGTGAATGAGCTTGTTCCTTGTTGATCGATAGTGGAGGGCATCCCATGCATCATACACGAATCCTTCTCCACATTCAATGGGCACTGTCATGGACCCCGTCTGAGTGGGCGACGAACAAGATTTTGTCCATATCCTCAGGAGCAGCCTAAGCTACTTACACTGCTCTCTCAGGCACCCATCCGCATAGCGATAGTATCGGCTGCGTACGTGAATATGTCCCATTCATTTTCGCAGGTCGACGTGTTTGCCTCAGAAAGTCTCACAGGAAATCCTGTGGCTGTCGTCCACGACGCCGATGATCTGAGCGATGAACAGATGCAATCGCTTGCTCGATGGACCAATCTGTCCGAAACCGCATTCCTCTTGCAAGCGACACATCCTGATGCTCATTACCGTGTTCGAATTTTTACGCCTGGATGCGAGCTGCCATTTGCCGGGCATCCGACGCTCGGCAGTGCGTACGCTTGGCTTTCGGCTCGGAAGCATGACCAAGATGGGGCTGCACGGCAGAATGGTGTAGTTGTGCAAGAGTGCGGTATTGGCTTGGTCCACATTCGCTACGACCATGATACGCTAATGCTCAAGGCGCCTGAACTCCACCGGCATGAGCCTATTGACAGTGCGACGCTTGATCAAGCACTAAGCGCCATGAATCTGAGCAAGAACGAGATCGTCGAGGCTTGGTGGATTGTGAATGGCCCGCGATGGATGGGATTTCTATTACGAGATGCTCAGGCAGTACTCGCTGTCGACCCAGATATCAGGCAAATCCACAAATTGGGCTTCCATCTCGGGCTGATCGGTGCACACGCCTCAGGAATGCCGGCCCACTTTGAAGTGCGCGCGTTCGCGGAGGGCTTTGAGGATCCTGCGACGGGCAGTTTGAATGCTGCGCTGGCGATGTGGCTAATCCGTTCGAACCAAGCACCCAAGGCATATACGGTGCGGCAGGGCACGGCCATCGGTCGACGAGGTGATGTGCGTGTGATGACGGATGAGCAAGGGGACATATGGGTTCAAGGGCGATGTGTGCGTGTGATCCGTGGCGAGCTGTGCATCTAGATGAGTCAAGTGGCGTGTAGGTGAGCCGCTCCGTGCGTGATGGCGGGGTCCATGTCGTCTTTTTGCTTCATGGCATCCATTCGTGGCCTCAAGGTTGGGCCTCATTGTATGGTCCTTGCACCCGGCCACATGCTTTACTACGGGCCCTATGTACTCAATGGCGGCTTGACTGGCACGCCCAACGACTTCAGCACAAGTTCCATCATTCGGTGCTGTGTTCTTGTCCAAGGTCGGCCTGGTGAACGGAACGACGCCTGGAATAATTCACGCAGCTGCGTGCGAAGCACACGCAGTGCCACCAAAGAGGGCGCGTCGTACGTCGTCATTCGCACGCGATTGTGGTCAATGTACATGCTGCGGCTCGTGTGCTTGAACTCGGCCTCTCCGCCGATGAGAAGCACCATTCGATCGTCGACGACGGCCGTCTCCCATGCATATAGCCGGAAAGAGTACACAATCGCATGGTACAGCACAAAGTGTGTGGATGTTGTGCCGAGCGCACGGCGTGCATTGACGGACGACGGATGGACGAGTGCCGGCTGATTGTTCAAGAGCGTACGCATCTGCTGTGTATTCTCATCAACCTGCAGCAGCTTTGGGTACATGGCCGTGACAAGCGCAAGTGTGACGACAGGCGCGCTTTGTCCGTACACATCGAGATGCTCAGGGATGGACATGAGCTTGGGCCGCCCGTGTCGAGCGCGGCGCCTGGCCAGGTCATTCCGCACGCTGGCCTCGACACGCACAAAGCCCGTGTCGACGAGATAGGCAAAGTACTGCTGACGGAGCTCTTCGATTTGGTACAGCACATCGGCGCTGAGCGAATGGGCCGTGCAAAACGACTGTCCCTGATGCCGCCCGACGGCAGCGCGCCATGCGTGGAACATTTGCGCGAAGGCCATAAAGTCGCTGTCATGTGTCTGGAAGGCCGAGCGGCCGCGGCCTGTCTCGCGGCCCATGCTTTTCAGGAACGGCGACTTGGCATTCAGCACTGCTGCAATAGATAGAGCTGCATCCACACAGCCCAGCAGCACAGAGACGAGGAGGAACTTGGCCAAGTGCACGTCCAGCGGCATGTGGCACAGATGACGGCCGAGAGGAGTAATGTCCTCATTGGGTGTGAGCGCCTCGACTTCCACGAGCGAGGCTACAGCTCGCTGCACATTTACAGCGAGCGGAGGGTCCAGAGCTTGAGCGAGTGCATTCTCGATGCTGGTCCCAATGCGCAGTGGCATGACTTTCAGCTGCAGAGCGAGCTCTTGCAGCGAGAGACGCAGCATCTCGGGCACCGGGTGTGGGTCCATGTAGTCGTCGTGCCGCTTGCGGGTGAAGAGGTGGAAGCAGATTCCATGCTGCACACGTCCAGCACGTCCGCGCCGCTGCTTTGCATTGCTGCGCGCGATGAAACAGTCGACAAGGCGGCTGATTTTGCGCTTTTCATCATACCGCATTTCTCGATGCCGACCTGAGTCCACGACACATGTAATGTCGGGAATCGTGATACCTGTTTCGGCAATGTTTGTTGCGAGGACAATCTTGCGCTGGCCTTCTGGTGGGGGCAAGAACGCGGCGCTTTGCTCTTCTGTCGCGACACTCGAGTGCAGAACATGCACTTGACACTCGGTCTGGAAGCGCCGCAGCTCCGTCAGGTGCCGGAGACACTCGCGAATCTCGCCCATGCCCGGCAGGAACACAAGAATCGCACGGCTAAAGGACGCATACTTGGGTTCCGTGCAGATACGCTCCAGTAGCGCTGTCAGCAGTTCGTAATTGATCTTGTGTTCGTTCAAATGCAAAAGTGTATCGATGGTCTTGGCACTGTACCGTGGAGTGGGTCCATTGGTCGTGCCGTTCACTTGTGAGACGGCGCCTGCATCATCAAGCTTCTTGCGTTCGCTCGCAGCCTTGTCCTCGTTGTCATGACTGTCGCCGTCATCCTCCTCACCATCGACCAAGTCGCCATCCACATCTTCTTGCACTTCGACCTTGTTGAGCTTCTCTGTCTGCCGTGCATACGGCGAGTTCAGATCCAGTGTATAGTCGTCGCACAACTCCAACACGTCCTCTAAATAGTGCACATCGACAGGGAACGTTCTTCCCGGCACTGCCAGCGTGGGACAGCCACCAAAGTAGGCGCTTATGCGCTCAGCGTCCAACGTGGCCGACATGAGCACAATCTTGAGATCCGGCCGTTCGTGCATGAGCGTCTTGAGCACAATCAGCAAGAAGTCCGACTCGATGGACCGCTCATGCACTTCGTCCACGATGATGTGCGTCACATCGTCTAGCACAGACGACTCAAGCATGCGCAACACAATACCTGTTGTAGCATAAATCAGTCGCGCATTAGCTCCGATCTGGCTCTCGAGACGAATCGCATACCCAACAAGGCTCTCTGACGAGCCGACCGAGCGGGGCGCCTCGCCCATTTCCTGCGACACACGTTCAGCTAGCGAGATGGCCGAAATACGCCGTGGCTCCGTCACATAGATCTTGCATGGTTCGCCACGCGCGAGGCAGTCTTCCATCAAGTAGGCCGGTAATTGCGTGGATTTTCCGCATCCCGTCTCACCACTCAGCACCACGACTTGGGACGTGGCAACACTCTGAAGGATCGTGTCGCGAGCTTGGTAGATCGGCAAGTCTTGTCGGCCACGCAGCATCAGCTCGTATGCCTTGGACGATGCACGATGTGCCCACATCTCGGCGAGCTGCGGCTGGGCCTCTCGTGTTCGGGAACGTCGCACTGATGGCGTGGATGCCGGCTCTGACTCGGGTTGCGCACGACGCGAGTCTCGTTTCAGCGCCTGCTCCGTCTCGGGAACACGCATCGCTCGGTTTCGGTGCTCAAGCAGGTGCTGGACATGCAGCACCTCGTCGCGGAGAAACGCATGCTTCTGCTCCATCCGCATTTGCTCCAGCTCGTCCCAAATGTCCCGAAAGCCTTTGGAAAGGTGTCTTTGCACTTGGCGCTCACGCCCGAAGCAATTTAGGGCAATCGTAGCAACGTAATCATCAGCCAGTGCCCGTGTCGCACATCCCTCTTTTGTGAGCTTGATCGTGTCGACAAGTGGCGGTCGACCGCCACTCGCATTCCACTGGATCTGCAGCTGACTTCGCACGGCCGACTTACCTGACACGAGAGTGAATTTGTGCTGTGCATATGGGTCCACGGCCTTGAGCACATCAGTCAGCAGAGAGCGCGGCGAACGCTGTGTGCTTTGGGCAGGTATGTCGCGAAGTCGGACGCTGACATCGCCCGTGGCGCCGCTGCTTCCTGGCTCGTCTGGCTGCTCAAAGAGACCAGCAGAGTCGCCCAGAGCCCCAGCCTCATCGTCATCAGCAGGATCGGGTGCATTGTCTTTCGCATCGCCGTGGGCGTCCGCATCAGTATCGGTGCCGCTGGGTTCATAGCGATTTGCATTTGCCACCTCGTCGCCGCGGCCGGCCGATGTTTGCTCATCAAGCTGCTCAATGTCAGAGCGTCTTTGTCGCTTTGCCTCTTCTTCTCGTTGTATGGCAGCCATTTTTTCTGCCTCTTCGGCCTCCCGCTGCCGCATCCGCTCGCGAAAACGTTGCGTTGCCAACGTTCGGTGGAACTGTGGCTGAATCTCACTTTGCTGCATCACATCCTTCGTACGCGCGGCAAGGCGATCAAGCTGTCTCTGCGCCTCAGCCTCAGCGACCAACTGCGCCAACTCATCGTCAGGCGTGCCGCCGAGCATTTTCCGTCGTCGCGAGCGGTCCTTGTCCACCTGCATAGCCACGATCCGCGCCGTGCACCAGGCCTCGATAGGGTGTTCAATGACATCCAGTAGCGCATCGTCTGTATCAAGAAGCGCATTCAACGAAGTGACAACGGTCTCTGTGCCACGTCGGATCGCATCTAGCGTCTCTGCGTCAAGACTTGCAGCCGAGACCAGTTTGGATGCATCGTTCTTTTTCTTCTTTTTCTCTGCGTCATCTGCGAATGACCCCATCTCGCTCTGCTCTGCACGCGTAAATGTGTAACCGTCATACATAGGAGGAATCGAGTCGTCCATTGATGCAGCTTTGGGCGCCACGTACTCTTGTGGCGCATCCACATTCAGCGACAAGGTTCGATATGTGCGCACGTCGAGCTGTGCCACAAGCCAGGCGACACATTCTTCGATATCCAGATTGGGCGCATAGGTCAATGCTAATGTCGCTTGCTCGCGCGAGAATCCCAAGCTCAGAAGCAGTTCCCATGTCGTCAGAGCACGCTCCAGAGCTTTCGCCTCTGACTCTTCAGGCATGGACATGCCGAGCATATTCTGGAGGATCATCCGACCATCGCTATCGCCATTGTCTTTGTTGCCGTCGGCGCCGCGTTCCTCGGCCAGAAATGTCGCTTCCTCGCACTTTGTGATGGGCTCACGTCCATCGCGCGTGAGCGCAAGTGTCTCAGCACACACATCAGCATCCATCGACACTGGCAAAAGTGTCTTGGAGAAGCGTTGCTGAAACTGAATTGTCTTTCCTCGGCGCTGCGTCTCCTTCTCTACTTTGGGGTATACCTGCTGAACAATGTTTTGTAGCGCCTGCAACTCCTCAGCCTCAGGATCAAATGCATCTTCACCGCCTGTTGGCCCCTTTGATTTGTGTGAATCTGTCATTTTCGTTGCGACTGCTGTCATCTGGCCATCAGGATGACTATGAGGGTGGCTTGACTCAGCCGCTTCTCGCTGCTTCGTCGCTCCCGACGCTATTGCGTCATTTGTGCGCTCATTGGTCGTAGGCGTCTCTCGCTTCGGCACAGACGTCGTAGCAAAGCCACGCTGCACACTGCTCTTCAGCTGGGGCTTCTTCTTTTTCACCATGTCACTCGCGAAGTTGTCGTTGTGAAGGCTTCCAACTTGGCCGATGACAAAGCGCTATGGGAATCACTTACGCGTCTCCTCAACACCCCCTCACTCTGATGTCACTAATGCGGAGGCTTACACACATTTCCCAAGTGGACGAGGCAGCGCAGCGCAGCCAGCGAGGCTACTAAGCAAAACCCTAGCGAATTCATGTGTCGTTCCCATAGCGCGCCGACATACTCCATTTGTTTGTCTCTCGACTACTCCGAAACGCCCTGGTAGGCACAAATAGATTTGTCGATGTCTTGTAGGCCTCGAATTGCTTCCACATGGCTGAGCAGGCCACACCCCCATTCCCCTCCATTTTTTTTGCACGCGCTCAAATTGGAGTGTGACAGGCATCGCGTAGGTAGACCAAATTGGCGAGCGAAAGAATACACACCCCAACGAACTATTTTGGGTAGGTTAAACCGGCTCTTGTTTCTTAGCGCCACTGAGTGACGCGCCCCTTATTGAGTGGCGCACATCCTGTTTCTGCTCTCTGTGCCGCGCATAGCATGACTGAAACAATAACGGAATCGCGCGGTGGCACTCCCATGTCGGAGGCTGTCGCACAAGGGTCGCCAGCTAGTGGTCCTTCGACGGCTCGCACGTACGTACGACGCTCCTATATGTATAGGCACTCACCATCTACCGTGTCGACAGGTCATCGCAGGCACGAAACCAGCCAGTAAAACGTTACGATGGCGAGCCACTATCCCGCACAGATGTACAGCACGCGATGCTGTGCTACCTATTTTCCGACACGCGCCGTGTGTTCACGAATCCACGCGCTGGCTCTCGCGGAGCACGCATGTCATCTTTTGTACAAAGTGTCGGCAACCAAGCAGACGACACGACGTCTTCTCAGGCAAATGATACCGACAAGTCCGCCATATCGAATGCGCCTTTGGCTGTCCAGGCATGTGTGGCCTCAGCGATGGCCGGGCCCTACCCGACATTCGTATGGCCATACGGCCAATCCGCAGGCTCCGCACGCCGCGCAGACGAGACTCCAGACGAATACGAGACTTGGAAACGTCGGCGGACGTCGTATCTGACGTGGCGCGACTCGCACTATCCCATGTCCATCACCCCTGTTGACGAGCTCGATGGCCATGAAGGTGGGCAGGAGAAGCCTGCGGCGGCTGCGCATGCTCCTACTGACGACGCGCAAGTTGCGAACGAGGCATCTGGCGCCGGTCCCTCGTCGTGGGCGCATCCTGGAGCTGAGAAACTCACGTTCAAAGAACTGTACATTGAGGCACTCATGAACAGTGGCAAATGTACCAAGAGCATGCGAGAAAAGTGTTTCTTGGACGAAGAGTATGCGGAGGACTTTTCAAAAGTGTGCTTGCTTGTGAATGTCGGTCGTATCAACACGACTTTAGCATTTTACCCCGAGATGAAGACGATTCTCCGCAGCTATCATCCTGTGCCATCGTTGCAAAAGTCCGAAAATACTCGGCGCAACATGCAAGATGCGCCGCGTATGAAGTCGCTCCTCAAGGCCGTGCTTCTTCCGCATGAGCGTCCAGGTCCGCCGGGTGGATCTAGCACTGCATCTGCATCTGCCAAGCATGTCGGCCATCTCGACACGGAAGAGGTACCTGCTGATATCGCAGAGACTGCACGGCGTCTGCGTCTTGAGCGTCGTCCACCGACATCCGTCGTCACCCTGATTTTCCTTTTGACGCACCAGGCATCTGACATCATGTCCTTGCATTTCCCTCCTCCATTTGACATGCACTCTCTCTTCTTCCCGCAAGCGTCGCATCCCGTGTCGGCCAAGCACCGTGCCAACGTATTTCTGTGGCTCCTGTACCACTACTTAGAGGGACCTGCCGCTCTGCCTCCAGGCGCTCCTGGCTCAGAGAATCCGTTCGATGACGATGTATCGCGTGCTGCGAGGCGGCAGGCACGCACCGCCTGGATTCAGCAAGGCTCTGTTCCACCTACCGATGCAAATCCTCTTTGGCGTGGCACACCGAATCCCGAGTACCGGCGCTGGCGCGAGCTATATGACCATCCCAATGACGCCAACGGTGACTCTGGCACCTCGTCCTCATCCTCATCTCGTCGTCCCGCACGCAAGCGTGCCGCCGATGTCGATGATCCGGACACGCCGCCATGCCCGGAGTCGCATACCGACCGTCTCTTGGTGCCAGCGATGCCATATATATCCTCCGAAGCCTATATGCAAGAAGACGCTGACCCGCCTGAGGAAGTTGCTTGGGGTAAGCAAATGCAAGAAGAGCGTGCCGCTTTCCTCGTCCGCTTCCAGGAAGAGGAGCAGGCCAAGGTTCTTGCTCAGAGCGGGATTCTTGATGATCCCGAGCACGGACGTTCCGATGAGGCCAAGCCGAAGAAACGTATCCCCGTCAATACACAGAGTTGCTATCCATTAGCCAATATCCTTGCCAATGCCGCAGCTGCGGGCTCGCACGCAGGTGCATTGACCCGCTCACCCATCGGCTTTGTCAAGCGCGCACGTCTTTCTTCACGTCACTCTCATCCACGCGATCATCGACTCACGCCATCGGAAAGCCAGGAACTGGATGTCGAGCACACATCAGATGCAGCAGGCGCGTTAGAACATGGGTCATTCTGGGATTTGGACTTGTCTGCTGCATCTCATGAGCCCCAGCAGTCCATGGTTCAACATGCGTGGGACTTGGTGAAAGCACAGGAAGACTTTGATTCAGACACGGACGCACATGATGACCACGATGATGAACAACTGCTTGCACGACAGCTGCTTGTTCTTCGCCGGACGCGCGAGGCGCGCGGCGAGTCCGAGTCTTCGGCCAAATCTGCTACAGAGGCCGCTGCCTCATCGACACCTCTCGTTACGTAGCCATCCCCTCGCCTCCTCTCTCTGTTCCTCTTGCTCGCTCTTGGCACCAAATGACATCCGTCCTCTTCCATCTGATCGTTTTAGTCTCACGCGGATTTACGCAGGTGCCACTTTTCCTCCACATGATCTGTGCTGTGCCTCCTATGTGTCAATGTCGCGTCATTGTACATAATTTCGACCTTGGCGATCATCATGTTCCGTCCGAGCCGTGCATGGGCAAACGATGGCTTTGAGGCATATCGACTAGCCACTGCAAGTAATGTGCACATGCATGTGCATGCTCTTCCAAAAAGCGTACTTGTCCATAACGTACATGCCGCTGCCACAGTTGGGTACAAGGAGCTCAAGGCCCAATCAGCTCAAAAGCCACTTGCCGCACTCAATAATGCCGTTGCCTACGTGGCATCGGACGGATCGGTCGTGCAAGCAAATCTACACGAGAGTGTAGCATCATTCCAAGTGCATGAAAACCCATGTGCGGATGCGTGGAACGGCGCTGAGCGTATGCCATCGGTGGTGGCGCTCGATCCATCGACGTGGATCGTGAGCGGGATGGGCTCCTCGATCTTCGTCATTGAGGAGCAAGCACAGTACATGATTCACATTCCCGATATCCCAGATTCCGAGAAAGAGTCACGCCAAAATCGTGCAGCGAATCTCCCCTGGTATGTCTTTCAAGCTGAGGCCGCGTCAGATCATGTCCTGTTCCTGCTTCAGCGAGCATTTCGATTGCGCGACACACACCAAACCGGGTTCGATATTATTCGCGTGGCGGTTTGTGACAGACAACCCGAAATTTTATGGCACGTTACGTGCGCGCAGCCTATTATGTATGCGCATTGCCACGGGCGTCAAGCACTCCTGGGCGCTGAGGTGCCTGTATCTACGACAGATGACACAGGCTCTGTACCTCGTGTACCTCCTTACACGTGGAAGCAAGACAATCAATCTGTTACAGTCACGTTTACGCTGCCTTTGAGCGTGCAGAAGCAACAAATGCACGTGTCACTTTCTCAGCAAGGCTTTCGTGTGTCATTGGAGGCTCCAGAAGCACGTATCATTTCTCTGGACGAGTGCACATCGCTGGAGCCACAAATTGTTGCAGAGGAATCGTTACGTCGAGGTTTGTACGAAGCATGCACACTGTGGGCACCCATCCATCCCGACGATAGCACATGGACGTGGGAGCCACATGCTCAACACCATGTCTTGGCCTTACATTTGGCCAAAGCCCATCCAGGCACTCGCTGGCCGAGTGTATTTTCAGACGATGATGGTGTATCTGAGACGCTTGATGCATCTGAACTAACCCCTATGCTTGACCGCACAAACAAATACACCTCGTCGAGTCTTCTTCAAGACGGCCTTGAGGACGAGGACTGGCAGAATGGTACGTCTTGGGTCATTTCATACGTGGACGCAAATGGTCTTGTATCACAAGCAAAGGATCAAGCAACGTTCTTGGCTTCCAGTGTATCTAAGAGCTGCCTTGGTATAGATCCAGCCATTTTACTTAAATACGACGTCGACGGCCATGTGTTTGTTCCTCCAAGAGCGCCTCTGTCTTTAGACGCCTGGACTCACACAGAGACGGTACCGGCTATTAGCTATGTTCTTGCCTCAAAGCGCGATGCTCATCCCGTGTACATGTATCGCAATGGGCTAGCGACGTGGCTCATCGTCATCGAGTCACGGCCTTATTCTGCACCAAAGCATTCAGGCTCGCTGATCTACATATATGGAGCGCCCGGCTCGCCGCGTGCAGATCATGCGTCTTTGGCACCAGCAGCCTTGGCTGAAGCAGTGAGAAGAAACGAGCCACCAGCGTCAGGTTTGTGTCGTGTGCTTTCTATCGACGCAGGGCCTATCCTTGATGTGGTAGTGCTTCCAAACCAGGGAGAACGGATGGTTTGTCTTTGTGAATCATCGCTCCTCATCATCGACGGGGCATTTTCGCTCTGAGGGAGTGGTCATTTGCACGAACCGCTGCTCCAAATACGCCTTGAGCTGGGGCATTGTGTTAAAGGACCCTTCTGCTCCATCCAGTGGTATAAGCGGGCCTCGAAGCAGTCCCTCGTAGTATGAACGCGTGTGCGGAAGCTTCCCGAGTCAGACATCCATTTAACACACCTTGGATACACCCTGGGCAGCTAGGGCTTGTGCTTTCTCCAGAGGCAACGAGAACCCAACAGCTGGATGAAAGGACAAGTAGTGCTGTAAGAGGGAGCAATGCATGAGCATATGTGTCGAACCAATGCAACTAACCTTCTTGTGCTTGAGCCGGTTCGAGACCAAGTCATTCGATATGACCTGTCATCAGAATACATGCGCGCAGACGTACGTGCAAATGCAGGTGTCTCATAGAAGGAACGCTGTGAAAGCCGCAATGGACGTGCCATGCGACACCCTCGGCATGTTGGTCCTTATCGTCACTGCATGGATAAAACGCATAGTGCCCATGTGGCTCAATTCGCGCCTGGCGCATCGAGGCATGAATGCGATGAACTAGCTAGCACATTGCGTTAGCGGTGTGCTTTCTGACTGTTTGTACGTACTCGATGGCGCGCTTCGCCAAGGCGGTCTAGAACAGCCGAGGCGTGTCGACTTTGTAGAAGGGCTTGAATGGAGTCCAAGTCTCGAGTTGGGACTTGAACACGCGTGCTTATCCCTTGATCTTGTACATCTATATAGAATGGTATACGTGGGAGAATGAGGAAATGGTATTGTGCTTTCGCATATCCATCACAAATCGTGTAGGTGTATGGGTCGTGGTCGACCAGCATGTCAGGAGGCATTGTCGTTTCATCGCGATGGGCTGCAATGTATTTTAGCGCATCATACCACGCAGCACCTGGCGGGCCAAACGTCCACGGCTGAGTACTCCGAGCCAAAGGCAAAGGCGTTACTGCACGAGCCATCCTTTCCCCATCAGCGAAACAAGCCAAAAGCGCTTTTCCCCACGCAGGGAATGCCTTGCGTTTGGGTCTGTTCACGAACGGACGCCAGGCTGATTTGATATGGAGGCGTGTATCATTGCCTACGTGCTTGGGCGTCCGAGGCTTGTGTGGGGAGGGCAGGGGGAGGCCGGGCGACGGCAAGCAAGTGGCCGTGCGCAGGAGCTCCGATGTGGCTTTCTTCACGTGACATGCGCGTCGCGCTCGTCTGCATGCTGTGTTAATGTCTACTGTCTAACCACGTGTGTTGTGTGAGAATGTATCCAAGTGCCATGCCCTGATATTGGCGGCGCAATGGCGTGCCACTGGCACACGTCCTTGGCGTGTAGCAACCACACAGTAGAAAGCCGGAATGTCACCAGCGACATATCCCTCAAGTACAGGTGTGCGGCGCTCTCGTCGTCTTGCAGAGCGCCGGGAGGCTTCCGATACACAGATGGCTGCTGCCGCGTCAGCCACTATGTCGGTTCCGCCTCCTGCTCCGCGTCTCGATAGTGACGACATCCAGAGCTTTGATGGACCGCGCCCAGCATGGCTCACAGGTCATGATACCCGTTCAGACACGCTGCCGGCATCGCCGAAGCGTGGTGATTCTACGTTCGAGCCCCGTGTGCTTCCCCCGCTTAGCCAGCATGCTATGATGAATATGCCGACAGAGGCTGACACTCGTGGCATGGGACTCAGATTGCCGAGCCGTCCGCGTGACAAGACTATACCATCCTATGCTGCGAAAGATATTGCTGAAGAAGGAGAAGCGTTCCCGAGTGCCTCAGTCGCGTCGCAAACAAGAGGCACATTTCCCTCATCCCAAAACAGTTTGAGTCTCGGAATCGACGACTGGCCACTTTTTGAACCTCTTACCACATCATCCCATTCACGAACCCAGCCACTTGCGTCAGAAGGTCCATCCTATTCACGTCTACCATCTGGACAAGACTCTGAACGACATGGATCTTCGATGCCCACTGCGCCCCATATTGGGCCACTTGAATCGGGCCGTTTCTCGCCAGTAAATATGCCAAAGCATCACAATGAGCTTGTGCACGCCGAGCACGAGGATGCAGAAATCCCACAGCGCCACACATCTTCTCACATGCGTCGATCTGTCTCGATGCAGCGGGAAAGGCCCCTTTGTCTCGAGGGAATGCCAAGTGAGACAGGTGTTATGGGCCTTGGCATTTCATTTAGTTCGAAAGATACGAGGAACAATCCAGAAAGCAAGAGCATTGTCGAAAATATGACATCCTCACTGAAATGCATGTCTCTTGAAAAGAAGCCAGCGCAAGCAGTATCGGTGCTCCGAGAACGCCCGTCGAATACCGCGCCGAAGCGCGTTCCCTTTGCCGAGAAGAAGAATCCTGTGGATACGGGGGCAATGAAAACCAAGAACGGTGTATCATCACTCAAGGCCGGCAGCAGTACCCTGGAGCTCCATGCATCGGGTCGGAGTGTGCTTGATGAAAATGGGAATCCTATTGCATATACAATCCCTACAAAGCGGTACACCATGCCAGTGTCTCGAAAGCCACGCAGCAGCACATCCCAGTCTGCGATGCATCGAGACCGATCAACGTTTTCGCTTGCGTATAGCAAGCACGGACGCTTCAATACTCAGCCGGCGCTTCATGTTGGGTCGCGCCGTATGTACGCGCTACGTTAATGTTGTTGTATTGGTTGACTCAGGCGCTGCGACTGGCATCATGACTACTGTTGCTAGGCAGAGGTCCCAGAGCACATAGTTGGAAAAACCGTTCACGAGGAATGTACACAAGTGCCGCACGTTTGTGGGGCAGGTCAATAAGCTGTGCACATGTGTTAGTAACAAGCAAGAGGCAGTTTAGATCGTTACCACATACCTTTTCTACATGTCCGCCGCATAGGCACTCGTACTCGACCATCTTGACATTACTTGCACGAGGCTCACTCACTACGCGCATGGTCCGCGGATCGAGCAGGAACAGCATGTGAATAAGACTTCCCATCCATGATCGGACACGGTGTGGGCCGCGGAACCGTTCTTCGCCAACGAGCGCATGGAAGCCACGGTCAAAGTCGCCAGCATCGAAATACGTGCGCAGCGCGGATTCTTTAGCATAATATACTTCCATGTATCCGAATGGCTCGCCATCCCATTCGCCTATGAGTGCGAGCGAGTCGCTAGATGCCTCCTGCTCTTCCAGATACTTTTTGTGTGCTTCACGCGGCATGTCCTGTCGCCAACCTGTGTTGACTCGTTCAGTGGCGTGCCACTTGTGCAGCAAGTCAACATCCATGTCAGATGCAGAGCTTGCGCAACGGAAGGTGAGCGTCTGGCCGAGCTCTGGGATAAAACGCCGATAAATAGGGAGACTCCTGGCTGCAACTCCGGTGTCCATGGTCTTTGGGGGTGCTCGGAAAGGATGCAGGGATGTGGTTGTCACCCCATGGGCGGAGAGTTTGTGCGTACCAAGCACGACAGGAAACGTAGTCCCGGGCTCGAGAGTTGGAACCCAGATGCTTGGTCCGAAGGGCCCTGCACCTTGCCAAAATGCAGCGCGCGATACTAGGAGGGGCGCATGGCCGTGGGCATTCACATGTGCTTGTGGCGTCGATGACACATTGTAGCTCGCATTCACATGTGCAGGGTGTGGGATAGCCAAGCCAGAGGCCAGGAGCGGTAAGCGCCAAGGATCTTGTTCGTCGCTTGTAAGGACAAACCATTCCTGATCAGGCCAGAGTGTGAAGAACGCGTACAAGCACGTCCACACTTGCACAAATGTTAGATCTTTGTTGAGGGAAGCTTGAGCCATGCGCTGAGCGCGAGCTACGAGCGAGTTATCGTTGGGCTCCTGGGACGGGTGTGTGTAGGGCGCACAGGGGGACAGAACACGCATCACAGCATCCGGTGCTGACAATGCGTCAACAGACGCGTCGATGCGAATCAGATGCACAATCCGACCCTGCTCCACAGCTGCTGTGCCGTTATCTGTTGGCAGCTTTGACTCATGCGCGTCGTGCTCGACGTGAATATAGAGGCGCGTATCAGCACCGATACATAGTGGGTATGTGCGAGAGGCCACTACAGTAGGCGCGTGAAGCTCGCGCCGAAGGAGCGCCGACATCATAGATCAGGCTAGCCCAAGAAAAGCCTGGCTACGTGAGCAGCGACGAACTCGCGCGAGTGGCACGCGACAATGATGAATGGAGCGAGGAACGATGCCGAGCGATTGCTGACATAGGCGCTCCACATTATCAGATCGGACAAGACATCCTTGTGCAGGTGTGATTCGCTCAATAGGCTTGGGTGGGTGCAGCTTGTGCTCTCGTTGATCTTGTCCATGATTTTCCCAGTGATAAATTTTTGGGAAGCGGACGTGGACGAATCGTGACAAACTCAAGTTGATTTCGAATCGCTCCCAAGCCAGGCAACGCTCGCGTGGGCTCGCAGATACACCTCCTTCCTCCCCAGCACACAGACAGATCCTGCTGCCCCACCCGTCCCAACCCAACGATAGCTTGCGTGAGCAGTATGACGATCTATGATCACCTGGGTGTTGGGTTCGGGCCGGCGAACCTAGCGCTGTGCATTTCACTGTATGAAAATGCTGATGCAAGGGCCTCGCGTTTTACGATGTGTTTCATTGAGCGGCAGCCTGTTTTTGCATGGCATCCATCCCTGCTTCTCCCTGGTGCACAGCTGCAAGTATCGCCGCTGAAGGACCTTGCAACGATGCGTGATCCCACATCTTCGTTTACGTTCCTGAACTTTTTGCATGAGCACGGACGTCTGATGCCATACATCAACCGAGAAGAAAAAGTGCCAAGCCGCCGTGAATGGAGTGCGTATCTTGCATGGGCTGCTAAAAGAATGGATTCATTCGTTCGCTATGGCCGTCAGGTCGTCGACATTGTGCCGATCGAAGAGAATGGCTCGTTCTCCTATTTCCAAGTCGAATGTCTCGAGAACTCGACGCAAAAGCGCGAGGCGTTTTTCGCACGCAACGTGAGCCTAGGTGTTGGTGGTTGGGCCAACATCCCGGATGTGTTCCAGCCTATGTACAAGCACCCCCTGCCGGCGTCGGAGGCAGTGTGCCGCGTCGTGCATGCCTCGTCATTCCTCCCACAAATGATGCACTTGGGTCCTGTTCTAAATGCAACACAACTGTCGTCGCGGCCGCTTCGGCTTGCGGTCATTGGCGGCGGCCAGTCGTCGGCAGAGATGCTGTGCTATCTTCGCCATCACTACCCACAGGCAGCCCTGGACATGATCTTCCGCGCGCCTGCTCTTGTGCCGTCGGACGACTCGCCATTCGTCAATGCAGCAGCGTTTGATCCCTCCAGTGTCACGACATTCTGGGAGAGCACTGCGAGTCAACGGAGGCGGCAGCTGGCTGAGTTCAAGCGCACGAACTACTCGGTTGTGCGAAACGATCTGCTGTCGGAGCTGTATGAGATCGTGTACGACCAGGATGTCAACTACCGGGAGCCTTTGGAAGAGGACATGGGTCTCGTGTGTATTCTAGCGAGCACGGAGCTTGTGCGTGCTGAGCAGCTGCCTGACGGCCGTCTCCAGATCGACACGCGCACGAATGTTGGCGAGCGTCTTGAACGCACGCACACGTACGATGCTGTCTTCCTCGGCACGGGCTTTCAGCGAGATCCGGCTCAGCTTCCCTTCGTCCGTACACTCGCAAACCACTTCCCATTACTGTCGCAACAAGGCAGTGCACAGCTCCGCGAGCAAGAACTCGCTCTTGATGACCAGGTTTCCCTGTCGCAGGATCCGGACAGCCTGCGTGCGCAGCTCCGCGGCATCACGCGGGACTACCGCCTTGTCCCATCCGATGCGAGTCAATGGAAGCTTCCTCTCACGCCGCCATCATCAACGATTCAGCATATTCCGCGGAGTCAACTTGGCCGCGAGGGTCGCCGTGAGCCGACTCTGTCTCGCCACAATGCGAGATGGCCTCCAGCGTCTTCCACGCATCCTACCAGCGAGTCGACATCCACATCCACATCCACATCCACATCCACATCCAGTGCGCCTCTGAAGCCGATGGCTGGTGCAGTCTTTCTCTTTGGCTGCAATGAGCCGACGCACGGCTTGTCCGACAGTCTCATGTCCATGGTGGCCCATCGTGCCGGCATTGTGACTGCCTCGCTATTGTATGGCATGCAGGCTCATTCATAGTATCACCATCGGTGTGTAATACATTCATATGGGTTCGTGTGTGTAAGCGGCGCATTTGCCTCGCCTACGTATGTTCTATCTGCGCCGGATCGTCGGTGCTTGCGTCTGGAAGAGCCGGGCTACGTCTTGCGCGCTCACGTCCAAATGCAGTCCACTCTGGGGATAGCACGTATGCAGGATGCGACCGAGCCGTTCAACCTCTGCCACAAACGCATCCTCCGTTGCATGCCAGACCTGTGCAAGAACATCGGCGAGCTCATCGCGTGCAAGCGCGCCTGATGTGATCATCGATGCATCATCGTCGTCGAAATGCTTCTGCATCCGCTTCGATAGAGCCTCAACACACTTGCGTACATCCTTCATGGTAAAGTCACGCACAAGCTTCTTGACGGCTGCGCGTGAATAGCTACTGTGCAGCGCGACTTCTGTCGCTGGCGTTGTCGACAGAAGTGCATCAATCCCATTGCCAAAGTCCACGACTTTGCCAAGCGGACGCCGAAGCATGGTCTTGACGTAGCCATGTTGGCTGGACTCGAGCAAGGTCTGTGCCTGTTGCTGCACACGAAGAAGTGCTTGATTCGGCGGCGTGCCGGGCCGCACACGCATGCATAGATGGTACACATTGACAATCAGGATCACATGGTGGTTCAGCTGGCCCTTGTCGTCGTCAATAGCTCCCGCCTGCGGAATCGACTGGACAGCGGCCATCATGCCACGCGCTATACGCTCGTAGCCATGGTCTACGGCCTCGCGCACTGGCAATGTATCGGCCTCGCCCAACTGCGCCTCCATACGGCGAACAAATGTTGGGAACGACTGGAATATCGGCAAGATGCCCTCGCGCTTCTTTGCCGTGACCTTCGTCTGCTCCACCGCCTGCAATTGTGTGTGAATGAGGCGGCTCAGTTCGGTGTGCAAACGGGTTGTGTTCTTGTTGAGCAGCTGCGACACAGCTGCGCCGCCCGGTCGCTGCTGCAGCGCACGTTGTGCGAGCTCGGTTTCAACGAGCATGCCAACCACGGACCAGATGTTTTGCTGTGCGACGTGCGATACGAACGAATCCAGTTCCGGTACGATGACGGAGAAGATCTGTTGGAGCGCGCGATCCATCGCCTGCTGAGGACTTTCGGTCGCCAATGCCATCGTGACTGCAGCCCGATGCTTGAAGTACGGCTCCAAGTCCATGTAGTCGGCAAACGTGAGGGTGTCGTCGTTGATCTGCAGCAGGTCGGCCAGAAAGGCATGTTCTTCCGTCACGCGCGGCAAGAGCGATGCCAAGATCCGCTGCAGCGTCGCTCCCGGCATGCCATCACTCGCTGATCCCGCAGCAGGTGGGCCAGTGCCTGCACTGGCCCCACCACGACGGAGCGAGCCCTGGCGCGCGGTGCCTTCGCTACGCGCCACTTGCTGTGTCGCCACACCAAACACACGCTGCAGCTCCGTCCGGAAGCACTGTGACTCGCACGCCATATACACGCGTGAAAAGTCCTGGAACACGTGCGGAGTTGTCTCGCGCAGGTAAAGAGACAGGCCGCAATACTTGCCCAGCCACTGCTCCATGATATCGTGCGGTGGCAGCGTGGACTCGGCAGACATGGCTTGCTGCGTGTGAGGGAGGTGATTCAGCTGTGCATGCATCGCCTTCTCCAACTCCGACTCGAACTCTGATACGAGGCGCGTGTTGAATTCCTTCGCGACGGTCTCGGAATTCGCGAGATGCTGCGCCATGGCCTCCGTCTCAGTGCCTGACGTGTGCTTGTGTCGGTCAGGACGCGCCTGCAAAATGCTCTTGTACAGCGATACAGCCGCTGACTCAAGTTCCGATGCATCGGCGCCCGACGATAGGCTTGTGGACGCCAGTTTCTGCATGGCCTGTTGGTCGACCTGGATCGTCGAGAGGAGAGTGTCGACCTCGTTGAGCAGCAAGTGTCGGTTCGACGTCTGTACCTGCAATCCCTTGTTCTGGTTTTGGATGTAAGCAATGTCCTCCGACCTGGACAGCAATTGCATCTTGTAGCCAGCGACACTCGCGTCTAGTCGGTCCAGCTGCAGCAGTGAATCGTCAATATGCTGCAGCAGCTGCGCTACCCGCTGGTCTGGTTCAATCATCGCATGAATGCCCGATGACTCGAGCGCTGCGAGTTCCTCCAGCAGCCGCTCCTCAATCACGTCGGCCGTGCCAAAATTCTTCTGCCGTATGTCTGCCGAGTGCCGAACAACTTTCCACTCAAAGCCCTCGAGCATTTCTTCCACCTGCGACAAAGTGGAGTTCTCATCACCACGTGGAGCGACGAGCGCCGTCGACGCCTGTGCAGCCGTGGGACGCGTGAGTCTCCGCTGCAGCGCCGGGCGCTGTGGCGCGCCGGTAAGTGGCTTTGTTGGCGCTGGTGAGGCGGACGATCCTGATGCAGACGTTGCAGAAGAAGAGAGTGCTGTAGATGCAAGTGTAGGTTGCGCCGTCCTTTGTGGCGCGCGTTGTGGCGTCCGCAGCTGTGACACAGCGGGTCGGGCTGGCACGTGCTGCGGAATCGTCGACGCAGCCAATGACTCTCTCAGGGATGCTTCTTCCGATGCCGAAGAAGACGTCGTCTGCTTCCCCTGTGTGAGCGGACCCACATCACCTGGTTTCGTCACGCCGGGCTTGGGCGATGCCAACGTTGTGCTCACCGCAGGCCCGATAGAGCCTGCTTGGATGGGTTGTGGCGAGCGCATCGACCGAGATTCACTTGTGTCCGCACTCTGCGAAACAGGTGAAGCTATTTGTGAAGCATGTTGTGACATCGATTGCGATTGACTGCCTGTCAACCCCATTGCCGTGCCGGACACATCCGGCCCTTGACTCGTACCGGGCTATGCATATGACCATCCGCTCATCTTCGGGAGCGTTCCCTGCGCTCGAATAACAATAGATGCGAGATGATTCAAAAATGGCACGGGATCTTGTGACGTATCGACTTCCCAGCGATGTGTGATGGAAAAGGTAACAAGCAACATAGATCTTTCGCGGCACATGGAGCGCACTTGTGTCGCATCCCATTCTTTCCCGAGACTTAATGTCCCATTCGCATTTCGCCGTGCCTTGTACACATATGCACGCTGCTGACTAGGGCTCTGCCCAAGTATGATGTACCGGGTCTTGTACGCGCTCTTCTGCGCTGGCGCGCCTGATGCATTATCTGCATACTCACGCACCTTGATATGCGATATGTACTGGTTGTCCGCGACACGATTCTTCAGTGCCGCGACAAACTGCTCACTCATGGCGGGCGTCGCGTGATTGTCAACGCCCTTAAATCCTACGACAGAACTTGTCGTCGCGCTGAAACACGAGCCGATCGATCGTAAAGGGAATCAGAGGGAGTGGGGGAGGGAGGGGGTAGGAGTAGTGGAGTGCGTCTGGAAATTACATAAGACTTGCGATGCAGGTGGAGTAAATGCCTGTCCGCTTGTGTACCTATGAAAGCGCGACTAGAAATGCTACTGCTAGCTGTCTGTTGTCCTTGAAGCATGCAGCTACCTGCTCCCATTAGGGTGGCAGGTGTGCGTGCACTTGTTTGGCATGCAAAAGAAAAGCCCAAAGCTGCACTACTCTTTATTCCAGGAAATCCCGGAATGAGTGCGCACTACTCGGAGTATCTTTCTCATGTGTATCACATTTTTGATGGCCAGTGCACGATTCTATGCAAAGGCTCGCCTGGACAAGATGACACAGTCAATGCACCACCACCTACAGGGAACATGAAAACTTCATTCTTCAACATATCTTATACATACTACGGCCTTCTTGATCAGATTTCATCTCAAGCTGCGGCTCTAGAGGCTATTCGCAATACCGTACCTGCCGACACACCCGTTATAGTGCAAGGACACAGTATGGGGTCCTATGTGGCGCTGGAGCTCTTGCGTATGCATCCGGAAATGATCCAAAGTGTGCACCTCCTGTTCCCCGCGTTATGTCATATTGGACGTGCTCCACAAGCACGTTTCACACGCCGCTGGCTATGGCCGCCTTGGCTAGTTTTTCTGCAATTGGTCTCGTGGCTCCTTGCTCGCTTACCGTTGGCATGGTCACTAGGCCTCGTTTATATGTTGACTGGACAGACTCGTCCATTTGCGCGCGTGACAGCTGAGTTAATCCGCCGCCCGCACGCATTGGTCACGGCTCTTTGCACTTTTTATGACGAATTGTGCATGATTCAGGACATTCCTGACCATGTAGTAGCATGTGCCAAAGACAAAATCGTACGTTGTTACTGGGCACAAGGCGACTCAGATTCTTGGTCTCCCGCATGGCAGCGGAAGTATGCTGAAAAAACCTTCGAGCTTGTTCCGTGGCCTGATCCCATGTCACCGGTCCCCCCTGCCAAGCATACGTGCACAGAGTGTTCGCACGGCTTGCCACATTCATTCTGTCTAGGTATGCTGAAGTATGAAGTAAGCATTCAAACTAACTCTGCAGGTCCCTATGCAACCATGGCCAAGATCACAGCGCATTGGCTCCACACTGACGTAGAGAACGTGTGCAGCTCCAAATTTCCGTAGCAGGGCCGGCGGATCGCTTCCCTTGGCGTGTCTGTAGTGATCATGTGGAGCACGCATTCATATGCATGCACACGCCTCGCAATGTCTTTGTGTCAGTCTCTCATCACGTCCACGCATCTGATTTGACTTATTTCGACTCTTTGTCGCTCACTCGCCACAGTAATATGGCACTCGACGCCGAGGCACTTCCGACGCTCGCGCAACAATGGGCATCTCTGGGCGCTGCACACGCACCTGCTGAAGATGTACCCGAGGACTCGCCGCGTATTGCCTCGGCACTAAACACGTTCGCGTCGTACGTGGATGAGTCGAAAAAGATTTATTTAAGTGTGTGTATTTTATCTCTGCACTGACCTCAGGCGCAAGCTTCTGGGCGCAGGATCAATGTGTTTTTTGGTCGCAGTCATCTCATGCAGAGCCTATCCTTTGATGACGTGCCTGGTGGTAAGGCGGCCGTCCTCAAAGGCGTGAGCAGCGTTGCACTTGGTACAGAAGCGCCAGGTTCCGATAATCTGATGGTATGTTTCTGAAATCATGGGTCACACACTTACTGGCAAGCTCGTCGCGTCGTTCGGTGGTATTATTGCGATTTGGCGACTAGACGCGCTCAATATGGCAAAGATGGGTCAAGCGCCAATCTACTCGCGGTGGCGCTTAGATGGGACTCTCCCTTTGCGTGGGCAACTCGTATCTTCCGTTAGCGTATGGAAAGGCAACCTTGCAATCGGCAGCAACAAGTGTGTATCAATATGGAAACGCGGTACCTATGCAAGTGCCCCTTGGCGGAATATCTGGTCTGCTCGCACGCCCAGGCCGCTTCTCCGTGTACAGTGGTCGGCTGATGGCCAATTCCTAGCTGCTGTGCCACTTTGCGACACGCGCGTGCTTGTTTGGCGTGTCCATGATAAACAAGTACATTTGATCAGCAAGCTGCGACACACGCGGCATGTCCATTCACTCCATTGGCGGCGCGCTCGCGAAGACCTGGAAAATGTTCCGGTGCTTGTGGTGATAACATCGAATTCAGTGGCTCATGTGTACACAAAGATGCCCGAGGAATCTCCTGCGTTCTATTTATGGGCATCCATTGACGCAGCGAGCTCTTTGGAAGGCGTCGTGCCTGCCAGCGACACATCCGCGATGCGACATGTCGTTTCACTTATGTATTGTGATGCATATTATATCTCAGTGGCTTTGCACCATGATATACAATTGCTCGAGCAACAGGAACAACTGCACATCACGGGCATTGGAAATACCTCATCGGCAGAGAGCCAGCGGCGCTCAGCGCGCATCAAGCAACTTAAACAGTACATGGAGCAGGGTCCTGACGTCTTTTTTGCACTCCTGGCGGACGGATCGCTGGCCTTGTTTGTTCTGCTCAATATCGAGAAAAATACGCCCTCTCTTTCTCAAACGCTGTTCACTCTCAAGGTTCCACCTTGCATTTCGGCGGAACTATCGCATGCGCCACTCATGCTCGAATTCATGCCACTTGCACCCAGTACATCTCGGGTTTCAGATATTTATCCAACAGCACTGATCCACGGCCATACTGCGTCCGGTTTGCGTGGAACAATGGCCGTCTCGCTTCTACTTCTTCTCGATGGTGATGTACATGGCCTATTTGTGCAAAATACCACTACCGATGCTAGCATGCCAGCACATTCACCCTCGCATGCTCACGCCTTCTTGCGTGCGGAGCACCGATCGGACATTCTGTCTTTGCAAACGACAAACGATCATCATTCGCTTCTAAGTTTCTCGCGCGACGGTGTGATGATCTGGTGGAACCTGTGCGAACACGGAGAAGCTGTTTCCATGAATTCAGAATACCAAGTTCGTTTACGAAATGCCTATGCTGTGTGCGCGATGGGGCAGGGTCCGAACCTGATTGCCCTGGACGAGTCACACTTAGTGCTAGCACTTTTTGACAAGAGCTCCTTCGCGAGCTCTTCATCCCATGTTACGACTGTCAACAACATTTCCATGATGTTCTCGAAGTTGCAAGGTGTGACTCCAGACACGCTTGTAGCTCTTTATTCATTCGAGGCACAAGATGCACATAATGTCGTCCTTGTTCGGCAAGATGGGAGCTTACTGACATGGACATGTGCATCAACATCTTCTGGCTGGGTCTTGCATCCCATGCAAACACATCGACTCAATACCGATGATGTCGTTTGTGCCGAACTAGTGTCACACTGGCACCCAATAGAGTGCAAACCAGTCTTAATCACCTTATCGAGCTCAGGCACCCTGCATGTTTGGGAAGCATTGACGTGGACTTGTCTACATACAATTGAGACGCAGCAAAATGCAGTGGGGCTGTGTGCGGACATACTGGGTCACATTGCTGTTCTTTCACACACCAATCGGACATGGAAGGTGTCTATTCATGATGTGCGGCTCTTGCCATTTGCCAGTACACTCGTTCACGAACATAATATGAGCAATGTAGCCCATACACCAAGCCTCGCTTGGACAACGACCTGTGACTCTGGTGCTATGCTAGCGGTCAGCGGGGACCAGCGAGTGACTCTGTTTGTCGAGGCACAATTCGTATGGGCGCCAATTGCACGTGTTGATTTGCAGGGGATGGGCTCAGCGAATATCAGTCATGTGGGATGGGTAGCACCACATCGCCTGCTTGTGACATCGACGTGCCAGTTGTTCCTTTTCGAATCGGAGGTGAAGGCCGACGGCTGCAATGTCACGGCACAAGATCTATGGACGCATCGTAGCCACATGCGGCCGTATCATGACGCTTTATTTCTGCTTCGATGCATGCAATTCGGCTTGACAAAGGATGCATGTGCCAGCATTCAGCTCATCGATGCAGCTTCGAGAAATGGGCGTTGGAACCACTTATCTTGGTCATTTGAACGCGAGCCTTTGACTGCATTGCGTATTTCAAATCCAATTCCTGCAATGTTAGAACGCATCCAGGCCAACGGACTTGTGGACATTGATTCGCATTCCGTGCCAGCTTTGCTAGCCGTTTTGCAAGCGGCACATCAAATCGTCCGAACAGACGTTGACGTGCATGCGAAACAGTACCTACTGTCATGGTATGCATCGCAGCACACTTCTGCCCCCATCATATGGGCCTATCTGAGCGAAACGCAAGACGCGCTCTTATCCAAAGTCACAAGTGAATGGGCTGACCGCATTTCATGGCCTATGGTGCGAGACTCGGGCGTCTTTGGCTGGATGCGCTCACGCGAAGCGCTGCTACCGATCATGGAACAGGTTGCACGTGCTGCGTTCACCGCTGGCGACGACATTGACCCAATCCGCTGTTCACTATTTTACCTCGCACTGAAGAAGCCGCAAATGCTCAAGTCCGTTTGGCGCCGTGCTGTGGGCCATCCTGATCAATCTAAAATGATCGCGTTCCTCGGGCACGACTTTTCTGAAGAACGTTGGCGCGTCGCAGCACAGAAAAATGCATATGCGCTCATGAGCCAGCGACGTTTCGAGTTTGCTGTGGCGTTCTTCTTGCTGGGTAATGCTTTATCTGATGCCGTACATGTATGTGTACGTCAGTTAAACGACGTTGCTTTGGCCATTGCTCTTGCCCGTGTGTTCGAGAATGAGGATCAAGGGCCTGTATTCAAGCGCGTTCTCCGGCAGTATGCGGTGCCACACGCGCATGAGACGGGCGATCGCTGGTTCGGTATGTGGGCACACCTTGTACTGGGCGAGTATGCAGAAGCGGTGCACATGATCACAAAACCGTTAAGCTCCTCTGTGAGCGGACCTTTGTTTGACTTGCCGGATCCTAGCTTGCTCATGGTACTAGAATATTTCAAACGCCACTATTGGTGTTATGCTGCACTATCTCCACAAGATGAAACGCGCTGCGTTGCTTTCTATGCACAGTTGCTTTCGCGTACAGGCTGCGATCTAGTTGGGCTAGCCATGTTGAGGTCCTGGTCATTCGCTCGCCCTGCGAAGCCACCATCCCATGTCGAGGCGAGGAATCCAGATCCCGAATCTACAGATTCGGATAGGCCAGAAGTGTCGAAGAAAATCGGCTCACTCATGGGCGAGCGACGTCCGCCCCCCGCCCAGAGCATGGCTGAATTTGATATGTCAGCGTTCGGGTTCTAGCGATGCGTTCATTGTTTTCACACTAGCAACATGTGGCTAAATTTGCCACAGCAAATTTCCATTCCACCAATTCGCACAGTCGACTGCATTATTCAAGCGTTTATCACGAATCAATCATAGGCACATCAGGAAATATATTTCGTACAGAATCGGGATCGATTTTCGCCCTGGGGTTGGTCAGACAGAAAGACGTAATTTTGCTGGACCTTCATATCTAGGCACTCGCTCTCTTCTTTCACTATCTGCCACTCATTTACTTTTGTGTGATGAGTGCTCTAATCACGCGCATCTCGCGCTCGACACTGGCAATGAAGCCAGTTGTCAACAGTGTGCGCTACCAGTCTGTGTGGGCGGGCGTTCCAGCCGGCCCACCTGATCCAATTCTCGGTGTAACAGAAGCTTTTAAGCACGATAAGGACCCGCGCAAAATTAACCTTGGTGTTGGTGCATACCGTGACGAGCACGGCAAGCCTTACGTTCTTCCAAGTGTACGAAAGGCTGATCACCATATCGCTAAATCGAACCTGAACAAGGAATATCTGCCTATCACAGGTCTACCTGGCTTCAACAAGTATGCAGCGAGGCTCGCTTATGGCCCGGACTGTAAAGTATTGAATAGCCACCGCATCGCAACGACACAGACAATTTCCGGCACAGGTGCGTTGCGCATTGCTGGTGAATTTCTTGCACGTCACTACCCTCACAGCAAGGAAATTTACCTTCCTACGCCCTCCTGGGGCAACCACCGACCTATTTTCCAAAACTCTGGCTTGCAGGTGAAACAATATGCTTACTACGACAAGGAGACGGTGGCTTTGGACTTTGATGGCATGGTTCGTGACATTAAGAACATGCCGAACAAGAGCATCATTCTCCTGCATGCGTGTGCGCACAACCCGACAGGTGTGGACCCGACGCAGGAGCAGTGGAAGACGCTCTCGAACGTCGTGAAGGAGAAGGAGCTCTTCCCATTGTTTGATATGGCATACCAGGGATTTGCAAGTGGTGATACGGACCGGGATGCATTCGCAGTGCGCCACTTTGTTGCTGAAGGACACCAGATTGCACTGTGCCAAAGCTTTGCCAAAAACATGGGCTTGTACGGTGAGCGATGCGGGCTGCTCTCGTTTGTGACTGATAGTCGTGATGAACACGCTCGCGTTGACAGTCAATTGAAAATTACAGTCCGCCCTATGTACTCGAATCCCCCCATTCATGGCGCTCGTATTGCCGAAACAATCCTCGGTAACCACACTTTGTACTCCGAGTGGCTGCATGAGGTCAAGGGTATGGCTGACCGTATCAAAAGCATGCGCGCCACACTCAAGACCCTTTTGTACGAAGAGCATGGCTCGAAACACAACTGGGACCACATCACCAACCAGATTGGTATGTTCGCCTTCCTGGGTATTACACCTGAGCAAGTCAACAAGCTTGTAAACGAGCATCATGTCTACCTGACGCAGGATGGTCGTATTTCTGTGGCTGGTATCACAAATGAAAACGTCCAGCACCTCGCTGCGTCTCTGCACAATGTCACGTCAGTCTAGATGCCCGTAGCCTTAAGGATCGACATTGCGCAGTGTTGGGGGTATATAGGGCAAGTCCAGTATACCAAAGCTAGTTTTGTTAGTCAGGAATCTAAGGGACGTACATGTTCTCTTCCTGGGGCGTAGTCACCAGTTCCTGTGACTGAAGATGAAACAGTCCAGCTTGTGAAAACTTGTTTTCATGGTCAGTCCACATTCCCTTTTATGCAAGCACCCTGCACGTACAGAATATCCGCGCGTCTGAGCCCAGCGCCGGAGATCACGCTCATAGAGCGAGCTGCCAGTCCATGCAAGAATAGCGGCACCTAAATAAGCACGCACTGCATACACGATATCAACGCGTCGATGCATTTGCTTGCCTGAGGATGTATCTGCATAGACAATCTCGGCCACGTCCACGAGTCGATGATCCTCCGTGTGCCGCGAGAGAGCCAGAGTATGAGACACTTTGCCCGCGTCGCGTAAAGAATGCACAAGAGCATGAAGAAGCGTCGTTGCTGATTCTTCCGAGGAGCTTGACACAACTAGATCCACGTCACCTGACAGCTCCTTTCCCCGACGATATCCGCCAACAATGACTGCCTGAGCATTCGAGACAAGGCCGTCCAAAACGCGTAAGATGTCGTTGCGAATACATTCTACCTGGGCACGAGGAATTGGTCGAAGAAGATCAGGCAGCATGGAAAGACTAATGGATGGACCTAGTCGATTCGCAAACTCCATCTTGCCAGTCAAAATGACATCTTCTAGCGTGCGGCAACCTTCTTTGTACAGTCTCTCAGACATGTGAGGCCCGACTCCATGAAGTTTCATAAAGTGGAACATCGTTTGCACAGCTCGGTCGTTTCGAATGATTTCAGCCTCAGGAATGTAGCCGTGCTCGTAAAATTGCTGAATGACTGTAATCATTTTAGGCCCGATGCCCTTGATAGCCTTGAGTTGCATCTCATCGAGTGCCTTGAGTGGATACGGAGCAGCCTTAACGGCACTTGCTGCGCGCAGATAAGCCATTTCACTGTGAGCATCTCGAGTGAGACGGCGATGCATCCTGACACACTCTAGTTCGTCCACCAATGGTTGATTCCATGGGCTCACGAGGGGAGTGGGCCGAAAAATAGCGTAGTCAGAATTAACCCAGCCTTGATTTGGACTGGCTTCTTGAGAGTCAATCCAGGTGGGTGACGGCGTGGGCGTTGCGTCTGGGTCATCAAAATGATTTGGATCGATGCTTTGTCTAGATTTGGAGGCATCTAGCAAATATTCCGGGCCGAAGGGGGTCACAGAGTTGGGAGGGCGATCCCACAAAAGGTATGCGTCCATGCATACACAGCTGCCCTGCTGCGCGCAGGCCCGAAGCCAGTCGATACTCACGATCGGCTTGTGCAACCGTTCTTCAGCATCAGTACAGAGCTCAATACGTTTCGGGGCGCGAAGCTCTGAGACCAAGATGTTCGCATCACACCGCTTGCTACAAACCGCGGCACCTAATTGTTTGGCCAGATGAATGACCTGTATCTGCTCTGCACGATTCAGCTTATCGGGTAAGACATAGACGCCTGTACGAATGAGAAGACAAAAGTAGACTTACGCGAAGCTTGCGTCAGAATACGACGACGTCTACTACATAGTTGCTGACACCTTTGCTCAGAGACATCTCTAGGCATGGGCCTGAACACATGGAAACGTAATGTGGGTAAGCCCCCCCCCCACCAGAGCTAGAAGCAAGGCTCCACATTACCTGTTTTGTTTCATTTGATAGTACCTATGATGTGCCAAAAGCTACAATTTGATATAACTTTTTTTTTGCTTTTTTTTAATATTTGGGCCACCCGCAGTCCAACACCATTCGAACTCTGACTTAGTCACAAAGGGGCAAGCTTTCCTTCCGTGCATGTCCACCGCAAGGCGCTTGAGCCACAGTAATTTAAGGGCTTCATCGCATTCGCATAATGCAGAAATGAAATCACACGCATCATCACGGCCATCAACAACGCATTCGGCCTTTGACAATTTGTACGCTACATTGCATGTCACTGACCCCAGTTACGACTTTTTTATTGGAAGTCATGGGCGACAACCAGCCACCTCTTCACATATGCACGAATTTTCCTCATCGTCTCGTGCATTAGCTGCGGATGCACGGGATTCAGCGTCTGGTTCTTCTGCCTCTTCAATCTCTGACGAAGAAGGTGGAATTGATGCGCAGGACGACATGCTTCACAAGGGATCTTCTCGCTCAGTGCACGGCCCAGTTCAGTCTACCCCAAGACCTTTTCATAAGGCACAAAGGGGATCTGAGGACCCAGATGCATCTTTCTTGGATCGTCTGATGACGGGAAATGAATCGTCAGCATCAACAGCACAGCCAAAGCGGAAGCGTGGACGCCCACGAAAGGAAGCTTCGCTAACGCCACAGCTACCGGCCACTGTGGCCAAATATAAAAGCGAGTCACCAGACCAGCCGAAGCGGAAACGTGGACGTCCACGTAAACGCGAGTTAGAGCCTCATGAAGAAATTGCTCTTATTGCTTTCAAGCAATCAGGATCCATCCGACCATGGAAAATCATCGCACCTGTTGATCGGCCGCCACAATACCCAGAAACGCACGTGTTCTTCCGGATGCCCCAAACGAAAAGACGACCACCTTTGTTAGATTCGCCTGAGGCACCAAGAGCACCGCCATCTAAATGGTGGCATTATACGCGGCCGATTCTCAAGGATGTTCCGGCGCGGAGGCCGGATGGCCAGACGTCGGAGCCGTTACCTTTAGCGCCACCCGGGAGACGGCCACGAACACGTGTGGACTATGCAGGGCTACAGCATCTTCAATTAGCGAATCGGGCTCGAGGAGTGCAGTTGAATGTACAGGCGCTATGGGAACGTCGAGTTACTAAGACGAAGAGAAACGAGCCAGAATCTACAATTACACCACCAACATGACGCGATAGAATATGCGAAACAAGGACACCTGTGTAAGAATAGGCAAGGACGTACAAGGAACACGATCAGGTATACCATGACGGAAATGAAACACAAACAAATGAGAGAGATTTGCAGATCACATATGGTGCTTTTATTCGCGATATGCTCCTGTACAGGTTGGATGTGGGAATAAAATGGTGAAGATGATGACATGCACGCAATTGTCGATGTGAAGTAGTTGTCGAATGAAAGCGACAATTCCGCCGACCATAGACACACGAAGATGAGTTCCAAAGCCATATATCCAAGCTTGGAGCTCGCCTTCCAAAGTCCGATAGGACGACTTCTGTACTCGAGCCACACTTGAAAAAGCGCATATGCAAGCGAAAGGGGTGTGAACACGATCGCCAGGATAGGACTCATTCCCACGGCCCACTCGAGGTCCACGTCATGAAGGCTTTTCCGTAAGCGCACTCCCACGGCCAGTGTTGAAGAAAGCACGGCAATGTTAATTACACGCAAGATGAATGGCACAAATGGATTACGGAGCAAAAACGTCACAAATTTTTGGTGCCACGAGGCGCTGCGTGACGATGTTCTGACACCAGCGCCCACGACTGTATTTCCAGCGACTTTGACATTAGAATCGGCACCCAATGCGTTTTTGAACGACCATGGTTCATTCCATCCGCGAGATTCGGTCTTGTTTAAGGTGAGAGGATCTGTGTTTCCTGGCACGGTCATCTTTTCAGAATTTGTATTCATAATACTCCAGCCCATCATATCATGCAACGGTGTCTTCCTAGCATCTTCGGAATTAATTCCCGCAGGTTTTGACACTAGCTGATCAAGTGGGCGCGAATGCACTTGCTCCGGATTGTTGGTATATAGCCGATGCACGGACTGCTTCTGTAAGTTTTGCCAATTTTGAAAATCCTCTTGATTGTATGGCATGTGCATCGGGATACGAATTGAGTCGAGCTCTGCGTAATATTTGGTTGGGAGCTGGAACGTTTCCTCTTCGGCACCATCCTCGCGGATCTCGCTCAGAATGGGCGACACTACCGTTGGGCGGGGATTCCCTTCGTGGAATTGGGCACCTGTGCCAGATTGCTGTGCTTGGGTGCCCATGCCCGCATCGCCAGACCACGGGACCATTACTTCCTCACGAGCTTGATTAGGAGATCGAAGACACTTGTCCTATTGCACAGTCACCGCTTCTAAGAGACAAGTCTGGTAAAATTCACCTCCAACATTTGGACCACCTTTCTCCTGACCTTGATGCCCAATTTTGACACAGCTGCTGCATGATCTCGCATGGCCTCCACATCCAACCGTGAACGAATCACACTGAATGGAGATTGACATCCTTAAGATATGAACATGCTACGATTGTGGCACCCAGTCCGCCAACTCAACGAGATACGCCATGCCTAGACGCACGAATTGGAGCAAGTGTGGGAATGAAAATCCAGACGCGTCATAAATATCACGAGAAGTCTGCGTACATGTCAGGATACGTGTCCACGTGAAAGCAAGCGACCAAAGAAACATACATGAATCCGCTGCAAGTTGCAGTCTTCAAAAGGACTGGCAGTTTATTAGCCTAGTTTTTTTTCTCTGATACGTACGCTTCAATGACAAAAGCGCTTGGTTGACCTACGCGTGTCCAGCTCGCGTGATCGCTCGCTCCGTATTCAAGCAACGTGCGTGCCACGGGTATATGTAGGTAGTGACTCGCAATTCGTTCGATGCATGAAGTAAGAGAAGGCGATACAAAATCATCCGCCAGTCCAATTCTTTCCCTTGTCCCTTCTTTTACAAAAGCAGTCATATCCATTTGCAACACTGCATTGACACGCACGCCCTGTCGAATGTATTCATCAGTCACAGCTTGACTGCCCAGAAGACCGCCCTCTTCTGCTGAGTACCAATGGAACTCAACGTCAGATTCTGGCGCCCAGCCAGCCTTTCCGAGAGCGCGAAGTATCTCCAGAAGCGTCACAGTGCCACTACCATCATCGTCTGCGCCGGGCGCAGCAAACACCGGTAGGAAATTTACGCTGTCCTGATGTGCGCCAAGAATCGTGATCCCACGCTCGCGTGTGAGTGTGGAATTGGTGCCCTTTATATGTAAAATGATCGAGCTTTGGGGCCAGCTGTGTTGGAAAGCTCTGACATTGGTGTTGGCAGTGAGTCTGCGAGCGAGGCTCTCGACTTTGCCTTGCAGCCATTTTTGACTCAAGACGCCTGTGAAAGAGTTGTAGTACCGTGTGAAAAAGGAGGTAAACTTGTGTAAATCAGCGCGTGGCCCCTCTTCACTCACATGGGAAAATGCTTGCTGAAGGAGCTCATCATACCGCATATGCTGGGGATATGTTTGTTTGTCTTTATTCCTTTCTAAAGTAGCGACAGACGCCCATGTATCAGATACATCAATAAAGCGTATACCGCGATAACGGAGCCACCACTTGTATAGTTCTGATACGTATATTCGCTTACCGTCCGCGACTTTTGATCAGTATACGAAGGCAGAAATACGTACGCTCCAGCACACGCTTGTCCCAGGACGAAAGCGCACGCACATGTTTCAAATTATCGTCTACCGTGTGGATAAAAGATGGGGATGTATAAGGCTGTTGCACTAGAGGCTGCGCTACAACAAAACTTGCGACGCATGCCAAAAGCGCTAGTGCACCCATACACCCGCACCGCATGTTGAACAGTACAAGGAACACGCAACGTTAAAAGCTCAGTAATAAATAGGCGCGCTGCATTGTGGAGAAACATGATACGACTTTCTGTGTGCGGGCTATGTCGTTGTTTGTTCAGCAACTCGGGAGATGGGGCGAAGGACACTGCCTAGCTGGGGTGGATTCCATCATTTTATCGCGGTTGATCCTATTGCTTACCTCAGCAACGAGAGAAAAAAATTTTGGTGCCGAACGTCGTACTCCTCCAACTTTGGCTCCACGCCGACGTCGACGCCATGAAACGCAGCCGAAGCATCGCGGGACATGATGACCCGCAGCCGAAGCGCAAGGCACCGTCGCATACAAAGCGTGAGGAAGCGCCAGTAGCGCCCCATATCGCTGCTAGACCACAGATGATGACCTCGTTTCCACGAGGTGGTGGCACTGGCTTGACCCCTGTCGAGTACCGACAGTCCGTGCTTGAGGGACGCCAGGAGTCCGCTGCGTCGGATGATTTATTCCAAGAATCGTCACAAAGAAAGCGTGTCAAGACGAAGAGTACAACTCAGAAAAAGAATAGGAAGACGGAGGCTAAGACTGATGTACCGAAGGACCGCGTGCGCGTTGAGCTTTTGAACTACAAACGCCTGCTTCCTGGTACAAAAGTGTTTGGGACGATTCTGGCCATTCATCCATTGGCTCTTGTTGTTTCAATATGCGATCAATTGCTCGCGCATGTTCCTGTCACGAGCGTTAGCAAAAGGTTGACCGATCGATTACAGTCGGCACTGGATGAAGAAGAAAAAGACGAGGAAAGTGACGGTGAGGACATTCATGAAACAGAAGAAGACGAAGAAGAAGAAGGAGAAGACAGAGACGATTCATCGCCGCCTGAGCTGCATGAGATTTTCTCCGTTGGCCAGTGGGTTCGTGCGAGTGTCGAGTCTGTGACAGCAGCCGGTTCCAAACGCCAGTGGGGCATGGGCCGTGAGGGTGGCGAATATGAGCGAGAAAGCCAGCGAGTCCAGCTCACGATGGAGCCGACTATTGTGAACGAGGGCATTCGTGCAAGTGATCTGAGTCCCGGCTACGTTCTATCTGCGGCTGTTCAAAGTCCCGAAGACTACGGATACACGCTGGACCTTGGCATAAACGATGATGTTCATGGTTTCCTGCCGACGAAGGATCGTTTGCGTGTGGGTTCTGTTGTTCTTGTCGAGGTTTCGTCCGTTGACGGACGTGCAGTGCGGTGCCAGCTTGCCACTAGTGGTGAGCCTGCGCCTGTGACGACGGCGCCATCGCAGAGCGCGATGCTGCCCGGTGTTCCTGTGCGAGCTTTGATTACCTCGCATGTGCCGCAAGGACTCAGTGTCAAGTTGTTTGGTATGTGGGATGGCACGGTTGATTCATTCCATGTACCACGCGGTTTGGCTCACGACGATGCCGCGCTGGCGCCAGGAAAGAAGATCATGGCTCGAGTCCTTTGGAACATGCCAGCAGATTATGAGCAGGCGCAAGAGGCAAGTATTGATGCAGTTGGTGCTCGTCGGATTGGTCTTAGTTGTGTATCACATGTCGTATCACTAGAGACGCCATCAGCGGCAGGATCTGTCCCACTGACTCATGCCTTTCCCATTGGAATGCAGCTCCGTGTGCGCGTTCAGGCCGTGTTTCGTGAGTGGGGTCTTGTGTGCGAAGTACCAGGGCAAGACATACCAGCATTTGTGCATATATCGAGCGTGTCTGACGAGCACATTGATACACTATCGGCGACGTCAGGTCCGTGGCGGGTGGGCACGGAGCATGAAGCGCGTGTCACAGGCCATGCACTCACTGATTGCCTTCTCATGATGAGCATGCGCGCATCAGTGCTGTCGAAGGAGTTTATGCGCGTAAGTGAGGTGCCTATTGGCCAGGTTGTGCGTGTGAGCATACGAAAAGTCACACCCAAGGCGATTTTCGTGCGCATGAACGGCAATGTCGACGGAGTGGTGTTCCCTATGCATTTTTCCGATGTGCGCCTGACGCATCCCGAGAAGAAATACAAACCGAACCTGGAACTGAAAGCCCGCATCATTCACACGGACCCGATGCGAAATCGGATTGTGCTTACGTTGAAGCGCTCTCTCATTACGTCGGACCTGCCTTTGCTGGCCAAGTTGGAAGACGTTCGTGTAGGTGTTGTCACGAACGCTGTCGTGCTGAAGCAGCTGCCAGCGAGCATGTTGGTTGAGCTGGGTGGCACACTGCGTGCAGTTGTCCCATTCGCTGAAGCCTCAGATACAGCCATGACATCCGAGCAGCTGGGTGAGCTGAATCCGACCGGCAAGGTCGTCAAAGTCCGCATCACAAAGTTTGAGCCAGAGACTGGTCGCATTATGGCGAGCATGAAACAGGCGTCATCTGTGTACTTGCAGAGACTCAATGTAGATGCTGTGGATGTGGGCGAGCGTGTGGCAGCACGCTTCGCTGGCTGGCAAGACGACGTGGCTATCTTGGTGCTAGAGCCATCTGGCACGCGGGCATTGCTATCGTTGCATGATCTTTCTCGTCAGCGACGTGTTGATGCTGACAAAGTCCGTGCGTCGCTGGCGGCGAATGAGCTCTTGTCAGACTTGTACGTTGCGAAGAAGAATGCGGTCAAGGGCTATGTTGTACTAAGCTATGAGTCGCCAGATGCTTCGAAGACAGTGGAGGTCGGTGGCAGATACGAGGCGCGCGTCGTGGAAACGCATCATGACAAGCTATACAGCCTCGTCTCGCTGTTGGGCACGCCATGCCGTGCACGCCTGCATGCGACAGAATGCTCCGACTCATTGGCAAATGCAACTCTTCCTGATGTCGGAGACCAGTGCACGTGTATTGTATTGAGCGTCCGAAAAAAGAGGCGTGAAGCTGACGTGTCAATTCGCCCATCGCGTCTTGCACCGAGTGACGACGTGAACGCGTCAGTCGATGATCCTGTTGTGGACAGTACTGCGCAGCTGGAAATTGGCATGCACATTCGTGGCCTTGTCAAGGCCGTGACGAATCACGGCGTGTACGTGTCTTTGGGACCGCATACAGATGCACGTGTCATGATCAAAGAATTGTTCGATGAGTATGTGAAGGATTTCCGAACCAAGTTCCAGGTGGGCCAGTGCGTTCGGGGAACGATCCTCCAAATTGAGCCAAACGGGCAAATTGAACTCAGCTTGAAAAAGAGCCGCCTCGAAGGTGTGAAGCCATCTGCTGGTGCATGGTCAAAGATTCACGAAGGCGAGAAGGTCAAAGCGCATGTACGCGGCATCACTGAGTATGGAATATTTCTGCAAGTGGACGGCACCGACGTCAGTGGGCTGTGTCATAAGAGCGAGCTCTCGGATAACAAGTCTGCAAATGCGATTCGAGCATTTGCCGTGGGTGACCGAGTGAAGGCGGTCGTCCTGAAGATGGATGCTGACAAAAGACGTGTGGCGTTTGGACTCAAGCCGTCGTACTTTGATGATGGCGATTTGGACGATGTAGACGAGGAGGATGACGAGGATGACGAGGATAATGAGGAGGATGAGGAGGAAGGGGATCTCAATAGTAGTGAGAACATTGGTGAAGAGGATGACGAAGATGAAGACGTGGATGAAGACGAAGATGAAAGCATTGAGGAGGAGGAGGAGGAGGATGACGATGAGGATGATGGCGACGACGACGAAGAGCCATCTGAAATTGACGTCGAGGCTGAAGATGTTGATTTTGATGGCGACGCGAGCGACGATGGGGATGAGGATGTCGTTGATTACGAGCTTGATACCGAATCAGAGAAGCCAATGCGCTCAGTCCAAGAAGGATTCCGTTGGGGCGCTTTGAATGATGTGCCAGACGATGACGACAACGGCGACGATGATGATGATGATGACGATATGGACGGAGCGCGACGCTCGTCGCAAGGTCTCGAAAAAGTCCATGTCAGATGACATCACCGCCGACCTTGCAACGAAGAAGCTTGATTCCGCCGCAGACTTTGAACGTGTCTTACTAGGCTCACCAAACAGCTCTTATCTGTGGATCCAATTCATGACCTTCTATCTGCAGCTAGGCAACGTCGACAAGGCCAGGCAGGTGGCACGACGAGCCATCCAAGTGATTCACTTCCGCGAGGAGCAAGAGAAACTAAATGTCTGGATGGCACTGCTAAATGTCGAAAACATGTACGGCTCACCGGAGACGGTGGAGGCTGTGTTTAAGGAAGCTGCGCAGTACAATGATGCACTGGAGGTGCATTCACGTATGCTGTCGATTTACGAGCACGGCAACAAGATTGACGACGCAGCAGCGTTGTTCCCACGCGCGGTGAAAAAGTTCAGCTTTGTACCGGACATGTGGATTCGCTGGTACGAGTTCTGTCTCCGCCATGATCGTGAAGACGAAGCGCATGCACTCGTCCCGCGCAGTCTTCAGAGTCTGGACCGGAAGCAACATCTTCGTGTGCTCACAGCCTATGCGCTTGCTGAATACAAGCTTGGTGATGTGGAGCACGCACGGACCATGTTCGAAACGTTAGTGTCACGGTATCCAAAACGCACAGATATTTGGTGGCAGTACATTGACCAAGAGGTCCGACTGGAAAATGCCGCTGGAGCTCGCTCACTGATGGAGCGTTGCTTGGCCGCACGCAAGCACACGACCAAGCAGGTGAAATCGCTCTTACAGAAGTGGCTTGTGATTGAGAAACGCGTTGGTGATGAAGCTGGCGTGCAGCGGGTCCTGGACCGTGCGCGTGCTTTTGTGGCTAGTGTGCAGAAGCGAGCCGCCAGTATCGGAGATGACGATGCACGAGACGAAGACGAAGAGGACGCACAAAATGATGGGGACGACAGTGACGACTTCGATGAGGGTGAGAATTATAAGTAAGATCTTGCGCCGCAGCCGTGTGGCATGTGGTTCCATGTGCCGGGTGGACAGGAATGCTTGTACATGTTCATATGTGCTTTTGACGAGGGCTGCGACGCCTCACTAGTGCCACCTGCCTTGCCGCTCTCCCTCTCCCCTGATCGTATCCATGGTGTGACGCTGCCTTTTTCTTATTCAGATCGCTCCAGCCCTCCATTCATTACATACATGGGACGTTCTCACTCTCTATAGAACTAAATGAGGCCCTGGTCCTCTTCCGTCGCATGATAGCCAGCGCGGCGCATAGCTCCCAGCACACGGCGTGCTTGAGACAGTTCTTTTTCGAGCTTGAGAACTTCGACCTGCTGCTCCATCTCACGGACCTTGAACTCGTGCGTTGCCATACGAGAAAAGTCGAGGTCGTCCGTGCCGCTCTGGCGGTCGGTGATCATTTGCACTTGCCTCACAAGTGACCGACATGCATCCGTTACGGCTTTCGCTGCACGCTCAAGGCGTTCCTGTGTTTGTGACATAAATTCGCTCTTGACGCGAGACGCAGCGACAAGCTGCACTGTAGCGGAGCTGACTTCATTCGACGCCACAATCAGCTGCTCAAGGCTGTGCGTGCTCATAATGACGCCATCCGCAGTCTCAATAAGCATCGTAGAAGCAAATGCGACGGCACGTGCAGCGGAGATAAGACCTTCCGTCCAGCGGTTGTTCTTTTTGTAGAACTGATGTGCAGAGCTTGTACCACGGCCCCGCGCGACAATTTCCTCTTGGCTCTCAGTCGATGCCCGAATGAGACCGCCAATGGCGCGCATGATCGCCATCGCAGCTTCCAGAATCGTGTCGTGGACCTTCAGTTCCGTTGCTGAGTACCGATTGGACGTCTTATCGCGAGCGAGAAGGGCTTGAAGCCGCAGCGTCGCTTGCTCGATTGTGTTTGCTGCCGACATCATTTCCTGCTCGATCATATCGCCCAGCTCGCCCTGTGGTGCGCGCTGCCCTATAAGCGCTTGGACACCATCCGCCAGGCGGCCCAAAGCATCGTTGGCTTGGGCATTCTGCTGCATAGCGACATGACTCCGCTGCTGTGCGGACATGCTCGCCAAGCGATACGACTGCACGTTCAGGAAGAAACGCAGCAAAACGTGACCTGCATCAACAGCGACGCTCGTGAGACGCTCCATCGCATCTTCATTCCTGCAGAAGCGCAGGATACCCTTCACATTCACAACAGAGTCTGATGCAGCCTGTGCAAGCTGATTCGCACACTTGATGACGTTGACATGATCGTCACCAAGCTGCTGCTCGACAAACAGGGAGAAAACGGCTGCAAATTCATTCGCTGACGCCTGCGCCTTTTCAATCAGCGAGAGGACGTACTCAGGCGTCGCAGTGACGCCCTGCATCGTGGTTGACGCGGGCGTCTCAAGCTCGTACAGTGCAACGTCCAACTTGTCGGCGCACGCTTGCAGGATCGAGTCAAGAATCGCACTGAGCTTCTTCGAGTTGTCGAGAATGATCGTGTCGATCTGGGCATTCAAAGCATCATCCGACGTGCCCTGATCCACGCGCATGTCGTTCATCTGACGGATCGTAGAATCCATGCCCTCCTGGAGAATGAGCGCCTCGGCATCTTTGGCCTCCAGCTGTGCCTTGTGAGAAGCGAGGGCTTCCTCCAGCTCGCTGATTTGTGCGTTCATGCGCGACATGATGCTCGACACTTCCGTGCCGCGAGCCTGGACAGCGTCTTCTGCCCGCTCCTCAGCAAAGCGCAGCTCCCGCTTTAGACGCTCCACCTCTTCTCGTTCGCCACCACGTGCCCGATCCAGCTCAAGTCGCGCGCGATCACGCTCACGGATCATGTCGGACATTTCAAGGTTCTTCGCCTTCACATCCCGCTCCATTCGCTCCATCTTGTTGATCGCCTCTTGTGCACTGCCGGCCTTGAGCTGCACCTGCTTGTACTTGGACAACAACTCCAGATGCTCATTGCGCAGCTGCGAGTACAGTTTCGCCAAGGCCTCGTATTTCTTGCGCCAAGTATCGACTTGCTCCTGTAGCTGTGTAATCATGTCGTCCTTGCCGGCCATTTGGGCATGGACATTCTGGCCCGCTGCCGATAGCTCCATTTCCAAGGCTTTTACACGCATGTCATACTGTTGCAGCATGAGCTGGTCTCGCTCGTATTGGCCCCGCATGAACAAAAGATCTCGCTCCAGCTCTGCCGCACGTCCGTGGATTTGATGCATCTCCTGAGAACGAAGAAGTTGCTCTTGTGCAAGCCGCTGCTGCTCGGCTTGAGCCGCTTGCTGTTCAGCAAACTCCCGCTCGCGCTGCGCGGCACGCTCTTCATTTCTCCGAGCTTCATCAGCTTCCCGCTCTTTGAGCAATCGCTGCTTGTCTTCAAACTCCTTAAGAAGCCGCGCCTGCTCCTCAATTTCAGCCTGCGATGGACTCTGTTCAGCAGGCGGCGATGGTTCACGTGGTGCTTGCTGCGCTGGCTCACGCGCCGGCAGTTCGGGGGCGTCCGGCGTTGCGAGCAAATTCGGCGGCTCAGCATTTAGTCTGGGCACGTTAATCAGGCTCGTGAGATATTTCAGACTTGCACATTCAAAGTAGAAGCGACGTAGCTCATAGTGCTGATGCTGGTAGCGACCGCGTAGGGGCTCCAAAGCGTCCATTGCGTCGGTGCGTCGGTGCATGGCACGGAGCATCGACGTCAAGAACTTGTAGATGCCATAAGATTCTTTGACAAGCGGGACGAGCGAAGAAATCTGGCACTCATTCGCACGACCGCGGAGCGTTGAAAACACAAGGTGCTGGAACTTTTCAATGCGGTCTTGCAAGTTCATTAGCTCAATAATCGTTTCATAGCCCTCATCGGGATTGTCAATGTTCTTTAGCGACACATATTCCTCATATTCAAAGAGTCCATTAAACTCCTTGTGCACACGATGAAAACGAAGCTTGGCATGAATAAAAGATACGTATGCCTGGATCAACTGACCATAGTTTCGAGGGGTATTCCCAGACATACGCGCGCAGGTATCGAGCCAATTTATCTGCGCTTGTGCCTCGCGCAAGACAATTGGATGACCCTCCTGAAGGATCTTGTGCACGACAATGAGTGCCTTGAACATTTGGATCTCGTCATTCATAATGGGTAACACGCGCAGCCCCGACCAAATCGACTGTGAAGACTTGTGATCCCATGTATACACGATACACTCTGAGACAATGTTAGCCAGGTATCTTACAAGTGCGCGCTTCTCAGATACATACTTCGTACATGCTTTTGTTTTGGAGACGTCTCCTCAGGACTTGTGGCTTTTCGTAAGTGCACAGAGAGTTCCTGTTCAACTTTATCGCGGTCAAGTGGCCTTGACGCACCACCCACAAATGGTTCTATGTAACGAGACCTTGTCGTTAGTACTTTGTGCGGCATAATTCATCGACATACATGACGACGTCGTTGGTTGGCCCCGCCTTCGCTACTCTTGGTGGGTTTTCTTGTCTTTTCTAGCCTAGTCTCGGGCAATCAACAACAGCAAAAGTCTAAGCGAATGTGATCCCCTGCTTTTCCGTCTCGACACTCCCCAGATCACCCACAATAGCTGGACGTTGGAGCCACTCGGTGTACCGGAGGTGCGAAAGAGACCAAGGCTCTTCTACCCCCAAGAAGGCACACACATGCATGTGGCAATGCATCCACAATATGCATCCACCTTGACTTACCTAAGCAACAGCCTGCATAGGCCCGGTTGTTTACGCACCAAACAAAAGGCATGGATATCCGCAACCCCCTAATGGCGGGGGCAAAAATGTATGACCAAGGTGGGGTTCGAACCCACGAGTAACGGCGGAATAGCAGGACCTAAAGCCGTCGCAGTAACCACTTTGCTACTCGGCCAAACCAACAATCGGAGTGAGCGTGAGGACGAATATAGCAAAAATATGTATCTTTGTGCCATTCGTATTCCTCTCGTTATGCAAGATACCTGAACTGAGGGTCATTACATTTGCATGCCTACGTTATGTATTGATGGAAAATAGTTCATGGAGTACCATGCTCCAGAACATGTACGCATATGTTTCGAAGCCAGGATTCACAAGCGTGTCCTGATTCATTGATTGACCCAGCGTCAGCTCGCCGAAGGGAATATTCCGCAGTGCAGGCTGGTGGTTCATCGAACACACAATCTTACTTGTCTGACCACGCACATTCGTTGCGCTCGAGAGCTGAAGCATGTCGTTGCGAGCGTTGTTCAATTGTGCAATGCGGTTCGGGTAAGCAAACTGCTGGCCATTTTCAATAGGTGCAGGCGTCGAGCGAGCATGCATACTAGTAAAGAACCATTCGACCGTGTCATTGACTTTGGTCATCGGTACATGTGTGCTGCGCCACGCGATAGGGGTAGACGGACCCAGCTGCTTGCGAAGCTCCTCGATCATGTCGACCATGCGCGTGCGCCACCAGTTGATCCGCTTGTCAGAAAGGTCGTCATTGGCGTTCGTACGCAAATCTCTCTTGTCCTGCAATGCCCACGCAGCCAAGTCCCACAAACTCGATGAAAACACCACGAGATCAGGGCGGCTTGATAGGGCGCGTGGAAGATTAGGAAAGTTAGTCGACGCACTGCGCGATGCCATTGATTCCAGGTACGGCTTTAGCAGGTCAGATACACGCTTCTCAAAGTTTCCGGGTGGATAGTACCCTTGCTGATATCGCCACAGTTCGTTCGTGTCGGCACCATAGTGGTAAAAGGATGTGAAAATGGTTGAATATTGAGGAACATAGCAGTAATCTGCAAGAAGCGCGTCTGCCATGTTCTTTCCAGGGAAGGTCAGTTGCTTCAGGGCGGCACCCCACGGATGCGAAGAATCAACCGCAACTGGTTGTTCTCCGACCATCTCACAAAGATCCATGATCATTGTCCGGTCCACGGCGTCGCCCACCAGAACCACGGTCTTGTTCCTCAAACCTTGCATGAGCTGAACCTGTCTCTGACTCGACACACTCAATGAGCGAAGAGGCGTAGCTGCATCTTGCTTAGCTTTAGGCAAGGTTGCAAGCATGTCAGGTAGCACCGTCGATGGTGGACACGATGGATCAAACGTTTTCCACAGCGGGAAAGGACTGTGAGAGATGTAGCCTGGCTGGAGGAATGGATTGCAGCTTCCAAGCCTGACCTTGGCATTATTGTACGTTGGCAACGACGCCGTATTCCCACCCGGCACCCCAGTCAGCGTGCAAAGAAAAGAGATCGCGAAAAACACGGACGACAACACTGTTAGGATACTCCCAATGCTATGCACCTTGGCGGCCGAAGGGCTCATGCGCGCACCGCCCGTTAGTGGCCGATTTCCAGATGCATCTGTAGTCATGCCAGGCAAAATTTCGAGATCGCTTGGCGGGATGTCAGTCTTGCGTGCTGTCGGCAATAGACGACCGCAATTGACGGCACTAACTTTCCCCTGCCGGGTCCATTGCTGTCTCGCCCCGCTCGATGAGCGCGCGATAGTGTGTCACGTGTACAAACCTCCACCATGTGACCGTCTTCATACTTACAACATGGTTCATTTTTCCAAGTGTGCGTCTACATAGAATTGAGCCCTCGTTGTTCAACTAGCTTGGTCAGAAGAGGGACAACGAAAAAAAGCCAAGCATTACATTACCAAGCAAAAATCATTTGAAGATACTGGTTTCATGTTGGGTGCTTGCTCGGCCATTCTTTCTGCGAGGAACACTTTTTCGGACTCTGACAAAAGCCCACGCTTATTCCGTTCCTGCATCGCACGGATCATAGAGGCGCGCTCCTCTGCTGCATGACGCTTTGTAGTCCATTTCGTCAGTGCAGAATGTGTTCCGCAACGATATGAATATGCCTGCTCAGTAGTAGGATTAGCTGAACATTTGTCTAAGCTGGCAGATGTGCCTACTGGCATGAGGTCAGTAAACACGGCCTCATGGGCTTTGGACGATGGAGTGGTACAGTCAAGAACTGGACCTTGACTCGATATCTTTTTGAAAGAAGGTGGTTGAACTTTTTTCCATGCATGCACGGTGGCATGAACCTTGGATTCAGCTTGACACGAATGTTGTGAAGGCAGGCGGTGTGCTAAGCAGAAATTGGCGTGACATTGTGGGCACTAGACACGAGAGACACGTAGAGTAAGTAAGACCTGGACGTACTCGAACAGCCAAAAACATGGGTTTCTGGCATAAACCGTAGTGGCATAATTCTTTTGAATCCTGCGATTTTGCATCTGTCTCTGATAATAAAGCCTGACACCCACCATTATGTACCGAAGGAAGCGCCCAGTGCGATTCCAGGATACGTTTAACATCCTCGTCGGAAGCACCGCGGAACCAGCCCTTGGGTGGATGATCGCAGAGTGGACATAAGGGTACAAGTACATCGACATGAGGTTTTGGACAATTGTGTGCGTCCTGACTGAAGTGTTTTGAGCAAAAGGGATAATGACACCCACTGCATTTTAGTGGCAAAAATTCTTCACGGCGGCAGAAATGACACGGCGCCCCAATCCAGAGCATAGATCCTGTGTTCCTATCATGATTCATAGAAACTTCTCAAAAGCTACCGGCTCCGTGAGAGCGCGGACAGTGCCCTAGCTTTCTTGCGGACGGAGACGTTGGGAGCCTACGTTCAGCGTGGTGCCAGCCATCTACGCCCTAGTTAGTTAACTTTGTGGAGAAGTGAGTTCAATTCGGACAAAGTATGAGTCACGTGAACTATCGTGAATGGATCCTCGGCTTGGCACCGTCTGCAATCACTAAGAATCAACAAGATTGGCTATATTTTTAATGAGCAAGCAAAGTTGAGGCGAACGGATCAACAACTCAAGTGCAGGTTTTTTTCAAATGGACGCTGCAAGATCCGTGCAAAAAATTAATAGTGATCTATTAATTGTCACAGCCCTTGGATCACACTACTTACCCATCGACATTTCACATGCGAATACCCACGAACGCCTCGCCGTGCAGTATTCTGATACATTTGCAAAGGGATCTCATTTGGGTGCAACCACCCTCGTCGAAAGATATGCCGAGTCAAGATCAAGTGCTTGCTGGCGTTGTGGAGATCGAGTGCCCCAGTGATCGCGCGATCGATAAACTTGAAATTCGGTTGTGTGGTATGCAAAAGATTGCAATCCCAGAGAAAGTAAATGAAAAATCGAATCAAGGACCATTATCTGTACGGTACGAGGATCATGTCGTCCTCGACCGCACGCTCACTTACACATCAGAGAATCTGCCGACACATTCCGCACGCACAGCGCGAGGACATGCACCATTCCTCTCACGCATCACAGAGACGGATTCAGATACGGCGATTTTTCTTGAGCGAGGTGTCCATGACTTTGAATTCCATTTTATTATTCCTGCTTGGTGCCCGCCTTTTGAGCGCTGTCGCTATGCGCACACGCATTACACAATCACAGCGATGGTGGATGGTGCAGGGTTAGGACGTCTTGGAGCCCCTGTAAGCGCTAGTCGAGAAGTCGTGCTTGTGCAGCAGCAAACTTTAGACAATGGACCCCTGCAGCTAGATATGCTGTATGATGACGTTCATCCAGCATTAGGTTACATGACCATCGCGGTGACAAGTGCGTCGCTAACGGTGGGTGGTATTGTGCACTTATATGTTGTACATCCTAATCCACCGCCCAATCTGAATGTGCTTGCCATCAATGTTATCATTGAACAAAAATACGAGTTGTACAACAAAGCGACAGGTGAATGGATGCCTGTTCCAACGGATACACTGCGTGTGTGGGACCTTGGAATTCCAGCGCCACGAACGCGCGAAATGAACAATGCGAAACACTGGGCACAGGGCCTACTCACGGCCGAAGGTGTTCAGCAAGGGACAGCATCGCGGATAGGCATGATCGGCAGAGCAGCACGAAGTTTTCTTACGCCGATGGATGCCCAAGCTCAAGAGGGTATTACTGATTTGCATGGGTACCAAATCAAGACGGTTCTTCGTCTGCCAAATGACCGGAAACTTCGCCCATCAACAATGCAAGGTACACGTACAAATATTCGTATTTCCCATGAACTTGGTGTGGATGTTTTGTTCTCTCTCACGGACAATTTGGAGGATCGAAAGAACAATGAGATGTATGGCTTACCAAAGACGCAGGTGTTTTCTATGGTCAAGAAAGTGCGTATTCCTTCGTGTGAGTGCACATTTGACGCTATTCACTTGCCACCATATTCGGAAGAGTCGCCATCTATCGCCACGGAAGGAACAACACTCTCTCGTTCTTCATCATCACATTCGCTTCTTTGCCCACCAGCCACTATTCAGCGCTCGATGTCTTCTGCATCTCGCTCATCGTCCACTCATTCGATGCTGCAGCCGCCAACGCCTTTTTTTAAGCAGCATCGACAGCACGGGCCCTTAGATAATGACTGGTCTCGACTTATGAGCTCGTTGACTTCCCTCTCGACGCGTTCGCATGCACCTTCGCGCAATGCTAGTCTTGAATCGTCGCCAACACGGCCAAATTTTTTCTCAAGGAATTCGTCTAGCAACGCTTCTCGTGTGCCTTCACCTCCGCTAGATTCATCATCCGGCTACAGCACGCCTGTGGTGCCGGTGCTTCGACCGAATGATACTTGCTTGCAGAGTACACAAGCTGATTCGCAACTGCAACACACACGCTCGCTTTCATCAACTGACCGCTCAGCACCAAGAGCGCTGCTCGCCGGCTCGCCATGGGCCGTGTCACATCTACCTCCGCGCACTGGCGAGAGTCATGACACTTGCAATTGTGGACTGCAAACGGAAGAGCTGATCGAGGCAGAAGAGCGCCTGCTGGAAGGAGCTCCCACTGCACCCGGTGCATGGATCCAGCGGGTGAAGGTGAATGAGGCGCTTCCTCCTTGGACGCCGAGCACAAGGCCAAAATCGCCCACGCACAACTGGTATGAGACGTATATGCATGGGAAGACACCTTTCTCGAACAAAAGTGAGTCGTCAATGGCCAGTCAACGCAGTGCTTCGACGCCTATGTAAGTGTATATATGTAGAAAAAGGCGGTAGTGGGAATGAGAGAAGTAGTAAGATGACAAAGGGAAAAAGCGATGGGCTCCGCTAGAAGTAGAGACTTGCAGCAAAGACAATATCCCGCCTGACTAGCTGTTGACAGGTTTCCATTTTTTGATATAGAGGAGCGTTGCCAATCACACTAGCGCATTCACGCACTTCCCGGAATGTTTCGTCAAGTCGCGTGATACATCGGACAATGGTTCCCTCGCCGACGTCAGTAAGCTGCATGATGTCACTAAAATGCAAACCACGCGTCCACTCATATACGACTTCCACGAGGCCTGTGTGCAAAGTCGAAGCGTCGTCTTCCGGCTGCAGATGATGAGCCATTTGCACAGCCGCGATGCGGTCGGCTGTCTTTGAGATGTGGTCCAAGCCCCTCTGGAGCGTGTCGTTCAGTTCGGGCGTCAAACTCGTGTTTTCGCGGAAGTGAAAGACACTGAGGAGTGCAGCAATCTCGTGTGGTTCGTAGTCCACGAATGTGTTATCAAGGATCAGCTCTGTCATGATCAGTTCATTCACACTGCGGATACCGCACGCGATGCGCCCCTTCAGCATAACGGTTTCTGATTCAGGGTCGATGAACCGCAGCTCCTTCAGCACGTCCACACGTTGGTGATAGTCGGGCAAGAGCTCCAAGTTCTGATTCGACAGGGATGCGCTAACTTTGGCCATCTCCCATTCAGTTAACTTGCAGATGGTAAGAAGCTTGAACTCCTTATCGAAACCTGGCTTCTGCATCAAGCCTTGTTCAGGTATAAGCTCAGACAAGATCTGATTGCGATCCTTCTGTGTGTCCTGGAAGTCGATGCGTCGCACACGAGACCAGTCAGCCTCCAGATCCAGGATGGCTCGGGCCGCTTCATCGCCTGCTGCTTCCAAGTGATTGCGAATTTGTTCAATGCTGGGGCGCAATAGATCAAGACCCTGTTGCAGCTTCGCCTGACGTCGGGACTGGAACAAAGTAGCAGGAATAGGCACGGAGAAAGACGAGACAAAAGCAATCTTTGATAGCGAAACTTCTTGGAGCTCAGGCATATATTCACTGTCACGAGCCATGTCCTTGGCAAGCTTCGACGTTACCCAGAACGGCGCCTGGTGCTTTTCCAATGGCTGCTGATCTGGTAGCACCGCAAGCAGTACGAGGAATTTCTTGTTAGATGCCAACCGCACAATCATTGCTGGAGATAAGATATGTGTACCTGTATACACGAGAACGACACGACCTGAAGAGAAGAGCTTCGCACCCTGCGGATGCTCATATGCTAGAGCTAGGAGGTTGTCGTTCACGCGTACTAGCTTGTTCGACAAGTCATACAGACGAGAAAGAGCGTCAATCGGCAATGAGGCAGAGGACTCGAGCCTCTTTGTCCAAGCATGAAGCTTGTGTTCGAGATTCTTGAGCCGTCCCTGATGTTGCGGCATTAGTTTCTGTGCCGCATTCTCAGAGAAAGAGCGCTTGATCATGTCCTCGACTTTGAGTGTTTCGATCCGAAGAAGATTCAGAATCATGCAGTACGTGATGCGGAATTGCGACTTGAGCTTAGTCGACTCACCAAGGATCATGCGATTCAATGGATTCAGCTCTGGATTGTCGGAGAGAATAATCACAACGCCTGTCTTGTCCAGACCACGACGGCCCGCACGACCGGCCATCTGTGTGTATTCGCCCGGAAGCAGATTCCGGAATTTGTTGCCGTCATTTTTCCGCACACCCGAGAACACCACGGACCGCGCCGGCATGTTGACACCCATGGCAAATGTCTCTGTGGCAAACAAGACTTTCACCAGGGTGCGCTGGAACAAGAGCTCCACTAGCTCCTTGACGATGGGCAGTAGACCACTGTGATGCACGCCGATACCTCGGGACAGCAAGTCGCGCATCCGCGCGATCTGCGGTACTTGACGATCTTCCTCTTTTAATCGCATTAAGCTGCGTTCAATAAGTACATGCACTTCGCTTTTCTCCTTCGCGGTCGACAAGTCCGTGTTGGGAAGCGAGTCTGCATATTCTTCGCACTTTTTTTTGGAAAACACGAAAACGACAACAGGTAAAAGTGATTGCTTCTTCAAAAGGCCGACAATGTTCACCCACAAGGACCGGTCTGACGCCATACTCGGGCGCGGACGACCGACACCACCGCCCGCACTGCTGTTGCCGCCACCACGCCCGCTAGATCCGCCAGACCGTCCGGCCGGACCACCACCTCGGCCACCTCGATGGCCGCGCTGTGCACTGCTGCCGGTCGTGTACGCCGCCTCACGTTCCTTCTTGGACAGAAGTGCGTCAGCTGCTTCATTCACACCCTTGCTCAGAAAGCGACCATTGGCATCGACAATTTTATGCAGTTGCTTGCCCGCGTACAGAAAGTGCTCGAGAGGGACAGGCCGCTTTGGCGTCGAAATCACATATACATCACGGCGCCGCGTACGGCCTACCCAATCGGCGAATTCCTGCGTGTTCGGCACAGTAGCGGACAACAACACCGTGTTGACATAAGCGGGGAGAAGAATGATGACTTCCTCCCAAACGACACCACGCTCCTGGTCATTCACATAGTGCACTTCATCAAAGATGACGAATTCCACATCGCGAATTAGCTCGCCCGCTCGATACAGCATGCTGCGGAGTACCTCAGTCGTCATGATGAGGCAAGCGGCCTCGGGATTGATCTTCACATCGCCCGTGACAATGCCGACATTTTCTGCACCGAAAGCCTGCTTGAACTCACGGAATTTTTGATTAGACAGGGCCTTGATGGGTGACGTATAGATGCATCGCGACATGTGCTTCATCGCTAGAGCTATAGCATACTCTGCGACAACCGTTTTACCGGCCGATGTGTGAGCTGCAACAAATACCGAATCGTTCCGTTCCAAATGGTATACAGCCTGCTTCTGGAACGTATCGAGCTCAAATGGGTACTCGTGAGCCATCTGTGGCACGAGCTCGTGAAAGTTCGACATTTTCTTGGATGAGTCGACCATATGAGCCCATTCGCGCTTCTCCTGGGTGGGCCGAGCCGCGGAGTCTTGAAGAAGGCGCGGTAGATATTCGTCCGGCAGTAATTCGTCGACCTTCGCGTCATCATTCTTGGGCGGCGGCGCAACATCTGGCCTCTTGTATAGCCCATCATCATCAACGGTAATGACATGGCGGTCAAGAAACCGGGGCGCCACATCCTGAACGTCTCCCATCCATGCAGGCGCCGTCGTGTCCAAGAACTCGGGAGCAGTAACATTGAGACCGCGAGAAAAGCCCGGCGGCACAGTGCGGAAATGAACATCATCTGTGCCTGGCATTTGGCCCAAATCTCCTTCCTCAATGTCTTCGTTTTCTTCGTCTACATCTTGCAGACCACCAGGCCGGAATGGCGTCGACGTCAACGAGCCACGAACATAATTCTGCTTCGAAGCTAGTGGCCGCTGGAGCGACATGTCAATGGCTTCTTCGCCCCGTTTCACAGCATCAGCTACCACTTCTCGGTATCCAATGACCCGACCCTTGAGACCAGACCGGATGAACTGCAATGACGTGATACATGGTGACGGATCGAGAGCTAACATCTGTTCGAATTGCTGCTCTCTGTCCCAGTGCGTTTGAGAACTAAGCATCATAGACGCATCAAGCCCATAAGTGGGCTCCAATATCTCATCAGCAATCGCAGTTCGACATGCCTCGGCATCCGCGCCTGGCAGTAGAGCGAGCGCCTCCCACATGTCGAAATCTTTTCCGCCTGGAGAGGAGAGAATGTGAGTCACGTCTCAGACGACGGCGTCCCTCGTGAGTGGGAAATTACTCCACATAAGCGCCACGAACTGGTCGTCTACAACATCAAGCTACTCCACGAACGGTTGCAACATATATATATATACACACTGAACCTTGGGAATGGACATAGTTCGCGAGATCCATGGGCTATTACAATACAGATGAATATACCTATTTTTTTCTTGAAGATCAATTCATTCTGATGAAGGGAAACCCTTCCAAATAGATGATTGATTCAATGAATCAGGCGCATGGTCAGATGAACTATGCAGGCTTGCCATTGGTCGTGCTTCCAAACATTTGTAGAGAACAATAACGTGAGACAGATATATTGGCATTCCGTAGAAAGGTGATTGAATTGAGCTAAGATCTGAAGCCTGTTGTGAGGGGTGCCTAAACCCGCAAGATAGTTTTTATCAAAAGCCTGGCATAAGTACATAATCACATACAGCAGTCACAATCAAATGGGCACAATGGTGTACCTGTCGTCAGAGCAAAAGTCACACATACCGCCACCTTTGTTCAGTTTCAGCTCATCCTCCGTAAAGACGCGGAATCCCTCTTCAGTGCGTTTGCCTGCATTAGTGCATCCCATAGTGTACGTACGATCCTGGCCACGTGAGTCGGCAAAAGCAGCGTCATCGTCATCTTGAGGTCGTGGAATAGCTGGCTTCTTCTTGACCTTTGTTGTCGTTTCATCATGCACAACAATAGGCACTGCCCTGGCCTTCTTAGCCGTGGTAGGTGCTTGACCTGCGTTTGAATCATCTGCCTCCATAGCATTTCGATTAGCTTGCTTTTTCTTCAGTTTCTTTTCGGTTTTGACATCATGAAAAGAGCTCCCAGTCTCTGATGTCGCGGACGGTGCATGTTTGAGTGCTTTGGACTTCTTTGCTCCGCGAAGCTCCGACGAGGCATCACCCTGTGCTAGGGAGGCTTTGGTAGATGATGTGTCTTGTAGGTTCTTGCGCTTCTTGCTAGGGTTTGGATTCACTTTCTTACTGACTGACGAAAATATGTCATCCAATTCTGACATCGTATGCTCGTGTCAAGCGTGTCCTGCGGAGAAGTAGTTCTGAGACGCGATGGTTGACCGTGCATGGAAAAATGGGCCCCATTTGTGGAGCTGCCTGGCTTATACCGATTTGACCTATACATGCGTAAACGGAGTGAGGAACGACGATCGTTTGGTGCATTCCATCATGAACGTGCCAGGCGTAGCCGCGGTCGTTCAGTCGATCATGCGGCCTGGTCTGCTCGTTCCGCATCTTCGTGTAGCATGTGTGTACTTTCGATCAACTTACCCAGCGATTTCACATCTAAATTGGAAACAAATGTATGCGTCAGGTGCACGGTACATTGTATTTGACAAGGATAATTGTCTCGTACGTGTTTAGGGATCCTCCCACTCATTCTAGACCGTGCCTCATAAGGACGCACTAGCGGAGCCACTTGAGGCAGCATGGAACGAGTGCTGCGCTGTCTTTGGTTCCGACAACATCCTGCTAGTGAGCAATTCGGCTGGTTCAAGCTCTGATCCACAGGGACTGGGTGCTGAGTCTGTATCATCGCACCTGGGAGTCCCAGTCCTATGCCACACTACAAAGAAGCCGGGAAGTGCATGTGTCCGACAAGTCGTGGAGCATTTCCAGTCATTGTCGCTCCGGCGGGCAGAACCGGCGTTGCCATTGCATGTCTTGGTGGTGGGCGATCGAATCAGCACAGACATGGTGTTTTCTCATCGTATAGCTCGTCAATTACGAGAAGCGGACCAACGAGCTCAGTGCACAAGCATTCTCACGACACAGCTTTGGGGTCGTGAGAGCTTGTTCACGACAGCACTTCGTGCCCTCGAATCTAGTGTGCTTCGTCAGCTTGCTCGCATTGGCATTCCTCCTGGTGGGTCATGGTATGATCAACGAATGTCACCATCATCAGCTCTTCATGATTGGATCTCTATACCAGCGGTCCCAACATCATCGGAGTCTGTGCTACCGTCGCCTCAGCGCTCTTCATGGGTACAAGCTATTCGTTCACGTACAATTGACCCATTAAAACGGTCCTGGCTGGCTATGACACATGAACTATTTACAAGTGTCAGGCATATTCGTCAACTGACATGGTCCGTGTTTACGGCGGCGCCGACGAAACAGTGGCGTTCGTCCTGGCGTCAGCCGCACGGCCCGTCACAAAGTGCTCGGCAATGGCCGCCGCCATCATGCACTCGTCGCATATCGACATATGCGCCTCGGTCCACAGATGCACGCCGACCTTTGCCTAGATCGCCACCGACGCAAAAAGCACAAACAGCACGATCGTTATCGTCCGCGTCATCGCCACCACGCACTAGCACGCTCTTTGGGATTCCTTGGACGAGATGGGTTCTTGCGCTCATGGCGCTCATTCTGTTGCCTACGGGCTTTATTGGAGGGATCAAGCTGAATGAACTTGTAGACTGGTGGCGATCAGGCGACCTGTCGCATGAAGGCGAGGATCTAAGCACGATTCCCCAGCCAGAGGTTCAGGAAGCAGTGGATGCATCTCTGTCGCACGAGTCACGCACGCAGCAGCGGAAAAAGATCATGAGGTACGTTGGAGAACCCAAGCTTGAATATGCAGTTTATAACATACGCTTAGTCTGGAGCTTGAGCATTTTCACTTGCGCCGCGAGCGCGAACGCATTGTAGACAAGCTTGGTCGATTGAATGAACGGCACGAAGCAAGCAAACAGATCTAGGAGAGCACGAATGCCGCATAGTTCTATAGGACTTTGGGTCATGCAGCAACCACGTAATCCACGGTGATGGTCATATGCTGTGTTGGGGGGATTTTCAGCGTAGTTCCCAGCGACGCGCGCGGGCCGCCCATAATTCCTCGACATGTTGGTTGGGTCTCAGAACACACCCTCTAACGCTAGGCGTGTGGGCGCAGTGAGAACAAGAGATCGGTTTTGAGCGACTTGTCACGTTTTGCTCGTAACGACGTCGACAAAAACAAGCGACTGGTTTGTAGGCGTGCGACAACGACACGACAGTTGTGACAAGGCGTCAAAGTTTGATTTCTATCTTTTTTTTTTGCGCTATGATCTTGCTGGGCGCTGAGAATCAGATTATCCGCGATGTGCTCACGAATAAGTTTGCGGCGCCTGGTGCCGTAGACCAAATGTTCACAGACTTTGATGGCGTGTCGTACCATATGGAGTCAAGCAAGGAAGGACCGCTAACACTCTCTATGGACATTCGTTGCTGGCCGGAGCTCGCGCAGTATGGTGCGATGGAGAGCTTGCGTCAGATCTATGGAACGTGGATTCGCGACGTGCCCGAGCCGGACTATCAAATCACACTCTCCTTCGACTATGGGTCTGTGCCACCAGCAGGCGGTACGTGCGATGGTATACACTCACACATGTATGTGCAGCTGATCGTGAGACGCTGATTCATGCTGTATCCATGCTGAAGCGCAATGCTATGGCAGCGCCGTTTGAGCGGGCGTTCCGCGAACAGGCTGAGTTGGAGCAGAAATATGAGCCGGGCAGTGCACATCCTTCTGGCGAGCTTCTGTCGTTACACTATCGAGCTGACGAGTCGATGTACATCCTCCCTGCCCATGACCGCGTGACAGTGGTCATTAGCACACGCTTTGAAGAAGAGGCCGATCGCATCTTTGGCAAGGTATTTCTTCAGGAATTCGTCGATGCTCGCCGACAGCCGTCGATCCAAAATGCGCCGCAGGTTCTGTACTCGAATCGCGAGCCGCCACTCGAAGTACGCGGTGTAGTGCCAGCGAGCGTGTCTGAAAACACAGGCTATGTCACGTTCGTGCTATTCCCCCGCCATTTCCAGCATCCGGACGTTCGTGCGACGACAATCTCGCACATCCAACTCTTCCGCGATTATTTGCACTATCACAGTATGTATCGATTGCACGCCACCGTCTCGACACGCAGTACTGACGCCGACACCCTTTTCTTTTTGCACGACCACTTCTAGTCAAGTGCTCGAAGGCATACATGCACAGCCGCATGCGCTCTCGCGTTGCCGAATTTCTCAAAGTTTTGAACCGTGCAAAGCCTGAGTATGCTGAAAAAGAACGCAAGACGGCAAGCGGTCGGACGTTCCGTCGCGCATAGACTGCATGTATATTACGTACGCTACGCCGTAGCACGCCAAGCGAGCTCCGTCCATATATACTCGCTCTCGTCCTGCCGACCGAGTCCAGGTCGTCGAGGAAGGCGCATTTGTTGCCGTTTGGCCAGCCGGAAGCCATGCCGCGCGTCTTGTGCTGCAAGCGCGTCATCGACCGTCGCATATAGTCCAGCGAGGCGCCCAGCTGTTCGCACTGGGAGCACAATGTGTGCACGAGCGTCGGCATCCGTGTCAGGCAGGGCTAGCAAGTACACGATCGCCGCAATGAGCCATGTGGCATGCATGGGATCATACACGGGATCTGCAACAAGTAGAAGCGAGATGCTTTGTGGCGCTGGAGGCGTACAAGCGACGCTCTGGCCGTGTGCACGCTCCGGATACACAAGGTCATGCAATGCACGCCAATCTAACGGCATGCATTGGACGTCGACATGTTCCTCAGGCACATGCAGGTAGTGTTCCACGTTGTAGAACAAATTTTTCATCACATCGGCGTGATAGTCCGTCACGTAGACAGTGGGACGACAGGCATTGGTCCACTGCCCAAAAATATGCGACACAACGTGAGCTGCTACCATGCCAACGATGCCTGTACCCGCCCCTAGTTCCATGACTCGGAATGCACGCTCATTGAGCCACGTGCTCTTTGGTCGGCTCGATACCTCTAGACACTGGTGCCAGGCACTTGGACATCGCACTAATAAGTCGCAGAGGATCACAGAACTTGCATACGTCTGCACGCCCACGGCATCAGCAGCTTGTGCGGCACCTTGGACGCTGTGTGCATCTGATGGTGGCAGCGGCGCATCGCGCACGCACACAGAGACGGACATGCGTGCTCCAGGAACAGAGGAAAATGATGCACAAGACGGGGAAGGTACTGTCGTATTCTGAGCAGTTTGTATGTGAGGAGGAACGCCCGTTTCATCCTGGAGTGGAAATGTGAACTCACGCACAATGTCGCCATCATCCAATGCAGATGTGCATCCAGAAAGGATCTGAGCTGCATGTTCCGTTGCAGCACGGCGCGAGTGGGTATCTGAAATCCAAGAAAGCTCTGTCTCAACGACACGAGTGAGCCAATCCAAAACAAACGAGCGTTCCGTAGGATCAGCACGCGCTGCATCTAGCTCGTCGAGTAACTCATCGTCAAGATCGGCCGGCCGCTGTTCTGCTGAGCCGTACAATATATCCACATGTCTCAGTGCCGACTCCATGGAGGCCAGAGTCGGCTCTGTGCGTAAACGCGGCAAGGCACTTGTTGGTGGTAGTGCCAGTGCTGCACGAGCCTCGTTGGCCCACTCCGACATGGATCGTCAACCACTTCCGTGCGATTTAAAAAAGGAGCTCGTTTCCTGTGTGCGTTCGAACTTTGGCACGCCTGCTTCACACACACACACACACACACACACACACGCACAGCTGCCGCCCCAGGCACGAAGGATGAAGTTACTACCACATTCCAGGAAAGAGGTGTTGGGTTGCGCAAGTTTGGGATATATGCATGCGTTTGGGTGCGTAGCTGACGTTTGGTGGGCTATGTGGCTGGCTGGCTGGCCGATTGGTTGGTTGTCTTTGGGAGAGAGCGTGTGCCACACCACATACGCTGCGCACACCAACCATATGCGATTGCATCATCTACTTGTCTCGTTACTTCTTGCCATGTCTGTGGCAGCCTCAATTCATATACAGCGGAGCAACACATCAACGTCTGTCCTGGAAGCAGCAGCAGCATTGAATGATGCGGCGCAAGTTGGCGCCGCTCGACAGGCTGCGTACCAAGTGCGGCCAATGAATGACACCCACAACAGGGCACCGGAGGGGCAGGCGCCTGTGGAGGCACTTACGTCATCGGTATCCGCTGCCCCGGCCGGTGCACAGACACAGCACGGCCCACGGAATGTGTCGTCATTCGCTGCCGATGCATCAAGTGATTCGGCTCCCTCTACCACCATGTCGTCGTTCAAGCAAGCCGAGCATAAGCTTTTGATGATTCCTGGCCCAATTGAGGTCGCAGATGATGTGCTTCTCTCGAATGCGCATCCATCCATGGCTCATGTTTCGCCAGACTTTATTCCCGTCTTTGGCGAGTCCATTGAAATGCTCCGTCAAGTCGCTGATGCGCCGTCGTCGCAGCCCTTCATTATCGCAGGCTCCGGTACGCTTGGTTGGGACTTGGCTGCTGCCAACCTGCTCGAGAAGGATGATGATGTGCTCGTGCTGTCGACCGGCTACTTTGGTGATAGCTTTGCCGAGTGCATTGAAGCGTTTGGCGGCAAGCCGAAGCAGCTCTCAGCACCGGCCGGTTCACGGCCGAACCTTGATGAGTTCGCCTCGCTTTTGAAGGAGAAGAAGTACAAGGCCGTGACTATCACGCACGTTGACACTTCGACGGGTATTCTGATGGACGTGCCAGCCGTCACAAATGTCGTCAAGTCGGTGAGCCCCGACACGCTAGTGATTCTTGACGGCGTTTGCAGTGTGGGTTCCGAAGAGATCCACATGGATGCGTGGGGTGTTGATTTCTTGCTGTTTGCCTCTCAGAAAGGTATTGGAATTCCACCCGGTCTCTCGCTCTCTCTCGCGAGTCCCCGTGCCATTCAGACCTTCCAGAAGCGTTCATCGCCACCAGCCGGCTTCTACACCTCGTGGAAGAAATGGCTCCCTGTCATGAAGGCATACGAGGGCCGCACTCCCGCGTACTTCGCGACGCCACCGACAAACCTGATCTACGCGTTGCACACGTCGCTCAAGACCATGACGCAGGGCCAAGTGTCGTTATCTCAGCGTTTCCAGATGCACCGTGACGCCTCGAAGCGCGTGAAGAAGGCGATTCAAGATATGGGTTTGGAGCAGCTGGCACTGCCAGACAGCCGCGAAGACGGCGTGGCTAACGGTATGACGGCCGTCCGCTACCCCAAGGGCTTATCAGCTCCTGATATTTTGCCGAAGATGGCTCAGCGCGGCGTGGTCTTTGGTCCAGGTCTTCACAAGGATTGCAAGAATGAATATTTCCGCATTGGACACATGGGTATTTCGGTTGTCGACCCAAGCCGCGGCGACATCGACACCATTCTCAAGAAACTTGAAGAAGTGCTCGTTGAAGCTGGTCACAAGCGTGCCTAACGTCCTACCTACAGGTAGCAATTACAGTGTTGTAGATTCACCGTCAGAACACCAAGTTACGCACCATCCTACATGGACTGCAACCAGATCTCTCGAGCCATTCTGATGATCCCATAAAAACAAGCTACCTATGAGAACATTTTACTGTATGCAGCACGTTGCTTTGCAAGGCGCGCTTGTCGCCGCTTCTCGAGTGCAGCAGCTTCCTTAGCGATGCCAGCATCGTTAGGTGCATAAGTGAGAGCCTGTGAAAGATCGGCCTTGGCCTCATCATCGCGCTTCATCGCAGAGAGAGCGAGCGCGCGACGGAAGTGCGCCTTAGCCAGGTCCGCTTCTTTAGGCGCACCTAGACCGCCCCTAGCTCCACGCTCGATTACTTGCGTGGTGAGTGCTTCTGCCTGGTCAGGGATGGGCGGCACTGTCTTGAGCGCACATAGCGCAGCATTGAGCTGCAGTGGTGTGCGAAGCGCAAAGTATTCAGCCACAAATGCCTCATTTTGGTCCGGCAGGTGGGGATTGACAAATAGGTAACGCAGGGCCTTTTCATACTCTGCACAAGAGTGAAAAATAAAGCGGCGGAAGGCGGGGTGAGTTGTGGTTAGTCCATGAGCGTTTCGAAAAGAGAAATGACGTACTTTCACGCGCTAGGGCCCATTTTCCCTCGCTCACAAGCTTAGCCCCGAAGTTTTTCAATTCTTGCGCAGCATGAAGAGCAGTGTCAGGCTTTTCCTCAAGGGGTAGGTCTGAGTCCTCTGGGTATGGCTCATACGTGTCGCCAGACTCATCGGGCAAGATGCCATAGTTGAACGAGGAGTCTTGGAGCTGTTCGGCAGAGAACTCGCCACAATCGGCGATCTTGATATCTTCCTCAGGTCGGTCATTCGGTCCAGTGCGGCTCTGCTCAATGTGACGCACTACATCTTTGCCGCGAAGCACACGGCCGAAAACGACGTGCTTACCATCGAGATGCGGCGTAGGCACAGTCGTGATAAAAAATTGAGAGCCATTTGTGTTCGGTCCAGCATTGGCCATTGAAAGCAAGAATGGCTCATCATGCTTTCCTTCAAGGTTCTCGTCCTCGAACTTCTCGCCGTAAATAGACTCACCACCCGTGCCGTTGAAGTTGGTAAAGTCACCGCCTTGGATCATGAAGCGTCGAATGACGCGATGGAAAATACTTCCACGGAAACTCAGCGGCACACCTGATGTTCCTGTACCCTTTTCACCCGTGCAAAGAGCACGGAAGTTTTCGGCCGTCTTGGGCACCTTGTCCCTGAAGAGCTCCAGCACAATGCGGTGACCGCCCTGCCGAGATGGCGGTGGGCCACCAACAAATTCCACGTCCAAGTCTAGTATAAGTACCTGATATATGCGCGTGAAAAGTACATACACACAATAGGATTCGTCATCGAGACTGATGGGAGAAGAATACGTCAACGAGATACAAAGAAACTGCGCTTGTGGGAGTGGGCTACTTTTGTGCGTAGTAATGCGGTAAAATGAACAAAGTGGAGGCGGTCTTAATCAGATTCGTTCTTTCTATCTATTTCGATGCGCGGACGACGAACACGAACAACAACTGCGATCTTCCATCATCTTCCTTTTTACGTGATTGCGATCTTTTGGTGTATCTGTTTACAATTCAAGCGCGTGACTCCATAATACCATACTTTCATGCTATGACGAAACCGCCTCTGCATTTTCGCGCTGGATCACTTTCTATCACACTGGTCAGATTGATGTAACCCATCTCAACGTACCATTTGCAACAGCTCCGTGACAACTCGCATATTGTCTTGTTTCTTGTGAATAGTGTCCTTCAGCTGTTCCATATTTTTAACAACGTATGCAATTTTCTCTTGGTACAGTTTACGTGCTGCTGGTCGCGACTGTATAAAAAGATTCGATTAGCATCGACGCCGACTAGAAAGTAACACCGAAAATGAGCAGCGTACCTTTTCCACATAGTATCCCGTACCAATATCGACGATGACCTTCTCAGGATCTGACAGCTTTCCAGGCACGTAGAGCGATGCCGTCAGTGGAATAAGTGATGTCTTATCTGAATAATCCATGTGCGTCAGCACTGCCAAACAGCAGGGGCGGCTGACGTACTTTGATTCTCTGGACGAATAGCATCGACACTCTCCACACAGCTCTGGAAACGGGATAGTGCCAGTTTCAGCTGGCCAAACATGGTGGTGAACTGCTTCAGTTCCAGCTCGAGTTGCTTGCGCACATCAAGCAGCTGCATTTTTCAGCACGTTTTAGCACATGAGCTTGTGTCTACGTACCTGTGGCACGTCTAACGACGCCACATCCACGGTCTGGGCTCGGGCTGCCGCGGCCATCGGTGGTTGGTAGAAACGATGGTGGCAAGTAGTGGAGGCAGGCATCTTACACAATCATGCGACCAAGTGACCAAAATTCCACGCTCAGTGTAGGAAGGCTTCTGGCTACCACAAACTCACAAACTTAGCACTGACCTTGAGCGTTCGCTTCCGCGCAACACGACACAAACATTAGCTTTGCTCGATATATCGCCGTTAGAGACGCACCCCAGCCAGTGGATTGCGTGCCCTGTGCCCTGTCAACTATGAGCAATTTATCTACGCAGTCCATGTGCTTGAAGAAGTACGTGCTTCGCACGCACAAGCATCACGCTGGATAGTGATGTAATATTATGAATGAAAAACTTCATATGCATATATGCGAGCTCGGGTGCACTTCATAGGTATTAAAACACCCACACACATGTACGATGATGCGAACAAGGAGTGCATAGACAAAGCGAGGGTGTAGAAATAAGGCGTCAAGAAAAAAAATAAGAAACATGTTATTCGTCGTGATTTGCATCCATAGATGAGCTCGTCGACGCATCACCAAAATCGTAGTGATCGGCAGTCGCTGCACCTATATCCCCATCGCGTTCATAACGTGGTGAACGTTCCGGAGGAGGTGGTGGCGGAAGAGGGTGCTCGGAGGATCGCGGGACAGAAAATATGTCGGAACAGTAAGTAATGAGATCAATGAGCGTGCAATCTTCTTCCGTAGCGGATGCGAACGAGGCCGTCTGGTTCGTCTTCTCAGCAAGAACCACAGGCGAAAATACCACAGCCAGGTTGGGAATTGTCATCTTGTTGAACGCAGAGTACGATGCGACGTGCGACAGGTGCATTAACAGTGCACGAAGAGTTGCCTGGTGAATGGGGGGCATACGACGAATTCGGGACTTGAAATTTGCAAAACCATTTCGGATGTGCTCTTCACGTTCATGCGTGTATTTTAGGCGCTCTTCCCACCGCATCGCCATGACTGGCTCTGGCAACTGTCGTAAATATAGTTTAAGGATGGAAGAAACGAGTGTCGGGTCTTCGTGCGCCATGTCGAATTGGAAGGATGACTCATCCTGCTCGATCACACTCGTCAGTGCCTGGATGCGTGAATGTTTCCCACTCAAGCGATATAAGCCTGGGGTCTGGATGCACCGCGGCTGCTCAAGGAAATCGATGCACTTGCTAAGAATCAGAGGCGGCCGTACCATAGGCAAAATAAGACCGTTTCCTGTCATGATGGATGGTGTTTGAAAGTCGCCATGAGAAAATGCATAGTCCACGAGTCCCGTACCAAAGACCAAGTCATTAAAAGGGCCATGGAAGTAGTTTACATACTTGACCCGCTCATTCTGAATCAGAGCGCGTGTATTGGGCATCCACTGCTCGCACACCTTCTGCTCTTCTTCAAAGTTGTCAAGCATTTGCAAGGCAAGTTGCTCGTCCTGTTGATGAACCGAGTCCATAGAGGTCCGCATGGCCATCTTTCGACGCACATGCTCGAGCGTTACTTGCTGCATCGTGATGCTAAGCTCGCGCCGCCATTCCAGCAGACTTTTGACTGCTGCGTCTAGTGCCTTGTTTCTCCGAATCCGCAACGTCTCCAAGTCGAAAATTGCTTTTCGGTAGGTCTGATCAGATTCATCCATCTCACGGCGTGCTTTGGCCTGCTTGACGGCAAGCGACTGGAGAGCTTTGCTTGTCATGCCCGGCTGTTCTGTCGAGCCGCCGGCTGACGGCATATCAGGTGTTGTGTTATGGCTCGGAAAAAATGTACCCGAGCCTGGGATAGATTCGGTGACTGGACTTCGATCGGACACGTCTAGCATGCGAGAAAAGAGAGCGTTCAGTCGCTTGGGCGCCTGATCCCAAGCATCACGCTTTCGAAACGTTTCGAGAAAAGAGCGATTCCCCTGCGACGGTGAACCAGTGTTGCTGGATTCGTTCTGTGTTAGTGTTGCGACATCACCCGACCAGCGGTATCGTTCTTGGGGCTCGGGAGGTGTGCGGTCATTCACTGATGATGACGCCTGTGAGCTAGATGAAAGAAGCTGGCGTGATTCTTCAATAGCACGTTGCTGGTGTCGGTAAAACTCGTGTTCTTCGCAGCGCCGCTCGTAATTCCTGCGAATCCGTGGAAGCGTTGACGTGAGCATGTCTTCATAGTCGTCCACGCAGAGCTTCAGGTCGTCTTTGACACGACGCCGGATCCGCTCTTGAGCATCGCGAAATTGGACGATGGGTTGCAGAACATGGCGCCTACAATCCATAAGTGAGTTTAAACGTAGGTCAACGGCTGTTTCATGTTAGCTTACACGATTCAGTTTTCGAGAAAATGTGCACAAGCACGGGGCTTGCGCATACTGCGCCATGATACGTACCCCACATCTCAGAGAGTCGCATATCGCCCCAGGTATTGCGCAAGTTCGAGAGACGGCCGGGGTCTGGCAGCAAGCCCGGGAGCACGGCAAGCTTGCTGTTGATCCGCATGTCCAAATCGCGCTGGCGTTCCAGCATGATCTTAACTTGACGAAGATGCTCTTCTTCAAGACGAAAGCGCTGTTCCATGTACTGAACATAGCTTTCGCATTCACTCAGCATGGTATTAAACGCCTCCAGGAGAATGTTCGCCAGCTCACTGGGCGACATCAGTGCCTCCGACGTCATGGCACGTTCACTGCCGATGCTCGTATCGGAGGCAACGCGCCATTCCGGGAGTGCATGAGACATCGAATGCTCACGAACGTAGCGAAATGTTCACCTCACTTCTCTGTAAATTTGTCTCTCGGCAATAACTGATCCACGCAAATCTTTTTACGGCACGATGACCAACGTTACGTCATTTAGTTGTGCCGACCAAGATTTTTCTTTTTATTTAGGTCCTCCGCCCTCTGCGAGGTTTTGTCGAGCCCTTATTTGTCTAAGCAGCACCGACGGCAGTTTGGCCAGCAGCCCTGCATATGTCGCAATCAAAGATTCGTTTGTCCTCGCTTCGAACGCCATTGAACTGCAACGAACGGCTTCAGATGGCAATAAACCCACACTCGGCCGAATATCACGTGGATTGCAAGGAACGCGCGTGCGTGGAGAAGCAAGCGAGCGACTAAGCAAGTCAATGAGTGGACGGAGAGTGCAGTTAGTGTATCTGTGCGTGTCTTCTTGCTGCCTGGGCCAGTGGGGCTGGCATTCGATCGCTGGTTCGTTCGTTCCGTTGCCCCGCTTTCTCTTTCCTATCACTGGCAGGTGAAAAGCAACGAACGATTTCGCCGCGCCACTTTCCTCACCCATACTATGCAATTCTCGTTGGTTCGATTCCTCGTAGCTTTCCTCGTCAGCGTGTCGCTTGTGCTTGCGCTTAAGACATCGGAAGCGAAGGTCACGCACAAGGTATATTTTGACATCGAGCATGGCGACAAGTCTGTGGGCCGTGTTGTGATGGGCCTGTATGGTGAAGTGGTCCCAAAGACAGTCGAGAACTTTGTGGGTCTCGCTGAGCGTGAGGAAGGCCGTGGATTCAAGGGCTCGATTTTCCACCGTGTCATTAAGGGCTTTATGATCCAGGGCGGCGACTACACTCGTGGTGATGGTCGTGGTGGCATGTCGATCTGGGGCAAGCGCTTCGATGATGAGAACTTCAAGTTGAAGCACGAGGGTGCTGGTATCCTGTCCATGGCGAACGCTGGTTCCGACACAAATGGATCACAGTTCTTTATTACTGTTGCCAAGACCCCGTGGCTCGATGGCCGTCATGTCGTGTTCGGTCGTGTCCTGGAGGGCATGGACGTGGTCAACTATGTCGAAAATGTCCGCACTGGTCCTGGCGACCGCCCTGTGGACGAGGTGCGCATCTTTGATGCTGGTCTTCTGCCCGATGGCCCGCACGATGAGCTTTAGAACGTAGTAGTGCATTCTTCCCGCTCATGCAATCGCTGCAGACTCGCTGTAGGGGCAAGGCTGGGCGGCGGAACAAGTCGCAATTTCCTCCAACGCATGTCGCGCTTGTACGTATTGTATGGTTGGCATGATAGATATCGGAGCTCAGTTTCTTCGTTGCTATGGCAAGCGAAACTGTATCAAGTTTACTTACATGCGGGCCGAGCTGTTCTGAGGCTCACTGTCATTTGGCTCACTGCCTTTGAACCAGTTCATTTTTGCCGGCTTCGTTTCGCTCCATATGTGCTTGACTTCCACATACTCATCTAGTCCCTTGCTGCCCAATTCACGACCATTTCCCGACATACCGTAACCACCCCACTCTGACTGTGCCGTGTAAACACCATACGTGTTCGTCCATACTGTGCCATGACGCAAGCGACGCGCGACTCGTTCCGCTCGAGCTTGATCCTTGCTTTGCACGCCTCCGGCTAAACCATATTTGGTATCGTTGGCGAGCATAATGGCCGTCCTCTCGTCACCGTCGGCAAAACGTTCGACAGTGAGAATTGGTCCGAATGACTCCTCCTGAACAATTCGCATCGTACGATTGCATTTGTCAATGACCGTGGGCAAGAAGAAGTAGCCTTTGGCCAGGTGTGGGAATGTCTTGGGATCGGGGCGCCGTCCACCGCATCGGATCACAGCTCCCTCCTCCCGTGCTAGCTGGACGTACGACTCCACCTTGGCAAGGTGTTCTGCCGATACGAGAGGTCCCGTTTCTGATGAGGCATCGAGACCATTGCCCATGACAATGTTCTGAGCACGCTTCACCACACCATCCACCAGCTTGTCGGCAATTGACTCTTCCACGATAAGACGAGCGCCTGCGGAACAAACTTGTCCACTGTGGACAAATACAGCCGTCAGCACATTGTCAATAGCCCAATCAAGATCACAGTCGGCAAATACAACGTTAGGATTTTTGCCACCCAGCTCGACAGTGCAGCGTTTCACTGTTTCGGCACAGCTGCGGATAATCGAACGCCCCGTCGAAAGACCCCCAGTAAATGATACCAAATCCACATCCGCACTTTCGGTCAACACAGGACCCACTGAAGCACCTGATGCCGTGAGAATCTGCACACTATGAGGCGGGAAGCCAGCTTCCAGCAGGAGCTTGACAAGATATACGGAAGAGAGAGGCGTCACCTCTGAGGGCTTGATGATGACTACATTACCCGTGGCGAGGGCCGGTGCAAGTTTCCAGCACAACTGCAGAATGGGGTAATTCCAGGGCGTGATTAGAACACACACACCGACAGGCTCGTGAACGATCCTGCTTTTCACCGACTCCGGGATTAGTGGCCCGGTTACTTGCTTGTCCTGTGCAAGCTTTATTGCCTCTTTTGCGTAGAAGCGGAAGACTTGTGTGACGTCATCAATGTCAATTTCACTCTCACCCAGAGTCTTGCCTGTGTCAATCGTCTCGATCCTCGCAAGTTCTGCCTTATGCTGCTGAAGAGTATCCGCCATACGATCAAGCAAGGCACATCGCTCTTCATAAGTCTTATGAGGCCAATCAGATGTGTTGAAAAATGTCTTGGCGGATGTAACTGCCCGCTTCGCGTCATCGGCCGTCGCTTCATCGACGTGCATTATCACACTGGCATCGTATGGGTTATACGTTGCACGCGTCTTTCTCTCACTTGATGCGCACCATTTTCCATCAATAAATAACGTAGGTGTGTCAATCAGTGTCGAGGACATCTTGTCTGTTGGGTAGCGTTCGAGCGAATAGTGAGATCAGATGGAAGTGTCACTTCTGGGAAACACACAGACCCGCAAATCGAATCGAGCCAACCGATGGGCAGGAATACGTGAGGCTGGCCTTAGCGGGTCGCGTGCTAAGACCAGACCATGTGCACGACTTTCTTCGATCACGTGATTACCCTTTCTCCCTTCCTTGTATCGTTGTCGTCGTGCTGATAGTCTGCAACGGTACACGTATAGGTTGGACGTCTGTCGGCTGGTTTTGTTTCATTCAGGTGAACGAACGATGTTGCGTTTGTTCGCGTCTGTTGCGCGTCCTGTTGCGCTTCCTATGAAGCGGACCTTCTTTCCTGCAGCTCACATGCGACAGTTTGGTTCTACGCCAATTCGGGCGAGCTTCTGGGATAACATTCTTCCGCTTATCCAGGGAAACCGCCGCGAGCGGCAACTCCAGCGGAAGCAAGGTGGCTTGTTGCAAGAGGACATAGAACGCGTACAGCGTGATCAACGAAGAGATGAAATGATGGCTGCGCAGTCTTCCACGGGTGATATGTTGATCGACGATGCCATGGACGCGCCTGAATTTCGTCAAGAAAATGTCCGACGTCAGGCGACCGAAGAAAAACGTCAGAAGCGCTTGCTTCGAAAGAGATGGGGCGGAACGACAGAACTCGGTGGTCCAGAAAAGCTTGAGCATAAGTATAGCACGGCCGTCTTCCGTATTAGTCCACGCAAGCTGAATATGTTGGCACACCAGATTTCTGGCAAGCCTATCGACTTTGCGATCCTGCAGATGCAATTCAGTGCTAAGCGCGCTGCTCGCCGTGTGCGAGCGACGTTAGCACTGGCACGCGATCACGCCGAAGCCAAGGGAATGGATCCACGTCGCCTTATCGTGTCGGAGGCTTGGGTCACCAAAGGACTGTACATGAAACGCTTGGAGATCAAAGGACGTGGCCGTTTTGGTATACTTGAGCATCCTCAAGCGCGCCTCAGCATCATACTACGTCCTGGGAAGTCCACCAGTGCTCGGGAACGGGAGACTATTGTCAAGGCTCGTCGCCATGTCCGAAGCCTCGGAAGTGGCGGCGTTGTACGTGGCAGTCCAAAAATTGTGAACGGCTTCCAGCGCCCTGGCTGGGCCTGGTAGATGAAGTCGTGCATGAGAAGATAAAAGGATCTGGCTAGCCGCTAATACCCTCCGCCATCCAACAACGTCGTTGTTTATTATTATTATTATTGTTTTTTGCTCTATCCAAGTCCTCCCTCGAAGGAAGGCAATAAAAAGAAAATAACTATTAATCTATGACTTTTCCTCCATCTTTTCGTATGCAATCGGTCGGCCTTGAGAGGACTAGCCAAGCTCATGCGCCAAAACCTCGTTGGCGTCGCCATTCATGAATCCATGCCACAACACGCTCTGTGTGTGATTCCAGCTGATCGGCCTTCTCGCTTGGCAGTACAACAATGGCCTCTTCAGCATACCCATTTCGAGCTTCTTCTTCAACGACGCCCAATATTTCGGCCTCATTGTTTTCCGCAATTTTCTTCTCAGAATACCGGCTGAACGGCAGTGTCATAGAGTTAGTCACGGCATTCATACGTAGAGAGACACATACCGCTTTTCCAGTCTCTTCCATAGCAGCTGGTGATCGCATCGCAGAACTATGACAAGATCAATCCACCGTTCGGGCCACGCATCACACGTGTGCCAATCGAGAATCAGACCACCACGAGTTTCATCGTTGACTGGTATTTCGCGGGCTTGCGCACATCCTTCAGGATCTTCCTCTTCTGGCTGTGGTGCTGTGCCACCAGAAAGCGGCTCTAAATAATCAAGTAGTTGGTCTTCATCCACTTCATGTGAGTCCCATTCTGGATCATATGACGCCAAAAAGTGTTTTTCTTTGGCTAACAAGCCAGCATTTATGTGCCGCAAAGGGTGTGATCCATCAGGAAGCGTATAAGCTTCGCAGATCTGGTCGGAAAGCGTCGTTTTTCCAGTGCCCGGAGTGCCAGTCACGACAATGTTGGGAAATCTGATTGGGTTAGCCATTTAAGGACGAGCTCAGGATACGTACGAGCGCACCATCAGCTATATATTCTTGCGTCTCTCCTGATCTTACCACTAATGTCAGAATATTGTTCACGGCCATTATACATACAACATGCGTACATGCAGGTGTGCGCGTCATGGGAAATATGCATGTTCAAGGATGTGTGACTTATTGTTGCTTAGAGTTTGGGTCTGCCTCGCCCGATCCAACTTGGTTACTCAGCACAAAGCTGTCATCGCGCAACAAACTAACTACGCATCTCAGCACGTCCCATCGAATAGTAAGTGTGGCTTTCTTCCCCGATGGACGAGACATACGGTATGTATAGCCACGGATTCATATCTAGTGTGCTCATGCTGCGTCAGACGCTGTTATTCTTGGTACAGGTGTGTCAGAGTGTGTGCTATCTGCCCTCCTTTCGGTTGAGGGCAAGAAGGTCCTACACATTGACAGAAACGACTACTATGGCGCAGAATGCGCATCACTGAGCTTGTCACAGCTGTATAACAAGTTTCGACCTGGACAGCCCGTGCCTACTGAGATTGGTCGCGATCGTGATTATGCTATCGACATGGTCCCCAAGTTCATGATGGCAAATGGCGAAATTGTCAACATGCTTGTGCACACGGACGTGACTCGATACCTTGAATTCAAGCAGATCAGTGCGAGCTATGTGTATCGAGACAAGCGTATTGCTAAGGTTCCAAGCACCGAAATTGAAGCTGTGCGGTCACCTTTAATGGGTCTTTTCGAAAAGCGACGTGCAAAGCGGTTTTTCGAGTTCTTGCAAAAGTGGCGCGATGAAGATCCTTCGACTCATCAGGGTATTGATCTCGATGAGTGGCCCATGGAGAAGGTTTTTGCTCACTTTGGTCTTGAGCCTGGTACTCGCGACTTTATTGGTCATGCCATGGCCTTGCACCTCGAGGATTCGTACATGAAGCGTCCAGCACGTGAGACGTACGAGCGGATTTTGCTTTATATGTCGTCCATGGCGCGTTACGGTAAATCTCCTTACATTTATCCGCTGTATGGACTTGGTGAACTACCACAAGGGTTTGCACGCCTTTCCGCAATCCATGGCGGCACCTATATGCTTGACAAGCCCGTGGATGAAATTGTCGTTGATAACAAGGGCCACTTTGTTGGCGTGCGTAGCGGTGACGAGACCGTGAAAGCTAATCTGGTGGTTGGTGATCCTAGCTATTTCCGTCAGGTTGGAGGCAAGTCGCTTGTGCGTGAAACAGTGAAAGTCGTACGTGCGATTTGTATCCTGAAGCACCCTATTCCGAACACCGACAATTCAGACTCAGTTCAACTGATCATCCCACAGAACCAGGTCGGTCGCAAGAATGATATATACATTGCAGAGGTGTCATCGGCCCATAACATTTGCGCAAAAGGCATCTATGTGGCACAAGTGTCTACGATCGTCGAGACTGACAAGCCAGAGCTAGAACTGCGACCTGGCCTGGACCTACTAGGCGAAATCCTTGACAAATTTGTGACTGTCGCTTCACTCGAGGAGCCGTTGGATTCTGGTCGTGACAGCAACATTTACATTACTCGCTCGTACGATCCGACTTCTCACTTCGAGACGGTCGTCGAGGATATTCATGACGTATGGCGCCGCATGACTGGCCATCCATTGGTTCTTAAGAAGCGCCAAGAGCAAGAGGAAGACGGTGCGCAGGTCCAGTCGTAATGGCACACAGTCTTGAGTGTGTAGTTCCACAACCTGAAGTCACATGTGTCAGTATGGGTATTGCATGTAATTTGGCTCAGACCCGCGAACTCGTATTCTTATTGGTTCGGAGCAAGCCAAAGGATATATGTAGGCCCGAAATTGGAATTCCATATGTGCCAATCATTGTGGTCGATTTGTATGAGCGAGTGTTAAATCGCTAGCGATCTATTGGCCCGGGCTCCTATTCCGATCCACGCGTCTCGCGTGCCAGGCGTAGCAGCTCTGTGCGACTCACGTGCATCCGAATTTAAACCTATTCTGTTGCGCAGGGTGCCTGGCACTTTTGGGATCCGTTGTTGTGGCAACAAATTTATCTCCAAACTCGTACAGCGTCATATCTCGAACCGTCATCTATATCGGCCGTTGAAGCTATCAACCTTGTTCTATCCTTGCCTTTGTTTCCATATTCTTGTGTGAGTTGACTTCAGAGTAGTAAGAAAGGAAGAAAGTCAGGAGGATTGGTGATTGCGTGCTTGTGCGTGTGTTGTGCTTCAAGGCGAGCGCATCGAGCTGCAGAACGTTCACGCATCAGGTCTCGGTAATTGTGTCTTGCTTATACAGTCTAATTGTGATTCAAAACGCGCGCCTATAAGCACCGGCTTTTTTCTCCTGTGGTGAATCATACAAGAATATGGGCTCCATGATCCAACAAGAGCGCGTTTCGCGAGGCAATGAGATTGCGTCACAAGACTCGTGTTTATTGTGGATGATGGGCTGTTCGCCACCCAAACAAACAGGAGGCTCAAATTTGGGAAAGCTCCTTAAAGCTACCCCGAGTAAAGCTGAGCTTAGCACATACACAGTGCCTGTGAACTTCTTCACCGCGACGCCGCCAGCAAGCGTGTCATATGCGTCGTCCGATGATGAGACGCCACTGTCATCGAAGTCAGGCATCACCACACCTCACAGCTTGTTGTTTCAAAACTCACATGATAATCTTCCCTTTGAGACAGGGTTAGAAAGCACGACGCTTGGCTCATCATGGTCATCGAGTTCTAAGTTTTGTGGCAGTTTCGAGTCCCAGGAGTCAGCGCCTACCTCATGCGAGGAAGTATCTCCAGAGTCGAAAGCATCAATCGACGGCTCTATTCCTAGTGCGAGTACCAGTGCTACTGGCGATAGTCTTGAGGCCCTTTGCGAACTGCTTCAGAGCCACAAACTTGGATTTGAAGAGTCGAATCATCGTGCTGAGCCTCAGTCCAACCTCGGTCCCCGATCTGAATCTTGGCAAACAATCCGTATGAAGCAGAAGGAAGGAAGCGATGATGAAGCACCTTTTTCTAGCTCGTCAAGTACGCTCGGCCAAGAAGTGACTCCCTCGAACTGTGCATCTGATATGTCACCCCCACCGAGCCCTTCGTCAATGGGTCCACCTAGCCTCGATCCTTTAGGACCTGAGGATCTCTCGGCCTATGTTTCAGGTATTGGTCTCCCTATCGACCCTGATATTGAGATGAGTACGTTTGTACAATTGCAGACATTCCGTCACCATACGCGCAGTCGAAGTGTGGGCCGCTTCGACTCACGACATGAGAAATCTAAATGGCGCAGGCCGGACCGATCAAAGATGGACGAGCGAACAGCCAACATGCTTGGACTTAGTCCGCGGAAGTTGCAGTCAATGGCATCACCTAGGCCCCCGCTCGCTTTGGTTCGTGACACCGAGCACATTCCGGCCCTTGATGGTCTTGGTAGTGCACTTTGCAATCCTGGCTACGTTCTTCATTCAAGAAATTCCTCCGTCTCTTCGTTCTCTGAGACATTTGATGATGAGCCTCCCGCTTCGCCCATCTTGCGGACGCCAACAGAGGCACTCGAACCACTCCCTGATGATGGTGATTTTAGCTTATCTTTGAGCGATGCCAGCGTGCCAGATGAGCTCCCAAGTGAACATGTCACTATTGAGCATTTACAACCGCTTGTCACGGATACTCAACAACTCTGTATGACTTCAGAAGAACCTCCACTTGCCGACTACACTCTCGGGGACAACCTGTCTAAGACGTCGTTGACGCGGTCAAGTTCCTTGGACTGTGATGATGACGTACCTGTCTCTCGGGGGAGGTGCACGTCAGTTAAGTCGATCAAGTCCCCAAGTAGTCCGGTGGTGTCTGGCGCCAAGCTAGGTGTTTCGCATCGGCGATCAAACCGACGCCGAAAGAACGAATCTTCTTCGGGTTCATCTCAGACCCGACCCCAGGCTGGCTTGAATTTGGAGTTGCGCTCTCGCGAAAAGGAGCGCAGCCTTGGCAAACAACGCGGTCGTGGTAATGCCGTCAAGGTTGTTGCGTCTTCCTCAGACGAGTGCGCTGAGTCTACATTGAATCCAGCGCCTTGCGATGACATGAAGGGATCGGACGATGAAAGTGTTTTAGATGTCGCGCAGGCTTTGCCTCGTTCGCGTTTGTTGAGCAACAGCTCACATTTGTTAATGCTTAGTCTCGAACTTGCTATGATTCACCACCACAAGATCAATGCCCCTTTGAAGCCACGTTGGGGTAGGAGGCGTGATGACGACTTTCAGCCTCTTCCTGGCATGAATGCACGCATCCAACGCTACATGGCCGAAAGGAAGCTGAGGCATGTGCCGTCTTCCGTCCGGACTTCCTCTATGTACCATTATGTTGATGAATGTGGGTCTCGTCTTAAATATAATTGGGACGCGCGCACGTAAATTTACTTGCGAAAAGTGTGCCGAGCATTTTCATTCATAATGATGCTTTTGTTTTATCTTTTCGTTACCGCACTCCCCCGCAATTGCTAGTTGTAATGTAGAGAGATTTGATAGATTATTTGTACCTTTCCAATCAGTCATGAATTATTGCTGAGTGTCCAGTTGGCAAGCCGGAAATAAGATTTGTCAAGCTTAAGGCCCGCACGTTATCATACATGTACGCGCGGGACATCTACCCGTCAGGGAGAAGTTTGAGCGAATCAGAATTATGTTATTACGTTATCTGGACAGAAAGATGCGTCATCACTGGTCAGAATCGTGTAAAGACAACAACCCATGTTAAGGCCGTGGAAAGGCTACACTTTCTCTTTCTATTGAACAACGACTATGGCTTTGTTGCGAAACCTCTGCCGTTTGTCGTCGCGTAGTGTGCGCGCCACGACGACGCCACGAGCAGCTTCGGCTTTCTTTCCCCGTGCAAGCGTTCGAACATACAGCACGTCTCCGCAAGAGTCCAAGCCTGCAGCGCCGCCGTCTGGCTCAGGCTCAAATGTTCCATTGCTTCTTGCCGTGCTGCTGGCTGCTGGTGCGGGTGGTGCGTACTTCCTAAGCGACGATGTGAAGAACTGGGTAAACGGTGCCACTTCAACAAAGACAAATCCGACAAAAGAGGACTATCAGGCTGTCTACAATGAAATTGCGAAATCACTTGAAAAGGACTCGTCATATGATGATGGCAGTTATGCGCCAGTTGTGCTTCGTCTTGCGTGGCACTCGTCTGGCACGTACGACAAGAATAACAACACCGGCGGTAGCAATGGTGCAACGATGCGCTTTAAGCCGGAAGCTAGCCATGGTGCTAATGCTGGTCTGGAGAATGCCCGCAAGTTCCACGAGCCAATTAAGGCCAAGTTCCCGTGGATCTCGTACTCAGACTTGTGGACATTGGGTGGCGTCGTTGCTGTCCAGGAGATGGGCGGTCCGACAATCCTGTGGCGCCCAGGTCGTGTTGACAAGCCAGTTGAGGACACGCCCCCTGACGGCCGTTTGCCCGATGGCGCCCAGGGCCAGAAGCACCTGCGTGATGTATTCCATCGCTTGGGCTTTAATGACAAGGAAACTGTGGCTCTGGCTGGCGCTCATGCAGTGGGCCGTTGCCATAGCAACCACTCTGGTTTCGAAGGCCCATGGACGTTCTCGCCAACTTCGTTCACGAACCAGTTCTATGTCATGCTGCTTGACGAGTCCTGGGAGCCTAAGAAGTGGGATGGTCCTTTCCAGTATGTCGACAAGAGCTCTGGCTCGCTGATGATGTTGCCGACGGACTATTCTCTCATCAAGGACAGCACTTTCAAGAAGTACGTGCAGGAATACGCCAAGGACGAGCAGAAGTTCTTCAAGGACTTCGCTGATGTATTTGCAAGGCTGCTCGAGCTAGGTGTGCCTGCGGAGAACTTTGAGAAGGCTGCGTCGAGTCTGGGAACCAAGGAGCCTCTGAAGTTCAAGGTCCTTGCTGATCAGGAGAAGTAAGATAGCGTAATAGGAAGAACATTGTTCATAGGTTGAATCCGGGTGGTCGACCGCGGTACGCTTGGCTTGACTAAGCAGATTGATAAAGTAGACGAGCTTGAGTGATGTTCGTGCGCCACCGAGTGTGGGAGGCTCAAGCGTAAGAAGATAATTGAGTAACAAGGGTATGCAATGGGGCGAACACCGATAGAAGCGTGTAACCCGCCTAATTTTGAGATCTCGCGCTTCGTCCACTTGGGCTCGACAGCTACGTTGGCACCTCTCACTGACTGGAAGAGCCCTCGCTCGCCTGTTGCATATTGTGCATTTATCATGGAGTCAAGTGTATTCGAGGCACAAAGTCTCTTCTACCAAAGCGCGTATTCGGGTTGCATTGAATTCGCACAGACACATGCACCGAACGGCATCACGGATAATACGAGTCTGATTCTCCTTGTGTACGCAGCGCGCGCAGCTCTGGCTATGGGAGACATCGCGGGAGCCCGGCAACTGCTGGGCGATGATTCAGAGCAGCCTGTCGCCATGTCCGTACTGCTTCTTGCGGACTTTATGGAAATGAAGCGCTCCGGCGACGATGCGGGCAGCGAAGATGTGATTCAACAGCTCATCATGTTGCTCGATGTCGTCGAACCGGGCGAACTTGCAGCCGAAATTGTGAGATATCAAGTAGGCCTGGCTCTGCATGAAAATGGTGATACGAAAAACGCGCTGGAAACATTGGGTGTGATTGGAGCTGGAGGAAGTACGGAGCTTGAGTGTATTGCGCTGGGTGTGCATATTCTGCTGGAGATCCAGCGTGTAGACTTGGCGGAAAAAGAATATCTCGCTGCCAGGAAACAGAACGATGACTCGATTCTAGTGCAGTATATGGAAGCATGGATTGGACTTGTGCGCGGTGGGCGAGCTACGCAGCAAGCATATTACGTATATGATGAAATGAGCCAAAACACAATGATTGCTCACACGCGAAATATGGTTCCATCGCTAGTTGGCAAAGCTGTGGCGCAGGCGGCTCAAAACGATGTGCCTGGGGCAACAAATACACTGAATGAGGCGTTGGCCCTTGACCCACAACACACGCTAGCGTTGGCAAACCAAGGTGTTGTGCAATCCCTTGCAAGTGATGTCACTGTACCTGAGGCGGAATCCACAACAAATATGTATGCCAAAACAGAGCCAGCATCTGCACTAGTATCTTTTTGGGATACAAAACGCTATGAGCTGGAACAAGCAGTTGCTGCGATGCAATAGTCTCGGTCTACATCGTCTAAAGGAGCGATAGATTCTGCATAGTAACTAGGTCGGTTAGGAAACAAGCTTACAACATGCATCCACGTACCTTCGAAGGCGGCAAACGTTGCGGCATTCGCAAATGGAGCCTGTACGAGTTAGTGCTACAGTTTACCACTGTCATGCATCGTACCCTAATCAACGTCGGCACGATACCACGCACAAATCCGTTGAGACCATAGGTGGCTTGGATGTGACGAACCACATCGAAAGATGTGCGGAAGCGCCGCTGTTGAGACTGAATCGCGTCCGTTTGCATGTATGACTTGACGACGTCGATCGGATAAATCATAAGCCAAAGGAGCAGACCAGACAAGCCACCAGCTAGCAAGGAAGTGGACGCAGGGATCTTGTCACGGGCAATGCCCAAAACTTCAAGTCGTTTTTGCACGATGTACTCGTACGTTAAAAAGTACACACCCATACCGTGGCCTTCACGCACGATTGTCGGGCCAAGTCCTCGATATACGCCAGCAATACCAGAGTGCTGCATCATTCTGTTGTAGCGTAAGAAGTGCATGTACAAAGGCTTGGTAACAACATACTGTTTCAAACAGTCGAATGGTCCATGAAGCGCATGTCCTTTCTGGGTTTGAAGTCGAATACGCACATGCTCGATTGGACCTGCGAGAAAACTGTTGGCCACGCCGCCAAACAAACCAGACATGTAAAGCTGCAATGGTGTCAAAGACTTGCGCTCCGGCTGGTGCGCAGCATTCATGCTGTTGAAGACACGTTTGCTCCACTGGACCACACCGAATTGAATTGACACACACGCGCCAACACCGATGAGAGGCATTGTCGTGCCCTTGTAGAAAGCCATGGGGCCCTCATCACGCAAGATGTGTGAAATACAGTCCAAAACACCTGGCGTTAGACTGCTATGCTCCATTCCTAACTGGATCAAGCCAGCAAGGTACAATAGAGACTCAACGTACCGTTGTAGGTGCCGCTTGCGGCGGTTTGGACGCGCACTTTGACGATATCGAAGGGTCTGCGAGTGAGAACTTCGTCGTAACTGCACATACTGGCCGACGAGAACTTGGGCAACACCACCCATTGTGCCTGCTACTATGTCTTTCGTGGCATCATTAAGTGGCATTCTGGCTCGACTCGCTGCGTGAAACGGGCCGATGATAAGGGGGATAATCAGACCCGCCGATAATTATGCGTCATTCTCCACGAATAGAGACTTACAAAGCTCTGCAGTTTCATGTACTACGGCAAATATGAGTGGAGCCGTCGGTAATATGCTCCCAAGCAGCTGTGTCGATCCATGACATTCCGAAGCATGCGGGCCTCGTCAAGGGGAAGAGTGTCCAGTGTGTGCAAAATAGCAAAGAGAAGGCAGTCGAGAGATGTAGCACGCTTGGCACCGAGCAACCATCCTTCACCTGTTGAAACGTTGACATCCGAGGCAAGCCGAACCGCTACAGCCTCTAAACCCTCAGCGGCATCTCGTCGGATTGCATCTTGATCAACTCGTAATTGAGATGGTACAAACTCTGCATCTTCTGCAGCATCAGAAGCTGTGTGCGAGGATGTACCACTTAGAAAACCAACCCAATCGACAGAATAGCCGGGGACGAGTGTGAGAGGGTTCTTTGCATCGGCTAAGTAATCGCGCCCATACACGGCAGCGAGACTAGCAGGCGATGCTCCTGCTGAGCTAATACATGCGAGGCGTGCAAATGCTACCTCATCCGGAGATGATTCGCCGGGGAAGAGAGGTGCAAACCAGCGGCGAAGAAACGGCTTAGAGGAAGGTGGTGGTGTGTACACGCCTGAGCGGATGCACGATAGCAAGACACCAGCCATAACACGTCTTTCCAAGAGATTCTTCCATATTGGTACTTCGTCCTCAGCACCCTCAGGCCACACAGATTTTTCATCGAGCTCGGGACGTGCTAGAGGGTGATGATGATCCATGTAGCGCAGAAGATTTGATTCACTTAAGAGGAGGGTATCAGGCAAATCCTCTCCTGACTGCTTCGACGATGATCTGAAGAGAGCGAATGGAACGCTGTGGTCCGGCGACCAGTAAGCATGATAGATCGGTTCACAATGCACGGGCACCTGCCGGAATACAAATTCCATTTGCCATCGAAGACATATGGGATCCGCACTAGCCCAGCTGTTTTTCTCAGTAGCCCGAGCAGGTATGACATATAGTTCGGCCTTATCCTTTGGCATCTTGACGACTTCGCGATCTGACACTGCTTGCGCCGCAGGCCAAACACGCAGCGGAAAGAGAGCGAATAATCGTCGAATTACATCAGGCATAGGAATCATAGACGATCTTGTGGGTGTGTAAGACGGCGGAACAAATGGCATGTCCTCTGATTCTGAACGTGTCCCATCGGCCGCTAATGACATGTCGCAGAGCTTAGATCGATCAGTGACACAGAGCAAACAAAGTGGTTGACGACACATGCCAACCACACTTCAAGGGTGTGGAGGTCCATGCTCACTAGGACAGACGTTTGAATTCGTCTTAATCGGGACAGAAGGTAACATCGGATTTCGTGTAGTGTGAAATCATGGTATGTTCTAGCCCCGAAAATGTGCATCTCTATCTTATGCATATGGACTCTAGTCTTTGCAATATTTGGAAGAGTTTGAGATTCGTCCAGAAAGCACTGATCAGGATGCAGCCATTTGGCAAGTCGCATGGACTCAGCACGGAGTCGTCGCTGCACGTGCATCAGGCACCGTCGATGTGATTGACATGAAAAGTATGCTTGTGAAGACGTCGATCAAGAATGAGCATAAACTAGGCATCGTTGCACTTACTCGAAGCTCGAATGACGAGTTGCTGCTTACGAGCAGCATGGATGGAGTCGTGACGCTGTGGCAATGGTGTGACGCACGGCTAACAAAAGTGGCACAGCGTGCGTCTCTTAGGGGAGAAACGTTTGACAACGATGCCGTATTTCAAATTGATGTATGGGCAAGCGCTTTGCATCCACAAAGCATGTTATTTGCTGCTGGTGGTGAGAACGGGAATGTGGCTGTGTTTTCTGCAGAAGCCGACTCTTTTGGCAAAGGTATCAGACATCTGGTGCACGATGCGCCTGAGTCTGATTTTTGTTTGTCTTTAGCGTTTGTACGTCTCTGCATACTGACCGACTTTTTATCAGAATTATGAAGGTGATCTATTAGCCATGGGTACAAACTCGGGATTTGTACGTTACCATTCTGAAGGTGTCTGAGCTGACGACGCGAGATATGTGTTTGGGATATTCATTCAGGCCAGCAGCTAGTGAGCTTTGCAGGTACGCCATGTCTCTAAATAATATCTGACTTTTTGCTAGACCATACTGAGCCCATACGCGCTCTTCTATTTGCACGATCAAGTGTGACGTTTTCAGATCACTTGTTTGTCGGCTCGGATGATGGCACGACGACGATATATGACGTGCGAGCGATTCGACGCAAGCTTGGTGAATGTGCCATTACCACATTACAAGGTCATAATGGATGGATTTTGGATGTGCAGTCTGCAGCAAACGGTCGCGTCGTTGCTACAAGGTGCGTGCATCAAACAGATATGCATGGGTGCTGACCTTTTTTTTCCTTTCAGTTCGACAGACCAAACAGTCCGGCTATGGGATTTGGAAGAATCCCCTGTGACATGCGTAACAATTCTGTCACAAACGACACCTATATGGGGTGTGTCATGGCATCCTGACACACTGCCTCAAATTCGAGAGAATTCTGTGTCGACACAGATGATGGCCCCTGGCCATCAATTTATCACAGCAAGCGACGATGGTGTTATTCGCTTATACCGCAGCGCAGGTGCCAGCGCAAGTGAATGAGATAGACTGAACATGAGAATTGGTCGAAATGCCACAGTTAGGCTTGACGGTTTTCGCGTCGCTGGCGCATGTACTCCTTTTTACATAGTCGGCTGAGGTTAACAACGTCGAACTGAAAAAGGGGAACAAACAATTTTCTTCAAAAAAAGACAAAGGAATGCTCGTTACGTACTAGATGTAAAATTCATTATGACATTGTAGTTTGTCGTGGCCATAGCGCTCCAAACAGCGCATGGACTGCAGGGCCGCTTCCTTGCAAGGATCGACAAACTTTGTTGGCATCTTGTTATCCAGTATGTCAGGTGATTCTGGATGCAGAGCCTTCAAATTCAAGTCAGCAAGGCGGTCTGGCGGGACGGGCGTCGACATGTTATGTATAGATGGACAATTCTACGTTTTGACCGCGATTGCGTCTCTTGAGTGCAACAGTCGGCGAGCCGCCGGGTCCTCCACACTGGTATCTCTAGCCACGCGGAAAGGTCACAAGAAGATCGAAATGAAGCGAGGGACAAGTGGAGATAGGCGCTCGCTAGTGTGTTGACGTCAGGGCTTATTATCGGGTTCGGCCACGAATGCGCCTATCCTTTTCGCCCATAGGCCCCAGAATTTCCCCCACAAACGAATTGTGAGCTATTGACATTTTTTCTGATCATGTCACTAGGCATTCAAATCGCTATAGACCGTGGTGGCACGTTCACCGACTGCTTGGGTAGGATTCCTGCGTCCGGAGATCGGCCCGAAAGAGATATTGTGATCAAACTACTGTCTCGAGATCCAAACAATTACCGCGATGCACCGACAGAGGGTATCCGGCGTATCCTAGAGATGGCCTCGGGCCGCTCCATTCCACGCTCGGAAAAGATATCAACCCAGGATATCGGTACGTACATTCTTTTGTTCCACTGACACAACAGCCTACATTCGTTTGTCAACTACAGTGGCTACAAATGCTCTACTAGAGCGCGATGGTCAGCGTCATGCGCTCATTACCACGAGAGGGTTCCGAGACATTGTTCAAATCGGGAACCAATCTAGACCTGCTATTTTTGATTTGGCGATCCACAAGCCTGAGGTTCTCTATGACCAAGTTGTTGAAGTCGATGAGCGTGTTACGGTGGTTGGTTATAGCTCTGACCCGCACGCTCGCGAACACAGTGTCCAGTTTTCGTCGATGGGCCGAGATGCACGGATTACAAAACCATATACCGGAAAAGATAAGTTGCCAAGCGCATCACCACTCAATATGCCTTACAAGGAGCCTGACATTGTTCGAGGAATCTCTGGTGAAGCTGTCGCTATTCTTCAGAAGCCAGACGAAGCTCGTGTCCGCCAAGACCTGGAGCGATTGTATGCTGAGGGCTATCGCAGTTTAGCAGTTGTGTTTATGTTCAGCTATACGTATCCCGAGCATGAGCAACTTGTGAAAAGAATTGCACAAGAGATCGGCTTCCCTAGCATCAGCTGTAGTGCGGAATTGATGCCTATGATCAAAATGGTACCGCGTGCTACATCAGCAACAGCAGACGCATATTTAACGCCAGTATTGCAAGCATATATTGATGGCTTTTTTAGCGGATTTGATTCTTCGTTGCGTGACGGACGGGCTGGCACAAGAGTCGAATTTATGATGTCCGACGGCGGCCTGACATCTGTTGAGCATTTCTCGGGTCTCAAGTCCATTATCAGTGGACCGGCAGGTGGCGTAGTGGGCATGGCTCTCACGACCTATGACAAGGATGACGGCCGTCCGTGTATTGGCTTTGATATGGGTGGCACATCGACTGATGTGTCCCGGTATGCTGGAAAGTACGAACAGGTGATGGAGACAACGATTGATGGTGTCACGATTCAAAGTCCACAGCTCGATGTCAATACGGTTGCATCTGGCGGCTCGTCGAGACTCTTTTTCCGCAACGGTTTGTTTGTCGTGGGCCCTGAAAGTGCGTCGGCACATCCAGGACCAACGTGTTACCGTAAGGGTGGTCCATTAGCGATTACGGATGCCAACCTTGTCACTGGCCGCCTGGCGATGGAGATGTTCCCACGTATTTTTGGTCCAGATGAGAATGAGGGTCTGGATGTGGATGCGTCGACCCGAGCATTTGAAGAGCTCACAGAGCGCATCAATCGCGAGACAGGTCGCACCATGAGTGTCGATGAGGTTGCTCAAGGGTTCATTCGCGTCGCGAATGAGGCCATGTGCCGCCCGATTCGATCATTGACCCAGGCGCGTGGCTACTCGACCTCGAAGCATGTACTTGCTTGTTTCGGAGGTGCTGGTGGCCAGCACGCCTGCTCGATTGCGCGTGCTCTCGGAATTACGACGGTCGTTGTGCATAAGTACTCATCTATTCTGTCTGCGTATGGCATGGCGCTGGCGGATCGTGTGTTTGAAGTGCAGGAGCCATGCAATGAGACATGGGAAACCACGAGCTCGTTTGACACATCGACAGCATTGGGTCGGATTCATACGCGTGCACAAAACCTCACCAAGCACGCTGAAGACGAGCTTCATCGGCAGGGCTTTGCTCGTGACCGCATTCACACAGACACGTATCTGCATATGCGATACGATGGCACAGACACAGCACTCATGACCCTCAAGCCAGCAGATACCTGGGACATGGAGTCAGTGTTTGTGAACAATTACCGCCAGGAATTTGGATTTGTACTTGCTGATCGCGCCATTCTGGTTGACGATATTCGTGTGCGTGCAGTGGGACGCACGTTTGACTCGCTTGGTCCGTCTGTGCTGGCAGAGCATGCAACGCAGTGTGCCAAGTCAGAGACGCCATTTCCAAAGGCCAAGGCACTGGACACAGCGAGTTTTAGACCCGTCTACTTCGATGGCCAGGGTCGCGTGCGCACGGCCATCGTACGGCTGCGCAACCTTGCGATATTCGAGAGTGTGCCGGGACCAGCCATTTTGATTGATGAGACGCAAACCATTTTGGTTGAACCGCGCTGTGAAGCATATATTCTCAGCCAAGCGGTGCTGATTCGTGTTCAGTACGATGAGTAAATCCCCACTCGATCAACGCAGCAAGACGAGCTCCAGCCATAGCGAGTGTCTTTTCAATCACCAAGCTACGATCAATCGGGTGTAAGTATGTGGGAACCGCCACCTCCGGTGCGATTGTCCTGTCAGGAGATAGAAGAAACGACTGCGCGAGCAGCCAGCGGAGATGGAGTGGCTTTTTCTTCTGGACATGCAGTGGGAACGCATACTGACATGCCAGTGCGTGAATTTCATGTGCCCACGACAAAGGACAAACAGGTATGCGAGAAGGGGCAGGATCTGCAATGCCTCCTAAAGCCACAGGCTTAATGGGACACGCAGTCCAATTGCGCCACGCGGGCCACCAAGCACGCTGCTGTCGAGCTGGATCCTTTATGCCAATTCCGAGGCCTTCTACCAGGATCCAGCGTATATACGCATCGTAGTGCCGACCACGCAAGGCCGACTCGACATCGCGCTCGTCTAGCTCACGGGTGTAGTTGTGCAAAGATTGAATGCGCCGATGAACCAAGTCTCGATCCCAAACACGATGCAGAGTAGTGCGGCGCCTCTCAAAATATACTGAAAAGGCATTTCCTCCCGCATCGCGACCCACGAGGTGCAAGGGCTGATGCATGTCGCCTATGAGATGCGTCAGAAACCGAAGCGCGTTCGTCCTTTTCGCGGGAAACGGTAGCTGGTTAGCGTAGCGCGGGATCGCTGATATATTGGTAAATGCGTGAACCGATTTTATGCATTGATGTAACGCACCTGTCAAAATGTGACTCTCTCGCACAAAGCCCTTGGTCCCAAAGTGGCAAGCAGATGGTGGCTCGTCTGCCACGGCGTTCACATAGTGCATGTGCGACGTCCAAGGCATCACATGCTTGACTTGGTCAGCCCAATTTGCTATAGGTGCCAAGTGACAATGCACGTTCGTTCTAATGGGTATCGTGTCGTTTTCAGACAACTCCATCGCGTGGTAAGCAGTTGTGTTGGGGAGATTGTTGCAGAGTTGCGAGCGTATATGCAGTGGAAGCAGCGCTTGCGCTATGGTGGCAACGATTTCATGGCCAATCGTTCCCCATGCGAACGCGCAATTCACACATGCCGCCACGAACACAAGCAACACCGACACGGAGGGCCAATGCATGTGTGCTCGAAAACAACTCACCGTACCTAGGGTCAGTCCACGTTCGCACTTCATGCAACCTACTAAAATTAAGAGTAATGTGGAGGTACGAGGCACAGGAGCCCTTAGGGCGGCTACATCTACTGGCGTGTTCTTCCTCACGCTTGGCGTTGAGCCAAGAGTGCGGTGGTGGCACGTAAGTGGGCTCGGCGTACATGTTCACGTTGGAAAGACATGACACCCGAGCAAGAGTCAACGTTAATTGAGCAGGCGATAGATGCGAAGACGTTGTCGTACGCCCCATATAGTGCGTTCCGTGTCGGCGCAGCGGCGCTTTTGGAGGATGGGACGATCGTCCAAGGGGCAAACATAGAAAATGCATCCTATGGTATGTGCGTGAAACAACAGCTTGCCTTACCTAACTACATAGGTGCTTGCATATGTGCCGAGCGCTCCGCTATTGTGCGGATCAAGCAGGAACCACGGTGGCGTCATCAGAAGATCGTGGCCATGGCCGTAAATTCTGACACGGAGACGGCACCTTGCACACCATGTGGCATATGTCGACAGGTGCTGCGAGAATTCTGCACACCTGACATGCCGGTTCTCTTTCCGACCAAACATTGGCAACAAGATGCACATGTGCTTGCTCTCACACTCGAGGAGCTACTTCCATATAGTTTTGGGCCAAGTGTTCTTGGGAAATAATGGGTGAAGAAAAAAGAGGACTATCATACAGAGCCAAAGATATTGATATGCAAGTGAATAGACCTTCTGCGCACATCTGAAGCCGCAGAGACAAGGATGCCTTCGACGCAAGGTCATTCACCTGTCAAGTAGTAATGCATACGGCGAAGAGCGCTTTGAAGGTAGTTCGGGAAGCGAAGTACGGCTAGGCAAACGCCTGCAATGACGAGTCCATAGATGGTCACTTTGTCATTAGTACTTTGGCGCGCCACATGTCTCGAGACCAGAACAACGTACACATAAGAAAGACTTCCACGGGCTCTTGAACACTAATGCCAAGGATGCCTGACATTTTTACCCAGACTGCCCAAGAAAAATCCACTAAAGAAGCATAGAAGGGATGTGGCCATTCCTCTGGCTCGTGTTGTATAGCCTTTGTCTTTCTATCAACAATTGGCTTGGGCGAAGAAGCAGGCCAGCGCTGGCGCAGCTGAGCCTGATCGGCAATGCCATGAACATCGCTCTTCTTTTGTTCCATGTGTGAAGAATGAAAGAATGAGCTGCCTTAGAAGAGCAACAAGGAGTTTGACGCCGTTCAACAGCGCAATGCCGACGAAATGTTCGGTGTTACCTAGACGACGGACGATATAGCCACACAGGCCAGCCCAAGCCAAGCCAGGTCAGCTCGAGGCGTGTCCAGACCCACAGCTCCATCCCAGATGCCGTGTATGTACATCACGTGATGTGGCGCCGAGATCGAAGATGCACTGACTTGGTCGTCTTCGTGTGACCAAACTTCTTTGGACGTTGTCGCGGCTCTGTCCCCTTTGAATCTTCCAGCATGTCAGCGTCGGCGACAAATCGCCGCGTATTGCGGAACCTTGATCATCTGAAGCAGGGAACGAATCAAAAGTTCTTGAATAAGCTGCGTCCCTCCTACGCGCAGTCCACTCCTGCGTATGTGCAGCCAAAAGACCGCGTCGCATTCTGGAACATTGTACCTGGAGACACTGTCAAGCTTCGTACGGGAGCTGTGGGACATGACGATGAAGGTCGGCCGATCCGTGGTGAAGGAATTGTGACGACGGTCGACCGAACGACTAACCGTCTCTTTCTCCGTGACCTGGACGACCAGCACAAACTAGCACCGAAAAACATCAAGCATGTGATCCCACGTCTCGTTGACCCTGAAGCTGGAGAAGAAAAGGGATATTCAGGCAATGTGATGAGTGTTCCACGCCCTGTTCACTACTCGAAAGTCATGCTCAAAGTGCCCAATACCAACTCGTACGCCTCACGAATCGTACGTTCCAAGCCATTCTACGACAGGCACAAGGGCATGTTTCTCTGGAAACGCTTTGCTATCGTCAAAGCCACAGACGAAGAGTCGATTCGTTCGGGTCAGGTTGTCAAAAAAGTTGAAGTGCCCTGGCCCAAAGTGCCAGAGCGCCGTCGTCCTTTCCAGATCACACATGCTGATGGCCGAACTGTAGAAGAAGAGACTTGGGTGCCGTGGGTGCCGGAGGATCCTGTGCTTCTTCCAATGCGGAAGCCACGAACGACGCCTGTTCGAGAAGCGCTTGCAGCTGAGCGAAAGACCGTTTGGGATGCGAAGCTCGCCGAGCTCCGAGCCAAGGCGCACGACTTGACCCTGTCGACTCCAGCTGGTGCCCATTCTTATGCGGGCTTTGTGCGGACAGAAAACGTGCGTCCACCACCGATTGCACAGGGCGCCTAGCGCCGCTGAGATGATCGGCATGGAAAAGAAGCGCCTCGCAGAGTTTGTGCAAGACCCCGCGACCCAATCGCATGTCGAGCAAGGAGGCATGGTGTTCGCTGCGACAGACTATTTGGATGTGGCCCCGCTAATGGGTCCAGCAGCCGGTGGCGATTGGGGAGCTCTAGATGATACGTCAAATGGCACCCAGCGCGATGCACAAGGTCGGCTTGTATCTCGTCCTGGGCGCCCAGACGTGCATGCTATGCCCATCGAGCTGCTCATGGGTGCTGATCTAGCTAATGAGACTGGTCTCAAATGGCGCATGCGCCGTTGGCAAGCCTCACAAGCAGAGCGCCGTGCTCGTGAGTCGGAGACTGCAAAAGAAGATAAAGAGTTACTGAAGGAGCTTGAAGCGCTTCGTGTGTAGACCCAATGGCATGTATTACAATACTTTTACTCTACGCTTGTTTTCAATTATGATGATACGCCAAACAGCTTTTCGAAAGCAGGTCCTATGTCCGTAAGCAGATCGTTCGTAAGCATACTGCGACCGAGCCGAGCGAACCCGAGATGCGAAGCCATCCGTGTCACAGAAGAAGCGCCAAAGGCGGCAAGAACGGGCAAGTTCTCAGCAGGAATATCAGCGACATCTTCACCCATGGCCTTTCGTTCTTCGTAGCGCTTGGCCCATGCAAGGAAGGTGCCAAGGGACCCACTGAGCAAGTCGCCCTGACCACCGCACCGCTTTAAGCCGCCTTCAATATCACAGTATTGCACTTCGGTCTCTGTAGCAATACGATCGACTCGACCCTTTTCGAGAATTGTAAGCCCCCCAAGTGCCTTGCTGAGTTGCTGGGCTGCGTGTTCGGATGTCTCAATGTTCTGTTATTAGCTCAATTCCATGCTGGGAGACTAGGTGCAGGTGAACCTTCGCTGGTTTTACCTGTTCCCGGCCTAGACACACACGCACCATTGCTCGACAAAGGCGCCCAAACTCGACCACATTGGGTGTCAACACTGCACGCTTGTAGCCTTGGACCGTGTTCGGTGCATTTTGAACAAGCCATAGACCATCTGCATCAATAACTGCGTACAAGTCCGCCTCGCGAGCCACTTCAATAGCTACACGAGCGAACGCTTGCATAGAGTCATCGCGACCCAGACCCGGGCCGATGACGACGCTGTGCAGACGCTTGAACAATGTACGAAGCTCCTCACGCACGTCATTCAGGTTTTTCGATGCATCAAGCGCCGGATGTACGATCAGATCCGGCGAATAAGACTTGATGACCGGAGCAGCCTCCGGCGAGCAAACAGTAAACGACATGTCGCAGCCCACTCGCATACACGACATAGATGCATAGTATGGTGCACCTGTATACTCACGACATCCGCCCAAGATACCAACACGCCCGGCCTGGCCTTTGTGCAACTCTGGAAGAAGCGGTGAGATAATAGCCTGTACTTTAGCTAGCATCGAGCGATTTAGTGGCATCCTATAAAGTGCGCGTGCGTCCAATCTAATACAAGTTTGTTAGCGTAAGCCTTGATTCCCTTACAACGGAGTTGTCACCACAAACACGATGGCAGTGTTCTTTCAATCCATCTCAGCTTCCAACACGTGGCCCATGCGCACGAGACTTAGTTCGTTCCGACGCAATACATCAGCGAATAAGCGGAGGGCGCTACATATTGAGGTGAATGATGCGTGATTGGGGATCTAAAGTTGTGGGGTTCGGAGATAAATCATAAAAAGAGGCATCCCTTGGAGAAACCGTGCAACACAGCTGAGTCCTTGACTTTACGCTTGTTTCATCGCAGGTTCGCTATGAGTTCTGAAAAAAACCTGATTGCTAGTATATTTACCCCGCGCATGGGCTATCGTGCTGACGCAGAAGCTATTGAGCTACCTGCGTCCTCAGGAAAGCCCATGAGTGTGACTTATAGTGAGCTAGCAGCCCTCATTGACGGCGTCAAAGCGCAATTGGCTTCACTTCATCTCAAAAAAGGCACTGTTATTTGCAGTAGCCTGGTTAATTCACTCGAATTTGTTGTCGTGTTCCTTGCTACAGCAGCACTCGGACTGGTTGCGGCACCATTGAATCCGAACTACAAAGAAAACGAAGTGTCGTTCTATCTTGAAGACACCAACACGCCTGCAATCATTGTACCGAATGGCACATTGGCTGAGAAGAACGTATCAGAAGGAGCTCTTTCAGCTGCACGGGCTGCCAAGTCAAGACAGGTACGAACGTTGGAGATTGTGCATGATGTGCCGACAGCTTCCCGGTCGAAGAGTGTAATGCGCCTTGTCGATCAGAATGGCTCTTTGCCAACTGGAGAAGCTACAGTGGCAGAAGAGGATGACACAGCACTGATTCTTCATACTTCGGGGACAACTGGACGTCCCAAGGCAGTGCCTTTAACGCATAAAAATTTGCTCACGTCCATGCACAACATCCAGAAAACATACGAGCTGAGCCCTAATGACAAGACGTTTCTCGTTATGCCACTATTTCATGTACATGGTCTCATATGCGCTTTGCTGTCTTCTTTGCTTGCATGCAGCTCTGTTGTGATTCCGCCGCGTTTCAGCGCCTCGACATTCTGGCCAGAATTCGTGCAGACAAAATCCAACTGGTACACTGCTGTTCCTACAATCCACCAGATTCTTCTGGCATCAGAAAAACCTGATCCCATGCCAAAGTTGCGCTTCGTTCGATCGTGCTCGTCTTCCCTGTCTCCCGCGACATTGACATCGTTAGAGCAACTTGTGAAGGCGCCTGTCCTAGAGGCTTACGCTATGACAGAAGCAGCGCACCAGATGACGTCGAATCCGCTACCACCTAAGCCACACAAAGCTGGCACCGTAGGATTTGGACATGGAGTCGAAGTCAAGATTCTTAATGAGAAGGGCGAGGAGCTGCCTGTGGGCCAGAATGGCGAGGTCTGTGTTCGCGGGTCGAATGTGACGAACGGTTACATTGATAACGAAAAAGCAAATCAGGACAACTTTTTCCGACTCGCCTACAATAACTGCTTACCTGATGTGGATGGCTTCTTACGGACAGGTGACCAGGGCCGGATGGACGATGACGGCTACCTCATACTGACGGGTCGGATCAAAGAGCTGATCAACCGCTCAGGAGAGAAAATCAGTCCTTTGGAAGTGGACAATGCTCTGCTATCCCTGCCATATGTAAAAGAGGCCGTTTCATTTGGCATCCCCGACGACATGTATGACGAGCTTGTGGGAGCTGTGATCGTGCCGGAGCCCGGGGCAGCCCACCCTGTTGATCAAGCCAAGGTTCAGTCGGACTTGAGCGCAAACCTTGTCAAGTTCAAGATTCCATCCCGTGTATGGATCACAGACAGTATTCCAAAGACGTACGTTGCTTTTTCTCAGCTACTAACACATTGACAGTGCCACAGGCAAGATTCAACGTCGAATTGTCGCCCAGCACTTTTTGGCGCCGCAGACGTAATTGGGTTACGTGGAGTCGTAGCAAGGCATTGTTGTAGTTGTATGCTAGTCTCAGCCTCCACATGCTTCTCGCCACGGCCTTCACAGCGCGAAAGACTACGCGCTGGCAACGAAAGTCAGCGAAAGATCAACTTCAGCCACCATGGAAGGCGCACGACTGAGGCGCATTATGCGCGAAATTGCCGCGTGTGAAAAGGAGTCAGACGATGAAATCTTTGTCAGTATGATTGATGGTATGTGCACGCTATGTCTTCCTAATAATGTTAGAGTCTCCTTTTCATTTGATCGGCTCGTTCCCCGGACCAATCCACTCGCCATTCGAGCATGGCTTGTTCAAGGTGGATATTGTAGTACCTGAAGGATACCCATTCCACCCTCTTCAAATGCGCTTCATTACAAAAGTATGTTCTGCAAGTGTGTTTCTCTTCGATGACAGGGCTGACAAGGAAGGTGTATCACCCGAATGTCTCTTCCCAGAGCGGGGCCATCTGTCTAGACATTCTTAAGGGTATGTGCTCATCTCCTGGATACAGCTCACATTAGACCAATGGTCTCCAGTGTATACGCTTAAGACGACGCTTATGTCACTTCGTTCCTTGCTCTGCTCTCCAGAGCCAAATGATCCCCAGGATGCTGAGGTCGCGAAGCATTACACAACCGATTTCCATGGCTATGAGAAGACCGCTCGATATTGGACAGAAACTTATGCAAGCCGTGACCCAGCTTCTACTTCCGCTGGAGATGAGGCGCAACTGGCTGGGCTTGATACTAGTCAAGTTGACAAATTCTGCAATATGGTATGTAATCGCTTTCTACGACCGTGCGTGTCGAAAAGACCGAGCAGCTATTCTTACCCGTGCAGGGTTTCCCGAAGGGACGCGTGATTGATGTTATGAGACGACTCAACTATCGTGGTCCAAAGTGCGTTGCAAGAGATCATTCCGCTCACATGCAGTATCCATACTGTTCCTGACGATCAGGTAGTGTCGCTTCTAAAGCAGCAGTTGTAAGCTAGACACAAATACAAAAGGCTTTAGGAGGCTCGGGGGCCCAAAGAGTCATCATTTTCATCACTACTATGTAATTGATCCCATCCAGGTTTGAGAGACCCATGGCGGAGTGTCAGCATATGAAATCTGTAGTAGACTTGCATATTCCCTCATATGATGGGCAAAGCTACAAATCGTGTACTAGCAAATGTCCAGCGGGAGCAAGACCCTCACGAATACCCCAGAACCACAAAACCACTGTGAAAAGCGAGAAAGGGCGATGAATGACTCGACGGATCATTCCAGATTCTTTCCAAGTATTAAATGCTTTGTACGCGTCGGTGTCGACAGTATGACCATACCAGGCCTCGGGACCATCTTTGCACGGATCAATAAACGATGGTAAGAATTTGTGACGGTCCTCTTGGTCCTGATCTTGTGAAAGAAGCTCCGTCTCTTCATTCGTTGCACACGTTTCAGGTACAGACGAGGAAAGACTCATTCGACGCATATCGGAGCTCGAAGAAGCATGCTCCTTGGCTTGATGGCGCAGATATTTTCTCCCAGCACGGGATCGTGGATTACGCTCGGCATGATTCTTCCAGCCACGCAGCTCCCAAAACATACCACGCCGCGGTCGTCTGCGTAGTCGCTTTGACATGACGTGATTTTGATATAAGCTTTTTAGCACATCGTCACCTACTGGCACGTCTGAATCGGAGATTAAGCGCAAGCCACTAGATTGAATAAGCATGTTGTCGCGCCCAGGTCCATCATCATCCACCTCTTGGTTTTGTAGCGCTGCATATCGCTGATGACGGATCAGCTTGATTTGTGCCATCGATAAGACTGCAAACGTACGGACGGCGTCGGGTGCAGAGACCGCAGACCCGAACACACGAGGAAGCAAAAATGGCATATCACTAAAGTCACCATGGTTTGTGCCTGCAAGCGTCATGAGCCAGCCACGGTGATCTTTGTTTGCCGCGATGCCATCGATTGTGCAGCGCTGCAACTTAGTGTACTGCTCAGGCCACATGCTAAAGCCCTCTGAGTTCATCACATAAACAGGTTTGCGAAGTTTCAGTCGTACATCCTCATCGTTTAGTGGATCACGCACTGGATCCATCCATGGGTCCAGAATGATGCCGTACTTGAATAGATTTTGATCCAGTCGCAGGAACTCGAACAAAGTAGCGCCACCGAAGCTGTGGCCAATCAATGAAGGGAAATCCACGTCCAGCTTGCCTTTCCAAAGCAGAAAAAAGTCACTGCATTTCGGCACCAGATTTTTCTCGCGCATCTTGCGAAAGTGTTTTGGACCGCACAAAGAAGAGCCGAAGCTACGTGTACAACAAGATTCAAGCCAATCGGTGTCACCTTGATTAATGCGACGAAGAACATACATCGCTTCTTGAATCTCACATGCTCGCATCGCTAATTGCGCTTGACGAAGACCTTGTTCTTTAGGTCCTTGAGGTTCAGAGAATGCACGAAGACCGACTTCTTCAAACGGCAGGTACGGCACTTTTGTAAAGTCATGGAAAAGACTAGAAGTGGCTTGATTCGTGCTTTCAGCGTCCAAGTCATCATTCAAAACAGATTCTGTGGCACCCATCTTGAAATTACGTCGGCAGTGCCGATTCATCTTACTCTGTGATGAAAAGTGTTCATGGACGCCAGTCCACACAAATGAACCCATACCTGATCCATCACGGTGCTCGATAGCAGCCACAACAAAGCCGTGAGAAGCAAGTTCTGAACAGAACTGCGAGTAAGCAAGGCGGTTACCTGCGAGACCGTGGCAGAAGACCACGACAGGGAAATGCGTCATTGCTACAGCCTTAGCGGACTCTGCATCACTTTTCATGCCAAAATCACTTGAAACATTAGCTGGTTCAGTGATTGGCGCAGCTACTCTCGCTTGAAGGTATGAGGTTGCCAACGTAACAAGGGCTGGCACAAATATCTGTGCCAAAGAACCGTACTCGCCGATATAGTCCCATGCCACATGAACCATTTTCTTCAATGGATATCCTAGCCAACGAGCATGAGGATATTTTTTAGCGTCACGATGTTGCATCTTTGCACTTGGATAATATAGAGAAAAGAGCACAGTGCGAAGCTGTAGTGTTGCATGCCTCAAGAAATATCCGTGATCTTTGAGGTACTTCTCTTCAGCATCATTCAAACGATTAGCATCTACTGGCTCATCTTTCATGAGTTTCTCAAAGTTCGCATAAACTCGCTCTGCCTCGCGTGAACTTAATTTGTGGCCATCCTTGGCCAACTTGTTTACTTTCACATGATTCAAGTAGCTTGGAATAAAGTCTCGTGGCTCACGAACGGGGACTTCTATGTCTACAACGCCCACATCAAATGGTCCATTTGCTTTGGGAAGATGCATGTGATCCGCTAACTTGAACACACAACCCTCGCGAACGAAGTCTGAAAGATTTAAAGAAAAAAAAAAAAAAGCAGATCGAGTGGATGTCTCAAGGGCCACATCACCTTTCCCTCCAGAATGAACTAATTCATGCGGTATATTTGAGGTGCAATCGATATATGCGTTTGGATCTAGAGTTGCCGGATTGTGATTGGTTCGATAAGTGCAAGTACTTTGTAAACTCGACATGATTGGTCCATCTTCACTATGAATGCGAAAATCATACGGCTAACATGGCGCCCATTAAATGAGACAACCCCGGTTACAACTGGTCGCTACCACCTAGATCTGTTTCTGGCCTGGTCATGTCGCCTGGGCAGGATGACATGACATTTTTTCAACAACATGACATTCCTGTGAAGGGAAATTTGGAATGGACAGATGATACCCTGCCGGCCGTGGATTTTTGCCAAAAAGAAATGACCACTCGTACAAACTTACTCGCACGCAAGACTCAGTGTCTCATCCCTGATGAAATGAAGAATGATGCAGCATGCAGAAATTCAGATTCTACATCTCGAAATATCAACAAAAATACTAGGTATAACTTATCCACATCTTTGGCAAGTGGGAACGGCTCAGCTCAGTATCAGTATCAGGAACAGCAAGTATGCAGGACTTGGTTGCCGTTCCTAGACACTTCAATACTTCCCCAAAGTTTAGTGCGACGAATCTGGCCACGGACTTGCTCTCAGAATACAAGAATTCCTGTTATACAAACTGGATTGTCCGAAACTCGAAAGACTATTGAGACGTCAGATAGTTACATTGAGCTAAACGAGCCCCTTGCTATGGCACTACAAGAAACATACAATATCATGCGAAATCGCGCTTTCCATGAATTGAGTGAAGATCAAAAAAGAAACATTCGCGAGAGGATAGAACGCGGTCTTGCCAAAGAGTGTACTGATGAGGTTTTGTTACATGGACCCATTTATGGGATTCGACAATTACGACCTATTAAAATACCACCATACTCTCACGTCCAAAGTGTGCTAATGTTGACACTAGTGAACATGGCTGTCTTCTGCATGCACTATGTGTTGGTATTCCTGACTTACGCATGGATCGTTTTGGGCATCCCACACGGTGTTGTACATCCTGGTGCTTTTCCGCCAATGAGCATGCTGTCAAAGATGCAATACCAAGGCTTCTCTTTGAAAACACAACCAATTTTAACGTCCCTTCAAAATCTATTGTCTATGCGGCAACAAGAACAAATTCCTGTCCGTGACCGGCTAGCTTACGCCACGCAACAGTTTGCATTGATGATTCGGCAATCTGCACTTCCGCAACAGTGCCGTCTATTGTCATGTATGATCCATGCTGCGCTTGTATATGTTCTGAACTTCGCGCAAATTCACCTCCCTGCATCTTTCCGAATTGACAGCGTCGCTGGAGTAATTCGATTCGTCTACGGACTTGGCATTCCGAGCATGTTGTTTAACATGCTGTACATTTTCTCCGAATCAATGTTGATATTTTTTGAAACGCTTACAAGTGACAAGCCTTGTCCTTAGTCTCAGAACCCCATCCGTACTTGTAATTGGATCGCTGGTCCTTCCCAGCTTGTTTCGTGCAACACAGGTTTTCTCACGTGATGTTAGTCGTGCAGGTCGTCACTTGAGAACGAAGACTGGTGTATGTTTAGTCATCCAGAATAGAATCGTCGCACACCCCTTGCCATAGTAAGAGGCCGTTCGTCAAGACCAATCGAAGCGAACAAGATACGACGATGTTTTTGCCCACATACTTTGCACGCACAGCAGCACGATCAGTCACGCTGGCTCGCTTTGCTTCAACATCAGCGCGGCGTGTTGCTCCGCCACCTCGGGGTACGTGGTCTCAATATCCGACAAAACACACCACTTACGCTTGGATAGACAATATTGCGACGCCAAAGGCATTTCTAGAAGCAATCTCCAAGCCACGTCGCGACTTGGCGAATAATTCTACATGTGTCTCTGCCGTCGGGGAAGACTGGGACGCGATGTTTGCGTTGAACTCGGAGAAATTAAAAGGCGCAGGTGTTCCTGTGAAGGACCGTAAATACATTTTATGGTCGCTCGAAAAATACCGCCAAGGCGAGCGTCCAGCTGATTTTGCGTATGATGTCAAGAAGCCAAAGAAGGTGCGTGGCTGGGGCCCTCGTGTGCAGAAAGGAATCCGTGTGCGAGGTATGCTTCGCCATGGCGAGAAGAAGCTTTGAAAAGACTGGGAATTCCTATAATCCCCTCTTTGTCCATGATACCCCTATGTAACGCCTACATACTTGACCCATAAAACATTGCATTAGGCTGCACTTTTTCGCAGACTCCGTGTAAATGGTGAGCCAAGTGTACGGCGAAACGTGTGTCGCTGCGCTTTGCCATCAGGCGATATAGGCTCGTCATCCGACTTACGAGGACTGAACCCTTGCCTGGACGAAAAATCAGATGTGGTATCCAATCGTCGGGGCGGTTCAGCTGCGCGCTTTGGCCGGCTGAATACGTCTATTTCACCGTCAAGACGCAAAACAATCAGGTAGTAGGGCGCGATACGCAAGGCGCATGGTGCGCACCAAGGCATTGAGACTGTAGATGTAGGATGCAGCATAGGCACATCGGCCCGTGGCTGCGTCCGAATATGGATATTTGAAGGAGAGTGTCGAAAGGCCGACGTATGCATTGTGGTTGAAGTTCCGATCGGTTTGGTCCGAGGGCGATGCAGAGAAGAGCTAGAAAAGTCCCATAAGCAAAGCCTGCCATCCTCGCCAACAGAGATAATGCGGTATGCATCGAATGAGGAGGAACTTTGATAGCACCACGGATCAAAAGCCACGGCCGATACATATGAGTCGTGTCCCTGGGCGCGAGCAACAAGGTGGCCCTCGTGAGGTGCCCATATACAAATAAGGTCGTCTTGGCCTCCAGTCAAGAGAAAGCGGCCATCAGGTGACCAGCACGAGCATTTGAAGCCACCAAAGTAGGACGAAAATGAACGCACAAGTACTTCTCGCTTCACGTCAATAAGATGTAAAAGTTCATCCTCGCTTGTGACTGCCAGCATGAAGGCATCTGGACTGAAGGCCATATCGGTTATGGGTCGTCGTGATACATTCCATACAGCCACAGGGTTGTAGAACACGGGCTGATGATCACGATGGCGGCCCATTTTCAACACGCCGCTCGACGATGTGTCGGAGCGGATATCAGGCTTTTCTACAACGATGCTTGTCTTTGGGTTCCAAGTAGAGTCGTTGGGTTTTTTTTCGAAGCCCTCAGGGGGATCCTCACGTTCGACATCCCACACATAAATGGAACCATCCTCATGAGCACTGAGGAAGCGAGTGTCTTGAAATGGGATCCAACGTACTTGCCGTACGGGCGACTTAGAAACAAGGCCATTTTTGTTCATACGTGTGCAACGATAATGGATGGGATCGATCCATACAAGATCGCCACTTGACAATCCTACGATGACATCCATGCGGTCGTGTCGACATGTATGCTGATGTATGTCATGACACTGCGGTGCGTGAGTAAAGACAATACGTCCGGCCGGCTCTTTTGCTTTTTCGTGCACATTTGTAAACCAAAACAAAGTCTTGCTCGCATTCATTAGCTGATTTGTGTTAGAAAGAAAAGGAAACAGGCACAAAGAGTGCTCAGACTTGGTCACTTACGGTAAAGGTGGATGACTCGGTTCGATTTCCAAAATATCGTGACAAATCCTGATGCTGGTTGGAACGCACAATGAAAGAGCCACCCAACGTCCGCAGACTCAATTTAGGCCGCGTCAATCGTACTGCTGAGGCAGGAGAGGTATGTGCTGATGCTTCAAATGAATCCGTTGACGCTGCTTCGGACGGCGGCATTTCACCTGAAGCGTGTGCATCGAGACCCTGGCTCACCAGTGTACTTGGCACTGCAAATCTGTTAATGCTTGTTTCTTCTGTGTGTGATATTGTACGCGGATGAACGATAGTACCACTCATACGTGGCATTTCATTCATCAGAGTATATCGGGATTGCAACGTCACATTTTCGAAAGAGGAGTGGGCCAAGGAGGGATTCAATCCATGCTGTGAGGCGTATCTGGCTTGTACAGGATTTAGCCAGTCCCGGCATACATATACACCCTCAGGGGACCGGAATTTTAGGGGCTGTGCCTGACCCGAGGACCCCATCAGGACCAGATCGTGCGAGCAAAATGGCGTGGCTTGCGTTCCAAATTAGCATGGGGCTCCCTGTCGAAAGTTGCTCAAAAGCAACCAGCACGTGCATTCTTTATTGGTGCTCCACCAAACTACTTCGAAGATGAGCCAAGCCTGGGACAAACGAGGAACAAAAATGGACTGTCAGCCAGCCCAAGATCGTGTACATTGTCAAGTACATGCTAGATGAATCTTAAAAAAGCTTGGAATACAGGATAAGGAGAATAAGCAATACAAGAACGACGATAATTGCAGTAGTTACAAGTTTTTGTTGCTTGGCCCTGTGCGCGGTTAGGTGTGGTGAATGTAGACGGAGAACGTACCGACGAATCATTTCTTGCAACGTCCGTGACGACCTATCAATGTGTGAATCTGCTCCATGTAGCTAAAACAAAAGTTAGAGATGGGTGCGACAAGCTTGGCACATACCGTGTCGCGACTGTGCTCAATCTGCTCGCGTTGCCGCTGAAGGTCCTGAAGGATATTGGCACCAATATCCTCTGTCTCCATAGCTAGACGCGTAGAGTCAGCAAGACGCCGGGAACCTCGTTCTAATACGTCAGTGCCGCGAAGCAAGCGTTGACGCTGCTGCACGTCATCATTGGCTTCAAGATCAGAGTCACGGTACTCGTCGAAAGGGAGCCCGCTGGAGCCGGTATTTAGTGAGCGAGGGTCTTTTGCGCGCTATAACAGTTTTAAGTCAGTAAAACTGATCGATAGGTACGAAGCAGAGAGATAGGGTGAACGGATTGGGTTCCTAAAACACATACAATATCCTGCTGCAACTTTTCCAGACTATGCTTGAGGGCACGAAGCTCAGCCACGTATCGATCACGCACGGCTGATGGAAAAGACTGAACCTCAATCTCCATTTGTGACACTAGTTCGCCTGCTTCCTCAGCCTCAGCATCTGCATGCCGCAACGCAGAGTGCCGCGTTTCAGCCGACATGCTTGAAAAATCCACCGCAAGTCGATTCTCAATTGACTGACGCAGCTGCGCAAAGTCAGATGCATACGATTCGAATAAATCAGTCATGGTTGGCTGGTGGGACAAAAGAATCGTATACCTTCAAATGTTGTCAGGTTCACGCACGAGCACAGCCGATTAAGAGACTTCACATTGCCCCTGGACCCGGCGCTCGCTCCTGCACAACAGATTGACAGGAAAGGCGGTGGCGGCTGATGTCTAGATCTCGGCCGAGCTGTTGTTACAGAATGTCACGGAGGAAGCTCTCTTTGCCAAGTAGGGCGCGCCGAGCCTGTTAATAGGGGATATGCATGTATCTCCACTGTTTGACTGACACGGTCCTGGATACCTAAGCAACACACAGGTCGGCAGTATGGCGTCCACGCTGCGCAATGGCATGCGCTTTGCGGTGTATGGTGTGCCAATGAATTTACTTGCACGATCTCTGGAGAATACGCCACAACCTATTACGTTGCCATATTTGTTGGCACATGGTGGACAACCAGGCAAAGCGCCCACGACTGATGAACTGCTCCGATCGGCTAAATACACACAACAGGAATTGCCTGTGCGTCTTGCTCGGCGAGTGCGACAGTTTTACTCGCTTCCTTTTATAATTGGCACCAACCCGTACATCCAAGAAGTCGCTAGGTTATATGCGTCTTCATTCCAACAACTGGCAGAATTTTCGCCTGTCCACACGCTGGAGGACAATGATCGTTTCGCTCAGAAGCTTCGACTACTCGTGGAAGAGCACGCAGATCTGGTGCCTACGTTAGCGCGCGGATTTATGGAGTGTAAAAAATACATGGATTCTGTGCGCATATCGAAATTTCTTGATGCAGCGTTGCACAGTCGTATAGGCATACGAATTATTGCCGAGCAGCACCTGGCCCTTTCAGAAGCCGCGAGAAAGTCCAGAGATGGCGCTGATGTATCGAGTTTATCTAAGTCGCCTACTTCTGTGGGTATTATAGACACGCAGATGTCGCCCGTGTACGTGATCCGATCTAGTGGCGAGTATGTTCGTGCACTATGTGAGGCGACATACGATATGGCACCAGAGATCAAGTTTGAGGGTGATTTGGAAGCACGAACTGTCGGCATCCCTGTACATTTGGACTATGTAATGACGGAGTTACTGAAGAATTCGTTCCGTGCCACGACTGAGACATTCCTCACACGGCATCCAGGTGGCTCGGCTGAAGATATGCCTCCGATAACCGTAACACTTGCAAGTGCTCAAGGACATATTACTGTGCGCATACGTGATGAAGGCGGTGGAATTCCTCCGGAAAACATGTCGCAGATTTTCAGTTACGCCTTCACCAGTGTCCAACCCCAAGATACCAACGAATCAATGGCCGGCGACGATAGTGACGTAACGGGCAGTGCATTGAGCAGTAGCATGGGTACACTAGCTGGCCTTGGTTACGGCTTGCCCCTGTCGCGCCTATACTTGGGATATTTTGGAGAAAGCAGTCTCGACATTATGAGTTTGTACGGATATGGCTGCGACACATTTGTCAAATTATCCAAGCATATTGGTGAGTCGAAAGTGCAGATTTAGTGTGCACCAGCGCGAGCCAAAAGTACGTCATCCTGATCAATGCGAGCTGAGCCGCTTTCCCGTTCTTGCCGTTGCCGCTGTCGTAGGCGGCGCACATAGCGTACATCGACTTCTTCATTGCGCTCACGTTCTTGCAAACGAACGCTATAGTATTTCCCGCATTGCAGTAAAATGATACCGATTAGTGCAATTGACAAAAGAATGTGTGCACTTGCAAGTTCGCGCAGGAGTGCGAAAAGTTCCTGCGCTTGCGATGCGGTCAAGTGGTCATCAGATAGCAAGACAGATGGGAGTGCTTGTACATCTGGAAAATGTATGTGTGAGTGGGACGGGTTGGGAAGTTGGATAAGAAAGAACTTACAAGGCTGGATTTTGTTCACGTAAAGCACACTTGAGGCGCATACAAGGACTGTACGATGTAAGCCATCACGTCCCATGCCTACGTACACAAACTCGCGCCGTCAAAAAGCCAATTATTCTCTGATCCGAGAACAATCTTACCGCCAAGGATGCAGGTTTGCAACGTTCCAATAGCGAGTAGCACAGACCTGTACCTAGCCGGAGACGCGCCAATCGTATGCACGTAATAATGGAGTGCAACCAGTAGATGCTCTTGAGATATATTCTTCTCCCAAAGAAGCAGATGGTCCGCACGCCAGTGCATTGCAAGCATTCCAAGCACGAAACTTGAGCTTGCAAGCAAAGCAGCCACAGTGACACCGATCATTTCCTCAGCAGTGCGGGCCACGCTGCCCGTTGCTCGTTGCTTATGCTGCTGATCAGCGAGATTGACGACGACGTTCACGAGGCGTGTCGTTTACTCCACAATAGATGTTCTTATCACGTGAACGATCGCGTCGGGCAGGTTTCGGCCGAAATCGCGAGTCTATACCACGCACGCGGAACAATCTACATCGAGAGCGCCGACAACAGCAGTTAGAGTGGTCTTGAGATCATCAGTCTAGAAAACATCGCTTTGGACCGCAACCATGGCGCCGATTCTGAACGTATGTGACGCGATAAGTCCTTGCGCACAAATAAAGTGTGCATGGAATTCTGGAGTCTGGACTTGGATATGTGCTAACGCATATGATACAGATCCATCAAAGCAATTCGCAGAGTTTCTCGATCCGGGTTCATGATGACGATATCATTTGAGAGGTACGTGCGTGACTGTCACGGGAGATGTGCGGGAGAGATGAGCTGACCGCCAGTATCAAGGAGCGTGTCGGATACAGGGCTGGTGTAAAGGACACGTCGTCTATCACGTTCAGGTATCTGCACGACAAGGAGCCGTACAAGCTCGAAGATGCTGATGACTTCGACATTTTCATGGATCGCCACGAAAATGACAAAGACGTAAACTTGTATTTGGACTTGCCAAGCTATGGCTCTGTCGCTCCGGCTGCGCCCTCACCCATGGCCCCTGCCCCACCGATACAGCTACACAGCACTTGCTCCGACTTCGACAAGCAGCCCAAATGTGCCCGTGCTCAACGAGTCGACGCTGGTGACTCGCACTCCTGCCCGTGGTAAAACAGGCTCTGTTAGCATTCACCGTGTCCAGTCCGCGACGGTGCCCGGTGTTGAGGAATTTGTCGAGGCTGGTGGCGTGAGTGGCGGTGGCCGTGACAGTATTCTGTACCCGCCACAGCGCGAGCCATACACGCCAACGCAGATGAAGCTCAGGACCCCCGTTCCTGCGCCGGTGTATGAGCCGCGCCCGCCGAGCGTGAGGTCCAAACGGACAACGCAGTCACAGGCGTCGCTTCAGCACAAGGTGGCGTTCGACGAGTTCCATGCATCACGGGGTGTGCGTCTGTTGCGTGGTAGCCTTGGACCCGTGAACAATGTTCCAATGATGCTCAAGGCTGGTTACCGCCATGTATATGTGAGCCGCAGCTTCGCTTTGGACCACGGCTTCATCCCTGTCGACACTACGCCCGGCACGTACGGTTACAACGGTATCACGAACCTGGGCAAGTGGCCCGTGCAAGTTGGCAGTAAGGCCGTGCCCCTAACTGTAATGCTAGCAGAGGACAGCTACTTCCCAGTGATCCTGGGTCGCTCATTTATGGAGAAGCGTGGTGTCCGTACGGATCCTATTGATATGACCTCAGTCATTTTCATGGACAATGGTGAGCGTGCTGATGTCGAAGTCGTTGTTGTTCGTGACGAGCTTGGTAACCCCGTTGCAATTCCCTAATGATGAGAGGTCCCTTCGCTTCGATCACCTTTCCCAATAATGCTAGTTTCATGTAGAACTTGGAGCACCCGCGCGATCCCTCGCTTTCAGTCGTCCGTCTCTTTTTTTTTTCTCTCTCTCCTTTCACATTGCATTTAACTATTTTTTGTTTTACAACACAATTTCGAGGCCTTGAGCAAATGGACAAGGTAAGCTGACTAGCGGCGACGTCTGCGATGCTTCTTGCGGTTCTTGCTCGACGATGAATGACGCTTGGACGCTTGCGAAGACGAGGAGGGGTTAACGTTGTGCGGCGTGGCCGAAGACGTTGCTTCGGTCGGTGGGGCTGCGTCAGATGCGGTTCCTTCCGATGGGAGATTGTCTGTGGCCTGTGCAGTCTCTTTACCTTGTGAAACCTGTTCGACGGATAGAGCGTTGTTAGATGAAGCAGTTTCCTCTCCAGTAGGGGCACCTCCAGACGATGACGACTCATGAGCATTTTTGGATAGTTCCTTGTTTGGAGACGGGGCCTCATATGCCTGGTTTTGAGGCGCACTTGGATGGACGGCCTGATTCGTGTCTTGCTCCGCGCCTTGTGACGCATCCGACTCTCCGATTAGCACAACGCCCTGCGAATGTTTTGGTTCAGGAGTAGCTCCTTGCTTTGAACAAGTCAGAGCTTCCTGCTCTGCCTGTGTCTTGCTCTGCTGAAGCCACAACTGACTGTACTTGCCACCCTTGTTCATCAGTTCCGTATGAGTGCCAGATTCGATTATTTGGCCTCGATCAGCAACGAGAATCAAGTCTGAGTCAACAATCGTCGAGAGACGATGTGCAATTGTCAATGATGAGCGACCATGCATCAGTGTGTGCAAAGCAGTCTGGAGGAGGCGCTCCGTGTGGCTGTCTAGAGCAGAGGTAGCTTCATCCAGAAGAAGTAACGGGGGATTTTTTAGGATTGTTCGCGCAATAGCGACGCGCTGCTTTTCACCTCCGCTCAAACGCACGCCACGTTCGCCAACAACTGTATCATAGCCGTCCGGGAACTCGAGAATCCGGTCGTGAATCTGTGCAGCTCGGGCTGCCGCCTCAACAGCTTCGTCTGACGCATGGATGTCACCATACCTAATGTTTTCGCGAATGTCCATGTTGAAGAGGGATGGCTCTTGCGGAACTATGCCGATTGCTTTTCGGAGGCTCTGCTGCGTAACATCACGTACATCTTGTCCATCGATCAAGATGCGACCATGTGTGATGTCGTAGAAGCGGTATAGCAGCTTAAGGATAGTAGATTTACCAGATCCACTCTCACCAACTAACGCAACACGTTGGTGCGCATTGATATGGAATGACATGCCATTCAGTGCATGAACACGGTTTGTATCGTATGAGAAATGCACGTTGTCAAATGTAATCTCGCCGCGAGTCACTCGAATATCTTGAGCACCAGGCACATCTCTGATGTCCACGTCTTCGTTCAGTAGCTCCATAAGTTTGTCGGTATCAACAAGGTTCTGATTCACAACACGATACAAAGTGCCAAGCATGCTGAGGGGAGAATACACTTGCTGGAGATACGACACAAATACGACGAACTGTGATGGTGTTGCACGGCCCAACACAACAGTATAAGCAACAGCTAGGACAGAGAATAGAGTGCCGAAAGCAAGAATGAGATTCTGCATCAGATTCAGCATGTTGAGACTCAGCACTACCTGATAGGCTGCCTCACGATAATGAACGAGGGCTGCAGCAAAGCGCTCCGACTCGTAAGACTCATTTCCATAGCTCTTGACTGTCTCATAGTTCAACAACATGTCAGTAGTAATCGCCTTGCATGCCGAGTCTCTGCTGTTCACTTCGCGGCGAAGCTTCGTGCGCCACGTCGTTACGCGAATACTGCAGTATGTGTACAAGGACATAATGACGAGGAGGATCGCGCCGATAACCGGACCAAATGACCATGAAAGATACACGATGGCAACAAAGATGTCGACGAACACGGGCGATAGAGAGAATAGAAGGTACTCAAAAAAGTTGTTGAGCGCCGTGCCACGGTCTAACGTGCGAATCAGCTCACCAGTCTTACGGCGCGTATGGTAAGACATCGACAGATTCAACACACGGTCAAACATGAGTCGGCTCATGTTCATGTCTGAGTACCACGAAATAGGATACCATAATAGGTTTTGTGCGACAGCGAGAAGGCCACCAGAGCCCTGGAATACTTTCAGTGTGGCGAAGATTACGATAGGCATCCACGGATCCGACTTTGCGCTAAGAGACTCAACCACGCGACCCAATGCTATGGGCACAAGCAGATTCACAAATCGACCCAGCAGCAACAAGCCTATGCACAATACGGCAAGGCATTGCAGACGTGGTGAGTTAGATGGCCACAGGTAAGGACCAAGCACACGGATACGATTGACCAGAGAGCCCATAGATGCTGAAGATGCCGATCCTGACGCAGCAGCCGATGCTGATCCATCTGGATAGTTCGCCATGTGCTCTGTTTCCGTGTCCACAGTCGAAGTATGTGCCGTCAGAGGCAAATACTGCACCCGCTCGTGTAGGGAAACATACGCTAAGACTGGGTATAGAAGAAGTAGCCGTACACCGAGAATAGCCACTTGAAGCTGTGCCCAGACAAAAGATTCCGTTGACTTGGAGCGATGCTGAACATGCCAAATGGCCTGTGCCAAATCCATCGCTACACCAAGCAGAATGGTGACGATGAGCCGAGATCGGCGCAATTTTCCTGCACCATGCCTACGTTCCTCACGTAATGCAGCAAGTGCGATGACACACCAAGCAACAAGACCACCCAGAGCCTGAACGAGGACCATGTGCCATGGCGCCATGGATGGTAACCATGTTCGTGGTGGCAAAACGGCTTGAGCCGCAACGAGCGCACCTGAAACAACGAAAGAGGCTGCAATGACCAACATGACCACACGCACCGCACGAGAGTATCGCTCACGCTGCGCCACAACGACCGGTTGAGGCAGCAACTGGTCTGGCAAACCAGCACCATCACCGCCGTCTTCATGATCATCCAGGAAAACCTGACGTTCCATGCCGAGGCATATACGAATGCGCTTTTTTACATAACTCGCATGTACCATGTACATGACAAGCACGATATGTGCTACAGGCTGTGCAACCTGCAGTGCATTGGTCCAAGGCCTGGTCAATGACATGGTCAGAGGCCAATGAACCTTACTCTTTCTGAACTGAACTGATTCTGAACAAGCCCCAGTTTTTCCTGCCTCATCGCCTGAGGCGCTTTCTCCTTTTTCTCCATGTGGAGTGCTGCTTCATGTGAACCAACAGCGGTCGCGCCCAAAATTAGGCGTTGGGCGTCTGGTAGACGCTGATCGGTTCGCTCTCAGTCTCCAATCTTAATTATTCCGGTGCACGGATACGAAACGAATGGGCTTAGCTAGCATATCATCGATAAAGGGATGTGTGTTTCGTCAGGGGAAGCTCGGATTTCCATACCGCAGTGTACGCTTCAGCGCATGGATGCGGCATGTACACACAGGTATAGGATCTCGCGCTCGAAGGAGTCTGCAGTATGTGCCAGGCAGCTCGGAGAAAATGCTCAGCAAAGTATGTTCGGTAGCATAGAAAGCACTCACGCGGTCAGAGCCAGCATCTCAATGCAGACACAATCGTTTATGATTTGGAGGATAGGTACGTTCATTTTCCTTAAGCATGGCTGATGTCAGCGTGGCGAGGCATCAAAAAGATGCTGCACGCAACATGGTACACGAGGCGCTTCAGGTACGTAGCTAAACTCAAACTTGGCATGCTTTTGTACGATTAGAAATCACTACTGACGCTATCTAAGTGCTCAACCCCAACGAATGCGGAATTGGCCGTTAGAATTAATGCGCCATCAATCTCGCCGGCTGTTGCTCAATCTGACTTGGACGCTGTGCTTCCCAGTGAGAGACTTCAAGCTCTAGTGCTCCCAAAAGTCGAGAGCGCTGAAGATATTGAACTGATTGCGCGCAGTGCTATGAATTTTTCTACTTACACAAAAAACTCACCGCTTGCACTTGTGCTTTCGATTGAAAGTGCCGCATCGCTGCTACGAATGCCAGCGATCCTTGAGCATATTTCAGTCCGTATGGCAACATATCACCACAAAATTCGCATAGCAGCATTGATGTTTGCAAGCGAAGACTATTGTGCATCCACGGGAATTGGGCGCTCGCGAAACGTGCAAAGCTTGTTGTTTCCACGCGCCCATCTTGTTACCGTCGCGAAAGCATATGGACTTCAGGCTATTGTGCGTCGATAGTTGGTTCAAGACATTTACTAACACTTCAGGATATGGTGTGCATCGAGTACAAAGATGATGCCTATCTACGAGAAGAGTGTCTAGACGGTGCCTCTTTAGGATTTGATGGAAAGCAAGCAATCCACCCGGCACAACTTGACACTATTCATCAAGTATACTCGCCCTCGGAGAAAGGTGCGTACTGGGCGAAACCGTTGTAACATGGCACTCGTATATACTTACAATCATGCAAGACATTTCTATGGCTAAAGCCATTGTGCATGCGTATGAAAAGGGCGTCCGCGAGAACAAGGGAGCCGTGGGATTGTCACATGAGGGACAGGACGTGATGATTGATGCGTATGTACAAATTGCTAAGCGCATAACTGTTTACAAGACAGCCCCATGCTGTTGCAAGCAAAGCGAACTCTTGAAAGGGCGAGTCTTAGTGCATTGGAGAAAGCGAGTGATCCGTAGTCATTTCTTCCAAACCTTTCGACCAAATGTCGGCCATATCCCTGAGATGGTGAGTGTGTCTTAACGCATGTTCACGTACGCTTGGCGTTGCTCATACGTTTCGAGCTTTTTTAGCAGTGCGCTTTGCTCGACGATGCTCATATCTGCACCTGGCGCTGCATCTACGGCAGCGTACGCCGCCGCGAAGGTAGCTTTGAGAGACATTGTTTCATGCGCTAGCTTCGTCAACAATGCCCCGGGTATACGAGACTTGGACGACCCAGTTGATGCATCCGCCTGCAGCCACATATCCCAATCATCTTCGTCGTTGATGGTACCCAAAGCTAAATTCGGGATCTGATCCGAAGAATGAGTCGACTCCATGCTTCGTTCATGCGTCGCTGCATGCTCATTACTATCGTCCTGTTCAGAGGGTGCATCGCGTGCCTGAGCCAGCAAATTCAAAATGGTTCTAATACGCGGAACTATGCTAGGAAGCAAGGACGGGTCGGTGATTTGGCGTTCGGTGGTCTCCAGCATGATCGCGTAGCCAGAGCGCGAGACGTGTATGTTAGAGCCGCTCGGTTGAAATCAGCACTGTTGTGTGGAGACAACTGGTGGTGTGAATGAAAACAGGCCGATTTTTATTTGACGCTTCATTTGCAGCATTCTTAGAGCGAATCGTGCTCAAGGAAATGTACACGATGAGCCGCTGGACGCACGTATGACCATGAGGTAAGGAGAAAGGTTTGAAAGCGTACCAACATACAAGAAATACTATGGAGGTGGTGGCGGCGGCGGTTGTGATGGCAAAACAGGCCGATCAAGCAAATTACACGCGACATACCAAGCCTGTGTGAGCTGTGCGATGGCATGTGACCAAGCAGCCGTGGTGTTGGGTTGCCGCGTTGTGCCGGCCGTAAGAGCATACTCCATCATTTGTGGTTGGAGTGCTTGAAGTTCAGTGAGTAAGTCACTCCACTGCTGAGCAAAGCTCACAGCTTCCTCGGGCGTCGCAGGGGAGAGTTGCGTAGCTGTTGACAAAATAGGGTATGGAGCAGCAGCCGCATGATCGATTTCGCTTGTATCAACGGCTCTGCGGGTGTCAGTAGTGATAGCCAATGGTGTGGGCGTTGAGACTGAAGACGAATCCGGAGCCTCTAATGTAGTTAAAGGCAAGTGTGACGTGTCAGCATCATTAGGTTGCGCCGAATCGGATGTTGCATTTAATTTCTGGGTGGACGACTCATGCTCGTGGGCTTGAAGGTTCTTGTGGCGCTTTATGATATTGTACACATCCATTCGAGTGATTTGCACACCTGGAGGGATAAATGCGGGGCTTGTGGGGGGTATGTTGGCTGCATTCTTTTGATGTTCGTGGATCATTTGCACAATCTCCTTCTGATCGCGTCCTTCACTAACGCGTTCTTTAATCCAATCCCGCACATTGTCTGGGATCCTACTGCTTGCCCAGTACTCTCGTGTGTTGACGGTATGACCCTGATGCTGAAAACGACACACCATCATGACCATGTCGCTTCCGACCTCCTGTGTCGCAGTGAACGACGCGGGACATCCAATTTTTATAGACGCCCGTCTTGATCTCCGTTTTCCTGGTGCCAAATTTGGATTTCGCCTGTCACGCGGCTTCCCTGAATGATCACATACGTAGTGCTTGCGCCAGGCGTATCGCCTGCCATGAGGCAATGCACCGTTGTAACGTGTGGAAGAAACGCGCCATTGAACAGTTCTTTTTAACACGCATACACACTCCTCAAAGAGAGAAGCAGGTACCTGAGTAGTGAATGTCTTGTCGGTGGGCATATTTAGCAGAAATTGTGCTGGATCTGTCACATATGGGGCCATTTGGGCCACGGTGCTCGCCTCGCCACTAAGTGAATCCGTCGATAGCTTATACGCAAGGATTAGATATATACCGCATACGTACCGAATGATGAATTGTTTCCATGGATGGCGACGCCTGCGCGCCACCTGACTCGTCCATGTCAACAGCACAACTGAAAGATGTGTATATATATATGTATAAACAAGCGTGAGTGCGTGCTTGGATTTGGAGAATTGGATCGGGGAGATCGACCCTGATTTCTACACGCAAACCTACGAGAACGAAGGAGGACACTCCCACAGGCCTCTCGCGATCTCTATATAATGAAAGTACACGCCTCCATTACATTGTATTTGTGCGCGCGACATAATTGCATTGGTTAAGGCCCGAACTCGTACGGGGAAGTTTGGACAGGGCGTGAACGAAGAATCCTACTTGCTGACCATGTCGGACATTGAGCTCTTAAAGACCAAATTTCGTATGTCCAATTGAGTGTAGGCGTGCTGCTCACGCCAGAGTACCATGAGAACTGGCCTAAGCAGGGCATTCTCTTCTGTGATGTAATGCCGGTGCTGCGTGATCCGATCACATTCGAGATCCTGATTACCAACATCATGTCGCACATATTTACGCAGACGCTTCCGCGCCTTGCAAAGGAAGGTAGTGAGTCACGGATTAACTATGTGGTAGGATTGGATGCGCGTGGATTCCTGCTTGGCCCGATCATTGCGCAGCGCCTCGGTGCGGGATTTGTGCCTGTCCGCAAGCGTGGAAAGCTGCCTGGCGAGTGTGTGCAGGCTACATTTACCAAGGAGTACGGTTCAGACGTTTTTGAGATGCAAAAGGATGCTATGCCCTCCGGCTCGAATGTGCTAATTGTCGACGATCTGATCGCTACAGGCGGATCTGCGGCCGCTGCTGGCTCTCTTGTGCGCCAAATGGGTAGCAAGGTAGCCGAATATGTGTTTGTTGTCTCGATTCCCGCTCTGAAAGGTGCAAGCTCGCTCGATGCACCTGAGTACCAGTAAGTACCACATTGGAGCTATACATTTCTAACACAAACAGTCTAGTCGAGATGGACTAAAATAAAATTTCACTCGTGGATAATGACGCAAGAGCTCAACTCTCTTTTACAATCCAACATACTTGGAAGCTACCATAGAGCAAATACATGCATTCACCTGCTGGGTATCGTGTTGCAAGTAAGCGGGTGCATCTTGTATCTTATATGTTTTGCCCACGTCTTTCCAAGCTTCAGCGGGTATTTTGTCACCTGTCGCATCGGAAGAGGCATCCATGCTTAGGGCTATACCATGCAGTAGTGTGCCATCGACCAGGTCGTTCATTTGTTGCGCAACAGCTTGGGGTTGTGGTCCCTCCGGAGGCGCTTTGGCCACGTGCACCAACAGGAGTGAGCTAGTAGCTGCTGATACACCAAAACGGCGAAGTGCATCTCCGATCTGTATGACCGCGTTAGTATGACAGGGTATGTGCGCAATTCAAACGTACATTGTTATTCGGATTGAGTGTCCACAAAATGTCTGAGTGGATTGATGGTGTTTTAAGCCCCGTTATAGCTAGCGGCTCTAGCTCTTCCCTTTTTATGTCACGTCTCTGTGCACCAACGATGGCCTGTAAAATTGCCGTTATGAGTTGTTGTCGGCTGCACACGAGGCGTGCATCAACGAATGCCATGTCCATCCTTCGGCGCTCATCTGAGTGCACCGGTGTCTTGGATGCTTGCACCAGCGCATGTCGCAACTCACTGCCATTTTTTACATGGTCGAATTGTGCGATGTACACGCATCTGTAATCATCTGGAAATACTGCTGGCAAGTATATTGTTTCCATGGTCTAGAAGCCTGATTTGTATTCAAACGTGGGCGCCCACACCACAAAATTTTGCAGGACCAGTAAGATCGCTACGCCACGCCACGTCCAGCTACGCGAGCTCCAGAGGGGGGAGCTATCCACCTGATTTAATGAACTCCCCCTCCCCCGCTACTTTTATTCATGCACCGTTCGCATGCAACACATCGCTTTGTCATGGCTGCCTCTGAACGAATCGGACAAGATGGATATCACGTGATAGAAAGGCCCTGTCGTTCAGTGACAAGGTCATTTCAGCCCCCGACCCTAGACTGGCGCCCAAGAAGCGTTGAGTAAGGCTGTCAGAGCAGAGCACGAGTGAGAGCTAGAGATCAAGCCCGCGATTTGCGTTCCTGAACGAGGGCTGAAAGAGAAAGTTAGTTGATTCAATCAGCGCTTGCTGATAATTTGCTGTTGTTGAAACTCTCTGCTGCCTGTGGCAATAGCCGCGCGCATGTCGGATGCGGGCGAGCGAGCTCCGCCTGACCCGGCTCCGGCTACTGATGCCTCGACATCGTCTCCTTCTGTTCAAACACATGTCCAGACGCCAATTGAACCCTTACATCCGTCTACCAACGCCCCTCAAGTGAGAGCTGCGCCCTCTTCTGTGCAAGCACCGCCCTTATATACCCGCTCAACCCCTCCCACACCATCGCCTGCATCGTCTTATGCAAGTCCCGTCGTAACTGTGAGAATGAATGCGACACAGCCCCCGTCAATGCCACCAACACCAGTATCAAGAGGTGTCATTAACACGGGTGCTGGGGTAAGTTCCAATGGTTCTGTTTCCCCTGCTCTTGCTCCTGGGAGTCATGCAAATGCTAGTTCCCACACATCAGGTGCCGTGAAGCCCATTTCCACTGGATTGGCGTCACCAGCATCACCAGCACCACGTCCTCCCTTTATCATATCGAATGCATTAGCTGCGGCTTCGGGTTTGGGGCCTATACCGCGGCGCGGTACAACTGCCACTCCTGCTACGGTGACGCCTTCTGCTATGTCGCATCGCACACACACTCCGAGCCCTATACCTGTGAATTCGAGCATCAGCTCACGTCCAGTGGCAAATACAAGCACAGCTACATCCACCCACGCATCTCCAACTACTCAACAGATGCCGGCACCACCCCCACCACCACCCCAAAGTGCCGCGGCGGGCGACATCCGTCCTGTGCGTTTACCGCCTCACAAAGACTTGATCAGTGAGGATGCCGAACTAGCTGCACAACGCGCACGAACACGTGCGAGGTAAGTTGTTTAGAAACATGATGCTTGTTGGAACTAACGCGACCCCTAGATTCAGTGCGCAGCTCCAGCGTGATCACGAGCGGTGTCTACAACCAGACGTTTTGACTCCATTCCGCAATATGCAAGATATTCTCAACAGGCTGCTGCCATTTCACGTTTGGCAAATGCCTGAGCGAGATCTTATTCATGGTATGGATGCACAGGTCGTACCTAATGTGCCTCAAGGAAATGAAGCGCCATTGCAATTCACTGTGCCGTACAAAAAGCGACGAGTTTCCTCGCCTCAGGTCCCAGATACCCCTTCGTCCTATTTGGTTTTACCGCCTTTTCCGTCAGAAGCCTATGCAGTCTCTGTGTACGATCGATATACTAATTTACAGCGTCGCTTTCGCATGCTGGAAACTCGCTCATCAACGACGCATGAGCGTGCTCCCTTCATGACTGCATCACTCGAGCATATTGAGCGACTTATTCACGAGGACGAAATGAAGTCATTCCAGGACCTAACGACAGAGCTTCGCAAGGCCCGCTCCGAATTGGAGGAAATTGAACGCCAGCGCCCATGGGTAATGCCAGTCATTAAAGGAACGGATGCATCAACGTCAACGACAACATCGTCCCCGGCATCGCACGACGCGCGTCCATCTTCACCAGCAGCGCGTTCAGATCACACACCTGATGCACACCAAGACCGCCTAGGTGCGTCGTCCCGACCGTTTCCCATCGTGCGCCCACCGAGTCATGATAATCGGCCAACACCATTGCCATCAACCAATCCACCTCCGTTATCACCACCTCCCGTATCGAATCTCGCTGTTCTCTCGGCAAACAACGGCAGTCCGAGTCCTGCCACTTCCATGCCCTCTCGGCAATCTCCCCTACAAGCGCCAGGAGCGGCGACAACAGCACTGGCGACCGCGGTACCGTGTGGGACAGCGACATCGATGACACCAACACCAGCGACACCCATGCCGGTCTCGGGGTCGGTCGCGCCAACACCAGCCGGAACGATGAATGGGATGTCCTCACTCAACACAACCGAAAGCCTCACTAAGACGAGCATTCCCACACAACCATTACCCCTTGTGGTACCGATTGCATGCGTGCCGCGACTAACAGCACTAGGTATCAATCTTGTGCCAGCGCCGCACTTAGTTCCAGCCCTGTCGCTGGCAAGTGCTGGCCAGTCGGTGGCGATGAATGCCGGATTGACAGCGCCCCGCCCAGTGATTGGCGCACAAAACGAACCCGTGCTGCTTGTTGGTATTACTGATGCCCCTGCATCACTACCCCCTGCTGCTAACCAAGCATCGCGGCAACGCCTGCATCTCAGCGTTGTCCTGTCGAAGTTGCGGCCCGACCAGCTCAGTGGTCTCGCCAACATTATGCAGTCTCTGCAAGCGGATGACGAGAATACGAGCAAATAGATTGGACTGAATCAATGCATAGACACTCACGGATTTGGCCCCCTCGGTATGAACCATGCATCCGCTTGGTCGCGTGTCAAACCAGGAGTATATTCTGACGCATCGGCGTAGGTATCAGGGCATTCCGGCGCCGTGTATGCCTCTGTGGGTGCGTGCGTCCAGGCCGTGTAATGATCAGCGTGTGTTGAGTCTTCTAAAAGGTGGGTGCGAGAGGCACTTGCAGGCTCGAGATGCAAGGTATGGCGACTCGTCGATGGCGGCAAGGTAGCATCCCATGCACCCCACGTATGTGAGTCGTAATTCGGACGCCAAATAGTTACTTCTTCGGATTGGGGAGCATTTTGCAGAAGTGCCTCATTCATGGAGGGATCATGTTCAGGGAAGCTCGGTAGGTCTTGCGCACTTTCATAGGAATCAGCATGACTCATGTCAATTTCTCGGTGTGCTGGCTGCCCGGATGCTGGTGCGGGAGGTGCTGGCACCGACACCGGTGTAGATGCTGCAGGACCATAAGATGCTTTGGTCGACTTAGATCGGCGCGAGTTGCGGGGTAAAAAGCACGCACAGCATGCGATAACTAATAATAGCATGCCGCAGCAATACAAACATCCCGCCGCGATGACCGTCAGAATGAACGACTGTCCAAAGGACATGTCCAGCACGTCGTCCAGATGTAGTTCGTCGTTAATTTCAATATAAATGACAATAAGTATCGCAAATGCAACCGTCGCACATGCTGCACCAAGCTCTGCAATGCAGGCGCCGAGTGCTCCCATTGATCTTTCGTGGAACAGGGCTAAAAACATAACGATTGTCGCCAGACAAGCCAACGCAAATGATATAGGAAAAAGCACAAGAACGTAAGTCAACGTATGCAAAAAATCGCTTGTAGATTTCGAGAATTTACCGAGGATCCTTGGCATTTCGTAGCCGACGCGCGTGGGGGAGTCGGCGCCATTCAGACTATAGCCCAGTGCCCCAAATTTCATGTCGATACCTGCTGCTTTTGCACGTAAAAGCCACAGGTTGTCATTGACGGGAACGCAGAATGTTGCCAAACCTAAGAGAATGCATGCTGCGATTCCCAAAATCAGCGATATCGCCGTGAAAAGGTGTCGCATTCTTCCAGCAGGACGATGGTTGATTCAAGCAACAGTGAGGATCAACTTGCATGTGGAGTTCCCACACGAGCTGTCCCAAGATTTCGCAAAAGCTGGGACATGGTTTCCAAATAGCGTGTAGAAGTTACAACAGAGACGTGAACACACTTATCTAAAAGCTAAGCGGTATATTTTTTTCTTTTCTAATATGGTGATACTGTCCTTGCGCCCAAGTTGACGTAAATGGAATAAAATGTTAACCATATGATTAATAAATTAAGAATATTGAACAAGATCCAATAGGTAGGAAGCAAGGAGTACGTTCAGCGTGTATTGATAAATACACAAAGGCACACGGTTGAGACCAGCAATTCGTTGAGAGTGCTTTTTATTCGTTTTGGTATTTACCGTCTACAACACATCATCGAGCCGGAGGCGGATTCCAGGTCCTTGAGTAGAGCTGAGATGGACTTGTTGCACAATCGAAAGTGCCTTTTTCATAGAGCCAGGACTGCGACGCTGGATCATATTTCCTTGAGCATCTTTGCTTGATGTGTCCCGCAAATAGCTAGCAACTACATTCGCACTCACTTTTGTACCTGCCAAGCCACTTGCTGCCTTTGTAATAATCGCATCAAGAAATGCTTGGACGTTTGCACGCAGCTCGGCATCAGAAAATGAGATGCGTCCAACAGCGGCTCGCACAACTCCGACACGATCACCACGCCAGTCGACGCCGGTGACAAGCTGTTCGATAGCTTGCTGCATCCCTTCTGCATCATCCACGACTGTCCCACGCTTGGCACTGGGCATAAGACCCTTTGGACCGAGAGCGCGAGCGAGCGAGCGACTCATGCTGGGCAAGAGTCCTGATGTACAAAGAACACGCGAGAATGACGGCACACGTCCAGCCACGGTGTCAGCAATCATATCATTACCGCCAATTACTAGGCGCATGGAAGAGCCACTCGCCTCAAGTTGTGCTGCTGCTTGTTGCGCCGCATCAGCAGTTTCAGATCCTTGCTCAGCAAACACGAGCACTGTTTCGCCCTTGATCCTTGGATCCTTCGGGAACGAGATGCGGCCACGGAAGGCGTTCGTCTGGTTAGGAGGAACACTGGTTACAACATGAAGCTCATACGCATTGCGTGGCCGTGCAGCTTCCACTGACTAAAGTAAAAATTCCTAGTTAGTTCCTTTCTTTTTACACGTAGCGCACACAGTCGCCGAAGAATACATACCCGAATGACATGACGCGCATCCGACAGCGACAGGGTATCGCTTACTTCTTCTTCGGCTGCAGTTTCTTTCACTGTACCAGCCTGCTCTGCATTCTGCGCTTCTAGCAATGCAGCCGCCTTGACGGCTTCAGAACCTTTCAGCTTTCCCTCAGCGTAAAGACGCAGCAGCGTCTTGGGGCTCTTTCGTGCGCGCCCACGATTTTTGCTTTCTGTGACAGGTGTGATATGCAAGCGTCTAGCACCTACGTGTGGCACGCGCAATGCGCCACGCATACGTGCGAGGGCACTAACACCCCACGACATCGACACGGACATGATCGTGCTACCTCAAGATATTCGAGACGATCCCAGAGGCAGGTTCTTCGTACGTCACGTGATGAGACGCGTTCAGTGTGTCTGATTGTTGAGTTCGCGTGTAGTGTTGCGTCGGTGCTCAGGATCCTTGGGCTGTGCTGTCGTGTGGCGGCGCTTTGAAGTGCATGCTGGGCTCGTCAACGCGACAAGTCAACGTATACGGGCGGAAAGGTCGAACGCGCATAGTGCAGGATGCACCTATTTTTGATGAAAATGATGTTCCTCGCACACCACCACGCGCTGAGTCGACGGCATTTCAACGCTCAACCCGAAGCCTGTTTTCAGGAGTAGATTTCAGGTCGACCTGGAGTACTTGGATCAACAGCCCGCGAGATGCATTTAATAGTAAACTTGCTACACCACTTCGTCAGTGGACTGGTACCAATGTTCCCTCTACACCTACTCGTACGCCACTGAAACAAGAGTCTACACGTAAAGCAGATGCGCAGCTCTCACAAGCGCTGCAGGACCTAACTTTGGATGTAACAGGGCTACCTAGCCTTCTTCGATGTGTTGAACAAAAGGAGCCTCGTGAATTTGATCAAGCTTTGCAGGAACTGTCGCATGGTCGATCAATAAGAAAGATTGGAGAAGCAAGTTTCTCCGAAGTATATCGATGTACACCAAGGATTCCATCCGACGCTGCATCCATCGTCAAAGTCATTCCTTTGAAAGTCGATGCTGAAGAGTCCTGTGGCATAGCTTTTTCGTCATTGGAGAGCGTCGAACGCGAAGTAGCCATGATCTCAGCCCTATCGCGTGCAAAAGACACATGCGCGAAGCACTTTGTCCGTCTTCAGCAAGCATTAGTAGTGCAAGGATCGTATCCTACTGAACTTCTTCAAGCTTGGGATACATTCAAAGAGGAAAACGCGAATCGCAGTGAAAATGTCCGGCCGGACGTTTTATCGTCGACTCAATTGTATGTGCTCATTGTGATGGATGATGCAGGCAAAGATCTTGAATGTACACCTATCGCCAGTTGGATGGAACGAGCCGCTGCATTCTGGCAAGTTGCATGTGCTGTAGCTGTTGCAGAACGAGCAACGGCATTTGAGCACCGTGATTTGCACCTTGGGAACATTCTTGTGCAACGTGTAGACAAACAAGAAAACTTGGATCAAATTGAAGTGTATCATCGAGAGCAATTGGAAAAGAACACAATGAAACAGGTGAGACATATGACACATATTGATCAAATTTTGACCATGTACGAGCCACGTCGCACGGGTATCCATGCGACCATTATTGACTACTCCCTTTCACGTATGGAATTGGGAAAAAAAATAATTGCATACGATTTTTCCGATGAGTCGCTATTTTCGGGTCAGGGTGACACGCAATATGATGTATATCGAAAGATGCGGAGCCTTGTCGCGGACCAGTGGACCGCACATGTTCCTATGACAAATGTATTGTGGCTTCAGTTCGTCTTGCAACGTCTATTGGCTTCAAATGCACCACCTCGAGAAGAAACAGAACATGAATCGGAAACTAAGGCGTACGACTTACTTGTTCATGCAGAGCAACTGGCACACGAGGCCCTTGAGAACGAACGTCGGCAGCAGTTGCCCCAACGACGAATGTCAACACGGTCGAAGCGGCGATCTACTCAGCGCGCAAGAGATGCGTTGCAATCTACACCGGATAAAATGGTGCCGACATTTGCGCCTCCGCCGCGTATCACATCGGCATGGACGTGGATCGAGGCAGTGGTGGCTGCTGCATTCGAGGAGGATGTGGAGGACTTGAACGCTTAGTAGGTTGTTAAATAGTGGTTGTCACGAAGCGCAACTTGTCATTCATTTTGTTTTTGATGCCTATACAGCAAGCTCCACTCTGACGTAGCAGGCTGCCGCTATGAGAAGTTGCCAGTTCGCAGGAAATGTGCTTAATGAAATTCGGGCCCTGAGTGGCCTGAGCTCCAAATCCATCCATACTTTGTGATAAGCCACGCTGTACTTTTTCATCCGAATCAACATTCTTGTATGAAGTACACGTATGTTGGTAAAGCTGACTCCTTGGATTCCATGATACCAAATGCCAAGTCTCCAGGTCGAGAATTTTCGCGAGAATTAAGCGCGAAACTAGATTCTTTTTCTAACCCGAATGACTTCAAAGCCCCGGTTCTTTTACCCGCAACTGTTGCAATGAATAGGGCTGAGCACCTAGGCGATCACAAAGAAACAGCGTTTTCTTATTCAAAACATCCCTTGGAGATGCCTAAGCCGCAGGTGGGCGATGCAGAAGTTGTGACAGAACCGGCTAGAGAACTGAGAAAGCCGGAGCCCTTGGCTTCCGGTCGACGTCAAAGACATATTATGTCGGAGCAGCGGCGAAGAAATCAAGCACGCGAGGCTTTTCAACAGCTGTCGGAGCTACTCGCTATCGGACGTACGTATGGTGCGCGAGCGCTGGGTCTTAATTCCGGTGCTGGCACCGGCGTGGAGGACGAAGAGTTGGATGATCGCACGGATACCGAGGAAGACCTTTTGCTTTGTTGCGATGAAGAGGAACTTCAGCGCCGGAAGCGAAATGCGCAACGCCGGGCACGAAGCCGCGCTGTCACTGGGAAGCAAACACGGGGAAAAGGCCGTGGGCGTGGCGGAAGTGCTGGACATGCAGGGAGTAAGTCGGCTGTGTTATTTCAAGTCATCGATCTCATTGACTGGCTCGATGGGCGTGAGGAACATCTTCGGCGCGATATTGAGGTTTTGGAGGCACATCTTAAACTTCTAGGACCACAGGCCAAACGCACGCGTTTGATGTAAGGCTTCCAAGCACTTGGAGACGTAATGGCTTCACCTTATAAGCTCGTACAAACATTTATTTAATCCTGCGATGATGGGTATAAAGACAGGCTACATAGATAGGAGACGCGAATTAGCACATGATTGGAGGGATAGAAAGGGAAAGTGGAAACGTGTCAGCCTTGGTGTACAAGAATACAAGCGCGTATAAGTGTGTATGCAGTCACGAGCCATCACGAGAAGCGCCGAGCTAGGAGGTATCCACGGGTAGAGCCTCGTACTCACCGCGATCTGTGCTGGTACTTGCACCTGTCATGGACGAATATATTTGCTGCAAGCTTGTCTGCAGCGAGTTGCGATGGTGAGACCGCTGGCGTTTCGATGCAAGCAAGGCTTCATGCTCCATCTCAGACAAGAACCGAGGGTGCGTACTAATAGAACGGCGCAAGCGATGGACTTCGGGATCAGAGCCATGAGATGTGCGGATTTCATCTGTTTCAACATCCAGCTGGGGTACAGGTGCGCCTTCGTCCCCAAAGATAGCATCCATTTCTTCGAGTGGTACGCCCTGTGTCTCGGGGTATAGGAAGTACACAAGTGCAAATGAACACAAACAAAAACAGGCGTGCAGGATGTAAAGCCACCATCCGATAACTTCTTGTAAGACAGGCGTGAGCTGGCCCACAATCCAGTTAAAGACCCAGTTTGTTGCTGCAGCGAGAGAAGATCCTTTTGCACGGAAAGCTAGTGGCATGATCTCTGGTGTCCAGGCCCATGGAATGGGACCCCAAGAGTACCCAAATGCGGCGTTGAAAAGAATTACACAAACAACGACAAGCGTTGGTGTATACGACTGGTTCGCTTTCAAAATAATACCACAAGCACCGAGCATAATAGCACAAAGCATCGCACCCGACAACAAGATGGGCCGACGACCCCAAGTATCGACAAGGAACCACGTCGGCACCGTAGAGAAAACATACACAATTGCATTGATTCCTGTCATCAACAAGGCATCACGGCCGACCCAACCAGCGCTCTCAAACACCATAGGAGCATAGTAAGATATGACATTGATGCCATTTAATTGTGCAAACATTTGCGATGACATGCCGATAAGCGTTCGATATCGCAAACGCTTCCACATGTGC